ATAGTGAAGTTCTCTCACCTCCTTGTTGGGCCATTGCCACTGCCCTGACCTGACCATCCCACACCCCGCCAACGCGGGTTCCTAAAATCAGGCTTTCCGTCCATGCAAAATGCGCCATCCGGTCCGTCCCTTTACGCGCTGCTCCGCCGCGCTTTCATAGGAACCTTAATAATTACCGTGAATGGGGTTCCCAAGGATCAATCGCTCCATCATCGTCGATGCTTTGTCTCTACGAGATGCTCCAATGTCGAGACATGACTGAGGGAACCTGGTAGCTGGTCTTGGAGCAAGTCATGTCTATGGTTGGTTCATGAGCTCTTACTATAGAACCCCGATTCAGTATAGAATCAACCCACACCGGTTTCAGCCTCCCCAACCACATCGCCTACTACTATAATACCCGTCCGTCACTGGCAGAGTCGTATTCTTGCCATTGTGGGGTAAATACCGAGGCGGCCCCGAGAGAAGCGGGTGGACAGTGCGTGAGCACATGTATCGAGCCTGAGTAGCTCTGGATCAAGCAGTGCCACTTGCGGTGGATGCCATCCCAGACACATTCGGCGACCTCGGGCAGGGCAATATCAGAAAGATGTGTCTGGGCGTGCCCGCTCGATGGCGGCAATTCCACGATCTCTCCATCATCGTAGCTACTCTGCTAGGGCTACGCCATGTTCCGGTATTTACTCCGTATAACCCCATGAAAAATGGCACTAGCAGCGCCATGTTAGTCCAGGCATCACCTGCTTTGGGCATCGCGGTAGGTTGATACGCTATGGGGGGGCGTTCCAGAGCATCAGGTCCAAGCGTTAGCTAGGATCTAGGGTGATCAATCTCTGATCCAGGGGGCGGTGGAGGGCCAGCCGAGCCGAGAACATGGTACTGGAATCACAAGGCCATATGGGTGCCACCTTGTCGGTACTCTCGATGGAGAAGTGAGCAAATATTTTTCTTGGGCGTTGTTGGCAGCAGACTGCTCTCGTGGCTGTGTCTACTGCAGTGACAGCTATGAGAATGATGCGACTGCTAATAATACCCAGATTCGCTGCTAATCTAACCACACGCCCTTATGTTAACCCCAAATTACTGTATGTGCTTCTTGAGATGATATCTGACAGAGCTTGGAAAGTTCCCGGCATGCTAATCTGTTCAGCTCTACTAGCGACTCGGCCGATGATAGATCCATGCCTAGACCAGCTAATTGTTTGATTCAGGGATGAGCTCTTGGCACAAGGCAGACGCATTGTCAGGCACCGGGAGAAAATGATCGCCTCTAGGAGACCCTCTATCCCCAACCCTTGGATCTTGGTGCGCTCTTCCAGTGGGGATGTTGTTGGTTGCTCGACACTCCTCTTCTCGGTTGACATGGCAAAGGCTTCGCGGTGTGGGGGGAAGCGAGGCAAATCATCATCACAGGCGGTGTTCCAGACAATGTAGGTTTCAGATCAGGCAGGCTGTACAAGTATGGACATGATACTTTGGGGATTCGGTTGTGACAATGGTGTTGACGTGCCAAGAGCCCTCCCTCAGGTTGGACGTCATAGCAGCTCGGCCTTGTCGCGTTAATCTTCTGAGCGGGCAAGCTGGATGGAACAATCAATCGCAGGAAACGAGGTCACAAGGTGTTTCCGAGCTACTAATTGGCCGAGATTTGGACTCCATGTTCTAATGGCAAATGAGACCGGGCAAAGTGGACTTTTTTTGCTCAGCGCTGGTGGCCCGACTTGTTCCCTTGCAGCACGAACTCGAGCGCCAACAGGACGATAAGGCGGTGGCCAAGGATGTAGAGAGAAAGAAAACAAGGATGTAAAGAGAAGAAAACAAGGAAGTAAAGAAAAGAAAAAAGAGACTAATGTAGCGATCGTCACCCTGGTGGCCTGATTAGCTGCTCTGTCATTGGACTGGAGAATCGCGATTTGCGCATGTGGCTAGAGAAGAAGGCCTCGATAGATGGCGTTGCGCTCATGTCAGTTTCGGCAGAGCGACAGAATTTGACAGCAGCAGCTCTGCAGCTTGGATTTTCAGCTGGACTAGGTGACTACCATCGGGTAATGTCTGAGAGTGGTACGATCTCCCTTGGATTGGACTGGGGGAATATGCATGTCTCAGAGTGTGATTGCGATACGCCGTTGCCGAGCTGTCGGTGTGTTATTGTAGGGTAGCTGTAGGAATTGTAGAAGTAGAATGCGAAGAGAACAATGGTTTGGAATATCATGAATGTTGATGAGGTTGTATTATTATCGTCATTTGGTATTGATGTCAGTTTTCAATAACAGTTATGAAGTTTGATGTAATTGATGCAGGGTAGGGGATACCAGTTATGGTGTTGTCAACATCATCACCCATGGAAGCTCCACACTCTAAGCGAAATCTCCGACTTCTGATCATTCACGCATCGGGTTTGTAGATCGGATATGTAGATACTCATCATGATGGAAGCAATTTCACTTTTCTCTATTCAACTTTTTGATACCTTATTCCATGTCTACATCGTCTCCAGTCGCGGCTACTTCTTCATCCATTTCGTGCAGAACCTCCTCCATCTCCGCCTCAGTGGCCTCGAGGCCTTCTGAGCTCATGAGCTTGTTATCCTTGTCCTCGGCTAAATAGCAGCAACGTATTAGTACACATGGAAATAGTTGTAATTTTTTTTTTTTCAGAGGAGGAGAAAAGAAAAATGGGAGATGCTTACTGCGAGGCTCAACAATGAGGTTCTCCTGTACCTCACAGTCTGTGAGGACGGAACCCGCGCCGATGATACACCGCTTACCCAGAATACATCTTGTGAGCTTGCATCCTTTTCCGACAACGACACCCTCCATGAGAAGACACTGAGACAGCTTGGCTCCTTCGTTGATCTGGCAGCCGGCGCCAATGACAGTCTCTTTGATGGATGTCTTCTCTTCAACTGTGACGTTTTCTGCAATCAAGCTGTCCTGCTTCGTGATGGTAGTGCGAGGCTTCACGCCTTCGGGGTACGCGACTTTCTTTGGGTGAGCAAAGGGCGAGTGATTCTCGGAGTCCTCCTCGATGGAGGGAAGTTTAGCTAGCTGAAGGGAAATAGCAAGTAGCAACTGTGCTGTGTCGACACGGCGCACTATTGAACCAGGAACTTGGTCCTTTTGTGAATGAATGTACGCCAGGATAGACGGGGGTTCGAATTTTGATGCCGTTGCGGCAGAGCCATGTTTATCACCTGTGTACTGACCATCCACGGCAATGTTGATTGACGAAATAGACTCTCTCGAGTTTTCCTGGTTTCCGGGGGCGGATTCGGCGGGCGATGACCTGCCTTCCAGCTCAGACTCGTTTTCGTCATTGTCATCATCACCAGCGCGGCAGACCTCGCTAAAGGAAAGCTTCTCGGCCAATCCAGATTGCCATCCGGCCTTGGCCCACCACCCTACCACGTCTTCACCAATACTCTCTAGACGCTCATTCGTTTTGATAAAGTCGAGGATCCATCGAGGAAAGATGTAGATGTGTGCATCTCTGTGGGTCGTATACATGCGAACTCGGGGGTTGGCCTTGACTAGTCCGTGACGAATTGGAATGGCCTTTCTCTCCTCCGTGAGATCGTTGAATGAATCCGTGGGCATGGAGTATACTAGCTTTGATACATTGGGAAAGATGGATCCTTTGGGAGGGACGGTTGGAGAAGTCGGCAGAGGAGCTGTAGCAATGAAATCCGTCTCCTCACCCTTAACGGGCGCGCTGGCTTTTGTGTTGTACCACACACCGAGACCGCCGCTGTATCGGGTCTGATGGCCATTTGACAACCGTTTCGCCCCGAGGAGGTCTGTAAGACTGGCGGACTTCACCATCCAGGCCTGGAGCAGCTGCTCGCCAGCAAGTTCGCAAACAAGATCGCATGGCAAAACGATAAAGTCGCCCGTTACTAGCTCTCTAACCTCGGGTAGCCGCAGGATCTCAGCAGTGCCCGTATTTTGGTCTAAATCAGCGGGGGCCAAGACATCTGGCCGTGGCAGCGGCAATGCTGTGAGATAGGGGTTGGTGTTGAGGGCCGCTGTCAATGCTTTTGAGGCTGATGGGGGGCAGATGAGAGTTATGCCTGAGAGTGATCAGCCACCACCTTTTGTTTATCGGAATATTTTGGTCTTTGCCAGAATGCAAACGGTACGACCGTATATGCGGCATCCGTATATAGACATGGATGTCGACGTTGCACAAAGAATGAAGCTCCCCCGCTGAGACAAATCTCAAAGAGGAATTACCAAGACCAGAGAAATGAAGAGATGCGCTTACTTGTGATGCCGGTACGGAGACAAAAGTCAATGGGATACCACACCATAGGGCGGTTGGCAATGGGCAGCAGAGCCTTTGGGTTCTCATCTGGGTTCGAGGTGAAGGTTGGGAATGATGAGCCAGGCCCACACAGAATGAGGGCTTGAAGCCCGGTTGAGGCCATCGACAAGGCGTGCGGCATCCTGTTTGCAGGGGTCTGGATGGCGGACAGACACGCAGAACAAGGGCAGTGGCGGGTTGCTGACTGGACGATTCGAGAGATTCGAGAGATTGGGGACTACCACAGGTGCCTGTCGAGTGAGGTTCAAATGAGATGCAGATGCCGCCTTGTAGACGGAGATTTGACCGGGGTTGTGAATCTCTTTAAAATCTCCCCCACCTGCAGGTTTGAAGAGTCATACTGCTACAAGGCTGAGAGAGAGTTTGTATGTGGCGCAGCTCCATGGATATGTGGCTGGTGTCTATCATCGTGCCATCACTCATCAGCAAATCAGAGCGCGGCATTCACGTGCGCAGCAGCCTCGGTGGCGCGGGATTTAAATTGCTCCACCGCCGCAGCAACCTCGGGAGCGGCGCGTTGCTGGGAAGAATCTCCACATTGTTGACATGAAGCAAGCTGAACCCCCAGCCACCGACTTGTTGCGACACACCTTCGACTAAGCCGGGCTCAGCTCTCCCCCACTCAGCACTTACAAGCTCGTTTGTGCCTGTTTATTCAGTATTATTCTTTGTTGTTTCGTATAGCCGCAGCATCGTGCATTTTGCATCTTGCAGCTCCTCGACCGCCCTCGGATTGGGCATTTGTAGCCGTTCGTGACCGCACCTGCAAGCGATGCCACGCTCTTCCGTCTAATGTCGCCTCCTTACGACAATCACGGCTCCTCCCGCTCGCGGCGAGGCGTCTGGAGCCATTGGGTGCCTCTTGCCATCACCCTGACCGTTGCCACGGCCGGTCTCGCCGCCTGGGTCTGGAGTCAGCGCAAGGAGACGGTCGAAGACCACGCTGAGGCAGAGCCTGACTTGGACTACGAGAATGCCGACTATGGGGAGAATCCGGCGTATGGCGCCGAGCACCGCAGATTGGCGCCGCCGCCGGAGCAGTCGACCCAACGCGACAGCTATGCGACTGGCGCTGAGATGGCCGAGGGCACTCCGTCAGGATGGGGATCGCGAATGACGAGCGCCTTTACGTCAAACCCGCAGCACTTCCTCGACTCGACTGGAAAGACGGTTGCGGCTGGCGTCGCTGCCGCCGGCGCAGCTGTCGGCAAGGCGCTGGCCTCGATCCGCGAAGAGGACAGGCCGGAGCACGAGACGGGCGCCTGGCCCGAAGAACGAGAAGTCAAGAGAGAAAAGGGACCGGCGCCGAGCCTGAAGAAGCGCAAGACGGTCGCCATTGTTATCTCTGCCGATTCTCAGTTTACCGACGACGACGACGACATCACTCATGAGCATGCCGTGAGTTAGCCCCTTGCTTGTTTTACTTGTCATCGTCGACAGCTGCTAACTGGGGGGGAAATAGTCGATCCTGAGCCACATCCCTAAGCACAATGACCTGTCTGCCATCAAGCTGTTTGTCCTCATCTATGCACCTGGCTTAAAGGACAGCACGGTTGATGCTGCTACGAGTAATCGCCCGCCTCCTTCGGTTAGCTCGTCATTCTCTAACGTTGGATATGATCAAGCTCAAACTCCCGAGGCCAAAAGCCCAGTGTAAGCCCTCTTCCTCTTACTTGATATGTATGTTGGCACCGGGGATAATGCTAACGCTACTGCTTTATCCAGTCTTGGCGCTACGGCAGAAAACACCCTGTTCAATGCCGTGTACTCGCATGCCCTGGCTCTTGTAGACAAGGAGACCATGATCCTTCCATTCACCACTCCCAACGGCCACACTCACATCCTCCGCCACCTGCAGCCCGACATCATCTATCTCCAGGAGTCGCTTGCGGGCGACAGCGGTAGCTACATCACTAACATCCAGACTTGGCTTCGCCACGACATTGTCCTGGTGGTAGGCGCCGAAGACGGATCTGGCGGTCTGGCTGACAGCGAATCCGAGGCCGAGAGAGCTGACAAGCCCGAGAAGTGGTGGCAGAAACCCGAGCGTGTCGGTCGCGGACGAGGCATCATTGTTGTTGACAGCGTGCGCGTTAATGACGATTGGGCACGAAGAGTCCAGGGCCGGGAATGATGGTTAGACGGTACGTATGAGGACATTAATGAAAGGGAAGATACCAGGACGTTGATTTTGTAAATTTGTATATACATATACTTTGATTTGGTCATTTTTACCAGTGCGACTTAGTGCTAGCTACAGTTTCTATTAGTTGGGGAGGAGAAGAGAGTATCGCAATCGTAAACGTACCAGTACCTGTTCATGTCCACGCAATGTTTATGAACATTGTGCTTACCGATTTGACTCATACATGTATCATAGATAGAATCTGGTTAAAACTCAAGAGCACCTAACTTGGTAGAGTTTAAGATTTGAAGCTGTCTCGTTTCTTGGCTATTGCTTTGACTCATTACTTGCAGGTAGAGGGCCCGATAGGCAATAGTGGCGCGAAATTAATTTTTAACTTTTATCACAATATTCAGAGAACCTCGTCATCAAAATCGTCTCTTGTATGTATATATGATTGTACATATAGGCATATACCTGCACATATACTGGCATTATCCAAATGAAAACGCCTGTCTGTTATCCTATATGCGTGGTTGGTGAAAAAAGGGTCGAGGCGGGGTCACGTGACAGGCGAGCCTCGGGCTTTGTCAGTAAGTTCAACGTCTGCTCAACTTCACCTCAGATGGTCCCTTATGCGCAATCGCCCAGTCGCCGGCAGAATCCAACTAATCTCCAGACTCTCGTTTCTGCCAGACGCTGCCACCGGCTCGACCACCGCCTGCTGATGGATCACTGCTAATCTCGAGCTCTTGCGCCTCTGTTCGGCCTTGGTCACCGGATCCACGCTGAGCAATCGTCTCCACAACCCACTAATCTCGCGCCGCGACTCCAGCTTCACGTCTCTCCATCCCGACTGCAATTGCGGCGCAAGTAGATGCTTGCGATCGACGCCGCGAGACACGCCCAGCAAGCGCGGTAGAAGCCGGGGTCCGAGATCCTGCAACACGCGCGCCGTCGTGCATCCGGCGTCACGATGGCGCCGACAAACGTCACCACTGCTACGGCAACGGCCACCACCACTGCGGTGCAGCAGAACGGCTCAACCAAGATTAAGCGACCGGTGCCGCCGGGCATACAGACCAACGGGGCCGCCTCGTCTGCATCGTCGCCGTCGCCCTCCATGGCGAACAACAAGCCGCCAAGCGCGAAGCAGCCGCCCAATTCCGCCAGCGATCGGGCCATTACGGCTTCCACCGTGCGGCCCATGGCCCGGATCCGTCGCGATACCCTGAATCAAGCAGCTGGGCGCAATTCTCGAAACAGTGCGGGCATGCGATCCGCTTCCTTCGCAGCAGATATGGCGGTTCATGGCTATGAACCCCCACCTTACGGTAATATGATGATCCATGTTGGAACTATATAAGCATGACTCTAACTAGGCATCCGCGTACAGTTGTCACCGATGCATACGTATTAAAGAAGCATTTAGGGCGACCCCCGTCGCTGGTTGTCCATATGCACCCCACGCACTTCCGCTTCGATGGTCAGGATGGCATGTTCCAGTATAAGTCGCCGATGAGGATGTTTCTTGACCATGTGAAGAACCGCACGATTCCCCACGACCTCCTCCCATACTTTATTGAGGGCAATGTGCCCTTCTACGAAGGATGTCTCATTGTACAGATCCACGACCACAAATCCGTGGCTCAGACAAAGGGCGTCAAACGGCCTTCATCAGCGTCTAGCACCGTTGTGCCGTCGTCCATCCACAACTACAACCAGTGTCTTACGCCTTCACCCCACGTGCCGTACCCCAAAGAAGAGCAAAACGTCAATGAAGTGCCTGGGAAGCCAAAAGAAGACCCTTCAAAAGAGACAGATGCCGATGAGAAAGACGCTGATAAAGACTCTATGCCAAATGTGTCTGTGGACACATCAAACAACAAAGTCGGCGCGAAGCCAAAGATTTATACTGTTGTCCTTCACCCAACGGCCGAGAGTATACAAATGGATCTTCTGATCAAGGCTACGACTCCACGAACCGCTGTGGAAGGGCGTGCTGGCAATGACAATTCGGCCATGGCTCCTCCATCAACTCCCTCAACACTGGTGCCACCGACACCAATTACCGCAACTATGCAACCACCCGCGAAAAAACAGAAGCGGGAAAAGAATGAACTAGATAGAAATAGTTTATACGCCTTCGAAGGCCAGGTGCTACTTGCAACCAACGCACCTCTGATGCTTGAGCCGACCAAGAGTGCAGAGGAGACCATCGCCTTACTGGAGGAATGGTCACATCCCAGCCACAAGGAGGACCCACCCAAGCCAAAGATGCGCAAAAGGACCGTGGCCGAAATGGCTGCCGACGAGGCAGCTGCTGCGGAGCTGGAACGCTATATGCTGGTTCTGGACGATCGCCTTGCCTCAAATACTACCGGCGCTCAAGGTGCTGGTGGGGCGGATGGAGATGGCCCAACTGGTGCATCTACGTTTGAGCCCCGATTCGAGCGCTTCAAGCTCATTGAAGATATCAAGAGAGAGCATGCCGAAAAGAAGGAACAGGAGAAACTTAAGCAGCAGGAGAATGATCGGAAACTGCAGCTCCAGAGACAGCAGCAACAGCAACAACAGGCAGCGGAACTCGCCGCTCAGAGGCAAGCAGAACAAGAGAGAGTTCGGCGGGAGGCTGCGGCCAGGGAGAACCAGCTTCGCCAAGCTGAAGCGCAACGACAAGCAATGGCTGCTCGTGCTGCAGCGTCAACTCCTGTGGCGCAGGCCAACAACAACCAAGCGCAAATGAACCAGACACAGCATGCTCACCCTTCCGTTCAGAGCGGAGCTGTACCCAACGGCATGCAAAACGGCGTCCAGGCAGTTCAGCAAAATGCGATGCCAAACAGCATACCTGGACCAGCCCAGGCCCGTTTCCAAGCCCAAATGTCTCAGGCTCCAGCGTCCTCGCCCGTCATCAGGCAGAACACTCCCCAAAACATGTCGTCACCCATGGTTGCAAGCGTACCTATGCAGCAAACCAACTCCAGCATGGCAGCAACGCCCCCTCGACCCCCTTCTGTTGTGCAAAACCAGCAGGTATCGGTACCTATGGCGCACGCCATGTCTTCTAGAAACAGTCAGCAGAGCCATCCCTCAAACACACCTCGTATACCCCACTCGACGCCAAACATTTCTCATGCCACTCCTATTAACCGGCCGGCAATGGTTGCAACTCCTCGCATGACCCAAGCGAGTCCTCCTCCTAATATGATGGCTCAGAACTCTCAGATGGGCCAGCAGATGATGATGAACAGCCAAGTCATGAACCAGGCCAACCCCCAGGTTATGGCCCAGATGGCGGCTCAACAGGCTCAACAGCGAGCAATGCTGCAACAACAGCAGCAGCAACAGCAAATGGCCGCCGCTCTGCAGAATGGCAACTTTAATAATGTTAACATTGCTTCGCAAGGCCAGAACATGACTCCCCAACAGCAGCAGCAAATGATGCAATTGATGCAACGGCAAATGATACTTCAGCAGCAGCAACAGCAACAGCAGCAACAGCAACAACACCAGCAAAACGGCATGATGAATCCGCAGCAGCAGCAACAACAACAGCAGCAGCAGCAACAGCAATGGGCTCAACAATATGCTCAACAGTTGCAGAATATGCAGGGTGCTCAGATACGCCAGATGACACCGCAGATGCAGGCCCAAATACAACAAATGGCCCGAATGGGTCAGATGAATGGACAGCTAGGGAATATGATGCGGGGGCAGATGAATGGGCAGATGATGAATGGCAATGTCAATGCTAATAACATGCAAGCCTTGGTAGCCATGCAAATGCAGCAGCAGCAGCAAGCGCAAGCACAAGCTCAAGCGCAGGCGCAGGCGCAGGCACAAGCACAAGCTCAGGCCCAAGCACAGGCTCAAGCGCAGGCACAGGCTCATGCCCAGGCCCAACAGGCACATGCCCAGGCTCAGGCCCAAGCACAAGCGCAGGCTCAGGCACAGGCCCAAGCACAGGCACAACACCAGGCACAAGGACCTCAGCAGGCACACGGCAATGCTGCCTTGCAAGTCCAAATGCAAGCTCATGCCCGTCTTGTTTATAATCGCCTCATGTCGGCGGCGGCTGCTAAATTCGGCGGTCCTGAAAACATACCACAGGACGCAGTGGATAAGATTAAGCAGCAATCCTACGCTCAAGCCCAACAATCAGTGAGGGACTTGGTTCAGCGGAGAGCCCAGCAACAGCAGCAGCAGATGATGATTCAACAGCAGCAGCAGCAGCAAGCAGCAATGCAAGGCATGGGTGGGATGATGGGGCATCAAGGAATGTAAATATGAGAAAAGGCGTGAGAAGAAAAGAGGGGAATACCCAAACGGCTCAAAGGCGGCGGAAGAAAGCAGCTCAAATCCAAGGAGCACATGCAACTAAGCGTCCTTGGAACCCTGGATGATGGGAAAGAAGAGAAATGACGGCTGTTGACTTGTCTTTTTACACGGAGTTTAGGAGGACGGTTTACACATTTCGGCTACGTCAGGATTTACCGCGATTGGGCAACTATGTTTTAATACCCTATGGAATGATGTTTTCTGTGGTGGCAGGTTAACCACGATGAGCTTGCTTGCTTTTTGTTTTTTGTTTTTTTCTTTCTTCTTCTTCTGCTTTGAGAAGAATGGAGCACATAATATGTCGGCTTTTGGACGGGCATGAATCTAACGAAGTCGCTCGGCAACTGGCGTTGGGGAAGGGGGGATACTAGGATTGGTGGCAGTAATGGAGTTGAAATGTTTGTATATTATCATTTTTTATTTTCAGAGCAGCAGAAACATGAGTATTGCAATAAACGAAATTTGAGTACATGCATTTTCTGTGTATGATGGCGAATGATGGATTGAGTGTTGCGATCTTCGGTCGTGATGAATCATGATGCATTGTGTCATGCAGTAGTAGCGCACAGTTGGACGGACGGCTTAGTACATGAAATGCATGCATCTACTATCTACTAAGGTAGATCTGATTAACACATAATCCTCCGTACTGTACCTTGGTACTCATAGCAGTATTTGGATTTGGACCGCTGCAGCTGGGGACTGGATCCCCTCAACTCCATGTATCGCATCGTATTCCACCTCGTGCCCGTAAATAATACTGGGCAGCCCCTTTTCCGCCAAACGGCTCCAGCTGCTAATACTTGCACACCGCCTGTAAACTCTACTGCACTGCACTGAACTTCTTCCTTCAGCAGCCCCGAAACGGCGGTGTCACGTGCCCCGGCCTCTTCGGGGAGGTCCCAAGCAATGACGGAACGTCATGTCAAACACCCAAGCGTTTAGCGTTTAGCCCCATTTGCTTTCGCGAAGGCTTGACGTGATCCAGGCTGAAGCAAATCCTGTGCATCCTTTCAGCAGCCATTCTTTTGCAGCCTTTGCCATCGCCGTTGTGAGGGTAGACTTGAGCATCGCTGTCCTGTCGTCCGTCCGTCTTTACCTGTCTGGTCTTTTTTTGCTGGCATCTGTACCTATCTCTAGCTGCCTCCGTCTCTTGACATCGCCACCCCTGGTTGTCTTCTCTCCCCTCCGTCTCGCCGCCTTTGTCCGCCGTCACGATGCATCCGCCTCGGTCGTCAGCGCTGCTGCTGTCGTTTCTCCTGGCGCCGTTGCACGCGGCGTCGATGCTGAGCTGCGACAAGATCCGGGTCGACGGCCACAACTTTGACCTGTCGCCGCTTGGGGGCCCGCACTCGGTGGTGACGTCGCGATTCGAGTCGAGCACGGGAGCTCACTCCAACACTACGTATACGGTGGACATTTGCCAGCCCTTGAAGAAGAGCGGAAAGGCAAAGTCGAAGGAGGAGTGCCCCAATGGAACAAGAGGTGAGGCGCCATTTTTTCTTTTCTTTTCTTTTATCCTTTGTGACTTTCGGAATGTCTAACCAAGCGCTCTCAGTCTGTGCCATTACCCGGTTCCTCAAAGGCGACCAAGACTCGGTCACAAAAGTCGTCGCCATCGCGGGCGGACTGGAAAACGCTGGCGGATCGCAATTCGAGTACGAGGCGACGAGGCTCAAGAACAGCGACTCAAACTCGGACTCTCAGAAGGAGGGCCTTCGACTGGTCCTCAAGGGCGGAAAACACCCTCTCACCGGGCCAGTCTCCGAGCGAAGGGACCAGAAAGCCGTCATCGAGTTCCTGTGCGACCCGGAAAAGACTGGCACCGAGGGCGAGTGGGCTTCTGAGGATGAGTACGAGAAGGCCCCTTCGGCGAGACGACGAGCAGAGGATGATAAAGGAGACAAAAAGGAGAAGGACGATAAAAGCGGAGATGATGGCGACAAGAAAGATGACGGAAAGGAGGACTCGGCCATCGAGCACCAGCTGAAAAACGACAACGCCGCTCTCATCTGGGAGGATTATGCTAAAGAGAAGGACTTGGACGTGTTGCGGCTGACTTGGTACACCAAGTATGCGTGTGAGAAGCGTGATGGTGGAAAGGGTGATGGCCACGAGCCCAGCGACTCGAGCGCAAGCTGGGGCTTCTTTACTTGGTTTGTGATCATGTAAGTGCAACACATATTGCTCCAGACGGATGGATCCTTTGACTAATGACTATTCTCTTTGCAGCGTCTTCCTTGGCATCGCGGCATACCTGATCTTCGGCTCTTGGCTCAACTACAACCGGTACGGCGCTCGCGGGTGGGACCTCCTCCCCCACGGCGACACCCTGCGCGACATTCCCTATCTCCTCAAGGACTGGACGCGCCGGGTTCTGAACACGGTCCAGGGCGCTGGCAGTCGCGGAGGCTATAGCGCCGTCTGAGCGATAAAAGATTCATTTTCACGGCCCAGGGGTGAATGGACGGGATAGGTGGGATACGACACGAAGGCTGCGACAGGGTTATACAATGCACAATGCTTGGGGCTCTTGGTAATTCATTTTTCTTTTCCTAATCCCCTTGTCATTTTGGCAAGGCGGCGTTCTGGTTGCATACTAAGACTCGTTGCGTTTTGTTTGGGCGGTATTTGTAGAGACTGTATTTATTTTTGGGTTCTACTATTGATAATCCCATACAATATGTTTACCGCTGTTGCTTTGCTCACTCTTAGTGATGACTACCTAGTATCTAGGTTGTATGGAGTATAGCATCTTGTATGGAGTATTTCATCTTGCATGCAGTATGGCACAATGTACTCCGTATGGAGCATACTCGTAATTCCGATATATGGAGCCAAATAGCGGCTCGGCATACAGAAAAGACTCACATTTTCCCGCTTGGCCAAGCTCGAAATACAAGAAGCGGTGACTCTATCGATCAATGAGCTCAGACAAATGACTCAATTGCAGCAAAACTCTGTGTCGTCACAGCACATTTTGCAGCCAGCGATAGCGGAGCTTTATCGATAAAGGGCGTAGAAATTATATCGCTCCCCACCAGCCGAGAAGCTTAAAAGCAACATTCAGCCATTCCAGTTCCATTGCCGGGTCTCTGTATTGCGTTGGACCAAGAGACGAATTTCTTTTCTTTTTTTTCCCCTTTCTTTTTTTTCTTGGTCGGTCTGGAATCATGGCTCTGAGGGTATCGCTTGCGCGGCAGGTGGCTGGTTTGGCCAGGGCGTCCAACCGGCGCATGTTCTCGACGACAAGGGCGGCGGCGAGCTTGTCGGAGAGTGTGAAGCAGAGCATCAAGGTGAGTTGGGGATGTCACATGTGGTTTTCTGCGGTGGATGGAATAATATGGTGCAGTGGCTTTGCAAGAAGAAGTCAATTGGCTATCAATTTCACTATTCCATCTTGACTAACAAGTCTTTCAATTGCAGCGAGACGCAGCTCTGCCGAACCCCGATCCCGCTTCAGATTCTCCCAGCGCGGCCCTCGTCAACGAATATGCGCCATACATGGTCGCGACATATGCTCGCCCGCCGCCCGTCTTCGTCCAAGGCGAGGGTTCGTGGCTGTGGGACATTGAGAACCGCAAGTACCTCGACTTTACGGCGGGAATTGCCGTGACGAGCCTGGGACACAGCGATCCCGAGTTTGCGGACATTATTGCTGCACAGGTGAGTTGGCGCACTCGAGGGGGAAGAACTCTCAATGCGGCGTGGAGATGGAAGGGCTGACAGTTACCGGTGCAAATAGGCCAAGACGTTGATTCATGCTTCGAACCTGTACTACAATCCCTGGACCGGCGCGCTGTCGAAGCTGCTCGTCGAAAAGACACTCGAGTCGGGATGCATGCACGAGGCGTCAAAGACTTTCATCTGCAATTCGGGCACCGAGGCCAACGAGGCCGCCATCAAGTTTGCCAGGAAAGTGGGCAAGATTGTCGATCCGTCCGGCGACAAGGTTGACATTGTGTCATTCAACCAGGCCTTCCACGGCCGTACAATGGGCGCCCTCTCTGCGACGCACAACCCCAAGTATCAGAAGCCCTTTGCGCCCATGGTGCCTGGCTTCAAGCAGGGAACATTCAACGACGTTGCCGGCATCAACGACCTCGTCAATGAAAAGACATGCGGTGTCATTGTCGAGCCTATCCAGGGCGAGGGAGGCATCTACGCTGGCAGCGAGGAGTTCATGGTGGCGCTGGCCAAGCGATGCCGTGAAGTCGGCGCCGTCCTGATCTACGATGAGATCCAGTCCGGTCTCTCCCGTACCGGCCAGCTGTGGGCTCACGGCAGCCTCCCCAAGGAGGCCCACCCAGACATCTTGACCACGGCCAAGGCGCTCGGCAACGGATTCCCCATCGCCGCCGTCCTCGTCACCGAGGCCGTCGCTGAAAAGATCAAGCTTGGTGATCACGGCACCACCTTCGGCGGCAACCCCCTCGCCTGCCGCCTGGCGCACTACGTCGTGTCCAAGCTCTCGTCGCCCGATCTCCAGGAGAGCGTGCTGGCCAAGTCGCGGGTCTTCACGGACCGCTTCGCCAAGCTGCAGGCCAAGTTCCCAGACCTCATCACCGAGTCTCGTGGCCGTGGACTTATCCTGGGCTTGCAGCTGACGGAGGATCCTACGCCCATTGTCACCGCTGCGCGCGAGAGGGGTCTGTTGGTGATTACGGCGGGAACAAACACGCTGCGGTTCTTGCCGAGCTTGGTGATGACGGAGGAGGAGATTACGCATGGTCTGGATATCTTGGAGGAGGCCATTGTTGCTACGCGGTCGTAGTGGGAGGATATCATTCCCCCTTTTTCCAGCTTTGTTTTTTCGTTTGCATGTATAATGTTCTGGCGGGTTTGAGTATGGTCTTGGATTGGTCGGGAGTCAAAAATGTATAAAAGCTGTTGAGTTTTGCAGAATATGAAAAAGCATCATGACGATTACATGCATAAACCAGCGTGTAAAAACAAAAGAGCATGTCCTATATAAAAAAACACGGATCTTGCCGTTCCAACCTCTGATTGTCAAAACTAGAGTGGCTCGACAACATCACGCAAAATATGTAAAATAGTAAGACTACGGTCATGGTTTACTCTCCTTTGGTAGGTTGTGGTATTTCCTGTTTCCCTTGTTCCATTCTTTTTCTTTTTCTTGGTTTCTTTTTGTATCCTTCAAGCACGTCTCCCTCCACAATTAGCAGATGGCGTGCGTCTTCCCCGTCTTCCCCTGCAAAGAGTGTCCCTCGCCCTTTACACAGACACCTCTGTTAGTTTTCAAACAGCTATTGTAGCCCTTGTGGCAACTTACCGAGTAGTGCTTCGAGGCATGGTGCCTGCTCGTATGCTTGTGCTTTCCATGCGACGCAATGTGGTCCCTGATAAAGGCCTCCTGTCGCTTGATGGTCTCGGCATCCGAGTTCTCCAGCATTTCCACGCACAGCTTGATGTCGTGGATCAGCAGGTCGCATCTGCTCTTGGAAAAGTCCTCGCGCACCACCACGCGCAGCATCTTCATCTGCTCCGTGTGCGGCGCCATGGTGTACGCGGGCACGACCCAGCCCCTGGACCGCAGGTGGTGGGCGAGCGCGAACTCGTCGTAGTGGATCTCTTTGCCGCCCTCGTCGGGGGTCTTGAAGCGGAATGCCACGAGGGGGAGGCCCTGGCCGGCGCGCTCGGACATGATGACGAAGCCAATGTTCTCGAGCGACTCGGTCAGGTAGTCGGCGGTGCGGGTGAGGTTGCTCATGATGGACTGGTAGCCGCGCTTGCCCAGGCGGATGAATTGGTAGTACTGGCCGATGACCTGGGAGGCGCCCTTGGAGAAGTTGAGGGTGAAGGAGGACTGTTCGGCGCCGAGGTAGTTGATGTTGAAGATGAGGTCCTGGGGGAGGTATTCGTGCGAGCGCCAGACGACCCAGCCAACACCGGGGTAGACGAGGCCATACTGTGTTGTTGTTATCAGGATTAGAACGGTAAGAAGAGAGAAGAGCAGAAAGAGCATACCTTGTGGCCAGAGACGTTGATGGACACAACCTTGGGCAGTCTGAAATCCCACTCCAGATCCGGCAGAACAAACGGAGCGACGAAGCCGCCACTGGCAGCGTCTACGTGGATCGGCACGTCCAGATTCTTCTCCACCAGCAGGTCATTGATTCCCTTTACATCCTCGTAATGGCCCGTGTAAGTCGTTCCCAAGATACAGGCAATACCAATAGTGTTCTCGTCAATCAGGTTCACAGCCTCCTCGGGATCAATTGTGTACCGGTCAGCCGTGCAGTACACATACTTCTCCTCGACCTCAAAGTACCGCGCGGCCTTTTCCCAGCAGACCTGGACGGCGGACGACATGATGATGTTGGGGTTGTCGAAGGGCTTTCCCTCGGCCTGGCGGCGCAGCTTCCAGCGGCGCTTCATGGCCAGGACGCCGAGCATGATGGCCTCTGACGAGCCAATGCACGACGTGCCGATGCTGTCGCCGCCGGCTGGGGCGTGGAAGAGCTCGCCGATCATGTTGACGCAGCGGTTCTGGATGTCGGCAGATTGTGGGTATTCCTCGTAATCGATGAAGTTCTTGGAGAAGGCCTCGGTCATGAGCTTTTCAGCTTCCTCCTCCTATAGGGAATGTTAGATAGCTATGTATGTGTACATGGGTAATTTGAGCAGAAACGCACCATGTAAGTCGTGACAAAGGAAGCCAGGCTGTCAAGTCGACAAATTAGATCTCCTTTCCGTTCTTCTGAATTATCGCATTAAACAGCTTACTTGAGCTTGGGGTTGTTGTCTAAGCTGAGGTGGTCCTTGATCATATGGTACGCAACATCCTTGGGCATGGCGCCGTCGGGCATGCAGTGCTTGGGCAGGTCCTGGCCGGCGAATTGCGAGCCGTAGACGCTGGTGGTGAACTCGTCGGCATAGCTGGACAGCTTGACCTGCGAGAGGCTCTTGTGCAAAGGCTTTTCCGGGGCGAGCGAGCTGGGGGCGCCGCCTTGGTTGGAGGGCGTGGCCGAGCCGGATCGGCTGATGGCGCTGAGGTGGACCATGATGGATAGATTGATTGATTGATTGCTTGTCAAAGTGGCTAGGTTGGGATAAAAGAAGACGAAGAAGCGACTAAAAGTCGAAAAGAATGGGAGAGGGAATATATAAAGGCGAGAGAGAAGCGTTCGAAAGATGACGCCGGTCCAGGGATTGGGCTGAGGGCGGGTATTTCTACGTCCCTAGTAGAGCAACACGAGGCCGTCACTACGCCATACATCTGCTCGGCATGTCATGATGAGGGGTTCTCAGACGGGTACGGGCTGGGTACCTGTACTTGCTTGGACACAAGCAAGCATCCACGGGGCTCGTCTCCTGACCTCCTCCTGCGTCTCGCAAACGTTCTTTTCCCATAACCAACTAGTCGATGCATGACGATCACCAATGGCCGGCCGCCATCTCCGGCCATGGATCCCCCGACAGGTCGTGGAGAAGCCCAAGCCACGGGAAGCTATCAAGAACGAGCTGAAGCTCCGGGAAGCTCCAATGGCAGCAGCTGGCGGGGGGTGGAAGCAATGCTGAAGCTTGTCACGGTCTGTATCAGACGCTTGACTTCATCTAGGAGAAACCCCCTTCTCAATGCAACTAACTAACCGCATGTTTCTTTGTCTCGGGGCGCTGGCATCACAGCTCCTCCCGTCGCCCTGCCCCTCTTTGTGTCTTCTATGTCATCCTTCCATCTTCCAGTCGTTCTTCTTGGATCCTTGCTTTTTTGCCCCTCCCCCTCTATCCTACAAGCTAGTGCTGCTACTCCTGCAACTTATTACTGCTCGATGCTCCCTTGCCAACGACTAACAAGTTCCCCACCTGGCTTCATCGGATCTGACGGCTAAAGTCCCCATTTCTCAGGACAAATAGATGATGTCGCTTTCGTCACAGCTTGGCAGCGGCCGATCCCATTACATGTGCCGGCGTCCCGGACTCTGCCTTGCAAAAAGCTTTTGTGGCGGCCTCCACCGTGGCGCTGCGCCAGTTTCCATGGACAAAGATGCAGATCGAGAAGCTTGAACAAAGCTGCGACTTTTTTTGGTTTGTTTGTTTCTCCTTAATTAACGGTGAGACATATTTGGGGGCGGGCTTGCGTTGCGTGTTTTTCTTCCTTCTCCCTTGTTCGGTGTACGAGTCGGGATTATTCGAACACGGACCATTGCAAAGTGCTGATACTTGACTGTACTTGGTTTGCGTGCTGTATTACTCGCAGGCCCATTCGCGTTCGTGTCTCCTTACGGCTCCTTGGTGAGTTCGGCGAGTGCGTTTGAGCTATAAAATCGCATGAGGCATATCCGGGGCGCGAATAAGAGCCTGGCAATTTCAGTAGTGGTGTTGAACAGCATAGCCTCGTCATCCGAAAGGGGAAACACGGCCACAAAGCACACCACAAGGCAGCTGATAGGGGATTTCGAAGCTCCCTCGTCCTTCAGATTTAGCGGACTCTAGATCAATGAACGTGCTGTAATTCTTGGCTTATGATGGCAACAGGTGCTTTTCAGATGATGGCTTCTACGAGAGCCACTATGGACTTGTAGTCTGTCTTATGAAACACGTAAATAAACACAATGTGATTGGTACATGTACAAACATTGATGGCTTGCGCGCTCTATAATTCACAAAAACACCAGACAAAGCCAATAAACAATAAAACAAAAGAACCGCCTTCTCTCCTGTTGCTGCCCAATCAGGCTACCTATTCATCATCTCCTGTGCTCGTCAACCCACTCGCAAGCCCGTGCATCCTGCGGCCCAGCAAATCATCCGAGCTCGTCAGCTTGACCAGGCTCTTGTTGCCCCGAATACCCTTCTTGGGCTTCTTGCCGTTCTTCTCCCCGTTGAGTGGCGGCGAGCTCGACGCTGTTGTCGTGTCGCCATTCGTGTGGCCGTTTGTATCCCCGTTTTGCGTCAGCGTTCGTCCACGCGACAGCTTGGTCATGCTGATTTCCAAGGGTCGGTCTTCGTCGCCGCTGGACTCGGCAACGGACTGGCGTCTAAAGTCGCCGTTTGTGATGTGTGTTTTGGCCGGAGCTGCTCGTCTGGCTTGTTCTGCTCGTTGTGTCTCGGCATCGATGAAGAGCTGGTCGAACCAGGCTGCGCTTCGATCGAAGTGTTTCCACGCTGGCGGATAGACGCCCGGGAACTGCATGAAGCCGTGCGACGTGCCGGGAATGAGAAGCACCTCTGTGACCTCCTTGTCGTCAAATGTCCAGTTCTCATCCACAACTGATAACCGGGAAAGCTGTCGTCGTGCTGCAGCCTCTTTTGCTCGCCGTAGACGTCCTGCGAAGATGACCGTGTCGTCGACCAGGGGATCTCGTTCTCCTGTCATAAAATATGTCTTGGGGAAATTTTCTAGCAGCTCTTCGGGAGCAAGGACGGGACTCAGGAAGTAGTCCTGCGTAAAGTCGGGGCGGTTATGCGCTCCAATGTACAAGATAATCATGGCTCGCATCATCTCGGGGGTGATGACGCGGTCGTTGAAATAAGATATCATGGATGACGTTGCTAGACGGGTCTTCATGGGCTCTGCACGATGAGATACAGCCCCTTCCTTCTTCTCATCGGGGCTGTTGGCAGTGCTGAGTGATTTGGGACCAGCATGGCAGTACTCGGGTCGTGTTCCCCCATTCATGTTGGTAGGGGAATCGGTAGTCTGTTTTAGTGGAGGCGTCCCGTCCTCATCGTCGGAGTGATGCGGCGTTCCCACGAGGTCGTTGTACTGCATGCTCTTCCTCCGCACGATGGACTTGTTCGTCTTCCTCATCCTCCGGTCTCGAATGAGCGACATTTGCTCGTCCGACATCCAGTTTCCGATATTCATGTCCAGTGTGGGGTAGAAACAGACGAGACCGTCCGGAGGCGGCAGTTTGCCAACGCCTGAAGCGCGTCGGAAGTGGCTGATTCCAGTCTCGAGCACCATCAGTGTCGTTGCAACAGCTAGATTACCGCCTGCGCTGTCTCCAGTAATGACGATTTTGGGAGCCTCTTTGCCTGACATGCCAATGCATCTACCCCGGGATTTGATAAGAGTTACGTAGACGTCAAAGCACTCGTTCAGAGCGTAAGGGTACGGATACTCTGGTGCCTTTTTATAGTCGATGCTGAGAATGGGCAGGCCAGTCTTGGAAGCCCAGGCAAACAGCTTGTCGTCGTTGCATCGAGGATCCATGGCCACAAACCCGCCACCAGGCACGTCCAAGACGAGTTTATTGTGATGCTCGAGATCCGCAAGCGGGCCGTCGTAGTAAAGCCAGGCGGAAACGGCTTCTTTATAGTCGCTGTTGGCAGGTCGCGGGATGCGGACTTGTCTGGGCGGCCATCTTGTAAACCGTGGTCGGACAAGACGCTGGAGGAAGCCCAAGTATGGAGTCGTTCCCTTGTTCCACGCAACTCGCAGGTGCTCGACCGTAATCATTCCACGGACCTTGCGGACCTTTTCGTCTGCCTTTTCGGCGGCCACGAGATAGTAGAAAGAAAAGACAATGCTGGCAAGATCACGTAGCCACTTCGATCGGATCTTCATGGCAGTCCAAAACCCGGCATCTAACGCGGTCAAGACCCAAGTGGCCCGGTAGTAGGTGGGATCGTACATATTGGCCATGGGCTCGGGACTGGCCAGGCCGACCAGAGCACTAAAGTTGCGTGCGGCATAGAGGTATAGCATGGTAATAACAACCGTCTGCCATGCTGTCAACCGCCGAGAGAAGAATTTGGATATTTTCTGAGCAAATGGCGGGCCATGTTTGTGGCCACTGCAGGTTTAGTCAGAGACAGCCATTTCTACCAATAGTGCTGGGGACATACTTGTAGAGATAAAACGTCCAAAAGGACAATACGGCCAGGACTTGCAGACGTCTTGATTTAGACGATGGCCTCCCGAGGACGTGGTCTAACATGATGCGGATGGAAAGAGACGAAAGAAAACAAAACGCGAAGGGGCAATAAACAGAGGCCGCGAGGGTATTTTGATCTATATCCGGGTGTGTAACGTGTAATAATACATATGCGATGTTCGTCTAGGCTCGGTACGATGGGCCTGTCGTAAATGGTATTGGATCGTAGGTGCAATGGCGGATCATTTCATTGAACACTCGAGTCTTCAATTGTTTGTTGAGGCTTTGGATGCAATCGTAAAGGGAGCGCGCTGTTCCGCTTCGCAAAGTCGAGTCGAGTCTCGCAGGTGGGCGGCTGTTATCGGATAGGGCGGTCGGTCGTCGTCATGAGAAGAGGATTAGGAAAAGAAATAGAATACGAAAAGAATCCAAAATCCAGCCAATCCAGAGTAGGATCCAACGACTAGAGGACAACGCCTTCGAAATGTCCGTGTGTCAGTCGAAGGTGGCGATACCCGACTCTCGACAGCAGGCAATGGTGTAGGATTGATGTAAGAGGATGTCCAGGGATATGGAGATTACAAAGGAACATAGGAGTGCACGATTACGAGAGATACGGGATTGAGCAGGCTTGTGACAGGCACATGTCATGCCAACCCCGATTTTCGGTATGATTCTCGGCCTTGGGGGTGCTGCTGCCCGTCCTCGTGACGACGATTGGAGGCGTCGAGAAGGCTTGCTGACATGTGAAAGTCAAGGGCCCAATGACAGCAGGCCAATCACAGCGCTGCCCACAGAAGGAGACCCGGATCCCCCCACGATTTTGACAAGGCGGGTTGTTTCTTTTCTGCTAGTACGGAGTACGGGGGTCCAGTATTTGCGTTGGTTGCTGAAAGCGGCATTTGGTTTGATTTGGGGCAGCGTCAAGCAGGGCGACTGAGTCTCGATATTGGGCTGAGTCTAACGCCATGGCGAGGTCGATGCAATTGAATTTGGTTCCCACGTTGCATGCACGCAGGGGCTGCATTAGTGGTGTCTTTGCCTAATTTGATGATGGGATAAATACGGATTCAGTGCCAAGCTGAATGCTTGCGGTCCAGTATTATTTTCAACTTAATTGTATACGAAAGACTCGGCTCCCTCGGCAGGGGTCAATGACACGCGAAGTGTCCACGGGTTCTCACCGACATGGCGAGGGTCTCCTGGACGCAAGTAGCCTCAATCTTACAATCACGTTGCCATTCTTTGACGTACGTAATACCCTAGAGTGAAACAGTGGCTTTTTTTTTTTTTTTGTTCTAAGACACTGCACATGTGAGGTATTTCCTAAGGAGGTTCAGGTCTAAAGTAAAAACAGCTTCGGCTGTCTCCTAACAGACATCTAAGCACCACATATCCACACACCATACAGAACAGAAAGAGATCAAGTTTAGGTCTGGAAATTCTGGTCATCCAACAGATTTCTGGTTGGAAGCGAGCATTGTCGCCAGTTTAGTTCCATGAGCAAATGCAAAGAAAGGGATCGGAGCGCGATTTTGCCTCTTTAAATTGACACAAGTCTACTGTATTATGAGAAAAATGCACGACGCGAATCTAACAGAGATTAGAGATCTACTGCTCTGCAGTCCTAATGGTCTACAGAATGATCATTTTCTTACTCGAGTTTTAGCTGCCTAAACTGCTCGATGGTTGTTTCAAAGCCATTCGCCTCGCTCTCTAAATCAGCCAACTTCTTTTTGTCGGCATTCTGCGTTGCGACGGCCACCTTCTCAATGTACACCGGATCTTGAAGGAGCTTATGCTGCTTCTGGACGGCGGCACGGGACTTTTCAAGTTTCTTTGTCGCTTTGGCAATCTCCTCGTCAAAATCGACGCGGTCCTTGACGTAGATGAAGACGGAAACGGCGCTGGACACGGGGAAGGCAACGCAGCCAGTAGGACGAGCATGATTCGGAGAGAGGATCTCGATTTCCATGGCACTCTTGCCACTGAGAGATCGGATGGATGGCTTCTCATCGGACACGGTCCTGTGCGAGGCTGCGTCGTAGGCCTGGATGAAAATCTTCGCTTCGTCTTTGGATGTGTACTCGGATACCAGGGACCGAACACCCTTCGAACAGCCCAAAACGATGTCGTAGGCAGCCTCAGCCTCTGGGTTCTCGAATTGCTGGTCCCATTCGGGATACTTCGCCAACATAATACTCTGTGTTTCATCATCCGGCCTTCTGGGCAATCTCTGCCACAGTTCTTCGGTAATGAAGGGAAGGAATGGGTGAGAGAGGACGAGGGCCACTTCAAGAACGGAGTAGAGCGTCTGGAGCGCAGAATTTATCTGAGCTTCTGACCCATCCTGGATCAAAGCCTTGGAGTTCTCGATGAAGACATCGCATCTAGATGTTGCACGTTAGTTGAGCCTAAATCAGGCTGCGCCGGGGGCCACGTACAGCTGGAAGTACCAGTAGGAGTATACAAGGTTTGCACTCTTCATGAAATCTCTCTGCTCGAGAGCCTCATTAATTGCCTTGGTAGCGTAGTTCATCTTCCCAAGAATCCAGAGCTCTGCTAGTGACTCATTTCCACTAAGGGCCAGCTTTTTAGCAGGAACAAAGTCCTTGACAGCCTCCAGCTTGCCGAGGACATACTTGCAGGCGTTCCAGATCTTGTTGCAGAAGCGCCTGTAAAGGTGGATGACTTTAACATCAAGATTAATGTCGCCACCACCCGTGCTATAGGCGATGAGAGCGAAGCGAAGAGCGTCTGCTCCGCATTCCGGAATGCCTTGCGGGAATGCAGTTTTCTGGTACGCAGTAGCCTTTTTGACTTCGGAGGCAGCAAGGTTGCCGCTGAGGAGCTTGTCATGCAGAGATTGGAGCTCGATGCCGCGAATGACATCCAAGGGATCAATAACATTACCGAGTGATTTGCTCATTTTTCGTCCTTCGGAGTCACGAACTATACAAAGGTTAGCCAAGCGTGAGTTACACCAAGGGATGTTGTATACTCACTCAAGGAATGGCAAAACACCTCAGAGAATGGCACCGTTCCCTGTTAATTGAGTCAATATTGCTTGTCATGAAGAGGAGACGGCATCGTAAAATGCTTTTCCTTCGCATCATTTGCGACAGAATACTACTTACAGTGAGCTTTATACCAAGGAAGATCATACGAGCGACCCAGAAGGGACTTCAGGGCTCCAAGTCAGCATGTGCTTTCCAAGTGGGGTTTCCTGGTATATGCTCGTAGACACGACAATAAGATGTTCGCGCGCCGAGGTGAACTTACATGATATCCCATCCGGTCTCTAGAACACTGGTAGGGAACAGACGAGACATGTCGGGAGTGTTGTTAGGCCAGCCGAGAGTCGCAAAAGGCCACAGACCAGAGCTGAACCATGTATCAAGGACATCCTCGTCCCGAACCTATTATCTCATACGTAAGTCTCTGAGATATTGACCTCCGGCGAACCAAGAATGAAAAACATTCACTAAGAAACACACTTCCTGGTAGACCAAGGAAAAGGATCAAGGATGTTAACTTACCAGCTCAAACTTCTTGTCAGGCCAAGCCTTCTGGGCCTTGACGAAGGCTGCATTCTAATCAGTATTAGGAGCCCAGAGTAAGTGTTGGAATATGAGTGGCAGACCTTCTTCATAGGTTCGTCCCGCGAACCACCTGTCGTCGGCATCCTGGTCATCCTCTCCTTCAAAACGAACACGATATACGGGGCACTGATGCCCCCACCACAGCTGTCTTGAGATGCACCAGTCGTTGATGTTGGCCATCCAGTGAAGGTAGTTCTTTTCAGCAGACTCGGGCTTGATCTTGATCTGGCCGGTTTGGACTGCTTTAATCTATGAGACAAGTATGAGCAAATAAGACGAAGCACAAAGAACAATCTACAGGAGGTGGGCCTTACAGCTGGTTCTGCGAGATCTGCCATCTTCACCCACCACTGTGGCTTCAGCATGGGCTCGACAACATCCTTGGTCCTCTCTGAAAGTGGTACAGTCATGGGGTTATCCTTCTTATCCACGTAGAGACCAAGCTTCTTCAGATCTTCCTGGATGGAGTACCTGACGTCGAATCGTTTCTGGCCTTGGTATGGGCCACCATTCTCGTTAATCAATCCGTTATCCGTTAAGATGTTAATAAATTCGAGATTATGGGTCATTCCTAGCTTAAAGTCGTTGAGGTCGTGCGCTGGGGTCAATTTAACGGCTCCTGTACCGAAATCGCGGTCGACATATGTATCGGCCACGATTGGAAGCCTGCGGCCCTCGATGAAGGGATGAACGGCGAATTTGCCCACAAGGTGAGTGTACCGAGGATCATCGGGATGTACAGCAATGCCGCTGTCGCCTAGCATGGTCTCGGGACGCGTTGTCGCAACTTCAATAGTCTCCTCCGAATTCTCGATTGGATATCTGAAATGAACAATGATTCCAAACTCGACCTTTTTGTCGTACCCTGGTACGTCAAGAAGCGTCCGTCCTGACAATTCCTTGCTGTCTACCTCGACATTGCTGAGGGCGGTCGTTAATGTGGAATCCCAGTTAACAAGACGATTAGCTCGATAGATGATGCCCTCTTCGTGGAATTTGATGAAAACATCTCTGACAGCTGCTGAAAAGTGCTCGTCCTATTAAGGGTTTAGCATGAATGGTGTAACCATGGCTCGATCTTGGAATACGAACCATTGTAAACGCCTCTCTGCTCCAATCAAGACTGCTTCCCATTTTTCTGAAAGCATTGTTGATCCTTTGATGGTATTCCTCCTTCCAATCCTGGACGAGCTCAACGAATTGTGTTCTGCCGAGATCATGCCTAGTCTGCTGTTTCGTCTTCCAAAGTGCCTTCTCTACAACACTCTGTGTCGCAATGCCTTGGGAGCCATCAGATAGTGTCCATTGATAGAATTTGTCAGTGAGAATCTTACCAGCATGGTCGCAACCGGGTAGAAACAACGTAGTCTTTCCCTTTTGCCGGTTATAGCGGATCATTAAGTCTTGCAGCGAGTTGCCCAAGGCGTGGCCCATGCTGGTGCATTGTCAATGATACTCCGTGCTAGGTTTTAGGAAATATATGAGTTGGGAGGCTTACTGCAGGGCTCCTGTAACATTTGGAGGAGGTACAACAATGACAAACTTGCCCTCGGGCTTGACCTTGCCCTCTGGCGTGAATTGCGGCTTGAAGTATCCCTCCTTCTCCCACCAAGCATACCAAGCCGACTCAACAGCAATAGGGTGGTACGAGGCATAGTGAGGGTCGTCAAATGGCCTAAGGCGCTTCTTCTCTCCCTCTGGGGTGTCCTCAACATACGGAGGTAAGACTTCAACTTCGGCCCTTCTATCCTTCGCCTTTTCCTTCGTCTTTTTCGTAGCGGTTGCGGGGGCCTCAGTCCGGGAAGCCTTCTTCTGCTCGTAGGCAGCCAGCTTTTCTGCCTTTTTGCGCTCCCGTTCAAGTTGCTTCTCGGTCTTCACCTTGGCTGGGGCGTGTCCCGTGCCTGAGTCCGGGCCAGAGGAGCTGGGCTGAATGGCGGCATTAGTGCCGTCAGCCACCGGAGCCGACGTGCCATTCTGCTGCGGGTCGGCCGCGGCGGCTGCCGTCCGTTAGCTACATCTTGGCTCTGAGACCTTCGTGATTGGACTTACTTGGGGTTTCTCGTGCGCTGTTGGTAGCCATTGTTAACGTGTTAGAGAATCTTCAAGCAAACGACGGCGACAAGCGCACGAGGAGCGTGCGAAACAGCGGTCGAGGCAATGCCGTGGTAGTTGAAGAGGATGATGCTGTTGGGTGAAATTTGGTTTTAAATTGCAATAAGTGAGCCAACATAGGATCCCCCACTGGCAGATGAGTCACATGTAGAGTCATTGCACGGCTCGATACCGGACATCAGGTCAATACGCCCATTTCTAAGACAGCAGTTGTCATCAAATTACTTGACTTTTTAAGGCATTGAGAACGACCCCTGCATATAAAGGTTCAGTAGTCATATTACTGTGACAAAGGCTTACTGATTCGCACAACGTGCCCATACTATAAGATGGATACCTTCGGATAAGCCTTAAGCTTCTAATGCTAAGCCATTAAAGGTTTTCCGTGTAGGTCTAGCAATGGACATAGCCAGAAAACTGTTTACGCGCACTATTCTGCTATGTTCTGGGATTTGAAAGATATGCGCCTATGAACTCAAGCTAGAGTTGAAAGTATCTGATGATGCATTGTTCTACAAGGCTTTACTTGATGTACGTCAACAGAACTCCAGACAGCAACCCAACAGCAATCCAGAGCTTGTCACGGAGCGCATCCTCTTGGAATATGGGGTGGTTTCTCAATAAGTTATACAAATTCAAGCTCAAGTTCTATGGAAGACGAATCACTCTATGAGAGATATCGGTCGTCTCAGATCGTGCGAGGCCGACCAAAAACGAATAATCTGTTTGCAAAGCTGAAGCTACAACTTTCCGCATCTAAATCAATTGTTACGATATGATGTTAATCCTAATATGCCTTCGCTCTACCGAGTTCGAGTTCGCATCGATGGCGACATATAGCCGGCGCGGTGAAGATGGTAGAGCAGTGGTACGAACGCACTACCACTCGTCAGTTATAGACATAAAGCAATAGAGGTCGAGTCAGCCCAAGGTTGGAGTAAACTCGCAGCATCCGAAAAGATGCTCTCAACATCTCTTGATCCTGTCTCGAAGCGCGATAGGGTGCTCGATTGAACGCTCTCAGTCTTAGTCAGATATTCCTCATCCCGATTTTAGTTCAACATGCCCTTCAGAAATGCGCTGCAAGTGTACAACATTGTACCTGAACTGTTTCCCATTTATTCGATTGGGTTTAGCCCTATACTTCAATCCCTGTACACGGGCCGAGGATGACGCTGCGACAAGGTCTGTATGTGAGAAGACCTGTTCAGTGAGGCAAAGGTTTTCTCTCACTGTCTCAGGCAGTATGATGGGCTCCTGGGACGAGATCGAATCGCCTCACGCCTGAGGATGGCGAGGTCGAGCTTCATTGATGCGTAGAGAACCTTATCTAAAGATCCAGAGAAAGAGGAGAGTAGGAATTAGTCATAGGAGCGAGCTCGGAGCCAGGTGTATTTTTGTCACCTAATACTTTCGCAGAAGACTAAGGTTGGCACAGAGAACTAGCTCACGTTGATGTGATTGTAGCCAAGAGAGTTCAAGAGTCGAGCTTCTCGTCAATGCCCCCGAGATCGTCGTGGGTGGAGATGCTCGAAACAACCAGCTTGAGGATGCTGGCGCAATGAGCACAGAGTCATGCTCGGTACTGGATGCGGCCCATAATGCGAGCAATACAGTATGGGTGCTAGCTACAGCACTGCGGACTCCCTGTTATGAAAGATGAATATCCCAGCCGCAACTATACCAATGGAGAGCACACCAATGGAGAGCACGCCAATTTCGGCCCAAGCTGTAAGCCATGATGCACACATGAAGATGACAGACGGCAGAATTGACAAGAGAGTCTGTTCAACAAAAGCATGGAATCCATTCCATAGAACTTTACACGGAATAGGTAGAAGCAACGCAATGCATAGAGCAAGAGAAAAACTACAGAAACTATACCACAGCCTTGCTGAGAAGTCGCGCACCACTCCATAAACCGTCCTTGGCATATGACGCGAGAAATGGGATACACGCACATAGCATTGGCAGTGGATTTGGATCATAGCAATTTGTTGCGGAATTGACAGCTCTCTGCATGTATTTTGCTGCTGCTCAGCGTGCACCTCTAGTGGATACAAGACATGAGGAGTGTGAGCCACGAGCATCTGCGCCGCCCACCCCAGAAAGGCACTCCGCGCTTCAGACGATCACGCAATATAGACAAGATTACGGAGTATAGGCTCCTGCTCTAGCTCTGCTGGTATTGACTTACTCTCGAGTGATAGGGATTGTGGAAGCAGTCCCGCATCCATCGAGAGTTAGTTCCATTGAACGGACTGCGACGGTCGAGAACACCTCTGCCGTCCGGGTTGTGGGCCGCCGCTTCACAAGATGAATAGCCTTAAGCAAAGCCACTTACACAATTCGGGAGCTAAAAAGAGTAAGAATAAGTAAAGAAGTATGGGAATTTCGGAACGCCTAAGCTATTGAACGAAGCGCGAGGGATGGCTTCTTCGGATTGCTGGGACCAACGGAATACACGTGCTGTATCAGTACAAGTATAGCTTCTGCCCTTTCCGCGCCCCTGACTCGGAGGCTTCTTCTAGCGAAATTGCCTATCTAGATCACAAGGCCGCCTATCAGCTCATCGGTGAATCTTATCTCAGTCTCGCACATAGATCTGGTAAACTAATTCTGCATCATGCAGAGCTGATGATCTTGGATACTGTACCTGTACCTGAAGACATTGAATGACGCGATTTATGATGCTCTTGATGTTTTCTCTCACCTGCTTTTCATTGCTAGGCGGCACAATGGACAATTGGGATGTTTTCCCGTCAACAGTCTCCATAGTGAGACCCAAACCAACTGAGACATGCATTCGTGCTTTTCTACGTGTCGCCAGTAGCATCACGCGAACTCACTGTCATGGCCCAGGTTGGGCTTCAAAAAAGCAGGGCTTGCCGGTCTAACAGATCAGCACTAACCACTAATCGTCAAGATGCGCCGATCTTGCGCATTTCATCCCGGCCAGATTCATCAATCACAACTCAATCACTGTGGGGCCGCGGGATCAAAGTAGCTTAATATGTCTTTAAGCATTCAGCTGAAGCCGATCCCTGACAAGAGAAGCAGCCGTTGGGCTTGGCTGGACATGGGCAATGAATAATTTGAGACATGCTGGGTGTTTGTCCCCTTATTGACGAGATGGATATAAAAGGAGGTTGCATCATGGCTTTTTCATGAATGTGCTTCGGTACAGCTCTTCGCTTGGATACTTGGAAGTAAAAGAAAAAGACATCAATATGGTCTATCTTTGCAAGTTTGCAGCCATTGTGGCTTTGGCTCTTGCGGCGCCTTCCTCTGCTATCGATCCTAATGCTATTTACGACGGAGGCATCAAGGGCAACAATGGGAGTATTCAGCTTGCCATTGGTAACGGCGGTGCTGGTCAGAGTGGTCTGATTAAAGGTATGTACACGTAAACAGTGAAAGAGACTATTAAATCTCTTGCTTGCAAATGGATCTAACAAGTCTTGTCACCAATAGCTCTCGCGGATGCGTACATCCAGGACTCCGTCTCCAAAGGCACCAAGCCCTTCAGAGTCGCATGGTACACTAGCGACACCACCTACAGCATCCAGTATCTCCAGTCTGGCCTCCTCGATGTCGGCATCACCTACAACCCGGCCGCAGAAAAGATTGCCATTGATCAGGGAATCGCCCTTTCTCCCAGCTATTATGCCTTCCGGGACCACTTTCTGCTGGCTGGCCCCAGGGCCAACCCTGCCAACGTCTCCAAGTCAACCGACATCTACACCATGTTTTCTCAGATCAGACAGGTTGCTGAGAATGAAGTTACTACACCACCAGTGCGATTTCTGAGTCGTTACGACAAGTCTGCTACCAACATCAAGGATTCCCTGCTGTGGGTTAGCATTGGCCAGGTATGTCTGAGTGTTTTACTCAAGTCAACATTACCATATTCATATGTGACTAACCTCTCTTCCAGGTCCCTTGGGCTACTGCTTATTCCACCTGGTATCACCAATACATTGCCTTCCCCATCCAGGCTCTCACTGCAGCCATTCTCTTGAATGAATACACCATCACTGACCGCGGCACTTATTTGTCTCTGGATGCTGGTCTGCGCAACCAGACGGTCATTTACAAGGCTGGCACAGATAGTGCCGATGATCCTCTTCTGAACCCTGCTCATCTTTTGGTTGGAAAGAAGGCTCCTCATCCCAAGGTGGCCAGCGACTTTGCCAAATGGGTGGTTGGCAAGCGTGGCCAGGATGTGATTATCGGATTCAAGAAGGACGGCCAGCAGCTGTACAGCCCAGCGCCATCAAACTCGACTGCTAGACGAGTGTGAATATGATGATGATGAAGATATGAAAATACTGAGGCTTGGATTAGAGTAATAGCATATTAATTATGTACAAACACTGGATAATGTATAATATCTGTATCTAAATCTTGACACTTCTGGGTCCTACCATGGTCAATGATTAGTTCACCAAAGGATAAAAAATCGAGTGATGATATGAATATCCTAGGTCTAAAATCATAGGAACATTGAATTAATTTGATACCTTCAACCCATTGAATTCAGAGCATCTGCGTAATGCTACTACATACCTTCTTATCGTCTTCAGCCATCAACTCATTGAGGCCTAAACAAAACTCAGTGATGCCTGTACTGTGCGAATTGACCAATGTTCGCACAAAGCCCAATTCCCGCGCATCTCATTGGCTATAAATGCACACACATCCCACCAACCAACCTGCGGCCCCACTCTGCAATTATCTCGATTTCCCATGCTTTTTTCGGCCTGCAAACAATCCCATCAACCCCTCGACAACATCATGAGGAGGAGCCCATGAAACTCCCCGGGCGAGTGGACGGCTCTTTCTGCGGTGCGGTGCTGTCGACCCGATCATCAGCCGCGGCCACGCTGCGCAACAATGTGTTTCCGCGGCCGCAGCCCAGAGATGCTTCGCAGAGGAGACCGGCGGCTGTAACAACTCACCAGAGCCTCGTCTGCCCACGCAGCTCGCAATGGCTGCTGGCGACGTTTGTGCCGGGCCTCGACAAGCACCGCACCGCCCCGACGCAGAATCCACGACGCTCCGCCCGCGCCTACGGGACAGCCGCTGCCTCGTTCGTCTCGGGCACACGACAACGACCGCCGCCTGTTGTGATTCAGGACAAGGACAAGATGCTCTCATACGTCGACCAGGCCGAGGTGGGGACTGCCGAGGAGTATTTTGACTTCTACAGAGACCCGTATCGCCGAGGGTATGCCGCTCCGGATGGTCCAAGACTGCGTGTGTCGGAGAGGAAGGGAGACGTGCAGTATCCCTCGCCGGAGGAGACGGCCATGGTGGATGACGGGACGCAAGGTGTTCTGGCCCGACTCCAGTCTGCCATTGGCCAGCGACTACGACACCCGCATCGCTACTCTCTCGACGGGATATACAAACTATACAGCCAGCTTCCAGAGCCTCGCATGCTGTGCCTCACGTGGCAGTGGCGAAACCGGCTGTTGAGAGTCATGGGCACGCCTCAGAAGAGGGACATGGACTCAATGCTGCGCTATTTCGCCTTGGTTGCGGATGTCAAAAACGCGGGGCTCACTCTCCGCCGCTCGCAGTGGAACTTCGCACTGGCCTTTGCCTCCAAGTATACGGCTAGGGCTACAACCGAAGAGATGGAATCGGCGCTGAGGATTTGGAAGGAAATGGAAAAAGAAGCACAGATTATGGGAAACGATGTGACGTTTAACATATTATTCGATGTTGCCGCCAAAGCAGGCAACTTTACACTGGCCGACATGATTTACAAGGAAATGGAGAGTCGGGGGATTGAGTTTAATCGTTTCCACCACGTCAGTCTCATTCACTATTTTGGATTGAAGCTTGACTCTGGGGGCCTTCGAGCGGCATACCGTGAAATGGTAGAGTCGGGCGAGATGATTGACACAGTCGTTCTCAACTGTGTCATTTCAGGGCTTCTCAGGTGTGGCGAGGAGGCGGCAGCTGAAGAGACGTATCAGCGAATGAAAAACGACCACCACATGGCAGCGGAGATTCCGCAAAAGGACTATATGATGAACAAGGTCGTCACCAAAGTTCTCATGATGTTTACTCGAGTTGGCAAGCAGCATCCGGAGCTGAAGAAATCCTTTCAGACAAACGTCAGCCTAACTCCAAACTTGCACACCTACAAGTTGCTGGTTGATCACTATGCCACTCGCATCGGCAACCTCCAAAAGGTTGCCCAATATCTGGACGAGATGAAACATTTGAAAATTTCCATCGAACCCACCATCTTTTTAGCCTTGTTCAAGGGCTTCTACATGCACGGTGGATATTCCGGCTCGGACTGGTCTGAGCAGCGCCTGGAAGGTGTGCTGGCAGCCTTCTATCAGGCTCATGATGAGCATGCAAAGGAATTCCGTATTGACCAATGGGTGGTCATCTGGGCCCTGCGCGCGGTGAAAAAATGCTGCTCCAACGAGGCACTTCTCCAAACATTCGACTCCATGTCCCAGAGGTGGGATATACACCCGGACCGCCAGCAGTTTATGCATGCACTATTTGAGAACATTTTGCATGACAAAGATCTCAAGTCTACACGAAACGAAGATCTTCAGCATCAGCGACGCAGAAAGGATACGTCATGGCTATGAGAAGGTCTCCACCTGTGTGATTGTATATAGATGTACTTGTACGTTAGACAGCATATGCCAACATATAGACTAGCCCTATCCTACGTTGATGGGGATCATCATGGAATGCAGCAATGATTTTATGACAAGTTTGGACCATATCCAGGTCGCAATTCCAAGGGCGAGCGCAAAATGGAGCCGGCACGGAGCAAGGTTTTGTTATGTATGTGACTTGTGAAGTGGTCCCACGTCTAATTCGAGCTATTTACTCTGCCGCAACAGTCCACCGCCCATCCATGACACCAAGCGTCCAGCCCATATAAGCCTTTTGTAATCGAAGCAATCGTTTACTGGGTCTTGTAGGTTTGGTAGACTAGCCTCGGGTATTAGCATCTGCGCAAAACGAAAACCGCGACGCATGGCGGGGCAGCAGTTCGACTCACCAGCAATGCCGAAGGGAGCGAAGAAGCCGGTGGCCATGAAGGCCCAGTAGCCGGCGCCGAACCACTTGCTGCGAGGGTTGAAGGGCAGGTTGGAGTAGGGGCCCTCGGGGTAGTGGTAAGGAGAGGACATGCGAGGGCGGGTGGTGTGGAAGCCTCGGCGGGCGACCACGGAGGTGGTGCGAGTAGCGGCGCGGGAGAGCATCTGGACGAGGTCAATTAGCTGGATGAAGCACAGGGGATGGCGGATCTGGCGCGGGAGGATGGCGGACTTTGACAGGCGTCGAGATTGGAGGGCCGTGGAGTTGAGGCGGGTTGACGATTCTTGTCTGCGGCTATAAAGCTTCTCGAGTTCAATATGGTTCGATCGAGGTCAAAACGAAAGCCTTGGCCTGCGAGTCACGTGCAGCTCTCCCAGGAAATCTGCTGCCTTATCTAAGCAACCAAAGCTACCTTATCAACTTATTTTCCGGCACTTTGTATTTTGTGCTGACTAAGGGTCATGGCTATTGGCTGAACTGCTCCCATCTCGATGCGCGTGTCACCGCCTTCTCAGTTGGCACCACTATTTTCTTTTCTGCCGTCCTAAATCCACATCTTTCTCGGGAAATCTTGGTCAAGCAATCTTTGCATTCTCTCACCCCGGGGAGTATTTCGGTCTTCCAGGTAGTTATTGTGGTTGCTTTGATATGCCATTTTAATTGCTGGTCTGAATTTTACGATTTTACAGCTTGTTCAAAAGCTGTCCTCTACAAATTTAGACCGCAGGACGACTGATTCCATCGGCACTTTTTTCTTTCCTTCACCTTGATTTTCTACCTATTCCAAGTTTACCCACCACAATTGAGTGGTAACAACAGCCAAGATGGATGAAATGTTTGATGTTTTCGAGGGCAAGGCGGAGCCCCAAAGCGCCAGCGAGGATGAGAGAACCCCCCAAAAGAGCCGCAGCAGAGCCCAGAGCAAGAAGCGGAAGGCTGACGAAGCTATGAATGGAAATGCCGACGCCGACATGGATGCGAACAACGACGACGCCGATGTGGGAATGGCTGATGCCGCCGATGCCTCTCGAGACGAGGATTCCGAGGGCGAAGATGATTCAGACACGCCCGAGCAGCAGGACAAGAAGCGACGCAAGAAGGCTGATGGCGCTGGGCCTGTCATGACGGACAACTTCCAGACGGCAGAGTCAAGAGAAGTCGCGGGTGCCTCAACATTTGTTTCGCAAGACTCATCGCTTGTTCTGTCACACAATATCCAGCATCAGGTGGCTCTTCCTCCTGACCTCAACTACGAATACATTCCTCTTTCAGAGCACAAGTCTCCCGAGGAGCCCGCGCGAACATACCCTTTCAAGCTGGATCCCTTCCAGAGTTTGTCTGTCGCATCCATCGAGCGCGAAGAGAGTGTGCTGGTGTCGGCGCATACCAGTGCGGGAAAGACGGTGGTGGCAGAGTACGCGGTCGCACAATGTCTCAAGCGCAACCAGAGGGTCATCTACACTAGTCCGATCAAGGCTTTGAGTAACCAGAAATATCGAGACTTTGAGGCCATCTTTGGAGATGTTGGTTTGATGACGGGTGATGTCACAATCAACCCCACAGCCAGTTGTCTTGTCATGACAACCGAGATTTTGCGGTCAATGCTGTACCGCGGTTCCGAGATTATGCGCGAGGTGGCCTGGGTTGTGTTTGACGAAGTCCACTACATGCGAGACAAGACTCGAGGTGTGGTCTGGGAGGAGACCATCATCATGCTTCCCGACAAGGTCCGATACGTTTTCCTCTCGGCCACCATCCCGAATGCTTTCCAGTTTGCCGAGTGGATTGCCAAGATCCACCACCAAGCGTGTCACGTCGTTTACACAGATTTCAGACCTACCCCCCTCCAAAACTACTTTTACCCCGCCGGAGGAAAGGGTGCAAGAATGGTGGTAGATGAAAAGGGCAACTTTAATGCAGAGAACTTCAACATTGTCATGGCAGAAGTTGAAGAAAAGAAGGGGGCTGACCCAGCTGACCCCACCGCCAAGATGAAGGGGAAAGGAAAGAATAAGAAGACCAACAAGGGCGGCGCTGACGAAGGTTCCGATATCAACAAGATCATTCGAATGACGATTAAAAAGAACTACAACCCCGTCATTGTTTTCAATTTCTCCAAGCGGGAGTGTGAAAACATGGCTCTGAAGATCTCCAATTTGAACTTCAACGACGATTCTGAAAAGGCCATGGTCAACAAAGTCTTCCGGAGCGCCATTGACAGTTTGTCAGAACAAGACCGAGAATTGCCACAAATCATGAACCTCTTGCCTCTGCTGGAGAAGGGCGTTGGTGTCCATCACTCTGGTCTGCTGCCCATTCTCAAGGAAACCATTGAGATTCTGTTCCAAGAATCTTTGATCAAGGTTCTCTTTGCGACCGAGACGTTTTCAATTGGTCTCAACATGCCTGCCAAGACAGTCGTCTTCACCCAGGTCACCAAGTGGGACGGCATAAAGAGACGACCAATCACGTCATCCGAATACATTCAGATGGCTGGACGCGCTGGTCGTCGTGGTCTCGATGCCAGAGGTATTGTCATTATGATGATTGATGACAAGCTTGAGCCAGAAGTGGCCAAGGACATTGTCACTGGCCATCAGGATAAGCTCAACTCTGCCTTCTATCTAGGATACAACATGATTCTCAACCTGCTCCGAATTGAAGCCATTTCCCCCGAATTCATGCTGGAGCGATGCTTCCACCAGTTCCAGAACGCGGCCAGCGTCCCTAGCCTGGAGAAGGATTTGATGGCACTGCAACAAGAGAAGGACGCTCTGACAATACCAGATGAAGCTACCGTCAAGGATTACTACACAATCAGGCAGTCACTGAATACCTACACCAAAGACATGCGAGCGGTCATCCAGCACCCGAACTACTGCCTTCCCTTCTTACAGCCCGGTCGACTTGTGCAGATCCACAACGTGAAGGAGTCGGCAGAGAAAATTGGTGGAGGACTCGACTTTGGTTGGGGTGTCATTACTGATCAATACCAGCGACGAGCCCCCAAGCTTGGTGAGCCCGATTTCCCGCCACAGGAATCTCACATTATTGAGGTTCTTTTGTACATATCCAAGTCGAGCGCCGAAATCATTCCTGGCAATCTCGCCGGAAACATGCCTCCCGGTCTTATACCATCAGGTGAAGATGACGGCATGTTTGCGATAGTGCCATGCCTCCTTACCTGCGTCAAAGCCATTAGCCAGATTCGAATCTTCATTCCCAAGGACGGCCTCAAGTCCGATGACGAGCGCAAAGATTCCGGAAAGGCCCTGAGCGAAGTGCAGCGCCGATTCCCGGATGGCGTCCCAATCTTGGACCCCCTTGAGAACATGGATATTTCGGACGAATCTTTCAAGCAGCTGCTCCGCAAGATTGAAGTTCTTGAGTCTCGACTGGTTACTAACCCACTGCATCTGTCTCCTATGCTTCCCTCCTTGTGGGACCAGTACCATGCCAAGGTTCAAATCATGGAGAAGATCAAGGAAAAGAAGAAGGAGATTGCCAAAGCTCATAGCATTGCACAGATGGACGAGCTCAAGTCCAGAAAGCGAGTGTTGCGCCGTCTCGGATTCATTAACGATGCCGAAGTCGTTCAGCTCAAGGCTCGTGTTGCCTGCGAAATCTCTTCCACAGAGGGCCACGAACTCCTCTTGTCGGAGCTTCTCTTTGATCGATTCTTCAACGAGATGACGCCCGAGACGATTGCCGCTGTGCTCAGCTGCTTCGTCTTTGACGAGAAGATTGAAATGCAGGCGTTGAAGGAGGAGTTGCAGAAGCCGTTCCGTGAGATTCAGGCCAAGGCTCGCATGATTGCCAAGGTTAGCCAGGAGTCTAAGCTGGATGTGAATGAGGACGAATATGTCCAGAGCTTGAAGTGGCAGCTTATGGAGACTGTGTATGCATGGGCTCAGGGACGAACGTTTGCCGAGATTTGGTAAGTTGAGATCTCTAATTTTTTTTCCGCCTTGACAGATTATTTTTACTGACGCAATTCCTGCAGCAAAATGGCAAACGTCTACGAAGGCTCATTCATCCGCATCTTCCGCCGTCTTGAAGAGCTCATTCGACAGATGGCCCAGGCCGCAAAGGTCATGGGCAACGACGACCTGACGAAGAAGTTTGAGGAGAGTTTGCAGAAGATTAGGAGAGATATCGTGGCTGCCCAGAGCTTGTATCTGTAAAGGAAAACAAAGTATATATTCCTTGTTTACTTTGCTGAGAAAAAAAATGTCGCTGGACGAAGAAGGAAAGAAAAAAAACTTCACGATTTCTTTTTTCGGATTTTTACGTCAGTTACTCAAGAGCCATATGTAGATACCTCCTTTTCTTTTTTTTATCCTCATTTGCTTTGGCATTGCTCACGGCTGATGGAGTTTTGGGAGCTTGGGGGGGATGAAAAGAATTGCTTTTTTTTGTTTGGTTTGCCAGTAGATATGGATATAATGTTTGGTAGATGGTTATCCTTCATGTTGATGAGGGTTTCGAGATCTGATCAGAACATGATTTAGTAATGAGTTTTGGTCTCCATGCGTGGTACTTTTTGTAGATACATTAGTATACCTTGATATGAGGGCTATTCATTGCGTGTATCTATAGCATAGATTGGAGGATTCTTGGTTACCGTAGCGTCCAGTTCATCAACTGCATGAAGCCCGCAGATGAAGCTCTCGTCGCTATCCTTGTCTAGTAGTCAAGACAATATTGTCGTACACATTCATGGTGGAATTCTTCTCGTGAAAATGAGGTCATGCTCGTTCTTTGAACCCTTGCAACATTCCTATCTGAGAACGCTTCATCCCACCACACAGGTCCGGGACAGGATTTCCGGGCGTTCTACCTGTGGACAAAGACATCGAGACGATTAATGATGGAGTTGGGTCGAATAAGAGGAACTACCGGGTAGACATGATCCCCCACCCGTCGATCTTTCGGACATCCTCACGCGATCTCACGCTAAAACGGGAACTAAAATGAGCAAAATGAGCAAAATGTAGCAACAAGAAGTGCTATGGACCAATTGGACATGATTTACAGAGTCTGTAGCTGATACAAAGACGTTCGAAAAGAAAAGGTGGCATCCAACAAATGCAAAAAAAGCAATGCCGTGAAGGCCCTCCCTCAGACATGGGTCTATTAAGATTTCACGGACTTCAGCCGACATTCTCCTTCGGTCATGGAGACAAGACAACTTCACTGCCATCACAACGCATCATGTAGCTTTGCATCTGGTTTCTAAATCTTCGCTCGTTTGATGTGTCTTCTGGCCTCTAAATACTGATTGCTGGAGTCAATACCATCACGTGATGTGCTCGGCCCATTTCAATGTCTCATCACCACCTCGCCTCGCCATCTCCAGCTCAACAACAGTCAAAAATTAGCGGCTGGCAGCATCCTTGTTTATTGCCCTCGAATTATTTGTAATTTGTTCTTCTTCAAATCTCATAGCCGCTTCTCCGTTTGCTGCGCCCCCCCGACATCATGAGCCTCACTCACACCGTTCTGTTCCAATTCAAGGCAGAAGCACCGGCTGACGACGTCAAGGCGGTAAGCGCCTGTGTTACCCATTGTATATCATGAGACGGTATTGATTGGTTTTTGCAGGCTTGTGCGCGATTTCTTGCGTTGAAGGATAGCTGCATCCACCCGACGACGGGGGCCAAATACATTCTTTCGTTGAAGGGGGGAAAGGATAATTCCCCCGAAAAGTTGCAGGTATTGTCCTACCGCTACATGATGTTTGTATCACATTAGGCTTCTCTGACCCTGGACAGAATGGGATCACGCATGGGTTTGTGGCCGAATTCTCCTCGGCTGAGGATAGGGACTATTACGTCAAGACAGACCCCGTTCATCAGGCCTTTGTGAAGAGCCTCGGAGGTCTTATTGACAAGGCCGTCGTTGTTGATTTCAATGATGGAGTGTATTAGATAGTGCAGATTCGTATCAATCCTGCTCAACATCCCTGTTGGCCTAGGCTGAAATAGGGTGCTATATGGTATAATACTAGGTCTTAGAGAAGATTGGCTGGCTCGGAGCTCTCAAGATGACAATTGTGATTATCTAGAGTATATTAAAGATGAAGGGTATGAAGAGTATGATGATTATGTTTAGGTGAGGTATCGATACAAATGTCTTTTAAGCCTTAGAAACTGATTCCCAACTGGAAAGACACATGTAGATAAAAAAGCGTCTGATATAATGACTCTGAGCTCTAGAACCCTCTAGCTGTCTGGTGTAAAAGCAGCAGCCGTCCGAGGTCCATCAAAATACTCTCGATAAAACACAATCTTTCCATCCTCAGCACGAAGGTACAAGATATAATCCTGATTATAGATCTTGCCTGTTGGTTTAGCCGTGGCAGTCATCGAAAATTCAGCAACCACGGCATCTTCGCCTTGAACTAGATGTACGCTCTTCTGGTTAATCTCGAAGTCATCACCGAGAAGCTGAACAAAGCCTGAGACACTCTCTGCAATTTCATCGATCCCTTTCAAGACCTTGGGCACATGAGGAGGGGCGAATGGCATTTCCAAGACAGCATCAGTGGCAAACAATAAGCGCCATGCTTGAGGATCGGCCCTGATGGTTCGAAAGTGAGACTGTAATAGCTCTTTGGCACTCATTTTCTTCTAGTTTCTAACCCTATAAACGAGAGTCAGTCAAAATATGAATGAAGCATTACAGGCAGCAATATACCAACAATCTTATGCTTTGTGAAGACAATTGGTATGGACTTCTGATGGTAATGGCCTTATCGAAAACTCGGGGAAGAGGTTGTAAGCTATTTGAGATGGCAGCAGTATATGACATGATATGGTTTTATTTATATATCTGATCGGATGTAGACAAGCATCGTCATCATACTTACTGCGAGCAAAGATACGCTATTCAAAACTTAACGCATCGTCAACTCCCGCATTAGCATCCTCCCGGACAACCGAGAAAGTCCGTGAGCACAGGGATTACCTTATGTTGCGGAGTTTTTACGTTGAATCTTCCTCTCTATGATTGTTTACCACATTGAACTAAGCCCAAGTGTTGAAGACGACTCTCTTACCAAATTTGCATCCTCTATGGCGACGCTCCGCCTTAACATGTCTCCCCGAAATCATATTCATGTCTCAACGCATTAGGCCTCTTCTTTTACTTCATCTATTGTAGATATTTATTTATCCCTCGCCACTTATATCAATTTAATTTTTCGCAGATATGTAGCAAACGTTTTTACAACTACCTAGGTAGACGGTACAAGTACAAAGGTACACTTCCTCTAGCCGCGCGGTAACCCCACTGAGGACTTGCGGAAGCTAGCGAGCTCGGAAAACCTTGTATCCATGAATCTATCCATTTGTAAGATGCAAACTCCGCTACCATAGAGGCAGCTCTCGCCTAAAAATATACTAGTTGCTATGCTCGATTACCATGCGGGCTAGTGAATTTGGATTGCGGTCTTTGTGGAATGTCCGCGATACCGACGCCGATACATGCAAGAATCTCGCCTACTGATCAAGGAGCTGACTGTACATGAATATAATGCGATATTGCGTATGATGTATAGGTACATTGTAACAGCTGACTTGACGTACTTCGAGTATTGCAATACATAAATGTTGGGCTGGCGTAGGACTACGAGGCCGTGTGATTATTATTGGGGCGAGACACTGAAGCCAACGCTGTTTGATGCAGACTGTATGACAGTAGTATAGGTGTTGGTCAACCTACGGTTTCTGATTGAAGGAGGTGACGCAATACAAGACTCATTGTATTACGATAAGAGCCTATCATATTGCATGCCATAGCGCTGGCTGAAGTTTTGCCACCTCTGCACCAACTCCATCGAGCTCGACATTGGGGCCTTTGCATCGCTTTTCGATGTTGGTCGCAATATTTGGGCTGTGTATGCTGAGGGTGACACAGTTTTAAACTATTCAGGAGTGGTTCGTTGACAGGGTCAGCATTCGAGTTGCTAATATGCCATGTTGGCTTATCACTCTACATCGTTCACTTAACTTGGTAAAGCGCCGGGGTATGCATCAATGATGTACGACATGAAGTGTCATTTCTGGAGAAGAACCAATATGAGGATTGGTAGTCTGAGTCTCAAACGGCTCTTCGCGTCTGGACAGAAGGGAACTGCGAGCTATAATGAGTTAATACAACTTACGGATTCCTAAGGAACCTATAACCTTTTTTTTTTAATATAGCAAGACGGCGGTGTCCTACAAACCGAATCTGAGCTACAAAATACAGATTGCATGTAAAAATAGTCTAAGGACAAAATTTGTTGGCAATATGGAGTTGATCTTTCCACAGCGCAACCTATTCTTAGACTGTTTTAAACTTCGTTGTTCCTACTTCTGTCTGTGCTACCACAACAATGTTCAGTCGCACCACTGATATACGTAACTTGCTGCCCAATGTAACACAGGCGGCAAGAAGTGTTATTGCTAATTTTGATGAGGCATACTCCGCGGCTAGGTTGTTCCACCGCGCTTATGTTGTTTCTGCCCTATTGTAGTGTTAGTGAACATGTTCTTACCCGTTCTGTTCTCACTTGTTTGATTTGATACCTGCCAATGAAACGAGCCGGTATATGTATATGGAGAAAGTCCCCCTCTGTTAATTATTTATACACGATGCTGTGTATCGCTGCCGTAAACAGTTGTTTCAAGATGATTGGTCAATAAGGCAGTTGGGGATTAGATCTGGCGATAAGCGCGAAGCATAAAAGCCCATGGCGTTGGGCATTCTGCCAGACTTAACACTACTGGAACAGCTCAAAACTTCTATCGTTCACATTCCATCTAGCCCGTTCCGCAAAATTCATTATTCATTCTTGTGTTCGTTTGACAGTGCTCTAGCAGCCGGTGCCAATCTCTTCAACTGAGCAATTCAATCACAGACTGTCAGAGTCACAGCTCATGTGATTTCAAATGGCTTCCCTGGAAGACAAAGTATATCGCCTTCGAGATATCCCGGCGGATAGGGACCGTCTTGGGGTAGCTGAGTTAATCAAACCCTTTATTCCGGATGGCAAACTTGAAGATATTACTATTGCCTCACTCGCTCCGACTTGCGGGTTCCCAGGCAGAAGTCCCACAAAGACAGCGACCGTCACTGTACGGAAGACTCCTGAAATTATGAACAATTCTTCTACAACGGGCGAGTGGAAGCTTTGCACTCCTGCTCTAACCAACCCACTCATTTTGGATGCTACATTCTATGGTCTCACTCCCTTGAATGAAGTTGAAGAGCACCAGCATAAATATGAGTAAGTCAAATTAGCACACTTAAGGATTGTGTATGCCTAAATCTGATTTTTCAAAGCTGCATTGTGATTTCAGGCCTCGCAAGTCATCCGATGGGATCATGGCAGCCTCGAGGCGACGATAAATCATATATGTGGATACGAGACACACTACCCCAGCTTGTTCCAGGTGTTCGATTTATCCTTTATGGATATGACACTAAATTGATGGGAAGTAAATCTTTCCAAAATGTGAAAGATCTTGCTGTTGGCTTGATCAACCAACTAAAAGCAGGGGGTTGGACAGCCGTTAACTCCAAAGAATTAATATTTCTGGCGCATAGTCTTGGTGGAGTAGTTCTAAAGCAATGTCTTTACATGCTCGCCGACAGTGACGCTGCCTTTCAGTCCATACTCGACAAGACAAAAGGTGGAATATTTTTTGGCGTGCCTAGCGAAGGCATGAACATTCAAGACATTGAAGACATGCTTAAAGATCAACCAAATAGGGATGGTCTTGTAGCAGAGATATCAAGCAATTCAAGCTTTCTATCCAGCTTGGAGGAACGGATATCTGGTATTACAGGCTTCCGAAAGATGAGATTTTTTTGGGCATACGAAACCCAGATGACATCTACTTTAGAGGTAACAATACCTGGCTCATGGTCATAAAATACAAATGCAAAATGATTTGGCTAACATACTTGGCAGTCGGTCAACGGCACGTATCGTAGGTCAGGGCCAGGAACCATAATGGTATCACCACAGTCCGCCACAGGCAATCGGTGTAATTCAGACCCTATATCGACAATACCTATAAACGAGGACCATTCCAAGATGGTAAAATTCTCAGTTGGAAATCATATGATTGACGCCGTTGCCGATAAACTACGAGAGATTCTTGGCAATGATCAACACGGCCTTGACCAGGACTTGGAGCGGTTGGCTGCAAGCAACTTCCAGGCCAGGGCGTCCACTAGCCAAGGATTAGGCGATATCGACTCGAGCGATACTAGAGATCCCAGTGAAGATCCTGATTTCTGGTACATTAAATGTTAGTGGTTGTTGATGCCGGATTTGTTCATTAAACTAATGTTTCCATAGCGATCATAAAATCTCTACGTGCTCCCGAGCGAGACAAAAGGCTTTCTCAAATCGATAAAAGGGCTGGTCACTCTTTCGAATGGGCATTTGAAGATCCTTCTGTTGGGTTAACAGAATGGCTACAAAAGGGAGATGGCCTCTACTGGATTTCTGGCCGACCTGCTTCTGGAAAGTCAACCTTTATGAAGTTTCTCTATAACGACAAACGCACAAAACAGATGCTTCGACATTGGTACAGTAAAGGCAAACAACATGTCGAAGCAAACTTTTTCTTTCACTACCGCGGCAATCTCATTCAAAAGTCGTTCGAAGGTCTGCTCCGTAGCATTCTCAGCCAAATTTTAGAGCAGGCCCCAGCAAGTTTTTCAATAATTCAACCGTTATTCCAGCACCGCTACCGGCAACTCATCAATGAACAATCTCTTGGAAGTTTGTACCAGGATCTAGAAGAGACAATTGTGACCCACGATGAGAGACTGAGCTCAGAAATGAAAAGGAAACTGCATGCTATCTCAGCTTGCGAAATGCCTGAGAAGTTATTCCACACAATATTCGTGGAACCTCTACGCACCAGCAACGGAGCTTCTATTGACTGGCAAAAGATTGAAAAAATCATTTTTCCTTGCAGGGAACAGCTTTTGGAAATTTTAAGACAGGTGACAGCCTCAAAAAATCCTTCAGGAACGAAAGCTGAGAGGTTCAAATCTCTATGGCAGGCGAAACTTTTGGAAGCGAAACCCCCAGTATATCTTCCAAAATGGAACAAAAAAACCAGCCATCGCTTTTTTTCTTTGTTATTTCAATGGCTTGAGAAAATTGACTTGAAGTCTAACCTTTTGCGCTTGAAGGGGTTGTCTAGTTATCTCTCTAATAACGATTCAGCTACACTAACGCCGACTGAGGAGAAGATCATCCAAGACGTTCAAGACATCATGCACCGGTATCATGAGCGAGAAAAAATCCGACAATTTGTTCAGAATGAACCATGGGCATCCCCAAAGCTTCAACAGGCACTCTTTGAAATCATACACCAACGATCAATTAATTTGGAAGTATGTCTGTTCATTGACGCGCTTGATGAGCATGATGGTTCGCCAGAATTCATTGTCGAGTTTCTAAAGGACATTACAAGGAAAAAGAAAAAAAGCCGCACACGCCTCAAAATCCTCTTTTCTAGTCGACCCTGGGACATATTCATGACAGCTTTTGGTGATCGCCCGGGATTTCGCATTCATGACCATACCGAGAATGATATCCGCGAACTGTGCATCCACATCATACAGACCGAATGTCCTCATTCACAGGAACTTTTAGAGCTAATTGAGGAGATTGTGAAACGATCCAACGGTGTTTTCCTATGGGCGAAGTTGGTACTACAAGACTTGACCAAGATTGCAGTGGGTGCTCCGGGAAGCGATACTGGGAATCTATCCAGCAAGTTACAGGATACCTTACGAAGCCTTCCCAGCGATTTGATTGAGTACTATCGCACCATAGTCGAGCGGATACCAATGTCCTTTCGTCGCGAGGTTTTTTGTCTGCTTGAAGTTCTTGCTAAACGAGTCCAAGCAATCTATCTCCACGATGTCCCTTTGATTCTTAACTGTTTACGTTTTTCTGACTTTTCTGCGCGTGATTATATCCGTCAGAAATCAGCCAACCCCAATATACGTACATTGGAATCTTTGTTGAGAACTCACGCAGGGGGCTTTATCGAAATCTATGGGCCAAAAAATGGGCTGTTCAAATCGGTGTATACTAAACTTCAGTTGATGCACCAGACAACTATAGACTTTATTCAGCTGCCGGAGTTCAAAAGTATTATTCTGGAATCAGGAGAGCAAGCCATGAATGATAATGGATTTACTTTTCTTGCGAAATTTAACCTTCTCAGATGGTCCAGCCTTGACAATGACTTGGCAAATGTGAAAAATAGATTTTATCGTTATGCCAACAATGCCGAAAGAACTACGGGGAAGAGTTTGTATTCATTCTTTCTAAGGAACCACTCAAACGCCAGAGCAAACTTCCACCCCTCTCTTACATGCTATAGCAGTACTAGGGTCTACGACTTCAGTTCAGACATTATCGAAATGGCTTTCCGTGCCAATCTTCGCCTCTTCATCCGGGACTATTTGCAAGCAAACCCATCTATTTTATCTCAGACGACTGCCTGTTGCGCAGGGAATGTCTTTGATTCGTTCAAAAACAACGCGTATAGCCAAGAAGAAGCTATACAGACGATCGATTTTTTAGCTTCTAAAAGTTTTCAATTCCGCAGACATGCCGATTGCTTAGCAGATGCACTCTTGGATCTAAGAATCAACCGTCAAAACTACGACTCGTACAACTCCGTGCTCCAAAGCATTACAAGAAATTTTACAGGTACAGAACCTGTCGTGAACCCTCCACGTATTTTGGATAGGATCATCGACTCGTCAGCTATCAAGGGCCTAGAAATGCATGCGATAGCTAAGGAAACACTTTCAAAAAAACCAAGTCTCCTTCACATATCTTCCTTAAACATAACCAAGGACCTTCTTGCTAGAAAAGCAAATCCAAATATGCAGGATGTAAATGGGAATACACCACTAGACGGCTATACGAGTAAACGTTATGCGATTATGTTTTGCCCCCACGAATACCACTATCAACTTATGGTCGTTCTTGCTCAAAATGGAGGACGATTGAACTCAAGCACCCGAAAGCAATGGGAAGCAATAATGACAGAATTTGAATCAAAGGGGTTCGATATATCAATATTTGAACAGTTAAAATTCCCTAAATGGATACCAAAAGAAGGAGAGTTTTTGGAGAGACATTCTCGCATATATACAACTTACATATATACAAAAGCCCGAAGAATGTTCCGCCGATTAGGCAAGCTCAAGAAAAGAGGGACCGCAAAATGAATATGTGCATAGGTTGAGATAATACGAGCACTATTTCGAGGAATTTAGCGCAGTCGATGTATGCATCCTGCGTAATTCTGTGTGCCGATTGTTTGCAAAATCCCGGGCCGTTATTTTGCAAACCCCTTTGACGGGTTAGCTCCTATAATAGGGATCCATCGATCAATTATAATTGGATAGCTTTCGAGCTTTTAGCTAACTACCTACCGCCATGTATGTAACAATGGGATTTAGTCAGTACTTTAGGTAGCTGTAGCTTCCCGACGATATGCAGCGTTATAACATCATAAGGAAATCGACAGCTTTCCAACAACCGCTTAATGGTCCAACTTTTTCTTCCTGTCTGAGTGGACATATGTGACATACCGGATAGAGCCGCATCAAAAAGCTCAAGTCGCCACAAAGATCGGTGGTGTTATTAGTGGAGTCAGCAACAGACCGGTACCTACCTACATGTATATGGGATTCGGCAAGGCAAACACTCAACGAAAGCCAATCTAATACAGTGAGATCGGCATAGTGCACGATGTTAAGCTAGGCTCGTAGAAAATTTACGATAAATGAGCACTTAATTTGGTTCGTTACAGTCAGAATATTAGCACATTTCTTAGATATTGACCCTTTGTTGAGGCGCAGCCAATTTAGACCACAGCGCTCCAGGCTCCAGGGCTTTTCTCGAGGCGTACAACAAGCACACATGACAACAAAGCACATGTCGGCATAGCACATAACAAGGCACAAAACATTTTTCACGGATCAATAACGGGTCTGTGGGTCAACAAAGGGGAACAAAGGATAAAAAAATTTAATTGTTTATAAATTCGGCTCGTTGCCATTTTCCCATTTGGACGGCATTCGTCATCGCCGTTGCCATCTCTCCAAACTTCCATTGATCATAATGCAAGCAACTAGGGAATATCTCTTCAATCTTCCACTTAACATGAAGCAAGCAATCTGGGGGGGTTGCCGTTACCTTGCCAGCTTGCAGTGGACGTTGGTAGTCCAAAAAATATGCAAATTTTGCCATCATGAAAACTTTAAAAAAATAATCTATAAGGTGAACCCTTCCATACCATTTGATTAAAATTACTGCAATAAACACTAAAAATTTTCCAAGCGTGGTCGAATCATAGTTGTCGAGAACATCTGTAGCTCAGGGGAAAAGCACTGGCTCATCATGCCCAACAAGCCCCGAGAGCTCAAGAGGCCCAGAAAGCACAAGCCCACAAGACACAAGATTCGCAAGATTCGCGAGATTCGCGTGCCTCTTAGTAGGCCTAAGAGGATGTGGAAGCACGTTCGAGATATTGAGAGCCTCAACTATTCACACTATGGACTACGTGAGAGACAGCATCATCAATCTTGCATCCGTCAGAAGAGATCGATTAACAAATATGTTTTCCTTCCAAACAAAGCAGTATGCGAAATGGATGCGGTGAAGCATTATATCCTGAAAAAGTATTGCCCTCACATACCTCTTTCCGAAGTTCATTCAGGGTATCACCGCGGCCGGCGACCTTTGATAGGCAGCATCTATTATCCAGACATAATCTCGGTTCACCACCTGCATCTCCATGTCATTGTTCGACCGCAGTGGCGGCGTAAATGGTTGAGATATGCGCTGCCCCTCATGTGGAAGTCAGACGAAAAGGTGCTTCTTAAGGTCAAAGAGCAGGCCAGCAAAAGAAAAAAATTACTGAGTGCTTTGGATCATGCTCGATGCGAGCGCCTAGAAGAGGAGATAGAGCGTCTAAAGACTTGAGTACGTCATAGAGTAGCAACTTAGAAATTAGAAAACAGAAATATTTCCCCAGGATACAACCAGCCGTTGTTGACTACCTTCCTACGAAACCTGCCCTCAAGGTTATTAGTATCTCTATCTGTCCTTATTTGAGTTTCGTCATCGACTTTGAAGGCTGGATGCTTTTCACAGTGAATTATTTCCACAGGCTCTTAGGGAGCATAAGCTGCAACAAACCGGCAAAGATTCTCTTTTGCTTCTTCTACCCTCCAAACTAAGGTAAAAGGTCTAACCTTCTTATCAATATTTGTTGGAGACGTAAATGTAACTAGATTATCTTCTATATGGCATACTAAGCATAAACCAATAAATACCAAGATTCCGATACTCCAAGGCAACAAAAAACCAAATAAAATAGTACGGCGCGGGTATGTCTATTTATATCATCAATGTTCGTGGTCCTTTACAGATTTGTTCTCAAAAACCCTTGGGTGTTCCTTGTGTGAGGCTGCTCTTTGATCTAGTGCATAATGAACATTGAAAATCACAAGTATTAGTATGAAAGTTGCACCAATTACCAACGAGATAATTGGAGCCAAGATAGAAAACATGGTAAACACGTATGATGCGCGGTTAAACATTGCGTTTCCGTTCAACTTGGTCGTGGCTAGTCCGACTTGCATGGCTGCCAGAACCACGGTTATATAGATGAAGGCAGTCAAAACCCATTTGAAATTTCTTTCCAGGTAAGTTGAGTATTGGCGATAACCGTATTCGTACCCGCGAATTATTGTCCTGAATTTGAAAGTGTTCTTGCAGAATCTGCTAATCAAATTCAACCGTGTAAGGCGTAGTTCTCCGTAGAGATATCTTGGATTGATGTCACTGAGATCCCCGTTGATGTTGGAAACAACGGCTGCAGAAAATGGTACCCATTGCTCCCATTTTATGTCGTCTGATATCAGGCCATGCTCGTGTGCAATCCGTAGGTCACTTTTACTGCGCGTTAGCCATGTGTAGGAGTAGAGAAACCCTTTCGCGCTCTCAAAAAGTTCACGGTCCGAGCAAAATGCGCTCTCCCAGAAGTGATGACTCAGGAGATAATCCGGCAGCGGTTTCAGGTACAGAATATCGTCGCGCCAAACAAGGTGAAGATCTGCCCTCTCTGTGATATGGATCTGGCGTCCAACTCTGATTTGATTGTGCAGTGCTCGAGAAATCTGCGGCAGGCCGGCTAGCCAAAGATGCTTGTGGATTTCATTTAACCGCGTAACATCAAGATCGTGTTTCATATATGCTTTAACAGAGCTCGGGTCAGATATGTCGATGCTAACGAGTTTCTTCTCTTGCTGGTAGATGCCAGCAATCAGTGGCGCATCTTTGAAAATATCTTCCTTGTGACTGAAGGGAACTAATCTCCGACCCGCCTGTCAGCAAAATACTTTAAGAATGCCAGCGAAACATTCATCTGTCGTCAGAAATTCATATCCCCACAGTAATCTCCCTAACATGGCTAGAATGCTTGTGCGTATGCTACTCTAGGCAAATAAGATGAAGAAACGACTACATACCGCGGGATTTCTCGACGAGCGTTGCTTTCGTACTCAAAGGGTCGATAGTGTATGCAGAATCAACCCGTGCCGCTACTGAATAGCCCTTGTTAATCATGCAAGCTATTATGGAATGCTTCATTTTTGCCCTTTTAAGGCAATACTACTCCTTCCTAGTGGAGAAGCAAAGAAAAATGGATGAAAGGAGAATTAGGCGCTGACATACATTCAAGACCATCTGCATGATTTTCGCTACCCATGATCCCCAACGTAATCGTGGATGCTCGTAAGAAAAGTGCTTAACGCAGCCTAAGAGGGGCTTCTAAGAATGAGGCATGAGAGATTCTCGCCGAGAAGTATAAAAAGCTGACTGCGACCTCTGAATACGAAAGACCTGAGAAGTCCGAGACATAGGGATCCAGCTGAGAGCCGGCTTTAGGCAGACTTGGCTGTATTCCCAGCCGTACTCCATACAGCCAGGTTACAAGGATCTTTAACCCCGCCCGGCATATTATCTATACGATGCTTGGCAGCACCCGTACCAAGCCGCGTCTCATTGGCAAATCAGACGCGGCAGCTTAACGCCCAGCCACAGCGGCAAACGGGGCCTGACGTGTCAAGCAGGGATTTGATCCATGATCTCAGTCGCCACTAAATAGCAGGCATCGACGGGACTTTCGGCCTATGTAGGTTATCTATGTATCAGTAGAGTTGCTTCATTGCTGTAGAGGTATTTACATTATGGACAGTGTATGAAACCCAGGTGAAGTGGTTGACTTGGTTTCATGATGATATTAGGTATCAAGGTGGCAGGGATTGGAGCTTATTTCGTCATCAGGTAAAGGTATGTGTCTACGTAGTACTGTACTACAACGGACGTTATAGTTATACAGTTAGTAAGTTAAGACCATCATCATGTAATTTCCACTCATCGTAATACTTCGTATGTCCCTAGCACCGTGATGCACCCGGCATTGCCTCCCTCGCCGTGCGGACAGCACGGTCCGTTATGCGTGTACTCTTCGTTGGACTACATGGTGCATTTATAAGCAATCATTCATTGACTAAATATAACTACGTTTCGGAGAAGTGAATGATGAAATACTTCTTTCTCCTTCTTAATACTTATCATTCAATGTAATCCAGAATTGGATGTGCTGTTTCGGAGCCTAGCTACGTCTCTGGGTAGCTAACCGACAGATCATGCGAACCATGAATTCTTGATGTCCTTTTTATTAACTCCACACGTTATATCCTCTCAAAATCATTGCGGAGGTTTCAATTGCTTAGGTATGCAATTGTACTGTCAACATTCACTTCCGTAGGCGCGGGCCGATGCCTGCGCTGACCCTATAACATGTCTGAGCCTGTGAATCACAATGCAACGCCGGGATTGGATAATCCGTCCACAAAGTGACACTGCCGTAACATATATATTAAGATGGTTATCGTGGGTTGAGAGATTTAATGTTGCATCTGAGACATTCTCCTCAATATTTTCCCCTGCCTACCCCGTACATCGGAGCAGGAGCCAGAAGCGGAAGATCGACCGTTGAATTCATTCCCAAGTACGACAGCAGCAAATATGGACTCTAAAGCAGCTTACAAGGTTTTTGACCAATGGATTGGACAGCCAAGGTCTATTCGGGTAGTGGTGATTGGAGCCGGAGTCGGAGGTATTGCTGCCGTGAAACTCTTTCGTGAAACATTCAACGTACGCCCAACAACTCTCGTCATTTATGAGAAGAACCATGATGTTGGTGGGACTTGGTTGGAAAATCGCTACCCAGGCTTACCACCTATCCCAATACACAGAGGTCAAATCGCTTGTTTCTTTCAATAGCACCCCAACATAGATAGCTCCGGAATTTGGTGCCGAGATTGCTCCTGAAGAACAGAAGACACGTTGACCAATGGTCCCAATGAATATGTGAAATTTGGAAAGGAAAATGAAGCCTTTCCAATACATATTTTCGTTTCCATTATCGGGATACGCCCGTCCAATAGCAGGCGTACCAACAAACTCGACAGGCAATTCCTGTATGACCAATTTAGACAACACTAGCAGCGGCGGTCCCAGTGCGAGATGGCCATGCTCCCTTCACATAGGAGATCAACTGTTTCACACTCCCTTTATCAGCGTCGGCTACTTGAGATATTTGTCCAGCACTGTGTAACTTGTCAATCATTTCTAATTTTGCCAATGCCAGCGTGTAGTACTCGCGAGAGTGCCGTACGAAGCTTGTGTAAACCACAGATTCATCACGATCTATTAGTGCGCGAGCTTCGGAGCCCAGCTGAGACGGGCTGATACGCTTATTCCACAACGATAGCCATTTCTCTAGGGAGTAAAAGAGTGGCATAATTGTATCCTGCGAAGAGAAGCAGGAGATTTGTTGACAGAATATGATGGAATGTATCGCTGAGAAGGATACAAGTAAGTAGTTGACCCAGCTGATAAGAGTAGTATTGTTCACTCTGGAGATAACCATACCTGAAATCAGAATAAAACCACCCAGATCCGTGATTTCTAGCAAGTGGCTATATAAAGTTGAACTTGTCGTGTCGCATAGCATCTGAATCACCCTATGTATCCGTGTCTCTCTTGTTATAGGATAATTAGGGCAGATCTGCTGCACTGATTCAAAGAATTCATAACCTGTATGAGCATGGAAGCAGACATCCGGATATGGAAACGGAAAGTCTAAATCAGGAACGGTAATACGAGGAGGTATACTATGAAAGATAGTAAAGGCTGTGTCAAGGACAAAGATGTAGGATTTAGTACTGCCCAATTAATCACATTAGTGTTTCAGAGCTGCGTAATAAACATAGTTGTTAATCTTATCGATCGAAAATTTAACTTACCGAAGTAACTGCTCTTCGAGAATAAACTCATCCCAGTATCGTAACGTTGCTGCTAAATCCGAACCTATCTGTTCACCCACCCGAGAGTATGCCAGCTCTTGAGAGGCTTGGGCGACATAGGGATATCGAAGCTTTCTGATCCTTTCTTTCGCCTTAGATGACCCTTCCCAGGTTTGCAAAGCACACATCAGTATGGCCGTTTGCAGTATTCTCAGTTTTGTGTATCGTGTCAAGGCGAGGTTTGGTTGGTCGCTCTGAGTTTCTCGCGATAGCCATGGTAGCGCAAATACGAGTCTCTCGGCAGGTTCCAACCATGTGCGGGCATTTTGGGCGTCTCCAGGATACTTAGAAACACAAGCACCAATGAGTACAATGACCAGAACTAATTCTGCAGGGGCTTGAGAAGGGTCGAAACTGGGTGTGTGAATAACTGGGCAGTTCCGATGCCACCTTTTCCAATACGTATCTAGCAGCCTGCGCAGGTTCGGTGGATTGAAAAACTCGAGACATTGTTCTTCTAAAGATTGAGCATGGTTGCCTGCTGCAATTTCGTTAATGCCAGGTAAGTTGAGCAGTTTTTCGCATATTGCCTTTGTTTGAGACAGAAGAGGATCAAACAGCCATTCCATCGTTCTGCTTGCTCGACTTCTCTCTAGGGGTTCCTTTATCTGCTTGTTACTGGTTTCGTAATCCACGACCAACAAATCATCAATAGTCAGCAAATTATCAGAATACCAGTTGTCGGTCCCTTTCTCCGCAGAAGTTAGGAAGTTAAATGAGATGTCGAGACCGTCGTGTGAGGTGAAATTAAGGAGAAACTCAAAGCGCTCGGTTTCAAAAGCTTGATAGGAGAATCCTCTACCTCTTTGCTGCGAAACAAAGCATGAATAGTTGAGGGGAATCGGAATAGGTGTAAGTGGTGTTAGGGTGAATGGGGACAGTGGCAGTGACATGGACAACGTTGGCTTAACAGTTGTCATAAGTGCACCGTCAGCCTCTGCCAAACGGTGAAGCATTTCCGTAGAAGAAGAAGAATCCATAGTCTGTAAGTTATCCGAGTTTGGTTTAGGCTCTTGGTGTGAGCTCATGCGACGGTAAGAACAGGAGGAGCCTCTAATGGAGCAAGTTCCACAAGGCGACTTAAAGTTGCATGCTCGCTTACCCACTGCACATTGGTCACAGGCTCGTCGTTTTCTCCCTCGCACCTCTGGATTCGGGACAGAATGGCCCATAGCCTTTCGCAGGAGACATGATTTCCAGTGTTTGCGTAAGGAATCCCTAGATTGAAAAGTTTGTAAGCTATCTATAGCATACAGTATTACAGTGATGGCTGTATTCATGCAGGGTCTGCGTACCGGCGTGTGAACTTCCATAAACAATAGGTACATTGATGCGATTCATTGCCACTGTCTTCATGATTGCAATCAAGTTTGACATATGTTAGCTAGGATTCCCGGACAGGCGGAGAGGTACATACGGGAACGTTGATGTCTTCTCAGATGCGCAGAACGCCCAAATGAGGCAGAGCAAGTTTCGCAAATAAATTCAGAATCACCCATCTTGAATAAGAGAATGTCACTTCTGAAGAGTGAAACGTGGTTGGTGACCTCTGTTGGATAATCTGGTACTGTTGGTCCCAATCAAAATGCGGCGGCATAAAGTCTCCAGATTTCCGGGCCTGGGGTTGCGGTGGAGCCCAAAGGAGAAATTCAGACGATACTCTTGATGACAAACAGATTGGAAATACAACTTTGTCAGAGCCATCAAGTTCGCGCTGGTAGCAACCAGTCCTACTCTACCACTCCGAGGTCAATAAAATCTGGTGATGAATTCGAGAATCCGGCTCGGCGGCATTTTCGGCCCCGAGAGTCTTTCAACCGGGAAATATACGCTTTCGGGAGGGTATTTGCCGCAACCCCTGTTCTAATAGATGTGCTAGCTTCTAGACAACTCTCGAGACGACTGAAAGTGGCAAAATGATTGACAGGTAAGAAATGAGCGTAGTATAGGTTATGGGATGTTTAAGAGAAGTTGAAATGTACGCAAGTTAACTGATACTACACTACGAGTCAGTGTTGAAGAATAAGATGGACAAAATATTCACTATGAGATATGGAGGTGAGGCGGGTATGATGGCTCTCAACACGAATTCCAAGGCGCAAACAGCCGTCATGATCAACACAATGGCTGGCGGGAAGGATTTAATTATCCGGGAGATTCAGGTCCTGCAACAAGCAACATGTATTCCCCGGAGTACGGATGCACCCGAAGAAGACGGGTGGATCGTGCCTCGTTGAGATTCGCGCTAATTTACCGTCTAGTCTTGCTGTCTAGGAGCGGGCAAACTCACGATGATTACAAGTACTATTAATTCATGTTCGATCAAGCCTCATGTAAATGCGGAGAGCCGCTGAGGCCAGGGCGCCTCTTGTCGGCCAAGCCGAAGCGTGGCTTCGTTCCCAGGAAAAACACTTCTCTTTTTCTAGCCATACGAGTCAAATTTGATCGTGTATGTTATTGAGTGTTGTCATGTAGCCGTCGGTTAGGGTCAATGATGGATGGCCTTTACGAAGTTAGACTAATTTCATGAGTGGTGTCAGCTTCGCCCAATACAGACCATCACAGGCATATGGCGCGACGAATAACTTGACTTTGGAAAACCCGCCAGTATCTTTTACATGGAATTATAAAAATAGTTATCTCAGTCTAACAAATTAAACATCAATTAATGTGCATCTGACTTATTCTTGGGAAACATCGCTGCTAAAGATCCGAGGTGCCGTAATACCAATCCTCGGAATAGCCTCCTTACAACCCTCTCCTACACAGATACTACCTTCTAAGAAACAAGGGTTTCACGTAATAGGGCATTTTGACCTCGGAACAACGCACCGCCTTATTTCGTTCAATGCGTGTGCCATAGAAATAGGAGATGCGGGTATAATACGTTCGTCACGAGTTTCTAAACAGAGCAACTTTGCCAGTTTAGTGCAAGCGGGTAAATCCCGCCTCCCACTTCAAGCGAAAACATCGCGAAGGATCTCACGAAGGATCGATGCTAAAGTCACTGGCGCTCTTTATGACATAATCATGGACACGATTGTTGCTTGATCATGTTCCTCGGAGAGGGGAAGTTTGGGGCTATGAGCCAGACGGAGATGGGATTGTCGTCTCTCATATAAAAAGGATCATGCTGGCGCTCTTCCCTTCAAGCTAAACTACTACACGACACAGTCAAGTCGAGTACAATTACAGTCGCAGCTCGATATCGACATATAAAGTAAAGCGCCAACCCAAGCTCATCTCAGCCAACCCAAATTCACAATGACTCAAAAAACCCTCAATGTCGGAATAGTGGGAGCTGGTATCGGAGGACTCACTGCGGCTATTGCAGTGGCTAGGGCTGGGGCAACGGTGACTCTGCTTGAAGCTGCCCCTGAGCTGGGCGAGATTGGTGCTGGAATTCAGGTATGTTACTCCATGGATCTTTCTCATTTACAAGAATCTAAATGAACTTCAGATGTTTCCAAACTTCTCTCGATTCCTCGTGCGATGGGGCGTAGACAAGATTATTGGTGATAACATTGTCAGCCACCACGATTGTAACACATATTTTGGTCCCAATGCCACTCTGATCGCGCACTCCTTGGCATCTGACCTGGCTGCAAAAGCTGGATTTCCCTGGTATGAACCCATTTCTCTCTCTCTAAGTATCGCACTCTCTTACAGACGGTGATCGTATAGGTGGGTTGTCCGACGTGATCATTTGCACTATGGTCTCACTGAGTCGGCACGCCGCCATGGAGTCAAAGTCATTGTGGGAGCTCGAGTAAGCGAGATGCAAGATTTAGCAGACGGCGTTCATCTTCAAACCACAAATGGCGACCGGTACTCCTTTGATATGGTCATTGGCGCAGACGGAATCAGATCCTTCATTCGATCTCAACTGCTGCCCGGCATCGTTCCCAAGGCCCCTTCCAAGATTGCCGCTTATCGTGGAGTGTTGTCTTATAAGCAGATATTCGACGAAATCCCAGAAGCCCGTGCTTATCTCGGAAACAGTATGGATGTCTGGGCCGGCCCCAACGGCTATATCCTCACCTACCCCATTTCGGGAGGCAAAGAGCTCAACATTGTTACCGCCTTCTGCAAAGATGACTACGTGACGAAAATGGAGCAGGTCGATATTGAAGAATTTCGAGACTACTACAAGGACTATAGCCCGGTTATTCAGAAAATCCTCAAGCTGGTCAACTACACGCAGAGATGGCCTCTTCTGCAGATGCCTCCACTGGAAACATGGTCCAACAAGCACAAGAACGTGGTGATGATGGGCGATGCAGTACACTGCATGCAAAACAATATGGCACAAGGCGCAGCGACGGCTATGGAAGACGGAGCTTTCCTGGGCCGTGTCATTAGTGAGGTCGTGCGCGGAGTCATTTCTGTTCCAGAAGCCATTCAACTCTACGAGAAGAGCCGAATGTCTAAGGCTTGGGTCAAGCAACAGATTTCGTACATGTCCGGAGTTGTCAACATGATGCCTGATTCAAGTGAGCGCAACAAGGCTACTCTTCCGGAGATTCAAGCTGCAATGGAGAACCGCATTCGACCAGCGGAATTGCCTGCAGCCTACCGATCTTGGCAGTTTTATTGCACGGCTGACACTGTTCCTGGAATTTTTTACTATGATGCTGAAGGTGATGCAGACAGTATGGTGTGCGAATATTTGTGCAGCAAAGGACCTATTGACGATGTTCAAATGCTCAGCGAGAATCTAGAAAACAAATGGATGGGCTATGTTCACAATAATGGACTGAATTTGCAGAATGGTGAGACAAAGTCGGCGAAGGGACCTGCTTTGACTGCGGCGGATTACGACCGATATGGGCGCGGTCTTTAGGTGTTACACATAGTCAGAGCGCCAGATGTATTTAACAATGCGGTTATAAGAAGAGTGGTAGAAACACGGGATATTGTTCATAAAGATGATTGCATGTACTCATGTTGCTTTGCATTTTGCTTCGACCCCCGTTAGCCGATGCTGGCTCGGACTATTCGTCTCGATCTCGGCAAATCCTAATAGCAACGGTAACAACGAAAGTGGAATCCCTCAACCATACATCGGGAACTCTCCTCGAATAGCATTGCCGCACGTAAAGACAACGAATTTGTATCCGCGTCAATCTGCACATTTAATTCGTTGACAATCAGCATGTGCAGCGCTGATTGAGGGGTTGCACAGCTTTTCAGCCCCAAGCACGGCACAGTGGCTGGCTGAAATCCCACTCAGAACATCGACTACGCCCATTCAATTATTCATTGCATCACTCGTATTGATGTATTAATTAGTTGCGGGGATTTTGCTCCCGAGAAGTCGACTCATCATTTGATATCGTCATTGCGCCGTGGAAAATGACACCGAATCCTACAAACGCTACTTTATCTTAATAACAACAGGAGGGAAATATGTAGCCAGTCATCTGAAGTAATTTGAGACATTGTCATACGCCCAGAGTTGCGGTGATAAAAGGAAGCCCCGAATTAGGGGCTATCCCCGCGCTCTTAGATTTCTCAAACAACGAAACAATATCCAGATCACCATCAGTCCTGTGACGTTAAGTTCATGATAACGGCTACGCCGTAACCATATACTGATTTATTGCTCTTAATACTTCGCTCCTAATATGGCATCCTCTGTGCCTTATTCACCTCGGGCAGTATCTGGTACTCCTGGAGAGGCGTCGCAGGTACGGACCTCGGGCTCCAGCATTGTTCACACGCCTAACCATCGATTTATTCAATAGGACCGCCAGAGCACAATCGCAGAGAATCCTTCATCTCACACCATCAATGATGCAAGCCAGCAGAGCCAAGATGCGCCTAACCGTCTGTTGGCAGGCAAGGCCGATAAGCGTTCTCTGCGCGAAAAGTTCAACGTCGACACTCACACTGGCGGCGTATCGTTGAGCGTCCCCATACAGACATCACTAGGGCGCAGTGGCTTTGGTCCTTCACTGGATCTCGTGTATAATTCTGGATCAGCCAGCAGCAATGGCGTTTTTGGCTTGGGGTGGAGTTTGTCAGGTGTTGACAGCATCTCTCGCAAGACATCTGTTATGATTCCCGTTTACGACGACGACCAGGATACTTTTGTTCACTCTACAGTTGGTGATCTTGTCCCCATAGTAGACACTGGCTCTGGAAAGCCTGTCGAGAGAGATGATGAGCTGGATGGTATCAATTATCGTGTTAGACCCTATCGACCACGCGTGGAATCGGATCCTATTCGCGTTGAGCGCTGGGTGAGTCAAGATGGCTCTGATGAAATGCATTGGAAGACAATGTCCTCCAATGGCATTACAGTTATCTTTGGCAAAGACGCTCAATCTCAAATCTCATCTAACCGCGGAAATGATGACAAAGGAGATCATAAATTAGTATTCACATGGCTAGGGTGCGAAATATACGACAGGAATGGGAACCACATGATATTTTCGTACAAGAGCGAGTCCACAGATAATCTAGCGGCAGCTTTCGACGACAACATGAGAGCATACGAGAATCATCGGAATGCCACCACCCAACGCTATCTCAAGTCAATCAAATATGGTAATAAGACGCCAAACCGCAATTTGAAGGATTGGACAAAGGTGCTCCCACCACCGCAAGACGACCCATGGTACTGGATGTTCGAAGTCGTCTTTGACTATGGTGAACACGCTGGGGAGTCGCCCACTACAAAAGAAGATTCGCAGGGATGGGCACTTCGTCCAGACCCATTTTCTTTTTACAATAGTGGCTTCGAAATTCGCACTTACCGACGTTGCCAGCGTGTGCTCATGTTCCACCATTTTCAAGAGTTGAAGTCCCAAGATTATCTCGTTGCTGCAACTGAATTCAATTATGACGTGGATCCCAAGTCCGGAGCGTCTGTTCTCCGGTCTTGCGTTCCGTGTGGCTACCAATGGGACGAGACTGGCACAAATTTGTCGTGTCTTCGACTGCCGGCCATTGAGTTTGAATATTGGACGGCTCCAGATATTGCTGATCTGGGCGTGGAAGAACTCCAATTGGATCTAGCTGGGCTGTCTACTCCCACAGTGCAATGGGTTGATTTGAATGGCGATGGCGCTCCTGGCATCCTTGCACATGGACCGGGCGTGGGATGGTACTACTATCAAAACAATAGCTGTGATACACCAAGCTTTATAGGTCCCCAGTTAGTATCCCCGATTCCGAATCTAACTGAGTCAGATGACTGGAACTTTGAGGACTTGACTGGAGACGGGCACTTGGACGTGGTGGTGGCATCCTCCAAGAACCAGATGAACGGCTTTTATGAGCACCGGGATGGCGAAAAATGGGCAGATTTTGTACCCTTTCGTTCATTTCCAAATGTTGACTTCGCCACGGATCCGGATGTTCACAAGGTTGATCTTAATGGTGACGGCCATGCTGACCTCTTGCTACTTCAGTATCGGAATGACAATGAGTTTATCTGGTATCCATCACTCGGTCGCGAGGGATATGACGCTGAATACCGTACAAGAGGGGCACCAGGCTTGCCCTCGGGAGAATCAAATCTCACGGTACTTTGTGATATGGTAGGAGATGGTCTTAGTGACATTGTCTCTATATCTAACAGCAGCGTCCGCTATTGGCCTAACATGGGCCACGGGCGGTTCGGTCGTCAAGTTGTCATGAGCAATGCCCCGTTTCTAGCCGATGATGTTAGCTTCTCAACTCAACGCATCCGTATGGCCGATATCACCGGGACTGGAACTACCGACATGATCTATCTCCCACCAGAGGGTGGTGCTCACATATATTATAACCAATCTGGAAATTGCTGGAGTCGTGCCCATGTGTTGGATTCATTCCCTGTATTGGATCGTTCGTGCGCCACTGATGTGCTGGATATTGGCGCCCGTGGTACGCAATGCCTCTGCTGGACATCAGATCTCCTGAGCGGCGGCCCTGGATTAACCACAGTACGATTCTTTGACTTGATGGGAGGGTGCAAATCGGGGTTGCTGAAGAAGTGTTCGAATGGAATTGGTGGCCAAATTGAGATGGCTTATCGCTCCTCTACTCAATATCATATGGATGATCAGCGTGCCGGGAGGAGCTGGAAAAGACGCCTACCATTCCCAATCCACTGCGTAGAGCGTGTCATCACCAGAGATCTTATTGCCCAGACAGCCTATACTATGCGCTACGCCTACCACAATGGCTACTATGACCCAGTTGAACGGCATTTTTGCGGCTTTCAGATGGTGGAGGAATGGGACGCCGAGGATTTGGCTGCCTCAAAATCATCTCAGAAGAAGTTTCAGAGACCTCCAGTTCACACAAAGAGCTGGTATTATTTAGGCTTGCAGCAGATGGACGAAGTTATTGTGCTTCCCGAGTACTACCATGTCGATGTACCTCAGCAGGCCCCATTACCCGCCGCAACGATTTCTGGAAAGGCCTCCACTGGGCAGTATAAACTAGCCGTGGCAGAGGTTCAGGACGCATACAGAGCACTCTCAGGCCAGAGGCGCCGACAAGAAGTCTTTGGCGCCGACAGTTCTACTAAAACTCCAGTTCCGTACCTCGTCTCTCAACAAACATATGAGGTAGTGATGCGTCAAGGTATTCCTTCAGGACAACGGTATGGAATCTTCCGAGTACATGGTCGCGAAGAACTCACATGTCATTACGAAAGAGACATGAGTGAGGGCCTAGTACAGCACTCCTTGACGCTGCAAACAGACGACTATGGAAATGTCTGCAAACAAGTGGTTGTGAATTATGGGAAGCTCGAGAGTAACCTGGAAAATGATGATGATCGTAGGAAACAGCAAGAAACCGTTATATCCTACACGGAATCAGATTATACAAATGCTATCGATCCTACTTTATCAACAGCCTCAGAGCATTCTGGCTACTTTCAAACACCCCTTCCATCCGAAATTCGCCAATACCGTATACTTCCGGGATCCGAATGGGCTTGCAACTCGCCAAATCGATACACCTGGGAAACTTTGAATGCATCGCTACCAGGAATAGACGAAGTTCCAATTCATGAAACCCCCAGTGGAGGTTCGGAAAAAGGCCTCGCAGTACTCGTTTCTAAAAATCGTACCTTGTACAGCAAGGCGGATCTCACCGGCCCATTACTACTGCATAAGCTGGAGCCATTCTCGATCGACTACCAGAGCTATCAGTTTGCCTTTACCAATAAGCTTCTGGAAGCGGCCCTGAAAGACGGCGAATCTTTGCTGATCAATCCAGGAAAGCTCGCTGAGGAGTTGTCTAAGGGTGGTTACGTGCAGCTACCCGAATTAGACGGTCAAAATGATGAGTGGTGGGCTCCATCATCTCGCAAACTATTCAAGCAAAGCATGAACGATGATAGTCCAGAGAATAATCTGGACATTGCCAGGTCTCATTTCTACATTTCCAATGCGGAAATCAATCAATTTGGCTACGTCTCTCACCAGGAGATGGACCAATTTCAGCTTCTCTTGGTGAAATCTGTCGACGCGGTGAAGAACGTGACAGTATTTGACAATAATTATGTGTATTTGAAGCCTAAATTGGTCACTGATGCCAACTGCAATCGAATTGAAACTGTATTTGACCCATTTGGGCGTCCCTTGGGTATCGCAGTCGCAGGAAAACAGACGGAGACGCTCGGGGACAGTCTCGATGGCTTCTTGAGTGCACCAACTGAGGAACAGCTAGAACAGTTCTTCAACGACCCCTCAGGACCAATAGCTGCACAGCTCTTGGGTAATGCAGGGCGTAGATTCATATATCACGATCACTTTCAGCAGGATTCGGAGCCGGCAAATATGTTACCAAGTTTTCAGGCAGAGCTTGTACGTGACACCCATTATAAGAATGATGACGGTCAACCTGTTTCTTCGCAAATTTCTGTCAACTTCGTCTATCTTGATGGCCACAGTGAGGCAATTCAGGAAGCTTCTCTCTCTGGAAGCGACATAGCCACTGAGAAATGGCGCCTCACCGGCTGGGCTATCCGAGATAACAAAGGCCAGGTTGTTAAGCAGTTCCTGCCATCCACAGCCGCAACGCACAGATTCCGCCCTCAGGCAGACAGTTCACAAGCCCCCGCCACAACGCTGCTGCGAGATCCCCTGGATCGTGTAGTTGCGGTGGTGAATGCTGATCATACCTGGACCAAAACCAGGTTTACAGCGTGGACGCAGGTTGACTTTAACGCAGGAGCCACTGTCAAGATTGACGATCCAGCCGCTGATGCGGATGTAGGCAACTACTTTACTATGCTGGACCGCGATTCGTATTTTCCAACCTGGTACAACAGCCAAGAGACTCCTCGTGAAGCAGCTTCCAAGTCTAAGATATATCACGACACACCAAAAACCAGCCATTCAGATGCCGTAGGACGAGGAATTGTTGTTGAGCTGGACAACGGACCACAAACTGATGGAACTTCTTCAAGGGACATTAGAGTATTGCGAAAAGACTATGACCTCCGTGGCAACGTGACTCAGCTGCGAGATGCTCTAGATCGTGTTGTATCAGTGACCAAATACGACTTGCTCGGGCATCCGCTACACAGAATTAGCATGGACAGCGGAAGTGCATGGAATCTACCCAACTGTTTGGGTTCACCATTTTTATCTTGGACTGGCCGAGGTATCCGACACCGCAATTCGTACGACGGGGTTGGGAGAGTAGAGAGTGTCAAGATTCAGCTATCTCCTTCAACCCCGGAGATTACGGTGGTGAAGAATATATATGGAGAAGGCCGGCCAGACTCCTTGACAAACAATCTCAACGGCAAGCTTTATCAAACGTATGACCAATCCGGACTACAAACCAACAATCGCTTTGACTTCCACGGCAGCTGCATCGAATCATCTATTAAATACGCTGTCGAGTATAAAAAGACGTTAGATTGGTCCGTAGAAGCCAACAACGCGTTAGAAGATACCGAGTACAAGACCAAGACTTTGTTCAACGCCCTCGGCCTCATCGTTTACACAGAAGATTCTGGTGGAGAAAGCATACGGCGCACGTACGACGTCGCTGGCCATGTAAAGACTCTCAAATCTTTCGCCAAAGACGGACAGACTGTCACATCCTCTGTTGACAATGTCTCATATACTGAAGATGACAAAGTGTTGTCAATTAATTACGGCAATGGATCTCTCACTACGCATCAATATGACCCAAAAACACGACTACTAGTCGGAACAATCACAAAGCGCTCTAGCGACGAGGCTGTCCTAGAGGACATTTCGTACATGCATGATTGCATCGGAAAGGTAATCAAGAAGACTAACAGCGTCGAGGAAACCATTTATTTCAATAACTGCGTTATATCTCCTTCACAAGAGTATCGCTATAACCCGCTTGGGCAACTCATCAAAGCCACAGGTCGTGAGCAGGTTGACGCTTCTAGAAGTGGTCAAAAGCGCTTACGTCCGCATGATGCAACCTCTTCAAGAAGCAATAAAATTCCCGGAGACGGCCGTCAGATGGTTGAGTACATTGAGACTTATGAGTACGATCTGGGAGAAAATATCATGAAGGTAAAGCATGCTCCACGAGCAGCAAAAGATTACTCTGGTTGGACACGGACATATGTATATGATGAGCCCAGTTGCATAGACAAAGCTGTGAAAAGTAATAGGCTGAGCAGCACAGCCATCGGAAACGTGACGGAAACCTACCAATACGACGATGATGCAGGTCGCAACGGTTGCATAACGTCCATCCCTGGCTACACAGCGCTCTCCTGGAATCACAACGACAAGCTGCGTTCGTTCTCAACACAAAGGGTCTCGAAAGAAGATGCAACGCCAGAGACAACGTGGTACATCTACAATGCTCGGGGTGACAGAACCCGAAAAGTCACCGACGGAGCATCAAGGGGCGATGATGCTTCGACTGTTGTAAGGATCAAGGAGACGCGGTACCTTCCCATGAGAGATGTCTTCACCACGTATCATGGAGACGGGCTCTCGGTATCTAACCAGATCACCACAACAACTATTGGCGACTCAAGTCTTTCTGGGACGCCAATTATGATGCTTGAACACAACGCCAATACACAGGAGCAAGTAATTCGATACCAGATAAGCCATAATCTCGAACTTGACGACACCTCCCAAATTCTCTCCTACGAAGAATACTCTCCTTTTGGATCAAGCACATACCAGGCTCTCAATAAGGGTATCCCTCGCAAGTACCGCTTCATGGGCTACGAAAAAGATAGGGAAAGCGGTCTTTATGCCTGTGGTGCAAGATATTACGCTCCATGGCTAGGGCGCTGGACTTCTCCGGATCCAATTGGCCCGGAAGATGGACTCAATCTGTATGCCTATGTAGGAAATGATCCGGTTAATTTCCATGACCAGCAAGGCACGTTTAGAGCCCCAGTAAAGAGACGGGCATCAGAAGCCCTCGATGATCCGCCACCTGCTAAGAGGCCGAGAATTGATCATCAGCAGCAAGCGCCCGGCAACCCGACGGAGGGCCAAGCCGCAGCCCCCGAGGCCGCAGCACCCATAGTGAGGCAGAATATAAGCAACCCGGCCAATCTTAATGACCAGCCGGGCCCGTCTGGCTACAGGCCACCGAGCCAGGGAGCAGGAAACGAAGCCTCACCAGCTGTCACCCCGGCGGCAAGAAAACCTGAAAGAGAAGAACTGGTCAGTTTCCTTGACGAAAAGAATAGGCTTGTAATGGTAGTCTACTTTCCTACAATCAACGGCGAGCCAGGCGTCGAAGGGTTCATGGCACACGGCGGCCTCGGCACCTTACAAACTCACGCCACGGCCAAGGAAGTCTGGGATAAAAATAAGGCTGAAGTTAAACAACGTCCTGCAAAGTTAGTGGCGAGGGATGTCATCTTTCCCCGTATGACGAAGCTCTACGGAAGGAAGGAATTCAACAAGCGAAGTGAAGAGAAGAAGCCTTTCTACCTTTTCGCTTGCCACGGCGGAGAAGATTCGACAATAGGGCCAAATACCTCCTCTGGGCAACAAATTGCCGATCTGTTTAACCGGCCGGTTTATGCTTACACGGGTGAACTCAAAGCAAATGAGCCCTATAAAGGTGCGCCACATAGGACTTATAATAGACTGGAGCAGCCAGGCGGAGTTGCTGCGGTATATGGTGAAAAAAATTGGAAAAGGTATGATCCTATACCAAAGGGAAAATAAATAAAACGAGGATTGCTAGAATACGGCTCGCCAAAGCAAGCATTGCTTTTTTAGCTTGAATATGTAGCTCTTATATATCATGATTCCATCGGCGCATTATACAGACCCAGTAGATACCGCATAACAATCTGATTAAAAAAATACAGGATAGCTACTCCTTAGTTTAATAAACGTAGAATGAGAATCACACGAATGTATATGCACTTTGATGAAATGTTTATAACGCCCAAAAATATCATAGTTCCGTTAACCAGTCCGTTCCCATACCATGAAGCCTTTTCCCTCATCCAATACACGTACACATGCTTGATTCTAATATGCTACAGCCGTTCTATCCTAAAAACTCCGCCAATTTCCAGTATACCATGATTATATAAATTGAGTCCGTGTCCGCGCGGTCTTTTCGTCCTCATCGTCACACTCCCCACCTACTAAGCGGTTTAGTCGATCAAATACCTCGCAAACAATGCAAAAAAGAGGGAAAAAGACATAAGTTTTGAAGCCGCGCCCAGCATCACGAACTTCGTCTCAAAGAAAAGCCCCTCAGTTCTTGGTGGCCCAGCATAAAGGCCAATACAGAAGCACCATGTTGAAAAATGTCGCTCTCGTTCGTCCATAGTTGCCATCCTGTCCAGCAAATAGCGCTTAGCTCAAGAACACTCGTAACGGTAGCAAGGGACATAGCCAATCCAGACGAGTCATCGCCGCCGCGTAAGATCTGATGAGTAGCACCTCCAATGCTACGAATGGCGATGACGCCAGCAATAGCTAAAATCGCAAGCCGTGCTTCTCTAGCATAAGGAGTTGTAATGACCAGTGGAAGGAACCAGGAAGGGAGGATGGCCATCAAAAAGTAGAGGTCATATTTGTGCGAGGACTGCGAACTCGAGAGGATGGGGTTTGAGTGGATAGGGATACTAGGAATATCGTCGTTCACAACGGTTTTCTCAGAGTCGGATTCATCGTCAATGACGCTGGCAAAACTGAAGCTCTGTCCAAGGGCATCTGCCAGCGCATCTGTATCGTCAGGCCCCTCCGGTGCGAAAAAACTAGGACTCTTAAAGTCCACGCTGCTCGCTCTCGGCATTTCCTCTCGCCTATCGTCCAAATGACCCATTCCGAAACCGAAACTACTCTCTTCCTTCTTTGGCTCAACCGAAAACGCCCTCTTAAACAGCGGAGCACCCTGGGGATGGCGCAATCGCTGTGCTGGGTTCGCCGGTGCAGGTGGTACCTTGAACCAAAATGGCCCACTGTCGGGCTGTGTGGGGGATTGGCCGAATGGACGAGCGCCAGGTTTAGACGTGGGAGAGTCTTGAAAAGCCCGGTATTGCGATCTTTGAGCATGCTTTGGTAGAGGGGACCAATCCATGGCATCAGGATCTTGTCCGCGAAGGGCCTTTTGAGGAGATTTGTCTGATATGCTGAAGCCGGCAAAAGAGAGTTCATCATGGGGTGTTTGGAACGGATGTTTAGTGAATCGAGGAGACGGCAACTGGTTCAGTGGTCGCTGTGGTCGCTGAGGAGTGGGATAGTTGATGGGCGATGGATTTTTGACCGGCGACGGGTTTGCCGATTCCAGCGCTTCAGTTAGAGCCTCGGCAAGAGTCTTCGGCTCTCGTATTTTCTTTTTAGGGGTCGGCAAAGGTCTTTGCTGGCCTGCAGATACTGTCTTCCTAGTTGACTTAAATAGTGGTGTCGTATCGACTTTAATAGACCCCCTGGCAAGATAGTAGATCTACAGTTTAGGTCAGATAATGGATGGTTGATATGAAGTGGGAAAACAAAAATATAAGCAGATAAATGACCACATACCAATCCCATAATGCTAGCCATTGCAAAATGCGCGCTCAGCTGTGCCGCAGTGGACTGAGCCTGGCCACCCTGCATATGGAGAACAGAGCGAAAGATGTACCGGAAGAAGATGATGAGACCTTGAAAGCAATACCACTGCGTGAATCCAAATAGATGCCGTGTAAACCCACGGATAAGCTGCACAAAGTAGGGATTCCACCAAGCAGAGAGGAACCCAACCCAGATACTCCACCCAATCAAGGCCTCAGCAGCGGGCAGGAAAGCCCGTAGCCAGTTCAACCATGCAATCACCTGCTTTGAAGTGCTCTCGTCGTCTGGATCACGCATGCCGCTCTCCTCGCGCTTGTCTAGCACATGTAATGCGCTTACCAAGTGCCAAACAATTTGAATAATAAAGCCTCCCCACCACAGCCATCGTCCCATAGCGTTTACCACATCAAGAGAGGTCATCCTCTTAGGAACTCTTCTGCCTCGGCTCTTTTCCATCATCTGTCTCAAAAATTCCGTTTGTGCAGTATAATCTGCTTTTTTTATCCGCTCCTGGACTTTAACATCGCAGTCTTCGCATATCTGAGGGTAGCGTCTCTCCAGTTCTTTGCGGTAGCGGAAGTATTTGCGCTCCAGTTCGGCGTAGTCGGGATGAGAAGGATCGTCGGGGAGATACTCGTACTGGGCCAATGACCTGGTAAATAGATGTTGGTTCTTCAGGCACGTAGCGCAGAAAATGCTGTCTGTGGGTGATGCTGGTCGAGATGGCAATTGTTTGACGAATCGCTTTGGCGTGGAAGATTCGAGGGCAGGAGGGTCGGTGACGTCGCCATGCTAGATGCATCTGTCAGCATCAATACCGTTCGGAGATGAACAGATACCACAGTTTGCGCCAAGTATAACTAGGGGGCATGTTTACTGACCTCGTCCAGGTAGTTTGTCGCATCGCAATGTGCGCAGAGAAAGTCGCGTATCCGGCCATCATATCGAATAGATGACCGCTTCCCACAGTAGAAGCAGGACAGCAGCCTCCCCCTCAGGCGCGCCATGGTTTGCCCTGTGCTGCCACTCAGTCACTCAGAAGTAGCCGCTATGTAGCCGATAAGCTGTACGATGACGGCCGGCGCGGAGAGGCGACGATGGGATTGGCAGAGCTGCAGCAACGGCGAATGCAGGGCGGCGATTTGATGCTGCAGCTTCGGTCTGGTGTTTCTAGAAAGTCAGCGATTCTGCCAGGCGGTCAGCGCCATAATTTCTACCCCAAACACGCTAGTAATCGCAGATTCCAGCGGACCATCGCTGCCACTAGAGCCCTGAAAGGCTAACAGCCCCGCTAAATGCTCTGAGCCCAGTCACGTCACTTCACTTCAGTGACGGCTTCAGATGATACAATAGTGCTACACGTAGAATCTCCATCTCCATCTACCTTCAATATCAATCACATTCGTTGTTATTCTGACATCGACTTTACATCCACAGAATATCCGCATCCATTTGCATAATCAAATTCCTCACTTGGACACCAAACAATGCCATCAATATGGCGTCTTTAGCCCCTGCATTACCGCTTTCCTCAGCATCCTCAACCGCCTCTCTCCCATACCATCTCACCATCCGCTTTTCAAACTCCCTCCCAGATCTAGACCTAGACATTGCGTCTCCACAAACCACAACAGTATTATCTCTGAAAAAACTCATAAGAGAGCGCCTTTCCTCGCGGAACCGCCTTCGCTTGATCTACCAGGGCCGCCTCCTCCTCGATTCCTCCGCCCTCAGTTCCAGCATCAAACTACCTCCTCCCCCATCTTCATCCCCACCCACTCATGAGAATAGTTCCAAAGGCAAAGGAAAGGGCAAAGCTGTGGACAATGGCGTGGCTCCCGTGAGAGTATACATCAACTGTTCCATTGGCGATGAGCTCTCGGCCGAAGAACTCGCCGAAGAGCAGGCTGCTGCGGCCAACCCCCCTGATGAATCATCGAGTGCATCTTCGTCTCATCCAAATGGCCATCCCTCATCATGGACGCGCCCTCGTCCACGAGGCTTCGACCGCCTCCTCCAAACGGGCTTTACGCAGTCGGAAATCGAGACGCTACGCACGCAGTTCGCCTCCATTCGCACAGAAGGCTTTGCGCCAGATGCCATGCCTTCGCCAGACACTTTGCGCAATATGGAAGATGAATGGATCGACAGCAACGCTGGGGGTGTTCCTTCGGCGAATGCTGCTGCCGAGGATGATCTCAACGGCATGTCCAACATGCTAGACGTCATGATTCGTGGCATGATGGTGGGATTCTTCTTTCCCCTGGGGAGTCTGGCCTGGTTACTTCGCTCAGATGTATGGAGCGAAAAGTGGCAGGTCTTTGTGGGCTCTGGAGTGGCGCTGAGTTTACTGGTGGGAGTTGTCATGAGCATCACCAATATATACTACTGAGGGAAGGTGTCCGGTGTACCATCTCCTCCTATATAACTGCATTATCGGCGTGTCTTTTTCTTTGGAAAATACAATATCCTACAGAGTGCCAGCTCTTGTCTATAATTGATCTCTTTTCCCCAAAGTTGTCTATTCCACGGAGATTTCTGACCCGCAAGTTATCATGTCAATTTATAGACAAAAAGAACCTTAAATTGGACTATCCACCAAATATATTACAGTCTCCCATTATTACATGTCTCTTCTCGATTTTCTTTCTTTCTTGTTTTTTGGCGCAGTTGGCTGTCTCCGCAAAATGCATATATGCAGTATAGCAATTCACGGGAGCCTAACACGTGAAAGTAAAACACTTCAACGTCCCATCAGTTGCCTGAGGCTGAACGACAGGGCAAGAACAACCAACGCCTAATATTACTCTATCTTCAAACAAGATAAGAAAAAACACAATCTAGAAATTATATCTACGTCTATTTCGTTTCTCATGGCATCATCCAGATTCTCTTCGTCGCTCACATCTTCTCCTTCGCCTCACTCTCCTGTGGAATGCCGGCTTCTTCATCAGACGGATGCTCTGTAGCCTCTGATACTTCCTCCGAGTTCGCCGCCTCTCTCGCGCGCAGTTTCTTGGTTCTCACCTCCCAACCACCAGACCAGCCTATCCAGCCTGTCTCATGTGGTCCTCGAACAAGAACAAGCAGCAGGCCGCCGCCAACAAGGCCAATGGACAGAGAGCCGCTTCTGATCCATCCACCACTTGCGTACAGCTTGTTTCCTACACCCGTTCCGAATAGCTGGCCGCAGAAAGTGAAGACCATATAAACCGAGTTGACTGAGTTCTGGGCAGTGGGCTCCACGTTTGCAAACGCCATCCGGTTGGAAACAGTCACAATGGTCATGCCCAAGTCTCCGATGCTGGCCCAAATGACAGGTCCTGCCAAAGAAAAGGTGCCGGTAAAGGTTCCAATACAAACAGCTGTGAGCAGGATGAGATGCCCTATGATCAAAGTGCCGCTCGGGTGCAGACGTGTCATGACCAGTCGTGAAAAGATTGGGCTAAAGAGAACCGGTGACATGCCCACCAGGGCGAAAAGACCAATGACAAGTGTCGATAGATGGAAGGGCGGCCCCGCGAGCTGAAACGTCAAGGTGGTCCAGAACGAAGTAAACATTCCCATGAGCACAAAGGAAATGAGCGCTGACTGTGTTAGCACTGGCTGCTGGAAAGGCAGTTTCACCATCTTAAGAAGGATGCTAGGATAAGACGCGCCCGGTCGCAACACGGGAAAGTCGGGCATGAGCAAGAAGGCAAGGAGCACAATTGCAAGCTGTAAGCCAAACGACATCCAGTAGATGTTCCGCCAGTTTGTGTATTGCGTCACAATACCAGAGAGCAATCGAGCCACCAGAATTCCAAAGACGAGCCCAGACATGACGATGGCGGTCATGGTGGGTCGGTGTCGAGCTGGGGCATAGCGTACAGTCAGAGGAAACATGAGTTGCGGTGTGACGGTGAAGAGGCCGACGACATAGGACAAGCCGAGGAAGAGCTCAAAAGTTTTTGCCAAAGTACAGCCAAGCCACTGTTATTCAAATTGTTAAATGATGAGATTTCAAGGAAGAAGAAAGGCAGCAAAAGTCTCATCAACTTACAAACAACGACGTCACGAGAACCAGGCTGATGATCATCGGCCGGCGGTGTACAATGTCGCCGATGGGGACGATGAAGAGCAAACCAGTGGCATAGCCAGCCTGCAGCAATGTTGGAACCAGCGAAGCCCGCTCGTCAGAAACACCAAAGTCTTGCGCCAAGATGTGAAGAATTGGATGGGTATAATAGAGGTTTGCGACACTAAAAGCTGCAACCTAGGAATTGTCCATCAGCATCTCCGTCGCAAAGGTCGAGGGCGTGTGAATCATACAAATCCAAACAAGCAAGTTAGAGGCCACGACATTTCAAAGTTCTCGTCTGCATTCCATCTCAACCACGGCGGTGTCCAGAGCATCTTGGAGAGGATCTTGGAGAGGCCAGTTGAAGCCTCTTCGCCCGTCGTGGTGTCTTCTCTAACCGCGGCCATTGCTGTCGGTTCCGGGAGCTTTTTGTCGTTCAAATCGTCTCTTCCCCCGCAATGAGAGCTGCGAACTCAATGACTTGGGCTCTTCAACGCCTCTGCTTCTCTTTTTATAAAGAGCAACTGCGCGCGCAAAACACGTCGGTGAATTTTTTTCTTGTCTTGACTGCAACGCTCTTCCGTTCCTTACCCAATCAACACAGTCGTGAGGGGCATAGCATCGAGCTGCTTATCTCCGTAACGACCTTCGGCCCATTGCAGTCCTCCTGACAAATGACCAATTTGTCAGCGCATTTGAGTTGCCCATATGCCTGAGATAGTTCTATTGACTCAACTTTATCAACATTTCTTCACGAATAGTAAGTTATGAAGCACAAAGCTTCCAAAATGGCTCAAAATAGACCTCTTTTTGATCAATTTCTTAGCCATTGTCCCGTTTTGGAAATATGCAAGGACCAATCACACGCAACGGGTGAGACCAGCGGGCCGTGCAGTCGCCATATCACCTCCACTAAGGCGTGATTGGTCCGCTATTAACTAATCTAAGAACCAATAATGAAGCTTCAGCCTTCAAAGAGACAATCCAGCAGCTTGTTTATGAGAGGAAGCTCACGTTCTCGAGATAATTCAGAGTATAAGCAGCTCATCATGAAAAATCAAGGCCGAATCTGCCACATGTCCACTATTCACCAGGCAAGCTTACAAACTCAGTCAATAATAGTCAGCAATAACATTATCTCCCTTCTAATCTTGGTTTTCTAGTGGCCTCCGACTTTATCACAGCGAGAAATTCCAGGACGCGACCTGACCATAACTTAATCCATATTCAATCCACCATTCCATACTACCAGAACTACAGCATTGAAAGCATACTTCGACAGCATTTTAATGCTGCCTCCATACGGAACATAACTAGCACACCACTAAGATCAACTCCTCTGAAGACTACCCTGGACACTACCAAGAGTAACATACATTTCAACGAATAGAGTCATTCTATTATTCTCGGCCGGGAACCTTCGATCACACATCTTATAATATTTGTGCAACCGATGCCCGCTGAGGTAGCCTGAGGCGTGAGAGACATTCGAGCTGTCCCAATCATCCAAGAACCGAACCAACATATTACACGGACATATTGCTTTCTGAACTTCGGCCCAGGTGAGAACAATTACATACTACACTTGCTCCAAAACGGCCAGCGGCTACGCCAAGAGGCAACTCTTATCGCTCTTATCGCGGCAAGGGTCTCATCAGGAGTGCTCTGTTATGCAATCACTTTCCAACGGCGGCATCGTCTATCATACATCCTTGTACTCGTACTACGGAGTAACAGACCTTCTAATAAACCCCAGGCACTACGGAGAAGAGCGATTCTACAGCAAATCTCAGAAAAAGCAAGGGGATGAGCAGCAGGGATGACACGTCGAGGCTGCCCCAGCGAACCGAGTCAAGGATCGGAGCAGCGTACCCTTTCACTGACCGTGGTGAGACTCCACTGGTCTGTGCCCGATCTTCACCTGTAACACATTTTAAATCAACGCGAGCCCTCAATTGACCGCCTCAAGAGCATCGATTGACTCCTAAGTCTACTCCATACTCCATACTTGGATTCTTGTCTTCTGAACACAAGTCTAATCTGGAACACTTATCCTTGTCCAGTCCCGGTTTCAATATCCGGCAGTCGGGCGTAACTACCTACCCTTGAATTTATGATGAACTATTGATTCATCACGTGAACCGGTAGTTGACTCCTTATCCGCCTTGCTGTATCCCTTGGCCACTTTGTGTCTTAAGTGTGAAGGCAATTGTTCCCAAGAGACAATAGTGTGTAACGGCACGGAATTCAGCTCTTGCAAAAGCCCGTACGGAACTCAATCCCAAAGGTAATCTTAATGCTACAGTCCTACCTGTAGGATGGCACAAGATTAGCGTTATAAATGACACCATAGCTTCTTGAAGATCATGGACATTTTTGGCCGTTCTCGCCACGTGCCGAGCGAGAAGATCATATTCAGCTCCACGAGGTCATTCCTCCTCCATCCAGGTGCCGGCGGAACCGAACTCGTCAAAGAGCTGAGAGCCCTATTCAAGAGGAGAGGCCCCACGATGAAGTGGTCTCGTGGGTTATCACGAAGTACGAACCAGCATCACAAGACAAGCTATCAAGAGCATCTTCTTCCAGCTCATGCGCCGAACTCCGTTCCGGGAACTCGGGCCAAGGAGGATGAAACTCTGGGCAAATCAGGCCGTCTTCTGGCAAAACGTTGCTGTCCGTTTTGATCTATCACATCTTTGCCTGGCCAATTTCTTGCAGTAGCTTGTCTAGAATGCAGGCACTCTGATGCTAGCACAATCGAGACTGCTGGGCATGACTCGGTCTCTGGAGCCCGCTACAATGGAGAGATAATTACAGTTTTATGAGAACCAGGGTCATGGAGCTGTCAAGGCAACGTCCACAGCTAGTTGGCACTCGGCCGCACCAATAAGCCGGTCCCTCCCATCCATTCTCCGCCGCCCATGGAGAGGCGACTCCCGCTTCGACATAACCTTCTGGACCTAAGGTTGTGGCCGAATCCAGGTGCTCCGTTTTACTGTATCGCCCCCCGCGCTATATACGTGTATATTCCAGGGGGCCGCACCGCGCGCACGGGTGCGCTCAGCTTTTGATCGGCCAACGGCATAAACGAGACAAACGGCCTCTGGGGTTTGTATTGTATTTGCAAGAACCTAGCGGTGGATTGCTGTTTTGGAGAGTCCGCGTAGAATATTCCCAATTTGTCAACCCCAGAGAGCAGGGTGCAGCCACCCAAAACCAGCAAGTACGAGTATAGCAAGCCTCCGGGTTTTGGCAGGCAATTTATATCGAACATGCATGTCCCGTCGCAAACGGACACTCTCAGCCGGGGTACGATATGCTAGTGCTACTGTGATAGCCAAACACTGCCCAGGAGGTGAGACGATGATACGCAGGCACGCGCAAGGAGAAAATAGAAGAGGGTGCCATCCCATCTTCTCCGCACTTCCAAAGGGGCTACCGTGAGCAAAGGTGACAAAACATGTCATCAGCACATGGCGTGCGACAAGACATCGAGATACTGCGCCTTTCAAACTCCGTACGGACCGGCAATAAGCACAACCATGTCTTGGCAGAGCTGAGAATGTGATGCATCACCCGGGCCGGGCTCGCCTTGGAGTGCACACTATATTATTGTCCAAGACATTTCTAGCTTAGAATAGCTTGCAAGGCGAGAGATGGCGTTTTGCCGTGTCCTCAGCTCGTGCGCCAAACAGACGGCAGAGAGCTGCACATCAGCCCCGAAAAGGGATCAAGTTCGAACGCTACTAAGACCACCATGGATACGAACGGGTTTGCCCTTTCGCTATTCTTTCAGGCCTTTTCGCTTCCTCCCTCCCTCTCCCTCCCTTGTCAAGCGACGTTTAGTACGTGCATGGCTTGTCGTCCTTTGCCTGGCACCTGGTTCTGCAACGGCACAAGTTGTGACTAGCAGGGATGGTAGCTCCGCACGCCGAGGCCACTTCGCCGAAGTAGTGGCGATTTTCAACAGCTTCTCCAATGATTGCGACTCAGGAATGTATCCATTCAGCTGAGATCATTCAGCTGAGATTGGGCACGTGGGGAGGCGAATGTACGACAATCGTGTTTTGGTATTTCTAATAGTGAACGATGCTCTATGTGTGAACCCCAGCCTCTATGATAACGACAAAGTCCCCCCCAGAGCCCGCCTCCACAACGACAAAAGGAATCAACAGCCCTCCAATGAAAAATGCCCGTTTCTTGCGGAGCGAATGGCCCGCTGCCCTTGTCTTCACCGCGGCTCAACCTCGCAGCCGGGACTGCAAATAAGTAGCCAGGGGGCAACAAAAAATGACAACTCCCGACACCTAATCCCAAATGATGATAGCTCACATGTATGCGGACATTACACCTTACATGTCTATTCAGCCACCCCAGTCACAACGACTCCGTGCCTGACTAGCCCCCTGCAGATGCATTCCCTCTTTCTGTCCTTGTGACCCCCAATTACCTGTAGAATCAACCTGCACCGGGCAACATGCTCCATCGCACACTCCGGAAAACTCAACGGGCGAAACTAGGGAAAGATGCCGGTGCGCTTGTTCCTTTTTTTCATGAGTCGTCCCATGCCCCAAGATCCTCCAGCCCGTTTTCCCTCTTTAGCCGGCAGAGAGAAAGAAGAGGGGGGATTTGGGGGTTAGTTAGTTAATAGCAGTAGTAACACAAAAGGAAAACAAAATCGACAAATAAAAAAGAGTGAAATAAAATTTGTAACTGAGTCGTAAACGGGGCATTGTCAGATGATCGTCAGGACTATTTCCCAGAATGATTTTTTTTTCCCTGTCGGGGGGCAACGGCGATGCCATGGTCTCTTTTCTTTAGTACGCGGCCGGCTTATCGACCGACAGCTCATCCTTGAAGGGATCTTCATGATATCGCGAGACTGGCTTCGCCGTCTTGACGAGCGGGATGTCATCGACGCTGGCGTGCATCCCTGGCGATGAGGCAATCTCCTCGTCGTCGAACTCGCGGCCCCGCTTGCCTCGCCAGTTGCTGCTGGTGAGCGTCCCAGACTGGTTTTGGCTGCGATCGCCCGACGCGCTGTTGCTTGCGTACGAGGTGACTTTATACTTGAGTATACGGAACATTGGGCCCAGTGTGGGTAGCGATGCGCCGATGATGAGCAAGGCCCCCTCGGCGACACCAAAGATGTCGAGATATGGAACTGAATCTGTAGATTGTCGTATATCAAGATTAGCCAATGTTGATCACCTTCAAGCGTGTACTCCACATGTTCTCTCTCTCGTCCTCTCCCCCCCTAGTCAATATGTACTCACATGTCCGATCCACAGCCATCTGTTCAAAGGCCTCTTGGAACACTGTAAGCTTGTAAATCGTCACGGCGCATGCTATTGCGCTGAGTCCAAGAGCAGCGCACACAGCCAGTCGATTCTTCAGAGGCATGTTGAGCCTCATAATAAAGGGAACCGGATAAAACGCAAAGAAGAGGTCGAGAAAGGCGGAATAAGCCGACGTCGCAAAGGCCAGGCTCGTCAAGACCTCTCCGCTCGCACACGAGCCTCCTTCAATAGTCTTGTCCCATTGGTAGGCTACAGGATGGCACTGAGCAAACCACCATATCGAGACGGCGAGAAAGCAGGCCTGACAGGTAAGCGCCAGGCTCAAGAAGAGAACAGTCGTCTTGGTTCCATAATCGAGGATTCGTTTGAGGATGGCAATGATGGCGAACTTGGGAAGAGAAAAGGACCAGATGACGACCGAGTTAATGATGGCATTCCATTTGATGGCTTGCTCAAGCTGCTCCGGCGACAGAGTCTCTTCTCGCCGCCCCAGGCCGTAACTAATGCCAATACTGGAGCAGATGCAGCTGACGATGAGGATAATGAGGCAGACAAAAGTTATAAAGTCATCGAGACCAAGACGGCCATATCTGCCCCGGTGAAAGCACGCTCGACATATTATGCGAAGTATGACGATGACTACAGGCGGAGAAGAGAGAAACAAGGCCTCAAGTTAGCAAACAAATGACATATGAGACGTTGGCCAGAGGGCGTGACAAACTTATGGCAATGGCTGTTAGGGACCAATTAACTCGGTTGGCCACGATGCCGAAGTCCTCAATCACCCCAAGTCCCATCTGGTAGTGGTGTTGTGAACCCGATTATTGTCCATCCATGTAATATCCGAGCCCACGCCAATGTGAGAGAGTGACGAAGCACTATTCTCGTCTCAAGAGGGCGCCGGGACGATACTAATAGGAGGTGGGATGCACCCTGTACTTGTACTGTAGCAACACAGGCCACGACTAAGTACCTCGTAATGCACCTCCATTTGGATGAGTACTGGTAATTAACGACAGCCGGCCTCAACGGCTTGCTCCACCCTCTTGCACAAGAGACGACGCCACCGCTAGCATTTACCGATGGGGGGAGCCTCATGCCGGGGACGTGGGAAGCAAGAGCGGAATGCACGTCACAACGTTCAGCTTCATCCCACGTTTAGGACGGCCGCCCGTCGCAGTCGAGCGAGGCTGGTGGAACAGAGCAGAGACAAGCCATGAGCATTACGGGGCTCTTGGGACCCCCCCCCCCCCCCCCCCCGGCTTGTGTGCTCCATAGCAGTACCTGGCCCTTCTCCAACATGGCCTCTCTCCCTTCTCCTTTGGAGAGCACCTTTCAGACCTTCTGTCACCGTCGCAATAAGGCCCAGTCTAAAACCCGGGCGGAGCGTCCCATCCAAAGAGAGATGGTCAGCCTGACTGATAAGATTGTCCAAGGAACATAATTTGGCCCCTTGGCTAAAGCCCTTCTCCACCACGGCCAGGCACGCCGCCAGCTTATTAGTCTCGCAGACTCATGCTAAGGCCAGCGCCATGAACCATTTTGGAATTCCAGCGCCGCAAGCGCGCGGGGAACATTGGGGACAGAAGCCGGCGTGCTTCGTATAAGTGGCATTACTAGTATGTTTGACATGGCGGTGTCGACCAAGATTCATGTTATTTGTGAGCTCCGTCAAAGTCCGTTATTTTGGCTAGGTGCCTGCGGATTCTCATTTCTCTACCCGTACGAGTACGAGTATATGTCACATACTTGTACATTCTCTTTTCTCTCTCTTTCTGTCATTTGCTGTAATCATTAAAAACCCGCTGGGTCGAGAACCCGAGCTTGGCACACAGCAAGAACCGAGCGTTTGACCAGGTTCGATTCGCAAGGCCGCGGGTTTTTATTGTTGCCCCCCTGGACATGATGGCCTTGTGGAGTATATTTGGTTCGTAGCAGCATGTCGGGCCCTCCGCGATTGGGTCGCTCCAGCTGTTGCGTTCTCTAGACACAGCCATCGCCTCTCTTCGCTTCTTTTCTTCTTTTCATCTCTTTCACTCGTATTGCGGTGGCGAAAACAATGATTTCTCAAATTGACAGGTTGATCCTCAAGGATAGAACAAAGAACCATGAGAAAACAAGAGAGCAAATAGGAATGGCATGTTCGAATCTGGTGACAGCATGCCTCAATCTCGTTTAAAAAAAAAGCCGATCCGATGCTGCTATTGCCGTTTTGCAGCCATGTCATGCGACACAAAACGGAAATACGCGAGACAAAGAAAATAAAGAGTACGGAGTACGGAGTAATGGAAAAAGAAATCGCCAGAACAGGGATCATGGACGTAGTGGGAAATAACGGCCAACGGTCGTGTTATCACCTATTAATAGGCTGTCACTTGAAAGAAGAAAAGAAAGCGAGAGAAAGAAGCACGAAGCTCCTTTACTATGTATTCGGATCATTCAGGCTCGCCGAGTACAATATGCTGCCTTGACTCATGGATATTTTCGTCCACTCTGAGCTGCAGGATATTAGTATCTGGCTTGATATTTTCATCGTTAAACAACATGCAGTGCTGCCTTTTCGGTGATCCGTCGAGCACAAGAGAGATCGTAGTTCATGTCCTCTGCCATACATCTGGTCGAATCGGCCTTGTTAAAGGTTGCTGCAGCGGCTGATCGTCGCATCGAATATACGGGATGCATCTATTCGCTCCCACGATACGGGTGGCCTCCACGGCAGCCGCATAAGCTTACGAGTTCGCAGTGCTGCTACTGATCCGTGCATTTGTAAAGGCATACTAGCACTGCCAGTGTGAGGGAGTATGGGTGCTGATAATGGCAATAATCGGCACAGGCGCAGCCCTATGGCAAGTCAAGCGCCCAAAAGCAGTTGTATGTGACGAGATGTCATATTACCTGTCATTTTCCGCCTAGACAGTGGTGCGAGTGACTGCTGTGTGATGAAATATTAATATAGCATATCCACATTTGTGTGTGATAGGCCATGCAGGTGCCAGTCATGTCTATCATCAACTATACCGGATGAATCATTAGGAGAGCCGGATCTTCCGCCGAGATTGCGTTGATAGTTGGCCTCCAGGCACGAAGCTTGTCCCAACAAGAACATGTGCTACCAACAAATCGGATTGACAGTTGGATATTCGGCTGCTGTTTTCGCCTGACTGCTAGTTTATTGATGCCGCAATGGCTTCCGAAAAGCGGGACGGCAAAGATAACCGCACCTGATGCTGCAAATCTTACGATGTAGCCGTCTCTGCAGCAGCTTTCACGCCGATACCCCACAAATCGGATACAAAAGATGGGCTCAAATTTGTGATGGCATGATTGGACTTTGTACTGGAAGAAGAGAGCCCCGGTTTAGCACAACTCCCATGGCGCTTTCGTGTCCATCCCTTTTCCAGCATGAATAGAGTAGCGGGTCACTGTTGTAGGTGAACAGCAGGCCAGCGCCTGATTTCTGACCCTCCGAGAAGAGTTTGTCAAAAGGCCTTGAGCAAACAGTGTTGATCTCTTTCTGTTGGCTGTTCGTCTCCCAATGGATCCAACGGTAGGTCGAAGGGGTTGTCGGCAAACAACTGCTTCAAAGATGCAGCCAAATAGGCATCATCCGGATAGCTAGAAAAGGGGGCTCAGTTCAAAGCCCACTCTAGTCCAGTTTTGCATCTCGCTTGACAAACCGCTTGACCGCAGTGAGAGGCAAGGGCAGTGGTGATTGTGAAAATCATTTCAGCATCACAATTTGACAGGGTTTTGTCAGTATGCCTGCAGTCATCCACTGCTCATCTGCGGAGTCAGTAGACGAGCCTCTTTATGCCCTTCCACATCAACAAGCTCAGGTGAAGATGCGACTCAAGTGAGCTTGAGCGCAGCATCGCTCAGAATTCCAACTCTTCCACTTCCATTCCGCATGTCACACACGTCTTGACAGTCATGCCCTCCTCGTTCTCGATCGTTCGCCCCCATTCATGCACGTGTCGACCCCCTCCGCCCACAGCATCGCCAAACTTGCTTGGCGCCCCATTCTTGTTGCCTAGCGTCCCTGCCTGTCGTCGGAATGCCTCTGTCCTCGTCTTGCGCTTTAGGTCCAGCAGTTTCTCTTTGAATTTGGCTTCTTTGCGGGCCTTCTTCTGTGACTCGCGCCGTTCATATTCTGCATCCAACGCCTCTGCCGAACCCCATTTCGTACCGATGGCGTATTCTTCTACCTGGAACCGCAAGAAGAGCATCATGTCGTGCCAGTGAGATTTGTGTGGGTTTGGCTTGTTTAGATGAGGAAGCAGCTCGGGATCCCGCAGCTCGGCTATCAAAAGGAAAGCGATATCTCGTCAGTGTCACAGATTTCACAAATCCGCAGCGACGGTATGAGGTTGTTGGACTTACGATCTGTCAAAAGATAGTCTTCTTTGCACTCTGTCTTGGTTAACAGAGAATATTTTTCGGGATATTTATCTTTGCATTTGTTGCACACACAGACGTGAAAGACTTCTTCCCACACAAAGTCAATCTCCAGACTGCCACACTCTCTGCATTTCTTCCTCGTCTTTTGGTCGTCTAAAACGCTGATGCCAGGCTCAAAAGGACCTGCTTTTAGTCTCTTCAAGTTTTGGATCGTCTTTTGCTTCTCCCATTCTTGAATCGTCATGCCCTTTGGTCTCTGTTCGTCTGCCTGGCCGGGCTTCTGAGCACCTAGCGCATAGTTGTGAGGATCGTCCTCCATAGAAAGAAAGCCACCTTTTGTATCCGTCATCGAGCTCATGTTGTAGTCGACAAATTTGGTAAATTTGCGTGCCGGTCGCAGGGCCGCCTCGTCGCCCACGTTGCGCCCATCACGATTGTTCCCTCCCGCAATATCTCCCGTCGAAATTTCATTGAAGGGCCGTTTTCCATTCGCAGGCTTCGATACGTGCACATTTTCGGTGGGTATGAATCCGGCGGCCGACTTGGGAAGTATGTCCGCAGTTCCCGAGGCACGTTCTTCGGCCTCTCGATGTTCACGGATGGCTTTGGCTCGGAGACGACTCTCTTCCTGTAGTATTTCGGTGCCCTGGTTAGCCAGAGATCTCTCCTAGAGGCCCAGAAACCAAACGTACTATGCGCCTTGTCATTTCTGGAGTTTGCGACGAGGCAGCCTGCGGTTTGCTCGCAGCCGCTGGAGGCGTGACTGGACGCTCCATTGCTGCTATGTAACGAAACTTGCAAATACAGTGAAACAATGGTTTAGTAAGATTTTACAGCAGACCAAATGCCTGAAACTCCCAGCTTGGAACTCTGCGCGTGATCTGGCCGAACTGTGAAGCGTAGGATGATGAGGCGCGGGAGGGGCAAAGACGTGACGCAGAAAATCGCCCACTTAACGCGAGGTAACGTGACTTGGTAACATAAGTCAAGACAGTCTTAGTAAGTTGGCAGAATACTCTGTACTAGGCATCTAGCAAGTAATAATGGAAACACTCATAAAAGATAGCTGGCAACAACATGGGACATGTCACTGAACATGCGAAAGGGCAAGGAACAAACAGGATGTTAGAGATTAATCATTACGGACGAGAATGATCAAAGATCAAAGCGCCAGATAATATATTTCCCAATGCAAAGGTACTATACATTATCGAATCCGAACCCGCGCCCAGTGGAGCCTTTTTGGCCTGCTCATATATGGTACATCTATTCTGTGGAATATTTTACTCCTCCTTGGCACCGCCACGACCGGCCTTCTCGGCAGCCTCAACAGCCTTCTTGTCGCTCTGGACGGAGCCGTTGGCACCCTGCATGGCGCTCATGAAGCTCTGGGCCGCCTTGAAAGGTCGCTTGAGATCACCAGAGGCGGGCTGGCCAAAGATGTGAATCTTGGCAAGGTTGCTCTCGAAGACGGACTTGACGGGGATGATGCTCTGGATGACCAAGGGGTTGGTGTACTTCATGTAGAGGTGCATGAAAGACATCATGGCAATACCCATCAGCTGGCCGCGCCAAAGCTGGCGGAGCTGGTTGGAATCGTAGGCGTGGATCGTGGTGGTGACGAGCTTGCCCTCCTCGGAAGAGCCCATTGGCGGGGGCTCAACGTACTTGAGGGTGGTCATGTCTGTGGGAAAGAAACAGGTATGTTAGCATTCGTGCTTGAACAAAAAGGCAGCGATCAGAGTGTCAATGCTTTTGCGTGGCGTCAACTCAAAGACCAAACGTGAATCAGACGCACCCTTCTTCCTGTTGATCTGGATCTGAATGTAAAAGTAGAGAGCGGCGATGATGACGTTGCTGCCAATGTAGATGGCGCGGACAAGGTTGAGCACGTTCTCGTCCTCGAAGGGGATCTTCTTGGTGACTTGCATCATACCAAGGATGATCATGAGGTTGGTGCTGCGTCCCAAGAATTAGCGAGTTGCTCCAAGGCGTGTTCCTCACGCGGCCATCGTTGTTGCGCCATCACTTGACTTGCGACGAGGCTTTTCGTGGCTTCTCGTTGCTCATGCCTCGTCCTTCGCCTCTGCGACAAACGAACGGAATCGACTCGTGATGTGTTGTGCACTTACATCTGCGGACTGATACCCATTGTGGCGGCGACTGCAAGCGCAGTGATGCTCCAAAGAAAAATGTAAAAGAAAACGGCGAACAAAAGAGTCCGGATGCTGGCGTGAGAGGGATGGAATGTTCCTCTTGGGAGGGAAGAAGCAAGGCGTTTGTTGCTGTTATATTGCAGCCAAATTTTTGGGCTTGCTGGCCTTTCCGGCGATGGGCACCACCTTTTTCCGGGGGCGAATCGGGCGCCCCGCTCTTAGCAGATAAGGCCAACGGCGGCGGGTGAAGGCGTGCAAGCCTCGCATTCTTTTTGTTTCCGAGGCCTTCGATTGAGAGAGGCTGCAACTGCAATTGCAACGACAACAGTCTGGTCAATGCGACTCGGTTCCTCAAAGAGACTCAAGTGGCCAAAGCGTTGAGATTTCCAAATTCGTCGAATTGAAGTCCTTTTTTGTATTCTGCCTCTTTTGTTTCCCACCGAAATCTCACGTGCACGCAGAACCAAATCTCCACGCTTGACTAGTCCAGACCGCAACGTCCTTTGTGTTACATGCCAGAGCTATCGCAGCAATAGTCCAGCCTGACAAGTGTCGGCCAGAACCAACGACTATTTCTTTGTGACACCATGGCAGGAAACTAATGATGACTACGCTATGTGATGAATGCGTCGTGAATGCGTCGTGAATGCGTCGTGAATGCGTCGTGAATGCGTCGTGCTGCTCCTACGCCACCGGGATTCCATGAACAACAGCTCTTCAAAGACGGCCGTTGAAACACAATGATTCTGCTCCACTGAGGGTGCATGGGCAATACTAACACTTCAAAGACTGCTGCCGAAAATACATGCTGCTACTCCACTGATATTCCAGAAACAGCAACTCTTCAAAGGCCGTCGCTGAAAAGCCTTGTATCAGCCCACCATATCTCTGTGTTGGACTCTCTCCAAATAGTCAAAGACTCAAAGCTTTTGCTTTGCCATTATGCCAAGTGAGGACTTCCCGAAAATACCCAAGCATCTGGCTTCAATATCTCCGAATTGGAGTATTTAAGATCGAGGGTATGTCGTTGGAAATCCGCCCTTCTCTCTCGTCACCACATCACGGAAACCACAGAAACCATATCTACCGCTTCAGCATAACGATACGCCTCATTCAGATACAAGATATATGTTTTCGCACTGGAAGAAAAAGACGAAGACGAAGAAAAGCTTGAAGATCAAGTCGAAGACAACCTGGAAGATGTGTGAAGGACATTCTCACGGCTCTCACTCCTCCCACGGAGGCCACGATCACGATCATGATCACGGCCACGGTCACGGCCACGATGACGATCATAGCCATGGCCATAGCCACGGCCACAGCCACGGTCATAGTCACGGTGGTTGCGGCGGCTCATCTCATAGAAACCTGCCGCTCAACCCCGAAAATGTCCAAGTTGTTAAGCCGGAGCCAGAGAAGCCAACATGTCCATGCATCGGCACTGGCTGGGTTGCGCCGACTGCTGGGCCGTCATGTTACCCAATGGTGTGCTGCTACAAGGAGGCGCCACCCAACTTCGACTGGCCGGCCCTCCCTCCCGGCTGCTGGCCGGTGTCCAACTGCTGGCCAATGAATCCGCCGGCCAAGTGCCCTCCGCAGCTCGCCTATCAATATGTCTGCGGTCCTCCACCAACAGCGCCCGAAGATGTCAGGTTTGACGTCGTAGACACTAGCAATGGGCCCAACCGTCGTATGTACGGAGAGAAATATACCATTACGGTTAATGCCAACGCCACTTTGAGGGATCTTCTTCATCGATTCAATTCGAGGTCAACCTTGGAGGTGCTTGTTCGATGGAAAGATGGCAGGCTTGACAAATTGGAGGATGGAGTTTCGGTGGGCGACCTGAAGGGCCAGATCAAGCATATCATTGTCAAGGACCGGCAGCGTGCATATTGCTATTGCTGAGTACGCCATCCGAGTGGCCTATGGCGAGGCGCAATGGCGAGGACAGGGGAACAGCTGTTTTTGATGGATGTCGTGATGAGCTTGAGAGGAAACGGTACGACGATAGAGTTATGAGTTTGACTAGCTTGTTAGATGGTATTCGCACCTGCTTGTTTTGCTTTGTTTGCTTGCTTGCTTGCTTGTTTGCTTGCTTCATGTTGTTTGTATGTAGCATGGCTGGTTTACCATGCCAAGAAAATCACAATATCATGCAGTTTCGTATTCCAAACGCCCGTTGTCGTCGTGATTGCACAATTCCCGGAAAAGTTCCACCAGTCAGTCATCATGAAACTCTCCGATGTCCATCTCCCGAGCAAATGCAACACACGCGCACATGGCAGCGCCTCCCCACAGCGATGGAGACGCGAGCCAGGGTTGTTTAATTAACAGGCCAGAATCTCGAGCGCATCTTCTGCAACGCCGTTGAAATGAGATCTATCCGTGACTCACGCACCCACTTTTCTTTAGGCAGAACAGCAGGGTGGTTGAACAGCCCGCAGTTGACAACTCTCACCAAACGCGCTGTATAGCCGTTGAGTCTCTTTCGCCTTGCCGTAGCATTATCCTGGGAGACGAGTTGTGGTATTAACCGAGAACCCGTTTAAGCATCTGCTCCGCCTAGTTGGGAACTTTTTATCCCGCCCTGCTTGTTTAGCGCCTGTTCTGCTAGAATTTAGTTACATTGTTCCTGTCTAAAAGCGCGCAAACCGTGGACCTGGCCTAATGAGGCGGGCTTCTTGAGCGCCAATGACTCAAGACAACGTTGTCTGTAGAGTAAATGCCCTTTTTGGCGAATGGAATGCCTTCAACCTCGGCACAATTGACAGATGGTTGTTTGCTTGCCCATTTTCTCTCTCTTCTTGTAAAAAGAAAAGAGAAATGTGAGCATGTGCATTTGGATGCCTGGAAGTCTGCCTACGACTTGCACGAGTTCTCGCCAGAGTTTGGGTGGTGTTTTCTAAAAGACTTCGTATTGAGCCAAAGAGCGCGTGATTGACGTCGCTGCATGTAAGTGGCTGCATGAGCGTGGACAAGGGCCATTCGCGCCGGAATATTATCATAGTGCAGCAGTAGAATGCACACACTTGCATGCACATGCATGTGCTAACACCCAGAAGGGGGGGGTGTATCATATGAAGAGGCTGCTGACAGAAAGATACCTGCCCAGGTATGCTCTGTTGCCTACCTATCTGGGTACCGAATATGGGAGATGCCCGCATGTACCAAGAAGCCATCGCCATGAAGCAAACAGGCCCCCAAGTTGCCCGAAGTTTCGGATCCGGATCGATTGGATTCAGGGCGACATGCCCGGCACGGGGCTTCGGCTGTGGCGCAGGCCAGCGCCGCCACCAGCGCCGCCATCCATGCCCGTCTTGGCTCAAATTGTCTCGAACTGTCAGTTCCCAAAAGGATGTTGCTCGTATGACGGGCTCGTATCGCATCCTCGTATCGAAATATTGACAGTGCGGCGGCACTTGCGAAGCAGGGCGAGACAAGACAAGCTAAGACGGAGTCTCGATCTCCTACAAGTATACCCAGGGCGTATTGGATACGCTACCCGGTAAGCGCAAGGCTATGGGGATGAGACGACAGTTCCTTTTAGTGGGACGATGACAGCTTGCATTTGGAATCTCGGGGTAATTTGTAGACAAGTATTCTTTGTTATTTTAATTACCAGGTATTTTTATTTGCTTCATGGTTCATGGGGCAAGGCGGATGGCAAGGTTCATTACAAGGCGCGATGCTCTTCATCTTGAACTTCTCTGACTACAAGGAAATTAGAAGACAAATGGCTAGGCATATTCACCTATTCCCCTGGGGGAGAACTGTTGAATTATTCAAAATTCTCTTAGATTATTCACCAAATAGTCGCTACATCCGATACAGCACGGATAAGCCATCAGCTCCTCGCCTCCTTGCAGATCACCACAGGAGGATCTCCTCCTTCACGATGCATGGCGATCACGGTGAGATTCCCACGCCCAATCACATCGTACAGCTTACACGTAATCAAAGCTGTACGCGCACCTGATTAATAATAAACTTCAACGATGAAATGAAAGACCCCAAAACACCACAGCATCGTCATTGTACTACGTATTTAGCCATGCAGCCCTACGGGGCTCACCCAGTGGGAGTCCAGAAGCATACGACAGCATCCACTCCATACAGTAATACTGGCAGGATGAATGGAAGGATGAGGGCTAATAGGCTCAGCCCTTGCGGGATATGCACCCCTACGGCTATACGCCAGACTACTGGATACTAGGTAGGGCAAGCAATGCGCCTATTCGCACGGATTGCTCCGGAGCGGCGCAGGTGACTGGAAAGGCTGTGCTGTCGTTTCGCTCTCGGTCTGCCGGAATAAGTCCGTCCAACGCGCATCCTCGCCCTGCTGAGTTAATTGTAACGTCTGCGATTTTCCCTTGCGGTTTTTTTTTTCTTTATTTTGTTTTTTTCCCTGTTTGAGATTGTGACTTTGTTCTAATTAAAGAATGCGCCGATTCGTGATTCGCTCGCCGCTGCGTCATACCGTGGTGTTGAGCAAGGCCTTTTGTCCGGGGCAGACGATCCAGACCCTTCAGTTCTTGGCCGCATGACGGGGATTTGACGCTGATGATCAGGATACATATTCCCGAATAAGAAATGAGGGTATAGAGACGAGTCGAGCTATCACTATTACCCATGAAAGCCAAGGATGATTAGTGCTTCGTTGTTATCGCCATCTTGACAACTGTCTTGACTGTCTCAGTTAATACCCGAAATACGATGCGCCACCAGCCCCAGCCAAGCTCGAATGCCTCACAACTTTATCTTCATCTCGCAGGGCAATGGGGCCAGGCCCACGTCAAAGCCCGTAGGTCGCCGCTGACGCACTGCCACCGTGTCCGCCGTTTTCTCTCAATGGCCTCGCTGAAGTTTAATGGCACCTGTAATGGCACCAGGCTGGCTGGCTCCTTGGCCTTGCGGACTTTTGTTGTGGCACGCAAGCCACGCCTTTAGAGTCTTAGACTCAGATCCTGCCTCTTGTATGGCGCACTGGACTTTGTACGACTCAGTTGCAGTCATTGGCTGTTGGACTTGGCACTTGGCATGGCGTCCGGTGTACTCGGTGCTTATTCTGGGTTGATGGATGGATGAATTGACTCTTTTCGTGGTCATTCACCACCCCCTTTGGCTGTGACTCTTTGCGATGTCTTGCGATGTCTTGCCTTGTTTTTGCCCCGTCTTTTTTTTTTTTTTTTTTTTTTTTTTTTTTTTTTTTATTTCTCTCGTTTTCTTTTTTCCCGCAGATTCCTCGCCTCACTTTGCTTGACTCATTCGTTTCCTCGTCCCGGCATCCGATGAGATGAGGCATTATTCCCAGCGCTTTTCCCATCAATTTACTATGACTTGCTTCCATCATCCAAAGCTTCAACTGTAACCACTTTATTTCTCCCCTGCAATACTGCCACGCTCTTTCTGGCAGCCCCACCCACGGGAGCCTAGTTCTAGCGCAAAGACGCCCCACTTCTGCCCACCCCTCATTACCTTTTGCTCCACCGCCTGCCGCTTCCGCAGCCGGACCTGCTGACAAAGTGGCCTCTGCCCTATCACGGCGCCGGATTCTTTTCCTTCATCTTGGGCCATGAACCATCTCAACCTTCGATTCTTCCATCAACCGCATGATATGCCTAGCCGCTGCCGTGGTTCGCACAGCCAAATCAGGCTGCCGATGCTGCCACGCCCCCTGATCTGCTCGGCCTCTCTCCACGCACTCCCTCCAGGCCCCATCCTGGCTGGCGCTCCCGAATCTGGCACATCCCAGACCAGACAGACTGTCAACCATGGCCTCTTTTTCCCTTGGTGGAGGGATTCATGGAGGGGCCAGGGGAACACATCGCCGGTGTGGAGAAGGCCCGCGGCTGCCTGGCTGGCTGCTGTCAAATCCTCCGGCATCCCAATCGAGATATAAGAGGCCATGTTTGGCCTGAATTAACAGGTTGGTTTCACTATCCGTCCAGTCAATACATTGAATCATTCCATACTACGTCGCAGCATTATACGCATACCTGCCATACAGAGCCCTTGGTCAACTTGTGCATTGCATTGCATTGTATCCTGGGATTTCTTCTTCCTTTCTTCTGGGTCTATCAATGGGAAGATCTGTTGGCGTGCAACTACATCAGCACTCGTACTCTCGTTTACACCAGTAGCAACTGTCTAGGACAATCGAAGCAAACTTCTTCTTCTTCTTCTTTCGTCTCATCTTCAGACTTGTTGTTTCACCATAGCTATACGAGTACATAGAAAAGCCGGTGCAATCTATAGCCATGTTCAACACCTTCAAGTACGACCCCGAGACCAAGAGCGTCCAAGAGCTCAGGCGGGCCTCAGACCCCGTCTCTGCCCGGTCAAGTCAGCACCAAGCATGCAATAACTGCCACGCTAAGAAGGTAATAAGACGCAATATTATGCTACTGCCAAGCAAGTATTTCTCCTTGTTGATGATCTAGCGCTAACCGTCAATTTCCCTCGTACTAGCTCAAGTGCAGCGGTGACAAGAGTGGCTGTGAACGCTGCATCGCCAGCCAGCTCCCCTGCGAATATACCCGCTCTCCCTCACGCAGAGGTGGTAGAAAGTCCAGCGGCAGAAATTCCACTGACAGCCGCGAGTTGGCAGGCGGTGACAGCAGCCCTGGCAGCCAGTCTGGCAAGTCAAGGCATCGAAGCAGCAAGCACCCCCAATATGCCGGGGCTAGCAGCAGCAAGTCCAGGGCCCGGTCTTCCAGGGACGAATACGGCGATGCCCTGGACCTTTTGGACCCTGACACTCTCGGTCCTGACGATGGATTCGACTTGCGCTCCCTGTCTCTGGACAACAGCGGTGACGCCATGGCTTCAGAGGGTGGCTATGGGAGCAGCGCTTATTACGGCCAGCAGCAGCATGGCGGAGGAGGCAGCTGGCAGCATATGCCCTCCCACGGACAATATGGCGAATACGCGGGCGCGTCCGGCTCCAGTGGTCAAAACTACGACGTTGGAGAGTACTACGGCAACTATGACGAGTACGGACAGTACCATGAAAACAACGATCCCCGATACTGGGGCGGCCAGCAGCAATAGGGCCTTGTCCTTTGTTCCCTTTGTGTTTTGTGCTTCATGCATTTGCATTTCCCCCCCTTTTATGGCCTTTTCAATTTCTCTTTGTTCCCTTTGTCTTTTTCCCACGTTAGATCTGGCCCCGAGCGGCCGTGTAAGTGAAGCTTTGGCGAGGACTGCAGCGCATCCGATTTCATGCCTAGAATACCCCTTTACAGCAACAACTTGTACATTTAGGAACCCCTTTTCTTTACTTTTCTCTTTTTTTTTTTTTTTTTTCCTTTTCCTTTCCTTTTTCTTTTTCGTCATTTCATTCCATCACTGTTCTACTTTTCTTTGGGCCACCGCATCATATCCCCCTTGTGCCACCCTGCATGACGAAACACGTCTGCAGCGTTCAGCCTTGGGAAATAGATGCTGGATTGGGCCGTGTACTTTTTGTTTCTTACACTTCTTAGACAGAGGCTATGCCGGTAATGGGCTTATGATTGGACGATATGAGGGATTAGCACCTATAGATTGCTTGCTTTTGTAAGCTTAGTTAGATTCGATGTTACACTTGGATTCGCCGTCGATGCACGCGTACTTTTGGTCAGATGGCTTATTTGTTGGTCTCGTAATTTTCCCTTTTTCTTCTTGAAAGTATCTTGACGGCAATATCGTCTCCATGTGAAGAACAAACGCAGGCAACTATCCACGAGACCAGGACTTGACTCATTCTCCGAAAAGCATCTGGTATGAGATGAGTCGACGCTTTCTCGTGACGTTTCTTACCAACAACCGTTTCAGGTACCCTTGTAACCACCCCAACATAAACAAGTAAACAAAATAAATTAAAAATCCGAAAACTTTTGGGGCGGGAATAAAACTAAAAAAAAAAGTGGTACGTGATGGCTACGTTAACCGACGGATTCAGCCCTGCGACTGGCCTTGTGAAGTTGTGTGTGCCTCAGGGTATACGCCATCATCATCGTAGCGTCCACTCCCCCACCCCCCCCCTTTTTTTTCCCTTTCTTCGCTATACGCTCCTTTTTGGGGGGAGGGCACAGCTAATAGGTTTGCGAGGATCTAGTGCTGGAAGAAAACAAGCAGGCAGGCACCAGATGCCATCGTGCAGGCTGGAATTCGTGTGCCGCGCGGTGATTGGGTGCTTTTGGCGGTTTGTATGGAGGAGAGGGTTGCATGGGAGTGGGAATGCTTAGATAAGGATCTGTGGTTTTTTGCCGTGTTGGGTGCCTTGCATGGGTGAGGATGGGGGATGGATGGATGGATGGATGGAGAGAGGGGCGTGGGTATATTTCTGTGGGAGGTTTTATATTAAGAGCTAATTAAATGATGGTTTTCCTGTTTATTGGTTTGTTGGTAGGCGTTCTTTTGACTAAGAAACCGGGAAATTGGGAGGACGGCATTTACGGCACTCCTCGACAGCCTTATTTTCTCTCCGTTGGCTCAAAATATCACGTTACTTTATAGGTTTCACAAGAAAAAGAAGAGTCGCTTAGGTTCCAATCCTTCAGCTGGACATGGAACATCCCAAAATGTCTCGGCCGCGTCTCCCGCTCTCCAACGCACCCTAAAAGAAAAAAAAGCGAACATTGAGACAAAGAAGCAAGGGGTCACGAGGGATAACCCGCATTGGGCGCATCAGACCATGTGAATAGGCTAATATAAAGCTTGCGTATGTATGTATGTACCTTAATGAGGTCTTTTTTGTGGCGCATGGGGGTTCCTTGGCTGCGATGCTCTTGTCACGATGGGAGACGTGGCTTAGGCAGCCGAAGGATTCTCTCCAGGTTGACCGGCTGGGTTTTGTGCAGGCTACTTTATTCTGTGACCCTTGTGACTGGCAATTCGGACTCGAATGTGCGATACTCCGCGAGTGACAATGGAAACCTAGGTAGCTGGAGTGTTTGCTACAACTCTTGTGTTGGGTAAAGCAATGAAATTGGCGAGCTTCGAAATAGCCTCTGTTCTATTGAAAAGGGCATCTGGTATTCAGTCTACTCCTCGTACTCCTTGGAGTAGAGGCTCTATTCATTGCTTGCGTAAATCATCGTACAAAGACGCTCGCTGCTTGCTCGAATCAAAGAATTAGTGGCCACTCATCTACTATCACATATGCGCCATGCGCAACAATCACAATGAGAATCTCGTCATCTAGCGCTGATTATCGGCAGTTTTCACGACATTCCAACGACGACATACCGGTCATCTGATTGCAATTGCAAGACCAGGCACAGCGCTCTAGGCAGCGCGTTTGTCTTCAGTGACATGGGCCGCAGCAGGCACCTTGGATTTCGGACGACTCGCAGCTGTGTATGCCTCGTCATCATCTCTGATGGACTTGAACAGCGCTCTCGCAATAATCAGTCGCAAAACAAGGGATAGAAGCGAAGTGAGCATAATGCCACAGGCAGCAAGAAGCTGAATCCCGATATACTTGCCAGTACTGTTGAGAATGGCACCCGATATGGGCGGGCCGATGAGAGATCCGATGCCCTTGAGGATGGACACCATGCCTAGTCTAGTCCCCAGACGACTCATATCTGGGGTGATGGAGGTCAAAACCACGGAGCCGAGAGCCACTACGCTGCCGGACCAAAAGCCATATAGAACGGCAAAGGCAATGTTACCAGCCGCGTTTGTCACGCTGATCCAATAAAAGACACTGGCACTGCTCAAGGCGCAGACGACGACGTACGTGTCCAAAGAACCAACCTTGTCGGCAACGAACCCGGGTATGATTCTGCCAGGGATGGACGAGGCGTTGAGAATAGGCAACAGATACGCGGCCAGCACGTGGCCTTGCATGCCGTGCGAGACGGCGTAACTCTGCAGGTAGTAAGGCGGATTGAAGAATGAAAGATTGTTGAAGAAGATGGCAACGCAGTAGAGTATGTACGTTCGCTCCTTGAGTGCCGAAGAGTCCCAGAACCACTTGATAGAGAAGCCGTTCTGTTGCCACCCAGGCTTCTTGGCCGCCGTGCGGGGCCGGATGATGATCAGGGCAAAGGAGCACATTCCAAACGCCATAAAGCCCATGGCTCTCATCGTCCAGCCAAAGCCTATCTGCGGCCTGAGGTTCTGGAACATGAGGGGATACAGCGTTGCGCCCAGCCCGCTCCCCACGGTGGCCAGACCCATGGCTCTAGCTCTGCGTCTCTTGAAGTACATGGGCACAATGGCAATGGACGGAATGGAGAGGCAGCATGTGCCCAAGCCAAGGCAGACTCCCTGCGCCAGAAAGATTTGCCAATAGCGTGTGCTAATGCTGGTCAACATGAAGCCCAGGGTGACGAGTAGCGTCCCAACGGCGAGCAGCGCGCGACAGTACCCTGCATCGTACAGCGGGCCAATGACAGCTCCAACGGACATTAAGCAAAACACTTGGATCGATCCAATCCAGGAAATGGCCGAGGGCGAAGAGTCCCTGAGGAGGTCTGTTTCGTAGTATGTCTGGAAGACACCAAAGCTGTTGAGCAAGCCCCTGAGCAAATCTCCATGTCAGCACACACATTTCTCAAACATTGTCTCGTCATGAAAGGATGATTTGCCGTACAGATGATTGAAGTAGAGGGCGAATGAGGCCACAACCTGTAGCCACGCCTGCAGTCCGCCGTCCGGAGGCGCGTTGCTGTCGTCCCGGCCGTTGTTCTGGGCCTGTTCGGCCGGCGACTGCAGCTCATGTGGTGCTGACTCCTCCAAAACGCCCGCATCGGCAGCACCGACAGGCTGCGGCTCCATGATACGCTGCTCCTGGAGCTGGATCTTGGACATGACCGGGGTTTAGGTAAGTTGAGCGCCGTGACGGGACAGTCATTGCTGCTCGGTATCGAGACGAGAAAGGGCCAGAAACTAGCATTTCGATATGCGCGCACGCGATTCTTAAGAGACGGGAGCCGTCGCCGGAAACCGGCTCGTCACGTCGTGCTTAGTATCTCCGCCGGGGAGAGGGGAAGGGGGAACGGCAATAAGGCGCGGCATGGGAGAATGGGAAGCAAGGATAGTATTCCAGTTGGTGGTTTTTTTTTTGTCTTTTGCAGGGAATAAGTCGGGGAGTAAACGGTAGAAGATGGATAAAGCTGATGTTGACTAGCGCATTGCGGGGGGTTTGAGATAGGAGACGCTGGATGGTGAGGATGAGGGGGAGTTGCTGGAGTATTAGTGAGCATCTGGAGCATCTCGATGGTGAGGCTTGGATATGGCATGGAGATGTGCTTGAACGAGGTTGGAGTTTTGGTGTTTTGAACATCAATGCTGCGTAGGTACTTGTATCCGTAATAGGTAGGATTGAATACATGTGACTCGACACGAGGCGGCTTGCAGAGGAACAGTTGGATGACATCAGCCAGCCATCTCATCTTCATCTACCTACAGGATGTTACTTCGTACAGGTGACCAGTATATGCTGCATGACTGGCCGGCTTCGACTTTGGCTGCCAACTAATACTCACTACTAAACATGTATGTAACCATTACCAGTATGTATTTCGTACAGCACTTGGCAGTCAATGCTCTCGTATCAGATCCGTGGACGCTACGGGAGCTTCAGGAAGGGTTTTGCCTCATGCCCGAGAATCTGCATCCAACAGCAGGGGGCTCGACCTCGAGTGTCAGGTAACGGTGGCCAAACCTCGTCCCGTGATCAGTCGAGCTTTTAGAAGTATGTTCCAACAGACGAGATGTTGGGCTCCGACTAAGTCCACTAAGGCAGGCATAGACATGTTCGTCTTCTCACATAGAGTAAGGTAGCAAGCCACACGAACATTAGGTAGAGAGAAGGGCCAAGACAAGAGACAAGTAATAAAAAAAAAAGTTCCCGCTTGCATGCATCTGCAGCTGCACCACTTGTGGCATCATTGACGATCCCTCTAGGCAAATAGAAAGCCACATATGTCAAGCAGGCCAAGCTGCCACCTTCTGGCGTTCTGCCGCGGACAATTGACATCTCGTAATTCCGCCCTCGATCAAAGGCGTTCGTCGCGGCTTACCCTCTGCTCCCGGAAATATTGCTTCAGCTAGCAACAAACGAGTAACAAGAGGGTGTGTTGCTATTTTTTAGTACCGCTTCGTCGGTGCCGCTTCGGCTGCCCTTCGCTCCTTGACGCCTTTTGAGATTGGGCTGACATTGACATCAATTGCTTTTCCAACGAGGCCATATCCACACTCCTGCAGCCTCGGTTTGCAGAAGACGAAAAGCGCAAAACAACGTCGCATTCTGCACCGCATCAAGCCTCGTCACTGGCTGAAGCAACCTGGAACACAATCTAGGCTGCATGGCTAGTTCGCGGCCGAGGCGTGAGGCTCGGTGACGAAAATCGGTAGCTTGTCGCGTGTAGTAATTTTCTTTTTTTCTCTTTGTGTGCTTTTTTCCCCAGCAAAAAAGCAATTAACGGGGAAACTCTAGCTTTGGGCGTTTGGGTCCCTCGGGCTTTTTGCCACCTCAGCTAAAAAAGCGCAAAATAATGGGCTCATTTGTTCAATGTTCTCAAAGGTACATACGGATTTAAGCTGGGGGAGTGGGAGAAAAAGGGAGCACGAAGATGGTGGACTGGCCCAAAACGGGAAATTGCTCAGCGGGCGAGTGACGAAGCACTGTTATTCTGCATTCTACAATGTTCTGTTATGTACGGAGTACCTACACAGAAGATTGAAATTGCCAGTGACACATATACGGCACTGTGTCGCGTGGGACAAAGTGCAGGCAATTTCTAATTTCCATTGCCTTCGGAGTGATACCCCGTAATCCAAACCGCTACTGTACGAGTATTGAGCACACGGAGCGGCTGGTTGACTGCAGCAACAGCTCCGAACTCCGTGGTCCCTTGATATTGGAGCATTAATAAGGCCCAAGTGGATTGGTAATGGGCCAACTGCCGGAGCTGGCTGTACTTTGGTGGTACAAGCAGCTACAAGGATCGCGTTTCTGCGCTCTTTTGCGTCTAGAATACGGAGAAGGGAGTGCGCAGTGCCTGATTCGACCAAGAGATGGATGGAGCTGCCCGGCCAAGACCCGAATCACGGCTAGAAGGCTTGTTTATTTTTTGTCATTTATTATTTTTTAGATTAAGGCACATGTGCAGCTCGCTCGTAAGCTCTCGTACTACTGCGGCCCTTCCGCGTCTAAACGATGCTTTCATTCACTCGTCAAGCCCGGCCGTTCCAGGAATTACGGCTTGTGGATTAGCAGCAGCTCTCTCGGTCGAACAGACGAGATCCGCTTGCCATGCGGGCCGTCTCGTCTCCTTTTGCGATCAAGTGTAAATTGTCTAGATCTCGCGAACCCCTATTCTATGGGGTTGTCAGGTGATGGGCTTTGTATTGTGGCTGCCGGAATAGCAGAGCGAGTACATTGCAGTATGTACTGTAACACTCAATGCTTGGGGGGCACATGTCACATGCAATAGTACATACATATAGTCTAATAATACAGATCCTGGCGCTGCGGCTGAGGAGACCGCGTTTGGGGTAGGGACACGTACATACCCAGTAGTACCAGGTGATGGGCATGATGTGAGTTGCTTGGCTGGCCCTGTCAGATTACTTGCGTCGTCGGTGATGGGCATGACCAGATGGGAAGGTTGCACGGCGTTATTTAATACCCTACGATTATTTTATGCCCTACGAGCCATGTTTGCAGCTTCGAGTCGTATGCAGTTTGGATGCGCAGAATAGGTCATGCCGTGTTTGGTCGTATGACGGTGTCGAGTATGTTCATAGGTAGTATTTACATGATGCTACCCAGCTGCTTGGGACAGCAAGATAAGTGGTAGAGACATGTCGTAGCTCGCGGTCCTCGCTGATTTCGGGGTATTTCTGCATCAAGTCTTGGTACCTAGCCCGAAATCCGAATTCGACAGCCTCTACGCTTGATCACAGGGTCTAGCACATAAGAGTCAAGCCTGAAGGGTTGGTGGACGAGATTCTTCATCGTGCCGTAGGATCGGGCAGTTGCTCCCACTCACACCACGTCCGATGCCCCCCCCCATCAGAGCGTTCCGGGGAACTTATTGCGATGGAACGAAGCCCGATGGAACAAGAGTCACCTTGGCACGGGCTTGGGTAGACACCCACTACGGTTCTTAGTCGTCGCTCGCAAGGCAACCCGATTGATTCTCGGTCCCAAGATTCCATCAGCAGCAAATCAATGTAGCCATCGAGTTACCAACCAGCCAGGAAAATCACTAATAAGGGATTGATATCATTGTGCAGCGTTCTATTTTTACTCGTCATCCTTCCTTCTTCAGCCACGACGGTCAGCGCGGGGTGGCATGTGAGGAGAAGACATGGGAGCTTCTCCTCACTCGCACAGTCAGTTAGTTACATGTATTGGCGTTATATCAACCCCCCTTGCCTCAACTTGGCTTCAACGCGCCCGGTGCTAGGATTCCGTACTCGTAATTAACTTGTACATTTGTCCAGTTGGCATCCCGCGTGCGTCATTTCCGCATCCAGACATTGGTGAATAAAGGAACACTGATCCATGTAATTTGGGCCAAGCATCTTTCACATGGACAGCTATGCTCCATGCTAAAACCGATATACAGCGAATAAGAGAGACGCAGCAAATCTCGGGTTACCGAATGACATGATGGAGATGGTCTCGGGGTCCAATTACATCAACCACGGCGGTCTTGATCCCTGTGCCGCGGCTTATTAGTCTTCGCCTCAAGTGGCGCCTCTGGCCTGACGGGCTCTTGAGACACCAGACACCAGCTCTGGCTAGCTTGAAAGGGGACAAGAGAACATAAACAAGGGGAAAGCGAGAAGAGAAGAGAAAGTCTGGATGCGTGTCAGCGCATGCACTCGTGCGTTGGCAACGGCACACCAAAGAGTTGAGGCGTTTCATGCTGAATACATGTATGCTGGATGTATGCTGGATGTACCCATGTGCACTATGTATATCCGGAGCTGAGTCGCGTGAGCAGATACATGGCCGCGTTGTGCAGCCCCCAATCAGGCGTGCAGATGCAATATTGATGCTGCCCGTCAAAGTGTCTTCAGCATCACCGTCCATGGCAACCATATTGCATGTCTCCCTGCATGCAAAGTGCAAAATGCAAAATGCAAAATGCACAGCTGCATCCTCCAGCGGGCTGAGCCATTGGTGCCCTAGAAATGAGTTGAGCGAGGCTAGCATGGAGCCAGCCCAAGCCCAAAAGCCCAGCCCCCCAGCATTGCGATGACGGATCCTTTGTCGAGACTCTCGCCACAGAGGAGAAGCTTTTAATTCTAATTCGACGATTTAACGAGGGGGGAGAGCGAGTACCTGTGCTGGATAAAGTACATGTATGGGGAGAGAGTTGGAGACGATCCAACACAACACCACGCTATGTCTTGTTAAGTTTGAGGCGAGCAGCACGGTCCATGTACTCGTACAGCACAGCACAGTAGAGTACAGTAGAGTACAGTAGAGTACGTATACTTGGGGTCCATCCCAAAAAGGTTCAAGTTCCAGGCTTCTCAGACAGAAGCTTCCATTCCATTGATGCTTCGTAAGCCGCCGGAAGCACAGCAACTCGCCGTGGGCAGCCGTGGAAGTGCGTCAGTCATGGCAGAGGCACTAGCCGCAGCTATCTAGCAATTAGCAAGCTTCAATGGCTTGATTTCGCCCTTTTTCTCAACCACCGAAAAAAAAAAAAAACCGAGATGTCCGCTGCAGCCGCGATCCGAGACGGAACGGCACTAAGCAACGTCCGTGAATACATGAATACATTACCTACTTTAGTACCTACCAGCGAACCCAATGCACTAAAATTGGCCGCTACGGCACCTGTACTGTTTCCTCTAGTACAGTAGAGTACAGTAGAGTACAGTAGATGATGCACCCCACCCTCAGTGCACACCAACTGTTGGCCCACTGCGATGCCACCAATTCCGGCCCCAAAACTGGAAAATGGGCTCTAACGCACCGGACCCAGGCCTGGATGTACTCGCATGTACTCGCACATAAGCTGTTCCGGACCAGGGTTTGGGGGGCAGGCAGTTTTAAATGCCCTTTACTAAGGTACCTTGGCTGTAGGAGGATGCGTGTTGCTGTGTATGTACTGGGTACTGCCTGGTGTTTGACACCTCATGTATCGAGTACATGAGGTGACAGCCTTGACGCTATGCTGATACAGGCCCCTTTGAGGTACCCAGCACTCAGCTGGACACGCCCACCACATGTACCCGCTACCCTCGCGCCTCGCATGTCGCGCGCCTCTTCTCTTCTCTTGGTCCCTGCCCGGTACCTACGGCTGCTCGCCTGGCCGGTACGTACCCGCCCGCCAGTGCCCTGCAATGCCCTGCAAAACCCCCATGCCCGTCTCAGTCGACCTCAGACCTGGCGATCTCCCTCCCACATCCTCCCACGCGACCTTGCCTCTTCTTCCTGACCGAAGCCTGCAACTCTCTCGTACTTACACTGGCCCTCTCCCACTCCCGTCAAGATGGCTTCTCAACTCCCGCTTGATTCTTCCAAAAAGAATCCCACGATCCTTTAGGCCGTGCCCGCTAGCAGTGCCTTTGCCTTGAAAGCCATTGTCGACCTGGAAAAACCTTGCCTCAACCCACCTACCGTCTACCCTCTGCTCTGCTCTACTCTACTCTACTCTCTCCTTGGTTCACGGGCTAAAGAGCTCGAGTTTCGTCTTCGATCCTATTCACGACGTTGTTTTTTGAGCATAGGCTTTCCTATTCGACCAAACGGACCTGCCTCCATACCGTTCCTCTATATCGCATCTCCACGGGCTGAACCTTGTTGAACTCTGGCTGAACTCCAAGGATAGAGTTCTAGAGTTCTACAGCTTCACCAGCCATCAAACCATCAACTCGGTTGCGCAGACAACAGTATCCACCGATATACACAAAGCCACGACGCGAGCTGGTCGGCATGGCACTACATATTCTGCCCGACAATAATATCCTTCCCTTTGCCTCCGAAACTCCCCTTACCTCTCCCCAACTGTTTCCTACTCTGCTCCCAACGCATGAGCGCGACTTGATGCTCGAAAGCCTATCCTTTACCAAATCCGAGATGAAGACGGAAACTGTCGTGGACGAACGGACTCTTATCGACGAACCAGTCATCCCACGCACCCAGCGTCGTACTGTTGTTCAGCAGACACTGACCTCTTCAACGCTACCACGGCCCAGTGCCATGTCTCGTGAGTTGCTCCACACTCCTCCTTATTCTTTTTATGTGGCTCCCGAATAGTACTGACCATATCCCAGGCTCGACATCAAATTCATCAGTAGTGTCCATCACTCCAACCCACGTCACAGAATTCCCGACGGCGCCTATGGAAGGACGACCTGTCAACTTTGGCTTAGTTGTTCCTGGTGTTTACCGAAGTAGCTATCCCAAGAAGGAGGACTACGCCTTCTTGAGGGACTTGAAGCTGAAGACGATAGTGTACGTGTTGGCCATCTATCCATGTCGTCAGCTCTGAAGGCTAACCATGCATTAGCACCCTGGTCAAGAAAGATGATCCCGATCACGAGCTTGAGTCCTTTGTCGCTGCCAATGGTATCCAGCAGGCTGTCTTTAACATGAAGGGGACAAAGAAAGAACCCATTCCGCCCACCACCATGGCGTCCATCCTCGAACTTGTTCTGGACCGGAAAAACTACCCCCTCATGATCCATTGCAACCATGGCAAGCACCGCACCGGCTGTGTCGTCGCCGTTGTCCGCAAGCTGTCTGGCTGGGGCCTCGACAGAGTCGTTGACGAGTACACGACCTATGCCTCCCCCAAGGTCCGGGAATGTGATATTGAGTACATTACCTCATTTCAACCCAGCTCCCTGGAGATTACATTGGTTCGATCAGTCAGTGCCGAGAACCCGCGCTTCGGCCCACTCCAAATCCGGTCATTTATGAGAACCCTTTTGTTCACTGCCGTTGTCACGACAATATGGTTGGTGTCTGGTTCTCGCATGGCTGTCCACCGCGACAACATGTCCAGTTAGGACAAATTTTCAGAAGAGCAGCGAAAAGTTACTTGAAACGTGTACTACGTATGACTCGCGCGACTCGGGGTTTTTTCTTTCCACAATAGCGCTATTCGAAAGAATCACCAAGACGAAGAAAGAGAGAGAGAGAGAGACTCGCGCGACTCGGGGTTTTTTCTTTCCACAATAGCGCTATTCGAAAGAATCACCAAGACGAAGAAAGAGAGAGAGAGAGAGAGAGAGAGAGACGCGGTATTACGTCCGCAGAAATAGAGCAGGGGTTACGGATTATTCTGTTTATTACTAGTGTTTGGTGTTGCATTGGCAAAGGTATCGCGGTACAGATTTGTACTTCAGATCTTATGGGTGGGGATTGGGCTCGCAGAGACTTCAAGAGCTGACACGATCTGCGAATCGGCGTTATTATGTGAGGTGCTTTCTTGATGGTATTATCCTTCTTATTTCCTATGTCGACTTTTTTTTTTCTTTGTTAGAAGTGGTGGTGATGTAAGGGGCACTTAATAGTTGCTCTTTGCATGCTAATTAACTACCCTATTTGCCCCATCTCACATTTTATCATCATATCATCATTATCATCCTTGGTGTTGTGGAATCGGGAAGTGGATATTAAGCATTATATATCCAATATTTGTATAGACGATAGTGGCTCACACCCACTTTGGAGGCTTTTGTGCTAAAACACCATTGGCCTGTGGTTGAATACTAAGAACATGTGTATCGCCAATTCAGCTAAAGAGTGATTAACTGTGTCATCTGCGTAATTCGTATTCCACGCTAATCATGTGCAAGTAGGTAATAGTATACATCTCATTAATCCCGACAATGAGGCCCCCATCGTTCCTAGTCATACAATGCCCTCTCCATCTCCATTCATCCTCTGCCACGTATTTCTCTCGCTCTCTCACTTCCAGCCCTAGCCTCGTCCAATTTCTCTCTCTCTCTCTCTCTTTTATTTCTTGTCGTCAAACTGCCCCCACCGATTCCGGCTCTCCCTCTCGTCCCTATCACGATCCTTGCTGCCATGCAGATATACCCAACCGCCCGCCACACAATTCGCGGCGCCCAGCCCGACGGCGGTGCCGCGCACGATGCCGCGGATGCTGAACTTTGCGCGCAGGGTCTGGCGCCTGCGGAGGGCGAGCAGGGCGTACAGGCCGGACCAGGCGGCGGTGAGGCCTGCGCTGGCGGTGGGATAGCCCGAGAGGTTGAGGTAGGATGAGAAGAGGAGCGTTGGGGTGAAGAGGGTGAGGGGGAGGGGCTGGAGGGGGCGGGCGTGGAGGGCGGTGATGAGGGTTGCGAGGAGGGAGGGGGGAAGGGAGGATGCTGGTGTGAGAGAGGATGATGTTAGCGGTGAGAATCGAGGTGAGAAGATGAGTTGTGGATATATGTGTGTTTGTGTATGAGTTGTGGGTAATATATGTGAGACGAGGATGTAGAAGGCGGATGTGTTTTTTTTTTTGGGTGTAAGATGGAGAGACAGGGGGGAGATGGGTTGAGACTTACAGCCCCATTCGGTGAGACGCTCGGATATGGATTTTTCAACTGCTGCCGTTTTGTCGGACGCCATGATTGGGGGTATTGGTGATGTGGACTTTTATGTGGTCTGGATGTAAGTTTTTTTTCATGTGAGATCGCCAACATGGGTGAGGTTGAGAGTGACGTGATGTATTGCTGTGACGATGACTAAGCACTGCTGTTGGAGGGACGGATTCACTGGTCAAGAGCTGCAATGAGTTGAAATTGGGAATGTGTGGCATGAATCGATTAAAAGAGATGAATATTTATGAATTTAAGAATAATTGCTTCAATTGGGAATTAATACATTGGCCAATGGCTTGGATTTAAAAAGAAGCAAGCTGTTGTAGATATTTGAATCTTCATCGACAAGCACAAACGCGGGCCGGCCGAATGATTCGCCGACGACCCCAAAATTTCCATATTCATCGCACGACCAATATCCACCAGCATCGAATTCGATCTCGAGAAAGACGGCTCAAGTTGAATCGCCGCAACTCCAAGCCCGTCGCAAGCCCAATTCGCCGCATAAACACCCCTCCCGAAGCCTTGCCGAATCGAATCTCTCAAACAGCCTCACCACCCCGAATCAAAAGCCCCTCCACACAACAAAACCCGCCATCATGGGCGGCAGGCAAATCCGCCCCGCGGGCGTCTACAAGGCCGTCCGAGAGGAGCTTAAGCACCAGCTCATGCCCGGCTACAACGTTCCCACGCCGCCGTGGTTCGCCGTAATGAACTCGGTGCCCCCGTCAGAGACGCTCGTGCGCACCGTCACGCCGCGCCACCGCATGCCCAACCCAAAGGCCGTCAAGCCCAAGAAGCTGTTCCGCCCGCAGAGCATTGCGTACCCGGAAGATGCGCTACGGACGAGCTTTTACAAGGATCATCCGTGGGAGTTGGCCAGGCCGAGGGTGGTGCTGGAGTTGGACGGCAAAGACTATCAGCATTGCGATTGGAGTAAAGGGCTGAGGCAGCCGGGTATCCCACTAACAGGTGAAAGGTAAGGAAAAATTCCCAAGCCCCGCGGTTTATCTCAATGGCGGAAGGAATATTCACTGACTAAATTCTCCTTGTCAGCGTCGTACAACGCCAGCTGTGGTTAATGGAAAACGAAAAGATGAGCAAGCGCAAGGCATACGACACGGTCCGCCGCGAATTCTACCGGCTGCGCCAGCAAGAGGAGGTCGAGAAGAGGATAGCCATTGAGGAGGCGCGCTACGTCGGCGCATACTTTGGAAAGACGAGGCTGGACATTGGCATGCAGCTCGAGGACCAGGAGTACGAGAACTGGAAGATTTGGGCCGGCAAGGAGACAGCCAACAGGGAGGCCAGAGCAAGCTCGGACATTGAGACGTTTGGACTCGAGGAGGAGGAGGGTGCGGTGGACACAGCGGAGGCGCAGCCTGCAACGGCGGCGGCGTAGGCATAGACAGGGGTTGGGCATGCTTGTATTATATGACGTGTACGAAGACAATCAGGGAGAAGGTTATTAAAAAGAAACAAGGCAAAGATCTGTTAGCATTTTGCAGGGCTGGGTTCTATGTCATCCAAGCGGCGAGAATTAAAGACAATTTCTCCTGCGTTCTGCACACCATATCGAGCTGCCACTTCTTGGTGCTGTGTGACAAAGACGTCTGCTATGCCAGTGTAGAGTAAGAGCTTGCCCGTCAAGCTGAGAGTCGATATGCGTGCCCAAGACTCAATGTAGATGACCTTCATGCAGCTCTCGGGAACAATGTAAGTCATTTTGAGCAGGTGCACCGCCAGCGCAACAAAGAAGCCAGTGGCCGGCCCGTTTGAAAAGACGCGGCTAGGATAACGTAACTTCCTCCCCACTTCGTTTTCCGGCGGGACGAGCAACGCGGGGAATATATCGACGATGCTAAGCAGTGCAGTCCAGGGGGTTGACCAGAGCGGCTGGTGGACTCGTCGCGCGCGGGTGACGATGCGCTTATCGTATGTGCCGGGGGAGGTCTCACGAGATTTGCACAGGGATGCCAGGCTCTCTTCGTAGTCGTGGAGATGGTTCTCCGACATGGAGTCGCCGCTGGAAATGAGATAGCGGCGGTGGAAGTGGGAAAAGTCGCAGAAGCCGTCGTCCATCATCATGAGCATCTCCTTGGTGTGGCCGCCGGAGCCGAGGACGAATAGGTTGTAGTCCATAGGAGGTCGCTGAATGCGATCATTTTGCGAATTGGGATTAGGCCGCCTTGTGCTTCTTTTGCGACTGCGGTGAGAGAGGAGCTGGATGTGTCGTGTCTATGAGGTTGACTGGTTAACTCAGTGCTGGCTTGGATATGAGGGAGTTGACTTACTGAGGCGAAGATGATGAGGGCTATGCCGGAGGCGACGATAGTTAAGGTGCTGCGCTTTAGAAGGCGGGGCGAAGAGGTGATGGTGAAGATTGCTGAGCCGAGAGCCACGATGCTGGCGAGGCTGAAGACGATGATGGAGCGAGCCATGGTTGGTGTTGAAGGTTGAGTCTCCCTTGATTTTAGAGGGACACGTTCATCTGAGCGAGCGTGGTAAGAAGCCACTGGACAGTGAGTTTTGAGTGCCGGAAAACGAGCAAAAAATCACGAGAGAAGCATTTTTGGCCTTGAGAAATATGCAGTGCTTGTAGTTTCAAGATGCGGCGTTTGAGGAGAAGAAAATGGTGAGTTTGATGAGTGTGCAAGTGAGGTGAGGTCCAAAGTACAGAATACATGTACATTTGCTCGTACTTGATGTTTCAGCGCACAGCCCCACTCTCGTTTTCCCTCCTTTACATTGGCAAGACAAACATCGAATCGGCTTCACTGCGAAAACAATCACGTCCCAATAATTGAAACAACACATTGTGATTTAAATTCAACACGCCTGAGTCGGCTATTTCAACTTTGAAGACCCTGATTTCAAATATTGCCATGAACATTCTCAGTGAGGCGCAGGCTAAGTAGCCAAAAGCAAAGAGCGTCTCTCACCAACATGGCATCAAATCAAGGGCCGTTATCCTTCTTCAAGCAGATCAAATCCTCCCGATGACCAAAGACTCGGTCAAAAAGCGTGGTTTGACTACACATTGAAGCTTTCGATTTAGAACAAACGTCTTCTGCCGGGCGCCAGGCGCATGCGAGCAAACGCGATGGCTCGTCGGGTCGCTTCTGCGCCAGCTTCTTCAAGCATGACGTCCACTCCTTCGCCCGTCATGGCAGAGCACTCGAGGTAGCGGTCAGCTCCGATGCGGCGAGCATGCCAAACGGCCTGTGAGACAATCTGTTAACACATTGTTCCCGTCTCGGAGCACTGACAGACGACCTACATCAGAAGGGGCCACGCAGCAGGTGGGAAACGGCACAAAGGCCTGCGGCTCAAAGGGACCGGGAATTGGATGGTCTTCATCCAGGCACTTGGCACGCAAGTCCTTCTTCATGCCGATGAGATGGAGAAGCGTCGGATTTTGCTGCTGACTGAGGAAACCACCCTGCAAGGCGTTCTGCCACTGTTGGTGCTTTGTCAACTGGTCTGCTGGCAAATGCAAAGGTGCTGCATGATGTTTGACTTACCCACTGCAGAATAGTGTGAAGAGTGGTCTTTTCCTTGATGTCAAAGCAAAGGAAGATGGCATCCCACTGCACGTACGAGAGTCGCTCTACCGTGTTCAAGTCTGGCGCGCCCGAGGTGTCCTACATTTCGACGCGGACCGGCTGAGACTCGTACATGCGGACGTTGGTGTACGTCTCGTAACAAGTTCGAGTGATGGCGCTCGACTACATTATGGTTAGTATCTCGACTTGGTTCATAGGTTTACCTTGAGTGGGAGCAGCAGTCATTTCAGTCTTACGTCGGGGAAATGACCATAGCGAGCACGGCTACCTGATCGTTAGTATGAATCATTTCCTGCGGTAGCAAGTTGCAGCGAGGTTCAAATCTCACAAAAGCAGGGACGTCTGTCCAGCTCCCTCAGCGCCAACAAACAAAAACTGAAGAGTCAAGGGCCTATCGAGCACAACCGTGGGAGTGGGCGACAACGAAGGACTGCGGTGCTTTCTCTTGCGACCAAACAGGGCAAAAAAGCCGCGGATGGGGTTCCTCGCTGCACGCACCACTTCGTCCTCGTCGTCGTCCCGGACTCCCAGGGCGGTCTCGGGGCGTTCCATGATGGACTCTTGGAGAGCGTTGGGGCCGTTGGGTCGGCGAAAGAGCGGGATGGCGGCTCGCATCATGGCGATGCGGGTGGATGGGCGACGAACGGGCCTTTCCGGTTCACGAAAGGTCTGTAACGCACAATGAGTACCACGCATACATAGAGAGGTCATCTTGAAGGGGATACTGACGATGCGAGTCTCAGGTCGGGGCACGAAGCCATCGTTGACAAAGGGATCCTCGCGCTCCATGCGGCTGGGGACCGAGTGTCTCCAAGTATCGATGGAGGCGGCGAGTTCTCCCGGCATTTCCTGCGGAGTGTCCTGCATGGTTGTCTCTGGCGATTGGTTCTCCATCGCGGCGGCAAGGGTGAGGAGGTTGATGGAGCAAAGTTGTGAAGTCGAGTTGCTGGGGGTGAAGAGGGCTTTTGAAAGTGGCAGCTGGTCAACACGGGGCAGATGCAAGAGGTGATTCGTCAGAGAGAAAGTAAACAAAGCAGCGTGTTTGACGTGTCGACGTGTTTACGCGTTGAAGATGGACGCGACCAAGTGGCAACAAGTGATGGCCAAGTGAATTGCGAAGACGTGCGTGATGCTATAGGGGCGGCCGGCAATCCAAGATGAGGGCTGGCCGGCAGCCGTAGATGCAAGTCGAGAAAATATTAGTCAATTTCAAGCGTTTCATTCATTTACAAAGTCATTTATAGGAGATTCTTTGCAACAGTTTATCAAAATCATTTATCAACACAACCCCATAGGCTCCATGGGTAAAAGCTGGAAATTGCTTTCCCTGCATCCAGCTTTGCATTCGTGGTGGTATAAAGGTTTGTTTGGGACTAAATTCCTTGGTATTATCCCTCAAGATGATCAGTCCATGGTTCAAACTCCAATTCCATTGGATGCCCAGAAATGGCCTTGATCCGAGTCAAAAAGTTACGCCTCCGTAATGAGACACAGTCAACAAAATGTTGCAAAGCGCCGAAGTGGAGGTGGAGGTAATGGACTCCTTTCGCGGACTTTAGACGGGACAAGTCTTTGAGATTTTGATGGATGAGAAGGAGGCAGCGAAAGTGAAGATGGCGGTTGTTCGCATTGCGGCCATTTCCAACTTTGACTGGCGTAGTATCGGGTTTATTCCTAACGATTCAGGCGAAGTGGATGGAGAACAAGATGGCAAGCTGGAGGAATAGGAGGATGAATAAGAGCACATTGAGTTTTAATGAATGGACATTTTAACATTGAACACTATGTTGGTAGCATTATCTAGAAGCATTAGATACATGTGCTTGAAGCTAATTTATTGCATATTTTTTCACAACTACTCTCTGATAGTTGACGACACTATTGCTAGCTTCTCTAGTATCGTAAGTATCGATAGTATCGATAGTATCGCAAGTTTCTCTACTACCGGTAGTATTTCTACCTTCGGTAGCATCTCTATTTTTGGTAGTATCTCTAGTATTCATACCTTTCTTCTAGGTTTGGGAGACTCTACGGCTAATCTTCAGAATCAGACGAGTCAAGACTCCCAGTATCATATACATCCGCATCCTCCTGTACATCAAGACCGAGGTCCCAGACTCTAGCAGCGCCAGACAGAGCCGCAATCCTAACAGCCACCCATTGGCATTCCAAAGCTACCTTCATTTTGAGCGCTTCTTCTTCATTATCGATTAGAACCTCAAAAATCTTTCCCGATTCCAGGTCTGGGAAAGAATCTCTTTGTTCATCTGCAACAACAGTTTGCAGCATTGCGTCGATAGCTTCATCGTAAGGAGGCTCGGCTAACTCCTGAGGTTTAACCCAATTCCTAGGCATCCAGTAAAACTGTATCTGAACAGCAACAGAGCTTCCATCGCCGTTGGTGACGAATCCTAGGTACTTCAGACCGAATAAGCATTGAGACCACCATGTACACAAGGTCGGGTGTAAACAAAGCATGTTCCAGCTTTTATTGAGGCCACCTAGGGGTTGTGAATGCATAATACGGCCGATATTCGCCCGGGTGGTGTGTCCTAATATGTCGCTATAAAACATTGAATTCGTAAAGGTGCTAATGTTCTCCTGACTTGCGGTAAGGGTAAATGGAATGATAGCGCAGGCTCTGGCGTCTGTGGCCTTGGTTAAGACGCAAGCCCGTTGATCTCGAAGATAGCACTAAGGTATAAATAGTCAGCAAGTGGTAGTCGTTAAAAGGCTAGTAAAGGATATCTATTATACCTTTTCGCTCTCATTTGCGCTCTGGTGGATGTTATTATCACTACTCTCCGATACCTGTGGCACACCTCTGCTTTCACAGCGGAGAAGTTTCCCTTGGATCACTAGATTGTCGTTAGAAAGCTATATAGGACTAAATCATATATATATAGTTGCATACAAAGAGGTAATTGAAGTTGAGGTGTATAATGACTTATAATATGCAAGCATCTTATGAGGCTCTTGACCAAATCTTGCAGAGTGTCGATCGACATTACGGAGAGGGCCGATAGTTGGAGGTTGGTAAAGTGAAACATGTTATCAGAAGACATAAGATCTGTCTTTACAAGCTTCTCAAGCTCCCTGATAAGCTCAAGTTTGAGGGGAAGCTCTTTCATGGGGAGAAGTGCATCAAGAGTCGCATGGGTTGGCTGGGCTTTAATGAATCTGCAAACTTGTTTTTTCTGGCTTGCAGTCCCACATTCGAGGAAAGCCTTGAATTGAGCCAAGATATCTCGGTCACACATATCTTCCATAGTGATTGACGGGCTTCATCAAAGTTGAAATGATAAATCAAAAGAAATAAACAGAGGGGGGAGAAGGGGGGTATTATATGTTGCAAACCAAAGTTTATCAGTACTCTAGGAATTAGATTGCACGTAGCGTAAAATTACCTTTGCAAGGCTCCTCCTCTCATAACGCCACCGCAGTTTGGTAAAAGGGTCATGGTTTGGGGATACCAGGAAGATGGCGATAGTAGTCGGATAGTCAAAGTAGCGGAAAGTAGCAGATACTAGAAGAAAGTTGTGATGGTAGCAGATACTAGAAACAGTAATAAATGCAATAAAAGGCAGCTATATTGATATGAAAGGCATATAAAAGACTGTCAGTCTAACACAGCCAGTCCCATCTTTATAGTTTAAGGAGTCAACGTGCCACAGTACAGGAATAAAGCCACAGGTAACAAAAGCAAGATCTCCATAGCGATATCCATCTTGCTTCACCCCCAAAATTGTATGCCCTTTCTGCCTTTGATAAGTCTTTATTGGAAACCTTTCGCTTCATTTAAAATGAATGAAAATGAGAGAGATTATTGATTTCAAGAAGAGAAATGGGTAGCTAGACGGGGGAATAAAATATGGATTATTGCGTATTTAAGAACTCTATCCGGAAGAGTTTTTCGCCCCTACGGATATATCCATCCATAATTTCAACATCATTATAGCTAACCTTTAACTGCAAGCCTTTTGACAGTTGGAAGATTGCTTCAGAAGTGTCGTTTGTATATTCAGCAGTTTCCAAGAAGTCTGCTCTGGTTAGCAGTTGAATCAAGGATGCATTTGGTGCCACCTCTACTACCGCAAATTGGGGGCTGTCAATTGTACATAGAGGGATCTCGAACCGGCTTTTCCCGCTTTTTGCAAACTCTCGAATGTAAGATCGCGTAGCAAACCGTAGCTTATTTTCCACATCTTTGATAGTCTTTGTGGACCAAAAAATATGGTCTGCAAAGTCAATGCCAGTCCGTTCTTCTAATTCTACAACGAAATGAATGGCGCTCAATGAGTCGAAACCCAGCTCCTGCAGTGAAGACGTGGAATTGATTTCAGAGCTCTTTAAATGAAGTGCAGCGGCAAAGGACTCCATAATCATCTCTCTGAGTTGGACGTTATTTAAGGGAAGGAGAAGGCCCTTGTTTGAGTCCAGGCTGTCTGGGCGCGAATCCTCGTGGTATAATGAATCAGAGATAGTAGAGCTCTTAGAGAGACTTCTGCCTTTCATAACAACTAGGTGACCAGGCTGTTGGAAGTTTGTTGCAATATGAACTATAACATAACTTGTACCATGTTGGTTGTGAAGAGCAAGATTTAGTAAGGAATCCGTAGACCTCTCAGGAGGAAACATGCCTCCGATAAAGTAACCAGGAGGCAGAGGTCCAAAATCCAGATTGCAGTCCAGTCTAGGTCGAATCAAGTCTCCATGCCGATAAAAACTTGGCATATATATTGTCGCCCTCTTGCTGGCAACAATCTCATTTTCTTCTACCCAGTGGGGGATTCGATTACATAGCCGATAATATTCGTCTGGCTTGGGTTTCGCTCCATCAGCCCGAGATAAGCATCGAGCAAGTGGCACAGCAAGTAGACGTGTTGTGAAAGCTTTCAATCCTGTTTCTGCCATGGTGCAGTTCAGGATGCAGTACGCTATGTCTCCATTGTCAAAGTCTCCAAAAACCGGCAGGTCGAGTCGGAGTCCCCTCTGTGACATCGAAAAACCATCTCCAGGGGCTGCCGCACCCCTTGATGCTATCCCTCCGCAGTTGTAGAAATCCCGGGGTGATCGCGCCAGGGCCGTGGAGACACTCCACAAGGTTCTGTCCTCAAGATTGAAACCCCATGCCAAGATGGACTGATCGTCAAACTTCTTTATGATCTCTTCCTGGAGGCGTTGGAAAGCCTTGGGCCCTTCGCCGTAAAGCAACGGCATATTGACGTCAAATATTCCTAGTAGGCAATATGCTATATCTTCTTCCTTGGTTGTAGTGCGGCGCGAAGCCCACGACATCCTCTGTGCTATGCTGGTAAAATCCAGGGCCCGGTGTACATCAATAGCAGAGTTAACCAGCATCTCCTGGGAGATGCCAGTTGCCTCAGAGATCTCTTCCCGGAGAGAAATCTTGTCCCCAAACTCCAGCCAAGTGGAATCAAAGAAACGGACCGACGGCGGAGCAAGAAGCTCCTGAAGGGTCCACCCCCTAGTGAACCAGCGTGACTGCATATATCTTTGCAATGCTGTTTGTTTCTCTTGGGGATCTGCGTTCAGGCCAGGGTGGCTAAAATCGGATACATATACATAGCATTCGATCGACATCTCGTACCATTTAAACATAGAGTTGATTGCCTCTTGGAGCTCGACACTGTTTGACTTGTTGATACAGCATGTATCAATCCACACGAACTCGAGAGCGTCCTCAATCGCTTGTTGGCAGCATTTGATTACTTTCGCCCAGCCTTTTTTCGACTCTCGATAAGAATGCCCATTCGTAATATCGTCAAAAGTAATTTCATCGGCTTCCCAAGTATGAGATAGCGTTGCGTAAGGGGGTATCGTATCAGCAACAAATTCATGGAGCGTTTGAGTTTTTGCACACAAAAGTCGCATATTGTAGACTCTTTTGTATTTTCTTTTTTGAGTTGCTGTTTCCAGAGAGACTGTGTAAGACAAAGGAAAAGAGGCTTCGCCTTGAGTATTGCACAAGTTTTAATAACGATAATACAGCAACAGAATAGTAATACATGTAGTTAGTGAGATAATAAGGCAGCAACGTAGGCTGTGCAATTAGGCTGTGCTGCAGTAAGGCACCAATGTACTAAGGCAACAATAGGTCATAGTAAGACTGCAGCAATATTACAATGGCAGTTGTAATATACTAATAGTCATTATATTAGCAGGCAAGATTTGTCAGCCCATACCATCAATTATGTTATGCTGCAAAGCAGCAGGTTGTAGAGTTGTTAATACCTGTGAATAATTAAAGCAGGTATGTAGCTCTAGTGACCGCACAATACTCGGAAAAATATAGAAAACCCGGCCAACATACATAGTGCTGTCCCACACAAACGAAAAGACCATTCTTCTGTATCGACCAACGTAAGCATTCTTATTATGGAACAAAAGAAGACCTATAGAGTAAAGTCCACGGAATATGTTCGCTCCAAACAAGCTAAATAATTTCCCGCCACGGTAATATAGGTAGAGCAACACCCGCCCAATCAGGGGAGAAAGTGGCAGGTGCTTCAATCATCTCCTAGTCCCAAGGGCAGCACAATACCTGAATGGAATCTTCCGTCTTCAAGGAGATAGGAGATAGCATACATAGGCTGTGCAACAAATTACAGCGTAGATTAGTTTGTTTCATTTCACACATAACTAGAAGTCCATGGATAGCTCCAACGGCTTTACTCATGCTCGTGACGTCAACATAGCGCCATGAAAAGAAATTGTTTTCACACTGATTGGTTGATCGCCCCGCCACATATTCCCGTCTTTTGAGGTCAAGCCCCGGCCGCGAACATTAGCCACTACCATATGATACTTGTGTATTATCATCACCTGCCTTTCCATTATGTCTATTGCCTTGATAAGGGCATTGACTATGCTAAATGACAAGCATTGAATATATCATCATCTGCCTTTCTATCTTATCACAATGGAGCCGGGCATTCACGAAATTGATCCAAATGGGGATACTCTTCTCACCCTACGCTATCCCAACGCACCATTTGCAATCCGAGGTTCAGCTATCCTTTGGCCTAACCGGCTGCCAAATCATTTGTCCCAGCAAATGAGACTGGATGAACTACGCTTAGGAGGCTCTGAAAGGTCTCTTTCCAAGCCGCGAATTCAAGAGAACAAGCAAGAAATACGAATACGACTCTCGTCAAAACATCTTACATTAGCGTCTGCGTACTTTGAAAAAATGATGGCCAACGACTGGAGGGAGACCAACCCTGAGGATGGCTATTCTTATGTTGTAACTGCTGATGGATGGGATCAGAAAGCGTTACTTATCCTAATGAATATAATCCATGGCCAGACGACAAAGGTACCCCGAACAATCAGTCTTGAGATGCTTACCAAAATGTCTGTTCTTGTCGATTACTACAAATGCCACGAGGCGGTAGAATTCTTCGCGAAAACGTGGATTAGTAATCTGACAGAACCAGTTCCTTCTTCTTATGGAAGAAATCTCTTGCTTAGGCTCTGTGTATCGTGGGTATTCTCAGAAGCCGACACTTTCCAGTCGTTGACAAAGACCGTCGTATATGAGAGCAGAGGTCCCATTCATTCGCTAGATTTGCCAATACCGGGGGACGTTATTGGTAAGCATCGAGAATAGTATGCCCTTAGTAAACAGCTAATCCTATCTCTAGACGCTCTTGAGATGAGGAGGCAGAATCTTGTCTCTGAAGTTATTTCCGGCCTACATGACCTGAAATCCCAGTTCTCTAAGGATGAAGGGACTTGTTCCTTTGAATGTTCTTCGATTCTACTGGGTGCTCTTATCAAGGGCATGAATGCAGCTTGTATTCTTGACCCGCTACCAAAATCAGGATTTGAAGGCTATAGTTTCAAGGCACTGGAACAAGCTGTTATCAATATCCAGGAGCCAAACTACAGTTCTATACCTAACTCCTACAGCCTTTGCAAAAGACCCACGTATTCAGCCCTGCGTCGCAGATGCACACTTCTGGAGAAAACCAGGCCAATCATCGATACAAAAGTTGAGACAATGTGTGGGCTAGAATTGATAGCCTTCACCAATCAAGGCTAAAATTCAAACTACTACTATGCTGAAGCGGTCTGCGGGCTTCGTTGATCGAAAGGGTCAATGATCCGAAAAGGGTAACGATAGCTGGGAACGGCTGGTGAGATGACAAAAGGCTTTGTTTCCATTACACGATAGCTTCAATTAATCAAGTGTATTCTCTCGCTCATTTAAGTCAGTTTTTACATCAATATAATACGGAGCTACGGCGCTTTGTGCTTTTATTCCTGGTCCTTGTTGCGCTTTGATGCATCTAAATAGATGCTTGATCTGTAGCTATTACAAATCCGTTGACCAACCAACCATCAGTCACAAGGAATGGCTCGTTGATTATTGCGATCGCGACAGTCAACCATCACACTATGCCCTTTCTTATCTTGACTGCTTCTCCTGAGGCTGATAAATGCTAATTAAGTCGGTAGAATACTTCACATTTACTCGTCTACTGCAAGACTATTTCTAGGCAGCAAATTGCGGATTGCTTTACGTATAGGGCAATGCCTTAACTTTAGGATATTTGTTATTGCCGATGGTACATTCATTCATTCATTTATTTATTTATTTCGCCTGGTGGAAAGTCCAAAAGGGCAACTATAAACCTATAGCAGGTATACTTCTGAAGCTTAGCTTTTATCTTATTGAACATAAATCCTTATCATCCAGTTTCTGCTCTTATAATCTATTCTCTTACTTCGCTATAGTTTCTCATGTTCTATCATACTTTACAGCAGCCTAGCTTAGAGCTTACTCCCCAAGTGTTTAGGATCCTATCTACGGCAGCTGAAGCGGCATCTGCTGTATCTAGCACGAGGAGTTAATAGGAGTTAGGCGATGAGTTAGTAAGTGGTTGTAAGGCAGAAACCTAGGCTATAACAGTACGGTTGTAAAATAGTATGACAACAAGAAAATACTTTAATTGGCTACTTTAATTTCCCTATAGCTGGGTGCAATATAGAGACGATTGAACACAAAACCTCTTCTCTCTTGGGATTAAAGATTTGGTCGAGCAAATACTAGAAAGTTGGCGATATCTTCTACCAATAGAGAGAGTAGCGACTCTTCTGTATTTGATACTATCGCTACTAACAGCAGGTCTTCAACAGATCCACCCAAGACATTTACTCACCTTGCTTCAACTCCAAAGCGCCATCTCACCAATCACAACTCAAATCTCATTCGCCAAATTCTCCAACCGCGCCCTCCTCAACCTCGCCTTATCAACTTTAACCTCCTCCCTCGGATACCACTCTCCCAACTTTCCCCCCGGCCGTCCAACACTCTCCTCCAAATCAACATCCTCCTTACCCAGCATCATAATCGCCACAGCAACACCACTCAACCACGCCCAAACCATGCCCTCCCCATTAAACCCGGCAGCTATCCACTCCCCAGAACCCTTATCAAGTCCTCCTCCAAGACTCTTCCTCAATCCCCCAGTGGCAGGCGAAAGACTTCCCACAAATGGAAGCGTATCACCCGTAAATCCCATGATACCGCTCCAAGCACCCTTCAATTCCCCTCCAGCACCCCATTTCGGCTCAAATACCGTCGCCATGCTTCCCCTAAGATGCATCAAGGGAAACGTATCTACCTTTGAATCATCCCACACACCAATCTGATCCAATCCCTCGTCTTTACTCCGAAACAAGCCGCCTCCTATCATCAAGGGCCCCGGTGCTCCGTCGTTTCCATCAGGTCGCTGCGTCACATAGTCAAACCCGTTGCCGTAAATCACAGACCAGGACCGTCCACCATGACAAACGGGTGCGAACCCTGCTCCCGGCTGCTGCGCCGTCATGTGTCCGATTACACCAGTCAGACAGTCTCGGAGGGCGGGAACCAGATGGCCCGTGTAGGCATTTGTAGCGTGGAGGACATGTCGTGTACGGATCGAGCCGCGGGAGGAGTGAACCGTGTATGGGAATGATGATGAGTCGTGATTTGTAGTGATGGATGAGACGGGTGTGTGTGTGCTAACGGTGAGGTTTGGAAATCGGGTTATCAAGTCGTTCCACGTGCTTGTAACCAGACGAAACGGCCAAAGAGCCCCAGCTTGATACGATATCGCACCAACAACATGACGATTAACCCCAAACTACCCCCCAGAATCATCAGCATCGGTCCTCATAAAGCAAATCAAGCATCAAACATCAAACATCACTCACCTTCACCCTCGCCTCCTCCTCCCCCCAAACCAAAACCTCAAACTCCGGCATCCACGCTTTCATCTCCTCAACACTCCTCCTCGCACTCTCAAACCCCTCCTCCTCAAGAAACACATCCACCGTCTCAACCTCCCTCACCTCCCCCCACGGCATCCCCTCGCCCACCTTCTTCAGCACCTCCAAATGCCTCATCTGCAGCCTCACAATCTTCCTCGCCCGCTCCTCTCCCAAGGCCTTCCGCAAGCGCGCAAACTCCCCGTGCGGCGCACACTTGATGTGGCCCCCGTTTCTCGCCGTCGCGCCGCTGCACAGCTGTCTCGCCTCTAACACGGCAATCCTCGGCGCTCCTTTGCCTTCAGAGGAAGAAGACAGCTCACACAGCGTCTTCACTGCAGCAGCACCCGTGATTCCGCTCCCAACGACAACCACATCCGCCTCCCCCGGCAGCTCCCCCATCACATCTCCAATGTCCGGAAAGGGAGCATCCCGCATCCAGTACGACTCCGTAGGGTTCTCGACCGGCGTAAACGGGCCCGCTTGGATGCGCTGCAGCAGCGCCTGGTATTTGGCGTTGAGCGCAGAGATGGTGCGGATGACGCTGGTGATGGTGGTGATGCCACCCTTGATGCTTGAGATGACGGCGCCCATCTTTGCTTTTGAAGGCCTTTTTGACTATGATGGTGACGATTGTGATATTTGTGATGAGAATGAGTATTCGCTGTCGATGAATTGGTGCCTGATTGGATGGCTATTTTTATTGCTTCATGGTGATGGATCAGATCAGATGCGTCTTTGAGAAATGCCGAGGCCAGATTATGTACGTATTAGTGAGTCGCCAGCTGCAGGTTATTGGAGACTGAATGCTGCTACCGCCAAAAAGACAAAAATACCAAAAGACGGATGCCGATCCGAATTTCCAGCTTCATTTCACAGTTCAGCTTCACCAAGTTTCTAGATCAACAAAAATGCAGTAATAAGCATTCAATTCAATTTTTTATCTACCATTCTAAAGCATCATTCTCATTCCGTTCCAGAAACAGATAAACACACACAATAAACAATTCACAAAAAGCTCAAAAGAACCTGCGCCCCTTGTTATTCGCCCAGTATCGTGCCGTGCCGTGCCGTGCCGTGCCATACCGTCCATCCGCCTGTCCGCCAAAAGACTTGAAGCATTTAGAAAGAAAAAAGCACATAGTAAGACAGTCTGATTCCACGCTAGATCAAATGTCGGTCTGACAGTTTGTCTAAAGGCTAATGGCATTATAAATGCGGAACCGGGAATTGCTTCGCCCTTATCCGTACAAGTGGAAAAAAAAGCACAATTTGTTTGTTGGTTCGTGATTCCTCTCTCATCTGGCCACCTGGCCATGAATACCATCCGAGTTGATGGATGGAGGATGCCTTGGACGACTAAGAAAAGAAAAAGAAAGAAGAAATTTCGCAAATAATATACTCAGCATTACAAGAAGGCTTCATGGGTCGTCGTCATTTGCTCAAGCGTCTAGCAACTGATGACAAGTTTGATTCCTCATCATCAGGCTATCCACTCGGCCTGGTATCCGGTGCAGACAAGGAAAATCATAAACGATGCGTCGTTGAAACGTTAGAAGAGGATATAAGGTAAAAGAGAAGAAAGAATAAACAGAGGGTGTTAAAAACGGTAAAAAGCAGGGAACCAGAAGGACTCGAGTTGTTGCCATAGGCTTGGAACATGGCCTCATGCCTCCTCTGTATGGAAAAATAGGATTATACACTAATCATTCCATCGTCTTCTTCATCGTCCATGGCATCAAAGCCTTGGGACGAGCTCCATCCGCGGGGATCAAGCCCCAATTCGGCTCTGGTGTCTCGTTGGATCTGCAAAAAGTACTTCCTCAGGCTTCGCAGCCCTTTGAGGAAGCCGGGATCCGGTTGATTAGGATGCTGGGGTGGGCACGGCTTGTCTTCCACCTTGTCCAGCGGCGTGAGGCTGTTGGCAAAGTCTGCCACCTTGAAATCAATCTCACGCTTATTTCTCTTCTTCCGGACAGTCTCTTCGGTATCCGTCGCAGCGTCCGTCATGGAATCATACGCCGTCTCGTAGCCTCCATTCTCGTCTGAGGCATCTCCGTCGTAGAACATGAGCAGACTCGCGGCGTAGAAGCGGTAGCCACGCAGCTCGCTGACAATCTGCTCCAGCTGGGAAAGCTTCCTCAGAATGACCGGGATATGGTGGAGGATGGAGTGCAAGTCGACGCCGTTATAGAGGAACTTGGTGAGAGCGGCCTGGAACTCCTTGCCGGCTTGGACTTTTCGGCCAAAATACTTGTCCTGAAAGTCATACGTCTGTGTCTTGGCGTTCCATACCTGCAGTCCACAGATGCGCACTCCGAGCTCGTACGAAGTCGTCGTCCTGCATTTTTCTTGCTGGGATCTCTGCTTGCTAGGAGACGCCTCAACACCATATTGGCGCGTTCCCATTTTGAGGTCCATCATGCACGGTCGCTTCATGCCAGCTGTGAGATCTTCCAAGAGCAAAAAGTATTCCACCCTGTCACGCTGAGTTTTGGCCTCCTTGGGATTGTTCGGTCGAAGCACCGGCGCAAATTCCACTGACGGATGCTGCAGGGCCTGTTGGACTGTCGTCAAGCTTTCGGTAGAATCAGGCTCCTGGGTGGTGGTAGATGTAGAATCAGCTGTAGTAGCAGCCACAACCTTTTCGAGGGATTCGTTGGCAGAGTTGGCAGTAGTAGTAGTTTTTGGCGAACCCCCTTCAACACCCTCACCGCCGTTGTCGCCGTCGTGTTCGCGCTTGTAATCAGCATCATCCGCCTCCTCAAAATACTTGAGATCTCCCCTTGAGTCTCGAACATCCTGTGGCTTGCGTCGAAGCCCGCTTCCAGAATACCTGCGCTTCTTTTTGGCGAGCAAGGGGTTGTTCGTCAATGTCTCTGGTTCGGGAGCACTAGTACCCGTGACGTCCTTGACCTCAACAGGTTCATCTCGCTGCTCCGCTGATAGACGGTCGACCTGGGATCCGGGATCGCTCATCTGCGGTACAAGTGGAGTCAGTGGCTTTAGAGGGCTGGCTACAATAGGTCTGCTTTCCGCATTGCCAACAAGATTCTCAGCAAGGCTGGGGTCTGAATTGCTAGTTCGGAGCAGTCGCTGGAGATTTGGTAGAGGAACAGGTCGCTGATATGGGCGCCGGTGTTTCTGAACTTCGATTGGCTGCTTAAGGAATGCGTCGTTGAACACCTCGTTGCGCAGTCGCTTGTTCACCGTCGTTGCTCCCCAGCTGTTGGGGCGCTCTTCCAAGGTAGGTCGCACCGGCACCTTAGCCGAGACGGCCGCCGCGGACGATATCTTGGAGAGCGATGTGCTCCGGCGGTGCGCCGGGTCCAATACGGGCGATGGCTGGAGAAGGTTGCGAGGAAGAATGTGCCAATTATCGTCGAATGTTACAGTGGGAATGGGGATGTTGGAGCTGGCAAGTGATTGGCTAATAACCCGCGCAGGGGTGGTCGCCGTCTGCCCAGCCTCGTTGCTGCCATTTGACTCCGGCTGGCGCTTATCCGCCGTCTCGTCTTTTTTAATGGTGCTCTTTCTCCGAGGCTTCCTCTGGAATGTCACATTCAGCACTCCAATGTACCTAGAAAAACGAGACGTGTTAGCGCTTTGAGTTCAGACACCGGGGGGAAATGTTCCAAACGTTGAGTTGGGGGGAGAAAGGGGGGGATGAGAGAAGAGCAAGGTGTCAAGAAGCGCAACATCAGAAACTTACCGAGGAAGGAATGGCAGCAAATCACGATGATATCGTTCAATGGTTTCATAGAATTCGTTTTCTCGGTTGCTGAGTTGCTTACAGACGGCTCGGCGAGAGAATCGCCACAGCGTATTGTGGCCGCCGACCTGATGCTTGTATGGGATGAGTTCAATGGCCTCTAGGGGTCGACGGGCCTGATGCTGGTGGTCATGGACATGGTCTTCATGATGGGTCACGGCTCGGGTTTTAGTAGGGGTAACTTGGTTCACTTCATTCTCAGCTTCCACGGCAGCTTCGGTTGGGACATGGACCTCTGCCGGGGCCTCTGCACGACGTGAAACAAGGCTCTCACGGGAGGCAACATGCGAAACCTGGTAGGAACTCTCATCCTTATTCTCAATCTCGGGCTCAGGCTCGTCGGCCTTGACTAGCCAGGGATGACTCTTAGTCTGCGAGCGCGACCTCGGCCGTCGCACCACATCATTGTCACTACCCTCACTCACACTTGCACGGCCGTCATCCAGCTCTTGATGGGGGTGGAACACGGCGGACGCAATCTTTTCTTCACCAGACTCGTCGGCCTCTGCTTCTAGGTCAGTGTCTGCGTCAGAGTCGGTATGGGCCTTGCCGTTAGCGTGGCCATTAACACGACCGCCAGCCCGGCCCTGTTCAACGGCTTCGGCGTCAGCTTTGATCTCAGCATCATCGGTCTTGGCTTTGACATCAGCCTCGGCATCCACAGCTGCGCCTCCATCCTTGTGGCCGGAAGCCTCCAAAACACCGACCTCGGAGTCATGTGACGTCCGCAGCTTCTCCACTTCGGCGTCTTGAGCCGTGTCCGGCCCCACCTCTTGATGAAGCGGTGGCTCCAGCTTGGCTTCGTTATGATGAAGAGATGATTGCTGTGCAGAGGCTTCGCCACCTTGCTCCTTTTGCTGGGCAGCGAAGCTGGTTTCTTCGAGCGGCGAGGCGACAATGGGCCATGAATCAGACACCTGTGCTGGAAAAGACTCGGTCCTAGTTAGTTTTGCGGGCTCTCTTGCGTCTGCAGCTGGTGTTGCCTTTGTGGTTTTGTGCGACTGTTCTAGTGGCTGTTTCTCGGTTAAAGTAGTGGGTTCCTCGTCTATCGTAGACACATGCTTATCGCGATGCGAGCCTCTGGCCTCCTTGCGCCGTGCCTTGTCGTCCGGGGGGAGTCCCTCCTTGAAGAAGCGCAAGCTGTAGCTGGACTTGCGACTGCGTGCATTGTGTTCAACCCCCGCAATGGCCTCGGCGACTGACTGTTCCACCAGACCATCCTCTTCGCTGCCATCACCAGAACCAATGGACCAAATCTTCTCCGTCTTCTCGGTGGCCTTGTGACGCTCATGGTGCGAGTCTTGCGAATCAGTTTCGTCTCCCGCATCGGTGGAGCGGTCAGGGGATAATACAGCACTAGTGTAGCTGCCGTTGGTGGGTGTCATTGAGTCGTTGGGGGTTGGCGAGTGGGAATGTAGGGGATGGTGTTGGTGCGGCAGTCCCGACAGCTTGGAGTCATGGTCAAGCGAAATGGACGCCCTGCCTCGGGTGCGGTCGAGGAATTCGCGGTGCTCCAAGAGCATCTCGTTGGCGTGGGACAGGATCTCGGATTTGAACGACGAGGACGGGGGAGCAGCACGGTCTCGCACTGGGAGGGCAGAGGTCATGGTAGTCGTCGTGGTAGCCATTGTGGTGGATTGCGGTTCGCCTCGCGTCAAGGCGCCGTCGAGGTCGATGTAGTCTGATGCATCTCGCGGCTCAGTCCAGGGGGTGGCAGGCGAAGACCGAACAGGCCTCGGGTCGAGGGCTGACGGAGGAGTGACGGCGGCAGTGGCAGGCGTGGACCTGGTCGACTTGTCCGGCTGGCTGGGAGACGAGTTGGTGCGCAGTATGCCTCGAGCAGATGCCAGGGCCTGGGAAAGCAGCGAAGGACCCTGCTGGCGCTGGCGGGCTGCGACGCTAGGGGTAGTCTTTATATGAGTTGCGGCTGCTGCTGGATGAGGAGAGGGTGAGGGAGAGGGAGAGGGTGATGAGGGTGAGGGTGAGTCCGCTCCGCTCCCGTCCGCCTGGTTCTGGCTGCTTTGACTTTGGCTTGGGCTCAGGCTCGGGTTCAGGCCCTCCCTGGCAGCAGAAGCGGCGGCCTCACTGCCCGGGGCCGGGGGTGCAGGTGTACAGGTAACAGGATCGACTGCTGCATCGACTGCATCGGAACCAACACCTGCAGCGTCGTCGGGCTGGGCAAGGGCCCGGGAGCTCAGCAGCGCCGCATGTGCGGCATTTTCGGCGTGTGAGGGCGAGCTGGACATGGGGAGGACATCTGGCACGGCAGAGCGTCTGCGTGGGAGGATTGATTCGTGGCAGAAGGTTAGTAGCAGCCTGGGAGCTGGAGGTTGCGGAGGTGGAATTGGAAGGTTTTCAGGCGAAGATGGATGGGGGAACTCAAAGGCGCGCCGCCCTCGTGGTGGAGCCTGACCAGCAGTGCTGTGCTTGCTGTACTCGTACATGTGCATGTACCTGTGCATGTACCGATTTGACAGCAGAGTCGAGCAGCGCAGTTAGCGCAAGTTACAGCGCTACCGGCAGCCGCTACGGCCTGCTACAGGCTGCTGGCTGGCTGGCTGCTGGCTGCTACGGCCACTCCCACGGCGCCGCCACAGGGCACCTATGCCGCTAGCACTTTCCATCACCCCCCTCCATGCTCCCTTTGCCCTGCCGAATCACCCCCACCGCCCAGCAGCACGTTCAAGGTTGCATGATGGCGACTAGCCGCAACTTCTTTCAGGGGCGGGGCGCTGCCGTCAGTGGGAGGGGAACGCTGAAGCACAAGGCGCCTCTGCGGGGTCCTAGTGGCTCGAATGCGCTTCGATTGATGACCATGTCGACGCTGCTTCATCTTGAATCGTGATCCATGTGGATTTGCCATGCATTGCCAATGCCTCGAGAAGGCATTACTTGTACAGTCCAGCACAGCACGGGCCGGGACCTGGACAACTGCTGATTGCTGCCGTAAGCCCGCATGCCTGTCCGTAATACAGGTACTGGCCGAAGCATATGGAAGGGAGAACAAAGCCAAAGCTCGCTTACAGCCCGCATCACCTGCTGACTGCTCTGCTCTGCTCTGTTATCTATCCATTCTACGATGCCGGTTTCACTACTCCAACCCTTGATTGTCTCGCCAGGAGGACTGGAGGCATGATTACAGCCAGAGTCGAGTTGGCCAAGCACGGAAGAAGGTTCCAGCGGCTGCATTGGCATGTGAAGCTGTCTACTGTACATGTAGCTACGTCCATTGACGTCGTCAAAATACATGCCGAATACCTCCATCAAGGTTGATATCAGCACCACTCAGCGTTATCTCGTCCCAGTATCCTGTACTTACTGCCTTAGGCACCTGCTCCGCCTGCTATCACCGCCCTGATAGCGGGACTTCCCTTTCTGTGCAACACAACGCGGAGAGATGCAACCCACATGCAAAAGATAAAGCATCGGTGAGGCCAGAAAGCGAGACATGGCATGTTTTGCTTTGCTCTGCTCTGCTCTGACTCGCTTTGCTTTGCTTTGCTTTGCTTTACCGTCCTGTGCTCTGTGCAACGCGGCATTTGGCACGTGCAACGGTCTGCGCCACTCGAGATGCCGTTTCCCCAGCTTCGGCTCAGCGAGCAGTCGAGCGTCGATTAGCAAACACGAGAGCCGCTAGCCATCGCGGAATCTCTTCCACTTCCGACACCCTGAGCGGGACCGTGACGCCCTTGTTCCCTCTGATACGAATCCGATCCCCGGCTTGCTTACGGGAAGGAGGGCGGCTCTCTGATAACGCCTCGTCCTGTTGTTGTCTCGAGCTTATCAGGCACACGATGGCAACCAGGTACGGAACATTATAACTGGTAGTACTGCGACTCTGCTGACGCTAATACTTAGTGATGGCACATAGTCTGGTGTTTGAGAGTTTGAGAGCAGCACTAATACGTGGCTTGATAGCGCTGGTGCCCAATGGCGTTGCCGGCGGGCTTCCATGCTTTTGTTTACAAAGTACACCTCCGGCCTCTTTGTCCTTCTCGCCGCCGCCTCTGACCCGCAATCACTTAGTAGCATTCCTTAGAGTCCAATACGTTGCTTGCAACAAGGAAACGAAGCTGCTTCGACAAGGCATCCGGCCGCATGATCCAGCGGAATGATCGTGACACGCACGGGGGCCTGCAATTTTCCTTATCTCCACCGCTTCAGGTCGTTTTCCAGAAGCTTGGACATCATGCTAGCCCACGTGGAACAACCAAAAACGCCCATCAATCAACCTACGACTTGTTCTCTCACCGAGGACAAAGGGGTTGATTAAGTGGGCTTGCCCGGCATAGTCAAGCCTTCCCCGGAGTCTAGCTGCCAGACAATCTCGACGACCGGGGCACGCTGTCCAGAGCCAGGGATTCCGGACGACGAATGTAAACTGACAGCCGATATGCAGCCCTACCTATGTCATGGAGTACGGCATTCGTGACATGCTTTTACAGACAGAGCATACATTTGTTTGGCGACCCGAGCTCACCGATAACGCCACGCTACCAATTGAAATGCAGACTGCATATGTATATGCGCTTCACCACTGCCGGGCAACCAGACCACTTCAGTCACCCCGAGGAAGCCGGCGACCACGATGCGAATTCTGTTCAACCATTCGTGAGGAATTGCATCACCGACGCTCCCGAAAAAAAGGAAAAACAAAAAAATAATAATGATAAATAAAAACAAAAAGGGAGAAACAGATGACTCTTCAAAACTCAAAAAGGGAGTGCCTGGATTTCTAATAAGCTGCCGAGCTCAACAACGCCTTCTCCCTTCTCCCACGTGTGCCTCAGCAGGACCTGACTGGTGAATCCTACAACAACACCGATCATCATTACGTATCCTCGGACCATCCACGTCACACATCTGAAGCTCAAAAGTCAGACAATGCGGACTCTTTCATGCTGCGAGCTACAGCTAGATACCGAGCGCGGGCCACCAGACTTGCGGTGACCCCGATCGCCTGGATCTAAACAGGGATCTCAATTCCATCGAAAACATCACGCTTATTCCTCCTGTGCCCCAAAATAGGCAGTCAGGAACAATTGCTCAAGCGTCGAGCACGTCCCGGAGTACCGAGAGGCAGGGCATCTAGACCTTGATTTCTGGCTCAGATAAGCGATCTGTGGGCACGTGGATAGACTACACAATCAAATGGCTCGACGTCCTCAACCACGTGAGGCGTTGATGGACAATGTTCCCTTGTTCTCGTACTCGTTTGAATGCGCACGCCTCGGTGTTGAGCAAATGGTGTCTACATACCATGGATGAGGCGAGTTGGGTTCACGGGCGACCCAAGGAATCCCTTTTCGTTAATATCAAATAGACAACGACACCACACAGAATCCGCAAATGCTACTGGACGTTAATTAGGGTTAGGTTGGCCGAGACCTCTGCACACCCCGAGGTCTGGAGAAAGGAGACAGGTCAAAACAAGCCGGTTAGGGGGATCTGCGTCTGCCAATAGAACATGGCGCCTCCTCCTTTATTTCGTAACAGATTGCGCCCTCCCTCTCCTCAGGGTCGGATGTCGTTCCACTCGTCGGTTCGTACCTATGCGACGTCACCAAGCGTCTTATTCGCTTTAGAGTTTCACTCGGATATTTGCGTGCAGCTTATCCGGCGTGCCTGTGAGAAGCAGAGGCTGCAATCAAAAGCCGCTATTCCATGTGTCGATTCTGATAAAACTTGTTCAAAGGGCTCTTTATGAGTGGTTTGATACACCAATCTCAACAAACGGCCCGCGGCGATTAGGTGACATTCTCCCACCACCCTCCTTCTGCATTATCCGACAAAACCCCTTGCTCCCGAAGAAGAGGACACATTGGGTAGGTAGTAGGCCAAGTATAGGCTAATCAGGTACTACCTTGGGAAGAAACCAAAGAGCGGCAGTGAGACAAGAAGGACAAACAGGACGAGCTCGGACGAACGTCGTCGCGCCAGCAAAGCACGCCACGTTCTTTGTCCAACCGCACCCATTGGACCAAAAGCCAAAAGGTCATCTTTTTGGAGCAGGGGGTCCACCGCAGACGCAGGTATCTGGCTACTGGACGGACCTAGACTGTACCTGTTGCGCGGCGTTGGTATGCAGCGCTACAGCCTCCCGGGCCTTTTCCTCTGGCCATTGATGTACAGTAAGTCAGAATTTGACCAGGTGATGGTGCTGCCGCCATTGCATCGCTGCCCATGTATACCAATGCAGCCCGTGCTTTAGCTTCGTTTGTTAGTCTGGCTTAGCCTACCCTGGAGAACCTGGTGAGTTGCAAAGTTTAATAAGATAGTGTGTGGCTTTGCATCGTCGGTGAGAATAATTTGATGATGAAATTAAGGAAATAAACAAGACGAGGAGAAGAATAATATGATGAGAATGATGAGTAAAGGGGACTGGAGGTAGTGCTTGGTTTGGATGGCGTGCTTCCGAATCATCATTTTGCTACATTGGCACTACTGATATAACATGCATGGTACTAAGAGGCGTTCAAGTAGGAGTGAAGATGCTACCAATAATTCCTGTATTTCCATAACAGCAGCCAAGATAAAGATTTGAAACACGCACAGGTAGTAGAACATGACGTCTCCAAAATGTGCTTCGTTAACCCCAACTTGCACACCAGCCAGATAGAACAAGGAGACAAGACTCGCACAGACGAACATCTCACAACCGGTGTCTATTCAACCAACATGAGCAAAAAATAAAGCCACTTCGGCGTTTAAAAAAAAAAAAAACATCCATCCCATCAGGGTATATTTCCCTCGTATCGACAAAGCTACGTACGACTCCTAGCCCGTTCCACCGCCAAAAAACGCATAATACATCACGAGCTCTTTCATGCCTCCGCTTCAAGTTTTGGAGAAGAAACCGTCGTGAAAAGCAAAATACACGTGGGCTGATAATAGACTCGTATACGCAAGAGCGAAAAAAAAAAAGTGTAAACAAGGCAAGAAATACACTCCTTTTGTAATATGCTATGTATGATGTACATTGTAACAAAAAAACAACCTTTCCTCATAAAAATGATGGAATATTCGAGCTCCAGCAGGGGAGATACAAGATAAAAATAATACGGCGGAGACGTCGTATAAGCGGATACCGGGACGCTATGCTAATGACAGTTGAATGATATCATGGGGGTTTCTTGTAGGTTTTAGTGTATAGTCGGGGAAGGGTTTTTGTCGAGGTTGAAAATGCCAATTTTTGTTTCAAAAGAGTGCAGTCATGTCCATGTCCATGCCCATGCCCATATCCATGTCGAACTCGGAAAGAGTTTCAACCTTCTTCTTGCTGGCAGCAGCCTGCGCCTTTTCGGCTTTCCGGGCCTCGTCAAGCTCAGCGTCGACATCCCAGACCTGCAAAAAGTCGTCCATCTCGTTGAATATGTCCTGCACAATGTCCGTGGGTTCGTTGTCGTCGTCCCATCCGCTGCTGGCCACCTTGGCAGCCCCCTTCTCCTCTCTCTGAGGGTTCACTCTAGGGGGGCTTGTGATTCCAGTCGGGCTGGCGGTTTGTACTGCAGTAACAGGGGCTTGCTGGCTAAGGCTGCAGGATCCATGCCCTGATGCGGTTGGTACGCTCTGCGGTTGTGTGCCCTTTGAACGATCAGCTACAGCAGCAAAGTGATCACCGAATTTCATGTCTCTGTTGGTGAGCGAATCAGAAGCGAGGCTTGTAGAGGGCGGTGGAGGTGGTGAAACTGCTCGGTCTCTGCCTCGTGACAACGATGATGACGTGTCCGTCTCTGACGAAACCTTGTCGCCAGAGCCGTCTGTCTCTTCATGCGGTAAGGGAGCCCAGGAAACTCGCTTCTTTGGCGTTGTGCCTCTCCACGCCCTGTTCTTGGAGGATACGAGGATACCATGTGATGTAGAGGCGACACCGTTGTAAGTCTTATCAGATGAATAGCGTATCTGGCGGCGGTGACTGGGAGAAGGTGACATGAAAGACGAAAAGGACGTAAAGGCAAACTGCGGCTCTGGCGTGGATTGTCTCTTTGACACTGGTTCGGTGGGTGGAGGCAAATCTTCACTAGACGGCTGCTGTGTATCGATGCTTTGTGGTGGTATGACAAGACTTTCGCTGGCCTCGGTAGGTGTGAGGATTTGATTCTCCTGCTCCTGTTGACGTGTCTGGGTATGATCATCCGCCAAGACGGCGGTTAACTCCGTGTTGGTTGCCTTTTCTGACATGTCTCTGGTTGTGGGAGTCTCAGGTATGTCTAGACCTGCATTCTCTTCCATGGGAAGTGCCGGCTGTGAATTAGCGGAGACCTCCTCTTGGGCAAGACTTGGCTCTTCTGAGTCCTGTGTGTTGAGTATCACATTGCTCTGGGCTGTGTTCATCTCTGTAGGTGAGGCGGCTTCAATCGGCAGATGGCTGACAAGGGAGGTAGTTGACGGGGCTACAGCATCGCGAGCCATAAGCTCCTCCTGAGCTTTGTCCGCTTTAGAGCAATCAGCTTTGCAAGTATAATCGGTAGCAATCTCACTCAGATTGGGCCGTGATATCGGGAGATTGGTCTTCATAGTCTGTGGCAGTGGATTCTCCTTTGTCTCCATTGACTCGACATTCTCCTTGGATTGCTGGCTATCCTCCTCTTGCAAGTATAGAGCCTTGTCTACAGCTGCTGATGACTTGACTGGTGACGAATTATAAGGTTGAGCAATCTTGTTGGGAGCAAGTCGCGAGTTGATTCTACCATTTCGAGGGCTCAAAGACTGTAGAGCAGATGATTTAGGGGGGCTATTTGTCTTTGTGAGATTGTCATTGCCGGATGCGTCTCTCGCAAGATTGGCTGCTTCACTCTGACTAGCAATGAGCTGCTGTGCGTTTGATAGAGCTGTGATACTGGAGTCGGGAGACGAGTCATTAGATCCTTCAGCATCATCGTATATTATTGGATGCACCATTCGTGTAGGTGGTGTAGCACGGAAGGGAGTGATAAACCCATTGGGGATTTCGTAGCTTGCTTCCAGACCATCCATAAAACCACTCTGAGCATTATGAGTTGTGCTTGCATCATCTGAAGACGATGTAGGTCCCTCATGGTCGGAGCTAGTTGGGGGAGCTGCGTGCGGAACTGAATCAGTATTACTGGCATTGTCACCCTCGATAACCTCAGGGGGCTCGGAGAATGGAAGCTCCTCCTCTCGTGAGTGGGATTCTGTTGCTAGGGTGTTGCCGTGAGCATTAACATCATCAATATCATCCCCTGTGCCTAGCATTTCTAGATCCGAGAGGTCAGATAAAGATACGCCACTTGAAGACCTTGGGCGGCTGGGGGATTGGGTTGCTGGAACCCTCTGTTTCGTTGGAGTTTGCGCCGAGGAGAGAGAAACGGGAGATAGTGCTCTTAACAAGCTCGGCTGAGCAAATGGAGACGCTAAGGACGAGGATGGATTTAGTACATTCGTGGAAGGTGAATCAGCTGATGAAGGAGAAATAAGAGCTTCATCATCGTCGGAGTCAAGCGAATCTCCATCTTCACTTGATAGTTGCTGTCTTGGAAGTTTCGAGGTAAGCTCCCGAATATGCGAATATATCGACGAAGTGTGCAGAAAAGCTTTTGTGTGTTGCTCGCCGACATTCGTTGCTCTAGTCCGCCGTCTTCCAGAGGTGGGAGTTTCGATTTCGCGTTCTGACGATTCCACTCTCCGACGTTTCCCTGTGCTATCCATCACAATTGATGACTTTGATTTCCTCTTGCCTAGCTTCCTTGAAGACGGTGAACTTGCTGCCCAAGACTCATAGCCATCTTTGCTCGATGAAAGAGATATATCCTCGTCTCTCCAACTAGAGACTTTGCCTTGGGGACACGAACGTGCTTCAGTGAAGGGTGCCTGTTTAAGGCTCTCCGGACTAGGAAGAGCACACTCGGCATTTTTCAGGATCTCTATCGCCTGCCTCCGGGCAGCAGGAGAAGCAGAAGCAGACGGGGTGGCTCGCCTGAGGCCATATTGCGAGACTGCGGATTGAGATTCAGGCTGATGTTGCAAATGAGCAGTCCGATTCTTTGACCGCCACGGGTTCACCCAGCCGGAGTCCTCTTCGAAGGGGCCTTTCAAGGTTGCCGACAGCAGCATCGGAACCCTGCCAGCAAGAAACTGCTGTCCGGCAGCCTCGTATCTCTGCCTCCGCGCCTCCGCATCGTCATAGTCCTCGTCCTCGGACCCCTCATAGTAGATGTCCTGTGGCGAGAAGAGGGCCTCGCAGTAGATTGAGTCTCTTGGCAGCATTGGGGCCGTGGTGGAGATTAAGGCATCAACGGTCTATCGTCGAGAATCGATCGCGGAATGGCTGGATATACGACACCAAGGGCGCAGGGCCAGAGACGCAGACGCAGAGCAACATCAACTCCTCATCTGGTGTCTTGGGCGTTGTCGCCAATGGCGGGTCGGAGATGAAATTGCAGCAAGTGGAAGTAGTAGGTAGTAGTACTAGGTAGTAGCTTAGCTTCTTGTCGAGATCTCACTTATCGCGGTCCGCACATGACGAAAGACGCGTCCCGCGCCGTCACGTGAGCTCGCGTAAAGAGCGGATCACTGGCGAGCTGCAGGATGCATGGGATTGTCATCTCTGCGTTGCATTTTCCCTTTTCTCGACAAGTGCGCATAAAGGAGTTTTCCAGGAGTTCTTCTACGGCTACGGTACATGCAGCACGGAGTAATCGCGCATCATTTCACGGCGTGCTAAAAATACGGCGCTGCCATTTCACGGGTCGCAAGCTAAATGACAGTGACTTTGCGAGATTTCCGCCAATCTTAAAGTGCAGCGTCTCGCACCGTTTGCCAGAGGAAAAAGCACGTGATCCGGCTGCCCCACCCGAGTTGGCACAGCAACCCCGCCCGGCCAATTAACACCCCTGTTTTGTTTTTCCGTTTCAAGCTCGCGCATCATCGTTTGCTACGGTTTAATACAGGATCATGCCTCCCGCCAGAATCCCCTGCATGCGCTCCCATGCCATCGCCAGGTAAATATTCGGCCTCCATCTTATCTCTTGTCGATATTTGACCCGCCGCTTCTGTCGTGTCAACCCCCCGATTCCGCCCAAGTATATCTTGACTCTGCGCCGCCGCTGCGCGATCCTTTTTCGAGTGCGCGCGCATCAGTTGCATCACTGCCTGCTGCTTCTGTCTGCCTGGACGCGAACCCCGCATAGAGCTTTTCTGTATACCCTATCTATGGCGTGAGATTCTTATCCCCTGTGTGCATCATCTCTACCGGCTGTCACCATGTCGCACGCCTGGCTGGACTCGTTGACCGAGGACTGGGTGTCGGAGCGTGGCTCCTCGCCCGCGCCGCTCCCCCTCGTCAGATCGGCCAAGAAGAGCACGACGTCGTCGCCGTCGCCAAAGCTCACACCGAGTCGCATACCGCGTTGGAGGCATCCTGGCGTAGTACCGCGGGCGAAGCAGAATAAGAGCATGACCATTTTGGAGGGCGACCGCAGCTCCGACGAAAACGGCAAATCCCCCAAGAAGCGTCTCCTGAAGTTTGTAAAGGAAGGCAAACCGTCGCACAAAGGCTATCTTGGACGGCGCTCAGTCTCCCCAGGCACAACCGGCTCCGTCATTGTGCATAAGAATGCCGGAAAGAAAACGCCTGCCACGCCAGGGAAATCCGACACACCGGAATGGAAGCGGCGATTGGTACACGGCAAGCTTCCATACGGGGAGCAGCGCGACTTGTTTAGTTCGGCGGCTGTTGGCTTGCAGGACATGTTCAAACCGCCACCGTCAAGCGAAGCCGGCCTCGACTCTCCGTCACCGAATCTCGATTCGCCATCCCCCAATCTCGACTCTCCGTCTCCCAACTTCGACTTTCCATCTCCTATGCCCGATTCGCCATCCCCTAATTTCGACTTTCCATCTCCAATGCCCGATTCCCCCTCTCCCGATCGAGAATCTCCACACCTCGAATCTCCCACTACTGCAGATTTATACGAAACAGATGTGCCTTCAAGTCCGCCAGTGCCGAAGCAGCCGACGATTGTCTTGGAATCAACAGAAGAGCTTAATGCTGATGAGGAGCATGGCATCTTTTCGTCGAGCCAGATCACACCGAGCCCAAGCCCCAGGAGGCCATTACGGGATGTGAAATACAAGCTCAACGTTGAGGAGGATCCCTCGGATCTATCCATTATGAGCAACGATAGTCTTGTGAAACACTCCGGATCTCCCACGGGAGAAGAGGATGACCATGAGGACGACCATGAGGACGACCATGAGGACGACCATGAGGGTGATCGAGCGGACGATCAAGAAGATGACCAAGAGGATGATCAGGAGGACGAACAAGAAGCGGATCAAGAAGAATCATATCAAGACGATCTTGAGCAAGAAAAAGCTGAGCAAGAGGAAGAAGATACCCAAGACGATAGTTATCTCGCCATTCCATCCTTGATTGATGGCGGATCCAGAAAAGGGAGCGGTCAAAGCTACACGAAAAACGAAGACTTCAGCCCCATCTTGATTGGTAAGCGCAGTGATGAGGACGGAAAAGTCGAATTTGCGCCACTTGAAATGCCTACAGAAGAATTGCGACAAAAGCTTGAGAGACTACAGCTCAATCAGATGATTCTAGATCCCTCGCACAATGCTTCCGACAGTGCAGTGGAAGCGAAACACACGCAAGACGAAGAAGACGATGAATCCTCGCTTAAATACCATTTCGATACCTCTCATGGGAGCGATGAGTCGGCTGAGGGTTCTCTGCGACGCCATTCTTTGAGTCCTGATTTGGGCGTGGATTGGTCGGAAATGCTGGGCGAGGATTCACTGCAAGCCAGCACGCCCAAGCAGTTTCCGTCTCTGCGAACCAGTTCAAACCTGTTTGGCTCGTTTTTCGGTACTCCCAGTCTGCCTCAGGCGCCATTTCCAAGCCCTGATAAAAAGCAAATCCGCGATCCTGGCAACCGATCCAACTCGAGCCCCTTGAAACTCTTTGGTCCATATGACACATTTACCAATCAGACCTTACTCCGGCGTATCAGTCAATTCGAAGAGGACATGTCTGGTAGAAACTCACGAGACTCATCGCCTCCCACACCTTCCAGCAGGAAATCCAGTCAGGATCACGGCAAGAAACGACTTGTCAGTCATTTTGGGGCTGGTGAGTTGGAAGGGTTCGAATTCACAAGCGAATTGTCTCACTCGCCCGCTCAACATTCCAACCTCCTTTCTAAGGAGAACAAGTCGCCAGTAAACCCTCCCTTGGCGGCCAAGGGAGCCTTAAAACTTGTTCCTCCACAAACCTTTTTCCCTGAAGATAATTCGTTGTATGTTCGCAGGAGCCGTGGCCAGAACAAATCCCAAACTCCCTCGATCAACACCGGTGCCGGATACGATTACATGTCTAGTTCGCCTGAGAGTTCCCTCACCCCCCAGGATGAGGCCTACGATCAGTCCTGGGTCGAAAAGCGAGATTATGGATCCGAATCCAAACGACCCAGAGCGTCTCCTTCCAAGCACCCGACACCAAAGCGCCGCCGGACACTCCACCGATCCGATGTTGCATTTGGCAATGAGCATGGGAAAGCGATTGGATCCTCAAAGTATGAAAAGCGACTCCGCGGGTTGGCCAAACAACGAAAGCGCTCTCTGTCCGAGTACTCGGATTCTGCCGATGATCAAGAATCGGAGCATGAGTCTATGCGCCAGTCCCCTTCTCCCTCTCCCACTTCGAGGTCGTTACAAGATGATGTTTTCCAAGGCAAGGCGCGTCGATCAACTAGATCGATTCAAGAAGAAGCTGAGCCGGATGCAACTGGTAAAGCCGCCGAACGCAAGCCGTCTATACGAACGCAGGATTTTGTAGACCAGGCTGCTCAGATCATGGCCATGATCCGCAGCCAGGTTAGCCAGCCGGGGCTGTCAAGCCTAGAAGAATCTGAATTGGAAATTAAAGTGCCATCGCATAATGCGACAATGGAGGAATCCGATGGATCCACGGCCGAGCCATTCTCCCGACCGCCTAGTCGAGATGGAAAGCCAATTCCCAGACAGGCGCGACAACAGGAGGACCCAGAAGTTGTAAAACGGCTCAAGAAGTACCAGGAGCTCAGCGATATGGGCGATGTAATCTCTTCGTCAGTGAGATCTATGAGCCTTGCAAAAGACGCAATCCGCGCTGCAAAGGAGGTTGAACGCATGGTTGACCGAGCCAGCCGTGTTCGGACCAGTGGTGGTGGTGGTGGTGGATCAAATTCTGAGTCGGCAAGCGAAACGACGAGCCCAGTCCATGACTTGTTTTCCAGCACCTCTGCTCGCTCTACCAGCCATCTCTTTCCCACCTCTTCGTCCAGAGGCTCTGAATCGCGTAAAATCATTGCTCCTGAGAGCGTTTCGCATCTGATCCCAGACAAGATAGGCGGCATGTATTTGGATAAACAGAACAATATTTGGATAAGAAACAAGGAGTCGAAGAGCTCCTTAACGTCCCATGCCTCAGGATCTGACGACAGCGAGGAAGATCCATTTGCAAACATTCCTGATTTGTCCGTTGATATGACGGAAGAGATGCAGCACCTGAAGCAAACTCCTCGGGGCCACGATGGTGTGGCAAGTAACAAGGACAGTACCTCTCGCCCGAACTCGGCGCAAACACATTCACTCAAGAGCTATACAACCCTGGCGGCCTATGAGCCTCTTGACCCCGAAGTAGCCGAGAGGGCTAGGGGGGAGATTGAGAAACTCGATGCTCAACCCGGAGACGGCTCCAAAGGTGCAGAGGAAGCCGGCAACGGTCTGCACGTTCTTAAGGCCAAGACAAGTAGTGATGGGCTGTCCTCGAAGCGTCGTAACATAACGATATCATTCACATCGCCCATTGCCTCGATTATCCTCGGCGTGCTACCTGAGGATATAGAGGGCCTGGAGGACGATCCAGTGCCAGGTGAATCATCCGAATCACCCCCGCTTCTCGCAGCTCAGTTTAGCGGCGCTAAAGGCATTTCGCAAGGCTCTCTGCGAGCAATTCGTGCCGCGTCGATATCTGGGTCCAAGTTTACGCCTAGGCCAATCTCACGAATAGAAGAGCGGGATGAGGAGAGCACCGTAGAGTTGCCGAATCAACATCGAAACAAGGGCCAAACTCTGAGCCCGAGCCCGAGCCAAAACCTGAGCCCAAACCAGAGCCCAAATGAAAGCCAAAGCCGATCTCAGGACCAGAACGAGCGTCAAGTCAGCTATCTTGGCGACAATTCGATGTTGAGCCTCAAGTCGCTGGAAGGGGGTTCGGGCCTTGGATTCCTTACGACGACTCACACCCCAGCACACCGTGTCACCCCATTGAGGGCAGATGACAGTCTACTGATTGGCCGAAACGTGGGAAAGCTCTCGCTAACTCCACTCTCGGAATTTACTGTGAACCACGACGACAAGTCGTTTGGGCTTGAAGTCAGCTATGTCATGGGACATAAGCGAATGGCAACAGGCGATGGCTCGAAGAAGGTGCTATCCATGACGATACGAGACCTTGTGGAAAAGCTCTCCGAGGCAGAGCCCAACGAGCCGTACTGGGACGATATGACGTCTCTCACTCTCCAGGACAAGCAGCTAACCAGCCTGCACATGCTCAACGAGTTTTGCTCCAAAATCACGACATTGGATGTATCGAAGAACTCGCTGGCGCATCTCGAGGGTGTGCCCGAATGTGTACGACAGCTAAAGGTATCTAACAACATGCTCACGGAGCTCACCTCGTGGGACCACCTCATTCATCTGCAATACCTTGACATTTCCAACAACGAAGTTAAGAGCTTATCGGCGTTGAAGAGACTCATCCACTTGCGCAGCTTGCGGGCAGACAACAACCTGTTGACAACTCTTGATGGCTTGGACTCCCACGATGGCCTACTCACCTTGAGAGCACGCAACAACATGATTGAAGAGCTGGATTTCTCTGGTATCAGCTGGGAGCGCTTGACAGAACTCGACGTGGGCTCGAACAGGATTTCGTCGGTCCACGGCCTTCATCTGCTGCCTGCTCTTTCTCAGCTGGACATTTCCGACAACCAATTGGAGACGCTTGTGTTTGACAAGGCCAACAAAACGTTACGGAAGCTTGACATTAGTGACAATGATCTCGAATTCTTGGACATTCGACACCTCAGCAGCTTACAAACGCTCCACGCCGATCGAAACTGTCTCAGCCACCTCTCTGGCTTCCGTCATGTTCGTCGGTTGGACAGCCTCTCTCTGCGTGAGCAGCGGGGCGAGGTCCCCCTCGAGCTGGATTTCCTAACAACTGCCTGCGAGATAAGAAAGCTGTTCTTGTCTGGAAACTACCTGGGATCATTCGAGCTAAAGGCGGACTTTCTCAACCTGCAGCTGCTTGAGCTGGCAAACTGCGGGCTGGAGGGGCTACCTGATGAGTGTGGCCAACTCATGCCCAACTTGCGAATATTGAATCTCAACTTCAATGCCCTACGGGATCTATCAGCCTTGCGATTCATCCCGCGACTGAAGAAGCTGCTTGCGGCTGGGAATCGGCTTTCGGACACAATGGCAGTTACGGAGCTCTTGACCGACTTTCCTCATCTGACGGAATTGGATCTACGGGATAACCCCATCACTCAGGGCTTCTATCCTCCGGTGCAGATGCTCATCAGCCCGGACAAGATGGGCAGCGCCGACTCGTTTGTGATGCCAGATGCGGACATGGAGAGAGACGAAACTTTTGCAAGGCGCCTGGATGAGACTACAAAGCTACGTCGCCGTCTTCACGAGGTGGTTTATGTTGCTAGCTGCAAGCGCATTCGCAGATTGGATGGCCGGACCATCATTCGGGAGAAGTCGTTGGCCAAGGATGTTTTGCTACAAAGGCTCATTGATGACGGGCTTGTACCAGACCTAGAGGACACTTTGGTTGCCGAGTCGGAGTCTGCACAGCAGCGAAAAGAAACGGCGCCATCACCATCACTTGGCGCAAATAGGGGGCTGGCTGGAGAAGCTGGTGGACGAGCGAACCGCAGTCGATGAAACACAGAGGACTGTGATAATACGGCACAAGGAGAATGTGCAAAAGGGGCAATAAAAAGTAATGATAATTTTTGATTTTTACGGCTGGGCGTTTTTGGGCATATCCACGACGAAGGCAGGACGGGGAGCCTCGAGCTCCGGCAGGTGGCGTTTCTTTGTTTTACCGTGTTTTTTTTTCCAAAGAGGAGTGGCACAAGGCCAGGTTGCAGGCTATGATTTCTTTTTTCCCTTTTTTCTTTGTTAAAAAAGCAATACTCCTTTTAGTGACTCTTTTTTGGTCGGATCTTGTTTCGATGGTCTAGGAGTTGTAAGAATACGGAAAGGGGGGGAGGCCCAATGATGATATCCATATCAATTTTTAGTTATTTGTTAGGGTGCGGATCGAGCGTGCGCCTTTTCTGGTTATGACTCATAGATTTTTTTCTCTTTCTATTTTTCATTTTTTTTTTCATTTTTCATTTACCTTGTGAAGCTACTCTTTTTTGTAATCGTATGTGGATTTGCCGTGTGTCAAGGGGCGTTTGGGAAGCAAAAGGCTAGGCAATGCGCTGAGATGGCGTTTCATGTTGGTGAGGCTGAAGGGAATGGAATGGGAATGGGATGGGAATGGGGATTGCCCAAAACTCCAAAAAAACGGGACGCTAGAGAAAAAAAGGTCGCTGGCAATCACATGTTACTGGAAATGGTGGTCGCATTTGCCGGGCTTTAGGCAGCTTATTTGGCGCTGTGGGTTCTCTATTTAGGTACCTACAGTAGATGCCTGTAGAAGTACCTGTAGGGATTTTTGGTTAATTGGATGCGTTAGGCTGCTGCGGTGCGGGTTCGTTGGGGGAGTGAGTGCATGACTGTACTCGCACTATTGTGTTTTGGCGTGTGATTTGGCGTGTGGGTTTTGACAGTGGTGAGATTGTATGGATGCCATAGGTTGACGGTTGGCTGTTTCTGGTGTGTTTGATGCTGCTTAGGGGGGCATAGGAGAAGCTGTTGGTGGAATGTTTTGAAATTGAACAGCCTGTCGTGTCACTATTCCCAGCCCTGATACTGTACCTAATGAGCGCCTAGCAAATAATAGGCCAGACTCCAGTCTTTGGGCACCTGTCTTTGGGCCTCAAAGAAAATGGAACAGCTCCATCGAGCTAATCACTGCGTCTCAGCTGCAATGCCAATGCCAATCAACCCCCCTGGCCCGTCCAATTTGTGTTAAGCGAGTTCTTCATCTGGCAAGCCCGCTATTTCTGGCGCATGCAATTTGATCTTTTGGGGCGGCTCGTGACGTCTGTCAGAAGTCAGAAGCCAGAAGTAGCATCAAGAGGCAGCATCAGAGGCAGCATCAGAGGCAGAGCAAGAACCACTCACTCACTGGCTTGATAGCGCCATGTCATCCGTGATTTCGCCCCTCCTCCGCCTCCTTCTGAAATGAACTTGTATCTCTCATCTCCTTCTCCTTCTCCCTCTTTCGCATCACATCACACAAAAACACACGCGAAACCCCCGGGACATGCGCATTCTTTTGCAGCTTCACATGAGACATTGCCATTTCATCGTTACGTTACGGTCCAACAAACACCTCATCTTAACCTCTGCTTCTAGCGCACCTGTCGAATTTCCAATAATTGCAACATAAACCCAAGCTACTTAGGTGGCTACCCATCTATCCTGGACCCTGGATCGGCCGCTAAGCAAAACCCCCCCCAGTCAAACAGGCGACAGCTTCTCCCCCGTTTATCGTTATGCCCCTCGGCTGCGTCTAGGGTTGTTGCATTCCTCCGGATTTGAGTCACGTCAGCGCTGCTCTTTTTACTTTTTTCAATTTTTCCTTTGATTCATATTCTCCGTTTTGTCGCGACAAAGACAACAAGCAAAGACAAAGCACAAAAGGCGGAGAAACTACAAAAGATCGGCATCGACAACGTCATCGACTACGAGAGCGGTAACCGACAACGAACAGCGACAGCGACAGTGACAGTGACAGCGCGAGACACACACACAGAATCACAGCAAGAGAGAGTGAGAGACAAGACAGACGGGAGCCTCGGTGGCCCTTGCGAGGAGGATGGACTTGTCCAGCTCTGTGGCTCCTCCGTTAGAACGATCCGTCTCGCAGCAGAGCGACATCTCGTATCGCTCGCACCGCAGCGTCCGCACCGGCAAGAACCGCGCGTTCCTCAACCATCACCACCTCAGCAGCTCTGCTAGCAGCATTGCCGAGAGCGACAAGTCCCTCACCAGCTTCCCCAGCTTCTCCCCGGAGCTGCCCGGCAACGACCGCTTTGGCGATGACGATGCCGTCCACAACCAGCTCCATGCCGCCATTCGCCAGCCCGACAAGACGGCCCGCGTCAAGGAGCTGAGCGGCGCCGCCTCGTCCATCGTCGACAGCCTGACCTGGCGCAACTCGGCGCGCGAGGCCCTGTTTGAGGATGCGCCGCTGGCGCAAACCATCCCCGGTGCGCTACACAAGGCCGACGACAAGCATCTGGAGCGGCTGATTTCGAGACATGGCGCTGTGACTCTGGTGAGGCAGATCGCGGGCGACCTTGCGCAGAGAGACGCACAGATAGCAACTCTGCGGCGACGGGCCGATGAGCGCGAGAGGGCGCTGAGGAAGATTATACGCGAGTGCGGGCTGTCCAGCCTGGAGCTGGAGACGAGGCTGCGGGCGGTGGAGACGGAGCTGCGGAAAAATGGAAACTTCCAAAGGGATGGAAGTGGACTCAGTGATTTGATGAGCGATGCCATGCGAGACACGGTGACGGAGAGTGCGTATGGAGAGACGGGCATGGCCAGCGGAACGATTCGCGCGCACGCCAGCAGCGTCACCTCGGCGCCAGGCGGCAGCTCCGACAACGCCAAGGGACCTGGCACGGTCAAGGGATGGAAAGACTATCTCTGGGGTGGCACGTCGAAAAAGACGACATCCAACAGGCCTACCGTGATACGATCGCATTCCAGCCTCGGCCAGCGACCACCGCTGCAGGACGACCTCTTCGATCCCCCGACCCCGACGACCTCTGGCCCTGCCAACTCCAGCCGGCCGTCTAGCATACACTCGGCGACTACTCCAGAGCGTAAATCAATAGCGAGCTTGACGCTGAGGCTCGTGGCTGGTGGCGCCGTTGCAAGTCGCGAAGCCGAGAGGGGCCGTGCTGCGAGCAGTGCTGCCCGGACAGAGACGGTCAGGACAGGATCGGTTGCTAGTAACCACACCAGTCGTTCGTCCCGGGCCGTGTCCGTTGCTGGCGGCCCCAAAGCACTCATGGCCATGGGAAGATCTACGCCGTCGACCGCCGCTTCGGCCAGCGCAAAACTGCAAACTCAAGAAGTGCGAGGGAGCGGCTCCGGAAGCTCACCTGGCGGGTCTACTCTGCGTCCGGATAACTTTGGGCCTGTAGAGATGGATGCTATACTACCTCCAGAGTCTCAGCCTCCGACGCTGACACGGATGTATAACAACTACCCCAATAGCGAATATCTCACGGATCGATTCGGCTTCATCTACGACCAGCGGCGCAAGAAGCGGCAGCGAGAGGCCTCGCAGATGGCCCAGAACATCCGGAATGGCGACCGTAGAGAAATGATTGGAAATGGCAACCGGGCAGGAATCTCGCCAAACACACTGGATGATATGCCGAGCCCCAAAATGAGCGTGTCCGGCGATGCTCGGCCGGGGAGTCCGAGCTCACAAGAAGAGAGGACCTCTGGAGAGGAGAAGACAAAGCGCTGGCAAGACTACTTGAAGATTGCGACGTTTCCCACCGAGTTGCTGAGCCATACGCCTGGCATAAGTGCCACGGCTGTGTCTGTGACCGAGGGCACCGACGATCGGGCCAGCACCACGTCCAGCCAGCGGTTGGTTGAGCGCGCCCGATCGCCTGCGATAACGCCGACCGAATCGGGACTTGTCCCCTTGGCAAGCACCACAACGGCCGTTGACAATGAAACTACACTCACCCAGCCACCGTCAGAGCAGCAGGATTCGACTTTTGGAACGCTTGTCAAGGAGGATGCAGAACCCGTCAAGTTACTTCTTGAGCAGCTGAGCGAGCTGCACGACTCCCTCCAGCGAGAGAGGACTACCCAGTGGAACGAGTTCCTCCGCAAAGTGAGGGCGGAGAGGCACCGCGAGGGCGAGGCCGCCATAGCCGCAGCTACGGCAGCGGCAGAAGCTCGATTTGAGAGTCCGGGGATTATCCTGCCAGAGGCTCGGGTAACGGACGGCGAAATGATTGGCATCTCTAATCTGGGCAACAAGGGCAAGGTCGGGCGGGCCAAGTGGAACGGGTTCAAGACGTTGGTGCTGGGCGGCATCCCCGTGCAGCTTCGCGCAAAAGTGTGGTCCGAGTGCTCAGGAGCAACGGCGCTGCGCATCCCCGGCTACTACGATGGACTCGTATCTCAGAGTGGAGAGGATGACGACGCCGCTGTGGTGAGCCAGATCAAGATGGACATTAACCGGACTCTGACGGATAACATCTTCTTCCGAAAGGGACCCGGAGTGCAGAAGCTGAATGAGGTGCTGCTGGCGTACTCGCGGCGGAACAAGGACGTGGGCTACTGCCAGGGGATGAACCTGATTGCGGCCAATATCCTGCTCATCACACCATCGGCTGAGGAAGCGTTTTGGATTTTGGCGTCCATCATCGAAAACATTCTCCCCCATGGCTACTACGACCACTCGCTAATATCCTCTCGGGCCGACCAACAGGTGCTTCGGCAATATGTCCGCACTGTGCTCCCTAAACTGTCAGCCCACCTCGACTCGCTCTCGGTTGAGCTGGAGGCCTTGACGTTCCAGTGGTTCCTCTCCGTCTTTACAGACTGCCTGTGTGCCGAGGCGCTCTTCCGTGTCTGGGATGTGGTGCTGTGTACCAATGACGGGAGCACGTTCCTCTTCCAGGTTGCGCTGGCCCTACTCAAGCTCAACGAGAGCAATCTGCTGCAATGCGACACGCCGGCAGGTGTATATACTTATATCAACCACCACATGACGGAACATGCCATTAGCATTGATGGATTGATTCAGGCGAGCGAAGGGCTGAGAAGAGTAGTTAAACGAGAGGATGTCGAGCAGCGCCGGGCAAAGGCGATCCAGGCTGAGAAGGACATGCTCAGTGGCTCGAACCGAGTAGAAGGAGATGCTGTGTCGACAAATACAGAGGCGACGGAGACTGCAGACGCTGATGACGGAGACGAGGATTCGAGCTGAGCATCTGACAGTGGCGTGGAGTGATGTGAATGTACACTGCACGGGATATAAGTTGATTTGGGATTTAGAAGAACAGAGGCAGACGAGGTTGGAGCGAGTGTTGGGCAGCTGAACTGCTGCATACACAGAAGCGCTGTTGGTGATGTTGGAATAACGGAGGGAAGAGAAGGCGACGCAGAGTCTCAAGTCAGGGTTGGAGCAGAAGTTGAATATGATACCCACCACAATGTAGCCAATGCTGCTTTTTTCCCTTTTTTTCCTTTTTCATTTATTAGTTACTCTATCTCTCATTAGATTCATCATTGGTCGGGGTGCAAGGGGGAAAACAGCGTTTTGGAAGGGATAGATTCTGGACTGATAACAAAATGGCTGGGTGTTTTTACGCGTTGAGCGTGTGTGAGTATTGGGAGAGCACAAGCACAAGCATATTAGACAGGAATACAAGCGACACGAGTAAAAGATGTCATGAGCTGGTTTTCTTTATTACAGTGATGTGTCGTTATGTTTAGGCCAATATACGGCTTTCTAGTCATGTGGATATTTTCATCTGAGTAGCTCCCCTCTTCCTTCCATCTTACAGCTTCGACTTGTTTTCCTTGAGCCACTGCTCGGCAAAGACCTTTCCAAACTCTTTTCTTTCAGCCTCGGTCCTCTGATCATTCTTATACCTCTCATTCTCCGCCTCCAAACCAGCGCCCTTCAACTCCCTCACCAAATCCTTATAAATCTCCGCCTTGATCGTGCCGTACACACCCGCCTTTGGCTTCTCCAGCAAATTCCTCTCGGCGATAAACTTGAGCGCATCATCCAGACCTCCGGCGCAGAGCCCATCGGCGATGCCGTTGTCGACGGCCTCCTGGCCGGTGAAGCGGTGGCCTTCGAGGGCGACCTTGCGGAAGATTGCGTTGGAGGGGAGCTTTGCGCGGAAGAGGGAGGCCATGGGGGGTTGGAGGGGCGCGCCGAAGAGGACTTCGTTGAGGCAGAGGAAGCCCTTGGGGGAGGGGGCGAGGCGGTAGTCGTGGGCCATGGCGAGCATGAGGCCGCCGGCGTAGGTGTGGCCGTTGAGGAGGGCGAGGGTTGGCATGGGGAAGCTGGAGGTGTATGTGTGTTAGTTACATGTATATATAAGCCACTAGATATGTGTGAAAGAGTCAGTCATTCTTACGTTAGGAGTCGATTCCAGACAGAGTAAAACAGGGCCCAGAAACCGGGGGTGTCAACGGCATGCTGCAGGTCGAGGCCGTTGCTGTAGAACTTGGGGATGCCGCTGGTGGTGATGACGACGCCGGGGGCGTGGCCGCCGAACTCGAGCAGGTCGAGGGCCGTGAGGAGCGCCTTGCAGACGGCGGTGGTGAGGCGGTTGTCTGGCGGGGAGAGGAAGGTGAGGAGGTAGACGGCGGGCTGGGGCTCGGTGACGGTGATGGAGCCGCCGGGATGGGGGCCGAGGGGGGGGATTGGGACTGTGAAGAGAGTTTTGGCCATTTTGGTGGATGATAAGATATGGATGGAGATGGATGGAGATGGAGATGGAGATATGGAGAGTTGAGTGAGATGGAGAGTTGAGGGAATGAAATGGAATGAGATGAGATGAATGAATGAATGTGGGGATGGTCTGGGGTATATATAAACTATGAAAAGGTAAAGGGTATGTAAGATTTGCTTCTTCACAACAATGTGCTGATGGAACGATGGAAGCTTCAAAAGGAAGACGTGAGGCGGCAGAGCGGTAAACCCATCAACCTCGGCATCAGCGCCTCAGTATGGAGAACGCGGTGGATTTAGTTGGGGTAAGGCTGATGCTGATGCTGTGCCTCGACTCCAAAGGCTCGGGATAAAATCACGGCGCTGGTGGATCTCGTCACGGGCAATTGGCATTCCCTCTGCTTCCGAGTGCGGATTATTAAACACGAAATTCCCATTCCAACTGTATGGGGCTTCTGATGTTGTCCATCGCATGTGATTGAAGCTGCAGCTCTACTGGAGAGGCTAACTGTACTAAACTGGACTAAACCGTGTCACTTTCAGGTACGTACCAGCTGCAGCCCCCGCTAATCCCTCTCTAGCTTAGCCTAATCTACCCCACAATGTACCTTTTCCCAACCTCCAAACTGCTGCAACTTGAAGCTCCTCCAAAAAAGCTCCGCAACTTGTCCACTTCTTCGCAGCTTCAACACCTTCAACTTCTTTTTTTCAACCTCCAACACCTGCTGCTGCAGCCATGTCGCCGCAGGGAGACGTGCAGCCTGTTTCGGGCTCGCCTCAGCCTCAGGGCACGGTCGTGTTTTTTCATCCGGATTTGGGGATTGGCGGTGCGGAGAGGCTGGTGGTCGATGCGGCGGTTGGGCTGCAGGAGCAGGGGCATCATGTGGTGATTTTTACGAACCACTGCGATCCGGGCCATTGCTTTGACGAATGCCGTGATGGTGAGTCTCTTATAAACAATCGTTTACTCTAGATCATACTCCAGATTATACTCACAAGTGTTATTCTACAGGCACCCTCGATGTCCGAGTCCACGGCGCATGGCCCATTCCAATGTCCATCTTCAACCGCCTCACCATCCTCTGCGCCATCCTGCGCCACCTCCAGCTCCTCGTCCAAATCACCCTCTCCGGCGAACTCCAGGCCCTCAAGCCCCGTGCCTTTATCGTCGACCAGCTCTCCGCCGGCTTGCCCGTTATGCGCTTCCTCTTCCCTGACACGCCGATTCTCTTCTACTGCCACTTTCCGGATCTGTTGCTCGCGCAGGGTCGGCAGTCGGCGCTGAAGAGGTTGTATAGGGTGCCGTTTGATTGGATTGAGGAGTGGTCCATGGGGTTTGCGCAGGCGGTGGCTGTGAATTCGGAGTTTACCAGGGGGGTTGTTGCGAGGACGTGGCCCGGGTTGAAGGAGAAGGTGGATACGAAGGTGGTGTATCCGTGTGTTGATACGACGTCGAAACAGGATGATTCTTCAGCTGGAGGTGCAGACGATGTCTTTGCTAGCGGTGACTACAAGACCATTCTTAGCATCAATCGATTCGAACGAAAGAAGGACATTGGGCTGGCTCTCAAGGCCTTTGCTGCCATTCCCGAGGCGCAGCGCAAGGGAGTTCGTCTTGTTCTAGCGGGTATGTTACATATAATGCTCCTATCACACACCTCTGCCATTTCATATATGTCTAACCAATCTCAGGCGGATACGATCACCGTGTTGCCGAAAACGTCGAATACCACGCCGAACTCCAGCAGCTAGCCTCTTCCCACTCTCTCAACCACCACACCGTCACATCCTTCGACGCTTCCTCCCTCTCTTCGATCCCAAGTGATGCCTCCGTTCTCTTCCTCCTTTCTATACCAAACTCCGTCAAAACATCGCTTCTCCGTGCCGCTCGCCTTTTAGTTTACACGCCCTCCAACGAGCATTTCGGCATTGTCCCCCTAGAGGCCATGCTTGCGCGCGTGCCTGTTCTCGCTGCTAATACCGGCGGTCCCGTTGAGACGATACGGGATTCCAAGACGGGCTGGCTGCGTGACCCTGAGGATGTTAATGCCTGGTCTAACGTTATGCGTGATGTACTTGGCATGCCTGATGATAATCTTCGTCAGATGGGTGCTGATGGTGAGGAACGCGTGCGATCACTCTTTGGTCGCAAGAACATGGCTTTGCGTTTGGAAGCGTCATTAGACGAGATCCTTGCTAAAAGGCTTGCTCGGCCGCCATTATTTTTCCCCATTGGGATTGTCGTTTCCTTGGTGTTGGCTGCATTGGCAGTATACATGCAGCTGCAATAAGCATGCTACTTTTTATTTCTCTTTTCATTTTGTTTCATGTATAGCAATTTCACGGCAATTTACGGCTTTTGGGAAGGGAAGCGATCGATAGATACCTATGAGCGGAAGGGATACTGATAGATATAGACTTATTTCACGGGGAATAAAGAAACTTTTAATTCATCTTTAACATCTATCAGTTCTAACGGAGAAGACATATTTAAGGAACTCTTTCGTCTTTCATTCTTTGACTTACATGCTCGGTGGAACCCACAACAGTTTCAAGCAACTCATGTATTATAACTCTTCATGTTCATTGCTTGAATCAAAAGCCCTTTCTGCTTTTCAACCACAAGCTCGCGCACTCCGCTGATGCGTCTCGTCCAATCACCGTCTGTCCCCCGCGTCGAGCATCCCGCAGCTGTATTTTGTCCAATTGTAAAATGGCTTGGAAAAGTCCAATCAATAGCGGTTTGGTGTCGAGGCTGGCCGTGACAGTTGCGGCTAAACGGCTTGAGGCATAATGAGCTACATGAGGTGGCCCAACAGCAGGCCGACACGGCAGTGTTGCGACATCTTCTCCTCACACCTTGGTGGCCATTTGTTTAAGGGAGGGCTATTCAGCATCCCAGCGATTAAAAAGAGTTGCATACGAATATTGCAATAACGCACAATGAAGATCTCTCTTATCACTGTTACTTAAATCAATATACGGTTCCTGGAGTGTCTACTATTCTCGCTACTTTCTGCAACTATCGCTATTTCCTGCTACTATCGCTACTTTTTGCTACTATCGCCACTATCTATATTTTCCTCTACTATCTGCCATCATTAGGCCGCTTTAAATTTGAGAACGGAATACTGAATAGCGAACGTGAGGTGCTGAATAGTCACTCCCTTTGTTTATTAGCCTGTCAGAAGAGACTCGATACCTATCAACTCTGAAGCAATGGACCATCCGTCAGATATTACTATCGATGCACCCACCCAGCCAGAGTCACCATATCTAGATGTCATCCTAGAGTTTGCACAACTGCTAAGGGAAAAGAGGCAAGAAAAAGCAAAAGAGAAGCAGGCGGACGCCGGATCGAAAAGCTATGAGCGTCACATACAGTTAACCAAAAGAAATCGAGAGGCTGTGGAGCAGCAAATCGAGGAACTTGAGGCAAGGCGGAGGCAGCTGATTGGACAAGAAAACCACTGCGCTTTAAAGAGGCATGAACTATGGGAGGAGCGAAAAAAAGCCAGAAAGGCCCAAGATGAGATTTCCAAGCAGGTGCAGAAACTACAGGGCAAATTCGAGCTTGACGAATGTGAGGAAGCCAAAACACTGTTTCGAGAAGCCGTAGAGGATGGTGATGCGGCAGTGGTGAAGCTTCTGGTTGCTGCGACTACGAACGATGATGAATGGATACAGTTGATTACAGTGTCAAGCAGAGGAGATCTCAACGCGGCTCAGCAACTTCTCTTCGCCGGAGTGGAAGCCGATTGCAGGGATATCAGATTTGGTCGGACTGCGCTTAGTTGGGCGTGTGCCGGTGGCCACAAAGCTATCGTACAGCTTCTTCTCGACGCTGACGTAGATGTCAACTCACAAGACAACGACGGTTGGACATCAATGCAATGGGCCTCTGAGAGAGGGCATGAAGACTTGGTCCGTCTTATGCTTGATAAAGGAGCCAAGATTGGCTTTCGAAAGACACTTTTTGGTCATGGTGGTGCCATCACGACATTGGCCTTCTCCCCTAACTCAGAGCTTCTAGCGTCAGCGTCACGAGAAGATACCATCAGGATCTGGGATACTGCAACAGGTCAATGCCAAGAAATTCTACAGAGCGGCAAACAAACTCCACTGGCCGATCAAAAAATGGGCGAGGGCGACTGGACCTGCTCAATTGTCTTTACACATGACTCAAAGCTATTGGTGTCGGGATCAGCAGAAGGCCTTATCAGGATCTGGGACATTACAACGGGATACTGTCAACGAATATTGCAGGGCCATACATGGATCGTCCAGTCATTAGCCTTATCTCATGACTCAACGCTGATAGCCTCAGGTTCAAACGACAAAACCATTAAGATCTGGAACTGCGCAACCGGCACATGCCAGCGAACCATGCGGGGCCATGATGACTGTGTTTTCAAGGTGGCCTTTTCCCATGACTCGAAGCTTATAGCATCAGGCGCAGGAGACGGACATGTCAAGATCTGGAATAGTGCAACGGGCGAGTGCCTGCAGACGCTGAGGGGCGGGAGGGAACAGGAGGTATTCACACTGGCCTTCTCGCACGACTCAAAACGCATAGCATCAGGGCTAAACCATAATCTTATTAAGATATGGGATATTACAACGGGCAAATGTCAACTGAAAATGAGATACCGTGATGATAACGTCAATCTTGTGGCCTTTTCGCCTGATTCGAAGGTTGTGGTGTCAACGTCAAGCGAGAATACTATCTACGTCTGGGATAGTTCAACAGGCAAATGCTTGAGGAAACTGCAAGGCCCTGCCGACTGCAACACCATAGCCTTCTCGCGAGATTTCAAGTTGATAGCGTCGCCGTCGATTGGTAAAGGGATAAAAGGGGTCCGAACTGTTAAGCTATGGGATAATTTTGTGCTGAGCTGTGTTGTTTGCCCATCAGCTCTACAAGCTGCTGGAGACGCCGGAAGAAGGAAACTTGTTGAAAGAAACAAGTAAGAGTGTAAAATAGAAACAGACGATTCAGAGTTATATAATCTTCAATCAACAGTCTTTTTTATTCATCAGCAGCGTAATCGCATACTACCTACCTACCACTCAGATACTGATAGGTAGCGCGTATTGTTGCCTAATCAATCATTATTTCCCAAAGCATTTAATCGTTGCGGTCATTGGCTGCATCTGAGACCAGGCTGCCTTACAAGGGCAATTTTACGAGGCATACTGTTATTGGTATCTTAGTATTTCAGCTGCTGCCCGACATGCACGCTGGCCCAACAGTGTTGCGATATTTCCCCCTCATTTCGTGGTAGCCCAACCCACCGCATATAAAGGCTCTTTTATTAGGCCGGAGTATTTGCTTCCTATTCTTTTCTTGCTACATGATACCCTGAGTCAGATACACTACCACGAACACCATCCAATATGCGTCTGATCAACACAAATACGTTCAAACTGGAGGAGTTCTCAGAGGGTAGCATTCCTCCCTATGCTATCCTGTCACACACTTGGGGAAAAGATTCAGAAGAGCTCTCTTTCCGTGAAATGGAAAATGGAAAAATCGGCACACTTGACGTTGTTAAGATTTCCCAGGGAAAATATAGACCACCCGTTGTCGGAAATGGGGAACTCGACAAGCCAGGGATTACTAAATTACAAGGGTGTTGCCAACAAGCCGTGAAAGACGGTTTGGGGTATGCTTGGATTGACACCTGCTGCATCGATAAAACCAACCTAGTGGAGCTCAGCGAAGCTATAAACTCCATGTTTCGATGGTACAATCGCGCGTCTGTCTGCTATGCCTACTTGTCCGACGTTCCTGGTGGTGATGATCCCTCGAAGCTTGGATCCAAATTCCGGACAAGCCGATGGTTTCAGAGAGGGTGGACATTACAAGAGCTTCTTGCCCCAAAACACTTGCAGTTCTATAATTCGGAATGGAAGTGTATAGGCACCAAGGGTACTATCAGCAACCTCATTAAAAACATCACGCTTGTGCCACGGCCATTTCTATTGGGTATTGCAGAATTACATGCTGCAAGCGTTGCACAGCGAATGTCATGGGCCGCGCAAAGACAAACCAAGAGACCTGAAGATCGCGCATATTGTTTGCTAGGCATTTTTGGTATAGCAATGCCGTTGATATACGGAGAGGGTGGCGAACAGGCCTTCTTTCGGCTGCAGGAGCAGATTATGAAGACGACTAGGGATGATTCTATCCTCGCATGGGACCTTGACGAGAAGTTCGACGGTTCTTATATTAAAGACGGGGAAGGGGAGATATTAGCACCCAATCCGTCGCATTTTGCAAATTCTGGACAAATTGTCACTCGACAGCACGCAGATAATCCACTACATTCACTCGACATGTTTGGTGGCAGCCTTCGCATCTATCTACCACTAATTACTACTGTCTCTGGTGAAACATTTGGACTGCTTAATTGCGGACCTGTATCAACCTTACACAAAATTGTTGGTATCCCTCTTGCCAAAGCAACTTCGGTTGCATCTGATGAATATGTCAGGCCAAGAAATCACCCTTCAGTGCTGCGGACGGTGGCTACGTCTGGCCCTCCGCCAGAGCTTATCCATATAAAAAATAATATCCGAAAGGACACATTCGTCAAGATGAATAGGAAGTACTGGATTTACGAGGATGATTTATTTGCCCAGATCAACCTGAGGTTGGAAGAGGTAGAGCCCTCATCTTGCTGGGATATGCAAACAAACTTGATTTCTCCCATAAATTCCGAAAATCTTGCTACGAATCAAATATTGCTGCGATTTCGCCACATTGAGGAAGGATTTCGGGATTTTGTGACGGTGCTCGAAGAACGGCAGTCGGGCTCTAACGCTGATCCCCAGCTCAACACGGTGACTTGCAACACGGTGACATGCAGCAGAAGCACACCATTGCTAGAAGTAGCCAAAAATCTTCAAGATATATCGCCTAAGGAGTCAGTGAAGAAAGGTACTAGGAATGAGGTGCTCCACCTACGCATTGACTTGGTTCCTGTGGAAGGAGGCATAGTCTCTATCAACCCCGAAGCGCTATCTCTTGGACTACAAGATACCACTACTGATGTATCTAAGAGTGCGGACTTGATCATAGATTTCCAAAACCTTTTAAGGGGAAGAAGACAACTAAATATAGAGAAGGAAGAGCTGGAATCCAAATCACAAAACTATGGCGAACGTTTACGACTAGCCAAGGAAAGCCGAGAGAAAGTGGAGTACCAGATAAAAGAACTTGAGGGTCAAAGGAGAAAGTTGGTCGAAGAAGAAAAAGACTGCACTCAAGAGATGCACTATCTAGGAGAAGAACAAGGAAAAATCAAGGAAAGACGAGATTATTTTTCCAACCAACTGTTACGAGCACATGCGCAGCTGGACGACCTCAACGATGAGGACAAATACCAAGTCGGCTCCATGCTGTCTCAAGAGGCTGTGGGGCATGGCGATGTTGAAGTGATTGATCAGATAGCTGCCAAGATTTCTTTGGCGGCGAATATGTTGATTACGGCGTCAAACAGAGGAGATGTCAATACTGTTCGGCAGCTTCTCGCTATCGGCGGAGTTGAGCTCGACGGCAGGGATAGCGAGTTTGGTCAGACAGCGCTTAGTTGGGCAAGTGCAAACGGCCATGAAGCTGTCGCGCAGCTGCTTCTCGCTACGGGCAAGGCAAATGTCAACTCCAAGGACTACAACGGATGGTCGCCTCTTCACTGGGCCATTGAGAAGAAGCACTATGATATAGCACATCTGCTGTTCAACAACGGCGCTGAGATCGTCAGTCACCAGACGCTGCGGGGCCATACCGATTCTGTTTTTTCAGTGGCCATCTCTCATAACTCAAAACTTATAGTATCGGGGTCACGTGATGGGACTATCAAAATCTGGGATAGTACAACAGGCGAAATCCAGCATACGCTGCACGGCCATAAGAATACCGTGCTTTCAGTAGCCTTCTCGCATAACTTAAACTTCATAATATCAGGATCCTTTGATAAGACTATCAAAATCTGGGATAGCATAACACGCGAACTCCAACAAACGCTATACGGCCATGAGGGTAGTGTTTATTCAGTGGCCTTCTCACATGACTTAAACTTCATAATGTCAGGATCTTTTGATAAGACTATTAAAGTCTGGAATAGCATAACACGCGAACTCCAACAAACACTACGCGGCGATGAGAACAGGGGTTCAGTAGCCATCTCTCATAAATCAGAGCTTATAGCCTCAGGATCATATGATAACCCTATCAAAATCTGGGATAGTATACCGGGCAAACGCGAACAAACTCTACACGGCCATGAGAGTGGCGTGAATTCAGTGGCCTTCTCTCATAAATCAGAGCTTATAGCCTCAGGATCATATGATAACCCTATCAAAATCTGGGATAGTATACCGGGCAAATGCGAACAAACTCTACACGGCCATAAGAGTGGCGTGAATTCAGTGGCCATCTCGCATGATTCAATGCTTATAATATCAGGATCATATGATCATACCATCAAAATCTGGGATAACATAACAGGCGCATGCGAACAAACGCTACACGGCCATAAGGGTAGTGTTTATTCAGTGGCCTTCTCGCATGATTCAAGGCTTATAATATCAGGATCAGATGATCATACTATCAAAATCTGGGATAGTATAACATGCAAATGCGAACAAACTCTACACGGCCATAAGAATGGCGTGAATTCAGTGGCCATCTCGCATGATTCAAGGCTTATAATATCAGGATCAGATGATAATACTATCAAAATCTGGGATAGCAATACAGGTAAATGCCAACAAACGCTACACGGCCATAAGGGTAGTGTTTATTCAGTGGCCTTCTCGCATAACTCAAAGTTTATAGTATCAGGATCAGATGATGGGACCATCAAAATCTGGGATATTTCGGTGCTGGTCAACCCCGAAGTAACGGGGGCAAAAGAGATGGAATTTATCCTGAATTCACAACCAGGAGAGTGAAAGAGAAAATTAGAGAAAATTAAAAAAAAAAAAAACAAAAAAAAAAAACTAAGGTAATGCTTGAACTTCACGAAGCCAAAGGTGTTGCCTCGGTATGACTGACACACAAGAAACTAGGTCGGACTCATTCACAAGAGCCGCATGGGCAGGAATAGCAGAGGAAGATAGCGATAGTAGTAGATACTAGAAGAAGATAGAGATAGTCGCGGAAACTTAAAGAACCAGGTATTAAATAAATAATACTCCTCTGATCTCGTTATGATACTTGATACTCCAGCTGTTGCGATGGGAATAGCGCCTCAGAGACTTCGTAAAGCAACAAGCTTTCATTTCACTCACATCACTCACACGACAAAAAGAAATGGAGATCGCCAAGAACAAGAGTTGAGCATACACATGCCATTGATAATTAATACTCCCATTCAACTCATACAATTATATATATATTCAACATCCTCCATAGTCATTCTATCCTATGCAAGGCATTCCAATGTCATCACCCCTAATCCCAAATGCTCCGTGCTCCATGCTCCATATAAGCATACTAGAGTAAGCAATTTCGTAAAAAGATAAACAATAAGAGCAAACAAGACCCAATCTAGTTCCAGCCAATTGTAGCATACAAAAAGCCGGACAAATTATAAAAAAAGAGAAGAAACACCCCAGTTCCAGGATATAACGGGCGTGCATTTGCCGGCAAGCCACGATGCAATGCAATGCAAAAAAAAAAAAGCAAGTTGAAAAGAAAAAACGCCCACCCTTTGTTTCCCAACAAAGCAAGGTGATATAAAAGCTCCAGCCTTTCCTTAAAAGCTCCAATCCGTCCCCGTAATCATAATGATAATGATGTTATAATGCAGCCATGTTCTCTTCGTGTGGTCGTGTGCGCCATCCTATACCTTTTCCCGCTTCGATGATTCGCTTCCACACCAGATATTAATTCTCGCTTATAAGAAAAAGCTCCCCTAAAATACAAAAGAAACTGAGCTGGGCGAATATTTCTTCGTTTCATGCTGTGACTGGCTGCAATGATGCAATGTCATGTCTTGTCATATCATGCTTCGGGAGAAATATTGACTCTCCGGGCGGTTTCATCACTCGCAGTGCTCATATTTGTGTCGCGACGTCTAGCCTCAAAGGGCCGGTGTCTAGTCGTAACTGGCGGTCGCTTCTTGGTTTTAGCCATAAGTAGAAGCCCCTCATCACTGTCATCATCATTGTCTTCCTCGTCGTGCTTGCGATGTTGGTGGCTTGTGGCATGGTTGTCCGAGGTTGGTGGGCGGTCAATCTTGACCTGAAGCTGAACACCTTCCATGGACGAGTGATGGGCAAAGACTTGGTCGATGGGGAAGCCACCGACAGGCTCCTTTGCCAAGGCCGGAGGAGTGAGCGAGTCTTTGGTTTGTAAGAAAGTGGTCTGCGGGTCTACAGTTCCTGGTCTGAGCAACAGCTCCCCTTCCAAATCGGCCGAAACAGAGCTGGCGCCGCTAAGAAGAGCCGGCAGCGAGGGGTCCGACTGAAAGACTAGCATTCGCTGCGATGCGTTGTTGACGGCCGGGCAGGCGGCAACAGGGCTAGCTGTTTCGCTTGGGCTTGTCAGGGGCGTTCCGAGATGATCCATGGAATCAGTGCTCGCAGTCTTTGCAATTTCAACAGTGCCCCTTCGCGACGGGGCATCGGATTGCCAATCTTGATTAGCAATACGAGACCACTGGCTACCCATGTCAGCCGAGCCATCTTCGCTCACGTACGAGGCAGAAAAGGCTGGTTCAGGGCTCATTGCGACGGAAGTGCGGGTGAGAGGAGATCTGATATCAGCCCCGTTGTCTACACGGTGGGCGGTAGTAGGGCGCTCCTGGTACCGACTGTGATGAAAATTTGGATCCGACTGAAGATGCCTGTGATGATGATACGAGGAAGGGGGTATTGGCTGAGGAGACGAAGACAGTGGGGAGGATGACAGCTGGTATCCATATCTGCTTTTGCCCAAGTCAACAGAGCGCATTGAGCGTGTGCTTCGTAAGCCTGGAATGTTCCCCGGAGCCACGGCAGTATTCAGAGCGACCTGGGGAGTGGCTCGCTTGTCGTGGCTCGCGAAAAGGCTGCGTTCCGTAGAAGGTGAGCGGACCGAATCTCCTCTCAGAGCACTGAGCTCCGATCGCGCACTTGGTAGTTCCGGACGGAACGGAGGATTTCTATCAAAAGAAGGGGTAGGCGGTACCGTATGAGGCGTCAAGGGTAAGAACTGTGGAACGTTTCTAGCACGCACGGTTCCTCCGTTACGAATGGGGACGCCAATGATAGCAGGGCGGAACTCCGCCGTTGCTGCTTCGTCCAGCTCGCTGTGGGAGCGCCCTCGGGTCATGGTGGCCGGTTGCGTATTCAGGGGTGGCAGGACTGTAGCCATGGGATCATAGGCAACGGGTTCCGCGCGACTGCTAGCGGCCGCGAAGTCTGAAGAGCGTAGCTCTATACTCGACAATGCGTCCCTGACTGGCAGGCCGGGAAAGTAGTCATCTGGATGAAGGCTGCGGCGCCTATCCATGTAAGGGGTAGGTGGATTCGTAGCCGGAACAGCAACGGGGAGGGCGACGGGCTTTGGCATGCTATCACCTCCGGAGCTGGCGACACTGCTGGTGGCCCGCCGACGTGATCGACTTTCGCTACGGTCGACCAAGGGATGCATGACTCTCCCGACAGCCTTTTTGACAACAGATCGGGCCCGTTCAAGAAAGGTGAGGGGCACGACGGCAGACGAGAGGTCCCTCTCGTCAACCTGAATCTTGCGGCCACTGGATGGCTTGGCCGGGTCAGTTTCTTCTGCCCATGATCTGGGATTGGGAAGTCCCTGGAGCACCCAGGGGTGTTTCTTGATATCCTTGAGGCGTATTCGCTTCTCTGGATTCTTGATGAGCATCTGGCGCAGCAAGTCGTACAAGAGATTATCCACGTCTTCATATTCGAGATCATTGTCGTCGCGGTATGGATGAGTGTTTTGGCGTTTGTAGAGAGACGTTACGGTGGGTGAGGTTGAGGGGTCCACGGGCTTGAGTCTCTTGCGCGGGATATACACGTCCTCAGTGGCAATCTTTCGGAACATCTGGAATTCATCCTCTGCCAGGAAAGGGATACGCGCATAGATGAGGCAGTAGAGAGTCACGCCGAGAGACCACACGTCAATTTGCTCAGAAACCTTGGGCTGGGCCTGGTCAGGGTCGGTGTAGCAGAGCTCCGGGGCAAAAAAGGCCGGAGTGCCAACAGTCTTTGAAAGCTCCAGGTCATCATCAAAGTCCTTTGCCTCGGATTCAGACACCAAATCATCGGGCTCACCCTCACGGATAGGTCGGCCGAAGTAAGAAACACCAAAGTCGGAAATCTTGACACGATGGTCTTTGCTCCAAAGCAGATTGGCAGGCTTGATATCACGGTGAACAACGCCCTGGTAGTGCAAGTATTCAAGACCTAGTACAGTATCGCGAAAGGCAGACCGGGCTTGGTCAAAGGTGAAGCAAGGGACATAGGAGAAGTCGTCAGTAAAGGGGTCGTGAGCACGGACGTTGTAGTCGATGGAAGACATGTGGGAAATGATGGAGTCGGCCATGCTGGGAGAGCGCTCGCGGAAGCTCATTCTGTCGTCATTGTTGGTATAGGCTCCAAACATGGTTCCATCGAGTGCGCTTGTGGAGAGGGGAGGCTGAGAAGAGGTGGGACCGGGGGTGGTATGGTCATCATGCCATTCGTCTTCATCCCTTGTTCCAGGAGAAGAAGAGAAGGAATAGCTTTGAGAGGGGGCCAGAGAGGAGCGGCGGGAGATGGGCATGGACACGGAACCATCGGTGGCAGCAAAGTCTTCCTTGGAGGAGATACGAGACCAGGGGCTTACGGTGCTCGCGTCGTCGGCGGCGCCGTGTTCCACGCTCCAGTACTCAGGGCCGGTGTTGTTTTGGGCCATCTTTGCCCGCTTGAGTTCCTTGATGATCTGCCGGCGCTCGAGTAGCTGATCCCACCGCATATCATCGGCGGTGGCGGGCAGCCCATTCATCTCGCGCTCAGATCGTCTCCGTTCGTACGAGCAGATATGGGGCAGTCCCTTCTTACGCCATACAATTTCGCCCAGCTCAACATGCTCCAGAACCATGTAAATCTTTTTCAGCTCAGGATCGTCAATGACTTCTAGTAGGGCGACAACATTGGGGTGTCTAATCTTCTTGAGAATGGCGATTTCTTTTTTGGTCTTATCCTGGGGAGACATGGCAGTGACCTTGCCGAGTCGTCGTTTCTTGGAAAAGCGCGGAATGATTTTGATGGCAACGTTTTCGCTGGTCTCGGTGTTGCGGGCCAGCTTGACCTTGCCGTGCATTCCACGGCCAATCTCCTCGATAATGTCATACTGATTGATGGACTTGCGGCCGGTGGTGACGTCGGAATCGATGAGAGCTTTGTGGGTCCTATGACACGAGAAGAGAGGAAAAGAAAAGTTAGTCGTTTGGTTCTAGAAAGGGATTGTGTCGTGTGTAGGATAGGATCAAACATATTGCAAAGCAGCGTAGCCAGTCAAGGACAATATGTGGCGTTGACAACCTGACAAGCCACAGACATGGCATGACAAGGGCGACAGCAACAGAAGAGAGACAGAGAAAGAAAATCCTGGTCAAAACATACTCTCGGACTCGGTGGGTCTGCAGCGGGTGCAAGTAGGGGCTGTCGAACAAAGGGGCGGGCGAGTTGCTCTCGGAGAAGGACGAGGTGGGCATATGGCCGTGTCTGGCGACGGGACTGAAGAGGCCAGGAGAAGCCGTGGGCGTGCTGTTGGCGGTCCGCAAGGGAAGCGACTGCAATTGAGACAGATGGGCGAGAAGCGCCGGCTTCGGCTGCGGCTGCGGCTGGCCGTCCATGATGGGCGGATGAAGGAGAGACGGGCGCTTCGACGGGAGACAGGCGGCGATGCTGGAGCTGTGGTGCTCTGTCGAAGGCGAGGAGGGAGAGACGATGTCGAGGACGGCCTCGAGACTGCGAGTCACAGCGCTGGTCGAGGCGAGAGGTCTCACGGCAGCATCGTCTCGCGTGCAATTCTGGCTCGAGGGGTGGCGGCTCGTGGGAGCAACGGAGGGCGAGGGCGGTTTTTCGGGTCGAGTGAGGGCTAGAAGCGGCGGAATGGCAAGCAAGAGAGAGGCGAAGCGAACAAGGACAAGCTGAGGCGCTGCGATGCTGTCACGCTTTCCCCGTGTTTGAGGGCTTTGGAGTTGCAAGTTGATTCTGCTTCTGCTAAGTGGGCAGTTGGATTGGCTATGGGGCATCCAGGCGAACCAGAAGCGGCTTGAAGCTGCACACAGTCTGATTTAAAGCGGGGGGTGGCCACCGCCTACGGAGTACTTGGCGGCGACGTACTATCCCGGTTAGGGATGCTACCTGGTAAGGCACAGAGGCGGTCGGCAAGGTACCTGCTGGGGACGTACCGGCGATAAGATGGATGAGCGATAGAGGGAGGAACTGAGTTTTGCGAGGCTTTGAGGCGATCGACAAGATAACGGCGCGGGAAAAAAAGGGGGGAATGAGAGGAGAGACAAAGTCTTTTGATTGATCGCCGACATCAAGTATACTATGTACTCATATACATACAACTCACCTCAACATCAACCTCAACAAAAACGTCAACGCCTCGTTTTGTTTCATCCGCAACTCTATCATCAAATGTCAAAAAAACTTAGAACCGCTTAACCTTGAATCATGATCCGTCTCCTCCCTCCTCCAAAAGCAAAGCACCACTATCGGCTATTATCGTGTACCTTGTACCTACAGCTCTGTACTGTACGGTACTGTACGGGTATGGAAGCCTCTAGTATACACTACTGCGGCCAAGTATTGGATATTGTACAGTAGCGCCAGCCATGAAAACGTCACCAAAACCGGCTATTTCATTAATCTCGCAGCGCCGCCGCCAATCACAGGCCGCCATTTTCACTTATCTCTGCCTCTTGCGCATGGCGAAAGTCGGAGCGCCAGAGTGGGACAGGCGATAGAATTAGGTAAGGCAGAGATAAGTGACGGGCCCGCGTCCAATTGGAAGATCGCACTGTGACGCCGATGTGACGAGTCATATCTGCTAGCTGCCATCCGCCTTGTTGGTGGTCCCGCGCATGCAGATACCCACAGTGCGCGGTTCCGCATGCGACTGTGCTGCAGGGAGCTGATGCCTGTGCGCTGAATAATCTCCGCAGCCAATCATGAGCATCTGTCCGCGATACCCCTCTTTTTTTTTTCTTCAACCTTGGATCCGGAGCTTCTCCCGGCTACCCCGACTTCCGTCATACCCTACATGTCATCAACCCAATCTTCTCCCTCTATCTTTTATCTTTTTTTCGGCCTAAACCATCAATCACCAAACCCTCTATCATGGTGAAACGAGGCCGGCCCTCACTCAACTTGACGCCCGAAGAGCGCGTCCAGCGGCGGCGGCTGCAACTTGTTGCGTCCCAACGAAAGCGCAGGGCCCATAAACGCCTCGCCCAGCAGCCCAAGGCCGCGACGGAAACTCCCGACTCGCTCCCGGTGAGGCCGGAGGAGGAGGCGCTTTGTCAGTTTTACGATGCCATGTTCCGGGATGGTGACGCAACCAATGCCGTTCGCAAGATGCCCGCGTCGCATCCTCACGCGCCGCTCACAGTCTGCCACAACTGCGGATCGGCTCCTCTGGACATGGCCGCCCTGACTGCGGTCGTGTCCGCTCATTCACCGGCAAGTCTTATGAGGACTTCCATGCTTAGAACAGATACTCATGCTCCATCCTCCAGACTCGCCGGCCCAATGCCATCCTCAATATGGGATGAATACCCATCCACGACCGAGCCCGACGAACCGGGCATCGACCAAAGCTTCTTCACCGATGAGCACCTTGCGCAGGCGTACAGCGGCATGCTCGACTCGTTGGTGCCACCTGGCATCGGCCTAGACGGCACCTCGTTGCTGGGCGGATCAACTCCAACCTCCAATCCGGAGGGAGTCAGCACGCCAGCCTCTGCCAAGGAGGATAATGTCTTTCTGCTGGGCCGATTCAGTACGGTAGACAACGAATGGATGCCAACAAATAGCAACGAGACACCATACGGCTATGAAAAGGCCCTCGCATCCCGGCGGCCACCGTCTCCATCTCCCGACGCGACTGGTCCAACGTTATCTGGTGGTGGTGCCGATCTTTTACCGCCATGGGCGGGAACTAGACAAGTAAGTCTTGCTCGCCTGACCTTGGACGCCTCAAAGTTAATTCACGACGGCCCGATGTCAAATATACTTTCCATGTTTGGAACCTGATGGCTAACATTGCGCCCTGTTAGGCAATATTCATGGGACTCTAACGCAATCGGAGCTTGAATTTCTGAATCTTGACGACCCTGTCCGTTGCGAACTGCGGGCGAACTGCAGATGATCTGATAAAATTGTTTTATATGTATATACAAGAAGCATGTTATATGAGCGCAGCGTTCATTTACTATGGCGTTTAGGGAGGATGCTACTGTGGGGCCTGGGTTTTGCCATCACGGATTCATCAATTGACAAGTCGGAAATAAAGGGAACGGAAGCCTGATTTCTTCCACACGCACTGGTTGCCGTCGCTCTGCTAGCACCAAAGCAGAGGCTATTTTTAGGCGCGTGACGGCTTAGACACGGCATACCAGTAATACGGAACGGGCGTTGTCGGGGCACAGTACGGTGCACGGTATCACACATATTACACACGCTATTTAGATTCTCATTTAGCTATAATGAATTGTTACCGGAGACCGTTATTGGTCTGTCGGCATGAGGCGAGAACAGCGGACGAGAGATGACTTGGCAGCAGAGTCGCAATCTTTGCCTCAACAGCCGTTTCGTGGCGGCGTCGTGACTCGGACTGTCATACCATGGACGAACACGTGTGCGTGGTTTGCCATTGATTACTTGGCGTCAAGCTGCGCGGACGCGAATGCGGAAATATGATGTGTCTTAGGGAGTTGCACGACATGACAGACGGGGGACTCGACTCTCATGGGCCCGGTGTTTTGTGTAGAGGAGGAATATCACAATATGATATGTAATATATGTCTATTCTGGCTGAATTGAGGATTCTTGTTTCATTGTCTTGGTGAACTCTATCATTAACAGTCACGTAGCTTCATGTAACGTCTCTCTCAACTCCTCAACACCATCTCTACGTCGCGTATACCGTAGTTGCTACTCTTCCAGCTGGATCGTCTGGGAGGGACAACATCACACAAGTCCAGCAACACGCCGCTCGTCCAATTCCTTGCGTGTGGCGAATCAACCAGGCTAAAACCCGTGAACCATAGGAACTCGAGCATCTGCTTCACGATAGCCGGGCCGTTTTCGCCATCTTTAATGTACTCGTACACAATTGCTATGTAGTCTCGGTTGAGGGGCATTTCGCGATCTACTTTGTCTATGTGCAAGGGTGGTGGCCACAGTGAAGGATGGGCATTGCGGATGATGCGGCCTTTGAAGTTCGGCCATCCGTAGCATTTCCTTAGCCGAGGGGCTTCCGAGATGATCTTGGTATTAGTCATGGGCGTTTCTTTGAGTTTATCTTGTAATCGGATGTGGCCTTCTATTGAGAATGCGTAGTGATTGTTCAAGGCGTCCTTTCGGGTCGTTGGGGCGGCGTTGACTAGAATTGGGGATTCAGGGTGGACTGGGCTATGGAGGTTTCTATCATCTAGAGAAGGGTTGCGTTTTGGCATTCCCGTTGGATAGAATGATATTGAAAGAAATCTTCCGGCTGCGTATCCCAGAACTAAGGAAGAAGTATTGCGCAAATGAGCCAACAGGATCAAGACAGCAATGTAGATCATTCCGTGGACCCAACTCACCACCCTTGAGAGCAAACGGGCCTGAATATCCAAACTTGACTTCCACACATAGCCGTCGATGCTGCCACCAAGGCAGGCTTCCAATGATATCGTGGTGAGATCAAACTGACATTGATGAAGAAGAGAGGTCTTGAAGGCTGAGAGAGAGCAATCGGGTGGGCCAATCATGAATCCGTCGTCGCGAAATGGTATTTTTATGGCTCACTCTTGTCGACGACGCACATCTTCGAGATAAGACGACATGATTTACAGATTTATGTAAGTGCGAGCCATGTATACTGATCATTGAAGGCGGCATCGCGCTTATTTATGAGTTCTGAATTGAGCATGGCGTATGTAAGAGTATATTTACTCAAATCATCCCATCTCTTTTCACCAGAACTCACGGTGAGGGCAGACTAGAGGAACATTTTGTCTAGGAGAAATGTCAAGCTTCACGGTCTAGCTGTAGTTCGATAAGTGCTATTGTTTTATGAGTATGCGCATGTACCTCTCACAGTTACTTATATAGCTAGATACATAGTCAGACATATATTTCCGCCTTCTTGTCTCAGTCATAACTCGTGCTCCGTAGTACCATCCATTTTGACAGGCAGATTCCCTCTACCCCATATAAATGACCGTTAAATATATACCTATATTTATTACACATTTGACTCAACTGATTTTCATGTCTCAAAGTGTCATTATTTAGAGTGATCAGTATAATGCTTAATGGTACAGCCAGAGCACGCACAGAGAAAGGCCTGCATGTCTACCAAGAAGTCAACGTCTGTATCAAGAATACCTACCGCTTCCACCCCCTTGCCGTTTCTTTATCTGGTTAATCACCACCTGACGTGTTCGTCTAGTACTTTAATCGTAGACTGCGTGCTACTCACTTCTATTGGACAATCTGGCTGTTTTCTGCATGCGCTAGGGTGCCTGGATCTACAAAGCTCCTTCATTCTCATCCAACGACTTGTTCTTTCTCTTCGTTTTTTGCTATTTTGCGTTCCTAGCCAATCAATCTGAATTTAAGCAGCCCTGTATTCTGAGGCGGTGAATTCACGCACTAAACCACTTCCGTTTGTTGCATGCAAGAGGACGCGGCTGTGTGAAAATTGGGCAAACATGAAGACGCCCATGCGGCTGAATCAAAACCATGTCTGGTCCCGCATCTCATCGTTTCGCCCATGATCTTCCTTGTACACTTAACCTTAAATCCTGAATACCAAACAAATCTATGAGTGCTGAACGCAGCATTTCTGGTAGTGCCTTTGGAGATGGCACCAAAATCCATCTGGGCGACAATACTGTTATTCACAACCACAACTCCACAGCGCTTCGCAAAGCCTGTTACGTGATTCCTTTTCCCCGCAATCAAGATATTGTTCAGCGCCCAGAGATTGCTGCCCAACTTGACCACCTGCTGTCGTCTTCCAAAGATGGCGATTACTGTGAAGCAGCTCTATGGGGTCTTGGTGGATCGGGGTAAGTGGTTTGATGACTTATACCTAATACCCTCGAGATAAATACATGCAGGATTCCTAATAGCAGTGTCATCTTCAGCAAGACCCAGATCGCCCTCGACTATGCATATCGCCGGAGCCGTGACGATCCTGCTTGCGCCATCTTCTGGGTGCATGCCGATAGCGAAAGCAGTTTCGCGCGAGACTATCAAACAATTGCGAAGAAACTCGGCCTAGACCATACAATCAACGGCGATGACCTGTTTCTAACAGTGCGCCACTGTATTGAGTCGCAGACACGGTGGCTCTTGATTCTTGACAATGCGGATGATTTGACACGCTTCGGTGTTGATACCACGTCTGATCACTCCAAGAGTTTGCGCAGTTACATACCACATGGACCTGGAGGAACCGTCCTATGGACTAGCCGCGACGAACATATCCATGCCCTAGCTGGTTCGCGGCAGAGTGTTCAGGTTCCTCACATGGTTGTCGGGGAAGCCAAAGACCTACTTGCTGTGGCCCGAAACGAGAGTATCCGAGACGATGAGATTCAGGATGCTGAAGATCTGCTACAGGAGCTTCAGTGGCTACCTTTAGCCATCTCGCAAGCAGGTTCATACATGCGGAGGACTTCGACGCCCATTAAGATATATCTATCGAGACTGTCAGACGGGAAAAGCAGATGGGACACCCTGAAAAAGACTCAGCATGACAAGTATAGAAGGCTGGATATCCCAAACAGCATCTTGGAAACTTGGGACATATCGATCCAGCATATTAGACAGGAGAGTGAGACGGCTTATAAAGTTTTGCACACCATCGCATATATCGACAACGAGAATATTCCACAGCGATTTATTTGCGATGCATCAACCAGATTCGATCAACCAGGGCAAGAACAGTCATCTGAGAGCAATGAAGAAGTACTGGAATCAGTAATCACCCGGTTAAAGGAATTCTCATTCATTAGCGCTCGCAGAAACGAAAATGGGGATGATCCAAGTTTCGATATGCACAAGCTCGTGCAAGAAGCCATTCGATACAGGCTTCATACAAAGGATACCACCTTGGAGACACAATTCTCAAGCACTGCACTGAGAGTCATTTCAGGGCTATTTCCACAAGAATTTAAGAGCAAAACGCGATTCTTACGCGAACAGTATGCAACCCATGCTACACGAGTCTGCGATTGGGTAGATATGATAGAGGACGTAACCGCAACGACTGATTTTCTTGTGCGGATGTCAGATTACTTCCAGTATGTTGGAGTTATAAAAAAGGCAGAATGTGTGGCGGAGAAAGCACTAGACTTGAGGAAGAAGGCTTTCGGTGAAGAAGATGGCAGAATATGTGTGCCGTTGTTCAAGCTTGGCGGAATATACCTTTGCCAAGATCGATATGAAGATGCAGAAAGGCTTGCACTAGAATTGGTAAAAGTATCGGGAAAAGCCTTCAGTGAGCACAGCCCGAATACCATTCGTTATACAAGCCTCCTCGCATCAGCATATCATCGGCAAGGCCGATATGAGGAAGCCGAAGAGATGTTTGTGAAGATAATTTCACATCTGCTGGAAGTTGAAGGGGAGAAATATATTCATACGATCACTGCTATGGAGATTCTGGCAAGCATATACGAGCAGTCAGAGCGGTATCCTGAGGCTATAGAGCTAAGGATTAAAGCTCTAGCGCTGCATTCTGAAGCTTTTGGAAGACAGCACCCTACCACAGTGTATGCTATGGGGAACCTTGCGGACGCGTACGTATTGACAGGCCAGACCAAGGAGGCTGAGGAACTCGATTTAAAACTCCTCGCGCTAGGGAACGAGTTCCCTTGGGAGCAATATATCGATGGTTATGATATACAACTCCTTTCAGTGCCATTTTTTAGGAAAAGTCTGAACAGGAAAGCTAGGCACGTTCAAAGGAGATTTCTTGCATCTCTGCAGCAGAATTTAGGAGAGAGGAATCTTCTTACGGTTCGGATAATGGTTCGTCTTGCAACAGCGCTCACTGTGGATAAAGAATACGAGGAAGCTGTGCAGCTTCAGTTAAAAGCCCTGGCATGTTTTAGAGACCTTCTTGGAGATAAGAATGATGAGACAATATCAGCTATGGGGGCTGCTGCAAATATGTATTACTTTCAATTCTTGATTGAACTAGGCAAACAGCTTGAACTGAAAGCTTTATCGCTGCTGCAGGAGGTGTATGGCGACAAGCCTCCCCGCCAGCTTCGGTCAGAACTTGAGACTATTGCCTACGTACGCACAGAAACGTCAAGACAACTTCAGGGATTGAGCCGCTGTGGCTGGTGGTTATTGGAATTGCTAGCGTATAGATTGGCAACGGGAAGGATGTTTCAGTTATTATTCTTGCTGTACTTTTGTGGAAGCATTGCCGCAGCTGTCGTATGGAAGTAGCAGTCTTTCAAACATCCTTGAACACTATACATCTATCTCTATAGAACTCTATTACAGCATCAAAGTATGTATGTATTCAACAGACGATACCGTTCCACTGAATAGTTCCTACCCTACCGTTGCATTTTGGTACATACTGGTGAGAGCGAGGTGTCAAACCTCCCATTAAAACATAACACAAACTATATTCTACGAGTTCCTCCTCTTGAATTTCGGATCTCCAAAATACTTTTCAATGATCTCCGACGCATAGATATCCCGCCCGTCCTGAATTTTCGTATCAATACCAGCAAACTTCTCCAATAAAATGTAGTCTTTGCTTGGCTTCGCTAGCATCTCATTCAGGTGATTCTTTATAATCTGAGCCCCATCCGTGTCTTGCTCGCTCCTTGGATGTCTTTGGGCAATCCTATCGCAAGACAAGATCAAAGAACCAAGCCCGGCAGTGATTGCTGTGGCGACAGAGCTTCCCGAGATATAATCATCGGAGTCTAGGAACGGAATCACTCCTGCCGCTACCGATTGACCCTGAACTTTGTACTGAAAGGAGGTTTCATTCGCGGGACGAAGTACCTTCCCGTAGTCGTCGCAAGCAGTAATAGTAATAGTGTCGCGAAAACTTGCCGGATATGCTTCCGATACATTCATACCTTCGTCATGGGTGCTGCAGAGTAAAACGATCCCAGAGTAAAACAATCCCAGAGTCAACTGCGATGTTGCAAGCCCGCTCAAGCTCGGAGGTCTTTTCCAGGATGGCAAAACTCATCGAAATAATGTCAACTTTTTGAGCTATTGCCCAGTAAATTGCCTGTCGAATGGGAAATAAGCATCGACACCTAAGCGGGCTGTATCAAAAGACGCGGGTTCGACATACTCTTGTAACTCTCAAAGGCATTATTCCAGCCCTGCCTTCTGTAACCTTGGCCACGTAGAGGTCACACCAGGGATCGATAGCACATATCAAATTCGCCATCTGTGTTCCATGTGGGTTGGACGCAAATAGCCATGGGCTAACTCGAGAATTATCCAACTGGCCGCCCTTGATACGAGACCACAAGGTCTTATGATTTTCTGCCTCTTTCCTGAACTTGGACCTGGCATCGTCATTCAATCCGTTAGAGTCTTGATATCTCTGCTTCGTGTTTGAACCTCGGCCAGTGCCACCATTCATTGGGCTGTCAAATCGAAATGTATGGTTCGGAGAGTCCCAATGTTCCTCGGCGCGTGGTGAGACGCTGAGAACGCCATTATCGATTATCGCAACCTTTACTGGCCTAAATTCATAATTTTGGTGCGCTCGTAAGTCGTGCACATAATCTCGATAGCTTTTAATGAACCGATATAGCTTTGGGACAGCTCTTTCAGATCTGGTAGACTCTTCGTGTAAGTAATGCTTTATGCAGATACTGCCCGATACGTCCACGGAGTTGATACTTACATTTCCTCTAGATTTGCTAGTCTCATCTGAGTCGGGTTCCATGAGTCAGTTGTGGTGATCACCTTGAGGATTGGTTGGTTGTTTCTTTCTCTCTCTTTATTTATCTTAGTTTCCAAAGATCGGACCTCCCTGTTGATATAGTCCGCGGTGGAACAGCATTGCTCTTTCGTCATCAAATCCTTCGATAACAAAATTAGTAATTTGTAACCAGGGGTGTAAATAATTCTGTTACTACCTCTATGATATGAATCTCGAGTTTTTCAAGCTGGCCGTGCCAATGGTTAGCCCTCTATTCAAGGATAGAATATATTTGATGCTTTGTACCCACGTTTGGAAGCACTGAGATCCCCATTTCGCTAAACCAGTGGCTGATGACTGCTCGCTTGCCACTTGCATATAAATGAAGTTCTCTGATCCTCTTCTTGGTCTCATCGTCAGAGAAGATAGTAATAGAAAGATCAAGAAACCGCCAGTTGAGAACTTGGACTTTAAACTGCTTAACGTAGTTTCCTATATCAACTTCATCGTGTGGATTCACGAGTCTGTCAGGGACCGTGAGCTCTATTATCTCACGAACCTCTTTGAAGTCTCTGAGCCAATTGAGGATGCGGAAGACCTCTATATGCTCAGAAGTAACTCTCTCACCAAACGTCTGTTTCTCGTCAACCTTCAGATCCAAGTTTGGGAACTCGGCATATTTTATAGTACTCTCGTATGACAACAGATTCGAGTTGTCCTGATGATTGATGAGTGATCGCACGAAATCAGATACTGGATACTTCTTCGAATTAAATCGGGAAAGGTCGAAGCATAGCTCATTAACTATGAATCATCAGAATCTCGGAGCAAATTGTCTAATTCCTTGAACGGGAATTACTTACCATGTTCTGGATAGGAAGATTTAGTTACTCGGTCGTTTCATTATCAATTTTGACATTGCACAATTGGATGAAAGCGTAAACGTACCTCCCGAGTCTCGAAATATTTCCAAAAGCTCCGGCATTTTCAAGGTTGGTGCTCCCTTAATTATCTTGGTGACTAACATGTCACGAATGCTGCGATTCCTCTCACTCTTGAGTTCTTCATCGCTTCGACGCTCTTCAGAGACCAAGTAGTTGTTATGCCAGAGGGCATATTTTTTATCGCTTTGCGTAATAACAGAATTTGGGTATTCATCCATGAACATCCTTACGAACCCAGGATTCTGGCATTGAACGGCGATGTGAAGCAATCCTGAGGTATCTAGGTTGATACCCTTGCGTCTATTTCCCCATGCTTCTCCTAGATCGAGTTCAATGATCTTCTTAACGACCGTGTTGTTGATTTCTGCTTGAGTCCGAGCGTAACGAATTAATGTGCAAACGATTTTCATATAGTCCTCTGGTGTTGCATCTTGCAGTGTTGCGCTTTCCGACTCTGATTTTGTCAAAAATTCAATCGCCAGGAGAATATTTTCAGCCGTAACATAGATCTTTTGTAGCCCCTCGTATTCCAAGAACTCATTCACTATGCTGACTTGCCCATCCTTTAAGCAGGTTACAAATGTGTCGTCGGCTGGAGTTGCGATATTTATATCATAGTTGAGGAGTGCCTTGACTGTTTCCAGGCTCCCGGCTTCACTCATTGCAGCAAGGCCCAGAGCAGAATACCTGTAGTTTGACCCGCGGCTTGGCTTCGGTTGCTGTAGAATCTTCACATAGTCGAGAGGATCCAAATGGCCACCCACGTTTGAAAGGAGGCCTTCCTTTCCACGCTTTAGCATATATTCGATTACGTCGCTGTAACCCTTTTCTGCGGCTGTATGAAATGGAGTTGTCCCTAACAACCGTCTCTTTGAGTGATTTGGGTTGTTGCATCGTTGCTGTATGCTATATTCATTCCAACTAGCAATCCCATTGATAGGCTTGGTAGGGGTTTGAAAAGCCAGATGAGGTGCCATCTTGAGTATAATGCGAATAAGTCGAAAAATCGTATTGTCCAAGTCACAATTTCCTTTCTCTTCGGATAGTGCTGGTTCGAATGTCTCGACAGCCTTCATGAGAATCAGCCAGCGGATACAGTCGTCTATATCTTCTTGTTCTTCGCTTTTTAGAAACTTTTCAACCTGCATTTCTATCGCTTCTAACGATTCCAGCCCGTTACCCTTCAGGGCAGAGTCTAGGCTACGCCGAATCTCCGAATATAAGTTATCGGCTTTTTCATCCAACTTTTCATCTTCATCTTTGAATTTGTCCCATTTTTCTCTGATCGAAACTGGTTGCTTTGACTCTCTGAATTCTGATGTGGGACTTCGATCCATAAATGCCATTGTTATATTCTGACAAAATAACGAGGGCCATTTCTGGACGTGATAGCTGCACATCCAGCTTCAGCTGTGTTATGTATGGGCACATTGTGATATCTACAGCCTTAAACCGCTCTTTAACACACATATTATCACAACAAACCCCATTAAGCTGTAATTTTTTGATTACGTTGAGGTTTCGTATTGGCACGACCTTAATCTCAGCCAGGATCCACAGAGCAGCCCCAATGGCGCCTCGATTAATTGGTTTAAGTCAATCAGGCACCAGAACGAGTGCTGCTGTGGCAATGCCCAGCCCTATAAGCTCCCCCGCATATGTCTTACACTACAGGTCCTACATCAATATAACGCCGGATACTGCTCTGCTTTGCCAAAGAATATGCATCAACGACAGTTTTTTTTGGAAAAGAAAACACCGACAGCATGAAGCAGTCAATTCGCTATTATTCAGGGAATCTAATAGAAAGCCATTGACTTCATGGGTTGTAATAGAAATTAGAGACTATATAATAATTTTGGGGAAGTATATCATATATCTAGTAAAGGAATATTACGGATATAAGTTTTTTTTTTACATATATCTGTAGGAACCCAGTTCGTCACAATTATAAAAGAATAAGCTTTATTTATTAACACAATTTTAAAGTAAAACTAAGCAATGTAGAAATTCTATATAATAACCCAGTATATTACAGGAATTATTAAGCTGTTGGGATTGCCCCTACATTAGCGGCATCTTTACCCAACATAGGCGGTGGTGTCCATCCAGATATCCAATTGACACCCCTAGCTGGCACTGTAATATTAGTAAGGCCAAAGGCATCAATTATTCTCTTACCAGCAGCAGTCTTCTGCAAGCTTGTATATTCCTGCTGTGGCGTTTGGCCAACGCCAGAACCCCAAAATAAATTATCAAGAATTAGGGAGAAAGTAAAAAACTTATGAGCGTCGGGATTGTATAAAACATCCCTGGTGTTCCTTATGGCATGTACCGCAGCAAAACCATGTGGGGAAGGAGTTACTATATGGAAAATGTTAGTAGAAGCCCCTTCATAACTTATAAAGGGTGGACTTACATCCAACTATGCCGGTACTCCACAAGGCCTGTGTGAAAAGGGCGCCGATCCAACTCTTACCCGCCACATCAAGCGTCGTACCACTCCCAAATGCAGTAAGTCCTTTGCTTGTAAAGCCCAGGGGCAGATTCATGTTCTTGGTACAGAGGATAATATTTTGAAACCAATGTATTGTATTCTTGTTTCTGTATCCTGACCGGCCGTTTGTTGCGCACCCACTAGTGACTTCTTGAGTTGTAGTAGGGCGATCGCCATTGAGCGGGATTGTGGAATGGTAGAAAGGGTCGGCTGAGGCAGGTAAGTAATATAACCAGATTACTCGAGACTACTGAAGACTAACTGTAAAAGACGTTGCCGCTGCTGTTCTTCGACAGGTACGGGGCATCATCGCAGGCCACGAAAATTTGAACCGGTTTGCCATTGGAAGGTGCCCATAGATAGTGGACTCCCGAAAGTGCGACTTGTGGAAACCAGTTAGTAACCTTTGCCAATTACCTAACCTGCTGTATAACTTACATCCTGCATTCCAAACGCCTTGCGATCCTCTAGTCGTATTTGTATTGTTGCCGAAGAAAGCGTCGTAGGTTGAATTCAGTCGATATCTCTCCCAAGCAAGAACATTGGCAGGAAGTGTCGCTAGCGACTGCTTGCTAGGGTTTAACATGCGATAAAAGTTTGCATCTACAATGTTCTGAAGGATACCAAGAGCAGTAGTGAAGAGGCCACCAGAGCCAGCAGCAGCCGGAAAGCCATTAGACTTCGCCCAAGGGTCACACGTTGTCGCATCAACCCATATCATTGTGTTGCCGACTTGTTGAGCAACGACTGTCTGAAGACCCCCAAGGGCCGCCAGAATGGCGATTGTCGGAATTTTCATTGTGGCTGGTATTGAGTAATGAACGTATTGGATTAGAAATAATGAATGACTGTTACGAGTAGTAAAAGGAGCGGAAAGCAAAAGAATGTCAACTACTAATGCAGTGGGAAAAGATTGTAGAAAAGGCTTTCGAAAATGGGGGCGCACCCCAAATATAAATGTCTAATCCGTATTCTTATATATTCTATCCTCCCCCACTCTTATATCACACGACCTGGGGTATAATGCAGTTGGTGATATCGTTAGTGATGCTGTTGGTGATGCTGTTGGTGATGCTGTTGGTGATGCTGTTGGTGATGCTGTTGGTGATGCTGTTGGTGATGCTGTTGGTGGCGCTGTTGGCGATGTAGTTCGCGATATAGTTGGTAACTGGATGCAGCCCCCTGGCTCTCGACCTAGGATTGAACGCCTAGTCCTCTATTATACGAGGAGGCCTCACTGGGGGCACACATAAAATAGTAGACTACTGCCAAGGAAAAGGAACTAACCACCAACTGATCAGGTCATTCTTAATTTGGGTAAATCCAGCCATCAAGGTTACATACATTATTCGATGCAAAAAACAAACATGGGACACAACCAACAACCAACGGCCAATAGTATGACACCCGCTTATTTCCGTGCACGCACACAAGTCCTGCGTGTTATCCGGTAGCCTTCTTTCTCATTTTCACGCGGTAGCGCTTGGGGCATCCAACGCTTTGCCTTTTTGTTATTGCTGAAAGGGGAAACCTTTAAGGATGACTACTTAGCAATGCTGAATCGGGATACAGTACTAACGAGGTCACGAAAGCATACAGCTGGTTATCTATAACCCCTATATTTCCAAGCTACGTCATATGTATCAATACTAAATTTTTACGACACTTCCCACAGCTACTTTAGTTTATAATACATCACAATACACATTAATACTTGTTTGTTTGATCATTAGCGTCCACTACGCAAGCTGGGTATATGAAGCCATATCTAGGCAATAGGACGGTATGAACTACCATTTAGGGCTGAAAGTATATATTTCTAAATATAACTTTAAGGCTCCTTCTGACCTGCCTAGGAACTAAACCACTCGGCTATTCTTTAATAAGCTTTAACTATATTTTTTTACTATTAACTGCATTACTTAGCTTAATCTTAAAGCTTAGGAAATGGCAGGTTCAGGATCACCTCTTAGCTCACATGGAGACAATGAAGACGATGAAGACGTGGATGGCATTCAAGTATTCCGAGGCCACGTTGGCTGGGTCGTGTGTGTCGCATTTTCCTCTGATGGCAAATACATCGCTTCAAGCGGATGTGATGGTCAAATATTGCTATGGGAATTCTCAGGGAATAATCAAAAGTCATCATCACCATATAAAGCAATGGACGAGAAATGCCCCGGTGCAGTATATTCTCTGACGCTGAGTAGTGATGCAAGGCTTCTCATCGCCTCATGTTCAAAAGCATTGACAATCTGGGAGGTTGCAACAGGCAAAGTCATCAGAAAAGTTCCTTTCAAAGGGACTTTCCGCACGCTTCACCACGACGGCTTATTTCCAGATTATATAATAACTGATAAGGGTTCATTATCCTTGAAAGACTTAGTGATGGATGGGAGAGTCCAAATGATGGCTACGAACTGGAGTCCTTATGGGTTTGGTCCTAGCTGGTGGAATCCCGATGGTGAACAATATGTCACTTGGATGGGAAAGAGATTATTTTGTCTGCCAAAAATACACCGGCTAAGCTCAGCAGTCACTAAAGGGCACACGGTTGTAATTGGGTGTAAATCGGGGCGATTGTTTTACTTTAAGTTTAAGGAAGATGCGGATTTAAGCCGTCACTGTAATTTTTGAGGAGTGGCTAGTAGAACAATAATGCACAATAAATTCAGTTTCAGTTTCATGATTATACTACAAGGCTAATACCCGCTAAAGGCGTTCATAAAGGCAAGCAAAACAACTGCGCCGATCGCGGTCGGCTAGTTCGATCAAGGTCAACCGGATCGCTCGAGGCCATCCGGTTCGTTTGAAGCTAGGTACTTTAATAGAACGAGGCCACCTAGATAGATTGTAGTCAGTTCGATCAAGGTCTCCCAGATTGATAGAAGCCACCTTGATAGAACGAGACCATCTAGATAGATAGATTGCGATCAGCTTGATTGATCAAGGTCTTCCGGATCATTCGAGGTCAGCTAGATTGATCGGGCCTACCTAGCTGGATCAAGGTCATCCCGTTCGATCAAGGTCATCCTGTTTGATCAAGGGTCAATTTATCGCTATTTGTCATAGATACTTACTACATATATCCAACAGGAAGTTTATTATTACCCTCCGGGGGCGCCTACAGCTGGCTTTGCCTGCAGCGCTCAGCCTATGGCATTATATTCAAGTAATCCTGGCATGTTGTATATGTGGATATAGCCCTGATTCTCTAATTTTAAGATTCTAATATACTAAGCTATATTTGCGTATGTAGGTACAGGTAAGCTAAAATATAGAGTAGAGTTTGGGTGGCTTCTTTTTGTGGAGAGCGAGCGTCGGAACATTGCAATACCTATCAATAACTACACAACACCAAAAAACGAGGTTTACAGTACATCACAGGCGGTTAAAACTAGCACAAAACAGCGAATCTAACCAATTGCCAGTCAGTATTTCAGCTGTAGCTAGTGATTATGGTGGCTTGTTTTTTTTTTTTTTTTTTTCATTAAAGAAGCAAATCTGGAAGCTACACTTCCCTCAGGTTGTCACCTTCGCAAAGCAGCTTCGCAGCTTTGCTTGATTAATCTTCATGAATTCTCTGCTTAGCTTAAGATATACTAATTTACGTAATGTGTTCTCAAAAATGAGACCTAATAATGCTTATATATAAAATAATTTTGAGGAATAAAGAATTATTGCGACCTGTTTCACCGTAAAAGCTGGATCTCTTATAAGCAGCTGGTTCCGTTACAAAAATTGCTATTATGGTGATTATTAGCCTCATCTTTTGCCCTGTTTGGCTTAACAGTATAACGGATCGTTAGGTTTACTCTTATATACTATATAAGGCAAAGTAGGTTGGAAATACAATGAATTGCTGCCATAATAGCTCAAAAGGCATATACTACTGTGCCATTGACTAAAGTAAGATATGTTTAAAGATAAATTTAACAACCCTTGACCCATTCAGCATCTACAATGCACTTATAACAGCGTTGTATGCAGCTTTTGGTTGGTAATTTGCATCAAAAAGGAGGGGATTTGAAGAAGATTTCCAGCTATCGACATCGCGAACACCCCAGCTTGTAATACCCACGCAATTCGACACTGCAAGGCATCCCTGAGCGACCGCGACGTAATCAGAGGAGGGAGCATTGCTAATGTCGAGTTCGGTAATAGCAACCTCCGGGGCCGCAGCACTCAGCGCCTTAAGAGCAGCTGCGTTCTTAGGCCCTCCACCAGGGCCAATATGCGACTGGCTGCCGATTCCGTCAATGGGAATACCTTGAGAGCGCCATTTCTTGACATATGAGATCATGCCTTTAGTCTTGGCATAATTTGGGTCATCAAGATTATAGTCATTAATATATAACTTTGCGGTAGGGTCCTAGGCTCATTGCTAGTATCTTATTTCTCTTTATAGTTAGGTAGAAGGGGGCTCTTACAGCACTTTTCGCTGCTTGGAAAGCAATGCGAACAAAGTCCTCGCCGAGAACGTTGTAGAAGACTGACTGGCGCAGGGTTCCATCTTCGTTAAAAATCTCATTGACAACATCCTATTACAGATAATGTGTTAATGTTATTACAATAATCAGGTAATTTTCTACGCCAAGTTCTTACCCAAGCGTAAAGCTTTCCCTTATAACGGCCAGCAACGTTGCTAATGTGATTCTGTAAGACTGATGTCAAGGTAGCTTTATCGCTGATACTCGACACCCATGATGGTAACTGGGAGTGCCAAAGGAGGTTATGCCCGCGAATTAACAGGCCGTGTTGCTGAGCGTAATTGACTAGGTAGTCTGCGCCAGCAAAGTTGAATTGGCCGCGTTGAGGCTCAGTGGCATCCCATTTCATGCTGTTTTCTGGAGTAACTTGACCAAACTGTCCTGGCAAGAATGACGACATGCCACTCTTGGACAGAGTACTCTGATCAGTGCAAGTGCCCCAGTACTTCTTGCCATGAGCTTTGAGCTTTGAGTTTAGAGATGTCGACTGTCTCTCCTCGATGGGAGAGGCAACAGTACTGCCAATAGTAAAGACCACGGAAAGTAGTGTTGTGTACAACATTACGGCTGAATGGAATCTCTCACAGAAAGGGCAAGTATAAGGACGAACAAATATCGATTCACAGGATAGTTGATTTTTAAACCACTTTTAAATGCAGACAAGGACCAGTTTATATATGTCGTAGTAGAATAAATAAATCTACTGAACCCCTGAAGCTTTAACCCAACGTTTGGTACTTAATTTCGCTAATCAGAAAATTCATGCAATATATCCACTGTCTTAATCCAACAACAACCGTTCTCCCGTGGCATTCTGTTTATATGAAGAGGAACATTAGAGCCAAAGACCTGCCAAGTTGGCGGTTAATTGTTTAGTAAGGCTACTTTTGTTCCAACATTACCAAATAGAAAGGATAATATTAATTTTTAGGGAAAATACAAAGGATTTTTATTACTAACATAAAACATAAATTATAAAGTATATACTATTCTTTCAACCCTGATTGTTTATTTCCTATGCAGCAAGCACACCCCGATGTACAAAGGGCACTGCAGCTAATAGCGATGCCACAGATCATCCTTGGATGCCCGAGAAATAAAAAATAAATTAGGCATAATATGCATAATTATTAAAGAGAGAGAAATAGGCTAAAAGCGCGCGGTTTCTTACATGTTACAACCATGGGCGCATTTTCCCAATTGGGGCGGATCAGGTTCTCAATAACAAACTCCGGTGCAGTTCAAGTTAGACGGCTGCGCGTTTGGTAGTTTTTCTTATGCGGCCCAATCAGAAGAAGAAATTCTGTCATCCACTAGTTGTCATCTTCATCCTGTTCTCCGACGTCTTTCATTGTTACTACACATATAGTTATTGAGGAATATAATTCCCTGGATTAACCATTAGCCGTGGAAAAGGGGTGGTTGAACTAATGCCACGTTGAGCAAATTAATTCGCCCTATCGAAAATCCTGCTTGTCACGATCGCGAATAACTTTTGCCTCTTTTAGCCTCTATGGCGCCTATCAGTGCCTGTCGGTGTCAAACCCGAAGGGCCACATGCGGGGAAGACTACGCAAATGCCGGTCAATAACATAAGTACCGGTAGGGTTATAAAATGTTTCCTAGGTAGTTGCTGAAAACAAGGTAAATGTGGTTCATTAGTAGGTAAAAGAAGACTAATATAGTTTATTTTTCGTCAAATACTTTTATTTGCACAAAAAACCAAAAATGAAAAGGACCTAATTGTTCAACCTTAGCTGTATCTTAGAAATATGCAAGCATACTTTTTCCAGCTAAGAAGGGCATCCGGACGAGTATTTGGATCCTCCAGTTTATGATTGCAGGTTATATAACGCTTAATAATAGCGGGATTGCGGTTTCAGCAGGGTAAATTCGAAGAAAACCAGGTCGTATTGTTGGGTGTTTGAATTATCTTCTAGTATTTTAGCAGCTCAAACCTGATATGGATAAGGTTTTAGGAACTACCGAAGGCTAAATTGACTGGGAAAATAGCAAAATCCAGTGGCTACTCTTTCTAGTTACCGAGCATTAGTTAGGGAGGTTTCCAGAGCCTTGATTATCCTCTTTAACTTTGAATGATGTAGGCGAGATTTAAACTGAAGCTGTCCTATAATAATTTTAAATAAATGCAGGCGGAAAGCTTACATGTACCTTTCAGGCTAATTAGCAAGTGTTACTACCATACTTTGTTTCAGCAGTTTGACTCCGCAGCTTTTCAGTACAAGTACATGTAAGTTGTAAGCGAGATGAAGGCTTTGGGTTGACTGCATGATTATTTATGTTGTTGTAAATAGAGGACGGAACATAGAAACGTCTGATTCACTTATCACAGAGCCATAACTTTACACCTTATAGCACTTGCACCAAAACTAAGCAAAAGCATAAATGCAGTCACGCGTGAGTCTCGTGCTTCTCTTTGCGGCACTGGCCGCTCCGGTCACCGCACAATCTTGTCCCTCCGTCCACATTTTTGGTGCACGAGGCACCGGTGTTCCCCCAGGCTATGACCTTCTCCTCCCTTTAGTAAATCAGCTAAAGGCCACCTATGCTGGCGCCACGTCCGAGGCAATTGTTTATCCAGCTTGCGGCGGAGCAAGTTCCTGCGGAGGAGTTTCATATGGCGACTCGGCAAAACAGGGAACCGCTGCCGTAGCGACGGCTGTTAATAATTTCCATAACAACTGTCCGAATACCAAGTTGGTGTTGATGGGTTACTCGCAGGTACACTGGCTCTTGCCTTGAAGAGGCTCTTCTCTTCTTCTTCTTATTATTATTATCGCTGGATGACTCACACTTCCTCGAATAACTGCAGGGCGGACAAATTATAGACAACGCCTTATGTGGAGGACCTGATCCCAACGCGGGAATCACTGACCTGTCTATACCCATTTCCGCAAGCGCAGCACAAATGGTCAAGGCAGCTATTTTCATGGGAGATCCTCGATTTCAGTACGGGTTTCCTTACGAGATTGGGACTTGCAGGCTTGGAGGCGTACGCGTACACCCGAACCATGACTTTTTTTATGAGGCTTGTTGACTGACTTTATCTGCAATAGTTTGCTGCGCGTCCAAAGGGCTTCTCGTGCAGTAATGGATCTAAAATTCAGTCGTACTGTGACTCTGCCGATCCTTATTGCTGCCAAGGCAATGATACGAGCGCTCATGCGGCGTATGTGAATGTCTATGGACAGAAAGCGATTGCCTTCATTGAGGCCAAGTTAAACTCGTAGGTAAAGCAGCGCTTAATTGCCTGTTCATTAATATTGGGACTCACACAGAATGCTAAATGAGGGGCGAAAATTAATTGTTAAATTTAAATATATCAAGGACAAGTTTTATAAAAAATGCTAATATTACCCCTAGCTGTAATCCGTTGAATTACACTTTTTTTGTCCTTGCGCCTCAGAATATCCCCCAGACAGCAAGTTGGGTTCTCATGCATAGGATACTGCTAGTAACCGTGGGTCATTACTAGAGGTCAAGACAAGTTGGTAGGTGTAGTATACATGTGTACCTTATACCTTTTAATACCTACCTAGTAGTTGATCCCCTCACTGCTAAAGCCACTAAAAACAGTGTTCTCGGTGTTTGCTGTAATCTTTGAGGAGTGGCTAGTAGAACAACAATGCACAATAGGATTCAGCTTCATGGTCAAACTGTCAGGAGTCGAGGCACAAAGAGAGGAGTGATGAGATCAAAGAGGCGAAAACCCGGCTGGTTTGCAAGGGTACCACAGCTGGGTAGATTTCAAAGGAGACATCGCAAATTAGGCCCACAATAAAACCAATAATCCCCATTTCGCGCCGCCAGCTGAGGAGAATCGAGGCGTTATTGACGGAATACCTTGCTAGGTGTATCGCTAGACCAGTAGCTTATTCACAACAGCTCTGACAGAAGCCAATGCAGAGCCACTTCAATATTGAAAAGCATAGACTAGCGAAGGCATTATGAAAACGGCGGTAGACCGCTCTCGTGTTTTTAAAATTTGATCTTTATACATTATATATATTCAAGTAGATCCTCGTCGAGAGTACATTACACTACACATTCTTCCCTTGACAGGTTAGTAACCCTCCACTCAACCCGTTCAAATGCGGCCTGAGATGAACCAACTCTCGGTGTCCCTGGCAGTCTTGCTAGCAGCATCTCCGCTAGCTCGAGCAGCTCCTGGCCGTGGTTGTAGCGCAAAGTGCAATGCAGCAGACAGCCTCGTTCGTCTGCTCCGCGCGCCGTCCAACTTGCCGGAAGCGCTGCCATTCTGCAGCAGCTATCTTCATTTACCAGCTTCTACTGTCACAGTCACGACGGTAACGCCAACGACTACCGCATACTCTACAATCCTCAGTGATGTTTCTCCCACTGTCACCATCTACACAGAAGATGTCGACACGGTGATTCCCACGCGGACCGTCACGGTCACAAACGTACACACCGAAACGAACGTTGTAACTGATACATCACTCACGACGGAGTTTGTCACTGTGACTGCCGCGCCAGTGCAGCGACGTATTGTCTCAACGCCTCTCTCGCAACAGATTGCTCAGTCATTTAGCCCGAGCAGAATATCTAGCGGCTGTGGTTGCCTGACAATCCCCCTCTCAACGACTTCTGTGACGGCGACAGCACCAACCGTCACAGTTACCGAAACACGCGATTTAACAACCACGGAGCCTGAGGCTACGCAAATTCTTACTTCGTATCGAACAACCACACTTGCCGAGGCTGTGGAGACTACGACGATTGACAGCACGACTGTTGTTCCAACGACTACTACTCAAGTATCAGTGGTAACGTCTACAGTCACAGCCACCGCTGCTGCCACTCCAACCGGATTCTTTTACATACGGAACGTCCGCCCGGCAGCCGACGGCTTCTTCTCGGGCAATTTTCTCGTGAACCGTGATTTTAGCACAACCAACAAGGTCCAGGCTGCCACAATTTCAGGGTCCAACAGCACAGCTCCTCGTATGGGTCTCACTCCCGAGGGTTACCTGACCATCATGCAATCCCGAGCAGCCTCGTCGTCCGCCACTGGAACAGAAGACCAGACTTGGGTCGCCTTTGTTCAGAACGGTGTGAACAACGGGCCCCTCTCATTCGACAAACTGGCCAACGTCCAGGCATGCTCAACCTGCCGACCACTGAAGTTCGTAATCAGCCCTGAGTCTGACGGGACGTACATCAACTTCGCCGCCGACGAGGGAGCAAGAGCCATGTACATTTGCGGTTCTATGCCGAGCGCTGGTGCCAACTTTTATGCGTTCTGGACTAGTATCACAGGAGCTCCGAGTTCAAGTTGTTTCTTGCAGCGGATATACGAGTCGAAAGAGGGAGTCGCTGGGCCAACGTTTGGCACGCCGACTCACGGATAAATATAGCAGTTAATTAGCTTTATCGAATGCATAGTTTACAACCAGACCGAGATAACCAAGCTCTGTCTCTGACCGCCATCCAAGCAAGCGTTTTATTCATTCTATCCTTTTTTTTTTTTTTTTTTTTTTAATTATGAACTACTCAATGGCCATTTCCTCCAACTATATCGGCAAAGGACATGTACCTTTTTCGAGTCTTGGTTTGCCCTGTACGTAAATGGGAGGCCTACAAGCTGTTGGCCGAAAACATCTTGGCAGGACAACTGGCCAACAATGCCAAGGCATACTTTTCTAATGTTTCATGCTGCTGATAAGAATGGCGCAGTTTTATATTTTCTCTCATTCCCGAGTTCTGAAAACGGAGGGAAAACGTATAAATTCTCTTTTGACAAACTTGCAGGATGGGGCGCTGGCATTCGTTTGGCATTCGTTAGGCAACAATACGGTTTGCCTCTCAGTGTCTAAGCGAGAGTATGCGACTATGCTACTGGTGAATAACAAAGACTGTTAATAAAGGATTATAGAGCTTTGAACCATATATTTCTTTTTCACATTCTTACTTGTTTCTTTCAACATGTTTCCTTGTTGTGGAGTCTCCAGCAGCTAGCCGATCTGACGGGCAGACAACACAGCTCAGAACGAAATTATCCCATAGCTTAACAGTTCAGAGCCTTTTTATAACTTTGACCCATTGACGGCGATGCTATCCACTTGAAGTCCCGCGAGAAGGCCATGGTGATCTTTCTTTGCTGCAAAGAAGCCTCTATGTTCCTGGCACATATTTTATATTCAACTTTTTACCATTCTAGTGTAGTCAGTCCCAAACATGCCATTTAGCCATGCCCCTGCTTCCCTACTGAGGCTACCCCCCAGGCCAGCTCGACTAAGCGACTCTGCCCAGTTGTCAATCTCCCATACTGAAGCTCCATGGAATTTAGAGTCATCCAAGGCATTGACAGCAGCTCCATCGCTATGCTTAATGGTCATTTCTTCTATGACACCGTGCTTGGCAAGAAGACACATGTTTAACTAGGAAGATTTGTTAGTCAGATAGAAATTATAAAACTGAAAAAATATAAAAAAAATATAAAAAAAAAAAGAGTAAGTGCTTACGTCAAATGGCAGCTCTGGCCGAGGCCGGGGATCCTCTTCCGTAGGATGTGTCGAAAAAGTAAACCGTGGGGTCTGGCCCCAAATCCAGCTCTTGGACTGAAGCTCTTCATAGCCTCGTCGGATTTCGTCTACTTGTATCGCTGTGTCGTCGAATTCGCCACGGAAATGGACGTCTCCGTACATGCTCTCAAACTCGGTCACCACGGCATCCTTGAATTCGTCATTGCCGACATCGATGTTCTTGACCGGACGGCGCACACTGTCGACGCCACGTGCATCGAGATAGCCTCCCGCAGGAGACCGTAGCAAGCCAGAGATGCTTGACAAGTTAGGACTCCCCAGAAGACAAGTTCCGTGGTGTAGTGATCGCAGACGCGTGAGTTTGTAAGCCGAGCCAGAGATTTTATATGTCTCTGGCTCTCCTTTCGACGCAATGTCCATGACAATGTCGTGCCTCTCATTGACACGAGTATTCGGTCTTCCCAGGGCTTTCAATGCGCGCACAACCATTTCGGCGTGCTTGTTGCGATCAAAGTGCTCAGGAGGACAGATGACGCTGAAGTTGACATTACCGGCATCGTGAAATACCGCGCCGCCTCCGGATCGTCGCCGCACCAATTGGATGGGTGAATCATTCCAGCCGGCACTAGACGGATCTTGAGCAATCTGGGCTAAGCGGTTCAAGTTGACCTGGAGCCATGGATTCTGGTTGCGGCCAAAGATGATGCTGGGGGAGTTGACATAGAGTGTGAGGATGGTTGAGTCTGGGGGCGTGATTTGGAGGAGGCGGTGCTCGACGGAGAGGTTGAGGAAGGGGTCTGTTGATTTGGAGAGGTAGATTTGGACGCGATTGGCGGGGTGAGAGGCTGCGTCTGTTGAGAATCGGGATGTAAGTGGGCGATGAAGATGCGATGAGAATTTTGAGGCTCGTAGAGGACTGGTGGCTCTACGGCTCAGTAGTTGTGGGATTCTCATTGTGAAGAGATGAGACAGGATAAGATTGAGGAATGAAATTTATGTGGAGCTTATTGAGGGTATCATTGTGGTGGCTGTGTTGATGTGATTAAAGCGATGGAGGGTGAGTGAGAGAGAAATTGAAGCTTGAACTCCGTAGATGTTTTCGTATCCTTGCAAGCCGAAGCTGGCCGGCAGTTGTAGCTGTAGCTAATAAGCGTACTAGCATATCATCCAGCCTAACTACCAATTCTCTATTACTTATTACTACCTAACTACAATAATAAAATTTTAAATCAGTAGAATAATTAATCAATTGCACCCAACTGCTAGGCACAATGCAGCCAAGATATGAAGCATCTCATCACTCAGCAAATGTCCAGTCCAGGGTAAGCCGCTGCCCCTCCCCCGCCGAGAAATGTACCTGTAGTCAGACGGAAACACGCCAAAATTTGCGCCCGCGCCACCGAAATCGGCTTATCAACGATTACACATATGAAGTCATCGCCAAGCATCTCTCTCTTCCACCTCAAATCGCCCAATCTCTCCCAATCTCTCCCTCCCGCCACTGCTGTCTCCCTCGGACAGGCTCGATTGAGATTATTCTGTCCTCAATTCTTGTCTCTTTTTTTTCTCTCCTCTTTATTTCCTCCTCCTTCTCTTCTTCTCCCAACTAACTACCTACCTTTGGCCACTACTTCAAAGTCACCACGTAAGTCAACTCAATCAACAATCACAGCCCCTTCAAGACCCCAATTGACTAACTGATTCTCCTCTCTCCAGCGCCGGCGAGTCCCACGGCAAGTCCGTCTCCTGCATCATCGAAAACTGCCCGCCCAACCTCGCCCTCACCGAAGGCCGACATCCAGCCCCAGCTCACCCGTCGCCGCCCCGGCCAGTCGAACCTCACCACGCCCCGAGACGAAAAGGATCTTGTCAACATCCAATCCGGCACCGAAATCGCCGCAGTTCTTTCAACAAAAGGCCGTTCAAAAATGCAAGTTTCAGTTCCAAAACTCCCCGTGGTATCAACCCCATCCCTACCTATATGCATGTGTATTCAGCAAAACGTCTAGCGTCGTACTTGGTATGTACAATCACCCCCGAAATCCTTTCCATAAGATCTGCACGACGATCCGGACACCTAAATGATCCAATAACCCACTCCCTATACACACACCCCCTACTGTACATCCCAAAGCAGTAAATAATGCATCATACATCTGTATTGAACCAACACAACGTCATCACGGACCACATGCGATTGAATCCCCCAAACAGCACAAGCCAGTTATGATAGTACACTAGTTCACATGAAACAAAAACACTATGCTATATATAAACTCAAGATTCAAAAATCCGATATCAATATGTTTGTTGTAGACATTATATATAGATAGAAAAAAATGGCTGTCCAAGGATTTCCAAAACACCCAACTTTTTATCGCTAACATAACAAGCGCAAAACAAATGGTCAAAAAATGGTTGCTCCAGACATCACCTTCCAAAAGCTCGTTGTATCTACCCAAAGAATTGAGGAACGAACAGGGGAAGAAATCGACAAGTGGCCAGCCAATAGCTTCATAGCTTCTAATGACCGCCCTGTCCAGATTCTTGGTTCTCGTCAAACAACCCCAACACATCGTTAGGAATGTACTCGAGCCATCCTCCCATGAGATCTGGCTGCTGCAGTCCGAGAGCCTCAATGTCAATGTCCTGGCTGTCAAACGTAATGGCATCCATGTTCCCCATGATGGGGCCCCACGTCGCCTGGTATGGCATGTTTTGTGCAAAATACATGTTGGCATGCGCATTTCCCCCAGAAGCACTGGTTACAACTGTAGAGCTCACCATGCTGTGGGAGTTGGAGCCACTGGTAGGTGATACACTGTAGGCATCAAATCCCCCAGATCCTTGGCCTGGGGCTGCATAACCAGGAGGGATCAGTGGCTTTGCTTCCGTAGACTCCTCTGGGATGCCCTCAAAGCTCATTATTGTTTGATTGCGTGAGTTTGCGCCGGAAGTGCTCATCGGGTTGGTAGCATACGGTCGTCGGGGAGAGTTCCTGATTGCAGGCATGTTTGGCTGTGAAACGGGGGGCGAAAACATGCCTGCCACTTCTGGTATCGTCTGTCTCATGGGATCATACGCCATGCTTCCCGGTGAACCACTAGATGGTCTAGCTATGGGCTGCGCATGCGAAGTGAAGCCAGTTGAGGGCATCTCACTGGCGTTAAAAGCTTGATACATGAGCGTCAAGCTCGAATTCGGCGAGTTGGCCGTTCCAGATAGACTCCACGCAATGGGCGGGCCAGCAATCTTTGGCGATGATTGCTTCTCGAATCGAGAGAGCTGCTCACCGATAGATGGCCTGGGAGGAGGCGCTTTGGTGCTCTCGTACTCTTCTACAGTATAAGTCTCACAGTCCCACTTGCCTTTTGACTTCTGGTCCAGGACGGTAAGAATGTATGTTACACCACCCCAGTATGCCTGGATCTGTTGTATGGAGCTATAACATCGTTGATAGTTTTGGTTCGCGGCCGACGCAAGAAGCGAATGCCGTGACTGTTTGTTGTTTGGCTTTGTTTGTGGCTTGTAGCGGTTCGCGTATGTGGGAGGTGATCCCTCTCTAGACGAGCCCTCAGACGCATTGGAGGCACTGGATTCCATTAAAAAAGCACATGCTGCAATGTAGATGGGCTGGCTAGTGAAGGGATTGCCGATGAAGCTCTTTGGATCAATCAAATCGGCAAAAGACAAGATGTCGCAAATCGTTTTGGCGCTGCTCATGCTCAGCTCACGGCTATCCGAGAGCAGTTGAAGCTCGCTCCTCAGTTCGCAAAAGGGGGTGAGTAGGGTCGGTTGGTGCAAAATGATGAAGAGCGCATGAAACCAAAAATGGAGGAGGATGAAGTTGGTACCCTGGCCCATGCTGAGATACGTCTTGAAGTTGCTGACATTGAACTGAAGACGTGGATCCCAATGCTTGTACATTCGTGTGAGCCTGTGCTCCATCTCAGTGAGTTGATCCCACTTGTCCTGTGTGAGGTCTTGGGCATCGCGAAGGTTGTTCAACACATCACACACTTGACCGTAAAGGTTGATTATTTTGAGAAAGACGGGAAACGGGTTAGGCCAACCGGTAGCCAAGTCATTGTTTGACTCTGGAAAGGCGAGCTCGTAATCGCCATCCCGGATGGTCACAGGCCGTCCAGTGCCGGAGGAGATGAACCGATCAAGGATAAAGACAGACCAAAAGGTATCAATGCGCTCTTGCTCTATCTCCTTCTGCTCCTCTGGGGTGATGAAATTGATGCCGTCAACCTTGTGCGCTTCTGGACTGTCATGGTCTTCGTCATTGATGTGACTTCGATGCCGGGTGTAAAATGGGTCCTTTTCGCCTTGATATTGGATTCCAACGCATTTTTGAAGGCCGAGATCGAGTGCCATACGTATGGCCAAGCCCAAGTACATCCACAACGCGCTGTCTTGGTTGGCTCCAAAGCCTTCATACGCCATGAGCAGACAGGCCTGAACTGCGCCCACAGAAGGACAAGGAAAGGTATCGACAGTGGCCTGCCTGGCCCTCTGCGCAAAGACTTGACCCCTTTCTGTGCGGGGCATTTTGTCATTACCACCGGTCAGGACATGATGATCTGAGAAGCGCGCCGCAATGGCACAGACGGCATCTACCAGGATTGGCTCGACACGCTTGTCCTTGACATGGCGCAGAAATTTTTCTTTACTGAGAAAGGGGTAGTTGCATCCCACATGGATGAAGAATGCCGTGACCAGATGAATGATTAGGGAATGGACGGGGGCGGAACTGTTGGGGTCGTACGACGGAATGTCTTCGCGGACGATGTCGCTGTCGACGGCCGAGCCACTGGCTATCGCACCGCTGGGAGTAGACTGAAGAGAGGCGCCGGAATGTGAGCCTCCGGTGGAACGACGGCGGTCGCGAACGGAAACGACCATCTGCTTGAAGCCTGGGACAATGGCTGTGGAACCGAAATAGCGGAAATAGGGAATACGACGGCTGGGGGCAGATCGGCGCAGGGTGGGGGAGCTAGGTAAGTCATCAGACGTAACTGAAGGATGAGCCTGATGATGGTGCGGGTGATGATGGTGCTGATGATGGTGATGCAATATGGGGGATTGCTGCGGCTCAGCGTCGCTGGGGTTGGCTTCGGCGCCGAGTTCAATGCTTGGTTCAATGTTGCGTGGCCGTGAAGCAGAGGCGGAAACAGACACAGGCTGCCCATTACTTTTTCCAGAAGACGTAGGACGAGTCTCAGGCACAGGCACAGGGTGTTTCCTGGTCACAGCAATGTCGTCTTCTCCCTGGTTGAAATCCTCCATCGCCGCTCCATCTTCCTCGCCCGGCCTCAGCCCCGAGGCCTCAAGGCCATCTCTTCTGTCCTCCGGATAGCCCAGGCACCGATGGCCATTCTTAGTACATGTCGAGCATAGTGGTCGTTCGCCGGCGCATCTCGTCTTTCGCCTCCGACAGGTCAAGCATCTATGTCGCGAGAAGAGTCAGTTGGTTAAGCTCGTATGTCTATGATGCTAATCTCATGCTTGTTCTCCGTCCGCTTATAGCCACCATTCGCCACCAACTATGACGCAACACGAACAGCAAAAGACTCTGGAAACAACATACGCTGCATTGATCCTGCGTCGCTTGGACGGCGGCTGGCCCTGGTTATGAACAAAGCGAATCTGCCGCGGCGGGGGACCCGAATCTGGGCGATTGTTGAGCAGCGTCGTCATGGCTAGACCATGGCGGCAGGCGATGCGGAGCTGCGACAAAGACGCATGCGTGGGCTCTGCAATCGAGCGGAGACGAACCGGCGGCGGGCGGGGAGTGCGGCGCGATCCTGCTCGGCAGCTCGAGCGTCTATGCCATCAAACAGCGGGATCCCGGATTTGGTGATGCCTTCGTCTGGAGGATGCGCAATCGAGGGTCGCACAGGGCCCGGGAGATCGAATCCAGCCAGGCGCGTGTCGGTTAGTCAGCGGGCTTGAGACGGGAAATGCAATGGTGAGCAGCTAGCGGTTGTGGCTGTAGGGCATGAATCGTGAGAAAAAATTAACAATAAATTCACATAAGTAGGGCTGGCTGGGCTGAAATTGTCGTGGGATGGAGGTTGAAATGGAGATGAAAGTGCAGCTGGTGGGTAAACCGCTGTGGAGGTACCATGTACTCCCCCATATTTAGGTGCTGCACTCCAGGGCTCCGTTCTAGGAGGAAGAAGCATTAGCATTAGGTTTGCGTTAGGAGGGAGGGGCGTGCCTGGAGAAAGCCCAGCTGAGGGCGAAATGCATCTCAGTTCCAGCGGCTGCAAGGTACCGGTTACTCCGCAGTGGGCGCCTGAGTTGCAGCAGGCCCAGGTACTGGATACCCGCAGCTACAGCATCCATCGCAGGCTCATCCTTGTGCGGTGACAGTGTGACACAGATTCAACAGCCGCCAGATTCTGTCTCAGAGCGGGCTTCTAGAAGTCTTCTCCCGCCAAACTCTCCTCCTATTTTGGCTATGTCTTCTAATTGATAATTGATAATTGACGTCCATAGAACGGAACGCTTCCGCCCGTCTCTCCTTCATCCCAACGGCTTTCGACCTACCTGGAACAGCATAGCCAGATGACGGGCATCGAATCCCCTCTGTTCTAGCACCTGGAAATTCACCGTACGGACCTTTGGCTGGCCCCCGATCCGAGATGCCCCCAGATCTCCCCCCATGCAGCTAAATCGACAGCAAAAAAGCTTGGCTCGGATGTCGTCTTACGAGAACCCCACGAGTACCGTTATCTCTTTTTGCGTATTACTTGTATATTGTAGAGGTACATCTACATCGCCCTCTGGACGTCTTCCATCTCGCTGCAACAGTCCTAGTCTGGTTTGTTCCGAGTACAGTCATCCGCAGCTCGTCCTCGCAAGACACACACACCCACAACTAATAACCAACAAACCAAGTCTTGATGGCTCCACGACAACATTTACTAGCATACTGTTAGCGCATGACCAACACACGATGCAACCCCCCGCACTCCTGCCGCCACCGGTACGTACCAGGGTAACAAACTCCGAGTCTACAGTACTCGTACAGCAGCTAAACATCGCGATACTCCCAAAGAAACATCGTCGAAACAGTCTCAACTTCCTAATCAGGCAACGCCAGCATCCTCATCCTTCAAGCACAAGCACATGCTAAAGCCATGCAAACAAAGCTCCTAGATCAGCGACAAGCCGGCTGCCCCGAGATGCACTCCTTGTTTCCCTCGACAGGTACTAGCACCCTCCGTTGTTGCTTCAGGCTATTTTAGCCATCAGGATCCTCGCTAACTCCGAACTCGAATAGCTCAGTAAGAAATCGTATTTGCTCGGCTCCCCAACCTCTTTTATTCGTCTGCCTAACCGCTAGTTCTTTCTTACCCGTCCTCTTCACCTCCTCTTCCAAGCGGGGATTCGGGTATCCGTCAATGCCTTGGTCTGTGAAAAAAAAAAATAAACCCATCTTCAACCCCCCCATTCCCACAAAAATCACTCCAACAGATCACCTTCATGGATGTGCCAACTTCGGGTAGTCTCCGATGCCCTCCCTATGCAGGGAATATCCTGCGCTAAAAGACTGCCTCCCCAGCAAGGATCCAGGTTCATTTTCTCCATCTTTTTATCTGATCCTGTGACCTCGGCATCCTTCAAGCCTGTGGAGATGGGCTTGCTAAGCATCAGGACAACCTCGCATAGTCTATCAATAATATCGGCATCTTCCTATACGCTATCTAGCACGTGAAAACAATCGCATGTCTCGGTTCACGCACCCATGAGTTTCAATTTACGGCATACAGGCACTCCTTATGCCTTATTTCAGCTACTTTGCCCCTGGATATCTAGTAGTATCGTATCCAACATTTGATATCACGCCATTATACATACCGAGCAATAATAAAACTTCAACGTAATTCTATCTCCTAATCCTTGACAAGGAGGTACGAGTACACTGCAGTGCGTGCTCAGGGCCCACTGTAGTCTAACACCAGGGTAGTATACAAGATAGCCTTTTTATTGTTTCATGTATCAAGGTTGCTGCTCCTGATGCAATTCCCCATCACCTCGTCATCCTGAGTAGGTAGTCAGATGCCCACGGTCCACATAAACGCATCATATTCAGTGATATTTGTGTTGTAGGAACCCTTCCCATTGGTTATTTTTCAAACTTGGCTTATGTGATAGCATCCCGTGTGCCTCACCTCCAGAGCACCAGAGTTCGCTAGTAACAAGCCTATTATTAGATCCCCGTACGCCTGGCCCTGCTTGTTGTAGTCCGAAAATAAATGAATAAATGAATAAATCCATCGGCCCGATTCTCTTTCCTTGTAATAATTCAACAACTCATGTGAACAATCTGCAATGCAGTGTAGCATCAGACTCAGATCGCCCATTATGCCCTACCCAAAGACAACTGTCACACCCATATCCTTACTAACTCTTCTCCACAAGTCATTCTTTTGCTCGCCAATGTGCATTATCTCATCCTCGGCATCTTCACCGCTGTCTGCTCGTCTCCACACCTCTTCCACTATGCACCTTGCTCGCTCGATATTAGTCATGCCCTGCCGCTGGCGTATGGCCGCAAATGCCTGCCTGGAGAGCTCTCGGTCGGCCGTATCGGTGGCCTCACACGAGGCCACAAAAAGCGGCCAGAGCAAAGCCCCCATGGGGCCTTTATTCTTCACTGTTCCAACACAGTGGGTGAGACTGATGTGTGCGTGGTGTTGCACTACGGCATGGCGCCGCGAGTAACCATAGATGGTGCGGTAAAGGTAGACAAATCCGGAGTGTCGATAAGCCATGGCGCTGTTTAGAATGCTCTGCATTTGTTTTTGCGCCGAAACCCCTGCCATGATGGGGTTATCCGTATCCTTGGGCAAAGATTCGTCTGTTGGAAGCACCCATTCTTGTAGAGCAAGCTCCACCGCGGCAGCCGTAGTCTCGAATTCAATTCGCAGCTTTGCCGTCTCTGAATCATCACCTCTAAGCTCAGCAGAAAGGAGTTGCCGTTTCAGGCCGCCTAGAGTAGAGAGTCGGTAGATGATGGGCCATAAAGAGGTGGCCATTCCCAGCAGCGTGTCGGCGTTTCCTGCAGGAACAGTAGCACCGCGACAGTCAACAGAGGGAAACGGAGCCAGGTTTTCGCAGTCCGGTGTAGGTAGAATTGGCGTTGAATCAAATGATAATGCTGTTATAACATCATAGAATCGGAAAGCCTGTTTGCAAAGGGTTGCCTTGATTAGCTGATGAAACAAGTGACGAGTTCTGCGTCGTAAGGAACCTACCCGTTCCAGGAAAACTGCGGTTGGGTCAGTCAACGCTTGGCTGCTGCACATGATCGCCATAGCGCCTTTCAAGTGGCCGTCTACAATGTTCGACCGTCCACTCTGAACCAACTATTGCGCCATTAGTATTACAACTATGACTACAAGAGAGAGAGCTGGCGCGGGTAACTCACCACTTCGTAATAAATCAAGAGGATGATGGCGGCCAATAGTTCATTTCGATTCGCTTCGCACCCCTTTGCTATCAAAGCAGCCAATCCATTGATTGCTTTATTGTGAAAATAGACGCTCCTCTCGCTATTGTGTACACCTCGGTGCTCCATATGAGCAGAAGCCAAGGCAAATATAGCGTTCGAGACCGCTGTGCTCTTCTGAGACAGTGGCAAAACAAGTCGTTGGAATGGGTTGCCTTCATCTTCGCGTAATACGATGAGGTGGGATAGTACATTGGTGAAGTGGTCAATCAAAGCTCGCCTGTTGGTCTGATTGGAGAATTCGGCAAAGGCAGGTATTATGACCTCGATAGTAGGAGATGCAACCGATACAGGACCAACTACTGCGAGAGATGTGTTCTGTGATGCAGCGTCGGAGGCGGTCGTTTCGTCGGGGGAGATGTTTTGGCCGTCGTCGCCGTTGTTGTCGCCGTCACCTTCTCCTTCTTCTTCCTGCTTCACAGGGTCAATGGGTGTGACAAAGTCAAAACCATCAACGTCCAAGCAAGCATTATCGTGGTCCATGGTATCAGCGGCCCATGCCGTGAAAATCTCATCCAAAACATCTTGGTTGCATTCGACTGCCGAAGCAGGCTGTTGCATGTGTCCATCCATTACAAGGCTGCCATCAAGCCCTATATCAGAGCACCATAGAGGGGCTTCCCATTGCTCCAACGTCAGCCGCTTCTGAGCAACTCGAGATAACGTATGCTTTTCCAAGGCCGTCGATATTTCTCTCAAGGATGAATCGTCGAAAGAGTCCTGCCTGCGGCGTTGGCGAGGTTTGATGGGCTCATACACGCAGCTCTGTCCATGGTCTTGGCAGCGGCTGCATAAGGGCCTAATTTCATCGCACTTCTTCTTCTATCGTGCAGGTGTTAGACGAATACAGAAGTGGGATCTGCAACGAGACGAATCATATTACCTTTTCTTTGCTATATACCGAAAAAGGCCTGTGTTAGCGGGTCGAAAATTCCTGCAGCACGACCAAAGATAAAATACATACCAGTAGTTGCATCCTTCAAGTTTGGCAACGGAAGCGATTAGCACATTTCCTTTCCCCAGTGACGCGTACAACATGAAATGTATCCAAGGATCAGCTTACCAGCCCTAGAACGACGCTTTGGAACTTTCGGCGGAGCAAGCCGAGTATACAGTAGCATTTCTGCGATGTTTCCGAGAGATTACTCCAGATTCTTGGGGGGTTCTTAAAACTTGGCGCGGGAGAGGGCTTGGTGTGGCAAGATTTCTCAGTAGCCCATCATCTACTGGTACGAGTCTAGGATTTGGAACAGCGCTCGGGAGAAAGCCTTTACACCGGCTGGCGCTTGACAAGTATGGGTACTGCCTTTGGTTGTGGGAAGAACAAGAGACACCTGATTGTTGGCCGCGATGGCATTGCCGCCGAAGCAGTGCCCGGGCCGCGTGCGGTGTTGACCTGGAACGAGCTGCCCCCAAGGCGGATAATTTGGAGGGTAAGGTAGAGCGCGAAGGCTGTCAAAAGGGATAGCGGCTCGGCGGATTGATAAATGGCCAGATGGAGTGGGCTAGGAATACGCAACGGGCGAAGAGAAAAGAATTATTAGATGAGGAAAAAGGTCAGCAGATTTGAGGCCGGCCTGGACATGGAGGATGAGCCGTTCTCCAGACCCTTCCACAGCGTCCCACTTGGTCAGTTAACCGTTACCCTCACGTCACGCATCCTCTCACCACGATGCGTGTTGGACTTGGCCTGCTCAAGCCACGCTCCAAGGCACCAGGCCCTTGGAAGTTGCTAGCCGGTTGGAGGCGAGAAAGGTGGAGGCGCTATGCGGGGTTGGCACGAGCAAGCTTGAAGATCGCTGTTTTAACGCAGCAGTGGTGCGTTTATCTGCAGCAAGGCGGTATGTCTGTCTCAGCTGTCAGGTATAAGGAGAGATGGAAAGCGAGAGCGAGAGCGAGAGAAAGAGAATGAAAGAGCCATGATGGATGAGAGCCATAGCCATCGTCCGGTCTTGTGCTATAATATCGTCGTCAGCTGAGAATCCGGAGATGTCGACAATGTCTGCTGCTACTGCTCAGAGCAAACCTGGGGTGCAAGCAGGGAGTCTTCGTATTGGCCGTTACTCCGCAGCAGCGACGGAGATTTGACCGATTTCGGGCTGATTGGTCACGGCCTTTGGAGACAGGCGAAAAAGGCCCCTGACATGGCCTGGGAGAAGCAAGATTTGAGTCAAGCATGCGCGTGTTGGAGCGGGGGAGGCGGGCTGGCTAGCGCTGAAGAATTTCTCCACGCTTCCGCGCCAAAATCTACCGAAGGCCTGGAAGGAATCCTGCGATTTCATGCGACGGAGCACGGGGATTTGCCTGCACCGACGAGGATATTGTTAGCTCGTGGCTTTTGCTGAGACGAGAAGGTGGCAGCAGGAGTGGCAAGCAGCGGCAACAGCACTAGACTCGGCAGTAGTATATCGTATGGGTATTCCGTAGCTCGTACGGAGTACCGAGTTACAGTAGCACGTCAATGAGGCCCTCCACAAATCATGACGCCTGTCAATGTCAATGCCAAAGCCTGAGTGGCCGTTGTGTCATCTCTGCCTGCATGCGATGTTGACAGCGGCGGGCCGGGCCTCTCTCCGAGATCTGTCTGCTCACCAAATCATATCATCAAATCATATCATCTGGTTGTTGTTTGTGATCGAGTGAGGAGGGCGATCATTGCTTCTGCAAGCAGCGACTGCATTCTCCAATGTTTTGGGTCTTGTTCGTTTGATTCCCTCGTCGTGTCGCGTCGAGTCGAGTCGAGTCGAGTCGAGAGCGCAGTGGAATGGAATGGAATCTAAATTCAGCACCTCCCAAGACCCATCAGGTCGCTGATTATTCTCTTCTGAGCCGTGTACAGTCAGTCGGCTTTTGATTTTTGACGAATCCCTGTAATGCCGACGAATGTGACTTTTCTGTGGCTCTGGTTGGGCAAAAATGGCACCTTGTGTTGGGTCTTTGCTTTTTGACTTTGCTGCGCATCATCGTTGCCCCGATTATGTAGATAACGCCGCCTTATCGGAGGAGGAGAGATGCACATCAGCGATTAAGCATAGGATTGTTCTTTTCAAATACTATCGAAATTTATTACCCATCTCATATTTACAGAATTATTAAAGCACCAATACTTTGTAACTTCACGTGTCCGATTACTCTGGCCGAGCCTTCATGATGGCTTCTTCCCTTGTTCCTGTTGGCTTACAATCCGGCGGTATCCTCGGACAGGCTCTCGCAATGCCCAGTCATCAGCCGCATCGCTCCCCATTGTGAAGCCAGTCGAGACCGGCCGGCAGAAAGGCAAGCCTTCGGGAAGACGAGTCTTCGGGTCATGATCTATATTTGGCTCACGACTGAGGGGGGTTGCTCTGCCGCAGCGTCGCATTATTGGTGGCCTTGTGCCATAGACAACCACTCAGGTGGGGGAGAAGACAGCCAACATCACCAGGAATGGAGGCTGCGATTGGCACATCAGCCGAGTGCCACGCGAACTGCTCTGGGGCGACCAATGGCAATGAGCGCGGCGAGCAAGGGTCGGATGGGTATTGCTCCCACACTGCAGGACTCAGCACCGAGGCTGAGGTCTGCAATGAAACCATCCATGATTGTGATGCTGAGGACTTTGTTTGCACTCATCTTCAAAGTCTTGTCCGTTGGCTGGAATCCAGCTGCCATCTCCACTGCCGGCCCGCGCGTTCGGCGGCAATGCACTGGATCTTCGATCTGAGGGCGCTTATGGCGTCCAGTATACAGCCTCGATGTTCAGCCTCGTATCAGTCGTGGTGCCATCATGACAGGACCATTTAATCGCCAGCCCCCTCGTTGCTTTTGAGTGGACCATTAGCATACTGCTATATCTATAGGAGTGACGAGGACACTTACGACTACGTCGAGACTCTAAAAGTACGCTCGACTAGAAATAACAATACAGAGGGGACGCCTTGCTTGTACTCCCAGGCCGCGTTATCGGGTAGCCTTGTCTATTTGAACAAGTATCTACAACTTATACTGTCATCTTCAGCCACTTTTTTCATCACGGATGATCAACGAAATCTCATTCCTCCTGTCCACGCCGGCCTGCCCCAGGCAAACTTTTGCGGCTACCACTGGCCAGAATGCTTGTGTCTGCGTCTACGATATATGGGCTATCCCTGTCTGCAGCACTCTATAGCTTAACAGTGGACGCATTGGCTATCAGAGGATATGATGGCACCCATCGCATGGCCAAGTTACCACAGATTACACAACCTGCCGTGTTATTACAGCGGAAAGATGATGTCTGTGGTGTTGGCATGAAGTTATGCCCAGCAAACTTGGGCGGAAACTGTTGCCCGGAAAACTATGCTTGCGCGACAAATAGCTGCTACTCAACAGCTAGCAGCACCAGCACTTCATCAGCGTCATCATACACATACGCATGCCCAACCAGTCAGTATCTCTGCCCAGCATCTCTTGGCTATGGATGTTGCCCCGATGGGATGGGCTGCGGCGCCAGTCGATGCTACTCTACTCAGCCAACCACCATGACCGTGACAACGGCCATTACGAGTACAGCAAGCGGCACTGTAACCACAATCACGACAACTTCAGTCACTGTCAGGAGCCCAAGTATCCCGACCGGCTTTGGCACGCTGGATGATCGGAACAATGATGACAATGGGAGCCAGACGACCGACTCGTCTGCCACTTCTGTCCCAAAGTATATGCCACCAGCGGAGACTGGCGGAAGTGACAGTCAAGATGGTGGTCTCTCAACGACACAGCTAGGAGGCATCATCGGAGGGGCTGTTGCACTGCTCGCATTGGTGGTTGCTGCGGCTCTCGTTTTGATTCGCCACATTGACAAGCTGGCCAACCAGATGTCGCGAAAGGCCAACTCGTCCAAAACGAGGTCAACGACAAAGCAGACAAGTGTGTCGGATTCTGAAAGCAGAAGCTCTCGAACAGATTCCACCAATGAGTCTCTACGGCGCTCACGAGCTCGTCGAAAGCATAGATCTAGGTCGACAGTCCGCCGTAATCGCCAGCGGCGCAATGGTCTAATTGCAACGAGATCCGGCAACTTTATGACTGAACGAGTTCCGGGGAGGCAAGATTCCGCGGACATTGCTCTCCAAGTGTTGACTCGAAATGTCAACTGCTGTGGCGCAGTGGTGCCAAATGCAAGGCATGGCGATATCGTATCGCCCACACCCATCAACGAAGTGTCATCGCCAAGACTGCTGAGTTCCCCATCGCCAATTAGCGATATGGAACTCGAAGCGAGCTCGCTTGCCCAAGAATTGGCCGGAACGTCATCAGCATCTAGCCTGGCAGCAGATCTCCTCATACACTACCCGCAAGAAATTCCGCCGAGTGACCTCCCTAGGGTAGCCACGCGACCACCGCTTGCATATCAATGGATGAGAAGCATCGGGTTGCTCAGAGAGTCGGAGAACGCTTCTCCTGATCATTTTTGCATCGATGATGAGGAATGGCACGGATTTTACGGATCCCCAAGCCACATGGCGGGTCGAACAGGACTTGGTATAAGCTATACAGATATTCGGGGAGGCGGATACAGACAGTATAGATAATTACACGGCGGCAAAAGGAGTTCTGGGCATTTGTGATTTTTTTATAGAAGACTACCAGGATATGGAATCTTTCCACGATAGAGAGGAGGCCTGACAGTTTTTCAGCATCGCATCATACGGCGTTATTCTAGCATAAGTACTATAATTCATAATACAAGGAATTAGGTAGGATGGGATAATTGGGTATTCAATATATTAAAGCGGATTATAGTATACATACAAGGAATGCTTCAAGCACATATAATTGCTATTGCTATAAGATGAGTTGACAATTTTCACTACGAAGTCGGCGGATTCTCCCGTGACGGCGGCTGCGCTAACTTTCTAGTTGGGAATAAGACTGGCAGCTTCCATCGAATAGGCCGTGTGGCTCAATGGCAGAGCGTCTGACTACGATTAAGTAAATCAGGAGGTTGCAGGTTCGACCCCTGTCTCGGTCAATTTTTTGGTGTTTCTCAGTGGAAATGAGTGGTTGCTTTCACATCAGTTTTCGACTTTTTTTGTCTCCATTTTTTGCCCATCTTGTAGGAGGTGTATATGAGCGGAATGGTTTATTTCTCAGGTCCGTACATACAAGTAGAATAATACCACCCACTCAATACCTACGCAGTCGGTGTGCTCCGACGGAATACACCGCAAAGTAGCATTTTTTTTGCAAGCGAGTCTCTGTTGGCTGAAGAAGGGGGGGTTGGTTACATTGCAATGGGTAGCATCTCGGTCTCTACTGAGGCAAGGTAGGATGCAGGCGGACTCAATAGCCCATCGGCTCGTTGCGTAAAAAACCAGGGAGGCAGGGTTATGGCTGCTCATAAGCTTATCGTCAGCTAGTCGATTCAAGGCAGGAGAATAAAAAATAGTAACCAGCTGTGTGGAGAGGGCAGCTGAGTTTGTACATGTGGATGTCTTCTGTTGGTTCTACACGACTTTGAATTCTTAACATGGCCCGCTCAGGTATTTGCCCAGCTCTGTCGTGCTGTGACTTTGACAAGCGAGACTGCGCCTCCCCCGCCTGTTCTTGTCAGTTCTAGGAGATGAGGTTATGATCAAAGCAGAAAATGGGGACAAGCAAGTGCAAGTACTTCATCTTGTTTGGTGTAGGTTAGGTTCACTTCACAGCAAAGGTGAGTTGTGTTGAGCCTCGGCGTCCTGGAGCGAGTCCTTGAGGCGAATAGCGACGTCCGCAGCACATCAAACAAGGCCGTGTGGCTCAATGGCAGAGCGTCTGACTACGATTAGTATATCAGGAGGTTGCAGGTTCGACCCCTGTCTCGGTCAAGCAGTTTCTTTTTGCTCCTTTGTTCTTTTGCCAGACTGCAATGTTCTTCATTCGACAGTGAGTGAACGATAGAGAAACTAAACTGATTCGTGATTTTTTCTTCTTCACTGCCTTTCGTTCTGCCTTTTTACCATTGTTTAAGAGCTCGCGTGTTGGCCGACGAAGAAAATCAATTTAAAGAGGGAGCTTGCTGGGTCTAGCGATCGATAGGCGTGAGGATTGCCCGATCCGGCTCGGATGGTGCCGGGATGGCGTCAAAGCAATGTATCTGATCATTTTGGTCCCTGGTCGACACTAAATAAACGACTGGAAACTTGACAGAATTGTCCATTGATGTTACGAGTTGAAACAATGCTGTACTAGTATTAAAGGTTGTCGTTGGGTTGAGCCTACTGTACATATGTATTAAGGGTGCGTGTATAAGCTGTGTGTGTTGCTCTGGGCGGGAGGTAAGGAGGTGTGGGCAGCTGCATGTACTCCTTACTGTAGGTACGAATAAGAACCCGACAGCTGAATGAATTGGAAGCGATAATTGCTCTCGCCTTGAACACGCTTGTGCAGCCGCATTATTATCCATCAATCAATTTTATCCAGCGAGAGCCAAGGCCCTAGCCGGCATCGCTACGCCGAAGCGGACCAATCTGGGCTTGAATTCCGTCTGTGCCGCGGCCAGTGTCCGGGAGCAGTTCCCCTAATGCCGTCGTATTGTATTGGGAGTATTATTACCGAGTCCTATACAGTACGAGTACTACATAGTATAACAGATGGTATAACAGAAAAGATTTTTTCAATAATCCTGCGCTGCCATGAGTAAACATTTGAACTAGGTAGGTATGTGCGAGTATGAGTCGACAAACAACTGCTTCGCTCGCGGCCCACGTGTTGCTCAGCGACAGATTGAGCACCGAGAGGCCGTTTAGATGCTCTTGGCATATGCATCGACCTACCCAATGCAATCCGCGGCTGTCAAACTGCATGTCGCAACCACAGGCGATTGGCTGCTTGGCTTGGCTTGTCCAGTACAGTCAGAATACTTGTACTGTAACCATCCATCCTCTTCGGAAACAAGCATCCATGACCAAGTCCCCAGCCGCGGAACAACTTCTCCAGATTAAAAACGGTGACCAAGCGCCCTTTCCGGTAGGGTTACCACGTGCGAGAGCGACCATGAATTAATTGCGAAAAGGCCGGTTAGTGCTGGCGATGGATGTGGCCATGGATACGGGCATGGATAAGGCCCTGTAGACACTTTTGGACGGCGCCTTGGCGTTGGGAACTTTTTGCCCTGGTGGTTTTTTCTCGGGGAGACGGAAGGGGGTTAAGCTCCTTATCTTTGCCTGTGCTGTAATTGCCTGCACTCTATTCGATCAAAGCCACCGATATTGGCAGTGCATTGATGTCAGATTGACATCGAAATGGATCAAGACAATGAAACATTGAAAACAAGACAAAGTGGCTCCAGGTCTATGATCCATCCATCATTTCCCGCTACTCCCAGCGCCACCCGCCAATAGCAGCACCTGTCAAAAACGGCCACAGCGGGCAACGCGGTGCCTTTTAGCGCTGCAGTACCTGCAGTTTAGGGGCCCCCGCTGCAGGAATTAGCGCTCGAGGGCTTTTTACAGGCCCGAGCGAGATTTGTGTGTGACGGGTCAACGTGCAATTTCTCATCCCTCCCACATCCTCTTCCTTCAGGCTATGCCTACGCCAATTGATGACGGCATGAGCCCATCCTGAGCTTACAGCTTGGCAACGACTTTGATTCTCTGGCTGTGCGAGTACTGCTTAGAATATGAGGACACACACACAGACATGGACAAGTACTTGTACCTGCGCTGGTAAGACAAAAAGGGGCTCCGTTGCTCGTACTGGGTACTCGTACGAGCTGAAAGAGGGTGGTACCGGGTGGTATTGAGTGCTTTTCTCACACCCTTGCCAGAGCCTACAAGTGGTGTTGATGATTGTTTACCATTCTCTCTGCCTGTCTCTCTACTCCCGAGCATCTGGAAACTCTCATGCTCTGTGCCGTGCAGCCGAGCAACAGAGGGTGCAGCTCGTGGTTGGATCTGAGGCTCACGCAGGATCTGGATGTTGCGGCTGAGACGTCCAGTCAGCTGTTACTTGCATGGCTTTGCCCGTCTGGGAGACACAATGCCGTATATGGCCATCAAAGGATTGATGACGGATGACTGATGACGGTATTACGGATTGAAGCTGCGTGAAATCGTCTCATACAATCCTCATACACCGAGTACTTGCTCGTCCCTTTCTTCAATCCTTTACCTTGCACCTAATTACGCTTCCAGACAAGACAAGACAGGACAAACAGAGCAGAGCCTGACCTGGCCTGGCCTCGCCTTCGCTCTTGTCTCTGGAAAACGGATCCCACGGATCCCAGGCTAGAACCGTTCGATTGATGGCACTTTAGCAGCTAATATTAGCCGGGGGCTTCTTTTGATGGACAGGGCTCCCTGGTCCGTCTCACAGGCACAGCTGCCAATAGCCTGGTCGATCCATGGCCGCAAACTCGTCCCCAATTCCACAAGCGGCCACCGAACGAGGATCCACGCCAGCGAACTTTTTCCCTCCTGCTGCTGCTTCTTGTCTTGTTTGGTCGTCAGTGGCGGGTTGTCCTTGTGATATGCTCGGTGCTAGCAGCAGTAAGCATAAACAGATCGAATCAGTGGCTGGCCTCTGCCCCGGACGACATCGCGCCTCATGGCTCCGGTCGAAGCCCTGATAGGTGGACACGGCCCTTTGCACGCCAATTCCGGGAACTGTTGCTAGTCTGACAGGGAGGCCATGCTGCGCTGCTTCGGCTGGTCGCACCGGCGAGGGTGTGAGAATCCGGAAGGATGATATCCCACAATGGATCCAGTCACCGGGGCTCAGCTCGCTCTTGTTTGTCTTCTCCAGATTCTCATTCCTATATAGGCCTGTGGTCCTCGCTGCCCGTCTCTCTTTTGGCTCCCTCTTGCTGCTCTTTCTCTCCGTGTTCCTGCGCTGGTCAATCTCGTTGTCTCATCCTCAATCACAACCCCCGTTCTCCAAGACAAACACCGCAAACATGAAGGCCGCCATTGTCCTGTCCTTTGTTGCCGCCGCCATGGCTGGCGTTATTGAGCGAACCGACGGATGCCACGCCGACAACTGCGCTCGTGCCGTCACCGGTACTCGTGAGGGTCTCCTGCCCATCACCTCTCGCCAGGCCGACTGCTCCAGCTTCATGCTGGCCACCGTCACCCCCGAGGCTACGTATGTTTACACAACTTCTACATACAGGCAGCTCCTTTATACTAACAATCATCTCACAGCACCACCACCATCACCATCACTGTTGACCCCGAGGTGACTCCCAAGATCAAGCGCGCCGCCAACAACGGTTCTGCCGTCACCGTCTTCCCTACCTCCATCCCTACCTACGCCGCTAATTGCGACAGCGGTGCCGTCTACTCCTCTGCCTGCTCTTGCTGGGGCATCACCGCTGCCACTACCACCGCCGCCACTCCTACCCAGACTGAGGTTATCACCGTCACCGCCACCCAGTCTTACTGCGAGCTGTAAATGGCCAATGCCAGGGATCGATGGGAGGATGAGAGAGCAAACGACATGGTACTTTTGTCGTCTAGTTAATTCAATTGTGAGGCCTTGGTTTCGAGGCTACCAAGGGGGCAGGAGACATTTCGATACCGGGATAGAGAAAGGCTTGCTGCGAAGATTTTCCAATGCCAGCTATTACAGCCCTTGGCATTTTATGAAGGACATGAAGGAATACGAAGGGACGCAAAATTATTTATTAATAGCTTTCGTTTAGCGAGCAAGCAAATACAATTACTCACGTCCCATTTTCTCGTTGCCAGAGTGCTGATGTTGCAACAAAGGACGTTCACTTTGTTGACTTTTCTACATATTGAGATACCTGGCTACTAGTTGACTTTGTATTTAAAGGTTAGTTGCTTGACTTTGTCTTCAGAGCTTCACAACGGTACTATAAACCAACTGTGTTACTCTTTGTATAACGATACTGTCCTTAGCGACGGTCTTATTAGGATCAGAAACTCACTCCATGTGTCTAAACCACAGTGCTCGTATTAAAATTCAATTGGGATGCCCCAGGGTACCTGTTCAAACACAATTGATGTCTCCATTGCGATCTAGGTCCGTAGAGCCTTCTTCGAGCACTGGCTGCTGTGATAATATTTCAGGGTACACAAGCGTTCCACCAGCGATCGTAATTAAAAGTCCGGGAAATTAAGAGGCAAGATATACGTTGCACGACGGCGTTTTACCAATTTAATAGGCAATTAGTCAAAATACCGGAACCTCAGGTCCTCTGACATAATAGGTGAGACAACCTTGTATGTCTCCGTACTGCATGGCGCTGTTCAACCTATAACAAAGCATTCTCATGTTACACACAGCCTCGTCTCGCATGGCGCAAGATAGTCTGAGAGCTTGGACCACACTAGCAAACACACAGGATACATGTAGATGTATAAATAGGTACAAGCGACCTCAATGTAAGGGGGATTGTAATACTTGGTTGACGTAAGTTCCGAGTATCGCACAACACGCCCCTCTCTTTCGACTTTGGAGCCGTCTCCCGTAGATTCAACAACCATGTCTTCGGACAGAGCCAAAGGCTTTGCTATCCGCCGCAACACCACTTGCCAGGCCGACGAGCAGACATGCGGCAGCACATGGAATACATGGAAAGCCTGCTGCCCAGGCAACTCGTACTGCCCGGGCAAGGATAAGAAGTACTCGAACAACATTTGCTGTCCGGACAGTTCAAATTGCACCGCTCTCATTACGAATCCTGCCATATGCGCGGATAGTAGCTGGAATCTATATACGCTGGATGGCAAAGATGAGATGTCGGGTTCGTTCTGCTGCGAGGCGAATCAGCAGGGGTTCTATGTGTCGGGTCTGGGATATGTTGGCTGTGCGGGACCAGGAGTCACGGGCAGTGCCGACTTTATCTACTTGGTGGCGAAGACGAAAGGTAAGATATACACCGCATAGGGGCTGAATCAGGGCTGAACATGTTGGCTCACATCTTTTTCTCAGGCACCGTGTCGTCCACGTCCACATCTAGTAGCACAACGGCAACTTCTATGTCGGCATCCGATTCAGCCGCCAGCACGCCATCGAACGAACCGAACAGCTCGCCAAACACGACCAACGTGGGTGCTATAGTAGGTGGTGTTGTTGGGGGTGTTGTTGGGCTGGCTGCCATTATGGTAGCAGCCTTCTTTTTCCTTCGACATCGGAAGCGACAATCATCGCCGCAAGGAACAAAGGCTTCTAAATCGGGCCTGTCTCCGGGGTATCAGCAAGCCGAACATAGCGAGCAGACTGCACAGCGAGCAGAAATCGGCCCTGGGACGCGACCGGCTGAATTGATGGGGAATAACACGATGAATGTACCGACATATGAGTTACCGGGGAGCCAGTGACTTAGAGCGTAGTGTCTTTTAATACGTCGGGAATTGAGGGGAGTGTTAAACAAATTATGTACATGTATCAAGCTTAAACATACAGAGCACTCTGTAATTAAACCAAATTATGCATTTTCACATGATGCATCACTCCTGTAGGGCCGACAGTTGATCTCTTGAAGGACCAGTCTTGTTATGACAAGACAATATAATGGTGCTTAAACATGAGTACGTGTGATCTTATGGTCAAGAAAGGTTTGCTCAGTTTGCTTTCAGACAAGGGTATTGATACCTCAGAATAGTGCCTGAATTTATACATGTACGATGCTATATGATGTAACTATGAAGTTCATTTAAAAGCTATTCCTGATGACGAACTTACTATTGAAACATTTTTAAGCCAGAGGCATTTATATGCGCTTTATTCTAAGATTACTGCCGTGATAGTTTCAACAAGACTCTCGCGAGAAAAGAGGCCATTTAGTCTATTGTTGTCAGCGGGGAGAAACTCCTCTTTGCTTTCGCCAGCCCGTTCGTTTGAAGCTACATACCTTAACAACACGAGGCCACCTCGAGAGATCGCGGTCAGCTAGTTCCATCAAGGTCATTAGATACCTACTAGATGTATAGAGTATCTAACGGGGATTTTATTATTACCCACCGAAGGCGCCTGCATAGGGCTTTGTCTGCGGCGCTTTGTTGCGTGCGGTTTTTGTAGGAACAAAGCATCGGAACATCACAATACATATCAACAACGCACAACAACGCCAAAAAAAAAAAAAAAAAAAAAAAAAAAAAAAAAAAAAAAAAAAAAATGAGGTTTATGTTACATCTCGGGCAGTCAAACTGGTATGAAAGAGCGAAACTGACCAATTACCAGTCAATATTTCAGCTGTGGCTTTGCTTTTCGCCCCTATTAAAGAGGCAGATCTGGAAGCTACACTTCCCTCAGATTGTCACCTTTGCAAAGCAGCTTCGCAGCTTTGCTTGATTATACATCCTCTGCTTTACTCAATATTGTCGTCACAAGCACCAGCAAGGAGACGAAAAGGAGCTAACCAGTCGGTACCTTTAATAGCGATTGGCAATGGGACCTTTTCGAGATCAAGAGGCTTCTAAGCCTGACAATCTTGGCCAGAGCGAGGAAGAGAGACCTATCTCAGCCATGGTCACTGACTGCGAGTCCAAATTCACAAAGGGTATCCAATTTTTGAGTTCAAAGGGAGAGCGTAAACTCGAGATCTGTATGCAGATGCTTAAGGGGAGATTTCTTAAGTGGGCTGCTTATCATGGTGTTTTCGCTTGGATGAACGAAAGTCTTGACCAGAGGTTAAAGCACCATCTACAATGGCGCGACCTTATTATTTCGGTGCTGAACATGCTCAATATGAATCTTCTCCACAGTAATATCTCACGCGACGAAAACTCTATGGGACTACAAACTGACTGAATGGCAGCAACGGTCGACCCCGGTGCGTCAACTACAGACGAGTCCTCGGGCGAGTCCTCAGATGAGGAGTTCGATATACGAAAAGTCGCACTTGAAGGTATCCAGAAATCAATAAATGAACTTGATCGACTCACAATTTGTATACGCCTGCCTTCTTATTCTTCTCTTGATGCCCGGATCAACGCGTTCGCATCAAGAAAACCGGCAGAGATCTCTTCCTTTGAGGTTAAGGCAATAATCGCAGTCCGATGGCTATACCCCAACGCTTCTGAAAACCTCCGTGTGTATTTGAGCGAATTGATGACCCATAGATACACGAAATTGCTATACTGGCACTCCCAAGAAAAGAAACTGCGCAAAGACCGTCGACTCGATAAGAAGCCCCAAGATGACTCCATACAGGTGCGGCAAGGACCGTCGCTTTTTGCTGCTCAAGAATCACCGCCACAACCCTCAGCCATAGATGAGAAGCCAACTATACCAAAGCCCGAACTAACCAGAGCCCCCCTTAGTACTTCATTTCTATCCGAGACCAGAGCATCGGATCCAGGTACCCAATTTGCTATACCGACGGCAGAAGACAAAGTGCCGTTTCCACGGAGAGCTGGAGCTTCAACCATCCTCGGAAGCAGAGCGAAGTTCCCTAGCCCTCTCCATTTTGAAGCTGGAGAGGTTACGAAACCTTGCCCTCTCTGCCGAAAGAGCTTCCTGGAGGCTGATTTTAGCGATGACACATGGTGGAGGTAAGTCATATCTCTGAATAAGCCTCGTATGGGTGCTAAGAATTATGACCAAGATGCCGCGTGAACGAAGACCTGCTACCTTTTGCGTGCATTTCAATTGCATGTTTGCAGCCTCCAGCTTTTGCTAGTCGATCTGACTGGAGAGCCCACATTCAGAAATTCCATGGCACATTCTGGCAAGGTCGCCCAGGCAATATATTTCAGCCTCTCCACCCTGAGGCTGAGGAATTATCGGACTCGAGTCCGTCTACAAATATCTGCCCCCTCTGCTGCCTGCCACTCGAGGAATCTAGATACATGCATATTGGTATATCTCTACCCCTGATGTCATCCGTATCATAGACTTCGGCCGAATTGCTAACAGTGCCGCTAGATTCCAAAAATACCTTGGAGAATACAGAAAGGGAGAATAAAATGGTACGATTCGACGTTCCAAAGCATGGACAGAACCAAATAGACGAGCGAACAGCACGGGATGCGACTAACATAGAGACAAAAGCTGCGGCCAATATAAAAAATCCCGTGACCAGTGATAGGGTGGACCCTACGATGGATCTGATGATGGATCACATCGCTGATCATCTACAAGTTTTGGCCTTGCTCACGCTGCGGCTATCAACGGAAAATCTCGCGGATGGAGAGATACATGCTATTTCCAGTTCCCAAGCTCCGAGCGATGAACAAGGTTCTGGGAAAAGGGGCAGCCTAGACGGCGAATCCGAAATATTCTTCGAGGAAGATATGATCCAGGAAATAGATCAGGATGCGTCCCTAGTCGAGATGTCCCAAATTGATGTAACAATTCCAGATGTAACGTGGCCAGAGGACGAATGGACCGCGACGCGTCTCAAAGACCTCCGCGAAGAAACAAGTTCTCCTGATCCAATCCTATTACACCTCTGCAAACGCCAATTCGCGCGTCCTACCAAATGGGCTCTACTTATTGCCTGCCCATACGGGAAACTTGAAGGGCCGATAAACGATGTCAAATCCATGCACGCACTACTGGAACGACATGGATTTGAAGTTGTTCTATGCTGTGGCATTGAGGCAGTAAGAGATACTATTCTCAACTCCTGGAATGAACTCATCTCTAAAATGAAGGAGGGCGATACCGTTGTGGTATATTACTCTGGGTTTGGCGGTATGGCTGAATTGACAGAGGCTGATGCTCGCGTCTGGGCAGGCTATTTTAGGCAGTACCAGTTCATTGTGCCGGTGGATTATAGCCCTGATGTTTCTGGGCAATTCCGCGGTATCCTCGATGTCGAGATATCGGCACTGGTACGACGGACAACCGATATAACTGAAAATGTGACCATCATTTTCGACTGCGGCCACTCTGGACGTATAGCACGCGATCCATGGCATAACGGAACTGCGGTGCCTAAAAATTTACCTCATGTGTATCACAAGGAACTCTTTAAACACCTCCAATGGCTCCGAAGTCAAGGGATCGACGTTCAGAATTATGGAGGCCTAGAGAGAAACAAGCTCGCCGTTAGAGTTGTCGCAGCGGCAGACTCAGAGACGTCGTGGGAATACGTTGATGAACATGGGAGAAGCGGCGGTGCATTAACCAAGGCTTTAGTCCCGATATTAGATCAGGCGTTAAAGGCGAATGCATCCTGGAAAGATGTTATAGCAAGGGTGTGCGAGCAAGTAAATTGCAGGTTTCCTCGGCAGAATCCCCAGGCTGAGGGACCGCACATACGCCTAATATTTTCTACGGCTACAACAAACTCATCTCCTATTAATGTTACAGAAGAAGACGGAGATAGTTTTATACGGTGGCCTGCTGCCTTTCCTAATGAGCTCGAGCCGTTCATGGGGCGGCTGGTCGAATCAAGATTCCTCAAGCCTATTGAGAAAGAGAATGATCCGATAGTATTCGCTCATATTCGCAAATGCGAGAATTCTATCTGCGTGTATAACGCGTCAGAGTTTAAGTACGGATCATTCATTTTCGAGTCAAAGGGGCGGATGCAAGACTCAGTGGAGAGAGCAATTGAGCTTGCTGAGCGTTTTGCTCGAGCGAATCGTATTTTTACGCTAAGAGCATCCAACGAAGAGATGCTTGAGCACGAACTTCATGTCAACCTCCTGAATGTATCCAATTCGACCCGTGGGCATCCCATCCCGCTAGATGGGACGGGCGAGATTGCAGTCGGTGATAAGGTATACGTCGACTTGTCCAATCCAGGGGCGAAACCTATTTTTGTAACAGTGTTCAAAATCAGCGTGGTGGGGGAAGTCGTCCATTTGTCTCGCAAGTCCCCTTACGGAATCCGACTTCTTCCGTCACAAGAACGCTACGAGCACACACTCGAGCAACGGCCATGCTCAAGTAAACGACTAGATGCATATATGACCTGGCCTAAAGGACTGCCTAAAGACCTTCAAGGACCAATCCCCGAGTCGTTTGTTTGCATTGTAACGGACAGGCCGACAGACTTACGCGACTTGGCCTTGCAGAGGCCTGAGAATCGTAGCGGGAGTGCGTCATCTTTACTTGAGAAACGTGCATATCAACTAGCCTATGGAGAATCTCGAGGTATTTCCGCAGAAGATCATAGTCGAGAGGTCCGTTGGGATATTAAAGTTGTATCATTCCAACTCTGTCCGAGAGAGACGCATAATCGACATAGTTGGACTACCCCTACACATATACCTTACAGAGGGATTATGGAGTACTCAAGTAGATTAAACCCTTAAAACTATTTATTACTTACTGAGTTTTAGCTCAGATCAAATAAGAGAAGGGTTACATGTATCCCAGCGGCCAAGAAGGGTTCCGAATAGAGTAACAACGTATAATGAAGATCTCTTATCACCGTTACTTAAATAGATATTACACAGTTCCAGGAGTATCTGCTACTATCGCTAATTTCCGCTACTACCGCTACTTTCTGTTACTATCGCTACTTTCTGCTACTATCGCTACTATCTGCTATTATCTATATATTCCTCTAATATCTGCTATTATTACTACCGGCTGCTTTAAATTTAAGAATGGGATGCTAAATAGCGAACTTGTGGTGCTGAATAGGCACTCTCTATACATGTATATTGGTTCATCGTACCCACACAACAGCATTATGTTTCTGTGTATTGATCTCTACGGCAGTAAGTCCTGCTGGGATTTTGCTAAATCATATCTTTACTGATAAATTTATTAAATGGTTCATTCCACCCTTCGCTTCTTTCGGGACAGCGTAGCATCCTCATTAGCCACATAGCAGAGCAAAAGCTTCGCATATGCTGCCGCCGCCGCCGCCGCATACTCCTGCCAGTCGTCATTCTTTTGCACATCACAGTAATCGCAGATGCCACGGATTACGAGGCAATCAACCGTGCTAAATACACCAGCGGCCTCCATCTCAATGCACAGCACGCCGTCCTTGGCCAGCCGGTCGCGGATCACCGCATCCTTGACGACCCGGTTGCCTGACGCTATAAGCCCGTAGTGAATCACAGGTGACGCCGTATGGCGCGGAACTCGCCGCGGTACGTGGGAGCACATTTCCCGGGATACCTGCCGCGCTACGCACTCGGCACAGGCTGTTTGGAACAGCAGGTCCGGTGTCTCCGGGCGGTTGTACTTGGGGAATTCCTTGAGGCGGGCGTGGATTGCCCGAAGGTACGGGGCCAACGGGTCGGACGACAGGGTTGGGTCAGAACACAGGGAGCTTACAGCACTGTTCAGGACGCGTGGTGGAGGGGGCAACGATCCTGTCCGTTCAAAAGGCTTGCCCTCCTTCTCCTTTCCGAGGTCGTACTGGATTACACCGGAGCAGTTGCCCGTAGACTTGCTGACGACCACATCACCAAGGCGGATGTCGTTATCTTCCGAGGGCACCCCGCCGGCGATACCGACCAAGAGGCAGAATCGGATAGATTCGAAGCTTCGCCTCATATTGGCTGCGACTACTGCAGCTGAGTTGGTCCCGTACTCGCCGTTCGGGAGACACGCCGCAACGACCCAGTGCTGCTCCATCACACCAAGCGAGTACTGATTGATATCAAAAGGTAATGCTGGGGGGTTGCCGTGATCATCGTCAAAGAGTGCTCGGACTGCCATAAGTTCTTTTGGCAACGCGCAGATAATTCCCACTTTGTAATCATCTCTGTCATACCATTTCCGTTTGACAAAAGCTAACGAGTCTTGTGTTGTGATGTGACTGTGCGACTCGCCAGGGACTCGCTTTGAACGTCGATTGCTTGATCTTGACCGAGATGAGAGTTGGCCCTCAGAGTCTGACCATGCCAAGCTTGAACCGATACCGCTATCTTTGGGCAAATCTGTTTCCATCTTGGCTATATCAGATGCAGACGCCTCCTCGTCGAGTTCGCCTTGTTGGGGATTTCCAGTATCCCCCCAGTTCCATGAGAAATACGAATTGTATCCGAAAATAACAGCCCCGTTACCTTTTTGAATTTGGTGCTTCCTGGGAAGTAATCTCGTGCATAGTGACAACGGGAAAAACGTCTGTACTGGCTCGCAATGATCCCCTCCCAGAACCCCTTTGCATTGACAAGACGCGAAGACGGTTGTCGGCGTGTGCCATATCAGGTTATCGCTGAGTCGAAGATGGCCATTATCGCGACTGCCATGCTCTCTCATCACCTCGACAAGATCTGAGAGGCAACTCGCGATGTAATATTTCTGCTTTGGAAGCTCGGCCCAGTACTCACAGAAATTCGCACCAGCGGGCTTAATGATGTCGCCAAAACCGCGCCCAATCAATGTAACAGCATGGATAGCCCTCGTAAAATCGACCCATCCCTTCCCAGCGTCACCCAGAGTAGCCACGCACGGATACAACGGGTCTTGCTTTTTAGCCAGATCCTCAAAATCCCAGCCTTCAAGATATCTTCGCGGTTTATCATTCAGATTCCTACTGCACTCTCCTGTAATATCGACCTGGTGGTCAATAAACTTCTCCAGGATGTTATAAAAACGTTCAATCAGGCTCTCGAGAAAAAGATACCCATCCCCCTCGCGGTATAACTTAAGGTTCCGGTTATTCGGGTTAATCAGCACGTCAACAGCAGAGTCAGCTGTAAAGGGCGTGGGCGATTCTTCCAGATCCTCGCTCTTACAAAGGAGCGCTGATTTGAACTTGCCTTTGCTGCTATACTCCAGAGAGGCTCGTAAAACATGTAGTAAAGCGCTCGTGCCATTGACGAGCCAACCTCGTTTATCATCTTCATCCCACAAGAGGATAAACTTAGTGGATATCCATTCGAGCCTGGGGATATACCCATTGCGAGACACGTGGGCAGGTGTGTCTTTACTGCCAATGCTGAAGGCCGGTCCGCCTATAATCATCCGCCCTGTCGAAACCCTTGTTTTAGCAAGGGCACATCCTTCATGAGGTTTAGGGAGCCTCGAGTAGGTATTAGGGTGGCTTGCTTGAGCCGAGCCTATAAAGAGCTTAATGATATGGAATAATAATATCTTGCTTAAAAGCATATAGGGGCAGTTCTTACCAGCATAGAATTTAGCTTCTGAGCACCACCCTAGGATATGGCGAAGGTTCTCTAGGTCTAAGCTGTTGAAATGCTGCTCTTGGTCTATGTAATCATCAACGTAGGATATACGACTTCCGTCTTTTTTATAGATTAAATGCCAGTAAAGAATACCGTCGCTTTGCTTTACTGGGACTAGCATTGTTGAAAAGCCCTTAATATAGGCCTTTTCTTTAAATTGGTCGACGTGCTGCGTCCGAGCTAGTCCTGCCATAACGTTGAGTGAGATCTCTAGACCGGTCTCCCTCTCGCTTCTTTGAGGAATAGGATACCCCCTCACGACGACCGGATTCCGGAAAATGTCATGCCAGCACTGGCCATTGGCACCGCTGAGAGGCTTCGGGACTTCTTCTATTGTAAATCCGATCTCACAGGTAATATCAGTCGATGATGACTGTGACTGGGCAGTTTTCTGAAGGATATTAGTGATAACTGGCGTGCAGTAGACGAGTCCGCTCTGTCGCGGTGAAGTCCTTAAAGCAGCCCCAAGCCAGGCAAGCTGCTCTATAGTCTCTGCAAGGGAAACCGCGACTCCATTAGCTTCTACTATGAATTTTGACCTACTAGTCCATGCGGTAAGTGTTGTTCCGTCTGACGTTTTGCCTGGAGTTAGGTTAAATAGTGATTACAGTTGTTATTTAGGTAGATTTTTTTTGGACTAGATACTTACATGAATGCAAATGGCCCTCTCTGCCTCGAAGCACCTCTTTGACCAGCTGGAGTATCGCCTCTCCTGTTAAAGGCCAAGTCTGGTGTATATACTGGGCACAAGTTGCAGCCTGCGCATCATAACATAGCCCAGTCAAGGTGATAACACTCTCGAATACTTGGTCTGGTTTGTTTGAATACCCTTGTGATTTAAAAAATCCAAGGATATCCCAGTCAAGCTCAAATCTCGCACTGCAACTTTGCAAAGATACCTTCTTACTTATCTTATGAATTGTTGGGAGCGACGACAAGACCTTATCTCTGATCGTTTGAATGGTGTCTGGTTCCGTTGAAATAAGGCGAATTTCCCTCCGTAGTCGAGCGAGTAGCCACTCATAAGCCTCGGTGCCAAAAATGAACTCTCGGTAAGAGAGAAGCCAACTCTCAAGTCCTCCTTCATGCTCTTCATCCTCAAGACTGAGGGCATCCAGGCCAAGGTATCCTTGTTCTTCCTCACGTTCGACCTCTTCGATGCTTTCTTTCTTAAACCAACGGCTCATGAGTTCTTCCAAGTCCATACCATCTGAGTCAGATGTACCTCTCTCGGACTCCTCTTCATCTTGTTTTAAGCTGATATCTGTAAAGGCGGTGGCAATCTTACTGGACAAGTACAGCTGTTAGAGTAACCAATCTAGGATAAGAACAATCGTAATAAGTATTAAAGCAGTGGGCATTCCCCCGAGAGCTCCGTGATGCTCTTAAGTAAATTAGTGAATTCTAACACATCCAATGGTTTAACTTACCGTCTGTGCTTATGTACGAAAGCCATAACATCTCGATGCTGTTGCGTTGGGGCATCATGCCCAACCTTCAGTGCAAAAGCCTTGAGTAGCTCGGGCAGAATCGCCGAGACTCTTCTTACCGTCGATTCGTCCGCATTCAACAAGCTGATCTTACTGAACAAATCGTTTGCAAGCTCTCGTATGTAACTCTTCTGCCTCGAAAATGTCGTGCTCGCGTTCGAATACTCAGTAGCCGCGTCGTCAGCGTCTTGCTCGGCCGGCTCTTGCGGAGACTGTGCAGCACCCCCGTCGCCACGCTTATCAGAGTTGCTCTGTATCCCAGGCCAAGACGCGTATCCCGAGTCTGTAGGAGGCGCAGCCCGCGCCGGTCGTGTCTCCTGCGGCGTGCCATCGATACCTTCGATTGCCGGTAGTACCTCCACAGTGGCTTGGTGTCCGTCTTCTGCAGACAACGACAGCGGCGTCCAGCTTCCGTTGTCTAGCTCAACGCCCTTCTCAGGCAGCGAGTGTAAGACGGCCGAGAGCTCAAGAAACCTGTATGGCGAAATTCCTAAATGAGAAGAAGAGGCGCTAGTGGGCTGTTGATGCTGCGGCGTGGGTGTAGTCTGCTCTTCAATGATTGCACCAGCGGTTGTCTTCGAGCCGGCGAATGCAATATCAGACAAATCGTATGCTACAGAAACTATCCATTGGGCCTCATATTCATCGCCAGAGAAGAACTCGAGCAGGTCTTGCAGCTGGCCGGGATTCCCCTTCTCCAGGAATCCCTGAGCACGCCCCGTCTTACTCGGGTGCCAACTGAACTGAGGGCGGCGTCCGCCAAACTCAGCTTGCTTAGCCCTCACAAGAGTATCCCAAGCACCGTGGATAAGCGGCTGATGCAGGAGACCGTAGATGACTCTTGAGTGCACCCAGTCAGCCTTGCCCAAGCCAGACTCAAAATGCCGAGCCACATGCTCAACGTGTCGCTCGCGTGCAGGATGAAGAGCAGAGCAGAAGCCGCAGGCCCAGTAGTGACGCTTGCGGAGGAACTTAACCACCTTTTCTGCGTGGGGACAGGTTTTGCAGCCATGGGACAGCTTGTGGTGCTGGTTAAATAAGTTGGGGCCCCAGAAGCTGCGGTTGCAGCCTGGCTCGGGGCAGGGATATTTTCTCCAACGCTCGTGGAATTCATCCTCGTGGCGCTTCCAGTCGTACTTACGCTTGAAGCTTACCTCACACGAGGTGCACCAGTAGAGGATTTGCTTTTTAGGTATTTGTGGCATAGGCAGCGGAGCCTGAGAATGAGCTGACGGCGCAGAGGGCCGAAACATAGTCGGCCGGGCCGAGTTGATAGACCACGGGGACGCATCCCTAGATGAACCTGCCGAAGGCGACATCTGCGAGCCAGGCATTGGCGGAGCCCTCATCAAGTTAGGCCTGAGGGTGGTAGCCGAGGTTCTTGAAAGCGGTTTCTTCTTGATAACAGGTGGAGCACCATCGGCCGGCGAGGGAACTGCTGTCGAGCCGGGGAGCGGGGCCGAGCTGGAGCCAGGAGTCGGAGGCGCGTTAGTAGTCGGGATTGCCGAAGCGGATGGGACAGGCGAGCTGTGGGTCATTGTTAGGGCCGGTGGAGGTGACGGCGTCTTTAGAGGAGGAGCAAGAGTTGAAGCCTGGGGGCGAGGTTGCTGCTGCTGAGGCATAGACAAGAGGTAGTTCGGCTAAGAGAGGAGAGGAGACGGGATGGGATGGGCGTCGATACCAGCGTGGTGGGCGATGCTAGCGGAGCGAGAGACAGGCCAAGCGAAAACGAGTTATCTTTGATCCTGGGAGCTACTAGATGGTATTTGCTCATTACATGTAGCTCTCAGCTTTGCCAGACCATCTACGGAAACAACAGCTACCCCCGCTAAGTGGTTTGAGATGGAAGCTGAGGCTTTTTGAGTCAGCCTTGTGGTTGTACACTAGCTGGGTTTGGCAACCTACCTACATATGTACCTGTGTAACTTATATTTCCTATTACGGCGAGCCGGGTTCTTGTTTGTTATTGTACGATTCCATTTCCAAAGGCCAAATCTCTGGTTCGAGGTTCATATTGGTGAAACGGCCAGGTCAGTATCGAGCAGTGTGCATAGGTATGCTGCTAGAAGTAGCAACAAATGGATCTATAGGATCTCATGTGATTGTATTGTGAACGCTGTGCCATCAAATGGCTGTCTAAGTTGCCTAAGTCGTGTAGAGCACCGAATATTGTATATCCTGTTTACTGCGCTGGATTATCTCGAAATATACATGATTCTAGGCTGGATTATTGGATCATCACCATAATCCCGAGAACAGCTAAGATTTGACGTTTTTGCAAGATATGAAACCATTGCCTTTATTGTTGAGTTTTTTCTTACTGAGCATGCGAGATGTTTGTCTGTAATCTTTCTCTGTAGGATTCCTGTCGCAATACCGATCCAGGAATATTGTCGACCCACACCTCCCGAATCTCGAAAGTCTGCACCATCTTGATTCTATAGAAACAGTCATTTCGTACTCATATTGATAGTAAGAGATTTAAACATTTTATGACACGCTATGATTAAAATCTGCCTAAATCCCAGTGCTATTTATCGCCGCACATACGAACACTCAGGAGCATGGTACTGTCACGCGCAACATACCGATACATATCAAATAACGTGTCATCATGAGTGAGCAGGAGCTTACTATAGCTGAAAGAGTCCTGGCGCTAGATTGCGGAAAATAGAAGTGCTTTTAATAAAACTAGAAGTGCTGTGAATTACTCACCACTTGTCGTACCTGCATTCTTCTAAGCGCGATCGCTGCCTCAACATGGCATCTTATGGTAAGCATTACTATGGCTTACTCACGAGGCTGTGTTCTTGTTTTGTAGAGGTGGCCATGATCTTGAGAATGGAGATTGGGTAACAGGTAATATGTAGCTATATTCAGCGTCCTACGCCTACGCCCCGTAAGGGCAAAGTTTAACATTGCCACATAATTGAATCCAATTTCATTGTAACACTTTATCTTTCTGAAATTTCAACAGTCGATATGATGGGTGGAGCTGCATTTAGTGTGAATATACGGAGTACTGCAGATAAAGTTAGTAGACTTCGCATCATAGGCAAAGGGGGAGAATTTGCCACCGAGGACTTTGTATCTCACTTCTTGAGATACCAAGTAGAAATGAGGGTTAGAAACGAGAAACTGCATTACTTTAGTATCTCTTGGCTTGGCTATTAATACACGTAGGATGTCGACGTGAGACGCCGACGGCACCTAACTTGTCTCATCCTCTCACCCTCAAGACAATGGCCACCTCTACTCCGTAGATAAGAAGACATGCCCCCGTGATTCTATGCCAAGAAGCGAAAACGTGGAAATCAGGCCATAAGCCAGGAACAGCCACGGTTGCTTTGTCGGGTTTGGGTTAGTGTCAACGGCGAGCTCTTGGCATCGCGGCATTAGGGTTTTGCGTCAACCAGTTGAGCCTCTATTGTCTGTGCGAGCTTCGAACTCGTTTGTTTGCCTCTAAGACAATTTCTCAAAAAGGAAAGCAAATTCAAGAAAAATAGGCAGATCTATTAGATATAGAAGAGCACTGGGGCTAGGTAAATAGACGTATGCAAGTCCATGTAGATTGGACTACGACCTGTAAGCGAGGATGGAGCTAATGGAAGGTGTTTGAGGATGCTGATCACCACAATTGCCGAGGGTCAAGGGTATGTAAAATATTAAGCTTAAACATGCCGAGCCCTACAGAATTGGAATTTGAAACCAGAGCATGCATCTTCACCTGAAGCATCACATCCAACCGACCTGGAAGGCCCACAGGCGTTGAAGACAAAACGGCACTAAGATGATTAAGCCACCAAATATCTTCAGCATCTACAAGGGGCTAGATCAGACGCCGCGGGCCCTATTTATACATTATAGCCGCTCGAATGCCGAAAAGAAAAGGATAAAAATTAGTAAAGAGACGGAATGAGCTGAACGACTGGAGCTTATTCAATACCAGTGAGAGCGGCGCTTGTTTTACACGCCGACTAGTAGAATTAGTGTTTTTTTCTACTCCGCGCAGCAATTAAACATGAATATGAGCGCGTAATATGGGCTTCGGTATTGGATGTCAATGCTGAAATTAATACATTGGATGAATGTCCACGCGTCGTCTCTATATGGGGTCTGGGCCCGAGATGATGAGACGTGCCAATACAAGCTTAAAAATAAAAGTGTAAGAGGTCTGTCTCATGGAAGCTCCCCGATTCCTATGTTTCCTGCGCAAGGGCCTTAGTTGTTTCATTCCGTAAGCGATTTTGGTGCACCAGCAAATCAATTCAGATATCCAGGACGCCGGGATCTCTTCCACCGGACGTTGAAGGAAGAAACAAAAATGATCTATCGGCCGTCTGAACGAAACAACGACGGCCGCATCTAAACTTCTCTCGGTCCTGACTGTACCCGCGCGGCGGTGCTCGTAGTAGACAAACGCAGGTAATACGGGGTACCCCGTAGACAGAGCTCAGCCCAGGAGTGCCTTAGCTACTACGCTCTAACAGCCTCGCCAAGCAGCCATGTATTCGGCATTTGCGGGAGCAGGGTGTGTTACGCTCTGGGGGTTAAGCTTCGAGATGGATGACCAAGGTAAAAATATCCGGGCTGTGTAGGTGTAGATGCACTGACGAGGGGTGAGTCTGGAGTGGCCGGGGTGAGGAGGGTTGGGTCGTATCCGAGATTATACGCCAGATATAAGCTCCGTCCCCTTTCTGGCCGAAATACAATTAGAGCCATCATCCCAACCATTTGCTTCTCTTTTCATCCAGACTTTAACCATTGCAAACTCACGATATTTCTCTTTTCTTTTCTTTTTAAACTTAATCTCTTTTTATAATACACACATCAAACATCAAACATCAAACATGACTCGCTTTGCCCAATTCGCGGCCATTGCGCTCTCTCTCGCCGCTCCGGCACTGGCGGCCTGCGACTACGGAACCCATCTCAACCCCCGAAGCGAGTCTGTCCCCATCAGCACCTTTGGCTACACCGGACTCACCGGCCCATTGAACTGGTTCGGGCTCAACACGACGGCCAACAAAATGTGCGCCACGGGCAAGTTCCAATCTCCCGTCAACCTGGACTCTTCCATCTCTACGGTCCACGGAAGTTCGGTCACCTTCAAGGTGGACTCTTATCCCTTTGGCTCCGAGTTTGAGAATCTCGGCACTACTGTCGAGGTGCCCGTCAATGGATCGCTCGTTTCCGATGGCAAGACGTACAAATTGGCCCAGTTCCACTTTCACACTCCTAGCGAGCACCGTGTGGACCTGAAGTATTTCCCCATGGAGGTGCACTTTGTGTTTTCTGCTGCAGGTGAGTTATGGCTTGAACGTTGTTTTTCCACATGAGGCAATGTTCAAAATTATAGTTGCTGACATCCGTCTGCCCTCTAATAGACAAATCCACGGCTGTTGTCGCTTTCTTGATCGACCTCGGACTTATTTCTGATCCCCTGCTGACGGCGGTTTTCGCCTCTGTTGGCATGATTGCGGAGCCTGGTTCGACGACCACGACCGGTCCTCTTGTGTTTGGCCCTCTTGAGAATCACCTCCACTCCAACACCATCTTCAGGTAAGGACAAATGCTTCCTCATATGACGCCGTGCTTGTTGGTTGACCATGATGACTTAGGTACTCTGGCTCCCTGACCACGCCTCCTTGCTCTGAGGGTGTCTCATGGCACATCAGCACCAAGCCGCTGCAGATTGACGAAATCACCTATCAACGAGTCAGGAATGTCGTCAAGTTCAACTCTCGATACACACAAAACTCGCTTGGCGAGGTGAATCTGCTGCAGAACGCTGCCAATGAGCTTTAAGATGGGCCTTGGCGCAGGAGTGGCTTGTACTTGTATATGTGTGCGGATAGATACTGAGCGTTTTGTTTGTTGGGTGTTGGGTGTTGGGGGATTGTATTGATATATCCTGGTGGTATATAAGGAGTGTACGTGTATGCTGGACAATCACGAGAAGTTTGTTGGAGTAAGTTGAATGAGCGTTTAGAATAAAGCATAGTCTATATTGTAACTGTATAGAGGTAATACAAGGCGATACCCGGCCGGCATTAATTTCGTGTAACAATGTATCTGAAGGAACGAAGAAGATGTTGGAAACCGAGGATGTACAAGAGCTAGTGTGCTGAGAGAGGCTGAAACAGCCCGCAAGATAGATTGCAAACCTTGCTGAGAAGACCCGTCCCTAAAATGCTCAACCGCCAAGCCGCTACTCTATTATTGGAGCTGTGATCTCCATGTGGTGATTTAAACTCCAAAGTCAAATGTGAGGCGTGCCGGTTGTTGGCCGTGCCGGATTACCTAATCTGGAATAGCGATGCGGGAGAGGCCGTTTAAGTTGCGATAAGCAGCAAACGGGAAGACCCTGAATATTCGACCCTGAATATTCGACCCTGAATATTCGACCCTGAATATTCGACCCTGAATATTCGACCCTGAATATTCGACCCTGAATATTCAAATCCTGACTACTTTTGACAATTGGACATGAGATGAAGATGAGATGAAGAGAGGCAGAGAAGCTGGTTTGATCTGGCGGTGAGATGGACATGGTGCTCCTGACTTGCTTGGTCGAGGTTAGTTTGTCGTGCTAGTGATTACGATATTCACATGGAAGAATTTGCCACTGCTGAGTGCTACAGAACAGAAACATTGGGGTAATTTTGGGTGAGAGAGGGGTTTAGCAATTGTTGAGGACATGCTGTATTAAATTGGGATGTGACATGATGAGATTGTTGGTAGGGATTGGCTATGGATGCTACAGTAATTACTAGCCGTCATCTCCAGGTTAACGAGTTAGTTAGATAGTTAGCTGAGTGGTGAGGATGCGAGTAAACAAACACCTCCGTCTAAGACATCGTCACCCGTTTCAGGTCCCTGGCCAAGCAGAGCAGAACAGGGGGAAAGGGAAATTGTGGAGCTCGTCTATTTACCTGCACATGTATCGTATGTAGGGCATCGACGATGGAATTTCAGGCCGTAAAAGCATCCGTGCGATGGCTTTGTCTTATGGTTTGGCCGCAAACTCAATTGATGTCGACGGGCCCCATTTGCTGCAAGCACTTGCGCATCCGCCTCTTTGCGTCCAAGCACTTGCAGTAAAAATCCTTCAACTCTCGATGCCTCACCATCTGCTCAATCACGCATCACATCCAATCTCTTCTTCCAAGGGCCCTGTCACTTCCTCCTCTAGTGGCCTGTTGCAGCGTCTCCGTCTGCTGCTGTAGCGCCTAACCACGCAAATTCACCAATCAAACCCCCCGTCGACCCGGCAACCAGCATAAACAAATCCACTCACAGGAGGCTGGGCCAACCATGCGAAGCCACATCTGCACGCACTGCAGCAGCTCCAGCCATATTTGAATATCACATCTCACCTGCCTGTGGTCGGGCATCTCTGATCCTTCCCCCTTGTGGTTTTTTTTTTCTTTTTCTCGAGGAATCAATTGTACAGTATCATACTCCGTACAGTATTCGCTGTTCCTCTTAGTGGGCGTCTGTTTGTTGGGTTAGCGAATTGAGCCAGCCCTTTCTTTACCGTACATAATCAACTCACAGGACATTTTCTCTCTGTCCATCTCTCTCTCTCTCTCTTCCCCCGCCTCTTTACCATCCCACCGTCCTTTTGTCTCACGCCCCGGCGCATGAGGCAGCAGGATCCGGATTTTGACACTCACACTAGCATGGAAGACTACCGCTACGAGCAGGAGAGTGCTGATCCCGACTACGACGACGAAACAATGTCCCAGCCCGACGCCGCAGACAATGGCTCGCACGAGGGCCACGACGACGACGTCTTCAGCGACAACAGCCCGCGCAGTTCCATGGGCTCCATGTCCGAGGCCGACCCGCGCAAAACGGGCCACGATGGCCTCCGGTCGCCGCGCATCTCCGACATCCAGCAGTACGACGAGGGCGAGTACGCAAAGACCACGCCGCGATCGTCGCTGAGGTCTACCTCGGCCAAGGTCACCTCGCCCACCGAGGGCTCTGGCATTCCTCGCTCCGGCCGTCGCAGCGCCCTGCCCACCGTTTCCCGCTTGGGTTCGCCCAGCCTGTCTGCGCAGTACTCGGCCAAGAAGACGCCCCCGCGCTTCAAGAAGAACGACCCGCCGCTGGTGCTTCTGCACGTCACTCTTTTGCCACTGAGGTGGGCGTGGGGCGATGTTTTGGATGAGGCCAAGACGAGCGAGCTCAGCGAGGGCGTCAAGACTCTGCGCGAGGCCTGGCGACAGCTCCAGGACACCATCGGCGACACCATCCAGGACCGCGGCGTCCTCTTGCCTCACCCGCAGAACGATTTTGAGGTCATGGAGGAGCGTCTCCTGGAGGCGCTGGAGCTGCCCTTTAAGAGCCGAGCGCGCATCCTTGAGTGCGGCCACTATCTTGGCCCTTCCAATGAGATGCCCTTTGCCGACGAGCATGACAGTGAGGACGACGACACCTACGATGACGACAGGTCGGCCCGTGCCAGTGTGCCGAAGAAGGACACCCACTGGTGCACCACCTGTTCTTGCGAGATCCCAGTCGATGCTCTGGGAGCTGGCAAGATTTACCGCGTCAAGGTCTATGCCAGCAACGGCCTGCTGAGGGCTGGTGCGTGGGAGGCCTGCTGGAAGGAGATGGAGCGCGTCGACATTGAGCTAGAACCCATGATGGACGCCAAGCTCCAGGATGAGCTGGTGCACCTTGCGGCGCGCCAGGATAGAGTCATCCACTCCAAGAGCAGAGCTGGCAGACGACGTCTCTCGTCCCGCGTCCAGGACGTCGAGGACGAGCGGGAGGAGGAAGACTTTGATGAAACGGCTGCCAGCGAGGGCCAAGAATCCTTCATGGCCCAAGGCAGAAGTGCATCCCGACGATCGGTGTCGTACGACAAAACATCGCCTGCATACCGTGAGATGAACGGTGGAAAATCCCGCTCCCAGGAAGACGCTTTTGGCCAGAACAAGACACAGAGCCGCTTCAAGGCTGGCAGTTTCCCCGACATGGTTGTCAATGCCTTCAAGAAGCTGTTGGACGACAAGAGGAACTTGGCCATTCTCCTGTTGAGCGCCCTGACCGTGGTGGTTGCACTCCGTGGCGGCGTCAACAATCGATTCTACGACGGCATCGCCCCCTTCCAGCCCGAATTGACCGAGTCCTTCGAGACGCCGACCACGGTTGTGACCGAGGATATTGGTGAGGGAGAAGCGCAAGTCGGAGAAGACGGCGAGGACTTCTCATCCACCTCTGGAATTGAGAATCTGTTCACAAGCCTGGCCAAGAATGACGGAGAGAACCCCTGTGCAGAGCCACAGACCGTCGAGAAGTGGATGACCGCTACTGTTACCCAGATGAGTACCGTAACACGTACCGACATGCCACAAGCAGATGATGACTTGTTCTCGGAGGGTGATGAGGAGGATGAAGAGGATGACGAGCCTTCGTTCGCATCCGCAGACGGCCTTTACCTTGGAGATGGTATTATGGATGAGGAGGAACTCAAGGGTGCTGGTGGAAATCAGGGGCAGAGTGACTGGCAGTGGGGAAGTCCCTTCAAGTTCCCCTGGTAATTTCTTCTTTTTGTCTTCTTCTTTCTCCTTAACCATTTGACCAGCGATGACGAAGAATACCAATGATGTAAGTAACGAGCTGGAGGATGCAATATGCCGCGACGAATATTTTATGTTTATTTGGAGGGGACTCTGTAGGTAGAATGAGGTCAATGCGTATAATACGAGTGGATTGTTATATAAAGCTGTTGGATGATGCCTTAGGTTGTTTGGCGATTGATTAATTGGCCTTGGCTTATGCATTGCCCGTCTATTACATAGAGTATTAAATTTGAAGGAATAATATAGTAGTCTTTTCACATACACCCACACTTTCTCTCAGCCGGCTGCTTCCCTCTCCTCTGAATGTCTTGCTTCTTGGTTAATGCAGCTTGAGACATATATGCAAGTAATCCTGTCTTACTCGCTTGTGCAGATGCTGAAGAGAGGTAGTATCTGTAAGTAATGCTGACAGCACCCCACCACTTGTCCTCCCTACCTCGGTATCCGCGCCTCCTGATTCTCCGCGCGCATACCGACTGATGCAAGTACACGTTGCCAGATCAAAAGCGAGGGCGTATGTATACGCATGTATATGTATGTATATTTTATTATTTGAAAATCAACAAAAGACAAGCGCTATATCCACATGTTCAGACCCTGTGCCGCTGTAAAAGAAGAATGCAAAGCCCAAGATATTTTTCAACAGTTCCCCTTCTAAAGCCTGTCCAATGCACAAGGTAGGAAGTTTTTCCCATTATAATGTTTTTCCCGTCATAAGCCCACGTAATCCCTTCGTCACAACCTGATGTAAATGTCCATGCAGTCGATCCTCCACTCCCGCTTGCCCAGCAGGTTGCGCAGCCACTCGACGCCCAGGCCGGTCCACTCGTTGCGCAGCACGGCGATTTCGTCTGCGGCGGCGCGGGCGGCGGCTTTGGCGGTGGAATTGACCATGTCGACGAGGGTGTCGTTGAAGGCGAGGGCGAGCGCGTGCGACTCGTCGTCGTCGGGCAGCTGGATGGCGCTGGGCCTAGGGAGGAACCAGTTGCTGCTGAGGTCGAAGAAGCAGCGGTCGGACCAGTTGCACGAGGTCAGGAAGAGGATGAGCAGCAGGACGGAGCAGTAGACGCAGGGCCGGTTGAGGAAGTAGGTGCAGATGAAGAAGAGGAGGATGAAGGCGGGCGATGCGTTGGTCGGGATGAAGAGCAGCGGCAGCCAGCTGAGTGGAATGATTAGCGTTTGTTGGAGACCGGCGAATTGTTGTAGAGAGATGGATGATTGGAGACGAACCTTCTTAGGCAGAACATGGTTGCTGGTTGCGGCGATGAGGAAAAATAAATAGGGGGAGGTTTCTTTGTTGTTTTGTCGGGGTTTTGCTGGTATGAAAGCTCAGCCGAGCTTGAAATTCAAAACAAAAAGGTGGCGAGGCTTTGGCGGATTTTTTATGACGCCGAATCGCTGAGCATGTGGCGGGTGGGGAGACGGAAGCAATATAGAGTTCCTGTGCCGCGCGTGAGATGAAGGGAGTCTTGATGAATAAGACGGAGGAGCAAAAACAAAGTATGTAAGCAGCAGAAGCTGTTAAAACAACTAGATAAGGAGAAGAGAAGAAGGAAAAAGAGGGGATTTGCCGTGAATGGGGGTATGAATTATGAATTACGAGCAGCTGGCCATTACGAGGTGGTATTTTTCCAAGGGTCGGAGTGAATGATGTTGCAACTTTGACGTACCTCTTGCAAGGCAAGGCCCGTCTAGTCCGGCAAAACTACGTGATAAAAAGCGCCATTCAAGCGTGAGGCTGGGAAACCGGCGAAACAAAACAGACGAGGTTGCGCCACACGAGGCTGTGGTGGGTTTCTGCTAAGGCCATATTGTTCTCTCCTTTTTGCTTCTCAGCCGTTTTCTGTTGTTTGGGGAGTTTCCTAATCAAGAAGCTTGGTGCTACATCCGTATCTTATCTTTGGCTTTACTATCGGATAAGCGATGGCCGGGGGTGTGTCTGTTGGCTGCAGCCGGTTTTGTAGTTTTTTTTTTCCTTTCTTCCGTCTTTTTTTTTTGTCTCTCTTTATCTAACCTGGCTCTCTTCGGGCTTTGTGGTTGGGCATCTGTGACGTGCTTTGGGTGGGTGTGAGTTGGCAGCTGTGGGTACTTGCTAGTGTTAGTTACAGACATATTCTTTGGATGTGGTTTGTGGGATGTAGTTTGTTGCCTGATGCAAGTGTCTCAGTTGCGTAGTTTTTTCTTCTAATTTTTTAATTCTTTCTTCCCTGGGTTTCATTTGCTAGGCGTTTTTTCCCTTACCTTCCCTTTACCCTCCCCTCTCTTGTTTCTGTTATAGCTTGTAAATCCGTAAACTTGAACTGTATTTTTGTCAAGGTGCTCAGCTTCGCGCTGACTAACCCGCACCATCCGGCAAAGCCCGTGCGCACTGTCGAGCCGCAAACCCGTGGGATACAGGCGGCTGCTTTAGCGGAGGCTCCAGTGCGAACAAGCACCTGGGCACCTAAATCTGAGCACTAGCGCTCTTAGCTGCTCGCGATAGCAAGGCTGCTCAAGTGAAATGTTACCCAACTCGGGCCAAGTTTTTTTTTCTCTACCTACGAGTACCTCTCCCGTGTACCTTCTGCCCTGCTCCTTAACTCAACAACTCAACCACCGACATTTTCTCTTCCATCTCTCTCTCTTCACCTCTCTATCCCCCTTCATCCTCCTCCTCCTCCTCGCCATCATCCTCTATCTTCCTCTATCTTCCGCCCCGTTACACACTTCCTCAACCCCTCCAAACCACCAAAAAAAACAAAACACCAGCTGGGCCACTCCACTTCGTCCACCTCGCCCTCTCGCGCAGCGCGGAAGCGGCAGTCATCTGCATTGCATCGCATCGCCGCGTCTCCCAATTCGCAGCTTGTCTCCATCATGGATCTGCCTCCTGCACCGACTCCGCCCGTCTCTGGCGGCATTGGGCCCAACTCGGATCGCACCACCAGTCTGCTCAACCTGCTCAAGTTTAGTGGCCCTGGCACCTCGAGGGAGCCGCTGCAGCCGTCGACCCAGAGCCATGACCAGAGCCAGGGTCAAGCCCAAGCTCAGGCTCACTCTCAGGCTCAGGCTCAGGGCCAACCCCAGGCTCCGCTGCCATCTTCCTCGTCCCAGCAGGCCGAGTCGTCCTCCCAATCCCACCCTCAACCTCAACCGTCGGCCCAGCAACAGCAGCAGCCCGAGCGGCAAGACGATGAGGAAGACGACGACGAAGACGAAGACGACGAACAGTACCAGGGCCATCAACATCACCAGATGCAGTCGCCGAACCAGTTCTCGACCCGCATTCACCAGCCTGCCCCCACGGCAGCCGATCCATCTGGCCTGCTCGCCGCCCTTATGAGAGGCGGCCACGAGATTGAAGAGCCCAAACCAGCTGCGACGCCGCCGCAAACTCAGGCTCAGCCCGTCAATCCGTTTGCACGCGACACGCCGCCTGCCGGCAGCACCTCATATCTACTCAATCTGCTTAGGCCCAAGCCTTCCCAGACCGACCAGCCGCTGTTGATTGAGGCTTCACGCTCTGCCGAGCACACTCCGCAATCGCAGGAGCACCATTCAGAGACCAGCAGCCGTTACTACGGACATCACCCGCAACAACAGCAGCAGGGCCAACACCACCAGCAGCAGCCTTTGAGTTCATATCACACGCAGGGTGTGTACCAGAATCCGGCTGACGCGTTGGCTGGCCATGGCCATGGCCATGCTGGCATCAATCCCATCTTCTCGCCGACCCAAAAGGACCCCGCAGATGTGTCGGTGCTCTACCAGGCATTGGCTGGCACGCTCAACCAGATCTCGCCTCACAGCGGCAGCAGTGCCCACGGCTCTGGCCCGCCTCCTTTCCACATCTTGAAAAAGGACCAGAGCTCGCCAGCGGGCTCTAATCCCTTTGGTGGCAGTGAGCGAAGTCCTCTGCAGAGCCCTCCCCAGCAGTTTCGGCACAGCCTTGACCGTGCTTCGTCACTCCATTCTCATCACTCGCACCACTCGCACCACTCTCAGCATTCCCACCACTCCACTCAGCAGTCTCTGAAGCAGACTCCTCCAACTTCTGACTTTGGTAGCTTCGTCAACATTGACAAGAACAGAGAGACTGTCTCCGAGGCTGTTCATGACCTCGCTAGTCGGGCCGACCGCGACGCCCAGGACGCCCTGGATAGAGCTGAGCGAGAGGCCATGTCCAACTATGCCGAGAGCGCCACTATCAAGCCTCATGACGAGAGTGATTGGGTGCAGCCTTCCAACTATTCCGATGCTACTCGCTCCATTGAGAAGCACACCATCGAAGACATCAAATCTGGCTATGAGCATCGTGGCTATGGCTCCTCTGAGGAGCATCTTTCAAAGGATGTTCCGGAACCCAGAGACATTGACAACCATGGCATCGCCGATAGCTGGGACCAGGAAGGAATTGTGGTCATTGAGGAAAAGGAGCCGCCTCCTGTCAAGGTCTACAACTTCCCGATGAAGCCCTGGATCTCCATCACGCTTCAAGAAGATACGACCGAGCCTCGACCGCAGTTCCGAGAGGAGTCGATCATGGACGTTGCTCACCTCAAGAAGGACTTTGACCAGATTGACCGTAACCTGTACACCGCTTCTCAGACGTACATGACGCACGGCATGTCCAAGCAGGGTGGCCTGCGTGTTATTCGCCAGGACGACGGAAAGGACGCAAAGGTTTTTAGAGACACCAAGGACCGCATCTTCAACGTCGCAATGTCAGTCACCCCACACGACTACGAGGGTGTTTCCCGGGAAGCTATCATCGGTACCGGCATCAGCGGTACTGTCTACTGGGTCCAGATCAAGAACGGCGAGAAGGATCACCTTGAGGATCCTCATCTGGAGCAGTACGGCTTCGCCCTGCCCCCGATCAACTCCCAGGAAGGCGATGCCCCTGGTGGTGCCCTCAAGACTCGCGCCCGTGCCTCCACCAACCACCCCGAGTTTTTCGCTGTCGGACGGGGCAAGTCTATCCACTTCATCTGGCCATCCTTTATCCTGCAAAACCAGCTGTTCAAGCCCGGACACGATCGCGTTGCTGACACTGAAGCACTGCTGAGCCAATGCTCCCTCAAGATCAACACTGGCAAGGCTGGTAAGGACTTTACCTTTAGCCAGGACGACAGCGTCATTGTCTCTCTGGATAAGTCTGGCCGCGTCAAGTTCTGGGATGTTCGTGACCTGACTGCCGTCAAGGAGGGCTCGGATCCTCGCAACCCCGCGCCCGCCCACTCGTCCCTCGAGGTCAATGAGCCTCTGATGACCCTGGCCAGCACCCCTGAAGGCGAAAAGGCTTGGCCGACATCCGTCCTGCTCCTCGACAAGCAGCGTCCTTACCAGAAACGGTGTGCGCTGCGATACATGATTGTCGGCATGAAACAGAACCACACCCTGCAGCTCTGGGATCTCGCCCTGGGCAAGCCCGTCCAGGAGTTCAACCTCCCCCACAGCAAGGAGTCCGATGCCGTCTGCAGTGTCATGTATCACCCGTCCAGTGGTATGATCATCATCGGCCACCCCACCCGAAACTCCGTCTACTTCGCCCACCTGTCGGCCCCCAAGTACAACCTCAAGAGCGTTTCTCAAGCCGAGTATATCCAGAAACTCGTTTCTCAGGACCCTTCGATCCCCCAGCCTGATAGTACCGCTGTCATCAGCGGTGTCCGCGAGTACTCGTTTGATAACCGCGGTATCCTCCGCAGCTTGGACATCCTTGCCAATCCCGCCATGGTCCAAGATACTGATGAGCCGACGCTGTTTGAGCTGTATGCCATGCACTCCAAGGGCGTTGCTTGCCTTATGGTTAAGCAGGCTGAGCTGGGATGGTCCAAGGACAACAAGGTGCTCGACCCTGTCGATGCTGTCGATGTGGGTGTTGTCTCGGTGTCTAAGTTGAAGACCCCCGTGCAAGTGGATGTCACCAACGGTGCCTCAGAGCATGCTGCCCTTCCCACCCCTGTTCGCATTGCTACCCGCACCGTCACGAGGGACCTTGTTCCGCCGCAGTCTGCTCAAGTCGCCGCTGCTTCCTCTTCGGAAGCTGCTACTCCTCGGGGCATCATTGAGCAACAGACTGTTGCTACCCCGGCGAAGCCCAAGGGCGAGGCCAAGGAGGTTGAAACTCCCGGACAGTCATCGAAAGAAAACCATCCCGAGAAGCCCGAGCGCAAACAACGTAAGAAGAAGGGCAAGGATGCCGAATTCAACGCCAACGGATCGGCGCCATCGCATAAGAGTGAGGCTGCCGCCAACAAGGGCGTCGTCGGCGGCCTTGCTGGCGCTGGTGGCCTCTCGTCTGAAGCATTTGATTCCACGATTAGCAGTCTGGAGACCAGGCTCGGGGCTGTCATGTCTGACACCTTCAAGTCTTCGATGAGCAATCTTCACAGCAAGATCAACGACAGCGCCCGCGCTAGGGATGACAACTTTAACCAGCACCAGCGGAAACTCCTCGACATGGTTTCGGATATATTGAACGAGAACACCCAGAAGGTGCTCGAGACATTGATCCACCAGCAGTTTACCGACGTGGTCATTCCCACTATCAGCGACAAGACCAGCCAGGCCGTCTCTGATATGGTTCAAAACAAGCTACAGGCCAACATGGCATCGTCTGTGCAAAAGGAGATCCAGAGCGCCCTGCCCCATGCTGTTAGCCGCTCGCTCCGGTCCAACGACTTCATCAACGCGATTTCTGATAGAGTCAGCAACGTCGTTTCCACCAATGTGCAGCAAGAGGTCTTGTCTACCTTGACTCAGCGACTGGCACCGACGTTCAACAACATTGCTACACAGGCGGCTCAGCGCGTGGCTTCCGATATCCACAAGCAGTACCATGACCAGTTTGAGCAGATGAAGGCGCAGCACGCCGCGGACAACAACAAGATCGACCAGCTCCTGTCCTACGTTACACGACTCACGGATATGGTATCCACAATGGCAGCCTCGCAGTCTTCGCTCCAGGCCGAGTTCATCAAGTTCAAGCAGCAACCCGTTGAGCTTCCCGTGGTCGGTGCTGCCGGTGGCGTCAACATCCCGCACCCCGCCAGCGTCGCACACAGCATCGGATCTCATGGTTACGCTAACACTGTGGCCAGCCACCGCCCGAGCTTCCCGCCCAGCCAGCCGCCGAGCCAGGGCCCTAGCCACCCCCAGCAATACGGCAGCCCTCAGTATATGCGCGGATCTCAGCACGTGGCGAGCCCCCACGGCTCTGCTCCCCCTTCGGAGCACGTTGGACCTGTCAACAATGTGTCTGCGCTTGCCGGTGCCTATGCTAGCCAGATGAACAAGACCGAGGCTGAGGCTGACAATGACCTGTTGCAACGCATCCGGGTGATTGAGCAGGCCATCTCTGAGAATCGCTTGCAGGATGCCATGATCCAGTGGATCCAGAGCGGTCGTGAGACTGACATTTTCCGCCGCTGCCTGAGCCGATACCCTCCTGGCAAGTTTGACGGCCTCCAGCCGTTGATGCTGCTCGTCGTGATTGCCACAATCTCCAAGGACCTGAAGCCGAACCCACGCTTGAAGGAGGAAGTTGAGTGGATTGAGATGGCTGTGAGGGCCTTTAGCGCCAGCTTGCCCAACTACGTGAGTGTTTTCCCTCTTCCCATATCTATTTGGAACAACAATGCTAACATTTGTCACTTGCAGAACTGGGATGACGATACTTCTCGTGAAGTCATGAAGAGCACATCACAGACGATGCAGTTACTCATTAACCGCGTGCAGCCCTTGATTGCGGGTATCCAGGATGGCTTTCCCACAGATCCCTTCCTGGCCAACCTTGAGAGAGGCAAGCTGGAGTGGATTGTGCGAGCGTCTGAACACATTCTGTCTACCTTTTACTAGAGGACATCAGTGATGGCCCCTTTCTTATCATGTCCATTTTCTATCCGTCATTTTTTTCAGCATGATTCCCAAGCTATTGCTTTATGGAGGCAGGGTTGATTTTTCATTTTAAGGCTCATGGTTTTTGAGATTAACAGAGGCAATACTGCGGCTTATGAAGCAATGTTTTCATAGCATGCTATAGTCGCTGATCCTTTTAGACATGACTGCAAAGACAAAATTTCGCGCAATTGACGATTCGGTGTACATTGGGAGGAATGAGAGAGCATATGCGTTTTGCGCTGCACATTTGCACATCTGAAGACTATCAGTCTCGGCGTGGTTGACATTTCCGGTTTTTTTTCTCTTTCTATTTTCTCAGCTATCAATGGTTCATCTATTCTCCGTCATTTTTGATGCCTTTTGTCCTTGCTGCTGGATAACCGCTCCCAAGTCTCTTTTGCGAGGGGAGAGGCGGGAATGCCATTGTCAAGCAGTCCTAGGAAGCTTTTTCGCATTGACGAAATTTGTTGAAGGGAAAGGGGGGGCAATGATACCAAAAAGTTAGTTAGCAAATCTGCACGCGCGCCGACATGTTTGGATGCGATGGGGGGAGAGGCAGAGGGAAAGGGGTGAGGGTCTTTTTTTTTTTTTTTTTTTTTTTTTCGTTTTTACTTTTTCCTTTTCACTTCATGTCGGTTTAGTTGTTTTTCATGTAGAGAAATTAGTCACGATGTAATACTTTTATTTTTATCTAATTGAGTTCCTGGTGATTTCCTCATATCTGGAGATAACAGGGACATTACTGTCTGTGCCTTGTGAGTAGTATGTGGCATTAATCATTTATAGTTTCGTAAATAGATACACACCTTTGTGTTATCTATCCGCACCTACAAACTCAAAAGTGTTGTGCCGCATACGTAATCCCTCACGTCAGGCACGTTGTCGACGTGTCATATGAAGTCACGGTTTCTCTTATCTGGGCTATTATTTCGGACTCCCGGAAGGATATCTGGTATTCAGGACTTGAGGAATGCGAGTGCTGGGGGGCGATGGTCGCGTGACTGGCTCTTTTGTTTCTGAGTGACCAATCCCCTTAGACAAACTCGTGTCCTCTATACAACATTTGCTTAATAAGAGTATTGAAGGTTATCTGGGCTTATTCTCCGTTAGCATAGAAGCTTCCGCGGCTGCCGAAGGATAGCAAGGGGTAAAAAAGTAAACACCTGGAGATTTAGAGTTGGCGAGGGTGGTGTCGTCATGTAGCTTACTTTTGTCGTAGATGTCCTGATTTATGACGAGTTCTGTATATATACAGTGTGCGCTGTGTTTGCAATAATAGTACTTTGTTCCCTTCCTTCTCTCTCTTTCTCCCTTTCTATTGGGAAGTGTATTTGAGATACTGTTGTAGTTGTACGTAACAGTGTTCTGGTTACTGTTTTACTATGTCAAGATGGGACTATTCAAGAATGTCATTGAACCAGCATGTAAGTCTACATCAAGCAAACAACCAAGTATCCTCAATCCTAATGTTTTGAAACAACAGCAATCGCTCTTGTTTTCGCAGCCGGAACGCTGATAAATCGTCGGCGATTGAAGCCTCAAAGATATCAACGTGACATTGAATCCATACCCGACTACATTTCCGCCGAGAAGAAGACTGACGATGCGTCAGCTTCGCGAAGAAAAGGGGGCAAAGGCTCGAATTTGCTCGTCTTCCGGGTGTTGTCGTGGATTTTTGGGGCGTTTCCGTTTTTGAGCGAGATATGGTATTGGCTTCTTACATACTGGTTCGTTTCGTCCTCTCCTCTCCTTTGAAGTACAAATCTGATGGTTTTGCGTAGGATATATCAGCTTAGTCGCGCTTTAACGGCTCGAGCTATTGCGCCTTATCCTCATGTCTATCTCGTCGCGAAGTATCATGCTCTGCAGCTTCTTGCAATCGAACAGTTCCTCCACATCGACATCGAACAATCATTTCAAGCGTACATCCTCTCGAATCACGCTTACATTATGACCGTTCTCAGACATATATATCACTCCCACATCATCGTCGGCGTCGTCTTCATCGTATACACATACACTGTCCTTCCACCATCCTTATTTAGGCGCATCCGACGCACCATCGCTATGGATAATTTCATCGCCTTCATCATAATCTCTCTCTGGCGATGTTACCCTCCGCGAATGCTCCCACCGGACTACGGCTTCGTAGACATTCTCCATGAAGGAAAGACGGGCTCCGTATGGACTCACAATCGGTTCCAACTGACGATTGCCGCGATGCCGAGTCTGCATTTTGGAACCTCGATGTTATTCGGGGTGTGTTTGGCGAGATTTAGTCCGCATTTGGTGGTGCGTGTTTTGGCGCCGCTGTGGCCGTTGGCAATGTTTGTGACGGTTGTTGCGACGGCGAACCATTTTGTGCTGGATCTCGTTGTTGGTGCAATTGTGGCGCTTTTGGGATGGCGGTGGAATAGAGCGGTTTTGGTGTTGGAGGGTTTGCAGGATTGGATGTTTTCGCCGGTGGTTGATCGAATGGATTTGAGATTTGGGGGTGAAGGTTCTGGAGAGGCTGAGAGATGAGATTTGATAGAGGGGGCATGACAGGGCTGTATCATAAGGAATTGCATCGGGACTCAATACGGCGAGGAGTATGTTATTGGCTAGTTAGGAATGACTATCAAGCTTACTACAATCACTGTACATAGTAGTAAAACGGGTCTTCAACGCAGATTCCCTTCGATGAAATGCTGTCGAAGCTTCCAAACAATATACTCCAAATCCCATATTATCTTCAGAAAGTAGCTTGGCAGTTCTCCATTCGATAATTACTGTATTTGTTCCCGTAAATTCATTTCCGCTGTAAAAACTAGCTGGATACAGCGCAGTCCCGGTCGTATCCGACCCAAATTACTGGGCTTGAATCCGCCACAGGCTTGACAGAGAGCCCACAGACGCCAGTATCTGCTCTGTAATTGAATGAAAGACACTTGGGATCACTATTACAGGTAGATTGGCAGGCCTGAAGACTGCTCACATTGCTTGTTGTGTAGAAATCCAGTTCCATCTGGTTCAATCCACACTTGGGGAGTGGGCAGTCTCGATCATAAAAGTAATAGGTTCCGGAAGTGTCGTTTTTCGTCTTTGCAACTGATACAGGAGCCGAATACAACCAGCATCCACCACTAGAGGGTTTATACTCGGATGAAAGGCATTTAGTGTCATTCTTGCAGTTATTCTGGCAGTCCGTGACGCTCTTGACTGTTGATGATTTATAATACGACGACCCATCGCCTGCCACCCTGCACTGCAGAGGGCCAGGTTTAACGGGGCAATTGCGATCATTGAAAATGTAGGTTCCCGTATCGTTTTTAGTCTTTGCAACTGACACAGGTGTCGCATATAGCCAGCAGCTACCACTGGAGGGTTTGTATTCGGATGAGGAGCATTTTGGATCCTTGATGCAAGTAGACTGGCAATCATATAGTGTGTTCACAGTTGACGATGTGTAATAGCTCGAGCCATCACCGAAAATATTGCATTGCGGGGTTGTAGCTGGAATCGGGCAATTGCGGTCATAGAAGTAATAGGTTCCTGATGTGTCGTTTCTCGTCTTTGCCTGTGATACAGGTCCAGCGTATAGCCAACAGCTGCCATCTGAGGGTTTGTATTCAGATGAGAGGCACTTTGGGTCGCTACTGCACGCAGACTGGCAACCAGAGACCGTGCTTGCAGTTGACTTTTTGTAGAAATCCGATCCATCGCCTGAGATATTGCATTGTGGGGCTGCAGGCGCGGCTAGACAATCTCGATCGTTGAAGAACCATTTTCCTGTGGTATCGTTCCTCGTCTTTGCCTGTGCCACTGGTTTTGCGTAAAGCCAGCATGTACCAGTAGAGGGCTTGAACTCGGATGAGAGGCACTTGGCATCGCTCTTGCACTTGTACTGACACTCCAGGATGTTGCTCACAGTTGACGATGTATAGAAGTCATCTCCATCGCCTGGCACTCCACATTGCGGCGTGGTAGCAGCAGGAGAAGCAAGAGTCAAGGGGAGCACGCCAAGGGCAAGTGCTTTCACGAGGTTGCAAATTTTCATTGAGAAATAGGTGATATCGATGTTTGTATTTTGGAGGAAGAAAGAATGCCTTTGTACGTTATATTTGACAGACGATGAGAAGCATGAAGAGATGAAGAAGAGGGAAGAAATCCGAGTTTAAGTATTCGTCTCTCCAACACCGGTAGCAGAAATTTGAAGTCTGTGTCTTGTGATCTCACACAGACTTACTAGATATACCACGTAATTTTATTACATGTTGAGGGATAGTGGTTTCATTTATACTAAGCCGTTGCGACTTTAAGGCGTCTGTGTTAGACAAACTACGACACAATAGCCAGGTGTGTAATAGCGAACCAATAACGGTACCGAAAGCGTGTACATGTCATATAAAACGAATCAGAAATATGTCATTTGTTTCATTAGATTGTGAGCAATCGTTTCCTTTACAAAGGAGGTTGGCTTATGAAACTACGACAAAGACGTGTGCATAAGCTGAAGAAGCGAGGCCACGATCTTTCGGAATGCTAATGTTTGAGTGGGCTATGCAAAGAATGTGACTAACACAGGTATTCTTTAGTCTCGCTGTGTATGAGCGGATACAAATGCGACAACATTGTAGCGTATAGAAAAATTTATGCCTCTCAAGACCCCCTGGGATAGTATTTACTCGATAGCGACATCGGAGCTGATATTGGTCTAGATCAGTATGTTGTTTCTTATATACAAAGATACAGGCTATCATCTGACCAACCGGAATACGGTAAGTGGTCCGCCTCTCGGTATGGGGACTCAGAAATTCGAACCATTGTCTCACACTGGCCCGTGTCTTGGGTATATTCACATGCCTCCTTGTATATGACATTAAAAGGGGGTATTAGACCACCAAATTGGTTAGAATAGGGCGATCTTGGTGCTGGAGGGTTTGTAGGATTGGGTGTTTGCGCTGGTGATTGACCGGATGGATGGGAATTTTGTGGTGAAGGGCGTTTTAGGGAGGTGCATCGATGATGTTACCAGGACTATATACCTAGATTACATATGGCAAACATACCGTCTGGCGAGTCCTTGTATCTTTTCACATGTATCATAGAAGACTAAATACCTAGTTGAATAGAGTTTATATTCCCATACTAAACCTAATACATAGCTTAATGACGGGGACGTAAAGTATCGTAAAGCAAGAATTCTTTTCGCGTAGGTTCACAATTATTCCGACTACCGTTGCCTATCGTTATATCTGAATCATTTTCCCGTGCTGATTAGGTAGCCTTTAGAAATCAAACATAGGCTTGTCTCCATATAATTAATTACGATTAAAGAAATCACTCCCACCATGTTGGTCACCATGGTGAACCCTTAGCCCTTTTGAGCCTTTGATAGTGATGCCATCATACGTATGGGACTGGCCAGTGTGGTTAGATCCACTGTAGTCACGACCGAATGTGTTCCCGGCTAAGATAGATCCGTCTTCTCCTGCTTCGATTTCGATATTCTTGTATTGGTGACCGATTGTCTGGCTTGCAGCAGCAAAGAGTACTTGGTCAATGCCTTGTGCTGAGGTCGTCAAAGCTGCTTTTTCTTGTTCACCCTGTGCCTCTGAGACCTCGCGCTGCACGAGGTGAGACTGTGTGGTAGGCGGAGGTGGAAAGAGTTGTTCAAGAGATTCAATAAGCCCAGATATGTCTTCGACGAGCCTCGAGATTGCCTTGTTGTGATGTATTGACCAAGTAGCCAGCTTCAAGACGCTTGCGCCTTTCCTACGCTTGGCCGCGAGAGCGTTCATCTTATTGTTCACTGAGGCAATTGCCATCTCTGCCGCTGAATACGTGACCGGGTCTTGGATCTCAACTGCTTCATTCTTCCCAGCCTTTAATTCGTATCTATCTGCGATCGTCTTACTGTCTTCGAAGAGCACGAGGATCTGGAACAAGGTGTCCTTCGCTGTCTCGATATCGTCTTTGGTTGCTGAAGGGTTCCCAAGCTGGGGATCATTATAGACATCGACGGCAGCGCCCCAGCGAGACAATCTGAGCTTCAGTAGCGTCAGTTTGAGTTGACTCGTCTGGTAATCCTTTCCAAAACGACGGCTCAACTGGACATAGTCGAAGACTTCAACGCATGCCGAGAAGGCGGTCGCTGCGCGAATGGATCCAGAAACCATTCCAAAAGCTTCGGCCATCACTCGTGTTAATGGTCGCTTGTACTGTGGAAGCAATAACCGTACATGTATGTATCTTAGTGGCCCCAAATTGCTCGCGCATTGCAAAACGCGGCTGAGGATTCTCTGCAGGTTGGCTACCTGCAGTCACCTGACTAGGTGCAGCCGAGAAAAGAACAATCTCTATTGGCAAATCCCTGTCTCCCAAATTGCTTGTTTTTTTTTTTTTTGCTTCTTGATCCTCTCGCGCGCTGCCCAGCCCGCGATATTGCTTGGCATATGCCCCCAACGCTTATGTTCATGGAGACTCAGTATGGCCGGAAACCAATACAAGAAAATTAATGTTCATGCAGACAACGTACAGCTAGGCAATAATTACATTGCCGAGCCTCGAGGTGTGTTTTCTGTCTCTATTATTACAAGCGAGGCCAACCTGACGCGTCATTGAAGAGATTACCTTGGAGGAACTCCTTGCCCTGTTGTATTTAACCGACGCCTCCGCCGATCTAGCAAAGACAATCAGATTCAACGGGAAAAGGGTCACTGGCACGTGTGAATGGATCCTTTCCAGAAGCGAATACGAGCAGTGGCGCGACGGAGATGGGCTTCAGATTCTTTGGCTCTTCGGCGCTCCTGGCATAGGGAAGACAGTCATTTCATGCTTTTTGATCGAGAATCTGCAAAAGCAAGAGGCTTTGCAACCATCGACCATCTTGATCTATCATTTCTGCGACTACAAAGACGATGGCCCCAGGAATAGTGCACTGGGTATCATTCGATGCATTTTACAGCAGTTGTTGAAGAAGCAGCCGGATCTTTTTCGATGGATCAAGACGGAATACCAGCACCGTCACGAAATATTGTCACTTTCCAACAGCTTGGATGGGCTATGGGCAGTTTTGCTTCAGCTCCTGCAGAAATGCAATAGCAAGAACATTTATATCCTCATCGACGCCCTAGATGAGTGTGATAAAACTTGCATACATTTGCTCGACTTGATTGCTGAAATACCGGCGTCAGTGAACACCAGAGTTCTGATCACGGCACGGCCCGACGTGGAGATTGAGAAGACGGCTGAAACAGTGGGTCGACATCTTCGTGTCGATTCTGGAAAGATCAATGCCGACTTGGCAGCTTTTATTGATAGTAAACTTGCCGAGTTAAAGGTAAAGAGGAAGACGTTTCCAGAGAGCTTGATTAATGCCATAGGAGAAAAAGTGAAAAGCCAGGCTGGGGGAACATTTCTCTGGGCTAGTCTCGTCTTCAAAGACATATCTGCGGCTGCCACGACAAAAGCCGCCACAAGAAAATTAGAGAATCTGCCGTCTAATTTGCCTGGGATATACGGAAGAATTCTCGACTCCATCGATGAAGACGGAACAGAAGACGCGGCTTTCATTTTCCGATGGATGGTCGTGTTGAAACGACCAATGACTGCCAAAGATATGGCTACAGCACAGGTTCTTGCCCATGAAGGTTGGAATAAAGACACGGTTCCGCCAGTGCAATATATCGAACAATTTGAGGATGGATTCAAGGCCTGCGGTAACCTCCTATATTATGACCCAGTCAACGGCACGCTCAATCTTATACACCGCACTGCTAAAGACTATCTTGTTCATGAAGGCTGTCCTCCAAAGTATAGGGTCAACATTGAAGAAGCTGGGATAGACTTGGTGCGTACTTGCTGGCAATACCTAAGCATGCGGGACTTCAACCAAGGCGAGTTATTCTTATCGAGAGATTATAAGAATACGCTTATCCCCCTAGGATCCATCCCTATTGACCACAAGCGATATGGCTTTTTCAAATTCGCTTTTGATGAGGTGCAAGATTTTGTGGGTGAGGATAGACTGGCATTATACGCTGCCTTTGTCCGGTCTTGTGGTACTATAAACAGCTTGCCTTTGTTACGAGATTTCTGGCTCATCCATTTTGCAAGGGTTGGTCATGATGAAGGCGTGCGGGCCCTGATAGAAAAGCACGCAGATGTCAATGTCAGATGCAGAGTAAGGGACTACAGACTCAGTTCTACGGAGCTGTTGCTGCCCCGTAACATAGAGTTCTGGAGCTATCTTGCCACGGATATCGAAACTTATGCCGCAACCGCAACGGTTCTTCAGGGGGCTGCGAGGGGGGGCCATGCTGAAGTATGTGGAGCTTTGATAAAAAGAGGAGCTGAGGTAAATGCCGTGAACGAATCTAATGGCGAGACAGCCTTGCACTTAGCCGCAAGATTTGGGCACCTGGATGTGGTACGCTTATTACTAGATAATGGCGCAGACATTGACAAGTTAGACTGTGAGGGAAGAAGTCCGCTTTCTAGGGCACTATATGTCAAATGGGATGATATTGGCCTTCTTCTGCTAGCCAGAGGAGCTAATGCTATCCTGAAAGTACCCGTTCTTTCAAGAGATACCGAGTTTGCGGGAAGTACAGTGAGAGGCGACGATTTCTCAATTGGGCCAAGGCAAAGAGCCAGTGGAGAATTGGAAACCATGCTCTTCGATGCAGCAGTAGGGGATTGCGTTGGGTCTACTCGTTGCTTATTGGAAAAGGGCTTGGATATTAATGCACGAGGCTCTGACGGCCAAATAGCACTTTCTGTTGCAGTTAACTCTGACAATATTGAGGTCGCGAAGATATTAGCTTCACACGGAGGTGATCTTGGATTGACAAACGAACACACAAAAGAGACGCTTCTACACCTTGCTACTGCCAGGGGATACGTGGATATGGTGGAATGGCTTGTCCAAGTGGTTCCCAACTTAAATGGGAGAGCGAATTGTGTGCGATATCGGATACCTCTGGTTGAAAGCCATGTCGATTCATCGGCTAACTTCTTGATGGGTTTCTACAAAACCCAGAGCAGAGACATATTAGAGAAGATCTCCCCACTCCAGCTCGCGGCGATACTGGGCCATGCTGAAATCTACAAAATACTGGCTCTCGCGGGGGCGGACCAAAATGTAAGTGACTACGATGGACGGAACGTCTTGCATGATGCGGCTCGTTATGGACGTCATCAAAGTATTCAGTCTATCAATCAAATGAGAGGATATAAAATTGACAACAGAGATGAGAGGGGATGGACGGCCTTACATTACGCTGCTACTGCAGGGCATTTTCGGACGGTATTGCAGCTGGTCGGAGATGCACAAGCCAATATCAACGCTCTAACACACCAAGGGGAGACAGCTCTCCATCTCGTAGCTCAACTGTCAACTCCCGACGACGGAAGTGAACGTGATGCGTGGCTCACCATATGCTTTCATTCAAGCAACATCTCAAGAGCTAGCGATATGATGAATCTTCTACTTAGAGAAGGCGCTGATGCCAATGCAATTTCCAATGTGGATGGAAACACCGCTTTGCACCTTGCGGTAATGCAGGGAAGTTGGCCAGCGACGAAGGCTCTTCTCAAGTATGGCGCCGATGTCAACTCCGTCAATCAACAGGGACAGACGCCAATGGATTTGGCTTCCGCGGGTCGGGTAGAGGCACATCAATTAGGATGGTGGAATAGGAAGGCTTATGAGAGGATTGCTCAATTGCTTTCCAGAACTTCAAGAGGCGAAGGCATTGAATCAAACGGCTCGATATTAGCCCGGACGGAGAGCCTGGAGGTAGGATGTGGCTCTTCAGTTCTGCATCGGACGTTGACCAGTGTTATTTAGCCATGACAATCTCGATGCTTAACCTTTTGGCAACTTGAATTATGAAAGCTACTAATATTTATCAATCCATCTCTAGTACCTGCTGTTTATAGGGCACAGTCCTTCCATATCTATTATATCTGTAATTTACAATAAAAAATTTTATACTATTCTCTCTGGTGACATCCTTGAATCCTTTTCCACCATACACATCGACAGACATATATTTTAACCACTATGGAGCTCACTGAAATTAAAACCTTCTCATAGCTCATTGAGATAGAACGCCACTACTATCGACTCCACTCAGAATTACGGTCCTTGACAATTATACAGTATTGCTTGCCACTCCGTTTGATGATATGGTATATTATAAGGTTCCTATTGCTACACTTGCAGTTATTTGCACATTTCATACAGTTCCCCAAACAACATCGATCGTTGAAATGATAATCCGCCTATGAAAACCACCTAGGTCTCCAGCGAACAGCGATTCAGTAGTTAGGATGAATACATTCTGTCCGAGTGTTTTGTGGATAGGGTAGTAAGTGGTATTCAATTGGTTCCAATATATAGTCCAATAATATTTCGAATAATTTAAACCCAGTCGCACAATGCAAGATCCAATCCGACAAAGAGCAATTGTTACCCCGCTCATCCTACAAAACCACGTGCGGCCTATCTAGCATTGCCACTTAACGAGGCTGTGTTATATTGTGTTTCATCAACTATGAGTCTTGCTCCAAATCGGGTGCTTAAGCTCTATCTCACGATCGCCCCTTCTGTATTTTTGCGCTTATTTTGCTCTCAACATTGCCATTGAATACAGTGCAAATAACCTAAAGAAGTGATAGAGGCGCAGGCTTGCTTCTTCGCGAATGCTGAAGTTGTTGTGCGACTACAAAGTGAGATTTACTCTGTATCTCTTCTCTATCCATATCCGTACGTACGCGCCAGGGAGGTCAGGCCTGCTTCGGTTTCTTGGCCGGGAGTATTCCAACTGAAAATATGACTTATAGTTCTTTCACTAAGTATCCTGGTTCTAAGCCTTCAACTCTTAAGCATCAAGGCCCTTTTTGTTGTCGAAGATTCGGTGTATCACTACTCTCAATATTCTCAACATGGCCACTTCTTCTCAGCTCCATTCACACCGTGACTACACCATTGGCTGGATTTGCGCACTGCGCAAGGAGCAGACAGCTGCAACAGCCATGCTAGATGCCATACACGAGGACTTACCGAATCCGTCCACAGACCCAAATGCATACACCCTTGGGTCTATCGGGAAGCACAATGTAGTGATCGCATGCTTACCAGAGGGCAAATACGGTACTAACGCAGCGGCGACGGCCGCGACATGGATGGCATCTACATTTCCATCCGTCAGATTTGGCCTGATGGTTGGAATAGGCGGCGGCATCCCGTGCAATAAGATTCGATTAGGTGATGTCGTCATCAGCAAACCCGGCAATGGCTTTCCTGGAGTGATCCAGTGGGATCTTGGCAAGGTTGAGCACGACGGCATAATCGAACACACTGGATCGCTGAACAATCCCCCAATTGCACTGCTGACATCTTTGGCAAAGCTAGGGACCAAGAGAGAGATGGAGGGATCACAAATACCGAATTATCTTGCTAACATGGGAGAAAAATGGCCAACGTTGGCTGCAAAGTATACGCGTTTGGAATCTTTGCGTGATACCTTATTTGCAGATGACTACCCACACATTGAAAGCACTTCTACAAATAGCTCATCCCAAGAGGCACAGGCGTACGATACCGAAACGGAGGAGGAGGATGAAGATGAGGAAGAGGGGGCCACCGACTGCAGATTTTGTGATATTAGTAAAGCGCGTAAGAGGAAACCAAGGACTACACGCATTCATTACGGACTCATCGCATCTGGCAACATGGTCGTCAAAGATGCTCAGTTTCGAAACCGGCTCAATGAGAGATTCAGCAATAAGATTCTCTGCGTCGAAATGGAGGCCGCGGGATTAATGAGCAGTTTTCCCTGCCTTGTGATAAGAGGCATATGCGATTATGCGGACTCACATAAAAACAAAGCTTGGCAAGAGTATGCTGCTGCTGTTGCTGCGGCTTCTGCGAAAGAACTTCTGCTGGTAGTCCCAGTCCATGCAGTGGAGCAAATGGATACTATTACTTCCAGTAAGCTGTCAATTTCACCCTCGACAGCCCTTCCTATATTATCCAGAGACATACCAATATCTCTGTAATATCTCATGGAGGCGCTGTAAACGATCTACTCCATTCTCAATATTTTACCAACTGAGTACTACAAGCCACTAACTTCTGGTTACAAGTTTTATCCAATATTAGTGGCGATGTGAAACTCGCCGTAGGATATCTAGAAGAAGCCAGAGTTCATAGACACAACCAAGAAGACGAAAGAATTATCGAATGGCTCAGCCCCCTTGACTACGGAGCTGAACATTCTGACGTTTTGAAACGATGGCAACCTGGGACAGGCCAATGGCTTCTGAATTCTACCGAGTTCAACGAGTTTATCGAAACCGACAAACAGATAATATTTTGTCCAGGTATTCCCGGGGCAGGAAAAACTGTCATGACCGCTGCTGTGATAGATTACTTGCACAAGCGGTTCGGCAACGACTCGAGCATCGGTATAGCTTACATTTACTTCAACTTCAAGAGATATAACGAGCAAACTCCGAATTCCGTCTTCTTGTCTCTGCTGAAGCAAGTAGCTAAGCAGCAGCCTTGTCTGCCTGATAGCGTAAAATCTCTCCATGAAAGACACGCGAAAAGGAATACGCGGCCATCATTTGAAGAGATTCTTGAGACATTCCAAGAAGTTGTGAATTTATACACAAAGGCCTTTGTTATTATCGATGCGCTTGATGAGTGCTCAACAGTGGGCCACTGTAGAGAGACCATTTTATCGGAGATTATTGCTTGCGCGAAACGATCTGATCTGAAACTATTTACGACATCAAGGGATATTCCTGAGATATCTGACAGATTCAAATCCACTCTGCGATTAGAGATTGGAGCGACTGAATTAGATATACGGAGATATATAGATGGCCGCCTATCCAAATTACCACCCATCTCAGTTATCAGCCAGAGCAAGTCCCTCCAAGAGGAAATCAAAACCGCCATCAATAATACTGTCAACAGAATGTATGTACTTCATAAGTTGTATGCGAATAATATCTAAGTCTCTCAATAGGTTCTTATTAGCACAGCTTCACTTTGATCGATTAATAGACTGCATAACGCGAAAGGCGGTTATGAAAGCTCTCAAAGATCTTCCCACCGGGTCTGGCGCGTATGATTATGCATACGATGCCGCTATGGAACGTATCAACCAACAGAGCTCTAGTCGCAGCGCGCTAGCGATAAATGCTCTATCTTGGATTACACACGCAAGGTGGCCTCTATCTGTAGTTGAGCTCCAGCAAGCCCTCGCCGTTGAGATTGGAGAGGACGAGTTTGACGAAGACAATCTCCCACAGATTGAAGATATCATGTCAACCACTATCGGATTAGTTGCTATTGATGAAAAAAGCAAAATCATTCGACTCGTCCATCACACAGCGCAGGAGTTTTTCGACAGAACTCGGCAAAAGTGGCTTCCCAAAGCAGAGACTTATATTGCAGAAGTCTGCAGTTCTTATCTCTCATCTTCCGCTATCGAACGCCAATGTCGCTATTATATTCAAATCTCTGAAATCTTGAAATCCTTTAAATTTTGGTATTACGCAGTTTACAATTGGAAATACCACGTTAGGACCTCCACATTCAGCCAGACTCATGTTAATTTCCTCAGAAAGACCTCCAATTTCGAAGCTTTTCTTCGCGGATTTCATATACTTCGTCGAACCCCGCCTGGGATTTATAAATTTAATACTCACCATGTTAAGGAATATTTAAATGTGGATATAATTCCCAAAAACGTCACAAGTCTTCATGTCGCCGCAGAGTTGGGTATTTCTGAAATCGTCAATGTCTTGCTCAAAGAATTTTCCAACCCAGATGAGCGCGACAGTTACAACCGTTCACCGTTACACATGGCTGCTAGTGGTGGATATTCTACTACTATGGAGGCATTGATCAACTTTGGCCAAGTTGATGTTGACGCAATATCAAAAACATCAAGGTATACGCCGCTCATACGCGCTGCGCAAGGGGGCCACACTGCGGCTGTAAAGTTGTTGCTGGACACGGGCAAAGTCAATGTCGGATTTAAATGCAAGAGAGGAAAGACTGCCCTCTGGTATGCCGCCGTTGGTGGACATGTTGATATCGTCAAGCTGCTGTTGGATGCGCGACTCTATGACCCAGACGTAATTCAGGAGATACACTCTTCAGCTCTATTAGGAGCTGTCATCATGGAGAGGGAAATCGTCGTTAACCTAATTCTCGAAACTGGGCATGCCGATATGAATGTTCAAACGGCAAGCATTTGCGGTCCCTTTTATTGGGGCGACCTTGTGGATCATGATTGTTCCTGGGCTGATTTCACCTGGTATTATCCATCCAGCAAACTCCTTTGGGGGGATAAAAGCATAGGACATGTGTCTCTTAACGAAGGCAAATCAGCGTTCATTCTTCTTTTATGTCTAGGAAATGAAACTCTTCTCGAGCTCTTTCTTGGCAATGAAGAAGTGGATGTTGACTTGGCAATTGAAGATCGATATGTGAACTCTGCACTCTTTACGGCTGCCTATTGCGGACGTGTCAGCTTATTTCAACTATTACTCGACAGTGGAAGATGTCATCTAGATTCTCGGAACCCCGATGGCCGAACATTGCTCATGATTGCTGCGTCACAAGGACACGAGAGTCTTGTCAAGCTTCTTCTTAGTAAAGACATTTCTGCTGTTGATTGGTGCGACAAATGTGGCAACACAGCCCTATCTTTAGTAATTGATTCAGTAGAAGAGCACACAAGCGTGGCTAAGCTTCTCATCAATACTGGGAAAGCCAACATTAACACAAGAGATGAAGATGGCCTTACACTTCTATGCGACGCCGCTGAGTACGGTCATGAGAACATTTTTCAGCTACTCTTCGAAATGTTGGAAGTCGAAATTAACTCGGACAAGACTGATGGGAAATTATTATTGATTGCTGCTGCTAGTGGGAAAAGGAGCACCGTCAAACTGTGCCTTAATTCGAGAAAATTTGATATCAACGCCAGGGATCATTTCGGTCTGTCGCCACTTTTGTTAGCTGCACAGTCTTTGTACGACGACTCCGATATCCTCCAGTTATTGTTGGACATGGATACTGTTGAAATCGGCGCAAGAGACTACGAGCACAAAAGGACAGCGCTATTATGGGCGGCTGATGCGGGATCTGTGAAAAAATTCACAACTCTATTACAGACAGGCAAATTTGATATCAACGAGAGGGATGTAAATGGCATGACTCCATTTATATTGGCTGTCCAACAATACCGCTCGGATATTGTTGAGTTTTTGCTCAATGCAGAAGGGGTTGATCTCTATACAAGAGACCACAAGCATAAAAGAACGGCGCTGATGTGGGCTGCTTACGCTGGACAGGCGAAAGTTTTTCTAACCCTATTACGCGCAGGCAAATTCGATATTAACGAGACTGATGCGCATGGCCTGACTCCGTTTTTAATAGCTGCTAAGAAAGGCAAGGCAGATATTGTTAGAATTCTGCTAGATACAGATGGGGTTGATCTCTATAGAAGAGATTCCAAATATGGGAGAACAGCAATGATGTGGGCTGCTTCAGTTATGAATCCGGCACCTTTTTTCCTATTATTGCATTCAGGGAAGTTTGATCTGAAAGAAAAGGGTTTGGATGGCCTTGATTCAACTGAAATCGCTATTAAAAGGAAGAATAGTGTCCATGTCTCTTTATTGAAGATGGATCAGGACCAGATTAATAATTGGTATACAATAACTTGTAACAATATCATGAGGCCAGTAACGGATTAAGGAGAGGCGGATATAATATTACAATCAGTATTAAAGAAGAGCCTGATTTCCAGTGTGCACTGAAAGAGAGAAGAGTATGAAACGCCTTGCTGATATGTCCACATTCGCTGCAAGTCAACGAATAGAAAAAGTAGATCGCTAGATCACTAGCTCTCCCATATGCTACGCTACTTGTAGATTTGATTATCAATATCCGTGATGAACAGCTGTTATCTTTATATATATCCTTACTATCCTTTTTTGCCCTCAATGTGCCCAAATTTTGAGCCAGCATTTTATCATCGCCGGTGAGGGGCAGAATCATAATCTCCCTTCATCTAATGAAATGATAGATACCGCCCCACTCATCGAGACGGAGGCGGCAACTCGCCCAGCAACGTCGCATCACTCTCCTCCCATGGATGTTTCTTCTCAATATCCCTAATCAACTCTTTATGTCTCTCACTCCTCGGCGTAATATTGAACGGAAACGGCTTGGGCTTTGCAATAATGCCCGCCTCAAAATCCAACTTTGGCTCAATCACATTGCCCTGCTCATCCGTCGCCTTGCTAATATCGAAAACCGCTACGAGATACGCCAAATTGAGAAACAACGAAGAGTCGGCAAGATATCGCCCAGGACACACTCTCCTTCCAAATCCAAAGACTGCCCACCGAGGATCAGGCTCGTTTCGTGGGGCGAGAAAGCGCTCAGGGGCAAATGTATCAGGATCAACGTAAACAGAAGGATCATGTGTGAACTTCCAGATGGCTGGGAAAATGTAAGCTCCCTTTGGTAAGTCATATCCCTTGTATGTCATGTCTTCGGACATGGCATGAGGAACGCCCATTGGTAGAATTGGACACCAGCGGAGAGCTTCAGATACCATTGCTTCGATGTAGGGCATTTGGTCCAGGTCAGCGAGCACAGGTAAACGAGTGCCACCGGTGACTCTATCGATTTCCTCTTGCGCCTTCCGCTGGGCTTCGGGAAACATAGTCATTGCCAGAATAAAACTGATGAGAGTTGAGACGGTGGTGTCTGCTCCTCCTCCGTATAAAGCCGCGGCCGACCATTTAATAGTATGTGTGTCAGCCTCGGTCGGTTCGTCCCCGTCACCAATACACTCCTGAACAAGTCTCGCGACGTATGATCCCATGATGTTATGATTGGCCATTTGCTTACGAACAAATTTGTAAGGCTCGTCGATAACGGCACGAATTTCCTTGCCATACTGATTAGCTTCAGCCTTGAAGCCCGTGCCAGGGAAGCCATCGGGGAGCCACTTTAATGCGGGAATAAACTCGACAGGTCGTGTAAATGGGACGCAAGCGCGGGAGAAGTTGGCCATCATGCGGTCAATTAAGCCAATCAATGGATCGGGGCCACGGGGGTTGATGGTATAACCGTATACGATTTTGAGGATAACCGCGCCGGCTTCACTGCCACAAATGGATTAGTTACATCATTCATAGATATAGAAGAACTCTCATCATGTCTTTTAAGTTATGTCTAAGTCCAAGAATATGTTACTCACGTTTCGAAATGCTTAACAATCTTCTGAGGTGCCTCTAGTGTTCGAAGTAACAGCCGTCCAGCTTCTCGTTCTTGTATTTCTGCATATTTAGTCGCCAGAACTTTGGTGCCAATCGCCTTGTGCATGACTTTGCGTTGAGAGGTAAACCGCTTTTCCAACTGATGCATGGAGATGAAGTCTCCAAAACCACAATAGTTAGCAAACTGAAAAACAGGGCGCCCAGAGGACGTCTGAGACTTCTTTTCCATAATCTCCTGTGCTGCCTCTTTGTCGCCGACAAAGATCATGGGCTGTCCCAAGACAGTGACAGAAGCAATCGGTCCATATTTATCGGTGATCGAGTTCCAATGTACGTGATTAGGTGTGCCATTCGGAGGGAGATCGAGGATATTGCCGATGAAGGGCAGGCCTTTGGGTCCAGGGGGAAGGTTCTTCTTAGGTTTCCGGAAGATCTGGTGGTATACAAGAAATCCCACCAGAGCAATTAGTGACTGGATTATGAGCGTGCTCGCCATGTCCACCAAAATGTGGAAAATCGAGGCAAACTGTCAATGAGTGGCAGAGATGGAGCTAAAGAGCCATTTGTTTCTTAGCCCGAGAGACGGCAGCGTTTTAGTAACTAATTCTTCCAGCTCTCTCCCCGTATTAGAGACCACTCCTAATAGAGCATAACTCTATGCCACTGCATGAGAGGCCTTCCCGCGGTGGATACTTGTTACCGGGATGACATGAGCTATGCAGGCTGCTGACTTGAATCGGAGTTTTCGACGTGTGTCGACGTGAATCGGAGTTTTCAACGTGTGTCGACGGGAAAAGCCATAGTTTCTACGAAGTAAAGTGAAATGTGCTGTCCCAAGGTGATTGAAATTAGACGGTGGACATCGGCAAAGTGATTTCGAGGTCATTTCATTTGCCTAAAATCAGGCACACAGCGAAGCACCTTCCCGTGAGTCTTTTATGGTAAGCAAAGTTGAAAATTAATGTTTCGCTATCATAAGTAGCATGCTGAGTCGCAGTATTTGCAGCATCATAACAGGAGTAGCCCACAACTCTGGCGGAAAAGACAAACAAACTCAATAGTATTAGCAATATGGTTGAAACAATTGGCATGTCAGTTTCTATTGCGTACCATACCTCGGAAAGCGAAAGGGTGGATTCTTTAGCCAGGAAGTAGGCGGGTCCAAACAAGTTTCATGCAGTTGCCATGGAGTTCTTAATTCTTACATGTACTGCGATCTAACCTGACGATCTGAGAAGTCACACGCAGGGGTCGGAGCTAGCTCCGCAGCCACGTAGAATGCGTACTTCGTATTATTTTAGTACAGTATCAGTGGAATTCCGCTGTGTGAGCGGCTTTCTCTCTCGACTCGTCGCAACCGCCGAGCCGCCGAGTTGACTAAACGGCGAATAAATATGATGCCGCATGTCATGCTAGGTCTCTCGACATATGCAACCAAGGTTATGCTAGGTCGAATCAGGTACAAGGGCGATGCGCTATCCGAAGGACCGGACCGTTGACCTTGCAAAGAAACCCCACAGTAAGAGCGGGTGAGATGAGCCATGTTGAAACTAATCATGGGTGTTGATAGCTGAGGATGCTTAGTGGTGAGTTATGAAGGATGAAGACAAGATGAAGACGAGGGTGGTAGTCGAGTTATGACACGCACGTGACGATGCTGTCATGCAAAAAACACCAAGCATACAGGTATGGACTACCTTCTCTATATGAATCTTTGAACTGGGCTACCTATTCAGGCTATTCTTCATGTCAAATACATCTCATGCCAAATACACCTCATCAAACTACTAACAGTATTCATCAATTCTCCGCCAGCTTAATCACAACCTTGCCAAAGTGCTTCCCATCCTTAACAAACGCCATCGCCTCCTTCGCCTCCTCCATCCCAAACACCTTACACACAACCGGCCGAATCTCCTTCTCCTCGTAAAACCTCACCATCTCCTCAAACCGATCCTTCCCGCCATTCACCAACCCCTTGAGCGTGACATTCTTCCTCAACGCCAACACATTCACATTCAACCGATTCCATCCCGACGCCTTCCCCTTATCATCGCCATTTCCGCCATCGTCGCCGCCAGTGTCGTCTTCTTTGCCGGAAACATAGCCGATACAGCTAATCGTCCCTCCAAACGCAACACTGGCAAAGCTCTTGCGCAACGTCTTCGTCCCGCCCACTTCGAGGATGTAGTCCGCGCCCTTGCCGCCGGTGGCTTCCATGACGCCATCTTGCCACTCCCAGTATGTGCGGTAATTAATCGTGTGGTCTGCGCCCAGCTGTTTTGCTTGCTCGAGCTTCTCATCCGATGAAGATGTGATGATGGTCTTGAGGCCGGCTGCCTTTGCGATTTGCAGTCCTGCAATGCTCACTCCGCCCGTGCCTTGGAGCAATACAGTCTCTTGCTCCTTGTCCTTGTCCTTGTCCTTATCACCGCCTTTCCCATAAAGTTCCAACTCCTGGAAGGATTTCCCAATAGGCCTCATCCAGTTCAGTGCCATCCACGCCGTCACACTCGCAATCGGCAGGCAACTCGCCTCCTCGTTTGTCATGTACTTGGGCGCCTTGACCAGCGTCTTGGCATCGAAGCACCGATACTCTGTCAGCACGCCCGGCAAGGGAAAGCCCAGTCCAGACTCCATATCAGATTGTTTGAGGGCTCCGACAAGATGAGTCTGTAGAAAGACGGACATGACGCGAGTCCCAGCGGTGAGGAGCGGCGATTTGCTCTCCACAACGGTGCCGCACATGTCGGAGCAGGGAACGACACCGACGGGGGAATCCGTAGGGGTTTGATGGTGGTTATATTCGCCATCGCAGACTGCATGAAATCAGAATCACGGTCAATCTGCAACGCACGACGTCCATGCTTTCAATCCAGAGAGGGGAACATACCTTCGATATCTCGGTAATTCAAGCACACGGCATTAATCTTCACCAGCACTTCCCCGTCCTTCGGCACCGGCATCTCGCCTTCGACCAACTCTAGCTTATCCGCACCATCCAGCTTGCTCACCCATTGCTTGTTCGTTGGTGCCATGACGACTTCCCAATCTTCAATCTCTCCTTGCTGAGTATCTCGGGTCTCAATGCCTCTCTGTGTCAATGCGGGGTTCCCAGTCATAACCCCTCTTATCCAGTTCTTGTTCAATTAAAACCCGTAGATGCGCTGGTTCACTCGTATTCAGAACTCCAAGACCTTTTGCTATCAAAGATGAAAGAATCAAGATCTACGATGCCGCGCGTCGAATGGGGAATCGGACTACTTCTTGTACTACACAGTCTACCAGCCAATGACACCCAGACGGGAACACGTACGTCACCGCCGAAATCCTCCAAACAGATCAAGCAGAATCTCTCTCCACCAGTTTAGCGGCTCCATCTCGCCAGGAACCGACTGAGTCAGTTAGTTGGCACCTAAGCTTAAACTTGGATACTAGGTAGACACAAGCATCTCCGCCCAAGCAAGAAAGAAAAGAGTCACACGACACACAATCAAAGCGGCAAATGGATAAAAACACACAAGGATTTTCTTATAAAAAAAAAAGTAATGATAAAAAAGCTCTTGATGGCACTAATACAACAACTACAGTGGTTGAAAAAAAGATTTACAAAAACTAAACAAAAACAACGGCAAAGAACAAGAAAATTACTCGCCGTGTTTCTTCTTTTTTCCTTCTTTCACAGATCCTGCTAACCATAGCCCTGTATGAGTTTATGAATTTGCCCGTCTTCTGGCATCATTGAAGATGCACTGAGTTGTTCCCATCACCGCCCTCCTAGTCTTCGAAAAAAAAAAATATCACAGATGCATATTCCATAAACAAGGAAAATGTCCAGAAAACATAGCAAGCCCAATGCTGCCATAGTAAACGCCGCAGTAAAATCAGAAACCTCCTCTCAACGAATTTCGTCCTTCTTCCATTTACGTGAGAGGGAATTGCCTCGGCAACGGAGACAAGACATATTAACCAACGCAAACAAGGACTTGCCTCGAAAAACTTCTCACATTCTCCAAACAGGGTTCAATATTTTTTGCTTCCCTTTTCTCTTTCTTACTCCTCACTTTCCCGCAAAACGTATCGAACCAAACACATTCATTCCACCAAACACACCTCTACTCTCTCGTCCCGGCCTCCCATGCATGTACAAGAAAGCTGAGTTGTCTCAATTCGTCGTCGTCACGGTCGTATCTGGACGTCAGACATGGGGGTATTAAAAAAGTTTTTTTTTTGGTTGGGTATAGGTACTGCTCGTCATCGTCGCCGAAGCCACTCCACTCAGTGCTTATGTGATGCGAAGCACGACGAGGTGGATTCGCTGCAGCTGTCTAGACGTAAAAGTCGTGAAAATAAATGTCATAATCGTCAAGAATCGGTCGTAGATCTGGTTGAAGGAGTACGCTTGAAGGGGGGGATATTCCAGGCTTCGCGCACGGAAACGAGTCGTGACGTTTTCGTAACGGTTGCCCAGTTGTCGAACAAAACTTTTTTTGTATCCTGATCCTGTTTTCCACATTCTCATCGGGGGTGGCATCATCATCATCAAAAAAACCAGCTACGGAGCGGCGGAGAGTTGCCCCTGGTAGACCTCGGGGCTTTCTACCAGCTTGGGGGGAAATGTACATCGCCAATTTTGGTAGATCGCCCTGGATGGTTCACCCGGGAACAAACCCCCTCCGTCGTCCTGATGAAAATCAATATTACAAATCGTAAAAAGCAATGGGTTGAGAGCAAGGCGAGGGATGCGACGCAGAGAGCCTGGTCTAACCCCCCCAAAAAGGCAGTCCATCAGCTCTCCCAGTGAGCCACAGGCATAACACATGGGAGAGCCGGTAGACCCCGCATTACAAACTGGCTTAGTGATATCTCGAAGCATTAGTAGAGCTGGTGCCAACACGAGCTCCATTGTCCGAAGAATCTAGCCATCATGTTAGCTTCTGTTATCAACATCAACAAAGCTACTTGGATTCAATCAACGTACCACTACCGCGCTGCATATGACCATTTGCTCGAGTACGACCAAAACCGTTGGACGTCTCCCACTCCGGGCCGCGAGGCTGCCTCTCAGGAGCACCCTTGGTTCCGTTTCCATTCGCGCTGGGCCGCTGGCTACCAATAGCCCCAGGGGTGCTACGAGCCTGGGATTGCATTGAGCTCGCTTCAAAGGGAGACAAGCTAAGTCCACTGAGGCCGCTGACAAGGCCGTTGTCATTCTTGGCACCAGGGGTGCTGGGATTGCCGCTCTGGGATTGGCTACCGTTGCTGAGGTAGTCGCCAAATCGAGCCGTGGAGGTAGGGGTAATGCCGCTCAAGCCGCTGCCGGGAGCCAGATAGCTCGATGAGGCCTGAGACGGGCTAGGGGTAAATGAGCGGAGGTCGGCAAAGCTCTTGGCCGCCCGTAGGTTGTTGGGAATTCCACTACCATCTGGGCTTCCGGGAAGTTCTAGCGTGGGGCCGTGTCGACCAACGAGATGGCCATAGTTGCTGCTGGCTGCACGAGACTCCCTGTCGGCTGCAAAGTCGAACGTGGCGGCTCGGCTCAGGCCGCGCTTGTGAACATCAAGGCTGCTGGCAGGAGGCGTATGGATGTTGGCCGTGGGCGAGGGCTGCTGTCGCTTCAGCACCGTAAGCTGTCGTGAATCAGCCTCACCAATGGACTGGTGCTCAAGCCCCATGTGGTGGGCTAGAATGTGAATGGATCGACGGTGCTCGGGGGCAATTCCAGGAGGGAAGACCAAAATCTCACGCGAATCGTCTCTTCGGAACATGGCAAGTTCGGTATAGAATTCAAGGGTCTGAGGGTCATTCATATCAATATCACCTACACACGGCTCATTAGCATGTCATGAACAGAGATGAGATTCCTTCAAGTTGTTCAAAACCTACCGAGAAGAGAAGTGGCGGGAGCAGGAGCGGCGCTGGCAGTGCGCGGCTGGGACTGGGGCATGCCGCCCAGAGATTGAAGTGAGCTCTGGTTGTGCAGCAACGGGGCGCGGTGTTGCTCCTCGAGTTGTCCTCGGCGCTCTCTCTTTTCCCTCTCAATACGCTCACGCTCAGCCTCGGGGAGCATCTTCTTGTACTCGACTCGCAGTTTCCGGCCATGGACATCCATTCCGTTCATCGCCTCAATGACGACGCGAGTATCTTCGGCAGATTGAAAGTTGGCGAAAGCGAGTCCTCGGAAAACACCATTATCAAAATGGTAGTTGAAAGCATAAGGCTGGGGAAGATGCATGTCCAGCATGATGGAAGCAAGCGTCTCCTTGCGGACAGCAAAGGGGATGTTCTTAATGACGATGGCGGTAGGGATTAGCTGATCAGCGTCGTTGCCGACTGACTGGATACTGTTGGGGGACGGGTGAGATCCAGGAGCATCAACACGAAGGCCGCCGTTGGAAATGGAGGGGCCGCCGAGGCCGTTCGAGTATGACTGAAGGTTAGGCATTCCCATCCCGCCATGTTCGGTCCAATTCTGCATCTTTTCAGTCAGCACATTGTCATTGTTTCTCAGCAGCAGTTGGAATTAAACATACAGTTGGCAAAGCGGCTCGCCGGTTGACGCTTCGTTGCCTTCCCGGGCCATGCACGGCGCCGCCGACAGTAGCCACGCCCGAGCCGTTGTAGCTCCACGACTGGTTGTTGTCCATCATGTACCCAGGCATGCCGCCGCCGCCGCCAATAGTGTCCATGGCGCGACTACCGTAGCTGCTGGCCAGTCTTTCGCTGGAGTAAAGGCCACTCGAGGAGAGAGGCGCATCGAACGGCCGTTGGGTTTGTCGGGGCATGGTGAGACCAGAAGCAAAGTTGGAGTAGTTTTGTCTCGAGGAACTGGGCGACCTGTTGGTGGCTGTGCCGTAATCGAGGTAAGTCATATCGTGAGGCTGCTGAGCCATGTCGCAAGATGCCACGGGGGATGATTGTTGCTATTGCGACGCGAAAAGCCTCCCAGAGGAAAAAATAATACGAATTGAAATGCGCAATAAAACGGGTGGAGAAGGAACACGTAATCGAAGGGGATGACGATGTTCCCGTGCTGCACCAGAAAGATATACTCAAGAACGCGATAGAGACGGACGGTTAAATGGCAACATAGATGATGCACTTGGTCGGTTCGTTCAGTCGTGACGGTCGTAACGTGTGTTGGAGGAAAGCCCAGGCCAACCCAGCAAGAGAGCAGTCGTGTAGAACGTAGAGCAAAGCTAGCTAGTAGCTTTCTGCAATCCGGAATAGGGAGCGAGATCTATGATCGGAAGGGATTCTGGAATCCACCGTCCTTGGTTAAGCGCTAGCTTTTTTTTTCTCTTTTTCTCTGTCCTCTTCCTTGAACGGCGCCGCGTCGGAACGGGGGTCAGGGCAATCTAGAAGACGACCAGGCGGAAGTCCTCAGGGCGATTCTTTTCCGAGAAGCGTGACTGAGAAGTCAGGGGCGTGTTGATTTGGGTTCGGCTCTTGACAGACGATGAAGCCGACAAGATGCGCGAAAGGCAAAAGCAAAAGCCGAGCTCTGTACCTTATAGTTTCGGAGCGTAACTCGGCGGCACTCGCGTCCCAAGGTGTCCAGACAAGGCGGCAAAGCTACTCTCGGTGGCTCTTATGCAGTCGCTGGATCGCAGGCAGGGCGGGAGCGGGCGGGACAGGAGAGATGGCGAAGGAGAGGAGAGGCGATGAGGAAGAAGAAGCAGTACGACCAAAGTACGACCTCCGGTTGGCGAAGAGGGAGAGTCGGGTTGAAGAGCCAGGCTAAGGGAAGAAAAATTCCACGGCAGAGCATACCTAGTAATAACCTACTAGGGGGGAGGCTGCTGCCCCACTGGTGTAGACTGGCCTTGGCCGGGGTACAAGTTAGATGATAGGGGCGGCCACCAAGAGCCAAGGTAGCACTGCTTTGGTGCATATATGACAGATTACGGCCAATGACAGTGCGCGGGCCCCTATTCACAGTACGAGAAGGGCACATGTACCTTGCATTTGCAGGCTTGCAGCCTCCTTGACACGCCAGAGGGGAACGGTGGTTGATTGATTGCCTACCTACCTCGTAGTAGTAGCAGTATACAGGTAGTATTGAGCATTATTACATACATGTATGAGTGAAGCACGGGGCGGGGAGGAGGAGAAACGCATGACTTGCTTCAAACCGGGCTCCGGTATGGGATTTCCCTTCTCTAGAGTACATACAAAGGTACGCCGTTTCAGCGTCTCTCTCTCACCCTCTCCTGTTCTCTCTCTAATATACTACTTCATCTTCTTTACTGCATGTATACGGAGTACATACATACCATTTTGCGCTTATCCGCCGGCACAGTTCCCGTGCCGCTTTCTTGTCTCATCCTTCCTCAGCTCGTGCAGCCCAGCCAGCGCAAATGGCTGAACCCTAGAGTTGATACTAACAATACGGGGCTCTTCCACGAAGCTTTATTGAGTTTGCGGAACATATCGTGCTAACGAATCTACCTCGTCCGGCGCACCAAAACAGCGGGGTAGAGCATGTACCCAGCATTACTGCTATCGCTTCCGATTCCCATCTCATTTGGCTCTTGTGATTTCCGCCCCCCTGAACTCCATGCATCGACGTTCTAGAAAACGGAAACCCGCCCCTATTTTCCGCGCCTGGTATCTGCTGCGAAATGGACCCCAAGCACGCCAGCATTGCGCCTGATATTGATACGGAGTCTTGGGATGGAGCTCTGCCGGACCATGGAAGGTGAGGAGAAGCCCAATGGAAGAGGCACTGTGTCATGGGGCTTTGCAAGTATACCGTGTCAAGTACTGTGAGCTGTGGTGATGGCTGTGCGAAGTATACTATGTATGGACGGACACCTTCAACTTCGTCTCAGCAGTGGGCGGTGCAAATTGGCTGCAGGTAGCCAGGGTTTGTCGGTCGTCGGAGCCTTGCAGAGTCCAGTTGTCGTCGTCATTGTTTATTTGTCGTAGATGGATGCAGATGTAGCTGAGGCTAATTTAGGTCGAATAGTCCGGAGTATCTATCTATTTGCCAGTCTACAGTTTTGTTTGTTGTCTGGTGGTTTGTTTGTTATTCAACTCCGAGAACGCGAGGTTATCCCATATGCTGCTCGTATTTGCGCCCACGGCTTGCATCAGTTGACCCGCCCTGCTTCAACGATATGCAGGCTTTATCAAGCTGCATATACATGTATGTAATGTACATGCATTACCATTGGTAGCACCAAGCTCTGGTAGTACGAGGGCTCATGTATATTATATTGAAGACATGGACGGGCAAATGTCGCCTCCTTGCTTAGCCCATATGCAGGCGCAAGGGTTGCCCAGGTTTGGGTAGCAGGCTGAGTCAACAAAACACCGTCCTCATGGTGACCATGACCAAAATATCTCCTTCAGACAGGGAGAAGCTCCGCTCGATCAGCGTCTGCTGCACGCCACATGCACACGAAACACGAAAGAGATTTGATGATACTTTGTCTGGCTCTTGTCTCTTGTCCCGTACGCCATACGAGTACTGCTACAGTCAGTAGGCCCTTGCATCAAAACCACATCTCCTCTCCTCTCCTCTTCTCCTTTACTTCTTCTCCTTCTCCTTCGCTCTCCGTCTCGCCGCGAAGCTCTTGGAATGCAACCCGTGCAACGATTTGCGCCACGTTGTTGCCATCAAATTTCGGGATATCTAGGCACACACGCTCGATCTAGCGGCATCTGGTATGGTGTGCCTTTGCGCCCTGAAACACGATGGATGAGTGTAATAAGACGCACCCGGCACTAAAGGGGGGATGAGCAGTAAACGGCAGTTCGAAAGGAAAGACCCCTACAGCATTCTGACAGAGACCAAGACTGCGGCTCGTATTACGAGGCAGCACTGCTTTCGTGCCTGTGGTTGCTTTGGGTTAAGCTAAGGTGCCTGCAGTAGCATTTGCATTCTCCTAGTCAGAGTGCATGCATGCGGCTTTGCAGCCTCTTTTCCGGTGGAGAGGGCGGCGATGTGCTCCGTACTCTTCACCCATTCGTCGGGTCGCACAAGATGCTCAATATTGCCGCTTCTTTTTTTGCAATTTGTGTGCGCGGGCAACTCTTAGTCTCAAGGTGGCAACAATGGATGACAGCCCTGGTCGTTTAGTTTGAGCAACGGGACGGCGTGGCGCTCACTAGATCCCGGCCTTTGGTTTCTTATCCCACGATGGTTTTGAGATTCACGTCGACAGAATCACGGATCCGGCGGTTTCTCATTGTCCAGAGGGCCTGTACTGTATCGGATAATTTACAGGCTGGCCCTCCGTCGAGAAGTCTAGAAAGGGCGCTGTCAACATGGGTCATCAAATCTCTCTTTCTCTCTCATTTCCAAAACGTCCACCAATTACCCCCTTTTTTTCCTCTCTCTCTTAACGTCTCCTCCCAGCCGTGCTTAAACCTCTTTTTTTTTCTCTTCCCACAGCTAATTCTGACAGCATGCCCCGAAAATAATAAAATATGGATCTCTGATGTGCCCACCCACGATCAGGGTTCCGTAGCGAATCGGAATTGTAGCTGGCCGAATCGACAGGGATCTAGCACCTCTTCACGTTGCTTTTCGCTCAGTCAGGCGACAGCCACCATCACCAGCCGCAAAAACCTGTTGGAGAGGAAAGCCTCACATGTAGAGTCACGAGGGCTGCTGCGTTGCTTTCAGCCCACGAGAACCAGGCCAGCTGAGCGGTTCCAAAGCCACAGATCTGCCGTCTCCAGTGCGCGAAACTGTGTCGACGCCTCAGTGAACTTAAATTGGGGAAATGCAACTATCAGATATTGCGTGCCGCACTGTATACCCGCCAAATCCAATTTTCCTTGCTTCTTTTCTTTCCTTCTTTTTGGCCGTCCACAACGATATTGAATTCAGCCCCTTTCTGCGCCTCAGTGGCCAAGTCGGCCCTCCTTGAGCTTCCTGAATTTCCGGGGCCAATCTCGTTTTCTAAATCCATCTGGCCGGGTTGTGACTAAAAATCGGCATCCCGAAAGCACCGCCTTTTTGGCGGATCCTCTCGGTCCCCTGACATTGATTGATTGACAACTTTGTACTTTTGTACTGTCCTGTGCTCCGGACTCCGGATTCCGGACCCTGCTTTCCGGTTTGATAGCTAATTCCCTTCTCTTTGGTATTAAGATTGTTAATAGCTAACGGCTCTGAATGGCGACGAGGTAATGATAATTTACTCTGCCTTGGTCTGCTCTGCTCTGCTCTGCTCTACGCGAGGACGGGAGCATTGTCATGGCGTGGTGCCATCTTACAAAGGGGGCGGTTTGTCTGAGACAGACGAAATTTCTGCAGCCGTTGAAGACGTTGCCGCTACCAGAGACACGCAGCCAAAATTAAAATTAACTCGACAGCGTGGGACGTCTGCTGTCTATTTTGCTCCATAATAGCCACCGTCGAGTTCCCACAGAGCACGAGGTGACTCTGGGCGGATTTCCGATGCCCCTTGCTACCAGCTTCTTTGCACGAGCATCACGATGCAGCCAGTCGTCATGCTCTCTAGCTGCCAGTTCCTTCGTGTGACAATGCCCTTCCATGGCCAAACACACTGCAGACGCTTATACCCACACTCCCGCGCTTTGCTTGCCGGACATTGGTCAGCTTTTGGCTCCCCCCTCGTGCACGCTCGATCATGCACGTAAGTACCTGCAGCAGCCTGCATAGTGTGGTGGCTGGTTGGCTCGGCTCATGACAGTGAATACGGGAGAGGTCAGTACCGAGGCCCTCCATCCTTTTGTACGCTACGGCTTTTTGGGGGAGCACAGATGGGCGTCGGGTATGCACTCGCGGGTTTAGTCGCCTTGGTGTTTGGCCAATGGATGGACAATCGAGCGCTGTGCTATGGAAGTGGCCGCAACCGTTGATTTGGCTCTATGATGCGTAGACGGGTCAATACATGTAAATATTGGCTCTGCTGTTAGCTCTGGATTCACCACAGGTGTAGTTTGTACTACCTGTAGACATTGGTTCTTTGCTTGATGCCAAATGTGACATGTCACTGACGCTCAGGGCTTTGTCGAGCCATACTTCTCCGGGGAGCACCGCCCGCTTGATAGGTAAAAGCTGATAATATGTCTTCGATCAACTTGTTCTTACACTTAATCATCGTTTTATGTGACCTTAAATAGCAGAAGCCTGTGATGGTGGTCGCATGTTGTAGGGTAGACCTGGGACAGTCTCACCTTGGGAGGCTTTGCAGAGGGATCGAGTACACGCGGATTTAAATCTATATATTGTCTGAGTTGCGATGGAACAATCAACTAAAACCCGACTAAAGAGCTATTTTAGAGAAGGGGGATTTACTACATGTAGTATATGTATTTGGTGGACGAGCTGCATCAAGCTTTCAACATCGTATAAGCCATCTTCAGCACGACAACCTAGTATAGCAGTTCTGTTATTCCAACACAGTTATTGAAATCACCAATGAGATAAAATATCTAGCGTCCCCCATGAGCTAAGACTCGGGGGCTCCGATATCAGCCTCATTATTCTGCGGGGATTGGCTCAATATGTTCTCTGCGCCATCCCCCGGACTCAGCAAGAACCCTTGTAACAGGCGTTTCCCTATGTTCGGCCCCCCTTCAAGCTGCCTAGATGCATATTCAAATAGGTACTCGTACCAGCAGCTGTTGTTAAGCGAGAACAGCGGTGTACTGTCGAGTACCTGTATGGAACTCCGTACATGCATGCTTCTGCAGTCAGAGAACCCACTTGGCGGGCCAATCTCCTGGAGTCATATGAGCTACTGACAACAAATATTGCTTATCAGAGCGGCGTGGCCGCTGTTTACTGTTATGTTATTTGTAAACATAGCATATCGTGATTGGTGCGTGTACTGTTATGCAGAGTGCTTCGCTAGGATATACGAGTAGTACTCGTATGCTGGGATGTGGACTCTGTACATGGCTAAACTCGAGCTGAATTTGCTGCGTGTCTCTTGAAGAGCCTATGTCAATACTCCTTGGCAGCTAATTGTTGAGGTTCCTAGGGCACAGAACTGTGAATAATGCCTACTACCCAGTACACAAGGCAATTAATACTGAATAAATCCGAACACATCTTTTTGGCTCCAACATCTCCTATACGTAGGCAGTAGCAGTGGAATCTCTTGGTCAATTCGACGTCCTCTTTTAGTATATGGAGAGAGCAAGTATCACCATCAAATTGCCATAAAGTTGGTTCAGGGTTGCAGCCCACTATCAAACGTAATGCCATCACGCGGAATTACCCATGCACCAATTTTCAAGCTTGTCGTATGGAGCCGATGAGGTTACAATAGCAAACTTTCGGAAACGACAGGTCTTCTTAACAGGCGATCCAAATAACAGCCGGAACAAGGATTGCACTGACAGCAAGGGTCGGATTGTGATGGCTGCCAAGATTCCGTAGATCCTCTCAAGAAGTAGCGACGTTTCCTTTATCTCGGCCGTCTTTCTGCATTGGCTATTCTCATTATGCTACTGGATTTCAAACCTCTGCAAAACACCATCACGAGTCTCCTTATGCATATACCGTCGCATCTCAGATGGGGAAATCAAGTCGTTTGACCAACTCTGCTTTGCAAGCTCTGATGCGGGGTCCTATGACTGACGTCATCAAGGAGCTCTCACCTGCAAGAAGAGCAATTTGTACAAAAGAGGGCATTCAGTATCTTGACAGCAGACTACATATACCGTATATGACGACGACACTACATTATCAAACGTACAGTGTACGAATGCAAGAACGTGCTCGACAGGGTTGTATTACATGTAGACGCTAACCGCCGATCTTCATTAAATGTTTGGTACATGCTCCAGTAGCTGTTGTTCGCCAATCCAACTGACGTTTTCCCAACAACGTATGATGGTATTAGTGAGACGTGACCCAAAGTTCTGTCTTGCGTATCTCTACATGTTTGACATGTCATATCCGCATAAAAAAAAAACTAACAACAACCATCTCATGTCTCATCTGTGCCGCCGCTTAGCTTATAATCAAGAGCTGTGCTGGGTCCAGAAGTATTCGGGTAGCTGGCACTTCCGGGGAAGAAAGTGCCAATCAATTCTGCCTCTGTAATGCGTTCAGATATGTGAGCGGAACCTGAACAAACAGAATCATGTTGCCAGTTGTTCGACATCGTTCCATCGGCCCGTGCGCATCGGATCTAGAGTCCGCAACTTCGAGAGCCAGACCTGCAAGTCGCCAGCCTCAGCGCTATTGCTGTCAGTGCGTTGTAACCTCTCCAATGCTACTGTGTATTCTGAGAGAGCCTCGTAGATCCATTTGATGTCGGCGTAGTCCTCTAACAGGTCCTTAATTTCATCGATTTCATGCTTCAGGTAGGTAATCTTTTCGTCAACAGTCAAAGCCGGCGTGATGCTCTGCCTATTTCCATCCCCCACGATTTGGGACACCAGGTATTGGTGATAATACCATAGGCTTTGGTCCTCAGGGCCAACATTCAGAGCATCTCGCACGAGATCTAGTTCCTCGCTAAGAAAAGCGGCTCGGGCCTTGTCATCCGCGCCTCGTTGGTCCAGGACCTTTGGAATGAGCTGGCTTCGGTTATGCCACGCGGAAAAGTTGGACAAGCTCTGTCGGATCATCTTGGTTGTGTACGCAAACTCATCCTCAGCCATGCTCTTGCCATCCAGCTTGGAGCTCTCCAGCTGAGCCACCACAAGTCTCCTATAACCCCAGGCATGATAGTTGCGCTGGTCCCTATTCAGCATCTTGGATACCAGACCGAGCTCTGTCTCCCAAATCTTGCGTGCGACCGGGAGAGGCAGTCGTTGAATGGCCTGTGACAGAAGCCATTGTCGAAAGTTCCAGATCCAGTAGCATTTCGGAAACTCCAATAGCAGCGGCATGGTGAAGGCGATTTCAGACTGCAACACTTGGCTGTCAGAATCTTGGTTTTTGGTATTTGATGTCTCATCCTGAGCGTCTGATGTCGTCTGGTCTGCTGTCCCGGATAATAGACAAGATATCAGACAGCGGCGCCGAACATTCCATATGGTGTAGTATTCGGGGTTGTGACGGAGGAGCTTGGTAGTAAGCTCGAAGAGATCCAGGGTGTAGGTTCCCGACGCTACTTGGGTGCGTATCTGGGTCTCGAGATCGCGGTATTTCTTGATCTTTTCGAGGTCTTGCAGCCTCTGTTCTTCGGTACGTGTCCGAGTGGTGCGAGCTACGCCATGCTGTGGTGATGGTAGCCTTGCCGATTAGCAATCATGTACAGAGACAGAGAGGTATGATGTCGATGAATGGAGAACATGTGACAGGATCAAGGCAGGAATTTGGGAGGAGATAAACTTACGCTTGCCATTTTGTCGTGTCTGTGGTTCGCAGTATCTCTAGTATCCAAAGTGATGTGCTGATCGCAGAAGCAGAAGAGACACAGCCTCGGCGCTGCGTAGTTGCTTATCGAGATACCTGGATTGCTGATGAAGCTCTGCCAATGATGCAGTTCGAGTACAAACGACAAAGTACAGTTTGTGGCGTCTGGTGCTAACTCGTGGTCCGTGCGCTGTACTTGGAGTGACATTTGGCTAAGGCAGCTAAACCGGATACGGAGCTTTATACCATGAGAGTGCGGATAGCCGCGGATGATCTGTATGCTGCAGCTTGCGCAAACATGCTTTGTCCCTGTTAAAGAGAGAGGACGGGATTTCTGTAGAAAATGCCCTTTTTATTACTACTGCCTCTGATTGGTGTCTTTTATGCATCATAGATAATACAGAGAGAGATATCTTCCAGCATAGCAAATGCTGACACAAGTCACAGCAAGTAGCCAGAGCTCCAAGCAACAGGCAAATAGCCGGGTCTTAGCCATTCGGCATGCGCCACAGCCTAGCAGCCACAGCGGGACAATGCCAACTCTAGTCTCCGAGTTGAGAAACGCCTTATTCATGCAGACAAATGAACTCCAGACTCACCAAGGCATAACGATGCCGTGTCAAGCTGGCAACTCTCACAAGCCCCGACGGGCGAGCTGAACGACTTGCCATGATTCTTCTCTCTCGACTTTTCATCTCCCACAACGCTATGGGGTAGCCACAGGCATTGGCGCCGCTGCGTTGGTGGCAGTTGAGCAGCTTGGTCAGTATATCCTCATGCCATCAGTCGTCAGCAGCAGAGGCCTCTGTGCTCTGGCGATGCCTCCACGATGACTCACTGGGATTGACCTCTCGGGGACATCTCAGGCGTCATCCTGCAGCATCTTTTTTAGGGTGCTTGCTGCCTTGGAGCCCCTTTGGCTGATGGGCAGCGCTTCTCTGCCTGCCACCATCTCCAGCTGCCTGCGATGCGCCAGTGGCGGCCAGCCTTCGGATATACTGCGGCTCGTCCTCTGACTCTGACTAAGCATCCGTTGGAAGCTTTGCCTCGACAGAACTGGTACGAGTACGGTTCCAATGTTCCTAGGCAGCCAGCCAGCCCAGCTGTTGGACAGCTAGCGCTCCTTAGCACTGCGATTGAGGGGCTATTGCGGGAGGTTGGGGGAGCTCATCGCGCTGAGACTCGGACGGGCGCGGCGCATTACAGCGAAGCCAACAGGCACCAGAAGGCTGTTCCTTGCAGCGAAAAAAACCTTGAAAAAAAACATGCCAACAGCTGGACCGCCCGCTTGCGTCGATTTGCTAAATTTCTGCCACCACACCAACACCAGCATCCTGAACCAAACATCCCACCACTCGACTTCATCACCGCCTCCGCACGCGCATCAGCCTCTGCTCTCGCCTCTCGCCAGTGCAGACACTCGCAGTCCATCTCGACGCATTTGCAGCTTCAACGCCCCGTATCGATACGCCAGACGCAATGGCCGGAGGCAAGGGCAAGTCTTCTGGAGGCAAGAGCTCCGGCGGTAAGACGAGCGCCGAGGGAGCCAAGAAGCAGCAGAGCCACTCGGCCAGAGCTGGTCTTCAGGTGAGTTTGTGACTGTTTGGCAGCGTCGGAAGCTTGTTTTTCGCTCTTCACCGTCCCTGGCCGGATTCCCTCGCCTTGCTTGATGCCCAAACGATTTGCGCGCATGCACGCCCACCTGCACATCCTGCGAGTCCCGCTTTAGCTTCCAACCTCCCCGCGATGGCCTTCGACGAGTTTTCAGCCGGACGCGTTGGTCATTTGCTCGCCGCCGCTGCTTCGACGACCTGGCATGGGCACGCAGAGCTGCGTTGGCGATGGTTTTCGCAAGATTCCGGCCGCGCAATCGTGTCACCGTGCGGCTCTCGTTGCCATTTGGTGCCCAGATGCCTAGTCGCGTAGCCGGGCGCAGGGAGGGGGAGATTTTTTTTTTATTGTGCTCAGTGGTCACATAATCCGACGGGATCTCGGTCCAACCCTTTCCTCCAGGCTGCTGGAATTGCAATCAAACGATGGACTGTCACTAATCCCGGTGTTATTCTCGGCGCATCTAGTTCCCCTGCGGTCGTGTGAAGCGTTTCCTCAAGCAAAACACTCAAAACAAGATGCGAGTCGGCGCCAAAGCCGCTGTCTACGTCACCGCTGTCCTCGAGTACCTGACTGCCGAAGTCCTGGAGCTGGCAGGCGTAAGTTGTCCCTTTGGCTCATATTTCTGGCCATCTTGCCTCAGTTCGATACTAACCACCACGCAGAACGCAGCCAAGGACCTCAAGGTGAAGCGCATCACCCCTCGCCATCTCCAGCTGGCCATCCGAGGTGACGAAGAGCTCGATACCCTCATCCGTGCCACCATCGCCTTTGGTGGTGTCCTGCCTCACATCAACCGCGCCCTCCTCCTCAAGGTCGAGCAGAAGAAGAAGGCCAAGGCCTTGGAGGCCTAAGAAGCCCAACCTGCCTCTCTCCTCCCGCGCACGAATTGCTCTCGCTCTTTGTTAATGCTTTGAATACCTATTGTTTCGGATCGCGGGGCGATTGCTGGGGATGGCCTAGGAAATGTGGAACTGGTCGCTTTTTTTATTTTTATTTTTTTCCATCTTTTTCTGCAGAGGAAATCCAAACCTTGTCGTTGGGCATGGGACCTGGGCGTGGTTTGGACAACTGTGCAGGCTCTGGACGCACGGCAGCAGATGAAGCAGAGCCATGATGGTGCAACCCATCCGTTGGCTCTGCTTCTCTTTTGCTGATTGGGCAAATGAGCTGCCGCGTGAGTCATGTACAACAGTTGTTTTCGGTTACTTTTTGTCATGTTTTGTTTGACGCTGCTCGATGATGTTTGGAGATGGATGGTGACGCAATTGAATGGTGGACGAAAACAGCTTGTTGGGCGGCTGACGTTTGGCAAGATTATCTTAGGCTACTCTAGCACAAGAAAAAAAAAGGAGAAAAAAAGGGTATGATGTATGGTTCTCTCATTACGTGCATCCAGTGTTGCGGTTTATTTTCGTGAGGTTGATGTATGGATGATATGGCCTGTTGTAGGCATACAGTAGAGGTCAGTGTATGCAACTCCATGCCACCCAACATGAACAAGCATCACGATATAGTAGATGTCTTCTTGAATAAAAATACATTGTTCAGGCTGTCGCCATCTATAGTAGTATAATTTTCTCTTAGATCGTTAGGTAACTGAATGCAATCTCTCAATGTCCCCATTTCTCTCTTCCTGTGCTTAGTTCAGGGTAGGTCGCTCACCCCCCAGTGCTCACCACTTCACTGGGGTGCTTTCAACCTTCACATCAAAAGTACGGATTAAAACAAAATCCCTCGAAGATACACGCTACATAGAAACAGAATCTCTAATTCTATAGTGATGGAATTTCGGGCTATAGAATAGTGTAGATGATTGACATGTTCCTTTAAGCGACACCTTGGATACCACCAAAAGCCTATGGTGGAGCAAATGTTCACACGATAAACTGGGAAGCCCAGTTTTTAGAAGAGAAAAGTGATCTCAGTTTGCTACGCTTCAAACTGCAGTTGATGAAAAATTGGCGTCTATTTCTGAAAAGTGATGTAGAGTTATATTTGCGCCCCTTTTTTTTTGGGCGCCTGATACTCTTGGTTGGGCCAGAGAATCCAACTGATAGTCTGGCGAAGCTATTTAAACTCCTCCACTATTCATGAAGCTGATGATCCTGGCTTGCCAGATTATGGTTGAAATCCTGGAGATACTGTGAGTGGGCTCAGCTGCACTCAGGATACCATAGAAAGAATAGAGAACCACATCTTGAATCATATTGCAGAGACCTATGCCGGCATGTCATGTAATCACCTTTTTATTCGGAGTGCTCAAAGACGCTGTCCAGCTTCACCGTACAATATCTACCCTCTATTCTTCATTCTCGATCCCCATTTTTTCCCCTTTCAATGTCCGTTATTTTTTCCCCCATCGGTTTCGGAGTCCATTTGTGGTACCCACACTTGGTTTAGACGAGATGGCTTCTTCTGGAATTTGTAATGCTTTGTCCGTGACAACCAATTATTGTATGCCCTTTCACGCCTCTTTTGCTTTTGCTTTTCCTCAGCCTCCCTTTTCTCTTCCTCAGACTTTTTTTTCTCTTCTTCAGACTCCTTTTTCTCTTCCTTAGACTCCTTTTCCTTTTGCTCGGAATCTTTTCCCCTTTTCTCTGGTCCCTTTCCCTCTTGTTTCGCTGCTGGTGATGATGTATCGGCTGTGGGCTTGGAGATATCATGATGCTCTCCTGGTCGTTCTTTGATCTTGTGCAACCATTGACCTCGGCATTTGTACGCATGAGCGGGCCTGTGGATACGGTGCGTTATAATATATTTTATGATGTCGCAGAAACATTCGCCTGGGAATTCGCAGTCTACAGTGCAATTATGCTTGCCGCTGCCCATCAAATATCGCATGTTATTTGTTTTCTTGGACTTGTCTGCATCTGCGCTCTCGGCTGGTTCGAATAGAGAGCTGGTTCGGCTCTCCTTACACGAACGGAGGGTGTTCTCCTCTTGGACTTTGCGGCGCCAATTGTAGTAGACTTGTCATCCGACATAGTCGAACCGTAGTTTAAAGTGTTTCGCCTCCGGGCTTCCTCTACGGGCGAAGTACACCATGTGACTGCAGGACAGGCATTTGCGAGTACAAGATAGAGGGTATTTCCGCTTGCATTTGCGGCACGTCCAGATCCATAAACGGGGCGTGATGGGGGAGTTGCGGAAGTGATCAATGCCATGGGACATGGCGAAGCTGTCCATGCCGTTGTGGTTGATGCTAATCGTTGTAGTAATAGCAAAGAATGAACAATGCTGATTATGATGAAGACAAAGGCGATGCCGGGAGTAGTGCTCCAGTTCTAAAGTTCAGAGGAGTAGAGAAATATCTGGTCGGTAATCATGAAGTAAACAGATGGTAAGGAGAAAATCATGGTAAAGGAAGGATACAGAGGAAAAAAAAGAAGTGAGAGAAGATAAAATCCTCTACCAGAACTACCCGTTAACTATCTAGCAGTATGTGAGAAAGTGATTGGAACTTGAAATGAAGCGAAAGTGAGCCATAAGAGTAATAAAGAACTTTGGAGCCATTGTCTTGTTTACCGCTGGCGCCAGACAAAGCAAATGAACGGCATGGTTAGTGTGACGAGATTGATCACTACTGCTCAACACTTTTGTTGCATTGCGTGAATATCTGATTTGATTTTTTGTTTGTTTGAAGTCGAGATGCGTTGCTTGGAACGTATACGTAGTTGCGATTGTCAACGTTGAAAGCTGAGGCCTAGATGGGCTCCTCTAATTTGCATTTCGATACACTGCTTCTGTCAATGACCCCTGCTGGTATTCTGACAAGCATTTCTATAAAGCCCTTTCAAGAGATAACAAAGCCTAAGGAAAGTCTCTTCAAGATTGATGCATCGCTTAGAAACTTATCTGTTAATCAGCGTGGATTTTAGTATTTATTGTACCCTATCACAGCGCGGAAGTGCTTTGAGCTGTAACGAGCCGATGGAGACAATTGAACCGCGCGCTCTATCATCCAATCAATTTTGTCTTTCTTTTCTCTTTCTATTCAAAACTTCCAGCTTTTCTCTCATCATTAACTGGATACATTTCTTGGTAAAGAGGTTGGTGCTCATTAACAGCTTCGACACTACGCTTCCTTATTTCCACTAGATACCTCCTCCACACTTGTGATTTCTGTGACGTTTTCTCCGATTACCTGCCCACTGACAAGGTTGACGCGAGGGCCTGTAAAATTCTTGCGGCCATCAATGATCCATTGGAAGAGAGAAATGGCGATGATGATGGCGAAAGCGACGATGCAGTAGTCTACGGCAAGGGATCAGCACACGAGCAATTCAAAACTCCAAATACAATAAAAAATAGGATGCGACGCACTCATGTTGCTACCAGTGACAGGCAGGACGGGAGGAAAGATGAAGAGAACCGTTGTGAGCGCAATGTACGACAGCGAGATGATGTCTGCTGTCCAGCCAAACCAGCTGGGAAGGACCCATTTCCGCTCGGGCAGCTTTCGGCGTCCTTGGAGGCAGTTCACTGCAATAGGGAGGCCATAAGAGAGATCGAGCGTGACGACGGATGCAGAGATGATGGCGTTGAAGGCGCTAAGCCTGTTAGCAAATAATTGCCTGGGAAATGCATTTTGTGGTTATATGCTTACCTCGATGAGCCTAGGAAGATGAGGCCGAATATGATGACGACAACAGAGGTGAGGATGAGGGCATTCAGAGGCAGTCCAAGTTTGGGATGCACGCGAGCGAAGAATTTGGAGGCGGGAAGGCCACCATCGCTGGAGAAGTTAGTCATCTTTCGATTTCGATTGCTACGTCGTTACCTGGACCATCTCGAGAGATTGCCAAGTTGCATAGAGGGGGATCATACCGGGCAAAGGCGAAAATCATGCGACTGCTGGTCGTCATGACGCTGAACGTTGCGAAGATAAGACACACAAGTGGAAGCCTTTATTACACGATTAGTCTCTTTCCACAAATGGAATGACGATTCAGTATATCTGGCGTTGGGAAAGACAAACATGAGAAGGCAGATTGCTCCCGCAGTGTTGCTCGTGGCGTGGATCAGGATCTGAAGCAGAGGACCAGCGGCCGACGTGATGACCTCATCGATGTTACCGGCGACAAAGAGCAGGACGATGAGGAAGATGGCACCGGTGAAGGTGCCGATACCGACACAAATGACCATGATCTTGGGGCCTTCCATGGCAGCGTTGGGGATTTCTGGTGGGATATAGTCAGTATTTTGGAGATAATGATTCGATGTAACTCCGGAAGACATGGCCATTTACCTTCGATCATGTGGGCGACGGCATCCTGCAAACAGTTAGTTGTGGTGACTTCGTGGAGAACGGGAGTGACATACAAAAGCAGTGACGCCGAGACCTCCTTGAAGGAGCTGAGGGTTGTTAGCATCACTTCATCTTTCTGTTGTATTTGAGCATTCATAGTTACGCACGCCAAGCAGCCAGGCAATTCCATCAGGCCCTAATTGAGTTGTTAGCATGAGAGTCATTAGTGAAAAGAAAAAGAATACATACATCCTGTCTCGTTGATAAACTGGCGAAACACGAAATAAGCCGTGTTATAATCAGGCGACGCACACGCAAGAACCGTAATCGACACGAGGACGAAGCCACCAATGGACCATACAAAGGCGCCGCGGTAAAGGAGAGGCAGGAAGGAGTTGAGAAAGGCGTTGATGACGAACGAGGCAAGAGTGAAGCCGATGTAAATGAGGAACTGGTGCCAGCGCTGGGGTTCATAGTCCTAACAGAAGTGTAAGAATGCTTTGTCTCAAGAATGGGGGAAGGGAGATGTGTACAGGGTGTGTGGCGGAGATGATACCAAGGATGAGCTGGCTGGATAGTAGGGCGTTTGTGGCAACGAGAGCGACCTGGATGAATATTGTTAGAGATGGATTTCGTTGATGGAATGGGTGAGTGATAATACCCAGCCAGCGACGTTGACCCAGCCCGTTATCCATGAAAGGACTGGTACCCATTTGGGCCATGAGACTACAACTGATGTTAGAAGGGATGGATGGTGTAAACCGAGAGTGAAGGAGCCATACTTGCTGTTGCATCTTAGTCAGTATTCCATATGCATCAAGTCTAAGGAAAAGACATTCTCACCTGCAACCCAGTGGTACTGTCCACCAGCACTGCAATTTCATTACCATTAGTACAAAGACATCCAAGCATCTGACCATTGGTCTATCTCGAGACTCACGTTGGGTAAGCCGACAAGAACTCGGCTAGAGACGCAGCGATACAAAGGTTGCATATGCCTGCCGTGACTAGGCCTGTTACATCGCAACACACACGAATGTTAGTCAAGAAAAGGCAATGCGAACGGGGCTAGGGACGCATGTGCAAAACACTTGTGCGAACGCATCTGCATAAAGCTTGATTACTTACCCCAGACAACTCCGGTGCTACCTCCGGAAGTTAAGCTGAGTGAGAGACTTGCAGAGAGGGCGGTCCATGACTGGGGAGAAGGGGTTAGTCTTGCGTGAATCTTTTCTTTTTCTGGCTGCTGCTTGCTATAGGCTACTTACATTTAACACTGCGAATGCTAGTCCCAGCATTGATCTAAATACATGTGTGAGCTGGGCTGATCGACTCTCTACTCTACTATAGCCTGGGCTTGGCTTGGCTTGGCTTGGCTTACAAGGTGGAAAAGTTGCGATTCAGCTCGGGCTGGTGACCCATGGCCGCCAGCTGGGCGTCATCGCTATTTTCGTGTTTGGTATATTCTTCGCTCATTGTGAAAGGCTGTGTTGGATGTCTCTCATTCGACGAGTTTCTTCGGAGATGACAATGCGATGCAGCATCTGCATCGGGGAGTGGTGGGAAGGGAGAAGGAAGCGGCCAGTAAGCGTGTGAAAAAGGGAACCCATTGTTTTATTATTACAAAGATGTGGAAAGACCTGAAGAGAGATGCAGTACTACCCGCGTCGGCCAACTTGAACCACGCCATCATCATCATTGGGGGGTTAATCGTGAAACTGGGTCGCATTTCATGGTCTTGAGCGAGTCAAGGCCGGAATACGATATCGCATTTGGATCTGCATGGGGGTGAGACCGAACTCGGCGTGCGGAGGGAGCTTAGCAGCCTCGGGTTCTGTTACTAGTACCGGGAGAGGCAATAAGACTGAGAGACGCGCAGATGAACGGTCAAGGGGAGATTCGCTGGAAGAGCATGGCCATTGGAGGAGCTAATTGATAAACGGCAATCTCGCATGAGGCTGGGCTCCATTCTTGATAATGGTGGTAACTATCAGCTAGCAGCATCTCTGGGGGACCCATGTAAGCCGTTATAAGACCAGCCGTGGCGACGCTTTTGGAGCCTCCCCGCTCACACATGATGCGGGGAAGTCGATAAGCTGGCTCGAATAGGCTAGTTAATGAGAATAGAGATGAAAGGATGAAACAGAGAGCGCCGACTTGGCTTTTGGTTGATTGCCGGTTCTTCGTTAGTCGGAGTGGATTTTTGTGGTTCGACTGTTATTTTGTCTCGAAGGGCGCAAGATTGGCTACGCTCCCAGCCTTCTCAGCCTCGGTTCCTAAACCCTGAACTTCTCAGCTGTCATATCGTTGACGGTTCGATATCGGGCTCCATAGCTTTTTCAATGAAATGAAGATATGGGCGCTAGAGCAATCAATTAGATAAGGGCGGGTGAGATCAAGTGGAAACGTGAGTGGCTCTACAGAGATACGAGCGGGTACTCCGGTGCACGAGACTCCACGGGTTGGCGATTGAGGTAGTATTGACGGGTCAGAGGGAGGAGAAGATCGCTGAGTTCGTCAATGGCGCGGCGGACTCCGGCAAGATGTGGTGCATATTGACTCGTTTTGTATTGAGCTGTCCACATGTTTGTCGATGTACATGCCATGATGCTCGGTTGCATGTGCAGGAACTATGCTGGACCTGCATGAACGTGGGATCATCGTTCATTTATTGACTTGATTGTATGCCGTGAGGAGTAGATACGAAGCGGGCTGTGACCCTTGAGACGGGATCGTCGGTCTATAAATACGTCTTTGAACATGTAGGAGATCCCGAGATGTTATTAAGAAACATCAGCTCTTACAGCAATGGCACCGATCAACTTCAAATTCGCCGTAGTGGCAGTGCTTGCAGGATGCATTCCATCTGTGACTGCGGCACCCGCACCAGCTAGCAGCAGTACTGATTCAAAATGTAGGAAAACGTCTGTGGCGATATTGTGAGTACATGTATCTTGGAGAGCGCATGAAAGACTCTCATTGACTTGCTTGCAGAGGCGCAGGAATGGCTGGCATCACTGCTGCTGTAAGTTCCACCACCAGCTATCACGTCTGCACAAAATTGAGAATTCCATTTAGCAAGCTTTGCACAACGCCTCAGTGTCGGATTTCGTCATCATCGAGTATCAAGATCGAATTGGTGGACGGGCATGGCATGGCAACTTTGGCAGCAAGTCAGATGGAAGCCCATATGTCATCGAGTATGGGTGTAACTGGGTATGTCTCACTCAGTGCATGTCTCATGATAATAAGAAAAAGTACTGATGTGGAGTTTTAGATTCAAGGTCTCGGAAATCCTGGAGGTCCGGGTAAGTCTCAAGATCCATGCCTCTGTAAAACACCCAGCCACTAACAATATATAGAAAATCCTGTGTATTCACTAGTACGTGGCATTAAACTGTCATTGCAATAACTTGCATCTCATCAAGGCTTGTCTCGCTAAATCGGACGTAGGCCAAAAAATATCATCTCGCCAATACCTACTCGGATTATGACTCCATCTTGACCTACGACGAAACGGGCTACACCGACTACACTGATCTCATCGATGAATATGGGACTGCATACGATAAAGCTGCCGCAAAAGCTGGTCGTTTGCTTCTCCAGAATCTGCAGGATCAGACCATGCGCGCGGGCCTCTCGATTGCCGGATGGAATCCGAAGCATGGCGACATGAAGAGACAGGCAGCTGAGTGGTGGAACTGGGGTAAGTTTTTAAATGAACAGCACCAATCTGATTACACCCAGAAATAAGTGACAATGGGTTTGTTGTATCTGTGCATGCTGACAATGTCCCAGATTGGGAGGCTGCTTTCCCACCTGAAGAGTCGTCATTCATCTTTGGTGTTGCGGGCAGCAACGTCACCTTCAACCAGTTCAGTGACGCCAACAACCTTGTAATCGACCCACGCGGCTACAGTGCCATCATTGACGGCGAGGCTTCTACGTTCCTCACCAAGAACGACACCCGTCTGTTGCTCAACACTCGCATCACGAACATTACCTACTCCGATCATGGCGTCACGGTATACAACCACGACGGTAGCTGTGTATCTGCGGATTATGCTATTACAACATTTTCATTAGGCGTGCTTCAGAGTAACTCGATTGGTTTTTCTCCAGAGTTACCGCTGTGGAAGAAGGAGTCGATCCAGAACTTCGCAATGGGCACATACACAAAGATCTTTTTGCAGTTTAACGAGACGTTTTGGCCCGAGGACACGCAGTATTTCCTTTACGCTTCGCCTACTACGCGAGGTTATTATCCTGTTTGGCAGTCTCTCTCCACTGAAGGCTTCATGCCGGGCTCTAACATCATTTTTGCAACTGTCATTGGTGACGAATCCTACCGTATCGAGCAGCAGACGGACGAAGAGACAAAGGCAGAGGCAATGGAAGTGCTCCGTCAAATGTTCCCCAACGTGACTATCCCGGAGCCCATTGCGTTCACCTATCCGCGCTGGACCTCTGAGCCGTGGTCTTTCGGAAGTTACTCAAATTGGCCAGCGGGCACTTCATTACTCGCTCATCAGAATCTGCGGGCTAATGCCGGACGACTGTGGTTTGCAGGTGAGGCGACCAGTGCTGAGTACTTTGGATTTCTGCACGGAGCCTGGTTTGAGGGCCGTGAGGCGGGTGCGCAAGTTGCCGCATTGTTGCAAGGCAGACCTTGTGTGCAGTATGAAAATGGTAGACTCTGTGGAGAGAGGAAGCATTATGCCACGTTGACGGGGACTTCGCCGTTGAGTCAGTATAGCTTACTGAACGGATGGGCTGTGAGCAGTTTCTATGATAGTGGCGATGATTGAGCTTGACGAAGCTTGTTTTGATGCATGGGGATGAGGACTTGTATAATAGTAACACCGCATATATCTTGAGCAATAGCACTTACATGTGAGAGTTTATAATACGATGAGCAGAGAATGTGATTATCTGGGTAAGAAGTCGTGTGCATTAAGCAATTGGACAAGACATTATGCCCTAAAGATGTGATAATAAGAACGTCTACACCTTCAGGTATTCGTTGGATCCTGTTATCCGTTTCAACTCGATGAACAGGCATTGTAGTAATGATGTAAATTGATTCTAGGCTAGTAGTAATCCCTGTCACGACATGAACCTAAAAGTTTTCTTCGTATGTTCGTATAGAACATTACACAGTTTTTAGTCCAGGAACTCATGGATCACAGCAGTAAAGTAAGCACAATGCCAAGTCATGGCACGGACTCGATGCGCATTTCCGGCGCGTGGAACGTAGTCTTTTTAAAACATTCAATAAAGTAAGGTTACACACCATTATTAGCTGTAAATGCCGAGTATGCGAAGTACCACAATAACGAGCATCACAGAGTCAGACGACCACTTAGTCGCGTTGTTGATTCTTGGCAATGGCCATGCCTCTTCTCACACGTATTATTCTGTAGGAAAAAGGCAGCAGATCCTGGTCTAAACAGCAAGGGGGATCCTATCCAGTGTCGCACAAAGAGGATGCGCTTCTTCATGCACAGAAAAAGGGGCTCAAGGGCATCTACTACCATTGTGACGCATTACAGACAGGTATGTGGACTGGCGTTGCCAAAGCGCAACTATCTCAAAGATATGCAAACATTCTGCCTCGGACAGATGGGCATCCGAATGCGCCAAGACGGTTGCCTGCACGGAGGAATAGGATGGAGGTGAGCTGCCGATCATACAAATTAACTCATGCAGCCGACAAACAAAGCCTGCACTAGAGTTGTCATTCAATGGAACCGGAAAAACATCGAGTAAGCACCCCCAGTTCGACAAGTCATCGAAGATTGTGATCGGAGATGGAGCAAGTATTAATAGCTTCAGAACCACACTGAACAAACACCGGTCCAGCCGGAGAGAATCCGCGTCCCATTGTTTTTTTCCCTCAGCCGATCCAAAAGGTCCTCCTCTAACGAGGCAATTCCGCCGCAGGCATTTTCCATCCAGCCAAGTTGGCAAGGCTCCATGCCCACTAACAAAAGCCTCCGGCATGGGCCGGCCCCCTGGCTAGTCTCGCCTTATCGGGAAGGTCGCCTGAAAGTGGCAAAGGGCAGATAGAGTTGATGAGCGACGGCACGGGGATCTTTTGAATTGGCATCACGGAGACCGGCAGCTAATGCGATGGACCGGGGTAGTTTGCTTGGTGAAGGAGATGGCAAAAGTCCATTTTTGGTTATCGAGGACGGGGTTCTTTGTTGCGCCGGAGAGGTTGATGCGGGCTTACTGGGCTTTAGGCAGGACGCCCTATTCCTCGTAGAGTCTTTTTTGTTGTTTTTTTGAAGGATCCTTTGTTTCTTTGTGGCTGTGACAGACCGTTTCCATGACAAACCGACCAATCCGATCTCGCCGTAATTCTCCAAAAGGCTGTAAGCCATGCCAAGTTTGATGAATGAAGCGGCCGGGAGATGACATCTCGGCATTGTCTCCTCTCGGCAGGAAGCCGGAGCGGACTCTTTTGTCAGGGGCGATGACATAATTGGCTGGTGAACGAGGCATCAGGGATCCGTACCTGTCGTGCGGCCCAGAGGACAGGGTCCATGATGCGGAACTTTTTACCTTTTTACAAGAGTAGCTAAGCGGGCACTTGTGTGATGTTACCTTGCGAATACAATAGTTCTTCAAGGATCTGTGGGGAGTAGCCGGAAATCGGAAAAAGAGAGTTGGATTTGGGGGGGAGACGGGGGTATATAAGATGGGTGCTTCGGCCTCTGCTTCTCGAGAAGAGAGAGGAGCTTTGGATCTAAGGTGTCGGCAAATAGTCCTAGGTCAGTGGGTTTCGGTAGCTGCAAGAGGATCCTCGTAGACCAAATCCGTCAAAATGCGGTCCTTCAACGCCATTGCCGAGCTTCTTATGCTCGCAGGGAGTGCCTCTGCTCTCTTGAGCCTGGACATGCGACCTCGCAGGCCCGAACTCGAGCCCGTCAGACTCGCCGCCAACGCTGCTACTCCTGGACACGCCTTCTTTGAGCAGCTCATTGACCATGACCACCCCGAGAAGGGCACTTTTCAGCAGAGATATGCCTGGAACGGAGAGTTCTACAAGGGTCCTGGGTCTCCCATTATCCTGATGGGACCTAACGAGAGTGCTTTGGATGGTTTCGAGGGATACACGACCAACAAGACTCTTCCTGGTGTCATTGCCCAGGAACTTGGTGCTGGTGCTTTGATCATTGAGCACCGCTACTGGGGACAGAGCTCGCCCTTCGACACTCTCAACACTGAGAACATGCAGTATCTCACTCTGGAGCAGTCAGTCAAGGATCTCGTCTACTTTGCTCAAAACGTCGTTCTCCCCTTCGACCAGAACCGCACCAGCACCCCCGACAAGGCCCCCTGGGTCCTCGCTGGCTGCTCCTACAGCGGTGCGCTCACAGGCTGGGTGCAGGATCTTGCCCCCGGAACCTTCTGGGCATACTCATGCTCCAGCCCCGTCGTCGAGGCCGTTGACGAGCTGTGGAGGTACTTTGAGCAGGTCAAGCTTGCTATGCCCAAGAACTGCTCTTCGGATTATGCCCAAGTTATCCAGCATGTGGACCAGGTGCTGCTGGGACGCAACCAGAAGGCCAAGGATGACCTCAAGGCTCTGTTCGGATTGGCTGATCTCGAGCACGACGATGACTTTGCCGCTGCGCTGAACAATGGATTGTATACATGGCAGAGCGTGCTGTTCTCTGATGCCTCCAACCCGCTGCTCGTCATGTGCGACTATGTCGAGGTAAGTTAGAGCCAGATTTCCCGAGGAGAATGTCTTGCTGATGAATGTGTCGATAGAACGTGTGGCCTGGCAGCACTTCTCCTGTCCCTGGAGCCAAGGGAGTTGGCCTGACAAAGGCCCTGGCTGGATATGCCAAGTGGTTCACCTCTGTCAGCTTGCCTGGATGTGAGTTATAGCCCTCTATGAATCAAAAGCTCGAAGATGATCTAACAATTGAGCAGCTTGCTCTGGTTATGGATACTGGTCGAACCCCAACGACACATCCTGCTACGACACCTACAACGCAACGAGCCCCCTGTTCACTGACCTCACTGTCGAGAACACTGCCAACCGTCAGTGGTTCTGGTACCTCTGCAACGAGCCGTAAGTCCAAAAAACAGTCACATTTAGTAAAGCGAGCATCTCATATTAACACCATCGCAGCTTCAAGTGGTGGCAGGTTCGCGGCCAGGGCAACCTCGTCTCCCGCCTTGTCAACGAGCCCTACTTTGAGCGCCAGTGCAACCTCTTCTTCCCTCGCGAGGGCAAATACACCTACGGCATCGCCAAGGGCGTTACCACCCACCACGTCAACCAGGTCACCGGCGGCTGGCGCAACGTCAACACGCACCGTCTGCAGTGGACTGCGGGAGAGTTCGACCCCTGGAGGCCCGCGACCGTCATGGCTGAGAACCGACCTGGCGGCCCGCTGCAGTCGACGCCCGAGCACCCCGTGTTTGTGGTTCCTGGAGCGGCGCACTGCGGAGATATGCTGGTGAGGAACGCCAATGCGAATGCGGGCGTGAAGAAGATCTTTGATGCCCAGGTTGCGAATGTCAAGCAGTGGGTGCAGGAGTTTTATGAGGAGAAGGGGGGTAAGCCACACTATTAGACGAAGTATATGAAGGGCGTTGGGGAAATGATCTTGAGGACTTGGATAAACCTCAGATGTATTGATAATGAGAAATATTACTCAATGAATTGATGTAAATTCACAGTGGATTCTATTCGTATGTACGTGCAGTGTCTAGCATTAGCAAAAGCCATGGCCAAGATCCAGGTTCTGTCGACATACGGACATTTACCTCAGAATCACCAAATACCTGGAATGACGGCCCATTTCTTGCCAATCTTCTCCTCCCCAAATCTCTCAATGTACCACTTCTTCCCGTTCACAGCCCTCGGCAGCATCGAAAAAATCTCATTCACGAGAAACGCCCTCGCAGGCGCACATCCCCATCCAGCAGCCATGTAAAACCCAAACCACTCAACCCACTCAGACAAATAGTGCGGATACAGCATGTACCGAAACAGTCCCGCTTGTGGAATCTGGTAGTGCTTCTCCACGCTGGCCGCGCTGCCGGTCTTATCGCCAGATTGCTGACGGATTCGTTCCTGGCGCTTTTGCTCTCGACGACGGATCTCGCGTAGTTCTTCGTCGTGGAAGAAGTTTGATGAAAGGCCAAGGTAGAAGATGCCGATGCCGAGGATGAACTGCGGGATGGATGATACAGAGGACCAGGCTTCGGCGGTGGTTGGGCCGTAGGCAGACAACCAAGAGGAGATGCAGAGGGCGTTGCACAGCTGGAAGCCTATGGCGAGGGCCCAGACGCCGACGTGGATGGGGGACATGGACGGCTGGATGAGGGGGAAGAGGACTGCTCGGTAGGAGTAGTGGATGACCTGGAGATGTGTGTTAGTATTATGTATGCTCATCTTCAGAGACACAGCTGAGAGAGAACACACGAATAGTCCACCGAGTACGCGATTCTGCCACGGCAAGTCATCGATCCCGGCTTTCTGCGGCAACGTGTTCATAACGTAGAGCAGCGTCAAGAAGCCAGGACACTCCATGGTCATCCATGCCAGCCGACCTGGGATGTTGAAGATGCTGCTGACCGACGTCTTGCCCATGCCGTACCATTTGATGATCCATTGCATCGATCCAATCTGTATTTCTCGCATAAGCATCAAATTCCCATTGCCATGTTCCATCATGCAGCCAGACTTACAACGGGATAGCCAATCTGCCAGCATTGAAGCAGCAGCTCGTAATTCTCCCGCGACGGCGGAAACAAGCCCTCAATCAGCGCCATGACGGATCTCCTCGGGCTGGACTTGGGGATATTCAGTATGGAATCATGTAAAAAAAATAATAAGATATTGAATCATAAACTCACAAACAAGAGACGCTGTATTAGTGAGTCTTGGCCCAACCAGAAGCCACAATCTGAGTGGCTGCAGCTCAATGATGTCAACAATCGCCGGTGACGAGACATGGCGTTCCACCGCGGATTCTGCCGCCCACCACCACCTGCCCAATCCTGCTGCAATACTGTTATAAGCCACAATAAAAGTAGCCCCGATAACTGCATGGTGTGCTGGCGCAATGGTAGCGCGTAGTCCTCCTATTGCTACCCGCAACAGGGAGATCCAGACTAAGGCTCAGGGTTCGAGTCCCTGGTACATCGAATCGCCATGATAATTTTTTTGGCTTCCTTTTTGTCATTACATATATACATAAGAGAGAGCAAAGTTCTACAGGGGATTCTTTTTTATTATTGTTATTAGACAGAAAGGAGATTTATAGCTGGCACTCATAAGGAGACACATCCGTTGGTCTCCTTGATACGAGATTCATTCACCATGTATTGAGAAAACACATAAGTCTTGCTGCTACACGTCTCGCCATAAATAAGCATAATAATGCCTGGTAAAGATAAAACACTGTGCGTCAAACAGAAACAGAAAAAAAGAGTGTCCATCATGCCATCGTCAAGGCCAAAACAACGCCTGCAGAGAAAATGCCCGCCTGCCCATCAATAAAAAACGCCAGTCCCGACATGATACCCTAACCTCATTCATCAATGGCTCATTCTCATCACGTCAACATCACATTACTACACAGTCTCGGTCTGATCTGTTCGAAATCGTTGCAGGAGGCACCGCTGCTCTTCGGTTGCCTGCTGGAACAGAAGCGCCGGGTCGGCGGCCACGGCCTGCAGCAGGTGGCCCACTACCAGTGCTTACACTCGATCGAGATACCTGCCTGCTTGCCGGGCTGCTTTCGTGGTGGTTGGGATGCCCTGGAGGAGGGAGGTAGGCGGGAACCTGGGCAGCCTGTTCGTACGAGGGTGGCGGCGGTTCGTCCGAGTGATCAGCCGGCCTGTTCACACCCGGTCTCCGGGGCGGGACAAGAGGACGAACTTGCTGTGACACTGGTCCCGAGTTGGGCAGAGACCGTTGGGAGGCAGAGGCAGAGGCAGAGGCAGAGGCCGCATTAGCGCCGTTGTTTGCGCTCGTACTGACACTGTTGGAACTCCTTCGCGGCAGGCTGGGAGGTTGGCTGCCGCTACCCGTTGCTGCAGAGTTGCGCCTTGCGGCGTTGTTGGCACCGGCATTACCTCCTCCAGGGCGGTTAACAGGTATGGGCAGATGAGCCTGCTCAATGTACTGCTCCGACAGCGCCCGCTCACGCTGCCGACGCGCTTGCTCCTCGCGGTGTCTCTGATCCTCTTCCTCTTGCAGCTGTAGGGCAAGAGCCAAGTCTCTGTCCTCTTGTTCGGTGGTAGAACTCGGCTGACCTACTTCCTCTTGATTTGTCGTCTCTTTCGTCTTGCCACGCTTGTTGGTGACGGTCGTCCAAGAGCCACCGCCTTGGTCTGTTCTGTGATCGCCGGCTCCGGTGCTGGATCCAGTTGTCGCATCGCCGCTTACGAGTCGGAAATCACCGGAAAGAAATTGGTTCAATTCACCATTGACATCCCGCAGGCTTTCCCACACGATTTCGTCGTGACTCCGGAAGCCAGCGTCTGTCACAAGTGTGAGGAGCTGCCGAGTATATGGGTGGCAATACAACGTTGAAAAGTGGTCGTTGCGGAAAAGAATGGCAAATGTGCCCGGCCGTATTGCCTTTTCAATGACTTCGATTCCCCAGGGCGTCAGTTGAGTAGCTGACTCGTTCAGGAATATCTTGATGGTAATGATGTCCTGGTATAAATCCTGTTCCGATTCCGTCAGGCCCTCCTCAGATGTGGCCAATTTGTCTTCCAGCTCCTCCTCGCGGAATAGTAGATTCTGTACGTCTTCGTAAGAGGCAGCGTGCCTTTCCATGGAAGCGCAGACGGCATCATCATGAGGCGGCAACCACCCATGGATGAGAGGGATGGAAAAGGTGGCATAGAGAGCCATCTCAGCCGTATTTTCAAAAGTTCCGGGAATGTACTTTCGCCGTTCGAGCGGGTGAAGCTCCGTGAGAGAAGTATGTTCGTATGCGGCAATCACCTCCGGAGTGGGTATGAATCGCGGGTTGACATTCATGCCGGTGTGGAGGCTCTGTAGGAATGAGTAGAGCTCTGAGACATCCGGCAGGGAGTCCTCTGACGACGTTCTTCGCGGAGACATGAGCTCATCAAAAACAGCATCCAGCAGCAGGCTCAAGCTGACCTGCTCTCGTGAGCGCAGCACTTGCACCAACGCCGTCTCGCCAATGTTGTCAGGTGTCGTCATGGTAAGTGCGTTGACCAGTGCGACCAGTGGACAGGGCCCGTTCTCATTCTGAATCAAGATGGGGGATACGCGGGGGTTGTTGGATGAGCTGGGATCATGCCACCGGATGTTCTTCACCTGGTATGTCTCGGCTTTGCCGTCAACTGGCGGACGGGACGGTGTCCACCTCACGCGGCTTCCCGAAAGCCGGGGTGGCAAGGCTGGCTTATCGTCCAGCGCATCTGTCGATGAGTCTTCCTGGGGTTGTCTTGGCGGCGAATTTGTCGAGGGCTCTGAGTCTATCAGACTCCAATCGTCCAATTGGGCCGCTTGTGCTGCAGAGATGTCGGATGCCTTGCCCTTGCCCTTGGCCGCATCCAGAGAGCCCAAGTCGTCCCAGACATGCTGCTCACGTACGAGGTCATCTGGCATTGCGGCGTTCTGTGGTGGGGACGATTGATTGCCATGCTCACTGGGATAATCATCATCCCAAGCTGAACCTTTGGAGTGCAAGGAGATTAGATCGGCGGATTTGGGGGAGATGGGCTCTTTTGCGGGCGGCTCTGGCGTAGAACGAGCCCAGGGATCAAGCTCTGAGCCACCGGGTGATACTGCAATGGGTAACTCAGCTCCATTCAGGGGAGTCTGCGCACCAATGGGCGGCTGCCATGGATTCTGAATGCTTGCCTCTTCGAGGCTCAGGTTGGACAGCGAGGCAGTTGGCGGCTGCAGCGTGGTTGGTAGAGCCTGGAGGTTTGTGTCGGAAGGGAGCTGTTTTCTCAGAAATGGATTCGTCTCAGCCCTTTGTGCGCCCGGTCGGAGAGCATCAGGAACCTGATCAGGCAGATTCAGGGTGGGCGGCTGGTTTCGAGCCTCGTTCCACACGCTGTCCTCGTCATCCGGCGAGCCGAAGCCCACTTCCGCACCTCCACCAGGTCGCAGCGACGCAGGCACGTCTTTTCGGTGGATGGAGCTTGATGTTGCACTGCTTGGGCGCTGAGTAGCCACATCCTCCCAAGCACCACCCGCTGTCGGCTCGTCCGTCCAGTTGTTCATGGAGACTGGCTGCTGCGATCCGTGCGGAGCAGCTTCGGTGTCGCTGGGAGGCTGATGGATGTACATGCTCGATGGAGATGAATCTTGTAAAAGAGGTTGTATCGTGTATTCTTTAAGCTCTGCTGGTTTATTCTTCAATCAAAAATTGGAAACGAGAGGCTGAATCGCCGCCGTGAAAGGCGATGACTGTAGGAGTCGAGATCGGGATCGGGTGGGGAGAATAGATTCGGGATGTCGTCACTGAATCGGCGTTCAAGACCAGCAGCGCATGGTGGCGGATGAGTAGGCAAACACCGTTGAGGCGTGACGACGATGATGATGATGCTAGAAAAACACAATTGCAGGGATTTGGAATCAGACGAGAAAAAGGGCTCGCCGGTGGATTTGGCAGAGTTCAGAGTTCTTCTAGGTGCTGGTTGGAAAGTCAAGATTCGTCCTCAGGCACAGTGACATGCGAGTAACTTGGGGAAGATTGGGGAACTGCTGTGGCGGTGCACGCGTGGATGCTGCAGTGAAGCAGCTAAGCAGGCGCGAAGCTGTGTAGGAGCTGCCGTGGTACGCATGGTACGGTAGACGGAGTACGTATGCCTGCCTGTTGCGGTTTAGCGGGGGCTGGAGGTAGTGACGCACGAAGCTCATCCGCCACGCAATGCAGCAGGATTGAGGCTGAGGTGGCGGTTCTTGCAGGTACTGCAAATAGCATAGGTACATGGACTTTTGCGAGGCTGAATGCAATTAAAAAGATGCCCAATATGAAATACGATGCATAACAAAACAAAATCCACATGCGGAAACAGTTGAATTGTGATCTCATCATGTACATATAAAGTGCCAAAGACAATATGGATTACTCCATCTGTAAAACTCAAACACAGCCACACGCCTCCAACCAAAGTAACTAGTTACATAAGCAAAGCTGCTTATTCAACCGTCTTTCCTCTTTCAGTACTGTACCCCACAACACCAAACAACACCAAAGACACAAGCTTAGGCCGGCTTCACTCGTGATGAACTATTCCAAGTGACATGATATGCTTTGCTTCCATCCTCCCCAATCATCCAAGGCGATATGAGACCAAAAAAAAAAAAAAAAAAAAAAACCCAGGCTGGCCTATCCAACATCTACTTCCTGTGTTCCCATACTCAACATGCTTTCATACCGCAGACCTCAAACCCCCCTTGCATATGTAGGGTGTCACTATATAATGTTTGCTACCAAGGCTGCTCTTGTCGTATTTACGGTGCTATATATAATGCAATCATGTCTCACCCCGTGGATTCAGAAATGAGGCTTATAGGTAGGTACTTGATTACCGTATCATTAGTACTAATACACTAGGTACCTTCACCCAACCAGGTGACTGTGTGGATCTGTGCTACACAAGCTCGACTGCAACACAGATGCCTTAGACATGTTTCATGTAATCGAGCCGTACGAGTTTTCTTCTTCTTAAATAGGAGCTAGCAGCCATGTTTTCCCTTGCGCAGCACCATTTTCCTATACTGCAGGTCGCAAACGTATCTTCAACAACTCCTTGTCGCTAAGCATTTCCAATTGCATTCCGCAGATCGGTTCCCTCATTTACCCCCACTCTAAGCAAGTTTCTATAGCAAAATGGAGGCATTCGATGGACTTGTCAAGTTCTATCCAGAGTATGCCCTCCACCTCCGCAACGAATCATTCTTAACAGGCCATCCATTAGACAGGTTTCCAACAACGGAAAATATCTTGAAAGGCACCTTAATAGACTCGAATGATGGATCAGGAATCTTACCATATCCCTCCATTCTTAACCTATACGGGAATGGCTGCAGGAGCTATCCCACCAATGAAATCAACTGTACCGCCGTCTGTGCAGATGAAAGGGACCTGTTTGTAGACTGGCAGACTCAATGGAACTGCCTAACTCTATCAAATATGGCGATAAATAAGCCATATCCCCACAATTACAATAACTCGAATAACGCTGGCGATACCGCGAGGATCCTGAATCAACTGGGCGTCACCAACTTGACAGCTTTTGACAGCATCGGTGTTCTCAAAAGGTATATTGCTTGTGCAAACGAAACCTGGTTTCCTTCTTGGGATTCTTACCTTCCCGAATGGGAAGCTCTCGTTGAAACATCCCAGCATTTGAACCTCCATGAATTGGGAGTGGCCTTCTCTCATATTTGTGACGAGGGGATATTTCAAATTAGCTCTGATATTGCTGGACCAGGGGTGAGTCGCGTTTTCGCCCATGTCTATCGGTTTGCTGAGAAATATAAACTTAACATACATATCTAGATCCTATGCTCATACATGATGTCCTTTGCTATCGTCTTATATGCTTGGATGTGTTTCCGTATTCTGCATATCGCAAGTAGTATCGATTGGTTTGCGAGATTGACTAGGTATCAAGGCAAGATTTACTCCTTCATAACCTTCCATCGCTCTCGTTTGGCAACGCGTATCGACTACTCAACCTGTACTTTAATAGCCGAGATGCAGGAAGCCCAGTGCTTTTTCTCGTTTGCCGTTCAAGTCGGCCTCATGACCATTAATATCCATGGCCCGGATGGCCTCGGATCATCATTATGGCGCGATTTTATACTTAACCGTTCTCTTATGAAAGCGCTTACGAATATTGCTACTTTCCCAATTTTGTTGAACCAGATTCTCCTCTATAAATTGCACCTGGACTCTTTCTACTCCTTGTCGTTATGCACTGTGGTAATGGCCATGTCATATGCGACCTATGCAGTCTCTTTCATAAGGGGAATCAGCCCGAGTACGATGTACCTCACGAGCATGACCATAGAATATGGAGCTTGCGGTTCTGGTCCCGATTTAAGATCCCTTTGCTCTTTCGGTCAAATAGAAGATACAGGATTGCACCACTCTAGAGCCCTTATGGATATGTGCCTCGCGACTTTGATCATTATTTGGGCCCGGAAATTATGGAGAGAATTTGCAGGTACCCTATGGCTGAGGAATTATGCACAGAACAACTCGAAAATGAGGGCAACAGGACTGGCACACATGATCCAGTTTGGCCTCCTATTAACAAGCATCTTTATTTTTATTGTGGAGATCATTTCGATTGTCTTAATGGCAATAAATCTGCTCCCGCTATATGGTTTATGGATGTACATGTACTCCGGAAGTTTCCGGCACTCCGGCAACGACACTTGGTCAATCAGCCAGATTATTTCGGTGCTGGTTTGGGCACCTGTCCTCTCGAGATACTTCTACTTGCTTGTCTGTAAGTGTCTATAGATCAAGTACTTACGTTCCTTTTTCAAAGCTAACCAGGTTTTGCTATCTCTCAGTCGGTGTTGAGAGAGGTTTCGCAATTAGGCTTTCAAAGGCTTTTGCTGTTATCAGAAAACAAAAACAACCAACCGGACTGGAAGATCAAACGGACAAAGATGGCCATCCTAATTTCCGCTCTACAACTGCAGAAATAGCCGTCTAACCAGAGTGAGAGACACGAACTTGACTTTTACAAGAGCAATAATACATTGCCAAGATCTGGAGAGGGATGATACTGTGTAGAGAAAACTGGCTGGAACAACTTGGCAGACTTACAACCGGGACCTTAGGAAGCCGATGCTGTTTTATTTTAGGTATCTTGACACAAGATGTTTTTTTAGCATCAATTGATAACGTAATGGTTTTGACAATTTTATATTCAACAAGTTTCTTTCAAGTCAATTCTCTTATCTTGAAAGGATTTTGCTGTAGAATCATTTGTTTCTTGAACTTGAACTCGCAGCGGATATTGCATACATGGCAATCATGAGTTCAAGAAAACCTTGTGGTTCCTAACCAAGGTCAGGGAATGAATAATGAGCCGTCACGACTTGTCTCACGAAACTCAGTATCTCTCACAACGTACAAACTCAGACACAACAAAAGTAGATTTTCTACGCGATTCAAGAGACGGATAAACCTTCACCTATAGTGTTGGTATCATATGCCTAATCTCTCGCTGGCCAATTTAGCGCCTTGTACACGACTTGAAATTTTCTGGAATGCAATGTCCCTGGCGAAATCTGGACTACCGTGGCTTGGCTTGGCATCAATAGAGAATGGAGAGAAGCCTATGAAGATCAATCTATGTTAGTGGAATGTAGAAAAGATAAGATGCAAGAAATGTATTCATACCGCAATCATCCGTCGCTCCAAGTTGATCTATAGGGATGTATTGGCTGGCAAGCACCAACTGGTCGGCAATCTGTTCTGGTTTCTCTACAACGGGGTTGAGAGTGTTTATAACTCCGATGAAAGCAACCTAATTTGCCATGTTCAGCATAGCCTCATTTAACTTGAACTTGATAGAGCATAGGTGACTCACCTGTTTGACGCCATTGGCATCCTTTCGAATATGCTGACCAATCGATTGGTACACAGCCTCACGGTTCTTCTCAGATGAGAGCTGTATCAAGAAATAGCCTGCATTAATATGGAATAGCGACGGGAGTAACTTATTGTAATCGACGTCAATTGAGTGCACGGAGTCGCAGTCGCCACCGGGACAGGTGTGTAGACCAATGTTGGTTCGCTCTTCGGGAGTGAAGCGATCAAGGACTCTGTGTATACGTCAGTAAAATTTTCGAATCTTCCTTCTCATTAGTATTTCCATACTGGTTGATTAATAAGACGAATCTTTCGAGAAGCTCGGCGTTTGTCCAAGGGTTCCTAGGATCGTGTTTTAAAGCGAGACGACCTGATGAATGATATAATACATTAGTTATTTGGCTATTATTGAGTTAGTGAAGGTGCAATACCCTCGGTAAAGTCAATTGAAACTCTCTTTGCACCTGTTGCAAAGCATCCTCGAATATCTTTTTCGCACTGCAAATGACGTCTCAGCAGATTGCATCGTTGTGAAAAGAAAAAATTTGGGTCGCCAGCTTACCTCATTAATCAGGTCTTTTATAAATTCATCGCGGGGGTAGCCTTCGAGTTCACCCTGAAGAGGATATAGAAGGTACATCATACTCGGCGCAATGACAGCCTGCTTCATTGGGTGTGTAGCATAGGGTTTTGACTGTTTGAGATTCTGCCACGCATATGTTGCATATCTATATTCATGATTAGTTAAGCTTCTTCTGGATTGAATAAGTAAGAAAAGCGCACTTGAAAGGCCCTTTGACGAGACGCGGTAGCTGGCGGTGATGGCCATCTTCGAAAATAGCCTTAGAACCAGACATTAATCATGTCCTGTTATTCAATTTTTGAGAGAAGCCTACAAAGAATTGACCATCGGCAGCAAAATTGCTAGGCAAGCCTGCGCCCTTGAGGGTCCTGTAATCACTTCTGTAAGAAACACTATTTTGCGAACAACTTGAGTTATCGCTGCTACTCACTCCACAATAGGATATGTTGCGAAACTAAAATCTCACATCAGTAACTCTGGCAATTATGAGAATAATATGGAAGATTCCTCAACTCACGAACTCTCACGCTGCTCTCCGTCAGTTACATAGGTTTCTCCAGCTGCCTCCATTCTCTCGACAGAGTCTTTGGCGGCCTTGTCCTGGACCGCGACAAGTTCATCGTGGGTGATTTTCCCAGCATCGAAGTTGGCAATGGCTTGTTGTAGGTCTATTTTTCTGGTTAGCTTCAACTTAGCTTGGAGTCGGAACGCTATCATGTAGTCTTACATGTTGGGCGAGGCAGCGAGCCCACGACTTCGGTTGGAATAGGCATTTGCTGTACAACTTTTACCTTTTCAATACAGAATGAGGACGATATTTTGTGTGTTTAAAAAGAGCAAATATCGGTGGTAAATACGAAAAAGGGAAGGGGTTTTGGAAGAATATCCCCGACACTTTATAAACGCCAAGTACGTTTGACAGGTCGATTCAACCCCGCATCAGCAACGTCAGATCTTGGCAGGGTGGGAATAAATGTCTGGGACGCATGCATTTAGGATCCATTTTGTGGCACTGGACAGCCGTATAAGTCTGTCATTGGTGACACTAAATGCTCTGTCGTGGAAAAGTCCGGAGAGACAAATATAGTTTGGTCCGCGCCAGAAGTGACTTCATGAGCTCAGCGGGCAAATTAACTTTGCCTAATTAACGGGAGATCTTCAGCTGCAGAGGAGATTTGTCCAAATATGCTGGAAATTCTAGATAAAAGCCAATGTGTGCAAAACTTGATAGGTCTATGTATATGGTGTCGCAGTCGGAATTTGTGATGACAAGAGTTAAACCCGTGAAATATCCACAAACAACATGCATACATGGGGCTGCTGACATGCCGGGTTGGCAGTTGATTGACCAATAGCTAATGCTTCTGCAACCATAGATTATCTCAACTAAAGCTAATGGATGCTTTCAACGAATTGGCGCATGGTTTCGTAGCTCAACGTGGGGTGTCCTACTGAAGTCCGTTTACACCGCTGCTTGACTTAGTATACTACTACCCAGCAATAGAACAAATAGTTTAGAAAATAGGGCTTCCTTTCCCGATCGGTTGCTGACATCCGGCAATAGTTATCCGTGATAATTTAAGACCCAAGGAGCAACATGGTATTTAGCATGCAGGAAAAGAGCTTCGCAGTTTTTATATAAAGCAAAATTAAGCTACAAACATATTTCACCTTTTTGGGGGAACTTATAGAGCTTCAATTTCATCTTCAGAAACACATATATCTTTTATTTCAATCACTTTACACGGTTCTGCTTGAAACCTTTGTAGATTGCTGTCTCCGTCTATTTCAAGTCAAAGGAGGGGATGCTTGAATAGTGAAATGCATCCAGTTGACGTGAAATAAATAAAGATAATGGGAACAAAAGTCAGAGCGAACTCCACTGTTATCTCAAATTACCTCCCGCTCATATTGACGCAGGTTGTAAGCTTTGACAGCTGACCAAGCCAAACATGGCAAAGTAAGAGCCCTTACATGATTTGGTCTACGCCCTATGTCACTAAGGGCGCATCAGTCCCGCAATATTAAATGGCAGCCAGAAACTCTTTCATTTCGGCTTCCCTATTATACAAAAAAAACATTTCTATATTCTTCCGGTTCAATTAATAAAAATGCATCACAAAATCGTCGCTTTAGATGCATGGTATGTGCCTATTCCCCCGGATCTACTCAACCTACCACCCCCATGCGCCTACGAGTTGAAAGGCTGCGAGAAACAACTTATTTCAAACGATGATATTCATGAGGCTGTGAGGGATGCTACTATAATTGCTCTCACACACACTCGTCTTGATGCCTCAACTCTCTCAGCAGCCATAACTCCAAACCTTCGTTTGATCGTGGCCATTGCATCTGGGACTGATAGCATCGATAAGGAACAGTGTAAAAAAAGGGGGATTATGGTTCTTAATTCGCCAGGCACAAATGCTGATAGCGTTGCAAATCACATCATGGCAATGTACTTTGCTTGTCGCCGACGTCTTTTGATGATGCAGAAAACCGTGTTGAGAACAGATGAATGGGTTAAACATGGCACAATCACAACTTTGATGAACTCTAAGAATAATGACGCGCCAATATCATGTAATGAAGAAATTATTGGGCTTATCGGATATGGCGCAATAGGTGAGAAACAAGTATGAGTACAAAAGGAGCGATACCTAACGTCTTGTGAAATTGTAGGTCGGCGTGTTGCTCAGCTTTGCCGTGCCCTCGGGATGACTGTTCTGATTGCTTCTCGAAAAGGTGCAGTATCGGACGCTGTTCCAACTGTTGATAAACAAAAGATGGTGGGCACAGAAGCCGATGATGCTCGAACACCGTTCGTGGAAGTTCTACGTCGATCATCAGTGCTTGTTCTATGTCTACCGCGCAACTTGGAAACGCTTAACCTCATATCTCATGACGAGTTTCAAATGATGTCTCGAAGGACTATCATGATAAACGTCTCACGTGGTGGTATTGTTGATGAGTTAGCCCTCATTCAGGCTTTAAAAGGGGGCATGATCGATGGGTGTGCAACAGATGTATTTTTAAGAGAGCCCTCTGGGGCTGGTGATCACTGGAAAGAAGGTGATAGCCCAATTCTCAGGCTCAACCAAGCTGAAGCCGAGGAAATGAACTTACTTGTTACGCCCCATGTGGCGTGGTATTCAAGGGCAACAATAGATGGCTACTTACAAACGTTTAAGCAAAATGTTGAAGATTGGTGTGCCGGAAAGGCAAGGAATATTGTTGTATAGCAAAGGATGGAGGCGGGAGTATAGCAGGTTGGCATGTATGACTAGAGTGAGGCTCCCCTTTGAAGTTGCTTTAGAAAAAGAAATCCGCTTTCTGAGCAAAAGCATATGTTGCTATGGAAGAAGCGACAATGGTGATGAAGTCGAAAGAATATGGTAATTGTTATGACTGACTGTTGAGACATCCTCTGTGTTTGCCATGGTCAATTCCGAGTTGTCTGCAATATAGACCAATATATTGTTGCACATCTTTTGAAAGTTTAACCTACCCTTATTACTATTATTCCTATCTCCAATATAAAAACGTAATAAGTTATCCTGAGGAAGGCGAGTTGATCACACCCCTTTATATCTTTTGTCTCTGTAATCCTCCGTCTCAGACATCATACCAATTAATTCTGGTACTCTGTTCTAATCCCATGATAGAGACTGGTGCAGATTTTTGTGATTTTCTCCAGGCTCGATACAAATATATAACATTTGTCAGGGGGTGTTAAAGGCTGGCCGTTGCTCGTTGTACCCATCAATCATTACGACCCCCTCACGGGCTTCACCAGGCAGAGCAGCTCTTTAGCGTAAGCTGCGGCCGTTGAAGCTGCATACTGGCGCCACTCGTCGTTTTTATGAGAGTCCGAATAATTACTTATTCCCCGTATCACAATACAAGGGAAGTCGTTCATAAGGCCTGCAGCTTCCATCTCAAAGCAAAGTGCGTTTGTATTTGGATCATTGGCGTAAACGTCTCTTTGAGCTGCATCTTTCATAACGGTATTTGCGGATGCAATCGTGCCGTAAAATACATTGAAAGCCCTGCCTGAAGTTCGCGGTGGGCGCATGACGAGGGCATCCATATCGCAGCTTAGACAATCAGTTCCGCCACGATGTTTGGCATCCGAGCGGAATAATCGGTCTTCTTCTGGTCTCTGGAAGTTCGGATACTTGCTGAGCAATTTCAAATGTTCGTCAACTCCTCTGAATTTCGCTGGGTTATGGTGTCTTCGCCTCATTTCCATTAGAGCGCCAAGTAACACTAACGGCGGAGAATTCATATGGCCTGTTCGCTGAAGTTCACCACCAACCAACTTCCCATGGTCATACTGAATGACACCGCTGGAGGTTTGGCTTGGCTCACTGACAACAACATCACCAAGGCGAATGTCTCGTTCTGCCGTCGGCGCGCCTCCTGCAGTGCCCACCAATAGCAGGAATCTTAAGTGTGGAAAAGAGCGCATCATGTCTTTTGCAGCACGAGTGGCTGAGCTTAATCCATACCGGCCTGATGGGAGGCATGTGATAACGATACGATGATTGGCTACACGACCAAAAAAGTATGTATTGCGATCACCCTGTTCTGTCTCTGGGCCTTCAAGGTCTTCATCTAGAATCGCACAAGCCGCGTTATATTCCTCAGGAAGGGCACAAACCCATCCTATGGTGAAGTTCTCTTGGGATCCCATGATATAAAACACAATTGTGGTGTCTTTTTTGAATTGATTCGTTATTTGAGAAGAGGCTTGAAGAAAGAATTAATAGGTTGAGCTTAGAGTATTGTAAAATTGTCTTATTCATAAACCAGGCGGTTGCTCGATGCTTTATATATGCGCATCTGAGTATCATCGAGCTATCTACTTCAAATTGTCACCAGCGCGCTTAACACATATTATAACCATTGCGGAGCCAATCTAGACTTGGTGTGCAGTTTCGGCTTATGCAACCGAGGCGCGTATAAATTGGGCAGCCCAGTAGGCGCTTAACCCACAGCCTCATTTAGCAATATAGTATATTTGGCGCCTTCAATTACGAGGCTAGATACCACGTAGTGTTGGTCCGTCAAGTATTTCTTGTTTCATATTGCCTCTGTCGGATGCGTACTTTCTGGTATAGCTGGATTTCAGAGTTTGTTTGGTGTATCCTATATCCATGGTGAGCGCTTAAATGAGGGACCAATCTAATGAGCAGTAGTTATGCTGCATATTCAGAGGCAAGTTTAGCAGTTTGTTTAGTTACACCAAAAATTCGTTCTTCGAATTTGGCAGCTGAGGTTTATCGGCCTCTGAGAAACAAAAATGGCATATACCCAACATACCAATTTTTGTTCAATATACCTTTCCTGTAACCGCTATGTATAATGAGCTCTTCATGTTCTGAGCAACTCCACAAGCTATCGCGCTTTCTGTAGGCCATCACTGAACTATATACACAATATTGGCAGGCACATTTTCCAACATCTTATCATGCTCTTCACTCCAGCCCCCATCCGCCGTATAGGCTAATCCAACCCTCCGAAAGACCAACTCCGAAACGTCTCTGTGGGACAAGTCCGGATCATAACCCTCAGTATTTGCCTTGTGCCCCACAGCCTCTAGCACTAAGGCGGCAAATATGACCTTTTCCTTTACGGTGGACTTGATGGGTAGGCGCTTAAAACTGGCGATCGGTAAACAATATAGCGATTCAGTGATGACCGTATTCATGCTGTCGGGGTAAAAGACTAGCGGCGGCATCTTTTGCATCGCAGTTCCGTCACTCTCGCTCTCATCTTTTGGGGGTGTGACAAGGAGCCTCGGTTGGTGAATTTGTCTCCCGACGGCGCTCTCTTGAAGTATCTCGGCCGACATGGCCCCAAGATAGTAGTTGTACTCTGGATACTCAGTGTTTTTGATCGTAAATGAATGTTGGTCAGCCTTCATTTCCGTCTTCCAAAGAGGGCCAGCGAGAATGATTGCTGAGGGAGGCACCTCTGTGTACATGTCATCCATCACCCAGTCTCGTGGCTGATCGTGATCATCTGGTAGTTTTGGAACATTCATAGCACCGCCTATCGATGCCACAAATGAGTACTGATTGACCACTTCATCGTTGAGAAATGGATAGACGACTTCGCACTCGGGGTATGCCCAGCTCCATGATATAGGCACAGCGGGTTCTCGCAAGTCCTCTCTATGAGCATCTTTAACATATGCGAGTCTCCATAACAGATCCAAGGCTGTTTCCGATTGAGGTTCCAAATCTCCCTCCTCTTCGGTTCCATTTAGTTCGTCATACCAAATCCCGGCAAAGTATTTCTTCCCGCCCAATTTCGCATTAAAGTTCTTCGCAAGTCCTGCTATGGCAAATAGAGTATCGCTGCGGTATGTATAGTCTAGTTGAGAATATGCCTCAACAATGAGTCTCCAAGCCAGTCGAAGTTGCTTATGAGATGGATTGCTGCCAAGGATTCGCTGCATATCTCTCCTGCTACTTGCTGAATGTAATGGAATGTGAATGCCATCTTCCCATTCTTTCATGAGCTTATCACTCTGTGTTTCGAGTTCTTCGAGGCCACATTCACACTTATGGTGGCTGGCACATTGCCACGAAAGCTCATCAGGTCCAAAAATGAGGAGACGGCGCGACAAAAGGCGTTCTTGAAATACCCACGCTCTCTTCCAGACTGGAATATCGTCATCCTTGACCATGAATGTTGGATGATATATTGTGTGTCGATAGTGTAACTCATGGTCGTTGCCTTTTGCATCTCGGATAGAGACATGCTTTGAACCCCTCCTTGAAGTAGAATCCTGAAATAATCGTTTATCCGTATGAAGCCGATGGCTCTCTACCAAGGTAATGGAGGAGTTGGAATATATATCGCTCATTTTTAGAGAATGCTTCTTCCAATCGCTCTTGGAATCTTGTATAATGCACAAGCTGTCGATCCAAATGTAGCGTATCTCCTCCCCGTACTGTTCTTGGTGCCATTTTGAAAATTTTCTCAAAAATGTTATGGAGTCCTGATAAGTGGGCGAGAGGTAGTCCCATGGCACTTCGTCGAACAATGAATCAACGTTCTGCCTCGTGGCTTGAGATGTTTCCTCTCCCCAGCGGTGGCTCAAGCAAGCGTATCTCGCCTTTTTACCATTTGTTTTAACTAACTTGATACCGGACGTAGTATCTTCAGCAGCAATATCAAGAACTCTATCAGGCATCTCTGGTATCTCTCCTGCTGAGCAATCTTCATGCGTATCGTTGCATTCACGGAACCATTTCGTAGCCTTTTGGAAAGCTTCATTAGATGCAGTGTTACCAGATGGGACTGTTCGCTCAAATACAGTCAACCCACGGTCTGGAAACCAAGGCTGCCTCCACGGCGATGGAAGTTCTATACGTACTTTCATTAGATCTCTTGGGTTAGAAGATTGGTCATGTACCGCTTCATACCTGATTTGAGAAAGGTCTCGATAGCCCATGCATGCGCTGGTAGTTCACCAGCACCCATGTGGCCAATCCGAAGACAATGAGAAGCGGAACTTCCTCCTGTCGTAACGAATCCCAAGTCGAGCATTAGCTCTTGCCGCTCAGCATATCCCGGGCTGCATTCCATCATGTAATCATGGAGGCCACGTTTAAAGGTCACGCAAGGCGCAGCCTGGCCTTCGGTGTTGCGATGTGAAGGGCAAGACTGCCCGAGCCAGTATTTGAACGGAATCGACTTGTTCTTGATGAGCTCCGCCTTGACAAATGCCTGTGCCTCTTCCCACTCGCCTTCCTTGAAATTTGACTCTTGGCCATCGAGGAGGTCATACACTCTTGTCTCAACTATTTCGTTGTCAATTGGCATTGTGTAAATTGCCTCGATATTTTTCTGGTATTTATGTTTCATAGTCTCTGAGTTGGTCAGCAGATTCATGGAAGAGCGTATTTTACTCGGCGTCGGGCTGTTTCGAGATGTTTCCGAAGTTGTCGTTCTTGGAGGGCTCCCTGGTGTGGCTTTGGCATTTCCATTATCGTTGTGATCATTGTTGGGACTTGGCGGCCTAGATTTAGAACTTTCTGAAGCTTTATCTTCCACAGTACCACGAAACGCAGTTTGCGTGAAGCCAAAGTCGAAGCAGATTGGGCACACTAGATCAACCTGTTTTGGCCGAGCCGCAGAGGTTGTAAGAAGCCGGCGAGCGCTATTTTGAAGACCAAATCGAAGCATATTGAATTGAGATAATGTTTTGACTGAATAGGCCAACTGTAGATGAGGTTGCCTGATTTTATCAGTTGCGGCTCAAGGTAGGACTGACCATTCAGGCTGACTGCTGCTCTGCCTCGCCCCGCTTCCCTCTTACCAAACCCCTGACCCTTGAGATTTAGCGTCATGGGTTTGAATAGACAAAGAGAATAGGACCTAGAAGGAGCATACTATACCACTCGTTTCATGATGAAGAGATGCTCATCTTGAATCAGCCTTGTGTGTAATCTGTTTAAGCGACGTAGAAAGCATTTTCTATGGCCAATCGTCTTTCTTGCGGATGTTACCCTGCAAAAAGTTGTAATTCTGTGTATGCTTCGAAACGAGGCGGTGTACGGAGTATCTTGGTTGGAGATTATTAATCCCTTGAAGCCCATCTTGATGTATGTAACATAACTGAACTAAGAGGAGTTTCGTCCAGGTAAGATAGTCCAGATGCTACGAAGATCAAGCACAAAGCCCTCATGTAATCTAGTATCAACAGAGATGGCTTGCAGCAGCTCTTTAAATCAGAGAATTTTTTTTTTGGTGTTAATTTCCACCCTATTATGATGATGGCGTAACCTAATTAATCCAGGACTTGCAATTAAACAATAAAGATGTGCGATAATTACAAAATACTGCTGTTAAAGTAGTAGATCACCGTAGGTTGGAACATGTTTGAACAGGTGTTGTGAGTTGCCGGGGTGGACTATTGCATATTGAGTGATGGAAGGAAGAGTTTGTGATTGTAAGTTAATAGGCAGCATGTTACTCCAAGGTGTTGGCTATTAATTTAGTTGACGTAACCCTTCTAGAAACTACAATATACGGCTGCATCACTGCCTACAACTGCTTATATATACTAGGATTCCGCCTCCGCAAGTATGAGTGGCGCAATGCGGCCTCCAAGATCGCCAACGTCAAATTACATGTACTGGACACCCTGTCTTGGCAACGTAGGTTCTTGAAGGATTCTCGAGTATACATATGAGATCAACCAGCAATTCCTAATGTTGGCAGAATGATGCCCGCCGCAATAACCTAATTTTTCTTTCTAAACTAGACGTTAATACAACTATCCTCATTATTCTGTTGTCTCTTTTATGCAGAGCAGCGAGCCCATCATTTGCCCGATGGCAGCATGCTGATGTCGACCGGAAAGTGATTTGGTCCTATAGCATGTGCCATCAAGATCTGAGAAACAGAACCTTTAATTGCTTCTTTCCAAGCAAGAGACTTTTGAAGTTTCATGTTTACTTCCATCACGCATGGACTAACTCGAGACTTGGTGATGGCTAGGTGAGAAACTGGTACCTTTCTCTTTGGCTTGCGCATCCGGGCAAGCGGATATGGTTTCATTCGGATCATCCAATCCTATCTGTCATGGGCGCAGCAGATGCCGACTGCATCCTGAATCTGCCTCTATTTCGCTAAGACATGTTTTTCACCCCATTCAACACTGCTCATCCCGCTCTAGCCATCAAGATCGTGGACGACGCACCCTTGGCCTTTCCACCACCTGGAAAATGGCTTCTTGGAGACAACGTCAAGCAACTTTCAAGGCCACACATGGGTAAAGAAAAGATCCCGCTCGGTGTTTGGACTGCGGTTGTCAGAATCAAATGGACTCCGTAAACTGTTGGCCTGCTTCTCGATACTGCAGGCGGAGATAATCCAATGGAAAACATAGATCTGTTAGACTCCACCCAAAAAAGAGACCCAAATTTCCTCGTCTCTGAGCCTTGGTTCAAGCATAACGCTTTTGAGTTATTCGTCAAATCCGGCACTCCAGAAGTATTGCAGCGTCTATGGAAGTTGTATAAAGTTCCCGAGGCAGATCGACAAAAGATGATATGCTGGTTCTTGTCGCAAAAGCTAACAAGACTGGAGGATTAAGCATGCTGGGATAGCCGGGGGCAGACAGTAAGATTTATCCTGAACGAGATGGTCATTTAGAAGTAGTCAAGGTTATTGATGAGTTCATCAAGGGGACGCATTAACCTTTCACGAGAAAGCTGCATATAGCAATTGGGTTGGATCTCTTCCGGGCTAATCATAGTACCCCCTGCACCCCCCCGCACCCCCTAGAATGGCTGTCTCATCGACCAGGATTGAGGTGCTAATACGATGAAATAGCGAAGATAACCTAGTCGAATGAGTTCTGTAATGTTTGTTTGACAAGGCAAATAATTTGCTACAACGTGAATCCCTCACCAACTATCAAAAGGTACTTCGGATTGTCTGGTATCATGCGCGACACCTCGCTACATGAGTATTATTCTTCTGATAGGCTGGTTTCTTGTATTCGTGTCATTTGGATTAATATGGAAACAGGCGAGGTTGAAATGGCGCGTGTAGAAATGGAATATGATGTGCATATGGTACTCTACACTTTGCAGGCAGGCTGATATTTTCCCAGAACCCACAACCATAAGCGATATTCATGTAAAAAGATAGCCCCGGCATAGAGCCAAAAGGAACCCCAGCAAGAGTAAATTACACTCATCAGATGAGTACCGGATAGCTCAACCAGTACCTGACCATTGTATCATATACCCCTGGATGGAGTGTGTTCTCGATAAGATGGATATTTTGTCCATGTCAACTACCAGGTAAGTCAGACCACAGGGTAGGTGGCCACCCCCATTAGGTGGCCACCGCTTTTTCCCCTCAACACCAACTACACCACCAACCTAGATTATTGTAACTGCAATTTCTCAACGAATTGTTGACCAATTCTCAATATGATTAAATTTTCTTGATGGCAATGACCGAGTCTATTGAACCTGTTATTTCTTCCGCAATAAACGACGTCAATAACGGCATATCGCAACGAAAGGCTTCGCAACGCTGGGGTATACCCCGCTCAACACTACAGAAGCGTTTAAACGGCAGCCAGTCAAGGGCTGATGCCCATGAATATCACCAACGCCTTTCCAAAGAGCAGGAAGGTCATCTCGTTCAATGGATTTTAGTCCAGAGCAACCTAGATCTCCCCCCAACACATCAGCAGGTCAAGGAATTCGCTACAAGGATCATCAGAGCCGGCGGCGACGATCTGCCACTTGGAAAACGGTGGATTGAAGGTTTTCTGAGACGAAACCCTGAAGTCAGGACCGTCAGAGGCAAGCCAATTGATTCCCTTCGTTTGAATGGCGCGAAGATTAATGTAATCAAGGGTTTCTTTCAGTTTTTCGACCTCCCGGCGATCAAAGAGATCCCCGACAAGTACCGTTACAATATAGACGAGACTGGGATACTAGAAGACCGCGGCAGCAACGGGCTATCCGAGAGATTATCGAAAGAAGGCAGATTGCATCATCACTCAGAGAGAATATGGAAAAATGGCCAAGTTAGATATGTGGAATTAACCTGAATATTAATATTGACGGCCCTGTTGCAAGTAACAGAGCCACTAGCCGACAAGATTTAATCTATCTGAATAAAATCTGTGGAAATCTAAGAATGATCTAGAAAATCTCAGTCATCAGATCTCGAGCTGCTTGGGACCCCATGTCCTGAAACAATGATGCGTCGCGTTTCTTCACCCGGAGGTAATGTCGAATGATCTTGCTTTCCATCGTGGCTTCAAGCTCTTCAAACGTCATTTCCAACCGGTTCAGTGCTTCGTCAATGCTTTGAGGGAGCATTTCACCACCAGTCTCATCACATTGAGTGTTGATTCCAGTGTCTTTCAGCAACAGAGGCTCCCTTTTAACGCACCCAATCATGCCAGCGCTAAGGAGTGCTGCCAGAGTAAGATACATGTTGGCAGTGGCATCAATACAACGAACTTCCCAGTGGCCTGCCTTGATCTTTCGGATTGGTACGTTGCGGTCTTCAGTACCCCATGACACAATGTTGCCAGCAAATACCGGTTTCACGCGCTCGTACGACAGTCCGTAGGGAAGGCCAAAGGCACACAGCTGGGGGAGCCTGTTCAACATGCCGGCCAAGAACGATTCCTCATTCCGTGGTGGATTGATGCTAATATGGGTGTGCTGCCCTGACGATTGCCGCCGCAATGGTACCGGGCGTGGCGACATGGTGGCTACCAATCCATGGCGGGCAAATATGTGTTTGAGGGTATCATGGACCATGAGTAACTGGTCGACAGCTTGAACAGGAGAAAGCGGACCAAGGGCAATTTCATACTGCCCCCGAAGGCCCTCGCCATGGAAAGCCTCGATTTTGACCCCGGCATCCAATAACGTCTCGACTGCTTCCTCGATATGTACGAAGCAGGGATCTCGATAACTCGTCACTTGGTAATTGCCCATTCCACGGGAGTAAGGAACAAATCCCCCTTCTTCTGAGGCTTTCATAATTTCAAACTCAACCTCAAACCCGACGAGGAAGTTGACATGGAGTGTCTGCTTTGCCTTGTCTACTACTGTTTCCAAGGCCCGCCTGGGACAGAGACCCCAGTTTGGCTCAGGCAAGTAGGGAAGGTTCTCGACGACTTGACACATGACGCTAGCATACATGGGATCCAGACGTTGTCGTGTCCGTAGCGATGTCCAGTCCACCACAAGTGTATGGTTGCCCTTGAGGTCTATGCCTGGCAGCAGACTGTTGTCTACAACGCACTGGAAGGCGACTGGCCCCACGCGTAACGGCCTCTCTCCAGAAGCTATCACAAGTGCATGCTCAATAGGAACCAAGCGGGCTCTTAGATGGCCAGAAAGATCTTGCCACTGGAAACGAACAAAGCGGATGTTAGGGTGAGCAACCAAGAAGTTTGCAACCGCTGCAGTCATTTTCGTTGTTGGTTCGCCATCAGACAGGCTGTTCGATTTGGGAAGAATCTCGCCGAGAGTCATGGTATGAAAACTGACAGAGAGAGCTATAATAATAGACCTATTAGGGCCAAACTCGGGAGAGATTCGGGGATTGTACTTGTTAAATAGGGGCTCACCTTGTTGTGTTGTGCTGACTTGTTTTACTGGTGTAAATTGATGCCACGAAATAAATCAACAACGGATAGGACCAATTTAAGTTTAAATCTCTTGATATTGTTACTATCAGGGCACAATGCACACAAGCTTTGATCAGGTTATAGTCGGTTAGTTGGCAAATCATGACCTTCAAATCTCCTGCCCCCCTACAACGAATGACACATCACCGTCTAAGTGTCTCACAGCCTTAAATCCCTATGTAAAACTGCCCGACCGGGCGCAGGGAGATTACATGATCCTCTCGCTCACAATGCACGAAACGCCACTAATTTAAGTGTCGTGAAGCTTTGAATGTTTAAGTGAAACTGATTGGCTGTAGGACAAGTAAACTCCCCTGCCTTGTGCAACGCACGACACGTCACATTGATCAAAGCATCATGCAGCTTCGGAAGGTTAAGTGAAACTGACTGACTGCAGGGGAATAGACTTGCGTCGATTACAACCACTTATGTGTCCTTCTGTCCCAAGTCAGCCTGCATGTCGCTAGGCTTGGCAATGATAACCACATGGGACAACACGGATGTTTCGCCTTTATCTCAGTGAAAGAGCGGAAGCACCCTTGCATTATATGTCGGTCTAGATAATTAATACATATTTGTATTACAATGTTGCTCAGGGCCCATGCCATGATGTCATGCATGCGGTCGTAATTCTTGCAGGTCGGGTATCAGTAAAATGACGTCCATATAAACGGTTGAGGAGAGAAGCTGCCCCAACGCTAGGACAAACCACCTTGAAGTACTGCTTTAGGTACTACTGAACAGAGCTTCAAACTCATCGGCAGCTGGGAGGACTTTGCCGATGCCATGAGTGCCCTGGAATTCAAGCTGGTCATGGTGCCGGATGAGGTCGTACATGGGGAGCTCGGAATTGGATCGCTCCGCCCATTGGCTCGTATGAGTATTGCGACATTCAACACAGCCAAAGTCCGGACGTTTAGAGCAATGAGAATTGGCGGAATCCCCGGTTGCCCTCACAGTGACGATGAGGGCTGCAATACAAAAAACTTGGCATTGATGTCCTAGTACCGAGACTAATGGCAGCGATGGCGGCTGCATTACCGATGGCAGTCATTTGGGCAATAGAGCAGACGATTGGACGGCGAGTGACAATGCCCAAGTGACGATTAGGACAATTTGCTACAGTTGGAGTCAAGAGCAATGTTCTGTACTATTTATGCTACTTTCACATCTTCCATTCATCGCGTTCTCGGAACGTATGCTATTCTTTGCGGCGGAAATTTGGCGCCATGCAGTTAACCGTCTCCGGATTCACAGTTGAATCCTTCTTCTTTGCTTGCTATTGTTTGTATACAAAGAAAGGCGATTGCCTAGAGCTACAATAACAAGCACTTTCGAAGGTGGCTGGGCTTGATAGTCGGTATCTAGAAAGTGTAAGAACTCTATCGTCATGACCCATACGAGCCGACCGAGATTGACACTTATTGCTTTCTGTGAACTGACGTATTGTGGCATCCATATAGATGACCACTGATGTGTCACAAATTAGCCAACTGGATGGTGATTACATGTAGCAACACACTCCCCCACGCAATATTTCTCTTTATTTGTGCTCTTTGATGGATGAAACTCGTCGGAATTGGACGATGGACCAGACAATGATGCTGAATTGACGATCAAGCAGAGCAATTTGGGCATGTTTGGTTGCTATTATCGTTATTTGCCTGGTGCCAAGATGGAGATAACCTTTTAATATTAGGCGACGCTTATAAGTCGTCACAGGACAGCGTTATGCTTTTAACGGATTCTTGCATTCACTGAAGACGGCTACTGAGTGAATGAAGCATTATTTTATCACTAACTACGCCACTACTAAGGCATACACTTGAGCAATGCACAGCATCGTCGCAGAGCTGGAGCCATGTTCAACAGCAACGACATTCAAGTTTGCTCACGGATTAGAACATCTGGCGGAAGAAGTATACTTGCTTAAAATTGGCACGCTGTGGAGCGAGTATTGCCGGGTACATATAGGCAACCATAATGCTGACAGCAGGTTCAGACTGATCTGTGAAAGTTTGTCAGCGGTATATCACGGCCACGTACGTACTTGATACCAGATTATGAGCATATTGCCTTCAGCTCAAATTACTAGTGCATAACTGGTTTCCATCTTCAGGTGACGTTTACTCAAAGCAAATACCAGGATCAGGTAAGAAATGCCTCCTCTCCGCGTAAGGCTGAGAAAGATTTGTGCAGCACAGACCATTTCGTGGCCTTATGATACCAATGTGTGGATAGGATAACCACAGTTGTTGAGCCAACAATCAAGTCCCAAGAACAAAGCTAGTAGCAGAATAATATCTCAGTTTCAGATTTGACCTTCGGTGCGACATATTTTTCAGCTTTATTGCGATTGAAACCCCTCTCTGTCATCTGCATGGTTCAGCCTCAAGTTCCCTCTTCGACAGGGCCAGAGCGATTCATCAATTTTCAAACCATCCATTAGGTATTCGGACATCAGGATTAGGGTAATTATGGCTGGGCGTGCTATCACCCAAGATGCGTTGGAATATGAACCCAGTTTACCGCCGGCCTATCGAGACGAAGACATCCCGGTCCCGCCACCAGAATATAGAGCAGCATCATCGTTATACTATCGCCACTTCCCTTCAATCATGACAATAAAAGCCGGATGGTCAAAATCTTTTACAATTTGTAACACACACTCAAATGAGGACCTCTATTTTGCAGAATTCCACCCTTTTAACTGGTTCTGTACAAAACCCCTCGGCCCAAGAGCAGGCTTTATTTTGCACAACGGAACCAGCCGCGAAGACGCCGCTCTTGCTGCTGTTGGCGATATTACCCTTTTTGAGCAACGGATCAATGCCTTTAGCAACAAGAGTCACATTTTGCTCCCGCCGCTACCGCAGAACGACAAGAGACAGGCTTCGCGTGATGTGACGGAGACGGAGACAATGACTGCAAGGTCAGTGGCAAATAATGGCGTCATATATCAATTCTGTATTGAAGTTGGGAGGGCCATGAAGAGGGAAAGGTTTGAATGGAGGAGGAGCGATGAGGAGGGCGTTGCGTGGAAGCTTGTGAGATGCCCCAGCTCCTCTCGAAAGGTCCCTCCCGAAGGAGAGATTATTGCCACATTGTCATGGGTGCCCGTTTTGCTGGCGACCGTCCTTAATCCGTTGAGTTCCAAGGCAGTTTTTACATTGCAGTTTATGAATAGTCTCGAATCTGGTGCTTTAGGAGAGCGCTGTGCTCTTACAGTGGTCATGAGCGCGTTGAGGCTATGGCAGCAACGTACAAAGGGGAAAGACAAGAGATCGTACGTTAGGATTGGCGAGAGGATGGGTGAGGATTAGATTCACAAGATACATACAGATGATTGACATTCCGCAGTCAATTATATTTTTTTTCTTTGGACTAGGACAAAAAGCTCACATCTTGAGAATCGTTGACATATCGAGCGTGAGAGCCATGACAACAAGCATTCTAATGAAAAACGAGTTCTCTGATCTAGGTAATGTCTTGTTGGCTGCTTTAGCGGGTGGAATAAGAACTTTGACAATATTTTAAATCGCATAACGGTCATTCGACGTTTCTCACGAGCTAAATGGTAAGATAGAGTCAGATGCGCCTGTTTATGAGCATCGTAGATATGGTATCCGTGGGCAGAACAATGCCCGCCAGTGAGCTGTAAGGCCAGACTTATGATCATCTGTACTCGAGATTCGGGATAGGCTATCTCATTGTTCTATCAGTGCAAATATCTCGGCATTCCCAAATTTTCCGTACACGCCAATTGGCGGTTGGGGGCGGGTTAGGCATCATCCCTTGCCGTGAAGGTGATGGATGCGGAAATAGGCGGAATGTTCCAGCAAACCAAACCGGAGGGAATCCGAAGGTTCCATATCCCAATGGATGCAGACAAACCAAGTGTGGTTGGAGCCGATGTAGCCGGTGCTGGGTTGAACTGAGCAAATCTTCACCCAACACACTTTAACATTGCGTGTGCAGGAAGATCCCGCTAATGTATATCCGCTACTAACCGTCACGAAAGGGAATTACTCCGACCATACTGTCTATCGTGTGTTCTTCTTTGCCTGAATATAAAACCGGACTTGATACATACTTCTTAAAGTCCAGCGATTTTTCATTCTTGCCTTCTTTTCCTTTAAAGAAACTGCGTTGCGCATGACATATATATTACAATGGCTCTCTATGATGAATTGAGTAAAGATATTGTCCCGTGGCTCTACACCCTGGCTACTTTTGTAACAATCTTCTCGGTATACGTACGAAACATTTCCATGTTACGCCAGATTCGATATTGACAAACTCAGGTCATTTCCTTAATCACTTATCGCATTCTGTTTCATCCATTGGCCAAATATCCCGGCCCGTTCCTTGCCAAATTCATGGAGTGGAGAGATGTTTATCATGCCTATCGCGAAGACAAGCATCTTGACTTGTATGAACTGCACAAACGATTCGTGAGTGTGCAACATGTTTCATTTCAACTTATCGATAAATTTCTCCATAATCTGAGCATTAATTTAATTACGGCCAATATAGGGCCCATTGTCCGTTATGGGCCGAATACGTTGTCGTTCAACCATCCTGCTGCCTTGCGCGCCATCTACGGACACAAGGCAAATGTGCGCAAATCGGATTTCTATCTATCGTTCCCCGCAACTCCGGGAGCGGTTTCTACGCATACTGCAATTAAACGCAGTGTACACGCCAGAAAGCGTCGCGTAATGAGTCATGCGTTCTCAGAAGCTGCTCTGAAGGGTGTGGAAGAATATGTTCTCGCCCACATCCGATTATACATCCAGAAGCTGGCTGGTGGGAGTTCTGGCGAGTGGACCGAGCCCAAAAATGTCTCGAAATGGAGCACCTATCTTGGCTTTGATGTCATGGGTGACCTCAGTTTTGGCAAGTCCTTCAACATGCTTGAAGGCGATATTCCGGAGAACCGAGAAGCAGCGCATTTGCTTGCCCAGGCCGCCAAGCGGCATAATACAGTGAGTTATCGTCCAAGATATCAGCAGCGCATTTTAAAACTTATGGAAATAGACTGGTCCACTGCCCTGGCTTCACCAATCTGGATTTGACAGGATCCTATTTCGAAAGCTGAACAAAGACCGTGATCAGTACATGGCGTTCAGCAAGAAACAGGTTAGATCTCGCATGAATAGCAGCATCTTTAATTCCACCCGAAAAGACTTCTTTTACTACCTGTTAAACTCCAAAGACCCGGAGACAGGTCAAGGTTTCGCACAGAGCGAGCTATGGGGGGAGAGCAACACGCTTATTATTGCTGGTATGCCCTGTTCACTATTTCCACAGGTTATACTAATGCTGATGCATCAAAAACAAAGGGTCTGATACAACGTCAACTACACTTACGAGTACAATCTTCTACCTTGCCCACAACGGAGCAGCTCTAGACCGTGCATACAAGGAAGTTAACTCCAAGTTTAATAGCGTCGAAGCGATTAGAGCTGGTCCAGAATTAAACTCTTGTACATACATCCGCGCGTGTATTGATGAAGCACTGCGAATGTCGCCGCCCGTTGGTGCAATTTTACCCCGTCAGACCCTCGATGGCGGTCTTGAGGTTTTGGGCGAGAAACTCCCAGCCGGCGTTGGAGTTGGTTGCCCGATCTATGCCCTACACCACAACGCCGATTTTGTACAGGATCCATTCGTTTATCGCCCTGAGCGCTGGATAATTGGTGAAGCTGCAAGCGAGGCATCGCTAAAAAGCTTGCGAGACGTCTTTAATCCATTTAGTATTGGGCCGCGGGGATGCATAGGCAAGCCTATGGCATACATGGAGTTGACCATAGCACTGTCAAGATTGGTGTGGGCTTATGACATGCAACTGGCGCCTGGAAAGCTGGGTGAAATCGGAGAGGGTAATCCTGGTCTGGGGAAAGGCAGAGAACGACCAGGTGAGTTCCAAATGAGTGATATATTTGTAAGTAAAATAGATGGCCCCTATGTTAGTTTCCGCCCTAGACAATAAGAGTAAGAAAAAGAAATCTTGTGGCATACAAGGACGCGTCGAACTTCTTGCCCGGTCTATTTGAGTGAGGTTCTTCTATTTGTGTTTCACTTACACCAACGCAAATCTTAATATCAGCTCGGTAACACCAGAATTTTAGATGCGTGGAGAATGGCAGCCACTCTCTTGGATGGGCTCGGTTCGGGCTCTCAGTGCCTTTGAGATGTTTGAAGACATTACTCGTATTGCTCCTTCTGTGCAATAGTGTCAACATTGCTCTTGTTGACTGCAGGGTGACCCCTATCCGATCTGCCTCATCGGATCTCGTAGATTGTGTATATATAAGAGGTCCTGCCCCCGACTTTGTATCTAGATAACTAAGACCTTTAATGAATAATTACATACACCCAACCTCTCTTCCAACAGCTCTTTTCGGGATTTGCTGAGACATTCACTACCCAAGGCAGACAATGGTTGTGAACAGGTCTAAGCCAGAGTTTGAAGTATGCGGCAGTATCGTCAATATACCTACTTCATAACAACCCGTACGAGGCCAGCCCTGTGCGAATGTAGGGCCATATTCTACTCTCATGAGAAATAAACAACTGTAGGATGGTAATTCCATTTAGCGTGGGGGTCACGTAGCTCGTTATGCGACTAATCTATAGATAACTCCTTATCTATAGGTGAATTATGGCTTATGCGATATTCATCTTACTCTCCAAGTTCTCGGTCTTTGTTCCAAAGCACAAATCGTAGCGCCTGCCAGCGAAGAGAAGTGTGTCTGATCTCTTTTCCGAAGAAATAAAACAGGAGGCCAGCGAGAAGGACTACTCCAGTAATGGCTGCCATAGTACCAAAAGCAATGCTGTAACCAACTTGTTCAATCCATGGGTTGGTGTAAAAGGAAAGTAGAAATCCAAAACAGGCTGTTTTACCGTTAGCTGGAGTCTCTTTTCTGCTGGATGCAGGCGCTCTAACCTTTGAAACCTAATTGTGCTACAACAACCTCCCCTCCAATTGGCCGGTACGAGTCGATTGTGTACACCATGCTTATGTTGACTGCCTGAACGATAGAGAAGTTTACTTATGGCCGGTTAGTCCACTACGTGCTTAGAAATGAGGATGAATACTTACGCAGACCTAGCCCCAGTGTTGGGACCATCCAGTGTAATCTGTTTTGGATACCGACGCCATACAGTACTAAAGCAGTTGGAGCTGCTAGAAGGCTTATTATTATAGCCGGAATCCTCATTTCTGGTTCTCGGACACCGCCATTCCTCTTGGTGAAATAATCGGCAACGATGTCAGTAAACTTCCCTCCAAAGGCGATGCCAATAAGGGAACCAATCAGAGCCGAGACGAAGCATAGCCCGGACTGATATGGCTCAAACTTGTAGACTTGGGAGAATGCAGCCGAAAATGTGGAAGAGACTGCAACTAAAAACCCGATTAGTACGGACATGACCAATGTGGCCCACAGAACTGGTGGTAGAATCAGAAGCCCAATTGGCCGAACAAATATCTTGACCAGCGGCTCCTCTGTGAATGTTCCATGAAAGACACGAAGTTGTTGGGGAAATGTATATTTTTGGGGAATACTCTGCCCCCTGAAGCCGATGCTTTCGGTGTGTTCTGTGCCACTTTCTTTATCCAAAGGAGGTGAAGTGTTGTCGGTTTCGGCTTCGACAGGGTTTCGGATGTATGAGGTTTCGGGCATGGTGAAGCATAATACAACAGTCATTGCGCCAATAAGGGCCACTGAAACGTAGTAAATTGTCCTCCATCCATGAGCAATGGTGATCAGACCAGAGACAATGATGCCTCCAGCAACACCACCTGAAACCGCAGCCGTATATACGCTATATAGAATTCTTTAGTATTTGTTCACGCAGCGAGGAGTCATACTTACGCCATCAATGCGCTGCGTTCATGGAGAAAGGAGACATCTGCAATTGTGACGGGAGCTAAACATTCACCAGCCCCTATAGCAAATCCCATCACAATCCTTGCAGCGAGTTGATTTGCGTATGAGTCAGCCACTGCCGCCCAGATTACAGTAACAGTGTACAGAGTGAAAGAAGCAATGTAGACAGGTCGGCGGCCATATTTGATGATGAGTGGCATCCACGCAAGACATCCAATGCCTTGCATTAGAGTTACGGTTGTAATGAAGTACGCTGCTTTGGCAATTCGTTCGGTTGGTTTCAACCCCGAGTGTCCCAAGAATTCTTCCGCCATTTGTGGAAGTGCCACAGACGGACCACTAGCCAAGAAGGTGCAGAGAAACATGGCAACGCATGCTGAGATGGCAATGTAGTAACGTCGGATTTTGGACCTCCTCAAAGTCAGCAATGCATTGTTGATTCTTCTTACGCCACCCCTGACCTACCAGTTGAGAGGGTCATTGGGATCGTTCGTAGGTGGTGGGATCAGAATAATTTGTTTGGTATCTGGATTTCGGATGCGGACAGTGCCTAATGCGCTGCCTGTTGGGCCATCCATCTCGGAGTGTACACGAACAGTGTTATCGATGACAAAGTGAAGTATCTTCAGAAAACGAGATTGCTTTCACCTTCACATCAACTCTGGGAACCCTTGAAGCGCACAACCGCCTTATATGCCGGTTAGTTTCTAGATCTGGGGAGATCCAAGCTGGGGTATGAAAACAAGTCCCACATGAATCAGTTACCCCATGGGGAAAGAGGCGCGAAGTGGGAACCGAAATATCCGGCCATGTCTATCCGCGATTATCCAGTGTGTTAGAGTTTGGTTAATCAATCTGGCTCCCATTAGTTGACGTGCCAAGATCAAGCTAAAACATTAGTTGCTTAGCAATGTACAAATCCCTTCAATAGTCCATGATAACTCCGTGCTATAGTTTGATATGGCACTTCTAAACGGCAAGTCTATCCCTCCTGTCCCAGTTTTCACATCCATTCTGTTGTATTGATGTTGTACAGTACTTCAAGTGAGCCTCGACCAATACCAATGTTAGTAATTGATCCATGATGTTGGTTGTGGCGATAGTGATGCAATACCAGGTTAAGTAGGTGAATCTGCTGGAAGTTTGTATCCTGGCGATCAATTGATAGGAATAATGTTGAAGTAATGTGCCAACTTCTCCAGGCTTTCTTCATGAAGCTTTGGGGCAATCCTCGAAGTCGCGACTGTGCAGTTGCTTCGTCACAATGTAGTTAGAATTGGCTTATCACATAACGACGCACTATTCCACTGTGTCAAGTGTAGCCTGTCGCAGTTTGTGTGTCATATAGTGTTATTATCAAATCTTCATTCCACAGTTATTTGGGGTCGGTTTCGCATAGAGTCAATTGATACTTTACATTAGAACTGTTCTAAACTGTTATGAGATAATGAGCTAGAAAAAGCGAACAATGTCTTCAGCATTGTATCCATGGAGCCATTGCATGTTTCCCAATGAACCTGTCCACCTGAAGCGACCCCATATAAGCCACTCCTTGACCCATTGAATGAACGCAGTGTCGGGTGATCTCAAGCGTCCGTTCAAGTCAGTGAAATCTTTGACAAGACGCAACCGCTCACTCCGGTGACGTTCCCAGATGGTTAGCAGGCGCATATAGTCTGATTTAAAATCTGGGTGAGACAAAGTATGCGAAAGTGTCTCGGCATCTTCAAGACCCATCGCAGCACCCTGTCCTCCCTGAGGTGTGAAGGCATGAGCAGAGTCGCCGATTAAGATTACTCGTCGTTTGACACTCGTCCAGCGCTCTAGAGGTGGCACTTCGAAAAACCTATAATCATGTCAGAATTGAAATATTCAATGATCTATGTGTAAAATAGGTACTCACGGCAGCAGGCTCAGACCTTCTTTATCATAGTCTCTGGTGATGTCACAAATGAATTGGGGCCACTTATCGCCGAATCGCTTTTGAAGGATTTCTTGTACTTTCGTCTTGTCTTCGGCAAGCTCATTCCATTCTTCCCTTGATCGGGCTGGAAAAGGCATAGTCGAGAAGAAATCGACTACAGTCCCTTCGTAACTGGATGGCATGATGGCAACGAAACCTTTGCTGCCGAATACGAAATTTGGTAGTGGCACCTGGCTCGCCGACTTGTGAAGAGATTCACGCTTGACGCCCATGCCAATGATGCCCATGAACCCACTATAGCTTGTTTGAGTCTCCATGATGGCATCTCGAACCCTTGAATGCACGCCATCAGCTCCTATGACAAAAGATGCCCTTGCGGAAGTTCCATCAGCAAACTCCAACTCGACAGACTCTTTTTCTTCGTGTAGTCGAACCAGCTTCTTGCCAAAAATAACTGGAATTCCTTGTACTTTTAATTCGTCCAACAGCGCTTTCTGGACGATAGCTCGATGTACTCTTAGGCAAGAATAATTATAGTATTTTGGGCTTCCCTGCAGTAAGTTTCCAAGGGCCTGAGATCTGGCATTACTCAAATGAAGGTCATCGTAACTGTACCCCTGGGTGCGGACCACGTCATAGACTCCAACGTGCTGGAGGACACGCACTGCGTTAGGTGCCAGAGTGATGTTGACTCCTCGCACGTCGTACTTGGGCTGAAGTTCATATACAATCGAAGAAATTCCGTGATGTTTCTTCAGGCTGAGGGCTAGCGCAGGTCCCTGCATACATGGGTGTCAGTTATGTCAACAATGATTACAGCAATCGTCGGTTTCCTACCGCAATTCCTCCCCCAACGATGGCCAGATACGGTAGTTCCGACATTGTTTGAGTTTGGTGATTGAAGTTTGGAAATTTGGTAGTAGATACAATGTTTTAAGCAATGCGAAGTTGATGCAAAGTCAGGTAAGTGTAGAATTTATTGAGCTGTAGCTAATCTGTCAAAACATCTACCTTAAGTACACGCATATTTCTCCAATATTAAATCCCGTTTGTTTCCAGAGGGCGGAGGCTTGCCCCATGGGGTCAATTGTGACATTCATCATCATCCCTGGATCCCCGTTGTTATCCGTCCGGGGCAAGCCCATTAGTGATGGAGCTTACCGAAGCTCGGCACAGGGCGGAATGGAGAACTGAGAGTAGTAGACTATGTCTTGGGTTGCTGCAGAGTCAGTGGAGGGGATCTCACCCCATACAGGGCCTGTGAATTCTGTAGGCTCTGGGGGCATGTGAGTGTATTTTGTAAGGGCCATTGGACGGCTGTAGTGCCACATGATCTGATGCCCTTATAACTCTTGGTCTTTTACTTTATAACTTTTTCATTGGTTAGATGTCCCTATTACGTATCCACTGACGCCACTGCAGCTGAAGAGATAAGTTGAATCGAATACAAACACCGAGCGACACAAAGAAGAATACGCCGAAGCGGTTTATTCTGCTTCCACTATCTAGTTTGTATTGAGAACTGTGTAACAATGGGGTTTTTTACGACTCATAGCTAGAAGGAATTGCCTGCCATTAGGCTACTAGCTTCCAGAAGTGCTGGCCCAAATCAACAAGATGCCCTTAATTTAATCTGGATTGTGCAGAACTGATCAACTGCATTTTAATATGTTGAGTGAATATCTCCCCCATAAGCCACTCTCCGAACAATGGATCTCTTGCAATCCTGGATTCCTTGCAGGCCGGCTAGGCCCAACGTAAGGTCGAGGTCCTAGAAAATGTTAGAACTGACATCGCTAGCAACTTGTGCCCACTTACTGTAAGAAGGCCAAGTAAAACATCTTGCGCCCCTTTCTTGCCCGCAATGCCAAGCCCATAAACCCAGGGCCGTCCAACAAGTACTGCCTTGGCACCAAGGCATAAAGCTTTCACAATGTCCGATCCAGTACGGATTCCACTGTCAAAAAGAACCGCAAGGCTATCTCCAACTGCATCAACGATTTCGGGGAGTACTTCTAAGCTTCCGATGGCACCATCTACCTGTCGCCCTCCATGGTTGCTGACCACGATGCCCTGAACACCAGAACGAAGAGCCATCACTGCATCATCCACGTGCTGTATGCCCTTCAGAACAATTGGCCCGTCCCAGTGACTGCGCAAAAAGGCAATGTCTTCCCAAGTGTGCCTGCTGCCTTGGCTAGAGAAAAGGTCAGCATTCCACGCGCTGGCTGCAGCCACCACATCTTCTTCGATATCTTTGCCGGCAGTCTGTCGGTACTTCTCTTGGAAAACAGGATCTGAAAACCCGTTCTGTGTTCCCACGCCTTTCATGAAAGGGACGTATCCATTGTCGAGGTCAGAGGGACGCCATGCCAAAGCCCAAGTATCTAGTGTCACGACTAATACTTCGTAGCCATTTTGCTTTGCTCTAGACAGTAGAGACTTGGTCAGCTCATGATCCTTTGGCCAGTAAAGCTGGAACCAGCGATGACCTGCTCCGTTCGCTTGAGCTACTTCTTCGATACTGCAGGTCGCGGCGGTGCTGTGGATGTACGGAATGCCTAGTGAAGCTGCAACCTCCGCACTACCGAGCTCCTTATCATTGTGATAGATCGCCTGTACACCGATCGGAGCCATAATAACTGGACTTTTATAAAGGCGATCAAATAATTTGACACTTAGATCGCGATGAGTAGTTTGGCACAACATTCGCGGAATAATCTGTTGGCTGGTCAGTCGGAATGGACTGACAATGGGATGAGGTAGTCCGACAACCGACGTCGTCAGTTGCCCCTGAATCCAGTGCATAGTACTACGTAGTACTACATAGTACCGGCACTTCTTATCACCTACTCACCTTCCACTGTCGAAAAGCTAGTCGATTTGCTGCCATTGTTGATTTCTCACCAGCGCCACCTGAGACAAAATCGAAGCTTCGAGCAGTCATGTACTGTCTGGCCTGTTCCTCCAACTTTGTGGGATCAGTAGTGACCAGTGGGCGGCGGTTGAACATCATCCCGTCCACGTAAATACGCGTCTGTCGATCCTTGTAATCCATCATTGAGACTCTTCAATCAAACAGCCACTTTAAAATATTTTGATATCTAGCGGACAATGTATAGCCCACGACTTTCTTATGCTGACCTTGTGGGCACCCTAGTATTTAAAAAGAAAAACCCCCTTCTCGAGTCCCGGCCCTGAATCTACATGCATATTACTGGTTTTGCTTTGGCACCAAAATTCCTATCTCTATCCAAAATTTCGATCAATTTCTGTTGCGTGAGTGGAAAAGAACGGCTGAAGACGGCGCCAGTCTTAGCCACTGGGTTTGGGTTTAGCTTCGGCACTCCGATGATTCTAGTACCCGATATCCTGGCTATTCTGGGGTAGGGACGGAAGCGATGCTAAACTAGGGAATCGTCTTGTCAGGAATCATTCTTCATTTCTCTTATTCAAGCCCAGCTTATTCGGAGGTTGAAAATGGAGACGGCAAGTTAACACAGCATACAGTGGAGCTCTGGCGAGTGAAGGAAGTCATTCGAGAGGGTGGGAAATCATCTCCCTCATAAATAACTCTAATTCTATTGCAAAGCACATGCCTTTTCTTGTAACACTAGCAGAGTATTATTGGATTAGGAAGCAGAACACTTCCCAGAATAACTATGGATCGAGCGAGACCTTTGATGGTGGTTTCACACCCGTGAACAGCCGGGTTTCCAGGCATAAGTCCCGCTATTTACCGTACAGTGGGAGCTTCATAGTGAAGCTTCCGGCGTCTTAGGCCTCATATTTAAAGAGGCGAGTCTTTCAGTATGATGTCCATTTTCACTCATTGTTTTCTTACAATATTCATATATCATAAAACCGAAGCCAACTACATCATGCCGGTCTATCGTGTTGGTATGTCTCTTATGAAGTGATACTGACGCTGGCGTTTTCTAATTCCACTTGGATACTAGTACTCTTTCGACTAAAGAAAGATGCTCCGAAAGCTCAGGTTGAACAATTTATTACCGAATCTAAGGAAGTAGGAAGAAGTATTCCAGGTAAAACCATGAATTGAAACAACCTAAACCCAGTGGATTTATCTAATCATTTGGCCTTTGCAGGGGTTTTGTCGCTTGAAATAGGCCCAGCTCTTGATATGCAGAGAACTAAAGGTTACGATATGGGTATTATTCTCCAGTTGGAGACCCAGGAGCATCTTGCGTTGTTCGCTAAGGACCCACGTCATCTCAGGTTAGCAAAGGTTTCTACAGATATGCGGGATGAATGCTGATGTATAGAAGACTACATGACATGCGCGAACAAATTTGTGAAGACAGTCTTGCTTTCAATCTAGCTTTCTAAGTATGTTTATTGGCGTAGGACGCGAGATACGCCACCAGCGCTTCCAACCCATGTCTCCCGAATTAGGGGCTCTTAGATGAAGGATATTATGTCGGATTATGTAGTATCATTCAATAGAGACAAGTTTTCCACGGGCCTATAATATGGTTGTGATATCGTAATTCACTGACCAGTACTTTGGCAGCGCATTCAATACGTCTCACCGCTAATATCGGGACTAGCACACTACTTCATTGTAACTTTTCAGACAAGTAAATTTCTAACCAGCTGGGCAACTATGGTGAATTCCCGAATGCAAAAACAACCAGGAGAGGTATAATATGAAACGAAGCAGCTCGAGGATCGAGTGTATGCCCAAGAAAAGAGCGGAAGCCAAAGCACGGATGGGTTCATCAACGAGCCTGAAATATTGGATTCTGAAAGAGGAAGATAGTTAATTTACAAAGTATAATACCTAATGGTAATATGAAAGACACTATTCTACCTGTTTGCGTTAGGGATTAGGCCTGTAACAACCCAGAACAGCTGAAAGGACACATAATCCTAACAATCAATGCAGTGGCACTTAGTTTCTCCGCCACTCTAGCGAAGGCTCGCCGAAGCGCCGTTAAACAATTAAAAATTGACGAGGTGAGAGAAGCAGAACGTGGAACACGGCTATGGTGGGTTAAGACCGGATGAGGTGGGTCAAATTACGGTGCGGGCGCCTGGTGGCCTGGCTCCATCCTCCTACAATATAAAGTATAATAATTCTCCTGCAGTGTCTCAGTTGAAGATTCGCTTTGCATATTACAATCTCTTTAGTAACAAATGGCTACCGTTCGCATAAAACAAGGCGTCGTTGAAGGGTCTGTACTGGATGGGATCTATTCATTCTTGGGCCTCCCGTATAGCGAACCACCGATTGGCGACCGCCGCTGGCGACCAGCTTCCTCTCCACCTGCTTGGGAGGGTATCCGAGATGCAACTCGCTTTGGAAAGGCGGCAGTTCAAACCGTTGACACTGGGGTTGAACTTGGTGTAGAGTCTAGTGAAGACTGTCTGTATCTGAACATCTGGACCGCGAGTTTGGATCCGTCAACACAGCAACCTGTCATGGTCTGGATTCATGGCGGTGGTTTCCTAAATGGATCTTCATCGATGGATGTTTATTCTGGCCAAGACCTAGCACGTCGCGGCGTAGTCGTCGTATCAATCAACTATCGTCTCGGTGCATTTGGATTTCTGCGTCACCCAGAAGCTGGCGGCAATTTTGCAGCCACAGACTGGGTTGCCGCTTTGAAATGGGTGGCAGAGAACATTACAATGTTTGGCGGACATTCCCAGAATGTCACTATATTTGGCCAGTCCGCTGGCGCAGTCGCAGTCCGGACTTTGCTATGTACTCCAGCCGCTCGTGGCCTGTTTCATCGTGCCATCATCCAGAGTGCTGGTTTTGAGGATTACGCTGCCACACCATCACCAAACGCAGAACGCGTTAACAACACGAGCGAAAAATTCATGAATCTATTGGGAAGCCGAGATCTGGATGTACTTCGTCGTATCCCTACAGAGCAGATTCGGGCCGCTTCATTAACAGTATGTGGAACTCGACCGCCTCCTGGATACCTTCATTCTCCGGCAAATTTAGCATGGTACCCGGTACCAGATGACGAGGTTGTAATGAGGGAATTCTCCGCTTGGGATGAAGATGTCCCAGTGCTGTTTGGCTGCACACAGCATGAAGCCCGAGCTTTTTGGCGTCCAACGGGTCTTCATACGGGTCCTGGTCAAGAACCGTCAGAGATATATACCTTTAACACTCTAGCCAATATGTCCAACATCCTAGCACGCGGTGGCGACCACGAGATGATGAATTACTTTAGCAATGGCAAGTTCAGTCCGTACCAAGCGCTCACAGAATTATGCACCGCAGCTATTTGGATGGAGCCGGCAATGGCTACTTACCACAGATTTGCTGCATTGAACTGTAGGACCTACTTCTTCTTATTTTCGCGTATTTCTCCTGCTACCCGTCGTTCTGATATGCTGGCCTACCATGGCGCCGAGATACCCTATATATTCGGTAACGTGTCTGAGGATGGAGTTTTGAAGCCGTGGTTTGCAAAAAAGGCATCAGCCGTCGATGTTGGACAGTCCGCCAGGGACAAAGACTTTGATGCGACTGACGTACAAATTGCGAACGATGTTCAGAATGCCTGGGTGACTTTTGCTCGAACTGGAGAACCTCAGTTTTCGGATGGCTCTCCATGGCCCCAATGCGACACGAGAGACATGCAATTGACGGTTATTGGGGATAAAATAGAAGCCAAATATTGGGATATTGACGGGGTGGTCGGAATTCTCAGTTCTTTGCGAGAACAAACACTGGAGTGAATCTGCGTATCGAAGGAACAGTACAGTACATGAGTTCAAAGTGTACATAGTCTGCGACAACAGTTACCGTCACAGTAAATATACTAAAGGAATTTACAACACAAATTAATGATGTGGTGTGGCACTTCTGTACCGCAGCTCATTTGGTTTTCAACACCACAGTTTCTAATGAGTACACTGAATAGTATGCCCCAGTATTATATGGTGAGATAACGAGAAAGTATATTCGCATACTTGGAGACATGTTCGGTTCATAAATTATCAGCCTAGGTTTTGCCCAGTCCCAGCCAATGCCGCCTCACAACGCCTAAGCAACGTCCCAAAAGAACCTTTCGTCTCCGGGCTCAATGCCAAAAAAGTATGACATGAAAGGCTTTCCAAGCTCAGCTTCAGAAGTGAATGGTAACGCAAACCACTCATCACGGGAATAGTCACCTGTCGCTGGGAGATGCCCAGGCATAGGGTTTTCGCTGAGCATTTCCTCTCCGGACACTGGAGTGGACATTAGAAAATTCGGCCCTGCATCAGCTTCGTGATCTGCTAATTCTGTTTGAATATTTGATTGTGCAACCTCGGTGTAATGTGGCGGCGCGAGGATACCTGGGGAGTTGCCAAGAAATGCATCTGCATCGTTAAAGGAGAGTGACACCACCTCCATAGGTGGGGGATTGACCCGGATGAACCGTTCCCGGAGACCTTTTGTATTTTCTTTCAGTAATACAGCGTACCGGAAGCCGAGATGTACATCATCAACGGAGTTCAGGCACAGCGCTTCAACCGTACGATCTAACAGACCTAACAACCGGTCCAACTCATTACCGCGTACACCCAGCGCTAGAGCCTGTAAATTGAATAATTAGCTTGAGTGAAGGAACTCACCGTATAATTGGAGAGGATGCAACCAACATTAATCAAGTACATCGAGGCGGAAGCAACCCTAATGAATATCCGGGCAGGCAGGTATTTCAAGTTGCCATCTCGAGATAGTTCGATCACCATCTCTAGGACCCTGCTGCTGGCATCGATAACTTCACGAACAAAGTCGGAATCTTGGCTATCTTTAAGCTGCAGATTTCTCATTCGCCCGTCATCTTTCCACATTCGTCCCGCAACGGCTTGCAACGCCAGGGAGTTGATATAGACACGCACAAAATGATAGTCAACCAGTATGAGCTGCCAGCAAGTAGCGTTGTCTGCTACATATAAGCCACTAGATTACAGCATAAGGAACAGCTCGGAAAATTTTCTTACTTGCATGCGTCTTGAACCTGTCCCACCACTGTGAAAGTAGCGGACGAAAATGCCCCAGAAAAGCTGCATACCGACCGCTTCTTAGGAGCTCCTGCGTTACTTTCTTCGAAGGAAAGAGGAAATCGGATGAAGATCTTATTAGTCGGCTCAGTTCTATCCATAAAGTCATGTACTCGTGCCACTCATGGTCCAAACTCGATTCGGGATTTCGTAATGAGGACAACACACTGTCATGAAACGGCGTCCTTGGTAAGGAGCAACCAATTCGTGAAGCAAGCTGGCTTATATATACGAATAAAAGTTTACCCACTCGGTGGCGCCGGAGACGAAGGAAATTTGCGAATGACATTTCAGACGCTGAGTCAAGAACATCTGCCGGGGGATCGTCTTGATCGGAAAAGATGTCTAGTTCGTGACCCAGAGATAAAGCATTCCCAAGGAGCATCCTAAAAAGTGAATGAGCCCTTGCATCGCATACAATCAGAATAACGCGGAATTCCAGAGTTCTCAAATGGAATGCAGAGAGGAGATTTTGCTAACCAAGACATGCGATCTGATCTCTGAGCGGCTTCTTCAACTTCCCGAAGCCATTTGTTTGGCACTTGATATTGTCAGTTGAGGTGACAAATACAAATGCGGCATTTCAAACCTTTGCTATGACATGTCGTCTGCTCATCATCGGAGAGAGCCATATCTGGCTGCCAGTATTCAGTCTCCATAGGAAGATGGACACAGCGCGGGTGCCATTCCGCAGCCAACAAAAGGCTCTCAATTGTGCCTAGGTGAGCCATTTGTTCTTTGATCGCTCGCCGTTGATTCCAAACCAAGCGTTGAAACAACGACTGGCAATGTTCCCACAAGCGGTCATGGATATAAAAACCCCGTATAACGGCCCCGTTCACATCCAATATATGATACCGTGCCGAAAGAGCAATTATGGCGCAGCAAAGCACAGGCTCTCTAGAGATGAGGTCACCGTGCTTCGTATGATCGCTATAGAAAGGGTGGAGGATTGGAGACATGCTATTCATGTTTTTAAAAAATAGATCAATGTACGTGACAGCTTCTTGTGCAGTGATCAGACCGGTTCTCACAAAATGCCATGAGCTCCAAAGGCGCTCCGTATCCGGGGACGAGGATGAGAGTGGGTGGCGAACAGCAAGCCAGGGTTCCGATGTGATGACACGTTCCGTAGAACTAGAATGTCGGTTTGTTAATTGGACATTGATATTCACGCCCTCTGTTGGATCCGGCGCTCTTGAGCTGATATTATTGGAACGGATATATGTTTCAGGCCTCAAATTGTGTTCATGCGTAGCGGAAATGGGTGGGAGGCCACTTTGCTGAGTAGAGCGGCCTGTGGGAGGGAGCTGGCATTCTCTTTCTTGCCCCGGCGATTCGGTGTCCGGCGTGTTGAATACTACTCTGCTCGTGATACTTCTTGGACTTTGACGCTGTCGTTTGCGCGATCCACCCGACGCTTCCATTCGTTAACATGGCAATGACTTAGTAAAGTTGCAAAAGAATCACATAGATGTCTATACCAGTAGTTTCTCCTTGAGTTTGTACATGAATGAGGTCTTCAGGTGATGCATGCCTTGGTCTTTGCCTTGTCACCTCACCCGGGTGGGTCGGTGTATCTATTGCCAGTCAATGTCAAAACATAAAGAAAGACCTTACTCCATCGAATGGGTATTACTACCAGGTTTCAATACCTTCGATAACATTTACAGTCCTTTGCACATCCCCAGCGTCTGGAGGGTTGGTTTGCGAATTTCTTTCGGCACTAAATGTGCAATGGCGCAGTTCTCTCCTGCACCTTGTACAAGATGCTTGTAAAAGTCCCTGACCATTGCATTCCATGATGCATTTCACCTTTCGCCGACGGCAGTTACTGCACGCTTGATACGCTCTCTTGAAGTAATGACGGGCAACGTTGGGGGCAGCCATGCCTCCTGTGGGGCTTAAACCCGACATTGTAAATCACTTGTAGGTTCGATTTGAACCCAGCTCGATATCTGAGAAGTCGTGGATAGTCTGGGGATAAAGTACCACCCCTTTGATGACGGATCACGTGCAAATAAAGTGAATTTCGATAAAAGTCGGGGTAGACTAGTCCTAGATAGTTCATGAACTGTGAGGTCCGATCGAGTGTCTCCATTATGAATCTTGTCCCTCCACACCACACGTGCTATTTTCATATGCTATATTTGCCTAGGAGAGCAACTACCGGAATTTGGTCCGTCTGTCGTCCTTCATCCTATAGGATGTGGTCATATGGATCCATTCTAAAAGACTACATATGCAGCGTGTGGCCTTGGCGAGAAGCCTTTGTGCGTCTAGCAGCGAGTGGCGTATATACCAACCTAGCTAATGAGGTGACTAATTTTTGCTCGGTCGACGCAACGGTATTCTTTAATGCCTCTCCGAGTTTCGATTGATTCATTTTTGTACTCATAGGCCTTAATCAGCCACGCAAAAGCAAGCTCAGCTAAGCTGAGAAACTCAGGGTGTAAATGGGCCAACATTGCTTGCGTCCGTTGTCTTAGACTTGGCAGAGCGAATGGGGGGAATTTAGTCGCCATGTCTTCGAAGCATTGGGATCAAATATTCTAGTTTTGGATTACGAAAGCGTCAACAAGCTCACTTTCACTTCTGCTCAAGAAGAATTTCCGATGATTGGATTTATTTGGAATTGCCCCCCAGCCGTACTCTCAAACAAGGTCTGCCCTTTCTTTCCGAGACCCACCTGCCGCTTCCAACCGGTACGATGTTTCGGTCCCGTTACTTAGTGGCGGTCATATCCTCGCATATCCTGGCATATCCGCCCCCACCCGTCACTTCGCGCAATTGACGTTCACGTTCCCACCAACCCTATCAATTGAGGCATGTTCCTTTGACCAGATTGCTTCTCTTAGCCAGGTTTAATTTCGCTAAAAGTGTGACATCCGTCCTTTGATCACGGCAGCCGCCAATTACCGAGCCATTGCATTCTTGTCTCGCTATCTCATGACTCCTCCACTACGCCATCACTCTGTAAACAACAAAGGAACAGATAGGATAGCACCAAAACCTTCCATCTATTTTTTTTCCCCTCGTTTGGGCTGCGTCCATCTTCACTCAAGATGTCTTGTCCAAGCTGCTTCTCTGGCCACGCCAAGTCCCTTGTTCCAACTGGGCGTGTAGAGCTGCTACACGGTCGAAACACTTATATTTCCGAGCCAGGAGAAGGTGTCGCTGTTTTTGGTATTGTAGTGATTGTACCAGATGCTTTTGGTTGGGAATTCCCCAACAATAGACTGCTTGCCGACGAATACGCCAGGCAAGGCTCATTGAGGGTGTACCTTCCCGACTTTATGGATGGAGCTGCCGCCCCTGTTTGGATGCTGCAGACTATTGCTGATATCACCAAGAAGCAAAAGACTTGGTTGGAACATCTCTATCTCCCGTGTGTCGTTCCCGAGCCCCATTTTACAGTTGCTTGACAAATAACTACACTTGCGAATATGCGCAAGCCGTAGGGGCAGAGATTTATACTAATAATTTTGCAGTTACCATATTTCGAGGGCTGCTTATGGTTTCATACCATTCATTGTGCGAAATAGGTTTTCCGTTTCCATGACCAAGGTGCAGAGCTTTATTGAAGCCATTCGCCATTCCAGCGAAGCTCATTTGCCCCTGGGGGCGGCTGGCTTTTGTTGGGGTGGTTTACATGTTCTAGCCCTTGCTCGAGGATTCAATACTACATCGAACGGCGAGCCGCTTGTGAATGCCGTCTTTACGGCGCATCCAAGCAATGTTAAAATACCGGATGATGTCGCCGAGTTACGTGTACCGGTCTCGTTGGCTATTGGGGATAAAGATTTTATAATGCCAGTGGCTCAAATTGATAGGGTCAGAGAGGTTTGGGCTTCAATACCGAATATTGCAACAGAGGTCCGCGTGTATCCTGGAGCAGGACACGGCTTCTCTGTCCGTGCAGATCCACACAACGCAGCCCAGGCCGCACAGAGTGCTGAAGCAGAGAGGCAGGCCGTGGCTTGGTTCCAGAAGCATTTTCACAAGGGATGATGCTTGCTAAGTAAGTTGTGGATTTTGGCCCGCAAAGGGCGTAATTTCAATATTTTTACCAATACAATAGCCAAATACAAGGTCTCTGGTTTCACATTTGGTGTAAGCAGCACCAACAAGCCTACATACTCTCCGATAAAACCTTTGTGATCCCTCATCTTGTACAAAGTAAGACGGCTCTTTAAGCATTGCTGCAGCTATTGGGAATTGTTATACCATATAGTTCTTGTTCTAGCAGTGTGGTTTTACTAAAGTAAAGTTGTCAGAAATTGATGAAGTACATACATGTATGTATGTACCGCGACCAATCGTCGTGAGACCAAGCTCATTCTACCCAAGACAAAACAACCAATCGTACCAAATCAATCTCTTTGGAGGAGTCGAGTATGGATTTACACACGGATGATTGAAATTTCGCAGTCGACTTCATTGTATTATTTCTTTTTAATCCAGACTGACAAATGTGTCCCGCATCTCGTGGTAGAGATGTCCTGTTGAAGTAGACGAAATTTCACAGTGATGCATCTGTCAAGGTGACACTCTTCCTGTTTCCCCGTCTCCACAGCCGATATTGTCAATAGTAAAGCCTTCCATCCCAATTCAGGTAATTTATCTTATTATTGAACAAATAATTGAAGCATTTCATCCACTAGGAGCTCATTATTCGCAAATTGGCGTGTGACCCATTTGGGAAACTAACAATTATGTAACCACCCACCAAACCAACCAGGGCTTGCTGACTCACCCACTTTTGTCCATTTCTGCGCTTATTTGTCCCACCCACAACTTCATCTCTTACATCCTCAATTTTCACAGCCGCTCGCTCTGTGCCAAACACTCAACCGCTGCGCCCTCTTTGCTTTGATACATACCAAAGCATTGCAGTGGTAGCTACTAACTCTTGACAGCTTTGTTTCATATCGAAAGTGCCATAATATCAGTTTCCCGACCCGCACGCCGGCCCCGTTCCGCAGTTCCTCTTCACCGCGTGGTAACCCTCGGGTATACGACCTCGGGCCCAAACGCAACGACAGAATCTGTCAGATCTGTTTGCGATACGATTTCCCTTTGACACGATGCATACGAACATGGACTGCAAGGCATTTTTACTGCTCAAGCCCGGTTGCGCGGCGGTACGATCATCTCGAAATGGATGGGCAAGCGTATAAGTCAGGATTCAACGGCAGTCATGCGGCAATCACTCTGCAATCTGGTACTCAAATATCGCAACGTGGCTCGTAATGCCACCGAGAATCAAGTGATTCTCGCTCGCTCATTGCTGCGACCCAGGCCACGCTTGCTCTTCTGCGTATTTGCACGGAGCATTCCTGTGGGAGTGGCTCGCTCTACCAAAGCTGGTGGATGAGGGATTTTGCGGACACCTTGCGTGATGATACAGAGGTGGGGTAGGCGGAGCTTGCTAGCAACACCACGAATCGAGTCTCTAGCGCACGAATTGGTGGTCACAGGCGGCTTCACCTGGCTAAAGCTGTCGACCAGCTGGCCTGATAGAGCTGTTCAGCACCTCTACAGCGCTTCCCACGCCCTCTCCCGCCTCTGAAACGGGAGAGGGCCTCGCAGCTGGCAGCAGAAGAGCTTCCAATGCTTTATACCCCCCGATAACTTCAATCGCTCTCGGGGGGGGAGGGCGCCGTGGTGCAACGGTCAGGTCAAGCTCCCCCCTATGTGGAACGAAGGCCAACAACCGATACCGACGACAACCGAGTTCGAATCCCGACCGACGACTTTCGAAAAAAACGACAACCGATCCAGATTGGGGGGGCAGGGGCGCCGTGGTCCAGCGGTCAGGTCAAACTGCCCCTCTGGAGGAATGGGGGATACTAACAAACAGAGAGAGATGTAGGTGCCAGATTCAACATCTGGCACCGAACTCTTTTGCCGTTTTGATGAATTTCTTTTTGCATTTTGCAGTTTGCATTTTGCAGTTTGAACAAGTGCATTTGGAAGCGAAGCGCACGAGCGATATCCCTTGGATACAGAAGTGGCGGGCATCTGCTTTGCATGCATTTCTTTGCGGAAATTGTGCTCAGCAAGCGTCTCAAATCCCAAGTCTAGCCCTGCTCTCTCGCGATGTTGTTGAAAGAGTTGATTGGCAGTTCTTGGGGTTTTGGAACGCGGTCTACCGCACAACGCAATTTTCAACTCAAAACCAAGAAAGAAATGAACTCCGGAAAAAAATGGAGAAAAAATGAAGAAATGAAAAGAAAAAGAATGAAAGAAAAGAACAAGTTTTTTTTATTGCAGCTAGATGGTACATACTGAAAAAAAAATATTGCTTTACAGTCACCTTTTCCCACTGGAGAATTTCCTTGTGCACATGCGTTCAGACTCATCCTTCAAACAGACACGAAACTCTCGATTCGCAAACTTTTTTTTTTTTGCCCATCAAAAACGTCAAATTTTCTGCCGTGCCGTCTGGGATTATGGCTCTTGGCCAGGCTTCATTCGAAAACGCTTCAAAACACCAGAAAGGCTTCTTTTGGTTCCAGGTTCTCGACTTTGCGTGTTTGCGAAAGAACGGCAGCCGCGAGAAGGCTGACTCATCAAGGCGCTGGAAAATATCGCTAGCTTCAGTTTGCCTTAGGCCTTCTCTCTAACATTTGCGCTCTCGTTTCGAACTGAGCCGCAGTTTCTCTGCAACATTACTGGGCGAAATCTAGGCTTCTTTTTTGTGTCTGCTGACTTGAAGTAGTTGTGTTGTGGCATTTCATGAAGCACCAAACGGTCTTGCCGTTGCCTCTCAGCTTGAAGTGGCTTGAGAGGTAGCTGGTTTCTTTCTACAGGTCGGTCGTCGGAGTGTGTTCCCCAGCTTTGGCCATTAGGCGCGGCACCTGTTGCCTCTCTCCATGTTTATCGTATGGTGGAGATGGGAGCGATTCATCCTCATCCTAATCGCATGGTGCCATGAGCTCCCGCAGAAATACGCCCTCAGAGTTCGCGCCACAGCCCATACCACCGCAGTGATAGACGCAACAGATGTGTATTTCAGAGCACTCCCTAAAACACCGAAAGCACCGCAGCACGATACGAACGCGAAGAGAGGCGTCAAGTTCCGCACTAGATGGCCAAAGCTGGGCGACACTCCAACGACCTATAGAGGAGACCAACCACAACCACTGCGAACAGTACGAGAACAGCAACGGGCCCTGCGATGACGGTGGCAACGACGCCGACTCCAAACGATACCCGACAGAATACGACGAATGCGATGTCGGTCTTTCTGAAAGCAGCCCATTCAGCGGAGGTTGGAGGCAAGTTGCTTCTCGCTTTGTGGCCAGGTATCTTCGTGATTGACAAAGCCTTCACATCAAAGCAGATAATTTGAGTTGTTCCTCGACAACAGCAGCCACCGCCGGTTACGAGTACGTGCGAAAGATGCCTGCTACGAAGGCATGGCCGCTCTTGAAACTCTACGACATGGATTTCTTTTCCAAAGATGAGAGAATTAAGTGCCTTTCGGAGATGGAAGGGCAGTAGAGAGGCAGTCGAGATACCTGGGAAAGTGGGAAGCTTGACAAGCGATGCAAGCATGAAGGGCGCTCGAAAGCTACACAGAGCGACGCAAAAAACCGATCCTACGCAAACATTTCTGCGGTTACTGTACTTCCCAGCGCACATCTTGCCGACCGATATGTGGTAGGCTGACTTCGAAGAATACATGTACCAGGGTTCCAGAACTCAGCGCTGCAAAAATCGCTGTTTATCCACGTTCCCAGCCCTTCATAGCACTTCAAAGCACGCTGCGTTGAGATTGTCATTATCTTTCACCCTATCAAATCCCACCGCGAACGTTTTTGACGCTATTGGCAATTCTGGAGGCCTTTCTCAGCGGAAGACGCCTCATATACAATCTCGTTCAGCATGTCTGGCCTTTGCACGGTCAAAGTGACGCGTACATACCGTGTATTCAGACGAATAGTCTGAAAAACTGTTGTGGATTTTGAGTCACATGCATGGGAATTGGCGATATGTTCACGGCATATTTAGTAAGATTGGAAATCTATTGTTATACAGAAATGTATAGAGTACACGAATCTTGGGCTAACTTTTAATGATTCAGTTACAAATATCCAAATCTCCTCCGCTACCTGCCACTCCCCTCCCAACGCAATGCAACAACATGTCATAAACCAACCAGCCTGACCCTACTCGATGCAAGCGAGGATTCCAACTCTTCCAGGAGCTCTCCATAGGAGGTCAGGAATACCAAAGGCTGTGAATGATGCATAAAATTGTATCGCAGCGTCAAGCCGTCGGGCGAATGCCTGGCATGTCGAACCCTGGAAATCCCACATCGTCTCGTCATCAACCGAGACAAATCTCTTTCCATTAGCGTGGAAAGTGAGATCAGGTACGCTCTGCTTCTCTTTGGGGATATTGGCTTTGGGCTGAACTCGGTAGTCAATCAGCCACAGTTTGCCAGCAGCAACCTTATGACAGGCTCGAAAGAGGATTCCCTGCATGGTCTTCCGGTTTCTATACGGCACCACCGGGAGCCCCTCAGGAAAGAAATATTGCCATCTCTGATCGTACTCGAGGGCGACATTTGCGTGGTACTCTCGTAGAAAGGGAGGTACACTATACACTTCGTTCCATTCCCACTCGAGAAGTTTCTTCAAGTCCTGATGCTGGAAGCATATCAGATCATCTCTGGGGGAATAGGTCAAGTACCGGTCCAACCCGCTGCCGCTTGTGAAATGTCCGGTCCTTGAGTCTTGGCCAAACCACCGCCTTTTCGCAACCTCCTTCTGCAGAATCATGCGGGATTCGCTGCAGGCGTTCCAGAGGCCGCTATCAATCATGTATGACGACACATTATCGTCGTCAAGCGAGATGGTGAGATTCGGGGTCTTTGCCGTGAGGGTGTCACTAGCAAGCACCGCAAGGCTGGCGAGAACACAGTCGGAAGAGTTACTGAAGGTAAAGAACTGCGCACCGCGTTCTTGTGGTCGGATGGCAGCCTTCCAGATCATCTCCCTCAACTCGAATGGGAGATAAGGGAATAGCTGAAACTTCTTTGGCGATTGTGAGTCCATGTTGGAAAGTTTGGTGATACTGGACGCGCTATGATACTCGGGTGTGGACATGGAAGTAGTTGTTGAATTTTGAGAACATTTCGACGCAAATGGGGGGATTGATGGTTTATATAGCCTAATATTTTCTAGTTCATAACTAAGAATGTTCGAGTAATCAACAACAAAAAGTCTGATACTGTGATAGAGTTGAACCGTATTTGAGCCATTTGGAACAATATATCCCGTTCGGTATAACTAGCCAGCTTAACTCGTTGATAATGGATCGGCTATTTTCGTGGTAGAACAAGTGGAATTTCTCAGACATTTTTGTCTAGCAGTACTGACGTCTCCTGCAAGTTGAGGCATCACCGTGGGCCGAAGGGACACACCGAGGCTTTCGATCAAGTAAACGCATGTAGACAACAGAACCCTACCTAGGTAGTTACCTGGTAAGATACATTGATTCCGAGTAAACTCAACATACTTGGGGTAAAGTATACCTGGAGGAAAGCATATCTGCAGCAGATTCCTAAACTACTTAAATAATAAGTTTGCCGTGAAACTATAAATTCCACATCGCAAGATAAACGCAGGCTTCTATGGAGATGAGACAGTAGCAAGTGAGAAGTCGCAATATATGGATGACACACACCTACGCAGCATTAAATAAGCTATGAGTATAGACACGCGCAAGCATCCACTCCGTTTAATCATTGCAGCTGCATCTCCATAAAGGAGCTGCAAGAGGCGAGGCGATGCTTTGCCGGCAGTTGCTCGGTTCTGTAGGCCCGGAAGCGAGGCTTGCAACGACTCGATTTGTGACTTCGTATAGCAGGATTGGGATAAAGTATAAAAGCCAATCAGTGAAGGCAAATTACACTGTCTTCAATTGTAAAAAGTACTTACTGGCACATCGCACGGCTACTCTAGGTATGCGGTAGATTCTGACCTCTGCTGCGGGGCGATGACTGTGGAATTCGGTCTGAAGCTAAGTATAATTATATTCCCTATGCTGGTTGCATTGGCTCAGGCATGGCATAACATATCAAGTCATGATCTAATAAAAACATTAGCTCTTTGTCAGTCTACTACTCTACCACTTAACAAATCTTCCCATGATCAAGAAGATATCTTCACTCTGGCTTTGTCCATCGTCTCATGACCTGTAATTCGTCACAAACAACCGCAAAAGCCAAGAGGTTGACATGCGAGCTAATCGCCGATCCAGCCGGGGCATAGCTAGCGATGAGCTGGGGTTGCAGGGCTGGCGGAAGCCAGATGTTTTTGGATCAGTAATATTCCGTCCTGTCATACGGACCTTATTTTACGGGGACGTCGTGTACGAATAGTTGACGTACAGTCTTTCCTGATTCAGTATTGCTACTTTAAGAAGTGTCAGCACTAAGCAGCTAAACTGTTTCGAACAACTTGCCAAATATAGAGATACATTACACATACGACTTAACTGATTCGTCCATGCAAGACTTATGTTTACAAAAAGCCCCTGGCTGTCAAACGGCACAATGGCTCGGCATCGTTTGATACACCGCTTATACAACCGGACGTAGGGCGAATTCCTTTGCAATATATCCGATCAAGGACTTTATTTTAACGTCCGACTCCGTGTTCGCCATTGGATGGACAAATCCCGCTTTCCGAGACATTGTCATCCTAGTCTCATTGCTATTTGTCATATGTAATCCAACTCCAACCCAGGATAGGATTCTCAAAACTCCACTTTTGTCACGTTGATACTAGTTAATTTGTAGTAAGAAGTGCGACGAGTATATTGCAAATGCCTGGATCTTCAACTAGTTACACCCTGTGGTGCTTCATGCAGTCTCGAACTGTTCCTTGCCAAAGGTGCCCACCAGGTCCATTGTTAACTCGTTCTTAGCAACAATATCCGATTTACGAGCGACCAACTCTTCAATATCCCAGTTCGCTGAAATGACTCTCCCACTGAGGAACCCCGAGCGTTCCGCGTCGGCCGCAACCCAAGTACATAGCCCTCCCGTCAGCGTAGGAGTATCGAAGTCAAACTTGCGGAAAAAAGGATGGGTCATATCTGTTTCCACAAGACCAGGATGGATGCTTACAACATTGAGGGTGCCTCCATACGCGGCATGAAGCATAGTACAGTACTGTTGGCTAGCAAGTTTGCTGACGCTATAGGCAGCGGCCAGAGGATAAACAAGCCATGCTCCTGAGGTTGAGATGTTGATTATAGTAGCCGGCGTAGTTGGAGACGGAAGAGCAGAGATGAAGTATTTCGTAAAGACAAAGAATCCCTTGACGTTGACTTCCTAGAACCAGACAAGCAATCAGAGTGCGTCATTCTGGATGTAAGTCAGAGCTGAGAACGCGGTGGGTCGCTCACAAAGTTCTTCCACCATTCATCAACGGGGGCTTCATGGAGCGTCGGGCCGCCTTCATTCGTGGCCGCACTTATCGCGGCATTGCTGACCAGTATGTCTGCGTGACGGCCGAATCGTGCCTGGATCTTGTCGAAGAGCTGCCCCACTGCGGCTTCATTCGTGACATCCAACGCAACAAGTAGTGTTTCGATTTTGGGGTTGATGGCGAGAACCTCGTGTTCCGCTTCTTTCAGCTTAGCCTCATCGCGGGCAACGAGGACCAAGCCATGAACCCCGGCTCTAGCGAACGATGGCACGATACCCTGTGGACAGCAGCGAATCAGCATAATGATCTATACAGCTGTAGGACCGGAGCCCGAGGACTGCATACCCTGGCTCCAATGCCGCGGCTTGCACCGGTTATAATGGCAATCCTCCCGGCGAGGGAGTTGGAGGGATTGGTTGGGTCGATGACTGGGTAGACATCTTGGTACGTCTTCTTGGTGTACTGCAGGGAGGTGACGAAATAATCACTAGCAAGATCCGCCATGGTTCTGGTTGAAGCTGATTCTAATGTTTGTGGAGGACAGAAAATGTGTTGTTGTGTGATCTGAAGAATGAACTGCCCGTACTCTCTCTTTTCAATCAAAATCAACCTCTGGGATTGTGTCGGAATTTCGGGTTTGCTTGGTAAGAATAGGCATCTCTCTCCCGGCGACATTCATCTTCTCTGAAAGCCTCCACTGAATATATTTTCCGCCTATACTATTGCCTTATTGAACATTTGGTAAGTCTTACGGAATCACACGAAATCACCCCCAAGACCCATTTGTGTGTACAACTGATGAATATGTCTGCTACATCCTCGTCCAATCGGCTGATAGTGCAAGAGTACCTCTGTATGATTCCACCTTACGTGACATGGTTACTCCCTGGACCTTCGGCTTAATGGCAACTAACGAACAGTATCTCCGCCGTCGATTCAATTCGAAACACACAAGGATTGATGCATATTCATCCCCTACACGGTATAGGTTCATTTGTTGTACTGTACAGAGTAGTCTTGTTGGGCTATTTAGTGCTGATAACCCTAGTTGGTTGACATGTTAATAGTACCTGCACCAGCAATGGCCTAATCGGGCAACCCTTCGCTGCTCCATGGTCAAAAATTCTCTGACGGTAATCGTAAGCCCATATATACATACTTCCTTGGCTCAATAATTAACTGGCTACAACGAAAGAACAAAGACGTGGCTGTTTGTATAGTTCCAAGACATGATCCACTTGGCAATAATAGGGCGCGGGGCCTATATCCGTGTTGTCTCGGTCAAGTTGGCATCCAGCCGGTTGACGCTTACAAATCCAGTTTCATTTCCACCCTACTCCGTAGAGTTTGCCAATCGTTGCTATTGATATGTCGGTGACTACCTAACATGTAACCAACAAGACTCAGCAGAGACCTTGGCAATCTTCCAGCGCGTATCATAGTTAAGCTACTGCGCCTCTACTGCAGCTAACTCGGTTTCAAGCATTATATCCGAGTTGAGTGCGATGAAATCTCGCTTTCCTATCAGAGCTAGTGACGTCTTTGGACTGGTCAAGCATCCACCATGATGGCATCATGTCAATTATTAATCCGGAATATGAACCATCGGAAATCCTGCAATCTCCACAAAACTGAGGAACCAGGCTCGCCCTGGGAAGTACATTTGCCTATATATTGCCTATTCGAGGGGTTTCTAAATCTATAAAGGCATCACATAGCTTCCTAAACTTAAGTCTCAATTAGCTTGTTGCTTAACTTTCTCTTTATCAGTCTCAACCATGTCGTCTACCAGACCACGACTCGTTTTTGGCACTGCCAACATCAACACAGGCGCTTCGTTCCCCACCGCGGAACAGGCTTCAGAGTTGCTCGACGTTGTTGAGAAAGTAGGCATCAAGCAGCTTGATACAGCACAACTTTACGGCACCAGTGAAGAAATCCTGGGCGATATTAAGGCATCCTCAAGATTCACCATTGATACGAAGCATATTGGAGGATGGGTTCCTGGCCAGTCATCACGAGCAAGAGTTGTCGAAAGGGGCTTGGAAAGCTTGCAAAAACTGGGCGTGGACAAGGTATTTCTTTCTTTCCTCCCCTACAGCATCCAGGTGTTTATTTTACTATATGGAATGCTAAACCTAATGTGCAGGTATACATTTTCTATATTCACGCACCAGATCCCCAAGAGCCTCTTGAAGAAACTCTGGCTGGTATTGACGACCTCTATCGCCTGGGCAAATTCGAAAAGTTTGGTCTTTCAAACTTTAATGCAGATGAATTAAGGGCGGTTCTCAAGATTGTAAAGGAGAAAGGCTACGTCGCTCCTACTGTCTATCAAGGAAACTACAATCCGGTCGCTCGCAGGTCGGAAACGGAGCTGTTCCCTCTTTTCCGAGAGAATGGCATTGCATTCTACGCCTACAGCGCCATTGCAGGAGGATTCTTGACAAAGACGACAGAGCAGCTGCAGCAAGGGTCTGGTGGTGAGGGCAGATGGAGCAAGGAAACAACCATTGGAAAGATGTACCATACCTTGTACAACCGACCAAAGTTCCTGGAAGCTTTGGATATCTGGAACCAAGCGTCAAATGTGTCAGGCATTCCCAAGGCTGAAATGGCTTACCGATGGGTTGCTTATCACTCGGTTCTTAAGGAGCATCTGGGCGATGGAATTGTTCTCGGCGCAAGCAAGGCCACGCAACTGGAGCAAACCGTTGCAGGGCTGAATAATGGACCGCTGCCGGAATCGGTTGTGAAGACAATCAATGATGTTTGGGAGCTTGTGAAGGATGAGTCGCCAATGGACAACTATGACACTCGCAGGAATTAAGTATAGAGATGGATTTTTGTATAAAACAAAATTTACGTACAATATCACGCTAAGTATGCCGTCTTTAAAGCTGTATGTGTTTTGCTCTGATCCGTAATGCAGCGAAAATATGTAGTCGAAGTAAAGGATATGAACCAATACAAATTTCGATCACAAATATCCCCTAATTTGACCGATTTTATCAGTAGTGGACTTTCCCAGACAAGTTAATTCGTCATCGAGCCCGAAAATGTAAGAAACAACGTCACTAAGAATTCTTACTTGAAAGCCTGAACAGCGCTTACGTACATTAGAGGCTCAGACTAGATGAAAACCGAGATGTCCTGCGCTACGTTCAATGATTTAAAAGCATAATACTGCTATTAAACAATTTCTAGTCAATTCATCTTAAGTTTACTCTACAAGGGGACCCCACACTTCAGCCTTTGCGCATCTTAAAGGAGAAGAACCGCTCAGAGTCGGGGAGCGGCACTAACTAGACACCGCGTTTTTGCATCTTCGATCGCCAAGGGGCAATTCTAGCGTAACTAAATCAATCAATCATCCACACTTCAGCAGCATGAGCACGGCTTCTACGGAAAACGCGGTATCTAACGAAGAGTCCGAGACTAGAAGACCAGGCGGGCTGAACCGCACTTGCGAGGTATGTTTGTATTCACATAAAAGTAGAGCGCTGGATGAAATACTCACGTTCCGTGATTCAAGGGATGTCGGCAGCGGAAGATTAAATGCGTCGTATCACATCGCCCTGACACCGATGCACACAAATGCGCTCGATGCTCTAAATTCAGGCTGGATTGCGTGTTTCCTCCTCCCGCCATAAGAAGGAGGCGCAATAAGAACGACGCCAGGATTAAAGCCCTCGAACGGAAGCTACAAGAACTCCAGGATGCAATCTCCGAGACTCCTCCTCAGCTGGATTTGGGCAATTTCTATCCAGATCCACTAAGTTCTCAGTATATGAATGCATCGTGGGGTCCAGATTCTCAGCAGCAACCAACTTCTTTAGGAGACTCACTACCGTCCATGACACTCATGTCAACTGGGTACCCTTTTTTAACATCCGAAGACCCTGTGTCTTCCGGTCTAGTCAGCTTTGAGTTTGCTCAAGAGTTATTTTCGGCATTTTGTGAGGATATGGCACCGATTTATCCTCTAGTTCTTCTACCAGCACACTGGACGTGGCAAAATGCCAGAGATACTAAGCCTGCACTTTTTAGAGCAGCCTTATCGGTTGCTTCAAGTAACCGTAATCCAGAATGCAGCAAGATGTTATTTCGAAATGCTGCCAAATATGTGGCTGAAGAAGTTGCCATACACGGAAACAAGTCACTCGATCTGATTCAAGCATTACTGGTTCTGGCAGCATGGTACTGCCCCATGGATAATTTTCCAAAATTGATGTTTAGCCAATACGCAAACATGGCTGCCACTCTAGCATTGGATTTAAAATGATGAACAGTACCAGGTTCCATCGGCAAATAAAGCGTTTGTCCACTCGGAACAATTAACCGAAACGTGTAGAACTTTTCTTGCATGTTATTTTATCTCTTCCAGGTATGTTTTGACCCTGTTACGGCACAAAGTCTCTTACAGCTAATACGTTCTTCAAGCATGGCATTTTCCTTTCGACGTCTTTCTGTCCTATGTCATGGGCCTTGGCTAGATGACTGCATCAGAGTGCTCGAGTCGGCTCCAAACGTCCATTCAAACGACCTTCGTCTTATAGAGTGGACAAGCTCCAGATAATTGCTGAAGAAAGCATATCAGTTACAGGACTCTACAGTGGACCTCATGTCGACTTCTCGGATGATAGGATTTGCCGAGTTTTGAAGTATGGTGTTGAGCGTGCAAAGGCATGGAAGCAACAAGTTTCGAACGCGATCTTACATGGTATTATAATAGCTGAATCGCCAAATTCTCCAATTACGGAAGCTAATGGTACGCAGAGCCAATGATAATTCACTACCATATGGTGCTGATGAGCCTCCAAGAGCCAGCATTCTATGACGGGCATGACATGGAGGATTTCCGGCCCCCGTACAAATTACGTCCGTTGCCTCTGGCCAAAAATCTGGACAACTATTATTCGTTAAACATCGCCAACTCACTTGCCCAGTGCGTTGCATCAGCACAAAAGGTAATAAACACGTTTCTGGCCATCCCAATCGAAACACTCCAAATAATTCCGGTCATCTTATACACTAGAATCACATATGCGGCCGTGGTTCTGATGAAGTTTGATGTTTCTGCGCGGATCCCTCAGAGCGTTGCATGTCTATTGGATGATATTGAACTTAACCCCAAGGTGCTCTTTCTACAACTTCTCAACAAACTATCGTTAACTGAAGGGAGCAAGCACTTAGTAGTGCCATATGTCTTTCGTGGAGCTTTGTCACGAATGACAAGGTGGTATGTTGATCAATTTGAGAGTTTGCAAGCACCAGACCAGAATACCATTTTTGAACCGATGATGCATGTTGGAATTGATGTTGCTCAGCACAATGCCGATGTCAATTACAGTGGCAATGTAGAACTTTCAACGCCTATGTCAGGATCAAGTGCAAGCGTTCCATCATTGGATACCTTCGAATTGGAATATCCTTAGCATAGATAGTAATAGAAAATACCCCTTCTGTGTTAAGCATAAAACGAATAACTCAATTTTTTTACAAGACAAGTAGTATCACAATATGTCGTGGCACTGTTGCTATAAGGCTATACGATAAATGCCAAAAAGGAAACATAATACGATGTGCCATCTGCAATTGGCATTTTTCGTTACTCTTATATCTACAGACGGGCCGGCGTTATGGGTGCATGCCTCTTTCTCTCTCTCCAATTACAGCATTAACAATTGAACATCCCTTGTAGAGCAGAAACTTCGTTTGAAACCTGATTGCATCTTCATATATCATGTCTAAATTCTTAAAATGATAGATTCAGTGCTTTCAATATCGGTAGCCGAACAGCAGATTCCCCTGGCAACCCCCGAGTGACGATCTTATAAGCGCGGTCTTTAATAACTGCCGCGCTCCGCCCAACCGCGGCAGATGATGGATATCCTCCGCGCCGACGACATGGAAGACTAAGACGGACTCCTTAAAATTCAATTTTAGATTAACTACCGAGCGCCGATTTCAGCTAACAATTCGCGTTGTAATGCGAAATCATATTTGTCACGAAGGTGAAGCATCTCTGCACAAGGCGCGTCGCCGCGTGTGCCATGAATGTATTGCGTGGCCATTTTGCAAACTATGATCCAACGAAAGTTAAAAGGAGACTAGATTTCCCTATATAACATACTATCGGCCGTCCTTTCAATTGCTGAAAGATGCATACGAGCAACCGAATTTCTATACACAGTCTAGTAACCAATTTAACAGCTGAGATGAAGCTCAAGGCACTCTTTTTGTTAGCCTTTTCCGGCGTAAGTCATCAAGTGGCTGCTAACGCTATACCTTGCAACGATTCTACAGATGCGTCAACTTTATTAGAGAGTATCATTGACTCAATTGGAGGATCAAATGCCTTGAAAAGTGTCCATAGATTGGTCTACAAGGCTGAAGGGTAAGCATGGTCTATGGCCGCATGTTAAGCGGATGCATGAGACAAAATCTAACAAACATAGCATATATCGATCGCAAACTCTGACCCAAAACTACAATCTTTATCACTCGGACCAGTCTGTCGCTGAAACAGGCTCGGAAACCTTGTCCTTTGACCTCTCTTCGGGACTACGAGCTCGCATTGACCGATACTATCGATACAATGACTATTGGATTTGGGCACAACCTGGCCTAGAGCCGTCGATGAACTACAGTATCGTCTTAAAAGATGGTGCAGATGGGTTTGCATGCTTCACAAAGGGACAAAACTCCTTTTTCGTGAATGATCCAACCCAGACACTGGGATATGTGGATTCATACTTGGCCGATTATCTGATCCACCAGGCACAGCAATTTGCCCTCCCCTGGTTGCTCCAGAAAATGGCTTCCGCGTCATCTCATCTCCATACTTATGATATGGCCGAGCCGCTCACAAACAATCGATTCAAAGTCTTAGAACTCGAGGGTTCTGATATCAGTTTGATTGTAAATGCTACCAGCCATAGGCCTTACAAGATACGTTCCTTGGAAAACCATGCGACCTATGGAAAATCCACCAACGACTTGCTGCTATCTAACTATTCCACCGTATCTTTCGACGACAATTCCCGTCTCAAACTTCAACTGCCTTACCGCCTGCAGACAATATACAACTCTACCGATGTTCTGGAAGATGTCAAGCTGGACAGCATCTCCGTTAATCCGCTGATCAAGGCTGGCTTCTTCGATCCCGTTTTGCCGTCAAAAGACACATCCTCCCCTCAAGTACCAAAACAAAGCGCATTGTACCCTCGCTCTGAGGTCCACGAGTTCTTTGAAGCTGGTCTCTGGGGAGGGCCATTTGAGTCGTTCTTCAATACTTCACACGTTGTTGTTACACATCCGATTCCCAACATCCCCCAAATTATGGCAGTCTACGTTGGTTACGCCGATTATGTGCAACTCGTTCTCAATTTCACGGACGGTGTTCTCATTACCGATGCAGCACCGCATCGATCTCGAATTTTGATCCAATGGGTCAAAGAAACGCTCAACAAGTCGGTTACACATATTGTCCCGAGCCATCACCATCGCGACCACGCCGGAGGTGTGCCGGACTATGTCGAGGCTGGAGCAGTTCTCGTCGTCCCCGAGGTGGCCAAAAGATTCTACTCTGATATTAATAACGGCAGTGTCTCATTCGCCACGTACAATGAGAAAAATCCGTTTGTGCTGAAGGACGCAAACATCCAATTTCGGTCCTTGTGGAGAGACGAGAATCCACATGCTCGGGACTGGTCGTATGGCATCGCGACTTCGGCCTGTCCCGAGAAAAATGAAGGGGTGGTCGCATTTGTAGCGGATGTGTGGAGCCCTGATCCCGATGATGGAGGCATGGGAGACGCTGTGCGATTCGACATTGGATATGCGAGACAATGGCTGGATGCCGCTGTGGGCGACGGGTTGCCGAGGGATACGGTGGTGGTTGGAGCCCATGGAGGAAACACCACGATTGACAAGTTGGAGAGCTTGATTACTATTACTGGGTATGAGTATCCCAACTTGGAGACAAAGGACTGGAAGACCGGTGGCGCACTTTGCAAGCACCACTAGTTGGTGGATAGATCTTACTGTAATGTAATGTCGAGAAAAGGTGAGCGATTCCATTTGTACAAAGATGGGTAGCGTGTTTGGTGCTTGCAAGAAGACCAGCCGCTGCCTTTATTATTTCTAATAAGTTACTATAAATCATATCTTATCCATTATAGAGTTTGGCTTTAGTATTATACATTACACCTGGTTATTTTCAAGTGACATAACAGCTTATACCTGGCGTGATTCTATCTACCTTGAGTGATTTGAAAGAGTGCAATAGGCTTATCCGCAACTGTGAATGCATATGGGCATCTCTTTGAAATCATCATGCATAAACGAATCAACTGTAAAAGACATAACTTATACAAAATGCAAACGTTCATTTCGCCCTCTGTCGTACCAGAGCTCGCCACTCATGTTCAAATTTCGGTTCTTCAGTTGGCGCGGGAGCCAGATTGTCCGGCGATCACCACCAAATTCACGGCACACAAAGCCCGCCCTTGCATCAAGGATTCAACAGGGATCTAGTCTAGTGACAAATTACCTCAGTTGCCAGTGAACAGTCTAAAGCGTCGAGTGGCTTGACTTGGGTGTCGCACTGAGACACCAATCAACGTGCCTCATCTGCGGGATATCTGTGTCACATGGTAATATCCGAGCGTCGCAAATGGATATGGAGAGGCTGGCAAGATGTTGAGGAAGACTGAACTGGGGCGGACAGAGCAGTTGAAGATGCCTACGCGACGGCCATCCAAGAATCTCGTCAGCTCATGTCCCTGCAAAAGGAAAAGAAGAGTGTTCAAGAACAACTGAGTACAAACAAATCACCATGTTGCGCTAATCAGCCGTCAACCAGCCACCATCAAAAAGCAAGGTGCGGCTGATCGCTGCCCAGAAATTGCGCCAAAGCGTCAAGGGAGAGCGGCTTTGTCGATGCGGAGATCGGCCGTATCGCGATACGAAGATCCCTGCAGTCCCAGTCCCCAAGAGATTCGTGGAGTCAAGATCTTGAGACCAGATTCGCCCACTGCGAGTATGTGTCTCGGCCGCGGCAGTGTGCATCTCGCCCACGAAGAGAGCAGACCCCAATACGACCATACTTCACGTGTAAGTCTCATTCAATCACGCCCGATCGTGCTAGCCGCAATGCCAAGCCCGAATTTCCTTGTTATTCCTTGTCCTTTGGCCACGCTTTCAGCCATGCTTCCTTTTTCTCTATCCCGGAACGAAGCTAATCCGTGAGACATGTCTTGGACGATTGCACGCCCAACATGACGGATTCCAGGTAATCGTCTCCCCGACCCCAGCTCGAATCTAGTTTCTCCTTTCATTATTGACGCCAAAGGATAGTTTATCTCGGCGTAATTTTTCGCCAAGATGACATTAGAGTGGGAAATAGGCCAAATCTCCATGTTGTTTGTAGGCAGCCTTCCCTTCTACTTGCACCGTGTGGGCGCTGTCGTAAAAGATAGCCTCCGCACACCCAACAACGCCAAGATGATAGATCGAATGTCTCTCATTACTCTAGGCAAGCGTAGCTAGCTGTGACACAGCATTTATTAGTCTGGTGATCAGCCAGCCCTGAGCAGAAGCCTTCTACCAGCTTTGGATAAGAGCAGACATCTTATCATGTAAGGGAGGAGGAGGGGGAGTAATGCTTCATCAATCGTAGAAAAGGATATAACAAATGAGACCAATGCTCCCTTAGGCCCCCTTTCCTGACTTTCAACTTTCTCTTAAAATGATTTTGCTTTGAAAAACATTCCGAACTCTTTCGTTTTCAATATTCCTCGCTCGTTATTGCAATTCCCCCATCATGCTATCTGTTTACACACTGCCACCGAGTCCCGCCAACTGGGACAAGGTTGGCGTCTTTTACATCTCTTGGTGTGTATCATGGACGACACTACTCATCGCAGGCATGGTTTTCTGCTGGTTCAATAGAAACCTTCCCGTCCTAAAGATTCGTGGCCTGCCACTGTCCTTCTCCGCCATTGCGTTTCTGCACATATATTGGATTCTCGCGCAAATCACATATCCTATTGGGGCTACCATGCCACTAGTGCTCGCATACGATATTCAATACTTCTTCATGAGTCTATGGTTCCCGCTCGGAGTCGCCCTGTTCCACGCGTCTAATCTCCGATTTCTTCGCGTGGCAAGACTGCAGAAACAGTTCACTCACCCTGCCCGTCGTATCGAGCCAGGCTGCAATGGCGCAAGAACTTCGTGCCTTTGTCGTCTTAGAAACATGGACTATACAAAGCGATCCCTTCTTTTCATTGGCCTTGGAATGATCATCCAGGTGAGTATGTCTAAGACTCCGCGTTGACAAGTCGAGAGTTTTCCTTCCCTTTGCTCACGTGCTAAACGTTGCATTCAGGTCCTTCTCACAGTCGGTATGTGGGTAGCATGTCGAAAATACCATCCGACGTTTGGCATTCCTGGTACCGAACTTCGTGGCGCGACGATCCCTGAACAGCTGGTGGACTTGGGTCGAGGTTGGGAATGGTGGCCGTCAGTCCTATGGCAGGTTGTTTGGACTTGGATCGTATGTCATGATTTATAGTAAGAGGGTGCTCCATGGCTAACGACTTTCTAGATTGCACCTTTTCTGATATGGCGAGCATGGGGAATCCGCGATACCATGGGATGGCGTACACAAACCATCGGCTGCTGCATCTCCAAGTAAGCGACACATTTTACTTGACAAAACTTCTTCATAGAGCTAACGATTCATTCAGTCTTCATGCGACGCCAATGTTTCTAATATCATCCTATGTTCCTGTTTTTGAAAAGGTCAACAAATATTTCACACCAAGCCAATGGTGAGTATTCACAAAAAAGATCAATTGAACAACTGGAAAGACGTACTGATTTAGCATCAATAATCCAGGATCCATCTGTCTATCCTTATGTTCGAAGTGTTCACTGTCTTTGTTCCTGTTTTTCAAGTGTTCAAGTTTTGGCTTCAGCAAAAGAAAGCAGCCCAATTAAATGAGAAATGGGATAACAATCATCCACCCAGCCCATCTTCATCAGAAAACTGGATTTTCTCTTCCAATTCTTCCTCCACAAAGGGTAAAGCTCTTGACATGTTTAATGAAGATCTTGGCGATCGCTTCTTAACAATGAGCGCCCTCGAACAGGTCCTAAACGAGGATCCACGTCCTCTGCAGGAATTTTCTTCTCTGAGAGACTTTTCAGGCGAAAATATCGCCTTTTTAACAAGCGTTGCGAAGTGGAAATCTGCCTGGGCTGAGAAATTGAGCACTGAGCGGAACCGAGAATCTTACAATGGCGCTCTGGAGATTTACATTGACTACATCAGCCCTAGAGACGCCGAGTTCCCTCTGAATCTGGCTTCTAGTGAGCTCAAACGCGTCGAGAATATTTTCGAAAAAGCCGCTCGTACTGTCTGTGGAGAGCAACAGATCAACCCAGCGACTCCGTTCGATATCGAGATTGCCCCTTTCCGGTGTTGCGAGACTGACGGTCCCTTCGAGTTAACCAGCAGAGTCACTCCCAGGACGAAGTATGATGGCGAGATCCCTGAAGGTTTTGATTTGACCATTTTTGACAGCATACAAAGTCACATCAAATATCTCGTTCTGACGAATACATGGCCAAAGTTTGTAGACGAGATGCAAGCCAGGAAACGGCGATCAAATGAAACGGCGCGAACCGAGGGGACATGGAAGTCTGGATCAACAATCACGAATCGGATCAAGCATCTGGTCCATCAAATAATTTAGGTAGAAACAAATGCGCACAGGCGCGCCATTAGGATAGGGAAGCGCTGGACTGAAAGTTCAATAGGTCCGTGGGTTATCACATCATGTTCATGGGATAGGGAATCCCTGGGTTTAAAGGTCAATAGGTTCGTGAGTTATCACATCATGTTCATGTAATCACAAGGAATATACATCTCAGATAGATAGTAATTTAGCAGTCAGCATATGCGCTGGACACTTGTCACTCCGTATGCAGCATTATTGATAGAATTACAAGGAAATCGGGCAACCTATAGCTCAGCCCTAGCATGCAGGTCCGTGGAGTGCATGAAAGTTGTAAATGCCGATGGAAAGGAGGTTCTCTGACGAATGGGTTGATTACCGATACAAGCTTTGAGATAGTTATAGGGCAACGGTAAAATAAATCATTGGTCAGCCGTCTAGCTTATTCACAAATTTTCCACCTTTTGATTCCATCACTGTGGATATTGACGTATGTCGGACAAGGGTGACCTATGTCTCGTTAGAGTAAAGCTTTACAGGATTTCGGCTATGAACCCGTTTTTAGCCTTACGGCATATCAGAAGGGGCAAGTATGTGAGAAGCTATAGTTACACGGCAACAACTCAATCACGCCCTATCATCTAATTAACCGACTATGTAAGCAGTGTCGATGTTGTCAGTGTTTACTAAGAACAGGCTACCGAGTTATTACCAATGCAGCTGGGTTGTTATCAGAGTTGCTAAGAATTAGTTGTCTCGGGATATAAGTATAATAGCCACGAACAATAATGGCAACAGTAATATCCAAGTTATCGTCTGCAATAACTCAGCGGCTCTCCTTTCCTTCTCATTGACAAGATGCTCTTTCATCGGCTTATTCCCATTTTCGCCGCGGCTGCTCAGGCACTGCCGCAGCCAGCTTCGGCCAACTGTCGGGATATTCAAATCCCAATTACTGTCTCAACGCCTCGTTTCATTGTGACTGCATCTCTTCAGGATGATTGGGATGTCACTGCTCTGACTTTCAATCTAACTCGACGAGACTCGGGAAAAGCAGCCGATCCTCTTCCCCTCAATGGACAAACATCTGCTTCGATAAAGAGCACTTACACCGTAGGAGCGACTTTGTGCGGCAATGGAGGCCCCACGTTAGTGCTTACACACGGGATCATTGAGTCTAAGCTGTAAGTCTATTATACAAGGTTAATCTTACGTAGAGGAGTATGGTTCTAAACGTCTTGCTGCAGCTACTGGCGTCCAAATTTTCCAGGAAGTGAACAGTACAATTTTGTAGATGCTGCTATTGCCCAAGGCTATTCAGTCCTTAGCTACGACCGCATTGGTGTTGGATCGTCTCCAAAGTAAGTTGGCATAGTATTGCTATGATTTATATGATTGAATACTCAAAGTGCTGCAACAGGGTCAACTCGTTGACAGACGCACAATTCCAAGTCGAAGTCGCCGTGCTAGAGGGCCTTGTCAACTATGCCAAAACCAAGGCCCATGCCACCAAGGTCGCCCTTATTGGCCACAGTTATGGCTCTTACATCTCCTCTGCAGCTGCCACGCACATTGAAGTCGACGGCCTTGTCTTGACCGGTTTCAGTGGAACCTTTGATTACTTTGCTCCTTTCGTAGCTGGAACTAATCTTCGTATTGCTCGAAGTCAAAATCCCGTGCGCTGGGGAAAGCTGGATTCAGGATATCTGACTACCTCGGATTTATACGCTGAGGCATATATCTACTACGCAGCTCCGTACTTTGAGCACAGCGTGGCTGAATACACCTTCAACGTTGCCAGCGAGCCCTTTGCTATTGGCGAGCTCCCGTCATTGCTCGCCACGACGATCGAGTATGAGGATATCAAGGCGCCTGTTTTGGTTCTACAGGGCCAGTTCGATGTTTCTGCCTGCGGCGGAAACTGTGTTGGTGTGGTGAATGGCACAAAAGACATATTCACAGGCGCCAAGGTGCTCAAATATGTGGACAATTTGCCCGCAGGGTGAGTGCTATATCGTGATTGTCTTCTATATAGGTTGTCTCTCTCTAACTATGTTGCAGACATAACCTCAACTTCCACAAGGTCGCTCCACAAGCATTTCAAAAGATTTTTGCATTTTTGAAGGCGCAGGGAGTGAAACCTTGAGGCATAGACTCATCAATACTACAACAATTAAACAACGTTTTATTCTTTTTATCAGTAGATTAATACATATACTAAATGTCAATATTCATTCAGCGACTTTGAGATACAAACAATTTGGACTAGATGGCATCATAGCTTTTGTTACCACGAAGAATTATAATCCTCTTTAAGCGTCTTAGTTATCAGGAGCAAATGCAGCTGCTATCCGCGAACTGTCAAAGTACTCCCGGTACAGGACAATCTTGCTATTCTCAGCGCGGAAATACGCCACGTAGTTTTGCTCATATTTCTTTCCCGTCATCGTCACCGTTCCAGTCATGGTGAATTCGACAAAAGCAGCATCCTCGCCATCAATAGGATAAATCTTGTTGACTTTAACATTAAAGTCATCACCCATGCCGCCGACAAAGCCCGCTACCGAAGCACCAATAGCCTCAAGTCCCTCTACTTTGGTGGGGTAAGGGTGAGGCGAGTATGGCATTTCAGCCACAGCATTGGGAGCATATAAGCTGAGGAATGCTTGTTGGCCGACCTTGAGGGTCTGGAAGTGCTTCTCGATGAGTTGAACGGCGTTCATGTTGGAAGATTGCGACAAATGCTATGAATTGGATGTTAGTCAAGGTATGTGCCGTAGTCATGGCTGTGCGTCACCTTGGGGAGAATTGATATGGGATGCTTGTAGTTATCGTGCCACCGAAGAATTGTGGTACTTTTTGGAAAAGGAGAAGGAAGCTGTAGTGAACTGCTTCTGTAACAACATAGAGCATGGTCTCAAGCGGATTTAATAGTCCTCACAGAAGGATTTGGGCTCGACCCTAGGAACAGTTTCCGTCATAACTGAGCTGGTGATGCATATTGGAAGGAATACGGAGCAATCCCTTGTTTGGTGGTCAGAAATGTCATTCATGGATATGATTATTCGCTTGGAGATGGCTAGGAAGAGGTTTTATGGCTGTATTAAGCTCAAGTTGCAGAGCACTTGCTATGGATGATTCCTTCGACCAAGAAGAGTCTAGTTTAGGATGTAGCAGATCAGACAGATGAATGATGACAGTTTGTGATTGGCTTGCGATTGATGCAGCTAATTCCTAGGAGCTGAACTACGTGTTGGTGTTACTCTTTGCAATCTTCGTTTTCGTTTACCACGTTTTGTCTCTAGCAAATTCGTCTGCTACAGTAATGCGTGTAGGTTAGCTGTGGCATCAGCTCCACTAGAGGTGTCTGAGGGCATGGGCCACGTATGTGTCCAATTGAGATATCCTGCTAAGAATCAGGGCCTCTATAGGGGTAGAGCAATATTGCCTTCAGCTATGTAAGTGGTGTTTGGCTGTCATTTTCACATATACAAGCTGAGATGGGCCGTGTCAAGATGCAATGATGTCATCCTTTTGAGATTCCGCCTGATTATGTAAGGATGTAAGTACTTACTCAAGTCAGCATCACTCTGAAGCTATAATATCGATCGATCAAATACTGTGTTGTGCTCATCTTCATCGCAACACGTTGCACAAAGCACAGCGAAATCGGAACTGGCCAATCGCAACCAAAACATTGCTCAGGCCAACACCCACAGCTCGAATCAGGCTGCTATTTTAAGAAGCAGCAGCTGTGCTTTGCATCCGTCAATCGATGTTGGTCCTTACCGTGTGATTAATCATGGACACTGTGCGTCGCCCTTGGAGCTGCTGCATTTCTGTCCAATGACATGCCAGTCGCGTTCGTGTCCTTTTTGCTGCATCATCCAATCTTATCGCCCCTTCGCTTCTCTTCAACTGACGTCCATCCTTTGATCGCTTCTTATCTCGACTCCGGATCGCGCAGCTGCCGCTTAGATCGCCGTATTTTCTTCTTCTTTTTCCCTTTCTTCTTTTCTTCTTTTCTTCTCACCTGCCTCTTGTCAGCCTCTACGGCACAAATCCGCCGCCATGGTGCTAAACGTCTTTCGCATTGCTGGTGAGTGGCGCCTTGTCCGCGGATGCTCCTCAGATCGGCTGCCGGCGACGAGCCGTGATGGATAGATGCAGATGCAGATGCGCTAACGCAGGAACAGCGGATTTCTCGCATTTGGCGAGTATCTTCATTTTGCTGCACAAAATGGTGCAGCTCAAGGTGCGTCTCTCCCTTGCTGCCGCCCTTTTCGCCTCTCGATGCTTGGCTAACTCGCTGCCTTGTAGAGCTGCTCAGGCATCTCGTTCAAGTCGCAAGGGCTGTATCTGCTCGTATACCTCACTAGATACCTCGGTATGCAGCTCAACAGCCATGGACAATGTTCAATGGCAAGATGTGGCCGACCTGGCTAACACGGGACAGACCTCTTTTCAACCAACAGCATCTACAACTTCATCTTCAAGATTCTCTTCATCGGCTCTCAGGGCTACATCATCTACCTCATGACCCAGGCCTACAGGCCCACCAACGATGTCAACGTCGATACCTTCCGCGTGCAATACCTCCTGGGCGGTGCTGCTGTCCTCGCCGTCGCCTTCCCGTACTATTACACACCTGCCGAGATCATGTGGGCCTTTTCCATCTGGCTCGAGTCCGTGGCCATCCTGCCGCAGCTGTTTATGTTGCAGCGCACAGGCGAGGCGGAAACGATCACGACCCATTACCTCTTCGCCCTTGGACTCTACCGCGCCCTCTACATTCCCAACTGGATCTACCGCTACATCGCGGAACCCAACCACAAGGTGGACTGGATCGCCATTGTCGCCGGCATTATCCAGACAGTTCTCTACAGCGACTTTTTCTACATCTACTACAACAAGGTTCTCAAGGGCAAGAAGTTCAAGCTGCCCGTCTAAAGGGCAAGTAGCTTTTGCGGGGTGCTTCATAAAAGGGGAGGTGACGATGTTGCCTTGCGTCAGGGCATGGGAAAAGTCATTACCTCGGAGTCTATTCGAGTGATGAAATCTTCACGGCAGACCGTGGTGAGGACTTGTTGGTCGCCGCAAGCAAGGGAGCTCTACAGCTACGACAACAATCTATGGGAAGAATCAAGTTTCAAGGGGGGCAATGATTGCATCGGCGGCGTTTGATGGTATGCTCGGTTTGAGGCAGTAAGGGAAAGGGCGTCATCTCTTAATATGGGGATTCCGTGAGTTTGGGCCATGTACTCGTACGTTGTGGACAAAAAATTAGAGGGCAATCAATTGAATGTGTTTGAATTTGGACAGGGGGGGAAAGATATGAGCTACGTGATGATCGCGATACGCGCATCGAGTATGGAATAGGGCGGCAATAAAAAAATGAGGACAGGTCAAAAAATATATATTTATTAAAGTCAATTCTTGTGGAACTGGAATGTATTGGAGACCTTGATATTGAGGCTTAAAAAAATACATTTGATGAGACGCCTTGAGTTTCGCAGCTCAGAGGTTATGGTCATCACGTGATGGGCATTCATCATCAACCTCGCCATCTTCAAGCGTCAACTTTCACGGTCCATCTCCAACACAGCCGCCTCTCTTCCTGAGTCCTCTCCGCCCGGGAACCGAATTCATCATGGACAGCGACGCGCCGGAAAACGTCGAAAAGCAGATTGCCCCCGAAAATGGGCCCAGCGACGCCATGCCCGATCCCTTGGCGCCTGGCGCGGATCTGAGCAAACTGCCCACGCGAAAGGACGTTTCCCTGCGAGAGTTTCTCAACAAGATTGATGACTATGCCCCCATCGTGCGTCTCTCTCGTCTGTCGCACATCTCGACAATGCTCGCTTCTGGATGGATTCATGTTTGCTGACCCCCGGTTCTGCTCGCCCACAGATTCCCGACGCAGTGACGCACTACTACATGACTAAGGCCGGTCTCCCTCCGCCTCCCCAGACTGATCCCCGTCTCGCCCGTCTCCTGGCGCTCGCGACACAAAAGTTCATCGCCGACGTCGCGGCCGACGCGTATCAGTACAGCCGCATCCGCGCGTCCAGCAACACCAACAACCCCATGGGCACTCTCGGCGCCGCAGCCGGATTCCCCATCCCAGGCCAGCAGTCCGGCCAGCCAGGCAGCAAAGAGCAGGGCAAAGGCGGGCCTTTGGGAATCCAGCGACCGGGCTTTGGAGGTGGTGGCCAGGGAGGAAGCCAGAACAGGACGGTGCTGACGATGGAGGATTTGGGAATGGCAGTTGGCGAGTATGGCGTTAATGTCAAGAGAAGCGAGTTTTACCGATGAAGGACGACTGCTGCTTTTTGGGCACAGCATGGGAGGATAAATGGGTATAAACGCACGCGGCTGAAAGATATTTCCAGATTTTTTATATATGGCGTTGGGGATGATGGCGTTGGAAACGGGTTATCCAGGGCAGGCCTACTGGGTTTAGTTTCGTTGGTCCAACACAATACGAGCTGCTTTTATCTTCTTTTTATTTCATCTTTGGGTGTACCAATGATTCCAAGCATGCAATAAGTCGTGGCATTACGGCGTTGATACAAGTTATTGTACATTTTCATCCTCTCTTCCACTGCTCCCTCATCCCGTCTATTTCCTGTCCCAAATATTCGGTTTCCGCGTGCTATCCTCCAAATTAGCAATGCCTATCTCCCAAAATACAGCAGTCCAAGTACTCACGGCGCAAATTCTCCCAGCTTGTGCCCCACCATGTCCTCCGTGATCGTCACCTGGTGGTAGTCCTTGCCATTGTGAATCTCAAAGTTGAGGCCCACAAAGTTTGGCAGAATGGTCGCCGAGCGGGCTTGTGTTCGGACAGGAGGAACCTTGTCGTTGGGTCCCTTGGGAAAGACGATGGAGAGGCTGTAGAAGTTGGAGGACGTGTGAGTGAGCGTTTCTTGATTGTTTGGAGGGGCGGTTCTTACGGGACGAGGTTTGGGCCTGTGAGGATTGTGAGTCAGCGATTGTTGTGGATTTTTGGAGGCGTTAAGGGATTGGAGGTTACCTTTCCAGACGGAGCGCTTTAATAGCGCTCGAGTGGGCAGCATTTTGGCTGTATTGCGATCTTGATATCCAGCAGGACGTCTATTGGTGGTGATGATCTAGAAATCTTCAGAGCAATTGGGTCACGTGATGGGAAGTGGTGACATGTGCTGGGTCCACACCTCGAATCTTGAGGATGCTTTATTAGCGTCTTCTACTCCGTACTTATCATCTAAGACAAAACGACCTCTTAATCCAGACGGACGCTCATTTCCCTAATCAACTCACACGCAAAGTCTGGTGCTTCATTGATTAGCTCTTGAAAGTCTTGTCTCTTGCATATGTCTTCAACGATGCATGCACAGTAGTTCGCCAAGAGAGTACGCAACTTGTCGCCTACAATCGTGTTGGTGAACGAGTATTTCGCCAAGCCGATAATGTCCCCCATGCGGCCAGGATAGAGCGCAAACTCCTTCAAGGTGGCATAAAGCTTATGTATAGAGAGATTGCGTAGATTCGGGATATCGTATTTGTCCGCCAAGGTGTAGAGCCGAGCGTGGGAGAGGAAAACTTCGCTGTAATCCTCGCAGCTCTCCGTGTTCTTGCGAGGCGTATGAGTGGTGGTTGGAGACGCATATGCAGAATTGTTGTTGAATTTATCAATCATTGCTTGTTTTTTCTCTTTGCCAGAGACACCTCGACATAACTTGCAATTCGAGTACCGTGCAGACCCACAACTAGGACAGTAGCTGGAAGTAAAGTGAGAATTGCATACGCCACATGCCACAGTTGTTGTGTAACCGTTTGTGAGTTTTCGTCTGCAGTGCTGCCAATTGACATCATTTTCAGTCTCGTCCGTCTTGAATGAAGCGAGAGATTTAGCGGCCGGCTCATGTATTAATTCAATCTTTGGCAAACCATCATCAATCTGAGAAGAGTCTAGAAGAATTTCAGGCTCCTCTGGTTTGTAATCTCCAGTGTAAGCCCATTCGCCGAAGCGGAGGAAGGTCTTTTCATCGGTGTCTTCCCAACAGACACGATGCTCGTCCGACTCTCTCATGCCTCCATTCAAGAGATTGTCAAGAGTTTTGGAAAGCCTTGCTACCGCAGCCTCATGCATAATGAATTGCTTCCTTTGAGACCCGACAATGAATGTGAACGGCTTCGAATACAGAATGCTGATGCTGGAATCAGCATCAAATTCAAATATTATGCAATGTAGAAGATCGGTGATGAAGATTACAAACCTCTCATATTTGGTGTCCATATTTCTTAACGGTTAATCTTGCAGGTGATGATATATGCGTTGTGTGAGTAATGTGTCTCGCCGACAGATGCCAATAGCGACTGAGAGAGCAAAAATCGACATAATGATTCCGAGGCAGGCAGTCGCTACCTATTTATGCATGAAGGTGTTATACCGTGAAGCCAAGAATAACCGGACAAAGGCATTTGTTTAGTTAATGGATGTCATTGGGTGATCTGCAGTTGGGAGGCCTACCACTTTGGATGGGAGGTGTATAAGCAGGCCGCGGAGAATAACTGCCAGTATAGCAGGATATAATTTGTCAATCTATCATTGGATTTCACAAACTTTCTTTTTAGCCGCAATATACTTCTACAGTAAAATCGCAAGTACCCGATGCACTCTACTCCAATGGATTATTGATGAATCGTCACTGTTGGCCTCCCACTTTGGTGAGGTGGGGGTTGTGGCTCTCTGATAGGAATAGCGATGCGGTGGTGCATGTATAGTTAATTTATATCTGCACGTTACTTCTTTTGCATTTCGGCTCATTAGTAAAGTGACTCTTTCTCCGTGATTAACATGGCCATTTCTCATTATTGACAAACTGTTCTCAAACTTTCTGGTAGTCCTATCTAAACGGGGGTTGAATCTACGCATCTATATATCTGTCGCATGGCTATTAGTGAGCTTCCAATGTGCATCAAACAAGAATAAAACCACCATGTATGTCGCTGGGAGAATAATCTCAGAAAACCCTTTCAAGGAATGCATTGATTTCACCAAGAAAAGATGAATCAATGGAGGATAGAGACCACCTTATCGCTCCGTGGCAATGTCAAGTCATTCATCTCTGCCCTCTCGCCACCTCGGTCTAGGGTAGGCGTGCATCACGTGTTGGCCAGCCAGCGCTATCTCGCCGAGACCCTCATTCGACAAAAGCGCAGGCTAATTACGATAACAAGTCACAAAGTTGAAGCTGCGTCGACGAACCAGCACTCAGACGTCGAACAGCAGCGGGTCCGTGTTGCTGCATTGATTTGCACGTCTCGACGGCATTGCCAGCCTGTGCTTATTTTTTATTTCATTTGCCGCGTCGTTTGCGGTGCTTGTTTGGGCTGCTGATCGTGGCCTCTTTTTTGCGGCATCCCATTTTTGGAAGAAGCCACCTTCCAGCCTGTCACTGGCGAGAAAAGAAGAATTTGCCTGGTTCCGTTTGACGGAAATCCATCATCAACTCGCTGCAGCGTGCTCAAATCCATCGACACCGACTTTGCTCTTTGCTCTGCTCCTCGAATTCCGACTCGCAACTCGCAACTCCCACATCGTCCCTCGTCGCAGATTCAATGCCAGAAGCCACGGCCTCCGGCGCTGACACGGGCGGTTCCGCTCGTTCTCGCGAACACAACCAGGGCAACCAGGGCCGCACCTACACCGTCGAGCAAAAGGCGGCCGTCCTTCGAATCCGAAAATGCAAGCCCACCGCCTTTTACGACATCCTGGGCCTCGAGACCGTCCGCACCTCGTGCTCCGACTCGGACATCAAGAAGGCGTACAGGAAACAGTCGCTGCTGACACATCCTGATAAGAATGGCCACGAACACGCCGATGAGGCCTTCAAGATGGTCAGCCGCGCCTTTGGCATCTTGGGCGACAAGGAGAAGAGGGAGAAATTCGATAAGTTCGGAACAGACCCCGATAGCCGGTTCGAGAGCGCCCGCTCCCAGAATCCCTTCTCGGGCTTCGGGTCACGGCAAGCCGCAGCAGCGGGAGGCGGTGGCTGGGGAGAGGACGAAATGACACCCGAGGAGATGTTTGCGCGCTTCTTTGGCGGCGGTGGCGGTCCCTTTGGCGGCGGCTTTGGAGGTGAGTGGAATCCACGAGCATTGATGTGTTGTCGACAAGACATGCTGACGATTAAGCGTTTGATACAGGTCCCCAATTTGTCTTCAATTTTGGCGGCGGCCCCGGCATTCGAGTACACCAATTCGGTGGCGGCATGCCCCGAGCGAGACCGCGAGAGGCCCAGGGCGGCCCTCCTCAACAAGAACAACACGGGCTCCAGACGCTGCTGGGTCTCCTCCCCATCCTCCTCTTCTTCATTGTGCCTCTCATTACATCCATCTTCTCTGGCGGTTCCTCCACGCCCGCCACTCCGGGCATGGTTTTCGACAAACCCAGAGCGCCCTTCACTGAGGGCCGCACAACACCAAACCTCGGTGTCAAATACTTTTTCTCACCCGTCGAAGTAGCCTCATATAGCAAGTCCAAGTTGACTCAGCTGGACCGTACAGCCGAAATTCAATTTGTGCGTCAACTGCGGTATGAGTGTGAGAACGAAGCCATGCACAAGAGGCAATTGAGAGAGAATGCCATGGGATGGTTTTACCAGGACCCTGAAAAGATGGCCGCTGCCGAGGCGTATAAGATGCCCTCATGCCAGAGGCTAGAGACGCTTGGCGTGAGCCGGTCATAGGACTGAGGGAAAACAAAAAAGAGTTATAGGCATTAATGAGGGAGAAACAGGCATTAAAGACATTGATATGATATTTTATATACTTTGAAGGGGAAACGACTGCGGGGAGTTGGCGTTTTCTTTGTACGATGGTGTGAGAAATATGAACCTTGCATGGCATACATGACACGAGCATGAACAAGTAGATGCGATGATGATGGACGTGCGAGAGATACATGTAAGAGACGGACGCCATTTTATATATATATATCTATATTTTTATACTATACGACATGAGATTGGATGGAGCGGCTACTTGGGGATGATGGGAGGATGAGGTTCTATTCTACTCTTTCGAAAGCGGGCTGTTTGACTTGGACAGGAGTGCATGATGATGGTGATGATAATACGAGTAGATGTGTTTGCATTTCCATATACCTAGTCAACAACAACTCCTTGTGAATATTCACTACCATCTTCGTATTGGATGAGTGGCACTATACGTGACACTACATGGGAGCCATGCATGTGAGAGAAGCTATTGATTCAGCTGGGGATCATCACAAGCTCTAGCCGTTCTCGTCTCCCAAGCAGCCTCTAACCGCCAAATTTGGGACCCGCCAGACCAATATTCGCATCGAGATGCTGCTTGTAGCTTCACTGATTGGCCTGATGCCGCTGCCCCGCCAATTATTATCCCGCGATGCCCAATATTGGTGCTATTGATTGTAACGTACGTGTTAGTATTTAAGGCACCCCCGCTCTGCGATTCTCGTGCTTGATTTCTTTTTCTTTAATTGAAAATTTAAATATTGTCTCTTCATCTCATTATATCGTCTCTTATTGTCGGAAATGCCAGACTTGGGAGGGAAAACGATTCTGCACATTGCGTTTGGCGACATCGTCGATCAGGCACTCGCCCTCAACGGAGCCACTGCACGCAGATTCCGGTTCCTCGACGTTGACGCTTTCGCCCATAAATCAACGATTCACGTCCTGGAGTATGAAGATCTTCCTTTGCTGCCATATGCCGTCACCTCGTACGTCTGGAGAGGCCTTCCTCCTCACCCCAACGTGAAATCTCCGCTCCCGAGGTTTCATGTTAAAGGTTGCGAGAAGGATGATCCGTTATCTGTGGAGATGCTGAGACTTGTTTCTCTGGCGGCCGAACAGCAGGGGTGTAAACTCCTTTGGCTGGACGCTCTGTGCATTCTCCAGGCGGATGAAGACGACAAGGGGTGGCAGATTCAGCGCATGTACGACATTTACCGATCCTGCAAAGAATGTATCGTTGCTCCCGGCGGTCTCCAGAGACTCACTTCTCTCACGGAAGAGACGTCGTGGGCGACTCGAGCATGGACGCTTCAAGAGGCAATTGCGCCGCCTTCGGTGAAATGCCTGTTTGAGTGGGATCGCGGCGACTGCTACATCCAGTCGAATATGTCCATGGAAGTAAAGGAGATTGAGAAAGGCGTTGCGGCAATTGCGAATCTAAAGACTACACTGGAAATGGCCATGAAGGGAAGAGGCGTAAGCATGCACGACTTGAAGGGCAACGAAATGAAGTTGCCGTCTGAGGACTTTAAGATTCGGCTTTTTGGCGAAATGTCGCGCGACCGACCGCGCGTCAGGGAGCTGATTGATGCGATGGACATGAAGGGCAAGCCAGGCATGTATACCGCGATTTGGCGGTGTTCATTTATGCGATCGGCGAAGTTCCCTGTCGACGTTGTGTTTAGCGTGATGGGTATCATGGGAGTGACGCTTGATACGAGCATATTCAAAAAAGAGGATCGACTGAAGGCGACAATTGCCTTGATGCAGGGCATTTTGGGGAGAGGAGAACACGCTGAGTGGTTGGCCATTGCGACGAAAACGCTGCCGCACCCGGAGTTGTCGACCCTGCCTGTCTTTCCTGTGCTTGATGCTGCGTATAGGCCTCTCCTAGAGACGAAGGATGGTATGAAGGATATTGGAGATATCATGGACTCTGGCTGGAGGCTTGCCAATACACCCACAGGGATAATGAATGCCAGTGGGTACTTCCGGTTCAACGCTCTGGCGACATCTGTGAAGCAAAGCCAACAGGAGACGACATCTGCAACCGTGTTTAGCTCTGACACCACGGGCAACTGGGAGGTTGTGCCGCAGGGGAGCGGATCGCATACAGCTGTCCTGATCGGCCAATGGGAGCAGTACAACAATGGAGCATTTGGACTCCTTGTGAATCTATGGAATCAATGTTTGATGATATTAAAAGAGCATGATGTTGGCAAGTTTAGTAATGTGGGATATGCGTTTGTCAAGGAGGAGGTTTTGCAGACGGGAAGTTGGAAGGAGGGTATATTTGCTGTTGGAGGGCCAAACTGAGTTGGCGACTTGATTTCTACGGTAAAAACAAAAATACCGGACGAGGCGGGAGCGGACACGGAGGCGGACACGGAAGCATTGGTAACGGTTTACAAAGATTGAATGCCGGGTGGTGATGGTTGCTGTGGATAATGAGACCAAGATGTAGCTGAGTAATTTTATGCTACTGTAGTTGACGGAGTTATAATTGTGTATTATTAGAGAATTACGAATATCTTCTTGACAATGCTTTCCTCCTTGTTTTGATCACCGCAAGGGTTTCAAATTAAAGTTACCTATGATTCAGCATCTAGAGTTACACTGTTATTAATTGCTCTCGGGTTTACAACTCAATTTGTTTTCCGGATGCCGGCAAACTCTTCGCAAATCCCTCCGATGAAAGATAGTTGAGAGAAATAGTAGCTCCAATTACTCAACAAGTTAAACAGCCTATGAAGAGCAACTCTCCTGATGCTTCTCTATCCACTCCGCCAGATGCTCTCTATCTCTCTATCCACTCCGCCGGACGATCTCTACCCACTCCGCCAGATGCCCCGCTAAACTTTCGGGACTCATGCGAGATTTCCATTTTAAGCAATTATTTCTGGTTTAGTTTTTCAGCCATCAACTGACATCTTATTTCCGCATTTGTCAGCCCAAGTTTAACGTTGAAAAAATTAATTGTCGCGCGTCCACAAATTAAAAACTTTGACAGCGGAGAAAAGAGTTGCTGTAGACCATCTCTGACACTTCCTATGTCCGTAGAAGTAACACAAACTGGGAGAGTCCCTTGATTTTTGCACCCCCTCTTGTCGTTCTAGGGACTGCGAGCCGGGCTAATCTCCGAATGCGCACCCCGGCAGCTGTCAGTTATGCCCGACGGATTCAAGAAGGACTGGGTATGATTAACGGAATTGAATTTATAATCGATTGAGAGGAGGAAATGTAGCCAAGCACGGGTTTGTGATTGGCCTTGAGTTGGTGGATCTGGTGTATGCGATGCGGCAATAGAGTGGTCCATGGAGATTGACATGTCCCGATTTAATGTTGACGCGAAGATGAATGGGAACAGTATAATAGATGCGGGATGCCATCATCAAGATGAAAAATTTGAAACAATATCGACAATCCTCTTTTATAACATCTACCACTTCATCAGCGCATCTTTCCAATATCTCTACTAACAAGTCAACAAGTCAACACCATGGCCATCCCAGAAACTTACAAGACCTACCGCCGTACCACCGGAACCGTACCTCTAACCATCAACCAAACCACCGAAACCACTCCCAAAAACCTCGGTCCCAAAGATGTCCTGCTCAAAATCCACTCCGTCTCCCTCAACTACCGCGACATCGCCATGCTCAACGGCGCATATCCAGCCCCAATCCTAGACAACGGCATCCCGGCCTCTGATGCCGCCGCCGAAGTCGCCGCAGTCGGGTCGGCCGTGCAAAAGTTCAAGGTCGGAGACCACGTTTCGCCAATTTTCTTTGTCAACTTCTTTACGGGCGATGAGTTGGAGCCGCTGCAGGGCCTGGGAGGAGACGTGGAGGGTGTTTTGGGCGAGTATGCTGTTTTTTCGGAGGATATTCTTGTGCGACTGCCGGAGCATCTGTCTTGGGATGAGGTGAGGCTTCAATTGATCACCATTTGTTGTACCTTTGAGAGGAATGAGGTGAACTGACGAACTGGTCTTTGTGCAGGCATCTACGATTGCTTGCGCTGGTGTTACTGCATGGTCCAGCATTAACGGGCTGAAGAAGCTGTCACCAGAGAGCAGCTACGTTCTTCTGGAAGGTGAATTCCACCCACCGCCATCGCTGTAATCCGCATTATGTAGCATCATATTGACTGAATGCTCTTTTCAATAGGCACTGGAGGTGTCAGCATGTTTGCCCTCCTCCTCCTCATCGACGCCGGCATCAAGACCATCATCACGTCATCCTCCGACGCCAAAATCGCCCAGCTTCAGAAGTTGAGCCCCCTCATCACGGGCATCAACTACAAGACCACGCCCGATATCAGCGCAGAGGTCCAGCGCATCACCAACGGCAGGGGCGCCGCCATCGTTGTCAACAACATTGGCCCGGGATCCATTGCCTCAAACATTGACTCCCTTGCGACGGGCGGGTCGATTAAGGTTGTGGGCTTCCTTGGTGGATTCACCGGGGATTGGAACCCCAGCGAGCTTTTGAAGCTCCTCTGGAAGCGTGCCAATATCCAGTACGTTCTGTGAATGACAAATCCTGACGGTCCATGGCTAATACAAGTACAGGGGCATTGCTGTAGGCACAAAGTCCGACTTTGAGGCACTAAATGCTCATTTGGCTGAGCGAAAGATCAGTCTTCAGCCACTGATTGATCGTGTCTTTGCGCTTGACGAGGCCAAGGACGCGGTTGACCACATGGCTGCAGGCCGACATGTGGGAAAGATTATCATCAAGGTGGCAGAGTAGACGCGTGACCACGCACAGTAGTTTAACATGTTTGTTTATAGAGCACATGAACATAGAGAATCGAATAGCAAATACTTGACCTGGAATAGTTTACTTCTTTAAGGAGGCAACGACGTCATTGTGGCCAATTCGTGGTTCGCGGGTGTACATAGTAGGCTACTTGAGCTCTGGTGGATCGTCCAGCATCACATGATGGTTCCTGACAGCTGCTTTAATTCCAATCAAGTGTCATGCACGGCATCTATTTTTTGCTACTGTAGAAGAGCTCAAGGCAAAAATAGAGACAGGGACCCTGCATTAGCGAAACGTGCGGCGGGATCATCGATCGGGGGACCCGGTGATCCGGCACGGGCAGGGCTGGCGGGAGAGGCGAAATAGGTAGCCAAAGCGGGAGATGCAGGGTGATTCAGCAGGGGAATATCAGCTAATGCAGTACTAATACTATTACTGTAATTACTGTAATTACAGCTAATAGCCTCGGCAACTGGTAGCGGTAAACGCTTCTGGCAATAACCTGGCAATACCCGGCCAACCATCGCCGAAATAACATGGAGAAATACAACGCAAAGAGAGCTTAACAAAAAAGCTTAGTCAAGCCACGCAAAAATCTGTCACCTTTTTCATCTGCTTACTCCATCTTGCCCATTCATCTCGGGGAATTGCAGGGGTCCGACATTTCTCCGCCACTCACTAGCCACTCCCCAGCCTCAGCCATCACCTCTGCGGCACAATCTCGGGACAAGCAATTTGCAAGCTGGGGCGGTGCTCGTGTGGCGCAGCCCTGTACTCGGCGTTCGGGTCTGGAGAAAAAGGAGGGGCCTCAGATGGCGCTAGCCCCAAAACAGCATAAAAAGGGGGGTAGGCAGAGGCCGCCGTGACGTATTACCAAGCACCTGCCGAAGGTGCCCGAATCACCGACAGGGAGGAGCAGCAGGTCGCACTTGCCGCATCGCTTTGCAGGGCGGGAGTGCCATGAGTAATGAGGTAAGCGGGAGCTGGCAGCTTCTTCTTGCTCGTTTCAACGGCGTTTAATAATAATAACCTTCTTGCTGTTTGATTATACGCGTAAATACGGAGTATTATACTAGCACCAGCTTTGGGCAGGCATACGTATGCATCCCTCTTATTCAACGGCCTAGCTCAGCTGGGTATATAAGTGCTTGCCTCTGCCTGTCGCATCTCCGGGGCGCATCGCATGTTAGATTTGTCATCAACAGCTTCTCCCCTAAACAACTCAATAAAGATCAGGAAATATATATAGGTGCCGCTAGGTATTTGTATATATTTATCGATTGACGATAAAACATTTTGACGTCACTTAATTAAATTTTGTTTTTCGTTTCTACTTCTTGCTTGTGCCTAATCCAAGCAAAACACCACCCATCATGATTGATGTCGCATCGCCGCCAAACAAATATCACCCGACTCTAGACCGCGACAGCGACACAACATCACAGCAACAGCAACAAATGCCGTCACCAACAAACAAACTCATCGACAACAATGAAGCGATCGGCGCAGAAGCCACCGGCGACATGCAAGTAGATGCGGCGCCGTCAGCAGCGTCAGCGTCAACGTCAGCGCCCGACATGGACCAGGAGCATCACCACGAACACGAGAGCGAGGGTGAGAGCGATGGTGAGAGCGCGGCCGATCGGGAGACGGTCAGCGTCACCGTGTCGCATCGCGGCCACAAGTTTCCCTTTGAGATCGAGGCCGATCTCACCGTCACCGACTTGTTCCACGAGATCGAGGCTGTGCTGGAGATTCCCTTTGAGAACATCAAGGTGATGGTGCCCAAGGGTCCCTTCCTCAAGCACCCCTTCAAGGACCCCGAGTATCAGGTCAGGAACCTCGCCGGAAAGACCGTCACAGTCATGGGATCAACAACTGCCGACGTCCAGGCTGTTCAGGCCATGTGCCAGAAGCTCAGCAAGATCAAGGCAGCACGGGAGGCGCAGCGGTCCAAGGCAAAGGCTAAAGGCCCGGTTCGGCGTCGCGGACTGCAATCTGCGGAAGATTCCAAATACACTTTCTTGCAGGTGCGGCCACTCAGCGGATTACCGCATCCCGAGCGCAGCCTCAAGCTGCTGAATCGGCTCAAAGAGGATGCGGGCATCAGGGCTGCCATGCGCAAGCACAAGTTTACCGTTGCTCTTTTGACGGAGATGGAGCCACTGGCACACACTGAATCAACACACGAGGGAACAACGCGCATCCTGGGCCTGAACCGCAACCAAGGCGAAGTGATTGAGCTGCGACTACGGACTGACGCTCACGACGGCTATCGCGACTACAAGACAATCCGCAAGACTCTGTGTCACGAGCTCACCCACAACGTCCATGGCCCTCACGACCGACAGTTCTGGGATCTCTGCCATCAGATTGAGCGCGAGGTGGATGCTGCCGACTGGAAGTCCAACGGCCGGACAATCGGCGAGTCATCACGATACCACATCTCTGGCCAGGACCAAGACGACGAGGACGTTCACGAGGATGATGGCGGCTGGACTGGCGGCGAGTTTGTCCTGGGCGGCAGCAAATTGAGCAGTTCAGGACTCAGTCGGCGAGAGATTTTGGCGCAGGCGGCGTTGGAGAGACAAAGGAAAGAAGAGGCTGAGGAATGCAGCGCAGAAAAGGGTTGGCGGCCGTGCCAAAGACCGCAGCCGAACAATGATCGCAACTTGTGAGGGCGAAAAGGAAGTGTGAGGAAGCATTTGCATCAGTTGGCGTTATAATGGCAGAGAGGATCAAAGCAACTGTCTTTATTTATTTGTTTGTGGTTTGTTTCACATGATAGCGTGTTGGAATGGGGTATTTGTGAATTTAGATGGAATCATTGTACTGCGAATGAAGAGAAGGATATCAACTTGTTTATCATATCATGTCATATTGTTTACATAGGTACTATCAGGTACTACATCATCAATCTCGATTTGATCATTTCATTAGTTTACGCTCACACAATACTTTCCGAGGTGACTGAGTATTTTTGTCTCTCCTCAATCCTAATACGGCAGCGGATCCAAATCCAATCCGTCAACAGTGAGCTTGAATGCATCGTTTCTCGAGTAACTTCCCGCTGCATCTAGGTCGAGTCTGCCGCGGATGCAGTCGCGCAGGTCAATGTCGGCGTAGATGAGGCTGTCCTCGTCTTCCCACTGCGGACCAGCAATGACATCGCCAAAGGGAGAAACGATGGAAGAGCCACCGCGGGAGAGGAAGTGGGGAGCTTTGAAAGCGGCTGCGGGCTGAGTTTGGTGTTGCAAGTGGTCTTGTTGCCTGGCTGGTTCGTCTTCCTGTACTTTGGGGAGTTGATAATTTTGAAGCTGTTGTCTCTGCTGCTCTTCAGCTTGTTGTTGCTCTTCTTCCTGCTTATCTCCATTATCTGCCGGACATGAGAGCACAATCTCGTTGCCGTCCTCGTCAAACACGCTCTTCCGTCGTCCGTGCCTCACCTTGGGCGGCGGCACCGCAAACTCGAAGCCATCGTCAGCAACCACCGCCGAAGTCCTCCGGCCTCCGACCGTTCCGCGTCTCGAGCCCCCGGTCACTGGCACCACATCCCGGTCTCCAGTATCAGCGGAATCCGGCTCGCCACGGACGCACATGTTGCTGCTGACGACGAAGCAGCGGCCCTCGATGCCGATTGTGCGCATCAAACTGAGCCAGCCTTCGCGGCCGTCGGCGGTGGGGGCGAGATAGAGGTTGATGTTTTGGGCGTAGAGGGATTGGCGGAGGAGAGGCATGTAGTTTTCCCAGCAGATGGCGGCGGCGAGGTTGATGCGTTGGCCTCGGACGAAGGTCGTGACAGCTCGGAGAGTGGAGGGATGGCCTTGGGCCCACATGAGGCGCTCAGTGCCGGTCTTACAAGGAAGATGATGCGTGTTAGTCGATGTCAGATGAAGTGGAATGAAGCATCACTACTTAGATTAGAGACTGAGCTTACCGGCATCACCTTGCGGCGCTTGCCTATGATGCCCTCCTTGGGACACACATAAACCGCCGCGCAGTACAAGCTGCCGCCCGCCTTCTCAATGCATCCCGTAACATAAAAGACGCCCGTGTCGCGCGCAATCCGCTCCAGCTCCTCTCGCGAGCCATCGCCTCGACCGCTCCCGCCAAGCTCATAGCCAGGCAATTCCCGCCTCACCCACTTGACTCCGGCTCCCGCGCTGCCATCGCCAACGGTGTCGCCGAGATCAATTGCTTTGTCAAAATACTGGGCGAATGACTCGCGGCCCTCGGCGGTACGGCTTCCGACGACGCAGCCGAACGACGTGCCGCGCGGGTAGCCGCCGATGAAGGCTTCGGGCAGTAAAAGGATATCGATTCTTTGAGCAGCAGCACGAGAGACTATGTCGTGGAGGTGGGCGAGGGTGAGGGGCGTTGTGGCCTGGGTGTTGGGCGAGGCTGTTCCAACGCGGATGGCCATGGTCGAAGCAGCAGCGTTCAATGTTATCACGGGGAATTCTGGAGATGGAATGCAGATGGTGTTGAAGATGCAAAGTTGGATGAGTTGGACGCAGAGCAAACGAGAAATGAGGAGAATGAGGCCTCTCTCTGCCCGCACTTCTCCAGGGCAAGCTTTAAGCTTTACGCCATGTAAGCTCAGCTCATTGGCATCATCCTTAGTAACCAGAACCGCCTTTTGCCGCTTCCAGCTGTTGTGCTCTCCTCACTTATTTCCATTCTGGGATCGCCATGGCACCATCCCTTGCCTCGTTTGGGAAATGTCACCCGAAAATCTCTCGAATGCTGCATATACATTCACTGCTCCACCATGGCATTGGAAAAAACATAATGGAAATTGATCAAAGAGCGAATTTCACGGCGTAAAGATCCCGAAGTCGGCCGTTGAGCTGCGTGCGGCATATGCGGCATTACTGGTAATTGGATGCTTTCGGCTTGGGATGGGTTTGGGCCTCTGGATGCTTGGCAGTAAAGCGGAGGCGTGGATTAAATCCATAGCATTAGCGTTGAAACACAGTCTCTTGCTTCATAATACAAGCTTTCAACCGTGCATTTGCTATATACAGCGGGTTACTCTTTGCGCGCCCTCCGAACAACTGTTATGACTAGTGTAATTCCTCAGTGTTTTCAACCAACTTTTAAGCTATTCACTGACGGAGAATCTTCTCATTCGAGCCCATTGTCTGATAGTTCGATAACAATTGGATAGTCTGATCTACGCCTAATCGCAATATTTAATCCTGAAGCAGCTGCATTTTTGATCGTTATTCTGGTGGCAGCCACAACAGCTTTTCAGAATAGCTCATGATCCAAACGCTATGATTACTAATAGGTACAATGTCCAATGCTGCTCTGGTTTTTCTTCTCTGGTTGTCATGATGAAATTGAAGTCGATGAAGCTTGGACTGGGTTGTCAATCGCCGTGATATTAGGACGTATCATTACTTTCCTAAACAGGCACCTGTTGCCATATTTCATATAGCCATTGACTAATAATAAGAGATAGCTGCAAGACACTCTCCATTTTGAGAAAAGGCTAGTGTTTGATTATCTTTAAGAAAACACATTATGGGAGCATCTGTACGTGGGCTTACGACTTAGATTAGTAGTCACAATCACTGTTCGTTGTAGGAACTTTAAGCACAGCAAAAGGTGGAAATATAGCCGCTGGATTTCGTTATTGACATTGAACACAAATAATATTTCTGCGTGCTAAAAAGTGATGGAAGTCGCCCACTAAGAGTACATTTGTACCCTTTCGGCCGTGGAAGGTATTGGCATATTAGCCAAGCTCTAAGACTTGGCTTAATATTCAAGTCTTTTATAACCCTGCCCACTGAATAGACTTTTCCCATAGCTTCTTTGCCTTTTCCGTATCATATGCATGGGTTCCATATCCCGGAGCCCACATACCGGATGAAGGATCCCACGCTCCGATAATCTGACAGTTTTCCAGGTATTTACCACCCGTGCCCTCCAACACCGCAGCAGTCGCAGCCCAAACACTCGTTGCAGCCCCCTGCTCAGGGTTCTTGAAAATCTTGGAAAGGTACGGATCCGTGTTTATTGCTCCCTTGTGCTCTTCGCCCAAGTGACGCATTAGATCCGTTTGAACGGCGCCGGGCTGGAGACTCCAAGCATGGATACCTTGAGCACCATAACGTCGCTCAATCTCATTAGCAGTCCACAGGTTAGCCGTCTTGCTCTGCGCATAGGTGGCCATAGGGTCATAGTGTCCTTCAAAGTTAACGTCATCAAACTGGACTTCTCCAAATCGATGGGCAACAGAGCTCACGACGACAACCCGAGACGCCCTCTGTGGGGTAACGCTAGCCAACAACGCGGGCTGAAGGAGATTAAAGAGCAGGAAATGTGCCAAGTGGTTCGTGCCGAATTGTGTCTCAAAGCCGTCTTTGGTCCGGCCTTCAGGAGGTGTCATGACGCCCGCGTTCAGGACCAGTATATTCAGTGACTTGCTCTTAGACAGGAACTCGGCTGCACAAGTGCGTACGCTTTCGAAAGATTCGAGATCTAGTTGGAGAAAATGAACACGACTGCTGTCTGCAATATCTTGCAGCGCAGCTCGAGCTTTGGACAGGCTGCGAGCCGTCAGGAAAAGAGTAGCTCCGGCGAGGTGGAGAGCTCGCGCTGTCTCAGTGCCGATACCAGATGAGCAACCAGTGACAAAGGCAACATGTCCAGAGAGCTTTCCTTCCAACTGCTCATCTTTGATGATCTGGATTGCAGTAGGACGGGCATCACCAGGGCCATTTGGTGTCTGATGGACGGCAACGTAGCGATCAGCCATGTTGTATACGACGATCACTTGAAAAGATTTAGATTGGAGAGAAGGTTAAAACTTGATGGAATGAGTAGTTGAGAGATGTGAGGTGCAAACTAAACGTCTTCTAGGCCTGGCATATGCTAGACCTTTATACTTTGATCATACCAAGAAGATTAATGGCTCTTGGGCATTGAGACCTTTCCTTGACCGCTGGTAAAGACCCAAGTTAGTAGTAGAACCAAGGTCTGTCTTCTAACATATCGTTGATAAAATATTAGGTTAGCCTACACTGAAACCCTACTATACAGAGTTATTCGCTGGTGGCGGAAACTTGTTAAACAACCTAGTAGTTCAGGCACGGAGGACTTAAGGGACTAAACTCCGCGCCCATTATACTTTTGGAGGCAGATTCCCACTAATGCAACCGGCTTATCCTTCAGTGGGTCTTACCTTTACTTGCCGCGGCAGCTAGCTGACGCTACTAGCTTGTTTCTTCTATACCTAGATTGTGAGAGATATGCAAGAGAAGATACGCCATTGCCATCCCCTCGGTCCACCCATCACAAATGATCCCTGGTAGATAGCAACTAATAGCTATAAGAAGGAAACCCTGCTGCTAAAGTAGATGATAATTTTTCTCAGTTCTAGTAATACACGATCAAAAGCACACTATTAAACCCCGATACTTGGACAAAATGGTGCACACGCTCCCCTTCGGAAACATCACGGTTCCATCGCCAGGCTTTGGTGCCATGGGCATCAGCTTCGGCCTGGGAAGTAACCTTACTTTGGAACAAGCTGAACCTGTGCTACTTAAAGCTATTGAGTTAGGCTGTACATTCTGGGATACGGCAGTGAGTCTGAAAGTCATGCATTATGTGGAATGTCTGCCAGGCCAGAAGTTTCTGACATATTAAACAAGGTTGTATATCAAGCAGGTGTCAATGAGAAGCTTCTAGGGGATTTCATCAGGAAACATAATGTCCGCGACAAAGTTTTCAGTGAGTCTGATTAGTTTCCAAATGTGTTGAAGGAAACCTCTGATACCGTATGTTGGTAGTTGCGTCAAAATGCGGCTTCGATGTCTTTGGCACCGGCAAAGTAACCAACTCCGCCGCTCATATTAAAGAATATATTGAGGGAACAATTGAAAGGCTCGGGTTTGCCCCGGACCTCTACTACCTTCACCGGATTGATCCAAGTATGTTCAATGTGAAAGCTCAATAATTCTCTATCTACTAACTATGTCGCCATTAGATACCAAGCTTGAAGAGTCCATCCCAGCTTTGGATGAAATCCGAAAGGCTGGAAAAACCAAGTACATTGGCCTCTCGGAGTGCTCCGCAGCAACCTTACAACGAGCGAACTCAAGTAAGTAAAGACATTCCAAGTGTGTCGATAGGCATATCGGGCTAAGTCAAATTATAGTCGCCAAGATAGATGCTGTCCAAGCGGAGTACTCGGCCTTTGAGACACTTCACGAAACAGACGGGTTAATTGAGATGGCTCGAGAGCTGGGTGTGGCTTATGTAGCCTATAGCCCTTTAGGGCATGGATGGCTCGTTGACGACTTCCCGTATAAGACACCCGACGATTTTGCTCCGGATGATTTCCGTCGATCAGGTAAGCTTATCTAAAATTGCAATCTATATCTATTTGCTCATGCCATATGTCCCTAAGTCGGCAGTGGTCTTTTTGGTGTTCTTGGCAACTAATACTATTACTTTCAGTACCTAAATTCCAAGGCGAGAACTTTTATAAAAACAAGGCAATTGTCGAGGAACTGAAGAAGCTTGCCACAAAGAAGGGTTGTTCTACACCTCAGGTTGCCCTTGCGTGGGTTGCAGCCCAAGGCATGATTGCGATTCCTGGCACTACTAAAGCCTCTAGACTGGAAGAGAATTGGGCATCGAGAGATGTAGTCTTATCGGAGGAGGAGCTTCAAGAGGTACGGGCCCTTGTGGACTCTGCGAAGCCTCATGGAAACCGATATGCTCCCGCTCAACAAGCTATGGTGGGACACTAAGTGACTATAACGTCCCGCTCCTTAATACTTTGTGTGGGCAAGTTGCCATGGTAATTAGCCTAGGCCAATAGGCGTAGCCTTTTAGCCTGATAGTCACGAGAGTGTAAGAGCGGAATAGAAAGCGCAGTTTGTATACAGACTTGATACTTTATTTGTGACTGGCTATCTGGACTATACGAATGAGTGCAATAAATCGAACTTGTATACCTAGTTGTTTATTTATTATCGCGAGTTGTACTTCTGTACTCGTGAGAATGAAGCTTCTCTCACGATCGATTTGGTACGTACCGACCTGAGAAATGGTATCGCTCATCCCGATTGGTTGTCTTGTCCGTTCTTCTTCGGGGGGACCGGATCTTTCTTGGATCAAGTCTTGACAACCATATACCTAAACTGCCTAACAGTTGCTACTTAGACTACCTGTTAGATCAGTTGCGAATACATTCGTAATTGCCACTGGAAATACAATTGTGGATCGCCAATTCGTCGAAGCATATTAGCAACAACGGACTTAATTGTGGGTTATAGATTCACTACTAGTATTCGGAATACGTCCGTTCAATGGTGGGCCCTCAGCATGCGCCACCGAGCGGAGACCATAAGCCAGTTGCATATAAGTCATTAAGGTTGCAACTCTCAGCACTTTAATATCTCAAGACTCAATGCTCCGAAAACAATGGAACTTCCGATCTTATTACATAAACCAACGATCGCTGTAGGTACTATTGCTCCACGACTAGACACGTGGAGTCCTGCAGATGACTGGACCGGAATCACAAGCACTGCAGAGAGGAAGAAACGGCAAAATAGAATCCATCAGAGAGCGTACCGTTAGTGTTACCAACCTGCCGAGTCTTCATAAACGGTTAGCCAACTGACGTTCATCTTTTTATTTACTTAGGCAGGCGGAAACTCGCCGCAAAGAACCCTGCTCAGGAATCTACATACAGTCAAGCGCCCTATATTATAGATGAACGGAAGGGGCTGTATGATAAGGTTGATAATGGCCCTCTACTTCTCACGTCTCGCCGTCAGGTAGCACAAGCCTATGATGCGATTCGGGATGCATACCAGGCCTACAGCCTGAGCGCAGCACGTCCTTCGTTTCTGCACGTCCTCATCCGACTCAACGTCCTTAATTCTTTAGCTCGCAACGCCATCTCAATGGGATTCCCCCCGGAGGGGCTTTGTAAGGATGAATATTTGTCGCCATATTGCGGGGAAGGCCCTCTGCAATCCCCGTTTGTCCCACAATGCTTGCTACCTACTTCCATGCAGCGGAGAATTATTCACCACCCATGGATCGATTTGTTCCCATTCCCGGCCTTCCGAGACAATATGCTCCACGCTTTGGCTGCTGGAGTCTTCGACGAAGATGAGCTGTGCCGTGACGTGCTTGTGGCAACTGACCCGGACGCTCTCGCTGACAAGCCGGCACTTATTAGCTGGGGTGAATCCTGGGATGTTCATGGGTGGGAGGCAAGCCCATCATTCTTGCGGAAGTGGGGTTGGCTTCTTCGAGGATGCCCGGAGATTATTGAGGGAACGAATTATTGGCGCCGAAAGAGAGGCGAGACAAGTATTAGGTTTTTTACGTCCTAATTACCTATACGGCAAGTCATTTCCGGCTTGCCGTCCCTGTCATTTATGGTGAGCCAAAGTCAGAACTTTGTTGAGTTGTATAGACTCTAGCTGACTCTATGTCTACTGAGCCAGTGTGATAAATGGCTGCCTGGTTGTATGCGACATGCTTGGAAGTTCATATACTTGATATTAATTAAATTACATAACTAAAAATTAGGTACTATAGGTAGGGAATTAATAAGTTCACTAAGGCATATAAAAAGGGCTAGGGAGTAAGTTAGTGCTAAGCTATACTCACTCCCCTCTAGGCAGTATAATCCATAAACTATCAAGTTGCTCCGAATGCCGCGACTATATGCAGAATAACACAATCGACTCCTGAGCTAACGTCAGCCAACTTCCACCCAACATGTATTTCAAGCTTGCTAACAACCTGACAGCATTGCAAGCTTTCTTTCCAAATTCCCCGCTCCTGTATACACCAATATCTCACAAAATCTAGATCATGACAACAGCACTAATCTTCGGCTCCACTGGTGCAGTCGGCTCCCAAATCCTCGCCACTCTCGTCTCCTCCACAACTTGCACGTCCATCACAACCATCTCCCGTCGCGCTCCGCCGACCCAAGATTCCAAACTTCAGTCCATCGTCGAAACCGACTCCGCAAAATGGGGTCCTCTAATCGCCGCGCTGTCCCCGGTTCCCTCAGTGGTGTTCAACGCAGTCGGCACCACGATAGGCAGTGCTGGCTCCGTCGCCGCGCAATGGGCAATCGACCACGATTTATGTGTAGAAAACGCAAAAGTGGCGAAAGCAGCAGGTGTTAAGACGTATGTGTATTGTTCGAGCGCAGGGACAAGCGGAGTGCTGAGCCCTTTTGCCCTGACACCATATGCGAAAATGAAGAGGGGGGTGGAGAAGCATATTAAGGAGTTTGAGTTTGAGAATGCGATTATTTTGCGGCCTGGAATGATTCTAGGAAGGGAGAACCCAAAGAACAAGTGGCTGGAGGATATCTTTCATGGTTTGAAGAAGTTTGGGCAGGGATTCCAGGATAAATGGGGTATGAGCAACTTTACTTTGTTCTTGTTGATTTGACGTTTTGAACTGGGACGGGTAATACTAACAAATTTCTGTAGCACAAGATCAGAAAATTATTGGGAGGGCGGCAGTGGCTGCTGTGAGGATGGTGGAAGAAGGAAAGGCTCCCGCGAAGTTTTGGGTGTTGGAACAACGGGATATTGTAAGACTAGGCAGAGACGAGTGGAAGGAGTAAGTAATTGCCATTAGTGAGATTACACGTAATTTGATGAGATGTGGTTTTTGTGTTTTTTAATACCATAGTAATAGGCTGGATTTAGATCTTGGGCAAAATAAAAGCCTTATGTATCGTTTATAGTCGGAAAACTCTTCTAATGCTTAAAATCAGAGTAAAACAGTGTTATATACAAATGTACTTTCTTCTCTTATTAGCACTAGTGAAAATAGTATTTATATAAGTAAATTAAAATAGCAGTAAATAAGTATATATATAATAAATATTAATATATTATCTATCAATTTCTTTAGAAAATAAAGCATTATTATATACTATATATTTGAAGGTGCCGTCTCTTGGAATCTAGGGTTTCTGCGGGGAGCCATTTTCGCAGCGGGCGCTTCATTCATTCGTGTTCAGGGGCAGGAGAATCTCATCTAATTCGTCCAGATATTTCAAAACCTCCGTGTATGGCACCTCAAAGAGAAACCCAAGTGGCAAAATTCCAGCATGCGATACGATCTTCTCCGGAGTGGGTTGTTTGGGTCATAAGGCTGCTTTAGGTCCCTAAGGTGTCCTTCCACAGACTGTCCAGGGCTTATGCAATAACGCTTAATACTATGATGTGATATAGGTTCTAATACATCGCCAGATGCCAAATCCTTAATAAATCCATTAACGCATTTATAAAAGGCCGTCCGGCTTACTTATTTAGTAAAGACTTAATTTAAATTAGTTGTATATTAAGTTCTTTTAGCGCCTTAATGTTTTGCTTAGAACTTATTCTAAAATACAGGATGGTTCTAGCACCAGCTATCGTTTTAGATGGTTTGCACTTTAAAGAAGGGAGTGACTATTTAGCATCCCATTCTTAAATATAAAGCAGCTTATATAGTAATAAATAAATATTAAAGGAATCTATGGATAGTAGCAGATACTACGGAGTAGCGATAGTAGCAGATAGTAGCGATAGTAGTAGATACTCTATGAAATCTCCTTTGAAGTTTTGGGTGTTAGAATAATGGAATATTGTAAGGCTGGGTAGAGATAAGTGAAAGGAGTAAGTAATTGCCACTGCTTTAGGCCCCTAAAGTGTCCTTCCACAGACTGTCCTAGGCTTATGCAATAACGCTCAATACTATAATACAACATAGGTTCTAATGTATCTTTAGATGCTAAATCCTTAATGAGGTAGTCGACGGATTTGCGAAAGGCCGTCTGCCTGCTTCGCTGGTGATAAATTAATTTAAATTAGTCGCATGTGTTAGTTCTTTTATGCCTATGATGTTTTGCTTAGAAGTTATTGAGAAATGTAGAATAGCTCCAGCACCGGCTATCGTTATAGATGGTTTGCACTTTAAAGAAAGACGCTTGAAGTCGAACTCGTCCAAATGTTTCGCGTGCCCTGTGCCTTTAGATGCAAAGACGGGGCCTTCCATATTCATCGCGAACCCAATGTATGCCGCTTTTCCTTCCTTCAAACTCACTGCAAGGGTCGAATCATCTATTGAGGCTCCTCCGGACGCCTTCTGCTTCTTTGGCTTATTTCAAAGTCCGTTCATGAGATGATGGCAGCGTGCCAGGACGCGAAATGACAGCACCTCTTCGCGGGGTATAAACTCCTTGCCCTCGGGATACTCTTCGCAGGTTCGCAACCATTTTATTTGGTCATCACACTCGACCAATCTTGTCCCGTCCGGTGACAAGACCACGTAGCCTCCGCCATCACGGTCTTTAAGAGTGCACCCATGCTAAGAGTCGTAGAACTCGTCGTCACTCTCAGACCCAGAGGTGCTTTCTGACGAAGAGGTAGTATCCATGGCTTTTTCTGGGATATCAAAAGCAGGAGTGTCGCTCGCAAGTTCCCGGCCTGACGCGAAAAAGGTTTGACCATAGTGAACTCGTGGGTGTATACAGCCAATCTAGTCATTGCTGGTTAGTCAAAGTCCAGGCCTAGTCCTTGTGGAAAGAAATATAGATCATATGAGAAACTTCTGATGCGGAGTAGGCTCAAAGCTGACCTGAGCAAAAAGAGTTGTGTGGTATGGGTAAAAACGAGAAAAAAAAACGCGTTGGTCGCAGATTGAATTGCAGGATAATGATGTCGAACCCGCAACGAAGAAGCAGAGTAAAAGAAACGATTCCTATTCCCTGGTTAGTCGAAGATGATCGTACATTCTGATTGGAAAACATAATGCGCGAGGTTGTAGAGAAACAAACATGAACTCAAGAGGAGAGATGAAGAATGAGAGAGGAGTAAAGAAATAGGCAGAGAAGGGAAGTGCAAGATGGTGATGCTCGGTGGAAAATAATGAGAGGAGAATGGAAAGAAAAAGATGAGGAGAGAATGCCAGAATTTGTTGTCGAAAAGCGTAGATAGAAAGACAATATCTATGGATACCTAGTAGCAAATAGTAGCGATAGTAGCGATAGTAGCAGACAGTAGCGATAGTAAGGTAGGTAGTAGATACTCCAGGAACTGTGTAATACCTATTTAAGTATTGAACGGTAATAAAGGATCTTCATTATAGGTTGTTGCTCCATTCGCAACTCCTCTTAGTCGCTGGGGTGAGGGTGGATAGCCCTTCCCTTTTTTTATTTATATATTTATGCTGTATTCACTACCACTGTTCTTCCTTCTTACTTTTCTTTGTTTCATCACAATCCCTTCTCTTCTCTCCGTCGCAGTTCATTCTTTTCATTCTAGAGACTACTCCAACTCTACATCGCGCAGTTTGCTCCCGAAACACTTGTTCATAGCATCGAAACGGCCTGTCCAACGTCATTTCAAGTTGATTCAAAGTTTGCCGTTCACTCGTTCTTTCGTCCACTCTACCAATCCTCATGCTGACAGATTATGTATCCAGATGAGCGGCAACAACAACTAATATCCTCTCTGGAGGAGTTGTTCTTAATAGCTTGTGACTACGGCATCACCTCACTAGGTATCTTTGCCCATGAGAAAGTACCATGATCCTTGACTAACTAGGAAGCAGGCATTGTTTCTTTTACTGTCTTTTCTCGTTCTACGCTCGATAACAACATCGCCCAACTCAGGCCTTGCCTTCCTATTCGCTGTATACCTCGCTATCCTTCCACTCAAGCGTTGGCCTTGGCTAGCTGCTTTCTTCTTATACTGTGGGTATATCTACAAGGGCTTGGGTCAGACTTTGACTAACCACCAATGAGAAAATTAGCGGCATAGGGTCTCCTAATTACCACGCTGTCCCGTTTCTCTCAGTGGTCTTCAACGCGGTAGGCACCACGATTGGTAGAAAGGAATGCTCCCGTGAAGTTTTGGGTGTTGGAACCGGGACATTGTAAGGCAAGATAGTGTTGTGTATAGATTTGCTTTCTTTTCTTATTAGCACCAGCGAAGGCAATGTCTGTGTGAACAAATCAAGATGGCGACGGACAAGTATAGACATGATGGATGATGGCACATTGCCCGCTACTTTCTCTAGATAATGAGACATTGTTATGCACTACGCACTTACATATTTCTTTCCGTACTGAGCTTGTGTAGAAAATCGACAAAATTTCAGGTCCATCCCTAAGTTAACTTATCGACTCATCTAGATCTATCTTCGCTTCCTCTCCCCTAACACTCTGCCACCACTCACTCTGCCTGACCAGCTCTCCCTCTTCCCCGCCAAGCAGCCACCAGTACTTCTTCAGAAACCAAACCTTGGCCTCCCAACTCCGCACATCCCACAGGTTTCCCGTGACCGCATGCCCCGTCACACTGTCCGGATCCCTCTTTGTCGTGCCCGCGCCGCCCCAACACACCAAACCAGTCAGTGTATCGTTCAAAAACTCATCCTCATCGATTTCGTTCTGATGTATGATGAGATTTCTCCTCAGTGTTGGGAAGGGCAAAATGTCAATGTATGGATGATGCTCTACTGTGATCTGCTCGGCAATTGGTCTCAAGTCCGGTTTCAAAGTCTTGAACATTTGTTGAACCATGCCAATTGTCCGATCCCGCATAGCGTCATCCGCAATTTCTAGGCCCGGCCGGTAGAAAGGCGAGGGTGAGTCGTCCGCGCAGAAGATTCCCTCCTCAATGCCCACATACTTCATAAGTGTGTACAGCGCTGTAGCGATACACACCCGCTCAATGCGTATTACATTGCTCATGTATGGGTCTGCGGCCACGCCATCGGCGCTGAAGCTGATGACCTGCATGTCGTTGTTGGAATAGGGGTCCCGTGTACGTAGCCGCACGTGTGGTGTTAAACAGCCGCAGTCGATTGTTTTAGTCCAGTATGGACTAGAGCCTTGCCTGGTTTTGTCATGGATGAGGAACGAGGAGCCGACAAGCGTGCATGAGTCCCAGGTTGGCGAGGGAGGAAGGGAGTGTGTGGTATTAGATGGTGGTAGCTGGAGTTGCCATTCCCCAGGTGTCGAAGCAGGTGGACTGGAAATGGGGGGGCTGTTCCCGATACCGAAGGATGAGAGACTGTCGCATGGTTGTGTGATGAGGCATTGTAGTTCTTCTGGGGTGTCTTCTGACTGTGAAGCGAGGGGTTGACATCCTCTCAGGGTTCTTTGGCAGGAGGCGGACGGCTTCGAAATGCCATGATCTAGTGAGTTGCTGCTACAATTGTGCGTTGGCAATTCCGATGGGTTTGTGCTTTGACTCGGTCTCTCTATGGCGTGGTTCTGCCTAGCAGATGCGGCGATTGCCTCCAGAGTCTCCAATCGCTGACGTTGTTTTTCTCCTACGTAAATAGTCAATATTTAATTTCTTAATTATTCTTGGGGCTATCATCTACGCATTTGCGATACGAGTGTATTTGTTACGGAAGAGAGGCACTTACGATACTTCTTTTGGGCTTGAATATTCTGTTGCCGTCTCTTTTCCTTATCACGGCGAACGGGTTTCTTTTTGTGCTTTAATGAGCTCCTATCCTGTTGCGGTGCTTCTAGGCTCTGTGACGGCATGGTGTATGGGCAAAGTATGTATTTGAAAGGGTTCTTGGGAGACCCGACAACACGCTGGTCCGACGAGGACGCGATGCGGAGGAACAAAGGCCGAGGGAGGGCCTAGGAAAAGTGGCTGACGTGAGCCACCGTATTCCCCTGCAAAATCGTCCGGACAATGGAGTCCCCATGAAAAGCACTATGATAGTAAGGTTCTAATCAACTTTAGTAACGTCGAGTTCATTAACCCATAATACCCTAATCCTACAGTTTACTAGAGTAATATATTAAGTGGTGACATGAGAAATCTGACTGTAACAGTCAATCATATCAAGCTGCACCTCCACCAGCGATAGCCGCTATATTCAACTTGTTCCATCGCTGGAACAAGACAATAATGATCAGGGCGATCCCTGACGACGCAATGCCAATCGCAAACGAGGCTTTCAGACCTTGCATGTACGCCACTAAGATCCTAGCAATTTGGTCCTTCGAGAACACTCTCCGCAAATCCGTCGCGCCGGTGCCCACCACGAGAGCTGGGTTGACACCTGGTGCCGTCCTGGGAAGATTGTTGATCATGATGTTGACAAAACCAGCCTGAGCAGCAGAAACCATCGCCGCACCGCCGACCGTCTGGAGGAACAACAGCATGGCTGTCACCTCAGCGAGATCTGTGGCCGGGGCCGTAGCTTGTACCGTGATGATGGGGATCTGGGACGCAATCCCCCAGCCCACGCCGCCAACGATCTGGTAGCCAATCCACTTGCCCTCTGAGGTGCCAATATCCAGTGTGTAAAGCAACCCTGTGCATATCGTCGACAGGGCAGTCCCGGCAACGATGATCGGCGCCGCGATGCCAGTGGCGGAGATGTAAGTGCCGCTGGAGAGCATGGAGATGACAACGGCGACAATAAGGGGCAGGTTTCTCACTCCGCTTGACTGGGCACTGGCGTTGTCGATGCTCTGGAAGTAGATTGGGAGGTAGTACAGCACCAAGTAGTACGCGCCGGAGTAGAAGAATGAAAAGACCGACTCGACGATGTAAACCCTTTGCTTCGCGAGGCGGAACGGAAACATGGCCGTGTCTTTCTGGAACCATTCCCACAGCACAAACACGCCCACGATTGCCGCACTGCCAACCAAGAGGCCGATCTCGTGCGCAGAGTTCCAGGGAAACTTGACACCGCCATCCTGCACGGCGAGGAGGTAGCACACAACGAATGCGATCACGAGAGCGGCGCCTACGGGGTCCATATGGAGGAGCTTCTCGCGTAGAGTTGCCGCCTGTGGCTTCGCGGCGCGGGGGGCCTTGAAGAAGATTAGGATGATGAAGGCAGAGATTGCTCCGATGGGCAGGTTGATGTAGAAGCACCAGCGCCACGACACTTTATCCGCAAATGCGCCTCCGATCAGAGGCCCAACAGCCGCTGCAACACCGTAGCTTGTTCCAACGATCCCGGTGAACATCGGCCGGCTCTTGGGTGAGGCGGAGAAGCCGATGATAGTGTATGAACCTGAGCCAATGCCTGCGGCGCCCACACCCGCAAAGGCACGCCCGACGATGAGCGCGGTGCTGCTGGGAGCAACAGCGCAGATCAGGGATCCGAGCTCGAAAATGAAGATGGCGATGAGGTAGCTGGTTTTCAGTGGAAAGAACTTGTAGATTTTGCCCCAGGCGCTCTGGAAGCCGCCCATCGTCATGAAGAAGGCGGAGCTGTACCAGGCGATGTCCGAGAGGCCGTTGAACTGGTCGGTGATTTTGGGAATTGCAGTTGCGACGATTGTCAGGTCGAGAGAGACGAGGAAGATGGCGAGCGCGAGCGCAGTGATGATGGCCGCGAGGCGAGCACCCGCAGGATATTCTGATTCGTCTGTCTTGGCATCTTCTGAGGTCGGCTTTTCTAGGCTTGAGCTTTTGTCACTGGTTCTTCGATTGTTGGAGTCTTTTTCGTCGGCAGTATCTGCCGTTACCAATGAAGCATGTGTTGGCCCTAAGGCGACGTCGCCCTTCGGATCAAGGGACGCCATGTTGATTCATGTATTTGATGTCTAGCTTTGGTAAATGCTGTTGCCCAGAGAAGAGAACCTCTCCAGATTTTATAAAAGATTTAGAGCAACTAGTCCAAGCAGCGACAACAGGTATTAGCCAGACGAAGGCCAATACAAAGACGAAGACCAACAGCAAATATGCCCCTTAAACTAAACACCCGTCTCCGCTGGCTGATGGTATCAATGGCTGACGACAGACACACAATGAAGGGAAGACGTGGGCTGCGGAAAGTTTCCATGTACTTGTAAAATGGCTTTATCAGCCATTCCCCGCATGACTTCCTCAGTCGGTATTCCTTCGAGCATGTGGCTGATATCAGCCAAAGATCTACAAACCGGGTGGGCCTCATACTAACGGACCGGCGAGTTGATGTGCTAATAGCTCTATACGTGCTAGAATGGGATGAAACGGAAGCATAACTATCTTGATCTCAAACAGAATTTGGGGGCATTTTATTAACCCTCACGATACCTGCCCATTGGTATATTACCATCGGCCATTGAGATAGTACAGCCTCCATCAGACTGAGTGCTTCGTCCTGCAACAGGTCGTCGGGACCTGTTAGGTGCCCGGATATTACCAATCAGGTGTGAACAAACAAGAAACCATATTATGACTATATTGCTTAAAGTAATACCCGGGATAAATGGCTTTGTCTCGTCGTGGTTGGGAATTAATAGCCAACTGCCGGGTCTATTCCCCTAGCGCACTGAATACGTATCTCATAGACAATGAGTTGGACTCAGGATGCTTGGCAATAACTCGGAGGAGTGTAACACATCTATACATTACGCCGAAAGAGGGTTGCGAGAAACTAACATATGTTATATAAGAAGAGGCCTTTCAGCTTCACAGAGGATTTAGATAATCATTGTACCTTGCGTTACGTCATTGGCTACAATCTGCGGTTTCATAATATACGCAGTAATCACTAAATAAATGAGCCCTCCTTGATAGTTTAAAACTCAAGCGGCCCCAACCAACTCCATAGCTCAGCGTAATATCGTCTAAAGCTATTTATGCATTGACAAAGACTCATCCATCATAGGCCGTCATCTGATAACCCAATAACAAATGGGCGACCTGCTTTACGCCCAATTGCAATATTCGATCCTGAAACAGCTGCGTCGTATAGCCGATATTCCGGCGGTAGCCATAGCAACTTCTCAGCGTGTCTCATGATCCAAACGCCATCAGGACTAATGTGATATTTAGTCAAGCAATCTACCAGTGGTCGTTCTTCTGGCAAATCGGCAATTGTGGTGAAATCAAAGTTGATAAAAGTTGGATTCAATTGCCAAACCGGGTCAGGGTGTGACGGGTCATAATTAAACCTCCATAAACATGCCCCTGATGCCAAATCCCAAATAGCCCCAGACCAGTTTGGAGAAATAGCTGCAAGCCGCTCTCCATTTTGAGAAAAGGCCAGATTTATGGCACCGTGATGGAGAAACTTTAGGGATACATCTGAACCCAGATTTTTTGTCCAAATGCAGTCCCCAATTCGCGAGTGAATGCCTCCATACTCCCAGGCAACATGTTCGCCATCTGACGAAATGGCTACCATAATAGATTTGTCGAAATGGTATTCATAAGGTGTTAAGTGTCGATGCTGTACCTCTTTCAACAGCTGGCCCGTACGGCACTTCCATACCTCGACTCCCCCATCTAGAAAGCCTGTAATAAGTCTTTCACCATCCGCTGAGAGGGCCATCGAGAAGTATCCTAAGAAAGGACGATCGAGTGTGAGTAAATTATTGCCTGTATTCACGTCCCAGATTTGAACGCCGCTTGTCTCCAATAATCCAATCGCAAGAATACTGCCATTCGAAGATATGGCTACTTTAAAACATTTGACTTCGAACGCCTGCTCTATGCGTTTGCTTCCAAAATCGTCCCACCACTGGGATATACTCCCAGTAAAAGATATTGTAGCAAGTCGCCGACCATCCATGGCCATCGCGAAAGCTTTATTATCGAAAGAGATTGTATTTTCTCCTTCAACGGAATCTATTGTGGCATCCCATATCTTAGCTGTGCCGTCCCCAGATGCCGAAGCAAGCCATGCTCCGTCTGGCGAGAATGCCAATGAATCCACCGCGCGATGATGTCCAGTAAGCGTCTGAAGACGAACGCCTTCTTTCCAGTCCCAGATGAAGATATTTCCCCCAAAATCGCCCGTTGCGAGCAATTTATTGTCTGGTGAGAATTCCAACGAGTAAAACTGATCCTCCCTGCCATGGAGCAACTGTAGACATGCCGTCGATGCAGCATCCCAGATCTTGATCCTTGAATTTGTTAGAGTCGAAGCGAAATAACGATTATCTCGTGAGAAACACGCAGCCCATGCAACATATATATCATCTTCTTTTAGTACTTTAGGTGAATGCATGTAGTTATCTTCATAGTTCATGTCTAACATATTGACTTCGACTCCGTTTGCAAACGCGGCTTGCTGACCATCGGAAGCTAGGACGATCGGGTTCTTTAATGAATGCTTGACTCGTTCTACAGAATCTTGCTCTAGATCCCATACCAGAATTTCTCCCTGCATTGTGTCTGTAAACAAAAGCTTCTGTTCATCTGCAAAAGATATGGAAATTTTTGTTTGCGAAAAATTTAATGGTGTTGTTCGTCGCCTGAGATGTGCTTCTTGCAAACAGACAGCTTGATTTGGATCCCACACGACAATCCACTCTGCGGTCCGACAAGCAATTTTACCGGCTTTGGAGAAAATGATTGATTCGACAGAACAATACTGGCTTTTATCTATGTGAAAGGATTGCAGGCAGTTACCCGATGAAGGATCCCATACAAGGACCATTCCATCATGGCCTCCTGATGCGAGAATACCTTGAGGAGAAAAAGCGACGCAAGCAACTCGATTACTATGGCCTTCCAGAGTTTGTAAACATAAACTCCATTGAGGTTCAGAGTTTGGTGTACGTGTGATCCATTTGGCTCGGCAGTTGCCAAAGGTTTGTCGAACAATACTGCCAGTTGGGGCGAAGGTCAACGCTGAGCTATATAGTTGCAGCGGCGCAGTATCAATGATCTGACGGAAGGCGAGAATAAAGCGATGAGCATCTTCTAAGAAGGCTCTAGCCTGTGCTCCATTTGTAGGCTGCTTTGGTCAGCATATGTAAGGAGCATCGGAATTGAAGTGAACTGACACGTACGATAGCTTGCAGTTCTTTCACCTGCGGCACACTCTCTGATGCCCTTTGCAACAAACTCAGGGCCTCCAGCCAGTGGAGGAAGTGGGATACAAGAAATGTATACCAATGGTCCCCGTCGCTAATGCTTGCTTTACTCATTTTTAGGTGATAAACCCAAAACTTGCATGCGTATTGTACCTCAGGTGATAGGCAACTTTGAATAGTTTCATCGGTAACATCGCTTACATGCGCTCCCGGTGTCTTCAGGTTGCAAATATTTTGTCGCAACGAGCCACATAGAAGTTGGTGACATCGGGATGCCAAGAGAGCATGCGCTTTTCTGGAATCAATTTTGAACTCCTCGTTGGCATCAGGTCCAGCAAGGAAATCCCTGAATGACTCGTGAAACAATCTGACATGCGACTGATTGTCTTGTTCTGTTGGAACTACCAGTACTGACTCAAAAAGCCGTAGTTCGTTGCGAACAGCTAACTCAGGTTGTCCCACAAGTCTAGCCAGGCATTTAACTGTGACAGCATCCGCTAGGCTAATGACAGAGCCGATAACGCGTTGAAACTCTACTTTTGCCTGGCTGCGATACGGGTCTTTGAGGTTGCAGAATCTTCGATTTAAAATAGGAAGATATACGCCGTCGAGATCACCGTATATGTTGAACTGCAATATGTCTCGAAGAAGGACTCGTGGACCCCCTGGTATTTCGGTTTGATCAATAAAACGACACGCAGCAGCAGCGAATTCAAACAGTGGGTGAGCCCGCTGTGTAAGTTCTTGGAGATTTTTCACGTCGGAGGGATTGGACCAGGGTTCTTTCCCTGGAGGCGTATCCAAAAGTCCGTCAATCGTTTCCATCCGAAACTGCAAGTAGCGTTCAATATCCTGCCGAGTGGTATCCGATGTGGCTTTTTCAAGCTCTCTTTTCTCGCATTTCTTCTCGGGAACATTTTTGAAAGCAGATTGTATGTGGTTGTCCAAGCGACTAGTCAGAAAATATTTGACTATCATCTGGCCAGAGGAACATTTATTCGCATCTGTGAGAAGAATGGACTGTGAGAGCTGCTGAATTAGAGTGACTAGATCTTCTTTGGAATCGCATTCGTCAAGTGCGTCGATAACAACCACTATAGCTTTGGAATTGTTGAGTTTCTGCTCTTGCAAGGGTTCTTGCAAGAGCTTCTTGAACTGAAATCTTGGATCTTGTTCGAGTAGTGAAGGCTCAGATTCCAAAGCATCTTGGACAGCTTTAGCCAGACTGGGCAATTTTCTTACAAGCTGAGTTGTCAGCGTTGTGAAAAATCTTTTCAGTCTAGCTCGATCGCTTTCACCTCTTTTAAAGAAGAAATTGGCGACGATGCGATTCTTTTTGACCATTCTGCTGATAACAGTACGTGCGATAGTAGACTTTCCCGTTCCGGCTTTGCCTTGAAGCCAGTATATATGCTGTTGAAGTGAAGCACTGCTGTCAAACCAGTCGAAAATGTCCTTTAGAAGTTTTTCTCTCGTTTGGGGGAGACATTCCAGTCGACCTCTTCCATATTCATCGAAACCTGGGTGGAACTCTGCATCAGCGGCAGTAGCGTTCATGAGACGGTCGATGACAGCTTGTTGAATCATATTAATTTTGGGAGGTGTAGTGCTACGACTATTAGCTGAGAGCGGCTTTCAGTTATGGCACTTGTCACTCACGGTTGCATCTTGTGCAGTTGTTCTGCAAGCTCTCTGTAAAGCGGATCCTCGGAGTTGAGACATTTGTTCAGACCAGAATGGTCTTTGTCGACCTCATAAACGTCGGCAAAATTGGCACCAAAAGTTGCCGATTCCCATGGGACAATCTGATACATGTAAGACATAGTTCGAGTCAAGTATATTTAGCAATGAACTTACTTTGCCAGCATAAAACCAATTCTGAAGGTACGTGGGCTTTTTCTCGCAGATTGAAACAATCTTGGTTTCTTTATCCAGGTCTCGATGCTTTTTTCCTACGCAATTTTGGAAAGCTTTGCTTAGATTCACCAGCATTTCTCCATTGCTGCGGAGCAAGAGTAGCAAGCCAGTATTTGAGCCTAGGAAGCCGGTCAGGTAAGCAATGGTGGCTCCAAAACCGGCGACTGGGCTGCCTAAATGAGGAGTGCCCAAGAATATGATGCCACGGGTGTCTTCTAATATTCTCTCACCGTCGTTTTGATTGCTGGATAACGCCTAGATGAGTATGTATGAGAGAGTAGTCATTATGAAAAAGCGAGAGAGATATGAGCAGACCTCTTTGATAACAATCCCACCGAAGCTGTGTCCCACAAATATCAGAGGCAAGCGCTAAACGCTGTGTTAGTGATACACATGATAGGAACCGCTATTTATTCCTTACAGCATGATGTTTTCTGTGCTCAATGAGGGATTCTATCAGACGAAGTCCAATGTCTCGAGCGGACTCAAAGCAAGCGTCAACGAGCCAGTCCGAATTGTATGCGAAATGGAGAATTCTCGCATCGGAAAATCGCTCGTCCTTTATGAGTAGATCTTTGAGCAAATGGACTGGTGGTTGGGTATCGCCGGTTTTGGACTTTGAATTGGATTTGCAAGTCCAGGTATGCTCAGGGTTGGCCCCAAGGCCATGCACAGCAACGATCCTAGATTGTGAGATATGGACCACCAATTATTTGAGAGATGCGACATACTCATATTTGAAATGATCATTATCAGAGACATCGGAGAGAATCTGAAGGCCCACTGAGCGGCCATCTCGCCTTCGAATCTTTGCGTAGAGGCGGTAGAGTAGGGAGGCTAAGAAAGGTAGCAGTAGAAGAAACGTCGTGATAGCTTCCCACGCAGTTGGCTTGCGTGGCGTAGGACACCACTGCACGAGAGGCCATTTCATCATGAAAGTCAACTAATGGTTGGGCTAATATGTGATAGAAGGCATAACCGTGTTGAGGCCAAAAAGAAGACCGAACTGCGAGACTGAGTGCTCGCAGGATTGGATTTCTCAACAGTGGGGTCTCAGCTGATAACCACTACGGGTTTCGTCGTGTTTGGGCATTAATAACGAGCTGCCATATCCTTTCTCCTTGCTTACTGTTTACGCATCTCGTAGAGGACCAATTACATCATCTATGCAGAGACGCGCAAAACAGCTCTAAGCGCGTGTTAGATTACAATGAGGCAAATTCATTACCACCTTGACGGCAGAAACAACATTTGGGGTCAATTTTTAACCCCTATCAATGCCTAATCACCAGTAGAATGCCAATGATTGGGTCAAGATTGGGTACAGCCTCGATCAGGCTGAGCACTTGCAGCAGGTGGTCGAGGCCCGCGGAGTACCTAAGTGTTCAATCAGACTTGAGCGGAGAAACACCAAATCGTACCGTGACTCTCGGAGATTTATCCCTTCAAAAAGTGATTATACAGATCCAAGTTGAGTGGCATGGCTGACACTGACATGGCTGTGAGCAAAACAATGGTGATGTAAGTACTTGGTTGTACACCAAAGATGAAGTGGGAGACCACAGAGCTTTATAATATAAAATAGCAAGACGGGTTTCCAACAACTGGATCTGATCCGCTACACCAGCGCTAAAGCGCAGGTTTACATCTTCCGTAGTATAGTGGTCAGTATGCAAGCTTGTCACGCTTGAGACCCGGGTTCAATTCCCGGCGGGAGAGACCGCCAGCAGTTCCAAACTGTGAATTCTTTTTTTGCGCTTTTTAGCATTTGACCGTGATGGAGGGAGGAGAACCATGTGATGCAAAATGAAGACGAGACGAATAATAAGGAGAAGAGGAGAGACCAAACGCTCTCGAAGCCATACTTGTTGCAATATGCGGCACTGTATTTTGATTGCAGCCATGTCCACTCATATTCCATCTGAGCACATGCATCACAACTCATTATATCATTAAATAAATCTCAATGTCGATGTGCTTCAGACAAAAAATCCTTCTTGCACATCACCTTTTCCTCGTCCGACTCGCCACTGGGGCCGGCTCAAATGCATCGTCATCCGAAATCTCATCGTCGCTAATCTCAACCGCTTTGTCCTGCGTCGCTCCTTGTGAGAAACTGAGCTTCGTCTGCCGCGTCTTTGCCGCAGCAGCTCCCCTTGTTGCCGTCTTCTTCGTCGCCGCCGGTTTGCTAGCAGTGGCCGTGCTTTTCGTGTTCTGCCCGCGTCTGGTGGTTCGCGCAGTTGCTTTTGGTGGCGGGGGCGCCTCCTCTTCCTCCGATTCCATTATCACGTCTTCCTCCGGTGGCTCTTCCTCTTCACTGTCCTCAAAAGCCTTACGGCCGCGTCGAGCTGGTGCTTTCTTGGCTGCAGGCGCCTTCTTAGCTGGCGCAGCCTTTGTCGTGCGTGTCGTGGCTCTCTTCGTCTTCGCTGGCGGCGGCTCATTCTCATCAATATCTAGCATATCATCATCCTGCTGCGTCTTTCGTGATGAGCGGCCTGAAGCCTGAGGCCTTATTGATACTTCGTCCTCTTCCGCGATATCCTCGTATGTCCACGCATCGGGCGCGTCCTCCCAGCTACCATCGAAATCCGAGTCCCAGGTATCCGGCTTGGGCTTCAGAACCCTCTTTCTTTCAGCCTGTGCCATTTTGCCCATGCTACCCGCAGTAGTCATGCGCTGCTCCATCCTCTCCCTGTAAAGCTCCATGGCATTGTTCAGATCCTCGTCGTCAGATTCGAGACCCAACATTTGTCTGACCTGGCCAGACAAGTGTTCCGACACGAAAAGTTCCATTGCATGCTTATCGTCCTTGGCAACGAATTGATTAACCGCTTCGCCAAAGGGGCCTTGTGGGAGAACCTTGAGGGATTGCTTCGCAAGCAATTGGTTGACAAGATTTTCCACTTTGACCATTTCGGCGCCATCACCTAGGGATTCGAGAACCTCTGCTGGGTTTGGAGCAGCCGCTTTGCCTATGGCGTTGTAAGCATAATGTTCAAGCTCAATTCTCAAGGATGAGCGACTCACGCTGAACCGTCTTTTTTCTGTAGAAATACACCACATCATTGGTATTGGCTACTTTGCCAACAAATCGGTTCGAAAACCGCTGTGGATTCTCACACTCGAACTGGCCTCCTTCCAGTGCGGTATACTCGACCTTGAGGCGGATAAGCGGCAACGGTCGATCTTCCAAGGCCTCTTCATCCGTTTGTATAGCCTCCCAGTCTGCGTTTGCCTGCGCAATCATCTCTTCGACAATCTCCATCAATCGTAATGTGACCTCATGTCTGTTGTCTTTTTTCTTGTCCAAGCCTTTGAACCGCTTTTCTTGAGCGAGAGATATTTCCCTTGTAACAAACGGCCGGACAGACTTGAGAGGAATCTTGTCAACTTTGAAGTCTTTGTTATTTACACTTACTACAGCGACGTGCTTCTGCACTGCTTCCCCCGGGACTAGCGATGTCGCCACAGAGGATCCTGGCTGCATAACGTGGAATCCCGTCTCTGGATTTTTTGACGGATCAATCAAGCACTCGTGTTCGTGTCCCCAGACCACCAAGTCTAGCCAATCTGGAAGCACGTTCTCCGGCAAATATGATGTCGCTGTATGAGCATGGTGGTTTTGGTGGACGGCCAGTAGGTTGAACCACTCGGCTGTCTGAGTGCCAGGGCGGAACCACTTGACCTTGTGATCTCTAAACGTTCTAAACATGCGCTCATCACGAACGTTGCTCAACCCATACAAGGCAAGCTTCGTGTCGCCTTTCTGCAGTAGAATTGGCTTCGCCTCGATGTTATCCGCCTCAGCCACCCTGCCGTAGTAGTTGAGAAGGCCTGCCGCCTGCAACAGGTCTAGTGAACAATAGTTACCGTCGCCGGAAGGGTCGTCGTGATTGCCGTGAATGGAGAAGACGGGTATTGAGATGTTGATATCGGGATCTTCGTAGTTGACGTGGGGGAAGGCTCCCTCGAAGACATCGGCGGCGTCTGACAGAAATTCGAGTGGACAAGGCTTCATGCCGAGGCAATTCTTTCGTAGCGTTCGCATGACCTGGTAGAGAGATTTGCGAGAGGGCTTGTTATCGTGGAACAAGTCGCCGGCAAGCAGCACCATGTCGACCTGCGATGCGTGAGCTTGGAGGCAAACAGACATAGCCGTCGGTATAACAAACATCTTCTGTGCGGGCCAGAGTCATGATCTCGTCGAATGTCCGCCAGCTGTCATCCTTGCGAATGGCATCTCGCTCTTCGTATCCGACATGATTGTCCGTCGCAACCAGGATGCGAATAGTGTCTGCCTCTGCCGGATTGTTAGCGGGGCAATTTGTGAGGCGACATGGCATAAGCATTTCAGAGCTTACCAGCAAACTCAGGCATGTTGCCAATCGGAGATTCCCGGGTAAAGAGCGTCTGCAATCAGAATTCCATCAAGAATCAGGCCAAAGGGAAGAAACAAGGCCGAATTCAAATGTCGTGATAGGCGATAAGGAATCTGCAGTCTGGAAATTCACGGTGGGAGACGCGATGCTTCCAGGCAGTAACGCGACATGATACGAAGTCACGTGCAGCTATTGAAGAGCTTAAAGAGGTGCTACCCTAGAGAACAGGCAAAAAGTATACAACGAGACGAATAATACCTAATTACTAGGTAAATTAAGGGCAATGGTTCTTTGGTTTACACAATTGTATCTCTTTGAAATTTAGGTTTCAAAAGTCAATTGGTAGTTATGACTTATTGCAGTGAAGCCAGTTTGTATGTAGCTCTGAATTACTTCTCGTTAAACCCATATCTGATTCGCAAGATATGCATAAATTCATCTCACGAGTAATTTATATCTACCTAAATTGCGTAATAATTACAAATCATCACAACACTTAATGCAGATTTACAAATGGCTATCCAAGTCATTTCAGTTGTGGTACGCAACCGCATCGTCTCTAATCTCCGCAAGGATGGCATCGATCGCATCAGCAACCTCCTGTGGCAGTGGTCCCTGCTCAAAAATATCCAAATTCTGCTCCAACTGCGAAATACTCGATGCTCCAATGATAATTCCATCTCCATACTCAGCGGAAAGAGCACTGTGGTGCGCAGTCCATCGTAGAGAAGCTGCGTGACCAGAGATGCCGTGCTTGGCGGCAATTTCTCGCACTCGATCGGCAGCAGCCTCGATGCTTGGCTTGAGATACTTTGAGGCATAAAATTTACCGAGGTAATGCTGAAAATTGTTAATATTTAGAGATTCTTACTTGTATACAATGGTCAGACTTACTGAAGTGTCGTAGCGGCTTCCAGCTTGAGGGTTCTTGTGGTTTCCGTTGAAGAATCCCGCAGCTCCGGGACTATGTGCAAATGAATTAGTCATGAAAGACCTTTTCTAATTGAACTGTAATGAACATACCTCCAGGCATAGAAAGCAATACCGTGCTTTCGCAGTAAAGGGAACAGTTCCTTTTCTCCGGTTCGGACGACCATTTTCCTTGCGATAAGTCACTTCTGAGTCTAGAGATTGAAATCTTTACGTAAAAGGAGACCAAAGCAACTGGTAGTGGAAGAACCGGTGGAGAAATTGGCTGGGTGAGGGAAAATCTCTAGTAGGTCAGTGGAATATATCGGGGACTGCCTCACACTGGTAGAGGCCACTGGAATGCTTAATAAATGATGGTAAAAGAATATCAAGTTCAATTTTCAAAGTGAGAGTACAGGTGACCCAGGACAGGCCAGCACTGGGTCTGTGTTTAAGCGGGAGAACAAAGGAGGGACAGGCGTTTTTGTTCAAATATCACAGTTCACGCTGCATTTCATCAGTCGTGGCACTTAGTTCTTTGACAATATTCATTCTCGTTCAAATTATAATTCTGATTCCCTTTTTGTTATTTATTACTTGTTTCCAGTTATGGCCAATCTGTGAGTGCCTGCTCTGAACAGTGTTTGTACACATTCATCGTTCTCTTCCGAAGCTGACGATATCCAAGACAAGAAGCAGGGTGCGGCAAAAGCCCAATATCCAATCATGAAAGTACTTTGCAAAAGCTCGACCTACGAAATCTCAAGCTGGCTCAGGTTTTGGCGGTGCTGAACCAGGATGGAGTTTTTATAGAGACGGTGTCAGTGGATGCCAATGATTCGGATCGCTTAGATTTTCTGAAATTCAAGAATAAGTCCAGGTAAGCGCACATATTATACTTTCCTGGCTACCAAATCGGAAAATGACAGGCTGATTACCGACAGCCTTGCTGAATTGATACACATTTTAGAATCTGAGGGTTTGATCAAATGCCAGGACTCTGGTACAGATCAGAAGATTCTCTTGCATGACACTTGGCGACTTACACTGCAAAGAAAATTATATAACGAAAAGGAATTGTTTCAACCAATATTCAATGCAGCTGTCAGTCTCATTCGCCGAAAATTTCCTCGCCAATCTCCTGTTCAATTCCCTCAGAACGATATTTGGGGGGTATGCAAGAAATATTCTCCACACATCATAAGCCTGATGGAAGTACATGCCGCTTCGTTGGTGCCACCAGAGCCCTCGATTGACTATGCGTTACTTCTCTCAGATGCCTCCAACTATTTTTATGAGCGCAACTTCTTTGCAGATGCGCTTCGCACCGCGGACGCAAGCGTCGAAGCTTGCAAGCACATTGATGATTGTGAAGCTGCCAGAGCCGATATACATACAATTGCTGCCGCCGTGAGGGACACTTCTGGTATCTCTGAGAGATCAAAGACACTCCATCATTATATCATGGCGATTGCTCTGCGCCAAGAATGCCTGAACAAATCCAAGCTGGAAGATGTCACTCATGACGATCTCTGGAACTACGCCAATGCCTGGGGTAATATGACGCCGATACTGTTGGACTATGGGTGCTACGAAGATGTCATTGTATACGCCGAGTTCGCAATGACTATCAAAAGAAAATTATTTAGCCATGAACGAGAGTCCACTATTGCATGCTATGAGCAATATCGCAATAAGCACATTGCATTGGCAGCTTTGGGACGTTTTGAAGATGCTCAACGTTGGAGGCCTGATCCAGAAAATTGCATTGACGACCCGAGATATACGGTGATAATGATCAGGTATTACTTTTTCCATGCCAATATCGCCATCATATGTGGTAAGCTAGATGCAGCATATGAAAGTCTGCAAAAGACACTTGAAATGCGAACAAAGTTTTTCGGCCCTACTGGCCGGAGCACATTGGATACGTACTACTTGCTTGCTATGCTGGAGATAAGGAGAGGTAATAATGATGCCGCAGAGTATGACTCCCATGACCAGTGTGAAGAACTGTAATTTCAATTACTAACATAACCAGAGCACATTTGAGAAAGGCTCTCGAAAGCCCCAACGATTGGACGGACGAGGCATGTGCACGAGCTAGGTATAAGCTTCCTCAACTACTCCTTAGCAAGGATGATGGTGAGGCTCAACATTTGCTGAAAGAGGCAAGTGAAAGGTTGGCCACGTACTGGGAGAAATACGCAAGATACTGGCCACGCGAATTGGATTTACCTGATGAGGATGAGATGTATGATCATATTGTCCCAGCTGAAGCCGGCCGTCTCTCAATGACGAAATTGCTGCCACTTAACACGCTGACGAGAGGGCTCAATGACATTTGCCGCCAGCTTGCGTCTCGTTTGAAATCAGATGATGCTGCACTGGCTACCAAGGAATTAGCTCAACTTTTGAAGACACAGTCTTCGATGTTTCATTTAGTTCCTTGAAAACACAGCAATGATGCATGAGATGATAACAATTTTATGACAGTTGGATTGGTATTTTCAAATGTTACTTCTTTTAGAAGCTATTGATGCTAATACTGCAGAAATATATTTCCATTCAATATATGAAATCACAATGTGAAGTCTTGACTAGAAGAACGATAATCATACTATACAATCTTATCTTCACTAAATGGCAGATCAACCCGATAAACTACTGTACAATATTTATTTCGTCATTTATTAAACCTCTAGTTATCTATTCCTAAGGAAACTTTATTTACGAATTAACGGAATGTTTGTAAGTGAACTTCCAGGAGGCCACCGCATTAATGGTGCATTCATGGAGCACCCCGGATCAGACTATGGGGAGATACCACTAGCATTTGTGGCTTGATCCTCAGGAAGCTTTAGTAAGGCTCCACAGCCACCATAATTGGTTACTTTTGGCCCGAAGAATGGATGCGTTATTTGTGCGGGCGGAGTTACCTAAACACACACGACCTTCAGACGACAACGCTGACTAGCGTAGGTGTGTTGGAGGGCAGCATCATCTCCTGGTTCGGCTTTTCATCCCACTGACTACATCTATTGATAATTACCAGGTATTATTCGCACGGAGAAGTCTCCAGCGCCAAGAGTTAACCCCAATCTCTAATCTGCAAGCCCATAGATGATCAGCCATCTCCTACCTGTGAATGATGTGCCTGACACTCATGATCCTTGCCTCAATCTACGAGGTCAACGTTAGGAACCACTGTTAGTTTAATTACCTTCTCTCTAACAACTCCTAAAGCAACTGCGACAGTCTATTATTTTATTGCGTTTTTGAATAAAATAGCAGTTATTAAAACACATATCCTAGATTTAATCCAACATAATTAACTGCCTATAATAGATTTACCGTGCCCAGATATGGCAGCAATCCCGTTCTAAGACAAGCCATTCGCGCCATTCTAAGGAATATTTGCCATCTGTACTCCTGTCACTGAGCCTGTAGAGGCTAGTCAGAATCAAAAAATATTGTTTTAGAAACCGAACGGTAGATTCCGCTTCTGCGCGATTTTTGCGGACTATCCTAGAGAATAACCGAAGCTTAAAAGAGTTAAAGATTCCTCTTCTCGCAACTTCCGAACCTCATCCTTACACATCTTCAATATGAACGCGACTACCCCTATATTCCGCTGCTGGCGACCCGGTCCTGCTCGCTTCCCAGTTACTCTGCAGCCCCGATTTCTCCCGAGCTCTTCTCTTACTCAGAGAGCCTATTACTCCGATCAAGTCAAAGTGTCCCGTCAGAAGACGGATTGCCATGCCAAAAAAGCAGGGAGCGCGCCTTCTGTGGCATCCACATCGCGATCACCATGGCGCCTCCCCTTCTGGAGCTGCCGGACCACCTGGAGGCGAGCAGGGATCAACACGCTGCGTTGTCTAGCGGGCTGTACGCTTGGTGACTTTTCAGCACTATGGATGCTGCAAACCTACTATCCAGAACTCGGGATGACCACCATCATGGCTGCATCCAGTAAGTTTCCTCCCATGACCTCAAAGGAAAGTTCCACGGGGGGGTAGATAAAGACTAAAACATGCACATAGTGGTGTCTGGCATCACGACTTCAATTATCGTTGAAACTATTCTACTCCGGCGCGGAGCAGACCAACTCTCCTGGCCTATAGCAGTCCGCACAGCGATGGGTATGAGTATGGTGTCGATGGTGGCAATGGAGACGGCAGAGAATATCGTCGACTACCATCTCACGGGCGGCGTGGTGGCCTTGGGGGACCCAAACTTCTGGATGGCAGCGGCGGTGTCTATGGCTGCTGGATATCTCGCCCCGTTGCCATACAACTACCTACGTTTACGAAAGTATGGGAAGGCCTGCCACTGAATCCAGTACGCATATGTGTGGCTGCCAGACCATGAATAGTAAGGATTGGTTATAGTAATTCACCCTGGAGTATTTAAATGTAGATATCACAAATGCCAACCAGAACTAAATCCGGTCCCCACGTCTCGAATCATCTTGTCTTGTATGTAGATGTATGCTTGCATGCATATATATGCAAGTTATACGGAAGATAAAGCAAGACCACATTGCACCTACATTGTTTCGATTTCTCTGCCTTTCTATTTCTAAAGTTTGGTGGGAAAGCCGTCAAATATCAGCCGGATATATTACTGCTTTGCGCGCGCATCGTCGGGGGTGATGTCGGGGATGTCGGAGATGTCGGAGATGTTAACTTCCTAATGGACGCATGCGCTAAAGAAGGCACACGACCTTCATGTTTGGCGTCGCTACGTAGCGGAATATAACCTTAGAGTGCTGGGATTGCTCATACAGAGTCTTCGGATATTACATAGATCGACTACTAGATTGTACAGTCTTATCATCCCCAAGTGATAGATTCTAGGAAGATCACTCAATAGCCCTATAAACTGCTGAGCAATCTTTATTTCGTGATTTATTTGTCCTCTAGCTATGCAATGTTATCCATTCCTGACAGAATCTCATCTAATCTCTCTTATGCATGACTCTAGCTCCGGGGTGGCTCATAACAATCCCGGAATCTACCCGCGTTGGTTAGCACTGCCCTGGATTTAACAGAACAAAGTACTTACCAATCGTAATCTGTTGACCTGTCATGGAAGTATTTTTAGCCGCAGAGATAAAAGCGTCGGCACAATCATCGAGATCAGTCTGAAAGGTCAGTATTGGCTTCTTAATAGTGTGAACAGTCACTTCTCGTACCTCGCGCCTCAGTGTTGATACCGATTTGTACGCTTCGATGTTCTCTGCCCCAAATCTTTGGCCCTGCGTAAAAATTGTGAGCATTTACCAAAAACCTAACAATCCTACTGACGGAAGAACAAACCCATTCAGTTAGTAACAACCCAGGAAGAATAGCATTGATTCGAATCTTGGGTCCTTGCGTGTATGCGAGATTCTTCATCAGTTGCAGACCAGCAGCTTTGGTAACAGAGTAGGCCATGCTGCTGCCGCCTTGGCTGGCGCCCTATATTCACATTGAATCTGTTACACGTGGCTTCCTCCGAGAGAATATTGACTCTTTTGCTTACCGCGACTGAAGAGGTGATAAGATATACTCCACCCTCGGGATTTGCGTTAAAGATGGGGGCGGCTTCTTGAACCAGGTGCAGATGAGACATGACATTGACGGCCCAACACTGAACATCCGGTTAGCCGCCGTTTGCCCATGTCTTTCTCTGGTATATAAGGATTACCTTGTTCCATTCCTCGTCGGTCAGAGCATGGAGATTGCCAAACTGAGAGATCTTGGTCCAGCCGGCATTTGCGATAATAATATCAAGCCCGCCAAAGTTCTTGACGGTTTCCTGGACGAGGCGAACGTTATCTTCCCTCTTCTCGGCGTCCTATTATTTGCAGTGTTAGCTCTTCCTTAAGGTCATAGAGCATAGTAGGTAATTGTAACAGACTTACACCTTGAATAATTAACGTCTTGACAGGGTATTCCTTCAAGGAATCAGCGACTTCCTGGGCAGCGTCCGCATTGGAGACGTAATTGATGGCGACATTGGCTCCCTCTTCGGCGAATTTCTTGCAGATGACAGCCCCAAGGCCTCTTCTCTGCGTTAGTACGGCTGTTGCTTTTACTAGGCGGGCTTGCCTACCTGGAGCCACCTGTGACCAGCACGTTTCTTCCCTTTAGCGAGTATGGCATTTTGATTTTTATATGTTGAGCTGAGGATGGAAAGTTCTAGAGGGGTGCGTCACATTGATATACGTTTTGTTGTCTCTCATAACCCCGCATAATATTCCGGATCGGCCAAGCGGGCCCGCAAAGTTACACCTCGGTCGGGGCAAACAGTGCAGCGATATCCCGTGCTGTTGTTTTCCTATATTGTGATCATCTGGCGTGATGGCAGAGATTATACACTGTACAATTCGCTTTTGGGTTTATTATTTATAGTCTTCTTTGTCTTTGTTGCTGTTCAGGCCTTACTCAAAATTGGCCCCAGTTTAGATTATCAATGGCTACAACAAAATCGGAGTTTATAAAGCGAGAAGAGATGCCGAGGATGCAATGTTGTAGGCAGGATTCCAAATCATAAGTTGATTATACAAAACTTTGCGCAGTAGCACAGCCATTTGTGAAGCTTCTTCCGTAATCTCCTAAGAACACACTTCTGCGCATACATGTATACTAGCGCATAAAAATTGACTGAAGAAACTATTTTCACATTTTCACAGGCTCCAAGTATCCAATAGTGACAATCTCTTCCTTCGGATTCTGCCAATCAAGCTTCTTAACCTCCCGTGTCTGGTCAAAGTGGAGAGAGCCATACCGCAAATACGCAGCAAACGACCCTTCTTCAATGTCCTTGTTGTGATTCTCCTCGGCATCCCATAAATCAGCCAGCATATTCACCTTTAATCCCTCGTTACGCGGTCCGTGGGGAAGCTTGATCATTGAAGAGTTTGCCAGAACAGATGTTACGAAAGCCTCAGCCTCATGCCACGATTCATCCACAACAGCTCCGGCGCCGGTGCGTGGTAGTGAAAAGAGACGGAATTGGCGCTGCGCATCCCATGCAGTAATTTTTTGAATGTGAAACATTTCAACTCCAGCGTCGAATAAGAGCATATGCTTGGCATACCACTCCGCGCCATTGAAGCCATCGTTGGGATCAATGAGCTTTCTCAGACGCTCGGCACACGTATAATGAGCCATATAGTCACAAAGGAGCTCCACGTTGGGCTTTTCAGCTTTCAGATTGACAGTCTCCATCTGAAGGTCGAATAGAGGCAAATGCCGCAGCAGCGGATGCTTGTGGAAGTCCTTCGAATTGGTGGCTCCCTCGGACCAGAGGGCAAGATAAATATCGTGCCACCTCTTGACGAAGGGATTATTGCGTTTAGTGCACAAGAATCCATTGAGCGGAGTATATGTGTCCGGTAGGTGCATCAAGGCTACGGCAGCGAGTTCATAGGGCGATTCGGGATCTTCGATTCGCTTCCAGCAGATATCGTCAATATGACGCAAGAGAATGAGGCCAACGTCCATCCAGACACCGCCATATTTCCATAGTAGTGGTAGTCGAACCAGATCTCCCATGTGAGCCTTATGGCCATCCATGGTACCCTCAACAAACGTCTTTGGGAAGTAGGATTCCTCAACATAGTGAAAGACGCTGGTCTCTGAACCATCAACACGATCCACTATATGGACAGTCCACTCGGGACCCAGCCGACGGACCCAATTAATCACATTTCGTTTCACCCAAGGGCTCATCTGCGCAAAGCCCGTGTCCCAGAAGCCCCAGATGTTCTTGTCTGAGGTAACCGGGTGGCGTTTCTGGAGCCATGCTGCGATCTCCTCATCTGTGCGATGGTCGATCTTTTCGGGGGATATGTGCTTGATTCCGTTTGGTAGGTCTGACTTTGTGACTTCTACTGGCATGTCGATATTTGCTGATCGAGAAGTTGTTTTATCGTCATACATGATTGTTATTGTGTTTGATAATTTTTGCAGTCAAAGTATTGCGTCGGTAGAGGGCTACTTCGTGATGTCTCCCCCTTACATGAGATGCATACTCTTCAGACCTTTTAACTACCATCTTGCTACTACATTTACTCTATCAATGCAAGGTACATGTATATTCCAAGCTTCCCACAGAAATCGGTAACGTTACAACACAGTACAGATCTATGTAATTCCGTCGAGCGGCAACATCTTGCGTAATGGTACGATACGTGTGATCTCGATCTGGTCGTGGAGGAATGGGTGGTCCCTACATTACATAGGGAACTGAGAAATAATATGCAGTAACTCTTCCGTATCATCCAACGAGATCTCGGGAATCGCGCATAAGTGCCCCGGTTGTGAATGCATAGCATTCGCCATCCCGGGAAACTATATCATGTTCGTATTTGATATGCAGTCACCAAATCCGGTAAATAATGTAGCAATCAGGTATATGCTTTTTCCAGGATTATGGTCTGACATGCCGCAATAGACTTAATGCGGTTGCTATTTGTTATAAAATCCTTCGGCTTCAAAAGCGAGCGACTTCTACCACAATACTAGTAAATATAGAATACGATATACATGTAACGTGGATCTAGTGATACGAGGCACTGCAGGTTGATATGTTGGTGGGATGCCTGGCGCTTCAAGCCAAATTATGCCTCAGCTCAGAATAGCGGACGCAGCTTCTTGGTCAGTTGCAATTGGCCTGAAATAGTTATTATTTCAGTAGATCCGATTCTCTATCTGGCGAAGTCTGTACAATGCGCGAGTCTCACATTAACTCCGGAAAAGAGGAAATATATGCAACTAGCTTGTGGAACCTACCGTCTATTTGACTTCTATAAAGAGCTACCAGCAGCACGCCTATTTCACATCAATTCCAAATGTAGTCCTGCTGATGATGTACAGCAGGCCATTTTTTATCAATTTTATGGCCATTGGATGGAAAATCTTGCCCGTTGGTCATATGCGTTTAGCTGATGGTCCGTTCGACTCACCCTCGCTACATGATGGAGTAACAGCTTATTGGAAAATACAGCTATAAGATGTTTTGCCACAGAAAATGGATTTATATGGCAACAAGAGCAATTCTCTCTGTGCTTGGGAGGGCGTAAGTTATTCTTTCACTCTGTTTTATCATGTCCTATTTCACACAAAATCCCTCACAAATGTGGTAGACCATCTACATGGGATTGAAATATTCTTACGGCGTTGACGACATAGGATACGGATGATACGTAACAACATATGCAAGGCGCTTACATGATGGCGCTTTTGATGTGGTAAACCACAAATCATGCTCAAGTCTCACTCCGCACTCTGTGAGTTCAAGTCAGAATGAATAACATATCCACGGGCGTTCCTAGAGATTTAGCTTCATGCAAAGTAATTGGAGAGGGAAAAAAGGAGCAGGTCTTTTCTTTCAACTGGGCCGTCTTAGCTAATTGATTCCGAGCTAGCAAGGACCGCTGCTTATAAATTCGTGGCTGGCCCCCTTGGCTAAGAGCCCTCCCTCATTTCAACATCAAGCAGATGGCTGCTCCTATTGGCGCTTAGGACTTTTGTCAGTGTCCGTTACTCGACAACCACGAATGAGAATGTCGAATGAGAATGTTCAAGTAGCTTTACATAATCATCATTATCCCAGCACGGCTTCACTTTGTGTGCTTGCATCGGCCCAAATAACGCAATTGGCCCGCAGCCAAGGCCCCTGCATTTGTCAGCTCCCTCTATTTAGACAGCTTGCTCCCTCCCATACGGCATCAATGAGGCCATCACCGGTATTTCTGGCAAAACAGTGTATGTTTAGTAAACAATATTGAGAATACTTGACCAAAGGAAGAGGCTATTGGATAGAAATGCCATACAAAGCTGCCAAGAAGTGCGAGTAGTTGCAGATTTATAATCAGGAGACGTGAATCTGTGAATAGAGGCATATATAAGTCAGTCGAGAATGTCGTTGCTTAAGAATGAAGTGCCCGATCTAAACAATAGCTTTCACAGAGGTATTGAACTCGAAACTATTGAACACACCATTTAAAACATATTAAAGGGAACCGATTGTCAGGATGACTAAATCACCAATTGAGATTGTCTTGGGAGTAGCCAATGTAAGTCATCTCTCACAGCCATATAATTTAAGACACATTCTTAAACGGCGGGCGCTCTCAGGTTGGCGACAAGTCTATCGATCCAACAGCCAAGTACGACTCCCCGACAGAAATCGAGGAATTTCTCAACACCTTCTATGAGAGAGGTTATCGTCAAATTGATACTGCCAGAGGCTATTCACCGCATGCTCCCCTCTCATGCGAGCCTCGACTTGGTGCAGTTAATGTCGGAGATAAATTCATCATTGGCACCAAAGTCGTTTCTCGTCCAGATGGAGCTCACTCGAGGGACAAGATTGCGCAGAGCATCGATGATTCCTTGGAGGCTCTGAAAGTCTCCCAGGTTGACATTGAGTACTTACACCAGCCTAACCGCACCGTTCCTTTCGAGGAGACGGCAGAGGCTATGGACAAGGCCTACCGAGAGGGAAAATTCAAGCGATTTGGATTATCCAACTACACGGCCGCTGAAGTCGAGCAGTTTCTCAAGATTACCGAGGAACGAGGGTTTGTAAAGCCGACTGTTTACCAGGGACAGTACAACCCAGCAGTTATTAATGGTGCTGACTTACAGTATGCACATAATCAATCATTATTGACTGATGTCCAAGCTAACCTGTGTTTTCAAACAGACATATCAAGACTCGTCTTGAATCATTAGATACGCTCATAACACAAATATGCAGCAAAACCGGCACCCCAGGAGTTGCTCTAGGCATTTTGCATAACGGAGAGGTCCTTCATACCGCCAGTTATGGATTTCAAGACGTCGAGTGCCAGACCGCACCTAATGTCGACACAAGTTTCCTCATCTGCTCCCTGACCAAAGCGATTACAGCATTGATGATCGGCATGGTGATTGATGAAGGAAAGCTAGACTTTCAGACTCGGCTGGATGAAATCCTTCCAGAGTTCCAGCGAAACGATGCCCAGGCAAACATCACCATCGAAGATCTCCTGAGCCACAGAACCGGCCTTGCCCCTTACGATGGCCTCTGGGTCGGCTCAGATAACCGCGTCATGTTGAATCGTTCGGAAGCGATTCCCATCTTGAACTATTCCCCAGTTATTAGCGACCTACGGACAAAGTTTATATATAACAACATCGCCTACGACGTTCTTGGTCAAGTTCTTGAGAAAGTCACTGGTTCCACTTACTCGGAGCTACTACATGAGCGCATCACCAAGCCGCTGAATCTGAATCGGACGTTTTATGCCGAGGAACCGTTTGATGATAACACTGCCAAATCCTACACTGTTCTGGATGACGGATCCTTCTACCAAATTCCAACGTGGGGCCACGGCAAAGACTTGCTGATTGGAGCGGGTGGCGCAATCCGTAGCTCGATCAGCGATCTCTTAGTGCTATACAAAGCCTTGATGGATGCCGCAAACTCCCAAGTGACTCAGAGTTCAACTTCAGGAACTGGACATGTGTTTAAACAAATGCCGCAGCTCTTGCAGGGCAAAATTGGATTGCCGAGCAAGTCGTTGAGGGAGTGTAGCTACGCTTCAGGATGGATACGGGCACAGCTCCCCGCAATTGTCGACTTATTTGCGGGCTATAAACCTCCAATCCTGGGTAGTGGGTCAGCTTCACGCCTCATGATCCACCACCAAGGGCAAATTGCCGGAAATGTTGGCTATGCAGCGCTATTTCCAGAAACAACGACGGCTGTTGTCGTGTTGGGGAATTCTGCAGGATTTACAGACTCCATGAGACTCCTGGGCCAGATCCTCGTGGAAACTGTGTTTGGGAACAATGTCAATTTTGATGAATATCTTGGAATTGCTATTGAGGCATCCAAAAGCACAATTGAGTCCGTGAAAGCTGTACACAGTACGCTGATTGCTGGTAAGACGGTTGATCAACCCACACGAGCCATCAAAGCGTATACAGGTCGTTACTATAACACAATTAGAAACTTCTTTATCGATGTGAATGAAGTAAATGGCAAACTTCAAGTAGCATATATGGGATCACCTCACGATACATTTGACTTGATACCATATCAAACCGACAGTTTCTTCTGGTGGCTTGATTTCAATGAGAGTGCGAAGCGGGCAAGACTACCGGGATATCCTAAAGAGTTCTTTATTCTCAAGTTTAGCCTTCCGTCGGTACTTTCGCGGGGGGACGTTGGTGCCGAAGCTGAGATGACCTGCTTGACATGGAAGCATGAGTTTCAAATCGCAGATGAGGGGGAAGTTTTCATGAAGAACACAAGCGAGTTTGACGTTATAGGCACCTTCGATGTGTGAAAAGAATCAGAATTATTATTTTGTAATGAGTTAACGGGCATGTACTGCTAATTCTGCACCGGGATCGCTCTTCTGCATTGTTGACATCACAAGTGCCTGACTCACGCCGATTGACTCACTAAATTCCATTTAACCAGAGAGGCGGGGGTTTCCAGCGTAAACTTGCATTTTTTGGGATTAATAAGAACTACTCGTACTTTTGGAGCGTTAGTGTTTAATTAGCTCCCATCCTTCAATAAAGTCTATATATCCCACATGCATTCTTCACACTCTGTCTTGAATAACAGCTCTGATCATCAACCACATTCATACCTTCAAACTACGATTATCCCATCATGGTATCCCTTCAAGAAGATGGTACACATACCATCGCGTCATTATATGATTCGATTGGTGTAAAATATGAAAAAGCCTTTGCTGATATTCCGGCGCAGCAAAAGTCTCTTGATTGGATCATCTCTCAACTTCCTGGCACGGGTCGCAAAATCCTTGACATTGGCTGTGGAACTGGTCGTCCTGTTGCGCAGATATTATCTTCTTCCCCTCACAATCACCTTGTTCATGGTATCGATGTTTCGGAAGAGATGCTCTCTGCCGCTCGCCAATCAGTTCCCTCCGCCACCTTTGAGCTGATTGACGTCCGCAACTTTGAGCCAGAAGCGGCAAGCTTTGATGCTGTGACGTCGTACTTTGCTCTACTTGTGAGCATCTCTCAAAATGAGATTCGAGAGACGATAAAAAAAGTTTTTGACTGGCTAAAACCAGGTGGCATATTTGTTTTAGGCACAATTCCAGTTGATATGGAATTTGAGGTAGACAAGTGGCTTGGCAGAAGAATGCTAGCAACATCAATGTCGGAGGAGCAATACATTGCGGCCTTCAAGCAGGTGGGCTTTGATATAGAATTTTCGGAGGTGGAGGTTTTTATACCTAAAACTGTGGAAACTGGCCTTGATGAGGAGGACAAGGGGGAGCCTCAATTGTACATATATGCGCGCAAGCCGTGATTATGACGAATACGATCAGCCTCTATTAGCATCAACAAATCCATGTGTCTCTTACCTGACTGGTTATGCATTGCCTGCATCTTATCTGCGGAGTTATTATATCGAATATTTAACAAGGCAAAGATATTTCTTTCTTTAAACCCGTCACTCAGTACGCCTCTAACTCCATGAGAAATTTCACATTCAAGACTCAGCCAAATTGTCTATGCTTCTTAGCACTCTATATAACTTTTATGTTTTTGCCGACGAGATCTTTCTTGTTGCAGATGAAGTAATTGATGCCGAGTCTACTGTGTCGTGGGAACTATATAGCCATGCGAGCTTGGATCCTTGGGATGCTGACATCTAGAAGGATATCCGAGAGGAGTGAGTGTACACCAGTATCCCGTCCCGTATACAGAGTTCGACCACAAGCTATGACGCCGTCGCCGCCGCACGATGGGCTAGATATGCGACCAGATGTGAAACTGATAGTTATTCCATCAGCACCGGAATTATCGGTGGCGTACGACGCTCATGGATGAGAGCACAGAGTTTGTTAAGTCCTGGCCTAGTTCTTAAATGAACCAGACTTCATCAAAGCAGGTGCCAATAGGTGTATCTGTCTGCTTACAAATATTCTCAATTATTAAAGAGTCTGAGACGCTAATAGAGCTACTCGAGATAGTCCCCCACGTTGAAGTTGATGAGAGAGTTGTCGAGACTGAGATGAAGTCGTGGTAATGCATACCGGAGCCGTCTCTGCCCCACACTCAGACTCGTCGTATGTTGTAATTGAGTTCTTTTCACCCATAGTAATCCTAGGCCAATTTGGCGATTTCCTTTAATGGTCACATCTGGCTGTCACTCGATGAGGGCCATTGGTGGAGGACCGGATCCGTAGATGCCCGGCGGAATGATTCAGTGCCAACCACCAACATGAATTGGACCCATGAGATGCAACTGAAGAAGATCCAAGCAGTATAGGGCTCAATCACGCCGTCATCGATCGGCTGGGGTATGCCAACGGTTGTCGTGACAGGTATGATCTGGCTGTTCAATCCATTAACCCACTATCTAATCCTGCTTCATATTGTATTAAACACTATCGTCTACTCCATTGTTTTCCTCAGGAATGATGTAGGACGGCACTGATCACCCAGATATCCCAACGCTCATGCTCCCAGGCCGCAATCGGGGGCATCGCATTTGCCACAGCCCGGGCCCACGACTCCTTTGCCAACGGGTCCTTGGCTGAGGCTTCTCCGCGCTCGGGGGTAGCTCCGTAGTAGCCATCCCACTGACGAAACATACAAACAACCATCTGGCCACTCTCGGTTTCCGCTGCCGTTCCCTGCTGTCCTGGATGCCACAGGTCGCTGTCTCCAGTGTCCGTCCAAGCCCATACCCATCCTGACGGCTCAGGCCGAAAGACTGCCAAGCCCGGTCGAACATTCCATGGGAAAGATTCCCTCGTCGGCGGCGGCGGTGGCCGCAAGTCGTCGCTACCTGCGGGCATGAAGCCTTCGAACGCTCTGGACACGCTACAGCGTAATTCTAGGCGATCGGGGACGTCCATGTATGGTACCAAGAATGCCGTGAGCATTACTCGGCCCTCAAGCCGGTCTTCAAACTCCTCTCGTTGAAACCACTCTTGTGGAAACCAGTGGAGGCTGGGAAACAGAGATACCGGCGATGACTTCGTGCTATTCATGTTGTCCCCGCTACTCAATGACAGGCGCTGTAGCAGTGCACCGGACACGACGTCGTCCTCGGGCAGGCCCTGCAGGAGCTCGGCACACGCAGAAGAGTCTTGGGAATCTTTGAGAGCATCTGCTGACTCCCAGACTATTTTCCATTCCGATTAATATTTAACACATGGAGCCATCAGTCAAGGATAAACCCACGAATAATGATGGCAGCCTGCTCACAATCATCAACCTGCCTCCCGAGCCAGACCTTCTGACAACCTGGTACCCCTGTAAGCGGTCCGATATCCGAGCTGTCTGTCGACCACGTCGGCCGATCTTGCCCCCGTGGTAGATAGAATCGTGTCCAACTAGTCCGCGTTCGATCTTTCCGGATTCTCACTTCCGGAATCTTGACTCGAGCCATGATGAAGCTATCCTGAGGTTGGATAACGCTGATTCGATCCGGTAAGTACTTTGCTTTTCTTTTGTTATTCATATGTCAGCCGGCGTGTCTAGCATGGTAGATATTGAGTGTACACACGTACCTAGTAGATATGCAGGTGCAAGGAATGTAGGGGGCTGGCACCGACCTTTGTGTCCTTATTGGATTTGTTGTTGCTTAGTCAAAAGGGCCGCCGATAGAAGCATAAAAGCGAGCCAACGAACGAATTTTTGAAGGGAAAATAAAGCTTGTATACAAAATATATTTTATACAGCAGTCGTGTCACAAAAGACGAAGGAATGGAGGAAACCTTAGTTTGCTGTTGCTCATATACATATTGACTGAATAAAGCAATGCTGATACACCAAATCCGTATATGTGCTGCTAGTTACCTACGTAGGTATGCATAATTACATTAAATGTTTGTATCATAGCTGCAGTGAATTTCCCGAAACGATTAGATACTTGGAATTCAGGTGACACAACAACCAAACTGCATGTACATACAGACCCAGCACCATACCATCTGCAGAACATCATACCCCTTCCCAAACAGCCCTGATATCATTACAAAAGAAACCGTGGCGTTACATAAGAGGCTAGTGCGAATCCTTCTTACGTGATGCCATATAGCCCAAAGCCAACCACTATAAATCCATCGCCAAGTCCATCACCCCAATCCAACTCTCTTCTCCTCCTCCTCTCCTCTTTAAGACCTTAATTTCCCATATCCACTCCTGGGCAGCTTGCGATTATTTACTCCACGGCGCAAAGCCAGCATAATAACGCAACCTTAATAAAATCTTTGAGCCTTCCGTCCAACCCGATTCATATCACCCGTCCATCAAAAACTGAAAGACAGCTGTTGAGGGTTACCCTCAATTTTTGCCTATTGAGAAACAAGGAGCATAATTTTTGTTTTTTTGTGTGTGAAAATTGATAGTTAGATAGGTAGTTGCAGAGTAGAATCAGAATAGAAGAGATTGAGGTAGAAACTTGTGCACATCTTTATACTCGTCGCGCTGCGTGTGATTTCACTGCTACTGGGCCGTCAACCCCAGTCGTCGCGCGTGATATTTGCTTCACTCGAGGAACAGAGATATAGAGAAGCGGGGTAGTTCAGCCAGCAACGAACCATCTTCCCTTGTCACCATCCGGCTGAGGACCTCGTTTTCTCATCGGGTAAGTATCACGCACTCTCCCCCGCAAGATAGGGTCCATCGGTGCAAGTCTGTACGGAATTGAACCACGATTTTGGAGATCATATGCCACTTTAACTCTAGAAGGGCCGATTCTCAGTCGCCGTGATGGAATATGCAGCGCTAAATCACGTATGAACGACGAGGCTGCCAATCATGAAGTTGAGAACAGTTTTATCATGCCATGGATGCATATGCATGCTGCACACGCTTGTTAAGATGCTAGCTCTATGTAGCTTTTTAACATGGGAAAATATCCTTCAGATAAGTTGAATTTCGGGTTGAAAACGTAACAAAAAAGCACATTTAAGAGAGATACCTGGGTCCTTTGTAAGAGCCTGATGTGCAGTTGAATCTGGATTAAGCTTAATAATGCTGCAAAGAAATAGCAACTTGTTGAGCACGTGTGTTTTGAACAAAAAGATCAATTTAGTCATGTAGATTATGGTTCCAAGCGAGCCATTATTTCATGGTTAAGCCTGCTGTAGGCCCCCACGCCCAGACTTCACTGCTGGACTCTTCATGGGGGTGTTATCAGCGGAAATAAGCTGGCCAAGATGTGATGCTGTGAAATGAACAGACTTATATCCGCTGTTGTATAAAGGCAGCAGCCAGTTCTCAACTTTATCATGCTTTTATAAAATTATTTACTACCCTATGAAAATTATTCCCACAAGCTGCCGCCGCGAGAGTTGTTGCATCAGTCTTGTCAAATTGGGTGTATGAACATGGAGGCGTTTAACCACCCGCTTACGCGAACGGCAGACCCAGAACTTCTACCACACACAACGCTTCAGTCTATGCCTCCGGGTTATATGAATAGCTCACCCTCCGGCCAGATCTCATCTCTTGCGTTGAACATGACCTCGGAGATCGGGAGCAGTTAAATGTGGATTTGCATAATCACTAACGCCCGTAGCTTGCCGAGTAAAATGCCCGGTTAACATAGTTGACCAGTTTAGCTCTCTTGTAAAACTGAATTGAGCGTAGTGATTACGCAAAGCATTCGTTATGGATCTCACTACATGCTGCCTAAAGTTGTTAGTCAGGGGATTGAAGCTTAGTTTGGCCCACATAAGATTGACGATATTATATAAACTTCATGTGGACGTTGTCATGTTGTTCACAATGTTTCCCGCAGCATTATCATATAGGATTCTCTTCCTCCTAAATCGGTAGCATTTCCTGGGTCACTTTATTCGCGTTGTATAAATCTGCGTCATCTGATATCACCGGGGATCATCACCATAACGTCATTGCCTCCATCTCCAATATCACCGAAACTCACAAACTCTGTGGACAGATTCATCAACAAACAGCAACACCAACTATTTTCATCTGATTCAACCATCTCACCATGTCGGAACGCAATAAACGACGCAAACTGAATCCCGATACAGAATCATCACCAAAATCTGACACCAAACACAGCCCAAACATAGAGCACCTCCCAGAGAATATACTCATCCAAATCATCACCAATCTCCCCGGTCTCGACACCCTATGGAATCTCCTCATCGCATCACCTCGCTGCTACCGCCTCTTCAACAACCAGGCGCTCACTATCATCGAACAAATATTTTCTAGCCCCAACTCCATCCTACCACCCAAGATCCAGGAGATCGTCCGCGCGGTAATTCTCACGCGAGCTGGTTCTCTTCCGTTCAAGAGCCTTGATGAGTTGCGATATCAGTTTATCCACCATAAACTGCCCCTCCGAATAATTAAAAACAGGACATGCATATCTTTTGGCTCCGATAGTTTAACTGCCTCGGACATACCCGCATCAATTATTCGATCTGTCGTTGCAACGGCTCACCACATCTCGGCTCTCACAAACGCGTGTCTATCATTCTATCTCAAACAAGTCTACGATCCGAGTATTTTCGCGCCTCAGCATTCCCAAACGCCTCTACCACTCTACAAAATTAGAGGTTCAAATCCTCCAGAGGGCGATAAAACACCCGCCTGGCATGAAGTATTCGTTGGAACTCCTTACACAGTGGTTGATGCAGGGCCGCCCAGCTGGGTGGAAGAAATGCGCGTTACACGCGCCATGTGGCTCATCCAATTAGTGGGAGATGTGCGAAGTTTTGTTCTAAGTAATTTCAGTACATCAGGCTGGTCATACGACGACATTAACAGAACATTCCCAACATCCACTGCCGCTTTTGCGCAAGATGGGACGATGAATAGCTCTGCTGAAGAGGTAAGGTCCGTGCTGGAATATCTAGAGAAACTCGGCATCCAAAAGAAAGGCAAACCATTCTACAAGCTACCTAAACTCCCCCCAGACGCGAAACCCGTCAACCCAGTAACTCCCCTCCCAGACCCATGCGAAGCAACATGGGGAGGAGTCGGCATCTGGTACAACTACGGCCACAAAACCATCAAACTCCCTCCCACCCCCGAAGCCCGAAAACGCGCCAAGAATCCCCAGCTCAGCGAAGCTTCTCTCCGGGGCCAGACGAGAGCGAGCCTTGAAAGCGAAGCTCCCGCACTAACTATGCTCCGACATTTCACAGAGGGAAGATATGGATTGCCGATTACAAACGCCAGGTTCGAGACGTATCAGCCGTTTGGATTGGCGTTTTGGGATAAACGGAGATTGCAGCTGCTGGGCCTTTTGGGAGAAGGGCAGCAAAGTGAGCGAGACCTTGATTTCTACTGCTTTGCGTGGGAGAGCTTGATGGATGCTCGTTGGGTGAGGCATATCATGACTGTGCTAAGAGACGGTGTTGGGTTGGAGAATGAGGTTGAAGGTGATGGATCTGGGGTTGTATCTGGGGATGATGATGATGACTCTGATGAGGAAGAGTAAGCATAAACGGGACATGTAGCTGCCAATTACTGAACCATACAGCCATGGTTCTTGTAGATGTTCATCCCTTCTGCTCTGCTATTCATGCCTATACACGGTTCAGCACATTCGCTTTCACAAAGCAATCCATCACATAACTCACCACAAACACAAAACAAGCACAGCACAGACTCACAGCATAAACATTCCACAAAAAGCAAAGACTCCCTCCCGTCAAAGAGGTTGCACACATGCACCCCCCCAACCACCCTAACGCCATGCAACCCCCCTCCCCCCCAAAACACAAAGCCTGAGACATCCGAGTGGCTCGCACTATCCATGCACCTCACCATCCCTCCATTGGTCGCCGTGTCTCTCGCTATCTCGACGGGCTTCACATCACGCTGCATGTTGTTTTGTCACACCGCCAGTCTTGTGTAGCCCGAGGAGGCGGGAAGATAACAGGAAGGCCATTGGCCATTGAGCGACGCATATGATACACGACCTTTGTCTGCAGGGAGAGATTGGAGGAGTGCGGCTGTAATGGCATGCATATCTGCCTTAATGATGCCATTAGGCAGCGAGGGCGTGAGCAGTCTAGAACGCAGCTCATGTCGGATGGTAGAGATGCATCATGCAGTAGCTAGAGCGGGTGAGATCACAAAGCAAATGTCATGACTGCTACGAGTAACTAGAACCAGTACAAGCAATATCGACAGTATTTCCAACGCCACCAACACCAGATGCGTATTTCGCTAGTAAGTGTTCAACTTTGAGTATAGTCCCAAGTAATCAGTAAATCCCAAGTAACAAGAATGCGGGTGTGAACCCCATGTCAGTCTCAGTCCCGTTCACATTCTTTCAATAACCATAATAATCCACCTCAAGAGAAGATTAGACCCCCCAAAAATTGCAAGTGAAAAGAAAAAATGGCACAAAACGCCCATAGTCGAAAGGTGAAACGTCTATATCACAATGCCGCGCTGGCTCCAGCCTCCCTTGCCCTTCCAAGCCCACAGGAGCATAAAGCACGCCGCAATAACACAGAGGCCCTCAGCCCAGAAAGTGGCTGCGTAACAATGTTTCCCGTAGCAAACAGAATCATCCGATCCGCCATTACCACCGTCCTGATTATCATCACCAAGGAGGGACGGGGTGGTCGAGTGACGTGCCCCGGCTTCATACACCGCCGAGTAAACAAGGCCCCAGAAAGTAGATCCGAATGCAGGCAGCATGCCAATGATGCCGAAATTTGTAGCAAAGTTTTCAACGCCCCAAATAATGGTTACGATGAGTGGTGTTAGACTAAAAATGGCGCCGTACCCGGCACCAACAAGGCCAGAGACAATCCAGAATCGGTCAGCATGGTTCTGGGCGGCACCGCTGGCAAGGAACAAGAGACCAGCTGCGAGAAGAATGGCAAAAATGAGCATAAAGACGACGCGAGAGATAGCAAAGCGTTTCAGCGGAGACGAAGGGCGCGAAGGAGCGACTTGAATGTGCTGTGTCTCTGGTGCGGGAGCCAGAATGTCTGTCAAGGTTCCAATCATGAGGCGAGCAATGGTGCTAGTGACACCAAAGATAGAGACGTGAGTGGCAGCCGAAGTCTTGTTATTCAGATCTTCGGTGATGGGAGGCGTCAGAGTCCCAATGACGGTACCCAGGTTGTTAATGAATGCCTCGCCAGGTCCAGTCATCAAGAGAAAAGCCAGCGCAAACGGCCACATTGTGTGGTCAGTTAAGAAGCGGCGTGTCTCGGCATTGAGTACCCAGTTTTTCTTCCATTGCGCATCGTCATCAGCGCCGCCTTCTGTATCGTCATCCTGATCGTCGGCGCGAATTGCACCGTAGCCAGCGTTGGATCTTCGGCTTTCGGATCGCGCAAGGAGAGAGCTTCCGTCGAGAAGGCCGCTCTGCTCCAGCTCTTCGATGGCTTCCTCAATGAGGTCCTGCTCGTCGACGACCTTGAGGGTAAACACACTGAGGATGCCAATGGCGAACAGCAACACTGCTAGGAAGACGAAGAAGCGAAACACGTCAATGTCGCCTTTGGACCCATCAGGGTTCTTCTCGTATAGAAATCGGCTGCCGAACTGGCTCAACCACATGCCACTCAAGCCGAAGCCGGTGATTGGCATGGCCAACGCCAGTCCCCTATATTTTCCCTTGCCAAAGTTCTTGGCACACGTCGACACGGAGCTGATGTACATGGCGCACGTGCCAGTTCCAATCATGATGAAGGCGAACACCATGAGTGGATATGACCAGCCATTCTCGGCACCGTGAGACTTGCCCAGCGTATTATACTCGTAGTCCAGCTTCTTGTAGATGCCCGCTGCAAGCCCGTAGCCGCCTCCAAAGAGGAATGCCGACAGCAGGGCCAACGGCGCAACGCCGACTCGGTCGCAGACGTATCCCATGATGGAAATGGGCAGATACAAGGCCAGGGAGCTGCCGATGGCGACGCCATTGACCTGGAACTGCGTGTAATGCAGTCGCGACAGGAATTTGGGCGCATAGAGCGAGAAAACGACGATGGAGCCGGCACAAAGCGCCGCAATGGTCGCAGAGATGAGAGAGATGAAGCGAACAATCTGCTTCGATCTTATCTGGCGGCGGCGGAGTGCAGGGTCGGAAATGCCCGACGATTCATCGCCCTCATCATCGCTAGCGAGGAAAGAAGAGCGGTCGTCATCGTCAAGCGCCGTAGGAGCAGTCGGATAGATGAAGCGCTGGTGATCAGAGGTTGCCGAGGTCGGCATCGCGCGTGATGGATTGAAGGAGTGGCCGCGACAGCAGCGAGGGAATTGATTCGGTCGGATTGAATTGGAGATTATTAAAGATTTCGCATCCTTGACTCAAGTTGAAAAACAAATGAGGAGTGAAAGAAAGAAGAGAAAAAAAGAAAGAAAAGGGGCAGCAAACAGAAGAGTGCAAGGGAAAGATGACGATCGGATAGCAGGGAAAATGATGGAGAGGACAAGAGGGTGGCGATGGATCACGGAAGAGTCACAGCTAGGTGAGACAGCTCTTATCGGCGATAGCGCGCATCGGAAGTGAGTGCTGAAAGTCTGGGGTCATGGGCCCTGTAGTGGCACACCGCGTGCCCCGTAGCGTCCCCCGGTAGTGGAGTCTCGGGACTGCCAGGGGCTTGCTCCAGCGGATCTGGCTGATGCTACAGTGAGGGCGGGTCCCGACTGATAAGGGGATGGTCATGGGCTGGACGTCAATGCATCACATGAACAAGATTGCGACATCAATGGATAATACACATTGTAGAAGTGCAAGAGTATAAAGCACGAAATGCATTTCAACACTCAAAAGCTATGGACAAAAAAAACAGCAACAAAGAAGAAAAAAAAAAAAAAAAATTTTTCACCTGAATAAAACCCAGCTTCTTTTTTCAATGCCAAGAGAAATCCTCCAATATAACCATCGCGCCATGATACTCCCGTACGCAGTACTAAATGTCCCTTGCCTCCAAGCTGATTCAAAGATTTTCCCAACCTGCTCCGCGCAAATATACCCATGTCCAACCATTCATGTCATGCCATCTAGTGTCAGTTACATGTCGTCATTTGCCCGTCGGGTTCGGGCAGCATTCATGTCTCATCGGTGTCGCCCGAAATCTTTTCTAGGCTCGTCACCTTTCTCGTGTCCCACGAGCCGATCATCCTCGGTGGCTCGATTCGCTCTCCTGCAATGGGCCAGGGCGGATTCTTGGAGATATCGGGGACGCCATTCGCATCTGTGCTGACAATACCGGGTAGATCGATCTCGTCATTGCACGTCAGCAGCATGTAGCCCTGGCCCGTTGTAATGATGAGAAAATCATTGTCCACAAAGATTCTTCGTGCAAAGCCAATCTCAAACATGTAGGCTGATATATCCGCCCGATGGCGTCTGGTTTTAGCATCCATTTCACTGTTGCGAGGGCATCCGTCATCTTCGGCGGGCCTCGCCTCCAGCCACTGCATACCGTACGAGTAGTGTCTGCTGACGAGATACTCGTCGAACCAGGCAATGACGAACTCATCTTCCCATGCACACAAGTCAAAGTGTTTCACCGTTGGCGGGTACGGTCGCCGATGACTCTCATACTTGTTTTGCACAAACGTCTCTGTGAGGACGTTGAAGCAGACGCAGAGCCACTCGGGATTCTTTTTGTTATCGCTTTCATCCCAGGGAGCACCTTCTTTAAGGAGCACGAACTGGACGATTCCAACGGCGTAGCCACCGTAAGCGTTCATCTTCTGGCATGAGAGCGTCAGACGCATCGCCGGGCACGAGTGGCGGCTGTCGGGGTGGCGCCGGTATTCTGGGTGAGAGAGTGCAGTCTCAAATCGTGCCACGGGCAAACCGCGCTCGAATTTGACGACAACAATGGTGTGGATGCGGGGATCTGTACAATGGTAACACATGATTAGCACTTGAGGCACAGACACTAGCCAACGACATCTTTCACATACCAGGTGGTGCAGGCGAGTTCAGCCACGCCGCATAGACGATATCTGTGTCTGTTGGATGGAACATGACGCCGGGCACGCCTCCCAGGTCCTTTTCCCAACCGTTGGGCTGATGAAAGTGCTCCCCATGGTCAATCTCCAGCTCTATGGCGGTGTCACTCCAGCCCCATATGACAACATGCCCTTGCTTGGTCACAAAAGCCACCATGTCGCCTTGAGCGTAGCACTGGGCAAACTTGCCTGGCAGGACGACGCTTTTAGAAAGCCGGTTCTCCAGGTGAAACACGATTCTGGTAGGCAAACGTCAGTAGATGAAAATGGAGCATCGAAAGTAGGAAAGATGTTTATAACATACATGCTCTGTCCGTTGTCCGGCACGCCCCGTTCCCGAAACGGGGGCGAACTTGATGCGAGGATGACAAGGCTGTCGGTGACGGCCTGTAGCTGCAACGGCCGTCCCGAGATGAAGTCGACGCCGAAGCTGAAGCGGGCCCTCTCCCGGGTGTACAAATCATCGACAAAGAGGTGACAGTTGTCAGGCTGCCAGGCAATCTTGCCGCTAGAGTAGCAGATGGTCAAAGGCGCGAAGCCAAAGTCTACCGTCCGCAAGTCACCCAGCCGACGGCTCGGGGGTGCCTCTTCGCGGCTGATGAAGTAGTCGGAGCTCCAGCCGACGTCCCACGAGACAAAGGACCGCTTGCTACGGCTAATGAAGTGCTTCCGCAGATAGCGCTTGGCCGAGGCCAGGAACAGCTCATGACGATCCGGCACATCGCCGTTGTAAAGCTCCAACAGGCCGGGGAAGAAGCGGCGGCACAAAAAGGTCGAAACGACGCCCTGCGTCCAGGCCTCACGCCAGTCCTTGCTTACCAGAAAGCAGTTGAGCACGTCCTGCATCCGCAGGTGAGGCACGATGGAGGCAAAGACCTCTGGCGGCAGCTCTCTCAGGCCGGCAAAGCCCTCCATCTTGACGTGGCCGTCACGGAGGCGGTTCCGCATGTAGAGCAGATCCCAAGGCGAGAGGCTGTCGAGAAAGGCGTCAAGCGACTCCCTCCTGCGCCGCGGCTTGGGGCGAGGCGGAGTGAAGCGGTGCTTTGGCTGCTTCTGCTTAAGCTTGAGCTGCGGCGTCTCGGCCAGGGGCAAAAACGAAGAAGACGAGGAAGACGGAGAAGGAGATGGAGCTGGAGAGGGCGACAATGACGGAGACGACGGCGATGGCGATGGCGGGAGGGAAGTCATGGTTATTGCATCATGATACTCCGTGGGCACAATAGTAATCAAATCCAAGTCAGGGAGTTTGGAAACTGAGTCAAAATGAAATTAAATGCAGCGACGGAGCGAATCAATCAGCCGCAACGGAAGTCGGCCCAAAAAGAAAAAGGCGGAGGCAATGTTTGAGACAGGTCGGCACAAAAGACGGCACAGAAAAGGAACGAGGAAGAGGAAAAGGGAAAGGGAAAAAGAAAAATGATGAGCTGAGAAGCCGATGGGCAGGTGGTTAAGCCGCCTTCAACGTTGAGACCGGACAAGTACATGCGCAGTACCAACGAAACAGTGGGAGTGAGTCGTTGATGCAGTGCGGCAAGGTGTCACGTGTGGGTATTCGCTACCTCACGATGCGTTAGTGGTGCTATTGCCGCAAACCAACGCAAACGGGGGGGGGATGAGAGAGGAGGAAGAGGAAGATGCCGCCGGAACCATCAGGCAGCGAGCAGGTGATGATTAAATTGTAATAAAATAAATACATAAATAAATAAATAAATAAATACATGTTCGTAATAGTGTCATGTCAATAGTATTTCATATTGATAGCAATACAATACAATAGTTCACTCATCAAGCACCGGAAAGGCTTCGAATCAGCTCCCCGAACTGGTGTATTCCAAGGAGGGGTACATACAGCACAACTTCCATTAGCAATGTACTCCAGTAGTATATGCAGCTTGTCGCCCAAAATGCCCACAAAACAGCCCTGCAGCAACAAAGAGCTCCATCCACTGCCAAATGCTGCATTGCATCTCCTGCACTCCTTACTATGTAGGTAGGGAGAGGCTCTCAAGCAAAATGGCATCCATTTGATATACGTGGTTCCACTGCCACGGGCTGGATCCCTGCCAAGATCCGATAAGCTGCGCGCCCTTGCGTCGCTCCTCCGCTTTTTTGTCTCATCGTGGTGGTCTCTCGCCAATTAATTGCTTCGCCGTGTCGCTGTTTTTGTTCAGTCGTGATCGCCGCAGCGGGCTGCCTTACGGGGGGTCGGGATGGTCCGCGTCTAGATTCGACTGGGCTGTCGGAGCTTCAGTTCTGGCGGTGATGAGCGGTCCAGTGCCAATAGTATTGGCCATTCTACTCCGTATTGGTATTGATTACTAGTGGGTGGTCGATATTGCTCCAGTGCTGTCAATATCTGATTACCCCGGGTTTGTGCTACCACTACGGCTACTCCCTTGTAGCTGGATCGAGATGGACGCTGGGTGGATGGATGGAGTAAATGGAACCTGTGGACATCCAGATCAATACAAATCTTTGCGCATCGCAGTGTTACTAGCTCATCTCGGATTTATGCCGTGTCCAGTTTGTTGTGCAGTCTGGACGCACGCAAGTGAAATACCATCTCGCAAGACATGCAGCTTCAAGCAATTAAACAATGCCAACCACGGGCTGCAATCAATAATCTCGCCTAAACGCCGACAAAAGAGGCAGAAGCCCAAGGAAGAAGAAGGAAAAAGGAAACAAGAAAATCGTACGATCCCCACGTGCCTCCCGCCGTGATTCGTCGGCTTAGCTCCCCGTCCTGTAGTACTCCTCCACGCCCTGCCACCAGCTCTTGATCCCTGCCACGTCCAGCCACGACAACTCCCACGGGTCCTCAAACCACCACCGCTGGCCGCTGTCCCTCTTGCCATCGCTGGCGTACTTCTTCAGGCTGCCGCCGTCGAATCGGTGATTCTTGACGCCCACAAGGAGCACCGCGCTGCCCACCCGGGGCGTGAAGTCGTCGGGGTCCAGAAACACCGTCAGGTGCACCTGTTTGGCCGTCGACGGGTCGGCGATGCGTGCCGTGCGCTGCTTGCCCGGCGGCAGATGCGACGGCTCCACGGGCGACAGCGAAGCTACGATGGCGAGCACATTGACCGACCAGTTCTGGGCGTAAGGGAGATGCGGAATCAGCCGCAGAGTCGTGAGCTTGAGGGGTTCCTGGTGGTTGTGCCAGTCCTTGGCCAAGGCAATCGGCTGCGGCTGCGGCTGTGACTTGTCGCCGGCTGCTGTCTCCCTTGCATTGGATGCAGCCGGCTTTCTGGGCGTCGTATTTCGTACGGGAAACGTGCGGGCTTCAAAGGCCTCGAACGCGTTCTCCAGGTCCTCCTCGTCCTCCTCATCGTCATCGTCGTTATCGTCCACAGGTCCAGGAGTCTGGGCCTTGCCCTTGTCTTGGGATCTGGGCCTGGTGGGAGTCTGGACTGAGGGTGAGGCCGGCAGGTCTGCGAATCGGACAACGCTTCGTCTCGGCAGCTTGGGTGTCTTGGGAGTCGTCTGTGCCTCTTCGGATGCCGTCCCCTGGTTCTCTTGTGCCAGCTCCTCGCTTGTGCTCAGCTTGCTTGTGCTCAGCTTGCTTGTGATCACAGCCGGCTGCTCGACAGCTTTGCCCCTTTCATGGCGACGCCACATTGCCATATACGACTCGTTCCATCCAGCCGTCTCCAGCTCGTTCACAATCAGGTATACCATGCCCCTTTCGTCCTCCTTCTCTCGCTCCTTGTTCTTATGGCCTTCCTCCTCATCCCCTGGGCCCAAGAGACTCTGCCCACCCTCCTCCGGATCTTCGAACCTGATGATAAAGTCCCCCACTCTCACGCAGCATCCCACAAATACATCTCTCTTTTCCACTAGGTGAAACATGTCGGGATGCAGCAAGGCCTGGATGCACAGCTCCCCGTCCCCCAGCACCAATCTGATGGCGTGAGTGTCATCGTCCTTGGGCGTCGCGGTCGGCACTGGAATCACATCGATGCCCTCGACGATAAAGATGGAGCCTGATATGCAGCGCCGAGTGCTGAGCATCTGCCTGATAAGTGGCCGAAGCGTGAATGGCTCCTGGCTGGGAGCAGTTGTTATGGCGGCAGGATTGAGGCGAGCCATCGTTTCACGCCACTTTTGCGCTCTGGCATCTTTGCAGAGTTGGAGCCCGTAGTTTATTTGCCGCTGCAGGATGTGAGCGTCATTCTAAAGGCCCGTAAAGATTTGTGAATTCACCATCTAGAAGAGTAAATGAAATCCGTAGTGCAACGTACCAACCAACACAGGGCGATGGCTTGGCAGCTAAAAGGGAAGATGATGCATCTATCCGAGTTTGTCTCAATCGGGGCATTCCTTCCATCTCCACTGAAATGAAGCAACAGTGAAGCTCATTGTCTTGGTGCTACCACCTCTGTACAGTATTCTCGATTTAATTCCTTAGGTTCTCTCCAGCCAGGGAATATCTAGATCCCACGCCATGGGTCACCCAGAAATATTCCAAAAAGAGCTAGAGACTGCCTTTGGAGCCCTTCGCCAAGCCTCCAAACTAAGTCAGCTCATCATCGCCTCCCAGGATAAAGGAACCATCACAAAGGACGACTTTAGCCCGGTCACCATCGCCGACTTTGCCATCCAGGCTCTCCTTATTTGCACCTTTAAAGATGCATTTCCCGAAGATACCTTTGTAGGAGAAGAGGATGCTGCAGATTTGCGGGCCAACGAGGCATTAATGAGCCGTGTCTGGGACCTTCTCAATACCATTGCCCAGGACGAAGACACTCAGAAGGGCGCCTGCAAGCTACCCCAGACCAAAGATCAGATGTGCGATCTGATTGATCAGGCGGGCACGAGCCATTCAGGGGGGGCGGGGACTGGCAGGGTCTGGGTCTTTGATCCGATTGATGGCACCAAGACGTATCTGAGGGGCGAGCTGTATGCCATCAACATTGGCCTGATTGTCGACGGCAAGCAGACTCTGGGAGTTGTTGGATGTCCGAATCTGTCGTTGAATCACAAGGGCCCCCTGCGCAACAGCGATATTGATCCTGAAGGCAAGGGCTGCATCGTGTATGCCATCAAGGGCCACGGCGCATTTGCGAGATCTTTGCATGATGGGTCCCAAGATGCCGTACAGTTGCCGAAACAGTCCGCAACGCAGGAACTCAGCTTCGTTACATGTATTGGTCTTGTTGATTCAGCTCTCGACGGCGTTCATGAAGTAGTTGCTGAGCGTCTGGGAGTCTCTTTTCCAGGAAGCGATCTCGTGCCCTGGGTCCTTCGCTGGGCGGCCATGGCTCTTGGTATTGGCAACACGACTGTGTGGGTTTACAAGCGCCGCGATCGATTTGCAAAGTCTTGGGATCATTCTGGTGCCATGCTTCTCTTTGAAGAGACTGGCGGCAAGATTACAGATGTGCATGGCAAAGACATTGATCTGTCGGCTGGAAGGAAGCTGAGTGCCAACTTTGGGTTTGTGGCTGCGCCGGTAGCGGTCCATGATAAAGTACTCAAGGCTGTGCATGATGTGTTGAAAGAGCAAGGAAGAGATGCATTTTTGCAATAATTATAAATTGTAGAGTATAAAATAGGCAAAAACAGGAGAAGGCGGCATTGCATATGATGATTTTCACCTTATCCAGTTCGACTTAGACGACATGTGCAAACTTCTCATCACCAACATTAACTACCAAAGAACATATAATATTACATGGTCAAAGTCGACTTTGCGACCTATTGAGTATATACACCATGACTGACGGCATGATATCCCTTCTTTCCGACGATGTCAACCAGTTCACTGTGCCAGTCCTCACCTCTAGCCAGCTTCTCAATGATCCCAGCAAACGTGTATTCAGGTTCCCAGCCAAGCTCTCGAACCGCTTTCCCCGAGTCATAGACGCGGTCCATTCGGTCGAGGTGCTTCCATCCTTTCTCACGAAACACTGCTGCCGCTGCAGGAACAACATTGTTGAACACTTCCTCCGGGTTTCTATCCAATGCAGCCAGCGTCTCAGGGTCATTTGAGAAAGGCGGCGGTGCACTGATGATGTACTTGGACCAGCCAATTTCCCTTGCCTTGTTCATCGCGCACACCGTTGCTGAAACAATGTCCTTGATGTCGCAACGACGATACGCCATCTCCAAGACCTTGAGATTCTCGTCGCTCATTGCGTTGCGACGGTCGTCATCGTCGTCTTGTTCAGGGAAGAAGCGGCTCACACGAAGAACGAGTATCGGAAGGTTATGCTGCTTGTAAAAGAGATGGCAGACATCTTCGGCTGCGATTTTGGTCACCCCGTATATGTTCTTGGGGATGGGAACGACTGTCTCGTCGATCCAAGCTGCAGGTGAACCAGGCTTGGGGCTAAGTGCGGAGCCAAAAGCGCTGGTGGTGCTGAAGAAGAGGAAGCTTTTTATTTGATCGCCGAGTTTGGCTGCTTCTTCGAGAAGAACTAGAGTTCCTGCAATGTTTGTCTGGACAAAGTCGTTTTTGGTATGGGATCCAACATGAGGTTTGTGGAGCGTTGCAGTATGGAGGACGTGCTTGATAGGGTGTTTTTGGAAGATGCTGGCGATGAGCGACTGGTCTGTAATTGAGCCGACGCAAGTAGTTGTTGGAGAAGCAAGAATATCGATTCCAATTGGAGTGAAGCCCAGCGATGGCAGAGTTATCATGAGGGCGTGGCCCAAATGGCCAGATGAGCCTGTGACGAGCACATCATACTGAATATCTGTAGAGAGTTGCATATTGTCGTGCTTGTTCTTTGTATTATCTAACGATTGACAAGAAAGGACAGAATTTGAGTCTAGGGATGCTCAGATTAAGTATTACATGAAATGTATATAACAAGTTTGACGCCAGAAATCACAGGTGAAAATCGCCGTTCCGATATTGTCGCCAAGAATTTAGAGTAGTGGGGTGCGTTGAGGGGATGCGGCGAATGAGTCGAGAAGCCGGCCACGTTAGTCTAGAAAAGGCAAAAAATGAAGACGGCGAAGAGATACAGGGTTAGAACATCTTGCATTTAGCTTGATTCACGAACAGCGGGATTCGCCGTGAAGTTGATCTTGCATGGATGTGGAAATAATAGAGTAACAATAACAGCCCGGTTATCGGATCAAGTGGGATGGACTTTGCAAATGTAAAGGAACGAGTCATCTGTTGGAGTATACTGAGAATGTGATACTGTGAAGATCTTAACGGCGGCTGCATGTGATATTAACATCGAAGCAGAATGAAGCCTCAAGACTCCACTAGGTAGTTCTAACAGGGGAGTAGCTCTCAAAGTGCTTTCGATCTTGTTTGGGCTGGGACGGAGTAAGCATGGGGCTTTGAAGTTATTGTATTAGACATATTTAGGGGATAGTTGCATGGGGATGTGAGATGTAAACAATCCCAGGTTCAGACATTTTGCTGAATGAAGACTAAGGCTAATAAGAGGTGGCGCATCCAGTTTGTTAGACATTTGACTGTCCCGCTACAATCTGTTCCAGTACGGCTCTGACTGTCCATTTTACATTATCATTCCGGGAATATGTAGATCATTTAAAAAAAATGTCCTTGATGAGCAATTGAATACTACTATGTGAACTTGTCTAGCGACGATATCTTCAAAACATGGCGCGCACTATGTACCTTCCGGGTAAACACACTTGACAAAGGGCTTTCGACACATGACTATAATCTTTTGGGAACATCTCCAGTCATTCTAATCCTCACACTCACTACAATTCCGAATCCTGTCAAAGTTTCCCATAATCCAAGCTCATTTTCTTTCCGAAATGTAACTTCTTCAGCCCTGGCAGTCATTACCACGGCGTCTCTGGGATCCTCGGCCACGCGGGCTGCGGGCCGGGCAGGTTCCTCGGATTTCTTAAAAAGACCCCAGAGACCAGATTTCTTGTTGCTGTTTGCCTGACAAGCATTCCGATCTCTAGCGATCTGTGCATTTTTAGGTGCGGCGGGGCGTTTAGGTTGTAGATGCTTGGCAAGGCGCTGTGCCATACTTTCGTTTTCCCACCAAAGCGACGTACTAGTCTCGTCATCGCCACCCCTCGCCGATTCCGACGATGGAAGATAGCCATCTGCTTGTTTCTTCATGCTACCTCCATCCTTTTTCGGAGTATCGCTAACACGAATCAACTTGCTAAATTCGCCCGCTCGCCTCTCGTCGTCGTCGCTAAGCTTCCAGTCCTTGCTGATCGCAGCGTCGGGCACAAACGTCGCTTCCACAAGCCTCGGCGTTGGATGGATCAATGAAATGGACGATAGGAAGTGTTCCACGTAGGGGACAATGAGCGACAGCACGTAGCTATCGCGGTCATCTCTGGCTGTCGCTCGGGCAGCCTGCGAGGCGGTAATTTCATTTCGAAGGTCGGCTATATGGGGAGAGAATATGGATGATGAAGCTCGTCGATCCGAGTATTGGGCTGAGATGGTGTTGGTGGGATTTGCACTTGGAGAATATGGAGGTGGAAGATCACCGCCATCTTCGAGAATAAGATGGTCATCCATGGTGTGGTGATGGAAGCTGCCAGCGGAGTTGCGTTTTGTTTGTACGTAGATTACATGTGTTTGATGGAAGCAAATACGAGTGAGGCTGATGACTTTTCGTAACGTCCTGCCACTGCGGCTGAAAGAGACTCAAAGTGAGGCGACTTAGCGTTGCGGGCGAAATCCGCCTTGGCGAAACCAATTTGCCTTTGTTCCCTGCGAATCAGCCTAACGGGCGTAGTATGGGTGTTATCACAAGCCACAAGTTACACTGTAATTTAGCATTTTGACAACACGTCAATCCTCCCTACGCATATTTCGGTACTGATTCATATTTACAGGCGACAACTACCTATAATATCTAGGTACCCTTAAAAAATGGTGCTGGGTAAACTCTGTTGGCGGAATGAGATTTGCGCCTGCACATGACACCATCATTCAAACTCTGTTCCATCTTAGATCATCTGAGTCACTCCAATTATTGAAAGGAGCTCAGATTTTCAAGGAAAACTGTATTATAGATACTAAATCTCATATATTATTGTATTCAACCAGGTCTTAGCCAACTTCGTACGTGCCGACAATGGTATGATTGCCCTTGTCCTACGTTTTCAATAGTTTTCATACGCCCATACAGGCAAGAGAAAACTGCTCCCCCAAGCCTTTTTAACTCTGGATCTTAATGACCTTGTTTGATGCTATCTCCCATGCTACCTCGATCGTTCACGCTAATAATATCTGCCGACAAATAGTGGCTTCTGTAGGACTCTTATTGAAACGTTGCGAATAAGTGGAAGGAATAATCCACAATGGAGGTTCTACATTGTTTCCCATTTGTAGTTCAATCAAGAGACGTAAAGGATTGTCACGCTGTATATTTACATTTAGAGATATATCTTTCACATACATAACCGCCTATAATAAGTTACCTAGGCTTATTATCAGCATGTCTGGCATGTAATGAGGCTGATCTGTTCAAAATTAGTTCAAAAGCGCTAGAAAACTATATATACATGTATTGTGACCATCCTTGGTGGTCATCCCTGCAAACTCGCTGTGGCATCTTCAGAGCCTGCTATTAGTCGTAGAATTTCTAAGCCGTGGTGGATATTCCGGTCTTACTGGATTGTATGGCAGATTCCACCATCTTGACAATCTTCCCATTCCCATATTTCATGGCGTCCTCCAGTGGTGTCGAATCGCGACCACCTTTGAAGTTGGGCAGAGCACCATGTTTGAGGAGTAGTTCTACCATTCGTTCGTCTTTCTTCTCAATCGCCAAGGCTATTGGTGTCTGATTATAGTGTTAGTGATGAAAGAACTATACTAATACTTCGGCGGGTCTACTTGCATTCTGGATACAGTAGGAGTGTGAATATTAGCGTACATGTATTGAACCGTATAAAGTAAAGTTGTGTAGCAGGGCACTTCACTTACAGGATACGTTTTATTTAACGCCTATAATGGTAAGGTTATTATTTTAGCTAGACGAATCAGAAAAAAACAGGTTTCGCTTACCATCGACCAGTTTGAATCCCTAAAAGAGCAAGTTACTAGATGTTGAAGTAGCTGTATGGATTGCTCACTTGAATGTAAAATTCACTTTTGCTCCGCTTTTGAGAAGCGTCTCCGTGACATCCGCCCTGTTCAACTCTATTGCGTAAATCAACGGCGTTTTTTCATCCCAGCCGCTTGCATTTGCATCGGCTCCCTTTTCGAGCAGCAGTCGAACAATGTGCTCGTGACCCTGCTCCACAGCTATAGGGAGGACCTTGTTGCTATGCCAGCCGCTTTCATTTGCATCGGTTTCCTTTTCGAGCAGCAGTCGAACAATGTGCTCGTGACCCCGCTCCACAGCTATAGGGAGGACTTTGTTTTTATGCCGGCCGCTTTCATTTGCATTGGCTCCCTTTTCGAGCAGCAGTCGAACAACATGCTCGTGACCCTCCTCTGCAGCTATAATAAGGGGCGTCTTTCCATGCGAGTTGCTTGCATATATATCAGCTCCCTTTTCGAGCAGCAGTCGAACAATGTGCTCGTGACCCCGCTCCACAGCTATAAGGAGGACTTTGTTTCTATGCCGGCCGCTTTCATTTGCATTGGCTCCCTTTTCGAGCAGCAGTCGAACAACATGCTCGTGACCCTCCTCTGCAGCTATAATAAGGGGCGTCTTTCCATGTGAGTTGCTTTCATTTGCATCGGCTCCCTTTTCGAGCAGCAGTCGAACAATATGCTCGTGACCCTCCTCTGCAGCTATAATAAGGGGCGTCTTTCCATGCGAGTTGCTTGCATATATATCAGCTCCCTTTTCTAGCAACAGTCGAACAACATGCTCGTGACCCCCCTCTGCAGCTATAATAAGGGGCGTTTTCCCATGTGAGTTGCTTGCATATATATCAGCTCCCTTTTCTAGCAACAGTCGAACAACATGCTTGTGACCCCCCTCTGCAGCTATAATAAGAAGCGTCTTTCCGGTGGTGTCCTTCACTTCCGTATCTGCACCATTCTCGAGCAGGAGTTTGACGATGGGCTCGTGGCCTCTCCTGGCAGCGGATAAAAGAAGTTCACGGCGAATCGCATCTACCGAATCTGTCTGGGCTCCTTTCATTAGTTCGTCAACTATAGCCTGTTGTCCAGTGCAGAGAGCGTAAGATATCGGCGTTCCTCCAATGTCATCCTTCGAGTCCGCGCTGGCTCCCGCCTTGACTAGTCGCTGGACGATAGCCAGATGGCCATTCCAGGCGGAGTAAAATAACGGCGTTCTTCCGCCTTTGTCTTTTGCATTAACATTTGCGCCGTTTGAAAACGATAGGTTGGTAAATTTTGTAATAAGCCTGGTTATAAAATGAATCTCGGGACCCTCGACTAATAGCTTAACAACACCATCAAATCCGTTCTCCGCCGCCCACGAGAGCGCTGAACGTTGGTAAGTGCTGTCGACAGAATCTATTTCCACATCAGGTAGGCCTAGTTGAAGCTGTACCATTAGATCTATCCCGAAGTAAGAGGCGACCATGATGGTGGTGAAGTCGGAAGGAAACTCGGTTTGCATGTCCGCCCAATAAATCTTGAACCAAGTCAGGCAGCGGTTTGACTTTGCATCGCAGATTCTTTGCAGTGACTCCATGACTTCATTTCCTTCAATGTCAGATGCCCGGAAGTGTGGGGCCCAGCTTTTTGCGGAATACTCGAGAAAGACATTCTTGCCGAGATAATCAGTTATTTCCCCCCGCTCAGTAAGCGGGTGAGCCTCGAATTCGGTAAAGAGCAAATGCCAAATACAAATGTTGCAAAGGATGCGATGGGACTCCCGTGGCGCTAGTGAGAATTTCCAAGTGAGTCTGTGGCGCTGATCTGCTTGAGAGCTATCTTCTCGTCGTGCTGGAATGCTCTGTTGGCTATCAAGATTTTCTCTTGGAACTAAAAACTCTTTCGCGGTCTGATGAAGGAGATAAATCTTGTCATCTGTAATGTTTATGAAGAGGCCACAGAGGTCTCTGATATACTTGCTGACGCGATCGTTGGGCCTGTGATCGAGGTCTTTGTAGGACTTGTGATGCTGTCGTATTTCTAGTGCTAGGTCCATCTCGGGGAGTGTCAAGGGCCGTTCAGCCGCTACAACAATATGTAGCAGTTTTTTGGTTTCCTCTGCATTTATACTCTTGGCCAAAATCTTGTCGTATGCCTCGTCAACTGTTCGCGGAAGAGTAGATATAATTTTGCGTATCTCGGTCTCGTTGATCTTATTGCTGATCTCTGTTTCAATCCAGTCTAGAGTGAGATAAACCCATAGGTATGTCTTATTGGGAGTAGCGACGAGCCCTTGCAAAAGGACCTCCTCCTCCCTTCCTGTAAGCCGAAACTTTGCTTGAATATGTGAGATCCTTTCCTTAACGTAGAGACTGATCTCCCCGGCAATCTTCTCTACCTCCGCACTGCCATCGCCTTTCAGGTGAATTACAGGGAATTCCTGAACATTAAAAGGTTCGATCAAGCCCTGTCGGATTGTGTCATAAGGGCGACTTGTTATAAGAAACTTTAAATTACTACTCTTCCTCATGTCACCATTCGGACCATAAAATTTTCGCAAAAGTTTCGCAAGGTCTTGTCGTTCTTGGTTTTTGCATTCATCTAAAGCATCGAGGATGCAGATTATCTCTCCGGAACTCCCCTCCTGTGAGGCCATGGTTAAGACGTCCCAGAGCTCCCAAAGTTCGTAATACGAATTAGCAAGAGGTGCTTTGTAGGACCTGAACTGCCTCACGATCTTTTCAGAAAAAAGAGTCTCTCGTTGCACAAAAAGCTGATGCAAGATGCAGCTAAGAGCGCTTCTAGCGCTCCTCTGATCTTCGAAGTCGTCCTTGAAGAAAAAATAGCAGGTCGTTCTTTGATCCATAGTTTTGAGCTCATCCACCAGATATTTAGCCAGGACTGACTTCCCACACCCAGGATTTGCAGATACCCAGAGCATAGAGGAAGACCTGCTGTCTCGCCAGTTATGAAAGTCGATGTGGCTCATGAACCATTCGCATGTACCTGTAACACGGTCGGGATTTCGATCCTTTCGCTGTGCATACGGTGACGTTTTAAGAGCCTGTAGTATTTCCGACCGGGTGTTATCTGTGTTTGGTAAACTTGGTCAGCTGGTTGATAAGAACGATTGATCAAGTATCAGAATTTCGTACCATTAAGGTCCGCCCCGTTATAAATATTCATGGTACCACTGCCAGCGTTGATCTGGTGGTCTTGGCCACTATAATGATTCTGATAGGCCGTCCCATTTGAGGCATTGTGTTGAGACATGGCATCCCTATTACCATATTCCCTTTTGGCCATTGTATGAGCCAAAGATTGAGCGGTTGAGGAGCGATATGCAGCCGGTAGATTTCGCGCTGTGCTGTGCTGTGCTGTTCGTTGCCACTCGAAGGATGTGGGTAATATACTGAGGAACGAGATACTACTACAATAGCATTCGCATAGACCACATGTAGTACAGTAGGATACAGGTAAATCAGAAAGACTATTGATGCCTTACAGATAAAAGAGGCCTAGAATTTAATACATAGGATGCGTGAGAAAGAGGGGTTGCGCCAGCTGAGGTTCCGATACCACGCCCGACAGCATATACGTACATATACCCTTGTCACGCTCCTCTCATTGAGGAGTTAGAATACTTCTTCTCCAATAATGGTACATACAACTGGGGTTGGGCACATGCAAGGGGACGCTATGCGTCCACATGAGGAAAGGTGAATGGCAGGCTTGTGCAACGGAGAGCCCAGCCTTGCCAGCCTGGAATTTTCGCGCCCAATTGGTGCCCAACAACATGGCCAAGCTGTATCAGACTAGGGTTATTTGAAGCATTTGAAATACTTGCCAGTTTCTTGATCCATGGCCAAGCTATTCTTATTCCCTTCAATATAAACAAAATACAATTGTAGCGGGACAAGCGCCCCTTGGTAACTAGGTAAACATTGTATCCCTGTACAATGACCGATATTCCTAAGGCATTTGTCTATAATGTTACTCCGTAGATTTTCAAGCTACACTCCGCGGTCACAAAATGCTACCTACTGGCCACTGACGATGCCTCTCTATGTTTGTAGTGACTAATCTTATTCGTAGTGAAGAGACATGTCGTTCTCATAGCGGGAGGCAAATCAACATTGTATTTTCATCTATCCGTCATAGTGTATCGTCCAAGTACAGCCTTCATGACCGAAGCAGCCGTTGCCGCAGCATATCGCTGCCACAAGTCATTTCTGTGGCTGTCAGCATAGTCACACACCCCCTTCACGATGATGCAAGGAATCTCATCCCAGACACCTGCTCCCTCCATCTCAAGCGCAATCACATTTTGTTCCTTGGCAATCTTATCTCGATGCTCGCCAGATTTCATCACCATATTCCCAGAGGCTATTCGCCCAACAAAGATTTCGGGCTGTCCGGTTGGATCTCTCATCTCCAAGTCCATTCTACTCACTAGTTGGCTCTCATCGCAGCCAAGTTCAGCACAAGATACCCGGGCAGCCCTGTCGCAGAAGCTATCAGTCTGATTATCACAGACATTACATGGTTGTTTGCCTCTATGGTTATGTCGATATGTTGCTATAAAGAGTTTGTCATTAGTAATGCCGGGATACTGGTAGTTGTGTCGTCGTCGTTTCTTTGCAGCTGCTTTTTGTAGATCTTTTAAGAATAAGCATGCCTTTTGCTGCAACTGGTCCCTCACATGATCGGTCTCAAAGCTTTTGACTAAGCTGCGAATGTTCTTATTTGGTCGGCCGAGGCTATCATCGACGGTATCTTTGATCACAAACGACTTGTGATATTGGCTGCCCAGATCATACTGAACAGCGGATTTACTGATAACAACATCACCTAGATGGAGCTCGTTTTCTCCATCAAAAGGCACACCGCCGCAGATACCGACGAGAAATGCGAGCTGTAGGCTGGGGTAGCTCGACCGGAAGCTTGCTGCTGCTCCAGCCGCAGCAACGGTGCCCATATTAGGAAGCAGTACCAGCACTACATCGTGTTTCCCCATGCGGCCGGTTGTGTACGTGTTCACATCGCCGCGTGCGCGGCCATACAACCCATCTTCGTCCCAAAATTGGTCGAAGAGCAAAGAAACTACATCGTACTCGAGTGGTAATGAGCAGATGATGGCGATTTGGAAATCTTCGCGACCACGTGGTCGACCTCCAGGAGGCGAGATACCTTCGTTTACAGATTGGGAGTTCAAAGTATGTGTCTGTCCTCGACGCTGTTGTATCTGACCATGGTCTACAGCCGAATCGCTCGTTTCTGGACCACGACCATATAAAACTTTATTGTGAAAATAGTCAGTTGATTTACAATAAGACTTGGATATTTTATCTATGGCTTCGTACCATTGTAATGATAAACAATAGTGCCACCACCAGCATTGATATGGTGCCCTTGACCATCAAAGTGATTCTGATAGCCCGTTGCACCAGAAGCATTATGCTGAGTGAAATTAGCCTTAGCTTCTCCAGTTTTTTTGAGATCTTCGTCTGAAACAGACGATTTCACTTCTGACATCTTGTCAATAGCACCCTTTAGTTCTGAAGGTGTGTTGTACTTTGCAGTGGTGAAGATATTCTCCAGGCTTCCCAACAGTTCTTGCATCCCAATTTCCACCCGACACAACGTCGGTGAAGTTGACAGAATGATGCGATAACAGTCCAAGATAGATTTCTTCCTGTTGGTTTTCTCCACTTCCTTGCTAAGCTCGCCGAATGTTGTTTGCAGCGCTGTTGCCTCATCTTTGAGCTTGGTAGTTAAAGGATAGATGGTGTCTTCAAGTAATATCTTCCCATCTAGATCTTCTACGATGGAAAAAGTGCTTTGAACCATAGGGAGACATTCCTTTATCTGAGCAAACTCGTTTGGAAGTTTGCTGAAGTGGTCAAGTTGAGACTCATACTGAGCGGATATTTTCTTAATATCCTCCCCCGCGGACCATATGAGTTTAAGGGGATTCTCCTTAGTCTTAGAGGTATTCTTCTTAACGTTGACAGGATCCTCTCGAGCCTCAAAAGTTTCCGTGTCAACATCCATTTTAGTGGCCATGTTGTTGCCTGGAGACGACCGATAAGGCAGATATCAGAAATGATGACTATTGTCTGCCGTCAGTGTCAGGTCTGTATAATTATCCATTCATGGATGTTAATACCTCTCAGTAGGGAGTATTGTTAGAAATCCAGACAGAACGATATCTCTGGCACCTTAAGTCTCTGGTCTCTGACCGTCCGCTAGTGAACAGATAATCTCTGTTCACTATCCACGATAGCCAGCCAGACCGTGGGGAAATGACGATGGCAAGACGAACAGGCAGAAAACAAGAGAATAGAGCGACATTTAATAATAAACGAGCGGGGGAAAGGCACTACATGCATGAAAAGAGAGGGGCTTAAGAGACGAGGCTCTGAGACGCCGTTATGTCAGCGATAGGATTTGGGATGGGTGTAGATATGACAATCCTGGTCTAGCGCTCTGCATCTTGAGCTTCGGCGTTTGATACAGACGAATGAATGGCCAGCCTTGCCGTGATGTGCTCACGTGTATGGACGCCATGCTTGTCTACATGAGACTCGGTCGCCTTGAGAGGGTGGTTGGGATGCGGCTGAATGGCCCTTTATCGGCCAACAAGCCAACCAGAGGCGGGACGGGCCGGCGCTTAACAGTCGCTATGCTACAGGTACTGGTACTACTGGAGTACATAGTCGAAATATTGTCGGGTCTGATATTATAATGAGAGCAAAGCTGCGGAAATAAAACCATGGACATAGTCAATCATCTTAGCTCATGTTAGTCCGTGTTAGCAGCGCTTTGGCGGTGCGGGAACAATCTTTGGTTCATGCAGTGCCTGGTCTTTGTGCAGTACATCGGGCTAGTGGACCCGCCCCCGCCATGGAACACACCGACCACCAGCAGAGCCGCAACGCTCGAGACGAGCAGAGCATCGAGGGCATTCAATTCTGTGGAATATGAGTTGATAAAGGCCCTCAGATATCGAGCAATAACAGTGATGACTCAAGTCAAGATGATTCACGTCAAGTTGCATGTATGGACCACGATGATCAGATATTTCTGCCGTCCCACTGAACTATGTGCACACCTGGTGGCCCCGACATTGCGCCACGAGCCTCTGCTGCAGATGAGAGCCACAGTTCAGCATCCGATTTAATCCAGCGTCTACAGCCGATGAGCTCACTATATGTACATGAACATGTGTCCAGGTACGCACTCCAGCCCCACCCTAAGTGGGCAATCCCCATTCTTACATGTAGGTTCCTTGAACTTCAATGACATCAACGCAAGTCAAGGTTTAATATTCCAAATAAAACTGCTCCTCGTTTCCGTAGGAATCTGCATATAACACAAGTAAACCTTAAAATGTGCCCCAGAGTGAGCCCAAAAGCTGCAAACCCACATGCTTCAAATGGAGCAATCGTGGCATGTTGTTGCTATCCAAGATCCGCCTCCTGAGATAATATGGTCTCTCTCAGAGGTTCGACGCACACATCATCTTTGGTATCAATCTCTAAGATTCGTAACCGAGAACGACCATAGAATGCTCCGCGAGGATGGAGCGGCTGCACCTCAACTCCAAGCAAAGGTTGCCTTTCTCGTCTCTCGTGAGATTCCTGAGACAGATTGGCGTGTAACTGTACCTGATTGGGGTAACAACATGTTGGCAACTCTTTTGCTAAATGGGCCTTTCGGCGTCATAAACATTCACAACATTTACAGAATTGACCCCATCGATAAAACCAGGCGGCTTGATATGGTTGAGCTTGTTGGAAATTGCTGTACCAGCGACGAAGATATATTGTTGGGAGATTTCAACCTTCATCATAGCCTATAAGCTGGCCCCGAATTACCGAAAAACAAGGCAAGTCGAGATGCAAAGCTTTTGGCAAACATGACGCAAAGGCTTGGGATGAGGTTGGTCACCAAGCAAGGCAAAATAACATATTCAAGGGGAACCAACAAGAGTGAATACAGCTCAACTCTACTTCTCCTATTTGTCAGTAAATCTCTCCATCGCAGAGTGGTTGGCTGGAAAATTGTGCATGTTAAAGGTTTTGAATGATCATTGCGTCTGCCAAACTGAACTAGATTCACGGCCAAATCGAAAACTTGGTCTGTGGTTCTGTTGGGATAGGGCAAAAAAAGAGGAGTATTGCAAAATGGTGGCCGATGGCTTGGAGGCACTATCTGTGCCGAATTTAGATGAACCCGACGGCATCGACATTCATCTCTCTCTCATCACTAAAGTATTAGTGAAAGCTGTGAGCAAAACAGTTCCAGCCAGTCTCACTTGCAAGCTTCCTCGCCCGATGGGGAGACCTCAGCAGGGCAAGAAAAAGGAGTCTCAGGACGATAAGACAAAAGAGCCTCAGGAAGAAAAGGTAATGGAGCCTCGGGCAGAAAAGGCAACAGAGCTTCAAGAGGAAAGGGGGGACGAGCATCGGATCCAGCCGGCTTATAAAGAGGCCCCCTTTGAGCCATTGTCAAATCCCACGATTTGGAATCTTTCAAAGCAACCCAAGCGCAGAGCAAAGCCTGCAGATTTACCGTACACTCCCGACTTTCAATTCTCCGGCAAATGCGCAACAACCGGCAAAGAAAAGAGCATCATGTACATGGACGCCATATATGGCCAGGGGAAGACGAGCAAGACATCTTCTACGCATCCGCGGCTTCCTGAAAATCTCGACTGCATCGTGCCGGCTGAGAGCAAGTTGGCTCTGGGAGATCAAGGCCCCATTGCTCGCCAGGGAGAGGTTTCAGCTCTCATCGCGGCGTTACCAACCAAGAAGTCGGCCGGAATTGACATTCTTGACAACGAAGCACTTATTATGGCCAGAGAAATCATTTCGCCGTATCTTGAAAAGGTCTTTAACGGCTGCATAGAAAACTGCTACTATCTAACCTACTGCAAGCTGTCAAAGACTACATACATATACTTCATACCGTATTTCCAAAACCCAAGAAAGCGGCCAACAACCAAAAGTCGTATCGTCCAATTGCTCTTCTTTCAAATATGGGCAAAGTCCTTGAGCGATTAATTGCCATCCGCATCAAAGAATTTCTTGACGAAGCTGGTTCGCGCCATAAAGAATTGATCCCCGTGAAGCAGTTTGGGGGGCTTCCTGGAAGATCCACCACCTTGGCACTCAAGACGCTCATCAACTTTGTCTATACGGGCTGGAACTCTAAATACTACAAAAAGGTCAGCTTGTTAGGCTTAGATATTTCGGGGGCCTTCCTTCGTGTCGACCGAAACGCGCTTTTGCAAGCACTCGCTGACAAGGGTTTGCCGGGCTGGATCGTCAAGTATGTGTGGTCATTTCTCTGCGATCGCCGAACCATTCTCGACATTCCCGGCCATGGACCCCAAGACTTCTTCGAAAACGGCGGTATCCCCCAAGGAAGCGTCCTATCCCCCATCCTCTTCCTCTTCTTTGCCGCGCCCCTTGTCGACAACCACGCTGCCAAGATGCTCCCGGGCCCAATCGTCGAGATTTTGGCCTTCGTGGATGATACATACATCCTGGTGCGATCCGATTCATGGGAGAGGAACTGTCAACAATTAGCAAAAGCCCATAGCATGTTGTTTTCCTGGGCACAAGAAAACGAAATTTCCTTTGCGCCCGATAAATACGGTCTACTTCACTTTCTCGGTCCTGGCGATAAAGACGCCCCCGTCACATGCCGCCCGCCAATCGACAACTTACCCAGTGCCGACGTCCTATTCAAAAACCCGTATCTAGACATCTTGGGCGTCCGAGTTGATCGTCGCCTGTCTTGGAAGTATCATGTTGAAAATGTCCTGGGCAAAGTGTCCAAGCAATTACGATACTTGAACGCCATGTCTGGTTCGACTTGGGGCCCCGTGCTCCGTGACATGCGTCTGCTTTATTACTCAAAGATACTCTCCATTGTTCAATATGCTTCCCCAGCATGGTTTTTTGCGAGCGAGCATACAGTTCGTCAAGGGCATGTATTAAAATCGTTGGCAAGGCGGCTTGATATGCTTCAAGGCAAATGGCTTGCCAAAATATCGGGAGCTATGAAAAATACAACCAGGATTGTTCTCCGAAAAGAGCTTCACGTCTTCCGCCTCTCTGAATATCTGCAGATGAAGACAATTTCTAATCACGCCAAAAACTATGACACAAAGCATGCCCAAGAGATTCGGACAGCAAGATATAGGGCTTTGCAACATAACATGTCACTGCATCTATTTCATAAACTTGATATCCTGGCTCAACAGTTAATAAAGCTGGCAAAGGGTCGGACTCAGTGTATCAAAGAAAATCTGGCCAAGGCGAAGGCCAAGAGAGAGAAGGAAGGCAAGGGTGAAGCGGCTCAAAACAGTACTGGCGATGAAAAGGACCAAGATAAGGATATTTGGGGCGACCCGGCCTGCGTGCAGGAGCGACGACTTGCCATTGATCAAACGGCAAAAGACATTTTGAATTACCGGGCATATCACGAATGGGCTAGGTACCAAAAAAAGCATCGGAAACGGCCGCTCCAAGAGCAAATACTGGCCATCAAAGAGCCCTGGAGCCTGAAAAGCTTAAAGTATTACGACAAGCTCCGGACACGACAGGAGTGTACCATGTTGCTACACTGCAGAACTGGATTCATTGGCTTACGATCGCATCTCTATCGAGTCGGCAAAGCAAAGACTGATCGTTGTCCTTATTGTGAAAATGGTCCGCATTCTATAGAGCATCTTTTCCTGTTTTGTGGAGGCGGAGACAAAAAGGGTGTGGAAATGGCGGATGCCCAAAGAGCCTTATACGCTAATGTCGGCGAGGAACACTTCAATCTATCGGACATTTTTCCACATCACCCCGAAAAGGCGGTACAATTTGCAATTTCCACCTTTGGCATTCCGCAATTCTGCAAAGATAATTGGGATGACAGCAAGAAACAGTCATAAGGTCGGGCTGGGGCGCAACCCGAGGTCACAGGCGCCAACACCGAAACATCGTCACCAGCTGACAGAGCATCAGCTGTTCAGTTACCTGATAATATTCATCCGAGTTGCGATAAGCCGCGACGCCGGAAAAGACGAAGACCCCGTGCCAAGAAATCGGGTAAGAAACGTGCCCGTGTTAATGACGACAAGCCCTCAGAGCATCAGAAAGGACAAGAATTTGCTGCTGCTTCGGGGCCTATGCCTGAGCAAACATCGTCGGGTGTTAAGCGTGCTCACAGCGGTAGTGACAGGTCCTTCTACCCTCGGAAGAGACAAAAAACACTTACCCAAAAAGTTGGCACAACAGGGGTTAGTGCCGAGCTGTCCACATCAACACATTCAACCGCTAAGCGCGCTCATCCTGACGACGATGAACTTTCACGGCCTCAGAAAAGACAAAAGAACCGCCGTTCCGGAGAAGATGCGATAGCCTAAGCGATATGCCGCATTACATTATGACATACCCAAGTATATAGCAAGCCCATGTAGTACAAATACAATTCATTTGCACTTATTTAAAGCTCATCGTCTTATTTCTCCTGGGTATGGAGGATAAACTGCCTAAAAGAACCAGTATCGAAAGAAGCTTGTTTTGGTAATTGTATATCCAACCCGTCCGTGCATAACTTCTCCTGCTAACTGCCTTCAGTAGCCTTTATTTGGTAAGACTTTCCAGATGCACGCGTGCACAGCTTGAAAAGGCTTTTTAACTTTGCTAGGCTGCTTTATCGGCTCTTTTGATGATCTTCTTGATCGCTTTGCCTGGCTTAGGGTTCTTGGTACCCTTTAGCTGGTTTAGCTTGTGTTTGGCTTCGCCTAGCTTTGGTCGTTCCTTCTTAGGAGCTTCTGATTGCAGATTCGCAATCTTGTTGATTGTGGATTTGGTTGTTTGTTCAGCCATTTTGCGGTATGTGGTAAACTTAACAGGGTGCATTTTATTTCGCCAAGGACTAATCTTTTTTTAAGATAGATTGCGACCAGCTTGCGGCTATTGTGTAAGTTGTCTATTAACTCTGCACGGGGGACGTGGTAACAGGTTGCTAAGATATAAAAAGAGCTTTGCGAGGTTCGTTTGTCTTGCTGTAAGGCATAACCATTCCTTGGATTTGAATTATATCAATAGCTCAGCTGGACTTTCTGCTTGATCTTTATGAATGAATATGCTAACAATTTAATATGAGGACAGCGAGAAGAAGTGGTTAGGCAAGAAAAACCTCTGCAACTGCTCAGATCATGTGCTAATATAGCTTGCTTATATAGGTTGTTTGATTTCGTTGAGTTGTTTGGTGAGTAAATGGTCATCGATGTCGTCGTTAATCACTAATTCTAACTTTCCCTTCGCGGATCCTCAAAGAAGCATGGAATCCATTTTCGAGGTGGTTATTGACTCCAACTAAACTCAGCAAACGATCTAATTGCTTACAGCTTAAAGTAGGATTGTCGCTGTCTTTTATAGCTCGACGGATCGATGCAAGTAAGCCGCAGATGATGGAAATTTTATACCTACAGTTACTAACGTATTTTTGAAGCAGCCTTTCTACATTAATTGAGTAATTGAACTATAATTCGAAGTGTAAGTACACTTTAATACTATATGAGTTGTGGATATATTGCTTACGTGTTTCTCGAGCAGTTGTTGCGTTGTGTTTGAACTTTGTTGTTCGGGCCTTTTTGCGCATGTATGTACGTTTACCTGCTTTATCATAATTCTCCATGCCATGTATTGGGATACTATTTGTACTAATATTTCCCCTTTGAAAACAGTTTGAGTTTGATCTTGAACCTTGATGCAAGTAACCCAAATCAACTTCCTCCCGAAGATAGGAAACCATTGCTAATCTGTTATTCGTCTTAGAAGCGGTTATGCTTTCTGTGCTTCTGCCAGTAGTATGGCCTGAATCTCCGAGGTTTAGTTTGATCGGCTGTTGCCGATTGGATTAAGCTATGGATTGATTCTGGATTTTGAACCAAAGGCTGGGGCATAGCCTTTTATTGAACCAGCTGTTACAGCATTGAACCTCTCATCTTGATATTAAATTTAACCTCCATAAAGTGGCGGAAACCCCCCGCCCAATTTCTTGGCCCCTCACTGCAATTGTGAACGTGTCGCCCATAAAGCAGCCTTCCCAAAGATTTTAAAGTGCCTCCCAGGGAGTACTCCGTACTGCCTGCCTTATGATCTAGTACCTAGGTACCTATCTAGTCTAGTACCTTATCTACCTTAGCAGGTAGGTAGGTAGTGGTAATACCAGGTACCAAGTACCTAATAGGTAGTTACGCAAACGTGTGCCGAGTCTCTGCCAGACTTCCTCAGAAGTACATGTACCAATCCATCGGCATATGACCCACTCACTTTGAGGTACCTTGTACCCGGTATGGACCGCTTGCCTCTTTGCCTGTCCCACATTTTTAACTCAACCGTTCTTACCGCGTGAGTCAACTTTTCGGGATCTTCTCAAAACTCTAATTCCATATGCTCTTTCCCACAAACTTATATAAACCTGCGCCTGCCTCGCAGATTAACCCCCCCTTTTCAAATTCTCTTAAACCTCCATTATTATTTGCCCCTTTTCACGCACCACTTTACCCATTTAGCAATCAGTCGATTTTATTGCATCCTCTTTAATCAAGGAAACTAGTTAGTAATTAATCCATTGCACACAATCATCTCGCCCGCGCGTACCATGTCGTCGAAAATAGCATTCCTTGATCTCCCACCGGAGGTTCGAAACACTATTTATGCGCATTATGTCACATCCAGAGGAGGCTATGTCTTCAATTTCGAATCGGGAAAGCTGGTGGCTGCCAATAGTGACGGGAGCACTCAGCCCATCGACCAGGCTTTGAAGTTTACATGCAAGCAAGTTGCGGAAGAAATGAGGGGATTGGATCTCGCAGCAAATCTTGTCACTTTCTATACTGGATACTCTGACAGATGGCGCATCAGCGCAGCTGCTTTTCATCATAACATGGCCAACTTAAACTTTGAGGCCTATCACTGGCTTCAAGGGCCGGGGGAAGAGAGTGATGATGAAGATGGAGATGAGACTTCAGACGAGAGCCAGGAACAGAGCCAGGAACAGAGCCAGGAACAGAGCCAGGATGAGAGCCAGGATGAAAGCGAAAACGAAAGCGCAGATGAGAATCTAATTGGGGACGAGGATAATGAGGATACAGACGAAGAGAATGGGGACGACGCCCTTCATGCTCCTGAACTCATGCCAGGATTTACAACTGCAATAGCCAACGAGGTGGCACAGCGATACCCAAAGTTTAAGCCAATATTAGATGGCATTCTGGAAGGCCATAATATTGTAGATATGGATGATGACTTCGGCTTAGTGCCATCGTATAAACGGCTGGCAACTCTGTATACACTTGAACTTCAAGTAAAGCACAGCTCCACACCAGAGCATTGGCTTAGAGTCCCGACACATTCTCTTGAAGAAGTTCTGGCCCTATCCAAGGAGTACCCGCCCTGGCGCTGTTGTCTAACGGAGGATGAGCTTCAGGAGCTAAATGTCGGAGCCATTTCCAGTCGACAATCCGCATCATACTGGAAGTTCCCACATACAACAAGAGATGGAGAACAGCAATACACTCAAGGGAAATATCGCTATTCGGCAGCCGCCTTGGCTATACGATTTCTCTCTAGGTTACCAGGACGATTACGAGCGTGCTTGCGAAACATACGACTAAATGAGAATGCAGTGAGCGTGGCGTATCCGGAATGCCATGCTCAAGGGCTTATCAAGTTTTGCATTGAAAATCCAAAGCTACACATTGAAAGACGCCTTGACTTGTGGAGAAATGTTTTCCAATCGCCATCTAATGAATTGACGAATCTAATATTCACATTCGAAGGTCGATGGGAATGGGCCAGGGACGGTTACGATGGCAGAGGCCAAGGACTCTGGTCTTTGGAACTCACAGACAGCATTGCTCTTTGGGTGGCAGAAGCATTAGCTCTTATTCCGCTAGGTATGCCCGAGAAATCTTTTACATTAATTCTAGACGGAGGAGAAGTGCCCCAGCAATGCACAGAAATCTTTCAAACAATAGTCCAGCGCGATGCCGCTTGGCAACAGGTGTGGGAAATGTTGACTGCCGATACTTCCTCGGACGAATCCTTCTTCACCAAGAGAATACACCATTGTTGTAAGAATCCACGTATTTCGTAATGCTCATGTTATTCTTAGCTTACACTCTGGAACAGACAGGTTTGAGGGATTTCCCGAGGCAATTAGGGATATTGTGGATAAGTCATCAGGCTTTATTCAATGCGCATTTGACACAGGACCAGCCACTTGGGATGCTGAAACGGAATTTCAAAAATATCGCCACTTCAGCCTCGAAGATTCACATAATCTCCCAATCGCCAATCAGGTGTTTCTTCAGCCGCAGGACCCACCACCAAACTGGATTGATCTTCACGCAGAGAATATTTTACCAGAATTCTTCACTAATCAAGCCTTGGTTCAACTTGACCAGAAAAACGAATGGCTTGTTAACGAGATGAAAGGAATACGGGATGATGGTTTTGAAGAGCAGAAGAAGCGCATTGAAGAGCATAAGCAACAGATTGCGAAGGCCAAGAAAGAGAGGGTGAAGCTGGAGGTTGAACGACTGACTCGTGGCTTCTCCTTTTTCGATTTAAGCCACCTAGATATTACAGATTAAAGCAACAAATACCGCTATCGACGCCAGATTTTACTAGCAGGTACTGCGGTTTTAGGCAGTCTTGACAGCAAAACCATTCGGCACAGTCCCCGGTTTACTGAACTTGATTGGCAAGGCAAGATGGGGGCTGTTTATATTAATGCCATTTTTTTTTTACCAGAATCAGGTACCAGAACATAGCCATCAAGCACGGAAGAAGCTACGACAGGATTTACTGCTCATCTGCATGAAATAGCCTTGAAGAAAATGATTTTCTCAGACAGAAAGGGGACCCGATCTGATTGGCGACAATTTATTTATTTCAATAATACTACTAAATTCTTCCTCCTGATAATAATATTCGCTGCAAATATTAAATATTTGATACCGGTCGGTTCTTAAGTCTACTTAATCCTTGTCTTTAGCTAACAAACGAGCAGTTGGCTCCTGTTACGACCTAAGTTATGGCCTTAAGACTGCGTTGCTACAGCGCACCTATAATGCAGCTAAGTCGCAGCCTTTAGTTAAGGACTATTTTATATAAAGGCAATTGATGAAGATACTTGATATTTTTAATCCGGACGCATAATCTTACGGATGTATAACTTTTCAAGTATTTTAATTAATTAGAAAAATCTACTTTCTATAAGGATTTGTAAGTAACAGTAGTAAAGCTTTTTGTTTTAATAATCTCTTTTAGTTTTTTTTTTTTTTTTTTTCTTGCAGCGCTGCTCAACAAGGCATAGATATGTGAGTTTGAATGACTTCAATTGTTCAATCGGGTCGGCCATTCCCCTGCCTTGGAACGAACTGATTGGACCAGCATACATCAAGGCCAATAGCCACGCTAATTGGTTCGACAAAACCTTAGTGGAAGTAGAACACGCCACTCAATGATTCCAATCTAGGCGATATAGGTTACGCTCACGCTATTGGCCAAGGTCATGTATGTCGAAGAAGCTCCCTCTGCAAGTCTGTTGGAATGACACATGCATTTTTGCAAGTTCCGGGACTCCTCCAGTGACAGTAACCCCATCTATGCCAGATTCCTTTACTCTAGATAGATTTTCTGCGATTTTCATCACTATCTTAGAATTCCATAACCCTTCCTTCCAACTGACTGAACGAAGCAAGCTTATAGATTCTCGTCGGCTGTGGGCACTGGTGGTGGTTACAGCTGCGAAATACAGTAGAGCTATTATCCCTGTATCAACTAGAAACGTCAACTTGGAGGTGGACAATGAGTGAATCAAAGTTTCTGAAAGCTCGTTGATTCTGGTGCACTGTGGATCAAGAGCAGATAAGATACAATTCGGCTTTGAGATCAAGCATGAGAGATGCTGTTCGATGATGCAATTCTAGTAGCAGGGTTAACTGCAGACCCCTTGCCTTCATATTTTTCTTCTCATTATTGAAAAAATTGTCAAACGTTTTCTTCCACTGCACAAACTGGACTTTTAATCTATGAAGTAAGACTGACTTAGTGGTAGTAAGATCATCATACTTTGGCCGCCACTGGCGTAGTGCCAAAGGTTTCGACGTAAGGATGTAGAATAATCGAATCTCGATGTTCTCCACAGACACCTGAGCTCAAGACTGGGAAAAAACATTGGCAAACAAGAGTTGTTGTTTGGACCCTTAATCTCTGCAGTGGCAGTAAGATGCGGTTGTCGTGAATTTAGAAACGTCGTAGCTTGCATGTGAAAACGCCGAAATGTCTCGGAAATTATTTCTCGGTCCTGGCCCTCCAGAAAAGTTTTGATCTCTTTTGTTCGCCAGTCCTTTAAAATGCTCAAGCCCCCTTGGAGATGGAGAAACGCCTTTTGGTACTCATCCTGCGCACTCTCGAACGTTATGAAAAGCATGCAGCAGGTCAGTGTGAATTGGATTGGCTGGGGAGATGGCGCCGAGCGTAGACATCTGATAGATTTATTGTATTGTTTTAAAATGAGCGTATTCCATCCATGAGTGCCTGCCTTTTGAACCGCTATCAAGATCCTCGTAAAGTGCGCTGAGAGCGATTATAGCATGAAATACTGCAGGTGAAGACTCGCTGAATTGCAGGCCCGTTTCATTCCAGAACTTGGACTGATAGTCGAACCCTATCATTCGATGTAGCACATTATGACAAAAGTATTCAAAATAGCGATGCTCCTCTCGAGATTAAATAGGCCCATAAGATAGTATAGGGTTTAAGGAATCTGTGGCGTAATTGCGATGACTGTGTGGTGTTTTGCCATAGCCAAGGCCCTCACAGAGGCGTCCTGTTTTTCCACATCGTAGGCACGCTGGCTTTGCTTCATCACACTTCACATGGCGAACTCTGCAACAATATTATGTCAATATTTCTTTCTCATATCCAGGATAAAGATTGTAATGCGTACTTGCATGTGTAGCGGCCCCCTTTGGATTTGGAACCCTTCGCTCGTGATTTCTTCGGAAGCGCTGCACCTCCCTCGACCATGATTTGCAAGGTTGTTGGAGGTCAAGGATACAGGTGTAGGTGAAAGTAAAAATAAAATAAAATGAAAATGGCGACCAACCCCGTGACGACGACGCATCATCATTCCCAAGAATTGAACGACTCGGTTTCAAGTTTGGAGCGTTTGTGAGTATTCAGGGGTTCAGACTACGTGGACTGTGGCGCGGAGGCCTGCCGCCCACAAAAATCTTCAGCTCTGGTCTTAGTGCAGAACCCCCCCAAATCCCACGGCAACATGGCGCCTGCTAGCCCTCTGGAGTCGCGGATATCAACGTCATCGTGAACAAGAATAGAAGCTCCTGAGCGGCACGATGCCGCTGTTTTCCGTCTGTCAGGCCTCTTTGTTAGACACTAACAAATCGCATGTCGGTGGGGAGTGGGTTCATGGCCCATCAAATAAAGCCCATGGCTAAACCCATCTTAGCCCTCTAGAAGCTACATAACATTGACACTGAGTTTTCTATAGTACCTCGGAAGTACAGACTGGGTCGCATGAACTTGGACGACCCCAAACATACAACCAGAACGCCTGATAGCTTGAACTTGGTATGGCATGTGACGGATATGTCTTCACTTATAATTAAAGAGAGCACAGAAAATATCATTAGTTGCCCTTAGTTGCTCGCCACATAGTTTATAGAATAACGTGTTAGAAGAATATCAAAATATATAGATGACGACAGCATAAACGATTATCTCGTAAGAGATGCTGTTCGCGGCGATTGTCGAACACGACGGAAAGCATGTGAAACAAGGGCTTTTGCTTACGTACCACAACAAACTAGTCAGAATAGTTCATGATAGAAACAATCTCTAAACAAGGTAACCAGGTCCCACAATTTTGACAATGCTCGAAGGGCGCAGTCTTCTCCAGATTTGAAGGCTCGTAAGATTCAACATCAAACACGTGACATCCAGCTGAGAGAGAGATGCAAGAGTTGCTTGGCAAGTCCATAAGCTCACAACCCTTACCGCGCGTCCTGCGCGGCATAGACTCATATGCGGAATGAGTTTTACGTCTATAACTCCACAAGGCAGTGCCATTAATGATTGATTGGCTGATGTGGGCAGAGCTCACGAACCGCGGATGCTCAAGCTCGTAAATTTGGGCATCTTGCAAATGACCGGTCTCTGGCTGTGGAAAATGATGAAGAAGCCTTGGAAAGGCCAGTGTATAAAGAGGTTGCTGTCCAACATGAACCATGAGAGAGCCCAGAACATGTGAATCCCCCAACTTTTTCTTTCATTGAGAATACACTACAGCTCTTCCATCTACAATATGTTTCATCCAGCGACCTCTTTCAACTTTGGACAGTTGGCATTACCATTCCTTTATGGCATTATGCGTTCCCCTCCCTTGATTTGGATTTTATCATGCCTTTGGCTCTTGCTTTGTGGCACCTTTCTCTTTGACGTTATTCATTACATCCTTCATAAATTCTCTAAATCGAGTTCTCGCTTCTTGCGCCAGATTGGAAAGTTGCACTCAGTGCATCATTTTTACTTCAACAACCGCCTCCAATTTAACAACCGGTACATCTGGCACAATATTTGCATAGAGCTACCGCTGGAACTGGGGTGTCAGCTTCTCGGAACGTGGCAAGGCTGGCTAGTTCTGAAGCATTTTTTCCTCACTGATCCGGGAGTCTTATCCGAAAAGGTGCTTTATGGCGTTCTCATCGCAGAGGTGGCGAGGACATTGGTGGTTGTTGCGTTGAGTGGGCGCGATTCGAATCACAAAACCTACAGCATTGTGCCTAAGAATCTCAACTGGTTGACTGTTGGTCCAGAATACCACGCCCTTCATCATGTAGACCCGGCATCCTATATGAGCTCATCATTCTATCTTTTCGACTGGCTCTTCGGTACTGGATACACGCTCAGGTCTCGACGGGTTACAATAACCGGTGCATCCGGAGCGTTTGGTCAAGCTATAAAGAAAGAGCTGCAAGCAGAATCAGTGGCGTGCATTCAGGAGCTCAAGTTTGGCGTTCATTGGACATATGACAACTACGATCAAGTGATACCTATCATCGCTAATACCGATGTTCTGATTCTTGCCCACGGATCAAAGGGACAGGATGCCTTAAAGGCCAACTGTGAATCAGTTGTTCGCCTTGTTTCTTTATTCAAACAGTATCGCCAGTGCAAACCAAGCCAGAAGATGCTTCTTCCTGAAGTTTGGTATATAGGGAGTGAGGCTGAGCTACATCCATCTTGGGGTATTCGCAGCCTCCAGGTATATTCACAGTCTAAACGCTCATTTCTTCCCTACGCGCGCAAATTATATGACGATGACTCAATTCTATATCGTCATATTGTCCCAGCGGCCTTTCATTCTACTATGGGCTCAGCGATTTTCTCAGCAACATGGGCTGCTCGGACCACAATGTGGTGGGTTCGAAGAGGTGCTAGATATGTACCTGTAACATATACAGGAATTGCGTATCTTAATTATTTTAAATTCATGTACTATATTAAAAAGCTTTAAAATAATATAATAAACCACCATTGGTGTGTTAATGCTATTACTTTTTTTCATAGATATGAATGGACTACATAGCTATCATCCACTATCAATTGAATTCCACGTGCGTCTAGAGTGGCTGTACACGCATCTACAACTCTAAATTCCCATTCGTATACTCAATCTTTTCCAGAATGTCCTTCAGCTCCGTCTTTGGCTGGATATGAGGAATGATTGTCTTGCGCACCATCGTCGCCTGCTCAAATGCATATGCAATCTCGATAAGTACCTCCTCATTGAACCGCGCGCCTGTAAACCCTAACCCAAGCGGCTGGTTTGGGCCCTTGACATTCAAAGTTCCAAACTCGTTCTTCTCCAGAGGGGTGTCGTCGGGCATCCGTCCCACAGGCACTGAAATGACCGGATTGCCTAAAGGAGCTGCAAGCTTGCTCGCATACCCCGTGGGCAGGACTATAGCATCGAGAGAGTGTTCCTTTACCGCACCAGCAATACCCTGAGGGCCGGCGAGTTCTGCCTGGGCGTGGTAATTTTCCCACCACACTGGCGAGGTATTATCATAGCCTCTGCTGATACCTCTATCCCAAGACGCGGTGTTTTTCTCGGGATATCCTTCACGGGCATCTTTTTGGATAAATTCGCGTAGTTGAATCATTGTAGTTATATTATTGGGGTTCGTCTTGAGCTGCGAAAAGTATCGAGGTATGTTGACCATCATGTCTGGACCTGTGACAAAAGGGCTATATTTGCTCCTAAGCAAGTCCGCTGCGCCTGGTAGGAAGATGTTGTCTACAATTTCAGCTCCCTGCACTCGCAAGACCTCCAGCGCAGAGTCGAATACTTCAAGTGTATAATTGGTAGAGTAATCTGGCCACAGTTGTAGCATGTGCCGAGGGACACCAATCCGCTTCCCATGCAGGCCCTTGCCCTTACAAGCGGCGACGTAGTCTGGCACTCTATTTCCAAACGGCGATGCAGACGTGTAATTGTCGTTTTTGTCGGATCCAGCAATGGCTGATAACAAATAGGCAGCATCCTTGACCGTTCGCGCCATTGGTCCAACGGTATCCTGGTGTTCCGAAATGGGAACGACGAGATACCGCGACGTCAGCCCCATGGTGGGTTTAATTCCGACCAAGTTATGCTTGCTCGCTGGATCCGCAATGGAACCAGAGGTATCAGTGCCCAGTGCTGCCCATGCCAAACCAACCGAGGCCGCGGTAGCGCTGCCAGACGACGAACCATCGGGATCCATGTCGGGATAATACGCGCCAATACATTGCCCGCCATACGCAGACCATCCTTGTGTAATCTCTCCACGAGCGCCGGACCACTGCGATAGATTGGCCTTGCCAAGAATAATGGCGCCAGCCTGGCGTAGCTTGTGTGCAATGGTGCTGTCCTCTGGGACTTCGGCGCCAACGAGGGCGTACGACCCAGCCGTATTGTTCATCTTGTCAGCCGTGGCAATGTTATCCTTGATCACGACTGGGATACCGTGAAGTGGGCCGATGATATTTCCAGAATATCTCAAGGTATCATAATGTGCAGCGATGGAAACGGCATCAGGGTTGATATCATTGACGGCGTGCAGCCGCGAGTTGACTTCTTCTATTCTGGCGGTGTAGGCCTGGATTAAGTCCACACTGGTGAAATGTCCGGCATTAAGGCCCGATTGCAGCTCATCAAGCGTCGCGTCGAGCAAAGGGGGGAACTCAATATGACCATTTCCTGGGGCACTGTGGCTGGGTGGAAGAGAGCAAGTCATTATCACCAAAGCCCGCAAAAGGCGTTTGGCACGCATGGTAATTATCGTCGCCCACGGCTGAGATCTGGTTCTGTTAGACGCGTAAGATCTTTCGATTATGAAGCTGTCGTCATTTATATAGAGACGGGGTTCATATTATGGGACTTGTTTTATGTTGTTTCTTGCTGCTGATTGTATCCGACGGTAGTTGTACCCGTATGGAAGGGGGATCTTACGTACGGTCCTACATAATTTCTCCGGGAAACTTGAGACCCCAGCTAGCGTAGTTCTCATACACATCACAATCTAATAGTCTACATCTTCTCCCGATTTGCCCTCCGTTATCTACCAAACCTGTATCTAGCCCCGCCTTCATTCAGTTTAGTCTGGTCAGACGGACCAAATAGGCAGTCTCACACAGCCTTGACGGACAGATTAGAGCAAAGAAGTCGTAATTACAGCAGAAATTGCCCAATGCTATTGATGCGAAAGAAGATAAAAGCAAAGCAAAGAAATGCGACCCGTAGGAATCAATCCGATGCGTGCATGCCTATGCGATCAAGTTGCGATAAACTTGAGAAACTAACCGAAATATAACGTTTTACTCGACCAGACTCAAGAAAACACAAGTAGTAGTAGTACTACGAGCCAATTTTGGTTATTGGAAAGCTAGCGGGAAGAAATACTGCTTAATCGCACAACTACTCTGTTATAAGCAACAAGTGACCAAAAGAATCAGTGCCCAGCCGTTCGCTAAGTAGAAGCTTGAGCCTGAAGTTCCTCTACGGGATGAGATTTCTCGCCCGAGGAGGCTCGACGACGGGTGTGAAATATTTGGGCTCCACACCAGTAGCCATGCTTGGGTTGGATGATGCCAGAGTCGAGAGGTTATTAATCCTGATTTTGCATAAATGGATTACGAGTGACTCCAGTGCTACACTTTTGTGTTGGAATGCGAAACGATGTTTAAACTGCTGGGCGGAAATCCTCACATTCACAATCAATTGAAGTGTTAGTCTTCAATTCGATGAGGGCAAATATGCTCGATTATTGGCTATCTGGCTTTCTCAAATCCCTTTTCCACCGCTCCACAGTCAACCATTTCGGTATCACAGTCCATATGCAAAGAATGTCTTACTATCGCAGCGTAATCGCTTATTGGCCGAGACACTTAGCTGCAAGTTGGTTGATGGTAGTGGCTAAGACCTGGGCATCACTCTTGGGAATAGTATAGTTGCAGTTAGACTTGTTACCGCCGGGAACAATTTGGATGCGATAGTTTCCATCTGAGTCGGTGTTGTAGCTATATTGGTAGGAGCTGCTCGTGCTGCTGCTGCTGCTGTTGTTGTTGTTGTTGTCGTTGCGGTGGTCGGTTGTGATATTAATCACGTCAGGTTCACCCTTGCGACAAGTGCGAGTGCTGCCAACAAAGCTGCCAAGGATACAGGCGGCGGTGTCAAAAATGTCGCCAATGATGTTACCATTGCCGTTGCGAGGAGGATCGAAGAGGCCGTTGGCAGCCATTTGAGCTTGCTCCATCATTTGAGCTTGTCCCATCATATCGGCTTGCTCCATCATGTGTGCTTGGTTGGCTTGCTGAGTTTGTTCCTTGATTGGCATTAGCATGTTTGAACCATACTTTGAGAGATTCTTGCTGGGTAATGGAAGTATAATCTTCTTTTAGTAACTTACCATTGGGATGGCAAGGCCAGTGGCGGCAAGAAGAGAAAGAATGATGGCACCGGCGGTCTTCATTTTGGCAAATTTTGTAATGTTTGCGATAGAAAATGATAGGAGATAACTTTGTAGGTACTGAGGTTGGATTGATTGATGATGTCTGGAGAAGTTTGTGAGAAGCCGGACGGAGTCGATGATTTATATACTTTGTTCCTATCAATGCGTGACTATACTCTCCGTTGGTTAAGACCTAGTTTACAAAGGGAGGATTGGCCATTGATTACATCCTAAACTATTTCCGTTCGGAGATGAGGCATATCGAACAAATCTTAGACAGCCGAGTCTAGTCTTGTCCACAATTGATTATCCGCAGTGCGATGCATTGCTACCAAATTTATGTGTATAGAGGCTAGCGAAATTCTTTCTTTCCTAATTATGGCCTAGAATGTCTTCATCCACAGGCGCTGGAGACGATCCTATTGGTCTCCCTTTGCCGAACTGGGCCATCACATTCCTTACCTAGTCCCGACAAGTTGGTGTCAAGATGAGGAATGCACCAGCTTACATGGGGTAATCACTCACTTATTCAATGGCTTGTCTGAGACAGTGTCACCCTAGCTTGACAGATGAATCTAAAGCAAGGATATGCAGTTGGCAGCGTCTGCCATAAACGCTTTGCCCATGCACACATATCCCCCACAGCTTGAAACTAGTTGATAATAGACTAATACCTTTTCTTATAGCATTATCATCTCCTCGCTATAATACATCTACCATTTAATGTCACATCCTTGATGAGAATAGCAGAAAGCTACGATGTGCCCCTTGACCAAGACGAATAACCATCCTAAGCTAAAGTTTATATTTGCCCTTCAGAATTTTTCATACCATGGTCTGGCTCATGCCCATTCCTCATATTCAGCTGATGCTGGCAGGCTAATTACTGCGATATATGTTATTTCAGAGACATATACCCAAGGCACGCATACTACACCTTGGTTAGCGTGGCCTTGGCAGCGCATAACAAAGAAGAAAGGAATTCTGTTATACACAGTATGGCTCTTATTTCCATTCAGCTCTGCGCCCCCCCTGCCTGAGTACAGCCCTACCCAGTATGGCTGATACAAACTATCCTTGATGCAGTAATGGGGATGCGAAACTTGGTTTCTAGTAGAAAGTGAGAGTTGTAGAATTATGGTGTTCGTTCGCTCTGTGATCTGAGCTAGATAGTAATATTAAATAAAGTGACATAAAAATCATACGTTGCATGTTTGGCATCGTCTATCACATAGAACGACGTCGGTACACGAACCAGAAGTATTTTCGGGAAAATATTATACAACTATACGAGATTCGCCACCGTTTTCCCCATCAGTAATACTTGCTCCATTGTATATTCTTCGTCCTATAGGAATAGATAAGCTACCCTATCACTAGCAATATTAGACGTGACTGGCTATACCCCCACATGCCACTTACGATCAAAGAAGAGCAGCAGCAAATCTAGTTGCATGGACTATCTGAGATTGCAGTTGCATAATTCCAATTCTTTGTGTTCAAGTACTCTTTATTCGCGTCTTACCGTTATGAGCTGAAGAATTGCCGCCTCCTAACTCTCAAGGGTGGGGAGGTGTTCAATGCAGTGCTGGCCCTCTTGCCAACTATCAGATGAGTAACCAAATCACGGAAAATAGAGTACTAATACTCTAATGTACAAATATGAGCAGTTGGAGCTCCATGGTTGAATGGAATCGATTCTGTACAAGCACTTTGGCCTGATCGTGATTTAATCTAGACTGCATGCCGGCCAACTACACACTACAGCTAAAAGCCATTCCCACCAAAGCATGTAAGGCGGTCATTGCTGTTTCCAAAAATATACTCTGTAGCTGATTAACAAAGATAGATAAAAGGCTGGAAATGCAGTGGAAAACTTACGGGTCTCGATAGAGGTACCAACATACGCCCCTCCATTATTACGGCAATTGGCGTTTAAAATAGTCCCAGAGAGGGACAAGTCTTGCAGCTTCCCCCGAACCCACCACTGACCAGTACACTTATTAGCAGGATATATAGAAAGTTAATTAGATGTCGCACTTGACTTGAGCTACAAGCTGCCCATTAGCGTTGATCAAGCAATAAATGAGACAATCTAAACCCTAGGCCCATTAACCTGTAGTCTCTGGGCCATCTGGGAACCTTTTTTGCCCCGATATCTCTTTGATGGTGGCAGCAGCGGTTCCTGTGGCTCGTTGGCTTCTAGAACTTCTGGAACTTCTGTAGGCCATTTTGCCATTGGTCGTAAGGAGTGAAATTGAGCCGGAAAAATAAAATGGAAGCGAGAAGAGGGGAAAGAGGATTGAGAGGCAGGGAGCGAGACATGAGGAGCTCATCAAGACGAGTTGACCTTGCAGCAGTCGAGCAGTAGATTGTGCGTAGATACCTGAAGCGCTTATTGCCGTGGCAGAGGGATACTAGACAATTATCAGAAATCGACTTGTGAAGAAGGAAAGCGACACTAGAAGGGCAACTCTGGGCTATCGACGGTGCCGGGCATTATTATCACCAGACTCTTTGCACCAGACTCTTTGCGCCAGCTACTAGACTTGAATATAACGAGAGCTACTCCGTATAAACTATAAGGATCACTTGGCAGTGCTATTGAGCTCAAGGACAAACATGTCTAAGAGATTAAGCGGCCCAATCAGAGTGCAGCATCAACAAGGATCAACAAGGTATTATATGCGATACATCTATAAATGTTCACTCGTTAATAATATGGTTGGGGAAATAAATTGTGCTAGCCGGTTTTATGAAAGGCTACACCTGGATTAAGATAATTTTAAAGCTCTGTTTCGAAAGATACGAGTTATACAAATTGTCACACTCTTTGCCTTCTAAGGACGTCATTTGAGAATACCTCCTACAAGACGTCACACCACTCATTGGACAGTTCTATGATTCTAGCACATTATTTAAATCCTCTGGTACGTTTGGCAAATCCTTTTATTCAGTGGTTCTTATGTTTTGTCGTTCAGCAACATTCTGGCATCGGTAGTACTTGATCCATATTGAAGTACTGGCATGTGAGGTTCCTGGAATGCCCTTGACGCTCTCGCATGGGAAAAAAGGGAGAGGAAGCACAAGAGGGTGATGTTTGGCTGAAGATGATGAGATGAGAATAGGTTAAAAAAAAGAAAAGGGGGGGTGAAGCGGAGAGTGCTAGAATATGTCGAAAGGAGGGACTGACAGGAGGATAATATCGAGGGATCGAGAGCAGAGCGGTTGATAGTCACCCGCCAGGTACATAGCTAGTACTTTGTGGTTGCATGCAACTAAAGTGAATTACCTTGTATTTCTTTTGCAAAATGTAGCTCCAAGACTGGTGAAATCGCCGCCAGACATGCATTCACACATGCATCCGCAGGAGATGGGCGTTCTTCAATGTTCAAGTTACCTTAAGAGCCGGACATGTATATGTAGTACTATGTGGTACCCTGAAGCGAAACCGAAATTACATAGTTAGGTAAGGTACATGTAGGTATATAATCCCCCACCTTTCTCATCAGCCTCTAACAGCTGGCACGCACGTGCATCGAGCTCTGAAGACGTTATCCCTCTTTTCCTTTCTTCTCTCTTCTTCTCTTTTCTTCTATTTTATTATGCTGCATTCTACACCACTTTTCCTCCTTCTCTCTCTTCTTCTCTTCATCGCAATTCCTTCTGTAGATTCTCGCCGTCGTCCCTCTTCGACCCCGTGCGCTTTGTTCTCTACATACTCGTCCATAGCGTCTGAACAACCTCTTCACGTTATCCCAAGCTTATTCAAAGATCTCCAAGGTTATCCTTCATCATTCACCGTTCCTATCCCCATGCTGACAGATTATCGACCTAGATGAGCGGCAACAACGACTGAAGCCCTCCCTCTTCTGGAGGAGCTGTTTCTGATCGTCTGTGACTATGGCCTGGGATATCTAGCAATGGATACATTCCACTCTCCCTCGGGCTATGGCACCCTTGGTAAGTGTATATCAAGTCCTCTGCTTTGTACCACTTGTCTGTATACTGACCGGGTGCCTAGAGGATTGGCCAATGGGCACTCACTACTCCCGAAACAGCTCGTACTACGGCATCTGAGAAACCGCAGCCCAACGTCCTCAGCTGTGACGATTTAATGGACGAAATGCGTTCTATCCTCGAAGATACAAATGCCTCGACGGTCTACGTTCGCGATTTCTCTAAGTTACGCGACGAGATGATTCTATCTCAGCATCGAATGAAGGCATTTATGACTGCTGTAGTCAACATGTTCGAGGCTATGAGTGACAAGATCGATCCAGTCAAGGCCATAGGGATAGCTTCAACAGGGGCCGTACATCTACTATTGCTACTATCTACTACCATAGCTACTATCTACTACTCCGTATATTCCTCTAATATCTGCTATTATTAATGCCCAGGCCGCTTTAAATTTAAGAATGAAATGCTGAACAGCGAACATGGGGGGCTGAATATGTAGTCACTCCCTACAAATGGATTATCCAGTTTACCTAGATGTCGGGTTCTTTTCCTTCCCAACTGCTTCCCGGACTGTGGAGGTCCAACACGCGGAGAGCTACATCTACAGCAAGCCTTAACACCTAAAGTATATCCCATAGATGCTCTTTGGTGTTATATGTCCAAATTCCCACCGAAGCTATTGGGTGTAATTCTGCCCTTAGGCTCGCGATGTGGGGATATTTTAGAATATGCCTCAGCGACAAACTGAGTCGATGATCCAAAATCTGGAGACGAGCCAAGTCGGGAGAACTTCAGCTGGTAGACACTCCTTATTGCCACTGCCAGCTAGTCGGACAGTCGCCAAAGCAATACTTATTCAACGGCTCCTTTTCCTTCTATCTTGTTCTTCCTTATTAATGACCCCATAGCCACACGCTGCCAGCAAATCATCGCCAAGCCACCGTCGATAACATCTCTCAAGACGGCAATCCAGCTTGCGACGCAACACCACCGCTCTCGTGTCAAGGTATGGCGCCGCTGACTGCGCAATATACGACCAGTATCTCAGTCACCGTGCAAACTGTCCCCCAGAGCCAAGCAGCTTTGGGGGCTGCTGTCCGGCGAGTCCCAAGACACGACAAACGCGCAACAGCACAATGGCAGACTCTCACCCTGGCGGCTCCTCAGACCGTCGTTGGACAGATGACGCCTGCTCCCAAGTCAGACGAAACCCCAAGCAAGTTGCACGATTGATTGATATCACGCCACAAACTTCGCTATGCCCAAAAGTGCGAGAATAATTAGTGACCTCTGCTTTGATGCTGTACAGCCGATACGCCAGGCTTAGCAGTGGGTAATAGGTATGTAATAAACCGCCCATTCGCGCAAAAGAAATCTTTCCCCCATGACAAACCAATCCAGAAGAGGATGATCTAGGACATTACTTACACTTTCCATCAGCAACCTTAGTCCTCATCAGTGTCACTCGTGTCCCTCTAGTCCTCTTCGGCGAGGCCATCTCAACAACCTCACTGCTCGCGTTATCGGGGCTGCTGCCGTTATTGGTTCCCGCTGCAGTGCTGGGAGTTGACTGTCTGAACCAGACCTTGGCCGCTGCGAACGGGTTATTCGTGCTCGTTGTCGGAAGGAGTTAATATAGTCTGATCAAGACTTGTTAGATCTGGATTTACATACGTAAATATACGCCAACACTTACCGGCTCCGATCATGGCAGGCTAATTAGTCAAAAGTCGTTGACGTAGTATGGTCAGAGCCTCATCTATCGCTTCCTGTATGCGATATAGTGCCCGGGTTTGAGTAGGTGGTATTTGAGGAAGATAGATTTCTGCTTTCATCCAACACCACGTGTTGGCGTTGGGAGATTCTTGTAGCTTCTCAAGGTTTTTGTCTGACCTGGAAAACGGGGGTTGCAACGAGTCTTCCAATGGTTGTTCTCCTTTGACTCGTCATTCATCGCGGAAGCATCCGTGAGGCCATCGTCAACCAACTGGACCAACCTTATCTGACCGCCTGCCATAAAAAACGCGCATTGTCATTGCAAGCGGAACATCTCTTCAAGTGATACTTCCACTTAACTTCCACAAATTGTATTAGTCCTCTAGGCGGACGCAGGAATTCGCAGGCGGCCGCGATCCAAAAGGTGACCTTGATCGAAGGAGATGATCCTCATCCAACTAGTTGACGCAAATTGAAGAGATTGTCATCTGCAGTCTATCAAAAAGATAGACTAGGCTCATTCCATCATAATCAACTATTGACATAGTTAATGCCAATCGCATGTTTCGAGATACGCTATTGGCTAACAACACTGTCTCTCAAGAGAAGTTCATGGGTAATCACAGATCATAGCCACCATATTATGCAGTGCTATCAAATAGCAAGCTCTCAGCTGGGAAGTAGAAATAATGCATAGATGATACCAATCATCACATCGCTAGTCTTTTCATCCAAGCCTTCCATCCCCTCCTTTTACCAATCCCTTTATTTATCCTCCAAGCCATGTCTCACAACAGCACCCATTTACAAGATCCCAGGAATGAGAATACCACCGAGAAGGCCACCCCTGCGAAGTCCTGTAAGCAAACCAGTTAGCCCTCCTAGACCTCCAGTAAGGCCCCCAAGGCCACCGGTCAATCCTCCCAGGCCACCAGTCAATCCTCCCAGGCCACCAGTCAAACCACCCAGTCCACTCGTAAGTCCACTCAATCCACTGGTAGCTCCTCCAGTTCCCGCCAGCAGACTTCCCAATGCCGGAATGCCCTTCAGAATATCCGCCAGCGTAGCTGTGGCTGTTCCTGTTACAGCTCCAGTGGTCGAATTTGCGAGATTTGGTGCTGTTGCCCCGGTAGCAGCGCCCGCAGCAGTCGTGTTCAAGGCGTCAGTCGGACTCCCAAGGTTTCCGAGCGCAGAAGTCGTAGTAGCCGTAGTGTTGGTGGTGTTCGGGGCAGCTGCCGTAGTATCAACCTGTCTCTTGTCATTGAAATGGATGTTTTCGTGTAGAGCCTCCATAAAAGTATCCATAATCTCGACCTCCTTCTCGTTCATGCCAAGCTCATGCTTGTGCTCGGAGAGAACCTTGAGCACGGCCAGCTGGCGCTCGCTGAACATGTCAGCCAGGCGCATGTTTGAAATGGCAGCGACGTCTGCGGACATGTCGGTAGTCATGTCAGAAGCCATGTCGGCGTTGAATTCAGCGGACATGTCTGTGGGTGCAGCGAATGCGCTGCCCGCAAGGAGGGAGACGACGGTGGTGGTGAACCTCATTTTGAGACTTCTTCTATGATGAACTATGAGTATTTTCGTGTCGCTGGAGCGTATGTATCTGAGTCTGCTAGCGATCTGTCTGCTGCTGGAATATCCCCATCTTTATAGAGATTGTGAGCGCATCCTATACATTCATTGATGCTATTCAAGGGATCGCAGTGTTGACGACATTTGATTCATTTCATAATGTTGCCCAGGTAATATCATACATGTAGCGTGTTTGAAGAAACCTACAGGAATGCAATGGCTCTGCCAATGAACTTCAAAACGGTTTCCATACCACAACTCGCGGGGAATTATATCACTTGTTAGTAGTTGGTATTCATCAGCATCAACCCACATCCCAGAAGTAAGCCTCAATATTTTCACGCATAGGCAATGAAGCCAACGTGAGAGCAAGCGAATGGCGGTGCCATTTGAGACCTCATACCATCTTGTGAAGCAAGTCAACAACCTCCCTTGGCAGGGGCAGTATGAGACTCTGATTCATTTCCTCATCCAACGCCGATCAGAATATCAAAATTCAAGCGGCAGACGTCATATTCTGCGAGGAGAGTTGCGATCTTCGCACGAGTATGCAAGATGGCAGAAGAAGCCGGTTTGGGCAAAGAGCATGCGGAGGAGTTCAACACTTCAATACTATATTACTCATACATCAACGCATTCTGCTACAGCCTATTTCCCAAGATGACAACAACCTTGTATCATTTGCACTTTAGACATCAACTAGAAATTACGTCGCTGGCGTTCAACATCTTCCAGTCCTCAGTCCTTATTGACCTTTTTCACACCAATCAATACACCATAAACCGAGTCGCTTTTCTGTTTTAATCGAACTAGCACAAAAACCGTTGCTGTCTCACTTTACTCTCGAATTATGGCGCCACATCCTTCCCCAGAAGTCTTACAATTGGCGGCCTAGATGCAGTATGAGGCCTATCGACCCTCAGGTTCTCGTCACATGCTACGAGTAAATACTGGTTTATGCCGTCAACTTTAACAGCCCCTGTTTACGTGCTCCCTAGGACGATGACGGATCTCGTCCAATCATTTATTCATTCCAGTAAGCGTCCCATATACAAGTACTCGTATGCATCCAAAATGATCAAGCAACTGAAACCCGTCAACGAAAACATGTCCATATTGTATATGTTCATGTGCTGTATATGTACATGTGTATTGGTATATAGATTCCATCATGTCAGATGTCGAGCCATTCCAAACATATATCAATCAACCAAATCTAATCCCTGAATTAGCACTCCATGTCCCTCCACTGCCCTGTGACCCTCCCGCTGGCGGTCCTCCAAACTTGATGCCCATGGAGGGGTTCCACGTTCCAGACATTGTGTTTGGGGTCTGTCCGGGTTGCGGCGGCATCTGTGGTTGCATTGGTGTCTGTTGCGTCTGTCCAGCCCATGATTGTATCGAAGCCTCCGCGGGACTCTGGACGGCTGGTCTGGAAAATAAGGGCTGTTGTTGTGATTGTTGATACTGCTGCGACTGCGGCTGTAACTGTGGCGGTTGCTGTTGATACGATTGCTGATACGACTGCTGGTATGACGGCTGGTATTGATCTTGTTGAGCTGGTTGGTGGGCCACAGGCTGGACTGCGAATCCAGATGGGTTCTGAACTTGCTGCTGGTGATTGATATTGAGATTCGAAAGGGGTGGCATATTGAGCTCCCTGTATTGGCATGTTAGCTGTGGACAATAATTGTTCTCATCAGTAAGGGAGACTTACTCCTCCAACCTCTTCGCCTCTGTCCGCCGCTCTGCCGCCCAGGCTTTGACAGCATCTCGAAAACCATTCGCAACTATCCTGTTGAGGTCATTGTAGAATTTTCTCCCCACCTCCAAGTTGGTTCCGATTTCCTTGTACTTAAAGTACGCGCCGTTGAGTTTCTGCAGCACCTGTTCGCGATCGCGATGACCCCTGCCATCAATGAGACGTTTCTGAGACTCAAACTCCCTGTTTGAGCGCTCTATGAGTATCAAGAGGTTATCTTGCTCTTGTGCTTCTTTTTCGACGGCTTCAAGTTCAGGCTCGTATAGCTTGTCTAATCGCTTCTCGAAAAACTCTTCAAAGTGAACCGTCTGCAATGGTGTCGTGGTATATGTTCGCTCTAAGCGAGCTGCTTCCTTGAGAATGTCGGGCTTAATGTCATCGCGCCGTGCTGCCTCCCTCAGGCTCTCGACCTTTTTCCTTCTCCTACTCTCCAACCGCAGGATGTCATTGTATACGCTTCGCAATCGCCCAACGGATGCTTTCAAATCACTCGACGTTTCGACAGGGGCGCTCGCAGGCACGTAGTTCATCAGAAACTGGTTCGAACCCGATAAAACTTCCAACAGCTCCTTATTCGCCATGAACTTTTCCCGTACAGCGTCATCGCTGATGGCGCTGTTCTGGAAATACCCTCCGATTTCGCCTATTGCTGCCCAAAACTTGGAACCGTTGGGCTCGGCCTGGCTCTCGGGTCGCAGCCATCTACTGGTGCCGTACTTTCGGCGCAGCTGCTCATCCTCCTCTTTTTCAGCGGCCAGCGCTGCTTTACCCTCTTCGAATATCGCCCAGTCGTTGGACCGCAGTTTATCAATATCGGCGAAACTCCTTTGGATCTTGTTGATTGCGTCCGATTGTCGAATTTCCTCTGCGTGCTGAATCAAGCTCGGTGGAAGACCAAGCGGCTTTTCCAGCGCTTGCAATGATCCCGGTAAGCCAATGGAGCTGAGAAGCGTGTGGATCTTTTCTGTCAAAGTCTCTAGCTCTTGGATGATGTTTTGGTTCACCATCCGGTCTCTGCGCTCCTCGTAGATGGATATCGCTACGTGAACTGAGAACGGAACCAGCTTCGAAAAAAGTGCCGGTCCAAGCTCAGCATGATCACCCAGGTAGTCGAGGGGATTGGCCACTTGAGGAGGCGTTCTGGCGGTTGCCATGTTGGCTCTCTCAAGTATTTTCAATTCGGCCTTTGGGGGGACAGGATCTTTTTGTGACTGTTAGTGCATGACCAGCTGCAAGTAAATACCAGCGAAAACATACTAAGGAAAATCAGGTCGTTGTCCTTTTCAGCCCTCTTCAAATCCTCTTCCAGCTTTCGTTTCAATGCCTGCAAATCTTCCATGACTGTCTTGTTTAGAGAGGCAACCCGACCTTCTTTGATGCCATCATTTGCACAGAGGACGGCATCTTTCAGACGTGCAATCTCTTCACCGTACTTTCTCTTCTCTAGGCAATCGCACGCGGCACGATATTGAGCGGCGGCTGCAAAGTGGTGATGCTTTGCGTTCATGTGATGTATCCACGGGCTGCTGACAGCTTCACTGTTAACAGCGGCCTCGGCAGCCAGATTGTACAGATCAGAAACCCTCGCAGCCAGCTTTGCAATAGAAGCGTCCTTGTAGCCGTCCATAACAGCCTTCTGCCAGAAGCACTCTTGGCTCTGTGCCAAAAACAGCTGCACCAGAGATTCGAGGCTATTGTGGTCCATGTCGTCGGGCGGGTCAGACATGCGCAGCTCGGGAAGCACGGACTTCTGAATGTGAGAGAGAACGCCGGCGGCTAGGGAGAAGTAATTGGCAGCTGACTTCAGGCCTTCGGTGTCTCCTCGAGGAGTATTGAGGGCCAGTTGGGAATACAAGGCGGCGAGATTGTAGAGGACATTCATGAGCTCGTATTTGAGGTTGTTGTGCGCCATCGGTCGCTCGGTATGGTAGCCCAGCGCGGGATACCAGGTGAATTCGGCGCCAATCTGGAGAATCCAAGTAATCATCAGCATCTGGCACCTTTGTCTCATCTCCTCCTCCTCGGGCTTTGCTGGACTGCTGCCATATCCGTCCGGATAGTAAAACCCCCAAGCCCCCCAAATTGGTGACGCACATCGATTGGAAATTTGCCACCAATCCACACAAGCTGGCCCGCGTACACCTGCAGCTTCTTGATGCCGCTCAGGTGCGGCTCCCGCACATTGATGGCGTCTCGGCGCAGCGCATCCACAGCCTCGAGATCGTACTGGAACATGTCCGGGTGCTGGTCATACTTGGTGTTGATGTACTGCCGAATCGTCGTCGAAAGCGAAAGGTGAAGCGACCGGCGGAACGGAATGCAGAGGATGTTGGTGGTTGGCCTGCAGCAGACAAGTGGTTAGAAAGCCCGAGACACAGAAGAGAGCAACGAGAGAGAGATTGCATTACGTAGACATTTTGGGCGCCGGGCCGCTGTCGGGCCTCGAGTGAACGCGAATAGCAGGCGGAAAGGAGTTGTAAGAGCGGAAGAAGCTATCATGAAATGGCCTGGAAGCTACTATTTGCATCCTTTTGCTTGGCTGGTTGGCGGGGCATTGCCGGGTTATCCATAGAGGGGCATGGATGACTCAGCAGTGAGGGAGCTCTGGTGTTGCATCTCATGTCGCTTCGTACATACCCTGGAGCAGTGATGTAAAAATATAACATGTTTGACTGGGGCGGAAATGCCGTGATTTAATGCTTGAAAGGGATATTTCATTGAGGGAGGTAGAGAATAAAGGTAGTCTTTTAGGTTAGTACGCAGTAGTATCTGTAGGCATTGCTTCATTTTATGTTCCCTTTGTAACCCATCAAACATATTACATGCATGTTCTGCTATGGCTAATTCAAGGGAGCGCCAGCGTTCTGGTGATTCTTGTATAATATTATGGATATACATACAACAGAAACTCCAGATTCTGGTATTGACATCTAAATTTTAAATTCATATCGTCTATAGCTCCCTTTCATTAAAAGTCGATCTACTCAGGCCTCCACCACCTCGCCGTCTCGTCCCGGCTCATATCATTTGCAGATCCTGCAAACCACCTTGCAACGCATAATTCGAATCGATGCGGCGCTGCACTAGGCCGTCATCGCGAAAGGACAAAATCTACATGATATGATACATCCCAAGCCAATGTTCCAGGATGAAAGAAGGCAAAATTTGCGAAAAAAAAAAGAAGAAGAAAAAAAAAAAAGAAAAAAAAAAAAAGAAAAAAAAAAAAAAAAGAAAAGTCATTGAAGAAAGGGAAACAAGAGTTCCCCCGCAGTGACCTTCAACAATGAAACCCCCGAGCTGTTCATGTCCTGCATCCGACTCTTTTGTATGGGACGCACGTAGATATTGATATCCAGCCTACCCAGTTCCGAAACGCCAGCCCTTGAGAAAAGAAGACAGAGTAAAAGAAGAAAAATCTATGGTTTGCTGACTTTTGGCATCAAAAGCAGCTGTTGATGGCACAATGTGTTCTGTGTGTTAGGCCCTTGTCCAGGGAGGAAGAGGACAACATCCTAGGCACTGGGTAAGTCACACAGCCAACTACCCAGGTGAAACGTGTCCGTCCTTTCATGGTGACACCCCGGAAAAACGTTGTCTCAAGCTGTTCAACGTGACTTGCCGCTCTTTCAGACTCGAGCAAAGACTGAGAGGGCGGGAAAAGGTTGCACTGCGTCTTTTTGTGGCTTTATGAAGGGATCCAAACAAGCTCAATCACGCCGTCGATGTTGCTCATTGGCTTTTTGTCGGCGTGGACCCATCTCTCGTCATTTTTGCTTCGCGTATATGTTTGCAAAACGGAGCCATCCGATTGGAGTTCGGACTCTTGGAGCTCCCAGGATATCTTGCGCCCCGTCTTGAGGAGCGACTGTCGCCGTGGGCCAAACATAAAGTCGAGGTTCCAGCCCTTGTTCTCCGGTGCAGCATACAAAGTGGCTTCCAACTGGTTGGTATCAAAAGTGATGCCCTGCGGGTAGTGGGCAATGGAATAGCCTGAGATAATAAAGTCGTCCGTTGTTTGGAATCGCATGAGAGAGCAGTCTTCGCCGCACGCATGAGCAATCTTGGTGTACTGGCCAGGCTTGGCGACGTGCCAGCCTCCACCACGGTAGTGATGCAACGAGAGCGGCTTGATTCCCCATTCATAGAAGCCGCTGGGGTGACCGAAAAAGTCGAGCTGCCAGAGATCCCAGAGTGTGGTCAATCGCACCTCTGTGTTTTCGTAGATGCACTTGCGCAGGATGATGTCGCCCTGAGGGCCCCAGCCGGAGTTGGACTCGAGAATCTTTGCCTTTGTGGTGCAGTTGCCAAAATGTCCGGTGATTTTCTCGGCCATGGACCGAGATAAGAAAACGCCAGCTCCTCCAAAGGCTTGCGAGCCGTGCCGCTCGATGGCACCGACGTCTTCGGACAGAGTGCCAATGTACATGTCCCTCGTGTGGTCGAAGGTGGCCATCTTGTCAACGAGGCCATGCATGTTGGGGAAGAAAGTGTCGTCGTCACAAGTGACCAGCCACTTCTTGCTCTTTGATTCGGGATGGGTGTAGAGAGTCGGCACCAGGGTTAGGTAGCGGACGGCCATCTCGACCGACGAGTCGGAGTGGTAGACGTCGACGTCGATCCCCACGTCGCCCAGCATGTTGGCCACCTCCTGGAGCTGTTCGTCGGTGGCATCGAGAAGCATGAGTAGCAACTTGCCGCCGTTTGAGTTGCCGTGGCTGTCGGTGAGCCAGAAGATCCACTCGTTGATAGGCGTCGTGTTTGCATCCATGAAGCGTTTGTACGTGGTCGAGACTCCGAACATGTAGTCAGACGCGTCGACGCTGCGAGGGTAGCCGGACGCAGGTACATCGACCTCGAGGGGAGCAGCACACACATCGCCTCCGCCGACGTCTTTGCCCAGGTCAACCGTTCTGAAGCTATCAGGGAGCAGTTTCTGAGAGAGCTTCGTCATTCGCTTGCGTTCGAGACCGTCTTTGCGAGTGAAACGGACATAGCGCTTCATGTACTGAAACCTGTCCTCGAGATGGTAGCGCTCTTTGATCTGGGTTAGGTGGGCATGGTCGGCGTTGCAGTCCATTTTAACGTTGGGAGTCGAGTTAGGTTTGCTGTCGAGATGCTGCTGGGACTTGTGATGTGATTTGTATCCTGGTCTGATGCCGGCTTGCTCGAGAATCTTGGAGCGTACGTGAAGGCTGTCGTCGTGCATGGTGGCCATGACGATGATGAAGACGCAGAGAGCGCCAACTATCGACCGCACAATTGGGCTCTTCATGCTGATAAATCGATGGGGGCCTGGCAGCATCTTGATACCCATCCTAGAGAAATTTTGGTAGTCGATGGTTGTCTGCACACCCCGTCTCCTGTCGACGGGCTCTGAAGCATGTGCTGCCAACGAGGCTCTGCACTGGATTTCGCAAATCTCGCAACGCCAATTTCAGTTGTGGAGTTTGCCTTGCCTCGTAAAAAGCCTAAATCGACCAGCGCAAGAATTTGGGTTGAAGCGAGCGTGAGGATCGGTGGCGGATAGGCAATGGGTCAAGAGTACGAAAGAGTCTCTGTTGCGGGGAGAAGAGACTGTGGATTAGGTGACACAACCAGGCTTGTTCGAGGAAGCTTGATTCGAGAGTTGAGAAACACGGGGGAAAGCAAGCAAACACGCAAACAGCTCTCTGTGAAATCGAGTCCTACATGTATCGATGGCTCGCCAGAGTGAAGGAAATGCGCGAGATGAACGACGAAGAGAGATTGACAAATAGAGAGGGTGATTTTGAGGAAGAGAAGGAGAGGAGAAGATAAGAAAAGAAAACTTTGAGAGATGGAAGAGGCAAAGGACAAAAGACAAGTGAACAGGGCCAGGAACGGACAGACAAGAGGATGAGGAATATGAACAGCACAGCACAATCCCTCGGAGGAACTCAAGCCATCGGACAGCAGACGAGAGGCCAAACCAGCAACCGAGTCAAAGGAATTTCAGGTATGATGAAAAGAGGGTCCACAGAGGGCCGGACTGTGGCAGGGATTTGGCTGAACATTGGGCATAGAGTAATAGAGCACGAGTAGATGAGGAAAAGATGGAAGATTTTGGTGGGGGCAGTGTTTTGGACCAGCATGGGGGGCGGTGACACGCCAGGGCCCGACAACGGGTACAAGGCTGGTGAGAGGCGGCGGGTAGCGAGACATGGCAGGCACGGAAATGATTAACAGGAGCTGGTGCGGATGTGCGGCGGACGGTGTTATGCGAGCAGGTTCATGTACGTTGAGGGTTTGCAGCGGAGGAGTACTCCGTAGGGAGGGTGGGTGTTGGGCACTGTATTTTTTTTTTTTGTCGGCGCTGAGCAGCTGCTGTCACCGTCCAAGCGGGCGACCTAGCGGTACCTATTCTACAGGTGTTTGACTCTGTGGTTCTAAGGTGCCTAACTGCCATGTACCGGTACTATTTACAGCTGGAGACGTAAGGAAATGGAACGTTGGTTTCGTCTCTGCTCTGTACTCTGCAGACCCAAGTCCAAATAAGGTACATGCATATATTCAATAGCCCATCTGTCTCGTCGACATCCGCGCAGACAAGCTTTTCAATTCCACGATGCTTGCCTTGTTTCGCCCTAGTCGCTGCTGCGATCCCCCGTCTTCTGGAATCGCTAGGCCCAGCTTGGCCCTGGCTCTGGTTGGCTGGCAGGGCCTAATGAGGCAGCTCAGGCCTCACGATGGATGCGGCCCGCAATTTCAGTTGGCCTGCTAACGAGAATCCGGGAGGACGAGGCATGTGATGCTTGGACGGGCGTGTTTGCGCTACTTATCGCTGGCCAAAAGCCAAGTCTAGATTCCGCATGGCTTTAATTAGATGCGGTGCCTTTGCATGAATGGGCAGGGGGACCGAAGAAAGGGCCCTTTTCCCTTGTGTCGATACACAGTAGTACTATGTAAGAGTATGTGACACTCAGGGGAAAAAAACCTCTTGCTTTTTCCTCAATCCAATCAAAAGACATCATCGACTGACTCTTGGACTGGATTGGCCTTGAAACCAAAACACAAAGCCCCTGGGTCGCCGTTGATCGCTGCTCCCCACACGCAAATCTATGCCGTGAGGGACGGTCAAATGCGGGCCTCATTTCGCCCGTCTCCCTACAACGTACATACAGGCAGTAGTAATACTGTAATATTTATCTGATGTACCACTACCTGCTGCGTGTATTAGTCGTAGTCTGTAGAATTAGTCTTACAGTACCTAAGCTAGATGCAACTCTGGCCGTCTGACAGCTGCTTGCTCCCTTGACCGCTGGATAAAGAGACTGGACGGCATGCAGGGGCTAGGCCAAATGGCGATATTCTTCTCCTGCCTATCACCATGCTGGCGTGACGCATCTCGCAGGTTCCAGACTACTACTATGTACATGTACTATCCATACTGGGCACTAGGTAGATGAGCTCTTTTCAAGAAGAAATCGCGCGTGGGCGAGGACAAACGCATCTGGGCAGCTTTGAATGTATGTGCTTTTGGGACAAGTCCATCACCACCAACACGTCCTTTGCTCAACGGACTGACGCCCCAATAACATGCCATATTAGACTACTATACTACTCCTAGGCTTCTTACGATTACCACATCCCACCTCGCTACGAACAGCTCAGCAACTCTTCCCCCCCCCTGAGCTATTATCCTATTCCCTCAGCGTCCTCCCCGTCTCCATACAGTGTGCCCATTCCTCTTCGGATCACCGCCATCCTGTAACGCTCGAGGCGGAGCAAAGCCGAGCCAGAAACGGGGCGCGCGACAAAAAAGCCAAGTTTTCGCCTCTCCCTGTCCAGTGGGGCCGTGCCTCACCCATGATCCACCGCAGCAACAAACTTTTCCTTGCTTCGGACGTCATTGGTGTCGCGGTTTTGCCTTGGGTGGCTGGCGATCGGCGTTGAGAAACATTGAAGCCGCGCAAGCTGTTGATTGTCGCGTTGAGCCATTGCTTAGGGGACATGATTCGAGCGTGGGCGCTGAACAGAATCGACACTCGACACAGCCGTTGCAAAAGGATTTGGTGTTTGGTGTCAGCAAAAGGTGAGGTTATCACTGAGGTAATCATTTAGTCTCTCGGAGTTACTTAGTCCCTCGGAGCCACCCGCGTCAAATAAGCCAATGCAACTGTGTTGTTTCTAATCGGGCCCTCGAATATTATAACCGCCGGTGTACGGAGTCCTCCGTATGAACCTGCAGATTCAATCTCCAAGCGACCGGAAAGGGGAAGCTTGTTCGTGGACCAGGGCTATCAAACAATGCATTGCTTGTCCCGGCGTCCCGATCTACATCTCTAGAAGGTGCCAAGAATCAATCTACCGCTTGGCTCGGCTTCCTCAATTAGAATATGGTTCCTTGTATGACCCCCCCTGTCTCCCTGATACGCCCACTAGTATGTACTTGTCCTAGACCAAGGAACCTTGCATCCAATCTTCTCTTGATTCTGTCATTTTTCCTGCAAAACTATTTGCATTATTGTACACATGTATGGTGTATGGTCCCCAGCTAGCCTCACAGCAGAATACGGAGTACCCGATACGGCGATGCAGTCTTGGAGCGTAGTAGCAGTGGTGCCGGGATTCTTCCACGGGTTCGCTCCCGCGTTGCCTGTCAGTCTTGCAAGTAGCGCACTCTTCGTTGCGACGTTGTTCATTAGTGGTGATTTGTGTTTGTTTATATTGCTATTGTGATAGAGCATCTGATGATTGATCAATAGAGGACATCTACTAGGTATATCTTCATCCGCTGTTAGGTACCCAACGGTAAGGCATACCGACCTACCTAGTAGGTACCTAGGTAGGTTTATCTGCATCTACTAGGTAGTTATATCTACATCTACGAGATATATCTACATTGACACAACTGGCTGCACGCTTAAAGCCGTTGATGTCGTAAAGATATACCTTGTATGCCTCGGAGTGTCGCGTCTTACAACCTACATAGGTAGGTAATTATCCACACTCCCCCGCGGAGATTCACCTGTGCCGGAGTTTATTCCACAAGCATGAGTATGTACCTGCTCCGTACGCATCTCCTTGTCCTTTGCAATGAGTCTAGACCGCTGATAACGTTCCCCCAGGCAGTGGAGACGCAAAGTATTTCCCACGCCTCATGCCTCAAGTTGGGGCAATGCTACAATACTCGGCATGGCACGGACAATGTTGTTGGTAGCGTTATCGTGACTAATGAACATGTAGGGCTGCCTACAGGAACAGATGCCACGTGCCCGCTGGATGTTTCAAGATCGAGCATTGATACCTCATTTTTCTATTTATAATGCTTCGAGAAATCTGTTAGGTGCAGCAGACTTTCGTCCCCCATACCAAGGGTTCCCCCTCTAACATCACAGTTGATCTCTTTACTTTCCACCGCTACGTCACCAAAACCGTCAGTTTTGACAGACCATTATCGCAAACTAGGTACGAAGGGCCGGATGGAATGGCGCCCAAGATCGCACATGACCAAGCTATGTACCTACGAGCGTTGATGCTATCAGCTGAGAATCAACCAGTGCTCCTGAAACTTGAAGCTCGAACAGAAGCAAACTGATATAATGTGTCAACTCAGCAGTGGAAGCAGATGGAAGCAGATGGACAAACCGAGACAGCAGCAGTCGATATGTACGTAGCTATGCGCAGCTATGGGCAGGCTCCACGAATCACGAATGAATAGCGACTTCATTGGGTGGCGTTTTGCGCTTTGTTCACTGCATGGTAGCTGAGCTCAAGCTTTCAGCTACCGTCGCAATATTCCAGCCAGCGCTATCATTCCGTTCGACAAAGCGCTTTATTGACACGTGCTATGCATGCGCGCATATACGGGCTGCAGCTTGCGCGAAGCCACCGACAATCAACGCAGTTTCGACATGGACAACCAGCCACGGATGGGAATCAATCCTGCTAATCAGATCTATTGATGTGCCCTTGTCCATATAAATCGCCCGTTATCTGCGCTTCCCCGCATCTCACGTTTTGAGGGTGACAGATTGCCAAGCCTGGCTGGGTCTTTCTTTGCCTGGGCCTTTCATCGCCTTCATTGCTGCATTTTATATGTGCATTAGTCCTAGCCCCATGGCTGCCCAAGATCTTCAGCTGAGAAAAAGGGTCCCTCACATACTGTTTGCTGTCCATCAAATGCATTCCTTTGACTAGGCATCTGCAATTCATTCAGCTGGCCCCCCATTCAGGGCAGACCGTGCAGATTGCTTCAAAGGCATACAGGCCTTGTGATGCATACTATTTAAGCTTAGTTGATTCGAGACAAGGGTCTGGATTTCTTTGATTGAGTGTAAGCCGCGGCTGAAGAGGGTGCTGTGACAGCTTGGAAAGCTTGGCATGTCGCGGCCAGTGCTCGGCGACAGATTTAAAGACCGAGAGTTCTCCGGATGCTCAGGTAGTGAGTTGTTGGAAGGCCTATTAATGAGGAAGAGGTGTTGAAAATGCCCAGATATTATAATATATTTTGTTGGAAGATAAAATCTCGTTTTACGGAAAACCGATCTATATACGGCTTATCTACAATGGCGGATACCTGTACCTTCAAATCGACCCATGCCGATGTAACATCAGAAAACACCTTCATGGACAACAACGAGGTTTTGCCGCCAAGCTACGGAGCAGAAGACACAAATGCACTGCTTCCTCCGCCATATTACAGCCAAGAAAATGTTGGGGATTTGAGGGCGGACGATGCTTTTTTATCATCCAGAGGATCATCTGGCACTCTGTCAAAGTGCTGGAAGTGGATCGCAAAGGAGATGTCTTCGTCAACGAGCGTACCGTCACATAGGAGAAGTAAGTTGGATATCAATGAGGAAGTGCAGAATGTTTTCTAAAACGCGATGTGATTAGATCCAGATATGTGTTTTGGTGCTTGCTGTCGCGGCTGATGTGGTCTGTTGATGGATCGGTTCTGCGGATATCTGGTTGCACAGATGGGTTACTATTTTCATTGTAGATATCATAAATGACTACGTATTTACCTGTTCATAATTGGAAATGCTGCTTGCTGCATGTAGGTTGGTTCAGCTGGAAGAGCAACAGTAGCGTTTTGCTCTCGAAAAGATGCACGAGGTGAATTTGTACAAACCTCAATATGTACCAAGGTGAGTTTAATCAGCAGGCCTCTTACTCGGCCGGCCAGTTCACACAACATGCATCATGGCAGCTGTTGACAAATTGTTATAGCAATATAGCTTCTTTGCGCGTCTCTGAAGGCCATGTGGCATGGCGCAGCACGACACGAAGCATGTCCGCCTTCTCATGGACGATAATCAGCTATAAACGCCCTACAGTTCCCACGTCTGCTCAACCTCGTGCGCATACTCGATAATATCGTCTGGTTCCAGCGAGCTCCATTTGGACCCGTGTTCCATCGCATCAAGATAGTGCTTCAGCGCCAGGGCCGTCTGATTTGCCCATCGCTCGGGACTCACAGCGCCCACGCCCGTAGCCATGGGAACCATGAGCAGGCTGCGGATCTCGTCATGCTGCCCAATTTGCCTGCCCTCACGAATTGCTCGGTTGTGTTTGTCTACCGCGCAGAGCAAACTCCACGTGCACTCGTAGATGACCTCGTGGTCCCAGTTGACGTTCTGCGGGACGCGCATTGTCGGGCACAGCGCCAGATATTTGGTGTGCCAGGTATTTTGTGAGCGGGCGTGGAAGTCGTCGGGGATACGGAGCAGCGTGCAAGTCCCCGGAGGAGCGAAGCCGCGCCACTCATCATACAGCTTGGCCTGGGCGGCTCTTGTGAGGGCGAAATAGTCGCCGCGAGGAGAGAATGAGCGTGAGATGGCGTCGTCGAAGCCTCCGTCCAGTCGGCCGTATGAGTTCGCAGGGGACACGATGAGATCGAACTCGGCCTCTACAAAGGCGAGGGCGCAGTTGTGGTACGTGATTGAAACGGAGGAGAGGTTGTGAGATGCGACGGCAGCCTGGAGGGCGGTGCTGTATTCGTCATCCATGCAGAGAGCGTGGATATGCGGGATAGGGGAGGCATGTTGCCGAGATGTTGATGATGGCATGGCGAAGCAACAGAGAGGCTGAGATGTATGCTTGCCGGCGTGGTTATTGATATTTGGTGGTGGCGTTGTTGGTGTTGGAGCTGCACTGATACATCTTTGTTGTCATTTTAGCAACTGGATACCTATTCTTGAGCGGCCGATGCAGGATTACATAACATGGAATAGATCCTGGTCAAAAATTATATGGATCACTAGAGGCACAGATCGCAGCCAAAGTGAAAACAGACGCACATCGGTCGAATAAATGATAAATACGTGTCAGCGGCTGGACATATCTTATGGATTGAAACAAAGAAGGCATTCGATACCCGTCCAAGCATCTAAAATACATATATCATCAAGCGCAAGCCAAGTTTGAGGCTCAGCGAGACACTGTGAATGAATCTATGCCCGTACTTGAACCAGTCGGCATTCGATGCCAAGAGGTAGCATCAAGCCAGAAAAGAGCCGAGACAAAGGCGGGTGGCAGCGGCCGTCGGTGCGGAGAAAAGGGTAGTACGGGACATTACTCGGCTTTTGTGCGCATGACAAAGAGAATCAATTGGTTGATTTGTCTGTTTGGTGAGCATATATGATGCTGATGCGCGAGGGGGATTCGCTCGATTCATTGTTGGCCAAGCATCATGGATCGCCACCATCACCACTGCCCAATTGCCAATCCCAGCCTCGTGTTTTATATTGTTAGCTAGCCCCTGTCTTAGACAAAGGAGAATGAAGAATAAGAATCATTAAATAAACCTTCACAATGAAGAATGCAGTCTCAGCACGTACGAGACATTGCAGTTTAGCCATCAGCCGGTAAGGCCATGACGCCCTCCAGCTTCCTCTTTCAAAACACCAAACCGTCTCCCCACATAACATAGAGTCGCATCGTCATGCCGGATATCATCCAACTCGCCTGTGAATCCTTCCAAACAAACCCTGTTGGTGATGCTCTCCCTCTGAATCTCCCCGCTTCCCCCGCACGCTTTTTACCCAAGAATGCGCTCCCAAGGGAAAGATCGCCATTGCCCTACTTGGTTCCCCCACCTAATGGATCTGGGTGTAACTCTGTGGGAAGACAAATGACGATAAATAAAATGGCTGGCCCGAGACAGAGACAACGACGGGAGGTGATCGGTGAGACCTGCCTCACAATTGCAGCCCCTCTTCGCTTGGACCTTCTGTCAGCGGCACCGTGAATTGCTCGAGGTTCTTCTCAGATTCTCTCTAAAGCATCGTTACATCTATACATAGCTTTATAACAGCAGACATCTCCTGGACCCAATTGAGAGCCGCGATGCCTTTACACATGTCTCCCAATAGCGTTATTGGCGCTGCCCTCGGCATCTTGGCCGCGTTCCCGGCCGGCGCGTCTGCTGGCTGGCAGAACTTCCAGCCTCAGCGCCGTACAGCATCCTCTTGTCCAGATTACAGCAGCTATTCGGAACAGCCTCATGGCCCGTACTCGTCTGGTCCTCTGCAACTGCCTTACATGAGGCCGAGCGAGGAGTGCAGGACGTTCACGAGCCCAGCTGTCGAGGTGAGCTTCATTCCTCTGCCCAAATCCACCTTCGGTGGCGGAGCAGGTATATTTGCGATTAAGGTGCTAAAAAGAGTTCTTTTACTCTTTAATCGTGCGTAGAAAGTCATCAGCGACTTGAAATCTCGGCTCAAGGATCCGGATCTTGCTCGACTATTTGAAAATACGTTTCCGTCAACGTTGGATACTACTGTCAAGTATTTTGACCCTACAAAGAATTTGGCATTCATCATCACTGGTGTAAGTTATTTCCCCAATGCGAGGGTTGCATGAGTCAACTGCCATTTGCCTAACTTTCTGCCAGGATATCACGTACGTATACAGGGCAATGCGATCATGCATACGCTTGAGCTAATTGTCCAAGTGCACAATGGTTGCGCGACACCGGAAACCAGTTTGCACATCTGTATAAGCTTCTGCCACATGATAAGAACCTTCAGGCTCTTGTCAAAGCAGTGATTAACACCGAGGCGCGATACATTTCGCAATATCCATACTGCGGTGCGTTTAGCCAAATTAATCTGCTGTAGAGGCACCTTTCTAATCAAGAATATGGCATATAGGCTCCTTCCAGCCACCACCAGAGAGTGGGCTTGCCCCAAGTGTGAATGTAAGTCGGCGAGTGCGATTTTACGCGGTGTGAATGTCTTAGTAACATTGTATTCAGGACTGGGCAACAGGCGTCAGAGTGAACCCGTATGTATACCCGTCTGCCGCCAATTGCGAAATTGCCATGCAAAATTAACACATACGCCCTTCACAACAGGCCTGTGAACAACCAAACGGTATTCGAATGCAAGGTATGACGGCTGTCAAAGTACATGTATAGAGAGCACCATTTCTCACAATATTAGTACGAGCTTGATTCCCTTGCTGGGTTTCTCAAAATCACGCGTTCTTACTATGCCAATACAAAGGACTCATCTTTCATCAATGACAATTGTACGAACGATTAAATAAGCGACATAGCCAAGTCGACTGCCCCTTTCTCTCAGGCTATTTGGCTAACACTATCTTCAGGGAACGCTGCGATGAACCAGATAGTTCGAGTCCTTTACGAACAGTCCCAGAGTAGTTGGTCGGATGACTACCAATGGGTCAGCTACTACAACTGGACGGGCACTGCTGGGGCACTTTCCCCAATGGTGCCCAACAGTGGCAATGGCGAGCCGAAGCAAGCAAACGGTTTGGTTGCTTCGAGCCACAGGCCTTCGGACGACCTCTGTGTCTTTAGTGAGTTTTGGAATCACCACAACTCATACGCCAAGTCATTTGTTGCTGACGATTTGATGTAGACTTTATCACCTCTGACAATGCCATGATGTCTGTGGAGCTCGCCAACGTTGCAGACATGCTCACCACCATCCGAACCCAGAAGAGCCTTGCTCAGCAACTCCGCCAATACTCCAATACCATAAAGCAGGCCGTTTGGGCCCACACGCGCGCTTCTAACGGAATCTTTGCGTATGAAACCAACGGGCTCGGAGCGCAATACATCATGGACGATGCCAATGTCCCGAGTCTTGTGTCGCTGCCGTATCTGGGATTCTTGGAGAGGGGCGATTCTACTTACCAGAAGACTAAAGCGGCTATGTTTTCGAGGGCAAACCCTTACTATGCTGTAGGAAAGTCGTTCAATGGCATCGGGTAAGTCAAAATACTATGGTTTCATACGCATGTCCTATACAATTGAGGCCTGGATTAACTGTAAATATGAATCAACAGAGGTCCCCACGTCAACGCCACGTATCCCTGGCCCATGAGTCAAATCTCAGCCATCTTCGGCACTGACAATGATAGCGAGATCAAACAGCGTTTGGCACTCATTTTAGAGAACACCAGTGGATTGGGTTTGATCCACGAGAGCGTCAATATCTACAACACGAGTGTGTACACGCGCCCGTGGTTCGCGTGGGCCAACAGCTATTTTGCAGAGATGATTTTGGACTTGGCTGAGAGGAAGCCTAGTTTGATCCTAAAGTCTGGGAAGCCTTACAAGATTGGGCAGTGATGCAAAGTGTATGAGAGAGTGGACAGTGGCCAAAATTCCTATAGCAGATACTCCTTAACTGTATTCGAGCTAAAACTATGTTTCACGTTCGTTTTACAAGAACAGCCCCAGGACTCGTAAGTAGTACTGAAGTCTTTGGTGTAGTGTTATAGGGGTCAAGTTTATAATCCGCATGTGTGCGTTTGTAGGAGATGGGCGCTCTGATTTTGGACCCCTATGATTTGGTAGCACCCTGTAGCTTAAAATTAACTGTGCCTGCGTAATCAGCTGGCAGCTCCCGATGTTCGGTCACAGCTGTTAGACACCGACACCTGTACAAGTCAATCCACCGCTGTCGTGGATAAGAGCTTGTGAATAGTATGTGACTTAGTTGAAGACGTAAATCGGAGATGTTTCACGCTACGATCTGAAAATAATAATTGTCTAGTACATTAAGATTAAATACCGCGTACTATAATATCTCGTCGGGTATCCTGCCTGATCCCAAAACATGTGGATCATAGACGGCGGCATCTTCATAACTGAGAAGGAACTCTGAGAAGCCATCTTCAGAGAGGTAAAAACCTGGACTTAGCAACTGATCAACGTGGCTGAACTGCGGAGATTCATTGAACCACTGATTTGCCGTTTGTTGTTCACTTAGTAGTATTGTAGGCTCTGGAGTAGGGAGCAAGGGGCCTTCAGTAGGTGGAGGCAATTGCAGATGTGACTGCTGTTGCAAATTCATGGAATCTCCACTGTCATCTGAGTTCTTAATGCTCGGTTTCGTCATTTGAGCATTTGACTTCTTTAGTATGCTTTGAGCCCGATCAAAGAGTCGATACATTACGTCGGCGCTCCAGTATGTTCCTCTCAAATTTGACAGAACCAGCATGTAAAGCTGAAGCTTATTCTCCGCAAGGCCGCGAGTCAATAAATTTGGAGATTTGCAGTCGTAAAGGTGAATCTGCATAGCAGGAATCATGGCGGTAATCCTACAAAAAGCGATAATTAGTTTACGAATTCCAGACTGGTTACCAATAGAGAGAGATTAATACATCATTGGCTTCAAATACCGTATACCATCGAGTTCGATGAGGCTCTGTAGCAATCCGTTGGTATTTGATGCAGCTTCGCGGGCTCGGCTCGCTGCTGTTTTCTGCCAGAGTGAATACGCTCCAGATGGGAGGGAAGTCGACCGATTCAAGACATATGGTCGATAGAGTATGGCGATTGTAGCTCTAAATGAAAAATTAGTAGCCGCTTGGGCGGGACGGGCATACTGAACGTGAATACTAACTGGTACAGGAGATCGATTTGATACGCATGGATACTTAAGCTCTCGCTGGAGTCAATCGAGATAGCATCGTCTTGAGCTAGGGCTTGTAACTCGTTTGCATATCTGTCAATTTCCGCTATGGTTGGTACCATCCCATCGACGCGGTAATGGACTCTCAAAATGTTACCCAAAGTATCGCAAATGCGTACAAGCCGAATCCACATCTCGGCCAAGGCCCTTGATTCTGAGGGGATGAAATTACTTCGCGCTCGACCAACAACAGACTCTATTTCGTTCATGATGTCTTCCACCACTGGGAGAGGAGTGTCGCAGTCCTCGTTATGAATGCGCATTGGACGGCCCCGGGCCAAGGAAACCCATCGATCTCTGACTACACATGCCCACCAGATGCGACGCATCAGAGCTTCTCGTGCCGGAGAAGTTTTCTGCTGCAGTCGGCTACTCAAACGAGAAGACCTATGAAGGCCGATGTTCTGTGACAGCGAAATTGCAATCCCTATCCAGTACCAGGCGCCAGTATGATCTTGGGGGTCGGTATACCAAAATCCTAATAGGATGACAGACTGAATGAGCACCAATTTATCTGTTCCTCGATCGACATCATAGAGACACTGTTCAGGGTTAGTACAGTACACGATAGAGGCCGTGCTTATTGAGTTTCAAATTGCTCACCTTGGCTCGTTCATACATGGCAGTCTTCATTGCCTTTCTAGAGGAGAATCCTGCTTTCTGTAAGACATCCGCATCGACAAACTAGAGAGTATTAATAATTACATAAATACACCCCTAGATGTTGGGAATATAGGCTCACATTTGCAGCCGCCAATAGCATGCTCCAATACAACAACAAGCTAATATTCCGAGAGCCATTACTGCAGTACTCGTTGAGAAATGCCGGCGCGTCGATGATCGGTAGAAAGAAGTGAACATGCTGGAAATAGCAGCGGACCAATTCATCACATACATCATCTGGGAGCTTGGAGAAGACGCCCTGAATGCGCATGTACTCTAGCTCATGCGGTTTGTGAGACGAGGTGATGGCTGTGCTTGGAGGCAAATCGCGTGCGTCTTCGGGGGTCTCAGGATGGCAGAGGTCATACACAGAGTGGCGTGGGCCTCGCCTATCACCTATTGATACGCTGTGAGACTCTTTCCATATCATTGTCGACAGAATTTTGATAGTGCGCTTACCGATGTAGTTAAAGGAGCCATCTTCGGGCAAAATAGCCTCTGTCGCTGATCGGCCTTGGCCATCTCCAACGCTCATTACATTGTTTCTTGATGATGGTGTCGATGCTGAGAATGTGCCGCCATAAGAATATTCTGAAGGACCTTCAACTTGTATGGCGCCAACTTGTGAATCTACCAGGACGCCAGATATAGTCTTCGTATATGAGATCTCAGCTGTGTTTCCAGCTGTGTTCTGCGACGTAAATTGGACATCTCTTTTCCTTCGTGGCCTGTGAGGAGACAGGTAATGAGTATCAATAGACAGCAACACACAATTGAACGTCCTTCAAAATAATTACCGATGTTTCTTTCGCGGGAGAACCACACAAGATCCCCCATCGCGCTGGCAATTTGAACACGGATCGCCGCCTGTCTGAACAACGTCGCAACGAACTTTTCGCTGATTACAAGGCTGACAAGCAACACGCGAGCGAATCCGTGGAGTAACCCTGCCACCACTGCCGCTTCTCCAAACGCCGTTGCTGGGCCGAGCTGCATGTAAGCTCTCCCCAGATTCCATGGCCGGCAAGTTGAGTTTGTCTGGGGAAGAAGTTTGCCGTCGGTAGAAAACAAAAGATTCGTTCCGGCCAGCTTACTTTACCCCGGATCGGGGTTTACCAGCTACTCCACAAACCCCATCTTTGTGGCGCCTGAGCATGAAGTTGTCGCGAGCTAGAACGGCTAATTCGGCAATTATCTTTCTTAGTTTCATTCGCACTTCCACCGAGTCATTTCTCTTCCAAAATCCTTAGTCCTTATGCTGGTATGTCACACCATTCTCTCTTTTGCCCTCTCCACAGATAGACATCATGACAACTCATCGCGGAGAAGATCGGGATGGACTCAACCTTGTCATGCCCCCTGTGCTGTAAACTTTTACCGAACGAGAGTCAGCCACTCCCGCCGTGTGGTGCAAGGAGGAACAACGACAAGAACGTTATATAGCATCTTCATCACCACAACAACAGGGATTGAATGACGCTTACATCTATCGTGAAGCAAAACAGCCAACCATCCAATTATTCTGTGGTTTTGATACCTCACGACATGGAAGTACTTGACGACACAAAGCGTGATGAAGCAGAGGAGATTGAGAAGATCGAAGACGACGCTGTCAACATGAAGCCCAACAGCGAGTCATTTACTCCAGAAGAAGAGAGGCAACTTATTCGTAAACTCGATTTCTGGTATGATTATCCCCAACTTAGTGACTTACACTCTTGTTAGAACCAATCACTTACTCAAAGCTAAAGGATTGTTCCACTCATGATGGTGACATACACGTTGCAGAGCTACGACAAGGGTGTTATGAGCGCTGCAACACAGTTCAACTTTAATGCGGACTTGAAGCTCACGACGATTGTCGGCCATGAACCAGACGGGACTCCAATCACAAATAACCAGAAATACGCCAATGCCTCAATGATGTTTTACATTGGATATCTTGTTGGCACATACCCAATGATGTTCTTGTCCCAGCGATACTCAATATCACGGGTAGTGTCAACCGCGACATTCCTTTGGGGAGCCGTTCTCATGTCCACCGCTGGATGCTTCAACTATACCGGCATTATGCTCAACCGCCTCTTTCTTGGTTTTCTCGAGTCAGCCGTTGCGCCCTCATTCACTGTCTTGGTTACGTTTTGGTGGACACGAGAAGAGCAGGCCCTACGAACTGGGTTTTGGTATAGCTGTGTTGGAGTTGCCACAACCATCTCTCCTCTAATTAACTACGGGTTGGGACAGATTCATGGCTCACTTCCTTCTTGGAAACCAATCTTCCTGATTCTTGGTGGTGTCACTATCTTATGGTCCATCGTTCTCTTCCTCTTCCTCCCCGATAACCCCATGACGAGCAAGCACTTGACGGATGCTGAGAGACACATTGCCATTCGCCGCCTCGAGAGAAACAATGCAGGTACCGTGAGTCACGAGTTCAACAAGGCCCAGTTCTTCGAGGCTTTTCGCGACTACAAGCTGTACAGCTGCTCGTTCATAGTACTTCTTACCGGTGTGCCGTCAGGTGCTCTTGGGACTTTTGGGACACTTGTGATTAATTCATTCGGATACTCGCATTTCGATTCATTGGCTCTAACATGCCCCATTGGAGCAATTACAGCAACTTCCATTCTTCTCTCAGGTTACATCACACGGAAATGGAGAAACATGCGATATCTGCTGATTATTCTCTGCGGTCTAATTTCTATAGCGGGAACTCTAATCTGTTGGTTTGGGCCTCGCAGTAATCGAGGATTGTTATTTGCAGGCGTGTTCCTAATTGCTGTTCAAGTTGCCTCTGGAGGACTTGCTGTCTCTTTGGCAGCATCAAATATAGCCGGTCATACTAGTAAGCCTCTTTCTTTTTCCCTCTGACCCACACATATGGCATAAGGAAATCGGTATCTCACCTTGTTTTTAGAAAAATCTACTGTCAGTGCCTCAACTTTTGTTGGATACTGCGTCGGGAATGTTATCGGCCCCGTTATTTTCGGTGCGTCCCCGGGGCCAGTCTATCATGCAGGATTCGTGGGGAGCTTCGTTTGCTTGTGCGGTGTTGTGGTGATTGCATCAATCACCCTCATCATGCTGCGTATGGAAAATAAAAAGAGAGATAAACGAACTGGTGCACCTATTGGTCTACATTCAATTGATGAAGATCTTACTGACAAACAGAACGAAGAGTTTAGATACGTCATGTAGAATTGTTAGCTAGTTTCTAGTACCCTGTTCAATGAACATGTTTCATCCCAACTTATATCTACGTCACCTATTTGTAAATGTTTCTTCCTTCAACATAGATATATGAATCAATGACAATATATTGAGACTGCCACCAAAATATGCTTGACACAACTATTTGCCAACTCCCCTATGTAGTTACGGAGCGAGATGCAGTGGATTCGGTATAACTTCTTAGGTGGAGAATGCTAGCTACCCGCAAAGAATTACCAACATGTCTACTATACTTTAACGACCATCCCGTTAATAGTCAGATTTGTAGCAAACAATCCCGAGTTCTGGCCAGTCTACCGACATACCCTCTCTCCAACCTTCATCCATCGTCAGCCCTAAGAATTATGGACCTCAAAGACGGTAAGAAGCACGAGCTAAGCATATAATTCCGGTAAACTCGGTAATTAGCAGACATGAACTGAAGATTCGGCATTCTCATGAGACGGAGTTTATTCCATTTGGCCTTTCTGTTCAGGGTTCTCCGCACTTTTCCCCAGGAAATGTGACGGACCCTTGGGGTAGTATTGTCGAACTGGAATGTGGGCGTATATAAAAGGAGAGATGATCTGAGACAATTGACGTAAGTGGAAAGTGTGATTCAGTGTTCTATTGTTCTTTCTTCCGAATTAGGATTCCATTGTCCCTGGCCCCCAATGTTGTCTCTCAAGGTTGTATTCATCGCCGCTTTGGCTGAAGCCTTGGTCCTACCTAAAAGTCTTTCCTCCATCTCATTGGAAGGTTGTCTAAAGGGATTGCCTCATGGCCAATCAATTGGTAGTGTCGCAAATGTGACAATTACGAGTGGTGGGCTATTACGATACTACCTCATCTCGATTCCACCAACGTACCATGATGAGATCCCAACTCCCGCTATTCTGTCTTACCACGGAGGCTTGAGAACCGCAGAAAGCCAACTGCAGTTAGACGAGCTGACTAACCCGGAGTTCAACACGAATTCCTTCGTTATTTACCCTCAAGGCATCAACGTAAGACATCCTGATCACCCACAAGCAAAACCAATGCCCATGCTGACGGAACTGAAGGACGTTTGGCAAGGTGTTCCGAACGTCACCATTAACGACGTTCAATTCACTGCAGATATCCTCGACCATGTTCAAAAGCAGTATTGCATTGATCCCACTCGTATTTTTGCCACTGGAAAGTCAGATGGCGCCGGATTTTGCAACGTCTTGGCCTGCGATAAGACAATGTCCAGCCGTATTGCAGCATTTGCCCCCGTATCTGGTGCTTTTTATATCGATACATTACCTTGCGCACCCGACGAAGTGCAGATCCCTTGTAGCCCTAGTCGCCATGACATCCCATTCCTTGAATTTCACGGTGGCAATGACTCTACGATTAATTATCACGGTGGTGAGCGCAAGCAGGAATGTCTTCCATCAATTCCGCATTTCATTCAGCAATGGGCCGTACGGGATGGGCTTAGCCTCCACAATGTTACCACACCAATCTCATCCAACACTGTTTCCTACAAATACGGGTCAGGGGTTAACTTTGGCTTGGTTGAGCACGTCTACGACGCTGTAATTGGACATGATTGGCCAAGCACGGCTCCAAATTCTGATAATCAGGCGGCTGGTCATCACATTGCCAGCTTCAACGCTACACCAATCATTCTGGAATTTTTTAAACAGCATCCTTTGAGTCTTTGGGATATCCTTGCCGAAATTTAAGAAATAAGGCAAAGTGGCGATTGGCTAGCTGGTGGAGGAAACCAATTGTATATCTGTGTAAATAAAAAAAAAAAAGTGGATTCGTTTCGCATCGTTAATGGTTATATATTATTACTTTTTGTTTTTTTACGAATTCTGTTTTTAACAAATAATCCTATAACTCCTCAGCTTGCGCTCGGTCGGATGCTTCATTCCATCCACCACCAAATCGCCTGTGCTTTCCACGTGGTACAAGCGTCACTTAAAACAAACAACTTCACGGCTGGCATGTAGCAAGGATCTGACATTGCCCAAAATGGTGCGTCTTTCCACGCTAATGGCATTCCATGTCCCCCAATCCGCTAGGCAATGTAGTCACAGTAATACCACTACAAGATTTGTACGGAGTCCAATCGGCGCAGTTGACCGAACTGGCCGAGCAAGCAACCGAACCCCTTGCATTCCGGCTAAAAAAGTAGGGCCCGGCAAATGCTTGTTCCCTTTGGTGTTGCCGACTTATACCTACACATTAGCGTTCGTCTGCTTGAAGAGATAGCAGGAGGGAGGAATCCATAAGCCACGTCTCTTTTTGTCTGGCCTTTCTTTTAGTTCAGCCTTTTACTGTAAATTTTTCTTGGCAACCCTATTAGGATTCGTCTACTCATTCATTCTTTGAGGTGTCCGTACAGCTGATTAACATGTCGGACTCATTACCCTCACCAAGCACAACTCCAGATGGCTTAGAACCGCGATTTTCTCTCCCTCTCACGACACCTCGTTCTAGCAAAACGTCGTTGGCCATTGGTGGTGTCACTATATACGTCTATGGACTAGAGGAGTTGAAGCAAAAGTCTGGGGTGGACGTGGCTGTTTTGTACCTTGCTCATAACCGAACGAGAACATATCTCGTGACAGAAGGCATCGCGCATGAGATTTTGCATAGGTACAGATCTGATGGCAGGAAGAAAAAAGTTGAGATGATTGCCATCACGATGAACATGAGGAACCATGGCGATCGCGAGGTATGTGTCTCTCACCACTTTTTCCACCATGTTGACATCTGACAAGGGCGGGATCCAATAGGTCAGTCCAGAAGCAAATTTGACCTGGTCGGGTGGTAATGAAAACCATGCGTAAGTTATGCAAGCTCGTTTGAAATAAGATGTTTTATCTATCCTACCCTATCTTTTAATTGAGCACTACTAAATATTGTTATATCCCTTATAGCGTCGACTTGATATCTATGATATCCGGGGCAACGCAAGACTTCAAGCTTGTTCTCGATTTTTTGCCAGCATATTTCCCCCAGTTCAATCGCTTGCACAATATTATGCTCGGCGTCTCATTAGGCGCCCATACGGCTTGGCGCATGGCATCAACTGCGCCCGGCCAATTTGACGCCTTTGCAATGGTTGTTGGTTGCCCAAACTTGACATCTCTCCTCCTGGAGCGTCTAGGAATCGACGCTTCAGCGATTGGTGTCAGTGGAGAAGAGCTAGAGACCGTCAGTTATGAAAGACTGGAGAAGGTGATGAACGAGTCGCAACGGCGTCGATGGCCACGTGCATTGGCAGAATTTGTCCGTGAGGGCGACAAGAAGATATATGAAGAATTTCCCAGCGATGTACCTTTGTTTATGTGTAACGGGGAGTACGATAAACTGGTACCCGCACGATATACAACATCATGGTTGGAAAGGAGAAATGCCATGCTGAAACGAACCACGTCTGGACATAGCAAGGCCAGGTTGTTCATACAAGAGAATACAGGGCATAGCTGCACGAAAGAGATGGTTGCGATGCTTGCCGATTGGCTAGGCGATTTATATAAATTGTAGAAGGGAGAGTTTGGCGTTTTGCAAACTGTTGCTGACAGTTTTACATTGGGATGTAACGAAAGAAACAATGTGGCTGCTTTGGTAGGCGTTGCCATCATTTGTTTCCTTCCTTGACATCCTAGGCATACTTTTCTTGTGCAATGGCATTTTTACCTCTCAAGCTACTTCTATTCTCTGCCGACATTTTTGTGAGAAAGTAATAGGTTCTAATTGCTTAGGCGAGCAGAGCCGTGATAATAAATTACCCTATGAAGGAAGCTGACAAGGGTGGATATCCCGGCATCTTAGTACATATTATTGCCAGTGGCCTAATAGATATGCATACGGAAGCCTTATGTGAATAATTGAATTGGAGATGGCTAGAGAAAAACAAACTTAGGTACTTCCCCAGATTTATTCTTGGCAACTTGCAGCCCTGCTTTTTCTATTTACTATTACCTGCCAATAATACACATTACATATGCCTGCAGAGCCAAAATGGAGCCAGCATTTTGCATGTATCCAATCAGATTGCGCTATTACGATCGTTAGAGTATAAGCTCGCCAAGGCAGGGCTCACATTTACATATACCGCAAGCAACTCGCGCCCTGTCAATGCCACATCGTCAAGCATTGTAAATGCCGTCTATAAATGGCAAAGAAAAACCCCTCATACAAGCGATGTAGATCAGAATTTATACTTTGTGTAAATAGCGGTCAGATGATCAAGCATTGTAGGACAGTTCACCTTGCATCAAAGCTGAGCCGAGTCTGCCCACGCCAAAAGTTACTAGGCCGCTGCGGCTGAGAAGCCCAATGTCGGCATTGACCAAATCGGACGCTACTCGCCTCACTTCGTACTCGTCGCATCCTGTATCGGAAAGCTTCTGGAACGCCGCGATCGCTGCGCCACCGCCGAGAGTTGCATCATACCACCTATGGTTGACCGAGTTGTCTAGACTAGACAGCCCTGCCTTGTGAGCCAATGATGGCGAGGCGGAAAAGCAAGGGAATAGCATTCGGGGCAATCCTATGGGCATACTTTGGGGATTTCTTTGTCTCGGCGTACACTGATCGTGGTATAAATTGACGCATAGTTGTCTCTCTTCAATCTGAGCCACCCCCTACAATTTTGAACAAAGAACTTTCATATTCACATTTTGAGTTACACCATCCCGTCGTTATCTGTATAAAAAGGCCCTCTCAAGTGCTCTCTTCTTTTCCTTCACCTCTCATACTCTGTCTGCCCCTTTCTCATATCCCCGGGCTTGCTTGACTTACCTCCCACAACTATCTCCCACTGGTCGTTTTATTATTATTATTATTATTGATTTCTTCCCCTCACAACTTTTTGTCCAAACCTATCTTCCCTAAACTAACATCATCCCTTGTTTGCCAAAAGTCATCATGGCATCGTACAAGATTTCCGCTCCGGACGAGTACCTCGCCATAACTGGCATGGGTATTCGTACCGTCAGAATCACCAAGGCCGCCTGGGTCTGGCCTTTTCAGCGATATACTCGCTTCAGTGTGCAGCCTCACGACTATGCCATGGACCTCCAGGCAATGACCAAGGAGAAGCTACAGTTCTCTCTCCCCGTTGTCTTCACAGTCGGACCCGACGTGAACCAACGCGGAGCAAACGTTAAGGGCGGTGTCACGACAGATACAGTCTCTCACGATGGAGAACCGATTGATGAGACTACAGACCATCGAGAAGACTCTGGAGATGCTCTCGTCAAGTACGCAATGCTGCTAGCTCGCTCCAATAGCGGCAACAAGGTCGTCGCGGAGCGGGATCATGTTGAAAACATCGTCAAGGGTATTATCGAGGGTGAGACGCGTGTTTTGGTTTCCGGAATGACTATGGAAGAAATCTTCACCGAGCGTGAAGTTTTCAAGCGTCGCATCTTTCGCAACATTCAAGGCGAACTCCAGCAGTTCGGCCTCAAGATCTACAACTCCAACGTCAAGGAGCTCAAAGATGCACCGAACTCCATCTACTTCGAGTCACTTTCCAAGAAGGCGCACGAGGGTGCAACCAATCAGGCCAGAATCGACGTTGCGGAAGCTCAGTTGCGGGGTAATGTTGGCGAAGCCAAGAAGAAGGGAGAGCAGGATCGCGAGATTGCCAAGATCAACGCCGAGACAGCGGTCCAAAAGACAGAGCGAGACATTGAGCGAGCGCAAGCTGAAGCACGTCTGCATACTCAACAAGCTGCTCTTTCACGAGATGTCGACATTGCCCGAGTTACTGCTAAACGTACTCTCGAGTCCAAGGATGAAGATCTGAAGCGCGATGTCGAAATCAAGCGTGCCGCTGCTGAGATGGAACGTCTCCGCGCCCAAGATGTCGTCAAAGCAACTATTATTCGTGAATCCAAACAGCAAGCCGCAGATGCAGCAGCATATGAGGTTTCGGCGCGGGCCCAGGCTGAATGGGAGTCTGGTAAACGCGCGGCAGATACCGAGGCATACAAGACTCGAATTGCTGCAGAAGCAAATCAAGAGGCGAGTCAGCGTGGAGCAGATACGGAGGTTTACAAAAACCAAAAAGCTTCCGATGCAAACGCATACAAAACTCGTGTGACGGCTGAGGCAAACCAAGAGGCAAACCAAAAGGCTTACGACGCAGAGGCATATAAGATTCGTGTGACAGCCGAGGCAAACCAGGAGGCAAGTCTCCGAAACGCTGAGGCTGCCCTTGTGCGAACTCTTAAAGAAGCCGAAGGTATCACGGCAATGGCAGACGCATATAGCAAACTCTCTGTCGCATTTGGTGGTCCAGCCGGTCTTCTCCAATACATGATGATCAAAGAAGGCACTATTGTCGAGCTCGCCAAAGCAAACGCCAGCGCTATCCGTGGATTGGAGCCCAAGATCAGCGTTTGGAACACTGGAAACCAAGGCAGCGGCTCTGAACCAACCGATGTCATGCGCAATGTTTACCAGATGCTTCCACCACTGATGACTACAATCAACGAGCAGACTGGCATTACTCTCCCTGAGTGGCAGTTTGGCCGACTCAACGCCGCTCAGGGGGCCATGACAGAGAGCAACAATGTGAATGGGGCTGGAAAGAAGAAGTAAATAACATGGCACTAGACTTTCTTTAACTTTTCGTTTGTGGGCTTCTGCTTTCATATGTATTATCAAGGTGCTGGAAGTTGGTGTCTGGGGAGTTGGTATTTTGAGCTTCTGTTTGAGTTTGCTGTGAGAATATGGATGGAACAGGACAAGAGACTGATGAAACACCGTCGTTTTCTTTTGTACTTTTGGGGGGTTAATTTTTTTACTATGATATTGTTAATCATGGCATATACCTAAATATCAAGAAATTTATATTCTTTCGCTCTCGGTGTCACATTAATATCACGGCAGTCCAAAAATTTCCATGTGACAAGAGCATACAGGAACGCTACACTCTGAAAATTTGCTCATCAAATCTCTTAACTCCTCACTCTGCTTCTCTCAGATACTTCGAAGCGCTACATTATACACATACCGTCACCATGATCTCATACAACCTAGCCTAAATTGTACACGCAAATCTAGTAGGTAGCATAGAAAGCATTGTACTTAATTTAAATACATAATAGTGATGACACTACAATAGGAAGCTTGACTGAGTGTTGTCTGTATCTTGTTGCCTGTTATACATATACTGCTGACTGCGATGTATTGCTGCCTGTTAATGATAACTATAAGAGCTATTCTTCTTTCACGCCGCTAGCCGTTGCCCTGATATCCTAAGACCTGAACCAACTACATAGAGGACTGACATGCAAAACTGACGCTACCAAATTCCACAGGCGAATCCGGCAGGCCATAGCCACCAAACACCCCCTACGAGATGCACTGCCTATCTATCACAGCCCCCACCATGCACAGCCTAGAAACCTAAAAGAGATGATACTGGAACAGGAAGCTGGTACCAGCATCTGGCACACATCCATACCTGTCACCGACAGATACGAGAGCTTGAGGTCAGGTTGAACAGCACGTTTGGTGATTTCTTTCTCAAAGGATTCATCTTTTCTTCTATAAAATGGGACCGGAACTCAGCCAAAAAAAAAAGAAAAAAGAAAAAAAAGAAGAAAAAAAAAAGTTTATAATTGCTTGGATAACACTTATCTTTTAAGAAATATTGTTGTGATCTGAACTAGCCCTTATACAACAAATCACCATCGTGACCTGGACAAGGACCATTGCGTATACACTAGCCAGCTGCTCACTCTAGCTTCCCACCAACGCCGTCAATGTCTGGCCGGATGAAGCAACTGACGAACTTGAGAAGATGCTCTTCGAACAGCAGAATCCTTTCGAAAGCAGCCTTGCCACCTTTGCCGTTCCTTGCAGTGCCAGTGGACTGGCCATCGGACGCAGTTTTGGTGCTGAGTGGATCAGAAACGCATATCATGACATGGCCACGGCGGACGTTCAAGCAGGCACTGGCGGAATAGATGCTTCAATTGTTTTCGAGAAGGATCGCCCAGAGAATCCCGGCAGTGCTTTCCAAGAAACGCTGGATTTTTTCCGGCCAAGATACACTACCCGATCCTCACTATCTGACCTGTTCGCCATGGCAGCAGTCTTTGGAGTTGGTGGATGCTCGAATGGAGATATCATTCTCCCCTACAGGGCAGGTCGTGTTGATGCGACTGGCCCTGGCCCTTCCGGCGTTCCAGAGCCGCAGGAAGACCTTGCCACACACACTGCGAAGTTTGTCAAGCAGGGTTTCAACACGATTGAGATGATTGCCATTGTTGCCTGTGGTCATACGGTTGGAGGAGTACATGGTGTGGATTTTCCAGAAATTGTGCCAAACCCACAACCTCCTCCAGTTACTGGTGTTCGTATATCCACACTCCCGGCCAGCAGACGCTCAGCGATTATTCATGCGCAGGACGGCTAATTTGAAACCATTTAGCCTTTTGGTAATGACAATAGTGTCTTTTTTGATACGTCAACAAGCAATTTTGACAACCAAGTGTAAGTCTGCCTTGGCACCTTGTCGTTGACTAATACCGTTTGCCTATCCCGTCCACATGTAACTAACCATGATCAACCAGCGCCAAGGAATTCGTAGCGAATGTTTCTCAAAACCCACTTGCATTTGGTCATAATAATGAAACTATGCGATCGGATTTCCGAATTTTCAACGCTGATGGAGGTGATATGATTTCACGGATGGCTGAATCGCAAGAATTTTTCTCCCAAACTTGTGCTGCTCTATTTGAGCGCATGATCAATACTGTGCCGCCGAATGTTAAGCTAACTGATGCTCTTCAACCCCTGCCTGTTAAGCCAAGAAAGTGGTCCATTGCTGTCAATGACGATAAGACGCTGAGACTCAGTCTAACCTTAAGGGTACGTTCCAATAAAACTAAAAAATGAAATAACGAACGCGAGCTCTAGGCAACTAACTTGTTCATTTTGGACACGGTTCAGGTTATCGACACTTTAAAGGGAGGTAGCAAGGGCCAGATTTCCGTCTCCCTACTCTCACGCTTTGGCGAGCCTCTGCCTGTTGCCACACCTCTCATAATTGGAAACCTCTCTACTTCAACTTGCGACTATCCTAACTGTGGTGCGGAATTCTTTTATTACGATTTCAATACCAACATTCCTGCTGAGCAAGGCATATCCTCTTTCACTGTTGATATTAAAGACGGTACTACTGAGAAGATTACGACTTTCAACAATGGAGGCGCCGTGTTCCCTCTATCTGATGCCATTCAGCCTCAGATGAGCCTCTGCAACCAGACTACTACAACTATCAATGGTGTCACTCTGCAACAGCTAGGCGTGACTGCAAGGGTATGATTGCCGCGGGTGCATTAGCATGTCGAATACATGGTGAAAATACTAACAGAGTCCTTTTGTCCCAGGTTTACAATGCTGATCAATTTACCAACATCTCACTTATTGTTCCTCAGCCTTCGAACTTTAGTGCTACAATTAGCCCATGGATTCCAGAAGTGGTCCCCATGAGAGCCTCCAGCAAGATTGCAGGGACCAACTTCACTCTCTACACCGGTACTTGGATAGCTAGCAATGAGGGTGCCCCACAACATCCTTTTGATGTTGTTGCCACAGGCCCAAAGAGGAATGCTTATTTATCTCGTGGGGTGACGTGCCGTTTGTTCTAGGGGCATAATGACAACACGCAAGGCGCACAAAGAACTGGAAACGTGAGCTAGCACAGCCTACTCCGGCTAAAAAAGGTTATGCCTAGAGATCAGGAGTAGATAGATAGAAAAGGAATTAGTCTATGATTTCTTCTTGAAGCCTAGCCTGCTCCTAGGCTTGTTTTACCTGTTGCCTGAAAACATATACACTCCATGTGTAGAACTGACATCGCTGCATAATCGGTCGAGTAAGGTACCCTTGGCGCTTGTTAATAACTCAGACCTGCCGTTTATCCTCAGTGGTAGTCGAGTATTATGCAAGCACAGACTATACCAGCCAAATACTAGTGATGACCAGTTAAAGGACGTCGAAACAAGCAAATCTGTTGGCTGATGACTGGATACAATGGCCTCCTCCCGCTGCTTTGATTGGTGGAAACTTATGAAGCTTTGGTACCATACCCAGGGGTGGGACAGTGCAGAATTCTTGAGCCTCTGCTCGGATGGTTCCAAAATATGACACGGTGCAAATAAGGTGCCAAAGGATGCTTTTGAGGTTACAGCACGTCCAAAAAAAAGGAAATCCTGCATTTCCAAGCAAGACTCTTAATCACATGTACCTGGTATGTCTCTATATTCAAGAGATATCTTGGTTATCTTGGAAGTTATTTGCATCTACCGAAAGTTTTACAACTATGGAGAATCAGATCCTCCAAAATCGAAATGTATTACTATGTATGTATGTACAAGACTAAGCATATGATTATTCATTGAATCTATTCAGGCTGGGATTTAGATTTTGGCCTTCTATAGGTACTGCTTATTTTGGCGCCCGGTAACTTGATCCCATTGTTTCCTACCAAAAACCCTACCGCCTTAGTTACATCGCGGCTTCCTAAGAGAGGAACGGATATCCGGAAAACATCTATTGGGCACGGAGATATTGTCTTCGAGTTTCTGCTTTTCCGAACCTCTGCTCTTGGATAATTCCGCGAGATTTGGGAGGGTTTTTTTTCCCTTACACAAGCCGTGCACTAGAACGCCCATACGCGGAGAAACGGCAACGCTGCCAAAGTCCGATCCATACGAAAAGTCATTTAATTGAGCTACTAGATTAATACGTAATTATTCCAGCTACACCTCTGGCACCCCTTCTTTCTGCTAGGCCCAATTGCCCTGCCGATGCCCACGAGAACTTCCTAATGTGGCTCTTTCGGTTTTATAAACCGTAGTACTACGACCTATGTATGTACAATGGCCCGCTGTCTAACCGTCACCTCCTCTGGCTTGATGCTTGCTTAGTTGTCGTTCGCATTTCCTAGCATGACATAACAATGGCTATCTTCTCACGTAATGGATATGTCTAGGGCAATTGGAATATCATCTACTATGTTATACCTAACAGGTAGGCGTGAAAATATATCAGAACCAATTCCCCCTTTCTGCCCGGCCAGTGAGCTGGATCCAGACAGATACCTCCTTCATGATACAGAGATGAGATTGTTGAGAAAATGCATCTTTCTATAGTAAGAAGCTACCCCTTTCATAGGATCAAACAATATGGATAGGGATTAAGACGTAGTGAGGTATGGAGCATATAGTTCCCCGGGACTTGATCTCCATATTTTCATTAGAGTCTTGGTTCCTACTGCATCCCTCAAGACTACTTGATTCTCTTGTTTTCATGCCCCGCTGGGGTTGGAAAAAAGGTTAATGTATGTCCTATAATAACACAAAACTCGAAATCAACTCCCCATATCGTCATGTTCAGGTTAAATCCCTTTGAGTCCCTAGGACACGGTCGTGATGATGATTGTGTCAGCCAATCGGTGTTACCAATTGATTAGGAACACAATCATAGAACGAAACCTACCAACGAAAATGCCCAGAGATTTAATCAGTCAATGTAGTGGTAATTCATACTATCATCTATGCCGGTGTCGCCATCTTCGCTTCAGCTATATTATGCATTCTAGTACAGGAATCATTTTGTGCTTTCCACTGTATTAGAGTAACTACGGACCTCGAAATCACAGCTTATACAGCTGATACAGGGTTTGTGCCCACGTTTAATAGCAAATTGATAAAATGCGAACCCTTTTCGCGAGCAGCCTAATATCTGCCTCCTGTCTAGCGTTTTGGGCTACTTGGTTACTATGATAAGGATCAATCTGGATCACTTCTGTCTGTAGTTGTGCTGCCGTGGCTGATGAAAATAGACCAAACAAAACTACACCCTAGTGAAGCTCCTACTCTGGTAATCTCAAATGAACATCACTATGGTCGTCAAATACAGTACAAATAAAAGGCCGCTTCTTTATCTCGTTCTCTCCATATTTAGATCAGGATAACATGCAGATGGAAAACACTGTTCATTAAATAGGTACAGGTTGGAATCCCTTGATAAACAGGAAAGTGACACTTTATAGCAAATTTTATAAGTGACTAGATCGTACAGTAACACCATCCTCCGAGATTCTGTTAACTAGATCTCTCATCTCATGTATGTGCTTCTTGCAGATACTTCGAGGTGTCATGTTGTATTTTCTGCATAAGTGAGCTGCTGCTGCAACAGCAGTGGCATGTTGACCTCCGTTACCCATAAACTTTGTGTTTGATGAAGCAACGTGAGTCGTGCTGATATGCTTCCCCGCCATCATTAGGTTGCTGATATTTGTAGAGTAGAGACAGCGGAACGGAATGTCATAGGGCTTCCCATCTCGCTCGTCCCATTCCCAATCTTTGAGACGGAAATCGTAGTCTTTATTACCGGGGATATGGAGACAGAATGCCCCTTCGTTTTGCACAACGGCATCTGGGAACGCGGTATGATTCCGAATATCGTTTTCCGTCAGGATATAGTCACCCTTGTATCGTCTAAACTCTCCCTGTGCAGGCACAAAAGCGACCCAATCTAGCGCAAGGTTGGCATATGTTTCGGGCTCCAACCTCTTAACGTTAGAGAATGTCCCGTAAATGGCTCGCAGGAGATGATCCCTTATATGCTCCCCTGAGGAGTACGGATCCAAAAATTGCCCAAACTCCCAGTAATGTGTCATAGATTTCTTCATGCGTGGGCGCGTTGTTGGGTCAAGAACACCGTTCCCAATGCGAGGACCAGGGCCGTTCTCCTCTCCATACTTGACGAGCTGACCTGAAAGGTTGGCGAATTCTTTTGATACGTCTGTGGCCCATGGAACAGCTGGGAAATGAACAGGCGATCCTTCCATTTTGGTACGGAAAAATACAGTATTACCATGATGTGCCTTGTCACCTTGTAAAGGTGCCAGACTTTCGCCATATTCGTTCCTAGATTCGCGGCCAAACAAGGTCTCCGCTCCTGCGAAAACTCCCAGGATGGCTTTTCCTGAGCAGTCGATGAAATTGGGTGCCGAGAGACGGATTTCACGTCCACTCTTCGCATCACGGGCATCAACAGAGGTAATCTTCCCTTCGACGGTTGCAGCCGAGTATACGGTATGCTCCAGGAAGACACTTGCTCTAGACTCGGCCTGGAGTAGCTGAATCGCAATTAAATCACCATTCGCATGACGCTCATAGATTTCGTCGACAATTCGCCCAACCTTTCCTCGCGGACGTAGCCCAATCTCTGGGCTCGCGTTGCCGCCCAAAAACGGACGATCATGAACCAGGGCCACGCGCTCTCCTAACCGTGCCGATGTTAGAGCAGCAGTGATACCAGGCACTCCGCCACCCACTACAATAACATCAAAAGTTCCTACATCGACTGGTTCATTTGGAAGTCCTCGTAGACGCCTTCGCCATGAGCGGTGTGTCTCGTCGGCCGCCTCGGGAGGAGGAGTATCGCCAGTACTGAAGAACAGAGCGTCGCAGCGGCCGCAGAATCCGGTCAAGTCATGCAGCGCAAGCTTGACTGAGCCCGAGAAAAGCTCTACCCGTCCTCCGAATTGCCAATTCCAATCTTTATCATTTTCGCCAAAGACTGTATCAAGGACATGTCCATTGATAATCAGGTTGAATCGACCCGGGTGATGATCGGGAACCCAATCCTTGGCACGAACCCATATATTGTAATTTCCCGATTCGGAAACGTTGACTGTGGTTGTTGCATCTGCTACTGGCTTTCCATTTCCGTGAGCCAGAAGATACGGTGATCCCATCTCTAGCTCGAATTGAGAATCTAAAACCCAGCCGCCGAATTCATCAAACGACTCAGCCTCTACAAGGAATTCGTGATTTCTGGGAGCCATGTTACAAGCAATGGGACAAGAGGGTGTCCACTATTGACATTGAAGTTGATAGCAGCGCAGTGGATATAAAGTAAGGCTCGGTAGTCGAGATTTTAGCGGCGATATGAATCAAATGTGGGTTGGTGATGTGGGTTGGTTTGTAGATGAAATGATTGATTGATTAGCGTTTGTTCAAGGCCAGTTATATACATCTTGCGGCCTCGGCTTACCCCACAGTATTGAAATAGTAATCAGAACCGAGTTTATAGGGATAAATGGATTTTCTAAAGCCGGATTGTTACCGGAAATCGCCCACATAAAGGGAATCGAGGTACAAACAAAGAGAAACACTGACTAAGTCAACTAAGTGATGTCAGAGGAAGGCCAGCATGGAATTAATAATTGATCAAGCCAATGTTGCTAAGTTGAGTCGGTAGATATGCCAGAAGCTCTACTATGATGGAGACTGGGCCAACAGAGGGAACAAGAAAGGTGTGGTTGAGTGGCCTTTGTAAATGGTCCATATGTCACATCTAACGAAAAGAAATGGCTTGAAAGTGCTTCAGTGAGCAAGGAGAGGCAATAAAAGAAAAGGAGGATTTCATTACGGAGTAGGTATATATATATCATGTCACAACAAGCAGAAGGCAATGAGCCAGCAGTGGCTGAAGCCCTTTATAAGTTCAGAAGCATAACATCAAGATGCAGGTGGGAATACTCAGAAATTGTAATTGGTATTGCGCTTGAACAAATAGAGATTATATTTTCCCACTCTACTTTCTATTGTTCATCTCTTGTAGTATTTCAATGCCATTCTGGACTAGAGTGATGAGATACATTATTACCCTGGAGCCATCCGAACCTACGCTTTGCCCAACGTAAACGATATAAGTGAGACCAAGCTACTCCATACAGAGATGAGTATGATAGATGTACGTCATATGAAGCATAATTGATACGATATAGAAAATGGCATAAATCACAGGAACCAGCACACAGTCATTTCAATAACCGGCCTTGTTCCGGATACCGCGGATACCGAGGCTGCTGCGAAACACGGCGCCTTCAAACGCTTAAAGAAGCGCGAGAGGCGATACAAGTGGTGACTCAGCCTGATTATGTACACATGGCTGGCGCAGAAAAAGATGGACCTTTCCATTGTACCTCCGGTCCGATGAATGGCCGAATCGCAAAAAAACCACCCCGCCAAATTCATCTCTGAGTCAATCTGCCCCGCGATAAAAGGACATTTTGGTTCGATAATAAAAAAAGTCGAGAGCGCAACGGCCCTGCGAATTGCATCACCACCGACCGCAACAGGAAAGCAGAAGCAACGAATCAGACACTCGAGCGACACGCAACACAAGACACAAGGGGAGCGCCATGGCCGCCGCAGACGCATCCGAGAAGCTCGCGCTCATCCGCGAGAATCTTGCAGAGATTCTGAACCCGGAGATTATCGAGAAGATCCTGGACGAGGGCCGCCATCCCAAGATCTACTGGGGTATGTTTGGATGCTCATCTGATTGTGTCGTCTGAACCGAAGAGACGGAATGTTCAATTCGATACGATTGCTAACAATGGACGCTGCCTCTTAGGAACTGCGACAACCGGCCGCCCTCACTGTGGCTACTTTGTCCCTGCCATCAAGATTGCTCAGTATCTGGCCGCCGGCTGCCATGTGACGATCCTCCTCGCCGACATCCACGGGTTCCTCGACAACCTCAAGGCGCCGATCGAGCTGGTCGAGTTGCGAGTCGAGTTCTACCGATTTGTCATCAGCGCCATCTTCAAGGCCGTCGGCGTGTCGACGGAGAAGCTCAAGTTTGTGCAAGGCAGCTCGTACCAGAAGAGCCCCGAATACATCATGGACGTCTACAAGCTGTCGTCTGTCATCTCAGAGCACGATGCCAAGAGAGCCGGTGCTGAGGTGGTTAAGCAAACGGACAATGCGCCTCTGTCTGGTCTGCTCTACCCCATTCTTCAGGTAGGTGGCGTCGCAATCATGGCATTGATGCGAGGCCAGTTCTTTGTGCTGAATCAGTATGCTTGCAGGTTCTAGACGAGCAGTACCTGGATGTGGATGCCCAGTTCGGCGGTATGTAGAGTATTACCCTGTCAATCGAGTCAACTTGTTGCTGACGTGCTTTAGGTCTTGATCAGCGCAAACTGTTCATTGCCGCCAAGGACTGGCTACCCAAGCTGGGATACAAGGAGGTGAGCCAGCGGACTATCCGACCACCCCTCACTTCGAATCGTCTCTAATAAACATGATGCAGCGATGCCACCTGATGAACCCCATGGTTCCCGGCCTCAAGGGTGCCAAGATGAGCTCAAGTGACGAGGGTAAGGGACCCCTAGTCACCCAACAAGGATGCCCAGGATTTGACACTGACTTCTGATGTGCAGACAGCAAAATCGACCTTTTGGATGCCCCCGATGTCGTCGCCAAGAAGATCCGCAAGGCTGTTGCCACCCCCAAGGTGGTTGAGGAAAATGGCATCCTGGCCTTTGTCGAATACGTTCTGCTGCCGGTAGCAGCTCTGCGTGGAAAGCGAGAGTTTGTTGTTGACCGTGAGAGGGACGGTCTGGAGCCATTGGTTTACAGCACCATTGCTGAGATGCACGAGGATTACAGGAATGACGTGGTATGTATTGGTCGAATGATCTGTCAGATTGTTTTCATGACTTGAACAAATACTGACCAACTCAACAGCTGTCACCACAAATTCTCAAGGCCGCAGTCACAAAATCACTAAACGAGCTGTTGGCCCCCATCCAAGCAGAGTTCCAAGCGTCAAAAGAATGGCAGGAGATTGCCATTAAGGCCTACCCCCCACCAGCAAAGAAGGAGAAGAAGGTCAAGGACAAGGGCAGCCGCCACCCTGGAAACGCAAAACAAAAGGAAGGGCAAATAGACGTCAAGGATCTGAAGGAGGCTGTGAATGAGGTCCAGGGGTGACAATGTAAATACGAACAGTGGCATTCGCAAAGGGAGCGGGCGCTTTGACAATCTTCAGACTGCGGCATAGACGAGCAGGGCGCAAAACATTCTAGAATACCCGATATATACGGAGTACATGCAGTTACGAATACATTTGGTCTTGATACCTGGTATCAACTCGTTTGCAGAGTCATAATAGCCTCACCGCTGGCGTCATATGCTTTTCCAAAACCCGAGTTTTCTCTGTTTACGAGTTGCAAGCCTTGCCTCGTCTTAATCCTCATAAAAGTATAGTCAACTCGCTACTTCTCCTTCACTAATCTTGCAGTATTTGTCAACGGAATCAAAGCATGAGCTAACTCATTCCCCCGAAGCCTGTGCATCTACTGTGTAGGGTGTGTCACCTTAACTAACTGCAAGTGGTGTAAGGCTCATACACATCTAGAGTGCTCGTGGTTTTCATAATAGTGATAGGAGGATTTGGATTTAGATTTGATTAAGATATTTGACATTGCCAAATACACATGTGTTGAAAACTCCAGTCAACTATCCCACCTGTCGCAAGTAGTAGAAATGAGGATACTTCTGTTAAGGTATACCAATATGCCATGCTCACTTTTGTGAATAAGACAAGAGATGGACGCTATTAGAGTTAAAAGAAAAAGAAAAGAAAAAGAAAAAGAAAAAGAAAAAGAAAAAGAAAAAGAAAAAGAAAAAGAAAAAGAAAAAGAAAAAGAAAAAGAAAAAGAAAAAGAAAAAGAAAAAGAAAAAGAAAAAGAAAAAGAAAAAGAAAAAGAAAAAGAAAAAGAAAAAGAAAAAGAAAAAGAAAAAGAAAAAGAAAAAGAAAAAGAAAAAGAAAAAGAAAAAGAAAAAGAAAAAGAAAAAGAAAAAGAAAAAGAAAAAGAAAAAGAAAAAGAAAAAGAAAAAGAAAAAGAAAAAGAAAAAGAAAAAGAAAAAGAAAAAGAAAAAGAAAAAGAAAAAGAAAAAGAAAAAGAAAAAGAAAAAGAAAAAGAAAAAGAAAAAGAAAAAGAAAAAGAAAAAGAAAAAGAAAAAGAAAAAGAAAAAGAAAAAGAAAAAGAAAAAGAAAAAGAAAAAGAAAAAGAAAAAGAAAAAGAAAAAGAAAAAGAAAAAGAAAAAGAAAAAGAAAAAGAAAAAGAAAGAAAGAAAAAAAAAAAAAAAAAACTTTAAAAACATATTTCGCTGTTTAAATTTATGTTTATGCTATTTATTTATATGTTACAACACAGAAGCAGCGGCATCTCTGTATACATTAAGCCATCTTAGTTCTTATGCAGCCAGAGCTTCTAATACCCGCCCAGTCATGGCCAGAACCTTTTCTTCTTCCAGCCGCCGCGCCACAAGCTGTAAGCTGATGGGCAGCCCATGCATCAAATCAGCATCGTCTATGCATCGCACTGGTTAGCATCATAGTCACGTCAGAGCTCTTATAATGGATGATAATACGTACAGGTTTCGTGAATGTCTTTGCATTCGTCGCTGAGGGGAGTGTAGTCTTCCCGGCGTACATCGATGCTTCCATCTACATCCAAGCCGGTAGGGAATGAGACAGCAGAGTAGTCAAGCACATTGTAGACACCGGTGTATCCCACTGTGATTGTTCATCCCATCATTAGCAAACAGTATCCAAAATGCACAGAGGCAGGCGAAATGATCACATACCGTGCTTAAACGTCCCGCTCTTGACAGTGTTAAAGGGTATTGTGGGTAGTAAAAGAGCGTCAAGACCGGCCTTGTTCCATCTATCCAAGTGGCGATTCTGGAAATCAGTCCTCTCCAAGTGCAGCTTCCACATCTCCGCAGTGCTGAGTTCTCGTGCAACGCCATAGGGTGCCATCTCGGTCCTCAAGGGCTCACCAGTTGGCTCCAATTGTGACTTGATAGTCATGCCGCCATCAGCCACAAACATGCGCTGCATCAGCAGGTAGCCCTCGGCCTGGTCAGCATGATCCCACTCCACAATCTCATGGCCAGCGGCCTTGAGCCTTGAGACTGTGTGCTTGAGCGCGCGAGCTACGGGCGCCGTGGGCTGTACCATGCCATCGTGCCACATGACGCCAATCCGGAGCTTCGAGGGAAGCTCTGCATCTCTCCAGGGGATCGGCACACATTTGGGGTCTCGGAGCCAGGGTTGGGCGTTGATGACAGCCTTGCTATACAGCTTGACGCCCTCAAGTGTAGGGGCCAATGGGCCATTGACAGAGGCGACAGCTTCTTGGCCTGGCATACCGGATCTGCAGTTTCGTACGGGGAAACGGCCGGACGAAGGACGAAGTGTAAAGATGCCTGTGCAGGCAGCTGGAATTCTAAGTGAGCCGCCTATTGTTGTTGCATGTTAGCTATGTTTTCTTTGTCCTTGCTATCGGCGCTCAGGGAGGTGGAGGGAGAAATCCGCTTCCAATTTTGCTTCTTATCCCTCTCCCCTCTCTCATTGTGGATGTGATGCTCTTACCAATATCTGATCCAACACCAACGGGGCTGCCCTTCATGACAATGAGCGCAGACTCTCCTCCAGAGCTGCCACCGCTCGTCGTTCGCCTGTTTCTCGGGTTCAAGGTGCGTCCGAATACATTATTGACCGTCTCAGCAATCATCATGGCTGTGGGCACATTCGTCTTGACATAGAAGACGGCGCCAGCCTCGGCCAGAATTTCGGCCAGCGTTGCGTCGGCCTTGGCTGGATCGCCCACATGCACCGCCATACCCACCGTAGAATCAACGTTCTGGACGTTGATGTTGTCCTTGAGCGAGATGGGAAGGCCGTGTAGAGGGCCCATCGGCTTGCCTGTTTCCGCAAAGTATTCGTCTCGAGCGCGGGCCATGGCGATGGCGCGATCGAAGAAGATTTCGGATAGACAATTTGTCTAGGCTTGGTTAGCACAGAGCAACCAGGAGGAGAATAGAATAGAAAAAGTGAAACAAGAGAGACAAGGAAGGGGAACCTACAAGCTGATGCGCCGCAGCTGCTCGCTTGCAAAACGCCTGGGTAACATCCAGCGACTTCAAAGCACCTGTCGCCAGCTTGGAGAGGAGCTCTTCAGCAGTCAAGCTGGTGATGGCCAGCTCTTCCTCTGTGAACCATCCAGACGCCTCAGGCCAACCTGTCACGTCGTCTTGTGAATCTGGAGGCATCAAGTTTTCTGGGATGCGCCATTCTTTAGGTATAGAGGCTTGCAACTCGCTGCGCTTCTTCGCGCTGAGTTCCTCCCACGATGGCTTTGCACCACTGGCAGCATTTACACCGTTGGCCGCACTGTTGGCGCCGTTGGTGAGGTTGGAATCTCCAGAGACTGTCATCTCGACGTGATCTTTGTTTGTTACTTTCTCTCTTGTCAAGTATATTCGTCAAGAAAAAAAGACGAAGAGGAGGCGTTTGGGAAAGAGAGTATGTTCAATCACCGGCAGTGGCTTGGAAGAGGACAAGGATAAGGTTAGAGTCGGGGCTTGTTACTTGAGCCGTCGCTCTTGGGCCTAATGTATCCTTTTTTTCTCTTCTCTCTTTTTCTCCAAACGGTTCAAGGCGCCAAGAACAAGCCAACATTGGCCGCACCCGATGCCGGATATCCTGTCCGGGATGCGATAAACACGCATGTTTCCATTTCATCAGGCTTTACAATGAATGGCTTGAGGCTGGCCCCGTGCGGGGTCTCTCGCATTTCCGGGGTCAGAGGATCCGTCTTGCCATGGGTCTCGTTGCCGATACGAATGCATGTTCCTTCGAAACGAGCAAGAGATTGAACTAATTCATCTCCAAAAGGTGGATCAGTGGCTGGGGGGGGGGGATCCGATGCCATGATTCTGTCCTTTTCCCGAGGAGAGATGCGCCTTCTTCTCCACCAACTTATCGCTCCGCATGCCGAGGAGATGTGATGATAGATTGATTGCCTGTTTCGGCATGGACGATTCCATGTGCGGCACTGCATTAAGGTTCTGATACCATATCTTTTGGTGTGGAGATGGCGAAGAGGAGGGGCGTGCTCTCAACTAGCCGCTGGTGGCTTGATGCCATGTACCCCAGCTTTTAGTTGAATTGTTGGATATCTAAACACTGGTTCGAAAGACGATATTCCTGATAGGGATAAATGTGAGGCATTGCTAATATCTTGCTCAGGTCGCGGATGATTCAATAGTTGATACTAGCACCGGCATGATATCCAGTCTTGTCCCCGAGCCCTAAGCTGAATGTTCAGCTGAGCAAACACGGTGACAATGTTTTAGCTTAATCAGGATGATTATCAGCCGTGTTCATGGGGCTGTGAGCACGGATCTGTCTGGGATGCACAGCCAGTGGCGGCGCATCAGGCCGAGGGAACGAGGTGAGACCTGTTTTAGTAGCATTAGCGCCTCTATTAGCTGTTGGGATGCTCAAGGAGTGAACGACGACAAGGATAGCGACGGGTTTGCGGTGAGGGATGCTTGCGTAGGTATGAATTGCTCAACATTCTGTAGTATGTACGTAGGCGTCAGGCTTGTTAATCGACATAACTTTGACACTCGGACACTTGATGGCACAGAACGGAACAATGACTCGGTAAAGACGAAAGGTCACTTCATAACAAGATACACGCATCTGTGTTTATATGATGATGCACCAAACAGCATGAAAGAAAAGATAGAATTGATCATGTTGTCCTATTACTTTGCGTAAATAGACTGCCTTCATAAGGTAGAATTTAGATAGTATCAATGTAGATTATCATGCACATTACCGACGCTACAAGGAGTGAATGCAAGTAGTGCTAGCTGAACGGCAAGTTATACTACTACCAACCTATTCACACAGACCAAAGCCCGAGTCCTCGGTAAAGTAAGTATTACGGTATTAATATCATGAATGGATGAAAGATGTTGCCAAAAAATTATTGTCCAATGGCCTTTCCGTATACTATTGTAAAGTATTGACAGACACAAATTGCCAGTACCCTTTTCGTCTGACGAAAAGCATCAATAAACATAATTCCCTAATCCGTTCCGTGCTGCTGAATTCAGCATATACCCTTTTAATAGCCCATAAAATAAATCGTATATCCTTCCAAATGAAAAAGAAAAGAGACAAACTACCTAGAAATCGCTTTCATCTCGCCAATACAAAGGAAAAAATAAAAGTAAATTAAGAAAAATAAAAAAGATCAACCACCCGTCTCCTCTATTGGGCTACACCAGTCGTTTCATCTTCCACCGGTCCTCGCATCTGGCCAAGCCATCTGGGTATCGTCGAACGCCTGCATGATTGCAATTATGCCAGTACGCCCGTATAACATCACACTGCTTCACTGAGCTCGCGTTGATACCGGCCAGATACGCCGGAACGGCCATGTGAATGTAAAACTGCGAAGATGAAGACGTTGCTGCAATGATCTGACACGTCCGGTCGACCGCCAGGGAAATCGTAGCTGCCTTAGACTCTGCTGAGGGCTCCTCATCAACGCGTGTCAGCACAGCAATGACGCCGGCGCAGCGATAAGCATCAGCTGAACGGTCCCAGTCGGTAGAGCCTTGTCCAAGCTTAAGAAGCTGCTCCATGGCGAGAATCGCGCTGTTGGACGGATTGGAGGCCACCTCACCACTCGCCACGCGAATAAAGAGCTGGAAAGTGTCGGCTGGACAACCAACCGTGCGGAAGAAGCTATCTGTCAGGAGCTCGCGGTGCCAGCTCTCGAAGATAAGGTCTGAGGTCCCCCGGATGATGCTACCCGTGGTGTCGAACCAGACTAGACGAACTACCATTTCGCTCAGGCCGGTGACGCTTCGCGATAACGTGTCTAACTCAGCCCGGCTCTTGCAATGATAGTCTAGCAACGACTTGGCACCGTAGAGATGGCGCTGCCAGTCGCCAAAGCCGCTGTCGCACACCTCAAAGAATGCAAAGGCCGCGATGCCGATAAAAGCAAAAGGGTTGGTCGCCTTTAGCGTATCCTTGAGGCTGATGAGGGCGTCCAGCCGGTATCGCGCCATGGCCTCCGACTCCCACAAGTCTCCGGCGCCAGTCGAAGCTCGAGCCGGATGGCCATCGATACGGGACTGGACAAAGTCGCGCAGCCGCGAGATAAGGCGCAGGGCTTCGACGGACAGATAGTGGTTGCTCCGCAACGCATCGCCGTCCAGCGAGATGATTTGCTGGCACAGCGATACCAGCGGCCGGATGAAGCTGTTCTGGTCGGCCTCGGACCAGTTGATGGGCTCGTCGCCGGGGCTCAACGCCGGGCGGTCAGGCGGCGACAGCGAGGAATCCGCCGGGCGATCCGGGGTGTGACCCGAGTCGCTGGATCGAGACAGCGTCGACTGCGATCTGGCCTGGCGAGGGCGCGTGCTGGACGGGGACGTGGACGAGCCATCCTTTGCCGACGAGCTGGCTCCGACCCAGATGACTCGCTGCGGATAGCCGCCACACGGCACACCGGCAGCGATGCACTGTTACACACACTTGATGAGCATTGATGGAATGTCATGCCATGTCATCTGGAAAGGGGGAGAGCCAAGCAACAAGGCGCATAAGACACGAGGCATGAGATAACAAGGACTGAATGAGGGCATACCCACTTCTCCACACGAAGGTCTGTTCAGATCGCACTTGACGTCTCTTAGCTTGCAGCTGCGACAGTCCCGATCCCGGCGCATGCCACGCGGCTTTCCGACTGGCTTGCTGCGCTGCTGAAGAACCCCATCCTTGGTGTTGGAAGTTGAAGCCATTCCCAGCTTGCTCGATTTGGTAGGTTGTCAAATGGCAAATCGGGAAGGCAACCAAAAGAGGGCGAAGACAACAGGGGAGGGAGGGGGGAGGGGGGGTGGCGGGTGTGAGCTAACAAGGAGAGGGGAAAATAAGAGGAGAAGGGGAAAGGAGAAGAAGAAGAAAGGTGAAAAAGAGAAAAGATCAGGGGATGTCTAGCATCTCGATGCGTGGTGTGGATAGATTGTATGTATGTAGGCGAGCAAAGGATTTGGTCCGTCTGCGGGGGTTGCAAGGAACCGATCTCGTTATCGCAGCTCCATAGTGCGACTCTGGTTAATTGCTCGGCAGCCTACCGGAGTTCGAGGCCTGTTTCTCCGCATGGCAGAGAGAGGAAAAGTTGGAAATTAGCAGTTCTCAGCGACGAGATGCTGCCAGCTCTCGACAAACGGATGGAGCCTTGCCTCGAGAGCCTCGAGTTCGGCCCCCAGTTACCCCAGCTTTTCCCTTCCAAAGAGGGGGCTTTTGTGCTTCCCCACGTTTGATGATTCACCGGCCGGTGACTGATGACGCCCTCGTCAAGTAGCCCTGAGACTAGAAGTATCAGTACTAGTGCCATGGGTTGTCGAGTTTCCTGGAAACATGACAATGCATGGCTCGAACCAGCGCTAAAGGGTTCCATGCCAAACCCCAACAGGGGTCTAAACTCGGCCAACTTTTTAGTTTAAACACCACTCAGTTCTAAGAGTCAGCCATTCCACTAAATGGGCGTATCTGGCACTTGATCCAGTCCATCACCGCTCTCACGCGACAAGCCGAAAAGGCGCGCGAACTCGCACTACATGTCCTAGTATCTGGGCATCGTACTAGGCAGAGATTGGAGATAACGGGGGTGGCTGAAAGGCGTCTCTTATCTTGCCACTACGATACTACTCTCTTGTTTTTTTTTATTGCCGGGCACTGATTCCGTTCACATGGATATTTTTTTTTAGCCGACGACGAGGGGCGCTTGACAACAAACGACTATCCGACGGGGGTGTGGCCGATTACTGATGAGGGATCATCCAGCTCATAAGATCCACCAAACACCCTCGTATTCTTCTTCCAGAGATTGACCAGCAAAGAGAAATCTGTTCCCAGGATCTCTTGAGGCGTATAATTTCTCGCTGTCCTTGTCCGGGAAAAATCTTCACAGACCTCTTGTCTTGTTCTAAGAGAGGAAACCGGAGGTTGCTCGACCCTCCTCGGCAGTTCAAAATGGTGCACCAAAAAGTCCGCGACTATTTCCACACGGATTATAAGCCTGGAGAACGCACGCTGATACGCAAGATTGACTTTTTCATCTTGACGTTTTGCTGTCTCAGCTACTTCATCAACTATGTACGTGCTGTATCCGGTCTCGTAAGCACATATGTCAGCTAACCAAAGTCTCACCAGCTTGACCGCTCCAACCTAAACAATGCATACCTGTCGGGCATGAAAGAGGACCTGGGCTTTGTTGGCAACCAGCTCAATGTAATCAATACTTGCTTCACAGTTGGGTAAGTGACTACTTAATCTTGCACTCTCTTGGTAGAGATGGAGGGAGTTGTGGAGAGACAAAAAAGACTGGTAGTTAACAAGATCGGGCTCATAGCTACGTTTTGGGCCAGGTCCCCTCAAATCTCTCCCTCTACTATGTCAAGCCACGCATTTGGTTCCCCTTGATGATGCTCTGCTGGGGCGGCCTCACCATGGTCACGGCATCTGTCCACAAACCGCAATCCATCATGGCCATCCGTTTCTTCCAGGGAATTTTCGAGGCATCTACCTTTGTCGGCACGCATTACATCCTGGGTGCCTGGTACACGGAGCGCGAACTGGGCAAGCGCAGCGGCATCTTCACTTCATCTGGCCTGGCTGGCAGCATGATTGGCGGCTTCATTCAAACGGGTATTCACTCAAGCCTCAACGGCCGTGGCGGACTCGCAGGATGGCGCTGGCTTTTTATCATCGACGGCCTTCTTACCATTCCAGTCGCACTGTATGGCTTCTTCTTCTTCCCAGACACGCCCAGCAACACGACCGCCTTTTATCTCACAGACGATGAGAAAAGCCTGGCCATTGCCCGTGTACCCGTTGTTGAAGAGCATTCGCCCATTACTCTGCGCTTCCTTAAGAAGGTCCTACTGTCCTGGTACTGGTGGGGTTTCGTCATGCTCTGGGTCATTGCCGGAGAGACAGAGTCGTTTTCTTCAAACGGACTTCTTGGACTCTACTTGAAGAGCCACCCCACAACCAAATACACAGTTTCTCAACTAAACAATTACCCTACTGGAGTTCCTGCTGTTGGCATTGTTTCGACTTTGTTCTGGGCCACACTGACAGACTTCCTCAATGGTAAGAGATACCTTGTAGGATATTTCATTGGAATCGTGGGAATTTCTACATCCATCATGATTCTAGTGGCATCACACAATCCAACAAGCTCTCACTCTACTACGGTGACAATGGTGGCCCTATATATATCCGGCAGTGTCTATGCCTGTCAAGCAACCTTCTTCGCCTGGTGTAACGACTCCATGAGATACGAAGAACACGCGTTCCGAGCAGTCGTCCTTGCTGGCATGAATCTCGGGAATAACGCAATAAATGCGTGGTTCGTATTGTTTTTATATCTTTGAAGCGATTGTTGTGTTATTTACTGACGATGTGTTGCGTTTTGCAGGTGGAGTATTATTTTCTACGGAGCCTCCTATGCGCCGTGGTTTATTGTGAGTCTTGCTACTTCTGACTAAAAAAAAACTTTAAAAACATTACTAATCCAGCTTACAGCGAGGAATGTGGGCTATGATCGCTTGTTGTATTGCCCTTGTGATTTGGACGGCGCTTTTGGCTTATACAGACCGACGCGATAGAAAGAAGCGTGAACTTGACGAAATTACTGGCAGATTAAGCATTACGATTGAGAGTAAAGAGAAGGAGTAGTGTGGCTTTTGCAAATCAGGTGTTTAATATTGATGGGGATTTGTTATACTTTGATCTTTGCTGGAGAATATACTTGTGCTGCTTTTTTTTTGCACCCTACCTAAGAGCACTGCAATCGGACATTGCATTTCTCAATTCCAAAGTGACATTTCTAGGATTTTTAGCCGCTGGCATCTCTCTGACCTTATCTGGCCAGGCAACAGGCTTTTTGGATTGCAAGTTTTTCTTCAGTATCTCGAACATGTGTTCGACAGATGATGACTGCGGATAATGGCTACAGCTAATGATGACGAGAACCATTTTGACAACTTTAAATACACCAACCACAGGACGAAATGGTCCGTGGATTTGCCCACAGGTAGAGACAAAGTTGGGAAGAACAATGCATGTTTATATTTTTTTATTGGAAGATGACCTCCCCAACGTCTTATTAGCCGCCGTTGGACATTATTTTATTTTAGGCTGGGCAATATTACCTACCACCCAGGTCCCTGTACCAGTAGGCTCTTGTTATTCGTCTTCAGAATTGCTATTGTCCATTTCCTCCTCAAGGCTGGTTTCATATTCGCTCGCCTCCGGGTTATTTGGGACGGTATTCATCAAGTGCAGCACCCCAGCGACTAAGAGGAGTTCCAAACGAAGTAATAACGTATAATAAAAATCTTTCATTACCGTTACTTAAATAGATAATATACAGTTCCTAGAGTATCTGCTACTATCGATAGTTTCTGCTACTATCGATATAATCCTCTAGCAGGGATCTGTTATCATTACTACCCAGGCGGCTTTAAATATGAGAACGGCAGGCCGAATAGCTCATAAGACGGAGCATCGCCAATCGGTGGCGATGACAGCGCCATCTCCATGATACCTACGCCTAAGCGCCGACTTGATACCAGCGAGATCTCTATATCAGCACCAAAGCGGCTCGTACAAAACGCTTCGCCGATCCCCAAAGGTGTCCAGCCTAAAGAATCTATGGTGGATAGTCTTCGTATAACCCTTAAAGCGCTTGGTCTTCCGGAGAGTATTGCAGCACCAAACGATACCGAGTGGAGCAGTATTCCTATCGGAATCCTTCAGACCACAGAGGTTAAAGAAGACATCCAGGGATTCATTCGAGAATTCAGAGCCAAACTGGCCAAAGTCAGCAGTCGACCCTACGGCATTTGTCTACGATAAAGGTCGTAAAAACTAGCATACGCGTTGTACTTCCATAGATACTCTCTAGGCAAAGTTCCTGGAAGAGATCAAGCCGCTGGTTAGAGAGTCATATGACTTTAGCAGTATGGCTAAACCGTCTGGTCCGTTGGGAGCAGTTTTACATATTCAATGGTGAGTATAATATGCAAGCTGAATATCGCTGATCTACTGTATAAAAAAGATGATGAAGACTTAGCCGATGCAGTAGCATGTGTTGAGGCCAACTGGGCACATGCTACCCAGATGGATGCAGAAGCGCAGGAACAAATGATTCAACATATCCGCTGTGAGCATTTTGCTTATACCAAATCATGTTTGAAGTAGGCATCTAGCTAGTTTCTGAAGTATGTTCTACTCTTGCTACTGTCTGCTACTATCTGCTACTATCTGCTACTATCTGCTACTATCTGCTACTATCTGCTACTATCTGCTACTATTTATATATTCCTTTAATATCTGCTGTTATTACAACCCACTGGCCGGCTGCTTTAAATGTAAGAATGGGATGCTGAATAGCCACTCCCTATATTTACTGTGACTTACCTATTCGCCGTACCTTTATGCTCCCTTGGAAAGTACAGAACTTGGGAGCCAATATATATATATATATATATATATTATTGTCGGGCCATTTAATATTCATCTCGAAGACATTTGATACTCCTGAATTCCACCAATTCGTCGGAGTCAGGGATTACTCGCTGCCGCTGCCACGCAAGACCGCGCATCGCCAATCAGCGCCGACGATAGCGCAATATTCATGACATCTACGCCAATTAAGAAGATATCTCCAATTGCCATCGCCGCAGATCAGACATTTCCAATTGCCGCTGCAATTTCCGTCGCAACGCCAACACCGAAGCGCCGACTCAGTGCCAGCGAGAGCTCCGTACATGTACTAGCAGCACCCAAGCGACGACGAAGTGCGAGATTAAGCACTATTGCACAAGATATCTTGCCATCAACCAACAATGAAAGTGCAATGCCTATTTTTCCAACGCCGAGTTCTGTGTTACAATACCCTTCGCCAATAAACATCTGATCTACTAGAGAAACTCGATCTACTAGAGAAACTTTGATCTACTAGAGAAACTTGATCTACTAGAGAAACTTGATCTATACATGTTCTCAAATGCATCAAAAGAGGCGACCAGATTGGGGGTGGCTGGCGGTGGACGTTCTCTTGCTATAAAAAAATAATAAATATCTATCACATGTATTCTTCCCGACTTCGTCTTTAACTGTCCAGGCAAATCCATAAACTTGTCTTTACTGATGAAGTGTATTGTAAGATATTGTCGAATGAAGCTAAACAGGCCGCAGTAATAACCTCATGGCTGCAGATATACGAAAATAAAGGCGATAGGAACACTGACGGGAGAAAAGGTTCATACCACCATGTCATGTCACCTTTGGATGCGTCAGTTGGCAGACAGGGCTGAGGATAACTGAGAATCCCAGGTTGCCGCCTGGCAGGCTGTCCTAGATCACTTCCTCCTGACAAACGCACATAGAGGGAACGCGTTAACGCGCTAACGCGAGGCCCATTGACAACTAAACGTTCGCGTTTGAGATCTTTGAGGATTTCTTTTTCATCTTCTCTTCGTTCCTTATTCATGCACCTCTCTCCTAGCCCTCCCCCCAACCAACACATCACCATCCAACCACGTTGCGCTTCGCTCTCTGACATCGCGCACGCTTACTGCGTTGCAAAGAAAAGTTACAAACCAAGCAACAGAGTTACCGGCGGGCTCAAGACGGAAGATTTGAGGAAGACTGCCAGACGACCGTGATAGCAGACATGGAACAAGACCAGCCGAAATTTCTTCTCCGCCACGAGATTGCTCTCCTCGCAGCCCCCCGAACAGTGCAGCTTAAGGTTGAAATAACCGTTACTGATCAAGAGATGCCTGAAGGAGCGCCACAGGGCAACAACTCGTCCTCTTCGAGTGCTACGGCGACTTCTGACCATCATGAGGAAGAGGGAGAAGATGACGAAGAAGAAGGAGAAGTGCTCAATCCCGGAAGAGCATCAAACAAACAAAAAGCCCCTCTGAGCACTGTCGACAAAGAAGTGTCTATCAACAAGCGTCAGCGCCGGCCTCCGGGTGAAGAAGAGTTCGATATCGCAAAAGATGACGCTGGCGTAGGACAGGAAAGACAAGAAGCAGAATCGCGCTCCGATGCTACGAAACCGACGCTTAAAGAGGCCATTGCAAGGTTGAAAGCTCTTGCCAAGGAGATCATAGCAGATGCAGGAGAAGCCCGCAAGTCACAGGAAAACGCTACCGAGGCTACCGATGCCATGGAATCGGGGCAACACTAAGCCATCGGTGGATTGAATTGTTTGGGGAGAGGGAATATGGTGGTGTGAAAAACAATGGCGATACGGAATCACAAGAGGGAACTCTGGATTGGCGTTAGTTTGTGGTAGAGGCCGTCTCGCTACACAGAAATAAACATGCATTGTTTTTTCTGATTTTTCTGTCTTTCAAGTTCTGGCCTGACTTCCTGAACCTCGATTAGGGAACGTTTGAGATGGCCTCCTCTCCCGGATACTTTGTCCTCCCCGGCTGTGTATCCCATGTCGCAATCGTGACATACATGTTTAGTTCATGAAATTCTCCTCTAGGTATGTCGTGCCATTGATATACGATTGATTCTGTCCTGAACTGCATCCATTATATTCATATCGTATTGCTACTTCTTGATACTAATGTCTAACAGCCTCCTGTCATTGGAGACAGATATTAACCCTCATTGTCTTCCTTGCATTCTACTACCCAAAGAGCTATCTCGCCATTAGATGTTCTATTTTTCGAATCTGAATACTGTAGAAAACAACGCGAATTCACTGAGCGTGTGCGCGTGGGCGCGTGCTCACGCGTTTGCAATGAGATCTGAATTGACAGCTGCTGCAAACTGCCGGCCGTCCTACCTGTGGGAGCTTGATGGGGATCATGTGACTTTGCTACACCTGCTGCAGTTATTCTTCCTCCATTTCCAGTCGCTCTAGTTACTCTTTCTTCATTATCATTACATTCCAGACCCCAGTCACCTTGCTTGCTTGCAGTTGAGCTCTGTGCCCTTTTTATTCCCATTTAGTTTGTCTTTTGCCTTTGCCTTTTTCGCTCATGGTCTCTCTGTGATCTCTCTGTGATCTCTCTGTGATCTCTCTCTGATATCTCACAGACAGAGTTGGTGGCATGGATATGGGCATTCTGAATTCTGAATTCTGAAGTCAGCACTCTCATATTCTCCTTCAGCCATACTCTTTTGTCTCTCCATACTCGATGATCAACGTTTGTCTTAATTCCTCACTCCAAATAAGCTGATACTAACAGATGGACCCAGATGAGTAACGATACTACCCATGGCCCTCATTCTCCAGATGAGCTCTCTCCCAGAGTGTGTGCGACTATGTAGTGGACGGTCACTCTCGCGAAACGTTCCACCCAACTTATGGCTTCGGAACTCTTCACCAGCAGCTTCTGACTTATTGACATGCGATGGTGGGAACCGGTTAGTGACAACGCGTTTATCTGCTGATTCATAGCTAGATCTAACAGACCATTGCAGATTCCATGGACTCCGATGAGGAAGACGAAGAACCCGCTCGTGATGGACCGCATCTACCTCTCAGCCAACTGCTGAGACGCCGACACCAAAGCGAAACCATTTGGCGCTTCTTCGAGTAACAGTGCCGCTGGCCATGTTATGGCATTGGTCGATGCCACAGAGAAATATTTCAGGGCACGTTCTTCGACACAGAAGGCGAGAAAATACGACGCCAACACGGAGAAAGGCAAGCGATACAGTGCAAAATGGCCGAAGTTGAAGAAGACCCCAACAACTTTGAGAAAGAAGCAGGTGAACCCGTTTGCAACTCCAGCGGGTGCGTCGCGGGCCTCGAGCCAGAAAACCCTCGTCTCAGTACATGTGTTTGGCACACCAAGTGCCACTCAAAGCAAGCAACAAGGAGCCAGTATGTTTGCAGTGCCATCAACCAGCACTGGAAACAACATTGAACCAGCAGGCACCAAGTCTCTTCGTTGCATCATCCAACACAACTCAAAGCAATATGCAAGCAATGAGCTTCTTTGGTGCTCCTCTGAATTCCTCCCAAGGCCTCCAGACACCAGCGATGGCATTTGGTGCTGCTCCTGCTGCCACCCCCCAAGCCGCGCATTCGAATCAACAGGCACTGATGGCACCAGTTGCTGCCACACCAATCGCTACAACACCAATTGTCGCTGCCATAACATCGACGCCGAAGCGGAAAGCGATCAACTCCGGCAATCTCGAGAACGCCGCGAAGAAGACGCCATCAGCATCAACTACAATGAACGCCCAATGCCCTCAAAATTCCCAGGCGAATTTCCTTGCCCAAGCGGCAGGACTAGAAGCTACCAATGCCCTGCATGTGAAACGCTTGTGGCAAATGAAGGAAGGATCCAACAGCCTCCTCTTCCAAGAAAAGCAGAACCGGAAGCTTGTTGTAGACCATGAGAAGATCAATGGACGAGGCCACGGCACCTGCTGCTACCTTCCCCGAGACTCCAGCAACATATGGTGCAAATGGCAAGTGAGTTTGCCAAGTTGAAAAAAGGAAATGGACAGCTCAAGAAAGAGGTACACAAGCTGACAGAAGGGACCGTGGAACTGAGCAAACAGGTCGAAAGCTTGAGGGATGCCAATGAGGACCTCAAGACGGAGGTTAGCGGCCATACACATGAGTACTTCGCGATTGATGGTGCAGAGCCTGTCGAGCCTGTCGAGTCTACCGAATCTGTCTGCCGAACCTGCCATAGAGATTCCCTGCAGTGAGAGATGTCCGACACCATCGAATGGCAGAAACAAGATACCGCTCGTGGAAATTTCATCCTCCCCGCCGACATCAGAGGAAGATTCAACAACAGAAGAAGAGGATGCTGGAGAGGACGCAACCCAAAAGATCGTCGTCGAATCCAACAATGAGAATCGCCGTGATTCTATCTATTTGCAGTTGGCCAAGACTGTCGCCCAGAAGCCGGCTGCCAAGGGAGCACGCTGTGATTGCGCAATTGGGCAACTCGAAAAGAGGATGGACAAATTTGAAGCTGCGCTGAATGCTCTAGAGAAGAAGATGGACGAGAAGTCCGAAGCTCAAACTAATGAGCTTCGAGCGATTCGGAAGGCAGTCGAGGCATATGTGGAAGCCTCAACGAGCCTGTTGGAAATTGCCACTGGCAAAAGGCCTGCTGCTCCCGAAGGCGTTGATGTTTAACATCAATCGACCTCCATCTTATGGCCGCTACTTAAGTAGATACACGGTTCCTTGAGTATCTGATACTATCGCTACTTTCCGATACTCTCGCTACTTTCTGATACTCTCGCTACTTTCCGATCTCTCGATATATGCCTCTAGTATCTGCTCTGATCAATGTCTAGGTAATAAATTAGCATTGAATTTAAGACGCGGGATGCTGAATAACTAACTTGGGGTGCTAAATAGCCACATGCACTCATTTTAGTGCATGCCACATAATCAGGGGCAAGTCAGTGCCGTACAGCGTCTTGAGGATAATGTAAACGGCCCATGACGGGGAGCAGCCTTCTTTGATCTTCTCATTTTCGGCTATCATGAGCGGGTGTAATAATAGCTCATCTTCCCCTGAGGGAGGTATGAACGTATTTGATGCGAAATATAATATTTCGGATCTCTTCTTGGTCGGCCTGAGATAAAACAGTGGCTTGGGATTGGTATGCATATATGCAGTAAATGCCGTCTTGCCACTCCGGATCTCCTTTCTTGACCAGCTGTGGCGGTTCATAGACGACGAGTCATATAGGGTTCTTAGAGGAGTCTTCTTCTAACTTTAATTGGTATATACAACAAATGATCACAAGATGGGGAAAAAAAATTCCCCAAGGCACATGCAGGTAGCAGACGCGGACAAACACAGGTAGCAGAGAGCCTCATTGAGAACGCGCGTTTCACGTTTTTCTTTTTTCAGTCCTTGGTGTGAGGGTGAAGTGAATTGGTACAACTCCACAGGTACATGTAGTCAATTACCTTGGTTATCCCACGTCTCAATTTTTACTTCACGATCGACGCCTGCGGACGCAACTTCGATCCTTATTCTCCATTTTCTTTAATAGCCATTCTCCTTCTCCAGTGACCCTGAGACCAAACCAAGTGCCAACCATGCCACAGCTCAAGCCAATACCGTTGACCATGGACGAGTTGCAACTCTCTCCTGACGATGAGAGATATGCCGATGGCGCAGCTTGTGTGCGCAAATACTGGGCGCATGCTACCCAGCTCAATGTTTGGCAGCAGAAGCAAATGATCGAACATATCAAAAGCCACAGTTACGCAGTGGAACCTGCCGGAAGTCCTATACAATCACACAAGCTGTATCGCGAAGAGATGCTACGACACCAAATGCTTGGCTTAGTAGGCCTAACGTCGCCTCCTTACCTCATTCTATCAGCAGTATACCCCAAGTTGCCAGAGGAGTATGTGGAGGCAGTCAAGCTTGCATTTGGAACCTATGATATCGATGCAATCAATAAATATTTCAGGCTGCTGGGCCTCAAAAAGAAAGAGCAATTAGCTACTATCGCCATTAAAAAAAGCTCCCCATCCATCCAGAGGAAGCAACCAGCGTCGAGTTCTTTGGCCAAGCAGCGACAAATCAGCAGTGCAAGCTCGGCTCCTGGCAACGATATTTCCAGTCCCCCTCCGGTCTTGGAACACTTAGTATGTCGGCCTAATTTTATGTTATGGGCCTTTATACTGACCGAATCTATTAAGGATTGGCCTAAAGCAGCCTGGGTAGTAATAATAGCAGATATTAAAGGGTTATATATTTAGTAGTAGATAGTAGCGATAGTAGCGATAGTAGTAGATAGTAGCGATAGTAGTAGAAAGCAGCGAGAGTAGCAGAAAGGATCGAGAGTATAGGTAGATGCTCCAGGAACCACGTATTTATTTAAGTAAGTGTAATACAAGATCTTTATTCGGCGTTCTTACGACATTCTCAACTCTTTCTAGTAGCCGGGATGCTAGATACGGGCACATAGTTACTCCCAAAATATCAAGTCATGATGCAGTATCCCTTGGCGGCGTTCTTCAAATCGTCTAGTGAAACGTTTCGATGCTGTCCAGGTCACTTTTCGAGCTGTAGACCTACCTAGATTAAGCACATATGTAGTCTTTGGAAGGCCATGCTTGTCGAAACGGGTGTACTGTTAACAGAATATTATTTGCGATGTTATTGATGTTATCCTGAATGTCACTGGGTTTGCAGAGTTCTTTTACACAACAGAGTTCAATCTTGCGCTTTCTTGTTTCTTTGGTATTCGTAACATAGAGTTCTTGGTAATCCCAGGTGGGCACTTGAGATATGAACATGAAGTCTCTCTATACCATTTAGCCGAGTGAGCAGTTTCAGCGCAATATATCAGTGGTTCGCTATTCTGGTTTAATAAGATACATGAAATCCATAGGCCTCTATACTTTTTAAAGCACCAAGCACCTGGTGACCCGGATTTCTGATTTGCAAAAATTGAGTAGATATTCGCACTTTATACATTCCATCCAAGGTGACATCCTCAATGATATCACCTCACCAGATTCAGCTCACTTGCAAGAGACGCCGAACCTCACCAGCAATCGCATCACCAGCCTCCTTTGTCCCCGCTTCGCCTCCCATGTCCTTTGTCCGAATGCCGAGTCCACCGGCCTCTTTTGAATCGAATACCGTCTGAACTGCCTTTTCAATGGCGGCCGCCTCGTCCACAAGCACGCAGGAATACCGTAGAAGCATGGCCAGACTGAGGATTTGCGCAACCGGGTTGACAATGCCCTTACCAGCAATGTCTGGGGCACTCCCATGCACAGGTTCGTAGATGCCATTGCATTTGCCCTGCCCTGGAATGCCAGAAATGCTCGCGCTCGGCAGCGTCCCGAGACTGCCCACGATGCCACCCGAAATGTCAGATAGAATATCTCCAAAAGTGTTGTCTGTGTGAATCACGCCGTTGAAACCGCGAGGGTGCTTGACCATTAGCATAGCCATGCTATCCGCAAGCTGATGGCGCAGCTCAATATCTGGAAATTCTTTGTCAAAGACGTCTTGCGTGACTCTGCGCCAGAGCCTTCCGCTGGCAAGGACATTTGCCTTGTCGGCGCTCCACACAACAGCCGGGCCGTCGCCGCCTTTGCCGTCACCGTTCTTCCCGAGGATCCGGGCCACGGCGGCCGATACACGAGCGCAGCGTTCGACCTCCCGGGGCTCGTAGACCCATAGATCTGATGCGACTTCGGGCTTTTCGACTTTATCTCCAAAGTACGCGCCACCACAGTTTTCTCGGACGACGATGAACTTGGTGCCCTTGACGATGTCCGGCTTCAGAGGCGAGGCTGCAAGCAAAGAAGGGACCAGAATCTCACATGGCCTCAAATTTGCAAAGGCATCCAGCCGTTGCCGAAGACCCAAAATGCCGGCCTCTGGGTTAGGAGAAGCGTTTGCCCACTCTGGCCCGCCCACGCTGCCGAATAGCACGGCGTCGCTCTTGCTGGCCTTGTCGAGGACCTCTTCCGTCACGGGAACTCCATGCTTGTCGATGCTGCTGCCGCCAACGAGGTCAAAAGTGCGCTCAAACTTGAGATTGGGCCGACACTCTTCTACGACGTCGAGGACTTTGAGGGCTTCCGCCATGATTTCGGGGCCGACATGGTCGCCTGGAAGAACGAGAATGCGAAATGTCTGAGCCATTGTGTAGGACAGTCGTAGAATTGGTAATGCAACAGTAGTAAATTGAAATAATGAGTGACAGCAAATACTTCTAGCGCCTTCGGGGTTTTTGTTTTTCGTATGCAATGATAGAAGTCTGGCCCGGTAATCACCGTCCGTCTTACATCACATTCTATGCTTTCCAGACTCTCACTGGGTTTTACGTCGGCGTTTGTTCTGATCCGAGATCGGCTCTTTAGACGAAATGTTCCATCATTGCTTCAACACCCATGCCAAGGAAGTGGTAGGTCCCTGTGATCACAGGAACCAACTACCAGATAATTATTACTCAATCCATCTTCGTCCCACGGGGAACTATTACCCCCCGGACAACCCCGCAGCCGCGGAGAGGCAATGCAAACGCCCCTTCACAAGCTTCCCCACACAGCCGGTTTTAACCAAGAGTCCCTAGTCAGTGGATCTAAATTGGCTCAAGGGACGCCGCACTGTATACGGACTGACATGTTGATGAACCGCTTTGAAGTCATGGCGACGAGAGGGGTTCATGGTCGTGCATGATATCAGACAAAAACTCCTGCATCTATAGCTCTCACTTTCAATCATTTAGCAGTTTCGGTCTTTACTTTTTACTTTATTTCATTCTACAAGTTCTACAAACCCCTCCATCATAGCATTTTCTCCAACGATTCAAAAAAGAAATGTCGTCAGAACGTCTCGCGGGCAAGGTTGCCATCGTCACTGGTGCCGCTTCTGGCTTTGGTAGAGGCATTGCTACAAAGTTTGCCCAAGAAGGTGCCAAAGTTATCGTCGCGGATCTCTCAGAAGACGCTGGAAAGCAGGTTGCATCTGAGCTCGGCGGTGTCTTTATTCGCACCGACGTCACCCAAAAGGCCGACTGGGAGGCTGCTTTGGCGCTGGCTATCAAGGAATATGGACAGCTAGATATCGTTGTCAACAACGCCGGTGCTTCTTACTCAAACAAGGCAACGGAGAGCGTAACGGAGAAGGAATTTGACATGGTGATGAACGTCAATGTCAAATCTATCTATCTGTCGACACAAGTTGTTGTACCATACTTGCTCAAGGAGAACCGCCCTGGTAACTTCATCCAAATTGCATCAACAGCTGGAATCCGTCCTCGGGGTGGTTTGGCATGGTACAGCGCCTCCAAGGGAGCTGCCATCACCGCTACCAAGGCGCTGGCTTCTGAATACGGCCCCAAACAGATTCGGTTCAATGCTGTTTCTCCAGTAGTTGGCGTCACAGGAATGTGAGTGAATGTGCAGGCTATCATAATGTTACACCCTTTACTGACCATGTGTAACACGACAGGACCAATCTCTTCCTGGGATCTACGGATATCTCTACTTTTGTGGCGACGGTTCCTCTTGGTAGGCCGTCAACACCGGCAGACATTGCAAATGCCTGCTGCTATCTTGCAAGCGACGAGGCTTCATTTATTACAGGAGTGAATCTCGAGGTGGATGGTGGAAGATGCGTGTGATGACGCTGCTTACATTAATTGCAAACACATTTTGGCCCATTATCGCTCAGATTAGAATTTATTAAATAGACCGATTAATTGCCATGAGCAGACGCCTGTAACCGATGAATATGCTACCAAGCGACATTCTTACTGTATTCTTAACGCTGAAAGAGTATTAAAATATATCTTTGCGAGAAGTGATTCCAAAGAGTAGCAGGATCAAGTTTAAAGAAATGAGAAAGCTATCGCTATCTACCAAAGTTCGTACTTATTAATATTTATGGTCATCTCTGATTCATTCATAGGTTTTGATGTACAATGTTCGCGGAAACCACACCAATAGCTCCCTCTCGGCTCAAAGACTGCCGCTTTTCAAGTCACCATAAAATCATGCAGAGGAGTCCGCTCATCTAAAACATAGCAAACTTCCAGGAGAAAGACCTATGGAGCCGTGTTCGTATTCACAACACTCACTACCTACAAGCCTTCAATGGTAAACGTGCCACTCTTTGTGATCATAAACTCTTCAATGGCCACGTCCTTTCCACTCTCCTTGCCTGAACCACTTTCCTTGATGCCTCCAAATGGTGCCTCTGCTGAAGAGTTGTTTCCAGTGTTCTAGCCAAACTTGCATTAGCAAAAGTTTTCTCCAATAGGATACCAACCAGGCAACCACTTACCAAGCCAACCATGCCTGCCTCTAACAATTCAAAGAGCCTCCAAAGTCTATCCACATTCTTTGTGAAGGCGTAGCTAGTCAGGCCCATGGCCGTATTGTTTGCCCTTTGAATAACTTCATCTTCCGTGTCAAATACTGAGATTCCCAGCAGAGGTGCAAAAATCTCCTCTTGGCTCATGAGCATGTCGTCTGTGATGTTTGTCAAGACTGTGGGCTCCATGAAATATCCCCCACTGCCAGACGCATCTCTGAGGCCGGTGCCAAATACTATCTTTGCTCCCTTGGCCAGAGCATCTTTGGCCATCTCCTCGGCTCTATCAAGACTCCTTGGTGTGGTAACTGGACCCAGAGTGGTACCTTCGGCCATACCATGGCCCATCTTCAACAGAGCCGCAGCATTGATAACGAGGTCGACAAACTTGTCATACACGCCTCGTTGAACATAGACTCTGTTTGAGGAAACGCAAGCCTGGCCTGCGTGTCGCCACTTAAGTCCCATGAGTTGTCCAAGCGCCTGATCAAGATTGGCATCGTCAAAGATGATGAAAGGGCAATTGCCTCCAAGCTCCATGGTGGATTTCTTCAGATTTCTCGCACATAGACCGGAAATGATCTTTCCAACCCTAGTGCTGCCAGTAAAAGTTACTTTTTTAACAAGCGGATGAAGACAAAGTGCCTCTGCCAGCCCTGGCGTACCTTCAAGGCTCGTTGTAAGCACGTTGAGGGCGCCTGGAGGGAATCCAGCCTTCAACGCAAGTCGTGCCACGGACAGGGCCGTGATGGGCGTCTCAGGGGAAGGCTTGACAATCATGGTACAGCCAGCAGCCAGAGCTGCACTCGCCTTTCTAAGAGTCAGGGCTATGGGAAAATTCCAGGGCACGAGAGCAGCAGCAACTCCAACCGGTTGTTTGATGGTGACCGCCCTCCGACCAGGGATCGCCGAGACAATAGAAGATCCTTGAACTCGCTCTGCCTCTCCTACGAACCACCAAGTAAAAGTGGTTGCATAGTCGAGCTCGCCATAGGCTTCCGCAAGAGGTTTCCCCGTCTCGTGGACCAGAATCTTCGCCAGATCATCTCGTGCAGCGATAATCTCCTGGTGCCACTTTAGCAACGTCTGCGCTCTCTGCCTGGGCGTCCATTTTGAGTAGCTCTGGAAAGCTCGATGTGACGACCGAACCGCAGCATCGACGTCTTCTTCGCGACAATCTGGACACGACGCCCAAGATTTTCCAGAGCCAGGGTCAATGACATCGAAACGTTTGCCGGATTTGGCAACGACAGACTCTCCATCCACAAGACAATTCAGCTGGCCGAGGCTTGAGTCGGCCAAAGTGAAAGGAAACTGGCTGCCCATGATTGATACTGGCTGTGAGAAATGCTGCAATGGTGGTTTTGCTTGGGAAAACTGAACAACGAATAGTGATGATGCTACTTTCAACAACTCAAAACTGGCAATTCAACCCGCCGCAAATTCGTTTTCCTACCTCTATGTTCTTTGTAATAATATCTCATCTTTTCTCCATCTCCCTCCGAGACATCAAAGTCGATGTCACCAATGCGGGGATAGTCCGAGAGGCTTGTGGCACGCTCCGTGTCGCCTCATACAGTGCGGGTCAATCTCCAACTCTGAGGAGATTCTTGGTGGCACAAGCCGCCAGCTAGCCGGAACAAGAAGGCAATCTACCGTCAACATTCAGAGTTTGACAAAAACTTCACGATCTCCAGCTGCGGTTGTGGCGTTCAGGGTTGTGTCGGTCCGGATTAGGCAGCCTTCCATGATAGGAGATATATCATTTGTATACCCGTGAATGGAGATGCTACTAGTTGCTGATGGGGCGATCGTCGTACCGGAAACTTATGTTCTGCCTTGAGCGAGGTCGGAGATTGCAGCCAGATCGGCCAACCTGCTTCAACGCCACGTTTTTGCATCACAGGAACAAAGGAGATTAACGCGATGATGGCACGGCTGACTGCGGCTGACTGCGGCCTATCCATCTATTTCCCATGCCAAGAGAGTCTAATCACCCATATCCATGTGTCTATGCATCGAGATGTCATATGTAATCATCTATACCAGCGGCCGTTTATTGCTTCAAGCCGTGCCGTTATCGGTCTCCCAAATCGCCCATCAAGCAACTGTGTAACTGACGCGGCTGATGCCTTTGCTCCTCCCGATCTTCTTCACCGTCGTTGCGCCGCACAGGTCCGTAGTATCGACATGTGTGCCTCCGCAAGGATAAACCTCTGCTCCTACAATGCGCACCACTCGGAACTTGGTCTCTCCGGGAGGCAACAGGCTGCGGTCTGGAATCAAGCGCTCCAAGCCCTCTCGTCGGAAATCGTCTTCAGTCCAGAAGTCAATCTCTACCGGCATTGCGCGGCGAAGATACTCATCGACGCGATCCTGAATCGGCTGCTTCCACTTGCCCTCGATCAGACCACGAAACTCGCAGGCCGCGCTGTCGGGGAAATGAGATGCCTTGAGTTCGTCGAAGCCCTCGATTTCCTTCTCGAGCAGATGCCTCACAGCTGATCCAAGAACGTGGCCCGCAGTGTGCAGCCGCGAGTAGAGGAGGCGCTTCTCAGCGTCAATCGTCTGCTCAACGACGTCGCCTGGCTGAAGCTTCTCTGCGGCTGAAGGATCCTTGAAGCGACCGAGATGTAGCACCAGGCCGTCATTTACGACATCCATGCGTGCTGCCCTAATATCGATGGAGACGGGAGACTGGCCGTCCTCCGATGCGGTTGCTGAGATTGTGCCTTCATCTGAGGGCTGACCACCGCCCTGCGGATGGAAGATGGTCTCCTTGGTCACGACAACGTAGTCATCATCGCCGCCATCCTTGAAAACAGCGCGATTTTGCTCCTCTACTGCAGAGAAGGGCCGTATTGATACCAATTCCGTCTTCAAACTGAGCAGTTTTCCGTCATGGTGAAAGGCCAGGTGAGTCCCGGCTGGCTGTCCAGAGCCCATGGCCGATGATTGTCTCGTGATTTGCGTCGTCTTGTATGAGGTTGTGCAGATGTATCGCCGCGTTCTCTCCACCAGGCTTCGACAAAGCCTTGCGTTGTAGCCAATGTGTACTCCATAGAGCATTTCAGACTTTGAATGAGGCGTTTCGATTTGATGTTTGATTTGGCAAGTTTTAGTGGGGGCTGCCGCCCTATTGGTTGCAGCCCATGGATTTATGCTATTTCCCGGAGCAATTTATCCTGACAAGCTCAACCTGAGTATCATGGCCAAGATACTTCATGTTTGATGAGACTGGAGTTAGAGTAGCGATACCAAATAAGAAGAAACCACGGAGTAGAAAGAGATCAATATCATTCAACACATATGGTCATAGCTTTTCCATGCCGGTTCCGCTCTGGGCCGTCAAATGCTGTAGATTCAGCTTCGCGACTAGCGTCTGAAGGCTTCATCGGATGGCGTCTCGACCCACTCCAGGACACATCTTGCTTGCCATCTGTGTTTGAGAAAAGGAATTAGTAAAATAGGAAAGCGTCAGTTGAGCTATGAATGCGAGAAAAGATGTGCTTGGAGAAAACCAATTGCGCCTTCACAGAGATTTCCCAGTGGACAAATCACTAAGTATCGAGTACAAAACATACAACAAGTTAGCCACCGATTGATAACGACCTCATGGGTCTTTCACCTTCATCTATGCATTCTCTAGTATCTTGTATAGTCCCATAACCTTGTAGCATTTGCTCGAGTGTCAGTGTTTCATATGAGCGTAATACTATCGCTTTGTTTCTCCTCGTAGTGGCCTGTTCAGGCATCATTCCAACAACCCCCCACGTACACGTATATGCATGCAAGTTCTACAGGTCAACGCAGCAAGCGGCGTTGGCTACATCGCCGCTATCACACAGGGAGAAGGAACAAGCATACCAAAAGCGGTTGAACGGCCGTTGATGCAGCAGTTGTGGAACCAGTGAAGTCGGATTTGAGCATCCTTTTGGTCCACTGCCGCCGACAACCCTGTCTAGGACAGCGTCACAGGCACTCTTCTGCCAATGAGAAAGGGCAAAATCTCCGAATGATCCTAGGGTTTATTCGAGATGCATTGGTGTCTAAAAAAACCTGACAACACGTACTCCATAGGTGCCTCGCTTAAAAGAACTTGCAGCAGTAAAAGCCCTCGTGATAAAAGCAAAATTCTTGACAAAACTCCTAACATGCGACAGATGGAGTGGTCCACATCACGCAGGAATCGCAACATTCAAATTTCTACCACCTTTAAAAACGAAATGGAAGCAAGAAGCAGGCAAGAGAATTTGTGTGCTGATAAGAAGCGGCCCTATGCATTATACATCAAAAAGGTTTTGGTATTGGAAAAGCAAGAATAAACAAAAAGCAATTGGCTCGGAAGAAAAGGGTGTCATCACTTTTCTCCATCCAATGGCTTCCTTGCCCACACCACTTTTTGATTATAATATGCATGAAAGTTTTTCGATCTGACATCCCGCCGTAGCATGCCGATGTAAACCAGAATCTCCTCTCGCGTCCACCCCAGCGTGTTTGCCATGAAGACAATGTAGCCCTCGACATCTCTTTCGAGGACCATTTGTGCGAATTGCCCGAGCTCCTTCAGCTTCGGATCCTTGGCCCAGCCTCCTATCGGCATCTGCAGGGCCAGCATGGTTAGCCAGAGAGCGATTTGCTTTGGTTTTTGGAGGCATGGACTCACCTTGAAATTGAATTCTTCAATGTCAACAAAGCCGGCTGCCTCTATAGACTTTCTCTGTGTCTCATCTTCGACAACGGTAAAGGACCTTCCAATCTTTTTCCCACCAGTGATAAAGAACTTGCCCCATTGTCCCATGGCACAGGTCTCTGTGACAGTGCCATCATCGCTTGTCATGATTGCCGAAGTTTCCAGGCTCTCAATGTAACCTCCCGGCCGCAGTACGCGATATGCTTGCTGCAGCAGGGCATCCCAGTCCTGGATGCTGCCAAGGAGCCATCGCATATGCACATAGTCAAAATCTTGGTTGCGAAATGTCCAATCCTGTGTGCAGTCCTCGATTTCGCTAATTCATTCATCGAATGAGTCATATTTTCCGGACGAATGGGCTATGAAAGAATGGAATGTTTCTGCGGCAAAAATCAATCTGGTGCTGGTATAGACTTACAATTGAAGGTTTGGAGGTACCCATGTTGGCTGGATTGGGGAAATGTCAGTGCCAATGACCTGAGCATCGGGATACTCATCAGCAAAATCACTGCGAAGATGTAAGCATGGAGTTTATGCAGCCAGGAGACTGCCGGAATCAATTCTCACATAGCCCATATCCCTATAGAAAGAATGAGGAAGTCAGCTTGAGGAAATAAAGAGTATCAGTCGAGTAGTGTGAATGGACGCTGACCTGTACCAGTGCCTATGTCAAGGGCTTTCTAATCGCAAGATATCTAGTGTCAGTTCAATCATGTCGACGGTGCACATTGAGATGTTGAAGGGGGGGTGGTATTGACTTTGATATTTTCCTTGACTAATGGTGCCATGAATAACTTATCTCCCATGGCCATAGAAAGTGCATGATGGCTGTGTTGAACCAATTAGCTCTCGTTCCAAACGGTGTCCAAATTTATGTAGTTGTTTGTTCTGACAAGAATATTATTCGAATTGCTTCACTTACTTCATGTCCAGTGATTCGTTCGCCGCCTCGTCGTTGGACTGCCTGTTACCATATGATCAAATCAGCACGCTTCTTCTAAGCTACCAGTAAAGCTACTAGGTAGACGGTAGACGCAGCAACTTACCAATACTGTGCATTGCCAGTTTCACCATGGAATCTTCGCCCGTGGATTTCTCGGTACTGTAGAATGCTCGAGGTTATCGAAGCGGTGGAGCTGCCAGCATCAGAGCCAAGGGCAGAATCGTCGTCGTCGTCGTCATCATCTTCGGGTCCGTTGCCTTCTCGCTGTGCGACCTGTTTGCATAAGTTTTCCTGCCTGCAGATTCTCAGAATACACTAACCTCTCGCCAATGGTCAGCTGGGAGGATGCCCTCCGCAGCGTCCTGGTGCTGTTGACTGCTTCCACCAGCCGCACCTGGGGAGCTTCGTCCGGGATTTCTTTCCATGGATTCGTTGATGAAAACGAGCGCGATTCTTGTTCTGCTTGTTATCTCCTCCTGCCTATGTTTCAATTTTCTTTGTTCCGCTCCCTCCTGGTTGTTCTTCGCTTTTTCTCCCTAGTTTCTTCTTCGGCTCTCGTTTGAGCTCAATTGAATAAGGAGTAGGCGAGAGTGGGACGGCTGAGCAGTAAGTGGTGGCCGACGATTAAATCAATATATATAGTAGTAATTCGTTACCATGAGCATGCTCCATACAAGCAGTCCGGCTGCTGGAGCAAATACCACTCGGCTCGGAGTCCACCAATGAGTCCCCTCGCTGTATGACTGCAGAGCGTCGAAATATGTGCTTTGTATGCAGACGAGCAAATGGTCGAGTAAGCATATGTAGTTACTTGCAGAGGTGTGCGCGCCTTGTCGCGCATTCATGGGTCTCGCCCCAGAAAGCCTCGAGTTCCCCCGGTCTCAGTGTCCAGAGATACAAGACAACCGCAGCTAGAGTCGCCGATGCAGTGCTGATGCGGCCTGGGCCTGCCTCGGCTGCGTCGCCAAGCCACAGTACTCAGGGACTCCTCTGGCTTCTGTTGTCGAACAGGCACCTGTCACTTATCCGATTGAGCCGGCCAACAGTCGGTTGTTCATGCTGCTGTACATGTATGTGCGACATCAAACCAACGGGGGAAAAGAGAGAAGTGTGAAAAGAGGGCCAGGCCGCATGAAGACAGCGATGAGGATGAATCAAGAACGGCTGAGGGTGGGATCGGCGTGGGGACAAGGGTGATGACAATGGAGGTGGGGAAGAGACAGACAAATCGCTGTTGGCTCTAGCAGCTTTTCAACGCACAAGCACGGGGCATCTCTCTTCAACAAGGAGCCTTACTGGGAGATTATTACGGAGCTCATGTACGCTCCTTTTATGGTAGCATTGACGGCTGAGCTAGTTTGAAGAAAAGCCAGCCGGGTGCTGGTCCTCCCGTCCCGCTGCCGTGCATTTGTTTCTTCTGCAGATTTCGGGTTTTATTCCTGAATCTATTCTGCCCTTTCTCCGATCCTTTCCCTGCCGGGAGGATAAAATAAGGGGAGGACAAGTCCCAGTTAAATCCAGGATGTGCCCGCTATCCTCCGATGCTGAAAAGTGGCCATGTGCTTTGAGGCGCCTGAGTTTGAAGCCGGTCAAGCAGATACAATTGCAAAAGTCTATTACCGCTACCACGGGACGGGAAACCACAGACATCAAAACAGACAACGAGTGTTTTGGTTCTTTCAGAAGGATCTTTTTCAGTTGTACGACTAAGACAAATGTAACCGGCGCCAACACCATAAGCTGCGCTTGCTCTCCTCTTTTTCTGTCTCCAACATGCTACACGATGCTCAGCAGATCGGCAATAGCTTAGCACCCACACCAGTGCAACGTGTCGTTCTCTGGCAGGTCTTTCTTAACTTTTGTGACCCGTCGCGCTAGAGGCTGCAACTCACAGCTGCATAGCCATTGATGGGGGGTCGGATTTGAATGCCCGCGAGCCCGTCCAAAGAGGAAACAGTCGCCTCGTGGATTTGAACGAGGTCGAATGGCGCAACACAAGCATTTGGGTGGTCAAACCGAGGCGTTACGCAGTATCATCGAGGTGTCAAACAACAAAATTAAATTTCAAATGAATGAGATCAATCTCTCTTACGACGCATTTGCGGCTGACCCATGTTGACCGCTCGCTAGAGGGCGATTTACTAATAGGAGAGTTGAACGCCACCAACGAACCCTGTCCCTCCCTCATCGCATGCATAAATCCCTAAATATCGTGCATATAACCCTTGTACTGATAGCAGCTTCAAAGCCATATCTACACATCATGGGCAGACGTAAAGGGGGGTCAATCCGGACTGCATTGCTTCACTGACGCAAAAGCAACCGCGTCTGTTACTGGAGCATTGTCAACCACAAGTCAACATAAGTATAGAGCTACTCCGTATCATTGCTTGTAAAGTAGAACTGATTCATTTGTCTAGTATTATGCTTGATCCGACATTGGCGAACTTCAGCAAAAATCGGAGCATCAGTCACATGGTACGGGACATAAAAGCTCTGCATTATACCATAAGCATGGTGAATCTCTATTGGTCTAAGCCTTCTATCATCTACATTACATTATCATTTCCGTTCTTCACGTCAAACTCCACCCGAGGTTTTCCCCATACTCCGGAGTACAGTAATACAACATATTATCGATCCACAACTCGCGGTCACCTGTCAATTAGTTTGACAGAATCGCAGTCGCTTTCTGGAAATCAGCGGGATTCGCCAGCAGCTCCACTGCAAGATGAGCCTCTGCCCTGGCGATGATCTCCGTTTGCGCATAGGCAAAGTCGGTGTTGGCCAAATTCTTGAACCCCGGCTCATGGTTAAACGCGCAGCCAGCTCCAGAAGCGTTTGTGCAGATACCGAAATTGGCGTGAAGCACCGCCTTGGCTGCCGACGTCAAGTTGTGACTAACAGGGTCGAGAACAGGGTCTTGCACCCACGAGGCATCAGTCGAGGCGGGAGCAAAGGTACTGATGGGGAAGTTGGTCAGTCCATAGTCGGCGGTTCCAACAATGTTGACAAACTCCTGGCCGAGGAAAGGCGTGACCTCCAGAGCCGGATACTGGACATCGTGAGAGATACTCTTGGGAAGAGTTCCAAGAGCAGCGCTGACAAAGTTGGCCACAGAGTTGAGGTCAGTGGTGTAACGAGTGCGCATGTCAATAGTGATATCGAGCTCGTTGATGGAGATGTTACCGGGCAGGTAGAACGAGACACCAGCAGTGTTCTTGAGGGCGTTGAAGGTGTTCACTGAGAGAACCAGCGGTCCCTTGGTTGCGTCTGAAGCATGGCCACCAGGTCCGTTCATCGTCAGGGCAACGCCGTTATCATCGGTGGTAGCAGAAAAGGTAACATTGGGGTAAGTTGAATCGAGGATGCTAGAGACAGTATTGGTGACGGTATCAAGGCTCAAGCCAGCAACGCCGAGCTGGATGACAGTCTGGACAATGTTGGTCGCATAGACACCAACATTTTCAATGCCAACGGCGGAGGAGCTGGTTCCGGGTAGTCCCTTCAGGTTCTGCACAATATTCAGGGCACTGTAGGCGTTTGCAACGGCCTCGGGGTGGGTGTTGCCCACAAAGGTGGCAAAGTAGTTGAGACGAGCATTCATTGGCTGGATGGCACTCGTGGTGGTTGGGTGAGCCATCAACCAGATTTCTGAGTCGGCAAAGGCGTTCAAGTTGTTGAGCTTGAACTTGCCAGCCGCATTCTCTTCATCGGGAGTTCCGACCACGATGATGCGGCCGGGAATGTTGAAGTGTGCCAGCGCCTCACTGGCGAACTTGGCAGCCGAAATGCCATTGAGAGCGATGAGGTTGTGGCCACAGGCATGGCCAATACCAACCAGAGCGTCATACTCAGCCAGGAAGCCTACAGTAGGGAGATCGCCAGTAAAGCCGGCAGGCCGGTTGTCAAACTCGGCCCTGAATGCGGTCGGGAGGCCGGCGTATGCCGATCCATCTACCGTCCAGCCCGCGATCGAGGAGAAGTAGTTGACAATGCGGTCATGAGCGTGAGTTTCGTCCAAGCCAACCTCTGGATCACTCCAGATCTGCTTGCCAATGTTCAGGAGTGTTGGCCAGTTGGTGCTTGAGCTAGATTTTAAGAAGGCTGGAAGGCCAGACAGGTCGACCGTCGACTGGGCCACCGCCCCGGCGGCAGCCATCAGGACTGTTGAAGACAGATGCATCTTGCTTTGCAGATTTTGACTATCAAGAGATTGAGTACTTGATGTTCGCTGCTGTTGCTGTTGCTTCTGCTCCAAGAGAGGCCGAGACCTACGCCTCCTTTTATATTGATCCGGCTCTTCTCTCTCAACCTTTGCGGGGGGTGCTATTCCCTCTCACTTGGCCTGGGTTTTGACAGTTATGGGGTACAAACAAGGCTCTCCTGACTAGCCATTGCATCCAGGCATGTTCCGCTGCCCTCACGCCCCGTCTATCCGCCATTGGGATAGGAGTGCGAATAGCACCACCACGAAGACTGCTTATGCCTGGTATCAATTGCGTGTCTCACCACTCTTACTTGAGCACTAGAAGCCACCCCAGCCAGCCCAAGTCTATACCGAGGTGATGCCGTGTCTTGGCGGACCCGGTTCTGCGGACCCGGCGCTCAATTCTAGATGTGGTTGTGCTCTATTGTGGTAGCAGAGACTCGATTTCTAGCATTGTTACGTTGTCTAAGAGGAGTAATTCAAGGTGACGATCCACACTGCATCTGTTCCTGGGCCGTCCCGCTGAGGGTGTGATGGTGTAAGCCCTAGACACTTTTTGACAAGAGGCGGATATTTAAGTAGGTGAATGGTGAATATACTCGTACAGTACTCGTAAAAGACGGGTTCCGTCAGCCAGAATGTCGGACTACGGAAGTTGTAAATCGTCAAGGCTGAAACGAAGCCTCGGTTCCCATCCACAAAGACGTAAATGGGGAAGGGCAAATCACCATAGCAATTGTAATCGAAGATGAGGATAACCGGATAAATTTTTGCCAAAAGAAGATACAATTTTGTTACCCTCCACTAAGAGCCGGCAATAGCAACTCCGCAAGGTTTCCTAAGACTACGGTGTTCTCCTGATCGTCATTCAGAATAATAATGGATCCAACACGGCGACGTTTTTCCGTTTTCAACAAAACTCCGATATTTCCAAAGCACAGTAAACAAAGGGGGCCGTAGGCTGACCAAGTTGTTTGGTCCATGTGAGAGTTGACAGGGTTGTGTTTAAATAGTACGGAGTATACAGTTAGCTTCAGGCTTGGTGGAGCATTAAAAAGACCAGCGCCCCGGCACAATTGTAAGAATTGATATCGGCGTTTCTAAATGTGAGGACAAGGGTGGCAAAGTACGCATGGTAACTTGCCTTGGGGGATTCAACAACTAATATTGTTAGTACGAGAACAAGCATGATACGTCCTAAACTCCGACTTTACGTAGCAACTAGGCCAGTTGGCAAAGACTCAATGGATCCCCCGGTGGTAGAGGGCCCCGGCAGCTCGGCATCGACGAGCAACTTATAGTACGGAGTAGATACGGAAAAATTGCTAATTTTTGTCAAATTCTCATTCAACCGTAGCAAGGACCGCCGCGACGTACGACTTCTATTGGACTTTGCTCCGTGATCCCACCATTGAAACACAGCGATGCGGCAAGTTGCGGCAAGGCTATGATGATTATTAATTCCGTTACTTATGGCTGTGTACGGAGTATACTACCATGCTAAGGTTAGATTTCTAACCATCCTCAAAGTAGCAGTGCCAGGCCACCTAAAAGCTTGGTCACTTGTGTCTCGAACTTGTACCCCATGGTCACTTGACTGGATCAGCGTAAGACACCTCGTATGCCATGGACGCCGACAACAGTGCGAATTAAGACCAGCTTCGTTTACCCGTCACAACAATTTTTGGTATTTATCGTTTCTTGCTACTGCATTCATTCGGAACATGATCTCCCGCAATTGTAGACAAACCACGACTCAGCGTGCTCTAGATCTCATTCCTATCTGATCGTATCCGATTAGCCCTCGGGTAGGCTCCTACACTAAAACACTTGTTTAGCGGGCGTGGGCCATCTACCAGTACCTGGCGTGGCGCATATGTAACGGTTCGGTATCTGCCGGATCAGCAGCCGAACAGATGTAGCATTATACAAGTGAGATCCCTTGCATTTTACATAAGTTCATCTGATCAGTCCAATTGCCTTCCAGCGTTCTAATTTCCTGAATTGGTTTCTGCAGACCAAAGCGCCTGCTCGTTCTCCTTTTCATTCACCTGTCCTTGATGCTGACTCTTGCATGCACATCGCCTTTCCAGGGCAGGGGTTCGTTGGTGTACTAGGGTTGACATCCTTGCTAAATGACAGCCTAGAGGCCGCGGAAGATTTTAGCACACCATAAGTTGGGTATGTCCCGCTCAATTTTGCATCACTTTGGAGGCCTTTTGTCGTGAGTCTTACTCTACAAGTACACCACGAAGTACGGAGGTGCAGAGTACTCGTACTTGAAGTGTTCCATGTCTGTAATTGAATATCCAGAAGAATTACCAAGGATGTCAGCAAGCTCAAGGAGAAGAGCCGGGGGGGGCGTGAAATTCCCAGCCTTGACATGGAAGGCCTCGAACAAATCTGCATGTCCACCGCCACTTATATGTATGATGTCATGTCTGCCAGCTGGCCGACGTGTGACGAGGCATACGACGACTTCAATGTTGTATATCTACATCTGAAGTGCTGTACGCTGGTGGTTGCGGTTTACGTACAAGGGATCTCACGATATTCGAAGCTAACGCAAGGCACATACTTGTACAGCGCTACATTCGGAGGGATTTCAACAATCCAAGTGTTCCGTAGTTTGATAGAGTCGATCGAAACACTTGCCGCATACGGAGGGCGACGACGAGCAGGAAGTGCTTGGCACTCCGATGATGTACATACCATCCGAATATGCGGAGGATTATGCGAGCAGTAGAGTAGAAATTTTTTTTATCGCCGAACAATATTTCCCAACTTCCACAAAGCATTAAAACTCGTAATGTCCCAAGCGGGATTTCGGGGCTTTTTTTTTTTTTTCCACTGTACACTAAGATACCGCTCGCTGTATGTACGGAGAAGCGGCAAAGATGTCAAAGTCCGATCCATACAAGTCATCTCTAGCGGCAGAAATCCAGTGGAAAATGAAGATAAATTCTATTAAAATACTGCTTACGGAGTGCGGAGTACTCCGTACTTCCTTGAGAATTGCGGCCATTGTGGAGCGCTACTAATGGCAGCAAAATACGGAGTATTGACTTGCTGATTGCGGTTTACGGGAAGCCTCTTCTTGCTGCTGTATTTCAGGGGGCTCTTCAACCCGCTCTTTACAGCCCTCTAATTGTATGTGTATATGTATTAAATTTTTGAATCAAAAACTCAACACAATTGCTCATATAAGCTAATATATGTGAAGGAACAAAGCATAATTAAGCCCACGGCATTTCTACCGGAGTTATAGGGTAGAGGCTAACGACACGTCAACCTTCCATGTCGGTATGGGATGCTCCATATTATGTCAAGACTGATCGAGTGGTGATTGCTAGTTTTAGTGGCATATAGTGGGCATTAACCAAACTATGAGAATCTAATCTATAATTCAATTCACTTTATCGACGATCTGGGGAGCCGTGTTCCCGCTGAAAGACATGCATAGGCGAGCTTACATGGTGCCCAAATAATCTCGATAACTAATCTTCCCATTTTGTCCAAGCTAGATTGTTCTCAAAGTGACATGATCAAGACGGGATTGCCTAATGCTTTATCTAAATATCAAATTTCATTAGTCTGTATTCCAACCTTCCCCAGACTTAAGAGTATCAAGGTAGATTGAAGAAGTGCATGGTGCCGATTACCCAGTCAGCAATCAGAATAAAAGTCCGCGGTTATCCAGTCTCTAATTGATTTGTAGTTTGCTATTGGTGAGTAGCGATTCAATTTTGCAATATCTCTTAATAACAATACAGCTTCATAGTACAGAGACGGCTTTCCTGCACCCATGATTGCTTTGCTACTGCCAAAATCGATGGCTCTTCATCTGCAAGGAGGAAGGAAATGACCAAAGAGGGAAACTTTCCTTGGTATAGAGCATCTTTCGTACACATGTGCTGAGATTTAGTAGCTGAATGTAGTCTAATCTGCCAAGAAATCTCTGGTATTGGTCCCTCTGATGTGCAGGACTTGGGCGTGAATTCCAAAACTCTTTCGATCGTGAGATATGATTCCGTTGAAACTGCTCTATTGCTGTGTGGTAGACATGAAGTATGTGCTTTTGGTAGCCTAAGTGGGTGAAATGTATAGCAAGCCACTTCCACCGGCCACCACCAGAGCAAATATTTTGCCAGAGCAAGTATTTTTCATCTGAGCATAACTGGATTCTATCAGTGTGAAATTCTCTGCATTGATGTGTCATAAACTGCTCCATCCTCTGAGAACTTCATTGAAACACTAGTAATTGAAAGCACTTACACAGGACAAAATACCGATCTATTTGGCGTGTATCGAGGTATGTATGCCAAAATAGCTCAACTCATCGACAAATTTGGCCGAATTGGCTGCTTGGATATCTATCACGAAACTGCGTGTTGTGGAACATGGAATGTTATGCTGTCTACTGTTCACTGCACACAAAGGCAGCCGTATGTGATCATTTCGTCAAAGAATATCCACTTATGTAACGGCTAAGCCACAGATTCCAAGTATACACGTAGTGCCAGATTGTGATTGAATCTAAGGCGAATGATTGGAGCGCCAATTTCCAATTCACATATGGGATCAATTTGGAAGCATGAAACTATGATTCTTCACGCAGCAGCACTTTTGCTCTAGACTGATATGGCAGCACTCACTCATAGCCGTGTGGACGGCAACCACTGCGGAAAACTCTTTTTTGGTGGTTATAATATCCCCACGTAATATCGAAGTGTTCATGTATTTCATATCTTATAGCTGTGCAACTCAATTGACATGTAGGTTTCGAAGGCATCGCATTGGATGGTGGATATGTGTATAGCAGAACCCACTTAAGAGTAGCCGTTGGGTAATAACTCTGACCTCTGAAAAGAGTAGTATCTTGAACGAATAGAAGTAAATAAACTAACTTGTCCAAGTTTCAAGAAATTCGCCTTTCTGGCATATACGGGGTTTGCTAGCATGTCGTCCATTTTCGCGGGGCAAGGTTGAGTTCTACCGACTTCTTGATTAAGTCGACATTCGAAAATTAAAAACGTGGAAGCCTTATGCGAATAACATATTAATCATTTTTATGCGATTTTACGCTACTGGAGCGTCGTATACGTCTCAAGTTATAATTCGTGTCAACCTTGAAGATTTTCGTGAAGCTGTAACGAGACTTGTTTATGCGATGGTTTGTGAACTATAGAGATGGAAAAGAAGACTTACAAAAGAGTGATCGAGTTCTTTTCTTGATGATGAAGCCAAAAGTATATCCTCCACACCGGTTCTCTAAGTTGCTTGATACACGATGCTACATTAGAATAGTTTGTAAATCATTATGCTGCTAAATTACGCAAATCGTTTTTACGCCTCAATTTATGGCTCTCTGGGGCAACGGTAAAGAAAAGGTGTAGAATTTGCAGTGCAGAGAGAAGAAAGAACTCTATGGCAAAAGTTCGGTGCAAAGACGGGGAAGGGACAATTAGAAGGATGATAACAGGAGGAGCTGTCAGGTTTAGCTGATGATGAGAAAACTTTTAGAAGCTACACGGCCGATTCAGAGCCATCACCGATCTCCTCCTTTAGAACCCCTCTCAGCATGAAGAAGATAAGCATGTATTTCTTCATACAGCTAAGAGGATTCCGAGTCTGAGGACTGGAATCACCGGCGGCTCGATTTACCCAACACAAGCTCAAGGCAATGGGTGCAGCGAGTGTATGAAATTTAAGTGGAAATACGGGAGTGTTAAGTGGGAGGCAAGACCTACTGAGCTGGACTATGAGTTGCACCCTGGACCTGGCAAGGTGGCATATGACTCGATGATCTGAGTACTTATGGAATAGCACACTCATTTACTCCCTGGTCTTGTAGGTACTACACCACTACAATACGACGGTAGCCCCTATTTGTGCTGCACGATGAGGGAGTGACGAATGAATACTACATTTGTATCCCCCTGAAATGATGTGAACTGGATTCGATTAGTGGCAAGACAGGCAAATACGACAATATCCAAGTGTTGAATAAATTAAAGTAATGTGGATTTAGCCCATACATGTAATATGAATAAGTGAACAGAGTAAGATGAGTAAATTAGAATAAGAAACTCGGTGTAGAGCATCATGCGCACGGAATCACCGAGCACAAGGCCTATACAGTTCGTTCCGTAGAGTGATTCGAGTCTCTTTTTTTCATGTATTAGGCACAAAAGGTCTGGTTTCTTATAGATGGATACACTCGAGCTCGTGAAGCTATGATACAAAGAATTAAAACAACCTATCTATTAGCAGGATCCTGCATCTAGGTCGTGCTTGGATTCCACCTCTGCATTGAACGTGAAAAAACACTTCTCCATCAATCTCAGTATTTTTCGGGTCGAGTAACTAAGTGAATCACGCCATCCCTATGGCGATATAGCTTTGTAACAGCGTTGTCTTACGCTGCCAATCTAAAGCAATGAGAAGTCGAATGAACTTGCTGATTTAGGTTGGTACATATGGTTTTATCAAAAACTTTGAGCTAATTACACCACTAAAAGCGCCTAGTGTAACTCAACCTTGTGTTTTTAGACTCTCGCTGAATATACCAGTTTCTGGCAAAGACCGACCATTAGCTGTTTTTATTCTAGAGATTTTAGTCTATTCTAGATGAAGTATGAGTACGGAGTAAAGCACACTGAGGAGCATCATTACATACTAATATTCTGTAAAGGGGTCAGTTGGTGCCGAAATGAACTGTAGCCTTAATGATGCATGTAGATCACGCCTTTGTGCCGGATAGGCATCAAAATGCCAGCTAGCTGGGTTCATGCTGACAATAGAAGATCCAGGACCATCCTTTCAATTGAGAGTCCACAGGGTATCAAATATTGCTTACCGGCCGACCCATGCCTGCTTGCATAGAGCCTGACGAGGCAAAAATTACTACGTTTGTCTTTCGGAATTACGGTACAAAGCTTTCAAGGCTGCTTCCAGCTTTCTATTGGTTAGCAGCTGAGCTCGGTATCCAAAAATAGTCTGCGTTTCTGCTGTGTATCTTTCTTCAAGCGTCCAACTGTTAGTCACTGCTATCTAGATTAATAATCGCGCTTAACACCAATTGAATCATCACACCATATATGGTTAATAATCTTGCTGAATACGTCTGACAGAAACTCCACTTGAGTGAAGCGATTGGTGGAATTGCTCTTTTAAGAAGTTACATAAGCCGCGTGCGTACTCCGTACTCCATATGATTCATGGCACATACCAGATAGTGTAGAGCCAATATGCCGGGCATTCGTGTCTGTGTACTTGCGTGATTCCGAGAGTCCTCGGCACTTGGTAGGTCCCGTAGGAGCAATAATTGTACCATAATTGATAGAGACATCGAAGAGGTCAAGTAGTTGCTGTGCAGTCTCACATTTGCTTGTCAGCCAGGGTTCAGACTCTCTTGGCAACAATTATTGCACCGGACAATATTTTCTCACACAAAGCCAATCCCCTGTTTCCTCATAACCAACTTCACTAGCTGTTTGTTCTAGACTCCTTGAACCAGTCTCTTCCTCTTGCGACCCAATTGAGATCCTTGTTACAACTTCTCAGCAAGACACCAGCTTTGGAAGTCCCACTTGAGCCGTTTCTTGTTTATCACTAGTGTACGGAGAACTCCATAGCTGCTAACCGAAGCCTAACCCGACCTTCTGGGTTTCTGACCAAAATACAATACCTATCGGTCTCCTGAGAGGGCACAGTAGAGACATGGGCAACGCTTCGCAAAAAAAAAAAAAAAAAAAAAATCACAATGACTGCTATTTCCCCTTACAGGATTCATTGAAATTTGTAAAGCAGCAGAATAATCAGCGGTTATTGAAGTAACAGACCGGATTTCGGCTCGATCGTGTGAGGAGAACTTGTCTCAGCCACTGGTTCGCGCCAGAGTACTTGCAAGGTCTGGTCAGCACTAGTGATATTCGAGGCCCGCCAAAAGTTGACACGAAATGGCTAATGAGCCGTCGAGACAGAATGACCAGGGCACCCATTGCCAACAAATTTGATTGCGGTATCAGCAAGCAGACAAAATCACGAAACTTGGCTACGGATGCTCATCACAAGAGAAGATCGCTCCGCTAGTATTTTCACATAACAACAACGCGAAGCAGCCGCTGGAGAACACTTTCGCTAATGAATTTGGTTGCCAGCATCGTCTCCTGCTTCTTCCTTTCCTTGCCGTTTCTCCGGAACCCTGCGCCTTTGATCTATATTGGATCTCAACAATGGATGTACTCAGCCACGATCTTGCTTCTGACCCGCCTACTCTGCGAATGTGAGGCGAATTGTTTTAATGATTAGAAGTTCGGTAGGGCCAATGGGGCTCCATGTTAACAGGCAGATTTGCCTGCGGGTGTAGGCTGGGGTCCCATTCTCAAAAAGCTTGGATATTAGCGTCAAGGCTTGCCACTTTGTACCTATTTTTGCTCCAGGCTATGCGCTTACCCATGCAAGGTGGGGGGTTGGCTCTCACTTGAAGTATACTCGCACAAGCATACCTACTAGCAGTCATGGTAAAGACGGCATGCCTATAGGTAAGCTTGATAGGAGTCAGGGCTGAAAGTGGAGTGCTTTTGTCTCAATCTGATGAGGCTCAAGCATGGCCATCGGCAGATTCGTACCGCTTTTTCCATCTGACCTTGATTGGTTGTTATTCTTAGACCCGACATGGCATAGCTGTGCTTCTCAAACAGACCAATGGAAATTCCTGGTAAGGCTGACGAGATTTTTGGATGGTGGGCGGAATTATATTAGCCGTATTAAAGTATTAATACTAGAAGCTGACACCACCATCACCGTCTCCTCCCAGTGTCCTTATCCCATTGTTTGTTGACCAAGGAGTGGATTGGTAATTTTTCAAGTCAGATCTGCTGGACAAGATGAAGGAACGCGAAAGCCTCGAGATTCGTGAGAAGCTTCAGCTCATGAAGAGCCCAGTTGTCGAAACTGGCTCTGAGAGAGGCGCTGAAATGCCAAATTTAAGCGAGTTCGGAGATCGCTATACAGACACCTCTATACAATTCGCGAGAGTGAGTTCCTGTTTCTTGCCCCAAGATCTCTTTCCAGTATGATCAAACTTTTCTAATGGGAATTCTCCAACGGTGTAGCACGAGGAGGCCGGCACGCTAGAGGTATTCACCGACCTTTTCTTCGCGGCCAACTACGCCGTTTTTTCCAAGACACAAGCGATTACCAGTCATGAGCGAGTTGCATCATATATTGGATACTTTTGGTGGGTTTTGAGAACCATCTTGGGTCAAAGTCTTGTGTATAAACTTGCTAATACCTGCTGTACAGTATGCTCTGGATGACTTGGCTTGTTGTGGGTCTCTATGATGTCCGATTTGTAACCGACAGCATTTTTGGTACGTCTCCCCTTTTTGTCCGATACAATATTGATGTTTTCTAATTGGCGTTTGTAGAGCGGCTTATTCGAGCCATTCATCTTGGAGTCTTTGTTGGATTTGCTGTTGTTGCTCCAAAATTTGATCCCAACGACCAGCAAATTGCTACCATGAGAGCAATGTGTACGTGAACTGAGTCCCTCCCCAGATGCCGTACTTTTACTTATCTTCTTTCTCAGCTCTTATCCTAATGGCATCTCGTTTGGGTTTGACCATCGAGTATGGAAGTATCCTGTGGCACGTTAGAAAATTCAAGAACGTCCATATTGCCTTCTATGCCCAAATGTCCATTCACTTCATCGCTGCCATGATATACCTCGGAATCACCTTCCGATTCACCCATTCGCACGAGAGTAGAGTGTTCATTACATGGTATGTCGTCGGTGTCTTGGAAGTCCTAACGACTTTTGGAGCAGCGATATTCTTCCCAGTCCTCGGTCTTTCCAAAACACACCTTATGAATCGGTTGTTTCTCTTGACTGTTATCATCCTCGGTGAAAGTATCGTTGTCCTGGCGGATAAAGTGGTCATCATCGTCGAGGCCCCTGATTCCTGGGGTAAGTTGCTCATATCGCGTTGCTTCCGACCCTATCATCCAGTGTAATGCTAACCAAAGGGTACTGCGGCAATAGACGCTTCTATTATTGGAATCCTGGTTGCCGGCGTGGCGACAACTTACATGGTCTTCTTGGTCTACTGGGACTGGATGAAGTCGGCATATCTCCCACCCTTGCGCCAAATGATCTGGACTATGATTCATTTCCCGTTCCACCTTGCTCTCGTCCTCTTCATGCAAGGATTTACACAGTTCATCCAGTGGTCCAAGGTCATCGACGTGCTGAACAACTTGTCAACCAACTGGCTCATATTTGACCCGGATAGGCTGGCCCATGCTACCAGCGAACAGGTGCAGCAAAATATGACGAAAGAACTCAGGACATTTTTCGAGTCATATCCGCCAAAATATTCGGATACCGGCGACCTCATTACTGAGGCTGTTGCTAATATAACGGATATCTCCAATTCCTTCTGGCCCAAATTGGCAAAGGCCTTTGCTTCAGACGACTACGAGTTGCCGGAGGACAAAAACCTGGACTTGCTCAGTACCATTTTGGAGGCCTTATTCACCGCAATGGATAATAGCGTCTTCTCAACATTTGAGATTGATCTTGAAGGAGAAGCTCTCAAAGAAAGTCGGGAGAAGGGCGGCGAGGACGGTAATCAGTCAGCTGCCCAATTTGCAGCCCAGGTGGACGATGCAACCTGGGAGCGATATAACCTAGTGGTATGTTGTCTACAAAGCCCATTCCTACCTTAAAGCTCTCATAGACTAACGGCCATTTCTAGTTTACGTATGGTTACATCGCAGCCGGTGCTTGCCTTGCACTGATGGTACTTCTCTCAATAGTTGCACGCGTGACCCCTTGGAAGCCTTGGCCTGTGATTCGATCAATTGTTTACTTCCTTCTGGCGCTTGGCATGGGTCTTGTTGCTCTGCTAAACCTCAACGAGGATAAGCTGGACACGTATCTGAGCACTCCTTGGCTTCTGCCCACACTTTGCATTGCTTGGACAGTTGTTCTTCTTCTCACACATATTCACCACGACATTCCCCTTTTCTTCAACCGACGGAGCCCTGTACCAGGACGCCGTGGGTCCAATGGATCCAAGTCAAACAGCGATTCTGAGCATGCTCAGCCGATGGTTAGCAACATGGAAGGGGCAACTTCCTACACAGGAGCATCGGGAACGCCCTACGGATATCAGCCAGCACCTCAGCCTCATCCTGGGAGTGAATATGTCTGATGGCGATAGTGTATTTGAAAGGTTTCTTTTTCTTTCAATTTCTTTTTGCACTGTATGGCGAACAGTGCATTTAAAACTCCAGGGAGTCAGCTTGCATGTAATAATGTATAATGGGAAAACAAAATTTTAGCGAGCGAGCGAGCGAGTGAGCGAATACATAGAAGACTGTTAGCCACAATGGCGAATACCAATACCTTTTCATACTACAAACGTTGTTGCAGGAATAATGAGTATGTTTCCGAGGCTGCTGCGATAAGGGGTAAAGGAGAGCAAGTAGCTCACGCATTTCATACAGAATGTTCCCACTCGTTTAAAACACATTGCGCCTCTTTATCTATATATAATGGTTGCTCAGACCTGCTATTGCCCAGTATTTAGTTCACGAATCGTCGCACTCTCTCTTTTCTGGACCCCATGATTCAAGTTTGCCCACGGCCCAAACTCTCTCCTAACGACTAAGCCCAACTCGTCTAATGAGCGATCTACTACGTGGATTTCCCGTCTCTAGAGTATAGTAAGAAGCCCGATCGTGTGAGATACATATACCTGTTGTCTCTACACCCTGTCAAATGGAGGAAGTGTGCTCAAACCCGGCTCCGCTTGGATGAGGACGAGAATAATCTCGATGAATTCGAGCAATGTTCCCGCAGGAGTAAGCACAGCCTTTCTAGTTGATGAATCTTCGCCTTGGATAGATCATTATTATACATGCAGTTACTCTACCCAAATACTAGGTAGCATATTGATGCCACGCATATTACTTACAGTAACCTTAATTGATGGTCCACTCACTCAATTTTCTACCGAGCATCAGGGAAGGGGAATTTGAGCATACACGATAATTACTTAGTGTGGGGAAAAAAAGAAGAAGCACAAGAGAAGCCTGCATACAGTTGGATAATCGATTTCTGACGCCATGCCCTAACTAAATAAGTCAGGCATATTAGTGAAGGGGAAAAAAAAGAGTTACTGATATTCTTGATATTCCAAAATAAGAGAGATGGCTCATTGTAAGACGGACTTTAGGTTGCTCTCGGTAGTTGCTGCGATATATCCGATCCCTGCCGCGGCAGATGTTTATAAGGCTTAACAATGTTGACGAAAGATGCATCTTGGATTAGGCTGGATCGGCCGTGACAATCGACATTTTGCCGCCAAGGGAAAAAAGGAAAGGCTCTTTGTCGAAGCTCAAGCAGTTTTAACAATCACGAATTGAATCGACGGAGCTAGCTAATGACGAAGGATTCTTTCCACATTAGCGTCTATTAGCTTTTGACCGACACCTTCAGGCATCTAACTGCCTGATCACCTTGAGGATTTCCGTGCCGATGACTTGATCAAATGGCATGACGTTTGTACAGTGCGTGATGATTTAGCTTCGCTAACCTCTACTGTGGCTTATTCACAACTTATCACCGCTTTTCTGTGGAGGTCGGAAGTATGCGCACAGTGTCTCCGTCAAAAGGATGGTTGAGCGGAAACTCTATCGTCATCGACTCGCCATAATTCGGTGAAATCGGACTCCTTAAGCCTTTCCCGGACTCTTCGAGATGTCCGAGCTAGACGGATAAAATCAGGTAACCAACAGCTGAAAAGGTGGAGTTGCGTGTCGAACGGATGGATGGAGATTGAGACATGAATTCCAGAGCGTCCATGGGAGCTCTAGAGAGTTATTGCATCCAAGCAGGTCTTTATGACGGCCTTTCTTTGACTCTCTCTTTAGAGTAAATCATGGGTAAAGATCTAGATCCAATGGATCTGAAAGAAACTGGCAGTTGGCCACCCCAAGCCTCTTCGGGCGATGCAATAACCACCGTACCCAATGAAAACGACCGAGGTGCTGATAAAAAAGATAAGGATGAGTCGTCGCTGACCGGTAGCCGAATCTCATCCAGTAGCGATGACTCTTCAACCGAAGGTCATCGTATCACATCAAGGGTACCAAGTCATGTTAGCGAGAGTCGATCCGCTCAAAATGAGGAGGACCTCTTCCGCGTGCTGTCTCGACGCCGGACAACTGGCAGTCTCGGTCCTGGCACAGAAGGAGTGGAAGACTCGGCAGAGATAGAACGGCTCATGTCACGCATGTTCGGTCATGCTAGACAAGAACATGACCCTGAAGCGCGCCTGCGACACAGCGGCGTCATCTTTCGCGATCTAACTGTCAAAGGCGTCGGACTTGGTGCCAGTCTTCAGCCAACTGTCGGCGACATATTCTTGGGGCTTCCTAGAAAAATTAGGAATCTTATAAAGGGCGGCCGCAAGGTTGCTCAAGCCAAGCCACCTGTAAGAGAGCTGATTAGCCATTTCGACGGCTGTGTCCGACCCGGTGAGCTTCTGCTCGTTTTGGGGCGTCCCGGATCTGGATGTTCGACGTTCCTCAAAGCATTTTGCAACCAGCGGTATGGCTTTGAGGCTGTGGAAGGAGACGTCAAGTATGGTGGGACCGACGCTAAAGAGATAGCCAAGCACTTTCGCGGCGAAGTCATTTACAACCCTGAAGACGACTTACACTATGCAACTCTGACGGTGAAAAGAACTCTGTCTTTTGCCCTTCAGACGCGCACACCGGGGAAAGAGGCTCGGCTCGAGGGAGAGAGCCGCTCATCGTACATCAAAGAATTCCTTCGTGTCGTCACGAAACTCTTCTGGATAGAACATACCCTTGGAACCAAAGTTGGCAACGAATTCATCCGTGGCGTCTCTGGTGGTGAGAGAAAGCGTGTTAGTATCGCAGAAGCTATGATCACCCGTGCCTCGGTGCAAGGCTGGGATAATTCGAGTAGAGGTTTAGATGCGAGTACAGCACTGGAATATGTTAGGGCAATCCGAGCAATGACAAACATGGGTAAAATCTCAACCTCGGTGTCGTTATACCAGGCCGGAGAGTCGTTATACGAGCTAGTAGACAAGGTGCTACTCATCGACGGCGGCAAGTGCCTCTATTTTGGTCCCTCAGAAAAGGCGAAGAAATATTTCCTGGATCTAGGCTTCGACTGTCCCGAGCGATGGACGACGGCTGATTTCTTGACATCAGTCAGCGACCAGCACGAACGAAGTATTCGCCCTGGCTGGGAGCAGCGTATCCCTCGATCGCCTGATGAGTTTTTCAGCGCTTACCGGGAGAGTGACATTTATAGAGAGAATATCGCAGATATAGCTGCCTTTGAGAAAGAGGTTCGCGCCCAAGTTGAAGAGCGGGAGGCGGCACAGCTCAAGAAAATGGAACACAACTATACCCTACCCTTCCATCAGCAGGTTATTGCCTGCACAAAACGCCAGTTTCTCATCATGATAGGAGATTCTGCATCGCTCTTCGGTAAATGGGGCGGTCTATTATTCCAGGGCCTCATCGTGGGCAGCCTGTTCTTCAACCTCCCCGAGACTGCAGTTGGGGCGTTTCCAAGAGGAGGAACGCTGTTCTTTTTGTTGCTCTTCAATGCCTTGCTTGCGTTGGCAGAAATGACAGCAGCCTTCACCTCCAAGCCCATCATGCTCAAACATAAATCGTTCTCATTCTATCGGCCAGCGGCATACGCAGTAGCGCAGACTGTCGTCGATGTTCCGCTTGTGTTCATACAGATCGTCCTGTTCAACACCATCATATACTTTATGGCGCATCTATCTCGAACAGCATCGCAGTATTTCATCGCCACTCTCATATTATGGCTTGTTACAATGGTTACATACGCATTCTTCAGGTGCCTGGCAGCCTGGTGCCCGACTCTCGATGAGGCGACACGGGTGACTGGAGTTGCAGTGCAAATTCTGATTGTGTACACGGGATACTTGATCCCTCCCTCTCAAATGCATCCTTGGTTTTCCTGGCTTCGATGGATAAACTGGATCTTTTACGGATTCGAGTGCCTCATGTCGAATGAATTCACGGGTCTGCAACTGGAGTGCGTCAGTCCGTATCTGGTACCTCAAGGGCCTGGAACATCACCACAATTTCAGTCTTGCACTCTAGCAGGTAGCCAACCGGGTCAGACGGTTGTTGATGGCGCAGCTTACATTCAAGCTGCCTTTCAGTATTCTAGAGTGCATCTGTGGCGCAACTTTGGGTTTCTTTGGGCCTTTTTTATCTTCTTCGTCTTCATGACAGCGTTTGGGATGGAGATTATGAAGCCGAATGCTGGAGGTGGAGCAATCACCATGTTCAAGAGAGGCCAAGTACCAAAGGCTGTGGAGACATCTATAGAGACTGGCGGCAGGGGTCAGGAGAAGAAGAAGAAAGATGAGGAGTCTGGGGTTGTATCTCACATCACTCCAGCCATGATTGAAGAGAAAGACCTTGAGCAGAGTGATTCAACTGGCGACAGTCCCAAAATCGCAAAAAACGAAACTGTATTCACATTTCGCAATATCAACTACACCATTCCGTACCAAAAAGGCGAAAAGAAGCTTCTTCAAGATGTGCAGGGATTTGTCCGACCTGGGAAACTCACTGCTCTTATGGGCGCATCAGGTATGTCTTGTGAAGGGATAGCATAGGTAAAACGTTGACTAACAGTCCCCAACAGGTGCGGGAAAGACAACGCTACTCAACGCTTTGGCACAACGCCTCCGGTTCGGAACGATCAATGGCGAGTTTCTTGTTGACGGCCGCCCTCTACCCAAGTCCTTCCAGAGAGCTACAGGGTTCGCTGAGCAAATGGACATTCACGAACCCACGTCAACCGTGCGCGAAGCCCTGCAGTTTTCTGCTCTCTTGAGACAGCCACACGAGGTCCCCAAGGCGGAGAAGCTCGCGTATTGCGAAACCATCATCGACCTCCTTGAGATGAAAGATATTGCTGGTGCTACCATTGGCAAGATTGGCCAGGGCCTAAACCAGGAGCAACGAAAGCGGTTGACCATCGGGGTTGAGCTGGCATCTAAACCGGAACTGCTCATGTTCCTCGACGAGCCAACCTCTGGTCTTGACTCTGGAGCAGCGTTCAACATTGTACGCTTCTTGCGAAAGCTAGCTGATGCCGGCCAGGCAGTCCTGTGCACCATTCACCAACCCTCAGCGGTGCTTTTTGAACACTTTGACGAGCTCCTGCTGCTCAAGTCAGGAGGACGGGTAGTGTATCATGGAGCCCTAGGAAAGGACAGCCAGCCTTTGATCAGATATTTCGAGTCCAACGGTGCTCATAAATGCCCTCCCAACGCCAACCCTGCTGAGTATATGTTGGATGCCATTGGCGCAGGCGATCCCAACTACCGTGGCCAGGACTGGGGCGATGTATGGGCGTCGTCGCCAGAACACGAAGAGCGCTCCCGTGAGATTCAATCCATGATCTCGGCACGGCAGCAGGTCGAGCCGTCCAAGAGCCTCAAAGACGACCGCGAGTACGCCGCACCGCTGTCACTACAGACAGCTTTGGTAGTCAAACGAGCCTTTGTCTCGTATTGGCGATCACCAAACTACATCGTGGGCAAGTTCATGCTGCACATCCTGACTGGATTGTTCAATTGCTTCACCTTCTGGCGCCTTGGCTACTCCACGATCGCGTATCAGAGCCGACTCTTCTCCATCTTTATGACGCTCACCATCTCGCCGCCCCTGATCCAGCAGTTGCAGCCCGTATTCATTGGCTCACGCAATCTGTTCCAGTCCCGCGAGAACAACGCCAAGATTTACTCTTGGCTGGCCTGGGTCACCTCAGCCGTTGTTGTGGAAATCCCATACGGCATCGTGGCGGGCGCAATTTACTTCAACTGCTGGTGGTGGGGGATCTTTGGCACGCGTGCGTCTGGTTTCACCTCCGGCTTCTCGTTTCTGCTGATTATGGTGTTTGAGCTGTACTACATCAGCTTTGGCCAGGCCATTGCCTCATTCGCGCCAAACGAGCTGATGGCAAGCCTGCTGGTGCCCGTCTTCTTCCTGTTTGTTGTTAGTTTCTGTGGAGTTGTCGTGCCTCCGAGGCAGCTGCCGACGTTTTGGAGGAGCTGGATGTACTGGCTCTCTCCCTTCCACTATCTCCTCGAAGCCTTTCTCGGCGCCGCCATTCACGGACACCCAGTTGAGTGTACTGACAGCGAGTTTGCCCGATTCAGTGCTCCGCCTGGCCAGACGTGTGAAAACTATACCGCTTCGTTCATCAACCAGGCTGGCGGATATGTGCAGACAGCAGCAGACGGCTTGTGCGAATTTTGCCAGTACGCAACGGGAGATCAATTTGGATTAAGCTTCAGTGTCGAGTACAGCCACATATGGAGGGATTTTGGCATCTTCTGCGGCTTCATTGCGTTTAATTATGGAATTATCTATTTCTCAACCTGGTTGAAGTTTTCTGCAAATAATCCATTCAAGATTGTCACGAGAAAGCTAGGGAGGAATGGCCACCGGGCAGATTGAATGGCAACAAGATGGATATATCCATGTCTACACCTTCCCACTCATAATAATATTCCCCAGATATTGACGGCCATTGTGAGGTTCTCATTAGAACGCATGGGAGTTCAATTTTTTTTTTTTTCCTTCTTCTTTCATGTGATGCTCCACAGGGTAGGCTTCTCCTGGAAATTGGCAATTGAGCAAGCAGCTGTGCGAACTGGGTATGGATAATGGAGAAGGAATATCTCTAGTCATATTAATATCTGTATCTACCCATCAGGTCATTCATTTTGCTCTATTCTTAGAGATTGGACATATTTCTCGTAGACTTCTTCTCAGGGCATTCGTGTGATGGCTGTGCTCGATAAGTACAAAAACTATGTTTGTTGCATTAGAGGGGTAAAACAACCCCGATTGTCGCACATCCGCTGCCAATCAAAACCGAGCATGCAACTACCCGAGCATCTCCCCCCACCAACATATGCCCTAATCGGAGGCCCCAATTCTATTTGATTGAAAGGAAAACTTTTCCCTCCTCAGCCTCTCGACTTTTCTTCTTCCCATTCTCTTCCGCTTCATCCTCCTCAGCGCTCTGTCCCCAACCAATCCTCTTGGGCGTCCACACATGGCACCCGCAGCATCGTCCTCGCCTCCATGACGCGGAGCTCTTCGCTCCACCGCTGCTCGTTCCTTGTGTTTGCTCAAAGATGCACCTCCTCCTGATCCGCCATGGCGAGACGGTCGACAATGTTGCGGGCATCTATGCCGGATCGCGGGACTCGGCATTGACTTCGCACGGCGTCCTGCAAGCTCGCAGGCTGGCCACGTACCTGGCTGAGGGACAGGAGACGGCACTGAAGTTCATTTTCTCGTCGGATCTCCAGCGCGCGGTGAAGACGGCCGAGGCGATTGCATCGGAGCAGAGGCGTGTCTGTTCCCGGGACATTCCAGTCGTCCAGCTTGCCGAGCTGCGGGAAAAGGACTTTGGAAGTGATGAAGGCATGAAGTTTGGAGACTCGAGAGGTCGTGCGCCGGATTCTGAGACTGCCGAGTCGATGAAGGCGAGGGTCGACGCCTTTCTCGAGGAGCACCTGCTTCCGCTTCTCAGCGCTCACGCAGACGGGACTCCGTCGACGTGCGCCATCGTCTCCCACGGCATCATCCTCGGTGTTGTCTACCGCGAGCTCTGCGCCCGTGTCAGCCGTGGTGGCATCACTGTCGATCCAAATCCCAGCGCCGCCAGCTCCCTCATATCCCCTCCCTTTTGGGACAACACCGGCTTTCTCGAATGCACCGTTTCCATCACTGGAGCTGTGGCGGATGAGGACAAGTCGCTGCCACTGAGGCTGCACGTCAGCCGCGTCAACTGCACTATCCATCTCAGGGACTTGAAAAAGACCCGGGGCGGCATTGGCAGCGCCGCCTTTGACGAGAAACAACGCACTCTGACTTCGTTTTTTGTGCCGGGCACGAAGAAACGCAAGAGTCATGATATGAGTGCTGGGTAAAGCGGCGTTACCCAGTTATTCTGCTTTGAAATGGTATGTATTTTCTTTTTTCTTTTCTCTTTTTTTGCTGCTCTGCACATCCTTTTGTGATGATACAACAAATAACTCACAGACCTGTTCTGAAAAACACAATGTGGAAAATATTTTGTCCAACCGCTGTCTGACAATTCCCTTTTCAACACTTTTATGTTTGCGCATTTTGGTGTGTGTCCGTTGCTAACTTGGACACGTTTAGATGCTACATGAGACTATATGAGACTCCATGAACCGATAGAAATATCATGAATCGATACAAATAGACAGACAATGGAATATGATACCTTTCTGATACCTCTACCTATTTTGTGCATCTTGATCATTCGTGCATGCGTGTGACTGTGTCTTTGAACAACAATAAATACCTGTAGCCTATGCTCAATCAATCCTTGCTCCATTCCTAAATGCCTCCAGGGGTAGCCTATCCTATGCACTGATTCTCTACCATATCTGCCGAAATCGCCAATGACAAGGACCAAAACACTGCAAATCATCATAACATCATACATCTGTACTCATCTCGTCTCTTCCCGTAAAGACCTTGTGGATTCTTCTGCTCACAGCCTGTCCCACCGCTCTGTCTGAAGCTGCCCCGTCCTTGTTGGCACTCTTCCGCACACTCTCCAGCCTCAGTGGCCCTCCTTCTTCGAGCCCCCTGACAAGCTCGCTCACGCTGCCAAACTCTGAGACTATTCCGTAGGCAATCGGCGCCGTGACGCGAGCAATCTCTTGCAGCAGGCGAACATAAGTATCGCGTGCATCATCGCCAGTGCGGACCTGTCCGCTCTCCATACAGAAGCCCGCCGCAGAGGTCATCTTGTCCCGCATTTTCTTGTATGGAATAGTCGATATATGCTGAGTGAAGGTGGCAATCCACTGCGCAGTTTCTAACGGTACAGCCGTGTGGTGGATCAAAACGTCATGCTCGACCTGCAGCCGGAGCATTGCGTCTTCGACAATGTCTTCCGAAATGTACTCCTCAACAGCAGCGTTGTTACGGCGTCTACGAGAAGAAGCTGTGGCCGATGCTCCTGCTGCTGCTGCTGCCTCGGGATCCGGCTGTTCTTGTGCACGTACGCCAGATGTGAATCTTCGATTTCGGATATTGCGATTCTTCCTCATCCAAGGGGTTATCCCTTCGAGGATGTATATCAATTCGTGGCCGGGGAAGTGCCTCTTTGTCCGAGAGACGCTGGAGTCTACAGAGTCACTGACGGCCATGCCGACAAACTCATCTGCCGTGATCAGGACCAGTACGTGCTTCTCGGGCTTGATTTGTAGCGGGATCGGTTCCCAGCGACCCATCTCATCGTCAAAACGGCTGCGAACTTTTCTCTCCCACTTGAAGGTGTTGGCAACAGGGCTCTCCCAGGTGGTATATTCCACGCTCAGCCCGTCCAACAGGGTCTCCAGCTGTATTTTTAGTCCTTCATTTACGCTTGATGGCATGATGAGAATCATCTCCGGCGTCGAAACCTTTTTGTCTGTGCGAACCTTGTTCACCTCTGCTAATGCAGCAGCACGTTCCTTTTCTAGGGCTTTGGCCTCTTTCAGTTGTTCTTTCTCCTGCCGTTTTCGCTCTTTTTCAGCAGCTTTGGCCGCTGCTTGAGCATCCTTATCACGAGTCCGCTGCTCTGCTGTTCTTGCTGCATTGGGTCTGCTGCTTCTCGAGAAGACTATATCACTACGAGAACGGCGAATAGGGGAGCGAGGACGAGGTCTGATGTGAGAAACATTGAAGTCGGTAATGTCTGGAAACTCATCCTCTGATGTGCCTGACGAGTCCAAGTCGATGTTAATAACAACAGGTCCGGCAGTGGTATTTTTCTTCGGCGGTGACACTTGTGGGGGTTGCTCTGGAGCAGAACTTGAAATCGGATCCCAGTACTTTCGCCTCCGGGAGTAGTCAACCACCTCTACAGATGCTGCTCTGCGAGGGGTGGACGCATTCGCAGATCGAAGGGGGTTGATCTCTTGTGAGCTAGTGAACGGATCCGAAAATTCGTCAACAGTCAATTTCGGATGTAGAGAACCTGGCTGTTGTCGTTGTTTGTGTGGCTCACGTGGAGGAGGAGGTAGGACTAGAGGAAGCGGAGAGCTTGCAAAGGGATCGGATTCGTCGGCTAGGATAGTCGTAGTTGTGTGTTTCTTTGCTCGTTCTTGAGACGCAACAATAGGCGCTGGAGGAGGGGAGCTAGCAAAAGGATCAGAGCTCAAGACAATCTGTTCAGGCGCCTTGCTCGTCGGTGCGGGCTGAGGCTGAGCAAAACGAGAGCGAGAGCCAGTATTGATGGTACTGTGCTGAGTTACGGGCGTGTCTGGATCGATAGAGCTGGTGAACTCGATTGGGTCGAATTCCAGTTGGTTTGGTCTGTTGGAAGTAGCCCTGAGAAAGGGAGGCAGAGCTGCTCGGGAAGAATTGGCAGGTGGACGAGGCGGTGGTTCGAAGATTCGTGGCCGCTTTGCGTGTCTGGTGTCTTGGAGGGCAGATTCATCGTCGGTGAAGTCGAAATCGGAAGAAACAAACAGCTGCGGCGAATGAGGTCGTCTGGATTTGTTTGGTTGTCTGTCGGCCGCAACTATTGCCGGTGACGCTGCCGGTGATGCTGCTGCTTCTCTTGCTCGTGGCTCAGCGTTGGCTGGCAAAGGCGGGCTTGATGAGATCAGATCAATCACATGGGGAGCCATGGCAGCAAGGGAGGTGAGGGTATTTCTCTTCGTTGTTCTTCGCTGTTCTTTGTTGTTCGTGTTGTTGGCCGGTTATTCAAGGCTGGAGCCGGCGAGGCTGCGATGCCGTGCCATCTCCCATGCCAATACCACTTTTGTAGCAGCAAGGGTTTGCTAATCTCAGTTTCTTATCGCGAGCTGTAGGCGGGAACGCGATCCTAGCTTTACGCGAAATCGCCAAGTCACGTGTTGAGGTTAAGTCGGTACATAAGTAATCCGCGATACTGCCCGCGGCCACTGGGAATTAATCAGGATATTTGGTTCCATCAATGTTTTGACTACCTTATGTACCTAAGCATTAAATAGGTACGAAGGTGATTTACGGAGTAGGTACATGTAGACATGCGGCCATTAATCCGGTTACCCTACAGCTTTCGACGAATTGCGCACATGACGCTGTTTGTCACCATTAAGCTCTCGTCCTTTTCGGCCATTAACTCTCTCGCTCTGCCCACCCTCGATTGCTCGTAAATCCGCCGGGTTTCCGGAAAAGAGCCTGCTTTCGTTTCGTTGTTCGGGTTTCAGCTCCCTAATAGGCTTTAGCCTGTCGTAGATCGGCTGTGGGCTGTCTGGACATCTCTTCGGAGGGCTATCCGCTCTTGCGGACTACATGCCGAACACCCAATATTGTAGCCATGACTTTTGTAAATGCGATGATGGCAATCTCCATATGCAAACTATTATAAATAAACAGTATGCCAGGGAATTCCAGAGTTATTTTTGTAGAAATTGAACAGTAACTTATTTCCCCAAACTGAAAGTATCGCCATCTACGTCTACTTTTACACCCACTGATTGAGGCGCAACCCCTCCGACATGGCAATTATAGGAACCACCGTTGGCAATGATGCCGATACATACTCGGTCCCTGTAGCTGCAAACGAAGCCTACGACAAGGGTATCATTTCAAATCCTCTTATAGCCAAAGACCTCCCCGCGGAAGTTAAGAGTAAATGCACAAACATCACCTTCACCGGCTCCGAGAGTCCATCTCTTCCCGTCAACTGGAGACTTGCAGAGGCGGTGTCATCTCTAAAGGCATTGGAAGCAGCCTTGGTGGACACTATCCTTCAACGCCGGTATGGCCTTGAGCCTCACCGCATCACCATCAACACCGATCACGCTAGCCTCTTCATATTCTCTACTCTCCTCTGGACTATTGATCCTTCCGAAGGAGGCGAGAATATCAGCCCAAATAACCTCCGCCAAGCAAACGAGAATCTGTTCAAGTATTTTCCCAGTTGTGATAAACACCGGATGAATGCTTCCACTCACCGTAACCTGGCGACCAACATCTACAAGTGTGCCGATGGTCGATTCTTCCAAGCTCATGGATCCCTCAACCCTACACCGACGCTCCTCAACGTTGGTCTCAAAGCCGAGGCTGACAAGGATACAAACGTTTATGAGGACGCTGTCAGGCCGTTTAATGAAGCTTTTGGAAAGATTAACAGCGACACTTTGCAGCAAATCACGGATGAGACGCGGCAAGCAGGCACCATATGCTACACGGTAGAGGAGTTCCTGAACTCGAAGCACGGCAAGGCCAATGCGCATGTTGGGCTTTGGGAGATTCGTGAGACCGCGAACAAGTTACAGGAACCATGCTGGTGGGAAACGCCCACGTCTCAGTCTGGTACCTCTAGGCCCCTCGCTGGTTAGTTGAGTCCTTGTTGCTTAATCAGTTGATAACACGGCTTACATACTTTGTTGAAAAGTTGTTCGATTTGCTAACAAAAAAAACAGGTATCAAGGTTGTGGACTTGACGAGAATTATTGCAGGTCCGAGTATAACTAGATCCTTAGCAGAGTTAGGAGCCAGCGTGATGCGTTGCACTGCTCCTCATTTACCGGACGTTGTGGCTCTTCAGGCTGATCTCAACTGGGGAAAGTGGAACTGCAGCATCGATCTACGAGAGGAGAGTGATCGACAGAAGCTGAGGCAGCTCATCCAAGAAGCCGACGTGGTCGTCCAGGGCTACCGACCTGGCACTCTTGACAAGTATGGCTTCGGTGAGAACGATATTATAAAAATATGCGAGAACCGATCCAAGGGAGTCATTCATGTGCGGGAAAACTCGTACGGCTGGCATGGTCCATGGAAAGACCGAAGCGGATGGCAGCAAGTTGCTGATGCGGTTAGTTCTCGACGTCTCTTTCCACCCTTTTGATCATGAAAAGTAGCATCTAACATTGTTCTGTTTAGAATACTGGGCTTAGTTATTCTTTTGGCCAAGCCATGGGACTTGATGAGCCTGTTACTCCCATCTTCCCTCACAGCGACTATTGTAGCGGCGTTGCTGGTTCTTGTGCAGTTCTTATTGCCCTGCTGCGTCGCGCTGAGCAAGGAGGCTCCTACCGCATTGATCTCTCCCTCAATTACTACAGTACATGGCTTATCCGCTCAGTGGGCACGTATCCGACTCAAGTCTTTGATAAAGTGTGGGCTGAGCATGGTAGGCCTGTGTACCACTACTGGCACAACAACGGAATCTCAGCGCCCGAAACGGTGAAGAGGCTCAAGGGTGGTCCGGCGAGTAGGAGGATATTACGGCCCGAGTTCTTTGAAGACCGACGCTCGCCGAGTGTGCTTGGAGACAAAGTATTTCGCGCGGTGAAAGGAGTCGCAGATTGGGATGGCGTGGTTGACTTACGATACAATGTTGGAACTCGTGGAAATGGGACGGATGCAGCTAGGTGGCCAGAAGACTTGATGCAAGAAGTGGTTACGGAATGATATCATACTGAGCTATACCAACCTTGGCAGAAGAACAAAGTACACAATGCGTTAACGTAGAGAATTGATCTAGTTTTAAAAAAGATGTAGTATTCGTCAATACGTGTATCACGCTCACTAAAATTGAGTAGATTGTCTGATCATGCTGCATTCCCCATATTAATATTCTCATATGAAAGGAAATATGTTCAATGCTCATGTTAAAAAGGTAGTCATTATGAGTTCTGCGTATATTCCTCTCTTTTTTCTGCGTTGGCATGAGTAGCGGGAAACGGCCAGGTGTTTGGATATTGGCTGTAAATATAATTGGTTTCCAGTAACGACATAGTAATGCATCAGATCAAGAGGCAAAGACATAGACAGAGGAATCCAGTATCAAACATATTAAGCCGTATGTAAAGAGATCTTCAAAGTACAAACTCGTAAAAGATATCTGGTTGGGGCCTAGAAACATGTTGCACGGCATATCTTTAATACAACACTATGTGAAATTGCTTCGGAAGGAAATGTTTTCTGTTTCCCATCTTCATATACGTTGTAATGATCATAGTGCTAGCAAGATGGAGATGGAGCAATTCACAACACATACATGACTAATCGCATGAGACTTGGCGTCATGCTACTGCTCTGCTCATTTGGTCGAAGAAGTGGTCGTTGAATGAACCGTCGAGCCTCGAAGATGACTGGCTACCCAGTAGTCATCTGATATCATTCAATAGGTACGTTCCCTGGTTACGCAGATTGCCTGGCTCATTAACCGTGTACGTATTCACCCGTCATGGTATTTGTAAGTCTTGATTCATTTGAGACATTCCGACGCTTGACGAAAATACATTCATGAGAACTCAATCTCGGCTCAGCTGGATCGCTAGAGCATCTCCGTTCTGTCAAACGGCGGCTGGGCCAGCTACCGATTCTATTTAGAGGCCTGATTTGCCTGTTGTACCTACTAACGGTAATGAAGTTAATTACATCTGGGGCATTTCGTGGTCGTATCCGCAATTTACAACGGTGACACCGATCTTCATTTACGCAGCTAGGCGCTCAAGGGTTTGCGTTTGCTTCAAGATTGATCTCCAGATACGAAAACACGAGAGATAGTTGCAGTTACAATCAGCTACAACTGTGCTGTCTGATAAGACTGGTAGGATAGTATTGTAAAACTTTCAATTGTTTTGACTCTTTCCGAGTTCAATAGCGGAATATCACATCCACATCCCGCCTTGGTGTAGGGTAGCGCAACGCACCCAAGATCAGTTAATTAAACGGAGATCGATCTGGGCGCACAATCTCTCACCACACAGCTGACCTTGTACGAGTATGTCGCACTGCCTGTAGGGAGCAACAGCAACATTTTCTAGCCTTTCACCGGTGAGTATTTGTCAGGTGAATGGAAAATAATTACGGCAGATGGCAAAGCTGGGGCTGTTGGGCTGCCGCAGATACAGGTCGCCGACTTCATACGAGTAGTCGTTAATTAATTAGTCGACGCACGTACGGACTCTACGGAGCACAAGACAGGCATCGTGCTGTCAATCCCTGACATATGAGTACAGTACAACAGTGCCTGGCGAGGCGAAGATCGACATGTGGTCGGCATTATGGTTAATTGCTTGCAAACGCTGATCGTTTGCTATGGTGATGATGTGACAAACAGTTCCTGTACTCGTAATGCCCCGTGTTAATCGGCACGGCACGGCACAGCACAGTGCAGTAAGCAGTGTTGCCAATGATGAATGGATGATTAATGGAGCGTGGCGTCTCGCATAACAAAGGGCACCATGTGAAACGACGTGCAGGCAGGATGCAGAAAATACGACTACTGTACGGAGTAATAGCCACCATTCTTGACGAGAGCATGGCGGCAAAATGACAAACTGACGGCGGCGGCGGAAGTGGGAGCAGCAAATGAAAACAATTGCCCGCCACCCTTGTCTGGTTCCTCATCTTATTCACCACCATGCAATCCGTGCTCCGTCCGCACTTGCAGATGAGGTCTTGTGCGGAGTTTTGGTCCCCAAGCACAGCTCTCCTTGGTCCGGACCCCAGACGGCACTGCGTGGTGAGACATGTGCAGCAATCGGCAACGACTACAGACATTAGGTGCCCAAAGCTTCGGGGGCAAATTGACCTGTCAAACGCCATTTCTGTAGGAACAGCCACGCATGGACGGGGGGGCGGTCGAGCTGAGAGATCAATGGCCGTGGCATCAGGCTGAGTGAGGCTCGCCCGTCAAGGAAGTCAAGGAAGGGAAATGACCGATTGTCGACTAAAAGTAGCAATCACACGCTAGCACATGCCATCCCGTCGCGTCCCACTGCGGGCTCAGCTTCATCATCAGTCAGCCTTGCTCGACTTTCTTTGTCAATCGCGCGCGCATGTGGCCGTATCGTGGAGAAGGAGAACGGACGCTCTTTTTTTTCCCGTTCGTTTTTCTTTCGGTTATCGTGTCGTCCTATAATTTCCAGACTCCACAGGTCAGTTTTTGGGCACGCCGACAGACGGATACTATGTAAGAGTATTCGTAAATAGACAGACAGGGGGGGAGGAGAGAGAAAAGTCTTCGCTTGGCTTGTTTCTGTTGCTTGTTGTTTCGGATTTTGACGGAGCACGGAGCACCCCCAGGTACTGTACCTCTCCTGTACCTGTTACGGAGCAGTGGTACGAAACCGCGCAAGTCCAAGTATATGTACTGTACTCGTAGTTGGCTAGAGAGCTGCTAAGCCAAAGAGAGCCAAAATCCAGGAACAAGCGAGAACTACTCCGTAGAAGCTCGTTTTTGTGCAAATAGATCGATGATGGAGCAGGGCCAAAAAGCCACACAACGTCCTGTTTTTCTCTCCGAACTGAGGCGACCTCGCAGGGCCTGCGGTGGCTTGGCAGGTGGCTAGTGCAAGCCCGGACCCCAAACAGACTAGCGCGCACATGCGAGGTGACCATTTGGCGCTGATCCCCTGGCTCTTGGCCCTTTTGGGCACTGGCGGGCGCTGGCAATTTCAGGGGTTCTCGACGGCGGGCAAGTACCTGGCGGTACCGATTGGCACCAGGCCTGGCGCTTAAGGTGCTGAAATGGAGGTACCGGTACAGGGGCGCTGTCTTAGCAATCCTCCGCTGCGAGCTATTTCGCGGTGGCTGTTTAGGGGGTTTTGTGACAATTTGCTTGGATGAGCTTGGGACGGGATTGGGCCAAGCTTCAATACCTGGTGCAGTATTGCTGCGTACAGGTATCTACCACTTGATGTTAGGGGACGGACAGGTGTGCGCATTTTTAGGGGCTCGTCTATCACTTAGCAGGCTTGCTACTGTCAATGGTTTGTTGCATCGGATCTTCTGCCTGCTAACCGTAGGTGCTAAACACCACTAAGCAATTCATCCATTGTTTTATTTTTTTTATTTTTTTTATTTCCCTCTCCGACCTCAGTCTATTGAATATTCTCCCCCCCTAGCCAGGTACCTCGACCGCAGCAAACACTCTTCTCCCCCCTTTTAATATCGGGTCGAAAACACCACGTCTTGTCTTCTTCTCTCCACCTCGCAGCAGCAATCCCGCGCAGCCATTCTCTTGTCTCGTCTGCTCTGCAAGGACGCTCGCGGATTGACTGAGCTGGGCCAATCCTGTCTGTGCCGTACGACTATCCGAGTACATGTATTTGCACTCGTACAAGCCCAAGCGCCATCATTTTCAATTCGCCCCGTCCGCAAGGCCTGGCTCCTTGTTTAATTAGGTACGGGATAGCAAATCCACCCGTCCAAGGACCCTGCCGTCTCCATCAGATACCCAGCTCTGACATGCCTGTTTGATAGGCGAACAAGGACCCCCGAGACCCTCATCGCGACCATTCATCGTGCAACCGCAATATCCCCACGAAGCCGGCCGTCGAATCAGTGCGAGGCTGGTCATGCAGTGCCTGTACTCGTACATGCGCACATCCCGACCATTCAAGTTCCAGTATAGCTCTGCCCGACATACACACTCGCATACGGAGTACATTCTGTAATCTCTGCCTGTACCTGTACCTGTACCTGTACGAGTTCATGCACCAGCATCCCGTCTCCACCGGTCGTTGAGGTGCGCAGATTGGATCATAGCAAAGACAAGGGGAGAGCAGCACGAGAGACGGAACAAACAGAGAGAGAGAGAGAGAGAGGGTGTAAAAAAAAAAAAAAAAAGAGAATCAGCAATTAGTATTACTGCTTGTTCTGGAAGCGAGCAACGATCGGCAGCACCCGTTCTCTCGAGAAACCGTTCGTTGATCCTCTGTCTCTGACCATCGTCGTTCCTTTTCCCCCCCTCAGGACATCGTCAGCACACTCTTTTCCCTCATCTCAATTCCACCCCAAGTCGCTCTTTTTTTGCCGGTCCAGCGCTGCTCGTGTTCGCGCCTGGGTCATAAACCTGCTGTCGCTTGTGCGCGTTTGCGCCGGCTTGTGCGCGCCGTTGAGTCGACACGGGCCCCTACCTGAGTGCTCCGTACGAGTGCCTGTATTCTGGAGCTTCGCTGCCTCGGTGACATCTGGCTCCGCTTCGCTTCGCATCTTCCGCCATGGCCACTTCTCCGCCGGACTCGCCATCGCCAGCGCATAAGCTTCAGCGTCCCCTGAGCGCGATTGCTACTCGTCCTCAACCAAGGAGCACCAGTCGGTTGAGTATGAACAGCAAGCAAGGCGGCGAGAGCAGAGCCTCTGATGAGGACAATCGGACGGCTGTCCGTGTCGGTACGCACTTCTTCCTCTCACCCTCACTCACCCCCAAGCAAACGCTGGCACGATGTCTCGCGAACTACCAAGTGCAAGCAAGGCGACGTCGTCGCTGCGCTGCGCTTCGTCTTCGAGGCTAGTGCTGATTTTCGGATTCTGATGATGAGCTGACATGACCATTTCCCCTTCTCTCACACAGCCGTCAGAGTGCGACCGGCGTTGAATCCGGAAGATCCAGGATATGATTTGATCCCACAGCGCTTCCAGCGCCCTATGGTGCACGTCACATCCAACACGAGCCTGTCCATCGATTCTCCTCAAGGCCGCAAACTCTTCGTCTTCGATCGCGTCTTCGGCCCGGATGTTATGCAGGATGGCATCTGGGAGTACCTGACCGACAGCATCAACGCCTTTACCCAAGGATACAATGTCTCCCTCCTCGCCTACGGCCAGTCCGGTGCTGGCAAATCATACACCATGGGCACAGCAAGTGCACAGCAGAATCCGGACGATATTGGTATGAAACTTCTTTTGCCGCTCTACTAACAATAACAGGGGTTTTCTGTGCAAGCTGTATTGCACTTGTCATTTTGCGTGGCTAATCCGTCGTGCTCTTTTTCTTTTTAGGTGTTATTCCTCGAGCAGCCGCTGCTCTGTTTGAGAAACTAGATGTACAAAGGGGAGGAGTAAATAATGGCACAATGAAAAGCGCCAGCAGCTTCAGATCCCCCCGAGGGTATGGCCAACAGAACAATCTGGGCGATAGGAACTGGGCCTTGACAGCTACCTATGTCGAAATTTACAACGAGACACTCCGAGATCTTCTGGTTGCTGACTCCACGCCATTAAACGACCGAACTTCAGTTGCCATCCGAGAAGATGTTAAGGGCAACATCATTCTCACAGGCCTGCACCAGGTCGACATTACCTGCGTCGACGACCTTCTCAACGCCCTCGCATTTGGTTCTTCCATTCGCCAGACCGATGCCACTGCCATCAATGCCAAATCGTCCCGCTCCCACGCCGTCTTCTCCCTCAACTTGGTCCAGCGCAAGAGCAAGTTTTCAAATTCTGACAAGCGCCACTCCATGCCGCTGGAAGCCATGAGTGGCCAAGATATATCCGTGACGACTGATAGCAAGCTGCACTTTGTCGATTTGGCCGGTAGTGAAAGACTGAAGAACACGGGTGCTCAGGGCGAGCGTGCAAAGGAAGGAATATCCATCAATGCCGGGTTGGCTGCCCTGGGAAAAGTCATTAGCCAACTTTCGTCGCGGAACTCGGGCGCCCACGTCTCTTATCGCGATTCCAAACTCACGCGACTCTTACAGGACTCTCTTGGTGGCAACGCAATTACATACATGATTGCATGTGTTACGCCGCCGGAATTCCATCTGAGCGAGACACTCAACACCGTTCAATATGCTCAGCGCGCTCGTGCCATCCAGTCCAAGCCCCGAATCCAGCAGGTTGAAGAAGGAGATAAGAATGCCATCATCGAGCGGCTGAAAGCCGAGGTGGCCTTTTTGCGTGAACAAATTCGCAGCGCCAACGGCCAAGGCGATCTCCCTCCGCGCAGCGCCAACAGGTCTAGCGAACGATCGGAGAGACAAAATGAACGTGAAGCCGAGCTTCAGAACCAGCTGCTTGATCTCCAAGAAAATTATGGCACCCTGAACAATCGCCATGCTCGCCTGATTGCAGAAATGGCAAAGGCCCGAGAAAGCGAGTTCCAGCACCATCTCCAGCTGGACGAGCTCCAGGGTGAAAATGCTACCGATCGGCTGAACCGCTCAAACTCATTTGCTCAATCTGTCGAACAGGTTGTTCTCGAATACGAAAAAACCATCCAGACGCTCGAACAGTCCTTGTCGAAAACACGAACCACCTTGTCTAACACAGAAACAAACCTACTCGAGAAGGAAACCAAGTGTGCCTATGTTGAAACTATCAACACCCAGCTGCAGTCTCGTATTCAGAAGCTCATGGACCGTGAGGCCAGCACTGAGAGCTATCTCCACGACTTGGAGGCTAAGCTGGATGGCCACACCAGCGGCGAGGAGAAGAACTCGGCCATTATTGTCGAGTTGCGCAAGGAGATTTCCCGCATACGTGAGAACGAATCTGCGTCCGAAGATTATATTTCAACACTGGAAGAGCGACTCGCCGAGGCAGACCAGGACGCCGAGCTTATGCAGCGAGAGATTGAGCGTCTTGAGCAAGTGATCGAGAGACAACGGAGTCTTGGCAAGCTGGATGCTTTGCTTCACGAGCTTGACCACGTGGACGAGTCCAAATTGCGTGACTCGGAAGATGACACAAAGGAGTCGTCTACAGATGGTCATGACCACCAAACTACCCAAAACAACGACCAGGACACTGAAACCGAAGAAGCAAAAGCGAAGCTTGCCCCTGTTGTGGAAAACGACGAAGACGCTGTCAATGCGGATGAGCCTGTGCCAAGGATTTCTGAGGATCAACCTGTTGACGACGTAGCTAAAAACCAGGCTTTTGCACAGTCCAAGTTTGTGGCGGATAAGCTCGAGTTGGTGACCCGGGAGCTCTTCGACCTTCGAACTGAACACGAAACCACAGTTCATGACTATGGTAGACTTCATGCCAAGTACGAGGAGGCGATGCGAAAGCTGTCAGAACTTCAGGATACAATTGACGAAGCTCGCTACCCTGATCGTCTCCGCCATTCCATCATTTCCGTTGACGCAGCAACCGAGACTCGCCCTGAGTCTTTCCAGTCTGTTCAGACGAGCTACGCCAAGGATGACTTGCGGTCTTCGGCCCACCGATCGCTCTCCTCCGAACTTTCGTCAGTTATGGACTCGCCCATCACGGCTGATACGACGCATCTCGACCTGGAGTCTGAAGACGATACGGCTACCGCTAAGCCGGCAGCGTCGGTTGAGGATCTGACCAGGGAGCTCGCGGAACATGTTGAGCTGCATGAGCAACATGAACAACATGAGCAGATCAAGCTGAAGGAGCAGACTGAACATGTCGAGCAGGTCGAGCAGGTCGAGCAAGTCCAGCAGGTCGAGCAGAAGGAGCCCACTGAGCATGTTGAGCCAATTGAACATGTTGTCGAACCTGAGCATGTAGAACAGTTTGAGCTGAAGGAGCCAGTCGAGCTTAAGGAGCATGTTGAGCATGTTGAGCAGATTCAAGACACTCAGCAGTTTGAATTCGTTGTTCAGCAGGATGATGTCGAATACCAGGAGCCGGCCGAGCAACCTGATCAGGCTGACCGTAGCGAACAAAATGAACAGCTCGCTTTGGAGATTGAGAGACTTAGAGTCTTGGCTGAAGAAAAAGAAAAAGCCGAAAGGGAATTGGCCATGAAATACGCCCAACTTGAACTCAAGCACAACGAGACTTTGGATATGGTTGAAGAGCTCAAGACCGAAGTCACCAAAGCCCGAACTGTTGACAGCGGCCCCCGCGTAATCCGCCGAAAGTCAAGCCAGAATCTTCTTGGTGTGGATCGTGCTCAGCGATCATTCGTCTCTTTGAGAAATCTTGCTGCCGAGAACTTTGAAGGAAAGCCCGAGACAATGCAATCATTCGAACTCAACCTCAACTCAGCCATGCACGAGCTTCAATCTCGGAGTGAGCGAATCCAAGAGCTAGAGTCTGATATTGCTGCGGCCAAGAAGGAGATGGAGAGCAAAATGGCCATCATTTCGGGCCTGGCGCGTGAGCGCTCTAGCTTGAAAGCTTCGCCCGTCGACATGTCGATGGTCGCAACTCTACGAGGCCAACTTGAACAGAGCGAGAGGCAACTGTATGATCTTCGCGAGGCGCATGCCGTGCGTGAGCGAGAGCTGACGAGCGAAGTCGAGGTCCTCCGCAAATCCGTGGTATCTACTCCTACTAGAGAGTTCATGCCAAGCGATGAGGAGGAGGCGGACATACCGTACAATGAAAGAGTGTCTACGTTGCAGGCAGAGCTGGCTGGCTGGGAGAGTAAGCACCACACTGCTCTGGTATCTATGCGAAGCACCGAGATGGAGATGCAGTCGACTATCCAACAGCTAGAGGCCCAGCTTGAGGCTGCCAACACCCAGCTGGTCGAATCTGAATCCCGAGCAGCAGCCGAAAAGGATGCTGGTGAGGCCAAGAAGGAAGTTGCTAAGCAGCAAGAGCTTATTGAGTTCCTGCGCGGAGAAATTGACGAGTACAAGGCCGTTATCAGCAGCAACGCCGCCAAGGTGGCAGAGCTTGAGGCTCTCCATCTCTCCGCTCGCGCGGCAATGGATGACATGTCTAAGATCCACAGCTCTGTCACGGCTGAGACAACCGCTCGTCACCAAGAGCTTTCCGCCAAGCTTGAGGAGCTGATTGCCAGCCACGAAGATGCCACAAAAGCCCACCAAGAGGAGATGGATATGCTCAGGCAGACCCATGCCCGAGAACTTGCTGATCTGAGGAACCACGAACAGACCGGTTATGAGAAGCAGGTGGAAGTGCTCATGACTGAGCATTCAGAGGCAATTTTCAAGTTGGAATCCGAGCTTGCTCAGTCCAGGGATGAATTGACAAGAGTTGCGACTCAGATCGCCGCCGTCTTTGGCGCAGAGATGCCACTAGAGAAGTTGGGCGAGCGGATTGAGGCTCTCGTTGCTGGCCAAAATGCCCTTGAATTAGAGCGCAAGAAGATGGGAGAGCTGACGTCCCATGTAACGGAGCTATCAAACATCAACGATTCGCTCGTCCGCGATCTTGAAGGAGTGAAGACGGTTATTGCAAGCATGCTTCCCGGCAACACAGAAGCCAAGGTTGGTCCCCTAGTAGACCAGCTCGCCGCGGTCAAGGCCAAGGTGGAGGATCTTGATGGCCGTAACAAGAAGAACTCTCGTCTCATCGAAGAGCTGGAAGAACAGCTGCAGCACAATTTTGATGAGGTTCAGGTAACAAATAACCGCTTGAGTTCGCTGCAGTCGGAGCGTAACGCTCAGCTTGACGAGGCACTGGCCTCTCGAATCAAGCTCCAATCCGAGCTTGAAACAGTGCGCGAGGAATATGCTGCTCTCCAGGTAAGTTCTAACACCCTTCCACGCCCTCTCATTATATTGAGGGCTGTTGGTCATGATCTGGTTGAACCCAGCTAACCATAGATTCACAGGTCAAGTACAACGAACTGGCCAATGGAGATGTCAAGCGATCAAACTCCAATTCGACAATCCGTAAGAGCTCCTCACACAACTCTCTACCATCGCCACCTCCTTCCGTTCCTCTGCCACCTCTGCCCAACGGTGCGCCCAGCTCTCCTACTTCGACACGCCCTCCCAGCAAGGACAACTTCAACATTTCTCAAGTCACCGAGGATCAAGAAGCACGCATTCGTGCTATTGAGAAGCACCTCGCTGCTGAGCGCCAACTTACGCAGACGCTAGAAGAAGCGCTGGGCGATCTGGAGAAGCAATCCAAGAAGGTCAAAACAGACTGCGATGCTTGGAAGAAGCGTGCCCAGGAGCTTGAAGCAGAAGTTAAGGAGCTGAAGGAGAAGTCGGTCGACCAGTCACAGGACAACCGATATAGTATGCAAGCGGTAGAAGAGGAACGCAAGAAGAGACAGGCGGCAGAGGCAGCTCGGAAGCAGCTCGAGGAGAGAATGCAGGCCATCAGCAAGAGCAAGAAGAAGAAGGGCAGCCTGAACTGCTTCTAAATGCGACGCTTATGGCAGACGCAACTAATTGCGTGGGTACTGCAGGACTATACCCCAACTCTTTGCGCCTCGCAGGAACTCGCTTTGGATCTTTTTTTTTTTTACCTCTTGGTTATGATGGGATCCCATGATGTCAAACTTTCATGAACTTCCTCTCTCCGAATCATGATGCTTCTCCTGTCCGATGCCTCTTGCAGGAGAAGAAAATATTGATATTTTATATTCTGGTATTGCCTATTTGTTCTTCTTCTTGTTTTGTTTCATTCGGCGCAGCCAGGAGTTTTTGACCCTCTTACCTATTTTCGTCATCTATTATTCGAAACGTCTACTTCATTCTTTTTTTCTGGAGCGAGCAAACTACCATGTCATTTGCGCCGTGCTAAATGACTGTTGTATGTCATGACGCACGTTGTTTTACTCTATCTATTCTTCTGTCTTTTTTTTTTTTCTCTGGTCGTCCTACTGTATCGTGTAGGCGAGGTGGTTATTATTTCGAATTTGATGATGCTGGACCGTGCGAGCGTTAACATTGAGGGGAGCTGTAAAAACACGAGAGAGGGTAACTGCATGGAGTCGATCGATGGCCATGTTATGAGACTTGGAGTTGATGTGATGGATTGGAACTTGTAGATTATATATGTATACTCTCTAGATGGCTTTTTTTGTTTGAGGTGCTGAATGTGAGATGCGCCCTAATGTGGCACGGATTTATTATCATTTTTATTGCATTATCGTCGCCGTTGTCAACTTTCATATTCAGGGGCTACATGGATCTCCTCGTTTTTTTGTAGTGAGTAGCGTTCTAGGGTTTACCGTATGATGGAGTTTTGCTAATCGGATTTATAATGCAGCTGAAGTGAGTTGAATGATTCCTAAGCAATTCTCCCGTTACGGTCAGTGGAGCAGAGTCATGTATGTTTATCATATCTCAAGATGGCTTATTGGTCAAAAAGGCACTGTATATATGCTGTCGATGAATACCGATGGATATCAAGATTCTTATAGTGGGTGTATTTTCTCTTTGTTTGGATGCATGGAGTAATCCTGGAGACATGCCATGTTTAGATGGCCTCAACAGTGAGAGAGCTATCTCGTTTACTTTACTCCTTACCACACAGAAAGAGGCATGACTATCCAGCATTTGGGTAGTTAACAGTATCAATAGTATATTCGGAATCTCAGAAAGAAGGAATAATAAGATAATGCATGTTGATTTGTGTACGATTACCACATGGCAGATACATTATAGGTAAGCCTCACTACCTACTAGGAGGTAGGTATTCGACATGTTGCAATAGCAGTTTTAGGTAGGTACATGTACTTACCTAATGATCCTGTAGTGCTGAAATGTCGCTCCAGATCCGTTGCAAAACCGAGCCCCACCAGATTCCCGATCCATGTCTTTTGTCTTTGATTCACGCCCTTTCCAAATCCCTTTTTCACAGACTCAAGTGACTTCATTTCTCATCCAACATTTGTCGCAAAGGAAATTATTTCTGTGCTTTATGTGACTTATTCGCTCATTTAGTTATTTTACGAGAAATTATGGCACGGTCGGACGAAGCTCAAGCTTTTTTCCATGCGGTTTACTCTGCCGCTCAGCAGATTCCGTATGGAAAGGTGACGACTTATGCACATATTGCCTACCTCGTCGGCACGCGTAAGTAATTGCCCGGATACATGATCGGGTGTTTATTTTCTCAATTGGATTTACACTTGTGGTTAATTGCTGATGGGGATACTGATGAGGACTGTGAGAGGACAATAGCGCAGCGGCCGAGACAAGTTGGCGTTTGTATGAAACATCTCCCTAATGATGAGGACGCCATGTTTAACAGCTCGAATGTGCCATGGCAGAGGGTGATTAATTCCAAAGGAGCTGTATCGCCGAGGTGAGATTTATGTATTTTGTTTCGACATTTAAGCAGATGAATTATTTGCCCCTATATGCATGCTTATTATGAACTATGATTGATAAGGCTGTTTCTAGATCACAACCTTCAGGTGCCGCAAATCAGGCTGTTGAGCTGCAGAAGGAAGGCGTTGAAGTAACTCGGACTGCAATGGGAGAATATACAGTTGACCTGGAAGTGTATGGCTGGTTTCCAGAGGAATTGGCCGAGGAAGACTGAATAGGATTGCTTAAATGTATCCATCAATGGAAGGCTTGGTAAGTAGTACGTCATCGAAGGAAAATTGACCACAAAACTGACCGAGAGTGTAAATTATAAATTAAGAGTGTATAAATACACAATATGATGCTATATGAATAATACAAAACCGGCTTTTTGGTGGCTTTGCAGCAAAATGGGCTTCCTCCGTGATGAGATGTGCGACCTGTACTTACGCACCCATATTCATGCTCGTCAACTATTCATCTCGAATCCAGATATAAGGCATTTCCAGCATTTTTTGTACACACCCAAGATAACTATTTACCTATCTTACACAGCCTGGAACCCCTGTGGCGTCGAGTTAGTCTGAGCCACTCCGCTATCTCGCGGCTCAGATGGCGGCCGATGCTTCGCTGCGTCGCTATTGCCGAACTGCCTGTCATTTGTAGGGATAGAAAAACCAGCGGGCGTCTTCTTCGCAGTGCTGTCGTCATCTTGGCCTGGGTTGGCAGTGTGATACTCCAACCACTTGAGAATGGTGTAGACAGCAAAGGCAAGAAGAGAGCCTAAGAATGGCCCAACCCAGTAGATCCATTGGTAGCCCGTGAAGTCGGTGACGACAGCAGGGCCAAATGATCGGGCTGGGTTGATGCCAGTTCCGGTGAAGTTTGTACCGCAAATGTGGGCGATGAAGACGGCGAGGCCAATGCCCAGGGGAGCCAAGAACGTGGCACGGTGCTTTTCCACGGCAAGGAAGTAGACGGTGATGACGAGCTGTGATGTGAGGAACATTTCAATAAAGAGGCCGCGGGAGATGCTAGTGCCAGAAGATAGCTTGTTGGCCACGAGCAGAGGGCCGGGAAGTAGAGCATCAGTGACTGCGGCGGCAGCAATACCGGCGACGATTTGAGTGGGAAAGATGAAGAGGCCACGAAGCGGCTTGACTGCACCGACAAGGACGAGACCAAGCGTGACCTTGTGGACTGTAATTAGTTCATCGGCCACGGAAGAGGAATCATTGTATAGCCAGATACTCTCGACACTTACAGCAGGGTTGAACATGCCACCCGTTACTCTATAAAAAACCCATACATTGACGGCCAGTGCAGATCCGAAAGAAGCAGCAATGTACAGGAGAGAAAAGGGGAACAGAGGTGCATTAGGGTTTCCTGGATCATTGTTTTCGATGGCGGCCTGGGCGCCGATAAAGGACATCAGGAGGAACATGAATGTTCCGCAAAACTCGCCGAAGACGACGACAATCTCGTTGCGGATACCTTCACGCGGAGCACGCGGAGAAGCAATACGATGCATGTTGGGCGCGTATTGTCCTGGTATACCTCTGAAGGAGCTAGGTGAGTGATCCTATAGGGAATAGGGAGATATTGTAGACTTGGAACAAGGCAAAAGTAAAGATAGAAATGAGATTGAGATAGGGTAATGGGATTTGATTAGGTTGTTCTATATATACTACTTAGTCTGCCTCGATACAGATTTATGAGTATAATGATGACATCTGCCACGGCAACCTTGTTACAACTCTCTTTTATTCCTCATTCCCTCGTACTCCGCCCTTTCATCTCCTAATTTATTCCCATGTGGAGCCATGTGACGAGCTCTCAGCTAGATAAGGTGCAGAAGCCGGTCCTGATTGAGTTTTGAGCCACAAAAGACTTTTATCATTGATGGGGACACTGGAGCTGAAGAGGAATGCGGAGCAAGCTTACTGGAGCAAAGATTGACGGAGATGGCAACGGCTGTGGCGTATGGATGGATTCAACCCGGCTGGTGATTGCGGCCACAAGATTCAAGCTTGCGCTCCCAAGTTGCTCGCGTTCTCCTCAGTCTGACTACAAATCTTGAGAGCCGATTTGCGTGTTTGAAGCGCGCCAGGATGCGAAGAGAGAAGTAGAGATACAGGAGAGGAGACGACACCCACTCAGCTGAGATGCACGGCTTAAGAGTCGCATCTCGCCATCGGTGGTTGCACTAATGGTGCACGATGACTCACTAGGAGACAACATGAGTGCAAGTATAACTGAACCAGCACTGTTTCAAGCAAACAATTTGCCCACGATCCATTAGAGTTGACCATACGATATTAGACCTGTTGTTGTGCCACGCTCGCTGTTGACACGCAGCTTACACGCGAGACCCTCACGAAGCTGAACCTTGATCCCAGTCTGACTACACCCAAAACGTCGTTGGCTGCTTAGTGAACAGCACCACAGCTCCTGTCCAATTGGCGGCGAGCTCAGCTGGATTGTTCCCCGGGAGCCTCACAAGAGCTGGAGATGCCGCATCCGTGTTTAAGCTTTTGTACCAGGCGCAGCCACAACCAGCCCGAGGATTCCGGTTCGTGCTGATCCCGCGGCTCGGATGCATCATGAAGCCGACTCCCTGCCTCATGTCCTGACGATCCCCGCGGCCTGTAAAACGGTCGTCTGAGTAGCTTAGCTAGAGTGTATCTGGATTTGGCAGACAGGACCCTGATGTGCTGAAGTGCGGGTCATGGATATTCACAGGGGCTGAGACATTGACTTCAACATCCTGGATCCTTGAGAGTAGCTCATAGTGTCAGCGATGCAACCTTTTGAGATAAAATGGCTAGCTAGTTATGCGGGTTTGGCAAAAAGGCAGGCGGGAGGCGGCGTCGGCGAAGACCGCAAAGCCATTTCTGACAATGACACAAATCAACAAGATCTCAATGAGGATCGGGCAATTAAAGTTCGTGTGCTGCCAGCCAAGCGAGGAGGAAGAGACCATTCACAAGGGAGGCTCTTACGGGCCAATAGCGGTTCTGCATAGGACGGCAGAGAAAGCCTCACAAACGCCGTGGCGTGTCGCCTCTTACCTCTACACAAAGATGACAAGGTACCCTACGAAGATTGTCAAGGTCATACAGTGAGAGAGATGAATAGTCTAGTCGAGTTTTGGGAACCGTAATTAAGTTATTCAAGCTGGTCTTTGTCATCGTTCCATCATTACTCATGAATCCTATCCATATCTTCAAGCGTACTTGATGTCACCATCGATTGGACGGGGCCCACTGTCCGCATACGAGGGAGGGGGAGGAATAGATGGGTATGTCTGTTGCTGGGCTTGCTGTCCTTGACCCTGTTGAGGATAGTAGCTTTGAGGAGCTGGTTGTTGATGGTGTCCCGGGCTTGCAGGAGGCTGCTGTTGCTCAAGGGATGATGCTTGTAAGGCACCAGCCTCGGCCCCCTTTAGAACGCTGAACAGTGTTTGTGCTCCAGCCGGCCACATTCCGGGAGGGCCTTGGGAGGGGACTTGCCCCCTTAGGATTTGGTCTACGGAGATACTCTGCCCGTAAAACACAGCATTTGCATCCCTGCGTTCGGCAACAACGGTGCCGTCTATGCGGATCCCGGCATAGAAGCCTCGCGATTTGACATATGAAAAGACGGGCTTGGTTGCGCTGGCGCTGAGACTCCGCCTGTGGCTCTTCTTGTCCGCCGCGTCGGGTGGCTGAAGGCTTTGCTGCTGCGACTGTTGGTCCTGCCCTTGTCCTTGTGACGATGAAGGCCGACCATCGCCTCTGGCTGCCTTTGAGTCCAGGGATGTTCCAAACTCAACGGCCGCACCAGCTCCATACGGGCCCGCCACCACAGCTAGGTCGCTGCCCAGGCTGACGCGGGTGTTGGTGAAGGCGGCGAGGGACTCCCTATTGTTAATGACACAAACGCAGTCGTAGATATCGAGGCCGATCTGGAAACCTCCACCAACAGAGTGCAATTGAATGCCTGAAGGAGGACTCCAGCTCCCGTCAGGTAGTCGCGCAATGAGGATTCCTGAGCCTGTGGCACCGGATACCTGGAAGCCGGCGCGGAGAGTGGTGAAAATGGCGAGCCCAACTGCCTTGGAGATGACCTTGGGGGGAATCGTGACAATGACGCGGTTCTTGGGCTTCTCCTTTGTAGGGTCGATGACTCTATCGGTCGATTCGATAGCGTTGGGATCGGTCGAGGTCGGCACCGAAGTGGCAGCAGGGTCGGCATAGACTCCCTTTTCTAATACGCGACAGAGTTAGCAACAATGGCCTTGTGCTACTTAAACTAACAGAAAGACAGCTTACTGCAGAATGCCTTCAGTATCGTCGCGGCCTTTTCGCACTCCTTGTCCAGCGTCTCCGGGAGGAAGCTTTGGCTGCCGAGCTTGTGCGCAATGCTGTTGATGGGCGCAGCAGCCTTCATGCCCAGAGCAGACAGACGCTCGCTCCAGCCGATCTTGTGGTGTCCCTGCTCGTCGCCGGGCGCGTGCTGCGGAGACGGAGGCGCATACTGCTGCTGGCCATCTGCTTGAGGCTGATATCCTGAGGGACTCGGAGGTTCATTGAGGGAGTTTGACGGCGGCTGCGCAAAGGTGGGGTTCGCAGGATTGTAGGCGGGGATGGAGTAGTTGGAGGTTTGCTGTGGTAACTGAGCTGGAGGGTTGTATGTTTGCTGCTGGCCCTGCTGCTGTGAGAAATCATGCTGAGGTTGGTATTGCTGTTGCTGAGGCTGATATTGCTGAGTTGGAGGAGGCCCAGGGGGAGGTGGCGGGAAATGTTGCTGGGTTGTCTGTGGAGATTGCGCCTGTCCTGGCTGCTGAGCCTGTTGTTGGTATTGCTGCTGTTGATTCTCCTGGTGGGCATTATGGGGCTGGTAGGACTGAGATTCTTGTTGCTGAGGAGGTGGAGGGAACTGAGGATATGGTTGCTGCTGCTGCTGCTGAGGCGGAGGAGGTCCAGGAGGAGGGGGCGGGAAATACTGGCTCGTCTGCGGAGGTTGCGCTTGGTGATCTTGTTGCTGCTGCTGCTGCTGTTGAGACGGTGGAGGCCCAGGAGGTGGTGGCGGGAAATATTGCTCTCCCGGAGCTTGATTCTGCTGCTGCTCGGAGCTGGACATTGTTTCTGCAGCCGCTGGAGTTGTATGCCCTCAAAGACAGCCAGATGAGTCTATCGCCGATTCTCTTCAGCCTCAGCTGTCTGTACTTGGAGCGTCGAGATCCTGTTGATTGCGGGGGATTCGCCAAGGGTGATGATCCCAGCTTCAGCGGGGAATCCCTGACGATGAGAAGCAGATGACTAAGCCCAGAGATTTCATCTCAGGCTTGGTTGTTGATATCGCCGTCATAATGGCGATCTGGGTCTTAATTGGGATGTTTTGGGGATTGATTAATACAGGTAAGAAGCATAGAGAAGCCTAGATGAAAGCTTGAATCGTGTGTGCAGGAATGGCCTTGTCGTTGTACAAAGCTGGCTTGCATGATGCATGACGCAGGTACATGTAGTAAGAAGGAGGACACATGTGCTAAGAGCAATGGATTCACCTCTGCGATAAGATCGTTTATTCCAATGTATTCCTTGAATGCAACAAAAGCATCAGTTTTCCCTCTATACATGTATCCTTTCTAGATTCTTCCTCCCCATCTATGCATTCCTTTATAGTCTAGTAAAATGGCGTCTTCATCCCGCAAGGCACAATGAGCTCCCATGCCCTAGTGTACATGTATTTAAACGGAATGCCACGTTCAAACTTTAGAAACAGCCAGTTAGTTAGTTAGTAGAGTCATGCAATCTGACCAAACCATTCGCTTTTTGCTATCCGCCTTTCCACCTTGCGGCAGTCCATATCCCTAGCTTGTTCTCGCAACTCGGTACCGATGCAATCACCAGGCGTCGTCGTCGTCATAGTAAAACTCCATGCCAGTCTTCTCAGCCAATAGTAGCATCCTGCTCACCGTCCGCCCTACGTCTTCCGACTTGATCGGCAGTCGGTGGTCTCCATCCCACTCCAGCAACATCGAAGTTCCCTTCTTGCTATACTTGTACAGCTTCTTGTGGAGGGGAAGAGCTGGGTCCCGCAGCCCGTGAACGTGCAGTGTCGGCGTTATCACCAGGTGCGTTTCGTCTTCCTGGTCTTCGTCGGGGAAGTCGGTGAATTTACACAGGACCTCGCCGGCGTGGGCTAAATGCCGCGGCTTAGTAAGAGTGCCAGTCCGGTCGATGTGCACAACGGGCCCAGGAGCGGCCATGATGACCGCGAAGCGGAACTTGATGCCAGGCAGCGGTCTCTTGGACTCGTCCGCGATGTGATCTTGAGCCCAGAGCAGACTCGACGAGATGATACCGCCCTGCGAGAAGCCCAACAAGCCCACCCACTCGCCAGTACCCTTGTCCGCCTCCATCACGTCGGTGATTTGTTTTACTATGCTCTGGGATGTAGCCACCGGGTCCAGGGGCTCGTGATTTTCTCTGTAAGCTAACCACCGCTTAAATGGTGCAAACTCGCCGTAGACAGAGGTAACGGTCTCGTGCGCATAGTCTTCCAGGAAGCCGTCGGCAAAGATGAATCGAAACTTGTCCTTGAGCTTGGCTATGATGGCTCGGCACTGGATTTGGAAGATTGCGGCATTGACGCCGGCGCCGTGGATGCAGAGAATGCGCGGGAGAGAGAGATCTTCGCTCATGTTTTGCGGTAACCGTGGGTGCTCTGGGTGATGAAGGAATTGACCCAGCTGCTTGAGGGCACGGGCGTTACAGCATTATATGAATGTGCTGCTCGTCTTACCTACGAAGGATTGGATGTCAATGTACGGAGTAGGTAATCGCATGTAATGCACGATGATGGAGCCCCGCATGCCAGGGTATCATTTAGTCGCTGGAACATGTCAGATCGTCCATGTTTTTTTATCATGCTGACTCGTGCTGCGTGAGGCATATTACTATGATACAGCGTGGGAAGTGGAAGACTAAGGACGAATGTTCCCATAGCCTCAATCGACCGCCGAATATAGCTCCCTTTTGCTGGGAGTATAATCGTTCTTTTTCCAGGTCACATCCCTCTCTTGAGGGACCCATTGACGTGTCTCCCAACCGCAGAAAGGATTCTAATAACTGGGAGCTTCAAACAATTGATGCTACAACGACGCGAACCGGTTTGCCGCAGTGTAACGTGCTCGTACTCCCTCCTAATGATAAAGCCAAACAGCTGCGCACATAATACTCGGTTACAGATCCTGAGGATGCCCTGGCATTACAATTTTGTATAGCTCTATACTAAGGGACAAGGTAGGAAGGTAGCTAAGACTGTCAGCCATTGACACATCGTGTCATTGCCGGCCCGGCGCGAGCCCATCATTCATGAGGAAAGAAAAGAAGTCGGCAATCGCTTCCAAGCTCACTAGAAAAGAGTTCCATCTCCATCAATTAATATCGGGCTGGATCTGGTCTCCGGACGATACTTGGCCGCAAGCTCTCTACCACTCTTCCAAGACCCAGCCTCCAATAACTGCGGGAGAGAGAGAGAAACCCCCTGCGGCGCCAAGACATCATTGATGAGCTTATGCAGCTCATCCAAGAGAGCAACCGTCAGGGCTCGCCATTCCACAATCACGTCTCCAGTGGATGAGAAGAGCGGCAAGGCTTGCCCTGAAGCCTCAAGTCCCTTGCTGAGAACCTCAGGCTTCAGCTTCAAAACTCCCATGTCCACAAACAATCCTCCGTTGCGGTACTCGGGCAAGCCGGTTCCCTTATCAATGTTGATCCATTTCAGCTTCAATACCTTCATAAAAGGCACGGTGAGGGAATATCCAAGCCATTGAGTCAGCTTGTGGAATGGGTGGATTCCCGCAGTTGGGTTTTCGCTGTCTCCAGATTTGTCCTGTAGTACACGAAGAGGCCATGCGTCTCCAATGGGTTGGTCATTGATTCGCGGACGGTTTGACGGCCACGCGGGGAGGAGAATACGCTGAAGGATGCTCCAGAGGGCCTCGTAGTTGAGCTCCTCATCATTGCCATCCTTGAGTAAAAAGTCTGGAGAAGGTACGTTAGCGAGGCTTTACTTAAGTAAACAAGCAAGCTTCATGCTGAAGATTGGGAGGAACTTGCCAACGAGCAGCCCAGGCCGGCCGGTTTCGCCGAAAATCTCCGGGATGGAAAGAAGAGACTTTCCAAAATTTTTCAACAGCTCAATTCGTGATGCGACGCCCACCATTGGATTTTGGGGACTGATTTGGAAGTGGTGAACGAAAACGTCTTCGGTGAATTTGCTGAGAGCATGTCCTGCACAGGGTCAGCCGGCCTGCAGCTAATGATCCTTGGGTGGTTGGACAGAAGGAAGAAGAGCAGGCAAAAAGGCAAAGCTTTACCATCTACAGTAGCCTTGTTCCCTCCCGCAGCTGAACTGAAAGCTCCATCGGTGAACATGTACAGCGAGGCTACCGCGATGCCTTCACTGCGACCATACGCGTTGTCGCCTCCAGGCTCACGGAATGCCCATGTGTCGCCCGCTCCTGCGTCGAGCAGCACAGACACGAAGAAGAGATCAATGAGGCGACGAGTGATTTCCACATCGTCTACCTCGCTGTCTTGCCATTTCTGGACCAAGTTCTCTAGCCGGGTGATGCCCCCGATGCTGAAGTGCTCCCACCTTCCATGAGGCGGAATCTCTGCATATCGGTCGGGGCCAAAGTCTCGCTGCACTCACGCTGTTAACAATGCCGCGCATCCGAGCTCGTAGATGAAAAGGGCAGCAGGCCGAGTGTAGGCTTACCGAAATGACGCCGGCGACAAATTCCGCCGTCTCCTTCATCCGGCCCTCGTCAAACACGAAGTTGTTGAGGCCCCCATTTCGGGCCGCTCCTAAGACGATCTGCGAGCGCTCTCGGACTGCGCGGAGGCTCTTGAGATACTCGATATCGGATGCAAGAGTAGCCGCCATTGTGTATTTCCAATGTCTTCAATGTCTGTAGTAGTGTAATTGTTTGATTGTTTGAAGAGGCAAGCTTCAAGAGGGCACGAGACAAGATGACATGCTCCCAATGCCGACCCAACGATACCGACAGGCAATCCCCCAGATGCCCCGCTTAATTCTGACCTTGGCGATTTATCTGTCCCCCGCAAGCTGTATTTCGGAGCTTGCCGAGAGACACCGGACACTGCCGTTTAGGTAGAGCTGTGCGCAAGATGCCAATACAGCGAGGTGGTCGTTATCGCTGATGTGCAATGAAGTTGATTGTGTTTGATGGAGAAGAGGCAGCAACATCAGCATCCGTAACAATGGAGAGACAAAAGGGTTTCAAGCGCGAGTGGGTGCGGGCGTACAAGCAAGCAACAGCGGCTGGTCTAGACGTTTGCCCTCTGGCCCCTCAACTGAATCATGCCGGGGTAGATCTCTCAATGCCGCACGTCCTTGCCTGTATTCTAGTATATGCTGGATGCTCCCTAGGTAGGAAAGGTCAGCAGTAACAGAAGAAGAACTTCAGATAGCTAAAATGTTCATGCACTTCCTCTACATCTTGCCATGACACACTTGATAACGTCGTCGCCAGAGCGCTGTGTGACCATTTCACCCCGCAATAAAGCTCTTTCTACGGCGATGTTGAGTACATAAACGCCACACTGTGCAGACAGCTATACCAGCTCGTGCGAGAAATAAATTGCAAGAGTCCATTGTTTTACAACTCAGTCATGGATAGAGCAAGACTGTCGAAGAAGACAAAACAATGGATAACCGACAGTTACGGGCAAGATAAGACGCAAGCACATTAATGGATATAACCACTGGTGGGGCACGTAAACCCTTGGTAATCATCTCCATGTACTACCAGTGTATGTACAAGATAAGGGAAGATACAGGGAACAAAAGAATGCTGTGAAAATGGGGATGTGGGCGTCCGCTTAATTCTCGACCAATGTGCAGATGCGAAATCGTCTCAATCCCTGGCCTCAACGTTGCCCGCAGGGGGATCTACTCCAGGCCTCCCCTCATCTCAAACCACAAGATCGGCATGTCTGCACACGAGGATATACCTCAACTGACATGAGCTCGCGTATTTGAACTGACACCAGCTCCACTTTTATTGTTCAACAAGGAAGCTCATCTGACAGGAGGTTCAAAGGCGTTCAAAGGCGTTCAAAGGCGTTTAAGGCCATTAGCTGGTGTCAGATCAAAAACGCGAGCTCATGTCAGTTGAGGTATATCCTCCTTGAACTGCCGCGTTAGCGCACAGATCATGTCTTCTGACGTCGATGCAACGCTGATCCAATTACCCAATCGCCGTGTCTCGGACAGCCAATGTCTGGTGCACAAACGGCAAGACTTTGCCGAAATAAAGACCTTGAGGTTCCCGTGTCCAGCACCCTTGCCTGTGTTTCTCCTCTTCCATCGTGCTGTGGCGAGCTATTGCACTTACCAACATACCTAGAGAATCGCACTGACGCATTTACCATGCAGAGCCGAGATTCGGATATTGACGAGTCTCAGGTCCCGGGAACGGTGTTGCTCATTGATATTGAGCACGCCACCGGCACGCTACATGCTTCGAAGCAAACCGACATCATCCTCATCCCAACACCATCAACCGATGTAAATGACCCTTTGAACTGGTCGCCATGGAGGAAGCGTCAGCATCTCATTTGTCTGATTGCGTGAGTCCGCAGTCCTGCAAGCCAGATAGCGTTAACAGCCATTGGTCAGATCTGAGACTGACATCGTAACCATGCAACTTCATATAGTTACACTATGTTTAATGGCATGGCTTTATCCGTGGTGTACTCGCTTTTGGTTCCGCTGTCCACAGCTTTAGACGTCAGCGGTAGGATTCGAAAGGACTCCTAGAGGAGGGCTCGAGCTTCGCTAATTAATGGTTTCGTATACAGTTGGTAATCTCAACGAAGGGACGGGATACATGTTCTTGTTATGCGGATGGGGCCTGCTTTTCTGGCAGCCGTTTGCTCTCCAATATGGAAAACGACTGACATACCTACTATCCATGCTAGGCATAGTGGTGAGTGATAATAGGCAAATTATACGCCCCCTTCTACCCTGCTGAATCCAGTGTTCATAGGCTGTCTCCGTCTGGAGCCCATATGCCAAAGGCCAAGGCCAATGGATCGCCCGCAATATCGTTGCCGGCTTCGTTGCCGCACCAATCGAGGCTCTGCCAGAAACTTCCATTACGGACATTTACTTTGCTCACGAGCGAGGCACCTACATGGGATGGTATGCGTGGATTCTAGCTACCTCTAATTATTTTGCACCTGTCATCTGCGGCTTCATCAACGATAGCATGGGCTTTAAGTGGCCATTTTACTTCATGGCCATATTTAGCGGTGCTTGCTTCGTATTCCTTTTCTTCTTCTTGGAAGAGACAAATTACGATCGTCAGTCTGTAGGAATGATCTACGCTGAAGATGCTCATGAAGGCTTGGGTGAAAAGATGACCTCATCATCACCAGGGGCAGCAGTTGGCAATGAGAGTGAAGAGACAGCTCTTCCCCGGCACGGCGTCAATCACGCTGCCGTACTCCAAGGCAGTGAAAAAAGTTACTGGCAGAAGCTTGCTTTGTTTGACAAATCGCGGCCATTCCTGATGCACAGACACGCATGGCAGATTTTGAGATTGATCGCCTGGCCAGTTGTTTTTTACTCGGGTTTCTCGTACGGCACGTATCTAATCTGGTTCAACATCTTGAACGCAACATCATCAGTCGTCCTCGGCGGCGCTCCGTACAACTTTAAGCCAAGTATTATCGGCCTAAGCTATCTGGCATGTGTTGTAGGTGTTGTTCTTGGGTATGTCATATGTTTTTTGATCCGTATCAATCAGCTACATAACTACGTATCTCTCTACTGGTGTACTGATGCTTTTACCTCACAGGTCAGCTTACAGTGGAATAATCTCGGACTGGTTTATTATCAAGCTTGCACGACGCAATCGTGGGATTTTTGAGCCAGAGCAGCGTCTATGGCTATTCTCATTGACAACGATATTGGTGCCGGCTTGCCAGATCCTCTGGGGCGTTGGGGTAAGCTGCGAACTCTTTGTTCCTTATCATCTTCTAATGGTGGAAATGCTGACTCCAATCAGGCTGCCCATCATGTCCATTGGTTTGGACTCATCGTGGCAATGTGTGTTCTCGCAGCTTGCAATACAGCTGGCATCACCCTGTCTATCGCATACCTCGTTGATTCGTACCGAGAAGTATCAGGAGATGGGCTTGCATCGTGCATCATTATTCGCAACACAATGAGTTTTGCTATAAATTATGGCATCACGCCTTGGCTGGACGGCCTTGGCTTACAGGATTGCTTCATCAGCGTCGCATTTGTTGCACTGGCCATCTGCTCCATTTTTTTGCCAGTTATCTGGTTCGGCAAAAAGCTTCGTAACGTAAAGCGGGAGAGTTATTGGCGAGAGGTCAAGCCCAGAAGTGATTAATGCCTTGGCACTCGAATGTATAGGTAGGCTATTGCGGCCCTATCTACATTTTGCCATCACCTAGATACGTGGGAGTCCAGCTCCACCACTCATGATAAGTTACTCTACTACCTTGATGCCATATGCTGTAAAGAGTGTAATGACGCCGACACTTGTGAAAGGTAGCCATGGGCTCATCAGCCTTTTGGCGTTGGGCATATAGAGGGCCCATTATGCCCACTCTATAAAATAACATGAAGGACGCTTTGAATGTCACTCAGTTGTTAAGTAGTAGATCATTGCGATAGTTCAAGCGTTTTCTCGCGGCAACATTATAACTTGAGGCTATGTATATATATGTACCAGCCTAGTATACATGGATTAGAGATGAATTCAAGCTGAAAACCACTAAAGTCCATTTGTCTTGCTATCGATACTTGGCAGCAAGGACTTCGCGACCTGGTTCAGCCCATCTATAACTGCTACCATTTCCTCACCACTTAAGCCGGGATGTATACAGCATATTCGCAGTACTAACACTCCTCGTATTCTTGTCGTCAACGGTGCTGCCAAGTTTTCCTCAATTGCCGTTTGAGAAATCTTCGCATTCAAGCCATCCAAGCTTTCTGCCGGGATTCCAGAAGGCTTGTATCGAAAACAAATGATACCCATCTGTGCTGAAGATAAGATCTCCCAGTCTGGTAGGCGCTCCAATGATGACTGTGCTATCTCTGCCAGTTCAAACCCGTGGTTGATATAATTATCAATTGCATCCAAACCAAGAAGCTGGAAGGAGAACCATAGTTTCATTGCTCTTGCAGGTCGTGTGAGTTCTGGTCCGTAATTCCAGAAATTTGGGAATGACTCGGCTGTCTCGGCAGCGTCTTGGGTATACTCTGCAGATGTTCCAAAGGTTGAAGTAAGGTTCTTACGATTCCGTACGAGAACCATTCCGCAGCCGTATGTTTGGAAAAGCCATTTATGGGCATCCCAAGATAGGCTGTCACAGAGTTCAATACCATTGAGAATACTGCGACGCGATTTGCAGAGCAGAGCAGATGCCCCGTAAGCTCCGTCAGCATGGAGCCACAGGCCGTGTTCCCTCGCAATGGCTGCAAGCTCAGGAAATGGGTCGACAGTGCCGGTGTTTGTAGTCCCTGCGTTCCCAACAATAAGGAACGGAATTTTGCCAGATGCGTTATCTTCCTCAATGGCCGATTGAAGTAGTGTTGTATTGATTCGCATCTTATCATCGCAAGCCACCTTACGAATTTGATTAGGGTGGAATCCAAGAATCCCCAAGCCTTTCGCTAATGATGAGTGGGTTTGATCAGAAGTGTAAGCGACTGCCTTGCTCCTGTCTTCAAACGATAGCTTCTGATCCCGTGCTACCATGAGCGCAGATAGATTAGCCATGGAGCCTCCAGAAACGAAACAGCCTCCAGCCATCTCAGGATACCCAATGGCATCCCTCGCTAGCCAAGACAAGAGATGCTTTTCCACGGCACTGGGACCGGAACTTTGAAACCAGCTTCCGGCATGCGTATTATAAGCAGAGTTGAGAATTTCACCCAGCCAAGACAAATCGGATGCTGGAGATGGGATGAAACCAAAGAATCGTGGATGGTCCATGCGGACACGATACCCAAAAATTTTCTCCGCGTGTGAAAGGGTGACATCAATCGAGCTTGGTGCCTGCGATGGCTTTGCAATGCTCCCTATTTCTCTCTCATTCTGAGGGGGAACGATGCTTACAATTGGTTGTGAAGGAACATTCTGCCTTTCTTGCACACAAAGTTTCAACACTTTATGTGCTATTTCAGCAACATCATGTTTCGGCGCCGCAGCCATTGTGTCGATGCTTCTGAGTTTCCAATGAACGACACCCGTGGTCGTGTATACAAACAACTCTTCTCAACTGTCTTAATATATTACTTCAAGATCTGAATGGAGTACTTATGTACCTTTTAACCCAGCAATTGAGCCATATCCAGACGGGTATCGTCGGCTGCTTACTGTATTGACTGTTTTCTAGAGTTGAAGCGATACCGGAAGATCCACCAGCCAAGCTGGGACTGGAGATCTCCAATTCGGAGCAATGATTGGGGATCGGGGTCCACTCATTCATAGTCCTTAGGAACTCTACGGCTTTTGCTGGGGCATAACAGAGTTACATACATACTCAAGGTTGAAGCCCAGATATAACTTGCAATCGAATACTTTTTACGTCCGTCAGAAATGGCTCCAAGACCAATACAAATTGACTAATATGCAATGCAAACCATAAATTCCTATGCGATAAGCGGCTAGCATTTTCACTGGGCCTCTAAGTCCGCCCAGAAAGTTGAATCGATCGGGATAACAAGCACTGCTAAAGGTAGCATCGGTTGATAAGAGGAACCAACGCCAGTTCGGTGTGGCAATTCTGGGATCACAATCCCGCAGTGCCGTGAAAGGGTTGACATTAAAAACATCTCCAATTTGGAGCCTTTGGCGATGAGAAAAGCATCACCAAGGCCGTTGAAAACCGGCGCCAGATTTGGGTCTCTCGCCAAGTCAACTTTTTCACCAGATAGAAGTGGCAGGCCAGGAATCTCCAATTTGGAGCTTCAAAGTCTCTGTAATTTTATTGGCTCTTCTCCTGCGTGAATCTCAATTTTGTGGGTCAAAGGTATTCCACGCTTGTTCCATGTATTTAATCTCTTCACTTCCCCAAATTCCCCCAAATTCCCCCAACTTCCCAGATTCATTAGCATGAAGCAGTATGCCGAAAGTCTCGAAAGCACCTACGAAGTCGTACCGATGCCACCGCTGCAGTCGGCTATTCGCGAGGTCTGAGCACCTCCAGAGGCATGACAGATCACGTTAGTATTGTTAATTCCCGCCTATGCGAAATATTGTATTCAGACTAGTGTAGATACAAAAGAGAAGCCATTTCAATGTTCTCAATGCCCCAAAGCATTTACCAGAAAGTGCGTTTCCTGTGGGTTATATTGCAAATATGCAGTACTAATGGCGAACTAAAAGAGATTTGCTCTCGCGGCACGATCGACTCTCCCACCACTCTGGGACTGCATCACAGTCTTCGTCCTCCACTACACTTCCCGTAGCCTACTCTTCTCAACAGCCGCCGATATCTATCAATGTGCTGCTGGATCCTACAACAGAACACTCAAGCAGACAATCAGACGTAAACCAAGAATCCACACTTCAAAGAGCCAATGATGTCCTGGGTGCTTCTCTCAATGAAGCTGAGAGCCTTCCAACAACTACGGGAATAGCAAAGTCTTACGAGGGCCATGTTACACAAGGTAGCTCTATGAGTCAGCCGCTGGGTTTTCCAATTGAAGATACAGCTGTCGATTATTTTACAATTGGTTCCATGGATGATTTCACATCTTTTATGGATAGCGTCTCCGTCCCCACGCATCCATTCTCTCCGACTTACCAACCTGTGCCATTGTTTTTTTCAGCATCTGACCCATCTTCTACCAATGCTTTAAACGAAGATATAGCAGGCAATGCTACATGGAGAAATACAGCATCGAGGCAACTCGTTCCAGGATTCGCCGCTACCTTGACGCCAATTGCAAAGGATGTTGATTCTTCTCTTTCTCAAACTAAGTTTAGGCTTCCTCCACTACAATCTGATGATGAGCTGGCCAATCCATGCCCTCAAGATCAACATGATCTCCATATGCATATATCTACCGACTGTCGGCAACGTATCATCAATGACTTGGATGGGTTTTCCAATTATATCGACAAAAACTTTGCCTTACCATCACGACACGTATTATCGAGATTTTTCGGAGGTTATTTTAATACCTTCCACGATCACTTCCCGTTCATTCATATTCCAACTCTCAGGCCTGAAAATATTAGGGCGGAGCTATTTCTTGCCATGGCTGCTGTTGGAGCTCGCTATACTCACGAGTTGGAAATAAGTATTGACTTATTTCATATGGCAAAAGTCTTGGTACTCGAACGCCTTCGGAGACACAGAGCTGCAAATCCTATCGTTACTCATAGGCATCCATTTGGTAAGCCACTTGCACTAGGCGAGCCGATAGGACAGCCATCGCATCTGCAGGAGACGGGTCTGTCCAAAGACAGCCAGCAAAATATTATCCAGACGGTTGAGGCGATGCTTTTATTAGTTGCAATTACTACCTGGTCTGAGCCTGGCACTACATCTGATGCTTTGTCGATGCGCAGTATGCTAGACTGTCTTATACGGGAAGAGGGAGCTCTTCGTATTCGTCAAACACGAAATTCTGATGATTGGGAAAGTTGGATTTACTATGAAAATATTAAGAGGGTCATTTTTGTTGCATATTGCTTCATTAATATGCATACCATAGTATTCGACATACCACCTTTGATGTGGGCAAAGGAAATTAATTTCGAGCTTCCTTGTCGCGAAAAGGAGTGGAGGGCCAGGAATGAGGAGGAGTGGAAGCAAGCATACGGCCATGGAGGCCAACCGGCTCAAAACTTTCGGGAGACTTTTGCGAGTCTTTTCGCTAGCACAAATGAGACGGATGATAAGTCAAAGACAAATCAAACGAGCTTCTCGTCTTTGGGCGGATGTGTCTTGATGCATGCGCTGATTCAACAAATCTGGCTGGCCAGAAATTCTGGATTACCTCTTCAGCAGCCAGAGAACAGCCTTTCGACAGAACAGATTGGTGCTTTTGAGAATGCACTAAGAACTTGGGCGATATACTGGGAGCAGAATCAAGAATCTTCCATGGATCCCTTGAGCCCTCACGGCCCTATTGCATTTACCTCTACGGCTCTTATGAGGCTAGCCTATATTCGACTCAACATGAATCTCGGCCCTATACGTTGTTTAAGTAGTTGGGATCCGCATTTGATCGCGCAGTCGCTTCACGCGAGCCCCCCAGTCCAGCGTAGCGAGAGACTCACTCGGGCTGCTCTTCATTGTGCACAGGCTCTGAGTATTCCAGTCAAGTTAGGTATAAACCATATCGCGGAGACACAAGTTAGGTTCTGGTCAAATCAGCATGCCTTGTGTTCTTTGGAGTGCGCTTTATTGCTCGCAAAGTGGCTTGAATCAGTTGTCGTAGATGATCCCAACCCACCACTGACACAAGCAGAGGAGCGACTTTTGGACTTTGTAGTCCAGCTCATCGCTGAAGCTGAATACAAAGTTCAATGCGAAAAGATATGGGAAAGAAAAATGTCACTCAATGCGCAGACTGTACGGCTCTGGGCAAGGCTATATCAATCCAAAAGCGTCTGGGAGGTGGTTGGTTTGATTGGAGCGTCATTGAGCATATATGCAGACATACTGGAGCAAAAATGCTCATAATTGAGAATTTTGACATCAAAGTATCTGCTCAATCGCTATATATGAGTATTTGGGGGCGAATAATAGGAATTATGTATATAAGAGTATGAGAGAAGAGTCTGTGAGTGTAGGATGGGAGAGGTTAAGCTTTTGGTCCTAGATTGAAAGGGGACTATGGACAGGATTCGGCAATATTTTATGGAGCAATAACAAAATGTCTACGCTGCGGTGTCAAACTCGGAGAAGTGATACTGCCTCGAGTTGAAACAATTTTATTAAGATTGGACTTAAGGAACTGGGATGGTTTTTGCAATGCAATCAGGAACCATTCCAAAAGATCAAATTTCTCATTGTTTGCATAATTTTGGAGGTATTTGAGCGAAAGAAAGTTGTTTTTAGCACAAATTGGAGCGTTCTTTGGGATTATCATCACGTTTCATTGCTCAGTTAGCCAACTATTTGTCAACCTCTCTTTCACAATATGAATTAACCATATGTCAAGCTCCTGATAATTCTAGAAGAAATTAGGAAACCATTGTTTCTTCTTTCTTAAAGCCAAAAATTTAAATAGAAAAAAAAAATACCCATGTGCATTTTGTTCCAGAAGAGATCAAGCATAATGCTCGATCTAATTAGTGCTGGAGAAAATATGTCATAGCATATGTACTTTTGCACTATATTAGTTAGCTAGAGAAATCACATGATTAGTAATTCATTGTTCCAGTGGTTAAATTGCCGACAATGTAGGCGGATTGTTCTTCCAAAACAATGCTAGCCAATATGACTGATGTTTAGTCGCTGAGATTAAAGAACTAAAACAACAGCTGTGAAGCTCCTTGATTGAACCTAGAGATGCAAGGCATTCGGGGTATTTTATCTTGCTCGTCGTGCCGACAGAGAAAGTTGGTGCCTCTAGCTCCTTACCAAGGATTCTACTTACCTATTTCTTTGCTCCTTTGGCCAGATTAAGATGCGATCGGAACGAGCCCTGTAGCAATTGTACTGCCAGAAATGTCGACTGTGTTTACGCCTCATTGCCACGTGGACGTGGTACACCAAGAGGAAATAATAGCCAGCACCCTGAAGTTCGTATTCGCCGGTTAGAGCAACTTATCGGGACAATAATAGCCCAAATGCCTGAAAATCAAGCATCAAGTGTCGCAATAAGTTCTCACAGCACCGGAGAAGCAAAGAATCTCCACGGCGATCAGACCTCTAGCCCAATTGAACACAGACGAACCAGCGGTGACTTGTCCCAGAATGACCACCACACCGTCAGGCCCGGCCGTATGATGTCGAGTGATGGCCAGATGATTTACGTATCTGGCATTCATTGGGCAGCAATCTGTAACGAGGTGAGAATTCTACAGTTTCATGGTCGGTGCACCACGCTGACCCTATCTACGTGCAAAAACGAATTAGATTGCATGCCTTAAAGAAAACTTTGGTGAAGATGAAGCACAGGACCATACAGAGACTACAGGGCAAAGCCAAAGAAGCAGCGAACCACTTCTTCTGAATGGCATAAGAGACATATCCAACGTGGAAGACATTCTTTCCGACATCCCGTCACGAGATTTCGCGAATAGATTGATATCTCGATATTTTAATTCCAGGGATCCCTCAGTTGGTAATATTGAACTCCATACAGATACTCACTCACCTTTAAAGCTAATTATGCGCTCAGCTGTCTTCCACGCGCCAACGTTTCAGCATGAGGTACGTATATCGACTCCTACAAGACAAACAAGCGTCGATGCTCAGAGTATCCGATTAATTTTTTTCTCCTTGCTCAAGTATAAGCGCTTCTGGGAGAACCCACGCGCCGCCCCCCTTCCTTGGATAAGTTTATTCTTCGGGGTAATGTCTCTAAGTGTATTTTTGCACATACGCTCTGGAGACAAACTACCTGAGGCATTCGGGAATCCTGAAGACATAAAGGCTACCTTCCATCGGCGCTCCACCGAATGCTTGCTTGCATCCAAATATTCTACTGAACCTGGCGCATATACGATAGAAGCGCTCCTTTTCAACATCCACAATGAGTTTGTGCGCTGTAAAGATGCCCATTTGGGTGTGTGGATTCTATCTGGTATTGCTACGCGGTTAGCAATGCGCATGGGGTATCACCGCGATCCAAGGCATTATTCACAATTGTCGGTGTTCCAAGGAGAAATGCGTCGCCGCTGCTGGGCCAGCATTTTACAGATGGATGCTCTTTTTTCCTGCCAACTTGGATTACCATCTATGATTCAAGAATCACAATACGATACGAAGCTCCCGTCTAATCTTCCAGATGAAGACTTTGGTCCTGATTCTGCCATTATTCCGAAATCACGGCCTGAGACCGATCTCACCCCTGTGTTATACACAATCACAAAAACACGATTCTTATTGCTATTCCGCATAATATTCAATCAGGTTAATTTGCAATGTATGGGGGCATATGACGAGATTGTTACACTGAATCAACGACTTGAAAACGCCCATGCACTTATTTCTCCTCATTTGCGGATGGTTGCCCTTGAAGACTGTATAACAGTTCCGCCTTACTTATTAATCCAGAGGTATAATCTAGAACTTCTCTTTCAAAAGACGCGATGCATTTTGCACCGCCATCATATGGCAAAATCTTACCAAGAACCCAAGTATAATTTCTCCAGATACTCTTGTGTCGAGGCGGCAATGGCGATTTTAATCCACCACGCCGACATTGACAAAGAAGTGCAAGTGGGGGGCCTTCTTTATAGAGAAAAGTGGTTTATTTCATCACTGGAACAGCATGATTTCTTGTTAGCTTCCATGATTGTCTGCCTCGAACTCAACTCACAAAGTCGAGCTATTCCGGAACAAGACTGCGAAAAACATGGATTGGTAAAATTTGATCGTGGAGAGCTGATCAATGCCCTGGAGGCTTCCCAATTATCTTGGCATAGGCACAAATCAAGCTCCGTCGAAGCGCGAAAAGCTTTCGATATGCTCTCAGTGATGCTAGATAGGGTTGCTGCAGGAACACAAGCGGAGAGAGAACGACGTCCAATGATAGGAGGCGCCAAATGCGATAACGGCGATGATATAGCATCTCGACAAACGTATATTGGTGAGTCTGGCCATCATATGGCACTATGTGTTACCACGTTCTGATTGCGCGTGCTTCTTAGGCTCTATGCCCGAATTAAGCACCTTAGAGGATATAGGATGTCAAACAAGTCCACAAAGGACCCCTCAAATGAATGTCGATAAAACCACTGTCGATAATTCATTTCTAAGCGAAATGGATTCACTCTTGAGTGGCTCAGATATGATAGATTGGGTACGTGTTCATAGCCTGCGTTAATCCGGCATTTTTCCAACGCCACGGTTGCGCGACATACGATATGCATATTTGATATGAAAGGCAGCAAGCTGACGAGCCACTAATTACATTGCAATAGAACGCTTGGGAGTTGTTAATAAAAAATTCTCGTGGGGAATCACAAGGTGCTCAATGAAAGATCTTGGCTGAAAGCTCAGTTGTCTGGCTATTTTTTCAAAAGTAAATACAGTGTCTCAAAAGTCCCAATAGCAGGTTTGAGTTTTCTTTCTCCCTTTCTCTCTCTCTCTCTCTCTCTCTCTCTCTCTTTCTTCCCCCCCCCCTCCCCCCCCCCCCCCCCTTTTTTTTTTTTTTGTGAGTGTTCCTTCTTCCTATCTATATTCTTTTAGCACACGAGCATTTGAATATATCATTTATCCATTTATGTTTATACCGTGACTTTATAAGACTAGTTAATAGACAGTGGCAGTGTTGAAAACAAGTGAAAAAGGGTGAAAAAGGGCGAAAAAGGTGTGGGCATGCAAAACTAACCATGCAGTTGTTCGTCGAGCAGAGCGATGCGGCTTTATTATCTGCGCCGGTATCTAAGCCCAAAGTCGCTAGTGCTACGGGTTTGGATCGCGGCCATAATAATAACTCCGATGCTAATTGCAAGAACAAGTAGGATGAGGAAGTTTTTGAATCATCGTTACAAATCATTATTAGATGCTAATATGGATCGGAGGCCGTGGACATCTCCGACAACATCTTTGTAGCTACATATTAGTACCTAATTCAGTAATATGGTTGAAAGGATTGGCCCCGGGAATTACTCGATAGCCTCGGGCACGAGTATGTTCTTATTTCGATTATGCATTCGTTTTACGATGGTGTTCATATTTTTCGTGAAAGTAAACCCGGACATTGGGCAGTCCATGATACGAAGACGAACAACATTTTGATACGTGCTAAGAAAAACTCGAGTTGTAGCTAGGCTTCACTTCGCCTGTGTAGCTTTTCTTACTCACTACTTTTCACGCCACGCAATGAAGATCAACGGGTAGTAGCATGCGGAAGCACACAACAATAGTTATCTGTCAACCAACTTTAGCTCGGCCTTACTCTAATAATTGTACATAGATTAAGCCCTTAATTATTATCATTGTTCATTGTGAAATACAGATATAGCTTCATCAGTCTTTAGGGAGCATAGTTACTATAGATCTTCTGCCGCCGACAGCTACAGTATGTGCATGCTTTTGACACTGGCTTAAGGGGAGATCCGTGGATTCCGCGGAAGCGATCCCAAAATCCGGCATCTATTATGCAGCCCCACGTTCACTCAAAACAAGTACATTCAAAGAAGGCAAGGAAAAAAGTGCAAGTATGTACGAAGTATATAAATATGGTTGTCTATTATAAAGCTCTCGGGTTCGCTCGTTCATGTTGTATATGCGGAAGACTGTCAAAGATTGATACATGAATGATCTCTCGGTATAGTTCGTATCTTTCTATTAGCGATTTGAGCACCGAATCACCCATACCTAGCAGGTATCACTCGATAGTATGACACGCCAAAAAGAGGAAGAATTCCAAGTGGGCGATATGCCTAATTTGAGCGGCTACATTGCAATCGTAACGGGCGGTAAATATCTTTCCCACTACATCATATATCCAATACGACAGTATAGAGATAACTCATAAAGATATTAGGCAATTCTGGTATTGGATACGAAACAACGCTTCAGTTGGCCAATCATGGAGCCCGAGTATATATTGCAAGCAGATCTCAAACCCGTGTCGATGCAGCAATCAAGACGATGAAAACTGGAAACAATGGCCTAGACATTCATTTTCTCAAGCTAGACTTGCAGGATCTTCAGAGTATCAAGACTACGGTTGAGGAATTTTCGAGGAAGGAAACTCGTCTTGATATCCTTATAAATAATGCCGGCGTGAGTTTTTCTCAAATGATTGAGGTAACATCTACTAATGAATTTGCTTACTTTACTTTACAGATTATGGCATGTCCTTTCGAGTTAACCAAAGATGGACACGAACTGCAATGGCAAACTTGTTTTCTCGGGCACCATGCTTTAACAATGTGTTTACTACCTCTACTACATTCAGCCGCTCAAAAAAGCAGCAGTAATGATCGAGTCAGAATTGTAAATGTCTCAAGCGATGCTGCTGCAAGCATGGGACTGGATAGCATCAATTACAAAGATCCTAATATGGCTGACTTGAGAGGAGTAACAGCGCCATGGTAGGCAAATTTTTAACTGTCACGTTAAACAACCGTTTGCCTTCTCAGCATCCACTTACCATTATCTAATTCGCTATTTGGCAGATACATGATTGAGACAAAATGTGCTAATATGTTCTCAACTTTCATCTAGGAAACGTTATGGCCATTCGAAGCAAGCTAGTATCATTGCTGCCAAGGCCATTACAGACCGTTATAGAGATAAGGGTATCACGGCATATTCTTTGCACCCGGGCATAATCAAGTCGAATCTTCAGAGTCATGATACTTCATTCCTTGGAATGCTGACTCGTGCAGCGATCAGAGTGATGCCAACTCTTTCACCCGCCGATGGGGCACGTACCAGTTTGTATTGTGCTACGAGCCCCAGTGCATCCTTGTTCGCTGGCCGATATTTCATACCATTTGGTAAAATTGGGACGAAGGAAAATAAATGGTTGGATGATGCCAAAGCTGTAAACGGGCTTTGGACACTCGCAACTAATCAGCTCAAGGATCATGGTTTTGTAATTGAGGATATTGGTGGTAACGTTGATGGGTGAGCTTTAAATCGACTTTATGTATCTACGAAAGATGCAAGGTCACGTTCTATCATAGATTTTGTATTTGAATAGCTCTAGTGGTGTAATTGAGAACTTCTCTTGGCATAGTGCGTTGATGTGGAAGGAATGTATTCTATATTCCCCTTGATGTATTCAGAAGGTGTCTGTGTCCAGAATTTGGAAACATTTTTCTTAAAAATTTAATGGAATAGAGGATATTAAACCGAAACAGTATAGCAAGGGAACGTTTATATGAGCTCTGAATTGAAAAGGGAAATATGTACAATGAATTCCCCTAAATTTGCTGTCAGATGCTGCATATAATATAGGTTATAAAGTAGCCCTAATTGCAGATCTAGAGCAACGTGCTAGAAGAAGTATTCCTGCTAATACTCTCACTACTAATATGTGACCGCCTACAATTCAAGATATTACAATGTAAATCGCTTGCTACAAGGCAAAGTAGAAGGCAAAGTTAGAGTTTGCTCACATACTACTATTCTCCCTGTGTTCTATAGAATTGTTTTCTTAGCGGAGTTTATGGTTACTAAAATGTATATACATCGTAGATAGATAACTATCCTGAAATTTGACTGAACGGCTACCATTAAGGGGATCTTAATGGAAAAAATATTTGTACTTCAAGGATATGGTATGAGGTATTTTAGATTGAGAAACTAAGTAACTCTGCATGCAACAACCTAAGGTAATTATCCTTGAATTAACACAATATCGTCAGTCAATAGAGATCGTAAAATGGTGAGACAAGCTATGGGTGAATGTCCAGAGGTATTATATGTTGATGAAATGGAGAGTAGTAAAACTAATTCCTAGAAAATGAACCACGAGAAGGTGGTCAACTTTTTCCGATTAGTGGACATGCTCTTATTCCTTCCTGTATGTTGTTTTGGCTCCCCATCTGGTCATAGGAAATAAATATATAATGAGCTCCATCTATGACTCCTTTTTAGCCTATAGATGATATCAAAATTCAGCATAACAAAGTTTCTTTCTATTTTTAATAGAGGAAGAGATATTGCTAGCTGTACTACCTATCCAAGATTGTCAGGTTCTATCGAGCTATTGTTCACGTCCTCAAATAAAGGGGATTGATCAACCAAGGCCGCAATAACCCATAAATATTAGCTGTGTAACAGATTTCTGTAGTTTTCAAGGCGTCACACCGCCAGAGTCGCCAATCTATCGCACCGACAGTCCGTATTTACGTATTCAAAAGTAGGCCGCGCGTCACTTTCGTTCGCTATTTTCAATGCTTCATCAGGAGATGACACGCCTGTACCATTTCTTTATGCGTTGCATGGTAGTAAGCGGACACGTCACATCGCCGACTTGACCGATTTCCTAGTGGTGACCACGATCTCAGAACTAAGCCACAATTGAACCTTAGTGTTCGATACACTATAATCTCAAAATATATATTTCCTGCGTGTTCCATATGTAGGTCAATAAACCAAGATTAACAAACTAACATCAACAAGTATCCTCACAATCACGTTAGCTACGTATCAGATCTTTGACAAAAAATTCAATCATGTCCATCAAATCAAGCGCTGTATCATCCATGGCCCTCTTGTGCTTGGCTCTTCTCAGTTTACCTGGTTCAGCACAGCCAACTACCTCTCCATTAGGTCCAAAAGGCCTTAACTGGGTGCTTCCTTTTGTGGGTGACTGGAATTGCTTTCAGCAAGGCGAACCAAACGGAAGCGGTGGAGGTGGTAGTGGTGCTGGCGCAAATCTCACCTATTCCATCAAGATCACCAAGGATAATGTGACCCTGGATTCCATTCAACCGAGTCCATTGCTCACAGCTCACTCCGTCATTACCTACGACGCCGAGAGCGAAATCTTCAACTTCACCTATAGCGACAGTGGGGGGAACAGTGGACCGGGCACGTCGGTTGGATGGGAGGAAGGGGGTCACTTCCGATTCATTACCTGGCCCCTGACCAACCCCGGCAGGCCAGGAGTTCAAGCTCGAACAATGGACGATTTTCTCCGACCAACCAACCCTAATCAATTTACCGACAAGTTTTACGCCAGCCAAGATGGCGGTAACACTTGGCTGCCTGCGGGCCAGCTCGACTGTACCCGTGCCCCAAGTGCACATTAGGGGGACAAAGATGTTGCACCGGCTTTCATTCGGTCGCAAGATTGGCTCAGACTCACGCGAAACAATTGCTTCATCAGCCGCCACGACATTTCCCATGTTGGCAATACGATGACTGGTTTTGAGCTTTACAACGCTTCTATTTCGCTATTATTCGAAGATTGATACATGGAACATTACATGTGTTCAGGCATGATGAATCGCTTACTGCAGTTAAATCCTCTTTTCTGTTCGAGTCTTTCTTTTACACTTTTGTTTTGAGTTTTAATAAATCTTATCTTATACAGTGTTCTCAGGGATGTGAAATCTTCCATTAGTACATCAATTGCTTTCCCAGGTTCTCTAACAGCTCCTTTTTAATATTTTGCAATTGAATCGCTAAACACTTGGAATAAATGATGCACACAGAGATGTGTTTACTCCAACTTGTATAGCCACTAATGTAGATAGTATTGCTTTCTAAAATCATAGGGCAATGGTATGAAATTGACTCTGTTATCTTTCTTCATTGGAGCTGAATTACTCCCCAAGGAGTAGCATTTTCAATGTGCAGTGTAGACATAATTTACCCTACGTACAGGGTCATACCTATTGGGGCTGAGCATTAATACATGCTTATCTCCATAAATAGCGCTAGGTTATTTTTCGTGCTGTTTATACGGGTGCAAGGGGTGATATTACTGAATTAAGTTATTGTGAGTTTCCCTTTTGCGCTTTCTCCACTGGCCGAGAGCCGATCCTGAGAATAAAACGGTGGATTAATATGGGGAAATATACCCAGTCTTTCTAAGTCGACCTTTCACCATTAAATTCCCCAGAGCATGGAATATTGTGAATGCTATTCTACAATCATCGCAGTATGATATCAAGGAGCATTTCAACAAGGTACTCAATCTGAAGCTTCCGGACAGACCCAACGAACTTAATCTCCACATGCGCTGCATGCCGTATACCTGACATGGATTGTCCGCGACCTCTTCATTGATAATTAGTCACCCTGATCCCACGATGTGTGTTTTTAGAGAGCGGCAGGGTTTATAACAGTATATACATCAGAAACTACTAAATACTGGAATGGATATAGAAGGGAGGCCCAGTAGATTGCAAAAACTGACGCTGTTCGTTCTGAAGCACAGCGATAGTATTATTGGCGATTCCCATGAAGATTCAACAGCTTACCAAATGCTTGGGGAGCTGGTTTTGAATGTTGTTCTTTCATAATATGCATTGTAGTTCAATGTGGCAACATGTTTCAGTTAACTATTCATGCATAATGCATGATTCAGGAGGCTGGCGGAAAACAATTCGCCAGACCTTACCCGATACATTTGCTACCGCCGCATTCCATATCGATCAGTAAAGATTATTAAACACCTACCCCTTAGTAAAGAATTGAATTTAACGGATACAAGATTCTCTGTAAGATTAAAAACCTTTATGATGAATACATGGACGACCGTTCGTCCCCTTATCCTGGAGACCATACTTTCATCTGGTTGCGAATGCATATCCATACACTATTCAATTGGCCCTAACATGTCATTAGATTGCATATGTCGCAAAATATTTTGTACAACGCAGTATCCTCGTCTTATAATAGATACCGGCTCTATATTGGCGTAGTGATCGATACATAAGTTGTCCCACATTACTTGGAAATTCAATAACGTGCAGTGGTAGGTCGTTTTTATGAACCCTCTTCAAGATGCACCAAGACTTGTTGCAATCCAGTTCTTTGGTTCCAAATATGACATTGAGAAAAATAAAACGCTTTTTGAGGGCATATTTAATATTAATGAGAAGACCAATAAGGACATGCATTCAAGCCTAAGACGCTCTAAATTTCCGCCAGGAGAGGCATCTACGTTGTATTATTCCTCCGAGATATCGGCATCTGCGCACAAAGCTATATCAAAACCTGTCAAGATGTGTTATGGTATTAAACAATCTTGGCCCATTCAAAACCTTTTGTTTTGAAGTCAAGGACGCGGTTACAAGGAGGTTGCGCTGACATATATTCGCGCGCGCTTGATTAACACACCCGCTTGCTTAAGGTATCCATAATTTCTTATCCCAAATAACATAAGCCAATAATAAGCATTAGCTTGTACTTCCTCCCTATTTCTAGGAATAATGTGTTGGGAATGCTCCCACACATTCTGTGTGTGGCAAGCGCGCGGCGTCGAGTAGCAAAAATATGGAGTATTCCGATTAATGAGTGAGATATGGTCCTGTTTTCAATCTAATCAATCTACTACAGAACTGACAACCGCGCGGCCCTAAGTTCTACTGGCATAGCTGCGTCATGTAGAGAAGGAACAAAACGAACTGGCGAATGGTGGGGCGAGCTCCTTATGTCGTGAGCATATTGCTTGAAGATTGGGAAGAAAACCGGAAGGGCTAAAAACTGTCGAGTGTATAAATATGACATAGATCACATTTGGTCAACATATTCAAACCCATTCTTCTATCTATCAAGCTTTCAAGTAAACAATGAGGTCATCATTTTATCTGTTATCCTGTTTAGTGCTTCTAAGCACCAAGCTTCTGGGTGAAGGAGCTCGGACGAAGGAGCTTCGAATAAGCCCCTTTAAGATTGACCTCTCCCATCGCATACCGCATATGATCGATTTGCTGAAGAGAACTCAGCTCCCTTCCAACGACTTGGAAATTGCTGTTGATAGCAGAAATGTCACAACGAGCACCGGGACATCTCTATCCAAAATTGAGAGTCTCCGTAGTCAATGGTTGCACAATTTTGACTGGGAAAAGGAACAACTTGAACTGAACCGGTATGAAGTGGAGCAGACACATCTTGTGATAACTTCTCGTTAACATCTTTTTGAAGATTGGAGCACTTTACGACAATTATCGAAGGTCAAACAATTCACTTCATCCATGAAGTCTCTCATACGCAGAACTCGATCCCCCTCATCCTACTTCACGGCTGGCCAGGATCTTTCTTGGAAATGATACCTGTCATTAATAATTTGACTCTAAAGAATCAGAATTACAGTGCCGGGTCTAGCCAGACTTCGTTCCACGTTGTCATCCCCTCTCTTCCGGGATTTGGGTTCTCTTCACCTACACCAAAGAATTGGACCATAGACGACACCGCACGTATATTCAACACACTCATGCAGGAGGTACTGGGTTATAACACTTATGCAGTTCATGGATCTGACTGGGGCGCCTTTATTGGATGGTCAATGTATAATTCCTACCCAAACTCTGTTCGTGCCACTCATATGGCACTATTCCCAGAGCTACCTTTACTACCGGACCAGTTGGAAGCAGATAATATAACACTTTCCGAAGATGACTTATTCAGCGAACAACTTTGGGTCGACAATTCTGTTGGTGGTAGTGCGTATGCAATCCAACAAAGAACCAAGGTAAGATCGCACCTGACTTTACAAATTCGCAGAGCTGTATTCCTCATCGCCGCTTTTAGCCAAACACGATTGGCCTGGCTTTGTACGATAACCCTGTTGGCCAACTTGCATGGATTTCAGAAAAATACATCGATTGTGAGATACTCCAGCTTTTCTTTTATTTTTTTTTATTGAGATTCTATTTGACGCGTATTAACGCATAATACGTTCTAGGGTCCGATCCACGACGCGGTACCGGGCCGTCCGTTTTAACTGATCACGAAATCCTTCGGGTAGTCTCGCTATATTATCTCACCCAGTCGTTCACTTCCGCCGCGTATATTTATAATCAGAATCCGTCTTCGTTCGCCGTTCCTCTATCGAAAGCAAAGACGGATGCTCCATTTCTGTTCTCCAAGTTTAAATATGACACGTTCTTCATCCCAGAACCAATTATCGGGTCTCTGACGAATCTTGTCTACTATAAATGTCAGTTACTCCGGCTCTTTCAATATTATCTCACGATTTCTAACACTCACATAGCGTGGGACTTTGGCGGGCATTTTTCCGGCTTGGATAATCCACCTGCTCTTATTCATGGTCTGAGGGAAATCGGAAAATACTGGCAGTACTGATTATGTCACCTGAAATGGGTCATCTGACGTTCTCTTTCTAAGATTCCATATTCGACGCCTAGAAGTGCATAGTGAATGTTGCTTCTTAAGTAATTTAATACTGCATCTAATTTCAAATTGCCAATAAATATTTTCCAGCCAACTACAGTAGAAATTTGAGTCTACACTTCTACTTCCCCATAGCTTGTCCTCTCCAGTTTTTGGGCAACATAAGCAAACTGAATAACCCCTCTCTTGAAGCTATCCATCTGCTTTTGACTTAGTGACATTACTGTGGGACCAACCTTAGCAAGAAACCATGTCTTGTCTCTCTTAGCAACAGCAGCGCCTGTAAAACACAGCCATATGTAAACTTCTCTCTCCAACTCTCCGTCGTTATCCTTAGGGAGGGGCATAATACAGGATCGTAGCTTTTCCAAAAGTATCTGGTTGTCGTCAGATGAGAAAGGTATACCACGTTCGAGAGAATTCAGGTGGATACTTGCAGCATACCAACATGCTGCACAGAGTGGGTTATCTTTATCAAGATCTTCTTTTGCGGACTGATCTTTTATATATGGAGGTAACTCCCAGCACTGTTCTTGTAATTTCTGTTGGCCAAAAGTCAACAAAGCATCATGAACTTTATTAAGCAATGATAACAATGGCTCCTTTAGTCCACTGGAGTATAAGGTCTTGGCTGAGCGTTGCAAGGTGGCTGATAGAAGAGTGGCTGGCGCCTCGGGAAAAGCCTCTACTGTACCAAGGACCGGTTTTGAGGCACTTAGAATGGCGTCACCGATACCAATCCTGAATGCACAGCTATTACTGACTGTGGGTGGAGCTTTCAAATCCCGGGTCGACTTACAGTGTAATCATATGTGATAAGAATCCACTAAAACCAAGCCTTTTTAGACCTCCATTTGCATTTATCATTTGCAGTAGTCCTTGTTTATGGATCTTTGCTTCTTCTATATGACAGTTCATAGTCTTCACTATATTAGCCCTGGCCAATCGTCTCATCATGTACAATCTACTTGCCTCGTAGTGCCATAAATACATGGCTGTGGCTATGGAGGTGTCAGATACAGTTCGTGAAGCCGAAATATTTTCTAAGAGGAGCTTTATCGCCTGTCGCCGATGATAGTGGGTTATGGGATTGCCGCTTTCTCCTCGGATGACTTCTAGATGGGATGATGCGGCAAAAAGAATTCCATGAAACATGCATGGATCTGAGAATGAGGCTTGCATCCATTGATTCCTTGAAAATTCATGGGCGTGATTGAAGTTTGTCCTAACAGACCTCGGGCAACAGAGATCGTAATCTGTGGAACGGTGAGTTTACTTATGTATTCAAGAGCAACACTCTCTAGGAAAGACTTACAGTGATTGACCAAGAATGGCATATACCACTGAGACGGAATCGGGTAGTATTGCGTAGTGGAGTCCAAAGGTAACTGATGGAGTAATGGCCTGCCGGTGATGTTCAATCCATTTGATAAGGACTCTATTTGTGAGCGAAGTGTGCGTATTTCGTGCTGAGATCGATTTTCCTCATAACTACAACTGATAAATTTTCTATTTTCGTCAGAAAGCGTCAGGTATGAGTTGCAGATGAATCAACTCACTTTCGACAAGTTGTGCAACTCGGAAAGACTTTGTCGCATTTCTTCTTACGCACTCTGCAATTTCCGCATGCTTGCAGTGCACGACCCTCTCTAAAAGTCGACGTTGTCATTTTTACCCCTTCAGTAACAATGGGGAAATCGCTGTTTCGTATCAGCCAAGGTCTATTGTCGAGCACATAATCCTAGCAACCGGGAGCCACGATGTAAATTTGAAGAGAGTCCACTAGCGTCGCGAGATTGAAGGAATTCCCCAAGCTGGGCGTGACTTTCGACTCAGCCCCGCGGATCCTGAACATAAGCCGATTCAAGCTAAAATCTGACACTTCGAATTATTAGACTAAGGGAACTCAAATACTAAAATGTAATAACACTAAACAGACAGCTTAAAATACGTCAGAAGAGGAAGAGAAGGCGAAACGACGTTTCGGGCGCCGATGGGTTCCAAGTTTTGGTTTGCATTGCGCAGCCCTCTCAGGCACATTTGAAACTATTGGCGGATTTTGTATCTCCTCCCACATATTGGGCAACCTGGGGATAAGGACAGATAATGCGAGCGCCACCTTCAGGTCCCGCTATCTCCGCGGCCAAGTTGAGAGGCGCCCTCTTGTTTTCCACCCAGTTTACCAGCGCCTCAAGCGGATCCGTAGGCACCGCCCCAAGAGACGGAGTGCCTGCGCAATGGTCCACACCGGGGGCCAGGAAAAGACGAAAGAATTCATTCACTTTTGTAGAGCCACCCATCAAGCGTTCAACCCTTTTGCGGTATTCAACTGTTCCTTGTGGGAAGATGAGCTGATCGGAAAGGCCATGCCACATTAGCAATTTCCCTCCCGACCTCTGAAATCCGGAAAGGTCAGGATTGTCAGTCCCAATGATGGCGTCGTATTCTTTATCTGACTGGGTAAATAGCCGATCCAGTGTGGAATAGTCGATTTTGGTCAAATCATAGTTGGGGTTTTTCGCGACCCAGTATCTGATCCAAGCATCGTTGACGAAAAAGGGAAAGCCGCCTCGCTTTCCGTGGGTTATAGTAGTATTCGCAAGACTGTCCAACGCGGCCCCTGGATTCAAGCCATACCATCTTGACTCTCCATTTGGTCCAAAGGGTCCTTGAAGCACTTTCTGAACAACCCTGGCGGTTGCTTCTGTGATAGTCACATTCACTCCATCGCAAGGAACCCTTCGACCAACCAGTCCGTATGGATCAAAGTTGCAAACATCTGGATTATTGATGACGCCGTCCATGACGCCGTCCAATCCGTCACATTCAGCAATAGCGGCGTCGGTAAATGCCCGTAGCTCGCACGGCGAGGGAAATGATTTCTCCATGTTCATAACCACCTGCGGCCATTGCTCTGCAATAACATAGGTCGTCCAGTAGATTGCAGGAGCGCCTGCTAAAATCCCATCAAAAAGATCTGGATATCTCTGCGCCGCTACCATTGCTTGCCGTCCGCCTGTTGAACACCCATTCCAATATGAGTAATTGGGCTTCTGGCCATAAAATTGCTTCGTAATCTCCTTGCCAATTAACGCCATATCATGGACTGAGCGATAAGAAAAGTTAATGAGCGCATCCCTATCCACAGAACCGTCTGGTCGTAAGGCCCAAGCCTCAGGCGACGAAGGATTGAAGCCTACGCCCGCATCAGTAGATGCTGAGGCGTAGCCCTGCTTAATGGTAGGGCCTAGGGTGAGATCTAGTTCGCCGGCTGCATAGCCGACCCCCCCATTGGCTTGAAATCTCCCGTTCCAATTCTCTAGAGGCAGCCAGACTTTAACAAGGACTTTGTCATGTGCGCCTGGATGCGTAAGAACCACATCGACGGCACAGATGTCCAGACCGGAAACTGGACTTGGCAGAAGCCCAGGGACGGCAGAAACAGTATAATTCCATAATTCTGTCCCATTGATCGATATGATTTCGGCACCAGGGATACATGGCGCATTGAGATGAGCACAGGATTTCTTGGGGCGCCGAAGGATTTCAACATCGGCGGCGACACCGGCAACAATGGTAGAGACAAGATAGAGTACAGAAAGTTTCGCCATTGTTGCTATCAGACAGCTCCGAATCGTCATTAGTTGCTTATTAGGTCAACTGACTCGAGTTAGAGAATCCGAGACATATTGGCTATATATATATATTTTTTTCCGGGTACTCTTTTTCTACGGACGGTACTATCTTAACATCACTTGGCTTCAAATCTACAAGTTCTAGACAAAACCTGCCCTCGCCTGGCGGGCCGTTTCCGATCCCAGTCAAGCCATTTGCGAAACTGTAAACAAAACATGGTTAGATGAAAAAATGGGGGGGATTATAATCATTTAGACCAGGAAAATACATCATATTTTTTTTCCATCAGGCTGACTTACTAGCAGAGGCCAAATGTATACGCACCACTCCATATAAAGATTTGAGTCACCCCCACAAGTGTTTTGAAGGAATGAGGCTAAGCAGCGAATGCTGACTGCAAGGATCGGCCCCGCTCCGCACACCAAGTCAGCGCAACGGTGCCTCTGTACAGAACAAGAACAATCAGTGTGTTTCGGGCGATGGTTTTATCTTTTTTTTTTGGTTAATGACGTATACCAACAAATGAATTGAATCCATCTTGAGAGGTGTTAAATGTTATAAATATTGGTGTAGTACTGATGGTTGGCTATCAAAGTTATAATGAAGCTTCGTTCATTTTCTCTCATGGTTCTCTGGTAAATACCAGACTAGGGCGTGAAAGATGTCTCCCAAAAGCGAGCCAGCGACGGGAAAACAAGACTCCGACTCAACAGTAGTTCGCCGAGTAAGCCCCAACATCACAACTATCAGCATTCCATTCGCACAGCTGGGACTTCTCAAAACAGGTGGGCGGACTACTATCGGTAAGCCCTATCCGTCTAATAGGCTCCGCTTGCCCTGACGATATTACAGTGCAGCTTCAGTCCGGCTCGCTTGCCGTCATATCGCCAGTCAGATTGACGGACGTCGTGTGCGATGCACTCGTTGCAACGAACGGCACAGTCAAATATATTATCGCCCCAAATCTGGAGCATTACATGCAAATTGGTTCTTGGAAAGCAGAATTTCCCAGTGCATGTCTCATCGTCCCTGAAGGACTGCCCGAAAAATGTGCCAAAAAACTTGGGCTAGGTCAGGAGATATTTGACATTGTTTATACTGCGTTGGAAAGCCAGAAACGCATTTCGGAGGAATTTGACAATGAATTCGATGTACAATACATCGATTCCATGGATTCTCATGAAATTGTCATGTTTCACAAGCCCACTCATACAGTCATTGAGGCGGACCTTTTATTTAACGTACCCGCTGTCGAGCAATTCTCCAAGTCCGGCCAATCGCCAACCTCTGGGGTTTTCACAAAGTTGGTCTCCCCAATCTTCTCTACTACGTATCCAGCGACATGGCAGAAACGCCTGGCATGGTATATACTGGGAGCAAAAGACCGTGTCGCCTTTGCTGCGTCGTTGCAACGGATATTCTCCTGGGATTTCGAACGTATTATACCTTGTCATGGAGATGTCATTGAAAGTGAAGCGAAGAAAGTATTCGGCACTATTTTCGAGTGGTATTTGAATGGGGAGAACAAACGTCTGTAGCTACGGAATCCTGAGCCTCGCCAAGCTTGCAATAAGCCTGATGTGGGGAATATTTCACGAATGTTTCGCGAGGATGCATATCTTACCCTACCTAGGTACCTATTTATTACATCCAAACTTAATTTTAATGCAGCTGTCAATAGAAATGAAGAGCTTGGTAGTTTTCATGACCTAGCTCTTACCAGTTATTTATTTGTTATATTCAGCACATGAATATTCTCTGTGTCTTGCTTATACTGCCTTCATTTATGTTTCGAAAATGTTGGCGCCATCCGTGTAAGGGACAGCACCTGGGTTCATCCACTCCCCCAGAATAGTGCAATCGTACTGCTTTCCACCAACAAGCCCACCTTTACCCACCGCCCTCCATCTGTTGTAAATGGGTAAAGCCGGAGTTCCCGGTAGCAGATCCAGATCGAACTGATAACGACTTCCGTTATTAATGACGTATTCAGCAAACATCTTGGTCGGCAAATTGACGCCGGCAGCTGGTGAATCAGCAGTGCCACTAATGTTGAAGTTGAATGTGTTTGGCTTAGGGTATGGTAAGTTGGAGAAAGTTGTACACTGTGATTGTAGAATCTCTGTATCGAAGGAAAGGTACCCAGACATGAAATCGTCCTCATGCGGTGAATTTAGTGGCTGTGCCTCGACAAATGCAACATGATAAGGCTATTATTGATAGATTAGCATTAGACCAAATTTTGAGCAATAAGCAGATCCAACGACGCTGTGAAAACCTCAGAAGAAGAGTTTGGCAACTTACTCCGCATGATCCCAGGCCGAAGAGCCAGGTATTCAGATATTGATCGATTGGTTTATCTGCCCAGTTCTTGTCATGATATCCAGCTCCTTTGAACGACGCGCTATGTCCATCAAGATTAATGTTAACCTTGGCAGAAGTCGTTCCAGGCATAGCAATAGCCCAACCAAGATTGGTGAAAAATTCCGTCTGTGCAGCATTGAAGTTCGCTCCATCCGGTATCGCAGGATCAAAATAAAGAGATCCGGCAGTGTTGCCTGAGCAGCCCGTATGTGGGGGTGTATTAGTTCCAACGAGGCTTACAGACCCTGATATTCCCAGCGGTGGGTAGTTGAACGAAACATCAAATGTGCGTGGTGGGCCAGTGGTCGAGAGTAGGCTGGCAATAGTCACTCCTGAAGGATCTTTCCATACTGCTGTCACACGTTCTTTGTTTTCAGTGACTGTTGCAGAGTCTGCAGGGATAACGATGAAGAATTGAGTGCCATTTGGTAAGGTGCCTGTCAAGACTGATAAGAATTTGAGCTCCAAACAACAGAAACAGAGCAGCCTACCAGAAATGTCTACTTGAAATGAAGGATCCGAGGGAGCACGGGTGAAAACGAAGCCTATTCATGCAACTCATTGGTATGCCACACTAATACATATGGGAGTAGACATAACAAACCTTCATACATAACGATTTCAAAAGAAGGTATAGTTCCGTTAACTTCTTCGCCAATCACCTGCCAATGTTAGAATACTGTGATTTCCAGACCGTGTGCGGTACCTACATTTGCCCACCACCAGTCAAAAGATTCATTATCCGGGCCTGGGAAAGGATTTGTCACTACTCTGGTTAGCAAATTAGATGTACTTCAAAACACAACACCCTGAGGCATTGCACACCGTAAGCTCCATCAATATTGGGCGGCCGTGTCTCGTCTGGGGCCACCCTTGTTTCCAGGCCGTTGGTGGCGAGTACAAGTGTGGAGGACAACAAAGTTGTCACGAGTAACTTCATATTGAACATAAGAAACAAATTGCTAAAATTTTACACCACTTATTTGATCAATGTTGGAGTAGTCAAACACTTGAAAGAGAGAGCTGGGAAACATGAGAGGCTTTATATTTCTTCCGTCTTAAGAAATCGAGCATAATAATAATCACCTCTTATACTGCCAGGCATCGGCCATATACCTGGATGCTTCTGCAGGGGCATATAAATTCCGTACCATTCATAATGACGATGGTAAGGATCATCAGTAAACCTACGAGTACCTAAGCGGGTATCCAAAAAATGGGAATCCGTAGATTTTGAACACACAAGAGAGTAACTATACGCACACAACTGTAGAAACGCTTTCACGCAAGTGGTGCTCTTATTACTAATTTGTGTGTGAATATCCATTTTGCGGTCCCTGTTATTTTGATACCCGCTTGGTACCTTCTTGGCAACTCAGGGATAAGGAAAGGCACCGAATTTGTACCCGCTCAGTGTAAGATTAATGGGTAGGCCTTCTCTCTCACAATACTCAACTTAGCGTCTCTTGCATTTATGCCCCGTTGATGTGTAGCGTACTAACTATCTCTAGATGCCGCAGTTTTAGCGCTTTACATCGACTATACTCTGAGTTGACCATCAATTAAAATTCTCTGATCTTCTTGGTTGGATTTACAGCAGAAGTATTATTTGTATGCCTGTATATGTCTCTGTCTTTTCAGCTGCAATAGTTATTTTATTGTCTGATTCAGGTTACTTTTGCGAAGCTCGCAATCCATGCACCTTACGTACCGTATGTGCGGTACGTAAGTATCGTATGTAGAGTATGGAGCATGAATTGATGCAATTGGCAGCATCCCGATCCCAACTACGGACATGGCCGGCAAAGCCATTGAATCCAACACTGTTCGGGACAAAGTACGTAAAAGTGCTTACGAAGCGGATATCAAAAACACCGAGACTTGGCAGACGATCAGCACACAAACCAAGATAGCACGCACACAAAGTGGCGACATCCCTGCTAGGTAGTGTTGCGCATATTGCTCCAGTGTAAGCACGTATTGATTTTGCGGTCTCTTTTTTTCTGATACCCGCTTGCTTACCTAGATGGAGAAACTTAACGCCGTCAACGAACAAGGGATCCATTTGGTTTGCCTGACTGCAACGTTATGCATCAGCTGACATGGGAGGGAATCCCGACCCATGACTTCTTAAATGTTTACGGACGTTAACCTCGGTTGCGACTCAAACTTGAAAACTTGGTTCATTTTGACTCTTTAAAGTACAAATATCCCCATGCCCACAAAGTAAATCACTGCTAACACGCCGTGGTTTTGTCATACGATGCTGCTCTTAGTTGAAATCATAAGTCCGCAATGGGAAGCAATCTAGACTAGATGGTAGACTTTCAACGGTTATTACCACAAATTACCAATTATGAATACCAAGCGAAACGAAAGTGTTCATACTTGTACGCGTACTCAAAGTAATCAACTAGTACTGGCAGCCTGACTTGCGGTGTGTGATGGACTGGTTGACTAGGTACTATTGCAAGGGTGTACAGTGGAGAATTGCCTAACGGTTTGATTACCGCTTGAGGGACATTAAGTTTCGACCTAGAGAGGAAACGAAGTTAGGGATTTTTAGCACTACCTGTACGGAGTAGCATTACACATTTTGTGCCTTGTCGTAGAATTGGTGGAAACCTCCATGCCTACTAACTTACTATAGATGTTTGTAAATTAGCTGCAAATATTTTAGACATTGCTTCAGTCTGAAGCAGCTCTTTTTAAGAATTCGTTGAGAAAATCGGATTTCCCCAAGTCTTTGTAACTGAACCATGCTGGTTTGTAATCTTCGTAGTTTGTGTCTTTACTTTTCCTCATGTGCCTATTTCAGAAGCTACAGACAATAAACAGACATTTCTTTTGTTGAATTTAGGTTCAACTTCTCTATTCTTTCATTTGCTTTGTATCTAATAGCATCAAGGCTAATGAATCGGCGTAATATAGGCTTCGGTGCATACAATTGTGCCATCTCTCGCCTTGTGACGGAGGAAATCTTTCGGTCCCAGTAGATAGGTTGACTGTTGGATGGTTGATCGCGTGCGGGACACTATGCGAGAGCTTCTATACTGGCAAGGATCCATTTTCAGGGATTGCAGACTAGGAAAAGGTAGTATTACTGTATATTCTGCCGCTTAACCTCGCGTCGGGATGCACCTTCGTCATAATCTTCAAGTCTTTCAAAACGGATAGGCTATTCAAACACATGTCTCGGTATGCAAGCCTACGCCTACAACTATTCCTGATAAAGTAGTATAAAAAAACACCGAAAGCATGATTATCTACCAAAAGTCGCATTATTCAAGGTCAACTTCTCTGTTATATTGTATAGTACGCCATTATCAATGCTGGTGTTGCATGCACGAGATCAAAAGGGCTGAGCACCATAGGTTTATCAAACTCCGGGAATATTAATATTTCCTATAGTATTCATTGCTAACTATGATAATCTGCTATATTACGTTTCATTCAGTGCCACGTGTCAGGACCAAAGTATCCCTTCGCAGGCAACTCAGTGAGCAGCGTCTGCTGGCCAGCGCCGCCGTCAATTGTCGCGCCGAGCACATTAATACCCCACCAACTAATATCTTTCGGGTGGTACTGCACGGCAAAGAATATGATAATGCCAGAAAACGCAACACCACCAGTGAGTGCCGCTGACAAGACGTAGTTGTATTTCTCCCACCATGCGGTTTTGTACCTTTTGAGATAGTACATAAACGCAAAAGAAAAGTAAAGGCCGCCGGTGAAGTACGTGAGGTTAAGAGGTGCCCACAAAAGCATTCCATTGAAGACAAGGGAGGGGTGGACGTGTTTGAGCCACGATATAGGTGTGAAGATGACTGCATTGATCGGCCGGAAAATGACGGCAGGTAATGCAGCTTTACACGCCGCTCGGATGTACGACCCGAAGCGCTTCAAACCCCACCAAACGAGCGCAAGAAGGAACCCTAGAAGGAAAGTATATTTGATGGCCGGGTAGATCTGGCTGAAGATTCTCTTTGGACCAATTGCGCCCTGTAACAATGTTAGTGCCCTGTTGTGACTAGAAACTCAAGCTGTGTGATAACGTACCCAAACAACAGACGATGAGAAGTATATTTGCGAACCGTTCTCGCAGTTAAAGTTAGAGACTTGATCTGGTGTGCAAATACCCGGGATCTTGGTGTCCGCAAACTGCACAACTCCATACGCAACAAGGGCTGTAATGATAGCGCTCATCACTTGGCCACGGTACATGGCACGCGGAGGCACCTTGGCGTAAAAGCCCATCTTCTGGTCCGAAATATAAGTGTCCGCTTGGCCATTGATATTATAGCCAAACGCTTTAACGAACATCAAGGCCTCGGGATGCCCAGGCAATGCGTAACCAACAATCAGCTCCGTGACAACATTCAAACCTTCGGTTGTTCCTGAAATTGAATAGAGATAGGACATTGGAATCAAAAACACCAGATTGAGACCAATCACAAAGAAAACTGTCCAAACGGGTGTATTAAGTTGTGGCCAGTGTGTCACGATGATTATTGCGAAGATGAAGGCGATGAGTGCAATGATCAAGAACCACCAGTCAGGAACTTCGGGATAATTACGCATTAGTTTAGTAAGGGGGTCATCGAATCCGTCGTAAATAGAGCTATCGTCATTAAGTATGGCGCTCAAGTGCCTGTAGGCCTCCCGTACGTCACCCCTGAAAAGCGACGTTGTTGCATCTCTTAGCCCTACCAAGAGCCTCTTGATCGATGAGATAGCAGCATTTGTCATGGATTTATAAGCCTTGAGAAGGGGCCGCCAAGTATCGAGGACGATAAATACCATTGTGAGAGGATAGAAGGCAAAGAATGCTCCATAGACGACAAGATTTCCAGCACTGTAAAATGCGGGAGAATATTCTTTATAGGCATCTTCGTTGAGGATTCCATTGGCGGGGCTAACGACTCTCGTAATATTATACGGATTGCCAGTGTTGTCAAATATGCCAGAGGAATTAATAGGGAGATAAGCCGACCAGTTTGTGTTAGAGTAGTATAAGGCGACGATAATCAGTCCAGAAAGAAGCGTTCCCAGAAATTGTTGAAAGAAGGCAAAGAATGGGTACGCAAGTGGATACGAATATGCGGAGAGCACATTCCAATCAAATGTTGATATGGGGTTGAAACCAAGGCCACCCGTTGAACCCGTAATTGCATTCAAGTTGAAATTATTTGGTGCGATCCATGTCATCCAAGCAAAATAACTGAGGGCCGGGAAAAGATAGTCTGGCAGCCAGAAATAAATAAACATAGCTCCGAAGACGATAAAGAAGAACTTGTATCGAGATAGCCGCCAACCGTGTACTGTTTCCGTCTTCTCAGGCACTAGCAGCGCTCTGTTTAGTGCAACAGTAGGAAGGATATTAGGCCATATTGCTTCTACTGGGTAGACCACAAAGCGTCGAAGAAGGCCGGAGAACCCAAGACCCATCAGCTGGGTGGATAGAAGGAGGAGAATGCCATAGCCTGGGGTAAGCCAATTGTCTTTGTAGTATACAGTCTGAGTCTGAATATTCCAGAAGCAATAGGCAGAAGTGAGTCCGACATCGACGATGATCGTGGCAAGCATCTGTTCTTTATATGTCCATGGACCGGGGTTGAGCGAGATTCTTTGACCACGAATCGTGAAGCCCCAGTCTGGCAGAACGAAAGCAAGAAACAAACCACAGGGATATAGAAGGATTTGTGCGACTGAAGATCCCAGCAAGATTGCAGGAAATCGTGAATTGAACAAAGAATTGGTGAATTGGGCAATAACGGCCCACATGTAGCCCAGAAAGTGAGCGCGAATAGTTTCACACGGAATATTAACGTCGTCCGTGGGAGTAGTGATGGCGCGTACCTCCGGATATGGTGAAAAAAATTTGTTGACTGCCGCCTCGGTTTTTAGTTCCAGAGCCCATTCTTCAGGGCTCTGATGCTCAGATGGCCCATCGAGCAATTCCGTGAGCTTCGTACGCTGGCTAGTTGAGAAGTTGTAGTCGTATTCATGGTGCTTGAGCAGTTCTTTGATAATATCTTTGCATTCTTCAACGCTCAGAGTCTCAATTTTATCCATGACATACTCAATGTCATCTATTGGTGCTGTTCCATTGTCTCTATCCCCGAGTTTTTCGGCAAGGTTGTGCATAAACTCGTCAACATCCTGGGAGGTACTACCAAGGCCATTTTTCTCATCAATGCCTCTTTCCGGTGAGGCATTCTCTCTGTCATTAGAGCTTCTGATGGAGGGGTCTCTTGAGGCCATCCCCTGTATCTCAGATGAGGCAGAGGTTCTATTATAGGTCTCGATAATAAAAGATATCGTTGGTGGGAGTTGAAATCGTTTTGATACAAATAATTACATGTCTCGAAGCTGGATAAAGAAGATAAAACTGCGACCAGATTCGTTGTATTATAGATTTGACCTGATTGCAGGGTCGGATAAGCGGTTTTAGTCTACTTTCAAGCATTGCAGCCAGTTGCGACCAACTCCTTCCGCTTGTGCTCAAGGCTAAACGGCCTTGGCTGCTCAAGAGAACAAAAATTCCATTAAGGTGGCATCGACATATCAACGCTAAGTCTTGATATCCGCGGGGCACTTTTGTTTTACAAGCTCGTCATCTGGTTTTGGAGCGTCTCATGACAAGGCGGATAGAACAAGCGGCAAGCGGCATGCCAAAAGGTATGCATCCAAGATGGTGAGGTCGGAAAACGGCAAATTAAATGCCATCTTGAGGGCCGACCAGATCACAAGCCGGCAGCACAAAAGTTCGACAGAAGACTGTGTTACAAAAGTTCACTTGAATGAAATAGAATAAGAAGGTCACTGGTTCGATAACGCGGGGGATATCCATATTGGGCAAAGTGAGATGGCGAAAATGGGCAGGGTTCGGACGATAATGGTGTTTTAGATGGGTTCCATCATTCTTTAAGAGTACAAAGAGAGCGTAAAAGATGCCCATCACTTATCTCTGCGTTGGAAAAATGCCTCAAATAGATCCGAGAATAGATAGGATAACACGGCTTTCTCTCTAATTCCAGATACGAACTCTAGGTGAACATATTTCCTGCTAATGCCCTCCGTCACCATGATTTTAGTGCATTTGAAGTATACGAGGTAGGCCATGTTACCAATATGCAGCAGATACTCCACAGACTTCTTGCCTTATCTATACGAGTACCAGTGGTCTCCATAACATGCCCCGCTTTTCTTCGACAGATATATTTTAGCTGCGCTAAGTCGCGGCAAACATGTTAATAATTTGTCGAACCAACACTCTCAAAAGAAGTAATAGGTCGTTATATATGTGTTTATGGGATGTCGTGTCGTGTCCTGTTTCCTTGACATTCTTCATTGATTGGCTTGTGCTGGCATATTTTCACGCCTTGCACATACCTTAGATTCTTTGTGATGAGTCTGACGACTCGTTCGCATGTATAAATTTATATCGGTGTCGCACGATATGTATATGTGTGTATGCATATGTACGTATATACCAATCGACAAAAATTCCTCTTTCCCCTCGTCTGATTTATCTGTACATCTATCCATAGAAGGCCCACCGACCAATGCAGAGTTCCAGGGAGATCGCTCAAACTGCTCCCGCAAATTGACCCGCCAGTCCGGGATTTGTAGCGGCCGTTCTCCATACCGCGGACTTTATAGCGGGATCTAAGTGTAGTGGTGTGCCAAAGATCCGCATCTACGGCACCAAATGTCGTAGCATCCGGGTGATATTATAGGTCACCGGTTAAGGCGGCAATATAGTTATCTTACGGTTCATACCTAGTCGTCACGAGCATGCCATCAGAAAGGACTTGCGCCATCTGTTTTGCCTATATTAGTAGAGGGCCGCCGACGCCAAGCAAACGTTCCTGGCTATTTCCTGACTATTAGGGTCCTAGCTCCTAATGATTGGTTGCGTGATTACTTGTTTCAAGCCAGGCGATAGATCTTTTTTGAAGCTAAATTGATAGTGCGAAAGCGCAGCACGCCAATGAAATGGCAAGCAATTTCAACGCAAACTTCAAACAATTTTGGGAGCTTCTATGCGGGGTTGCCATTCAAGGATTTAAAATGTGCAATGTCTTCAGCTAGATAGAAGGAACCATTGTCTCAAAGAAAATGTACATTTACCTGACCTCATGAATCAATGAGCACGGCCCAAGATAATAAGCAAGATGATCACAATATAAATATCCAATTTTGAACCAAAGGCTGGGGCATAGCCTTTTATTGAACCAGCTGTTACAGCATTGAACCTCTCATCTTGGTATTAAATTTAACCTCCATAAATATCCAAATAGTATATATTTTACCATTCAATATGAATGGAACAGCTATGGATAAGCCGTGCGATCATCAAGGATTCTAACAGTTTAACTTTAGTTTTTTCAGCCGTAGAAGAATTACGCGCAATTTCAAGCCCTCATCACCAAGTTAACGAAGCGGTGTTGGAACCATATAATAAAATAGTTCTAAAATATTGCAGCCTTAAATGATATTATTTGGCGCGATAACGAACCATAATGCGTCCAAGTTTTGATGGTGTGTAGAATCGTAAGTAGAGTGAGGCAAGTGCTCTCCAGTGGTATGTCAAGATTACCACGGGATGTGAAATTGAGGGTATTACCCGGCAATTGTATGCTAATTTTGTTCTAAATGGTGATGTACGATCCCGCAGCGTTTTTTTTTTTTTTTTTTGGGGGGGGGGGGGGAGGGGCGCGGAAGGGCAGTGATATAATGCCATAGCCAGCAGCGTCTCTACAAGCTTGGACGATACTTATATACACGCAGATACCCGCCTTGCAGATTATTATACCCCATTGCCAACCGCTACTTTCTCCAAAATCTTGCTAAATATTACTATTTATGCAGCTATTGATATAATTTCACCGGGCATGCCGTGTATACATACCTTTGGGACTTCATACACTCTTAGTCGCATTGATGTCTGATGAGTCTGTCTTTGTGTGGAAAATATGTCGACCCAAGGCCATCACTACGGGTACAATCATGTTCAAGAGGTATATGAAGTCAAATATTGTATGACGGGAATCGTATTGCAAAAGAAGAAGGTATGCAGCGCATAAGGAGGTACAGGGTCTCTCACTTACCTAGGATTGTACCTAGCTAGATATTTATCCTTATAATGCTTAGAGCATCCATTAACTACTCATTGACTAAAAAATTACTGTGAGTTTTACCATAAAGAAATTGGTATTTCTGGAGCTTACGTCACAAAGTCAAAGTTTGTGGGCTACTAGTTATTGACTATTCATTTTTATAACTTCATGATCGCTAGTGGACATCGTCTTGCTATTCAAGTTTTCATGCCTATCTTTTCATGAGAGCAGCCATTTGTCCCTTGCTTTGCTAACAGAAATCATGTGGGAAGCATTTGAAACATAATTTGTAATATCGTTATTGAAACGATACTAAACAAAGGGATACGACTTTTTTATAACCTTAGGCAAAGGGGTTGACACGCGGAAAACTTGGTATCAACACTAATGCTTCTTCATAGTCAGATACGGCTTAGCGCTATTCCAGAAACACGTTCCATTTCAGTGATTCTACAAAAAAAATAGCATTTCCCTCTTCTTTTCTTGTCTTTGGCAGCTAGATGGTTTCTAACACTGATTGCATAATTTTTGGTTCTCTTGTGGCTACTGAAATTCACTGACCGGCTGGAGACTAGCGCTCGGTAATTGCCTGGTGCACGAAATGTAATAAATAGCAATATACTGTGCCATCACGGCGGACTCCTCCTTATTTCCATAACTTATAGAGACATTTACACTACGGTATCTCTCCCCGCTACTGAGATGATTCCACCAGATGAGAAGTCGACGAAATGCGATTCGATGTCTATACTCACACTCACACTACATCCGGCGCGGCTTCTAACGGGGAGGCAAGCAACATGTGTTAGGTAGCCGATAGCTCCCTTCACCAATTGCTCTTTGTCTTGTCCTTCTGGGGTGGGAGTGATATACCGTTGCCCAGCTTTGGGAGTCTGGCGTGTCATATCTTTTCCTTAGATGGCGGCTATACCAATTACATCTTCACCTGCATGAGCCCAGGGTGTGGCTGCTAGCACATCCCGGACCACCGGGAAAATTAATGACTGAATACTATGCAGTACGGCGAGAGCGTCGATCTACCTGCAGAATTCCGATAGCCCACCGACAGTCTTGGCATCTATGCTATCGTTCACATGAGAAAGGGGCTGAAATACTCTGTTTAGTCGTCATTCGGATAAATGCAACTCTACTAAAATGGCGCTCCACCTATTGTACGACTCAATTTTTTTTCCCTGAAAGATTGAATATTCGAATCCCTAGATAATGAATATATGGCAATACACCTTACTGATTGGGGATATATGGAACGTACTATACAGATAAGAGCAGGAGGGAGTTGTTCGGCTGGAGAGCTGCAATGAGCTGCTCGTACGTGCAGCAAGTCGGCTCCTGAAAAATGCGGTGTTCTATCCATGTCCAGGCTCGGAAATTTCTTCATGATGCGAAATACGGCATGCCAGTTGTGGAGCCGCAGGGCATGACAGGAAGCGGCAGTTGTCTCGTACATGACACAAAGCTTACCCTTGTAATATTGGCGTTGATTGTCGAAAAAAGTGACATTGAGATCCCGGGAGCACGAAGATATCGAAAGATTAGAGTGTATTAAGAAGCAAGCAATATGATGGCACCAACGTTCCGCATGAGTCTGCGACCTCCTCGATCTTCTGAATTAACGCAGCAATAATACAAGTGTTACCGTGATCAGCGTTAAAGCTTCTCGCACCGGGTTTCCGGGGCTCTCTCTCGGAATTGCTCCTGCTTCGAGATTGTAGACTCAGGTTCAGTTGTTACCCTGCCGCGTTGTCGCCCCATAACTACTATCCAAGGGAGCCCTGGCTATGTCAAACGATGAATAACATGCTAGCTTAAGTCGAGTAAAAGTAGCGATGCTGGATAGTTGCATATAATTACCTGCTGCCCATGACAGGAGACGCTAAATTATTACATGAGTGCCGTGCAAGCATGCCTGTAACGTGACCGCTCTTGTGCAATTGCCGGTTTCCCTGCTTCTTTTTCCCTGCTTCTGAATCAATAATGTCGATCCCTACAGCCAAGAGTACATACACATCCAGGAAATGCCAGCGTTCTACAGACGCGCCCCTTGGACATGGCAGGGGCCGATGGTTTCAGCACATTTAAGAAGCTGAATTCGGGTTATCAAAATTTGTACAGGAACCGGTACAATACAGGACTGCTTTTCTATAGACTTGGATCAGAAAGCTACGCGTACCACGGACACCACAGAAACCGGGGTAATGTATCTAAGGTGGAGAAATGGCGGGAAAGAGACAGGGCCAAGGGATGTTAGGCTCTGTCTGGGATTGTCATGCGCTAACGGAAAGGAGCATCCAACGACTGACTCAGTGTAAAGTCTATTATTCAAGAATTTGCGAACACAACACCCCTTACTGTTACCGGAAATTCATTCGTTATCATTCTGTCTAGAACCAGCTCGCTTAATGCTTGAAATCTATATTATTGGAAGCACGCAATCGTACATTGTACACGCCGACTGTTCCTCTACCTCCTTGCTCTATATAATGGTGTCATAAAATAGAAAAGATGCTGAGCCCTCAAACTGCCCAATAGTTATGAGCTTCGGGTTTTGCTGGGCTTTCAATACAGATCCAAGAAATAAAATTAAAAATTTAAAACCACGGCAGAGGAGAACCCACATATCGACTCTTAGCATTATTGGGGATGTAATGCCGCTGTGGAACTCCAATTTATTTCATGTTTTACCATGATGCCATTGTGGTTTTCTTCGGGAGCTGTACTATCGCCTGTGCTCACCCGAGGCTGATGCCCATCTGACTGGAAACTGTTTGTTAAACCCATTTCGTCATCGCTCTTGTCTTTGTTTGGTGTCTTGCTGTCTGTGAGGGCGTAGAAGTCTCCAGTCTGCGAACGGAGCCTGGAAGAATAGTCTGTTCCATAGTTGGGTGCCGAACTGGACTTGAAACTGCTGCCGGCAAACCATTTGGGTATGAATCGTCGCATTAGAGGCCGAAGAGTAGGCAAACAGGCACAGACGATACCAATGTTTGGCTCGACCGATGACCAAATAAACGCCTGGGACATATTCCACGTAAGGTCGGCTGATTTAAACATCTCGCGCAAAACAACAATGCGAACAACTCCTGCGACACAAACACTGCACGTTTGCCATGTAATTAGCAGAGACCCGGAAACAACAGAAGCTAGTACCTACAATCCACCCAGAAAAAAAATGCCTAGCACACTGAGCCGCTGTGCAACAGGCATCTGTAGGTTCCAAACCATGGGTATCGGGGTTAATAGGATCATGAAATCAGTGGCCACGCTAGCTGCTGCATTGCCGATGAAGAATTCTGAAATATTTATACATCGTCCGGTAGCTGTTGGATCCACATACTGCTTCCAGAAATAGTCGTATGGTTGGCATTGGGTGATGGCAACTATAAGAATCGCAACCCACCAGCCAACAACAAGAAACAAGACAAACCAAAGAACTTTGCGGAAGGCCGAAACATGGAATAGTCGGTAGTAAAATAGGATGAGAGATAGTTTGGTTAACGGAATGACGGAGCCGTAGAGAAACTCGTATGCCCAGAGAATCTGAAGGATACAGATTAGAATTGCATTGCGATTCAGTTTCCTATAATGGAGCCTCTACTCACTTTTAAAATCTCTTCAAGTTGAACTGTCGGATTCCAGATATGCTTCCCAATTCCTTTGTAGCACGCTATAAATCTCATTAGCGATAGATTGGTTATTGGATTTTACTCGTGGCAAACCTAATATGGTTCCAATACCCGTCCCCCAAGCCACTACCTGATGGAGAACCGCGTTAGCAAAGCAACGACGCACTTAAGACGAATACCTACCAACGCTGCGAATAGAAAGTAATCATCTAGCTGAAGTTTTACATTAGTAGTATACTTCGCTACAATTCGCAAAGCCACACATGCTGCAGACAGAACCATCAAGGCAACGACGGGGCTGATGACGGTACTCTTAATGTCGGCATTGAGATCAATACCGGGAGGTGGCCCCGAACTCATGATCGTAAGAGCGGTTGCAAAAGCTTACGAATTATAACAAGACGGTAATTTGGAACGGGATATTTTTTTTAAGCCCTCCTATGTATATAGCTATCCACCCTTCTGCGCTTTCTCTTCTTCTTGTATATCTGCAATGATATCCATGCCAATTTATGGACACTGACAGGCTTCGTAAAACCAAATTCGTACAATGCGGCGCCCCCGACCTGTAACAATCCCGTGGCAAAATGCGGAGTTCTTTCATCCCTTGAAGATATTCATATACCTGCAGTTTCGCAAATTTTTGCCAGCCTGGCCCAGGGGAGCAGGGCCGTCAACTCTACAAGGGACCTTGTCTGCATTAGCTTGCTATGGATCATTGCTGTTCTCATCACCACTTACTAGATGGAGCTAAGCGGCGCGACGTTGAGTTGGAGATCAGCGGCTAATATATTCCGTTTTAAGCATAACCCCTTTCAATCGGCTCTCGCTAGGGACTCTCATGCTGGCATGTAATTTCAGGAGTGCCGGCGGTTTTCCTCCGTTCCTTTGCGTCTGGGCTATTCGATACTACTGCAAATGTAGTTAATGATGATCCGAGCGCTAAATTACTATTCCAAGAATAAGTAGGTGAAGAATTCACCCTGATTATTAGTGAAAGCCATGGTATCAATTTATTAAGGGGATAAATCGAGGGGAGTATATATCATGACGGGGATTCCCATTAGTATGAGGCCTTATGAAATGTAAAAGAAGTATGAGTGCTCGTTTGAGTCAGTGCTCTACAACAAGAAATACTAGGTGCAATATATCCCGGAATCTGCGGGGTTGGGTCAGCCTTCTCGCTGCAGCAGTCACCTTTTATTCCAAAACGTACGAATACGGAGTAAATACGGACACAGTAGGGTGTTGGAGTTTTAATGCTTATCCTCGCCTATTGAACTAGCATTGGTGGTGCAGCTGATTCATGTGGGGGTGTTCCATCACCATATGGCTTCCGATGACATTCAAGTGTTGGCAGGACTGATTACGACCAACAGCAGTACAAGTGGTACAGTTTTCATTCCCCGGTCAGTTTTGGACATTCTTGTAATTGTAATTCATGCATTTTCAATATTATAGAATGCTCATCCTGGTTTTCCCCACTTGGCTCTACGACTGAAGAACTCGGCCTGCAATCTAAAATCCTCTGCACAAGCCTCGCATATCTATTGCATATCTATTGGTGCGAATAGAGCTACAGCAAGTTTCACTCATTATTTATGATGACAGGGATTCTGGAAAGGGTAGTAACCTGGCCGAAAGTATAATAAGAGCAGCATGTCTGTCATGAGTTAGAACATTTGTTTACGTTGCAACTAATTGAGAGAACAACAAGCCCAGCTAGTAACACCCCTTTTCTGACTTGCGTACACAAAAAATATCAAGCAAAGATGGACTCTATTGCCATCGCTGAGAAACCGACGATCATTCTGGTCCATGGCGCTTGGCATGAACCGGACTGCTGGGACTCCGTTACTTCACTGCTGAAGGAGCACCAATATCCCTTCAACACCGTCAAGCTACTGTCCTCAGGCGGAGAATTCAGCACCTCAGTGGCCGAAGATGCAGCGCATATCCATAAGACGATATCCCAGCTCGCAGATGCTGGAAAAGACATGATTCTTGTTATGCATTCCTACGGCGGTATTCCAGGAACAGAGAGTGCAAGGGGGTTGTTGAAAAAGGACCGACAAGCTCAACATAAACTGGGCGGAATTATTTCCCTAGTTTATGTAACGGCCTTTTTGCTCCCCCCGGCAACTTCTATAGCTTCTTTTCTAGGTTTTATGCCACCATGGGTTGTGTTTGACGTAAGTGACCGTCCCTGAAATCACTTGGGGACACTGGACCTGAATGGAGCTATTCGTCTGCCTCGTACCCTTTCAAATACTGCATTGCTAACAAAATATCAAGGGTGACAAAATGACTGTCCAAGGAGCGGAAGATATTTTCTACAATGATTTGACCAAGTCGCAGACCAAAAATCAGCTCGCCAAGTTGACACATCAGGCTAAGCCCTCTTTCTATACCAACCTGACTTATCCCGCATACCAAGAGGTTCCGGTATCATATCTTCTCTGTGAGCAAGATAATGCCATTCCATTTGTTGCTCAGCAAGCCATGGTTGGAATTGGAGGTCCCGGTGTTGCATCATATGTGTGCTCTTCCAGCCACTCCCCGATGTTGAGTATGCCTGGCAAGGTTGTAGAAGTCATCCGAGCGACTGCTGGTGAAGAGTTTTCCAGTGTATAAATGCTGTTCATATTCTTCTGTCTTTTAATTTTTTTTTTCACTGTCCTTTGATTATATGGCCACACATTTGTAAGAAAAGACAATCTAGGTGTCGGCCTGAGGCACAATGAATAACATAATGTGATATGGTGAATTTATCTTGTTTCTAATTTAGGTTAAATGGCGATACCCCACTCTTATTGAGGCTTGGGTAGCTTAATTTACGAGTAGACATAGATTACAGTCACTGTTATCATTTCAACACCACATCAGTCTTGGATGACCCGTCGCTTAAGCCTCTGCTGACAGTGCCAGTTCTATTGGGCGTTAATGGAATGACATATCTCGATGATTACCCCTACTATACTAACACATTCGGTCTAAGTTTTGGGCACGTACGTATTGATGCGTCGGACATACTCGTGGGGTGTGGCGAGTCCATATACTACTCTCACCCGGATGCGGCGATTCCTAGCGATAGATAATAACCGTGGAGTGCCCACAGACAAGACAGTAGTAGACAAAGTTAAGAATGAGATAGAGCCCAAGCTCGTATGATCTTTATTAAAGGAATTTTATATTGCTTATAATAATGTAAGGGACATTTGCGTAGATCGACGGGTTCTCCACATAGTAAAGAATATATGCTGGGGCTACTTGAAGCTTATGCGCATAAACTACGTCTATAAGACATAACTAGAACCACTTCTTCAATAGAAATAGCGTTACAATCGTCGCTAAGTCTCCTTGAGTCTCCCTCACCGATGACGCCCTCCCAATTAAATTTCTCATGGGCAATTCCATCCAAAGAGGCTCCACCCGAGCTCAGAAATATATAGTTTGGGACAATCACTATGTGATATTGTGGTAGCTTCTCGAGGCCTAACATTTGGAAGATCTCGACTTGACAATGGGCTTTAAAGCATACTACCGATAGAGTTTCCTGCATGTATCTTCGTATTTAACAGTTGGTGACTCTATGCTAGTAGATGAAACCATCCAGAGGAATAGGTATGTTCTCAGTGTAGAAATAACATTTCTCATCGCCCACAACTGTACTTGATACGCGTTTTATATACGCTTGCCTTCAACTGCCCCGCTAGTATCCGCCACACCAATGATCCAAGCCCTCACTCTTAGAGAAGCTCTTATGTCACCTCCATGACACTTTTATCTAGAATATCTCACACTTGATAACGGGATATAATATTCGCGCCAATTTGCCACCTGCGGCCACCCCGTGATAAACAGTCAGCAAAACGCAAGTTTGCATTTGCAACACAAATATGCAGTTTAGGGCCGTCGGTGAGGTTCAGATCTGTGGCTTGCAAAGTTTCAGATGTGGCATCATTCACGCAGCTGTCGGAATTCGTGATATAAGCATGAAGCATCGCCGAACTATAAGAGATGGCAATATGGGCAATGGGATCGAGACGTTTATTCAACTGTCCACATGTTTGTAAGACATTTTCATACGCCTTCAGTATAGACACAGCATGCAAAACAGACGCTTGGCTGTCCTCAGTACATGTCCAGTGTCGCAGTAAAGACAGTTTCAAAGCATCCCCAGCTGGTTTGCTGCTCCGATTCATTGATAGACTGGACTTCGCTGTCCCTGTTGTAACGATGTTTATCGTGCAGATGTCGGCGTAAAGGTTAAGGCAAAGTACATGATACAGCATATTTGCGCTGAATAGTAAAAGTGCAATGCGTATAATGGTCGATTTGTTCTGATCATCGATCTGGCCACACTTCTCGCCAATCGAATACGCGTGCATAAAAAACTCTCGTTTGAAAGAGCCGACTGGTACCCTAGATTCGGGACTCTTCAATAAGTCTGACATCCTGTCAAGCTGGATATTCCAGCAGTTAGGTCGAGCTAGGAATTGTAAAAGTAATGAGTGGTCATCGTCAATCAGCTTGACTCGTCGCTGATCTTGGGCATGGCCCCATGTACATCTCAATGTTCCAGATAAACCCATAGCTACGTCTTCTATGAGAAGAGAAAAAATAGATAGATCTTTGTAGCGCCCGATAAGATAGCCTATGATACTCAATTCCCTCTCTGGAGGTTCTTTCGCCCAGCAGTCTAAGTATTCGTCAGGCCCTTGTGCATTTGAGAGTACTAGCGTCATGGGTAGCCTGAGCTGTAGTTCTTCCGGACGCACAATCGGAGGTTGGTCTCATATCATGGATAGCGAGACATCAGCTTTGAATATGCACATAGCGAGTCTACAGTGGAGTAGGCATTAAATAGTAAGACAAGCAAAGACGCGTCGCAAAGCCTAGCTCCCTCAGTGTTCACGTCCTTCAACAAGTTGTTGAACAAACAAGTTTGGATGATGTAATGTCTAATGGTAATCTATTCTTTCTTCATTGAACATATTATGCTCTCGCATGACGCTGATTAGTTTGCCTAAGAGGGATTGGGCCATTGGTAGTTTGCAACAACGCTTGATTCAGGTCATTAGGCAACGAACAATTCACACAGCGGAGGTATTACACTTGCCTCACTCTCAATGGGAAAAAATAGTTGCTATTAAAGCTGTCTGATATGTGTCAAGAGGCAAGCGGCTTTCCGAATTATAGTTTGACTGCCTCTGAGTCTGGAAGCATTGGCTGAACTTAACAATTGCTGAATCGAAAATCGATGATTGGCATACTCAGAATCTAATAAATTGTATGCCAAGACTATAGCAGTAGTAATCGTGATCAACACTAATAGCAGTCCGATACATTTTTACGCTTTTGTGTTTACCGAAACAACGCTTCCGACAGGCCATGTCTTATCGTCAATACTGAAAATATTCTCTGTAAAGAATAACAGTCACATTCTCCTATGAACATTACTGGAAGGCAGGGGTAGATGTCAAAGGCAAGGATGCCTGCCATCTTATATGAAACGCTATATTCCGCATTCGGTATAACTACTTACTAAAGCGCCCAAGAGGATCACACTACCTGTTGTTACGATTCATTGCCGTTCTATCCCGAGACCTGTATGATGCCGCAAAAAATGATGCACAAAAGCGCTAACATTGAATCTGCATATGGCAATTCCTGCATTTGGATTTGCCGAGATTCGTTAGTTAGTTGCTGATTAGTTTTAGATGTGACAGAGGCTTATTCTGGTAGCGTGTTTATAGCGCTGGTGTAAACTTATCAACCTGGCAATATCTTCACGACCATATATCGGAACTATTTTTTAAGAAGTCTACCTTAAAACTGCTGCGCTTATTGACTGTTTAACGTATGGTTTTTGTTTTCCTATAGTATTTACAAAACAAAAGCGCTGCCTTCAATGTTTAATTGAACCCATTCGTTGTTGATTTCCTGCTAGTGAGCTGGACTGAAACGCAAAAAGAAACACACCATTCAGCCCCTTGATAAGTCGAAAGTAGTAGGTAGATAATGACACAGTCCGGAGGTTACTACTAGTTGCCGGTTATAAATTGTCGTGGGAGGATGAAATTACAAACCAATATATGTCGAATTTGATTTATTAATTGAATTGGGAAGGTAACCCTCATTTGCAAGATATCGTGTTGGAATTTTAATGAATGGAATGCTCATCATAATCGCCATGAATATAGTTGACATAAAACACGCAACCCATTTAGGATGTGATCATGAGTATAGTCGCAGCTATCCAACAGACGGGAGTCCAATACTAGCCTCTCCAAGGTTGCCATCACCTCTATGTAGCAATTGCAATATAAAGCTATGCCTGGACTTGGCAGTTGGGTCATTCAATCTGTGCCGTGCGTAGCGAAAACGTGGTTGCGTGGGTATAGGTTCGTGATAGTGTTCCTGCATAGGGAGGCGTAATGCTTGGTGGATTCCACATTTGCGGCGCTTGATCGGCAACGATGTGCCGTAATTATTCAGAAAAAAACTCCTTCGGCATCGTGCTCACTACAGACGCGTCCTTGACCTTCCCTTAACGCAACTTCATGAAACGCATGGCTACTAATTCACCAACTGAGGGCAGAAGTAATTAAACGGATTCCCACCTAGCGTGGTTTAGCACGGTGTCAACGACTGCTCATTGCCAAAAACGGCAGGACAGCCCTTATAGAGTGCTTATATCAGACGATAGCTCCAAGACTATTCCTTATTTGTAACTGCACTGGAGTTGAAGGGATTCATCATGTTTCGGACCGTTGTTTTACAGTATACAGGTGGGTAGTTGGTGTTCATGTAGCAGTTCCTTCGTTGATTCTATCAAGTTTTCATAAGGAGGTTGTAACAGACGGCTATTTCGTCTATAAGTAGTGTATGTTCTGGCCGAAAATGTCTTGATCTCCTTCATCAGCAACAGTCCCTACCATTTAAGTCACTCCTTGTGAATATCTTTCCGCAGTCATTCTTTATTGTCCTCAAAGACATCCCAACGCAAAGATGAAGAGCCAAATTCTTGCTTCCATCGGCCTCTTTGCCGCATCTGCTTTTTCCCAGGCTGTTATTGACAGCGGAACTGGATTTGGAACCTACTACTATGATATCGAGCAGGTTGAGGCTTGCGGCACCAGCTTTGCCAACCAAAACCTGGGTTTCGTTGAATGCAACTTTTTCACTGGTCTTTCCTTAGATCAGATCAACAGCAACTACCTTGTTGCTATGAACCACACTCAAATCGCCGGCAACTTGGCTGAGTACTGTGGAAAGCGCGTTATCGTCACTGCCAATGGCGTCCAGTCAACCCTCCCGCTCTTTATTGGTGACGGATGCCAGCGATGCGGCACTGGTTCCAGAACCAACACTGTCTGGAACCCGAACGGTGCTCCTGGACTGGATTTTAGCTACTCTGTCCTCAGTGAGCTTAACAACAACGCATGCTTCGCCGGTCACATTGACATCTCCTGGGAGATTGTTGACGAAACCCTGTATGATTTCGATACCAATGCTCCTGGTAAACCTACCGGCCCTGTGAACCAGCGCCGCTCTGTCAGCCAACGATCTGAGAGAGCCACCCGCCGACGCCGTTAGATTATAGACGAAACGATACCTAGGTTCACGTAACCTGACTCTATGATCTTTCTTACCCTATGCCGATCTTGTATATAAGATCAAGTCGTACATATTAAACAGAAAATCTTGTATATATGTATACAAACTTTGTATATAGTTCCTTGTATCATATTCAAAGGTTCAATGACTATAGCCTTCTATTCTTACGATTTTATTGAATTGATCACGTTTTTCAGATACTTTTTACTTTCACTCTACGTTCAAACAAGTTTAATGGATGTGTGGAATTGGTATGGCAGCTAGATTGTAGGCTTACCTCCAGCTATTCCTAGTGCCGAGTTGAGCCACGCGAGATGCGGATTGTTCCATCCCAACCAGCCCATTGGCGTCCAATATATCCGATGTTTGACAATATCAGAAGCAAATGATGCCCAGCATGTTTAATACTTATACGTCCCTTAAACTTTGTAGTATGCGTGCTTTCAAATACCTTAGTTATATTTATTCGTTTGCTAACTGGCTGCTAAATACGGCATGATGTGTCTTGCCGATGTATTTGCTTTGATATTGGTTCATTCTTTTAAATGTTTAGGTACTGCCATTATTGGAGACTGAGGAAATACTCCAGCAGTGCAGGGTAGTTTGGTGTTCCCAAACCGGTTACGGGATCCCAACCAGCAACAGCGGAAAAGCCCTTATTGCCACAAGCACTGGCACCACTATCACCATTGGGTCCACCCTTTGCTTGGTTGCCGACTGTGATGTCGTTGAACATAGCTGGATTGGCGTAAAGTGCAGGATTGGCGAAACCGATTGGGCTCTTGCCAGCAGCAATACGCTCTTCATTAATTCGAGTCAAGATGCCAGCGAACAGAGGCGTGGCCATAGAAGTACCTCCCTCAAGTACTTGCTCTTCCTGGTTGACAACAACGCCATTGTCACCTACAGCAGAAACATCGGGATATCCACGTCCAGCTTTGTTGTAGATACCGCCAGTAGTAGGGATCACACCACCTGATGTGTTGTATGAGGCATAGCCGGGATCGTGGCTAGCGAAGTATCTAAAGCTCTCGTTAGCCTTAACTCAAAGAAGTACTCACTCTTATAACTTACGAAGCAACGGCACTGGCTTGATAGCTTGGGGTGGTCCAGATGTTGCTAAAGCCACCGCCGGATGAGAAGGATGTAACAGCAGTCTCCTCGTCACCAGGTTGGCTACCAGATGGAAGAGTTGTAGCACCAACTGATGTAACATAGGGACAACTGGCAGGTTCACCCGGAGTAAAGATGTTGTGCTTTGAACCGAGACAAGGACCAGAACGACGAGCAACACCATCATCACCACTAGCGAAAACAATGCTGGTGCCCTGAAGACCAAGCTTCATGAACTCATCACATTGGCGCTACAGACGTTATTAGCCAACAACAATGTCTCATCGATAAGCGAACGCGAGGGGTCACACACCTGAAGATAGTAGGTAGGGTAGTCAGCCTCCGCCGTGCCATATGAGAAGGAGATGACATTGGTGGGCTTGAAAGTGCCACATTGCTCATTACGAGTCTTGCCATCAATAGTAGGATCATCGCCTGTCTCGCCATCATCAGAGAACGTGCAGTAAGATCCATCAATAGCGTCGAGGAATGTGTTGAAAATATCATCGTTCTTAACGGCAGCTTGGTAGAGAACTGTTGTCTGAGGGTAGATGATTGGGATGGCGATTTCAAAATCCAAGTCAGATTCTCCACCGGCGTTGGATGGGCTAGTAGGGGCGGTGGCGCCGTCGATTCCGTCAACCTTGGGCCCAGTAGTAGATGGGATATTCGTAGCAAACGACTTCCAAAACTGCGTGAGGTCTTGTTGAGCGTAAGTATCCTCAACCTCAAAGACGCCAAGGGCATTGGTAGAAATAGCTGAAGTTCCTGCTGTAATGTTATACATCGACTTGATACACTGTGGAGTAATTGCAGAGCCGCATGTTGATGTGGCAACTGTAATGTAGCTCTCGTTAGTGTATACACTCCATATACTATTGTCGTTGGGAAAACCTACGAGGATTTGCTGCCAAAATTTGCGCAATATGAGCGGGGATGGGTTTGGAAGCACGACGAATGGATTTGTGCCCACGCTCCGCGCTCTTAGAGGATGCCCTTACCGGGGCAAAAACAACACCAGGAGTGATGAAATCAACATGTTGAGAGATTTCTTTGGGAAGGCTGTACTCGTCTGTACCAATATGGACGTTTCTAGCCTCGACGTGATCAAAGGTGCTGAACGAAGTTTGGAGCAAAGACTCAAGCTGCCCAGAAGTTGTCACGAAGTCAAGCCAGCCTTTGCTCTTAGAGGAAGTAATGGAGTTGGCTGGCACGCCAGACCTTATCAGCCAGGCCTTAACAGTGCTGATGGATTCATCGCTAGGGGCAAAAAGATCAACAACTTGGTCAGCCGTATAGTGGTTGCCGTAATTTGAAGAGTCTGGATGAGACCTATAGTTAAGATTAGACGACTTTCTATTTAGCTAATACCAAATATTCCATGAGGCACGTACACGTCAAGAAGATAATCCATGCCTTTATCCAGGTTGCTTTGCTTTAAGGCGATCCGGACTGGGACCTTGGTATTAGGATCAACTGCCTCACGCTTGATCCATCGAGCATTGTCGGTATCTCGCTTTTCGTGTACAACCAGGGAGCCAGTTGGCACTGCGATAGCGCCAGCCAAGAGGCTGTTGAGGACGAGGAGGCTGACCTTCATTTTGCTTTGTTCGATTGCTCTGTCCCCTTCGCATCCAAGTGCGGAGGAAACCAAGATTTTATATTCAAGTATTGGCCCCGTAGAACATTATCGTTCCTATCAAAAAAAATCCGAAGTTGAGGTCATTGTTCAGCTCTACCTGATTAGCCTAGATACCGTGATAGGAGAGTTGGGGTGACCCGGATCACCTTCCTGATTCCTTGTCAATGCGCTCCCCGCTTTGATGTTGATTTTTCAAAAGTTCTGAGAAATATCATACCTGCCTCTTCCAAAATAACCTTTTTTGGCAAGCTTGAGTGATGTGACCATGGAAATCGGATTAATGACGATCAATAATATCACCGATTGGAATACCATCTGTGATTTCTGCTCGGGATCACTTGAAATCCGGTTTATCAATTTTATTTTATTTTATTTTCACACGAACTCCTTCCCAATTCGGTATTGTAGATGCGATGAAGCCGGGATACGCTAGACAAGCAATAACTGAGCTACTGATGTTTGGTCACTTATGACTATTACTGAATAACTAGCCGAATAGTGCTGTAACCCGTGGTAACAAAACTTAATCGGTATTTTTCACGTAGCTTATCGTATTATATGTACCTAGCTAAAGTAAAATATGTCAAAACTATAAATTAATTGACAGGTCTATCATTAAGTATATCATCATGGGGAAGTGCCTTGTCTTTTTTGGGGTGTGGCTTCGTCCTTTTGATCCCTATGATGATCATGCGCATAAATCTGCTTGCTGCATCATTTACTTCGTGTTTTCAAACAAGGGTTCTGACGGACACGGGTATCAGATCGGGAAGGTATCCGGATAATCGGAAGCTTGCTCTTTTACATCCACCCTACTGCTGCGCCCTTCGCAGCGGGTCTAATCTTCCCGCAACCAACTCACGTCGGAACCGGCCGAATATCATCGCCTACTCTTGCTAAATGAAAGCATTATTAATGTATTTTTAGCTTCCACAGTTAAAAGTCTTGTATTGTGACTTGAGACAGTTTTGCTCGATATGCTTTAATATTCTTCAAATTAATGTTGATGCTTGTTTCAAAGCTACACTGTGCAACAGTCTATACTTAACAAGTAGTACAAAGTATGTCGTAGTGATAAGATCTCCACGATCGATCATTTTCAATGCCGGGTGCCAAGGATTTTGCCTTGGCATCAATCGGCTGTTGAAAGCTTTTTCTAAGGATTGGTACAGGGGCTCTTTTAGGCCGCCACAACCCTTCTCCCAATGCAAGCTCCGTTATCACCATCCCCACTCCAGCTAAACAAGGCAGAATACTACGTGTTGCCATCTAATGATCCCTAAACGCAGTATTGCTACCGCAAGCACGTATAAAATACAGTCAACGAATTGCACCTTTAGCCATTTAATATTGCAAATGTAAGCTTATATAAAGTTATTCATAATAAATGAGATGTGAAATTTTGCATTAAGATCCTGTAAGTGTTATGGTTGAGGAACCTCTTAATACGAGGGAGTTCGGCTTGTCCCATGCATAGTATTCGGAAGGTACTCGGCTGGAGCGTAGCTAGGCGATTGCAGTCCCCCGAACTATGATCCGCCCTTCCCGCAACAGCACAACACAGTACCTTCAAGGTTTCTTTTCCCGCCGCATTCCGGGCAGGAGACTGGTAAATGCCGTGTCAGTTTCTACCGAAAGGAAGGGTAAGCACTTATAACTATTTTGTTACGTCAGAAGATCTGACAAGTCTGACAACACTATTATATCTTACATAAAATAGTTAGCTTATCAAGGTATAACGAAAGGCTCTGCGCTTTGCTATCTCCCTCTCCAATCAGCTGAGTACGAGCGACGGCTATGTCATAGCTGTCTCGTTACATGAACATGTGCAAGACCCCGCAATTCAGATGCAGCCCAGCACTTTTGCTTGTGTGGGAGGACGAAAACAAAAGATCGATAGGATCTTTAATCACCTTCCGTAGTTCACTGAGTGAGCCCCACTTGGGGTTGTCCGTCTCAAACGATCGCGTTCCCTTGCCACTTCTGAGAAGCCGTAAGTATAAGGTCCACGTAGATTGCAACAGCATTATCGTTATTGAATAAGGCTCATGACAAAGAAAATCAGACCTAACAGAGCGATGTTGTCCATACACAACATTTGGCCAGAGTGCTATGAGTGTGGACTCGGAAGAACGGCAGGCAGCTTCCACTATCAACATGATGAGCCAAGAACAAGATTAAAGATATAAGGAGCTCCAGCTATCATCGAAGTCAACGCCTGCGTCTTATTAGTAAACGAAATCAGCCACTGCCAAGATGCAGGTCCTTTTGGGCATCTTATTGTACATATACTCTAACTCCGATGGAGGCAAAGTCTCCGTTGGTACAACAGCCAAAGATTCCGTTTTGGATAGACATAGTTGTACTTGTTTGATGTAATGTACTCTTAAAAGCTACGTACAATGCCTTTCGACATTTAATTTGCACATTGCGTGTCAAGACTGCGAAATTAACTAGAAGAAGCGACTTTCAAGGGTATAGATAAACTTAGTTTGGAGAAAACAGTTTCATTGCGTCCATGGTTCCTTCTGAAAATTCGAAATAATGCTCAGGAACAGAAATCAAGTTAATTGAGAAAACAAAGGAAAAATAAAACAAAAACTTTTCTAGAGTCGCCATTGAATATCTTTTGGCCATCTATCCCTCAATTTTGAGCTCCAAAAGGCGGTCTCGCTCCCAGATTGCCGTCGCCGCATGCTAAGGTTTAACAGCCACCCCTTCCTGGAGCGACTCTGCCGTTAAACCTTTCACAGCTTTCTTCTTCTTCTTTTTCTTCAGGCTCAATCCCCAGAAATCTTTCTCATCTTTCTTATCTTCCGTAGCCTTAGCTCCATTATCAAGCCCATTTATAACATGATCCCCCTTCGGAGTCTCCGGCTCACAAGACCCGGACTTGGATACAGGAGTGTGCGCCCCATTTCTCGTTATTTCATCATCACTCTTGCTTGTGTTGCTGTCATTCTTTCGCATGTTGTCCTCGTTGTTAGCTAAGTTGACATCGTTCTTGTCCAGGTTGGTATTATTATCCGAATCAATCCCTTTCTTCGCTGTGTTAATGGCATCGTTATCTGTGTTAACGTGATCTTTGTATGTGTCGATACCATTCTTGCCAGTGTTGTTGTCATTCATCTTCATCTCAATATCATTACTCACTGGATTCTGGTCGGTATTAATTTCAATGGCGTCAGGTTCGGCCGATTTCAGCGGTTCTATACTCTCAGTGGGTATTGAATCGGCCTTCAAAAGAGTTGCCTGTGATGTTTCATGTATTCCATTGATTGGCCTGTGGGTCAAACTCATATTTTCTTGAAGTAACTCCAACATATTCTTCAACAGGATGTCACTGATGGTGGTGGCTTTTTGTTGAACAGTTGGGTCCCACTCAAGCAACTCTCTGGGGTCGGTGAAAAGAATTTTCAAGCGACTTTTGAGATATTGGCAGAGCCACGTATCGTCCGAGTTTGGATTTGGATAGGCTTCTTGTATTAGGTCAAATACCAAGGGAATGCCAAATCCACTACCCAGTCTGATTATTTCGGCCCGAGTAAGTTCCTCCAGTACTGGTAATTTGTACTTTCGAGCAGCAGTATAAACACGAATGCTTGTTGAAAACTCAGCGATGAGCTTCTCGCTTAGCGACGAGCCTTTCGGTTTAAGGCACTGATAGGTGTTGGTGAAGAGGTAATGGACGAGTATATGGGCCACGTCATGAGGTATATCGAGATGGTATACACCATCTTCACCAGAAGCGGGTAACTCGGGAACCCCCCAGAGCAAATGAGCTGGCACGTAAAGTCGGCTAGCATCCTTCAATTGCAGGGCAACACTAGGTGCAGCATATGGACTAGGGTGTCCCTAAAATTAGCACCAATATGTATATTGAGACTATCGGCTCTGATACTCACGAAACCTCCAGCCGTGTACTGTCCAGATCATTGGAAAGTATAGGCACTGCTTCTGTGATCAACATTGTCATTTTTTGTGTCAGAATAGTTGATAGCTGGCTCTGGTTAGAATGCTCAGTTGGATATACAGGAGGGTACACAGGAGGAAAGGCTAGGCCAGTTGCTTAAATATCTCAAAGCTGGGCGTTGGGTAACGAACAGGAGCCTGATATTGCTGCCTAAGAAGTTATAAGTACTGTCACTTGTGCCCTTCAGTGCCATCGGTATACATGCAAGAAGCCTATTTCTATTTGTTGCGATGACAACTTTTTCAAAGTCTAGATACCTGAAAGTACAGTCATTGGGCATCGATTTTCTTGATCCGCTATAGGTAGAGGTAACGCATACGAGTGAGCTGTTATTAACTGAACATTCACTATCCAATCAAAAAGCTCTAGACCCCTAAAAATTGAGCAAATTGTTACCTGCATTTAGGAGTATTTCTTTCCATCTAATTGCTGTGGACAACCTTATCTCCATTCATTTTTCACGTAGGACATCATAGAACGGTGAAAATTTGAAATAATATGACAAAATACGTATCTATTTCGTGCATGGCAATGAATAATTGAGACAGCTACAAAGAGCTGATTTAATCCTTTGCAGTGAGTTGGGCAATTCATTGCCTGACATACTCGCGGCTACTGGTTGCCTAATTGCTCCATAATTTAACAGACGTTGGGTATTTTGCTGCGTCATACTGTAACACACCCGCCAACGATTGGTTTGAATCGGTAACAGTACGACGTGCGCGTTTTTCTGTTCCGCTCGGCTAATTCCTACAGGTTTCTGCAAATTGTAATTCGTTGGATACAATTAATAATCTAATAATATTGAAACCACATGTGCACTCTACACAAACAAGCTATCGTCCCTTAGACTAATTAAGACGAATTTGAGGAGATGTATGTTATGTTCACCTCTAACATTAAAGCCATAGGCGTGTATTAGTGACTAGATGTAGTAACATAATCTAGAGTTATTGAAGCTGAATGAACAGCTACAGAAGTCATCTATTTAATCCTGATCTATCCACGTCATGGTTATCCATTTTAAACGGTAACTTTCGTCTATCAAGACAATTTCTCTCCAGCTCTATATATATCGGATCAGCTCGAGTAGCTTCTTAAAGTTAGGGACACCAAATCCTGTCGTAGGATCCCATCCTTTGGTCGCATTCCAGTGTGCTCCTAGGACAACGCCAGCCTGCTCAAACGTTAGTTACCCTACATAGTACATTCGGTGTCAAGGTGATGCTTACTCCAGGAAGAGGGGCATCCGTTTGGGTGTTGTTGCCATTGCAGCCATCAGACTGGCCGGATGTGATATCCGTGAAACCCTTGTAAGCATATTGGTAAATCAGCGGGTTCAGGAACCCAAGTGTGGGCTTGCCTTCACGGAGGCGTGCATCGTTCAGAAGGGCAATGATACTGGCTACGACGGGAGAAGCCGCAGAAGTGCCTCCGCTAGGAGTGAGCTGGCCGCCTTGGAACACAGGATAACTATATGCAAAATTAGTTACCTTCAGGAGGCTCATAACCAAATGACTTACTCGGGGCTCACGCTGTGAGCTGCAACATCAGGGAAGCCACGTCCAGAGAAATCGACATAAGGCCCGTAGTACTTCTTTGTTTCGGCGCTGACATGCTTCTCTAGGTAGTTTCCAACTGCTTCCTCTTGGTACCATGGCCTGGAGAAATAGTAGCTGAAACCTCCAGATGAACCGTCCCAGGCAACTTCTGGGTTGAAGTTCACAGTTCCACCTACGCTAGTGACATAGGGGCATGTTGCCTAATTGAAAGGGAAATTAACATAGTGCGCAAAGAAGTCAGGGCTCAGTTTCGGGGACATACCGGGAAAATGGGGTTAAATTGAGGAGTGGTGCTGTTGGTAGCAACGCAGGAAGCACCCACTCCCTCATCGCCGGAGGACTCGAGGATACTGATACCACGCAGTCCCATCAATCCAATTAGGTTGCACACTCGGACAGCATAAGCCTGAGGTACTGTTTGCTCCTCATCACCGTAAGAGTTGGTAATGACCTGAGGAAGATCTCTGTTGGGCTTCGACAACAGATACTCAAAGTACTGCAAGTAAGGCTCGTTCTCATCGGGAGTTCCTGCAGGTTCAACGGGATCTGGGAAGTACGGCGGGCTTCCGGCAGTGATGAATTCAGTGATGGGCAGAGGGTGTGCGATTGTCAAAATGTTTTGGACATCCAAATTGGCCTCGCCATCGTTGTCGTCAGAGGGTGGTTGGGGCAGGTCCGTTCCACCATTGATCAGAACGACGGAGAAATTTTGGCTGGAAAACCCAAAGTGTTTTTCAAAGAGTGCGAGGTCTGAAAAGCTTGCACTTTGGTTTAAGAAGGAACCAAATCCTATTCTACTACCAGACTTGGCTGATGGAGTGTATCCATTGACATTGTACTCTGTCCTAAGACAATCTGGTTGGAAGACATTGAACGTTCTTCCTTCGAAAACCAGAGTTCCCTTGCAGCTAGAAGGTTCTTGGCGGGCTGCCACACTTTGAGCAACTGAAGCCACGCTTTTAGATCTCAAAGCTCTCATAGCGTTAGAGGTGCCAAAGTAGGTCGTGGGTGAGATGAGATCGACATGGCCCACAAGACTCTCCGGAATTGAATACTGAAGAGTTCGCAACTTCTTAACGCCAGCAGCATCACTGTAAGTGTGGAAGTTTGTGCTCAACATTGCATTTGCTGTAGAAACTTCGGTTTGGAACCAGATACTGCTGCCTTGCTTCGTGTATTTTGTCACACCGTGAGAATGGAGCCAAGACTCCACGGCTGCGCTGCTGGCATCGCTTGGCGCGAAGATCTCATTGATCTCATCAAGATCCAGATAATTTCCGTATGTCTTGGAATTTGGTGTGGATACAGCCGCGAGCCTCGATTCCAGCTGATCGATGTTCTGCTGCGTAAGAGCGACTTGTAGGGTTATCTGGGAGGAAGGGCTAGGAGCCGAAGCAGCTTTCCATCCGTGAGGCAGCTTTTCGAGACTTTCCACAAGGACGGAGGCAGATATCGGCACACTGGCCAGGGAAAGGAGGCTAACAAGCCGAAGCGCTGTGGACTTAGGCATGACGGGCGTGATAATTGATGAGAATGAAACAAGAGAATGCCCTGACTCAGAGTCGGGAGCTCTTATGGCGCTTTTATACCGGCCCAGAACCCAGGAAGCTATTCAGTGATAATCGATACTGTAGCCATGCTAGGCAAAAGATCCAATGCGATCTCTCCACTTAATGATGCAATGTTGTGATTAACTACTGCTCTCGTGTGTCTGCACCCGCAACGATCGGACCTTGCGCTAGGATGATTATGCAGGGGTCGGACAGAATATCAGAACTTGGCACAGATGCAAGATTACGATTACCGTACCCCGCGGTCTTAACAGAAGTTCTAGCTATCTAGTCCCCTAATAGGAAGGTCGGAGCCGGCCATTATACTCACTGGCCGGAAGCTAGCGGTCTATGGCCTGTCAAACAGTGCCGTGGTTCCGAGCCGCAGATCAAAAATGGCAGTATGGAGCAGCACTTTTGAGATAGATCCTGAGGACTCTTGCAAGTGCTAAATAAAATAATATAGCTCAAGCTTTTTATATTAGTTTCATAATCTCTAAGGTTCCATATCGTCCGTTCCATACAGCTCAATGAGCTGGTATATCCGCGTGCTAACAATTGTATAGATTAGGGTGAATTTGTATGTCGGTCAAACGAGCAACAATCTTGACTCGAGTGCTGTTTCCCAATCTATAGATAGAATTAGCGGTGTACGGAGTAGTATAAAACTACATCTAACCATAACTAGCCTGCCTCCCATCGTCAGCGTAGCCTTGCAAGGATGACGAGTCAATTTCACACTATCCACAATTATCTATGTATCCAGCGACGAATGAGCCATTCGACTGGAATATGTAAGACGGAGAGATTGATCAGATCATAGGTAAAAAGTCATATTTGGAACTGCGGCGTTCTCATAAGGCTAATCTGTAACCAGCTTAGCACAGGGACTTTGTGCTTGCCGACAACCGCGATCAAAAGTTCATCCCAAATACTGCCAGAAAAAGCACATCTTATGCTGGTTGCGGTAAATCTCGTATTAGCGACAAACAAAGCGGGAAAAAAGTTCCATTGATACACGTATACTTGGTAACGCTTAAGAGTTTACATTAATAATGTCCACCATTATCGCTATCCTTCATTTGAAGCTTTTATCAGGACTGCGCGCACGTTTTCAGGCAACCGTCCCTCTCTGCCGCAGCTTCTCGATGACTTGCTCAGCTTCTCAGTTTGCAAGTTGATGTTCATGCAGATAGACTGCACTGCAATGCTCACTTATAAGATGATTGAGTAAGATCTCAACCTATTATAAATGCGTTTTGGGAAAGCAAAGGCTTGGAGAGATGGGGGTAGACATATGAATCGAAACTGTCAGAATTAACATACAAAGCTGATATCTCATACCCTCAGTTGCATCTATCCACTCTCATATAAGTAGGTCAGACAGACAATATCCGTGTCAATTTGCTTCCAGCATCATGGGTGGCAGGCCTCGATCACCCTCCCCCCATTGGTTGGGTCCGCTCCTAAGTCGAGTAAGAGAACGTATGCGATGCTATCTCGTTCGCTCTTCGCCGCCAAAACCTGTAGTGCAGTTCTCAAAATATGTTTCGACGAATATGTGTCTGCTTTTCTGCCCCTGATTGTTATCTTCAAAGTTATAAACCGTATTCCAACCAGCATATAATAAAAAAATCTATGAACTGCACCTGTTCTACATCTTAATCAGCAAGGAGAGGATCCCGGAGTGCTTTACGCAGTGGCAAAGAGATTGTCGCGATCCAAAGGTAAATTAGGACTGAGAGACGTATGCTCTGTTGCCAAACCAACCAACTGGCGACTACCGAGAGACAGCAGGTGAGGGTGGGAGAATCTATTATCCTCGCAGCACAAAAGACTAAAAAGAAGGATGAAGAGTAAGCTCGAGCGGCATCATGAAGAATACCATGAAGGTTGTGGTGGGGTTGCGGATAACCTCGTCGCGAAGATGATGTGTGTACACTATCAAATAGGCAGATGTCATGGAACAGATAAAAACACGAGTGTGGGAGCCAATTGAATAAGGAACCAGAGCAAATAATTACTACGTCAGTGCAATGACATGTTGGATTAGAGCACGCTATATATACGTCCTGCTCTACGTCTCTGAAGGATTACCACATAGCCGTTATCTAAATGTAACTTGTAGTCAAGTCCTACAGATTAGACGTAAATGTAAGTTTATCACCCCCTGCATATGATAGTTTCACCCTGATGAAAAGCGATAGATTAGGCGGCTGCACGGGTCATCATCCCCTTACAGTAAGGATATTTGATGCCTCGCTTACGGGATCTACTATGTTTACTAGGATACCTGTTAACCGAATACGTTGACGTGCATGAGTCTGGTAATAAACATTTTACAGGTAAGCTTGCGAGAAGTATCGAGACACATAGGGTCCTAAGATCCATAGGCTTGGGCGGGGGCTACCCTAAAACTCAGGACGAGCGTCGCACCCCTTGATCGTTCACCTGTCTAAAGTGACCTCTATTTAGATTACTACTGCGATAATGTATACATTCTAATTTCCAGGCCTATATATGCATTCCTACATGTATTTCCAACTTCATACTTGATTCTGTCCAGTCCTTCCCACGCGGTACTTGGCTTTCTCTCGTACATTTTGACAGTTTGGCGTAGCCCAACAAGTCATGCCCGTTCGCTGAACCATTACTCCTCAGGACTGGGGATAATTTAGCCACAAGCGGGCGTATAATCGGCAAGCTTGCACAAATGGCAGCCTCATTTGGCTCGATGATAGTCCAGATCACGTTCGCAATATCGTATGTATTGTCGGGAGAAAATATGTCAACCGTTACAACTTGGAGGCATGATGTAACCGCAACGAAGATGCCAATGGCAAATACAGCCATCAGAGAGAATTTTTGATCCCAAGGACCCTCTAGCTGATAAACCAGAGGCATGGGCAGTAACAGGATAATAATATCGGTGGTAAACGAAAATCCTGCATCTGCGAACAAAAACTTGGAGAGGTTGATACAGGCTCCTGGTAGGGACTTGTCGAATACTTTGATGATGGGGCTATACTAGAAAATGGTCTCAATCATCGAAGACACGCAGTAGATGATAACACATGTAAGTATATCCCAGCAAGCCCATCTAATCCAACCAACAATCTTGAATATATAGAGATGGAGCAGCAGAATAGAGCATTTGGTGAGATTAATGGCCGCTTTGTAGGTGATTTGAGACATGTACAGGTACTAATCGCTCTCATCGTATTAGACAGGCGTAGAGAAGAAAATGAGCAACATTCGTCAAACAGACCTTGAGCGTTTCATATTTATTGTGTGCTTCTATGTAAACAAAATGGCGACCCATCCCATAATAGCAAGCTGCAGAAGGCATCAATTACATGTTGTGGAAGTTATTGAGGAGCTTGTCCACTTACAGGCGACAAGAAATCCGCTATTCAAGAGTGTAAATATCTAGGTGATAGAAAATATTTAATTGTTAGGGTCGTATGTGGTTAATCCGCATCAGAAATATTCACCAAGCCTACAATGGCAGTCCAATCATCAGGGCCCATATTGCCGCGCCTCAGTCGGGCGCAAATGCGCAATGAATGACAATGAGATATATTACCACAAATATGGCTAAATAGATGTATACCAAACGTAGCACATTGTCATTTGGATTGGGGACTAATTCATCTGGAGCGGTCATATAGGACTCCAGGTGCCCTATTATGACTCCAATGTGTAGTAAACGATGGGAAATCACCAAAACATCAGAATCAAATACCAAGGTCGAATGAGGGTCGCTCCCTTTGCCTCATTATAATAATACTTGTCCAGTGTGGCTTGCAATTTGACGAAGCCTGTACTCAGGCACACTACTGCTGGATGGTCACCCAACAAGGGAGCGTCAACGCATGATGCAAGGGGCACGGCATTGAGAACGTTGGAATTTCCGAGCACGCTGAGAAGATTCAATGCTACAGTACTCCGTATCAGTGTCACTACATCTAGACTGGGGCGCGAGCTGTGGAAAGCAAGCGATTGGTTTTCTACTCGTATGTAAAGAAATGATGGAATGAACAGGGAACAAGCCAGTCGCCGACTCATCTCCACCGTGGCTTTTCTTGTACCAGACACTGGCCCGAAGTGAACATTGTTTCTCAGCCATAGATGATCCTTCCCGACTCATTCGTATTTGGGTATCTCATAGTCGCCTGTCTACTGACCAAACAAGCAGAGAGGTTAGAGTAAGAGAACCGAATCAAAATCTCATCAAACTCGTACGAGTCGTCGCATGAGTGGCCGTGCGCATGTTCTCGAATATTTCCATCTGCCTCCAACTTCAGTTAAGCAACGACGGGCGAAAACCTCTTCAGGTAAGACCTCGACCTGCTCGGTAGATATTCTAGATGGTCTTCCTTACAATATTAGCCGAGCGAGGGGATGAACCCCGCCTGTCTGCTTAGGGCACGTCCCACTTCCGAATCTGCATCCTTCCAGCACTAGAATAGTGTTTCAGTACACCTTACGACGTGTGCAGCGACCTGCTCGCCTCTTGTATTCCATATCCATATAATACAGGTGTGGAATAGGTACTAAGTTTTCTCATCCCAAACTAGTATATAGTATATGCGTATCTTGTTCAAGAAGAAGACTATGATTTAAAATAAAAATTACTTCCTCGGGTTATGTTTTGCCTAGGCCGTAATCGAGATGTTTCTGGGCGTACCTGTATGTACAAGAAGAGTGGGAATGGAAGCTGCCGATGATCCATGGTACAGTAGAAACAAGATTTTGTTGAAGACAATCAGTCTCGGCCTTCCAACTGGCCCCCCTGTCGCATCCACCTGAATGCATGTCTGCTGTTGGTCGTAAGGCTTTTCTCGCAAAAGTACTGCAAGGAAAAGCTCGCATCTCCAGTGATTGGTCGTAAATTTTTTTTTCTTTTTTCGTCCATAATGGTTGCAGGGAATAGCTCCTGTATCTTGCGCTCCAGGGGCCCAATGCTACCACCTGCAGAAGCCATTGATCCCTCAGAGCAATTTGGGCCGCGAGTGAGGCGGTTAGACCAACCAACCTTTCGGCACTTGAAATTCACGGCTGTTGGGAATAATGTGGCTTGATCAGTCGCTTTTATTTTCCCGCAGCGATCCACCAGTCTACGGCAGTTGGAGATCAATACGTAGTTATTGGCAAATCGCACGCCAGGAAGATTGTAGCGGCGAAGACATACCGGACTACGGAGTAAAGGTAACCGAATCAGCTGGGGGGACCGGCCCGGCAGTATCAAACTGAGGCTAGTAATCTCTAGCTGCATTTCTACCTACCTATGTACTCCGTAGACATCAGCGTCTACTTGTACATGCTTCTTTGAGTGCCTCATCCGGCTCGCCAGAACAAATCAGGCCATAGCCCCTTGTTTAGAGGACCACGTTACATAGACTGTTGCATCACTGGTCTTCTTCTACTTGTTGGTATAATTCTCCTCACACGTAGGTGAATTCCGCCTAAACCCAGATGCTTTTAGCTGCATGGTGACTTGTACGCACTCCAGTTTCGCGATTCCCAATTGGTACCCGCTCTTGGCCAGGGTTTCCCTCCCATTGATAATGCTGCCGCTGGCCTTTGAGAGCATCACTTCATGATTGGGTTAAGTGGCCAACAAGGGGCGGAGAAGCTAAACCGCACAGTATATCCAGCATATTGTGTCAAAGTCGAGACTCCTGTGCCGTCCTAGTCGAACCAATGAATGTGCTTCATATAGAGTGCCTGTATGCAACAGGGCAGTCTCAACGCCAAACTGCTACGGCTGCAATTAATATCTTCTTGCATTGGTAAATGGGGATTCGTCATTCATTAACCGACCGAAGACGCAGCTTGACAGAGTCTAGCCCATACTAGCTCTGCTCTTATTACCTCTTTTCTTTTCGTTTTATCGGCCCATCCTTCGTGTTGCCCATATGGTTGCTGATCTCGCCACAGTTAACGTCACACAGCGACGCCATCCAGGGCCCTTAATAGGCCCTCGCTCTACTTACCTGGTTTTCTATATCGTTTCTTTCCCTTATATATCTCCCATCTTCGCGTGGCCTGTCACCCCCACAAATAATCGGAATATCGATACGACTTCGCCATGTCGGCGGTCGAGGAGAAGCAATCCGTCGAGACGGGCGAGCAAGCCATTCCAAAGTCGCATCAGGAGAGTAACTCGGACTTCTCAGACTCCTCGATTGATCCCAAGGCCGAGAGCAGGCTGGTTACGAAGCTCGACTTCATCATATTCCCTACTTTTTTCGTTATTTACATGATGTCATTTTTGGATCGCATCAATATTAGCAATGCGCGTATCCAGGGGATGGTTGAGGACCTTCACCTTACGGGCAATCGGTTTAATATCGCGCTTTTCGTAAGTTTTGAACGAGCTAATCCGTTCCATGGCATATAATTGACGGCGTACAGACATATTACATCTCATACATCCTTTTGGAGGTCCCCTCCAACATGGTCATCAAAAGATTTCGCCCTTCCTTGTACCTATCGACCTTGATGTTCTGCTGGGGTATCATCAATATGTGCATGGGTTTTGTTCACTCATATAATGCGCTCATTGGTCTCCGATTTCTCCTTGGTATTTTCGAGGCGGGTGTCCTGCCCGGCATCATTTATGTCACATCGATGTATTACAAGCGACACGAGTATCAAAAGCGCATGTCTTTCTTCTTCTGCAGTACCGTTGTTGCTGGCGCATTTGGTGGACTTTTGGCCTACGCCATCGCTAAACTCGGTGGTCACCATGGCTTCGCTGCTTGGCGTTGGATTTTCATCATCGAAGGCGCTATAACCTCGACGCTCGCCATCATTGCCGCGTTTCTTATCATTGACTGGCCAGAGCAGACTAAATATCTTAATGCCGAAGAGAAAGAGCTGCTCCGTCGCCGCCTTGCTGCCGACGTCGACGACTCGTGCCGCATGGATGTCCTCAACAAGACTTCGTTCAAGATGATCATGTCGGACTACAAGATCTGGCTCGGAGCCCTGGTATACATGGGCGTTGGGGTTCCTGGTCTCTCTGGTACCTTCTTCCTTCCCACTATCCTCCTCGAGTTCAACTGGAAGGCTCAGGAGGCACAAATTCGTACTATCCCTGTTTATATGCTTGCGGGCGGTACGATGCTCATCGGTGCTTGGGCTTCTGACAAACTCAGGCACCGTTTTAGCTTCTTTATTGCCGGAACTAGCATGGTGACCATTGGCTACGGAATGCTTCTCGCCCAAGAAGGAAAATCTCGAGACTACAAGTTTGGCGCTGTCTTCTTGGTTTTTGGCGGTGCCTACATGGTCACGCCCATGGCACTTGCATGGCTACAGAACAACCTCTCGGGTCACTGGAAGCGCGCATTCGGATCTTCAATCCAAGTCACAATTGGAAATATTGCCGGCATCATTGGAAGCAACATTTACCTAGTCAATGAAGCTCCCACCTATGTCACTGGCTACAGTGTTTCGCTTGCGATGATGTGGCTGGGAATGATCTCTGCAACTATCCTGGCTTTGCTCATGTGGAGGGAGAACAAGAAGCGCGATGCTGGTGAGCGGGATGATAGACTGAACCTTCCCGAGGATGTGAAGAACAACCTAGGCGACGCGTATCCTACCTTTCGATTTACTCTCTAAGAAACTGTCCTCTTCTAGTGGATGGATTACTTCCTTTAGATGCAGTAGATCTCTTTTTTTAGTACTAGCTGCCTTATGCTAGCCTACTGGGTAGGTAGTTGTGGTAATACAGGCACTATCTAGTACTTAGGTACAGGTATAGGTAGGTACATGTAGGTACGCAATAATTTCGTTCTCAAGTATACTTCTTCGTGCAGCTACTACACCAGTACTTCTACCCCCCCGTTGCATAGAGTGTTGAAATTACCTCAATGTCTTCCTGCATGTCTGAATGGTTCAATCTTCATCAGTTGTGTACGACTACTACCACTAGTGGAAATGCTCGTCATGCATCACCACCCGCACAATGGCGAGTTACATCCATATCCAAACTCGTACGGTGTGCATGTTGCATTGCTTGGTAAAGGCTCCATATGGGCCACCTTCCGCATTAGTTCGGCCCGGTTACATCGGCCGCTGTACATTTGCAGCAATATGAAGTACAGTTTGTGCATATACGATATATGTTTTACGAGTGGCGTTGTTTTGAAGCACCAGATATCAGCAAGGCTGCCTCCAGCGCTAGTACAAGTACTCTACTGCCTTGTACCGTCGATCTACTTCACAGTATGGATGAAGGGGGCAGATTCCCACCACGTTACGGGCATCGCTTAGTACCAAGGTAGATACGGAGTACTACCAAGGAAGACTTTGCGATTCTCAAGTCCACCCCGAAGGATTTGAGCGATGTACTGTAACCGTTAGAGTGCTGTTGGCTTGGTGAGAACAGAATCTCAGGGCTAGCCTTGAACGGGCTGATGATACTACCATACTGGGGCATTCAGTGACCAATGAATCCGTAGCTCGCGCAGGCAGACAGGGATAGAGGCCCGCGGCAAACATTGGCACTAACTTGCTGGGGGTCTGTTCCCCGTCGAGACGGACCGGGAGGTCAAGTGTACCTGAGGTCCAGCTACTGATGCGGGAGATTCAACCAACCTAGGCTCGCTAATCAGCCCTGGACTGCGCTCGCTGGAGTGATCGGTTCATGCAGCTCGGCAACAGCAACAGCCCCCATCCTCAAAGCCTTTAACAAGGCGTAGCAGCCAACTTCCTAAGGGACGGTAACAATCTTGCTGTGTTATTTGCTGTTTGACACCTCAGAGAGGACATACCCCCAGAACATTACCCCGGACAGCGTGTTTACGTATAAAGCGAATTCACCATGTATTCAGCGTCTTTTGCATTCTTCGAGGCAATATGGGATGCAGGGGTCACACACTGTTTTGTTAACCTGGGATCAGATCACCCAGGTATGATTGAGGCTATGGTCAAGGGCCAGCGAGAAGACAAGCGGAAGTTTCCGCGAATCATTACGTGCCCCAGTGAGGTATCATTCTACTTCCTATAGAGCCTAATTTTCCATAAGGGTAACTGCTGATAATTACGGACATAAGTAGATGGTGGCGATGTCCATGGCAGATGGCTACGCTCGTTTAACTGGCAAGCCACAGTGTGTTATTGTCCATGTTGATGTCGGCACACAGGCCCTCGGCGTTGCCGTTCACAACGCCTCAAGCGGCCATGCTCCCGTCCTCATCTTTGCGGGCATGTCTCCTTTTACTCAGGAGGGCGAGATGCGCGGCTCGCGCACTGAGTTCATTCACTGGTTACAAGATGTCCCTGACCAGAAGGCTATCCTTGGTCAATACTGCCGATATACAGCTGAAATTAAAACTGGCGTTAATATCAAGCAAATGGTTAACCGAGCCTTGCAATTTTCTAGAACTGCTCCACAGGGTCCAGTATATCTCTGTGCTGCAAGGGAGGTTATGGAGGCAGAGATCAAGCCATACTCCATCAAGCAAGAACTCTGGGGTCCTGTTGAGTTAGGTGGCCTTTCCTCAAGGGCCGCAAGTAATATTGCTAAGTCGTTGGCTAATGCTGAGAAACCATTGATCGTGACCGGGTACTCTGGTCGCAATCACAGCATTCCCGACGCACTAGTTGAGTTAGCTGATATTGTCAAGGCTTTACGTGTGCTCGACACAGCGGGCAGTGATGTATGCTTCCCAGGCAACCATCCGGCGTGGCTAGGGGTTAAACAAGGCGCTGATGATTCCATCTCGGAAGCCGACGTTATCCTAGTTCTAGACTGCGATGTTCCATGGATCCAAACACGCTGTAAACCCGATCCAGATGCTAGGATTTATCACATCGATGCCGACCCCTTGAAGCAGCGAATGCCTTTATTCTATATTGAATCCGAAGCTCGATATTTAGCCGATAGCTTGACATCTGTTAGACAAATCCTTGACAATCTCAAGACAGGCGAAGCGGCCGAGATACTGGCAGTGAAAGACCAGGCTCCGGCCGAAGAGGCACGACATAAATCTTACACCGCCAAAATCCGACGTATCGATGATGCAGCCCAGCCGTTTTCCGATAACCGGTTTGGCACAGGTTATCTGAGCAAAGTCCTACGTACTGTCTGTCCAGAGGATACAATATGGGCCGTCGAGGCAGTGACCAATACTGGGTTTATCCACGACAACATAAGGCCAACGCAGCCAGGTTCCTGGATCAATTGTGGCGGAGGTGGCCTCGGTTGGTCTGGCGGTGGTGCTCTAGGCATTAAGCTAGCTACTGATGCCGAAGGGAAGGGCCAGTTCGTCTGCCAAGTCGTGGGTGATGGAACCTACCTTTTTTCCATACCTGGAAGTGTCTATTGGATCTCAAAGCGATACAATATTCCTATCTTAACCATCGTGTTGAACAATGATGGTAAGCTAAATGTTCTAGATGCAGCAAACCCTTGAGACACGCTGACGAGCTCAAACAGGATGGAATGCACCGAGAAAATCCTACATGTTGATTCGTCCTGATGGCGTAGCTGCTCAGGCAACTAACGAAGAAATGAACATTTCCTTCAGTCCATCGCCGGATTATGCTGGCATAGCAGCGGCAGCTGGCGCAGGTGATATTTGTGCGCTGAAGGTGACGGAGGCTGATGAGCTCGAAAGCATCCTCAGAGATGCCGTAGCCAAAGTAAAGACTGGGAAGACGACTGTTGTAGATTGCAAAGTAGTGCCCGACTGTTAGAACAGAGTTCTCACGCACAGGTGATGTATATCATGAGAAAAGCTATTGTGGGATGGATCATATGTACCAAATAAATCACTTAGAGCAAGTCACTAGTACTAGTATTGACAGCCCAACCCTAGTATGTGATGAGAAATCCAATGAGGGCTGTTGAGATAACAGGATGGTGATGGGCTTTGTCCTTTGAATGAGACGGCACCCGTACCCCCCGTCTCGTGGTCACTTGATACGCAACAAAGAGGTTGTCGGTGATCCGTAAATAGCTCTGTGTTCGTGTAAGAATGACGGATTTCCGCGTTGGCTGCCAACAGGCTTTGATGAGATATCATCCTATTATAGAGGTAGAAATTGGGTTAATAACCACGACCTGACGCCGGAGACATTGGATAATTTCGTTCAATGATCTCTATATTTTATCACCAGAAGGACTATCTTACCTACAGATTTCCCGGGCAACATTTACAAATAGGTGGCCTATATGCACAAACTCACAATATATATACCATCGAAATCACGAGCCATGGGGGGGTCTATTCTTTGACATAATCCAAGAATATAAAGATGTAGTCATTTTCATAACCACCGAGACATGAGCCCAAGCATAATAGCCTTGAATATCGCATGTAGTAGGCCATAGGCTTCCAGCATGAGTGTCTTTAAGACTCTTTAATTTGCTTCTCGTGTCTCAGGTCGACCATTAAGGAAAGTATTATCCTTCTTGTGCATGGATCAACCAGGAAGATGCCTGAGATGCAACGGGTATCGTATAACCGTTGTTGGAAACAAATTTGCATATATACCGCATTGTATCAGTTATTACAGCTTTATCGAACCTCTCATCTTAATTTAAATTTAACCTCTATACCGCATTGTAGTGAGGTATAATTCGCGCGGTCGCATTCAAGATTTTGGTAACCAGATAAGTAGCAATTATATCCATTCTCTTGAGAGATGAGCGATAGCATGAGAGCTAACTAGCACTCTCTTGCTCTATATCTAGATATCGATTTAATGATTACTGAAATTCTCTTACATGTAGTACTATCATCACAGAGCGGGGAGAAATTTGTTTCAACCTTAACTAAATTATATCCATTTCGAGAGGGATAGAGTTCGAAATGGAAATTTTCTCAACAGATGCGCTTAAAGACTGCCAGGCAATCGCGCCCCAGATTTCAACTCCTCACAACCATATCAGAATGAAACAAACTGGTGTTCTGTTATCATATGGGCAGTGGAGTAATCGACACCTATTAGAGGTAAATTGCATCAACACCCATGCAATCGACGTTCGCCGACATCCTATAGCACAAGTAGCCGCATTTGGCGAACTGGAATTACCAGCATGTTAATCCAGTCTTGATAATGCGATGGAAACGATAGCGAATGCCGGAACACCGGCGCTCGGCGCTCGGAGGTCTCCGATAATCGTGCCAAACAAGACCTTGGACCAAAATGAGAATTTGGTCGAATAGCAGTCGAGCCGGGCGTCACGCCAACCACGTATCCCCACTCGCTCTTCTATTCCACTCGCAGTATTTAAATCACAGCCCGAAAAAAAAAGTCCCATGAAACAATGCACAACTGAGACTTGAATAGCACTGCACCCAAAATGTGTAACGATAAGCTACACCAATTTCTTCATGCTCTTCCGAAATGTGAGCATCATGTTCATATAGAGGGTACCATCTCTCCAGAGCTACTCTTCAGGCTTGCTTCCAAAAACGAGATATCTCTTCCATCAGATGATCCAGCCTTCGAAAGCCCAACAACACTCCTAACTCGCTACCAAAATTTCTCTTCTCTCGACGACTTTTTGCATTATTACTTCATCGGCTTCTCAGTCCTTCTAGGGGCCTCAGACTTTGAGGCACTGACATATGACTATATCTCTCTTGCATATGCACAGAAAGTCTATCATGCGGAGATATTCTTCGATCCGCAAGCCCATATTTCGCGGGGAGTTCCGTATCATACCGTCATCGCCGGTATGAATGCCGCAAAGGATAGGGCTGCTGTCGATTTCCCTAAGCTCAGCGTTGAATTCATACCCTGCCTGCTTCGTCATCTTCCGGTGCCATCAGCACATGGACTACTCACGGAGCTTCTCGAGTCTGGGCATTTCTTTGACGGAACACTTGTCGGTTTTGGAATGTCCAGCACCGAATTAGGAAAGCATCCTTCACTTTACAAATCTGTCTACGAGGTAGCGCAGTCTGCGGGGATTGCGAATCTCACGGCACATTACGGTGAAGAAGGCCCTTCGGATTATGTCAAAGACGCGCTGTCAATTCTCGGTGTGGGACGCATTGATCACGGACGGCGCTCCGTGGAGGATGCAGAGCTCATTACACAGTTGGCAGAGTCAAATACAATGCTGACTCTGTGCCCAATTTCTAATGTTGTGTTGAAAGGAGTAGATAACATGCATGATCTGCCTATCCGAAAATTCCTCGACGCAGATGTCAGATTCAGCATCAACAGTGATGATCCTGCCTACTTTGGAGGTTACATACTAGAAAATTACTGTGCTGTTCAAGAGGCCTTCGAGTTGACAGTGGATGATTGGGGGAAGATTGCTCGAGGAGCAATAGCGGGAAGCTGGTGCTCTTCATTAAGGAAAGAGCAGCTTTTGAAAGAGGTTGATGATGTGATGCAACAATGGAATTAATACTGCTATGTAGCTTTCTATAACACAGGACCTGCGATGGCGCCGCGTCAACCAATTTGCGACCCTATTGTACTCATCGTCAAGTACGCCGCCCGGTGATCATGAAAGAGTTTCCGCAGTGGGTGAGCATCCTCGTATAAAAGCAAGGTTACAGTAGCCAAGTAGCCAAGTCACATCTTGTGCTGCAATCCATTGGTATGGATCACCAAATCAGTCTAGTGGCGCAGAGGAGGGAGCTCAAAAAGAGTCATTTCCTCCGAGGGGATGGGTCAGGGGGGCGGCAGACACGGTGATCCAGACAGTCATATTTTAATGGAGATCAAAAATCCAATGCTAAATCGGTAGCCAGGCACCAGGAAGAGTAAATGTGACTAAAAACCAATCTTAGCACGTTACCAGATTCGATTAGGCTATACGCACATAAATTTGACCGCTCGTGAGAAAGCAGAAATCTGCGTGTACAAGTTGGTCTTACCCTATACTGCCATATCAAAATGCAATTAATGCCCTTCAACAAATGGTCAGCTATTAAAACTTTACTGAACTTCTCATCTTGATGATAAGTTTGATCTCTATAACAAAAGGATTCAAATAATAATAGAAAGGGTCTTTGGGGGTACCTAGGCTACCCGCTTTTACTGCGTTGTCTATACCCTATAGCGGCGTTTGAGATGGCGTGTTTAAGGTCGAAGAATTATCGGCATATTACACGTTGACGCTGGAGGGAAGAAAAAAACAAACAAACAAACTTGAAAAGATATGATTTCTTTTTTTCTCCTCGTTAAAATGAAGAAAACACGAATGGAATACCATAGATGGCCTATACCATTGAATTGTGTCTTATGGGTGTCGAGATTGGAAGAATTTGTCGAATGGGGCAAGTGTCGATCCGGGGAATGTGCATAAGGTTGGGCCACGTGCGTGAAAGTCTGCAGATTGGCGACCCCAGCTTGATTCAGAGTTTTACATGCGCAAAAGAAAAAGAAAACCTTTGTGGCGCAATGGTGCACTTTGACTCTGACTCCGGCACGACGTGGTACAGTAAGTTGTGCTATTTGCAGACTGTCTTATTCTTTCTTTCTTTCTTTCTTTCTTTCTTTCAGCCAGCCATTTCACCTGGTGTCGCATATTACTTCATCTCACACACATGAGTATTACATAGGCATATAAACAGCAGCGAGAGAAGTGCGAGTATGTATAAGAATGCCGCTTCTAAACTTTATTTTGGCCAGCTAGATGGAACCCGAGTCACGGTGAGAAGGGACAGGGGTAAGATAGATTCTGCAGGGCTGTTCCATGAACGCATGGACTTTCTGGTAAATAAGGTTGAGATTTGCAAACTCCATATGGAGTAAATGTACAGATATACCCGTAGCTGCGTATGAGGTACAATACAGAGCACAAAAAACATGTACTTCATAGACGACTCAAATAGTACATGACAGTAGGCATCTCCTATTTGGTAATTCGAGCCCTCGATTCTCGAAGCCTTCCAAGTCCCATTTCTCTCCCTGTTTTAGGTATGAATTCCGGAGCTGGATGCGCTGGCCAGCAAATTCCAAGCAGGCTTGCTTATTTAGCTTAGCACCATCGGAGAGTGTTTATCCACCGCCTAAATTTGGCCAAGAAGTCGAAGAAAAGAGTGCCAGGATCGTGGCGCGCTAAGCCAATTTAGGTTCTGTAAATTCCCAAAACCTGAATGCCTTGTTCGTGTTTAGGACTATTTGCTCCGCAAAACCCCACTCTCGTGCCAGTATTATCGAAAACGCCGCCCGCTGATTGGCCACCTGGCGGCCCGACCAATCTCCGGCGAACCGGCGCAAGGGAGAGGGCTTACCTAATCTCACCTGGCCCTGGTTTCTCTGCCTTGGTCGCGTCGAGTGTCATGCAGCACAAGCACAGCGCAGCACAGCGCAGCACCAACAAGCGCCGATCGCTTCTGCTTGGCTGGCCATCATTCTTTTGCTGCCATTCGCATCGCATTCATACAATCTCGCAGGATTCCGCTGGAGATAGACGCATGTTTCGTTTGCAACAGCCTCTAGAACTAAATACCCTATAGACCGATCTGATTCCCGACAGCGACAGGCCGGCGGCTCGATCGGAAAAAGAGAAGAAAAGAAGAAGAGAAGAAAAGAAAAGAAACACCCCAGCTTCCTCCACATGCAACTCGTCATCGGCGCTCCCGCAAAATCCAATCTAATCCATCCCTTCGACAACCACTTAAGCAGCATGTTGCGTAGGGATCGATAGGTGCAGCCATTCCTGAGGAGAATGTCTTGCCTTGAGCCCTGCCAGCCTGCATCTTCATTCTCCATCGCCTGCTGAAAATGAGAGTCGCCATCCGAGAGCAGCTCGCCGCGCTTGTCCTTTTCGCCGTCCTCCTCGCCCTCGCCGTCATCTCCATCCCGACATGGATCTTTGTCCACAACTTTGTCGTCGACGTCGAGTCCGACGGCCTGGCATTGACAGCAACGCTCAAGGCCGCTGCGATTGCTTCCGAGCTGGAGCTGGGGCAGACCATCTGCCAGACCGTGGCCACCCGCATTCTGCTGCAGCAGGCCTTCATCGACTTTTATAATCAAAACTCGTCCCATCCCTTTTTAAATGCCCGCGCGGATCTGGAGAGCGCAATGGCGGCGAGGGGCGGCCTCAGCGGCCTGCTGCAGGCCCGACTCTACTCTCGAAACACCACCGGCGGCGATCATCGGGGCCTTCTGAGCGTGACTGGTGCCGGCGTGGGCAATGGGACAAATAATATCCAGCTCCCTTACCTGACGCCCGACGGCTCCAAAGTCAATCTCAGCGATACCGAGTACGGCTACCCCCCGTCGCTCTATCCCAACATCACATACACAAACCTCGGATACCCAAATCCATATGTCCAGTCGACGCCCGCCTTTGGTGCCTATGCCTTCCCAAATGTCAACCTGAGCACCGGTGGCGGCCTTCTGTTGGGTCCCCTAGTCATCAACGAAACATTTGCCCTCATCTCTCTCACTATCCCTGTTAGGTCTTTTGCTATCTCGGGCTTCATTCTTGGGTACATGACACTGGTTCTTTCAGCTGGTTCGCTGTCTTCCATTCAAATGTCCCCCGAAGGATTAGGCTCGACGGGGGTGGTCCTTCTTGTTGGACCGGCTAACCCGTCCAACCGCTTCAATGTGTCCCAGCCAGCCAGTAATGATACGTATTCGCCTACGCAACCCAGTTTCAAGAACACCCCTGTCCGTTTTGTCATCCCTCCGGTCCCGAGGGATGGGCAGCCTGATCGACACTCCGGAAGGAATTATGACGATGGGAACTATTATGCACGCCCATTCCCCCTATTTCAGTTTCCAAGCCTGACAAAGGTATATACCCGCAAGCTCTCGCCGCTGGATAACTCTACTGTCGACCTATCAACGACAAATGAGCAGGGCGTTCCTGTGGCTGTGGGCGTCGCCCGTCCAGCGACAACCCTGGTCAACTGGGCGATTGTCGTGGAAAAGGCCAAGAGCGAGGCATATGAGCCTATTGACAAGCTGAGGGACATCCTCCTGGGGTGTGTCTTCGGGACCGCTGGTCTTGTCGCAATCCTTGTATTTCCCTGTGCACATCTCAGTGTGCTGTCTATACGACGGCTGAAGGCTGCCACGGAGAAATCTATCAACCCGCCTGGATACGATGAGGAATTTGATGATGGATTTGACGAGGAACACCCAAGCTCGGGAGCTACTAGCTCCAAACGATCCGACAGAGGATTCTTTGCTACCATCTGGCGGAGGATATGGAGGGAGAAGAAGGCGATACCCATTTCCGAAGCTGATGCTCACCGACACGTCTTCAAGATACCTGGGAGAGTTGAAGTTGGCAAACACTATATTACAGACGAATTGACAGAGCTCACCGACACATTCAACAGCATGACAGACGAGCTATTGAAACAATACACGTCCTTAGAAGAAAAGGTTGCGGAGAGGACACGAGAGTTAGAAGTTAGTAAGAGAGCAGCGGAAGCTGCCAACGAGAGCAAGACACTCTTCATCGCCAACATTTCTCACGAGTTAAAAACGCCGCTGAATGGCATTATGGGCATGTGCGCTGTTTGCATGGAGGAAGACGACATTGTACGAATAAAACAATCGCTCAAAACTCTCTATAGATCAGGTATGTGGCGTTTCTCTGCACCCGTCATCCACCGCTGTTGAGCAAAAGAGAAGAAACAAGAGGACATCTCTGTTTATTGAGCAGGGGCATGTCGGCTGTGTTGATATCTGCTTACCATCTCACTAGGCGACCTCCTGCTACATCTTCTAGAAGATCTTCTTAGTTTTTCCAAGAATCAAATTGGCCAGCATGTTAGCCTTGAGGAGAGAGAATTCCGGTTGGGCGACATCAAATCCCAAATGTTGTCCATTTTCGACAAGCAGGTGCGCGAGAGCGACATCACATTCACGGTGAGCTTTCTCAGCGGCGAAAGCACAGAGCTGAATGGGGTTCTCGATCAAAGTGTATTAGAAAAAACACTGCCGGCCCTTGGCCCTAACGGTATGGGTCGACTGAAAGATGCCTATGTCTGGGGCGACCAACATAGAATTCTGCAGGTCATGATCAATCTCGTCAATAATAGTCTAAAGTTTACCCCCCCTGGGGGCAAAGTGGACTTGCGAATTCGGTGCATTGCCGAGGCTGAGCGAATGAATAATGATGACAGCCGGACCTCATCTTTGTCCAAAAGTGGTTCGACAAGAATCGGGCGAAGCCGGCATAGAGGCAGCTCCGGATCTACGAGGTCTACCAACTCTCGGACAACGAATGCTTCCACAACGATTAGGAACGGCACTGCCCTTGCAATCAATCCTATGGACCCCAAGGCCACACCACATGTTCGCGTCCGGGAGAGATCACCGACGCCGCCGCCGCCAAACGCGAAGCCCTACGTCTTTGAGTTTGAGGTAGAAGACACAGGGCCAGGTATTCCCGAGCATATGCAAGACAAGATTTTCGAGCCGTTTGTTCAAGGCGATCTTGGCTTGAACAGGAAATTTGGAGGAACAGGCCTGGGACTGAGTATCTGCTCACAGTTGGCCAAGCTGATGGGTGGATCAGTTACCCTCAAGAGCACTGTGGGTGTCGGATCGACGTTTACGATGCACATTCCCCTTAAATACGTCAAAGATCGGCCGCCAAGTACCGCTTCCAGTAGTACAAATTCAAGACCAACTAGCGTTAGATCTACGGCTGGCGAAGGTCCCCGAAATTCCCTGAATGGATCAGTATCGCCTTTGCAGGACACAAAATCCAAGAGCACCTCGGCTTTGATAGACAACAAGCTGCCCCGTCTCGTGGGCCTCAGCGCGCCCTTTTTTGCAAAGCCCACATCATCCCCCAGCAAGGAGGACCAGACAGCAGTCATTGACAAAGCAATGGCGAACAAGACGGGCAAGGGCAAGCTCCGCGTGTTGGTTGCCGATGATAATGCAACCAACGTTGAAGTGGTGAGTAGGATGCTTAAACTCGAAGAAGTCTACGACGTTGCCATCGCCAAAGATGGCCAGGAGGCGTATGAGCTGGTAAAAGCCAGCATGGAAAAAAACCAGCGTTTCGATGTAATATTTATGGATATTCAGATGCCAAACGTTGATGGTTTGCAATCGACTCGACTTATTCGCAAGATGGGCTACTTGGAGCCCATCGTTGCGCTTACTGCTTTCTCCGAAGAGAGCAATGTAAAAGAGTGTATAGAATCAGGCATGGATGAGTTTTTGAGCAAACCCATTAGGCGGCCGGCCCTAAAGAAAGTGCTTAAGAAATTCGTCACGATTCCAGAGGAGCCCGAAACGACTGGCTCGATGAAAGAAAAGCGATCAACCACGTATACGATGAATGGGACAAACGGGACAAACGGAACAAATAGGATAAACGGGAAAACAAGGGAATAAGCATATAGAGTAATATAATTTTTATTAATTGGTTAGTGAAGGGGTTCAATCTGGCGATGATCTTCTTGTGGCGGCTGGACAGTTTGTTCCGTCGCCAATTTGTTTGACAAGAATCGGGCTGCACATGTACATAAGATTTTGCTCGTAGTAACCTTGTATAGGTAGTCTTTTACGCATTCTCAATCGATTTCGAGCTGCTGGACTGATGTCGACTCCTACAATGCCTCGTAGTGCTGCGCATCCCTCGTGCAATATTTGTTGGTAGGTTCGTAATTCGATACTTGTTAATTTTGTTTAACGAGGAATATATTGGTCAGCTATATCGTGCCTACCGGATACCCAATTCCCTATTACTGATCCCACATCGTGTCTCCGCAGCTATGGCCAAATGCTGTCCTTGATTCGGCAAATTTCTCGGGATATCGCTTACACCATAAAAATTTGGAGTCGCATTTTGTGCTCCACGGGCCGGTTGACGTGAAAATATGACTGGCTTGGGCTATTCAGCCGGTGAACTTCCCCGCCGGATGAATGCTGAGTGTGTGTAGCGGAAGCAACTTCTGTGTGTCCTGACTACCTAAGTTCCCATCATATAGGTACGTAGTGTAGGTCACTTGCATTGTCTTAGTCTTAGGTATGTCATATTTTCTAGACTTGAAACTTCTCTATGGCATTAGTCCAAAGGTAGTCTCAGTGATTAAATATCCGACCAAACAGCCCTCTTCGTTCCTGTAAAAGCATCAAAGCCCATATCAGCTTCAGCTGTTCATATATTGATGGAGAAAGCACATATGCTGTCATTCTTCGATATTGTATGCCATATCTTTCTCCCCTCCTGTCAAACTACTTTCACACGGCCTCTCTTGCCCTGACAGATACATCAAAGTTGTTGGGTTTGACAAACCAGTAATTCGTTGTTTTCCACTCTCTCTGGCTATCCCGTAGTTCGAAGTCGAAATTTTGGATAAGAAGTGGAATGAGCTTTGACATTTCAAGATAGGAAATATGGCGACCAATGCAAGTCCGAGATCCCAAACCAAACTACCACCCAATTAGTACCTGATCATTATCTTTGTATACAATAAGCTCAATGCACTATCCTCTTCTGTGATACTTACCGGCAAATAGTATGCGTTCATTCGCCCAATCCTTTCGCCCCCCTCTTTTTCTGCTTCTAACCATCTCTCGGGTCGGAATGCTGCAGCGTCTTTGCCAAATACCTCTTCGTTGTAGTGTGCGGTCCATGTGTTCAGGCCAATAGTTGTTCCCTCTGGAAAGAATTGTCCATTTAGCTGCAGTCCACCATCAGTGACAGTCCTCCAAAGAGGAAGTCCCGTGGCGGGATGCAGACGCAGTGCTTCCTTCATCACTGCCTGCCAATATGGCATTTCCAGGCTGTCTTTGAAGCTCAAATGGCCATCAATAGAGGTAGATTGGTCAATCTCCTCTCTGAGTTTCCTCAAAGCATCTGGATATTTGAGAAGATAGTACAAAATGGCCGATAGACTGATAGCAGTGGTGTCGGAGCCTGCAACAATGTTGGACATGCTCATCATGAATACATGGTAGTCGGTTACCTTGGATGGGGCGTCTTTATTTTTAACCATTAATTTTTCCAGGAAATCTTCAGGAGACCCATCCGCGTGTGGCGCTGCCTTTTCTTCGCTCATCTCTTTTTCGGCCTTTCTTTGACGGATTCTCTCTCTTACATATCCTGCGAGGTATGTGCGTCCGGCAGCCCCCCCAATGCCGAAGAAATTAGTGACGGCGAAGATGTAGGGATGAAGGGCAGAGAATATGCCAATAAGGGTGGAGTAAGCAATAACCTTATGCAGAGCCTGCAGTAGGCCAGAGACGTCTTCTCCGCGATTGAGGAAGCCAAAAGGTTTGGAGAATGTAATATTCCCAATAACGTCGAATGCATAGCACTGGAACCAGTGGCCCATGTTAATGGGCTCGCGGCTTTTTGAGCATATAGACAAGCGGTTTACTAGGACATCTGCACATTCGTCCACGTATTTCTCGTAGCTGACAAGACTGGACATGCTGTACAGGCCTTGAAATACCCTTCTTGTCTGCGCATGTCTCTTGATATCTTTATCTGGGAACATGGTCCAAGCATCTGGACTCGGATGTTTCCACCCGTCATACCATTCTGACTTTGGTAGCTTCGAGCCGATGCCATACACTGTATTTACTGCTTCTGGTAAATCGATGCTGTACATATTTGGGGCGAGACGAACCACCGGGCCGTATTTTCGATGAAGTTGGATGTTTTCATGTTCGAAATGGCCCAGGGCGACTCGTCTGAAATACCATAACCGAGTGAATCGTGCCAAAAAGGGCCCTGGAATTTGGCGCGTTGGTGAAGTAAGGCTTCTAACAAGAAATAATAGAAGGCGTGCAAAGATCAATATGACCCCCGCCAAAATGACTAGCTTCAAAGACAACATGATTTCCTTCCAGCTGCTGCTAGGAAACGAATATGACAACGACAAGAAAGCTACATTATGAGGATAAAACCTCCCTTCACCCGCCTTTTAACTCTCATTCCTGACCTTTCAGCGCAGACTATCAAGCTGGCCAAAATGCCGAACTACCCCGGATTCAGTCCCACACCACGCGCTCGGACAAGTAGTGCAACATCTTAGCTATGGATCTAACGGATGGTGTCGGCCCAGTGGGAAAGCAAATGCGTCTCCATTCCGCGACTCTGGCCAGTGAATGCCGCTTTCCATGGCTGCAAGAGGCAGATCTCTTCCTTGCCGTTACCACTTACCGAGTGGCCAAGAGCCAATCGGCAATATGCTGTTAGCTTTTATTATGCGTGCGTCGACTCTCTACTAGGGGCGCGATAATTCCGCCCTCATCTCGGGGTTTGAAGCCTCGCATGAACAATCGGCTCGGCCTTAAAATAGTGATTTGGGTCCGACAGTACTACCCAAAGAGGCATTCAAACGGGCTTCTAGGACTTCCTGCCCATGTCTTTCGACAATGTAGCGCTTAATCAAATAACCGCCATCCTCGGATAGGTTGATCTGAAATTATACACACATCGTTCAAATAGTAATGAGTATGCTTTCACATTAATTTCCCTAGCCTTCTTCCGACTTTCCTTCGCCTTTTTCGTCTGTGGCCTGTCCATTCAGAGGTTGGTCACCACTAACACCGCCATTATCATCACCATCGTGCCATCCAGATATCAAGTCATTGTCTGCCTCTCCTTCCTGCTCAGGATCCCACCCTTTCAGTACTCTTGATGCCGCAGCGCTTCCAACAATTGGCAACTTTTTAATACCGATCTTCCGAGCTGCCTCTGGTATAACATCAGGATCTAGGGCTCCGATTTGGAACAAGACACTAGCTTGATCCCAGTATACATGCTCATGGTACAACTTTCCTCCTCTCATAGTAACAATGCTAACCACAAGAACTTGAACCCGCTTTTGTGTGGCTGGAACTCCTGGCAGAATCCAAGGCATTTCTTGCGTGTGCTTGAATCGAACGTGAATTTCATCAACGATGCGGTCGGCTCCAATAGTTCGAGACAATAAAGTTAATTTGAGCGACTTTGGATTCCCAAAATATTGAGAGTAAAATTCCTGGAGTTCGTCGGCCCCAATACCTCCAGTCAAGGTAGGAATGTAAGTCACATGCGGACTCCTATGTGTCGTGTAGCTGGCCATTGTAGGGTTAAGGCTGTGGGTGAAGAACTTTCCTGGATGGCAATATCAGCAACAAAGGCTATTACAGCGTAGATTTTTTTTCAGAAGATACCTTGCAGGTTTTCCTCCCAAATTTGCTCCAAGTCCACCGTCTGTCCAAATGCCTTCCTTGCCGCAGCCAAACTGCGACTCCATGCCAAATCCGCACATATCGTATCATACTCATCCAAGTCATGCTCTGCAAATCCAGGCTGTGCCTGATAGGTATAGCCGGGATATGCAAGACGAAGCAAACCGCCCGTACCGATTCCGGGTTGTATGGTCTTGTGTGTTGTACGTCGTTTGCCTTGAATGCCAATCATTTGTGACTGCTTTGTGACGCCGACGTCTTCCCCAGCAATCAAGTGTACGAGAGCTGAGATATTGCTTGGGAAATGGCCCTTTGGATCTGGAATAGCGGTTGGATAATATGCAATGAGTAGTTTGAGCTTGAAATCAGGATTATTATCCATAACATGGTAGTGCTCGAGGCACATGGCCGCAGCATCGCCGTATGCTACCACAGCTCAAATTAGCTTCTTTTTATTGGCTTTGGAGGACATGTGTCAGCTTACCAACGATGCCGAAAGTCTCAAATGAACCCATCTCATTTCCTCGGAGTCCTCGAAGCTTTTGCAAGTATTCATCTCCACCATTACCCATGGGGAGGTATTCGACGTCAAATCCTTCAGCTTGCCATTCGGCGATAGTTATGGCGTCAAACTCATCACTCTCTGCTGTTAAGTACAATTTTGGAGGTTGTCGCGGAAAATCTTTGGAAAGAAAATTGGGATCTCTGTGATCTGATACATTCTGCGAAATGATTCGTACATTTCGCCCTTCTGCTTCTGGAACAGCAGCTTTAATTAAATTTGCAGCGTCGATACTCATGATAATAATTTGGCAACTAAAGATGGCAACTGGAATGATACAAGTTGCAGTCAGTAGTTTAATAGCCTTGATCGCTCAAGAGAGCGGCAGCAATAAGAAAGATGAACATTGACGCAACTATTCGTAATGCGCAGCTCATGACGTCAGGCCATCGCGTCCGATATTGGAAGTGTTTTCTTCGGCTTGCTGATCACATCCCTTTAGGTGCAACTATGCTATAGAGATGCTGCGCTAAGTACCTCTTTGCCTGTGTTTCTAGCACATTCACCAGTTAGTGTTAGGCGTAGATTGGGGCATGGTGCGCGTTTAGACTTGAGTCGCCTAAGCCATTTATCGTCATCTCCCAATGGGGTTACATATGGTCAACTATCTTGTTTCTGCTGTGAGTTGAAGGTGATAAACATAACAATAGTATCTAGTCTTTTTCTAACAATATTAATTAGCTTGAGAGCGGTAGATTGCGCTCTGAAATCTTTAGTGATTAGAAATTTTGGCGTTGCATGAAGGTTTTCACTTTAGAAGTCCGCGTCTAAACTGTACATAAACGAATTGAATCCATTGACGGACAAGCGCCTTGTCTATCTGCTCGCTCACACTAGCACAAATCGTCCTTTACTTTTAGTTTTGTCCGCGAAAATCTCACCTTCCATGACCCCATCGCAATATGCTTCGCCTATATACCGATATTTGTCGCTTTGAGTTTCATCATTAAGCTTCCTTAGAATATGTGGCGTAGTTCCACCATGGAATATGACTATACAGTCTCCCATCCTCATATCCCCTGGTCCTATCCCTATATAACCAGCTGTTGTCCGATATAGTCTTCGACCCAGATTTTTGAGCATATTCGACGTGAAAATGTTCATATCTGGGCTAAAACAAACATCTGAGTCAAGTCCTATATTTTCAACGCTCTCGCGGGAAGGTCGCAAATCCATTTTGCCGAAGCGGCGACGATATATGACATGCTTTGATGCAAACCAAACTCTCGCCGAGGCGGTGCAAAGACTAGCCATGTCTATAACGAAATCATGAATAGCTTGACACGCGACTTTTCCCGCTAAGACTGGATTTAGTGCACAGGTTCGTAGACTCTCCATCTCAGACATGGGCTCCCAATACCAAGGAACAATTCCTAGTGTTCGATAGATACGTGTGATGTGATAGGATGCGATTGCCTCGTCCGACCTGATAAGTCGTTCTCCAAGAATATATATATTGCTGCGCAAAGCTTTAAGTCTTTCAATGCCAGCAGTTATGCCGAGACTCTGAGTGAAATATCGATAAGATAGGCCAGAATCACACAAGCGCAGCTGTAATCTAAGTTCCATTTCGGGATCATGGCAAGAGGGATCTCTGCTTTGAAATGTAGCAGCGTGTGCTTGGGCAAATTTTGAGACCTCATCAAAAAACAACTTTGCTGAGCGATAGTCAATTTGCTCTGCCACTTGTGCATCAGACTGTGCGTGGTGCAACCGTGTTCCCAAGTCTGAAATTGCGTCCACAAAGATTCCACTAATATGAAGCTGTGGATGTTCGTTTTTCATGAGGACAGGAGCTTCTGCTTTTCCTCCTCCAGCTGTAAATGTAGGTTCTTTCAAGGCCATGTATCCTATGGGTATAGTAAGATTCATTGCCCAATCCGGTACCCATGAGGGTAAGCCTGGAGTTTTCTTCGGCCGCTGGTTGAATAAGAGAACATCAATATTCTCTTGCAGAAGTAGCGCCGCAATCTCGGAATAAGTTTGAGTGATTTCAGCCCCATAATCCACACGAACTTGCTTTCTCAAATTATCATTATCTGTTGTTAGTCCTAGTAAGCCGAAAATACGGTCTTGTTCCAGTGTTGCCCCGATCTTCTTTTGATCGTCATTGACGTTGTACTTCAACACGAGGTCATGTAGGCCTTGCCTTACTCTCATTTGGTGGATTGCCTTTCGCTCTTGAAAAATCCGTCTAAGTCCGACTGTCTTCCCAAAAAGAGCATCTCGCTGACGAAGCACTCGCTGAGGCATAGCTTCTGTAAGGTGCCGCACCCAGTGCGTGTTGTATATGTTATAGAAGAGTACGCCTGATCGAAAGCAGTCAAAGCACAGAGATTTACTGCCGCACACAAAAACGACGGCAGGTGCTAGACAGGCCTCTTGGATAACCCACAAACGATTGAACCAATTTCGGTCAAGTACATCGGCAAAGCCATCCAATGGGAAACGGTCACCATATCGATGAATCAATTCCAAAATATCGTCTCGATCTTCACGTTCTTCTTCGTTCACTGACAAAGCTGGATCCATTACGGCGTCGAAGACGTGCATGAAATGACCCACTCGAGGTCCCATGACTCGGCTCAATACTCCTTCTTGAGACATCTCCTGAACAAGATCAAAATATCTGTCTGATTCTCGAGTTGGAGGGCCTAACCAAACAAGGGTGCAAGCGCTTTTTGCGTATATATCTTGCATAAGTAGTACTTGATGACCCTTCTCGTTGCGGTCCTCTTGGTTGATGCAGATTTGATCAATAAAGAGGTATTCGTTACTATTGAGGTAGGCCAGATGGAAAAGTGCATTCTCCAGTGCTGGGAAAATATGAAGTTTGAAAGATTCTCCATTTTCTTCGACAATGATTTTCCGATTCGGCGTTGTCTGACCTGCTGCCACATTCCAAGCGTAGGAGAGGGCATCATAATGGACACCAGAGTCAATATCAGCCTCAACTAGCCTGATGCGGATGGTGCCTTGAGTTCCTGGAATAACCGGCGGTTTTGGAGGGAGAAGCTGAACCAAGCGAAATACCCTCTTTGATGGAGAGATGGGGGAATACTGGAAAGGCTTCAACGGCTTAAAATCGAAGAGCGACATTGTGTTTCGTTTGAAGAGTATTGATGATGCCCAATCCAAACTGCGCGCCGCCTTATCGGTGTTTTTATTGAAAGAAGAACTAGTTCAAGATATGGCTTGGTTGTCCCGTGATGCATTTCAGCCGCAATATTGATTTCTGCATTATATTCTGCCTTGCCTTGGCGAGGCGCACAAGGTGTCTTGGCAAGTACGTACTCCGTATAACGATCGTATATAGAATACTAATACTGCTAGTAAAATTAACCTTAATTTTAATAGCGCTTGCGGTTTTCTGTTCATGAGTTCTGAGAATACATGGCCTCGACAATGATGAGCACAAATATACATGATACCTTTAATGGCGACCAATTATTTCATGCCTTAATTTGAATTGTTACCGCCATTATACAGCATCGAACAGGCGAACGACAGCAATCCGCTCGCTGTCTTCTTAGTCCACAATCCCTACATTGCAAGCGAAAATCTACAGTGTAATTAGCAATATTCACCTCTATTCGCGAATAAGCTACCCCGCTCATTTCAGACGCACACCATGATTGTTATCGGCGAGTTAGAATTCGTCTCTACTGATATCATATGACTAATACTAAGTGGTCTCTGTTCCGTGATTTCTTCACGCCTTCTCAAGTGCAATGGCTTCCCTGCGGCTCACGCTCTGCGGGTCAAAGTAAGGCTTCTCGCCCAAGCTCACAGATCTTGATCCAGTCCGCTCTCCAAGCCCCTGGTTGATATAATCTGGCGTAGCGGCGTGGTAAACGCTGCGGTTGTCCCAAATGGCCAAATCGTTCACATTTTGCCAGCGATTGCGGACCTGTAGATCATGATTTTCGACGATCAATCGCACGAACCAATCTAAGAAATATCGCGATTCGTCATCAGACAGGCCGTGGATATGCTGGACGTGATGGCCAACGGCAAAGACACTCTTCCACCCAGTCACAGGATTGGTTCGAATCACCGGGTGAATAGCTTCCAGAACATCGCCAATATTTTCGGGGGCTCCTCGAGGCGTGGAGAAGAGGGAAAACCCATTGTGATCAGCAGCCTCCTTAAAGCCTGGTTGTGCGTAGTAGGCAGTTAGACCATCTAGGAACTTCTGCAATGGCTTAGAGATGCGATCATAGAGCTCATATCCGGAGGCCCAAAGTGTATCTAAAAATTCTCATTAGCTTATATAATACCAGGAGATTCTGTGGCTATCTGATTGTGCATACCTCCGCCCGTTGTTGGCAGCTCCGTCAATCTCAGCAGCGCATAGTCACTTGGGATGGGCTCAAAAGTGATATCGGAGTGCCATTGTGACTTTTGACTCTGGCGCTTATTAGTCTTCAGAAAGCGATCCGCATAAATCTTCTTAGCCTGCTCCGAAGAAATGACACTAATTTCATTGTCTTCAACGCCATGGTCACGGGCACCATTGTTAACTGGGTGAATGTGCAACCCAGACGTCGCTGGCTTTCCGCTGAGTTCGCCAAGGCGCTGTACGAGCTCTTTTTGAAGGTCATTGGTAATATTGTCCTGCTTGCGGAAGAAAACAACGCCTCTTTGGGATACTTGCAATAGTGTAAGCAAATGGGAGGTAAAATGAAAAGGCAATAGAAGGTTCTCAAAGCCGTACCTGTGATGGCCAAATCTCTCAGCAACTCATCCGAATTAGGTGCCCTCAGCCATTCAGCCAGATCAACATCCACGAATTCCTTTCCGATCACTGGAGTAACTTCAAACTGCCTGAACTGGTCAAGTGCTCCGCTCAGCTTCAATGGCTCCCGATGTCCAGTCTCAAGATTTGGCTGGACTTGAGCTTTGAGATTTGCAGGCTTCTGCTTGAGGTTTTCAGTGACTTGAGTCACGGTTTCTGTGACGGATGGTGCCATTTTACTTTGTATATCTTTCTAGTGGGAATACCAAGGGAAAAGATATTAATTTATGGTGTGGATTGTGAGGTATATACCACGTTGCACGATGTTTCGGTGTGTGTATTGAAGGCGAGAATGTGTAACCAGTTATATACTACAATGGGCTATATAATTCTTGCCCAATGTAGCAACGGCCTTCTCTTATGCAATTGTGCAACACTGCCTATAATTTCATCATCTCTATCCCCTGATATTGCGCGTATCTTATCATCTATTGATTGGTAAGATATTTCCATATCACGCATCCCAGCATCACCTGCGATACATGAGCCACGGATGTCGGCTACCAATGAGAGCGATATATGTCACAATATTTCATTGTCCGGGGTTACAGCTTATCGGCGTTCTGGCATATCAAGGATGGGAGATGGTGTCTTCCCCGCGATTGCGTGCCGACCTGAAGTTTGACGCGATCCTAGCGCGAGATCACGAACGCAGCATCGCGCAATTTGACAGATCATCACGACATGCTAATGGCGAGTATAGAAACAGAAAAGTAAAAAAATTAAGATAACAACACGAGCAGCCTCAAAGTTAGAAGATCTCAGTTGCTTTGTTTGATGTTATACCATAATAGTATGTATCGTGGGAAGTAACTTGACATCAGAAGATTTTCATCAGTGTACATGTATTTTGTCCTATTTCGAAAATAGAACAGCGCTAATAATGGTATCAAGGTCTATTTTACTGCACTATTCATCATCATATGACAATCCGTAATCGTCTAAAGACAGTGAGTGAACTTGTGCAGAAACAACGGCTGTTTGCCACTCTGAAATTACTTGCGCTGATAAATGTCAGAAACGGTCTTTTCTAGAATAGCGTAGCGTAGGATGGCATGAAAACTTTTAATGATCACAGAGTTCTTGGTAGTGTCTATGCCTCAAGATGCTGGGGTATGTTATATTGATAGTGGAAAGTCATTTTGCCTTGGATACAGAAATTAATGCGTCACAAACAAAATTACTATCTGGTAGAATATGCAGTGTAAGTCGTGAAGCCGGCAGCAAACGACAAAAACAATTAGTTCAGGTAGCAACATGGGGATTTTTTTTTTTTTAAAAAAAAAAAAAAAAAAAAAAAAAAAAAAAAAAAATTTGGTGATGCGTTAGTCCGCCATTGTATAACAATACGCTACAATAGCTGGCAACTCACCTGGCTATTATAAGAAATGATACTAAAAGTGCTGCTAAAGCGAATAAGAGTGGGACTTGTTTCAACTAAATCTAACGCTTGGACAGAGAAAACATTGTTTCGATCCGGAACATTCTAAGCCGATGTCGTTTGCCACTCTTGTCAGCGCTAAATCGATTGACCATCGCTAAATTTAGCGCTTCAGCCAACGCAATTTGATTTAAAGGCGATTTTTGGTATGTACCCATTCAGTTACCTGAAGGCTGTGCTAGCTGACAGGTATTAAGCTGGAGCAACTGGAGCAACGGAAGGATAGGAACCGAATCCGTGGCAAGATTTTCTAAATATACTTATTGTTATGATGATTAAGTGGCAATATGATGAATTACCTCGATTTCAGAGATATTTAAACTTCATTGTTCTGCACTGGGAATATTGCCATTATCCCATTCAATTTATAGCCACTTGTAGCCACTACATCACTCTTTTATTACCTTGAGTTGCATAAACATCATCAATTATATTCCACAAACTTCACACTTCACTTACGAAATTCCAACTTACATATATATACACACTCAACATGAAGTCGTTCTTGGTTGCTGTTAGCTCCGCTGCTATTCTCCTGACCTCGGCCAGCGCTCTTCCTACAACCCACTTACCACGCCAGGACGACAGCTGTTTTATTCGGATAAAGAATGGCGATGGTGATGCTTCCGTTGGTGTCAGTATCTTGGCCAATGCCCTTTTTTCCACCATCAACAATCGGCAAGTCAATGCCGGTGTGAACGCACAAGCCGTCACATCTGGATGCATATGCCAAGCGTTCAGCGATGCTGCCGGTACGCTCAAGCTTGGAGGTATCTTTGATGACCACACACTGGCTAGTTTCACCGACGCATCCAGTGGAGAGGTTGACTCAACAGCTGATCAAGCTGTTCCAATTGGCTCTTTCTGCTGTGTTACTACGCCGAACACAGAGCCAGTCTGCTCCCGCTCCGGGACTTGGACGCCACCTCCGCCGCCTCCTCCAACCCGGACTGTGCGTGTCCAAATCAACTCGGTAGATGATTCAGCCGTGCAAATTGAAGTTCCAGCAGATGGTTCGCCATTCGCTACCTCTTTCAACATTGCCAACGCTGTAGAGATTGTTGATATTGAAGGCTCGAATCAAGGTACCTGTCAGGCGTTCTCCGACGAAGCCGGCACTATTGCAGTTGGAAGTCCCTTTGGAACCGATCTGGTATTCCTGAACGGCGGAGCTGCTGCTAGCATACTCTCTCTTCGTTGCAATTTATCATCCTAAGTTGACAATTTTTTCTTGCTTGGCTCATTTAAGTCTATAGATAGAGTAGATTGTTTATACATATAGAGTGCATAGAGGTGGATCTCGGGATTCCTCTTCCGATTAGATAGACTGACGGGCTAAGGCGCACAGGATCTGCATATTTTGAATTTGTTAAGGAACCTATAGTTAATGATTTTTCGTCTTTCCTTCACCCGACGATCTGCAATAACATGGTTTTATCTAGCACTAAAGTTCAAGTTCTAAAGGGAATTTAAACAGTTGTACATTGATGACCATTGGAGCACTTTTCACCTGACATTTTGTTGAACACGGCTCTGGCTGCTTCAGAACGATGCCATAGCACATTAACTTACGGCATGTCTGTTGAATCCATAGGGCGGGGTAAATGTACCAATATATGTGCAGATTAGAGGCCCATGCCGCACGCACGAATCACTGTTCTACGGCATTATATTCTACGTTGCATAATCGGATGACTCAATTATTGCGCCGTGAATCCTCCATCGACTGGTAACATAGCACCTGTAATCCATCTAGCCTCACTGCTTGCGAGGAACACAGCAGCCCCAGTTATATCATCTGGCATACCGATTCCATGCAACGGGTGGCGCCGCCTAATCTCCTCAGCATCGTGAATCTGGGTGGTATTAACAAATATTGCTGTTGCAGTGTCTAGTTGAAAATTCTTTAGCAATGAATCGATTGGTGCACATGAATGAGCAATTCTGGATCACTTACATCCAGGGCAAATAGCATTGCAATGAATACCATCTTCAGCATAATCCATCGCAATCTGCTTTGTTAAATTTGCCACCGCTCCTTTGGAAGCTGCGTAGCATGCTGTCGATGTCATTAGCCGTTGTTCTCTACGCTACAAGCTCCTGCAAATCAAGTGGTCTTACGTATATATCCACCACCGACTAGACCAAATATAGAAGATATGTTGATAATCCAGCCACGGTCTCCCGAAACGAGCTTGTCTTGGGACAGCATTTGACCGATAACATACTTGCTAACCAGAAAGACTGATTTTGTATTGACTGCCATTGTCAAATCCCACCACTGCTCCGGCGTTTCGTGAATCTTGAGAGCTTTCTTTCCAGCTTCGATGGAAATACCGGCGTTGTTGACCAATCTGTAGAACTGTCCGGTTACGCCACCATTACAATTGAAAGCATCTATCAAAACGAAGGGGCTGTCTTCTTCTTACACGTCAATGTGACCATATTCTGCAACCACCGCCTTTACCATTGCCTCTACTTCATGGGCATCGCTCACATCTGCCTTAATGTATACGGACCGTCCCCCGTTCTGCCGAATTAGCGCATCAGTATCGATCGCCCGTTCAGCTTGTACTTCTTGCCGAGCATCGGGTCTCAAATCAACGCAAGCAAGAAATGCACCCTCCCGAGCATATGCCAAAGAAATAGCTCGACCAAGTCCAGAAGAGGATCCGGTCACGATACAAACTTTATTCAGTAGACGCTGGGATTGCGTTGTTTCCGCCATTTTGATCGAGTGGGTTTGGTGCATGAAAAACGTAATTGAGGTTGTTATTGCATCTTTCTCCTGGCTGGATTGCTCGGTGGTTGTGACGTATATGGTAAAACTTCTAGGGGAATAGCCGTCTAATAAATGGTATCGGCAAGGGCTTCAGACTGGTCATCTATTGACGAACTCTTTTTCTTGCGTAGGATGGCAAACAAAACTCGTCGGAAGACTTGCCTTTTGGCTCGGCTAACTTTCCGTCACTGTAACCGAAGCAGATTACATTAGCATTAGGTGCCTGCTCCCACAATGCGCTACTGGTCTTTTCGGGTTTAGTTCCCTAGCCATGATTTTCTAAGTAAAAATCCAGTCTGGGTCTTTGTCACTGCTCCGCCGGGCCAGCAGATCTGCAATTCGTGAAGCATGGTGGCTTGTCGTCCATCCAAGATCCCGCTCAATACTAGACAACAACTCTAGCACGACCTGAAGGTCTCGTGAGTCGGTAAAGACTTGTCCCGCCACAAAAAGGGCCTGCACAGAGTGCACGCGCACTGAATCTGGAGGATTTGTCAGGCTGATGCCACAAATTTCCCGAGCGTGGCGGAGAGCCTCACGCTCACTTTGTCGATATGAGTCTAGGCGCGCAGAGACGGACGAGCGGACAGCTGTGGACTCTTGGGGTTGATTTGTTAATAACAAAATGCAAGCCATGTGATAGCTCTGCATTGTTGCGGCGCATATCGGTGCTTCGTACCATATCTTCTCAAAACTCAGAGGGCAATTACCGTCCCCCTCTTCTACTGCTCCTGTCATGTCCGCACTACTGGTTCGAGCACTCGGGTTGAAGCTAGCTGGGAGGCTACAGCGCCAATTCTGAAGCTCTCTGGTAAGGAGATTCCATCTCTCTAGTAGCTGTTCTTGTGTCACGCCAACTAGTGGTCGTTGACCCGGTGGGAGAGCATAGTGCTTAGGATTGAGGGCATCTCCAGCAGCGATATGGTTGGCAATTTTACCCAGCAGCCAGACCAGCTCGTTGCTTCTTGCGTCTTCTTCAACATCAGCAGCATTGGAGATATAAAAAGGCATAAGTGACCCATGCTCATCAGTGACGAGACCTGCATTTTGCCACAGACGGATGTCTTTCAAATCCAGTCGTGTTTGCGTTTCGCTAATGACTATTAAGAATCAGTAATGTGAGGCTTGGAGTATGCGATATAGGAAAGAATCATACAAGAACAGAGCAAATCCTGTCTGGCTAGGCTCCAGAATATTGGTCCCGACACAGCCGCCCTCGGGATGGTGATGGGAGAGCCTAAAATTGACTCTGTATCCGATCTCGGGCTAAATAGAGGCAGAGCGCTGAGATGGGCACTCCAAGCTGTACCAGGTGCATCCATCAACTCATATGTGCACAGTATTGTTATAGAAGCAAACAATTCTTCTTTATCAGCATCATCTGTTTCAAATGCTCCCAGATTGATAGCGATTTTGAGATGCTTTATAGCATAACCATAGTGTTTGGCAGATTGATACTGCCAGTCAACTCTGTCATCGAACGGCGAAATGACAGTCCGTCTCTCGTCTGAAAGCTCTTCACGTCGTCTACGAGTGTTTGTTTGACAATGGCCCAAGTGCTTGGCTGCGAGAGCGCACACCGCAGATTTCAACAATGGCTTTGTAGCGGCCATGACTGTTACTTTGTGTGAGAAGTAGGCTCCAGTATCAAAAGTATCCATCCTAAACCCATCAGATTTTTGATCAGTCAAAGAGTTAAAGTGACATTCTCACCATTGTCCAGGCCCTTCCTTGAAGTGTCGCAGTAATCGCAAGGCCAAGAGGTTGTCATGCAAATCATGATTTGGCCGAGGGATAACCAGCGATTCATCCCCATCCGGAGCTGTTGGGAAGCGTGTGAGAAAATTCCCATCGCCGGCCGATATTTCACCTCTATCAGCATGAGGTGACGTCGTGGTCTCATCGTCCTGGTTGTGCGTCACCAATTGATCAAGGTCCTCTATTTCACACGGAGACAGGGCCGTGGAATCAAGCTCATATGGATCCTCGATATTAATAAACGTTACTAATCTTAAAGTTAGATGGTCGTTGCTTATTTAATCGACTAGATGCCTTCTGTGATTTCGTCTTACGATGTTTGGGGATACTTAGCCATGTTTGATTGTCATCAAATGGTTCGCGAGAGTCTACGCTTTTCTTTATTTTTCCATTTGATAGCACACTGCTATCGAAAGCGCGAAAGACGGCTCTCTCCACAAAAAGGCAGTCTCGAAAACTCTTGACACAGTTCAGACACACTGGCCTCTCTTCGTCGCACTTAAGTTTTCGATGCCGACAAGTGATGCTATGATCTCGTTTCAGACAAATGCTCCCATAATAGTGCCTAAACTTACCTACCAACCACTGTATGAGCGCATACTACTCCTGTTCCTAGCTTTGCCCATGCGTATAGTACTCTTTGGGTAATGATCAGAAAGTGCCAAGTTTCTTGAGGGCATCGATGCCGATGCAAGATGTGATGGATGAAGATGGTGGTGGCTCAGTGTGCAGAGATGGATTGTGGCAAGTAAGCCGAGATGATGCTGCCCTTAAGTTCGTTCTTTGAAGCAGAGCCTAGTCCTAGGCTTAGGCTGTCCAAGCTAAAAAAAAATCACTAGGCGCGCCGTCGAGAAGTGGAATCTTAGCAAACCAGTCGATAAAATCTAATGTATCCAACGAATGCCTACGGGTAGTGAATCCAATAGATGGATGTGGAACAACTGGAAGTCCCGCATTAGCTGCCTCACATCAAGGAGCATTTCTCGTAATGCCAACACGATCGTAACATTCTCGGCTCGATTGCTTCAACAACAATGGCCATCCACAATCCCCACAAACGGCTAGAGGTCCTTGCACTAGTGGGCAGCCATTTGAGTCTACAAGTACTCGTACGGGCATACTTGTACTGAAAAATCCATCGAGCGACATCGGATTGGCTCGGCTACGTTGCTAAATTTGTGCGTCATGCCCGGCACAGTTGCCTGTTGGGGTGGTCCAGACAGCGAAATGTGAGCCACAAAGGAGGCTCCAATATCTGGTGCTTCTAATGGCAGATATTGGCATACAAGTCAACCCAATGATTGCGTACTCTGGATAGTAATTGTCGGCCCACCTTCCTATGGCATTTGGCATGCTATAATATAGGTATATAGATTTTGTAATGTATCCGCTCTGAGGATGACGCAACTCGGTTGCACCTCAGGCATGTTCATAGTACAGCGCAGATATAGATATAAACCACCATGCAAGACCTTCATATAAGTGTCAAGCAACATCTGTCCGAAAACTCTCTGCAACTTCGCCTCAACTCTGCTTTGTATTATCATCTCATTAGGCAAATTGACTAGTTAACCTGACGCAAGATGTCACAAACTACCGATGTCCTAATCATTGGTGCAGGCATATCTGGGGTCGGTTTTGCCGTGCAGTTGATCCGACAATTTGGCACCAGAAACTTTCAACTTATTGAGAAATCTGATAATATTGGTGGAACATGGTGGGTAAACTCGTATCCCGGCTGTGGCTGTGATGTAAGTTCTTGATCCTCTGTTGCTATTTCTTTACGTTGGCGTCTAATAATAGGTGATCTGAGGCAGGTTCCATCGCATTTCTTCTCCTACTCATTTGCATTGAAGCCCAACTGGTCTCGAAGATTTGCCCTGCAATCTGAGATACATGAGTATTTCACAGAGGTAGCAGCTCAGTACGAAATTCACAAACATGTGCAGTTAGCATCTCTTGTTGAAAAAGCCTCTTGGGACGAATCATCCGGAACTTGGATCGTCATAGTTCGAGACCTTAGGTCATCTAAATTGAGAGAATACCACAGCAAGATCTTGATATCTGCAGTTGGAACGCTATCTGTTCCGCAGAAATGCACCATTCCAGGTGTCTCAAGTTTCCAAGGAAATATGTTCCATACGGCACAGTGGGACCATAAGTTCAATTGGAAGGATAAGGAACTTGTTGTCGTCGGTAAGACTCCCGTTCCATACGAAGCATGTGATGATTAGATACTCAAATTCAAAATCGTAGGAAATGGATGCTCCGCGACACAAATTCTCCCAGAGATATCCTCCGGTCCTGGAGCAGCTAGAATGATAACCCAATTCTGTCGACAAGCACATTGGCTGGCTGAGCGCCCTAATCCAGAATACTCTGGCTTGTTTAAGTGGACGATGAAATGGGTTCCTCTAGCGATTCGTATCTACAGAGCGAAATTATACTGGGATCAAGAAAGAGATTTCAAGGGCTTCGACATAGAAACGGGGGCCGAGATCCGCAAAGGCTGGTCAAAAGATGCCGCTGATTACATCCGTGCTAATGCACCTGCGAAATATCGAGATTTTCTTGTTCCGAAAACCGAAATCGGGTGCAAAAGACGCGTCAACGATACGGGATATCTCGCTTGTCTGTATCGAGAGAATGTCGATCTCATATACGACGATCCCATTGAAGAGATAGTACCAACTGGAGTTCGCACGAAGTCCGGAAAGATAGTCCCTGCAGATGCAATTATCCTTGCTCAGGGCTTCGAGACACAAAAGCCGTTTGGATCTTTGCAGATATTTGGCGAAAGAGGGGTGAGCATCTTGGAACATGTGAGTACAAATCACCAGTGGCCAGTACTATAGCGTCATCTGACTTGATGAGCGTAGTGGGAGCGAGTGAGCGAGGGAGTCCCCTCTTCGTACTTGGGGACATGTCTTTCAGGCTTCCCTAATTTTTTTATTATGATGGGTCCCAATACCCTCAGCGGTCATCTCTCTGTTATCTACACTACAGAATGTCAAATTAATCTTACGTTGCGCATCATCAGGCCTATATTGAACGCCATGGGCACAGAGACATCAATTTTGGCCGTTAATGGGCCATCCCGAGATATCGTTACCGTTAAGCGTTCAGCTGAGAAACAAGATATCGAAATGGTACAACAGAAAGCCAAAAAGCTAGTATGGGCAACAGGTTGTACATCTTGGTTCATTGACGAGAATACTGAGAGAAACACCATAATGTTCCCCGATTGGCAGTATAAGTTTTGGCTAAGAAGTATTTTTGTTTCTTGGGATGATTTTGCCTACAGGACCTCAGCAAAATTTCGTAAAAGAACGGTAAAAGGCCATGCAGGAATTGGAATTTACGTTCGTATTATTATTGCTGGTATCGCTGGACTTGGGGCTCTTTACTTTACCCGTGACCAGATTCACAATCACATGGAAGCAGCGAGGACCTTTGTTGTATCTTTAGCGAAATCAAGTCTGAACTAACTCTTCTTTTCAATCAATTTTTTGAAGCGTCAGTTTCCGCAATTAGTCAAGATACCGCGATCAATGAAACAAATTTCGATTCGACTTGATGCATGTGGCAATACACGGAAGACCACACTGGCTTGCACAGACCGAAAAAGGAAAGTTTGTAGAGTAATACGCTGTTAGGGTTCTATTATGCTATTATCTAGCAAGGATTAGAACCCCCCGTTGATTACGCTCAAGCACGACCATAGCCACCAATGCTTCCTTAGGCTATTTAAGAGCCGCTATTAGGCAGTGTTCCACTTGTATTACAGACGGCAGCCATAATTGTCAGTAGAATGTCCTGCCATCGCATGAATATGCCTCGCTAAGTTTTGAGAAATAAAGTCAACGAATGCCAAAAACTCCAGGAGCTGGGAAGTCGGATGAAATTCCCTCAAAAACTGCAATTTCACTCTTTCATCCGATATCAACTTGTATGCGTCCGAATATTGGTCCGCCCAGAATGAATCCTCAAACTCTCGGCCATTTCCATCACTTTTATCTGGCAAGACTCGTAAGTTATTCCAACTCCGTATAGCAAAGAGCCAAAGCTCGCAATAAAATTTTGACGACACCTTAATATACGGTACTAGGTCGCCGAGAATAAGGCTATCTATATTTCTTTATTTATAATGAGCGAATGCCTACATTGAGCCGGTACTGAGTAGCGCTATTTTGTTTAGATGCTAAATGGTATGAATAGTATCACTGCTGCCAGAAACCTAAATTCTCTTGTAGAGAGGTACCTTGTTATGAATGGCATCTATATTACCAAGCGGCTAAAGATAGCCCATGGAACTTCGTACGCTCAGCTATCCTATCCAAAACGAAGCTGCATGTTTGAAATCGGATCTCGGTACCAATAAAGGCTTGCAGAGCACTCTAGAGTTAATTTCTACCTTCCATATTTGGAGATTAGGATTCCCTTGGCATGGGATTACAATGTAACACGATGCGGGGGCGGAGAGTAGAGGTATCAACTCGGCACCGAGAGAGAGTGTTTGGAGCCGGTTCAGGCTGTCAAACAAGAAATTGTGTGTTTTTTGCATCTGCGCAAGGGATCAATACAGTATGTAGCCTGATGATACGACGATACTAAATAGGAATGTGACAGAAATAGCTCGGAGGAAGACAACATAGCGGTCAATCGTTAGCCAATCAATCAAAGATGTGAATCCTGCGTCGTTGGCTAGTGTGATTCCCTTTGACAGCAAAAAAAAAAAAAGTATAAGAACCAAAGCTGTAGACCTCTTAATAAACCTTTCCAAAAAAGAAAACCGTATTCAAATAACCCCCAATCAGCTTCATCTTTCCTTCTTCTACAACACCATGAATAAGCTTTTGTTATCAATCCTTGCATTGGCAGTTACTGGTAGTGAGGCATGCCTTACCATCTCAGGAACATGCCAGTCCGGCGGTATTGACCCCTACGTCAGCATTGGAGCGAACGACAACAACCAAGCATCAGGCCATACGAGTTGCAGCAACTTTGCTCACTGTGACATGCAAATCAGCGGAGCCGTCAATAGTGCATGGGTAGAAAACTGTCAATACCTACACTGGAATACCGGTCATGGTAACTATGTAGTCGACATGCACCCTAGTACTACTACTACTTGTGTCCGGACATGTGGCTCTACATCAGCCTGTTGTCAGTTCGAGACCTTTTATATGGTGGATACACGGGCTTTTTGCTAAACTAATTGCCTAAAAATTGTGAGTCCACCTTGATTTTTAATAGAGTAAGGAGGGTGTCGCTAATGGGACGTGGTAGTGAGCGAAGTGTTACGTTCTACTGCCAAGATGTATGAGGTCGATGGCCATTTCAATTATGCAGCCGAAACAAAATCCTGCTTAACTTGAACATCGCCTCTGAGTTTACTCTTTTCGCAATGCAGTTATACTATCTAGGCAATGGAAAAATTGTTGTGATTCATACCTAGATGACCTGCATATTTATTTGATGTATATAGTCTATATATAAGGTGTATAGCTTTGGGATAGTGTAGCAAACACCAAGATTTCTGGGTTTGTTTCTTAATGTACTGTTCATTTTTTATGTGAAGTTTTAAATAATACTTTAGAAAGCATCTCTGCATAATTAGACGACATCCCCATAGCAGTGGTCTTATGCATCTTGCTCTGCACGGGATTATTCTCCAAACCATTCTTGTGAGAACATATTGGCTTACTTACAGAAGCAAGTACCAACATATATGTATATATCGTCAACTACAGGGCCAAAAATAGCATATAGTCAATAGTCGACCAATGAATATATATTTTTTTATTTGTAACCTTTGTGTATAAATATGTCCAGTCTCAAAGCAAAGCACGCCTCTAGCAAAGACACCGACAAAGGACAGGAACAGGAGCTGTCCAATTTGAGCCAACTAGCCTACTCCTTTGGCGTGGCAGCGTGCTCTACGTCTACCACCATAGGGTTGAGTGCAGAACTTTGAACAAGGTCTGGATTCTCCGCCTTTAGCTTGGCAAAGTTGCGTTCGGCCTCCCACGCCCAGATACTATCGCTGGCAAACACAAGGTCCATCTCTTCCAATGTTCGCTGGTTAGACTCTGGATACAGCGCCCAGACGACAAGAATGGACAAAACATTAACAGCTCCAAAGATGTAGAGGGTCTTCTCGTTGAGACGCTTGAATATGGTGGGAAGCAGCAGAACCTAAACGCTGGTAAGAAGTGAGTTCAGAAAAAAAAAAAAAAAAAAGATTGGCGATAAGAAGAGAACTTACACACCAGCCATTGCCAATGGACCAGCCAACAACACCCCAGGCATTTCCCTTGGCTCTGACTTGCAAGGGGAAAATCTCAGCCGGATAGAGCCAAGGAACAGTCAACCAGGTAGCCCCAAATATGGCAGTGTAAAGGAATACAAAAAATGTTGCGGCACCGCCGATATGGCCCTGGCTATCCTTTCCTTCGGCATTAATTGTAGCCCGAGCAAGACCACCGGCGACAAACATGCATACACCCTGTCCAACTGCTCCCCAGTATAAGGTCCAACGACGGCCGATACGATCGATAGTGAAGACGCAGATTAATGTAGCAAACTAATTCACTGTTAGTATGTGTTAACCTTTGATCATAGGGACCAGGCTGGTGTACCATATATGTGATGTTGTTGATGCCGCTGACCCAGAGCCGGTCCTTTGAGCTAATTCCAGCTATAGTAAAGATTTCAGGGCCGTAGATGGTGATTCCTGCAATTCCAATCCATTCTTGAAGAATTTGAAGCCATATGACAAGCTGAACACGTCTTCCAGTGTGCAATTTTCCAGAACCGATACCGAAAAACATTTGAAGATAGCCCTGCTGCTTGGCAGTATCCTTCTCAAGCTTGTGAATATTGATAATATCCTGATACTCTGCTTCCATTTTAACGCCATCTTCGCCTTCACTACCACGAAGACGGCCTAGGATAAATCGAGCTTCTTCTTCACGGCCGATTTTGACGAGCCAGCGAGGGGATTCCGGCATGAACCAGATGATAATGAAAAGAGCTATCAGAGGAATAATTTGAAAGGCAACGGGAAACCTCCATATGAATGAAGATGTGTTATCGTGATATTTAGAAGTACCACTGTTGTCATGTTAGCGAACTAATAAAAGCAACATAACTTTTGAGGAATTACAATTCTAGCCAATATGCTACGACAACTCCAAGGATATTCAAAGTGAACTCAATGGAAACAAACTGTCCTCGGGAAGTATGAGCAGCGGTCTCGGTTGCCCAAACTGGTGTAATCGCATTCAAAATTCCGGTGCCGACGCCGTTAAGCACACGTGCTTTTTAAACTCCATGGTCAGTAAATATTCTTTAATGTAGAATTTGAATAGAGTTTCTGTCTTTGCAACATACCACAAAACATCCAGTTTGAATTCATAGCCGAAGCCTGCAGAGCAGCGGCGCAAACACTCCAAGCACATGCCAAAGCAATCGTCTTGATCCGGCCATAACGGTCGCCTAGCCAGCCTCCAAGAAGACAGCCGCATAGCGTCCCTGGAAGATAATAGACAGCAACGATGCCTCCTTGCAACAATGGCTTGTCTACAACGACAATGCTTTGGTCTTCATCCCAATGACCAAAACCCATGCGCTCAGCATAATCCCGCGTCGTGTTGACGCCGCCCATCAATCCTTGATCATAGCCGAAGAAGAAAATTGATAGTCCCGCCACAAGACAGACTGTATTTAGAAGAGAAGTTTTGTAAAGCTTATGGGCCACATTATATTTGGCCAACGGTCCGGTGAGATTGGCCATGCTGTCGATTGCTCCGGAAAACAACGGCTATATGGATTCTCTCAATGTAGTTCCCCTCCTTAGAAGGAATGCTCGGTGAGGAGCTTATATACATGTAAATCATCGTAAGAGCCGAAGATCGGCATCCCGTGCAGTATTTAGGCAGCACTGAATACCATATTCAGTAAATGGGTATCCAAAATGGACTCCAGCCTGGAAGACCACGATTCTCATTCGCCAGCAGTGGCGCTTAAACGCTTCGTCGGAGCCATCCGGTTGTTGTCCCATTAAGATCTTTCCCAGAAAGTGGGCATTCTTGGGGTCCTCCGTGGGGGAAAGTTGGCAGTAAAGACATACCCACATTCTTTTTGTACATATAGAATCCTCGTTGCTACACAAAATAGAAAGTAACCCATCGGCAAGTCTGTCGATCTCTCCAGATTTTATCACTTATGCGCGCCAATGACATTGGCGGGACTGACTCAAGAATGGGGCACTTTGGCGGAGCAATACTATGTACAGCCAGTGCCGTTCACTATTTGAAGCTGATCTCCGCAAAATCCACAATAGCAATACGACAGCCATGCGCACCAATAGTTTTCACTATCCCCAGATTTTGAGATATGAGAAGAGATGAGAGGCGGTAATAACATGGAATTTAGCCACTCATGCCATGCAGTAGTAATGGCAATTGAGGGGGCATCCGATTTGTTCACTCAGGTACTCTCGTACTGTATGATTATTTACGTCACAGCTGCAACAGAATCCTTGCACCACTTTGGACTGAAATAATAGTATTTTCTTCATATACATTTCAGCACTACATAGTATAACTGCATATATATACTCACAGTTGCGTGATATGCTGTTCAAGTCGTATCTCATGAGTTTTTCGTATACCCAAGGACAAAGATTTAAGCCTTGAGGCCAGCGACAAGCCTGTCTCCCAAAGCCTTGATGCTATTCTCAAAATCGTTGGTATTCTTGGCTGTCCATTTTGCGCCGCTCTTACCGGGCACAGCTGCGGGATCGGTGAATCCAATGAACAATACATCCTTAGGATCGTGGCCGTTGTCACCGCTGAGGCCTTCGTTGGGGAAGCAAAGCTTACCCAGGGCGAGGGAAGCCTCTCCAGTGGATGTGCCGCCGTTGGTATCACCCCAGATACCATAGAACTAGTGACACTTATTAGTCTCCGTCGCATTATAGAGTACAATGAGATATGAAAACTCACAACTTGGTTATTGCACACAACAGCCATGACACTGAGAGGCTGCATGCCGGCTGATTTGGGGTTGAAAGATGGATTGCCGCCCTCATTGCCAAAGACGACGTACGGGTGAATGTTGGCATCGAGGTCAGAAATGCCGAATGACCTCACGGTATCCTTGAAAGCGGTCTGGCTCTGACCACTGGGGTCGTTGGCACAAGCACCAGCCGAGTTGTTGGCGCCATCACAATCGATGTCCAGGTTGTCATAGTTGCCTGCGCTACCCTTGAGGAAAATAGCACCTGCAATGTCGCCACAGTATGAAGCTCCGCCACTGAAAGAGCCTGACAGTTTCTTGGAGCACGTTCCCGACTAAGAACAGGTCAGTATGAGGGACAAGTCTTAGCAGCCTTTATTATGGTTGTTACTCACCTTGTGATTATTATAAATGGTTTTGAGGTTGGCAGGGAGTGAGAATGCTGAGGCTACTGCGCCGAAAGTAGCGAGACCAAGGAGAGCGTCGGATCGCATTTTAGTGATTTATGAGTTATATACAAGAGAAATGAGTTAGCTGGTATAGAAGTACTTGGGTGAGAAGAGAATGTGTGACCATCGTCCATCTGCTTTATACCCTTTCAAATCTCGGATTCGGCATTTATAATTTATCTTGAAATCTTGACAGATCGCCACTCCCTTCTACCTTATTCAGCCTTGTTCTACCACCGCAATTTCGGCCAGCTACCGAGTTCATCCATTGAAACGCTGACATGCAACTAAATTAACTATCACGAGTTGAAGCCTTACGTTATTGAATGAAAAGGGAAGGTCAAAGCAGTTGACTAGGTAAGATTGGAGGAAAATCAGAGCATAAGTTTCCTCTAGGACATATTTGTAACGTAGTAACAGTACTAGTTACGCGAGGGGGCCTTGGCTCAGACGTGAGCCAGCCGTGAGCCGAAAAGCTTATACGAGTTTTACCTAGGTTGACAGATGGTGCACTACGCCAAAAAGAGCACTTTGGCAACATAAAGCTTGGACGAAAACAGGGGAGAGAAATAAGCATGCTCGCAGATCTTGGCACCGCTACTCTATTCTTGACATGACATCCGATTAGGTTCAAGATTTGCATATTTGTCGGTGAAGATGATACGCTAGGAGCAAGGATGGTTATTTACTTTACTCGCCGCGTCAAACGAATCTCCATCCTCCTTCCTTTCTCTGTTAGAAAGCGGGAGACTGAGTTCACGGAATATTATCCGATAGGTGTCTTTGTTGCGTCCGGCGAAGCAACCCGCAATTCAACGTATCCTACCATACAAAATACGAGATCATACTTGCTCATGACACATCGTCGTGGAACGTTTCTCGACATGTTTAATGTAACACACATCTACCCATCGCGTTCCATACGAGCGGTTTGCCACGCAAAATACAGAGGAAAGATTAACTCATCAAATTACGACCACCATCAACTGCTCACAAGTACTCGTACATCAAGAGAAGACTTCAATTACGGAATCTCCAGCTGGCGGTGACTTTCTAATTTGCACTATTTGCTCCTATTATGGACACTGTAGTGGAGATGACCATTAGCGTACTCAGGGGCCAAAATATATTATGTGGTATATATATGAAACAAGTCTCAATAATGTGGTGACCACCAGTGTCGCATCTACATATGTTCATTTGTTGAAAGGAACAATGAGTTATGTAGTGGTACATCCATACTGAAAGAATTATAGCGTCGCATTACAACGGCCATTTGAGGTCTTCAGCGACGAGAAGAGTGTTGATCCATCTGAAATAGTTCAATTGATCGGATAGGTTCGGGCTACCAGCCAAACGCCCTTGGCAGACTAACCCAATTACAAGCAGAGAAAACCTTGAGCGGTATTTGTAGGGACGTCTTATCAAGCATACCCCTAGGCTTAACGAGCATACCCTTTTACTACAAACAGCAATAAAAACCTACAACCTACCTAACTAACCCTTTTAATGTATACATCTAATACTAACCATTAACCCTAACCTAACCACTAACCCTAACACTAACTAGTATTTTTAAAAAAGAATAAAAGAATTTAAAAAATTCTCTATATAATTGTTTTTTTAATTTTATTTTTAGCTTATATATCACTAAGATATATAAAAAAGAAAATAAAGAGCGAAGTATAGGCCATTACTGTAGCGTGGAAGGGGTTTGCTCGTTAAGCCTAGGGGTATGCTTGATAAGACATCCCTATTTGTATTTGCCATACATTGCATAACCCAATACACTGTACATAGCATATGAAAATTGCCGAAAATGTCTCATGACTCATCTCTCATATCTCGTCAGGCCCCAGTCCAGAACCGGTCCCAGGCATCTTTGCAAATCTCATTCTGCAAGCGATTCAGAAAGCTTTCAAACTTAACTGGCACTTCTCCATCCACCCTCATAATGCCATCCTTGATACCTCGCCAACCCTCCACGGGCAACTTGATATAGTTATGCCTCTTATCGCAAAAGTGCATCACATTTGGCGATCCTACCTTCTCGGGATAATGTCTGGCGTTGTAGCAGATTTCACACACCAATGTTGTTGAACATTCTGTGCAGTAGTGTACCACAGAATCTCCCCACCAGGCGTACCCAGCTACGGGGGTGCATATGCCTCCATCGCAGCTGTATACAACGACGTCGGGATTACCAAGGTCTCCCTCATCTTTCGGTGCTGACTTCTTTCCACTCCTAATGCTATCCATGGTTTCAAACGCCGCCATCCCTTCAAATGTGCCAACTCTACCAAGAGCCACCACTCCTTCAGGTAGTGCATCATCTTCATCGTCGCTATTATCATCATCTTCTGATTCATCCGATCCAGACTCTAGTTCGTCTTCATCATCTGAAGCGGTAGTGATCTTAGAAAACATGGCTGAAATCACAATTCGCGCATATCGCTGAATGTCTTGCCCATCAGGAATAGATTTGCTCAGCAGCATAAGAGCATGGCCCAGCTTTTCCAAATTTTGGCCATCATTCCAAGAGACTTTATCGCTTAGACCGGCGAAGCAATCATCGAGGACACTCTGGAGTCGCTCTTGGAACTCGCTTCCTTGACCCATCTTCAAACACATTGACGCAATAACGATGCGACGATGAACCAGGTCTAGACTTGTGTAGATAGGCACAGATAAAGAGAGCGGCCTATCCATTATGCCTTTAAGTGCATCAAGAGCCTCTAATTTGACCTTGGGATCACGAGAGCCGCGGAAAATTTCGTACAAAACGTCAGACATGACATCAACAACCCTTTGGAGCATTGTTTGTGGTTGTTCGTCTGTAATGGAATACGGATATCCGCCAGAAGTGCTGCTAAATATTTCGTCTAAAGATTTGCGAGCATTCTCGAGGTCCCCTGTCGCCCTGAAATAGGTCAGCGCCAGCTCAAGACGCAATGGGGCTCCAGAGTTCAGTCGATCAAGAAATTGGATGGCATTTTTATAGGCTTCAATGAGAAAATCAGCTTCTCCCTCCTTGATTGCAAGAGAGCGAAGCCTGTCATGTCGCTCATAGCCCTCATCGCAATAATTCCATGCCATCCAAGTTAGCCTATCAATAGGACTCCAACTCTTCAATGTTCGAAAGTATCCAGCGTAATCGGCTACCTTCTCGAAGAGCCCAATTTCTTTAACCAGGGCATCTCCAGTAGTAAGCCCTGTGGGATCGATCGCTTTTGCTTTGGTGTAGGATTCGGCTGCCGCTTGCCACATCTTCAGTTTTGTTTCAACTTCCGCCTTTGCCAAGAGAGCTAAACGCTTTAAAGGTGTAGGCACATCGATTATTTCAATATCCTTGACACACTCCAAAATTGTTTCGAAAGCCTTGTCTTTGTCATGTAGCTTCAACAGAACCTTGGAGTGCAGAACCGATATCTTGAACTTCTCCACATTATTGTCATCGGAGTGGCAAAGGGCGTATGCCTTGTCGCACATCAAATCCGCCGCTTTGTAATGGCCATAGTGGAAAAAGAGCTCCCCCACAGCTCGGTAAGCCGTTCCGTCCATCTCAAGATCGCTGAAGATACCAGGTAAACCCAGTGAACTCTTTTCTTCCCCGAGTTCTTCCGTTGCTTGATTCTCGGCATTTCCATTATCGCTAGTAGGTGGATCAGTAGCTATATTTACTGGTGCTGAAACCTCATCCGGAAAATTAGTTTTGGCTTTGTCGATAAGGAGTTCGTCGAGTCCAGACTATAACATCGTCAGTTTAGAGTTTCTTTAGTTTCCAACGTGAAGAAAGAGAATGTAGTGGGCCAAAACTTACAACACCCAAAAGTCCATAGAGCAGCTTATAGGCACTCAATGCTTCTTCAAGATTAGCTGCAGCATATATGCGGCTAACATACCCTCTTATCATCCCATATCTGCATCTTCGAGAATCAATGGCCACATCCGCCCACCATGCAGCTGCATCAGGGCTCAAAAGGGATGAAATCTCCGGTGCTTTGAGAGATTCAGCCCAGAGCGCAACTCTGCCATTCACCAGACTCTTGAGACCTCTCGTATATGACATTCCCGTGCGACTGAGTGTTTCTGCAAAATCGGTGTGTGAAAGCGCCATGGCTAGCCCTTCCATAACCTCTGCTTTCTCTTGAGATGTATACTCATCCAACTTGAGCTCGACGAAATGCGAGAGGAGACGATAGGCGGAGTACAGACGTAGACCTTCCTTAATCGAGTGGCCTGGTCCCAGAGGTTCCGGCTTGACGAGATCAACACCGGCCAAAAATATCTGACGATGTGCTTCTGATGCTTTCAAATGCCATTCGGAGTTCACATCGGAGGCGTCCCTGAAGAACGCACGCATTGACCTCTCTTTGAACTTGACAGGTAGAGCGCCATCATTGTAGTTGCCATCCTGGTTATCAGATGCTGTTTCTGCCTTTTCAAGGTCTTCAATCGAGCCGGTAGAAGTATCTCGGTGAGCCATTTCTCGTGATTGAGCTTCAAAGGCGGGGTCTCCAATTTGGAGAAACTTGGATGCAACTTCAGGAATTTCCTCAAGAGTAAAGCTGTCATCTTTAGATAGATAGACCAGCAGCGAGGTTACTTCGTCGAGGCTCAGGACACGATATGAGAAGGCAATCCAATGGAGCAGCTTGGAAGCAATTTGTTGGCGGGCAGCGGGCATTCGGCGCTGGCATTCGTCCAACATGATCTCGTATACGCCGTGCAAAGTCTCTGGCATTGGACGCGCAAGCACCTGAAGAGCAGCGCCTTCACGGCCGAGTGCATTGAGTCTCTTCAGCATATGCTCAGCATATAATAGGTCTTACGACATAGATATGTCAGTTACTTTTTTTCACAGTGTTTCAAGATTCCAACTCACTAGGTGACGCCTCTTCCACCTTCTCTGCAATTCTCTGCTGGACGTAACGTGTAAATTTCTTGAGATAGCTCAAATCGTTGATCCGATGCCATATGAGTGTCTTGAAGTCCTGCAATTGCTTCTCTTTTGTGACTTCAATAGTGTCAACCTCGGCCTGCTCTGATAGTTTCTGCAGAAGGTCGGGACGAGACGTCACAACAATCGATATTCTGAACTTCTCCTCTCTGACGAGTTTCACGAATTCAAGAAATTGAGGGAAATCTAAAAGTTCATCCAGCCCATCAAATAAGACGAAAAGACGGTTTGGAGAGTCCTTGCTGAAGGCTGGCCCGAGGATTTTGAGCAGTAAGTCCTTCCATTCAAAGACATTATAAAAAACCTCGTCACGGACCATTTCTGCGTTGATCCTCTCGCAGAGTGGCACACTCTGCTCAACTACCTGGTTGATAGTAGTAATTACTCCGCTTCGGAATAAATTTAAATCTTTATGTTGCTCTCGGAAGTAAAAGTGCGCGACGCAGGTGCGTTGGGTGGAGTCGTCCCTAGCGAACGTGCTGAGCTTGTCGTGCATCGACGCAGCTAGATGACTCTTACCAGTACCAGGTTGTCCTGTTAAAGCAAGAACTGGCTTCAGTACAGTGACATCTTCATCCTGTTTTATCCAGTCTTCCCATTCTTGCTGGGAAAAGACCCATGTACAAGTGTCTGGGATCAGAGTCTCCTTCAGGATAGTGTATTCATGGCCATCTCCTTCGACATCTGGCATTCTGTTTCGCACTCGATTAGCGGATGCTGGTTTCCCCGCATCCTGAGTCGATGGCTTCCCTTTGTGGTCGTGCTTTGCGTTCTGCTCCGTAAACGCCTTTAGCAGCTTCGCGACGTCGCTGCGAATACTCCCAGTATCTTGACTAATAGAGAACATGATTTCTTTCTGCTCCTCAAGCATTCTGGTGTGTGCTACCTGATTGTTCTGTAGCTCAGCATTCATTTTTTTAAGTTCTTCGCTGTTGCCCAGGATGGCAAACTCGGTAGCATTTTGCAGCCGGGTGAGATCTTTATCCATCTTTTTTCGGGCACCACCCAAATCGCTATCTTCGCCTCCAATCAAATTGGTGATCCATTTCTCTGCAAGTCATGTGAGTAGAGTCGATTTCAATCAAAAGCTAATGAGACTCACTAAATCGGCCAAGTTCTATGTACTTGTGCGCATAGCCAGTCAAGGTCAAGAAGGACGTAAAGACGTCCATGAGACAGTTCTGGTAGGCTTTATGCGATGGAAGACGAGTCTCCAAGATGACAACACGCTCTAAAAAGCTATTCATATCGTCGAAGAACACAACGACCACATCGTAGTCTGCTGAGACTTGTTTACAAGCCTAATGAGGTACGACACAGGGTTAGCCTAGGAAGGATTTCTATTACAGAGCAATATCTGGGAATAAATCTCACAGAAAGAAGATATGTTATGGCCGTGCCAATAGCAGCCGCCGGAGGAAATGCAGGAACGGCAGCGCTGATGAGCTGTTGAGCGCCTTTCTCAATGTAATCGATGTTAGCAGCAAAAAGGCTACGGAGTTTGTCAACCTTTTTGCTGTTGTGCCGAAATTTGTGAAAAGCATTCATTTCATTCGTGCCGAAATCTATCATAGCCTGAACATTGTTGAATTTGGGCTGCAAGTCGAAGCCCACGATACCTCTGTACTGCTGAAGAGCCTGCTTCCACAAGTCGGCAACATCTCGATTATCGCTCTCTAGATCTTCTGGCACTATTTTCTTCTCCCCTCCATTGGACGCCATGGTGCCGAAGAGGGGCGTAGAGGAGAGTTAATTAGAACTAAGCAAGGGAAAGGTAGAACCGGGATGAGCAAAGCTACATGTAATTTTTCTTTCTATTTGTAGGCATGAAGCAGCTGCAACTTCGGAGGGGGGAAAATAGAGATATCTGGGGTCCCAAACTCTTCTTAAATCGTTCTAAGCAATGCCATTCCATTGGTAGTGGTACCCCATTTGGTTACAGTTAGACTTCACTCAGCCCTATGGTCAGCTCCACAAGACAACAGGAAATGTGGTTGAACCTATCATGCTCGTTTGTGGCATCCCTCTCTGCATCCATGGCCGCATGATCCCCTGTTCGTCGCCCGTCGACTGATCATGCAGCTCAGCAGCAGCCCCTCCTACGCTTAGCGTGGAGGCAGCAAGGGACAATATCTTTCATCCGGTAGCCTGAGCCTTGGACGCCGCAATGACTTCCCAGCGAACTAGGGCGATAACCATCTGTTCCTCAACATGCAGAGAAGTAACTGCTATAGAGGTTATATTATGATGGAGATTACGGAATGCCCATCGTTGGGAGTACTTCAGGAAAATTAAACAAGTCCAGCAGCGAATTTACACTACGCTTTTAGTGCGCTCGCGACACGAGTAAAGGCCACACTAATGGGAACCAGGAACCCCGCAGCTAACAGCTTACCAAACGAGGGATTATTAAACCAAATGCATGGGATAACGCCGTTCTCATCCAGTGGCTGCTCGTTGCTATTCTTATATGTCTTCTTGTGCTCTCATTGGATCAATAGTCAACTTGGCGGAGATGGGGGCTGAGGCGGAATCACGCAGTGGAGTCTGTAAAATGAAGGCGATCCCAAAGTGGTCTAAAGATTCGTGAGTTGTCTACCAGTGATTCGCTTCTGACGCAAGCACTAAACAAATACGGGATCGTGATGGATCAGAGGTGGCGTTTCCCAAGTGTTGGCCAAGTCTGTAACCGAATCAAACAAAAGCAACCGAATCTAACAGCCCCCAATGCAACGTCAGGAGAAAGGCAGCCTGGCAAGTATGGTAAACTCAAGTCAAGGCTCCAGTGAGTCGTGACTGGGTGGAAGATGGTGGCATTCGTCCCATGCGGTTCAAGCCACATGGATTCAGCTCTTACACTCTGAAAACGGCATTTTTTGTAATGACTGAATGTTTCATATAAGTTGCTTCAATTTGCTGCATGGAGGCTGCAGCAATTCAAGACGAATCGCCAATGTTCACGAGAGTTTTTTCCATAGATTAAAGTTAAAACGCCGAATGCTTCTGAGTAGTTGTCAAATGCTGACGGCGCAACATGAAAACATGACATGGCGACATGGGAACTTATGCCATTCTTTAATATAAAGGTATCAATGATCAGATCACCTAATTTACTCTCTCTGTGCCTTGTATGTGTTTGCAACCATTCTACATCCGGACATAATTTCCATATGCGGAATGAGAAACATGGGTATTTCTGCCACACACTTGCTACGTATAAACGGACGTATATATTTGAGCAAGCAAGCGGATCTTCTGTAAACTAACAACTATCCCTATGAATGATATCGTATCCATGAATTCTACAAATGGTGCTTTCATTCCTTGGTCTCATTTGTCTTAATGCATGGTTGATGTACGGCCTATCACCTATGAAGCATTGTTTTTTTACTTTATAGCCGACTCGTCGTAGTAAGCAGTCAAGTATTCACCCAAAAGAAAAGAAAAGAAAAAGTCTTTGCTTATTGCGCCTATGATGTTGACCAACTATGCTCTCCATAAGTACGCCAATCTCTAAAAGAGGTATTCTGCACTCAGTAGTGGTATTCTTAAGGCATAATGCGGCTATCGGCGGGACAACAATCCAGCTACATGAATGTCTTCATCACTTAAAGAAAACTCCATTGCAATAAGAATCTTTAGTGATTTCGATGAAAATAGCTGCGCACTCTGAATGTATAACTATGGGATCATCTTAGCTGCCCTCATCAGATCAAAGGCCTCTGTGTAGTTCTTCAACACATCCGAGCTTCTCGGAAATCCCATGGCCTCAAACTTAGTCAAGTCATACTGCCGGTCAAATACGGGCAGCGATGTGAGTACATCCATGAATTCCCAGCTGGTCTTCTCAATAATGCCCAGCTTCAAACCATACTTAGTCTCAAAGCTCTCCCATTCATCGCGATGCTGCGACATGTATGCGGCGACGCCAAGACTAGGCGCTTCCTCGGGGGCAACGCCTTCAAGGCCAAACATGTCACAAATTGACGCCCATTTTTCAGCCCAGTTATTTCCTCTAGTGACTGGAGAATCGCCAACGTTGTAAATCTCACCATTTGATGCACCTTTCAAGTTAGACGCAAAGATGTGTGCTCTAGCCAGTGTCGTTTGCCCAACTTCGGTGTAGTAGCTGTTGTAAACAGCCAGAGGACCGGGGTACGGAACAGGCTTCCTTGTTCCCAAAGAATCTGTCTCATGGTATGCATAAAAGCTGAGGAAAATACCCAGAGCCTGGACATAGTTCATCGCGCTACCTCCACCGGGTACAAAGCCAATCTAAATTCCATCAGTCAAACGCAATCGTCATCAGTTATAGCGGAGACTTACCACTAAATCTGGGCGAATCTCTGCAAAGCGCCACTTCTTTCCTGCAGAAAGATTCTGGAGTGCATCATACTGAGCATAATAGAAGACTTGATTCTCGTATGGCTGAGGAATGCGCGGGTCTGTCTCCTTGGCAGGGACTTTGGGGAATCCTAGCTGGGGTACATGCACATACCCGTATGCCTTTGGAATGGAGACTTAGTATATACTGTAATAATTTGGCGCTAAATATGTGTGACCAACCTTGCCACCGGTTTGCAAAGTCCAAAACCGCAATTTTGGACTAACTCGCTCAATTGCCTGAACTGCCGTTTCAAGTATGCGAACGTTAACCTCTTTGAGGATGTCAAAACCTTCGAAATCTGAAGCTCCAGGAGGCTGAATATATGCTAAAAACAACTTCAGATTTCGTTCGTTCAATGTAATTTTTTTTTTTTTTTTTTTTTTCAATGATTAAATCATACCAGCAAAATACACATCAGTCACGTCTTTGATGCCTTCAATATTCTCCAGCTTAGCCACCACATCGTCAATGCTCCTGGTGAGATCAATGCCATGAGCAAGTATGAGGCGGCTATCTTCAGGAAGAAAAGATGTTGATCGATCAAGCTGTCGATTTGTGAGGCCAATAACACGATGAAATGCCGTGGCGGTGGGATACTGCAGGGCCTCGCGCAAAATGGCCCATCCAGTGATACCGGAAGCTCCAAACACCAAGGCGGTGCGGTTTTCAATGGTAGGGATGGAAGACATCAGGACAATATTTAGGTGGCAAAGAAATTGAGAGCGAAGAGAGGTTTGTTATTGTCTTTATGGGCAAGAAATTGCGGCCATTCGAATAAATTGATTGCTTATAGAACATATATATATGCGCTTCGCCAGCAACAGAAATGCAATTATCATCCAATCTCCAATTTCCATCTGTATGAAACCGGAAACGAAGTTTGCCCGCGTTTCCATTCGGGCGGACTTTGCACAATACTCGAAGTAGCACTCACGAAGCACCAGATACACTTAAAATGCCCAATTCAAGTGAAGCTTCCTTGCGCCCTTGTTGTGAGGACTAATTAAGCGGAGCGAGAGCGAAAACGAATCAAGCTGTAGCAGGCCAAATGACTAATCGCACCGTCGCCGAATCCTACCCTTGAAGTACTAGGCCAATCAAGAGGCGTTATGCCTGGGCCTAAGCTGACCAAGACGGCATCAAGAATTCATCCTTCTGGGTTGTGTCTCCATCTTGTCCGCCGCTCCGCTAGAGAGTCGGACAACTCCACCCGCCATGCTCCGCACTCTGGATTTTGGGCAGTGTCTTGTATCACTATTTTACTCTTAAGATTGATGGGCTGCTGCGGAATTAAACTTTTTAATCTTAACTAGCGGTAATCGCATTTTCCCCTCCGAGGATTCGGGATAGTGCGATAAGTACTAGAGGTAAGGTAGCTAGGTGCCTAGGTACAAAGGTAAGATACCTACCAATACTAAAAATTCAGAAACTTGGCCACCTACCTATTATACGGTGTCATAGTCTGGGGCTCACACCCTACGTTGAGATTTGTCTATCATAGATATCCTGTCAATTAGGGCTGACAGAACACTTCATCGCAATGCTGCACACTCAAGAAGGTTTTTTTATCACTCTTTGTTCTTTGCCAACATGCTAGGTGACTGCTACCCTGTACTTGTACACGAAATCGTAGGATTACGTAACTTATGACTGGCCTCGAATTGGACACGGAATATTTCGGGCCGAGATTGGAGACCCACCTATCCTGCGCAAGATATAAAATTTCGCGTCGTCGACGGGCTTTTCGATCTCTTTTTTTCCTTTTCTTCTTTACGTCGACAATACTTCAGTAAGTGCACCCCTAACTGATGGATGTTACTATCGCAGTTGTGCTAACGAATTTCCACAGGAGAATCATTTCTATAGTATTCGTCTCTTGCTTTGGTTCCCAAAAGAGCCATCGAATCCACCCTGGTTGATGACTGTATATCCTCGACATCCAAGAGTGAATATTTTCTGGTCCTCTCGTACCATCCGGAAGGATGGCGGTAGAAGCCCTGTGCCTCTGCTGTATAGAGAGTTGTTTTTCTCTTGATGATCTCGACCCTATCGATGGTCTGCCCTTGGGCGCATTGGTTGGGTGGTTGTCGATGGACGTCTGACAGGCATTTTTCTTTTCATTACAGTTTTGAGGCTTGCCTTAAATGTGAAGAAGAGTTGAATAACGTGCACGAAGTTTTATCGTATCCCCAGTTGAAGAATGGTCGCCCACAATGCCTTCAGATGTACTATGTGCTCCCAAAATCTGGATCTCTGGCTAATAGCCGCGTTCCATAAATAAAACCCATGAAAACATTGAATAGATGGCCATTCAAGAGATGACCATTCAAGTAAATGTGAAGGTGATGAAACAGACTTGGGATATCTACATACCTCGTGACGCTATAATAACTACCTAATATTGCACAATCGATACGAGACCATCTCCAGAACGTAATGAGATAGCGTCGCAGGCAGAAGGGGGAAAGCGCTGGCAAGATATATAATTCCATTGCTCAAATATACATTGACTCAAAAGAAATTATAGTTTATACAAATAGCTACAAGATCTAGTAGATATAAGTCGATGTGAGGGTTATGTACAACACGCCGAAATTATATGATGTCAGTATTTATCTTGTGCTATGTATTGAAGACAACATCGACAATTCCCATTGGTGATCCAACTACAGTATAGAACCCCATCAGCTCGAAGCGACTATCAGCCCGCTTGACAACTTCAGTCCAGTCTGATGCCTTGCGCTCTTTCGAATTGTGATTTACAAACATCTGTAAATCAACTGCCCCAAGAAGTCTTCGAGTTGGGAGCGGTACTACCGGTTTGCCGTGCTCATCATGATCCGGGGGAATAATATTGTCAAATATGATGATATGCACTCCGGACTTGAGCACCGGAAGCAAGTTCCTCAGAATCTGTACTACGTATTTGTCTGACCAATCATGGAAGATGGACTTGAATAGATAGGCGTTGGCTGTGAGAGTTTGTGGTTCGAAAAAGTTGTATGCATGAAATGAGATGCGTGATGCGTATTCTGACGAAGCTATTGCTTCATTGAAACTGGTTTCGACCTCTGGAAAGTCTTGAACAATCATCTTGAGCCGAGGGTGTGCTTTAGCAAGAAGAAGACTAATGTGTCCGGTCGATCCGCCAACCTGCGAAAGTATGTTAATTAGCAAGCACACCATCGTCATGTTTTTACAATAACCGAATGAAGAGATGGAGGAGAAAGAAGTATCGGCTTCTCGACATACATCTACCACAGTCGCATCTCCGAGACTCTCCCAGTCAAATTTGTCGAGTACCTGGGCCGTCAGTTGCGTCTGAGATAATGCCTTCATGGCCAAGGCAAACCGCTCGGCACGATATCCTTTCGGCTTCCCTGGCTCTTCATACGTCTCGGCGAACTCCCAGTAGGATGTTCCGCGGACTTTCCCCCTGTCGCTGGCCAAATATGTGGGACAATGCTCTTGTTCCTCGCTATGTTCTTTGAGCCCGAGGTAAAATTTCTGAAGAGCATCTACTCCGACTGCAGCAGCGGGACGCACATCTTCCATACAGTGCCCTATGAATGCACTCCTAGCAGCGTCACGAGCGACGTATGCGGATGCTGCGGAGTGAATGATGCGATCTGACCCAGGTGTTTCCTCAAGGAAGAAGAACATAGTGAGCGCTTGTTTCAAGAATCAACGGACAGTCACTTCAGGAAGCTGAATTGCAGTGGCAATGTCGGCATAACTGGCAGAACCGTTTAGTGGAACAAGATGCCAGATATCGAACCGGTTGAGAAAGTCCACTATCAGGCCGTCGGCATTAGGCTTGAGGAGACATAAGCTGTCATGAAAGCCTAAGGAATCTACGAAGATAGAAAGCTCACCAAGAGACACTGGTGAAGCAAGTATTCAGTTGGTCCAGTAGCTAGATGCAGCATCTTTGTCAAAGTTTCGATGAGCTGCAATCGCGGACCTTGCACCTCTGGAGCAGGTGAAAGGAAGTCGGGAGCATCTTGGGAGAATGATGGCTGGGGACTGTTTCGCTCTTGCAGAGCTGTGGTTAGCACAGTTGTCAAATTAAGAACACGAGCGGCAAGGCTCTCGAGCGTTAGATCTGGTTGGTTCATGCTAATAGACATTGAATCAAAAACACAGTATGTAGATATCCAGGATGCATAGATTCTTGCTCCTCATATTATATAGACCTAACATATAACCATATCCGGAACATTAATAGATGGTGTAGCATCAAAGCACTTTAGGGAAAAGAAAAGAAAAGAAAATTAAACCCAAAGTGGAAGCTAAGGTAAGAAAGTATGATAGAAGAAAAGGGCCGCTGCGGGAGCGAGTGGGTGCCTATTGCAACCCAATGCTCATGTTTACTAGAGCTACAGTTATTAGGGAGGTCACAAACGCGTGATCCATATGGTGTTTCATACAAGTATGGTTTCTCTTGGCACTATAAAATATGCGTATATTACTAGTAAAGTTACTGTCCCATTGGAATATGAAGGAAAGCCTAAACGGGAAAAGGTATCAGATCAATCTAAGTGATTACTGTAATTATTTGGCATATGAGACTTCTCAATTTAGAATATAAACTTGCGTCTTCTATAGGTATGGCTCAAGTCTCGGAAAATAATAGTATACTGGCGTTCGGAGTATTACTTGACTTTAAAAGTGTCCTATGGATGATGTTTGTGTATTCTTGATAATGTGATAAGAAAACAGACCAGCGAAATAGGAAAGATGTAGTTTGTTATAGTGTCATCCCCAATTTGTGACAGTTGCAGCCAGTGGATCGGTGATTTTACAACCCGGCGTATTCTTTACCCATCAACCCCCTGCATGCATGCAAGCTGCCTACGGCCGGCGACTTAATTCTCTTCTCTTCTCTTCTTTGGCAAATACCAGGATTCGCAAAGAGTGACCCCCAAATGTAGATTCAGCAAATTATCGGGAGCAGACTATAGATTGGTGGGCCGGCTCTATGTTAGCCCCATTATGCCAAACGCTCAAAGTTCATAGAGCCGTCTTAAACGCGTCCTTTGCCGTACTTGCCCTTTCAGGTCAAATTTATCACTAGCTTGAGCAAACCGGACAAAAATGTCAGCTCAGAAGGCAGAGAATGGAGATTTACACGAAAAAATCCGTGAAATTTTCTCTGGTATTACTGGATTGGATGTGGACGAAGTCAAAGATGACTCAGAGCTAGACGAGCTTGGAATCGACCCAATCCTGGCCAGAGAGCTGGCACGAAAGCTCAGTGTCCTTTCTGGTCGCACGATACAGAGCAACCAGATCCTATTATCCGGCAATTTCATAGACCTCGTTAACCATATCTGGGCCGTTATCAATACCAGAAATGACACAGCAAATGGTAATGAGAAAGATACGTCGTCCAGAAAACAGGCGTATATAGAGCCTACGGCCGACCGAGCTCTTACCGGTACAAAGCACCCAAAGTCCTCAGCCTTCAATGATATACTACCGACTTCTGCAGTTCAAGAGGCATTCCGTTTAACCAAGAATTTGACAGATGACTTCATCGTCGATGGTCACATGGGGAACTACTGTTGCGAAGTGATGCCAAGATCAACGGAGCTCTGCATTGAATATCTGGTTGAGGCGTTTGAGCAACTTGGCTGTAACATCAAAACGGCAAAACCAGGAGAGAAGCTCAAGCCTGTTCCGTACTTACCAAAGTATGAAAAGTTCATGCAGCTTTTCTATGAATTGCTCCGCGAACATGCACGTCTGATAGAAATCAATGGGTCCGAAATCGTTCGAACGGCTCAAAATTGTCCATCTAAATCAGCGACGAGCTTACTTGAAGACTTAATTCAGGATGAACCTTCTCATGCGCCCGAGTTTAATCTCATACAGGTGACCGGGCCAAGGCTGGCTAATTGCCTGTCTGGCAAGGAAGATGGAATTGGAGTTATCTTCGGCACAGCCCAAGGTCGGCAACGTGTTTCGGATCTCTATGCCTTATCTCCAATCAATCGCGTTTGGATACAGCAGCTCGCCTATTTCCTAGAACAGCTCGTTAAAAGAATGCCTCAAGACGGGCAACCTCTAAGAATTATGGAGCTGGGAGCAGGCACTGGTGGTACAACATCGACAGTGGTCCCCGTCCTGGCGCGACTCGGAGTTCCTATCATCTATACAATGACAGATATTTCGCCCTCCTTGGTGGGCGCAGCTAAAAGAAAATATGGCCAATATCCATTCATGCAGTTCCAGGTAATCGATGTTGAATCACCACCCGACCCGGAGCTATTGCGCAGTCAGCACGTAATTCTTTCTACAGCGTGCATCCACGCAACGCGGAGTCTTCCAGTTTCTCTGGAAAATATTCATAGTATGTTGCGAGCGGACGGCTTTTTGGTACTTCTAGAGCAGACGAAACAAATCCCATTCGTGGACTTCGTTTTTGGGCTCCTGGAAGGTTGGTGGTTGTTCAAAGATGGGCGTCGTCACGCACTTGCGCCCGTTGCTCATTGGGAGAAGATTATGAAGCAAGTGGGCTTCGGTCATGTGGACTGGACGGAAGGAAAGCGCCAAGAGGCAGAATTGCAGCGCTTGATTATTGGATATGCGAGTTAGTGGTTCTGTGGAATCCGCACCGAATTTGAGCGACTGAGACATTTTGAGTCTGAGCATCCGATTGCCCTCAAGTGGAATAACACTCATCTTCTCCTAATGTCTAGTAAAAAATTGTCAATTTTCCTGTATACCTGTGATTTGTCAATTTGATTTATGTGTCATCCTAAAGATTTTCTATCTATTTTAAGTTCATGAGATTTGTAGATCTTTGAGTATTCAACAAGCGTTGGTAAGCCCCACTGCATCGGTACTCCTTCGAAATATATATATATAGCTGAAACTATGCTTGCTCAAAATTTGGATTGTTACTCAAGCTTGTAAATACCATGTGAAAGGTTACTCGGGTAAGGGTTACAGCCTAGCTAATCCAGGGTATCGCCATGGAATCTCAGAACTAATTACGGTGTTATAATATAGTTCTCTTCGAGTGACTATGGCATAAAAAGTAGCTGGTCTAATGACAAAAGGGAGGCCCATCTCATGGCTATGAGACGTGTATTTCATCTAAAATGTTTCGGATAAAAGTGTATACGGCCTTTCGCGCCCGGATTGCCTCTGGTAGCTCCAATTCCCAATTAAACCCATGCCACATACCCTCTGATACGAGCAACTCCGTTTTACCCCCTGCGTCCCGTAACTTCCAATACAATCTGACACACTGGCTTAATAACAAATCCCTAGTACCAGTGTTGATGATTGTGGGTGGCAAAGGTCCATCCAGCCTGACATAGATCGGTGATAATAGCTCGTCTTTTAGATCCACTCCGCCAGCGTATAGAGTATTCATTGCCTCAACCATAACTTCGTTACTGATCGTGTCGCGGTCATTATTAAAAACATTCGAGTCCCCAGCCCCCGAGAGGTCAACATTAGGCGTGTAAAAGGCAAGAGCGGCAGGTAGTTGAAAACCTTCACGCTGCGCCCTCACAATGGTTGAGAACATAATTTGGCCGCCAGCAGAGCTGCTAACACCAACAATATTTTTGGCACCAAACTTGGTAACCATCTCACGATAGACAGCAAGACATTGTTCGATGGCAATGGGATACTTGACCTCAGGAGAAAGGCTGTAATTGACAGAGTAGACAGTCAAGCCAAGTTCACCCGCCATCATGAGGGCTGTGCGCTCTCTAGCCGTTCCCATAACGAAGCCTCCTCCGTGAATGTCAAAGACAACTCGCGCTTGATGTCTAAGATCTGATGAGGAGGGTCTGATAACAAGGACAGGAACGTCCCCCATGGTGATATCTCGTATTTCGAGTCTGAACCTCTCGATGAGGCTTTCTTCTACAGCAGTCTCCGCTGCCTGAAACACTTGGCGAGTAAGCGTTACTGAGTTGATGGCTTCGATTGGGATGCTCTCCGCTGCCGAGAGAAACTCGGCAGCTTGAGGGCTGATTGTTTCTTTTTGTGTTGGGGTGACGTGAAGAGGCATTTTGTATTCAATATGTTTTAAGTTTGTTGATGAGCTGCACCTTATTCAAGTGGGCGATCTGGAACCTTTATAGGTTGGGTATGTGTTCATAGCTCGTTACATTTATCACCGAAGTTTGGAAACCGGATTTAAACATCGTCCCGATGTGCCAAAAAGCCCACTTACCGCATTTTACTGATAGTTACCTGAAATTCGTTACACTTAGTCTGAATACCAATTCCTTCGAAGTCAATTAGAGTTGGTACGCCCCCTGATAGACAGATTGTCTCTCGGTATCGAAGCGGCCGCCATCGTTATCGGAGCGGCCGCTTTCATTGTCGGAGCGGCCGCTTGAGATATAGGAGCCAACTCCTAGTCTCAATGTAGAAATATTGATGACACAGGGGGCTGTCTATATCTATCTTCTTCCCTCGCTCTCTTTGTCAATAATAGGTTAGAAATCTCTAAAGACCACAGCTATGAAAGGTATTTCGTTGGACACTGTCCGCACCTCCAATGCTACCCTCAAGACTCTTGGTCCAGGACTTCTTGCCGTATTTGTTGGTGGCACAAGTGGTATCGGAGAGTCAATTTTAAAGGCATTCTTGGGTGCTGCTGTGGCACCACGGGTTTACATCATAGGTCGAAGCCGAGATGCTGCCAATCGTATTGTAAAGGAATGTCAAGCAGTCAGCGAGACGAGCGAGGTGGAATTTTTACAAGCCGATGTGTCTGAAATAGCAAACGTTGACCAAACCTGTTCTGAGATTTTACGAAAAGAAACGAGGTTGAATCTGCTAGTATTAACGACCGGAATATTGACCATGGATGGCCGAAACGGTACAGCGCCTCTTCGCCTCAAATATAAATATGCTAACTATCTACCTGAGCAGAATCCCCCGAGGGTCTCGACCGCAAGATGGCCGTTCACTACTACTCCCGCATGCGCTTCATCTCTAACTTGCTTCCACTTCTCGCAAGCTCTGCCTCATCTTCTCAGTTGTCTCGCGTCATGACCGTACTGGGTGCCGGAATTGGGAATCGAATGGTGGAGAGTGATCTCGGTCTGAAAACAAACTTTTCTCTTTCTAATTGCGGCGCGCACTGTGGTGTAATGACGGATTTAATGCTCGAGAGATTTGCTGCGACTTGGAAAGGAACGGCATTTGTCCACACTGCCCCTGGTGTAGTAAAAACGAACCTGGGATCAGGGTTGCCCACTTGTTTGCGAGCTGCGTATAAAGTTGCGGGGCAACTCTTGGCTCCATGGACAGTTGGATTGGCTGAGACAGGAGAGAGACATCTATACATGGCTACCTCGAACCGATATCCTCCATCAGAGTCTCTAAACGCAGCTACCTGCGGCACACCGATCGAGAAGAATGATGTCGCTGAGGGAAGCAATGGGGGTAGAGGTTCGGGGGCCTATTTACTTAATTGGGATGGGCGGGTGCAGAAACAGAATGCAAACCTACTGGAAGAGTATCGACGAACAGCCATGGCAGAGAAAATATGGAAGCATACAGAGGATGTATTTGACAATTGTAATAGAGGCGGAAATAGCTAATGGCTGCACTTGATAACCCTGGTGTTTTCGATGGCGAGAAACCACCTTGAGGTCCTATTGAAACCTAACTACCTAGGTAGACACGTAAGGAGTTTCTAGATTTTAGTCATATATTGATAGCTGTCGCAAATTAGGTGATGTTGTGCTATTCTTTCGCCATAGCCGCCGCAAGTCATCCAGATTAAGTTTAAGCAGCGGTCTGTACCTCGAAGAGCCGTATCTCACATTCCTAATAAAACAAACCACTTTCTTATTCGGCACTCGGCCCGCCCTTGGCTAGCCATAATGGCCACAAAAATGATTCATAATTAACCGACGAAAGTCGTGTGAGAAATGTACCTATATAGACAATACAGGTAGGTGGTAACATTGGCACTGCGTTTGAGCTGATACGTGGCATCGGCGACTTTAAGCTTGTGCCATCAAGTCTCTCAAAGGAAGGAAACAATGCCGATCCATTGCCAGGCAGATTCGACTCACTACTTCGTATATGTATATGATATCTACGCTACCTGGGAATCATTGATTATTCAGGATTATCTGCGAATTTCTATGGATTTAAGATCCAAACAATTATTTGCACCAAGTATCTCGCGTATGTTTCCAATGTGAACTTAACTACTACTTGTGGAATACATAAGTGCAAAAAGCGAGCGGGTAGTAGGTACGATATGAAGCACAATCAATTCCTCCGCACAAAAGAACCGGATCAATTCGTGCGCAGGTACAAAGTCTGACAGTTTCGGAGCACTAGATCCGCAATTGCATCCTTGGCACTGTTACAGACATCTCCATGATTACTGTGCTTAGTAGCATTGCATTCCCATAAGAACCAGGTCTACGTCGCATCGCATCAAACACGCTCAGCGACGTTTATTAGCTGCCAATTAAGCATTCGCTAACCCATGCTTGACACGCTATCAATGTGTGTAACCGGAGTCATCTCCGTCTTACGAAATTACATGGTTGCAAAGGTACTGTGCGTCTAACATGTGCTAAACCCTACCGAGACTGGAGTATTCACTGCCGCCTGATCTTAGAGAAAGAAAATAAAGTAAAGTAAAATAACCGGTTGCAGTTTATGGCACTTCAGTGGCCGAAGGGCGGCTCGGAGAGGGGTAGCATTGGCCGGCCACTCGGCATGGAATCTGGCCGGATTGGTTCGGGCACGCGGCATGGAATCTGACCGCTTGTATGTTGGTATTCTTGTTGCAGCTTGGGTGTTTGGTCCATTTAACCATTCTATCCTCTCGCTACGTAAGCGGGCTCTCCGGGCTCCGGAATGTTTGTTGCTGCAGTTCGTTTTGTTGCTGTAGTTCGTCAATTTCTGCAACATTGGAGACATTGGGGAGAGCTTTCTTCCCGCCCTGGTAAAATTGTTTTGTAGGATTCACGTAAAGTCCGTCGGCTTTGCGTCCCCGACAGTCATGCCCGTCACTCCTAGGCTCCGCTCCGCATGCGATGCGTGTCATCAGCTGAAGGTGCGATGCTCCGGATATCTGCCTTGCGATTCATGCACGGAATCGTGCAGAACATGTGTCTTTAGTATGTCGAATCGACTTGGCCGACCTTTGGGTTCAAAAAACAAGCGCGCGGCGACAGGTGAGACAAGTATTCTGATCAGGCAAGTCCTTCGGTGCTCAACACTAATTCGACGGGAGCCAGCAGGCAGAGAAGCACCACTACCATCAAACCTGAAGAATGGACCGAGAAGCAAAGGGCCTAGAGACGCGCGCAAAGCACGGAAGCGTTCCTTCATGCAACTTGAAGACCAGATTAATTTGTCACCACACTCTAATGCTACAACACAGAATATTTCAGGCCCTGCAAGTGTGCCATCCGACAATTCGTCAAGTCCGAAAAGCAGTGGTCAATCTTCAGTCACTGACGTGCATTCCATATCCTGGACCACATCCCCGTTTGAATATGCTCTGCCATTCCCGGAAGATAAATGGGGTTTGCAAGAAGATTTCGCTGCTGCAAATATGGTATGCCTCCATTCGCCTTTAAACTTCGGCTGTAATCAGATTATTTAACGACTCAAATTAGCCCCGGGGTATCTTTCACCACGAAGAGATGTTTGAGAAAGAACATGAGCCGACCTTTTCCGGTGCCTCAGTAGTAGGCCAGTCAGAATCTATCAGGCAATTTGCGTCCCAACCGACGACATTACCAATTTCGATAGAGCTCTCTTAAGGTCTCCTGATTAACCGTGGAGAGAGCGCGCTCGAGAGTCCTAGTCCGCTCCGCGACTGCAATGTGGTAGCATGTACATGCCTTCAGCAACAGACAAATTTGCTATGCAAACTAGGGAGTTCCGAAGTTTATAGGCCCGGGAAGAAAATGCCGATGAAAAGTGTCCTAGCCAACATGCAAGAGGCCCAGAAAGCTTGGATTGATTTGACTGGTTGCGTCAGTTGCATGAGAGGCGACGACCAAGAGACTTTGATACTAGCTCTTATGTGCGTGCGCTCTATGCTGCTACAGATTCAAAATGCGAATTGGGGCTGCAGTAAGCATTCAGATGCTCCACTTGCTATATCAGGGCTTGTCTCGCCTGGTCTAGATTCAGAGAGAGACGTAGAACCTGACATGGTGCTTGTTGGAGACTTCGAGGTGACTGGAGATGATAAGTCCTCATTATTATATATGCTCTGGTCCATGATGGTTCAGAAAGTTACCACTGTGCTGGACTCTCTGAGGAGCGTTTTGGAACGCAAGAAGGTATCAGAAGGTCACTTGCCAGAACCGGGAGCTCTGCTATCTAGCGATTTGTCAATGGTGGAACATACCATAGATGGACTCACACATCTATCAAGGTCACTTTTGGCTTCTCCAAGGAAATTAAAGAATCCATAGGAGCGTAATTACTAGTGTAGACTCAAAACGCATGCTATCAGAGTATGCCGGCTAATGGAATATTCAAATGTGTCCGGAATTGATCCTATGTATTTTAAAAACTCTGACATATATATACGGATGTCCTCGTTTATTCCATTAAGACCACCCTTTTTTTTTATAGTCCGTTAATTAAATAGTGCCGCTATTGGCTTAATCAAACTATGAAACTTATTTCTGCAGTGAGCACGCAAAGTATTTAGTTAAGTCCTGTTGTGAAACCTATGCAATGTCACGGCGAGAAGAAATCAAGGCAAGAATTCAAAACTTCATTATGTAAAATTCTTAAAATCACTCTCTAACCTCAATGTATACTATTGTGTGTGTTGAGGGCTCAAATATCCTACAATTCGTCCTCAGAGCCTCTCGTGAAGTGCGCGCTTAACTTCTGAGATGGTTGTATGCTCAACAAAAAAGGAGGCCTGAAGCATTAGGCCTGTTTCTCGTTCCAGTGTAGCAAGAATAGTCACGGTTGCCAGTGAATCAACCCCGAGGTCTATGAAAGTTGTTTCATCTAGCATCTCGTTGATGTTCACTCCGATCTCACGAGCTACGATGGCGAGCAGCGTGTCAATGACCTCCGAGCTGGAGGCTTCAGGCGTGTTAGTACCGCCTGAGCTAGAGGACCCTGAATTTTGCGGTTCCGTAGTTGGAATCATCTCACTTTCCGTCGAAGAGAATTGCTGAGGAATGGGTAACTTAGGCTCATGAAACTCAGCTGGTGTGGTCCTAGGCTGGGTTACAGCACCTGTAAGAGACAATTGCAGCACATCTCTTTTCATGTTCTGAAATTTTATGCCAACTAGCTCCTGGACGATACGGTCTCCATCGAGCACATAGCAATTCCCCAGCATAGAGCTATCGCCGGAGGTGTCCTCTTGCATATAAACATATGTAGAATATGTTTTTCCTGGGTACAGGCTATCGTAAAAGCGCCATGAGCCAAAACCGGGACAAATGAAAGCATCGTCGTCGGGATATTTCAATCCGCTGTTTAACAAGAATCCGCACAAATGTATGGCTGCATCGTTTAGAAATGGGTCGAGGATGAAATGGCCTGTGCTATCACTCGATGGCAATCTGACGGTGCCCATCCCGTCACTGCAGCTAGTGTCGACCACGACCTCTTCGAGCCCCTGGTAGGCCTCCCCGTAGCCGACCACGTGAGCGAACAGCCTATATACTACAGGCTTCAAGAAATTGTGAGCCTTTCGATTTTCGGACTGTTCTTTTAGGGTTATCATTCGTGATCGGAGGAGGAAGTCCAGCTGCGGGATGGGATTCTTTCGTGAAATTGGCTTGGAGAACTTGACCGTGCAAGCTCCATATACAATTTCTCTGCCGTCAGGCGCGTCTGAATAAAATGTGACGCTAGCAGCACCATGTTCCTGATCATAAACATTTTTTATGTTAATGACTGGTCTTGGGCCTGTTTCTTCAATCACCACAGCCCTGGCCATCTCCACATCGTGGATTGACATATCAGGTGTCTTAAGATTTATTTTTTGCAACCTCCAGTACGCGTACTTGGTCGCTGACATTGCCATATCGCAAAAGATGACCATCGGACATATGTTTTGGCCAACTACAGTGTGACCTTGAATAGCTTTAAGAAGAGCAGGTTCTGACGTGTCTGAGGAATAAATGACAGTAATTTTGCTACCGCTAATGCTTTCCGATTCAATCCGTTGTACCGAAGCGGAGGGTATGAAGCCAGGATATGTTGGAGGTTGAACCTTTTCGATGACTGGGGGTAGGGGCGTTGGCTGCAGTACTGGTTCTGACTCTTGGTATGGTGTCCAGAAATTTTTGTAGTCGAATGCGTATGTGGGGAGATCAAGCAGGCGAACGGAGCCCTGGAAACCTTTATGGAACTCGGTCCAATTAATGTTGATACCGGTTTCATACGTAGCCTTGAGTGCGGCCGAGATGGTACACCAATTGTCTTGTCCCGACTTTAAGCATGGAACAAGTTTTGCCGATGTCGGGATTTCAAGTGTTTTGCGAGCCATGCCAAGGCAGATTGGATCTGGTCCAATCTCCATAATAAGGCTATTTTCACCTATGAAGCCTGCCGCTTTGCATGCACCGAGAGCCTCGGTAAATTGAACGCATTCCCTCGTCTGCCTTGATAGATAGGTAGGGGAAATAGATGTCTGATCTGCAATGACGAGCCCCGTAAGACTAGATACAAAACGAGTATGAGGATTGGCGAACGCGACACCGCCAGCAATGGTTTCGAACTCCCCAAGAATCGGCTCAACCTGAGCTGAGTGGAAGCCATATGGGACCCTGAGGAACGTTGACTTGGTCTTGTATACGTCCACAAGATGCTGTTCGAGTTTTTCTAGCTGCTTAACTGGACCGCTAGCCACTGTTACCGAAGGCCCATTGACACAAGCGATGCTACAAGAGTCAAGCTTCAGCTCCAAAATCCTCTGTTGGAGACTCTCAACGTTCAAACCTGTAACAAGCATAGCGAAGGTATGGGGTTCGAGATGCTTTTCCATAAGCAATGCGCGCTTGCCAACAAGGTATAGTGCATCTCCAACAGATAAGGCACCGGATACCGCGAGCGCCGCATACTCTCCAAGGCTGTGACCAAGGACCGCATCAGGGATTACACCCCATTTCTCTAGCATTTGCGCAAGTGCAATTTCTAAGGCTACAATTGCTAGCTGCACTTGAGTTGGCGATTTTGTTGTTATGTCAATTCCTTTGTCGTAGATGATGTCTACGAATATGGGAAGCCCAAGATTTGTAGCCATGTCCTGGTATGTTCTCAGCAGCTCTTCGAAGCTTTTATCAGCGGCGAACAAATCGGCAGCCATGCCTGCATACTGTGATCCCTGCCCCGTGAACAAGAAGAGGCGTGATGACTTCTTCGCCTTTGTCTTTGGGTCATTTGGGCCTCCGTTAGAAGCATCATACCGTAACTGACGAAGAACATCCCGAACGCTGTCACCAGAATAGGCTATGCGAAGCGTTTCGTGCATACGTCGTGCCGTCGTCGAATACGCCAAGTCTGCAAGCCTGGTATCGGGTTTTCGCTCCAAGTAGTCAATCAGATTCTCTCTGTTCTTCTTTAGAGAGGCAGTGCTCCTGGCGGACAAAGAAATAACGTGGAACCGTCGGGGATCATTTTGTTTGTCTTGGGTTTCTGGAGGCTCCTCCACAATCAAGCAGGTGTTACTGCCCGATGCACCGAAACTATTTATCATGACCCTAGCTTTTTTGTCGCTTTGGGAGCTTGGTTTGAGATCCAATGTCTTTGTTGCAATGCGAACGTTGGCTTTGGCTAGGGATGGGAAGTTGTGATTTACTTTGAATGGCCATCCCGGCTGGGCGGGAATGACACCCTCACGGAGCATCATAAGTGCCTTGATGAGCGAAGCAATACCGGCGGCTGCCTCACCGTGCCCGACCACAGCCTTCACCGTACCCACTGTCAGAGGGTTACTCTTGCTACGGTTCTTTGCCAGTACATTGACGACGGATGTCATTTCTTCCACGTCGCCAGCTTGAGTTCCTGTGCCGTGCATCTCAACAAAGTTGATGTCTTGAGGCTGTAGGCCAGATTGACGTAGAACCTCTTTATAGATGCGCTCCTGAGAAACATGGCTAGGGTGCAAGATAGACGTTGAAGTTGATGTGTACGTCTGAGCCGCGCCTCTGATAACGGCCAAAATATTGTCATTTTCTGCGACCGCATCCTCCAGCCTTTTGAGAACAACCACACCGACACCCTCACCTCGGACATAACCATCGGCATCGTCATGAAAGGTTCGACAGCCGCCAGTGGTTGATACCATCCCGGCTTTGCTAAGCCCAGAGTATGTGTTTGGAGAAACATGGACCGCACCTCCACCAGCCAAAGCCATATCACACTCACGAGCAAGCAGGGCAGAGACGGCGAGACTGACCGTGGCAATGCCGGTGGCACAGGCAGCATCGACTGAAAGGGAGGTGCCACCCCATTTGAAGTGATGATTCACTCGTCCCGACGCAAATGCCCTTCCTACACCTGGTATATAATAAATATCGATCCCGTCCTCGTTTAGCACATCTTGCCAATCAGAGGTTGTTTGTCCGAGGAAGCTAGCAATTCGATTGCTCTGGGTTGAGATACTACCACCCGGTGAATAACCTGCTGATTCGAGTGCTTCATAACTCGTCGTAAGCAATAGCCGGTGAATTGGATCAGTTTGAGACGCCTCGCGCGGCGACATGTTAAACAGACGATTGTCGAAGAGACCAGGATTTTCAAGCCAAGCACCGTGCACTGCAGTAGTCGCGTTCTTCCTCGTCGACTTATCATCTGGGTCAAAGAACACGTCGATATCCCAGCGACTTTTTGGAACCTTTTCAATGTGACAGTTTGCGGCTAGAACGTCGTCCCAGAACTCTTCGGGGCTGTTGCTGCCTGGGAATCTTCCGCCCATACCTATGATAGCAATCATATCAGATCCTCCTCGACTAGACTTTGCGATATCCATTGTAAGATTGTTCATCTCGTACTGGATTTTGTGAGTTTTAAAAGCCTGTTCAACTGTTGGCAGATAACCTGTCGGGCCAGGTATACAGACACTAAATGTGACTGTTCTTTCTAGACGTGAAATGCAAGCATCAACTGTGTCATCGATAAGAAGCGCATTATTTGCGATATCGTTAATTACTTGGCCAATAAGTGAGCCAAGGGTGGTGTTCTTGTAATCGATACCGGAAGTAGGTGATATAATCCTCGCCTTTGTCCAGTCAATAGTCCTGTCGCTCCAGGAGAAATGGGCCAGTATCTTTCCAACGTCAAGGGGAGGCAGGACATTACAGTGAATAAGAGCTCCTATGTCTGTTTTTGCATGAGACGCCAATTCAATTTCAGTCGACCAGCCAGATAGTCGGTTTAGTGACGACGGGGCCCCGATAATTGTTGTCCATTTCTCTGATACAACGCCAATAGAAATCTGCCTGATTGGAGGAATGTTCTAAATAACTCGTTAGACGCTTCCACACAGAGAACAAAAATTTTGTGAACTGAGTTTAACTGACATTGCTTGAGTGAAACTCGTCCAGAATGGACTTCATTTTTTCTCGAGTTATCCCGACATAGGTTCTCGCCCAGTCTCCTGAGCTATCCTCGACCATTTTCGTCTGGCGAACTATTTCCCGTGTCATACGGAATGTGATGGAAACGATCTCCCGAGCGAGAGTATGTAATTCTGACGTGTCCTTGGCAGCTACCACTGCCGTGGCAGGTAGAAGACCGGTGCAAAAGCCCAGTATTTCCACAGGGCGCTCAGACGTTCCTAGAATGGTAGGATCCCTCTCGGCATATCTGGGTACAGGTATGAGTTTACAAGTTTTTCGCAGGATGACCTTGTAAAACTTACACGATTAGCTCTCCAAGCCGCCCGATACACATCAGCACAGTCGAAATCAAGGCATTGGCGCCGTGCTGTTCCTCATTCTCCTCTGCCAATCCGAGAAGCGTGTCGAAGTTTCCTGTCCAGCCATGCTCGCTCTTACTGAGAGTTGAGAATTCGAGTTGTATTACATCTGTGATCTCTTGAAGAAACCTCTTGGCCGCAGGTGAACTTTTGGCGTTGCGGACCAGCGCCTGTATCGAAGAGAGTTTCTCCACTGTCTGGTCTCCAAACAACAGGAGATGTCGCTTAGTGGCTGCCAACATTGTATCACCACTTTCGGACTATGGGATTTCCTTAACGAGATACACAGGTACAAAAGATTTCATACATCAGCGTAAAAAGTTGGAAAAAATATATAGAAGTTTCATCAACAAACCATACGAAGTTGCACTGCATGGATATTGACTTGAAGCCCCATGGGGTTGTGGGACGACATAATGCACATGATCCCCGGATGCAAAGAGATCACCGGGCACTAAATTTTACGGTTCATTCATTAATACGCCGTTTGATTAAGAAATTACCTGTTGTGGCTATCGGGTAGTATTGCTGAGAGTGGATCTTAATGTATCAAGTTATTTTAGCCCGTGTTGGACAATTATGGTAGATGCCACTCTTGAAACTCGCCGACAAGGTTTAAGGATGGTTGGTGCTTGGAAGATAGATTTGATATTGCGGAGGTAATTGAACTTCCCACCGAAGGAGACTCATATACGATTCATTAGAATGGTCAACTGATAAAAAATACTTACGCTATAAAGAAAGACTTTGCTTGCTCTTTCTTCTACGATATACCCTAGTTTGGTAGGTAATGGTAGAAAAAGCAGCCAAATTGCCTTATTCTGAATTATTAAATGCCCATGAAAAGCTATGGCATATGCATATCTACAGAGTAGATGGAAGAGATTGATTAAGGTTGTCTAGTATATTTATGGAGTAGTGGACATCATATAAATAAAGACTTTTCCTCAGTTCTTATTTCGCATTCTTATAATGTTCCCAACTTAAGATCATCTTATATGTGTACATTATATATCTGCAGCAAGGCTTCTCTCTAATTCTGTATATGCATCATAACTAAAAAGCCGGTTAAACAATTAGTGTTGCTCTTTTCATAGAATGAGGTAGAGTTTCTAACCTGTAATCATGAATAGTGCGCTCCTTGTGTGTCATGGGTATAGCTATTTGAACGAAGAATTAGTAGCTCGATCAGAAAATAGAGAATTGCTATAGTTAGGAGAAAAAAAAAATTCTCACAGCCATTTGGGCCATCCGCATACTGGCTGATTCGGGTGTCAACCTCTTTCTCTCGTCCTACGCGTACTTGGGAAAGCATCTGGACACGAGAAACCCTGTTTTTACGTAACTGCTGATATTTGGACAGGCGTGCATCGATTTGATCTGGGAGGACGTTGGCAAAGAGGGCGCCAAGGATACCGCCATCCTCGATGGCCATCATTGCCCCTTGGCCACCATATGGCAGCATCTGTGAAATTGGGTTAAATGAGTGATTTTACTTTTCGCCAATAGTTTCATATTACCGGATGGGCCGCATCTCCAACCAAAACAATTCGTCCTTTTACCCAAGTAGGGTATGGGTCATGAATATATAGGGGCCAGCGTTTAACATTTTCGGCAAGCCTTGATCCAGTCAATAGTCGAATCCTAATCGATGGTTTTAATATTTATAGACGTACTCAATCATGCGGATGATTCTCTTGTCAAAATGTGAGAACTCAGCCATCATGGCCACTTTGGCATCTACGTTCCTGTCAGAGCTAGCTGGTGCATCTTTACAACAGTAGATGTAATTTACCGTCGCCTTTTTGGTTTTCAACTTCCATGCTAGGATGAATGCCAACAAAGTTCTGCACCTCTCCACTTTTTATTCGAATATCAGCTGCTGTTGAATAGTTCTGGTAAGAGATGTTTGTCTTACTCTCTGCAAGCGTACCAAATGGCATGCCGTTCTCGTGTAGTTTCAGATGTATCGGCAAAAAGGCTGAGTCGATCTGTATTGTCATCTGCTAAAGGGGAAAGAATAGGGTCGCTTCTCAATGTAGATGTATTGACAAGGAATCGAAATGCTGCCTGGCCTGAATGAACAGGTTTTGCCTGATCGTTTTCGCTCAAAACAGCATCACGAATAACCGATCTCAGTCCATCAGCTCCCACTACCATGTCAGCAGTATATCTAGAACCATCTTTGAGGATGACTGTGCCATCGGGGTGTGCTTCAGTGACTTGGCTGCCTAGTTTCAATGTCACCGGCTGAGACTGGCCTTGTTCAGTCATTGTAGCTAATCGTAGCAGCCCAGTGTGCAAGTCTACTCTATGGACTGTACGTACTGGGGCCCCAAAGGCCTGCCGAGCGTTGCTAAGGTCTAATTGATTGAGAGTATTGAACGTTATGCCGTCGATATTGGCCCATGTTTTAATTGTACAGGTGCGAGCCTTTTGGAATGAGAATCCAAGCCGCTCCAGGACTCGACCTCCGTTGGGCGTAAGTCCCAGTGCTGCACCTATTTCACCCACAAATGTTGATTTTTCAAAAATCTATGGGAATTACAGGCCGGGATGTTAGCGACGTGACCTTGCACAATAATACAGGGAAACTTGACGTGGTTTTACACGATAAAGACGCCAAAGAATAAATTGCGATTGAAGTTGGCGTGTGATTAAAGAAAGAGCAAGATCCTACCATTACTTCACACCCGGCCTGCCTAAGAGATACGGCAGCTGTAAGGCCACCAATCCCAGCGCCAACAACGATAACACGAATTGGCATTGTAATTGAGAATTCTTTTGTTAATCAAGTTATTGATGGTATGGTATGGTTGTGTATAGCTGAGAGACTGGCAGGATAGTTATAGAAATAGACCAGCAAAATGTGCAGTGGCCTGGCTAGCACCTCTAGGCCCGGCCACTTCTAACGGCTTTTTTTTTCCGGATTGAGATGACACAACTCGTACCTAATTTATCATATTTGATATAGACTCTTTCCAGGTTGGAGATCCTGAAGAGTTGATGATTACAGTTTATAATGCAAAACCTCTCGTAACATCTGCTAAAAGAAGCTTAGAAACAAATTGAACTTCTTGAACACGTATAAAACTGTAATGACTCTCGGCTGGGCTTGTAAAGTATTTCTCGAGCTCCTTGAGTATCGGGTGATTTACAACGGAATAACGGACCCCCTTCCCCTCTAACTCACACGGGTCTGCTGCAGTGTAACGTCTTAGCTATGGATGACTCAGGGGCGAAAAAAAATTTGCTCATATCAGGGACAACTGGGGTATTGAAACGAGAACAATGCAATAATGAAAAATGACCCGGTCATAATGAGCGCAGACATTGAGGCATTTAATTTCAGCCAGTTAGCAAATGAATGATTAGAAGTAAAATAAAAATATCCACTCAGAGTATTGTCTTTTAATCTTCCGTGCTCACTTTGTGACGAGCAAAGGGTCACATGTAAGAACCCAGACCTTTCCTCATGAACAGTAGCTCTCTACCATATTCTCTGCCATATCCTAACCCTAGCTATTCCTGGAGTACTACTGAGTACTACTATCGCATTACTAGGTTTTAGTGAAGGAATATACCGTGTATGAAATTAGATACTATTGGGCTTTTACTAGTTGGATTGCCTTGGTATTTAGGGTTACGGCTGTACTACATTTATACGTCGGTCCACAGCTTTATCCAGTCTTCCTTTTTGGGAGCGAGGAGTAATACAACTATCGCCAATCCCGCATGGTCATGCTTTGAGCGATGCTGGGCGATACTTACTGAGCCCTGATCGTCTCAGTTCTGAAGTATGAAAGTTTGTCTTTTGCATTCTTAGAAGATGAATAAAGCAACTATTCTGGTATAATTTTGCTTCCTCTATAACTCTAAATAACTTTGTAGCATCTTTTGTATCATTACATTCTCAAACAAGCCTTTATAATTTGTTTCACCATACCTGCCAATTAATTTTTCTATGTGATGGGCAACCTTCGACTACGTCTCGTAGAAGCTCCCCGAGCGCGCCGACCTTTGAAAATTTATATTAGCAAACGCTTTCCGGATTTTGCGGTGTGTGCACGCTCACATTTGGCGGATGAACTATCATGAAATGGCTGCCTGGCATTTTCGCAATGGAAATATTCTGCCCAGGAAACAGTTTGTCCCAGCCAAGTGGACCGAACTCGGTTCTCTGGTTGACTAAAAACCGTGTGACTCTCACGTTCATATCCAGCTCTGGGTATGCTTCTACACCTTTCGGGAAGACCCCATCTGATGCCCAGATTATGAAGACTTCTGGAGCTGCCGCACCCTTTGGGATTACCATTGGAGTTGGCATATACTTTTCCACAGCGCCAATAGTTGACACAAAGCTTTTGACCAGCCATTTTGGCGTGCCTCCGCCACTCCAATTTCCCATCAGGTTGTGACTCGAAAGGCACTCCACTACCTTGGTGGGCAAGGCCTCGAAAAATAGTCGACAAGGGGAATCAATTAGTATGATCTTCTCAACATGCTCCCCCTTGCCTATGAGGAGCTTGGAGACTTCAAACGAAAAATACCCCCCAGCTGACCAGCCACCGAGGGTGTACGGGCCCTTTGGCTGAATTCTTTGTATCTCTGCTGTCCATATTCGAGCTAAATCGTCTATTGTACCGTTGAAAAACTCAGGGGAATAGAGATATGGACTGTTTATTCCATATAGACAAACACTTGGATCAATTGGTGGAACGGACATGTATGCCATGCCAGACCCAGAGCCATCAGGGAGTAGAAATACTTTCTTCTTTGCTGTTGCCTCATTTCCTTTAAGAAGCAACACAATTGGAAGTTTTGATTTGCGTTTATCAGATGCCTCAAAAGGCTCGTGTCGTGTCATCGCCTTTTCGACATGAGCTTTGAGATCTGCAATGTCGGTGCAGGAGGAAAAGGTTGCGCGGCTGATGTCATGTTGAAGACTGGTCGGAACTCTTTTCAGGATTAGCCGGGATAAAGCGGTGTCGTTTCTCAACTCTGAGATGTCTGTATCATCGGACAGATCGTCAAGATCCATGCCCAACTCTTCCGCTATCACCGCAAGGAGTTCATCCGTGGGACTGACACTGGTCGCCTGCATTCTAAGCTAGATTGGTGATAAAAACAAAGAAAAGGCAATCTAGAAGACAGTAAGACTTGGGAAAGGGGGTCGAGGAGTTTGATGATGTAGATACCGATATCCGCTCATACAATGCACATGTAAGCTTAGTTTGTTAAAATGCTGTTGACTGCACGGACGAATGTTGTATGTGCATATCATATTGGGGCCTTACAGAATAATTGCCGAGAATCAGTTAGCCCGTATTATACAGGCGTCGCGAGAACTAGCACATATATGCACACACCTAAGGTGTTCAATGGGCAAGTTTATCAGATTATTTCCTTCTCAATGACACCTTCCTAGAATAACAATTGTAAACTCTATTAATAAAGCTAATGTCCGGTTTTGTTGATATATATCCCGGCGTTCCACAAAAGTCACCGATGCATGGAAATACGCCTATAGTGATTGCACATTGCATTGCAACCAGCGCAATAGGCGTTGTCTTGGTAAGACGACTACTGCATCTATGTTAATAAATCGATATGTCGGCCATTCGTATGCGCTCATTAAGCATGCTCAGCAATCGAACGTGCCATTATGGCTACAGCAGGAATTGACGGCATATCAATTGCCATTACAGGGCTATCGTGCCGCTTCCCTGGTGATGGAGATAACCCAGTTAATTACTGGAAGTTGGTTTGCGAAGGGAAATGTTAGTTCGGGTTGCACGCCCGCCACACCCAGTCATCTGAAGCTAATGCTAAGCAGCGGCATGGTCCATGATACCTAAAGAACGCTTCCATGGGGATGCTTTCTGGTCCGGTGGCAAGAAGCGCCACGGAAGTGTCACCAAAAGCGGTCACTTCCTCAAGCATGATATCTCACACTTCGACGCAAATTTTTTTAATATTTCAGCATCGGAAGCCAATGCCATGGACCCGCAACATCGAATTGCATTAGAAGTCGTGTATGAAGCCTTAGAATCTGCAGGCTATTCAGTACAGAGTCTAGCAGGCACACGCACAGGAGTCTTTATGGGTCATTTCACAAGTGACTACAAAGAACTTGTTATAAGCGATACCGATGCCATACCGCCATACGCTACTACTGGACTGAACAAGACGTCATTGGCTAATCGCATCTCATGGACTTTTGACTTGCGTGGACCAAGCTTTGCCCTAGACACGGCATGTTCCTCGTCGTTAGTAGCATTTCATCTCGCTTGTCAGAGCTTGCGTGCCGGAGAATCAGACATCGCTATTGTTGGTGGTACAAATGTGCTTCTTAATCCCGATATGTTTGTGGCTTTTTCTGGCCAGGGCTTCCTCTCCCCAGATGGCAAGTGCAAAAGTTTCGACGCGTCGGGCGACGGGTACGGACGCGGTGAAGGAGTCGCCGCCATAGTATTGAAGCGAGTCGATGATGCAATCGTGGCATTGGATCCTCTTCGAGCAATTATCCGCGCCACGGGGTCAAATCAAGATGGACATACGAAAAGCTTAACACTCCCCAGTGCTGATGCACAGGAGGCATTGATACGAGATGTATATCGGCTTGCGAAGCTAGATTTTGCCCAGACTAGCTATGTAGAGGCTCATGGAACAGGCACGCAGGCAGGTGATACTACAGAAACGCTTGCGCTATCTAGGACGATTGCCAAGGGTCGTTCATCAAAAAACAAACTTATTGTTGGATCAGTGAAAGCAAACGTATGTGTATATCATGTGCGCAGTGAATCACGCAGAGCTGACATTTCACATTTTAGATTGGCCATCTCGAAGCTGCGTCTGGTTTAGCTGGCGTCATCAAGAGTGTGCTCATGCTGGAGCGAGGCATCATTCCACCAAACATCCACTTTCACAACCCTAATCCAATGATAGACTTTGCGAATTGGAATATCCAGATTCCTAATCACTTAATGCAGTGGCCGAATCAAGGAACACGTCGCATCAGCATCAATTCGTTCGGCTATGGTGGGACTAATGCTCACGCAATTGTTGATGATGCGTATTCGTACCTTGGAAATCGCGGTCTTCGGGGGCTACACTACGTCAAGACGCTAGAATTATACTCGGATGATGGTGAAAAAGAAGAAGAAGAAGAAGTAGAAGAAGAATACAGCTCCCAGCCAAATACGCCGCGTATATTTGTGCTGACAGCGCAAGATCGTGCTGGCTTGTCGCGAATGAAGAAGTCGCTAGCGTCATGGCTCCGTACGAAGATAGACGAGCTGGGTGATGATTTAAACAAGGAGAACCATCTCGCGGACCTGGCCTACACACTCAGCGATAAGCGTTCAAGATTGCAATGGAAGACTTTTGCGTTGGCTTCATCCCTGGATGAACTGGCTGATGCCCTGGAATCCTCCGATAGTGGCAGAATAGAGGCCATGTCATCAAGTGTGCCACGTCTCGGCTTCGTGTTCACCGGCCAAGGAGCGCAGTGGGCTACAATGGGGATGGCACTTATGGCATATCCAGAATTCAGTGCAAGCATTGAGGCAGCGGACTTGTTCCTTCGGAAAAAACTCAACTGTTCATGGTCACCACGCACTGAGCTTTTTCGTGGCAGGGGTACATCTCGCCTAGGGCTGGCGCTTTACTCACAGACGCTGTGTACCGTACTGCAAATCGCTCTTGTTGATCTTTTACGCAAATGGGCCATCATTCCTGATGCAGTTGTTGGTCACTCAAGCGGGGAGATTGCAGCAGCGTACTGCGCGGGATATCTTTCTCATGAGGATGCTTGGCAAATAGCCTACTGTCGCGGTGTGGCTTGCTCAAATATGAAGGTTGCAGCGCCAGATCTGGATGGGGCCATGATGGCTGTCGGCGCATCGCCAGATGCTTGCTCAGATTTTATAAAACGTATCTGCCCGGATAAGGTCAACATTGCCTGTATCAACTCTCCTTCAAGCGTTACCTTATCGGGAGATGCAACAGCCATAGCTACATTACAAGAGGCGCTACAGGAAGAAAATATATTCGCACGAAAGCTTCTAGTGGATACTGCCTACCATTCCAAGCATATGCAGCTTGTTGCGCAGGAATATCTCGAAGCAATTGCAGATATCCAGCCTCGAGCGGACACAACAACAGCGAGTAATGCGGGGTGCAAAATGTATTCCAGCGTAACGGAATCAGAGGTCACGTTCAAAGACTTAGGTCCCGATTATTGGGTTCGAAACTTGGTCTCTCCGGTGAGATTCGCAACAGCCATTCAGAATTTGATGCGCCCCGATGCAGGTGTCCACTCCAACAGCGGAGACGCTGTCGATGTTCTCGTCGAGATTGGTCCACACGCCGCGCTTCAGGGACCAGCCACTCAAAGTATACAAGCACTAGGCATTAACAACAAGCCGTATTTGTCGGCCATAGTGCGCAATCAAAGTGCAGTTGAGACGACGCTGAACCTAATAGGCACACTGATAGCACATGGAAGGCCTTTGGAACTTGCGTCGGTGAACAGGACACTGTCAGTGAAGAATAAACCGCTAGTTGATCTCCCATCCTATCCATGGAATCACGCACAACAGTACTGGGCTGAATCACGTTTAGCTCGCGTACGCAAAGACCGACAAGCATCTTCCAGTAGTTTGCTAGGTGCACCCGTTCCGAGTTTCTTGGAGGGAGAACGTGTGTGGCGTGGTTTCTTACGTCTATCAGAAGAACCTTGGATGGCAGACCATAACATTCAAGACTCTATCCTTTACCCAGGGGCCGGCTTTCTCGCTATGGCAATCGAGGCTGCTCTGCAAACTGCGGACACAGCGCGCAATGTCAAGGGTTTCTACTTGCGTGATATTGAGTTCTTATCTGCTATGCTGATACCAGAAGATGACGAGCTTGAGCACACTATAAGTCTGAGGTCAGACGCATGGGTTGCCGATTCTATAGAAGGACTGTGGACCGAATTCGTTATCTGTAGCTCTCCTGATCGCAAATCTCTTATGCGAAATTGTCGAGGGTTCATACGGGTCTGTTATGATGACTCCACGATTCCAGCAAGGGAAACCCAAAAAGACTCTGAGATGCTGGGGTATAAACAAGCATCAAGTTTATGCAAGAAAGAACAGATGTCAGCCGAGTTCTACCAGGAACTTGATGATTTGCGATAACACTATGGGCCAGCTTTCGCCAATATCACCGAAGTCTGGTCAGGTGACGGACAGAGTTGCGGTTCTGTGACCATCCCAAACATCGGACTGGACGATCTAAAGAGACCGCATGTAATCCATCCCACAACTTTGGATGCTATGTTTCATCTAGCCTTTGCGGCTGCGAATGGTAATCGCTTAAGCAAGCTTACCGTACCTATGGTTCCCAAATCCATGGACGAGATGTATATATCCATCGACATACCGTTCTTGGCGGATACTAAGCTGAAAGGGTTTTCAAAAGCTCATAAGCTCCGGTCCAAGAGACAGCTGAAGGCATCAGTTGGAATTATGGATGAAACGGAGCAGCAGTCAGTTCTTGAGATCTCCGGGCTCTACTGTGCCGAAATTGCGCGGATGAATAGCAGTGGGAAGACGTCCGTGCTCGCCCGAAAGATGTGTAGCAAGCTAATTTGGAGGCCATCTATCAACCTTATCACCAACGAGGATATTCAGCGTATCACTTCCGCATCAACAGGGCTAAAAGGTGGTGATGCGTCAAACAGCGTGGCAGCACCTCAAATAGGCATGTACAAGCGCCAGCAGCTCTCTGAGGTAAGTTACACTATATCATTTCGAGCGCCTATCATGGCCTTTCATATTTTTTTTATTGGGCGATTTTTCCTGCTTTTCGCTGACTATAACTTGCCATAGTTTATCAAAATATTTCACCATACGACTCCGACGATGCACATTGTGGAACTAGCTCAAGAAGGCTCTATCTTTGCCCAAGATAATAGTATTCTAAAAGATGTGCTGCGTACAGCAACTTATACAGTCTTAGGATACGAGGGAAAACAAAGATTTGAGCTCGGGGATTCTCCAGCTCTGATCGAAAGAGGTAGTGCAGAGACACCATCAGCTGATCAAGATTTGTTCCAGAAGCATGTCAAGGCAGCCGATCTAGTTGTCTGCTCAGCAATTTCGCAAGCGCCGATAAACATTACCCGGAATGCAAGGCTTATACTCAAGGATGGTGGAAAGATCTGCACAATTGAAACTTCGGAACATGTGCCAGCAGCAAAATCTGCCCTTCAAGAGGCTGGCTTCACTAATTTGTTCCAATTTGGCGGTTCTGCCTCTGGAGAGCCTGTATTTTTGGTTGGTTCTGTGGAGAGCACCGGAATTATTGCTGGCAGTGGTTTGAAGGAGAAAGACATCGTATTAATCCAACCTGCCAATGCGAATGAATTTGTCACCGCAATTATGAAGCAACTAAAGACAGCATTGTTTGCTCCTGGCCATGGCACGTCCATTCACACGTGGGGCATCGACAACATATCTGCTCTTAAAGACAAGGACTGCGTTGCCCTTCTTGAGGTACAATCCGCTTTCTTAGAATCAGTGGAAGAGAAGGATTTTTATGCCGTACAAACACTTGTCACCCAATGCAAAAGCCTATTATGGGTCGACGCACTAGATGGGGTCAGTAATAGTCTGGTCAATGGTTTGGCAAGAGTGGTGCGCAACGAAGTCCCAGGAAGCCAATTCCAGACCCTTCACGTATCATCAGCAACTCTCTTGCAGCCAGAGCGTCTGTCAGACTTTATTTGCCGATTGCTAGACTTGAAAATTTCCGACAACGAGTTCACTGTTAAAGACGACATGATATGTACTAGCCGTGTCCTCGTAGATGAGGAGCTAAGTGCTGAGATAGACGAAAAACAACCCATGGGTGTCGACGCAATTGGACCTATTTCATTGGCTAGTATGGATATTCCGCTAAGACTAACGATGACGAATAACGGTGCAGTATGCTTTGAAAAATATGACGCTCCAACGGCAGATCTTGATGGCGATGAGGTAGAGATCAATGTCAAATCAAGGACCATCAGGTAGTAAACGTCCTTACCTCCAAGCCCCATAGTATAACCGCTAACCTAAGTGTACTTAGTGCTAACAACCTATTTGCTGGCATTGATGAGCCTCTCGGATATGAAGCAGCAGGCGTGATTGTTCGTGTTGGATCCAGCGTGACTAAATTCAGACCTGGTGACTCGGTGGTCATGTATAGCCTTGGTCTCGCCAATCAAACTTTACAGAGAACCAGAGAAGAATTTTGTCATCCCTTGCCCTCAGGATACACATTTACGCAGGCAATTAGTGGCGCTGCCGCTCATGCGGTCGCATGGTATGCCCTAGACCGTATTGCCCGCATACAGAGTGGACAGTCGATCTTGATACACGACGCGGCGGATGACGTCGGACAAGCTGCAATTCAAATCGCACATAATCATAGCTTGGAAATATATGCCACTATCAAGGCGGAGACGGACCAGGCTTTGCTGCGCGACACATATAATATACCGGAAGATCATATATTCAACCTACAAGATCCTCATCTTGTGGACAGCGTCAAACTTATGACCAACGGTCGTGGTGTCGACATCCTCCTCAGCTCGCCAACAAATACAGCTCACAGGCAAACGTCACAGTGCCTTGCAGATTTCGGCACCTTTCTTGAGGTTGGGCTACGCGACAGCCCACGTAGCACGATGTTAGATACACGGTTCGTCCCTCAGGACGCAACATTTAGCTCCTTTAGCCTCAACAGCATTGCCACCAAGAGTCCTCGGCTTATGGGTCAAATTATATGTGCTGCTTTCGAACTTTACCAGAAGGGAATCGTAAAGCCAATCGCCTCTCTCAAAGTCTTTTCTGCCTCTCAAGTGGAGAGCGCCGTTCAGTATGCGCAGACGGATGGTCAAGATAAAACAATCATATTATCATTCAATGACAATGACCTTGTACCTGTACTGGGATCTGGTATGCGCCAGCCCATTGATATCGATTTGAGTAGCGATGCATGCTATATGCTCGTTGGTGGTCTCGGAGGTCTGGGTCGTAGCCTGGCCATGATGCTCGCGGAGAATGGTGCACGAAAGCTGTGCTTCCTCTCACGATCAGGTGCAGCATCAACTTCAGCCACCGATCTCATCCATGATCTTAAAGGGCTTGGCGTGCAAGTTGAATGCTTAAAATGCGATGTATCAGATATATCGGCACTCAAGAATGCCTTGGACCGCTGTTCGGTTGAGCTTGGTCCAGTACATGGTGTGATCCAATGTGCGATGGTCTTGCGAGACACGCTCTTTGCCAATATGTCATATGATCAGTGGCAGGAATCCACACTCCCTAAAGTCCAAGGGACGCAAAATCTTCATAAGACACTGCCTGACGTCGATTTTTTTGTGACGCTTAGTTCTTTTGCCGGTACATTTGGCAATCGTGGTCAGAGCAACTATGCAGCTGGGTGTGCATACCAGGATGCTCTCGCCCTTCAGCGCCGAGATGAGGGAAAGAAAGCTACAACTATAGATGTTGGTCTCATGCGTGATATAGGTGTACTCGCAGAAAACGGCATGACAGATAATCTCAAAGACTGGGAAGAGCCGTACGGTGTCCGTGAAGGCGAGCTACGAACCCTGGTCAAACTAGCAATTGCCGGCCGTTTACCTGCCCAAGTATTAACTGGGCTTGCTACTGGCGGTAGCGCTGTAGCGGCAGGTATCCCTACCCCTTTCTATCTTGCGGACGCCAAGTTCTCTCTTATGGGTGCAACGGACCTTGATAAGGTAAATGATGCCACCAGTGATTCGAATAATAAACGCAAGAGTGATACGATTCGAGCATTAATTTCGAATTCTGAGGGCTTACCTGAGGCAAGTGAGCATGTCGTAGCGTCGCTTGTAGGCCGAATAGCAAAAATGCTTCAAATAGAAGCAGAAGATGTCGATACGTCGCGGGCGTTACATTCCTACGGGCTGGACTCGCTTGTGGCTATTGAAATCGTCGATTGGGCTCTTAAGGAGATTGAAGCTCGTGTTAGTGTTTTTGATATTATGGCAGCCGTGCCAATTACTGCAACAGCTAGTAAGATTGCGAATGCGTCGGCGCTTCTGGCTAGGAAGTAAGAAGGTGGTGAACAATGGGTAGAGTATGAGCTATTAAGTAAGAACTTTTATTTCGTAGATCGAACCAGAAAACTCTGTCAGGTACATCAAAATCACAATCTCTCTATGCTTTTGATGATAATTTTTGTTCACCTTCACGTCTTTTAAAAACGGGTTTTGGAGAAGGGGCAACTATGATGCTGATGTCAAGTGTGGAGGATATCATGTCGGGTAACTCTAATGCGTGCATTTCATCTTATTACCAGATGGTTACAGATTGAGAGAATCGCGGTTTGGAATGGCTCTTATACATATCAAGCAAGATTAAGCATGAATATTTACCACCGAATGAGAAACACAGACAACATTCAAGGTACGGAATAGGTTGAGGCACCCACGTTCATGAGAGAATCGGTAGTATGAGAGACGCAATTAAATATGTAAATTCAAAGAGATTGTATGCCCTGTGTAGCCTTCAATCTAGAATAGTATAGGTGTCTATGCACTACCGTGTATACTAAAGCAATAATGACGGCCTGATTATCTACTTAGTCCCCGCTCTCACCAGATCTCCAAACTTGCTTCCTGCCTCTCGTGCTAGCGCCACCGGATTACCCATCTCAACAATCTCTCCTCTATCCATGACGACTACCCTATCAAAGTCCATAACCATATCTAGGCGATGGCTAACCGCGATAACCGTGTAGCTTTTGAACTCAGTCTTGATCGTCTGTTGCATGACGTGTTCCGTCTCTTGGTCTACGCTCGAGCTGACTTCATCCAGCAACAAGATACCGCCATCTTGTGCACCAGCCGTGAGTTTTCGTTGTCGAGTAGACAGTCTGATTAGGGCGCGTCCGAGAGATATTAGCTGCCGCTGTCCAGCGCTAAAGGTGGACGCGTTCATGCCTGCATCCAAACCACCACACTCTTGAACGAATTTCCATAAGCCGACGGCATTAAGCACAGCTTCGCATTCCTCGCGCGTTGCTTCCTCGGATACATCGAGATTAGCCTTGAAGGTAGATCCATCGGGCAAGAAGACAGCTTCTTGAGGCACTGAGATGATACGCTGGCGGAGTACAGACCGGTTTAAATGCTGGAGCGGCTGGCCATCAATCAATACGTTTTCAGCAGTTGTTGACGTGGGATCTAGAAGCTTGAGAAGTAAGGCGATGAAGCTAGATTTACCACTGCCAGTGCGGCCGCAGATGGCGATCTTTTCTCCCGAGTTGATCGTCAGATGGATATTATGGAGGGCAAGACGAGCTCCGTTACCCTCGTCGTCTTTAGAGCTGCTCGAAGAGTCAGCATTGGGTTGGTAACATGGCTGAAATACGGGTTCTTACGCATATGTGGCGGACACGCCCTTCAATTCCACCATACCGCGCTGTGGCCACTGTTCTGGTGGGATAATGGTCTCTGTATCTCTATCTTCCGACTTCACAGTGTCATTAAACGTCTTAAGCCTTGCAATTGCCCCGAGAGAAGTTTCGAGACTGGTCCAAAAAAGGACAATCCCAGCAAGGTTCTCTCCGAAGCTCAAAAGACTGTAAAGAGCAGCACCGGCGAAAGCAGAACTGGAGTGGAGGCGGACTGCGAGCGTCGTCAGGACTACTGCTAGTAACATGACTACAACATTGAGAACAATGTTTAGCCATTCCTGGATCATGAGAAGTAAATATGACGGTCTTTGACTGGAAGTGAGTAACTGAGAGCTCTTATAGATATCATTAGAAATAAAGCCTACATATTTTTGGTTAGTGCTATGGCCGTGAATGATAAGATATGCAAGCTACTGCACTCACCGAATGCCCGTAGAGTTGCGATGCCTCTGACGGTATCAAGAAAATGCGTACTAAACATGAATTAGCACAAAACATGGCAATGTGTGGCATGAAGGTTTTTTTTTTTTTTTTTGTGATAAACTCACTACATAGGACTCTTGGCTTCCAGATCGAGTAATCGTAGTTGTCGGGAGGTACGCAGGTAAAATCTCTGTACTATATAAAGCAGAGCGATGATGAACGGGAAGCCGATTGCCAGATACCGAGAAGAAGTAAGCATAACAGCCATTTGTCCAGCAACTTGAGTAATCTAAATATCCACGTTAATTCCAGAACTCGTGTAACTCTGGGGTTTCAGCCTATCATACTTACCGAAAACAGGGTGTTGACCGTCGCATCCGGTAATTCTGTGTCAATAAGATTTAAATCTTGCGAGAACAAGTTCGTGGTAACGCCAGTATCAGTTTCGGTGAAGAAGCGTAGCGTTGCTCGGAATAGTGTCTGTAAGATGTCCTGGTGGAGATTGGCCCCCGCGCGTTTAATTGAAACGATCCAGATGGAACTACCCAGGAGAAGTAACGATATCAGAGCGCTGATCTGAAGCAGCGCATATAGCCCAGCCCAGTAAGCATAGGAGTGCATCGGATTTTCTGCGCTGATGTCATCGACCCAGTATGTGAGCCCTAAACATAACATTAGTTCAACAAATAGATTATCGGAATGCACCTGGCTTGGAATTCAGAAAAGACTTACAGATTGTAGAGAAGTTCAACAAGAAGCCCCAGAGAACGGCAAAAAACAAGGCAGACGTCGCCACGAACCATCCCATACTCATCATGTAATGCCTGTATACCGTTTTATCCCCAACTTGCCGCGAAGCACCCGCATTAGATGCGACACTTGGATTAGTCGTCTTTTTCCTATTTTCTTCCAACATCGACTCCTGCACATTTTGTTTGTAGACTGCTCTATCTAGCAGAATGTCACGGTCCTTAGGATTCTTCAAACCAAGACGCTGAAGATAACCTTGACCTGCCATTAATTCGTCAAAGGTACCCTGCTCGGTAATGGTGCCGTCTTCAAGCACTATCACATGGTCTGCTGCGGGAAGGTTTCGAATGCTGTGAGTACATAGCACAACTGTAGAGTGTCGTCGTCTTAGTAGCCCATCTACCCCGAAAGCTTTTTGGAAGACTTGCTGCTCCGTATCAGCATCTAAACCACTAAAGATGTCGTCGAGAACAAGAAAGTCCATTTGTAAATACAGAGCTCGTGCAAGAGCAACTCGCTGTTTCTGGCCTCCAGACAGGGAGATGCCATCAGAGCCAACATTTGTTTGATCCCCCTCCGTCAGGGTGGCTAAGTCAAAGGCTAGGGCTGTAGCATCAATGATTTCGGCATATCTCTCATTATTGACTGGAGAAAACCCGACAATATTGTCTTTAATTGACCCGTTCGACAGAAATGGGGTTTGATCGCAAAATCCAACATGTGGAACCCTTCCATCCAAAATCACACGACCTTCGTGGAATGGAATCTCTCCAAGTAGCGCTTTGCAAAGGGTGGATTTTCCCGAGCCAACCGGTCCAATGACAATAGTGAGCGAGGACTTTGGTATCCGAGTGTTCACGTCTCGCAAGACTGACTTTCCTGCCTTCCAACCAAAATTTCCGTTTTCGATAATTACTTTCGACTCAGATGAAGGTATGCTCTCTGCTGGATTCTTTTCGGAACTTATCTTAATATCAACAAGAATTTGGCGGAAATCATCATAAGTCTCGCACTCTAAGAATGCTTGAATTCGGCCTATACAAGCCAGCGCCGAGATCACCTCAGGGATGGATTGGAAGACTTGCGACAGCGGCATAGTCAGAAGCGTAAGAAAGGAAAGACTCGTGAACACCTTTGAGGCATCCAGGCGATTTTGAGTCAATGCAAAGGTAAGAGCTGGGCTTATTAGCAGCGGAATAAAACCTAAGAGAGCAGCCACTATGAATATCTTGCGGAATCGAACCCCGGCCACTAGTTCCTCAATGCGAAGATTTTGCACAAAATTGCGAACTGGGGAAGAGAGGCCGGATATCTTCAGGTTTTTCATGTTTGCGATGACTGTAGCAGTCAGACCAACTCGTTGCTGGACCAATTTCATCCATTCTCTCTGTGCATTTCCAATGAAGTTCATGGCAATCACCAGGCAAATGAAGCAAAGGGTGACCACTCCAATAGGCACGACAAAGACCACGCCAACTCGACTGTTTAACATCCATGCAGACAACGCAACTTGGATCGCACTTGCCCAAATATCATGCAGTTGCCTGAAACCCATCCTTATTCGTTCAATATCGGTGCTCATGAGAGTAAGGGCTGCATTATCGTCGCTTGTCCCAATGGGAGATCTTATGGCTGTGATGAAGGTCTCGGTGACTAGTATTGATCTCAACATAGTTCTCATTCGGTGGTGGTAATACCTGTATTCATGTGTTAGCAGCTGGTTATGTTTCCAATTATCTCGTAGGAATAGGTATACCGATGGAAGGCCCAACAAAGAGCAATTCCTGTGTAGATGAAAAAACTAGCGCCAATGAATCCGTAACCAATATTCGGGTCTAGTTCATCCTCGGAAAGATAATCTAGCAGCCTCTCAATGAAGAGAGGCTGGGCAAAAGTAAATCCAAGAAGGCCCAGGCGGGGAATTATGGGGAGAAGAAGGGGCCCTGCGAGTGTTCGCATGAGAACTTTGGTGAGACCAAACTTGTCGCCCTTCATTTTGGAGTAGTCCAGGCTGCTAGAGAACTTCTCTCTGAGTGTATTGGGATCTAAGGAATTGTCGAGGGGGTAGAGGTCGTCGAGCAACATAATTTTCTTATACCCGTCCAAGAATAATTTGTTCAGCCAGAAGAAGACACCAAGTGATAAGATACTGCTAGTTTCCTCCGGGCTATGCTCTTTTTCGTTCCAGTTCATCCATTTAGACTTTTTTTTGGATTCTAGCAAAAGTATTACTGCCTTTATAGCAATAGCGGCAGTAAAGAGATTGCTATAGGCGCTCTCGGCCGAGGTAACTGACGATATGTAAAGCGTTCTTGCTTGCGTCACATCAAAGAGAAGAGACAAAACCAAGTAAGTAGTTAATAAAACGGAAGGCCGTGGTGATCTACCGTGTTCGACAACATTGAGAGGAATCATGAAGACACCTGATAGCAGCTTGAGGACCGACGCAGCTATGAACGTGCTTGCTGCATGAAAGCAACCCACTGCGGCGAGAATGAGAAGTGCTAGTTGAAGAGCGGTGTATGCTGTAATAGTAACCTATGATGGTATGTTCAGTACCGTAGGGTTTTTCAGTTAATCACATAACGGATCAACATACTACTTTGATACGCTGGAAAACTGGTGCATTCACCACAAGCGGTTTCCGTGCCTGGATAAAACTTCTCCATACTGCCGCTACCACGAATATACCGGACGGCAAAATAGAAAGAAAAACCTGCTCGAATTGTATGTTAAAGTCGAATTGTTTGCTATTCTGTTGGAAAAGTTGGTCTTTTCTAATAGATATATGCATTGCGGACAATTAGCATATCAACGACTTCGACTCGAATTGAACTCTTATTCTAAGTGTGAAGGAGATTGAGGATAAAATATTGCGATACAAGAGGGTGGGTGTCCAGGTGCGTTTTATGGTGCAAGGCAGTCAGTCATTCAGTTAAAACCAACAACCAACAACCAACAACTAACAACCACGGCAGCGGAGTTGCGGAGAAAATATGGTGACTTGCGGCGGACTATGTCGTGCTGAGCACGGCACAACCAATCAATTGCAACAAAATGTACTTCACAAAGAGTACGGTTTTCATTTATAAGCATCGATGGCTCAAGCAATCCGAACAAAATTGGCCGATTCATTGTTCCGAATATCTCCGAGAAACTCATCTTGCATCGATGGTACAAAGATCGCCCGCACAATCTAATCCCCCATCCTTCTACTCCAATCACCGACAATGATATTATCATGCAGCTTGGAAGACAAGCAGGATTAACAGCATCACCAATCGCAAAAATACAATAACATGGCAACCCTTTCTCCCCGCAACAAAGACAGTGACATATAATGGCACGATCATGTGATATCTTGCTATTTGCCTATTCTCACGTGACAATCATTTGTTTGCGGTATTCGAAGTCCTGCCTAAAAGTACATAATCTATTCTGGACTAGCCCAGAATCCTCTCATTCCTGGTGTCACTCGCTGGCTATCACATTATACCAAATACTTAGTATGTGTGCCTTCTTGGATAAGCTCAAACTCCGTGAATTCACTAATACCTGATGCAATATCAACCTGTAGTTAACAAACATTGGTTGGCTACGCCTACATCAACTGGTTTTAGTCATCATCAGTTGTTGGCATTGTAAGTAAATCATTGCACGGTACGGCTCGGTAGCTCGAACAGGAGTTACATTTATAACTACCTAGGCTGCGCAGCTTCTATAGAGAAACTTGACAAACTACTCTCTATTTATAAAGCAAAAATGGTTTTATTTCTGTTCAGGTGTTTCTCCCTCGGCGCCGGCAGGGACATAAAAGAGATTCTGAAGCTTGTCACGCTTCTCTGGTGTTTCCCCCTCGGCACCAGCTGGGACGTAGAAAAGGTTTTGCAGCTTATCACGCTTCTCTGGTGCATCGCCCTCGGCACCAGCAGGGACGTAGAAGAGATTCTGAAGCTTATCACGCTTCTCTGGTGTTTCCCCCTCGGCACCAGCAGGGACGTAGAAGAGATTCTGAAGCTTATCGCGCTTCTCTGGTATTTCCCCCTCGGCACCAGCAGGGACGTAGAAGAGATTCTGAAGCTTGTCACGCTTAGCCGGGGCATCGCCCTCGGCACCAGCAGGAACATAAAAGAGGTTTTGTAGCTTATCACGCTTGGCTGTAGCACGGCGCAGATGTTAGTAAATTAATGCGTACACGTTCCGACCGATATATGAAGGTGTGATGCTTCCTACCATCCTGTGCAACTGGTGCAGCAAGAGCGACCGCGCAGAGCGTAAATGTGAGGAGTGTAACCTTCATCGTGCTTAAGGTATAAGGAAAGATGGTGAAAGTGTTTGTTGGTGAAACGGCGTGAAGCTGGGCTGATGATTCGTTTTGGACAAGAAGAGAGACAAAGGCAAGAAAATCTGATAACAGAATACTTGGTGTAGGCAGCTTTAAAGCATTGACAAATTCTTATCTCCCCTCCTCCACCCCCTCTTCTGAGGAACCCCTCTCAGGTTCCATAGAAGAGAATAATAATTACTAGATACATCCACATTCCCCATCAATCATCTTTGGACTCCATGCGCCGGGAAAGACTCAGTATCCACAAGCTGGCTGGTACGAAGGCTAAGCCTTGACCGACTTTGGCAAAGTATATGAACTATTTGAGGGTATCTTGGAGAAAACACGAATCGTTTCTCCAAATACGGCAGGTGTACAAGTTGGTAGAATTGGGCGAGTGCATTAATACAAGGTATGCCGTCATTATCTTACATATCACGATTGCATTTGTAGGTAAACTGCATGCGAGAATTGGACCGAAAGTGTCACCGTTTGGTTGTACAGAACAGTAAACATATTGAATATTCCACCCTATCAAGTCACAGTCATGCTGTGATCTCCTTTAAGATTAAATTGATGTTTCAAGCATGACTGGTCCAGAAGTTATTGGTATTTTGAGGATATTAAGGAATTTGGGGATAACATGGTAGTACCTACAACAGTTCAGGTCAGGGGAATACAATGGCCAAAGTAATACAAAGTCACGAATATTACGGAATCCATTATATGTCTTATTAAACATTTAGTAATCCTTAGATTTAAAACAGCTATTTTTTTCTTTCCAATATTCGCTCATAATTTATTATATGTTACTGGATCTAAATAATTTTCAATCTATCCTAATGCAGAAGGTGTAGAATGTTATGTGACATATGTGACAATCCAGAGCTATCTCACGCACCAATTTCCAACGTTTACCGGGATATTTTGTTTAGAGGCGCCGGCTACTACTCTGGATCTCTCTTGGCTTTTTTGCCCCTCGTTTTTATTATTTACCCCACACACTTCAGAACTGCGCTAGGCTCCTTACATTCGTTGTCTTGGATCGCATGTTGTTGTCCATGAGCTCTTGGTACAGACTCCGCCTATTTCCTGGCCATATCAAACTATTTCACCTCTCTATCCAATCCTATTTTGTTCAAAACTCACACAGAACTCTATCAACAAAACAAGAGAATTCTCTATCACGAAGATGGAGCAGAAAGACGAAGTCCGGGACTACATCCAGTATGAAGAAGTAGGGGTTCCATCGCATATACGGCGTGCAAAACGACCGTTCCGTTTGGAACGCCCGAGCAAATTCTTTATCTCGTCGATAGCTCTGGTTATTCTGGCTGGTGTTGCCAACCTGGGGGTCTGGTTTTGGGTCACTCGTGGCCCTCGAGATGCGCTGGATGAAGATTGGAATCACTGCGGACGGTCAAGCGAGGAAGCCATGCGACGCGGATGCGTCATGGAACCATTGTTCTACGGTTGGATGCCCAAACAGTGCGCGTATCAAGAGCTCTCGGACCGTTATCCAGTGTTTGAAGACAGGAAATGGTATCTTGAAAAGGATATGATTGTATGATCCACCCCTTCATTCCGGCAACATTCAATATTCTTACGGCACATTTCTGACTTGTTAACTAGAATGAGGTGGCATCGGACGCACTTTGGCGTGGCAGCAATATTAAGGTCTACACGCACATTTACCACGGGGAGCACTGCTTGTTCCAGTGGCGGAAAATCATGTTCGCTATTAACAATCAGGAGCAGTACATCGATAACAAGACGATCAGTATTCATCACTCTAGCCACTGCGCAGATCAGCTTACAGTGGGGAGAGAAGGAGATGATGCGATCAATGAGGTGGAGCTTGGCTTCTACCGATGTAGAAATACAATTTGGGCAAGCTAAGCAGTTAAAACTTCAAACATGATAGGAGAGGATTAGATGAATAATTACTGAGTCATTTCTGTTTCCATGTGCGTAAAAGAAGATACGAGCCAAATTCAAGTCTCTTCGCTTGAGAGTAGGCATTCCTTCAAGGGGAAATTCCCCGCAATATCCATAGACCCCCTTCGACAATCACACAGCTTGTCGCCGATTTTTTGGTGGATGTGCCGCGGAGAAGCATGGCAACAAAAGTCCTACCAAAATGTACTCGCTTTACGAGTATCATCCTGCGGGTTGAGCCGGATGTAGTTGGGGTCCAACAGATTATCCCTAATGCAGCAGCCAAAGATACGCTTATCAATGACTCGAATGGTTGATAAGTGGGGGAAGCCCCGAATTGGTAATGCAGTGCACGCGCTATTACTGCATTGTACTTAAGAGTAAGCCACCTACTGCAGACTACTGCGGCTTAAACCGCGGTTACTTCGTATCTACTAATATAGCCTGGCAAGCGGGTATCCAAAAAACAGGGAATCAAAGATTTTGAACACACAAGAGAGTAACTATACGCACACAACTGTAGAAACGCTTTCACGCAAGTGGTGCTCTTATTACTAATTTGTGTGTGAATATTCATTTTGGGGTCCCTGTTTTTTGGATACCCGCTTGGGCTGGATACACAAGATCCGCTCGTATCATGCGACTTTAGACCCTCGTTTACTTTGGTGGGTGTGAGCCGGCAGTTCTCTGGACGACGGACGTTGACCATCCTCTATTCCACAGGATTATCCCACATATCCCGCTTGGTCTATTACCCAGCCAGAAGCACCCGAAGTGTAGGGAAAAGCAAAGGAGGGGAAAAAAAAAGCAGAACAAACTCACGAAACAAGAGATGGATAGCAAGACCATCTCAGCTATTGATGAGGTTGAACAGGGGCAGGGACTTCTGGAAGGCAGCACAGACACAGACACAGACGCAGACACAAACTTCTCTCCTACACCGAGGATATCACGTAGGTCGAATTGTAGATGGTTCAGCGCTGTCATCGGATTCCCAGCGCTGTTATGTGCGACCAACCTGCTCACGTTCTGGATCACCGCTTCCACAAGACCGCGATGTCATACTCAGGTTTCAGTAGCGGAACCCCCAAGCCTCACGCCAATGCTACGAGATCTAAATCTCCAGACAATACATGTCAAGTTCGACTCAACATTCTTTAGCCAGGGGAGTCGCTATCGTAAGGCTCCATCGCCGGAGACTGACGCTGCGTGGAACTTTGCAGGCGCCAACTGTATGATAACTATTCCACTCTTTCATGTTTCCTTGCTCTCTTCGCCAATCCCTCGCTGCATCATAACCAGACTGACGGCCAAGCAGTTGGGTTTCTTCTCATCCCCGAAGATCAGGCAAATGAATCGGATTTAACATCTGATCACATCCACCTTGCCGGCGGTCCAGATCAAGCCAATCTTACGGGGATTCCTGCCGATGTCGAAGTTTTTCATCAGCTACATTGCTTGGTATGACACACCGGTCCCTCTCCCAAAAGAATATCTCCTGATTCACGAATTATTTGTAGAATCTACTTCGAAAGGCGACGTGGTATAATCACGATTACTATCGAAAGCTTGGCACGGACGAGTTCCAGCATCCAGACGGCACACTATCCGTCCATGTTGGTACGTAGACACCAGCGAGGAAAGATGAAACATTAAGTCCCGAATAATATATATATGCTAATATACTTTGCTGGTTTCTATTCTAGACCATTGCATAGACAATCTACGCCAACGGATTATGTGTACGGCTGATGTTGGGCTCGTGCCGTTCTATTGGGTCGGAGACGACGGTCAAACAGATCCTGAGTTCAGTCGGACGCACACCTGTCGTGACTTCGAGACCCTACACGACTGGATGATGGAGCACATGATTACAATGGACTCGAACGCCACCCTGCTTCCTAGACCTGGTGACTATAGAGTTGAACATTTCCACTAATTAGCTATCTATACACTCTGTGAAGATATGAAAGAAACGCGGGGTAACCGCGGGGGCTGGCAGTGCATTCGCAGGCAATATATAATATGGAGAAAATGATAAAATCAGTTTTTTGTCTACGAATGAAGTGATAGATGTAGTGTGATTACCTCGCTTTCCTATTCTGCCTGTGAGCACCTATTACATCCAATGGCCTATTTTCTTCCGTATACGCTCCGGATTGTATCTCCCGGAGACCAATCGAAGGGTTCGACGGGATTCTCTTCAGAAGCAAACACAGTCTGCCATGCCAGCGTCGAGTCGCGACAAGAATGCTGATGTCCCTGACCATTGACTGCACTCAAGAGGATATTACCATCTGCGTCGTATTTAATAAATGGTGGCTCCAGAGTGTCATCACCATTGCATAGCAAAGCCTGGGTAAATAAAAAAAATAATGTTAATCCAGAGCTAACTTTCATATAAAACAGAAGAGAAACGGATTGGAAGAGAAGGGTAAAAGAAACGCACCCGACCGATATATCCCAAGCAATGCTCCACATGCGCTCGCTCATCTACTTTCAGGGTTGCACCATCACGTCCGCCATGCGTATGCGTCCCATGGCCAGCATTTACCGGAGCAAGACCGAAGTAGTTTTGCATCGTAGCGCGCAGCATCTTCAAGCAATGGATGCTGTGGAACATACTGACGCCCCAACCAAGATTGTACGTCTCGTTGTGTTTGACCAAGAGGAAGCCGCCGAGAGGAGTGCTCATTGCTTGATCCCATGCTCCATCAACTGCGCTATCCAGCGATTCGATATCATGGCGTTCGAGGAAGTTAAAAAGAAAATTTTGTCTTTCGCTAGATGTGCTTGTTCCTAGTAAAACATCATCTCCAGGATTGTAGATGGTGGGTTGCGTTTCTTTTTTTCCACTGTTATTTAAATTCTTCCGTGGGTTTGAAAGCGAGCCTGTCGAGAGAGAATGTAGTGTCGGAAACGCCACAATTAAAATTCCAATAACCGCAGCAGAGGAAAGCATCCATATCCAAAATCGGTTTATTTGCGTTTTTGCCATTTTATAATACTGAGAGAAGGGAATCGAGTGGAGTAAAGAAAGAGAGAGGGAGGAAGAGAGGAGAAGAGAGAGAGAGAGACTAAAATCAATAAGCGCTATTAAATTAAGTTTAGGTAAAACAGAGTAGCGGCTACCCAGTTGCAGTACGGAGTAGTATCCCCGATTATATTTTAGTTCAGGGTAGGGTCCTAATCCAATCACCTAAATCTGAATCTCTATTAAATCAGTAATTTAAAGAAATCAATTATAGGTAAATGAATTCTATGATGGTATAAATGAACACAATTACTTTTAAAAAAGATTAAAGTGATATCATACTCAACATATAAGCTTATACCTCATTAGTTGGCACTATAAATGAAGCTGCTTTTAATACATCATACCTCTACATAAATCTCCCATCTCGCGATTCTACCACAGAATAGCAGGAAAGCTATCATGAACCTAGCAATGGCAAATGCCCCTTACACGTCCACACTGATTATGGCCCACACAATCGCAAAAGGGATACCGCAAAGCCAAGACAGCCGTACAGAAAGGCAATAAACCAGTTCATACGCTCGATGATTTCGATCCCCCAACCAACTGTGCCGCCTTTTACAGGACAAGCCTCTAGCTTGTGCCGGAGTTTCTTGGGTATCTTCCTGTACATCACGGGCGTAACTTCAGCATCCTCGGGGTGCTCGAACAAATGCATCAAATAACTTGAGCCGATAGGCAGCATCATATCTGCCGGCAGGGGATCGTATGTGTACTCGGTGGAAGCTGCTACAGGGGGAACCGAGGGACTACTTTGTACATCGACGAGCTAGCTACGATACACCTCGAACTGCGAAGGTGGAAGGATAAGCAAGGCCAATGGTGGGCGCATATCTGGACGGGAAGCACTCACTTTGACAGAGCAGATCGAATGTACCTTTCGCAGCCGTGTCCACGCGCTGTGACCGCGCTGGGTAGTGTAGTAATACCACAAAACCTGGATGAATTCCTGAATTGAGTTGATACGGCAGACCTCAGTCTGGTGCAGCTTCGTCGCCCAGCGGCGGGAACGGAACACAGAGAAGAACAAAGCTGTGGTCGATATCAAGCACTCCGGTCTGTTTCGGACAAAGACCAAGCTTCATCTCGAATTGGGAGTCTCTGCGATGGAGGGGCAAGGCCATGGGGCGGAGCGTCTCAACTATGCCCGCTAACAAATTCCATAAATGCGTAAATGTGCGATTACGAACTGAGAAGTCGTTGGGGCCCCCTTCGAAGTCCTTGGGGTCAATTAGGCTATAGTTTCCCGGTTGTTGGATTCTCTCAAATAGACATGCCATTCTTGCACCGCGCCAGCGCGCCTCCCCTCAAATTCATCGTACAGCTAGCTGCCTTCCGCATTTCTATGGAAAAGCCAGCCTTCTATCATAACCAGGCATAACAGAGAAATAGAAAGCAGCCAAGTGCCTACACAAGTCCCTGTGGCCCTTTTTTTACCCTCTGCGGCGCCGGGCCTGCAAAGACGTGATAGAGCGTTCTCGAAAAGAAGCTCTATGGAGTATAAGATCATGTTGATCACTGGTTGTGGATGACGCAATCCAAAGAATTCTCGGGCGATGTATTTAAAGTAGAGAATGGAGTCAATTTTAAATAGAAACGATAGAGCAGCCACATAGTTATAATTAATTTGGCCATCTCGGCCGATGTCCTCGCTCTCATGCGGTCTCCCAACATGGATCTCTTGCTCCCACTCGGTGATGAAATAACCACTCTCATCCTCTGCGTCGTCTCTTCGATTCAGTCAACGGTACGACTCATTAATTATCTGAGAAATATTACGTCGAGATCTTTTCACAAATCTGCCATCTGCAATTGGAAATCCGTAGTTGGGATGGCACGGCCACCGTCTATAGCATGCTTTCTTGCCAATTCTCCTAGGTCTGCTGCGTATCGTCGAAGAAATCTCTCTATATTCCGTATGGCTTTCTCGCATGTCCCTGATTGTTGGGCAACTTGTGGCCACAAGAAACAGACGTCCTGGAACAGAAGAAGCTGGCAGAACAAAGCCTCAAGTGCATTAACATTAGTAATTGTTACTGACGACGAGACAGAGATGATTGCCTCAGCCTCGATCTCGATTGATTCATCATCCGACTGGATTTCTTGACCGTAAACATTCTCTATAGAGGGTATGATGGAAGATGGACTGGATTTACGCGAGTGGGGCAACTGGTTCTCCCCAGTCCCTTCTAGTGACAGAGTCTATACGTCCGAGTCTTTTTGACTGTTCAAGGCCGGATGTTCTCCATTCGATAAATGCCTTGGGTCAAGAAGGTGGCCTAGATTAAACAGATTCCCCTGATCCCAGTTACTTTCGAGAACGGTTCGCTCAGCTGTCACTTCCAGCCATTTTTCGTTTTGTAGTGAAGTATCTATGTTTATGATCTCTTCCGGCAAGATCGAGGCGATAGCCAAATTCATATTTTTCGCTTCACCTCGCTTGTTGACTCCGAGAGTCCGACCGAAGTTCAACTTCTTGTTGGCGTTCAACTTTGTCCGCGTTTTAGAATGCGAGACATTCCTCGATAACCGCTCTGATGGAAGAGTGATTGACGAGAATATAGATGGAAGAGCAACCAGACCAGGCTCATTATCATAACCTCTGTTAGTGTATGTGGAGCTACGAGATTTTGAACTTGATGCTGTATGATCCGAGCAGGTGTACCCCAAAAAGATTGTTCGCTGGATCGATTGTTTGCCATATTTGGCGCACCTATCAATTGCGTGTTGGTAGTATAGGTATTCACACGTAGCGTAGAGCTCAATAAGTTGATACCAAATATTTGACCAGCGTATTTTGTGCAGACTTGATTATGAATCCCAGCTGTAAAGAATGTAGGTTATTGCATATCACTCGTACTGCCAGTATAGTTTATGTTGGAATAGGTAACCCTTATAAGCATAATAACCTCGTTCGTAGAGAGCGGGGCCCGTTTTTTATCCAACAGTTTAAATGTTATGATGGATTAGGCTGGGAATTACTCTCTGCTAAAATTTATGCTAACAAACTGTCACGGTAACTAAAGCTCAATATGCCAAGAGCAGAGCCAGTTTTCCAGCCTATCAATGCACATTTATGAGTTAGCTTCTTTATTGGCTAATATAGCATAGGTATGCTCACATCGCCACAGTGTATACAAGTATTAACCCGCCGTTTTTAACAAGTATATAGAAATAATCTGTTTCAAGGCTGAGGAGAACAGTTTGAAGAAACTGTGCCTGATTTGGGGTTGCTACAATAATAGAGACAGTTATCCGTGCTTGAGCTAGTAGCTACAGCTTAGGCACAAAGAGCAAGCTTACTCCGTAGAAATTGGCCTGGAACTACCAGGTAGGCACTCTGTACGGAGCCTCATCTCTAGAGAGCTTAGTGTGGCGAGTGGGTATACATTATATGGCTAGAGGAGAACGCAGTTTGTGGCTGTGTAGCAACGGGCGGACTTCGGATTCCGTTTTAAGCACATAATTACCAATGATGTGGATAATGTGCCCCATAATACACGGGAAACAATGTCCGAACATTAATCAGTCCTACGTCGCTTGTCAAGTATTTGCATACATCTCGGATCATCACGCACCTGTGCAATATCTAAGAATGCAGACGGATCAGACGGAAGAATCTAGTCGGGTGAGAGCTTGTGCCCGGAGAGCTTGCCAGGAATGCAGCAGAAAGAAATCCAAGGTAAGGCTCGTATCTCGAGTATGGTTGAGTAATCTAACGACAGGTATTGTGTGTTTGAAGTGTGACAGGGCGCTTCCTAGTTGTTCGTCATGTCAGAAGTACCGTAGGGTATGCAATTATGAGAGGCCAGACAAGACGCCACTAACGAGGAAGTATAACACCGCACCTCAGGTATTTACCTGGGACAGGTACTCTACTAATTAGACTGTAGGCATCTGACACAAGTTGAGGAAGAACTTTCCAGGGCGAAGGCCTTGTTAAAGGAATTTCAATCACATCCGAGACATGAAAAAAGAAAAGAATCTTCCATGTCGCTCTCTGAGATTAATGTAGGTGACAGAGAGACAGTAATGCAATCTGAACCTCCCTCGCAATCCACAGAGTATGGGGGAAACAATGAGACCGAAGTAGCCAACCCCTCTCAGAGTCTACTTCTTCAAAAGGACTTCGCCCCATCACGTTTCAGAGATGCACAGCCACCGGAGACAGGATACAGCACAGCTACTGCTCATATAGCAAGTCCTAATGATCAGAATTTATATACACCCTTCGCTGATAGACTGTCACGGTCTCATAGAGACATCATGAATTCTCTAGAAAGTCCCCCAATATCAGGAAGTTTTGAATGGGATGAGCGAAATGGCCAGCCTGGCGGACAAAAATTCGTTGATGGAATGGGGAGTTTGACCAGCGATGTAGATGGTAGTGGTTATCTTGGTATATCCCCCGCTTCTTACATACGGGCTATTTTCAATGTTTATTCAAACAAACACTAACGCATGGGAGGCGTTGCTTCGGGAGCTGCACTTCTGCGTATGACTGCAGGCCACAAGGAGCATCGATCTGGAACAGCAAGCCCCAGGGCGTCCATAATACCATTTGCCATTACCTCTTTATCTGCATTGGACGGTTATATCGACGACTACTTTTCACTCTACCACCGCTCATACCCCATAATACACGAAGCTACCTTTCGAGCTCAATTCATGGAAGTCATCCCACGGCCCAGTGGAAATGCCTGGCAAGTCTTGCTCTATGTTGTAGCTGCTCTGGGAGCATGGTCAACTGCTACGCAGCAGGCAGACGCTCACACTGGACTATTTGAGGCAGCAAAGGCAAGATTTTCAATTGATCTGTTGGAAACTGGCAATTTAGTCCTGGTTCAAGCTTTGACATTAATGTCGAACTATGCGCAAATGGGAAACAAACCAAATTCCAGTTACAATTACTACGGGTTAGCACGACGTATTGCCATGGGAATTGGCCTTCATAAAGAATTCTCAGCCTGGCAGCTAAACCCACTGGTCGTAGAAATGAGGCGCAGGGTCTGGTGGTGTTTGTATGCATTCGATGTGGGAAGCATCATCACTTTCTCTAGGCCATTCGACTTTCCACAAACTGGAGTCGATGTTGAATTGCCAACTAATATTCATGACATCGTTAGTACAGCCGGCATTTTTAGGAATGACGCACAGCTGACTGACCATTTAGGATCTTACAACGTCTACAACCCAAAAACCACAACCAGCAGATGAGACCACGCTATACTCACATCTGAGAGCCCAATGCTCTTTTCACATGGCTACCTGCAATATATACGAGCGAATGATATCAAATTCTTTGCCAACGGCAGGAGAAATGACTGCGTTGGACGATATATCAATCGGTCCATGGCTGAAATCACTACCCCATTACTTTCAGCCGCACGCTACTCAACCGCCCAAATATGCCTTCTGTCATGCTACACTTCAATGGCGGTATCGCAATTTGCGTATACTAGCATACCGCCCATTTCTTGTTAGACGGGCCATGTCTAGTTCGGAGTGGGGACAAAACCAGGACAATTCGGAGGACCTAGACAGCATTGATATCGCATTCGAGCGCTGTCTGGATGCGTCAAGGGAATCGGTCGAACTCATCTCAAGCTTCTGGTTCAACAATTCCCAGACAATGATGGCTTCTTGGTACGGGCTATACTTTTTGTTTCAAGCAGTCCTTATTCCAATCGTCTGTCTTCGTAATAATCCGCGATCCGACCTTGCAGGAGCATGGCGTGACCAGATTCACGAGTCTATCAGGGTTTTAGAATCCATGACGCGACTTAATCCCACAGCAAGTCGATGCCTTCGCGTCGTGACATCTCTGACCCAAGCATACATCTCGAGTGAAGAAGAAATAAACGGGCCTACTCAAGAGTCATGGCAGGATCAGCTGACAGGCCTATACCCGATGATGTGGCCAGAACTCGGATCGGATTTTGCGCCACTTGATCGTATCAACATACTGTAAGGAATCCATTGTAACTTTGTAAATTTTGATTCATTGTTACAGATCCCATGCTAACTTCTGTGGATTTTAGACAAGAATCAACCATCACGGATTTTATGAATCGAATGTCTGCGTATGAGTGAATTCTCACGCCAGCTATTGGCGACATGCGCCTTTCGAAGCTAGATCGCCATTCCGGTTGGCATTCTCACGGTTCCGGTGTTTACAGCACATTAAACCCCTGCTCAATCTAGAGTGAACGCCTATCTCATCCCCAACGCAGGCTCTATTCGTCTTGTTCAGATACAAATATATAGCTAGTATCTGGCGAAAGAAGTTCCATTACAACCTATCGTTGTCACGTTCAATTATGCACAACAAAAAATCTTTCATTTCAATCTTCCCTTCCAAATATTTACCGGCAGCAATATCCTCCGTCAATTATAATATCTGCTCCGGTGGTAAAAGTGCCAGCATCGCTTGCAAGGTAAAGATATATCCCCTTCAACTCTTTCGCCTCTCCCTCGCGTCTCATTGGCGTGAGACTCAGCCATTCATCCTTCCATTCTTTCGGAATTCTCGAAGATATCGGTGTTTTGATATAACCGGGCGAAACTGCATTCACACGAGCAAAGCCCGCCCACTCCACTGCGAGGGATTTGGCGAGATGAATAACACCAGCTTTGGACGCATTATAGCAGGCCTAAATATAATATTCTTGTTAAGTTTCTAGAGTGCCGGTTACTGGAGCAGACGTAATATTTGGAACACACCTGACGCTGTGGAACATTTGCTATATGACCAGACATAGATGCTGTAAAGATAAGGCTTCCGGATCCTTGCTTTCGAAAGATTTCACCTGCCACTTTAGCGCAGTAGTAGGCTCCGTCTAGATTTACACCAATTACTTGCTCCCAGTTTTCAATGGGGTCATCAATACCGCCTAAGAAACTTGTTAAGCAACGATTATAAGTGAACGAATACTTATGTACCTGCTGGACGGGAGATGCCTGCGTTTGCAATCATGACATCGAGCCGACCGAAGTCATTGACTACAGCGGCCGTTTGTTTTTGAACCTCTTCGAAATTCTCAACCGAACACTTGTAGGCCTTTGCTTTTACGCCGAAATCTGCTTCAATTGTAGCTGCGAGGTCGTCCGTATTCGCGGCACGGCTATACCAGAGGGCAATCTGGAGCTATAGTCAGATACAAGAGCATACAATGCTAGCATCCGAAAGAAATGGCAAACCAACATTGGCGCCTGCCTCTGCAAGGCCTCGAGCTGCTTCGTATCCGATTCCTCCCGAGCCACCAGTGACAATAACAACCTTGCCAGTCATGTCAAACATTTTCATGACACTGTCCGACAGCGCCATAGGTGGTGCCAGTGCTTGAAGAGAGGTTTTTGAAGAATCCATTATTGTGAATTGAAGTGCCTTTGCGTTACACAACGTAATTTGTGTGCTTATGTGTCTTCTAATTATAAATTGATCGGTTCTTTGAGCAATTCAGAATTGTATGAAGGTGCAGCTATTATCTGATGACGCGAAGTATCTACGACTATTCACAGGGTCCTAGAGCGAGGTTCTTGTATGATTTTCTACAAAATTACGGTAGATGACCCCCGACTATCATTGTCTTAGGCTGACTTGCGGTAGACAAGATCCGAAAGAATGATTAATATCATCGGACCACTGTCTCCGCGTTGTTCGGATAGCCAGGGTTTTATTTTATAAATACCGCAGGCAACCCGTTAGTCCGCCGGACACAAAGCTCCGTGTGAAGAGTTCCGGGCATGTGTTGGCCGATGGCTATTGACTGCAGTTACATGCATGAAGATACTTGCATGAATAGATGTAATAAAACTAGTTAGCAAGTAATGTCGAAATACCGCAATCCCTAGCCATCATAAAGACCCGTAAAGACCCTCAAACTCTTGTCTTATAGTCAAGGATTGAGATATCCATCTGTTACTGATACTGAGACGCTCTCTGAGAATTCGAAATGACAAACAATACTGTAAATCCTCAAAGATCCCAAACTCGTCATTATTTCAATCCAACTGATAACTAATTGCAGGAACTTAATCCGGCTTTTGTGCTTAAAGCTATTGGACATGCAGATTTTGAAGACAGACCAATCCCCAAATTGAGGGATGCTTGGGACGTCCGAGTTCATATTGCCCAAACCGGGATATGTGGTTCGGATCTTCACTACTATGACAATGGGAGGATCGGAGGTTAGTCACCTACATATGATTGGGATCACCGCCATGGCCGCGAAAGCCGAAAGTTGTACTGATGTTCAAATTAGATTTTGTCCTGACTACACCCATAATTTTGGGACATGAAAGCTCAGGAACTGTTGTGGAAGTAGGTTCCGCCGTCAAAAATCTCAAAGTTGGAACCCGTGTCGCGATCGAACCAGGAGTACCGTGTCGACAGTTAGTTTGCTCCTACATACTAGCAGCGGTATTTGCTAACTTGTGTACGTAGTTGTGATTATTGCCGCTCCGGATCCTACAACTTGTGTCCCGACACTATCTTTGCTGCTACGCCACCATGGGATGGTACACTTGCCAAATACTATATTGTCGCGGCTGACTACTGCATTCCTCTTCCAGATTATATGGATTTGGAGCAAGGAGCTTTGGTGGAACCAGTAGCTTGCGCCGTGCAAATGACCAAGGTAGGCAACGTGCGAGCCAACCAAACTATTGTTGTCTTCGGCTGCGGTCCCATCGGCGTCCTCTGTCAGAAGGTCTCCAAGGTTTACGGTGCAAAGAAAGTGATTGGAGTAGATATCAGCCAGGGGAGACTAGATTTCGCGAAAAGCTATGGCGCCGATGGTGTTTTCCTGCCTCCCAAGAAGCCCGCAACTGTTAATACTGACAATGAGTGGAATGAGGAGCTGGCTAGAATGATCAAGGAAGAGTTCAACCTTGGTGACGGTCCAGATGTTGTGATTGAAGCGACGGGGGCCGCAAGTTGCATCTCAACTGGAGTTCATTTGACAAAGAAAGGAGGCACCTACGTTCAAGCAGGCATGGGAAAAGAGGTAAAGCTCTTCTCTTCCCGTAAAGGACAATTTCTCGAGTTAAATCTTTGCTAACATAGTGGTAGGTTGTGGAGTTTCCAATCACTGTTGCATGCATTCGTGATCTCACAATTCGTGGCTCAATTCGCTACACGACGGGCTGTTATTCAACTGCAGTTGATCTGGTTGCCAGTGGCAAAATTGATGTGAAGCCGCTAGTCACAAACCGATTCAAGTTTGAAGATGCAAAAGATGCCTTCCAATTGGTGAGAGAGAAGCACGAGAATGTCATCAAGGTTTTGATTCAGGGAGTTTAGAATTGCTTATTCACTCACTAGGTGTGAATCTACATCTCCTTGTTGTGAATTGGTCTTTTAACATCTAGAACTTCTGTAATTATGGCGCCAGATCAGAAATATCAAATACAGAATGCTTCATTACACGTGAGAATCATGTCAACTCTCAACACCTCCTAGATTGAACTTTAATTGCTATTATTTCTCTAAAGCTGGCGTCACTGTCTTTTTGCTAAATCTAATTAATGTTTTTAAGAAGTAAATGGTGCTCTTATATAAGGTAGTGTGTAAGCAGGAAATTGTGAATGCTTCCTTTATCCATTTATATATAGGCTCGAGACAGACATAGCAACATCGATCACGCATAACTAGCCACCAAGTGACGCGTGCAAATACTGTAATTGTATAATTATGACTGAACTACAAACAAAAAAGAGAGAGAAAAGAAAAAGATTTTTTTTTTTTTTACGAGATAGGGAAATAATAACTCCATGTTTCTCCTTGTAACAAACTTAGACTAGAGTATATCCTCCATCAACAACCAAATCAGCACCGGTGACGTATGACGAAGCATCAGAAGCAAGGAATAAGAAGGCACCCTTAAGTTCATTTGCATGGGCCTCCCGGCTATATTTTAAAATTAGCACAGTTCAAAAACTCATCACCAATCGCCATGTATTACTTACCCCATGGGAATTTTATTCTTCCAGATCACTCTCATCTCCTGGGGGATAAAGCTAGATATCTCCGTTGCAATGTACCCGGGAGAAACAGAATTGACTTTTGCAAATTTCACCCATTCAATTGCAAGAGATTTGCAAAGCTGAATCACGCCGGCTTTTGCTGCATTATATGCGGCTTGGAGCTGTGGAATGTTGACGATGTGACCACTGATGCTTGCAGTGGCAATGAATGATCCGCAACTGTAGTTTTGATCTAGTACTTTCCCGTTCGCATCTGTGCCTTCCAGCCCTTGGCGGCGAAAATGTCTTCCAGCAGCTCGCGCACAATAGAAAGTGCCATCAAGGTCAATATTGACCACGTCATGGTAGTGCGAGAGGTCTCCTTCGAGGGCAGGGCCTTGGGTCCAAGGAATGCCGGAGTTGGCGACAAATATATCCAATCGTCCTCCAAATTCCTTTACAATATCATCCGTTGCCTTCTGTACGTCGGTATATATCGTTGTATTGACTTTATAAGCTCTGCCTTCAAATTGTGTTAGGACAGATTGAGTTTCATAATCGAATATGGTACTCACATTTTACCCCGTACTCGCGTTCCATTTCTGCTGCTCGCTCAACTGCGTGATTGTTACTATTGTACCATATGGCGACATTTGCGCCAGCTTCCGCATATGCCTGCGCAACAGCGAGCCCGATCCCCGCTCCTGCGCCTGTAACAATTGCCGTCTTCCCCTTCAGGGAGAATAAAGGCATTATCCTTTCTGCCCCAGGACCAGCGATAGCATTCCCATGGTTAAAGTTGCCTTCGACATTGATTCCACCGTCAGACATATTAGAATCTCAAGTATCTTGATTGTAAGTGAATCAATAACAACAGCATGCCGTTCAGTGCCATTTATGTCTTATTCTTTTGGGCTCCTAGCGTAGCGGGGTAGGACCACCGAACTCTTTTACCTACCCATGGAATTGGCGGCTTGACGCCAATTCAAGCACCAATGAGTTTGTAAATGGATTCTCATCCTCTTCGAACGGATTTCTGATCCCGTTCAGGAGCCCTAGACCTTACTAAGTGACTAACATAATTCGCTCGGAATCCGGAACCCGGGGTCCGCTGTACACCAAGTCTCTAATCAGGCGTCTGCTATCCAAAGCGCTTAGGGTCGGATCGCATCAAACCTGTTAAGGAACTTGCGTGCTATTATTGGTAGTTGGCATTGTTTTCACCCTGATATTTCTACTGTCGGTTTTCATGTTGGCCATCAATCTCCGAGTGGGCTTCCTGGTAGCGGGACTGTTATTCCGGTCGCGGGAATTGCAGCCTGGTATAAAACACATGCACAGAGTTTACGGCAGAGCGACCTTTTTTTCTACCCATAGTCCTAGATGGGTCTTATTGTATCATCATCATTTAATACGTTGGGCAGAAAGCTTTTTTTTTGGAATTCAATTTGAGTTTTGGATCCATAATTTTCACAATGGCCTCTCAAATCATGGAAATTATTATCTTTAGCGTGCAGCCTATTATAATCAGTGAAGGTCAATCGCTGCTCGCAAACGACAAGTGGAATAATGCTCTCTCCACATTGACGCAGCAGAATGGGGTGCGAACGGCTTACTGGGGCCAGACAATTGAGGCCCAAGACAAAGTGTACCTGTTTATAGGTACGCTCTTATCCTTTTGGTGCGATGAATCCATCATGATGCTAACGAACAATGGTTGAAAGACTGGATCTCAAAACAACACTGTGTCGACTTCAAACAATCGACAGCGTTTGCAACTTTGCAAACAAATATCGACAATATTACCCCAGGCACTCCTCAATCAATATATGTACCCATTGCCCCACATATGTATCCACGAATTTTCCATGATGGAGTGATAGAAATTGCAATATTCTCCTCCTACAACTCAAGTTTTATCGATACCTTTGCGAGATTTTCATCCATCATTGTGGATACTCAGGGGTGTACTGGTATTGCTAAGGATATCGCGACCAACGAAATATTAGTCGATATAGAGGAGACCGGCGGGAGTGAGGAGCTCTACGTAGCATTGATTGGGTGGTTAGATGTGGCAACCCATCGTATAGCAATGGAGACAGACGCATTTAAACAGAATGTTCCATTGATTGAGGAGTGTTCTCGAGTGATCACTGTGTATCATATTAAGATAGTCATGGTTTAGGAGTTTCAAATTGCGGTTCTCATTCTGTCTGTCAATACTTATCAACACTAGCGAATAGCAGTGGTGCCAAGTGCCAATAGCAGAAGTCAAGACACAAAGAGAGCGATGGGATCAAAGAGGTGGAGGCTAGCTAGCTAGCTACAACACCGCAGCTAGGTACACAATAATGACTGTATATATCTTGATCTCTTTTAATGAAGAGAGGAAGTTTCCTCTCTTTCATAGCTCTATTAAAACTATGATACCTAGTCTGAACTTTGCTGCTTCTTTGCGGCGAAGAAGCTTCCACGTCCCTGACAACCAATGTCAATTTTCATAAAGGAATTTCGTATATATAGTGTTTAAAAGCTGTTCTCCATAGGCGCTATTATAGATTCCGACATGATTAACATTAAAGCATTGCAACGGCCATATGTAGACAAGGAGTCCAGGTGAGGATTCCTTGATAAATCGATAGGAGCAATCAACGATAGCAGATCACATGAATTATCAACGATTCCAGTAGACATATTAGAATACCAGCCTTTCGATGCAAGTAACAATTATCAGTATGCATTAGAAACGTTCCACTGATCCACAGGTAAATTATGTCAGATGCCAAAAAATATTAGAGTACCTTTGCCTTAGGTATGAATATCCAATACATGTACGCACTGCTAGCGAGAACAATATTAGACTATATCGAATGCTCAATGTGTTTACATCGCTTATAAGAGGACCTGGCCACCATCGCAGATAATATCAGTCCCTACAAGAGATGATATGTTAGCAATAGAAAAAGAATCAAAGGTGTCAGATATTACCATTCATATAGCTGCTTGCATTGCTTGCAAGAAGAACGACAAGGCCAGTGAGCTCGTTGGGCTGGCCCATTCGTCCCATTGGATTTCGGTCTGCCCACTAAATCATTAGGCATTATTAGTGAGTATTGTACAAATTCCATCTACTCGATAGAGAGACGTATGATGGTTGGCAACGATGGCCGGTATATAAAATTCTTTGGGGAAAGCTACTTCTTATATCATGATGTATGGGGGACTCACGACAGCTCGAGCATCAGCGATACCATCTCCTTCATTGAGGATGGTGTCCATATAGCCTGGAGAAATGGAGTTCACTCTTATTCCATATCTGGCCCATTCAGCCGCTAAACTGTTTTTCATGGCCAGAACAGCTGCCTTGCTGGTGTTGTAAGCAACTTGTGGTTGGGGGAAATTGACTCTATGGCCAGAGATGGAGGCTATGAAGACAATACTTCCCCCTGTACCTTGCAAAATGATTTGTTTTGCAACCGCTTGGGCGCATAGAAAAGAGCCCGTTGTGTTGATCTCAAGTGTTCTACGCCACTCAGCAGCAGTTATTTCAACTGCATGGACACAGCCTACCACACCAGCAAAACAAAGGAGGATATTTACCGATCCCAAAAGTTCTGCAGTATCTATGACTGCACTGCTTACAGCAACTTCATCAATAATATCGACCTGTTTACTCAGGATTTTGGCACTTGGATATTCGACTCTCAGTTGTTCGATCTCAGATTCTGCTTGGGCGAGAGTTCGATCAAAAATCATCAAACCCGTCAATCCATGCTCCAGGAGGGCTCGCGCTGCGGCTATTCCGAGTGTACCCGCTCCGCCTGTGATTCTGCTGAAATATCAGTCTAACACGAGTCGTGCCTTGGGAATGAATTCAAGTACATTGCGTTTCCCTCAACTTTAAATCTGAGCTTTGCCATGTCGCCTGCTTGAGAATTGGGCATCGTCTGCGTTGGTTTGGGCGTGAGTGTTGCCTGAACTCTGTTGAAAGCCATCTGAGGTAAAACACGGCTTTTCAGGGCCTCTCTGTCCGCTGCACCAGCTTCTGATTTTGTCATAATGTGTTCAGAGATCGGATCAAATTGGGTAGAGTCTGGTTCTTCTTATGAAGTATCGGACGGTGGCAAGGTAGAACCGCAATGTGTATGCACGTATTAATAAAATACTTCGTTCGGCCAGCAATTGCTTACGTCCTATTACAAGTTGAGGCAACAAATAAGGGCGTAAAAAAATGATCACGTTCTCTGTGGTGAAGAAGCATTCTTTGTCATAATGAGCTTGTGTTGATATAACCTCTCATGTAGCAAACAATCAGTACAACAGATGTCACAGATTATATCTCTTTAGTAATTAGACCGGCAATTTTTCCCGAAGCCTAATCACCGAATGCCTTTTTACCAGCACCGCCCTTATACGGATAGGGCACAGGCGCCCGCAGCCACATGCCCCATAACTTAAGAGCCGATAATACAGGTTAGCAACTTTGCTTTAGTCCTGATGTAGATTAACGCACGGAGAATGTTGCCCGGACTGCGGACATGCTTTTCCGAACGCATAGAGTCAGACAACGAAAATGGCTCCCAATGTCTTAACGTTGTATTTGTAGAAATAAGTGGATGTTGGCGAAGAGTGATCATTTATAGAGTTTTTCTGCTAAATAAACATCCCCTAAACTGCTACAAAGCCCCGCAATATAAATTACAGCCTTCTCGGATTACAAGATTCGCAAAATCCAGCTATTCCTATAATCCGCATACTGTTCGCAAAATAAGATAGAGCATAGTGGTTCGGGAACGGTTAAAGCAGGTGGTTTAAAGAATTGGCACCGTACCTATAAGATGTCATAAATTCTAGGCGGCTTCTTATCCTTATTGAAACATGGAGTCAGTTTACTCTTTTCTTACCGCCCGTACATTACACCTGAAAACGAGCCATAATGATCAAAATCGGGTCATCGTGACTTTAGCCGGCCCTCCCGGTTCGGGAAAATCCACAATCGCAGCAGAAGTTGTTTCGCGTCTCAACATATTTGGCTCACCGCCCACTGCAGCGGTGTTGCCAATGGATGGCTTCCACCTTTCACGCACTACTCTTGACAGAATGCCCAATAGCACCGAGGCTCACGCTCGCCGAGGCGCCTCATGGACGTTTGATGCAGCTGGTGTAGTGAGCCTCGTGGAGGAACTGTCAGAATCAAGATTCGGAGCGCCTAAGAAGACCATAGTTGCGCCTAGTTTTGACCACGCGATCAAAGATCCCATTAAGGGAGGAATTACTTTGGGCCAAGAGGTTCAGTTTGTGATTCTCGAGGGTAATTATCTGCTACTGGACGCAGAGCCATGGCATAGAATCAGGGAGCTTGTTGATGAAACCTGGTTTGTGGACGTGGATCCTGCACTGGCGATAGAAAGAATTACCAAAAGGCATATTCAAAGTGGTATTGAGCTCAGTTTGGAGGGAGCCTTAAAGAGAGTGAAGGGTAATGATTTGTTAAACGGTGTTCAGATTAGAGAAAAGCTTTTAACGCCTGATGTGAGGGTGGTGAGTGTAAATGACTAGAGAATTTTAACTAATTAGGCAAGTGTATTTAACGTGATACTTTCAAGCAAAAGACAAGAGTTTACGTGCCATGTTAACTAAGCTAAGAGACTTTACAGTGCGCTTGCTTGCTGTCAACTGCAGACGATGGCGCTGTGTAAGATATAACTGCCAAAGGGGCTTCACTTCCTTCGCTCTTGGAGATGGAAGGATGGCGGGCAATTGCTGAATCTGTGCCCCTCATAACGTCATTGTGCAACTCGACATGTTTCAAATACCCCAGACGGATATTTGTCGAATTGGAACCTGGTTCGCCGTCGGCCGTCTTTTTGTGGCGAAGAAAGGTGTATATTGAGTGAGAGATGGCGACATTTGCGGCGATGATGCCTAGAAAAAGTTCAAGGTTGGACCAAATGGCCGATTTTGCGTAATCCCCTACCGTTAGTCCTTTTAGATGGCTGATAAAGAGGCTTAGGGGAATTAAGTGAGATGATTTACATACAGCTGAGATCGACGGTCACAAGGCCGAGGGACGCGGCCCTAGCTACACCAAACCCCGTGGCACTATTATAGACAAATTAACCATTAGTAACGCATATGAACCAAGCGCCGAAGTTGTAGCAATTAGCTTACAGGAGACCAAGACTCATTAGGCCACAAACAGCGACTTTAGTATGCATCTTAATACGAACGCCCCATACAACATACATAGGAAGCAATGAACATAATATGTCGGTTGCGATTGAATATGCTGTGCGTAGTAGCTAAGATGTTAGCGGCTACCGCCCAAATTTCGAAATCAACCCACTTGTATCGTTTATTAACTTTACCTATAGTGAAATATATAGCGTAGATTCGAATTCTTGTGTCCCAGCATTTTCCACCTATTTGAGTCCAGTACACGGATGGGGGAGAGCATTCTGCAACGAGAATAACAATAGTACCAAAGTTGGTAATAAAGAGCCCGCTAATAACGGCATAAAGAATCCGGCGGACCTTCGCCTCGTCTCTGAGACGTATGATTAAGAATAATATAGAGGATTTTAAGAAGCACACGCCAGCGAAAAGAAGAATCTGTGAGTACCACCCCAGCATATTGTTGTTGATGTAGTCAGATTCGCTAATATACCAGCGGTGACGGCCGTTATTATAAACTGTGACTTGTACCACTTGAATAGCCATTCGAGGAAGTGCCAGAATATTAACTATAATCATGGAGTAGTCATCCAAGCCCTGTGCGTTGAGAGAGAAGCGAGTATAAATCCGCAAAACGGTCGTTAGAAGCATAAAGCCAGTTAGGATGCCCGTGACGACGATCAGTGTAGTTCCGATATTTCGGTTCGAGGGAAGGGAATCGGGCGGCGGCGGGCGAGTCATGGTGGTAGATGTCGTCACACTGGTAGAAATTAAGAATATGTAAAGGCAAAGCAATATTATGGCGACGTCCACATCTTATCAGTGGACATACGGCACCTAGAATAGAGGATGTACTTTGCCATCCCCTAAACTAGGCTCACTGGCTAGGGTGCCCAGTAGCTACTTCTTCAGGCTGACTTGGATCAGAAATTTGGGAGCCAAATTAGTACGAGGAATGCTGCAGCACATCTTGTTTCTGCAGAAATGCTTTGGTCTTATGTAAAAATTTACTTCAACTACCTAGTAGTTGGAGGCAGTCTGCGACCTGGGGTAAGGTAACATCAATCCTAGCCGCTAACTCTCCACCTTGCTTGCCACATAGAGGCAGAAATTAAGTCAGTTGGTCCGTTACTAACACGCTTTCTGCTCTTGAAACACTTCGAAGACATTGGAGCATGCATTTCCTACATGTGCAAGCTCACAAGGTCGCAGGATTCAGCTGGTAGAGACTCATGGGCTTGTAATCCGGATTCCCTGACCCTTGTTCCGTACTAGCGCAGGTGACATTCGACTCGCTACAGCTTTTAAGGCTGTTGGTTACCCCATGTCAACTCTGGCCCCATGGCAAGTGTTCCAGACCAGTGCATATCTCCAGACCCTGGACTTGGGGCGCTTTTGATAACAGGGTTGAGTTCGGCTAGAATGGCGAAACCAGAACGGATCCCGCGCCGAATACGAGTGGATGAGCGTTATTCTCCTTCCTTCCTCCCGAGTTGTCAAGCTCCGAAATTGCCCAGTGCTGTTGGTCGATTGTAAACGGCGCATTTAGGCAATATGCAGTGAGTTTTTCTATCAGTTGTCTGAAAGTGACGCAAAGGCGGTGTAGTGATTCATTGCATCTTTGCATCTCTGCAACGCGGGCTATATGAAGGACGTAGATACCTTGTTACTAATGATTGGAACTAGCCCTTCGTGCACTATCAGGAGACGTCTAAATAATGCGTTAGTGCTTAAAATATCATCACTCTTTTCTCTCTTAATTAATCCTTTCCGAACCCGAACTAATTTCGTCACGTTGTGAATCAAGAGCATGAGGCGATCGACACTGAGGGCCTGGCTCATAGCGGCTGTGGTCGCTCAATTGGCAACCGCTGGTTCTAATTCTAACAAACTTCAAGTTTATGACTATGTATGTTCTGGACTACCTTGGAAAGTCCTAATCTTCTAGCGGACTTGCCGTGCACCAGAATAGTAGCCGCTAATACTTTGTCGCAGGTAGTGGTGGGAGGAGGCACGGCTGGTTCAGCACTGGCCACTAGGCTAAGCCAGGGCCTGCCAAACAGAACCATCCTGCTGATCGAGGCCGGTCCTGCGGCCTTGGACGAAGATCATATTAACATTCCCGGCATGAAAGGGTCGACTCTCGGCACCATTTACGATTGGAACTTTACTACCGTGCCGCAAACCGCGCTCAATGGTAGAGTCCTCGGAGCCAACAGAGGTAAGGTGCTTGGCGGAAGCTCAGCATTGAACTTAATGACATGGGACCGATCCGCTTCTGAGGAATATGACGGCTGGGAGCAACTCGGCAATCCGTCTTGGAACTGGAAGAACATGATTGCTGCAATGGAGATGGTTGAGACCTTTACTGGTATCAATTCATCCAACTATGGCGACCAAGGGGTTGGCACCAGCGGACCTATCCACACTATAGTGAATAGGGTTATACCCGCACAGCAGCAGTTGTGGCTGCAGTCTATGGCTGATTTGGGCATCACGCATAACCTTAATTCCTTGGGTGGAAATCCTATCGGATATATGAATCAGCCTAGCAACATTGACTCGCGAACATGGACGAGATCTTACGCCGCCAACGCTTATATCCCAAAATCTGGGAAGAACTTACATCTGCTACTGGAGACGCGCGTAGCTAAGGTGAATTTTCGTAAAGACCGAAATTCATATACTGCCACCGGCGTGACACTGCAAGACGGCACTACTATCAGCGCTAGGAGGGAGGTTATTTTATCTTGCGGCACTATCCAAAGCCCTGGCCTGCTAGAATTGTCTGGTATAGGTAGCAAAGCAGTGCTATCTAAGGCTGGTATAGATCAAATTATTAATCTCGATGGTGTAGGAGAGAATCTGCAGGACCATGTTCGGTACCAAGCATCCTACCAATTGAAGGACAATTTTACCTCATTTGATATACTCAAGTACAACACCACCTATGCAGCCACGCAGCTTTCATTATGGCGTGCAAACCAGACTTCTTTATACGACTACACCGGCAGTGGATACAGCTATTTAAACTGGCATCAGGCGGTAGGCAATGTGGCTGCAAAGCTCAATGCTCTGGCGGAAAGGGTGGTGCTGTCTCTCGGGTCTGTTGTCGATAAGAAAAAGCTACAGTATATGGGATCGCTTTTGTCACCGCAAGTGGAAGTAATCTTCTCAGATGGCTACACTGGAGTAAAGGGGTACCCTGCCGTCGGCTCCACCCTGTTTGGGGAGGGCTTCTTCACGCTTATTGGTGTCGTTATGCATCCTCTGAGCCGCGGCACCATTCACGTAACTTCTCCCGACATCGATACCAAACCGCAGATTGATCCCCGATACTTGTCCAACGAGTACGATGTGCAAGCAGCTATCGAGGCCGCCAGGTACTGCCGCAAGATTGCAAATTCCGCGCCACTCTCTTCAGCATGGGTGAATGAGTACGAACCAGGAATGGCTGTACAGACGGACGAAGACTGGCGTCAGTACGTTCTCAACACTACGCTGTCCATATATCATCCCGTTGGAACATGTGCAATGCTTCCTAAGAAGGACGGTGGAGTAGTGAGCCCAAAACTAATAGTTTATGGCACTACTAATTTGCGTGTTGTGGACGCAAGTATTATACCCGTTCTTCCGTCGGCACATATCCAAACGGCCGTATATGGCATCGCTGAGCGTGCAGCTGGCTTTATTATTCAGAATTCATAGCCACACTACAGTGTTTCAATTTCTTCATTCAATTACCTCCCTTATTACCTTTGCCATAAAGCACAAAGAGCAGTGGTATTTCGAATTCTTTGATCGGAGTGGACTTGTAATTTTGCCAAGCAGAGTTCTTGAGATGCAACATAGATATCACTTCAGGGATCGTTGCCATAAGGCCACCGCCATCCCTGTCTCCAACCGCAATTACGAGAGTTTAAGCCATCCGCCTCCTATACTCTCCCGGAGGTAGACGGACTTGGGAAGGAGGTGGAAGTAAGCACTATGGTTGGGACATTCAATTTTGCTATATACACACACATATATAGACAGAGAGAGAGAGTGAGTTTAAGTATATAATCAAGGCGAAACGTTCAATAAAGCTGTACTAGTTGTTTCAATGAAAGATTATGCCCTAGCCTTGAATATACATACATATAGTCAGCCGCATCAGCAGCTCGATATGGGCATGTGGCTGAAGGTTTCATACTGTATTGGTTTCTGTTATAGGTAATAATCATTATTGTAATTATATCCCTATGGTATTTTGTGATCCTGAAGAAATATTCTCAAGCCTCGCACGAAGTAGTGGATGTTCCTACTAGACATAGTAGGGTTGATCTTCCGACCCACCCGTTCAGACGTATGGTTAATTTATCTTACAAAGGAAATGTTCATTTAACATCAGCCAATCAAATGAAATGAAGAACTTACGACGTAGGGCCCCTTTTTACGTAGAGAGCAATTCTCTTAGCAGAGAGAAATTACCTGCTTACAAATACCCTCGTTTTAGTTTCTCGCATTGTACATCCTGATTTCGGGAGTAAATATGTAATTGTCTATTTTCCCCCCACATCCTGAGTCAGTATTCCAGCGCCAGGACATTTCGCTACGCCAGCCTTATGTGGCTACTTAATCCAGTGACGTCCAATCTATTAATGATAACGCCTCTCCGAAGCTGCCTGAGGCCTCAATTGACAAGGTTTCTCAATCAGAGGTGAGTACACCGATCTAATTACTGTAATTGCCTCCAGATGTCACTTAACATCATGCCAAATCCTGACAGTCCTCACTTGGGATGTGATATATGTCGTCGACGCAGAGTCAAAGTTCGTGATATTTTTGAGCTAGAAAACTCATTTAGATTAATTAATTATGAATGAACAGTGTGATTGCACCCAGCTAGAATGCCAACGATGCATCAAGCATGGTTCTCCATGCCTTGGCTACCCTCAAGAACAGGACTTTCAGTTTCAAAATGAAACAGAAAATTTGTGCGGAAGAGGTAAGTTCACATACTTTTGGCTATTTGGGGAAGGTCAATCTAATCCCCTTATTCAGTGCTTGTATGGTGTCTAGTGGTCGTTGGAATTCGATCAATAGACATTCGACTCGCACACCCAAGCGAGCGGCCTGCGTCCCAGATGAACAATATGACATATATACCTACTTTAATAGAAAAGCACAACCATCATAGCCGACAGTCTAGCCCATTTGCTGAACGGACAGTTACGCCCACAATTCTGACGAGCTCATTGACTCTGTCCTGGGAGGTGGTCTTGGCTCAATCCTTTTTTAACCAAATGATGATGTCTGTGGGCTGGTGCTCACTTGCCCCAACTCTACTATCAATCACCGTCTAATAGTTGCATCAATGTAATTATCAAGGCAGTGCCCCTCATCTCTGCCGGCGAATCAATTCCAATATCCTTGGATGCTCCACCGCGCTATCCACCAGTACGGAATCACACTACAGACCATGAGTACTGCGATAGCTCACCCTGAAAGATCCCTGGAAGATGAAACGCTTTTTCGATATTAGTACTGAATGTCTTGGATCATATTACGGGTCAGAAAGCTATATGTCTATTTTACATCTGAATGGGTGTGCAACGTTACTTAAATTGCGCGAGGCAAGGGGATTCCGTTCCGAATAGACACCTCATTTGGCCCATTACATCGTGATATAGACGCAACAGCAGCTGATGCAAGGACAAAAACTTCGGGCATGCATCGCCGAGGATCAAGCATTTCTCATATGGCTGTGGGCACAACCATTAGCCACACCAGCAGCGAAATTACCGACTTTGACCTTTGAAGTCGGTAAGATTAAAGATGCTGCAACTGATATGTTTTCTTACAAAGAAATATCAGTATGCAAACGTAAAAATGAGTCTCATCTATCATGGCTGCACGAGGTTACGCAACCACCACTGTGTCCCGAGTTGATGATTCCCTAGAGCTGTTTACGCTGAATTCGAGCGTCTTATCGAATCTGATAAGAAGAAACTTGGACTTTTGTCAGAAAAGTATCCAATTACTTGATCCTTTTGGGAGACACAATCCGCATGTGCGTTGGCCAAGGCCGGAAGGGGGAGGGACTGCCCTTGTACAAATTCTCGATATAAGTGGGCTACCTGTTGATAATGCATATTTTTATACCAAGCTGGCAGAAGAGAAGGGGTTAGTAGATGGTGTTTTCGGGATGATGATAAAGATTACTTTAAGGGATATTGCAGATTTCCACTAGGCCAACCTAACATGCTTCGCAAAAGGTTACCAATATTGCAATATTTTCTTCGAAGACTAAATTAGCCCCCTTTCACTTGTAATAGTTAATTGAAATAAGGTTTAATTTACGTTTGGATAAGTATTTAATAGTTCATAATTAATAGCAAATAACGAGCATTGTTGACTGAAACTGTGTCGGGTTAACGTAGCTCCGGTCTGCCCCACCGAACTAACTTACCTATGGGTAAATGGGGTTCATACACTAAGAGAATGGGGTAAATAATACTCCAGCTCCTTTCTCTAAAGTTCACCCGTCAACCGACCGAGTCAGTCAACAGTCCAACCGCACATCACTTACTTGCGGTTGTATGTTCATATGCGTCAATATTTCTAATTGATTCAACATCCTCATCCTGATCATTGAAGCTCTCACCATGACAACTGCACCAGACACAAATGACAACCCGGACCTTCATGACGGAGCTTGCTCTACCTGCCGCCGCAAGAAGCAGAAATGCTCCCGCGAAGAACCTTGCCGAACCTGCATTTCAAGTGGTTCCGAGTGTATTTATGAGCATGCTCAACGCCGCGGCGCCAAACCTGGATATATAGACACCCTCATCAAACGCATGGACACGCTTGAAGCTTTGGTTTTGGGACAATCAATGCTGCTTGGGCCTGCTATTGCTCCCACAAAGAATGCGTCAGATGACCCCCCAAACTTGGGTGAGATGCTGCAGGCGGTTCGACAGCGGCTACTTCAGCAAAGCAATAAAAGACGACGGACTCATAGCGCTTCCGATTGCTCGTCACCATCGGGAACAGCTGTTTTGGCCCCGCTTAGTTACTCCAAAGGGCAGAGTGGTGCTGATGCCTCAACGGTGCACTTGTCGGGATCGCCCAAGGCATCTGTTCCGCCACTCCACATGATGCGAGAACTTGTCAACATTTACTTTAACCGTATACACCCGTGGATACCCATTTTACACAGGCCGGATATTGAGGCGGCGTTGGAAACTCAAAATGGAAATCTCCCTGACATTGTCCTACTGGCTATGACTGCGGTCAGCATCCGATTCTACACTTCTGACCGCCAAACCCAGGAACTATACAGTCGCCGATGCCATGACGCTGTAATTCTTGCCTGTATGGATCGTTTCTCGGTACAAACTCTACAGGCAAGTATAATCCTCGCCTTCAACACAATCGGCAGCGGTAAAGGACCTACGAGTTGGTCTATTGTTTCGTCAGCGACTCGAATCGTGGAACAATTAGGATTAGCCGTAGAAGACGAAGGAATGTCACAGAACAAACTTCTTAATCGCATAGGGTTTCTACCGCCGGCGAGGAATCTGACGGAAAAAGAATCTTTCCGAAGAATATTTTGGTGCATCTTCCTCTTAGATCGGTTTTGCTCCGTCGCTACCGGCTGGAATACAGGACTATCTATTGACCACATCAAGAGGCGCCTCCCTGTAGAGGGATGTTTCTGGAGAGATCAGGTGAATAAAACCGCCAAATATTTTGACATTGACAACAACAAAATAGATCCAGACGTCGACACAGATGCAATGGGGGGTTTGGCCTATCTTATCGAAGCATCCGAGTGTCTGAATCGTGTCGCAACTTTTCTTCTCCAAGAGTCCGTCGATCTTTCCAAAAGTGAGAGTTTACGACGGTGGTTTGAGAGATTCCAATCACTGGATGCTATGCTTATACGTTGGAAAACTTTTCTCCCTGCACGATGGCAGGTCGCTGGCATTGACGCGACTGGCAAAATGGATGAAAATCTAACACTCGCTCATGTCACGCACAACACCAGTGTCATCATGCTGCACCAAGTCATGGCGTATCCGGACGCTGTTTTGCGTAGCCGCTTGCCGACTGAGAATGCTGCCAAGACATGCATCTTGGCGGCTGGTGAAATTGCAACAATCGCCGCCAAATTTATCGCTAACACAGTCGTGGTCATACCACCGACGCTGAGTTTCTGTCTATTCATTGCCGCAAGGGCTTTGCTCGCTGACGCAAACCATTCAAACGCGCCGGTGGATGATAACTTTGAGATACTGCTCCAAGCTCTTCAGGAGGGCTCATCCCGGTGGGTTGGCCCTAACGCCTCTACTGAGAGAGACAATTTGGCAGGCCAATTTGCCGACAGACTCGACGCTGCTTGGAAGTCTCGGTCACCTGTCAATATTCGTACGGTCGCCTTTGAGGACGACCATAGCACTTTCCCAATATCTTTCGCTAGCCCGCCGATACCGGACATATTTCGCGATGCTTCCGCCAACGTCTCGTCCATATTTGGTGCAATGGTGCCAGAACCATATAATGCCCCTGACATGGATTTTCAAAGCTTCGATCGTATATTTACCTGGACAGATGAAATGATTGATAACAGTCTTAATGTAACGTAAAGACTTCTTCCTCCAACAAGGCGAACCATTGTGGCAAGATCGATACGTATCTAGCTGTAATTACACTCTAATATTATCAACCTGATCCAATACAATAATAGAACTACAGCTTTAGTGTCACCGACTTCACTTCAAAATACGATTCCAACCCCATGCGACCATTCTCTCTGCCAGTACCGGACTCTTTCCAGCCGCCAAAAGGCATGTCATACGGACCCACTTCACTGCTGCAGTTCACCGTGATCATACCCGCCTCAAAGGCTTTCACCAGCCGAAATGCCCGCGACACGTCTCGTGTGAAGACGGTGCCGTGGAGACCATACTGTGTATCGTTACACTCGGCAATCACTTCGTCTTCTGTATCGAACTGCTGAATGGCAACGACTGGGCCAAAGACTTCCGTCTTCAGAATATTGGCGCTTTTGGGTACTTGAACGAAGATAGTAGGCTGGATATAAAAGCCTTTATCCTTGGCCCGACAACCTCCTGAGATCAAGGAAGCACCGTCGTCTTTTGCTTCATCAATTAATTTGAGAATATTGTCGAACTGTGTCTTATCTACCTGGGGACCGAAGTTTGTCGATTCGAGAGACGGATCGCCCACAGCGATGTCCAGAAACTTAGGTTTGAAAGTATCCACAAACTCTGAGAACACTGCTCTTTGAACGTATATGCGTGAGTTTGAAACGCATATCTGCCCAGAGTTGAACTTGATGCTGGCTGCTACCGACTCGGCAGCTTTCTCCAAATCTGCATCATCAAAAATGACAGCCGGGTTCTTTCCTCCGGTTTCGACACAAACTCTCTTCATATTACTCTTTGCAGCCTCTTCCATGACCATTTTGGCCGCACGAGTCGAACCTGTAAAGGAGATCTTGCGAATCTGCATATGGCGCGACAATGCCTGCCCGGCTGTATGGCCAAATCCAGATAATACATTAATGACACCTGGGGGGAAGCCGGCTTCAACTGCCAGAGCGGCTAACTTCAGGGATGTCAAGGGTGCCTTCTCTGAAGACTTCAGTACAATGGTGTTTCCTGTCACCACGCACGGAATCACCTTACCGCACCACATAACGATAGGCACGTTCCAGGGAATAATTGCGGCACAAACACCAAAAGGCTGTCGTAGAGTAAAGGTGACAAATCCGGGTGTGTTTAAACTTGTTTCCCCGTGGATGTCATGTGCCAAGCCAGTCGCATGCTTGATACCATCAATGGCACCAGATATGCATGCGAGGTAGGCAGATATCGGCATTCCCATATTTGATGCTTCCAGCTGCGCAATCTCATGCTTATCACGCTCAATGAGCTCGGCCAACTTGAGGCACTTTGATATTCTCTCAAACATGGACAGGTCTCGCCATGCTGGGAATGCAGCTTCAGCTGCTTGGACTGCTAGATCTACATCCTGCCAGTCTGCTTCGTGGACATCGACAATCTTTTCCTCGGTTGTGGGGTTAAATGCTGGAAACGTCCTGCCGCATTTTCCAGGAAGCCATTCTCCATTGATGTGGAGACGTGTCTCAATATTTCCAGGATTCATGTTGCTGGGCGCCACGGGTGTTGGAAGGCCTGGCGAATGGGAGTGTGAATTGAAGAGGAGTTAGGTTACTGCATAGACCTCTTTGCGGTGGCTGGCTGGTGTGAATAGATAACTTAGGCGATCAAGGTTAAGGTCTTTACAGAATATATGCACTACAATGTAAAGCAATTAAGGACTCTCTAACCACTGAGAAGCTCGAGTTTGGTGTGCGAGATGCACGACATCCATGAGGGGGCCCGGGGACCGGTCCGGCGATATCGCCGCCCCGGCGCCATTGAAATTCAATTAGTCTAGCCAAATTTAGGTCTCAACACCTTCCTGGGGGATACCCCATGGGGAACCTGGAGAATCTAGACCAAAAACAACAATATTGACTGAAATAGCCAGCTGATGCATTAACCCCAGACTCAGGATTTTATAAAGGTCGCTAGATCTGATCTTTGTTTCAGTAAGTTAAGCATGAGACTCTCCGCTCTCTGAGATCACTCTTCACAACCTGGTTCCTCAATTTTTATCAGCTGTCACCCTAAAGCCATGACTCAGAACGACGAAAAGCTGGGCCCTGCAGGGGACGTCCGTCACCGTTCTTTTGCAGAGGAGGTGGACGATACTGTGCATGTCACCCAGTTGCTGGGTGATACCAAGCCCAAGCCATGGACTAAACGAATGTTCCGCCTCTACGGTATACTCTTGCTCGGATATCTCTGCATCGTCTTGCAAGGGTACGATGGCTCTTTGATGGGTGCCATCAATGCAATGGTGAAAATCAACACGTCTGTTCCTTTCATGTCAAATTATTCCTAACTAACTATTACTGCAGCCACAATATCAGCAATTCTTTGGATTGTAAGCAACATGTGTACACTCTTGGCAACTCACCCGCTGACCATGTCGAACTCAGGAAATCTGCCGGATCGTCAACAGGATTAGTCTTTGCCATCTTCAACATCGGAAGTCTCGCCGCCCTCCCATTCGCAGGCCCAGTCAATGACTATTGCGGTCGACGATGGGGAATAATGCTCGGTTGCGGCCTCGTTATCGTGGGGACATGCATTCAAGCCCCAGCTCTCAATTCACGAACGTTCCTCGGCGGCCGTTTTCTCTGTGGCTTTGGACAAGGTTTCGTCAATGTTTCCGCCCCGACGTTTGTTGCTGAAATGGCTCATCCATATTGGCGTGGCCCTCTGTCCGGCTTGATGCAAACGAATTACTTCGTTGGCTCAATCATCGCCAGCTGGGTTACTTACGGCACAGCTTTCATCAGCGGACAAGGATCATTCAGGATCCCTTTATGGCTGCAGATGGTCAGTTCAGGAATTGTCTTCTTCGGCATCATGTTTAGTCCCGAAACACCCCGCTGGCTTATGGCACACGGAAAAACCTCCCAGGCTGAGCGCGTTTTGGCGGAGCTCCATGGAGAGGGCTCCGTGGAAAATCCCTTTGTGAAACTCCAGATGGCCGAAATGAACTCACAAATTGGTCATGACGGTTCCGATAAGCGCTGGTGGGACTACAGAGACTTGTTCAACACGCACGCTGCTAGACGACGCATGATTTGTGTCGCTGGCATGTCGTGGTTTGGCCAATACTCAGGAAATGCCCTGGTGAGCTACTACTTTCCCGTCATTGTAGCACAAACTGGCATCACCAATCCCCACACGCAGCTGCTTCTCAACGCGTTAAACCCCGTTGTGTCCTGGTTTGCTGCCATTTCTGGAGCCATGCTCCTCGACAGAGTTGGCCGTCGTCCCTTCTTAATGGGTGGCGTTTTTGGCATGGCAGTCTGCCTGGCCATTGTCACGGGCTGTACGAAGCTCTCTGTAGAGACAGCAAACAAGGCAGCTGGTAACGCGGGTATTTTCTTTATTTACCTATTCAGCGTCATTTTTTCAATTGGTCTTGTCCCCTTACTTCCATTCTACATTGCGGAGACACTTCCGACAGAGACTCGTGCCAAGGGTACAGCTGTTGGAGCCGTTGTCTCGTCCTCGGCCAGTATCCTCGGACAGTACACTAGTGCTGTGGCTATTGAGAAGATCGGATACTATTATTACATTGTATTTATTGTCTGGGACCTGATTGAGTGTTTGATCATTTATTTCTTCTTTGTGGAGACGAAGAATCGGACTTTGGAGGAGATGAATGAAATTTTTGCATCGCCGAATCCTGTCAAAGCTTCGTTGAAGAAACGGCATATTGAGGAGGTGGTGCAGGAGACTATCAAAGGGGTTGAATAGCCGTTGACACAACGAGCGCCGTAAGTGCCTCCATCCGTTGGTGCGGACTGACTGCTTACAACTGTGTTTATGGGCCATTGCTATATATAATAGCGTATTTCGCAGTTAAGAAGATAGTCGAATGTAATGTATTTTCTAATCCACAGCTGTTCAAAATGTGAACTTCATTTAGGAGATGTCTCGACTTGTTCGTTGATGCGTCTCGATTTAGTAAGGTAAGCTCTGAAGAGCCGAACGTCCCTTTCGTCGAGCGTCCATGCGTATCTACGGCCGGTATCTGGCAAATTCAAGAGGAATATACTTAAAACGGCTGGAGCGTGTTTAAATGTAGCCTGTACCTTTTTTCCGGTCAAGTAGCAAATGCACTATTGCGCCACATCGCTTCATTTCACTTTCATAGCAGCAGCAGATACTTGGCACCTTCCTTTTGAATACTGGACTGGGAACGGCCAGGGGACACAGAGACCCTATCACAACCAATTTTGTAATCGCTGCTAGCACTAAGCAGACTGCGATATTTCGGAACCATACAGTCACGGCATAGCCAATTTCGCTCCTTTTCTCATTTGCCGTACGAGATTCGTGTTCCGATATGGGTGCCGGCGGCTGAGCCTTACGCAGTCGATAGCACAAACCTCGAGAGAAGAGCTACTTTTGCAAAGGTCTCGACAGTGTATAGATAATTATATCGTAGATATTATTTATCTTGGTCTAGGTTAGCTTTCAGGCCTGAATACATCAGCTCCTTCACCCATAGGTTTATATTCAAACGGTACAATAGTAATTCGTAGTCCTGCTTGGATCCAACGCATTTGTTACAATGTGATTGAATGCGGTGAGCTATGGGATTCATGACTTAATGAACAACATTCATTCAGAGAACTGACTGATAATGGAGCGATTATGGGAAGACATGACGGGCAAAAAAAAAAGGCAAGTTGCCTCTATCATCACCAGAAACCAACTCCAGCACAAAATCCACCAAGGTAGGGCGAAACAAATTTCGTGCTGGTACGACCATTTAATCCGACAAAGTACCCCTCACATAAAGATGTCTTGGTTATGACTTGGACTAGGTAGCTACGAGACTAGGTACTTACAAAAAGAGTTACTAACGGGCATCTCGTTGCGCCGCTCCATGTGCCGGAACTTGCCGCCTTATTAATGCACCGGTGAAATTTCCGGGCCGCGCCCGGTTACAGTCATCATTAGTTCAAAGAGAGCCGGAAGAATCGATGTAAGTAATCACATTAGCTAACCTATAATTTAACACCCCACGCCTAATATAGGGAGACGCAGCTCTTCTGCACATTGAACATTTTATTTATTCGGATGCCTACATTTTAAGAACCTCTTCGTGTATGTCTAGAAAATACTGCTCTCAACATGGGTGAAAATATTGCCGTCGTTGGCCAATTGGCCCAACCTGAAAAAGGGATTCTAGCTACCCAGCACCTCCCTGCAGGCGGTCAGATAAGCTTGCAACAGCTTTGTAACGATGTCTTTAATCATATTACAACGGCAAAAATTATGCGAGTCGCATTACGTCCACCACCAATCAACGGCTACTTCCCACACCGAACAGACAGCACCCAGTTCGTCTACAATTACGAACCATCCCACTGGTGGACTTCTGGGTTCTTCCCTGGATCCATTTGGCTACTTTATGAGCGTTCGATACGAGTCAATCTTTCCTTCTCTTCAGAAGAGATTCTCACACAGGCATTGAAGTGGCAAAAGGGCATGGAAAAGGAGCAATATAACAAGGAAACGCACGACCTCGGCTTCATGATTCTTCCTGCATTCTATAGGCATTACAAACACTTCAACAGCATCACCAGCAAAGAGGTTATCATCAATGCTGGCACGTCGCTTGCCTCTAGATGGAGCGAAAAAGTGCAGTGCTTGCGCTCATGGGACACATGTCTTACCAAACGGTTCAACTTCGAGAACCCAAACGACGACTTTTTGGTTATAATTGACAACATGATGAATCTTGAGCTTCTATATATTTGCGCAGAACTGACAGGAGATGACGAGTTTCGGAGAATCGCGACCGCTCATGCTCACACAACCCTACAAAACCACATACGGGCAGACAGCTCAACTTACCATCTTGTCAATTACAACCCAGAGACAGGCGAAGTAAAGGGTCGTTACACAATCCAGGGCTACGATGACCAAAGTTGTTGGAGTCGAGGCCAAGCTTGGGCGTTGTATGGGTACGCAACTGTCTTCAAGTATACAAAGGACAAAAAGTTCTTGAATGCAGCAAGCAACTGCACCAGGTACTTTTGTAGTCGCATTGGAAACAGCCATGGCGCTGTGGTCTGGGACTTTGATGCGCCACGCTCTCCTGTTATCCTCGACACATCGGCTGCAACGATTGCGTGTTCGGGAATACTACTGCTGTATCAACTGACCGGCGACGACCAATATCTGCCATGGGTAACACAAATGATGAGATATTGTCTGTCACAAACATTGGCCCCCGATGTGAGCGATACAGTATTGAGAGACGCAACCGTAAACAACAACAAAGACGCAATTGAACAATCTTTCCAAACAGGGTTGGTATATGCAGACTACTATTTGTTGGAAGCTGGTAATAGGTTACTTGAATTGAATGCAACATATTAAGCTCACCTGCTGGTAGGCTATTATTTATATTTATAGAATAGGTTATAAAGATAGACCCTGTAATTTTATATAAATTATGGGTGTGATTTGTTACGGGTATTCCGCAAATATAATCTTTGTTTCATTATATAGTCAGGCTGTGGCTTAGTGCACTTCGTACCGAGAGTGAATTCCTCTTTAGTTTATAGGAGATTAGACTATATCAGTATGTTATTCCAGATTCGCTGTCAACACATTATATTAATAATATTAACCTTGATATTAGCAGCTGAAACAGATAAACAACTCTACTCCCGAAACTATATGTATGAACTCTATAACATCGTCTTATTTATATACTCTTTTCCTTTAATATTAGCTTTATTAAAGCTACCTTAGTCTGTCTACATATGCTTTACAATCTGCTAGTAAAAGACCCTCCATGCTGCTTATATCTGCGATAGAACAGCTCCAGCCCTTTTACCACACGGATCTAACTATTAGGCAGATTCAAGACCTAATCCGTCTGGTTAGAATATCCATGGAAAACATCAAAAGGTGCCAAACTTACCGAGCGCCTGAGCAATCGCAGCACCAACACCTTGGGCAGAGTTTGGGTTCTGGCCTGTGATGATCCGCCCATCAACGACAACATGCTCCTTCCAGAGCGCATCCGATTTGACATAGGTGCCACCAACCCGCTTGATTTCGTCTTCCAACAGAGCAGGCATGTATTCAGTCAGTTTTATGGCATCTTCTTCTGCGTTGCTGAACCCAGTGGCCACGCGACCATTGAGGAGCGGTTTCCCGTCCACAACGGCGTTCACGAAAGCAATAGGGCCATGACAGACAGCTGCAACAATTTTACCGGCATTGTAGAATTCCTCGATCAGCTTGATGGAATCCTTGTCGTCAACAAGGTCGAACATGGGCCCGTGACCACCAGGATAGAAAATAGCATCAAACTCGGATGCCTTTCCATGAAACTCTTTAAGGGCTGCTGTTTTCTCCCAGAGATTCTTCCTGGTTTCATAGAATTTAACTGACGCAGGGTCCTTAAAGTTCTTCACTGACACTTCGTCTATCGGAGCCACACCACCAGCAGGGGACGCAACGACAATTTCAGCTCTGGGTTTTGTCTCATCTGGACCAATCAAGTGGTAATAGGGTCGTGCAAACTCAGGCTGAGAATTATGTGTAAGCAACTGTTTCCAAAAATTAAGGGACGAAATTTGGGAAACTAACCAAATACCACCCAGTGGGTGCACCATTGTTCATCTTAGCTCGGCTAGTGAGAACAACGAGGATTCTAGGAGCCATGTTGAGTGTTTGTAGATCGGATTTAATGCTTTTAGTAAATGGAAGAATGACGAAGGACTTGTTTTGATGCTTTTAGTAAATGGAATACTGGTGAATGATTTGTACTTTAATGAGTATATGGTTCTCGCTGCCTTTTTATACTTGCCAAATAGCAATAAAGTGAGTCTTCTCATAAGATTAAGATAAGTGCATTGTCATAAAACTAACTCTTTTACAACTATTACAAATATTATAGACAGTTTGATCAATAAGCATAGCCCGCTGTATGGAATCTATCAAGACATAATTCCACAGCACTTGGATCTACTTTCTATAGCTACGATAATAAATCGTCGCTACCTTTGTCTGCTTCCTAAGCCTATGGTGGGGCAGATCCCGAACGACGGAACTTGCCGCATCGGATAACGGGATTGTACCGCAGGGCTCCGACTCGTTAAGAGAGGGTTAGATAAGTTTTCATTTGTCTCTGGAAGAGATACATAAGTTCCCTGTATATAAAAAGATGAGTTCTTTTTTTTTTTTTTTTTTTTTTGGCGGAAACGAATGTATTAGTTGTGCCTAAGTAGTCCTGGTATCTGTTTCTAGCAAGAGATATACTAGCTACATGTATGTAGTCCTGCTAGCTTTTTATCTCCGGAGACAGAAATATTTACTACATTTAAGTAGTTATACTGGGGTTTGATATTTGGAGATAAGCATATTAGTTGTACATAAGTAGCCATACTGGTTATCCGTCTCCAGAGACAGATGCGCTTCAAGACATTTATTAACCTAGATCATTGAGGTGAAATTAACAAAAAATCTATTATATGTAGATCTGTCTGCTGCAGGTACTAATCCCACTTGAAATATATATAACAGAATGAAAAACTACTTATAGTAGGTAGTAATTTTGCTTTTTACAGGTGTATCGAGCTAGTTCCTGTATATCAGTATTACGTTGCTATTTCTAATGGATAAACATCTAGGCTTTAGATTCAGATTAGCGAATTGCTACTATCAGCTATAGTGAGTGTTAGGGACCTAATAGATACACGGGACCGTATACACATGTCAGCAACGCACGCTATAACAGCACACTATAACACACCTCTGTATATTCTTCTAAAAAGTCTGCTAAATTACCATACATGCAATTTTTTAAAAATGGCATTTCTGTTATTGTTCCTTTTGTATTCAGTATCCTATATGTTGCTTTTCATAGGATCAAAGAGTGGGATTGTGTTATTCCAGCCAGAAAGTATATATATAAAAACAAAGCTTTGCCTTAGGAAGCTATCCGATATTTGGATTACGCCAAAAACGTATAAAAGGAAATCAACTGTTAAGGGTACAATGTCAAGATTAAAATGGTTGAATACAGGGCTGGGTGCATATTAAATACTATATTGCTTATACTGCTAACAGTATGCAACGGGGCTGCAGAATGGTGAGCAACGGGCTGAGGCATAAATTTGAGCTACTGCTGCTGTAAGCTTCCATAACGAAATAATCACATGTTATGGAGAAACCATTACGGCCGAATTGGGATGAAACAGAGAATTTGATATACTTGGATAAACGAAATTTTTGAAACAGGCTTATCAAATTGTTGTGGTAAAATAAAACGTCTACGCTGTATCTATCTGCCACTCCTCTTTGATCATATCTGCTGCTCTCTCAGCGATGGCATACACTGAGCTGGCAATATTTCCTCTCACATGAAGAGGTATCACACTTGCATCAACGACTCTGAGGCGCTCGACTCCGTAGACTTTCAGCTGATGGTCAACTACGCCGCCAGCGTTCCGCGGCATCATCGAACATGTTCCGATGAGATGCCAAGAAGATACTGTGGCTTGCCTTACTAAACTCTCTGCCGCTGCTCGATCAAGCGGCCTGGTAATCTTATAACCTGGCTGTATCCTTTTGCCATTGCCATCTTCGTTAGTTTTGACTATATCGGCCATTGGCGCAGTTTCAACGATCTTCTGTATAAACAATAGTCCGTCGACCATCATCTCGAAATCTACCTCGTCAGAGAGGTATCTTGGATCAATAATGGGATGCATCTTAGGGTCTGAGGAAATTTTATGCGTCGAGCCGCGAGAAAATGGATGTGTGACAACAGCTACAGATCCAAGATAGTTACCGGAGTCCGTATGTGGGAATAGCCCAGCCATTGATTCACCGATATATGGGTTGAAACCTGCAGGGGCAAAGTTGATTTGGATGTCGGCCTCCTTCTCGTCAGCTAATAGCTCATCCAGAATCTTGAAATGTATTTGCTTCAGGGTGGACCTCGTGGCTGAAAGCCTGAGAAGCTTGTTGACTCGGTCTCCATCAGCTATATCCTTATGAGGCAAGAAAGACGTGCCGCTAACACCAGAGGCCAGTGGCCCCCACGGCCAGACTGCCACTCTGCCATGGCCCAGGCCAGGACGCCCGGCTGCTGAATTGTCTCGGCAGTAGGAAGGCCATCTTGAGCTTCATAGGTGAGAGGCACCAATGGATGGTCCTAAAAATGTTTAGACTAATTGATAGTGGAGGGCTGTTGGCAAAGAGAGGACAACTAATTACCTGCATATTCTCCCCCACATTAGGGTTATCTACAACAACCTTGATACCGGCATTACTTAACACTCGGAATCCTCCAATTCCGGATATTTCCAGTAGCTAGGGGCTCTGTACCGTCCCGGCTGAGATGATAATTTCGTTCAAGGCAGAGACAGTGAACTCTTTCTCTAGTACCATGAATGACACAGCTGCCGCCCTAATTTTATCGCCCTCCACTGCTTCAAGAATGATTCTATTAACAACATGAGCGCCGGTGATGACCGTCGTTTTTAATTGTGATGCATTGGGTGCGTAATAAGCCGACGCCGCGTAGCTCCGCTGCGCACTTTGATCGATGAACTTGAGCACGGCGTATCCCCCGAGTGTTTGGCCTTCCCGCGGATCCTGCTTCGCTCCAAGCCCCAGATTTCTCAGCGTTGTAGTCCAAGCAGCATCAACCTGGCTCGTACAATGGGGAACCGTGAGCTTAATCGGACCATCCTTACCGTAAATCTCGTGATTGAAAACATCAGCGCCCAAGAAAGCTTTGGTCTCCGCTAAGGGTTGGTTGAATGTTTCGGATTTACGATAATATGGCAACAAAGAGGCCCAGTTCCAGCCAGGATTGCCGAGCTTCTCCCAGTTATCTATATCTTGAGCACTTGGGTATGCTACCATCATGAAGTTAATGGCGGAACTGCCTCCGAGAACTTTTCCCCTCGGCTGGGCTACAACACGGTTGTTCAAAGCATGCTGCTTGGTAGACTTGAATGACCAGTCATATTCTGAGCTATTACGGGTAGACTTTGAACCCGGACAACGGAACGTAGACAGCTTACTCCTCGTAGAGTTGGGCCATTAGAGCGGGTATATCGATCTTATGATCCTGCCTCACGACTATTTAGTCAACTGATTCTCGGTCGAAAGGTTAGTGGTCCCTACCCCTAGTCTATTCTCGCCTGCTTCAAGGACGAGGATGTTAAACTTTGGGTTTTCCGATAAGCGTGTGGCGAGGGCGAGGCCAGCTGTGCCACCTCCAACGATAACGAAGTGATGAATCTTGGACACAACCTCCTCATGTGAGACCTTTGACGACATTTTTCGCGGACTGATGCAAACGTATTGTGCCTATAGACATTAGTATCACTGAAGGCCTTGCGCTTTATGATGGCGCGTAAAGCCAAATTTATAGGCCACTGCGGCGGACGAGAAATTGGAAAGCACATAGATAGGAAACCAAATAAAATGATAGATTGATTACCTCTCAGTTTGTTAGGACAGTCGAGTTACGTTATGCTTCCGATTACAACGCGGCCACTTAACGTAGCGTCAATCATATACTCAGCCCAAGTGAGAATTTAGTCAACGCATATTATAAATTCGGCCGCTCTTGCTATCGTACCTCGTCTGATATAACCTGTTTTGGTATAAGACGGACATATGTGGATCTATGAAGGACTGTCCGCGGAGTTAAGGCATTTTTTTACCTACATTTTTAAATTTGCAATGTCCGAAGCAGTTGATTTCATTTTTAACTTTCGATACTGCATTTGTTTCATCTTAGCTGAAGCGGCCCGTTCCATAGATGGAATTTTATTGCCCTGCAATGCTGTGTAGAAGCAATAGCCTCGGTCTCTTCAATCTACGAAGTTTTGGCACTACCTTGTCTTATTTGCTCACAGCTCTTTATCCAAGTATCTCAGCATAGATTTACAAGTACATTCTCAATCTCGCTGCTTAGGATGAGACAACAGTCCTTAGAAGGTGTTGAAAGAGGCTGCTACATCCATATTCCTTCCTCCTGTACCGGATTGATATCTCCCCTCCCCTGCCCTCAGCTGCTGCCAAACGCTAAAAAAAAGCCTTGTTAGCATTCATCCTAAGAGCTTTTTCTTTGGCCACCAAAATCATACTTAAACACTGTACTAAAGAGGCAGAAGAACGATAAAGGGTTGTAGAGTGTACCTTATTGTGGATAAGATTACAGAGCGACTGGATCGAGTTGTTGAGTGTCTAAATCATATAAATGGGGATATTTTGTCACAACTAAAAATATAAATGTAATGATTATGTTACGCAATAAGCCCGAATAGCCTATTTGTTAAGTTCGTGTCGGTCAGCAATGTAGCTCGACGCTTACTTTTATCTTTGTCTTCGCTCGGACATCATTATGTCATAGCCACACATATCGCAGGCCGTAACAATACTGTTGCCACTCGGGCCCGGTAGATTGGTGTTTCAGGACATTTCAAAAAATCCTTTTCGGAGCCCGAAAAGCAAAGCTTCAAGAGGTCATGCTCTTATATGTTACAATCCGTCGTACCGTAAAGCTAACCGGGCAACTGACTGAGCCAAATCTAATTGTAGCGATTACTGTGACAGAACCAGCTGTTTATAAGGAATTAAACTGCTTCGAAGTGTAACCATTGCACAATCGCTGCTTCATGTCTTACTATGGAACTTGGCTTCTAGTGCAGCGGCTGGTTGGTTGTCCACGGTGAGTACTCCATATTCCAGCTCATCGTGGTGTACTCTTCCGTCATTGCTTAGGTTTTCTCTATTAGTCCTGTTCCACTCCGTACCCCCCTTGATCCATGTACCGAGTATCCATAATCTGAAGAAGAAATAAAAAACAAAAGTGGAAAAAGGAGAGCACCCCTTCTCGATACTCCCGTTTGTTGGTCGACTCGGACCGAAAGGGGGAGAGCGCTCGCCGAGCAACATCTCAAGTATATTATCCACGAAGATTCAGTCAGCATTGTCAATTGAAAAGACTGGAACTCATGCTACGTTGCCTTAATCGGGCACCGTAAAAGTAAAAGAGAAAAGGAACGGGTATCATCACAGCAGAGATGAAGCCGAATACGCTAATCCCCCAACTAACACCCATCCTGTCCAAGAGTGGATTTCCAAATAACGCAGATGCTGCAGCGAAAATAGATCGCATGAAGGTCATGATTGAGATGGCAGAGGCTGCATATTTTGGAAAAGTATCCATGAGGTAGTTGACGCAGCCCTGGAAGATAACTAGGAACCCGAAGCCGAGGAAGACCAGCGCCAGACAGGGTACAATCCAATGGATTGGGCTCGCTGCAGTCCAACCAAAGAGGAAAATTCCCGCGCATAAGAGGATAGAACCCGGTAGCGTAGTAACCAGCCTTGCCTCTGGCACTGGTTTGCCTTTGTTTGCCTCCATCTTCTTAATGTATCCACGGCTGTTGAATATATTAGCAACTCCCCCCAGAAAAATTCCCAGCATGAGCGCCAAGAATGGCAGTTCCGCGGACACACTTGGCCAGCCGCGATGGTTGCCAAAGCTGATTGGGATTGCTGATAAGCAAAGGTACGACAACTCGAAGACAAAAGAGCCGTAAAACGCCATTAGAAAGCAGGTGAGGTTTCCCAGCAGCTGGAAAGGTCGAATGAGATATTTTACTGCAATACCATGCAAGCTTACTGGCCACTCTTCATGCTGGGCATGTAAAGCCCAATTCTTAGTCTCAAATCGTAATCTGCGTGCCTTGGTCGTCAATATAGCTGGTTCATACGTCTCGTCCAATAATAACATAACTAGAACGCTCATTACGAGCATCCATATGCAGCAGAGCTTTTTCGTTATTCCTCAGATTAGCAGTCGTACAAGTAGATTATATTGGTTTGCATCTTACTCACATATTCTGTCCACCTCCACTCATCATGTAGCGTAGCTCCTATAACTGGCCCAAGCACCGGCCCGCCAGCCGTGCAAAATGAGTAAAACACGAGAGATATCCCTCGCTGCTGTGGCGTCCATATATCACCGATCACACCCTATAAGTAACCACAATAATTACTGTAAGCATGGGAGTGCTAGTAAACGCCAGGAAAGCTGTGACCCACCCCACTATTGGTAACAGGTGCTGACCCAAATAAACCCATGAAAAAACGCATGATAACCAGAGTTTCGATATTGCTGGCTGTCGCACAACCCAGTGCAAATAGCCCTGATATAAAATATGGAATCGCGACGGTGTATTTTCGTCCGAATAATTCTGAAAGAGGAGCCCAAATCATGGGTCCAACCGCAAATCTACCCGTCTTAGTATTAGCACCCACATGTGAATCATCTAACTTCTTTATTATCTTACCCAACCATCATTAAACTGACAGCGAGCGTCACGACTGTTTCACTTTTCCCAAACTCATTCTGCAGAGCTTTGGAAGTTGGAGAGATGCTAAGAATTAAAGTGTTTAATAGTGAATTTGCATGTATGCCGGCAAATAAGGGTATACATACATGGCAGTGGCAAGTGTAGCACCCATTGTGGTAAATCCATACATGGCGGTAATGAAGACCTTCTTCTTTAGGGACCAGTTAAGGGGCATCTCTGGGTCGTCAGGGCCACTAAATCTAACAAGATATGCATTTTCTTCGACTTGTAGGCCCTTTTCTGCCGGCTCTGTCTGATGGGCCATGTTAACAGTTCTGTGAGGGTGAAAATTCAGTAAAGGCAAGAACAGAGGAAACTCGTAGACGGAACCAATAGTTGTAGTTTACCAATTATGCCGATATTTCCTTTACGAGATCCCTCTTGACTTTGACCTCGAGAGATCCTTTAGCCCTTTTATCCAACCTTCTTATATGACGAGACTAGCCAGACATGTGGAGGCAAATTGCCGAGTCCCGAGCCCGATTTTCCGACAAACCGGAGAGGAATGTGGAGTCGCAAACGTCCACTGTAATTGGCCCAGAGTTGTTTGGGCTAATAGTCTCCCACCAGGCAAAGCCGGAGAATCCATCGGCATCGGCGGGATATTCGTTTCCCCATTGCATTATGTGTTTGTTGCGCAGATATGAATTTTACAATCGACATGTATCACCGAGGAATACGCAAATCTAACATGATGGTCGCGGAAGAGGTCGCCTCCCCTCGCCCCCGACGGCCTGCTGTTGTATGCGATCAGTGTCGGATTCGGAAGTTGAAATGTGACCGAAAGTTCCCTTGTAATCGCTGTCTGAAGGCAGTGGACAAGAGAGACTGCACGTATACGAAGGCGCCCCATCCGAGAGACCTACCAGCTAGTCCAGCAGAAAGTCCAGCTCCAGCACGCCAGCCGGTAGCCATAGCGCCGCCAGAGCTTAGCTTAAGCTCAACTCCAGAACGAGAGCAAAACTTGGATTCCGAATATCCACAAAATCAACCCATCGTAGATCAAAACAAGGCCAGGGAACTGTTTCCATCGTGGTGCTACCATGGCCAGGGAAGCTGGCAGAGTTTACTAAGAAGAGTAACTAACCCCTTTCGACCCCTTGTTAAGTTGTCGTTTCCAGACAGCAATCAGAATACTAAAGTTATTCGCATAGATGGATGGATTTTACGACTATGTCCATCAAGCAATAGTATCAGTACAGAGTACGCTACAAGCACATAACGACATTGTGACGAAAATTGTTGGAACTTCAACTCGAGAACTACCACCTCCTCGAGGAGCTGAGAAGACCTACCTCTGTTCGCTTATTCCCCAACACGAGACTGCTACGGAATTAGTCAAAATGTACGAGCAGTTTTGGGAAGTCAAGTTTCGAATACTCTATATGCCTAAGTTTTGGAAGGAGTATCATCATCTACGGCAAGATCCTTCGACTACTCCCTTGGAGTACCCGGCCAAACTACTGCTAGTTCTACTGCTTGGGCATCAGTTACAGCAGGCTGGTGACGATGATTTACCTTCTGAGAGAGAAATATTACCTAGTCACACTGCGCTCTTATGGCTACAAGCCGTTGAGTTTTGGCTCTTCACTCATTTAGAAGGAACTAAGCCAACTCTGGACCTGATTCAAATACTCTGTCTTCTGGCCCTTGCCATTAGACCGCATACAAGCAATACCTGGCACTCATATGCCGCCACAGGGTATTTGATGAAACTGGCAATAATGATGGGTCTTCATACGGACCCGGGGAAAATGGCCCATATCTCTACTACCGAAACTGAACTAAGGAGGAGACTATGGGCTACGATTATGGAAATCGAAATATCCAATTGCTTGGATAGAGGCCTCATGCCAATGTTTACACTAGAAACGTTCGACACCCTAGCACCTGCCAACTTGAACGACGAAGATTTGGATGGAGGTTGCCCAAGCGCCACAGCCAGCCACCCAACAGATTGCTGGTTTCAAATAACACTACTGCAATCACTCCCACTCCGACTTGAAGTGTGTCAGGTGCTCACCAGCCACAAGTGTGTTTTGACGTACCAGAAAGTCCTTGATCTTGATAGTGAGCTAAACAAAGTCTTGTCACACCTGCACTCAACATCGAGAAATATGGTACCGATGCTCCCGGGTCATCTTCAGGAGCGGTGGCGAGCCCGTACTGCTATCCTGGACTTGCACATTCGCCGTTGTCTTCTGGCAATCCACCAAGCATTTATCGTTTATCCAAAAGATCAGAAAATGTTCCATTATTCCCGAATCGCGTGTCTCGACTCCGCATCCGTCTTCTTGTCAGCCCAGGATACCCTGGTTCCTGAAGAACTAGCCAGCTCGCTGTTGCTGTCAACACAACTACACGCTTTCATTCTAACATGTTTCTTGCTGATGCAACATGCATGGCCGGGTATGATGAATTTTGGAGCCGCGTGAATCCTCTCAGAATAGACTAACTCGTTCATGTAGATTCATTTGCAAGCCAGGGCAGTCTCTCCTACATGTGCGCATCGTGGATACAAACTCTACTGGAGAACAGCAGGGACGCATGTGCTAAAAGGATCTCTACCCGTAAAAGAGGTCTGAAAGAGTACACGATACAATGCTTTTTATTGCCATACAGTATCTGTCGCCGATCGTCGACTCCTTCTCCAGGCATTATGGAGGCTGCGTCTCAGATGTACGGCGATGTGTGTTCCATGTTTTCTCACTCCTTACAGCCTACAAGTTCTCAAGACAACGAAACTTTGGCATCCCCTACCTTGGTAGATTTTCAGCCCAGATCTGCATCCCATTCTCTGGAGGACCTGCCCTCGGTGCCAATGCTCCACGAGGGTATTTCTTGGAACACCCCGAACAGCGTCGGCGCGAATGAGTATTTGCTTGTAAGTCGCATCATAATCTATCTTGTATGAAAGGCTTTTAACGAAATTTAACGAAATTTTCCTGCATTATAGGGGATGGACATAACCAGTGGAGACTTCCTGCTTGGTGTACTGGGCCAGTACGACGACACGTCACATCTGCATAGCTATGCCAGCGACGTGTAACGCCAATTGTACCTGTCTCCAGCGATCTTTGGGTTGTTAATTCTACATAAGTATATGGTTTACAATTATATCTATATCTTTTGTAAAAGTCCTGATAGTAACAGACCACATCTCCCCTTCTGACCCAATCGCAAGCCGCACTCTCACCCCCCTGTAACGCCCTTGGAAACGTGGCTCATTTTGCATTTTGCTTTTCTAGTTCCAAGTTGCCCTAGAGTGCCATACAGATGAAAGCCAACCAAAAGGAGATTGAAGAGAGATGATATATAAATACTTGAGAAATTCTACAAGTATTTACATATCAAAAATGTATCTCAATATAGTATTTCAAAGAAAATAATAATTAGTCACGCAGCTATAAGAGCCGATGCTGCAAAATGAATGCCCGTCGTCCTTATACCCAGTGAATTTTTTAAAGCCATTAGTTCCTCCTCTGTATGAGTGTTAGATCTCCGATATGAGCGTGGACCATCCGGAGATGGAAAACTTACCCAACCTGCGAATACTTCGGTGCCGTACCGGCCTCATAGCTAAGATTCCACGTAAAAGTGACCCCGCTAGGGAATTTGCAACTAAATGGTCCGCCCACACCTAATTGTGAAGGGTCGATTTTGCACACGTTATTGCTAGTGGGCAGTTGACAGGCGCTATCATTCGGACAATACTACAGAAGGAGGAAAGGCAGTCAGCACTCTAGAGAAAAGGTAGCGGATCCAAGACAGAGGAGAAAGAAATATATACCACAGCTGCTGAAAACGGTGGGATTGAATTCGACCCTTCACCTGGCAGTGGGGTGCACCACACGATATGGATCGACTCGGCTCGTTTTACAAGAGAGGTCGTGTCAATATCTATCCCACCCGCTGGAGCAGCTACAACGCTACCAAGGATAGTAACATAAGAAAGGAGAGAAAGAGGATGCATTGCTGATAGGATATATCCGGTGTAAATAAATAATTGTATAAAATTGATGTGGAATTTGAACTTATGTTGAGTTAAGTTTGACTTCCTCAGACAGCGCGGGCCTTGATATTTATAGTCTTGTTAAGTTATAGTTTTACATCTTCATCGGGCATTTTAACTAGTGAAAATATGAATCTGTAATCAAAGCTAATCATACCTTACAGGATACTAATTCCTCAATTGCCTAGCTGGGAAGGATTGCAATCAAGGCTGTCATCACTGTCTTTAGTGTAAGATATACTACCAAGTAAGTGGATTGATTGAAACGTTTGGTATTCCGTATTCAGAAGTTACTAGGGTAGTCTGGTAATATTATATCGTAAATAAAGATTGTATAATATAGTTTGTATTTATTATTTAATGCAACAGCTCAGGAGTGATGTGCCCGCAGTTTTCATCTTACATCGGCTGATTTCCACATTTACTATAAAATACCACTCTAATCTCCGTCTCACGCCGAGTACTACAGTGAAATAAATATTATAATTTTGCTCTGAAGTATGACATATACATACAATTCGAAGAGCACAATGAAAACAAATTAATATAAAATATTTGCTCCTAAACGTTAAATGTCTAATATTCAATATTCCTGTAGCTAATACGACACAATCTACCGTGTATTGACTTTTCTGAGAATTACTATGTTAGTGTAAAAGAAATCTCGATAGCCTCCTTCCGAATTCAGTTATAATACATTTGCTATAAGCAACATACTAGGCTTCTTAACCTTCCTGTTTAGGATTCACGAAAAGAAACTATATTTAGAATCTTAGGTCCTTAGCGTACAAAGCAGCTTCAAATTCATGTACCTGCAGTTCCCAAACTTCAAAAGGCATAGTTACGATTATTGAGCAAATGTTTTTGTCTAAGTATTGGAAAAGCCAAAAAAGCACTGGCAGATTCGCAGACCCTTTTCACTGCACGACTTGTTTCAATGGTGATAGATCCCAAATTCCGAGCCTTTCTGAAAATCGTGATATAAGCCAATGACGAGCGGTTTGAGATTTCCATATGAAATTCCTGGGAAGTTCCAATATCTATTGCAAAACCCTTATACTGGTACAACATAATACATTATCACGTCTAGAGTCCATACTAAGCTTTCTAAAGTCTACTTTGGCAGTATCTCTAAGCCACAGAATTACAGTACACGTTTATATTCCAATATAATACTCAATAATAATAATATAAAGAAGGTATAGACAGATATACGATAATGGCAGGGGACAAAACTATATTTAGCTAATATATCGAGGGTTTTAACATGTAATTGGAGATCCTAATTAAGTCGATACGTCGGGGCTTATATACCTTAACCCATAGCTAAGATTAATAATAAAAGCAGCTGAAAGACCGAATTTTATCATTCAGATTGCCATTGTCATCATACACAGTTCTTAAGTCAGCAATTTGAGTTCCTGATTCCATAACCGCATCAGAAAAGTTAGGCCCAGAATTGCTAACACAGTTCAAATTGCTAAAAGAAGGTAAGATTCGAAACATCTAGACAAGTTGTATAGGCCTATACTTACATAAAAAAGTCACATTCGGCATTTTGAGATGCGCTAAATTTAATAGAGCTTGCTTTTTTATCAAGATTTGGACTTTTTTCATTCAAATTATCTAAATAGATGTTAGTATTATCAAGAAGCAGAACATATAGATAGCAGAAAACATACGGCAGTCCGTAAAAGGGTGCGCAACCAAATTCTGATTTGTCCATCCAACGTAATTCCCCCCAAAGTTGGTGTTTTCGTAGAAGATAAGACTGTAACCCGCCCTTGCTTCAATAGCAGCAGCAGCATAGCTTGCAGAGAGGCTAAGTAAACCGAGAGTGAAAGTATTAGTCCACATGATTGAAGTAGGAGTTAGCTAGTTTGAGATGTGAAGGAATGTTGCTCGAAATTGACGAGAATATCTCCCTCTTATATATACGTTTTGCGGTACACCGACACCTGTGGTATAACTTAGTTACCCGCTGGATCCATATGTTTGTGCGATTTTCCCCATCTAGCCGTAGCTCTTACTACTGCACCACCCAAGTTCTGAGCTACGCATGGGTATACAACGGTATACGGAGATGCACCTGGAGTTGCTGTAGGTGGTGGATTCGCTTAGGGATAAGAGTGCTCCTTCCTAAAAAAAATATAGTGTATACAGAGTTATATAATAGAACAGGAGGGTATTTATGGGAGGGGAGGGAATTGTACAAGTATTCCTGGAACTTTTGCTATACGATAGAGGGTTTAATTCGAGACTACTAATAGTATTTAAATTCCTGAATAGGAAGTTACTAGGGTTCGTTAAAAGTAAAACCTAGGAAAAACTATTCATATAGTCGATGTAAAGCCTTTTATATACCTCCTCCTTGACTGTGTATTTTCCCTCTTAGCAATAAGGGACATTTCCAACGTAATATAGCACAGCATAATAACGACTAGGGTTGCGTGAGAAATCTTTTCTTTTGGGAATAAATACTATCTGGGAGAGGAGGGATTTTGGAAATGTAAGAATTCTCGCCGGTAACTACGGTAAGCTCGCTACCGTAGAAATCTGGAATGAAGACTATATACGGAATAATCCGGTCCCTTACAGCAAATTATGGGCACGACTCACTTTAAGATCGTGAGCCCGAGTAAGTGCACTTCCTAGATAATGAGTGACTTACTTACAGAAAGCGAGCTTGAGTAAGTCCTGCATTATATATATTCTTCTTAGATGCTCGTTTAGAATAGTTCAGTTAGCAAGTTGTGAATAAAACATTAGATTGAATCTATCTAATACTTCCTACATAGTTACGTATACACTGGACATAAATAATACTTAAAATTACGCGATATAAGCCGGCGGGTGCTCTATCTCCTCAAACTCCTGCATAGACATCTCGTACCCTAGGTGCCTCTTCAGTAGCTCATGAGTCACAAACCTTTCTGGCGTATTCCCTTGTGCATCTACAAATGACACGTGTGGGTTGACTTCGCTTATTCTCTGCAACTCATTTGCATGCCTATGGTGGTGCGGGCAGCCGTCCACTCCGACCAAGAATATGGTGACGTGAACCCATGAGAGACCCAGTAGATCAAGTTCAAACTCATCCATATCTTGGGCCTCTCCATCTAGTAGCAGGAGGACTCTTAGAATGGGGGTCTCCGGCCCCGCTTGCCAGCCGTATACTGGGTGATAGGTTGCTGATGCTGAATGTTTTTGAAAATGGAGCTCTTTGACCTTTTGCCACCCCGTCATAACGCGTGTGCCACCTCCGAATCTGACCATCCCCCAGACTTTTTCGAAATTTCGGTGGTTCAGAATGCCAATATAATCTGCGTGGTTGGCAAATGTGGTTAGCTGATAGCCCTGAAAGTTGTGATCGTGGTTGGCAAGGGCGTCTGTGAATCGGCGGATGATGGCTTTGGCAGTGTCTGCAACAGAACGAGTGTGGTTAGTAACCGCCGGCTTGTTGAACGAGATGAGATACTCCACCTCTATTCTTGGGTTGAGTAGATCGAGTGTATCCTGTTATGAGATACTCGTCGTATAGTGGCCGCATTGGTTCAAAGTCCATCGAGCCAGATACGTCTAGCAGTATCACGCTATCGTCTGACGCAGTCTCTGGAACGTCATAGGGTCGAAATGGCGGAGGCATAACTTGTTTCGAATAGCCTTCAGAGGTATGCTGTAGGTGGCAAGTGTCGTCTGCTGCAAAATACGCCGGAGGTGGCTCTACGGCAGATGCCATCCTTCGTCGGGCCATATCTAGCGCGGAAATCATGTCGGGCTTCAGCCTCCCTCCGGCGCCAGCTCTGTGATTCAAAACCCAGTATAGTCTCTCTTCTGCTGTATCATCGTAGCCCCTCCAGGCTGGTGTAATGCCTCTCCACCCTGCACTTGCGTCAATCGTGAACTTGAGCGGGTTGGATATCTGGTTCGCCCACGCCACAGGAATGGGCTCAAAGTAGCCTGCTCGTAGCATATGAAAGTACTGAATGGGGCTGCTTTGACGCATTTGAGCGATTGTATTAGCCATCCCAACTTTGTTCTGGTAGGTGGCCACGATCTGTCGCCACTCAGTGTCTGGCCATCTGCCATTTTCCTCCTGTACGATCTCGTCACGTAATTGTCTGCATTGGGTTATCGCTTTTTCTAGCTTAATGGCCGCTTTCTCTTCGGGAGACTTGATTGAAAGGGCCTTCATTAGCGTTATGAATCTTGATGGTTTGATGGATGAAGATGCTTCGCCGTTCCCATTGATCGTTGCACTCGTTGAGCTTTGTTCACCCTTTTTCTCGGACTTGTCGCAGGCTAGTCCTTCCTCCCTCTTTTTTGTCGACGTTGAGGAAGTTTCGCTAGCTACAATTGACCGTGAGATATCAGGAGTCTCAAGGTCCCAAATATTCATCATTGGCTCCCTTGCATTGATGGCCGATTGGGCCTCCCCGTTGAGCTGCGCATTCAAGCTAATAGTCTGATGAACTGAAAGACTGTAATACCTGGCTATGGGGCGCGCCACACCCATATAACTCGAATTAAAGTTGCCATACGGCGAGGTGACGCGCATTCTATACGGATTCTTGGAAAAGTAACCAAGTCGTGTCTGGTAGCAGTCATGATATGACTTTTCACCTTCAAATCTGTCAGTCGATCCGATGAGCAGTCGAGGGTTCCTGAGAAGTCTGATGTTTCTTACCTGGGTACATGACGGCTTCTGACCACATATTCTGCACGTCAAGTCGTCGCGCCTTTAGACCTATGTATTGGTGAATGTCACACCCACAGAAGGTGTCCGCGTCATGCTCTGGCTCGATATCACTATTGAATATGCGGTGTGCCAGCTGTACGTTTTGGAGAACATTTTGCATTTCTTGCTGTGACTCATGAGACTGGAGTTCAGTAGGAGGTTGGGGGAAGCACACACAGACCTCATCTCTGGCGCGTATCCCCGCTGCCTCAATCACTTTATTCGTGTGTGGCTGTATATGTTGATGGATGGTGTATCCTCTGCCGTTGTTGGAGAATTTATATGATGGCGTATGGTACGCTGGAGGCGCTTCACTGACTGAGCCAGGGACGGCATCGGCTGGTTTGAGAGACTTGGGCTCGGGTTGCGAATATTTTCCCGGGTTATCGAGGTATTCCTCCACCGCTTCGTCTATGCTCGCCGCCCCCTTGCCACAGAATTAGCAGCTGTGATTACTGACCTTGAATTTTGAGCATTTACCTCCAAAAAGACCCACGCCTTGCCCTCGTCGGCATCTGGAACGCAGGAGATGAACTTGGCGATTGCATCTTCGGAGGGCGCCATGGTGCCACAACAATCAACTGTGGGACTGGACCAGAAGCTTCAGCAAGATGCCAAAATTGAACGACATCCAATAGTCTATATATGGGCGAATTGAATCCAATTCTTTCGGCGCAGCCATCCAACGTCATGGCTTGACGGGTAATCGGCACATCAGCCACGTGCGCAACTTCTGCTCCTACACCATCGGCTGTAATAAAAACAAGTGGAAACAGCAGCTGCGGAAATGCGGCAACCACTGGTCTTCGTAGGCTAAACTCAATTGAACAGCAGCTGATCAGGTGCTGATGAGTCCTTGGCTAACCATGCGAAATTACTATTATAAACTTAACAGCCTCATTTATCAGTCTGTGACAAACGGTATACCTAAAGGTTAAAAAAAAAATATATATTCCTTAAAAAAAACCTATAAAATTAGTTTATATTAGTAGATAAATTATGCCAAATAATTAACTTATGTACATAATTGTATAATTAGTAAAATGTGTTAAGTAAATTTTGTTTAAATATTATATGTTATAACTTAATTAAGAGTATATACCTATTGTTACAACCTAGCTCTTATAGTCACAATAATAAGCCTACAGGGTAGGTATCCCTCAATAAAAGTTGGTCTGTGTAATAAATCAGTTTATACCAAATAGCATAAGGTAGCTTCTTGAGGTAATAAACCCTATCGGAATCCAGTTCGTCACAGCTTTTAATTTTCTAACCTGACCCTAAGGTAAAGGATTTCCTATATAATCTGGCGTTGTTGGCGTGCCAGAAGCATAGTTAAGCTATATACTATGCATAATGACCACAGCTAGATTTCTTTACGAGCCACAACCAGGCTACATCAAATACACTCCCCTCTCAGCCAGTTTCGTCACCCGGCTGTCTTATCTGGATGCCGCTCCGTTCCTAGCAGGGACGGTCGCCCCCACTGCGTTGAACATGACTGTAGCCACAAAGAGCTACGGCCATTCTGATAGCCTTTATGAATGTGCTTACTCGATCGCTTTTAACCCAGCACAATCTTTCCAGTCGAGCTGTGGCACTAACCCAAATTGAAGAGGCAGTTCGTTGCCCATACTCGTCATATGGATTCCACCGACGATGCAACTGCTACCGAGCTACTTGGTCGTCTTGATTGGCTCAAATTAGGCAACACGCAAGTTACAGACGTGAAAAACTCCACTTCGCTTTGGTGGCTGATGTGTATACTTACAAAAGGGCAAAATAGGTGGTTGCTGAGTCCATATCACCTGTTTCAGCACTGGTTAAACTCTACCCGCCATTGAACTTTGTCGTGCAAATGGACGACACCACATCTGCATCGAACGGCTATGCGATGAACAACCAACTGATGGACCGCACCTCGGTAAAGCAGCGGACCAGTGGACAGCAACAGGTCATAAAGGATGTCGCGGTACATATGGTACGCTTGACATCGTTAGTTCTGGTGGTGCCTTTTTCCCAGCTTCGTACGCAGATTTTGGCGGAGCTGAAGGCACGTGTAAAGGTTTTGAGCGCAAACCCAGCGGCTACCTTGATCTTACAGGTGAGGGTTCTTCCTAAAACCACGTCTCTCGAAAGCTATATCGCAGGCACCGCTCGTGTCCTTGATCTGTCTCTGCTGCAGTTAGGAAGTGATCGTCCCATGGAAATTACCGATATCTTTGCCTTGGTGGACGGCGTTCATCATGATGGAAGTGTTAGGCTTGTTATTTTGAATAGTATGTGTGTGCAGAATAGTCCTTTTGTTGTCCTAGGAGTGAAGTACTAAGCTGGATCTTATGTACAATAATACAAATTCAGTTGGCTGCAGTTGAATATTATGTTAACATTGGCAACATGTCCTTGGTGGCCTGAGCGGCGGTATCACATCAGGAATCTCTCTTCTTAATCTTTCAAAAGGCAAAAACATGAACAAATATGCCGAAAATGTAACCACATTTCACCCACAACAACGGCCTTGCGAAATTTGAACTCACGTAGATGCAGAACTACTTTGTTCCCCTCACAGGGTAGTAGTTGTGTCCGAACGGGAGCTTCAACTGACGAAGCCGCATTCGATCCACGCGCAAGAAGCCCCAGGCGAAGGCGGAAGGATGCGGATGCAATGATTCGTATGCAACGCACATTAGGTTCGAGTGCAAGGGCTGATATCAGGCAGCTCAGCGCCGCCACGGAGGAGGAACTTGAAACACGAGAAACGACTTTACATTAGAAATCTACAAGTCATCGGCGGCTATCTTGCTGCGACTGGAGATTGTGCCGTGCCGTTGCTTGGCGTTTGTCTGCTGAAGCTCCACTGTGTGGCACACCATCGACGGACTCAGTTCTGGTCGTGTTTCCGGCTTTCCCTTGTCCGGCCGTTAATACTTCAAAGGCCGCATTCTTCATTTCGGGTGTCAGGTGCTTAGAACATGCAGCTGGGAGTAGAACTTTTACTTGATCCTGAGGATGCAGTAAGCACTGGCCGCAAGAAATTTAAATTAACCCCCGTTGCCACTCTGTTGCCGAACCCTACCTCCCCAAGCCCGGCAAGAAGCCCATCGCATAGCCGAACCCGAGTTTTCTTACCATCTGGGCTTTGCACAAACTTGGATGGGCTAAACCGAAGTTAACTATAGTACAAGAAAATATATAGTATCTGCTTACAGTTCAATCCGGCCATTGCTCATGTACTGGCCATGTGATGCAGCTGTTGCAGTAGCTGCAAATATATACGTGCTCGACTTCCCATTTCTGTTGTCCGAGCTAAAATCACATAAAGCAGGCCAACAAATGGTCGGATCCACCAGGGTGCTTTTCTACCAAGATCAGATGCACAAAAACCAGGATTCGCACAGTTACCTATTATCCCATCATCAGACGGTTGTCCTATGCTTGTGGCGAGCTCCCTTGTCAAGAAGACGCCTAAGAGTTTTGTAATGCCATAGCGACGTCTCATGCCCGAGGCAGAACGGTCTGCGTTTAGTGCAGCAAAAATATCTGGCTGATTCCTCTCAGGCAGAGTAGCCATGCTATGGAAGTCCGAGACAATGAACATGTATCTAGTTCTTTGTTCGCGACGAATGCTCCATTGTGTTACGTCGTCAAAAGATAGGAACCGTTGCCTTAACTGCATTCAGTTGAAAATAAAATGTCGCTTCGTCGACAGAGACGTGCAATTCAGAGGACCACTCGCGGCCCTGCCGGGACTGCTGCCCCGATTGACGCATCCGCTCCCTCCTCCTCGAGCTGGAAGTGTCGCAAGTTTCAGTTCTGCGGGCAGTCATAGTTGTTAATGATTTGATATGAACAGTTGTTTAAAATTTATCCATCTTTCTAATGACCACAGTTAGCTCGACATACTGAACAAGAACAAAACAACGCATACTTGCTGTCCTATGTGTATCTACGTGTTCTGCATGTTGCCACCACGAACTTATATGAACGGCGCAATGTGGTGCGATCCACTGTCGGCTCCTTTAGCACAGAGACAATGGTGTTATTTTGATACAAGTACCCTAGGTTTAAAGACTAAGAAGACTTCTCTAAACTATGGCTGAAGTTGATTTCAAGTTAAGACCTTCTAACAAAGCCTTTGTTTGGTAAAACTTAGAAAGAACGTAATCCCCAACCACTGTTAAATAATTGAAATTACTAACCTCAGTTATATGAAACTCCGTGCTGGTTATACCCATCGATCCAAGCAGTGCATACATCAGTTAGATCCTCCCAGCTCTTCACCAACTCAGTCAGTTGTTTTTCGCTCAGCTCTGTTGCTGCTTTCTCGATGTCGGCGTCCTTCAACGACTGGCTAACTTTGTAATTGCGCGATGTAAGGAGTGCTTCCAGGCGCTTCTCGTGGAAATCTCTCAAGCGGTTTTGCATTTCACGCAAGTGCGACAACATGCTGGAACCACACTTGACTGACTCATCGAAGACCTCGCTAATGGCCTCGAGTCCATCGACAGCATTGACAGCGGCTTTGCGCGCCCCGCCCAGACTGATCATGCTGTCAGCAAACTCTTTCCAATTCATCTCTGAATAGAATGTTTTGAAGGTATTGGAAACTGAGTAACCCTCCACGTTGCCACTAACTGCGCTGTAGGCATTTGATGCCGCGTCGAAGGCGACTTTAGGTCCTGCCACAATAGCTAAACCTGCCGTGACGCCAATGAAAAGCATGGTAGCAGCGTCTGCGGCGCGTTGAAATATGAATTCGTCGACCTTCTTCACTTTTGCCGCTATTGCTTCGTCGATGGGCTTGATCTTGGCTTCAAACGCGGCCCGGTTTTGCTTAATGGCCTTGAGCATCTTCTGGAACTCAACATGCCGGCTTTCCAGGACATCGTGTGCTTTACCCGCAACCTTTATGGCATCGAGAAACGCCGAATTTGTTTCCATATAGAACTCTTCCCAATCAACCTCTCCCGAATGGAGCATTTGGATGCGCATCGGCTGTTGACGGGCCACTGTCTTAAGCTCAGCCAGCGCCTTGCGTTTGAGAATGCAGGCGTCGACAAACTTCTGGAGCGCCTGGTTGGCGCTGTCACGGAGTGACCAGACCGAGTTTCCCTCGTCTGAAGCTCGGAGCTTCTCCACGTCGGGGATGCTAAGGATACCGCTAATCTTTTTGAAGAAAGTTTCGGCATCTTGGGTATCATCCCTTATTTCCGACAAGACCACGGGGTGCGCGCCAAGGCCATGATTCAGGAACTCTTTAAGGCCACGGATTTTTGCGGATTTAGCAACAGTAGCACCATTAGTTTCCATCTTAGAAACGGCCATGAATGACATCTCAGCCCCAGCCGTAAGTAGCCCAGAGAAGGATACCGTCGGAGCATACTCAACTCCAAGGAGAGTAAGAACAGCGGATGAATTTTCTTGCAATGCGGGCCATGACACGTTCATGATTGCTTTGGCGGTGAATTCAACGCCATAGTTCAGTTGGCTTTCAATCTCACTCAGTGTTTGTAAGACTCTGCCAATCTTGAGACTAATTTGCTGAACGAGACCCATCCAGGTGAAATGTTGGTCTTTGTACACATGTCCACTGTTGAGGAGCCTCCTCATCCGGGCCACCTCGTCACGTATTGGTTGAGTCCTCAACTCTCGAGCTCGTTCGATCTCATCTGCAGCTTTAGAAACCCAATCCATGACAGCTTCTATCCCAGAAAGCCTGGTCCAGAATGGAACCTTGTCCTTTAGGCCCTCCAGACTACTCCATGCTGCATCGTCGATCGCATCGATGTCAATCTCGACTTCTTTAATCTTCGACTCCATTTTTAGTTGAGCGTTAGTGACGGCATGGTTAATATCCGTGAAGGTATTATTGAGCTCTGCTGTGATCATCTCCAATTCTTGGCAGGCCTGGACCGCACATTGCACATATGGAGCTGCCTCCAGTGCTTTCTCCTCTTTCGTCCGACGTTTCGAATGCCTATCTGACCACTCCGTCATGAGATTGGCCAAAGTCATGGTCCCTTGGATGACCTCAGATGACAGCCTTTTTGCCTTTAACAAGTGGACACCGCCCGGCAAAGCCCCAGCAGGAAGCTGCTCGCCGGCTTCGTGAAAGAGCTGCCTGAGTTCGCCAGTGTAGAACACGGTGAGGGCTGACTTGATTTGATCAATGTCAAACCATTCTCCGCTGCGCAGTAGCATTTCTTCTCGATGCAACAAATTCATCTCGGACATAATGGATGCCTTTTTCAGATGCAACAGGCCGGCTTTAAAGTCCTTGCTCTCCATGGCTTCTCGAGCAAGATTTGCTTGCTCGTCGAAGGCTGCTTCAATGATAAGATCGGCTTCATCAGGGATGTAAAAAGTGATGGTGATGCTCTGTGTTTGATCGGATTGGTGTTGTTGCTGATTTAGTTCGATGTCCAAGTTGCTCTCATTCTTTCTCTCACTGGGCTCAACTTGACGCTGCTCGAGTGCCTCTGGCAAAGAGACATCGGAAACCTCGCAATTTTCAGTGTCAAGATTCTGGGGAGCAATGACTTCCACGGACTGATGCATCATCATGAAAGAAGATGCCTGGAGACTGTCCAAGTCAGGTAACTTGACAGGTTTCTTCACCGGGGGTTTCTTAGGATCCGGAATATACAAACCCTGGGCATAGAGCATGTCCAAATAGGCCTGGGCTCCGAAGCCAAGGATATCAGTATCTGTCTGAGAGCTCTTGAGCTGAATTGACCTGATGAGTCTGTTGAAGGCCTCATCTACAATCTTGTTGTCAAACTCAATGACTCTGTCAGACCCTTCGACCATACGCCCCCAGAATTTGTTTAGCTCATTGTATTGCAGCACGAGTTTGTCAATCCCACTTTTGAGTTCGCTTATGTCCTTGATTTGTTGGTTCAGATGATTGATTCGTCCTTCAGTTTTGGAAATCTCGCGAATTTTGCTGTCTTCCTGACTCTCCGCAATTTGTTCCACAACAAAAGCCGTAACGAACAACGCTCCCAGCACTACAGAACCCCAGCCGGTGAAGCCTAGAAGCAGCATGCCAAAAACGCCTGTTGATGGTAATATTAGATAGCGAACTCAATCTTGGAGAAAATATTGTACTTACAGACGATGGCAGCAATCGTGGACCACATCTTAATGCTCCGGATAGTCTCCAGGTCCTTCTTCTGAGATGTCAAAACCTTTTGAAAGCCTTCTAACTCTGTCTGAAGCTTTGCCTTGATAGCCTCAAGGTCAGTATCTACTCCCTTGAGGGTCGATGTCATCGATACGACGGTGGCTTGTGCATTGCGTGATGCATTAGCAAGCATCGTAGCAGAGGATTTCGCAAATTCGATCGAGTCGTCGACCGCGTTCTTCTTGATTTCGTCTATTTCCTTCTGTGACTTTGCTCTCTTGATCTCTTCTTGCGCATCGCGCAAGTTATCCAGATAGGAGCGATGCAGCACTGCGTATTCCTTAACCTTCTTGACCAAAGGCCACAAAGCAAGCTGTGTTTGCATATATTGGTCCTTTACAGAGCTGATAAGAGTCCTCATATCAAGCATACATCCAGGTGAAGCCACACCAATATTCGTTATGTCAGTAGAAGCGACATACTGCTTCCATGCTTTCGCCTCATGCTGGGGGTAATTGTCGTCTATTGCGATGTCAACCGATCTCTGGTACAAATGTCCGTCCTTACGGAGGACCACAAGGCCTTCTTCATTGGCAGATAAGCCAATGCATTCAGGCTGAGGTCGAGGATTCGCAATCTCGATCTCGTTTGCGCTCTTGATCGAAATGTTCCACGATTTGCACTGGTCATCTATACCAAATAGCTTACCAGCATAGTATGCCAGCTTAGTCCACTTGGGCATCTTTTCCCCAGCTTTGATTTGGTCATCCGTAAGTGAAACAGGTCGAAACTCGACGTTGTTTCGCAAGTCATTGCCCTTGAAGGTGAACATGGTGCCATCTTCATTCACAATGTAAAGACTAAACTCGGCTGACCCGTTCGCAGAAAGATTGGAGCAGTAAGGACTGACGGACAGCACATTTGGTGAAGGCAAGCATGCGTCGCCTACCGGGATCCAATTTTCTTCAAATAACTTACTCCAATCTTTGCTAGCTTCTTTGCGACGGTTGTCGTCCATTGCTCGTGGCAGCTTCCTCCAGAGAGCCCTGCCGATACTTAAATAAAAAGACCCATTGTATGGGAACATATTTATTTTTTCAGTTGCCGGATCAAATTCCTTTGGAAGGTAATCAAAGTGAGTCCACGTGTTGTTTACCACCTTATCTCCAGATTGAGAAGCACCCTTTCTCAAATACTTGATAGCCCGTCCAGATACACCTACAATAGGCGATACATTGAGAAGGGCATTATACTCATTAAGATACGGGCGTTTCTTTATAGACTTGAAGTTAGAAAGCACGCCATGACTTGGAAGGGGGGATTGATACGCACGAGCATCTCGTTGAGGCCATCCATGATTGGCAATGCGGTCTCCGTCATCGCCTTCAGTTGCATCGCCTCCTCTCTACCACTGTTCAAGAAACCCTCGATTTTGCTGAATTCCTCTAGCTGTTTCTCGAAACTGGGGAGAACTGTATTCGATGCGACAGTTTGAGAGTGGAATTGCACATTGAGTGCACCGGAGTTGGAAAATCTTGGTGGCACGTGTATTTTCGCATCACTGGCTGCGTCTTGGGCGACTTTTGATGTCGAGACTTCATTTAGCTCTCGCAGTGCATTATCAATAGTCTCGTTGACCTTTATAAGAAATTAGTAAAGGAGATCCATAAAGCATGCTTGAGTGAGAATCGACATGAGGAGGGTTTAATAACTTTTTCAAGCACGGCCCTATTGCGGGCAATCTCAATGGGATCGTTGGTCCGATTGTCTTTCCTTTCGACCTCATCGGTAATTTGGTCTGTGACAACATTCACCAGACTAGATAAGTGGTGAGGAGAGTACATCTTGAGATGGAATGTGAAGGAGGTTCGAATTAAGTAAAGAAAAGTCTACGACTCAGTATAGTGTAGTACAGCAAAAATGCGACGATAGTTTGCTTTATATAAAGAAATCCAATGAGACAGCTGTCCCTCTAAAAGACCTCAAGCAAAGACTAGCCCCCCGCGACTAGCAAGAAGCGGCTCCGCGGCTGAAGGATTCAGCTCTCAATATTCAAGCCAAACAAGCAATATTTGGTTACGGAGACTGCGGGGTCCGACTCAGCTTCCAATATTCAAGCGGCTACGGAGACTAGTGTCGGCGCGACCCAGCTCTCAATATGTTCAAGCTAGCTAAGAAATCCTTATTTGGTAATTGAGACTAGTTCAATGGCAAATAATTGGAAAATTGGTGGTAATATACAACAGTTATTCTAATTAGAGAATCCTTAACAGCTTATTAGCGGTAGGAAAGTAGGCAAAGTCATATCAATAAACCCACGTTTAGTCAAGGGTTCCAACTGCGAGTCGAAGGCCCCGATCCGACGGCCCGCTCCCGCGCGAGTTAAAAGAAACAAAACCTGGCCGGCCAAGTTAAGTGAAAGCACATTTGCAACCCTTTCTGCCGCGAATTATTGGCAAATAACTCAAGCCATTGATTCTACGCCTATTTATCAGGTCGCCACAGTTTAGCATACTAGGCTATTTTTGCGCATAAGTACCAATAACCTCCATCTACTATCCACTCCTGGAATAAAGCGGGGATAATATTCTGTGGCGGGGCTCTTTGAGCGGCCTCGTGATCGATTGGCAGCTGGATCAAAGTGATTCCTTGACTTGTCTTCACTCTGTGATCTATATAGCGGTTATACAAGCTAGGTATCTGATATTGTATTTAGTGTTAGTCGAGCCAGTATAAAGGCACGTTCCCTGGGCACGTTCTCTTGCTATCAACAAATTACTATTGCTGGCTACATAATACAATTGCCCGATACTGACCTAGCTGCCCGCTAACATAAACCTGAGCAGAGGTGTTTGTCACTGAGAAAGTGTACTCTATATTAACCTAGAGACACCGGTTCCTCACAAGAGGTTATTTCGAGGCGAGTAACTTGTATTATTCTTTCTATTTAGGGAGAGAGAAAGCATTTCTCTTTTATATCAGGAAACCAGACTCGGCCCAGCTTGGTCACTGATCCTAGCTACTATTGTTACGATCCGGTCAATCGGAACAGCGATCGGTCCCTTACAAGCAGCTGGCTCCGTACCAGTAATTGCTACAATTGCGATTATTGGCCTAACCTTTTGCCCTGTTTGGCGCTACGGTATGACGGACGGTAACAACTAATCGATCACGAGGCTATTATTATAAATTCAATATCTTTACTTACTGTATTTTTTTATACAAATCGCTCAAAGCAGCGGGGAAGAGAAAGCGCTAAAGCAGTAGACAGTAGAGGAAAGGAAATCTGGAGGACAAGTAAGAAGGCGAGCTTTTCATTGCTCTTGTGTAGTATAAATATTTAGCTATTGAAAAAGACTTCTAGAATGATTTAATTGAGTTGACCTTATAAAAAGAAAAGACACTTTGTAGTATTCCTGTTTTCACAACTGTTAAGACCCAAAAGATTGACTACTTCCTAATAAGAAGTTTATTAGAAGCTTTCACAGCCTCCTCTCGATATATGAATTAACAAGGAAGACATGTCGGATGGTTTTTGCCTTGGATTTATTTATAGCCCATATAGTTGACATTCAAGAAGTCGCAAGGACATGGGGCATCTTCTACCCCAAAGGTGACAGGAATGTACCGGGAGTCGCCTGTAGGGTTACCCCAAGTTATACGATACAGGCTAAGTGCATCATACCACCCTAATCCTGACGGCTGTATAGGTGGACAAGGCCCACCACCATTCCCGCAATCATCGAGGTCAAACTGATAGTCTGGTGAGGCTTCCCAAGCTTGATAGAATGGCTGCCTGACATAGAAACCTATCTGGTCGCGAAGCTGGCAGGTGAGTGTTTTGTGGCAGATATCTGAGGCATCGATGACGCATTTGGGAACATCGACATGTTGCCAATACGAAGCAAATTATTGTGGAAGTCCCATCAAAGGAGCCCTTTGTATATAGGGAGCGTTCTAATCCACGTCCAGCATAACATATGGGCTTCGCCCACCGCCAGCCGGCACAACAAGATGTCCGTTCGCATCAAGATAGAACGTCTCAGTATACACACCCGGTTCCCAACTGCTGGCTTCGGTGCCAGCGCGATTGATGCCTGCATAGTTATGGGAGCCTTGGAGATTGATACCAAGGTACGATCCTTCCAGCCATGACCCGCCGTGTACGGCAAGTCTGAAGCAACTGGCACCTGCTGGAGAGACTGGGCAGGAGGTAGCTGTAGCAGCTGCGGAAGTAGTTGTAGTCGTGAAGCCCGTGAAGTCGTAGAAAGTGAAAGTGGTCGTTGTGGTGACAAGCGGCCCGTCTGCGTTGAACACCTAAGTAGCTGTATTAGTGGTGACTCCCGATGTTGTAGTGACAATATTGGTCTGAGAAATGTAGTTTGTCCCTGTTGCGATCTGGCTACAAGCGTAGCTAATCTTATCAATCGGCCACCCTGCCATTCCGGTACGCACTGCGATCGCTCGTCGATTAAAAGCTGTTGACTGCAGGGTAACCCCTATCCAATCTGCCTTATCGGATCTTATAGATTATATATATATAAAAGGTCCTACCCCCGACTTTATATTTAAATAACTAAGACCTTTAATAAATATAATATATACTTAACCTCTTTTTTAATAGGTTATAAACCTAAATTACAATTAACAATAATAACCTTTATATTAACTAAGATTATTATTTTAAATTAACAGTATTAATAAGCTGCTTTTATTAATACTAAATAAAAAACTAAAATTTAGCCTTTAGTTAAACTAATTTTTAAAATAACTATTAATTTAATAATTAAAATAATTATAATTATTAATTTTAAAATAATTTTAATTATTTTAATAAATAATTTTTATTACTTTTATTTTATAAAATTAATTAACTATTATAAATTAATAAAATAAAAAAATAAAAAATAAATATAATTTATAATTAAAACTGCTATAATTAACAGTAATATTTAAATTTATTTAAGAAGATTATTTTTTTATATTTACTAAAGTAATTAATAAAATTTTAATAAAAACCTTATAATTTAATTATAAAAAAAGCTATTATAATAAACCTACTGCTTTTAATTTAATATTTTTATTAAAATAATTAATTATAGAAATATTACTGTAAACTTTTAACTATAATTAAAATATTTAAGGTTTAAAAATTAAAAGTCTTTTTAATACCTTTAGTTTTAATAAATTAAATTAAATTATTAATTAACTATAAACTTTATTTCTTTAATTTAGCTTTAATTTAATATTTAACTACTGTCCAGTTATTAAACTTAAATATATTAATAATAATAAGTTTAAGTATTTTTAAATTTATTATTAATATAATTATTATTAAAAATTTTAAATTATTAAATAGTTAAATTATTTAAAAAAAAAAAAGTTATAAATATAATTAAAATTTAAAGTTTTAAAAACTTTATAAAAAAAAATAAAAATATATTAAAAAAGAAATTTAATAAATTAAATATTAACTTTAAAAATAAAAAAAAACTTTAAGAAATATATTAAAATTAAATTATTATATTTATATACAGTAAGCTTAGCTATTTTATTTATAAATATATAAAGTAAAAGGAAATTTTATTTATTATTTTAAATACTTTAAAAATTAGGTTTAAGTTTTATAAAAGTATTACTTTTTAAAAACTTAATTAAAGATATAATAGTTTAATATTTAAAAATTATATAAGCGTTAATAATTATATAAAAAAGCTTAAAGTAGCTTAAACTAAGTTTAAATAATTTAATAAATATTATAAAATTAATAAAATATATTTTATTAATAAGTTTTTTATAGAGTTTAAAGAAAGTTATAAATATTTTTTTATAATATTTTATTAAATATATAGTTTACTTTTTAAAAAGTTAAATAATAAAGTTATAAAAAAACTATTATTTTTAATAAAGCAGTTATAACTATTAAATAAAAAAAATTAAATTAAAAAGTAATAATTAATAATATTTAGTTTTACTGCAGTTTTTTAATTTTTTTATATATACTAGTACTACTATAAGTTTAATTATTTAAAAGAGAAATATTAAATACTTTTTCTAAAACTTAAATTAAAAAGTATAAAATAATAAAAAAAAAAATTATAAATTAAATTTAATTAATTAAAAAAAAAAAAAAATAATTAATAATTAAAAAAATAATTATTATTTTAGTTTTTTTTTAAAGTATAGGTAGTAAAAGTAATAATATATTACTAAGCTTAATAAACTATTTTTTATTTATATTATTTAACTATTTAACTTTAGTAAAAACTATTATATTTATAAAAATTAACTTTATAAATATTTATATTTTTAATAGTAATACTTTTAGTTATATAATTTATATTAAAAAAAAATATAAGTTATTATATTAAATAAAAAAAACCTTTATTATTAATATTAAAAAGATAAAATTTACTTTTAAAAGCACTAGGATATATTAATTTTAGACTTTTATTTATAACAATATTAAAAACCTCCCTTTATAAAATACCCTTTATATATTAAACATTAGATTTAATTTTATATTAATTTTAATATTAAATTAAAAAAACTGCTATTTAAGTATATTTAGTAAAAAAGCAGTTATAATAAAAAACTTTATTATTTTTTTTATAATTACTTTATAATATAAAGTATATATTATTAATATACTTTACTATAGTTTTACTGCCTTTAATATTAAAAACCTAAAGCTATAATTATAGTATAATTAATTAAAATACTTTAGTAAAAATAATATAAAGGATTTAATTAAAAAAGTAAAAGAATTATAATTTATAAAGCTAATTAAAATATATAAAACTTACACCGTTAATAAATAAACTAAGCGGCTATATATAAATAA